CCGGACGGCATTGCTCGAGCTGAGCAATAGTGTCAGGTATGTCTATCTTGCGTGCCACTGACTGGTCTCCAGTCTTCATATAGATCAAGGTGATTGCAACAATTGCACCAGCAGTGGCTTTGTCGACGACATGAACGAGTTCTACTGGTCGAGGACCGATGGCAACGGTCAATAATCGCTCTAAAAGGTTCATGCCATGAAGACCACGCAGGTCCCGACCCTTCCCAATATTGATGTATCCAAGAGCCAATCCTGCAGCAAGTCGATATGATTCGTCACGTAACTGGTCCATCGTACTTCCAGGGTCCTCAATCTCACGATGTTCAACCTCAGAGAGCATTATCTCACTCATCCGTCGGTGTTGCGTGTTATAGTAAACCAGGCCAATGCCCATGAGTCCGGCAGTTTGTGTGCTTGGTGAAACGTTAAGTTCAGCAGCACCATGAGGAAGCATTCTCGTGATGTGTACAGACAGCATTCGAGTAAGCAGAGTGTCCATGGTGCCGAGATATGATGCTGACAGCCCTAGTAGAAGACCTATTGATGTCATGTTGTGTTTGGGGGTCAGATATTTGAAAGCGAGCCATTTGGCAAGAGTCCTTAGATGACCGTTGATACCAAGAGCGAGCAGGAATCCAGCATGACGGTTGTTGAGTTCTGTAGGTTTGTTGAAGACAATCCAAGAAGTGTCAATGCCGGTAGCGTTTCGCGAGATGCTCAGTCCTGCAGAGACACCAGCATGGAAGAAAGTCCAGGCGAACTTTTCTTCTGTGAACCCACTTCGGTCCGCGCTGATGGTGGTATCCATTGGCTTCATCTGACATGATGTACTAAAGCCCTTGATGTGAAACTTTTCTGAGAGAAGAGGACGTTGACTTTCAAAGTGAATCATACCATCTCCAGGCGATAGTGCAAGTGTTCTTACCATCACCCATTGCATCACTCGCTTTTGCTGTTCTAGATGCTCGACTTCTGACCATTCAGGTTGAGGTGGGCATTCAGCAACCTGAACGGCAGTCGGATTCATCAATCGGGCAGCATCAACGAAGCGACGGTCTTCAGAGAAGATGAGCGAGATTACTGCGTGTCTTTCTGCTTCATGTGTTTTGGCTGTGAGAGGAGCCCGATCTGCAGAGCTGTAGATAGTCTGCACATCGTGAGGGACTAGCACGTTAGATGGTGCACCTCGGCTAGATGGACGACTGGCATCCTTATTCAGCTGTGATAAGCCAATTAGATCCTCACGTGCGACAAATTCTAGAAGATCTGAAGACCACGTTGTTGGCGGTGCTGTTTGACAACGACTGATAGCTTCACGAAGTGGAGCAAGCACACCCTCAGGCAGAGTTTCGAAAGCCTCAGAACCGAAATCTGAGTCCTTCATCGTCTCTACTAATGCACTTGGCGAGACTCTTATAGCAGAGAAACGAGCAGCCAACGATCGCAGAGATGTCAGTCGAGGTAGGATTTCTCCCGTGAGTTTCCAAGGTATGGTAGGTGGTGAATCTGTCCACAGAGAAGCTATCGTTTCAACACCCAAGAATTGTTCTGATGCTCCCTGGACAAAGTTCTTCTCGACCCAAGCAAAAACGGATTGAGGAAACGGACATGTGCTCTGTAGAGCCTTCACAGTTGTGTTCATCATGGACGAAGACAGCTCCCAATCATCTATCTCACCACCTGATTCATAGTAGGAACCAGCTCTGTAGCACCATGGATCAAGCGAAAGCCACTGCCCAAATTGGGCGATGATGGCACAAAGAGAACCAGCGACAATTCCCTCCGCATCGTCAGAGAGTGAGTTCAGTTTTTGCTCTTCTCTGAAAAGGTACAACACAAGCATGATTTTGGTACAACATGCATAACGTGAGCTGGCAGCTTCCGATGACACCAGCCAGTCCAGCTCATCTACAGCGATGTCATGCAGTAGGTGGCGGGCCATCGTCTCGTATTCTATCAACGAGAATGGATGCTTCTTAGTTTTATGCGTGCTGCGAGGAGTTCGAAGTCTTGATCTTGGAGTGATGGCACTGAGCCTGGAGGTCATAGTAGGCTTCTCAAGCCAGCTCCAGGCGGGCGATATCAGTTTGTCAAGATCTGACTTCAGGCTACGAGATCGCAGCTGGCTTCCATAGGTACCAAGTCGGGCTCCATCTGCCGTAGAAGATTTACTCTTTTGATTGCCACGTAACGTCCTTCCGATCGAGCCAGCTGCAAATGCGAAGAGAGCTATGATCATCGCTTCCCACTCAACATCGAGACCGCTGGTAAGTTGGATCTCATCAGCAGCAAACCGATGATGTNNGGTGTTGCACCAGATGGCCGCAATGGAACCTCCTTCTTTTGCTGGAAGCACTGATTGACATAGTTCCAGAATCTGGCGCACAGATGTAGACTTCGGACTAAGTCGTATTTGGAATCGGTTCTGGAGGCCATCTGATGAATTTATAGTGATCTTTCCATGGTTACCAGGGTGCTGTAGTTTGCAAGGCCATTGGAGTGGTATTGACTCTTGCGTGCCCTCTACAGTCGAGTGGAGAATACTTGCAACATTAGAGGGATGTGCCATGCGTACATGCCGCAAGATCGGTAGCGACCATGTGGCACCTCGCGCAGGTATTATGCCAAGTTCCTGGGACTTGGCTGACAGGTAGGCAATGGCCGTTACACGACCGTCCTGGAGTTTAGTGATGTCGGCAATGTTATGTGTTATGTTGCGGTCGCATAGGAATGGTATAGGCATGTATCGTGCTGGTGTGTCTTTGCCTGTTTGGAGCCTTGACTTGTTCTTCTTTTGTACGCGCAGTTTGACTGTTGTCATGGACTTCGATGAAGCGTCGAGGATGTAAAGTGAAATCAGGCAACTGCTTTGCTCTGACTGAGATGGATGGACCAGTGGAAAGACCTTGATTAGATCTTCGATCGCAATGGATCCGAAATTTGAGACATCAGTCATGAAGACATCGAGCTTGCGTATAACAAGCTCTTTTCGGAGGCCATCAGGCGAAGAGCCTAGAACAGACTCGGTACCGGCAGATCTGCGAGTAGCCCCGATGAGTCGCTCAGCACTCTCGGATTCATCGTTGTAGTCTTGCATTCGGCTACTTTCAATCTCAGTGACATCATCTGGTCCGATACTCTTGTTAAAGATGCTTCCTGGAGTTGACGCACGACTCTTGCGAAGTACCTGGTTGCCTCCAAAACTTCGACGATCACGATCTGTAAAGCTCCCCATCGAAGGATACCTACGCCCAGCTCCGCTAAAGCTAGCACCAAGGGCGGTTTGCTTGATGGACGGATCCGAGTTGCCAACATCACCACGTGAGAGGATGGAACTGACTCGTCTGGGACCGCCAGAAGGCTTCTTAAGCAAATATTCCGGGTCCATTTGTGATGCCATGACTTCTTCGTCGTCTTGTGAAGGTCTTGTAGTTGAAGCAACAGACAGTCTAGTGGAAGCAGCAAAACTCTCACGTACCCTGTCGCGATGATCACGGGGCTTCAGGGCAGGAGTGGCAGCGCCAGCTGTACGACTCATCATCACGGAGCTAGGACGCTTAGCCTTGGCTGCTTGGTGTGCTGCTCTTTGTGATAATAGGTCGGAGAGCTTGGGAGGTTGCAGGTACCACGCTTGCCAGACCGTGATTTGACCTAGCTCCCTGTTGACAGTGACCAGCAGAAAGAGAGGTGCATCCTCGGGTTCTGCAGTATTATCAAGTTCGTCCTGAGAGGACACGTAAACAAGCTCTTCCGCAGGNTCAAGCATGTCATATTCAACAATGGGACTACTCGGGGCTCCAGGACGAGGAAATCGAGGTTGACGACAAACACTAGCGTGCGACACAGGTGCTAAGTCTGACAGTGGATTCTCTAATGAATAGAATCGAGGCAGTTCATCAATCGTGTGTGATTCAGGGCTTTTGGTAAGATCCTGGAACAAGGCATCGAGATTGAAGTGAGCTGATGGGCTTGGAGGCAGAACACTTGGACGGTAGCGATTGGGCCTCAACTCGGGAGATTTTGGTTGAGAAAACAAGTACGGCTGAGATGAGGCAAAGGAGTTTGGNGGTGCAGCAGGAACGGTAGGGGTAGGAGATTCTTTGGTGACTGTAGTGGCCTTCCTCTGCACGACAAGACCATCGATGGCAGGAAAGGCTTTCTCGACGTCAAATGGTACGTTCAGTACATGATTTGAGCCAGAGAGGTAGTGGATGTGCATCTCAGACTTCAAAATGATGACCAAAGCACGGTTGAAGCCGCGTGGGTCGCTAGTGCTCAGTGACAGTAGATTCCTGGGGTCGCGCTGAGGCTTTGTGCCCCATCTTGATGCGTATGCGGTTGCGGCGTAAGAGATGACATGGTCTGAGGTTGTGGTGGAAGTTTTCGAGGGAGGATCATTGCGAAAGCGCGTGATCAAAGCATGGCTAACGGACTGCTTTGCCGAGTCGAAGTTGAAGACTTTCCGGACATGACCATCCTGTGACCAGACTACACACTTGGATGTGTATAGAAGCTCATGTTCGGAATCATTCGAGGGACCTGGGTAGACTTTCCAGATGTAGTCGTTTGGGGAGTGATGTTCCGGGAGGATGGATTCAGAAATCAGGTAGGACAGAGCAGAGGGGCGATGGAGGCCCAATGAGACAAAGTTGGCCATGAATCAGAAAGTATTGTGGCCGAACGTGTACACATTATTGTCGGATATATGATGTTTACAGAAAGTCCATGGGCCAGACAGCAAGAGAAGTGTTTGTTGTGTATGGGCAATGAGGGGTGAGCAGTCCCAAGAAGATATGTCCTGGTAGACGGATGGGATCCGATGAGTTTTGGATGAGATTTGAAAAGGTTCCAATAAACAACTGAGTGTTGGAAGAGAAGGTGGCTCATGTCTTGAATGTTTCGTTCGTGGTCGACGCGCTGGCTCGGCTGCACTTTCCCCGCGCGCGTCAACAGCTTCGGCGTCCCAAGCAGCAACAACTTGACCATCTTTCTTTGCATAGCCAATTCACCCACCCACCATGGAGACAATAGCCTATGACTCTTCTGCTAAACTGCAGAAGCCCCGAGTCTCCCGTCATGACAAGCGCATGCACCTCAGGTATGCGCGCGCATCCCTATACCCAACCTGCAATGCCTAACAAAAGTGTATANGCTACGATTGTCCACACCGATTGAACGTTACCAAAATCTACCCCGTACAGAGCCCGCGTGGTGCCGACATCATCATCTCCGGACACGACGACGGTCTTCACATCCTCTGGAGAGGCGGCAGACCGCTGTCGCCTAGATCGCGTACTGTCACCGAGCGCGTCAAGGACTTGTCAGGCGCACGAACTCAGCACACCGAGTGGAACCAGCTCATCTCCATCCACAGGTCCCCTGTCACTGAGGACGTTCCCGACCAAGACAAGCCGCGTTATGATGCCGAAGACGAAGAGCTGGATGAAGACGAGCCATACCCTTCCTTCACACAAGAGCTGAAGCTGTCATTCGATAGCCCTGTTCTCCATTTGGCCCTGCCCAACATTCCACAAGCTTCTTCCTCTCTGCAGTCCAAAGCAAGGGTGCCTCTTATAGTCAAGCAACGCATTGTTCTGGTTGTTGCGTGCGCCGATGCTTCGTTGCGCCTGATTACGCTGCCTCTCACACCTCCATCGGCATCTGCTAAGAGAAATGGTCGACCGGGTGCTCAGATCTGTGACCTCAGTCCATCTGCTCCATCCTCGGCCATGGCTAAAGATGTCGCCCTGACATGGACGAGCAGCCCAAGCATGTCCACCACTGACGATCAAATGGACCTAGACAACCCTCAACAACCTACCACAAATGACGAAAAGCTCGATCTGCTCGTCGCCTCTTCCACCTCGTCCCACCTCGAGACCCTCACCTTCTACCGCATCCCCATCGCCTTTAACGATGTGACAGGCGGCAAGATCCCGACTACTGTCGCTCCTTTCCACGCCGTACCGCTATCATCCTCCTCGCAGTGCCTCCGCTTCAGCACTGCCCAATACNCCTCACGCCGTCATTCACGTCTCTTAGTCGCCGATATAAAAGGAACCTTGAAGATTTACGACCCTCTGGCACCAAAGGGTCGTCCTTTGTCTCGTGGTTCCACAGACGACACCTCTGTTGAAAACGGTGCCTGGATCTCGGTTTTCAACACTGCTTTCCAGATGCCAAAGGGCGCCACAAGTAACTACCCTGGCCTTGCTCAAAGGAGAAAGATCGTAGATGTTGCTTGGGTTTCCGGAGCCAGAGCTGCTCTGATCTTGCTGGATCGTGGTGAATGGGGTGTCTGGGATATCGATGCTGTAACGCAGAAAAAGATGAACACTTTCGCTATACAAGGCTTCATCGGTAGTCCCGATGCTGCCCCTGCTTCGGAACTCAAATCTAGATCTACACAGGGACTCGCGCCATCGACACCCAACACTCGTCAGCAACGACAGGAATCTCTCTTCGGTGCCTCAAAGCCTGCTGCTCCCGCAACGACCACAGCTAGAGGTGGCGTGTGTGCTGTTGCGACACCCGGCAGCCATGGCTCGCTCGATGACTCGATTGTATTGTGGTACGGCAGTGAGGCATACCACATCCCAAGTCTCGCAGCTCTCTGGCAACGCAGTCTTAACAGCAGCGGCAAGGATATCGGATCTCTTTACGGACCAGGACTATCGCACATCGAAGGTCTTGATCTTTCTGGTGAAATTCTCAACGGTGTCACGCAATTCCCCGTCCGATCTACTGCGACCAACCTAGGTCCTATGTCTCAACGCGACTTTGCAGTCACTGGCGAGTACCGACTGGTCATCATCCAATCAATGCGACCACAAACACCTTCAAAATCACTGTTCGCACAAGCGACAGCTGGCGTGAGCAATGGACCCAGAATATTCGACCAACAGTTACTCGATCGCGGAGAGTTAGACCTTGGTGGCATGGACCGTCTGCTCGACACTATGAGCAGCAGAAACAATGATTTCGCGCCAGTCGCGGCCAAGAAACGAGTCGGATTTGCTGGGTAGAAGCTCTTCAAACACTGACATGCAGCGTTAGACATGATGAAACCGATAGAGAAACTTGAGACGAGAAGGACAAAACAACGGTCGATGCGAAAGGATGATATACCCCTTTTGTTCTTTTCTCGAATCACGAAACAATAACATCAAGACCCAAAGAAGGTCTGTACCACTTTTTACCACCTCCCCTTCCCGATGTATATCAAGTGACACATACACAACACACACAACCCGCGTTGCAAGGTGGAGCATTGATATTCAAGAGCCATGATCCTTGCTCAGTATTCCACGCGGAACATCAAACACATCCCCTCGGTCCTGCCTTTCATGGTAAACCAGGCTTCTTATCCAACAGACCCAAGTGGCTTTTGTTTTGGAAGGGCTTTGGTGGATAGAGAGGGATATACGATATCCTTCCCCTTCGTCGATACCATGCTAGTCTTCCGGTGGCTGGGATTGGTGTTTGGGGGTTTAATTGGGTGTCGGGACATTCTTTTTCCTGTCTGATGCATGTTAGATGGATGGGTTTGACAAGTCTCGCACGTTTGACAATTTTTAAACAATGTTTGCATATCTGATGTTCGATCTGAATGCCATCCATATTAACATAACTTCTACTTCTTCACTTTTCTCAAGTCCACGACTTGGAATTGCAGACCCGATAATTCTGAAACATGACCGGGTCTCGTGGCATCAGTGTACAGGTTATCCACATCGTGAGGATGGAAGAGACCAGGTTTATGACAATTCAAGACTGCTTGTTTGCCCGGTGGATCCGTCAGACGGAAGATACCATGNACTATCAGTCATTAGCCAACATCCACAAGATGACCAAGATGGAGATAGAGCACTCACTCGGGCGATTTACTAGGCGCACACACGATAGCCACGCTCTCAGGCAGCATGACCTGATATCCGACACTCGTATGCAAGTCTCTCGAGCTCAAAAANCAGGTCTGGGTCGGATGTGTGTGTATCCATCCACATACCATCAAGCCCTCGTTGTCCACGTAGTCGAACAAGTCTGTTTCTCCCTGATCAGTGGTTTCGCAAGTGTCGGACGTGGCTGTTTGGTCTGGAATCACCAGATGCGATATAAACAGAGCATTGGAGATTATAGTGCCGCAGAGTATACCACAGGTCTCGAGGTTGGAGGATGTATTGGAAGAGGCGAGAGAGACAAAGGAGGTGCGTAGCGAGGTGGGGAGGAAGAGGGTGCGTAGTGGAGTGCCGTTTTCGGTGTAGGCAGCTGGTTGGAATTGGTAGGATTGGGTTGGAGATGGATCTGATTCGGGTGGTGGTGCCGGCCCACCGGGCTTCGAGGGTAATGGTGGAGGAGAATCAAGAGACTGATCTGGTTTTCCAGGGAGCGGTGGAGCCGCGGCGTAGTTGGGCAGGAGGTTCTTTGGAGGTCGTCTGGGTGCGAGCGAGGCCGACGTTGAAGAGATGTTGGCGTGAGCAGATGGCACCGAAGGGTAATGGTATGGCGACGAGGCTTGTTCAGTCGAAGGGTGGTGTGATTGTTGACGAGGGGCATCAATGCGTCGGCCTAGGTCTTGGATACCACGACTTAGATCGTCCATGACAGCACTGTCGTCGCGAGGCTCCTTTGCCCTTCTCCGGAGTTCACGATTTGCCAATTGCAGAGCCATGTCTTTGTGCTCGGCGGCACTCAATACAAACGACTCTTACGGTGCGGCTGCTGTGTCTTTNTTACGTCTCTTGACAGCATCCTGATACTTTTGGTAGCGGCTTGTGATTTCGGGCTTCAGGGCCTCCATGCGCGACAGATCGGCCTTGACATGGTCGCGGGTGCGAGCCATTTGAGCCTTGTATTCTGGCTTCTTTGCATCCGGGTGTTTGGAGATGTGGGTGAAGAAGAAGTCGGCATGACGGTACAGAAAGTAGTAGGCGTCTTGGAAGTTGGCATCGCGCTCGTAGTTGGCGGCCTGANNTGGGCTCTCGATTAGGACGGGGCGAGCGAGAGAGAGCGTGTAACATCATCTCACTTGGCTGATCATGTTCTGGGCGGTACGCAGGGCCATGTTGAGGGGGATGTTGGCGGCATGGTCGAAGTTGGACGCTTCGGAGACGATCTGCTCGACGCTCTTGGGCGCAGTCATGTTGAGAGGCGAGTGTTGTTTGATGACAAGAGCATGTTGTTGTGGTGTGATGGACAGAGTGGGTTGAAGCAATGACGACGCTCGACGCGACAAAAAGACGTTGATGGTTGGAGTTTCGAGCTTGCCGTTCTCTTGACCAACGACCATGCCACCGCCACTAACGCAAGCGGCCAGGATCGCGTCCAGGATCGCGAGTGCTGCGCGGGCGGCCGAGAAGGCTGCGACCAAGGTCAACAAGGGAGAATTGGCCGCCGCCGTCTCGCAGCTGAAAAAGGCCAAAAAGTCGGCTGAGCCGAAGGACGCTGTAAAGCAGACGACCGAACCTTTGACGAAAGCCACCGAGCTTCCAAAGAAGACGGCCAAGGCTCCGAAAAAGGCTTCGAAAGTTGCAAAGAAGGAAACCACCAAACAAGAAGCTGCACCGCCAGCAGATAACCTGCCCGCCCAAGAAAAGGACGTCTCGGAAACCGCCCGCTACAAAGCTCTCACCTCGTACCGGAACAGCTACACCTATTATACCCATCAGGACTACNCCCTGGGCAACTCTCTCAACGACATCTTCGCCGAGGGCAGAAGTCTTGGTCCCTCCGGTGCCAGCAGGGACAAGTTCCCAAACAATGTCGACGTTGTGAGCGAGTCTCTATGCGATCAGATCATCCATCACCTTGGTCATGACCTGGACATGCACGAGGGATGCGATATCATCGATATTCACCCCGGCGCTTGTCTGTGGTCGCAGAAGGTCCACGAACGCCTCAAACCGCGTCGTCATCTCCTTCTTGAGCCCGAAGAACGCTACCTAGACCCTTTCATCAAGNCTCTGCTGGACCAGAAGGACTCGGCTTATCGCCACACGAGTCTTTCTGGCGCCGCCCCAAAAGGCTACTTTGAGACTTACGACAAGATCTTCAATGGCCATCTCCTGCCAGAAAGAGATCCTCTTCCTGACCATGATCCACGCCTGCGTAAACCTAACCATAGCTTGCTCGTGATTGGCAACCTTGTCCGCCGCTACAGCGAACATCGACTCGGCAATAATGCCGTCCCGTTTCCAAGTCTAATCTTGCACCACATGGCCGAAGCCGCTCAGTCCAACGTCATGTTCCAACGCTACGGTCTGGTACGCTTGATTCTCTGGGTTCCTGAAGACCTAAGGGGCACTATATTGCCTGACACCATGTTGTTTAGGAGTGCCTACTCCGTCAATCAGGAGTCAGCTTTTGAGATTGCCGAAATTGTTGGGAGTGATCGCTCTCAGCTCTCCCGTACCGATCTGAACAAANAGAACCTCCATCACCAACGTCAAGATCAACTTGATGTTTGGAGTGCCCGAAGAGTCCTTGATCGCATGCAGTCCAAGGACGTGTCTATTCCCGAGCATCGCCGTCCCGAATTGCACCAGAAAGCTCTCGACACCGACGACGAGAGTCTCATCGACTATAATCCCATACGTCTGCCCAAAGACAAGTCTTTGGAAGAAATCGTCGCCGATCACGAAGAGCAACTCAAAAGGTTGATAGAACTCGCAGCGATTCCCAAATCAAAGCGGAAACATATGAAACTTCCGACACCAAGATTCAAACTCACAAGCACCAGCCAGGATTACCTCAAGCTGCAGGATCAGACCACCTGTAGACTTTTTGTTGACGTTTGGGGTGTTCAGATTGCTCTCGAACGTGAGTACAGGGTAACCGAAACCGGGCGACCTGAGGAAGTGACGGAGGGCTTAAAGTCAAGGATCTTTGCAGCCAGCGATAGCGTCACTTCTGTCTATCATAAACTGTTCAGCCTCGACTCAACAAGACAGATAAATGTCCTCCTCGACGAACTGTTCGCGCTGTGTAGGCCAAATCCGATGATGGAATGGGATCGACGACCTTACGAGCCCATGACGGCGGTGGACGAGGAGTTTTATCCTCGCTTCCCCATGCGACTGCTTGACCTCAAGCCACGGCCGGAAACGCTTGCAGACGATTTGATGAACGCAAGTGAAGCCAATCATGTGAGGCGTGGCCTGCTCAAAGCGCTGTTCACACACCCTGCAGCCCCGCTGATAGAGTCAATCGAAAGACTCGGTCCTGGAGCACGCGATATCATGGGACCCGAGTTCAGTGATCCACTCCTAGGTGGAAGGTTGGATCCCAAGCTCCTGCTGACCAAAGATATCACGCGGGAGCAATTGACAGCCCTTACGAAAGCCTATATCGAGTGGCCGTTCCGACCACTTGGATCGGAAGCGCTTGAAGCCAATGAGATTGAAGTGGTGTAATGGTAAACGATTTGACATGATAGAAATACCCAAATCTGTCGCCTGAGACAAATCCTGTACTTGTAAAATACACACGAGGGATATCAATATACCAAACCCTTCAATTCCAACCCCCAGCTTTTTTGTACATATAGATCAACCCAAGAACGCCCGCTATGCATTGACGACCAGAAGCAAAAACATGTCTTTCGAGGTTACTTTTGGCCACCCTTGCCCTTGCCACTTGACTTGACCTCCTCCTTNTTGCCAGCAGCCTTGCCTCCGGCCTCGGCTTCGTTTCCGTAGTTGGAGATGAGGTCGAGCAGGGAGTCTTCTGCTTCTTCGGGAGCAAGAGCTTCTTCGCCATCTCTCACCNNTAATGCGTGTTAGTAAACCACAAGCTTCTCAAGATTTTAGACAGAACAAAGACCAACCTCTTCGGAACCAGCAACAGCCTCAGCATCCCAACCACGACCGAATCTGCCTCTGAATCTCTTCAGACGACCAGCCTCATCCTCTTCAATGTTCAACAGTTTCTGACTGCTGGGGTTCCAGAGCGGGTTGTTGCGCACATCCTTTGTGCTACGGTATACGGGTTGCGGGCTGGTGGTGCGCTGGACAAAGGTGCTGCCGTCGGACAGAGTGACGAGCTGGGTGAAGGTGTATGGTCGCTTGGGGCGGCGCATCAATGAGGCATGGCGAACTTGTTGTGTTGAAGAAGAGGCGATGCGCAGACTTGCGCGGGGTGTCTGATTGAGCAGCATGGCGACGTGATGGTTGTGTGAGATGTCGAGAGGTTTGCGCAAGTGCTGTCTCGTCGACGCTATGGGAGTTGTAGGGCTCATTGGACATCAATTTTGCGGGCCTCGATTCCGCTCCGCCCCGCGCCAAGAAGCTTCCGCCGCCGTTCCCTGCTTGTCTCCTGGAATGGAAGCTTGAACCCGGTGCTCATTGCGACGTCCGCCAGCTTCGTGCACGAACATGTCAGCGGCAATCCGAGGACCAGCGACCGGTCGCTTCTACAAGGTCTTCCATGCTTGGTCCTACCTCGTCACCGGTAATGTTCTACACGCACAACGCCGACGCTTGGTGACGACCGCCTCTGCCCATAAGGCCAATGACGCCCAATCGACACATAAGAGACAAGACAGCCATGTCGTGCAAACTTCTCCGATCTCGAATGACGAGCATGGCGTACAGACAGAAACCCCACGGAAGACGGCTGATACTTCTATACCTGGCCATTCCTGGGAGCGAATGCAACAGCATCCCACCTTCCTGCTCAGAATGCAAGCCGCACTAGACGTGACGGTCCAGCCCATTGGAGACCTCACCCCTAATGGATATCGCAAAGTCCGCGTTGACGCCCCCGGGAAAAGTGTATGGAATTATGTCAAAGCCCTCCTTAGGCGCCGCGTCGACGACGATCAGACTCTTGACAACACCGTTTTCGAATCTTCTCGGAAGAAGCGTAATGACAATCTTCCCGCTACCTACAGGACGCACATACCGCCCGAGAAAGCCAGCATGCTTCAGGAAAACACTGACGAGTTGAGGCTGCGCATTCAAGACACTTTTTCCGTTCACTTGGACGTTGTACAAGACACAAGCCAAGGTCTGCACAGCATTACCATCACGGGCCCTGGAACCAACGTAAAATCCACCAAGCAGTTTCTGAACTCGCTGCACTATGAATCGGAACAATCGGCCCAGCCGACCACTCGGCCAAGCTCTACCGAGATCAAGTCTATATACAAAGCCACCATGCGCAGTGTCCCTTCTAGCGTCGTCGTCCTGACTAGTCGTGTCTTTTCATTACGCTCAGATACCGATTCACTACGTGGAATGACGGTGTCGTCCTTGACTTCTGTCACTCTCGACCCAGAACCCATCATCTCTTTCAGCATCAAAGGGCCAAGCCGTACCCTCGAATGTATTACCGATGGTCAGCCTTTCAATGTCCACTTCNTCTCTCCCTCTCCTGAAGGTGCCCGGATTGCCGACTTCTTCTCCACGCCCCATGTTGATCCTTCCTACCCTTTCCGTATCATGCGAGGGTTTGGCTTGGCTGATATCGGCGAACATGACCATGAAACATCTGGCCCCTTCATAATGGGTAAACACATTCTCTCGCGCTTCACGTGCGAGATCTTGCCTGGAAAGTCGGTCGAGATCGGAGACCACATCGTCATCTTCGCCCGAGTCACCAATGTCTGGAGGTCTCAGAGTCTAAGCAATCCTCCGCACAATCAATCCGCGGCCCTCACCTTCCTTGCTTACGCACAAGCTGCATACCGCATGCTTGCCCCCGAATCGATAGAACTAGATCGCTCCAAAACTATCGAGTCAGCCCGGTCCAACAAGCGATTTCAATATAACAAGCCTACAAAAGTCAAGGCTTCTGTACCTACCTTATCAAATGTTCCAGCACCACAGCCTCCGCAACCAGAAGTAGAGACACAGGCTTCTCAGGTCTCCGACCAGCGTGCCGTGCCTGATGTCGCCGAGCGCGACACTGACGAGATTGTCAAGAGTGAAGCTGCTGACGAATTTGTCGATGCGTATTGGCGAATGGCTTTGGACGAGGATGGTCAAGATAGTGTACTCGAGGAACGTGCCGCTGATCAGCGTGCATTGGGTGAAGCCCAGAAACCAGCCGATCATGACGCCCCTCGACCAGCTACTTCCGAAAAGGCAGGCTAATCGAGACGCCCCTTATGAGGAGCAGTTTTGCTCATGATGTATGAATGTATATACGTGTAAAATACACAGAGCGATATTCTCGACGAGAGGCCGTTCTTCTTCAAAAACTGATGCGAGATTGGCTAAGCTGTGTTGGCATTGGCGATATTGGTCGAGCTTTCGTTTGCAACAAGGGATTGTTTTTGTAATGGCCGGATTTTACGGCCCTGCTGCCATCAACGTCGGTCGCACCTTCGTCCCTTGTGCTTGAGCAGACTTTGTCTTCCTTGCTGCCAACGAAGCATTCCGTCCATGTTCGAGAAACCGGCAGAGAATGGCACATTCCTTGGGATTCATGGAAAGAAACTTCATTTAACGTTCTCTTCACATGCGACCACCTCTAAGACAACCCCATTTACTCTTGTGTACACATGCAGTTAATGGCCTCTCTGGTGTCAAGTCTAGAACGTGAACAGCCACCCCTGCCTCCCGCATGAGGAGGGATGCATGAGCTGACATTCTGAACCGACATTCTCGCACCTACAATCATAACACGTACAGCCAGCTGGGCTCCATGTCAATTCGCTATATAACCATGTCACCTCCAAGATCGAATACCACAGGCACAGCAAGCCCCGACTTCGCCATGATTGGCATTACATCCTTTACCGGTCTCGTTACCATTTTTGGCCTGGCAAATGCACAATCGACCATTCCCTCATCTAGCCTGTGCCCTGCCGCCAATGGCCGCACTATCTATGACAGTAACGGAGCCGGATATCTGGTGACATGCTCTGCGGATAATGACCGAGGCTCTTACACCAATACGCAAGCTTCGAACAGTTATCTGGATTGTATGACCGCATGTGATGCTGACAGTCTTTGTGCTGGCTTTACCTACGTTGTGGAAATGGAGGGAGCTCCGGAGGGTCATGTTGGTTGAAGTCAGAGATGACAACATATCCTTCGAGGGCTTCCAACATCATCTCCGCTCTCAGGGTCTCTAATGCTACCAACCAGCCTGATGTATCGAGCCCTACAACTGTTCTGAGTAGCATCGTTTCTAGCTTTCTCAGTTCTTCCTCTACGTCTGCTACTCCATCAGCTTCATCGGTGGCATCCGCTGAGCTCTGTCCGTCATACAACTTCACAGCTTACGCGGACAATGAGGATAATAACTGGCAGGTCTTGTGCGGTTTCGATGCTTCTCCGTCGTCTTTCAACGTGGTTGATGTGTCTAGTTTCGCAGACTGCCTGGAAGCATGCAACGCCGAGGACGGATGTGTTGCCGTGTCGTACTTTGGCACCGCCTGTTACTTCAAGAATGGTTATGAAGAATTGGTTCCTTCGAAGAACATCAACAGCGCATTCATCATAAATCAAGCCAACTACCCAGTGCCCTCCAGAAGCGAGGTATATGCTGGATGTGGTTGTGGATCGCTTTTGCCAGCTGGTCAAGTCCCAGGAGGACCCACTACTCAGTCTTTCATCAACTCTGCTGGCCTTAAGCGTTCGTTCAGTGTTCATGTACCATCCTCGTACGACACTAACAGCGCAGCTCCCTTGGTCTTTGCTTTTCATGGTCGCAGCGAGACGCCTGCGAATATCGAAGGATACTCTGGCTTCTCCAACGAAGCTTTAAACCCGTATGGCATTGTCGTATACCCCTTGGGTGNNTCGCAGTATGTTTTGAGCTCAGCCTCCATGCACACATACTAACACTAACACAAGGCAAATGATTCGGGCTACCCAGAGTGGCAAAGTGATCCAGATACCGTTGATCGAACTCCTTATGTCGACGATCAGACATTCGTACAAGATCTTCTCCTGTACATGACATCAAATTACTGTATCGACACTAGTCGCATCCTTGCCAGTGGTTTCTCTAATGGCGGAGGCCTTGTAGGAGTGCTGGCCTGCAATCCTTCTCTATCAAACCAGTTCAGTGCCTTTGCTATTAACGCTGGTGCTCAATACACTAATGATAGCAATACTGCTGGCTGTCCTCGGTCTGGTGGTGTTCCCTCGACTATTCTGACCAACACTCTGGTACAGCCTGTGTGTTCCNCCAGCAGAAGAAACGTCCCAATCCTGGAGTTCCATGATGATGCTGACGGCACGATTTCATATAATGGAGGACCCCGTCGTGGTTATTGTCTTCCTACGGTTCCTCACTGGATATCTGACTGGTCGGTCCGAAATGGCATGTCTAATGTCAGCGTTGTCACACCTCTGTCAAACGGCCAAGTCACCAAGTACGAGTATGGAGCGGGTGACAACCAAGGCATCGTCGCCCATTATAAGATCGCTGGCTGGAATCATGCTTGGGCGAGTACAGCACTTGGCGCACCAATAGATTCCACTCCCATCATTTTGGAGTTTTTCTATCGGTTCACAAACCCTAACGCGCTACGGTTCATTCCTGCACCACCAAGTCCGCCAGCAGTATCAAGCTCACCTCCGGTAACCGCGACTGGATCACCTTCAGCTGCAATCCCCACCGCTTTTGCAAACTCGTCGTTGCCATTCAACACTGTATCGAGTGATGTGCCCTCACCACAGCACTTATTTCGTTGCCTCTTAATGCTTCCATATCATTGAACATCTCATCAAACGCCACTGACTCAACAATGATTGGGTTTAACACTTCCACTATAACTCTACCTGGCACTACGATCTATTCTTCAACATTCTCGACAGTGTCTACCCTAGCTCCCTTCGCCAACGCAACAACAACCATGAACACGACTGTATCTACTCCTTCAGTGACGTCTGTCTCCTGCCCAGCCAGTAATGGTACACTGTACACCGACCCAAACACTGAATCAACCTACGAGATTGAGTGCGGCGATGACAACACTACAACCGTGGAGCCTGTAGGTTCTAGTACCATCACGGTACAAGGTGCCACTCTCCAAGACTGTATCGACTATTGTGCTGGAATGACACCCCCTTGCCAAGGTGTTACCATGCAAGGAGACACTTGTTATCTTACTACTACAGGGGTAAGAAACAGCCGATTGGAGGGTGCGAGGTTGGTCAAGACTGTCGGAAGACAGATGAGTCAGCTGCCACGATAGATGGCATTGGAGTTGATGGGTTTCGACGACATTCAGCGTTTTAGAGGTACGGTAGGAGTATGGCTTTAATTGTTGTTCCTCCAATGCAACCTCGCCGTATGCTAAATTCTATCACAATGTCATGATGACACACAGCAATCTTGTAAGCTACAACAATGCAGACGTCCGTAAACATTGATCTTTGAGTCCATGGAAAGAAGTGTGATAGAGAGGGATATCTATACATCATGTACGCAGTACAGAGTCAGAAAAGAAAGTTCTAGGCATACCAGCTGCCCCTAGCTCCAAAGACACCACATCCACCATGATCTATCAAATACGGCAGCCACATCTTACTGCTACCCCGTCTCCCGCACCTACTGAGCAAGCTTGCCAACACCAGCATTGGCAGTAACATACGACTTGATCTCCGAAGCAGGCTCGGCAGCAGCAACAACAGCACCAGAGAACTTGCTCAGCAAATCAGTGTTGCTCTCACTGAAAGTGCCAGAAGCACTCAAAGAGTTGGCCTCGCAAGCACGGCCAAGAGCAGAACTGCAAGCCGAGCCCGAATCAGCAGTAAACAGTTCTCCAGCAAACGAAGAAGCCTCCAGAGGAGCCTCGACGTCCTCAAAAACATTGCCTTCAGCGAGAACGTAACCGCCCTCGCCAATCTCAAAGGCGTGGCCGGAGTTGTCGTTCCAGTAGTTGTTGACCGCGTGAAGAAGAGTGTTGGATTGGACTTTGGGGGCACGACCGCTGGTTTGGTAGATGTAGTTGTTTTTGAAGGTGACCTTGTCGTCCGAGCCGTCAAAGTAGAGGGCCCAGTATTGGTGGCCGTCGCAGGTCGCGCTGTAGTCGCCTGAGCCGTCGATGTAGGAGTTCGTGATGGTGACGTTGCCTGAGGCTTCGGTGCCGAGGACGATGTGTTGTCTTGCGATGTTGGAGGTNCTGGCAAAGAGGTTAGTGATTCTTCAGGATAGAAGTGATGGTGGAAGACTTACGGTTACGTGGTCGATCCAGACGTTGTCTGTTCCGTCCAGGGTGATGGCGTCTCCGCCCCAGACGTACTCGGGGTTGATGTCGCTGATCTGAACGTTCTGGATGATGACATTTTGGGCTCCGTTTACGATTCTCAAACCCTTGCCCTTGATGATGCCCTTGGAGCCATCTCCGACGATGGACTTGTCGGAAGCAACGGTGATGCCGAGAGTACCAGCGGCATCGTAAGTGATGGAGGAAACAGAAGGCGCATCTGGCTCATAGTTCTCGCACCATTGATCTTTGTCGATAGCNCTGCCAGTTGTCAGTCGTCTGAGATCTTGGTCAATCAAGAATGAGTCGAGTCTTACAGTTTGGCATCCAGCGCCAGTACCCCTGTATTGACACAACGTTAGCCTTCTGTCCATGGTCCANACGAAAATTCTGTGAATCAACTTACAAGGAGCACATCCCGAACTAGTTGTCGTGCCCTCGGTACCGCTAAAGTCAAAGGTCTTGGTCAACACAATGACACGAGCGGAGTCGTCACCAAGGTAAGAGACCAGCTCATCGGTAGTGGAAGGGTAGACAGCAGTAGTATCACCACCGCCAGTCGTGGAAGAAGCAAAGCCCTCAGGTTTACCGGTGACACCAGTCACAGCGGCAGAAGCAACGCCAGCCATCAAGGCGGTGGCCGAAGCAGCGATACCAGAGTACTTCATTGTGGAAAGGAATTCGAAAAAGAATGTGGACAGTTGGATATGAACAGAAAGTGTCTGACAAAATATAGCAGAAAGCTCATGGCAGGCCTACATATATACTACTGTGATTCGCTTGAGATGCCCACGTTGAGCTCTTTGCAGATGTTGAATGTTACAGCTTTCAGGGCTAGACGACGATGCTTGCTGAACATCAGAACTGCTTTTGATGTGGGACATTGCTTCGCTGACGACGACCGCAAGAATACCGACGATCCCATTGATCTCTTCAAGCATGTGAGTAGTGTGAGCCCTACTCCATCTGGGTACTCTACACTCTGTTTGCGTACACAAACGTGGTAGGCTTGAGAGAACTCGTGATAGGCTTGAGAGAACTCGTGGTAGGCTTGAGAGAACTCGGATCTTTACAGAGATGTGACCTACCTTACACAGGACATCTTCATAGCAAGTGGTCTATGGCTTACCGCCTGTCATCTCTTGCTGAGTGAGGAGGGAGGAGGATGCAGATAGAGCATGTTGTGCAAGGAAGGCATTCTGTTCGAAACTCGAATGGTCTGTGCACGTTTCGGAAGCATCGGGTGATCGGAGAGTCACGGACATCTCCTTCGTCTCTTCATAGGGCACGACAACAGCAGCATCACCTCTGACATTCATCTCTGTGATCGATTGTGAATTTGAACATCATTGCACTGGCGCATCAATGTGCTGGAGACCGTTCATTCATGCTCATTCGATCTTCCGATGTATATTTGTAGCTACAACACGGCGGCGTTTGACCCTTTGAGAGACTCTCAGCCCAGACGTCTAGTCCTTCTCTCAGACCACAAACACAACAGCCAGCACCATCGCTACCAAAAGTCCAACGTTTCTTCTCATGCCCGCAGCGTCTCCNTGATAGATTGCTCCATCATTCTTACCCAACTTCGTGTTGTTCACGCGATTGCACACAGGCGTGATTCCCCAAGACCCAGAAAAGAAAGCCGCATGAAGCCTTTCATCCTCTCTCTCATAATAGCTCTCATTTCCTGCTGAGAAAATTTGTGAATAGTAGAACGAGAACTCGACCGGAGACAGTTGGTGTAGGGCATAGTTGGTTTGGTTGTTAGCGATCATGGCACTGACGAGTTCTGTACAACGGGTTGAGGTTAGTCTATTTCACATTTGTCTCCGAAGTGGAAAGACTTACTAGTGCTTGCAAGCCCGNCCATCTCCAAAGCTGGAACTGCAACTCTTGGGCATCCACAATGCGTTGCAATTGCTTATCTCTGAACTGCCGACTTTCTTGAGATCATCCATACACTGTTTACCAAACGCGTTCGTGCAATCGCCGTCATCTTGCTCGCGATAGCCGTTTGTTGCTGACCTCGTCATCGTTCCCATGGGTATAGTGACACACAGCTGTGGTATGCCGCCTTGGCCCTGACTGATGCCATCTTTGAGGCTTTGATTCAAACTTTTNTCTCCATCCCAGATAAGGTTGTAGAAAGCAGCGGCTTGGCGAGGGTTCTCAGTGCGATTGGCTTGGACCCCTGTGGGCGTGAATTCGGCAACATTGACTTGGAAAGTATAGTTTTGAGTCCCGATTGAGAAAGGGACGGAGTGCGTGGCATTTGGATTTTCATTTGCTTCGAACGCGTAGGTTTCGTTCCAGTAGCCTAGACCGTAGACACCCGTGTCGAATGCTTGGACTGAGCCCAAGGCAAGGGCAGAGAGCAAGATTGAAAGTTTTGGGGTCATTGCGGATAGTCTTGTCTAGTGAAGTAGAAATTATCTTGGAAAGATAAGAACAGTCAAGACTAGTTGCTTGCTCTGCTTATAAGCTGTCGGAATTGTAGTTTGAAATGACAGCATAGGCGCAAACAAGATCACCTGGTATGCTATTGAGTCGATCACTGAACCGGATTCCAGTCGATCTTATACATGTTCGCCGTGGAAGGATTTCTAGTCCTGCTTGGCGGTTGTAAGATGCAAGAGTATGACTCGAATTGAGATTATACTACCTTCTTTTTCCAATGCAATACAGCTCCCTTGCAAGGCTTCTTATGCATCTAGAGGTATAGTATGGTCTGTCTTCTTTTGATTGGACTTGAATGAAGTTGAGGTGAGGTGTTGACTATACAGCTCCACATACGCACGTAAAGACAAATATAGACACAGGTCTGCGCCACTACACCCAATTGGACAGAAGGATTTGAGGAACAAACATCTGGAAAGGATTCTCGAGGATGCGGGCTTGACAGAAAGCCTGATGAAGGCAAACGACGACACTACTTGTTGTATTGAAACGATATCCCTGGGAACGAAGGCGGCTTCAAGGAGAAAGGTGGTTTTGGGTGTTTTCTCGAAGGTTGGATTCCTGGGTCATGAAGCAGCTCCTTCCGCATCTGAGAACGACACCTCGTTGATGGGAAATGCACAGCCAGCCTTGGCAAAACGCGTGAGCTTCACCAGGACACGTTCATTGTGCATTTCATCCACTGCATCGTTCAAAAACAGAAGACAATCTCATTGTAAGAGCCGTCGCGTATCCCTCCGTTGCTCTCTACAGGCCTGAGGGCATTGCTCGGTCATTGCCTTGAGTCATTCGCGCGCTCACCGGCATCGTGGATGAAGACGCGCCGCCTGGAACTGCAAGAATGGCGGGCAAGTGATGTTTGATACAGCGCTCTCGTTGCGCTATACATCTCATTCCTGGACGTCTGCCACAATGTCCATCGGTTTCGAGCATTCTGGTGAACAGGATTGAAACCCGCTCTTGATGGGCTACTGCTTTGGTATCAAGGTCTTTGCGTTTCTGAACAACCGCACTGGAGCATCTTGAGAACATTGTTCTAGTTGTCACGCAGTCTTGTCTAAGTCACGCAGTCTTGACTACAGCGGCATCAAATCAGCGAGGTACAGTATATCATTGAGTTCAAGGTTGATCGTATCTCCAGCTTCCCCTCCTTTTCCCCGCTCCGTGTTGAATTGATCTACAGGATGCATGAAAGGATTGCTGTTTCTCCGTCTCTTCGGGTTGAGATGTCGCGAACCATCTCTCCTCAAAGCCAAGTCATATCAAGCTTTCTATCTCGCACTATGGCTTTGCTCTCCACTTCTCCTCTAGGCACTCAACATGCATCATCTACTTGCCCTTCTTGGGCTTGGACTGGCAGTCCGGGCTCAAACATGCTGGGAAAACTTGACCTGCACCGGTCCTCTCGAAAGTGCTTTCCCAGGTGATTGGGAAGCCAACATCTTTGCACCTGCTTCTCGTACCGTCTCTCCAACTTGGATCCTGTCCCTCACGAATGCTTCGATTATCTCGAGGTGGCCTGGTCCCGCCCACATCTCTGGTAACGGGTCAGCGCTCGTCTTCGACTTTGGTAAAGAGGTGGGAGGCTTGGCCACGATATCTTACACAGCACAAGGCACTGGTGCCCTGGGTCTAGCCTTCAGCGAAGCAAAGAACTGGATCGGCTTATGGTCCGACTCATCCAATGGAAGATTCCAGGCAGGCGATGGAGCCATCTACTCGAACTTCAGTACCTCTGGCAAATACAGCTATACTATGGACAAAGTTCATCTACGTGGTGGCTTTCGTTATCTTACTCTATTCTTGATCACCAACGAAACCACTTCCTCTATCGACATCAACGACATAACACTCGAGATTGGCTTCCAACCTACTTGGAGCAATCTACGTGCTTACTCTGGCTATTTCGACTGCAGCGATGATGACTTGAACAAGATCTGGTATAGCGGCGCATACACCTTGCAGACCAATTCTGTGCCTGTCGACACTGGCCGTAATTTTGTCGCGAGTGGCTGGAACAATAGTGGTGCTCTCGCAAATGGCTCCACGGTAATCGTGGACGGAGCCAAGAGGGACAGAGCGGTATGGCCTGGAGACATGGGCATCGCGGTACCAGCTACTTTCGTCAGTATCGGAGACCTGGAAAGTGTTGCGAATGCCTTGCAGACCATGTATGATCACCAAAATGAAGACGGATCTTTCCCGGAAGCTGGACCCCCATTATTGCAGCAGGGCTCTGATACCTACCATATGTGGAGTATGATAGGGACCTACAATTACTTGTTGTACACCAACGATACTGCATTCCTGAACAAGAACTGGGATCGGTATCTACATGCCATGCAGTACATCTACGCCAAGGTTCACCAGCCATCTGGACTGCTCAACGTAACGGGTACGCGTGATTGGGCTCGATGGCAGCAAGGCTTCAACAACAGCGAAGCCAATATGATTTTGTATCATACACTTGTGACAGGAGCTGAGCTTGCGACTTGGCAGGGAGACACGACTGGTCTTGCTCAGATTTACACATCTCGTGCTGCTAACCTCAGCACTGCGATCAATAAGTATTGCTGGGACACTCCATTTGGAGCTTTCAAAGACAATGCTACAGACACACAGCTACACCCCCAAGATGCCAATAGCATGGCCGTCTACTTTGGCGTCGTCCCTCCTTCATCCTCGTCTGCTCAGAGCATCTCGTCCAGACTCACAGACAACTGGACTCCCATCGGTGCAGAAGCTCCCGAACTGCCAAACAACATTTCACCATTTATCTCTTCTTTCGAGATCCAGGCACACCTTGTCGCTGGCCAGAGTAAGCGGGCACTAGATCTGATACGCCGCAGCTGGGGTTGGTATCTCCATCACCCCAATGGTACAGGCAGTACTGTCATTGAAGGCTATCTCAAGAATGGAAGCTTCGCCTACCGCAATTCACGAGGCTATAGCTACGATGAAAGCTATGTCTCACACAGTCACGGCTGGTCAGCAGGGCCCACTTCTGCCTTGACCAATTACATCGTCGGTCTTTCCGTTACCGGCCGTGTAGGGTCGACATGGACACTCAACCCGCAATTCGCTGATCTGAAGTATGCTCAGGCAGGATTCATGACTTCTTTGGGCAAGTTCAGCGCAGGCTGGAATGTCACGGATGGTGGTAGAGCGTACTCTTTGTGGTGGAAGGTGNCTCAGGGAACTTCCGGCAATGTCACACTGCCTCCCCTGCCATCCGGTAAGACAGGCAAAGTGACAATAGACGGAAGGAGCTTCAAGAACAAAAGTGTCAACAAGAAAGATGGCTTGGTATTTGAGATTGGTGGAGGTAATCATTCTATAGTTGTTATTAGCAAGTGATGAAGCCGTCGTCGGCGGTTTCTTCCGCTTCAAATATGCAACTTAGTACAATGACAACAATTCACGATAGTCTTGCAGGACGAGACTTTACTCAATGGTTGACTATGTCATTTGCCGCAGACCGCACGCACATACATATCACACCGATATACACAATCCATCAAGAGTTTTGCAGAACCCTTGGGAGATAACCTTCGATCAGATCATTGTCTCATTGAGCTTCACAATCTGGTTAGAAGAATAGTGTATGTAGTTACCTCCGAGGGTCATCGCTCGACTATGTTGTTCATCTGCAGCCAGGGTGTTGATATCAGCAAGTCCGAAGCACTGCTGCGTACTTTTAAGACCGATTGATATTTTCCAAACCGGTGGAACGTCTAACGCTGTTGGCAACGTTAGAGCGCATATGCACAGATGTCGGCTCTGTTGCGAACAGCGTAGTGAGAACAGTTGACATCACTGATTCGAACTCCTGCTGACTTCACGTGTCGCCCACGTATTCTTCCTGGTTGCCGGCACTGAGACACGATGGGGCTTTCTATCAACGACCATAATCTGACCATACGATCACGGAGATCCACCGACGCTTGCTTTGTCCTTGTCTCTGATGCACTACGTGCGCGTACATACCTTGAGCTGCCAGCCGAGACTCGAAAGAGACAACCAACAAGCACACGCCCTGGTAACGATGCAGTAGCAGCCACCCAATATATTCGTCTCGTCAGTGGCGACCAGGAAGAGAGATGCTACCTGATGAACGAATAGTACGCACGTATCGGAAAGATATCGAATCTGACTTTGAGCAATCGCAACGTCGGTAACGTCGTAAACGTCGCAAACGTCTCTACCGATCTCACAGAAGCAACTCTACGAAGCCGAACCACACCTTAACTCTTGCTATACTAGATCATACGGCACATTGTACAGGTCGCTTCGATGGGGACGAAGGAGACACTATTAATGTATGCTGCAGAGGGTTACAGACACTCGGAGATGCCTAGCATGCCATCTCACTCGGCATTGTAAAACCGTTCGAATATGTCTGATCCTTCGTGTAGATCCTGTAACGTCTGTATATCCGGCAGTGGCTTCCAGACTACACTTCTATAGAAGTCTGGTGGTACTTTTTAAGTTAACTTCGGGCTTGTGTCACTCAATCCTTAATAGACGCTCGAGCCCCACCCTTTTTCAGACATGACTGTTGTTTCCAGGAATACCGACTCGGGCTCGACCATGAATCTGCTGAATACTGTCGGAAGCAACGGCTACTACTGCTACGCCACAAAGACTGAGCCAAGAGCATCGTCCGAGTAATGCTGAGACATGGAAGTCCTGTATACGGACTCTCCTTTGCTATATAAGTGCAATTCCCTTGCATCTTTTCACAACCCATCAACTCGCTCCAACTCCACCACTCTCTTTAGCAGACTTACAACAATCCTTCAGTGCTTCGGTACTAGTCATTCTTTGGATCCAAACCACAACCAACTACCTCATTCACTCTTTGAAACCACACACTTCTACCTCTTTTCGATACCCCTACCTTCTACTACTTACCTGATCCTGTTCCAATCTTCAAGATGCGTACCGCCTTCTCCACTATCGCAGCTGCATCTCTTGCCGCTCTGGCAGGTGCCCAAAACACCACCATTGACGTGGACGCAATCTCTGTTGCTGTCCCCACCTCCGTCTTTGTTCTTCCCGTCGTCTATGTCACTGCTGAGGGTGCCCCCACCCTGACTGCCACTACTTTGGCCAGCACCGCTACCCCAAGCAGCGACCCCAGCGCCACTGCCGTCTTCGACTCTTCTGCAGATGTCACGTCCGCTATCTCCGTAGCCTCTGAGATCGCCGCTGCCACTGCCACTCCTGCTGCAGTCAAGCGCGACGGCTCTTGTGTTCAGCAGCCTCTCGTCAACATCGGCCACGTTACTGTTCCCGATACCGCTGCCGCTTTTGCCGGTGATCTTTGGTACGGTGTTCAGGCTCTGGCCGCTATTCTTCCTGCCGGATATGTTCAGACCTTCAGCAACCTGACTGCTTCCAACTCCGCTGACCAGTACGTCGGTTTCACTCTCATGAACTCGTACGATGTCGCTGGATGCGGACAGAAGTGCACTGCCATGGATGGTTGCAACAGCTTCAACATTTACTATGAGAGAGATCCTCAGTACGATCCCTCGGTAGCTGGCTGCGCAAACCCTCCCTCGACCGTGAACGTCAAGTGCGTGTTCTGGGGAGGTGCAGTCACTGCCGACAACGCCAACAACTTTGGCCAAATGCGCGATGGTTTCAACGTCGTTGTTGCCGGTTCGAACGGATACATCGCCGGATCCTACGCTGCCAAGCTTCTTGCAAAGGCCACTGCCACTTCCAGCTCACCTGCAGCTGCTTCGGCCACTGACGTTGCTGGAAACATCTACACCCTCTACTACAGCTCCGATTCGACTCAAGGCTCTTACTCCAACGCTCAAGCAAGCAACTCCTACGCCGACTGCATGACTGCTTGTGATGCCGATAGCCAGTGCAATGCTTTCACCTATGTCGGTGGTGCCAACGGTGTTGGTTCAGGTCAGTCACTCTTTGTAGTCTTTTGAATCCTCAATACTGACATGAAATCTAGGCACTTGCTGGCTCAAGTCGCAACTCGGCAACCCTTCCAGCTCTGGAAACAACGTCCTGTCTGGTGTCCGTTCTGGCAAGGCTGTCTCTTCGTCTTCTAGCAGTGTTGTCTCGACCACCTCCTCTTCCAGCTCGTCGTCCTCAGTTTTGAAGACTTCCAGCAGTGCCTCGGTAACATCGTCGTCGTCTTCCAGCAGCTCTGTTGTCTCGACTACCATGTCTTCTTCCTCGTCCAGCACAGTCGCCTCAAGCACCAAGACTTCATCCTCATCCAGCTCTTCGGCCACTACCATGAGCACCATCACCAAGTCTGCATCATCCTCGACCAGCAGCAGCGCAAGCAGCACCAGCGCCAGCAAGACGTCTAGCACCACTGCAGCAGCCACTACAAGTGCAGCATCCTCTTCTTCCCAGCAGTCTTGCTCATTCTGGAACCCTTTCTGTTGGTTCTAAGCAAGTGATAAGCTGGACCTGTCAGATGAGCGCCTCTGACAGTGTGCCTCCAATGGACTCGGATGGTTGTTTATGATGGCGGCGTTGGGTACCTTGTTTTCGCAGCCGGTGTTTCTTGTTAATCAGCAGGGTGTATGTACATAGACGGACATTTTATCTTTTTTCCCCTCTCAATCTCACACTGTCTATTTTTTAACCTTGACATGTCTTCCATCTGTAACAGCTTCGACAATGTATGTATAGCTAGAAAGGTGGAGCACACGTACATTAAACCAGTATGGTTGAGGGATGTTTTGTCGTAGGAGGAGGCTGATTGACCCCACCCATCAAGGTGGTCAGTGGAAGCTTTCCCGGAATTTTGGCAAACAGGCGGGGCATGACGTTCGACATGGTCACAGTCTGTGGGAGAAAGTGCGCAATCATGACCAGCAACAGATTGCTCAACCTCGACACTTCTTTGGCTCTGCTCGTCTTCTCAAATCACATCAACCATGCCAGACAACACCAGCCCATCGGTCGCAAAGACAGCCATCATCAGCGGCGGTGCACGTGGCATTGGCCGCTGCATCGTGCGCAGATTCCTTGAGCGAGGCTACAAAGTCTTCGTCTTGGACATTGACGAAGAGGAGCTGAAGCACGCGACTACCGTGCACTTGAAACAATACTACGACAAGAAGCAACTCAGTTCGGCCATCTGCAACTTGCGATCCGTCGACGAGATTCGCGACAAGGTCAAGGAGGCTGCCGACTTCTTAGGCGGTCGTATCGAGGTTGTGGTCAACAATGGAGGCATTGCGGCACCCACTTGGAAGGATGGCAAGGCGATGGACGATCTTGACACATTCCCGCAATGGCAGGCGTAAGTCACGTCGCTGCTCTTCACCAGAACGAGAGACTGACCACACACAGCTNACATCGAGACCAACCTGACCGCTCCCTTCGCCGTGTCGCAAGCCTGCCTCCNNCCCTACATGAAGCTCGAAGACAAGAAAGACTCTCATCACGTCGATGATTCGGACGCTGGTCCTGTTGTCATCCACATTGGCTCTTTCCGTGCAGAGATGAGCGACCCAAACCAAGAAGGCTACGCATCCAGCAAGGTAATCATCCTGAAACAAACACGATATCAACAGCAACATCGCTAACAAGATCNNAAGTCTGGTCAAATCGGTCTCATGCACAGCATGGCCATCAGTCTGGGCCGCTGGGGCATTCGCTGCAACCTCGTCGCTCCTGGTCGCATCAAGGTCGCCCACGAGTCCAAGGATGGTGATGAGAAGGGCATTGAATGGGCACACCAAAACGAGGACAAGGATGTCGAAGACCACGCTACCAACAGAGCCGGCAGACCAAAGGACATCGCTGACGCCGTCGAGTACTTGGTCAACGCTGGCTTTGTTACGGGACAGGCAATCACGGTAGACGGTGGTGCCGTGAGGATGAAGTAAATGACCAAAATTCCAGAGACGAAGTTACGAATATAATACTCATACATTCTTGCCGACCTGCTCGGCCGAGTTTGAGCCACAGCTCCCCAGCTCGGAGCCTCCGGAGGGGCTGCATATCATAAAACGCACTTGCTGCTGTTAACATAGCTTATTTACTCGATCAAGTCTGCCAAGCAGATACTATGTCACTGTGCCATTTCTATTGACAGAACCTTTCCAGAATAGCAGCGAAATGGAATAGGGCAAGACGTCTACACGAGCCGTTCGAAAACCTTCTACAGAGTCATCCGACTTCGGCAGATTAGGACAGGGTGATCTTGGGGAACTTGCGGAGGGGTTGTGGGGGATCGACGTTGACTACGAGCCTCCTGCTCCGCTTACATCAAATCATGCTTTGCCATGCAACCCTAGCTCTTCTTGTTTCCAATCGTTCGTATGCACTGATCTGCCACGGACGGACTAACGACCACTTGTCGGCAGAATTCGCCTTGTCCCTCTGATGATATCCTTGCCATGGTTCATCGCCTGACTGCAAGCGTTGTTTCATATTAGCCGATGGTTCTTGCTATATAACTTCTCGGGCATGGCTCTCGAGAATCCTTTCATCAGCATCAGTTGGAGACTTGCAGCATCTCCAGTGCCTCTTCGGACTTGCAACACCAACAGCTGAATACCTGCAGTGTCTTCAGCATGTTGTACTCTTCTCTGTTCCTCATGGCTTTACAGTCTGGCCTTACCATCAAAGGAGCCAAGGCCACTCCCGCCCCTGCCCACGAGAAGCGAGCCCTCGACACCGCTGCAATTGCAAAGAAGTACTTCGGCAACGATGCGCCTTGGTACCAGGACCGCATTGCATACTTTGAATGCAGCGATTCTCAAATCACGGACGTCTTCTACTACCGCTGGAAAATCTTCAGGGCCCACCAACGCGATCTCGGCGCCAAAGGCTACATCTCGACTGAATTCTTGGATGATGTCAGTTGGCAGCTTCAACCTTATGCTTCATTGAATGATGCTACTGGATTCCATGTTGCTGAGGGTAGATGGAATAGAGATCGGAGGTTCAAGGATGACTACCTGAGCTATATGTTGGCTGGTGGCGATGACCGTCATTTCACAGACTATATCCAGGATTCTGTCTGGGGAAGTTACCTTGTCGATAATGACGTTCCGAGCGCGACGAAATACTTGGATCAGATGAAGTCTTTGTACAATTCTTGGAGCGATCATTTCGATTCTTCGAAGGGACTGTACTGGGTAAGACTCCACTTCAACTGTATTGCAAGACGCAGGAGCTGATACGAGAACAGANTCGAGCCTCTGCTCGATGCAACCGAATACACCATCTCTTCCATTGACGCTTCTGGCGGCAAGGATGGTTTCACCGGCGGAGACGCTTTCCGCCCATCCATCAACAGCTACATGTACGCCAACGCTGTAGCCCTCGCCAAACTGGCTGGTCTCGCCGGTCAGTCCAGTGTGACTGCTGATTACAACTCTCGCGCTGCGGCCATCAAGAGCAACGTTCAGAAGAGCCTTTGGAACTCAACCTTGACCCACTTCATCGACAGATACAAGGTCAGCAACGACTATGTCAAGTACTGGGACCCAATTCGTGGGCGTGAACTTGTTGGCGTTTTGCCTTGGACTTTCAATCTTCCGGATAACTCTTCAGAATACGCATCTTCATGGAAACACCTTCTGAATTCCAATGAACTGGGCGGAGCCAAGGGTTTACGTACTGTAGAGCCTAGCTACCAGTATTATATGAAGCAATATCGCTACGACGAAGCGACAGGCCGGCGCGAATGCCAGTGGAACGGACCCGCATGGCCCTTCCAGACTACGCAAGCGCTGTTGGGCATGTCGAACTTGCTTGACCACTACCAGCAGAATGCTGTCACCAACTCTGATTACATCAGACTACTTAGGCAGTACACACAATTGCACTACAACGGCGCAACTCTCAACCTCCAGGAAGATTACGACCCCGACCAAGGCGGCGCAATCGTTGGCCTACCCAGATCGCCCCATTACTTCCACTCTGGCTACATCGACCTGATCATGACAGGTCTTGTTGGAATTCGACCTAGAGCCGATGACTTCCTGGAGATCAACCCTTTGATCACAAGCGACATCAAGTACTTCCGTGCAGAAGAAGTCCCCTACCACGGCACCAACATCGTTGTCCAATGGGACGCAGACGGCAGCCGCTACGGCCAAGGCGCTGGTCTACGTGTCGAAAGAGATGGTGCAGTCATCGGCACCTCATCCACCCTTAAGCGTCTGGTTATCCCCTTCAGAAAGAAAGCCATCATCGGCATCAACCGCCCCATCGCAAAGAGCATACAACTTCAAAGCAACACCGACTATCCCAAGGGTACCGCATCTTCTGGCACAGATGTTGAGAACGTACACGATGCCATCGACGGCCGTGTTTGGTTCTTCCCTGAGCTTGCAAATGGCTGGAACTCGGATGCAAATTCTGCAACCAACCAATGGTATACCGTGACGTTTGAGTCTGCGACCCAGATCTCGAGGGCTGAACTTGCCTTCTTTGACAACGGCAATGACTTCAAGGCCCCGACTGCGTACTCGATACAAGTGTTGAGTAATGGCAATTGGGTTGATATTAGTGGGCAGCAGAAGAGTGCTGTGGTGGCGAACGGTATTACCAATGTGCAATTCTCGTCTATCAGTGTCACGCAGGTCAGACTGAGCATGACACAAGCCTCTGGGGCCAGAACGAGATTGGTGGAGGTGAAGTACTTCTAGTGAAATGGGAGCAGAGATAGCTTGATATCAAGAAGTTGAACGGCTAGGTAGTAATACAAAACTCATGATATGAAATCTTATTGTGTCTGTGGAGGTCTTCCTAGTGAGTGCATGTGTCCGATCCTGAGTCAAGGCTCGATCGATATCGGCTGAAGTGGGACGCACTCCCACATCAGAAACCAAAAGAGAAACTACCCAGGAGCAGATTGGGAAGTGACCATCAACCAAGAAAGTCAAAGGTACGTGGTATAGGCGAAATGGTGGCACTTGCAAGACATCATAGGAGAAATAAGGTCTGAATGAATACTACAATGCGCTTGTGATGAGAAATGCAATGACTATACCATGCCAATCCCTCATGTCAATACCCATGCCCAGCGCTATGCAAGTGAGAAAACAAACAAAAAAGGCAAACCCACAAACTCCTTGATCCTTTCTACTCTAAAGAGCAATCAGATCTACATTAGCAAAATCTGGCGGGCTTTTCCTAAACACAACCTTGCCTTTTGCGTTCAAAGCGGTTCCTTCGTTACTGATCCATATGTTGGTCTTGGGAGTTCTCTTTTCGGTCTCTGGGTGAATGTCGTCGACGGTGCTCATGCGCTTGGTCCTCTCAATTTCGTCATCAGAGATGCCAAGGTTGTCGCGTGGAATCCAAACGACTGGCCTACGGGCACGGAGTGCAGAGTGTTGGAAGGAATAGCGGATAAGCGTGTCGCGCTCTTCGGGAGTCAAGTCTTCGAGTTCGTCGCTGAATCCACCAAAGAGCACGTCACCGACCTGTCTTTGAGATTCCATGTCCACCTTCGCGGTCTGAGGATCCACGTTGATGGCCGTGGGCTTATGGCCATCCGCACCATGTGCATGTGGTCGAGCAATTTTGCGCAGTTGGCGAACAGGTTCACTGACCTGCTTTACTTTGCTCCAGCGATCACCACTGTTGTTATTGGCAGGCTTAGTGTCCATAATAGCGGGTGCAGGGCGTTCAGAATGAGAGCCAGAGCCATAGCTTGACATGCGAGTAGCGGAACGCTTGTACTCGTGGATCATTCTACGTTCCTCGGCAAGTGCCCTCTCTTCTTCTTCGGCTTCTTTTCTCTCTCGCTCTTCCATCGTAATTTCTGGGTCATGCTCCAGTCGTTCGTGCTCGCCTTGTTGGTCGGCCAGACTCTCCCACTTGAGACGTTGAGCACGAGCAAACTCTTCGTCGCGGATCACGGCATCGTCTTCCAGTGTAATTGGCAAGTATCGGAATAATGGTGCAAATGCATCATTGAGAACCCACTGGAAGATGACAGTACCCACAAGCATGACAATCATGATAATAGCCTGTGCTGTACACTTGTCCTTACCTGGGAAGGCAAAGAAAAGACCTATCATAGCAATCTCCATGACGTAGAGTCCGACGAACAACTGGTTGATGGCCCTCGGAAACAGGAGACCTCCAGTATCATGACGGTATTGGTAGACGTAAAGAGCGTTGTACCGTTGCGTGATCCAGTAAACAGAGAAGACCACAAGGTTGAACACCATGACCAGAGGTGCGATGATCGAGAAGATGATTCCGATGACTGCAAAATTGGTGAATGGAGGGAAGAACGATCCCCACTTCACCATATTGAGTTTTGTCTGCCTCGTCCATTTCTGGCGTGCTGTGGTGTCTACTATGGGTGCCCATAGGAACCACTTCAACAAAGCAGCGACCTGCAGTAGTGCAGCTGCACTATTGTTGAGGGCCTGAACAGTCAGGTACGAGAAGAAGTAGTTCGAGGCTCTTGGCAAATTCTGAGCGAGGGTTTGTGGAATCTTCGAGGTCTCGGTTGCAACCTCCTTGAAGAATGCGGGCAAGCCAGATGACAAGGTAACGATGAGGAAGACCTGAATGAAGAGAAATGCAAAATAGTAAATCTGAACACCCATCTCCCTGCCGTTACCAGTAGCGACACCTGATTGCTTGACTAGAAGTCGAAGTATGACAGGAACCAATGCGAGCACGATACTCAAGAAGATTGGAGGAAGAACACCCTGAACCAAATCTACAGCTTTGGGAGGTAGCTTTTGGATCCACGACAGCCATGAGATAGTTTCCAGGGTATTGAGGGTCGATAGGAAACCAGATACAACAACCACGGGCGCCCAGAGGAACAACATACCGACAACAGCTGCGAAAACGATGCCGCTGCGCAGATAGCGCTCCCACCATTTCATAGACATGTTGTCCCACAAGACGTCGGTAGGCGAAATTTCTACCAGGCGAGGTGTCATGTGTTGCGGCATGTGGTGACTGACAGACTGACAAGCCATGTGAGCGGCGACTTGGTGGTTGAATTGAATGAAAGCCGAGTTCATGAATGGGAACCGCTCCACATTTTGTTGGTCCTCTTCAATTTCGACGTTCAGCCGAGCAAGCTCCTTGCGAAGATAATAGATCTTGTCGATCTTCTTGCCCATGAGCGGTAAACGAGGCCACCATGACAGATTGAATATTGGTTCACGAAGAGTATCGCGGTCCTTGGATTCAATGTACTGCTTCCACAGAGCCTCAGTCTCCTCAGCATCAGCAAGCTCCTTGTCGAAAGCTTCTGGATAGACAGGCTTCTCTTCCTCATCGTTGTTCTTCTTCCAACATTGGAGCCAACCGAACTTGTTAGCCCACTTGCTTTTAGAAAGTCCTTGGGCTGCATTCTGGTCAAGATCGGGGTTCCGTGGCTGTCCAAGAGTGTGGAGAGGGTATTCGTCTTCTTCCACAGCATGAGGTTGGGGACTGGGGATGGGCAACGGACTTGCTTGCACCTGTTTTATGATGGCGTCCCACGCTCTTCTAGGCGCTCCTCTAGGCTTTGTGGTGTTTGCTTCATCAGGCGTGGTTGATCCTTTGATGCCAGACTTAGGACTATCTGCCCATGTATCCTGGCTCTGGGTCTGAGTGTTTGCCGAAGAAGGCTCGCTCCAATCAGACCGCCTAGTTTCTGGAGGATCAGCGCGGTCCAAGGCCGCAACGTCGTCAGGTTTCCTAAGCCCAGTTGACCGTTCAGGCTCATATCCGTCCCTTTCGTCTTCGTGGTGATCCTTGCCTTCCTCCTGATGGCCAAAAGACACACGAGCAGCAGATGGTATAGGAGCAGACATGGGCGCTGGTGCAGGTGCGGGCCCGGATGCAGGTACGGATGCGTCAAATGCAAGTCTGTCGGCAGGCGCAGGCTTGTTGATATCATCAACGTCTGCATAGAAGCCGGTCATGTTGTTGGCCTGGTCTACCGAATCGTTGACGTTGCGAATGACACGGTTGACATCGTCAGCGACTTCACCAACGACCTTGCGACCGAAGTTACCGATCGCACCAAATCCATGGCCAACAGCACCGAATCCCTGACCAAGCCTATCCCGCAAGCCCTCTGGAGACGAGCTTCGGTGTTTGTCGTGTCTATGCTCGTCTTCCTCGATTTCTTCAAGAACCTCCTGCAGGTTATGCGGCACTTGATGAGGATCACCAGAACTGACGCCGTTTCCTTGGGCGATACGTTCGGCTTGTTCATTTGCTCTAGTTCTGTCCTGTTCTCTTTCTTCCTTTGTCTTTGTCTTTCCTTGCTCTTTTGCCTTCTTGGCCTCTACTTTCTTGTGCTTCTTAACGCATTTCTGAATCAGACTAGTCTCTGCTTCCTCGAGACTCTGTGCGATGTTGTCGCGTTCCGAAACCTTGTCGGCAAGATCGTCGAAGTTTCTGTTGATCCAGATGTTGCGAATGCCTCCGGGGAAGACATCGTACAGGCCATTCAGTGCGTCGACAGTCAGCCACTTTCTAGGAATACCGCTGACGAGCACAGTAGTGGCCGAAGCACGAATGCGGTGTTCAGGAGAAGCGAGATAGGCCTGTCGAATGCGGATGTAGCCACGCAGTTCGGTGTAGATAACATACAGGACCCAGAAGATGGTAAGGACAGCCAGTACAAGATGAGCCCAGGTGCGCTGAGAGTGCTCAGAGGGGATGTTTCTCCAGCCCAATTGATCGGGGCCTACAGTGCAGTCTGAGCAACTGAGCTTGTTTATGGGCAACAGTATAGGAAGAATGACGAGTGATAGAGGTATGAATATCTTCAGCAGCATGCGCAAGAAGCGCAGGAAGAAGTAAGCGTCGAGACCACATTTCTCGATGAAAGTCTGATTGGGTGTTCGGAAAAGGGGGACGATCCATTGCCACACCCCTTTCGGAGGTGCTGGCACTCGTTCGCGTTCGGCAACAAGGTAGGACTTGGGACGACTANNGAGCAGGATGGTCAGTCAGGGATGAGGCGTGGCGGGCGAAAGACAAGCATCTTACTAAATTCTGCTGAGGCGGAAGCGGAAAAGGACAAAGGCAAGCAGCTGGCCTCCTAGAGATGCAAGAGCAACAACAATCGAAGAAAGGAGGGTGCCCCAATCTTGACCATAACTGTTCAGTGCAGCACCACAACCAGCGTTGAAGAGGCCACTGCCACAGCTGGTCGTGGGTGATGCCGTAGTTGATGTTTGTGACATGACAGAGCGCTTTGACGGGTCGTGAAAAGACAAGTAGGCTCCTTAGAGGAAAACGCTCTTGACTGAGGGCCAGTATCCCATGTCACTTGCAACGCCGTTTGCTTTGGTCTTTAGATAGCGACCGTCGAGAGTACGAGGAATGTCGAGTTCCGGTCAGGTAAGTTGGAGACAAACAGATCCAGGTCTGAGGAGGGGAAGGTGAACGAGGGGTGGATGCAGGCGATAGTTAGTTGTCTGTCGCCCGCGTGCCATGCGGACATGCTGTCGTATTCAAGCCCGCGCCAACACAAACTCGCTGTCGAGCCGAAATCAAGGTTTAAACTCGCGCCTGCCACGCCTAGATCCGCTCTCCACCAATCACCTTGATGCCAGCCCCTATCTTGGCCTACGTCGCTCTGTGTGCACGGCTCCTTTTTATTTCCACTCCGGTGATCAGCATCAAATTGCAAATGCGAAACAAGCACATGCTCGGTTGAGCAAGACTCCATCCCATGCGTCTATATTGCGACCAAGTACTCGTCTGGAATTTGTACCGCCTCTCACGAAGTGGGCGTTCTTATCCTAGCCGCTGTTGTGAGCATCAAGCGCCCACCTACTAACCGACCCGTGCATGGCGTTGTCCAAACATGAGCGTTAATTAACCCGTCGCGACCTTGATCAACCATGATTCGCATCTGCTCGTAGCGGTGTGCATATCAGGGATTTTGTATTTCTAGCCCTCTTTCTAGCCCTCGACTCTAGTCTAGTTCATTCTCTCTATGGCCACATTTGCAAAATACCCAGCGTTACTCAAAGATTACCGTATAATCCTCATGCACTCGAGAGTTATACACCAGCAGGCTCGATGTTTTCGGGGAACGCATTCTCTCCCAGGCGGGCACCACAAGCCTGCTTCCAGTTCTTGGGTGTGAACTTATCCACGATGCCCTTGAAGGCTTCGAGAGTACACAAGCTCTCGTCATCGCCATAATGCTTTCCAGCTGGTCTGCACCCAGGAACCTTCATGGGGCGGTCATTGTAGCGAAGCCGAACGTAATAGCCGTCCAGCTTTTGCTTGTCGAATTCGGATAGGTTTGACAAGGGTGTGCGAGGAGAGGCATCCGGAGTCAACATGCTCTTGGCGGGAAATAGCGAGCTCCACCAACTACCCGTGGTGATTGCAGGCTGGGCAGCCGTGGAGGCCGTACGATCCTTGAACAACTCAATAGCCACATGGCTAGTGTAGGGAGGCCAAGGCTCGCCTTGGAAGGCGCCCATGCTGCTGAGCACAGCAGCTAAAGTGGTGTCGTGGCAACCAGACAGTGCCATTTGAATATCTCTGTTGCTGGTGGTTGGTGCTCTGGTTCTTTCGACCATGCGACTTACAACATCGCCCATTAGTCCACCGATACCTATCGATCGTCAGTGACAAGCACGGTCTTTCCGTAGCTATTCTCTTACCAAGNNCTGGCGATATTCGTTAGATTCCATGTAGCCCGAGAACCACTCCTCGACACCGATCTTGTCGATGATCGCTCTGCCCTTGGTGTCATAGAACTCCTTCGGTAAGCGGGTTTCCTGGGGATGAGCGAGAGTCGAATTGACAGTGTCCATGATACCACTNATACTTGATCAGAAGGTTGTGACAGGTATGTATGCAAGATTGTCTACAAACCTCAGTCTTGGGTGACCATCAACCTTGACGGTAGGTGAATCTTCAGGCATCCATTTCCCGATCATCTTGTTGAGATATGCCATGTCTTGCGAGTCATTCCAGCGATCTGAAGTTCTTTGAGCAAAGGCTTGACTAAGTTGGGCAAAACGCCGACAAGCACCCTCGTTAGGGAAGAGCGTCTCATGGCTAGGTTGACGCTGAACGATGGTCGGCGGAACGAAGTCTGCAGCTCTAGACGAAGGAGGATACAATCCATAGAAGGTCTGCTGTACAGACTCAAGAGCTCTTGGAATAGGAGTGGCTCGCAGGTACATGTGATTCGCGTCTTGCAAGACGGCAGGCATGAACCCAAGCTGGTCCACGTACAAGCCGCGTAGACGCTGACCCAAAGCCAGAGTGGAAGCACGGCCTTGATCAGTGAGTTCACCGGGAAGNGCTAGAGAAGGCGTCAGTGAGGCCTGGGCTGCTCGGATGAGTCAAATGTACCAGATTCCATCAGTCTCGCGTCCAGGACCTTGGGACAGAACAGGAGAGTCATCTTTTTCATCGAAAGTTTCGAGTCTTCGTCTATAGGCCAGCTCGTCCCATGAGTCGTTCGCTGACATGATCACACTACGAAGATGCTGTGCGGCATTGCAATACGGCCAGTCTGGTTCCGAGGTCAGCAGATGGTTGGCTAAAGCTTAGGATCGAGACATACTAGCCGAAAGTCCAGCCTAATATAGACATGGTTAGCACTCGAGCATTGGCGCCAGGAATCTTGATCAAAGACATACATTCTTGAATCTGGCAGAGACTGGAGATCGTTCGCCNTTGCAACAGTCAGAAAGAGAAATTGTATGGTTAAACGACACAGTCGCACCGTGTCTGAGAAGCTGTATGTCATAAGTTTGGTGATTGAGTTGCTAAATGTACCGGATACGTACGACTTGGACCTGCTGTAACGCCAGCTCCTTTGGGTAAAGACGAGAGAGCTCGTCAGCAGTGTATTTCTCCCGAGGTATAAGTGTAGTCATGGCGACAAGGGAGGAAGAGAGGGAGAAAGGGAAGGGATTGCAGACAGGAAAGACCGAGGGGATTGAGTTTAGGAAAAGTATCAATAGGACAGAGGATGAAGGGTGCTGGAGGGAGGTGTAGGTGGTTGGTTGGCGAGTCAAGCACGTGGAGGCGCACGAGGACAGGAGCACGAGGGGCCCGGAAGCTTGGCAGGACAGAAGCGCGGAACATGTGAAAGACGAGCTCCGACGAAACAAATAATTATTCTTCTCGTCGACCTTGTTCAGCAAGTAGCCGAGCTCATGTCCGGCGCTCGAATCTGCTCACAGTCTTGTCGTCCTACGGCACAGCGAGCAGTGCAGCTTGTTCGCCGGCATCCTTGCATACAGCACCAGCAACAGCAGCGATGCGCCTCTTCTTCGTCCCCGTCCTACCACCTTGATGATCTCGTTTCGGAATTGCCGCGCAGCACTCGGTATTCGCGACCTCGACAGAAGCCTGCCACGCCCGTCTCTCGCCAGCCCGAAAGTCTGTACGATTATGTAGCTGCAAAATCCACCACCCAGCAGCCCGCTCGCTTTCCCACAAGCAGACCCGTTCAGCCCGCTGCTGCCCCCGAGCCTCAGTCCCACAAGCACTCCGAGCCTCCCACTCGAAATGGACCTCGTGCAAGAAAGTCCCGGGATGCTTCCCTCACCTCGTACACTTCCAATCTAGAAGATCTGGTTGCAAGAGGCGATGCCGACGCTGCCTGGTCTTACTTTTCGACCCACTACACCGCGCCCAACTGTGCAGCCTTAGATCCCGCCTGCCTTCCTTTCCTCGACGTCCCGAAGCACAGAAGGGGCTTTGTCTATACACATCTGCTATCTCTGATGACCCGTCACTGGCTTTCACAGCTCGACTCACACCAGTCCGTCGAGAATATAACCTCTCTGTCCCCCTCTGCTGTTCTCGGAAGATTCAATCAGCTCGCCATAGCCACACCGCCCATCGCTTGCTCTGTAGCCTTGTCTTTGGCAATTCACCTCCAGCTGGCTGCTTCCAGAGGACTGGATGTCTTGACTCATCCTGCAACCAAGCCTGTCTTTCTTCAATTGTTCGACATCTGGCCGCTCTGCTTCTACCCCGCCAAGACCAATGCAATGTACTACCATCGCTTCATGGCTCACCTCAGAGCTCCAACCGAGAAACCGTCGAGCCTCGCTTTGTCACTCTTGCTTATACAAGATCTTCTGTGCCGTGCCACATCTTTCCCGGATGACCTCGAGCAATATCGAGCTCCTCTCCAAGCTCTAGGTAATGCGTGCCCAAAGGTGCAGTTCAACCAAGCCGCTCTACGTCACATCGAGACGAAACTCAGAAACGAAACTTCAGATGACGTCCTACAATCAGCTGAGCTTAGCAAACGGCTTTACAGCCTTCGCCCGGCCTCTGTACTGAAGGATCCCTCACAAATTCACTCACAGACAGATTCTACATTCAATGAGGACATGACAGCAGCATCCGAACCTATTGATCAGAAGACCAGATGGCTTATCTCTAGAGTCAACAACGCTGTCGAGCAGCAGAATCTTGACAGGTTGGAACAGAATTGGGCCCATGCACAAGAAATATTTGCAGATGAATCATCACGCATACTGGAAAATGCGCCCTCGACATTGCGGTTGTATGAAGGGTTTCTTCATGCGTTCTTCCAATTGCGAAGGCCTCAGTCTGGGCTGCAGGTCTGGAACAGCATGCTTCAGTCAGGTTTCGAACCCACTGTCCGTACGTGGAATGTCATGATGAAGAGCTGCCACTATTCTCGCGATACCCAGATCATGGAATCCATGTGGCAGCGCATGAGAGATTCTGGAATTCAACCCGATGTGGTCTCCTGGAGCACAAGAATATATGGCCATTTCCGGGTCGGCAGTCTTCGTGATGGCATGTCTGCATTAGATGAGATGGGAATGGAATGGATCACCGCCCAGAATAGACGACGGTCAAAGTCAACCGTCCCGGAGGATGTCCCAGAGGTTGCCAAACCCAACACTGCTATCCTGAACTCGGCCATCGCAGCACTTCGTGGTGGCAAAGCAAGTCAAATCCCCAGAGTCCTGGCGTGGAGTCGGTCCTTCGATATTGAGCCAGATGTGGTGACTTACAATGCGTTGCTTGCCGTCTCTCTTGGTGAAGGGCAAGCGACAGATGCGGCAAAGATACTGCAGCGTATGGCAGCGTCCAACATTCAGCCCAACTCATCAACCTTTACTATTCTGGTTGATTCAATGCTCTCGACCACGTTGCACGGCGACATGACTCAAGATGAGCAGAAGGACAAGATCATGGACCTCATCTCTTCGGTTGAAGGCTGTGGCATGACGGTCGATGTCCAAGGATATGCTCTGCTCATTGATCGTATGCTCAAAGACCATAACAATCTGAAGGCAGCCAGAAGCGTACTGGCGCACATGGCTGCTCGAAAGGTCGCATGCACACCTCACATATACACAATCCTCATGACGCATTACTTTGATGCCAACCCACCCGAGCTCCTTGCTGCGGATGCACTCTGGAACGACATCCAGAGTTCAAAGGAGCACACAATGGACGTGATCTTCTACGATAGAATGGTCGAAGGGTTTTCAAGACATGGAGATGTAGGCAGGACAATGGCCTTCTTGAACCGCATGAGCAAGGAGGGCAAGCGACCAGGTTGGCTAGCCATGATTGCGGTGGTACAATGTCTTGCACGCAATCACGAATGGGATAGAGTCGGGCAGATAGTCATGGACTGTCACAAGCAGGAAGGACTCCTCAGTGTGGGTCTGCGAGGCAAAAAGGGACAGAAGGACTTCTGGGAGTACGTGGGAAGGCTGGCGGAGAACGAGCTCTATGGTAACGAGCATGGCCGGGACATCTTCGCAATTGTCGAGGCGCAGAAAGCAGCTCTCGGAATGTGACGACGGGAGTGAGAGTGTAATATAGATATATTGTACATATACCGAAAGTCGAGTCAGAACATGGTCACTTTCACGTAAGAGCAAGCAGGGCAGCCAAAGATAAGAGGCGGAGGAGACGTTGGCGGGCGGAGCGGCGAGCGGGACGGGGAAGTTTTCCCACTAACTCCGTAACTGGTGGCCCACATTTGCAAGCAACACAAGCGACAACCAAGATATAAGAAGATGCGCCATTACACATGACAGTCCCGTCCTCACCATGGCTTTAGCTGCCCTCCGCTCGAGCCGCAGTCTCGGGCCTTTGGTCCGAGGCCTGCGATCAGAAAGGCGCTGTGTTGCGTCCGCCACAGCAACACAATTGCCATCAGCACCGCCGGCCCTCGGCCAGGATGACATTACCTTGACGGACCTGTCCAACAGACGGCAGGCCATCAAGCAGGCGAAACCCTTCTCCGACTTCCTGACGGACAGATACAACCGCCAACACGACTACTTGCGCATAAGTGTCACGGAGCGATGCAACTTGCGTTGCCTGTACTGCATGCCTGAAGGTACGACGACTTGTGCTGCACACCGGCAAAGTCCACACCGCTGACTTTGTTCGTACANNGAGGGTGTACCACTTTCACCGTCGAGCCACCTCCTTACCACCCCCGAAATCGTCTACCTTTCAGAGCTCTTCGTGTCTCAAGGCGTTACCAAAATCCGCCTGACTGGAGGCGAACCCACCGTGCGTCCCGATATCCTGCCCTTGATGCAGCAGATTGGAAGTCTCAAAACAAAAGGTCTGCGCGAGCTCGCTTTGACTACAAATGCCATTTCGCTGTACCGAAAGCTGGACAAAATGGTCGAGGCTGGTTTGACTGGTGTCAACATCAGTCTCGACACTCTCGACNCCTTCCAGTTCCAGATCTTGACTCGTCGCAAAGGCTATGACGCTGTCATGAAGAGCATCGATCGTGTCTTGGAAATGAACAAGTTGGGCGCTGGTGTCAAGCTGAAGGTCAACTGCGTCGTTATGCGCGGTATTAACGAACGCGAGCTTATTCCTTTTGTTGAAATGGGCCGGGAAAAAGATATCGAAGTACGCTTCATCGAGTACATGCCCTTTGGCGGTAACAAGTGGAGCGAGCGGAAAATGTTGACCTATCAAGAGATGCTGGACATCATCCGTGAGAAATATCCCGCGCTTCGTAGTGTAAAGGGCCATCTCAACGATACAAGCAAGACGTACGAGATTCCGGGCTTTGTAGGAAAGATTGGCTTCATCACCAGCATGACGCATAACTTCTGCGGCACCTGCAATCGCTTGCGCATCACAAGCGATGGCAGTCTCAAAGTCTGTCTTCACGGCAACACCGAGGTTTCGCTAAGAGACCTTTTGCGGAAGGATAACAACGGTAATCCTATGGATGAGCAAGCCTTTGAAGCTGTCAGAGAGATAGAGATGAATAGGCGCCGAGGACTGTCCGTAACGGACGCAAGACCGAGTTGGATCGAGCGAGAGACTGCATTGCTCAATCTGATCGGAGAGGCCGTCAAGCGCAAAAAGGAGAAACACGCTGGCATGGAGGAACTGCAAAACATGGAGAACCGGCCCATGATACTTATTGGTGGGTAGGTTCCGCAAACCCTTTTGATATTTTCGACCTTCGCAGCANCCGTCATTTACACGACTGCCTTACTGAACTGTCAAATGGACCTATACGATACCGGAGCTGATACTGATTTGGTGGTAGCTGAGGGCAGTAGCCCGAGGAGAGGATTCGGAAACTCCAAATTCTGGCCCATTGGCTCTAGCCGACTAGGACAAGCCGTTCCTTTGCATCTCTTGCACTCTAGTGTCCCAAACTCTTTCGGAACACGCCTATACTCTTCTTCATCCACCTCCTCATCTCCGCCTCAGTCTTTAGAAGAACAGCCCGCCGAGGAAGTTCAATCTGATGTCACACCACCCCTTCTACCGACAAACACTGAGGAATCAGAATCTGGATTTACAAGTCTCAGAGGCCTTTTCGGGAGCCCCAGAAGATCTTGGTCTCCACCTCAGCCTTCGATTCACGAAGCAGATGCGATTCCCCATACGCAATCTGGGAGATCGACCCAGGACATTGACTCTACCGATATTGACTCTACCGATAACCCTTTCGATGGTGACCAGTTTTTGGACCATTCTAACAACTCTTCCCCTAATACAGAAAAAGAGGATGAGAAAGCGCATGAGATGTTGTCTTCAGTCCCTTCTATCGAGCCCTCGCCGGAATCTCACTTGGTTAGAAGCTCGCCTCTTGTACGAAAAACCAGTGCTCAAGTCCGATCCCGGTTCGCCAAACAACCCCTTCACGACATTGAGTACAAGAAGGCTACCAAACTCACCAAGCCTACTAGAGCCACAAACAATATGAAATCGCCACAGTCTAAGCCCCTGCCGGCCTGGAAACTCGATTCAGAAGATCTCGAACAGCCATCTCGGTCGGATGAGCGAAAGGTCAACACGTCGACTGCATCTGCATCGACCAAACCACGCCCGTCAGGGCAGAAAACTGATGCTCTGCCTCCGACGTCTCTAGCTAGAGAAGACATTAATCGGAGGGTTTCGGCTGCTCATCAAGAAAAGTCATCTGTATCATTCAATGTCCCAGCCGAGGGATCTTCTTCAAAACCGCTCGCTACTCCCGACAATGATTTCCTCGACTCGTTAGAGAGTGCATTGACAACTTCGTCAAGCTGGGGAAAGGAAGAGTCCTCTAATGCGGGTACTACTCTGACCCATCTCACCTCGACTGGGGAGGCCCACATGGTCGATGTCGGCGCAAAAGACTCGACCGAGAGAGTCGCAGTAGCCATCGGATTCGTGCGTTTCGGCAACGATGAGCCCTACAGACTCATCACTGAGAACCTCAACAAANAGGGCGATGTCCTCGGTATTGCACGCATCGCAGGCATCATGGCAGCCAAGAGATGCTCGGATATCATCNCTCTCTGTCACCCCATCCCCATCACAAAAATCACATTGGATGTTGGGACGATGGCGCCAGGCACACGCACCTACTCTGAAAATACCGGTAAATATGGAATGGTCGCGGTGGAGGCTCGAGTGCACACTCGTGGCCAGACCGGCGTTGAAATGGAGGCTCTGACTGCTGTGTCGGGTGCTTGTTTGACGGTCTACGACATGTGCAAGGCTGTGGATAAGCACATGGTCATTTCTGGTACCCGTGTCATGTACAAAGCAGGAGGCAAGTCGGGCGTTTTCCTGCACAGAAAATTCGAGAATCATCCTGTTGCCGACAAGTTCATCAAGATGGATGATCTGAATAGGAAGCGGTAGCGCGCAGCGATTAGATCAACACCAGCATGCAATACTTCATGGCAACAGCGAGATTGTACATACCAAATGAATTTTTTCTCAATTCAAAGCCAGTTACGCTTTGCCATCTATTTTCCCACACCAAATCTTTTTCAACGTGTCATTTCCCTCGAATCTAGTTTCGGCACACCTTGCGGTATCTTTGTAACACAAGCTTGTGTATCAACATAGCATTTGTATTTGTCCTATTCGGTTTGCGAGAACCTCCAAGATTAAAGACAGACACCGGCAGGAGGTCCTACGAGAGCTATCAATTACCTCTAGCTCCATCAGGTTAGTATTGATAGCTCAGGTCATGTGGCAGAAGAGTCGTGACAGCTAGGGAGCAGAGCGCGATCAACGGAAAGCATAGTCAATCCTTGCTCTTGTCTTGGCTCTTGCTGAAAGTCGTGGTAGGATGTGGGACTTCAACTCGCTGTACTCAGGCATAACCAGTCAGGTCATTTGGCTTCTAGATTAAGATGCCCATCGTAGCTCTTAGGGTTCTGGAAGAAAATGTTGGCTGTCCTCCCTAGTTTACGCAGCAAGAGGGTGAAACGGGACGGTGGGACGGGCTGAGAGGGTGGTGTGGGGAACGTTGTGGATGGAGTGTTTGGAACGACCGATGTTGACAACGCTATATCATCTGTAAGTGCCTTTGCTCCATGCTTCTTCTAAAGCGGACCATGAATTTTCATATTAGGTGTTTTGTGCGAAAGAGGCGTAGACGAGTTACTTACGCAGCACATAGGGCACAGGGGAGGTGTTTCTAGCAAAGACAACGGTTTGTTGAGCGATGAAAAAAGACTCTGTGGTTCGATCGTTTAGTGATGACCTACTGAAACGCTGTATAACTCATATCTGGCTCCATCAGGAGACACGTTAATCATGACTTCATGCGTATTTGCCCTTCACGTCGCGTTGTGGGGCGGGTTGGCCGGCGAGGGACTCGCCAACACCACTCGTGTATGCTGGCGGCCCACTCTGCATGCCGTATCCTTCAACACTGCCAACGTTGCCATATCCAGGGCCCTGGGCAGGCTGTCCATCGCTCTTGAGACCGGCTTTTCTCATGTCCTCGTCTTCGACGACACCACCATCTCCACCACCCACGATGACCTGGCCACCGTTGCGCACTTTGCCTACCACCATTCCCTTGGCAACTGACTTGAGAACCGCACGGCGAGAGACACCTGTCACGTCAATGTAGACAAGACCGACATTCTTGACACCACCAGCGAGACTGGATGTGATAGATCCAGCTTCTGCGCCATAGCGGTGACCAACCACGGTTGTGGCAGCAGAACCACTCTGCTCAAGCAGGTGCTTACCACTCGTGGCCAGACCGTCGGCGATGGTAGAAAAGGCGATCATGCTTTTGTTGAGTAGACCGGGCTTGTACTGGTCTTGGGCAAGAGGCTTGCCGTTGGCATCAAAACCCTTCTTGTAGCGATCCTCATTCTTGCCGCCAAATCTGGCGCCAATGTTCTGAGCGTACTTGCTTGCCTGACCAACGGTTTTTGCAGACAGACCAGCGGCACTGTTTGTAAAGGCATTGATCTTACGGACACGCTCGTGGGCGGCAGGGCTGAACTCCATGGGCTTAGCGGCAGGCTTGACCTTCTGGGTAAAGTTCTCAGCACCAGCGGTCAAGATGTTACCAAGACGGCTGCTAGAGGTGACGATGAAGCGAGAGGCAGTTGCAGCATTTTGGACCATGCCGCTATCTTTGTAGGCAGGGTGACGGGCCATTTGTAGGTATTCCTCGCTGATAGGCGTGACGCTGATACGTTTTCCATCGGCGGAGATTTCGAGTTCGACTGGATCNTGCACGAGAGCGGTTAGTAGAGGCTCAAAGAGATATGAACAGAGCAACATACTCTTAGTTCCTTGGTTGAGGGTCGAGTCTTCGACAATGTGGGCATCACCAGCCAATTCGCCAATGATGCTGCCGTTGTCTTCGTCGATGAGGACGACCTGACCGTGTCCAGAACCCTTGGCATCGTGATATCTACCACCGGGAGCATAGTCTCTTGGGTCGTATTGTTCTAGAGGACGGGAGGGCTTGGGTGGGGCAGCACGCTCAAGGAAGGCAGTGCATTGTGCCAGGATGGTCTCGAAAGTATCGTGGTCCTCGGGTGAGATGTTCCTGTCAAAGGTGATGCGAGTGAAGATGCCGCTGTCGGCGCCCAGGTCCCAACGGGGGATCAGGTATGAGTGGGGAGGCTGGTGGTAGACCTGGGTGGTGGCCGGCATGGGCAGATCCAGCTCTGGGGGNAGGTTCAGGTGCAGGTAGAAGTCGTTCTCGGGCATTTCATTCTGCGGGATGGTCGACGACAGGTCCGAGAAGGGCGACGAGGTGGGCACCATCAGCAGAGACAGCGTCTGAGGGCCAGACGGCGTCAAGTCCTGCTCCTGCCCACCCTGGATGTGGTATGCCTTGACATTGGCGATTGTGTATAGAAGCTTGGGGTCGTGATGTCCTGCCATGTTTGCGTATCTTGTGTAGTCCACAGAGAGTCAAACGCCAACTATGGCGGGACAAGGTGATTTAACATGGTGATTTCCTGCTTGTCTTGGAGGACCACTCATCGTCATTGGGCTTGATGATCATCGGGGCTATGCTTGCGCCACATTGTGGCTGCGACACTCGAGCACTGCTCTCCACGAACACAAGCAGCTTCAAACATGCACAATTCTTTGCACTTTTGAGACGGAGACGTGCCCAGTAGTTGATAGGCCACAACTGGATCTTTTCAAGCAGTGTTCAACATCCTTGTGTGATCTTGTAGTCCAGATAGATCTTTTATGATGCTGCTGAGGGGACTCGATTATGTACGAAGGTTACTGAAACTCAGAATTGAAGAATGTGTGGCTGAGGAATCCAAAACTTGTCGGGCCTTCGCCGCCCAAACAAGGTCTTTCTCTCTCAAGCTTGTTCCTTCACCTCAGCCGTCCACACGTCCATTCTCCTCACAGTACATCTGCGAGACTGCGATACGGCACGCGTCCCCTAGCACCGTCTCCTTCCACCCACCGTGCATCCGTTTGCACATCCCTGTCACCGCGCTTGCATGAATAGGGTCCATCTTCATGGCTTACGACAACCAGCCCGACCCTCCCCAAAGCTACTAAGGCGTCGTCCGGAAAAGTAGATACTCGATACTCTTTGTTTATTCAAAACTTCAATAATTCTTCGATTCGAAATGCTGGGACGACGTCTAAAGTTGCGCTTTGCTCGCCCCTTGCGGGCCATCCCTCGCGCTCTGCCTCCGGTCAATTTCATTACCCTGCATTATGCATACTTTATGTTCACCTGTCTACTGGCTGCGGTCATTTTCTGGGCTTCCTCTACCGCTACTCATGTTGATTTTACTGATGCCTTGTTCCTTTGCGTCAGTGCCATGACCGAAGCGTAAGTCGACATGATCCTTTCGTCCGACTCTTCATTCTAAGATTGGGTCTCTTGCTAATCTACATAACAGANNGGTTTGAATACTGTCAACCTGAGCGAACTTAATACATGGCAACAATTCATGCTTTTCGTCCTCATCTTCATGGGCTCCGCCATCTTTGTATCCAATTTCGTCCTTCAGGTCAGAAGGAAAGCATTCGAACGAAAGTTCATAAGTGTCATCGAAAACAGAGCTCGGAAACAGCGACGTGTTTCTCTACGAGGCTCCACTTTCTCAATGTCCAGGCTTTCGATAAGCAGATCTCGAGAGAACCAAAATCCAAATCTGGGACTGGACAAACGACCTCGCTCAGCAGACGTGAATGAGGCTCAGACTCCTGTCAGAAGGGGTCGTGCTTCGCTCAGCAAAACTTCCCTTCGTCTGGATACGAGCAAGGACACGGATGGAACCAGTGATGATCTGCGTGCTGCTGAAGATAGACTGAATGATGCCACCTCCCCTGATCGTATCACTTTCAGTCCTGAGACTGTGTTCCGCTCACAGAAGACCCAAGAAGATCAAACATCGCCCACGAAGCCAAGACAACGCATGTTCTCGGTCTCTGGTGTCGGAGCTCGATCTGAAGCCAGCCTTCATCGTGTCACGTCTATATCGCACACTTCCATTGCTGAGGAAGCGCCTGCAGGCAACAAATCTACCGCCGATTATTTCCCGTCTGCTGGTTACATCTCTCGCAACTCAACATTCCACAACCTGACCGAAGCTGAACGACAACACCTTGGTGGTGTGGAATACAAGGCGCTGTTATGGCTCTCGTGGATCGTTCCCTTGTACCTTGTCCTCTGGCAACTATTTGGAGCTATAGGCTGTGCTGCGTGGGTTGCATACAATCGTCCGGGGACAGCTCGAGCTAACGGTCTCAATCCATGGTGGGTAGGAGCTTTCAACGCGGTTTCTGCCTTTAACAACTCTGGTATGAGCTTGCTTGATGCCAACATGATAGCCTTCCAGACCTCGTACTACCTTCTACTAACTATGGGCTTGTTGATTCTTGCCGGAAATACATGCTACCCGATCTTCCTACGATTGATCGTCTGGACAATCTATAAACTCTTGCCCAAGAGAGCCAGGTTTGACGACCATCGAAACACCTTGCGTTTCTTACTCGATCATCCACGTCGCTGCTACACCAATCTCTTCCCGTCAGAGCATACCTGGTGGCTTGCCTTTGCCGTCTTTGCGCTCAACGGTGTAGACTGGGCTGCTTTTGAGATTCTGAACATTGGCAACCGCGTACTCAATGCGACCATTCCCGTCCATATTCGTGTCGTCGATGGTCTCTTCCAAGCCTTTGCCGTTCGCTCCGGAGGCTTCTACGTGGTCGCTATTCCCACGGTTCGCATCTCGCTCCAGGTCCTATATGTCATCATGATGTATATCTCCGTATACCCTGTGGTCATCACAATGCGCAACAGCAACGTCTACGAAGAGCGAAGTCTGGGCGTCTACGACGAGAACGACCCAGATAATTTGTCTGAAGCCTCCAAAGATCCCAACAGCATCTACAGCAAGTTCCGCGGCGTCAAGAAACAATTCGCAACCGGATTCGGTGGGTTGAGCGAAGGCAAGAGCTACTTTNTACAGCAGCAATTGCGAGCGCAACTTGCCCATGATGCTTGGTGGATTGTGTTTGCTGTTTTCCTCATCATGATTATCGAAGGTGGACAATTCGAACGTGACCCGAATACGTTCTCCGTCTTCAATGTCATTTTCGAAGTAGTGTCGGGCTACGGTACAGGTTCGTATTTGAGTTCTAGATCGCCTACTTGGATTGCGCTAACTCTTGCAAAAACAGTGGGCATAAGTGTTGGTGTCCCTGACAATGCATACTCGTTTTGTGGCTCGTGGCATAAATTGAGTAAGCTGATTCTCTGTGCTGTTATGCTGAGAGGACGGCATAGAGGTTTGCCCATTGCTATCGACCGTGCAGTACTCTTGCCTGATGAGAGACAAGATCTAGCTGAAGAGGAAGATGCTGCTATCAGGATGGAGAGGGCAGTCAGCAGACACACTGTAAATGGCGACGTGGCTTGATTCACCCAAGAGACGTGGGGAGATTCGGATAGATCAGAGGGCCAGGCGAGGGAGCAATCAGAACATGGCAGATGTTGACAAGAGAGGTAGATGGTCTAAACTGTATTCAAGCATAGCACACATCATGCTCAAACGTATCATAGTCTCGTTATCGTCCTCAAGACCGTCATAATTTGGCCATCACCTTATCTTGTTCTCCCAATCCTCCACTCATGACATACTCATCATTGCTTGGATCTTCACATTCAAGCAACGACTCTCGCCCTCCCCTTGAAGTCCACCAACGCACGCATATCTGACTGCGCTCCGGGTCCATCTCGCCACCAACCAGAACCTCCCAGAAATGTTTCTTGCAGTATTCGCGCATGGCCGGGTCAGCAATCATCCGCGTCGCCGCGGCGGTCAGTGGCAACCATTCCTCCAACAGAGCCAGGGATAGGCATGGGAAAGCGTCAATTAGCGTGAGTATCAATACCGCCTGTTCGGACAAATCAGGCACGGCCGATTGAGGAGCACTTTCAAGTTCCGGAATATTTGCTGACAAGGGGACATTTTTCGGCGGTAGTGGAGTTTCCGGAGCATGCATCGCACGTTCATGCACGAGATCAAGGAGTGTGGCGGCAAGCATCGGTTGGGTGACAGCAATGCGGCTAGGCGGAGAGACAACCTTGATTAGATTTTTGAAGGCCAGTCTGAACTGGCGGGCGGAANNAAGATTATGCGGGAACACACAGAACAAGGCGTCGACGTAGAATGGAAGGTGTTTCGCGGTGAGGTCGACGTTTTGAGGCGCAGAGAAGACTGACAAGGTGACACTATGTGCGGCTTCGAATATTGGAAGGAGATTAGGGTTTCCGGCTGTAACAAGATAGGGTGATGCTGCAGCAAGCAGAAGGTCTTCGTTTCGGCGGGAGGTTAGAACAAGAGCGAAGTGCTCAGCCGTATTGAGAAAGAAGAGGTCTAGGTTACGTTCGAGTGGGTGAGATGGTATATTTCCGGGCTCAGATGGAGCTATGGAGTCGAGGAAAGCGGACGAGTGAGTTGGATAGTTGGCGAGGATATCAATAGAGGTGAGGTAGGTAAAGGTATATTGCGAGAAGGAGACATTCCCCATGCGGCTAAAGACGAATGAGAGACTGCGCAGCGAATGAAGGATAGCCTGTGCCATGTGAGGTGCATCTGANCAGGTCAGTGTCGAACAAACACGTTTCGATGCAAGTAGCTTACTATTGTGAGCCGCCAGGGACGTATTTCCTACCACGCGGCCGGTTGCACTGCGAAGGACAATGACAATGGCGAACAAGGTCGAGCGGAGGAGCCTCCATAAGGTTGGAACGGTACTTTTCCGCGCTTCCTCGTGGAGGAAGATGGTCTCTTCCGAAGCATCGATCTCCGATAGCTTGTTTTGCCTCCATTGTGTACCGAGACGTTTCGAGAAGTCTGACAAGTCCTCGACAGCAGATAGCACGAGCCAGGGGTCCTTTACATGGTCGATTGTATGAGCTATCAACCTCGACAAGGGACCAAGAGATGAGATTAGCGGGCTCTTGAGGATAGACTCGATCTGTTGATATGATGGTGATTCAATGGCCCAGTTGAACTGCTGGCTTGAGACCTGCTGAAGGTCGGCGTCCGCCGCGCCCAGGAAATAACCTGAGCGCAAGCCGTATGACGAATGGAAGGTAGAGGTCATGAGTATGGGTAGAAGACGATCGTAGTCAATCGCAGAGCGGTCTGCGTCAGAAAGGCGAGCGAATGCATGGTTCAGAGCCAGGCAGATGTTGGCGTGGGCAAAGTCGTCATCAGAGGGACTCTCGAGTAGAGCCAGATTGACGGCCTTGACGAAAGCGGATCGTAAAGCGCGGGCAATGTTGGTTGACATGAAGTCATGGTCGCGCGCGGCTAGACCAACAATCAAACCCCCGATAGCAAGTAGATGGTGATCGGGAGAAGAGTGTTGGTCCGCACCCTTNAGCACTGCTACAATCCATTCGTGTAAGGGAAGGTGCGATTCGATATGAGGTCGCGTGGGAACAGGAGATTCTTGGCTCTCCCGGTCGGTGGTTTCACGCTCATGGCATTTGATAGCAGCCGAGTGGAACAGACTCATAAAGGTTAACGAGGATGTTAAGGCATTTGAGCGTGGCCATAAGGCTGGCGCCGACAACAGTTGACTGGTAAGTAAAGTGATGTTCAGAGGATTGTTCAGCGATGTCAGCAAGGATGCTGCTGTACCAAGTAATCTNTTGATCATGGTCAGTTTTGGAGGCAGCGGTGGTGGGGATGTTCGTGTGATGCAGTACCGACGAGAGTCTTGTTGGTCTGGGCTTGATTGCAGATATCTGAGCAGAGTGGCCAACAGCCTGTCAGTCGACATGATTATATGTTTGGTCGAATGCCGTGTATTAGCAGAGTTGTTGATCACTCGGTCAGATTAAGGTAGGTAGTAGTGACTTGAGTAGCTGGTCGACTGCAGCGACGAGCCGAGGTCCGTCGGACCCTTGGATGCGAAACTTGGTCAGTGCGAGTCGCAATCAATTGTCTCGACATTTCCCAGAAACACTCGAGTCTATTGTACGTCGACAGGCTTCACGTCAAGCAAGCACCTGAACTCACGGCGACGTCGATCTACCGCAGTCATGGGGTCAGTGTCATGGCCTTCTGTTGCAATGCGGTTTTGATTCACCTCTCTAACCAGCCGTAGCATCCGGTATACCCTCCTCCCTCTTAGCTACACGCCAAACCCTCTTCGCCCTTTCTGACCCTCGCACCCAGAGACTCGTTTCTCCGTACCATCGTCGACACGCCTCCGCTCTCATACTCGACTCCGCCCTTTCCCTCCTTGTACTGGCCTTTTCCTGTCGGCGGAACCCAGACCCTGTACCTCTACCACTCACACGACATATGGCGCTTCACCCTTCTCTGGACCATCATTGATGTCGTCGGCATCCACCTGATTGCTGCCGCCTTTGCCATGGCCATTCAATGGCGCAACTGGAAGCTCATCTGGATTGCCCCCATCGTCTTCGGCTTCATCGGTGCCGTCGAAGCTCTGATTGCTGGCAACGTCGTTGGTGGTCTGTTGAGTGGTGTCTATACTGCTGGCTACTTTCGCATGTCTACCTGGATCCCCTTTTCTTGGGGCATCATCAATTCCCTCGTCCTGATCCTGTCGTCCTTTGCTATACAAGGTGGCATGTGAATCAACATAACCTATTCATACTTCTGCGAGACCTACTCCGTGAACCCACCTGCACACGAGCAGTCTTCTTTGAAGTGGTTGCAGTCTTTCACTCGACAATGCTGTTGGTGTTGAGACCTACTGTACCGCTTGGCCATGCCCAAGCTCTTCGGGTTTGCACTCTTTTGGATCGGCTCTCCTTGATTTGCTTGTGCCGCTATAGCAAAGACTGGATCGCAGTAGCTCTTGGTCACCTTCAGCTGCGCTCTTACCAAAACCCAGGATCTGGTGATGGGCAAGAACCGACGTCTGCGTGGTGAACAAACTCGACGTCGGCAGGCCTCGTCAAGATTGCTGTTTACAATCTGCTATTGTGATTTAGGAAGCTCACAAGTTGGCCGAGGTCGCATGATGCTGGGCTGGGATTCCCTTTCCATCATTGAGGTCACCCGTGTTAGCAGTGCACGTTTTACAAAGACAAAAGAGAGGTGGTGTGCAGGTTATACAATGAGAGTAAGTCTTCTCCGCTGTGCGCAATGTCAAATGCTTGAGGGTATGCTAGGGAACATTTGGTGGAAAGTCGCAAATTCTTCTTGGCCTCGTACTGATTATGCACAAGGGAGCCAATGCACAAGGGAGCCAATGGCATCGAACCGACCTTTGCGAGCGGGCACACCAGTGCTCAGACAAGGACAGTTTCAGTTAGCACCCGGTGTCACTGTGGTGACACTATAGGTATCTCCGGAAATTTGTATTGCGTCTGAGCAATCGGCCCACCCACGGGATCGCGCGGTGTCTTGGATCCTCTTGCTATTTGACCTATTGTACCTACGCATACAGTACATTCCTGCGACAGCTGGCACTGACCAATCGATCGAGACCCTATACAAAGCTTGTCCGCATGCGTTCAAGGGTCCACAAGACATTCTGCATAGCCCTACGTGTGCGCTCTTTTTAGCCGCTGGCTGCGACTCGGTCTGCCTTGCTTCAAAACAAAAGTGAGCGCAGATGAGTTGCGGCGCTGACAGACCACCGTGCCAGTCAGGATGTCTGGTCAATATGAGTTGACCTCTTTACGATCGCGTTCACCACAGGAAAACGCCCATGGTCGCTCCTCCCCTTTTGCTCAGCCATGGTACGGGCGCGTCTCAACGACTGTGTTGACATCCGTCATGCCCTGGCCAAGCACGCCGCTCTCTCGGACATTTTCGAGCTCGACGTTTGATATGGACGATCCTGGTTACCCTGCCATCTCTGGCTGTAATGATCGTACTCCTCGTTTCTGTTCTCTATCCATCCTACTCACATCCTCCGCATCATTACAACGTCCTTCGTGGACACGCCTTGAGATCGACAGACCCTGGACGTATCAATCTTCACAAAGAGAAGATATTCATCGCAAGCAGTATCTATGACAAGCAGGGCAAACTTGCTTCTGGACCATGGGCACAAAATCTACTCGATCTTATAGATCTGCTAGGACCTGAAAACGTATTTCTCAGTATCTTTGAAGATGACCCAGATAGCTTGGCAAGAATATCTCTGCAACATTTCTCCCAGCAAGTCAAATGTAGGTCGTGGTCAACTAATCATACGAAACATGACTAACTGGCCTAGGTANACTCTTCGATAGTTGCGGGACATATTGATCGTGCGGCCTTGCCGCACATAAAGCTTTCGAACGGCAAAGAGAAACTGAAACGGATCGAGTTCCTTGCCCACGTCCGCAATCGCACTTTGATCCCTTTGGAAGATCCAGAATCGTCTGCGTACTCAGTACGTTTCGACAAGCTGCTCTACCTTAACGATGTTGTCTTCGATCCCATTGATGCGGCAAATCTCCTCTTTTCGACTAATGTCGACAAAACCGGCAAGGCCATATATCATGCTGCTTGTGCGGCCGATTTCATCGACCCTTTCAAATACTATGACAGATTTGCAACGAGAGACGACCAAGGAAGTCGGATCGGTGTGCCCATCTATCCGTGGTTCAGTGATGCAGGCAACGCGAACAGCCGCAAAGATGTGCTTGATCAGAAAGACGCAGTGAGAGTACGGAGTTGCTGGGGTGGCATGACTGCATTTAACGCAACCTGGTTTCAGCCAGATGATACACATATTGATCTGGGTGTCGCCGACTTGACGGTGGACCACAACACGACATCGACTGGCCAAGATTTCAAGAACTACGATCACACAAGAACTACACACTTGTTGGGACGTTCTCCTTCTGACACAACCAGACCGATTCGTTTTCGAGCCTCGACTGACACCTTTTGGGACGCTAGCGAATGCTGCCTTATCCACGCTGATCTTGCAGCAGCCGTCAACGACTCAGGCTCATCATCAACTGGCATCTACCTGAATCCTTACATCAGAGTTGCATATAGCAGCAGAACCCTTTCCTTCCTCCGCCTTAGTCGTCGATTCGAACGCCTGTTTGCGCCGTTCCAGAAGTTGCTAAGCACGAGTCTCGGTCTCCCAATCGAAAATCTCAGAAGAATACAAGAGGTGGGCGAGGAGTATGAAGATGTGGTTTGGGAGTTTGATGATGCTGCACGGAATGTGTCTGGCAACATGTCAGGCGGCTACAGAAATGTTACGAGAGCTGCACTCCCGGGAGGATTTTGTGGGATTAGACAGCTCTCTGTACTTGGTGAGGGTGACGAGGTGAGAAAATGGTTCAACGAAGCTGTGGAGGTGCCGGATTTTGGAAGATAAAGACGGAAGCCTCAGGTACATCTTCACCTAATCTGCTGGGCCCAAGAAATTATTAGTGCTGTGTGTCTTGTACTACCACAGGTTTTGTAAGTCAGCAATGTGGACAAAGAAAGAAAAAAGTCCGGTAACATTAAAAAATTTTATGCTACCGGACTTTTTTACACGGTAAGAAAATGCAAAAATTGGCGGATCAACTAATTTTCTAATTATTGCAATTATATAGCAACCATATGCTATTAAATAGTATAAACATATAAATAGGACTACTACAGCTATAGAAAAAAGCCTTTATTAAGATTTATATAACAATACTTAGAAATAATAGATATATAGCTACTTAACTAAGTGTCTTTCATATCTACGCCTATATATCTATGGGTATTTGTTTTTATAGCCTAGAAAAGCCGATATATAGAGATGTTTATATAACATACTATGCATAACAAAGACTACTTATATAGCTTATCTACTTGTGTTGTTATACTACTTTTTATCTTAATTTTTAAGGAAAAGTTTAAAGTTTTGAGGTTCAAACGAAGCGGAAATCAGTTTCCACATTCCCGAAAGACTCGACTACGAAAATAGAGTTTAGAGTTCCGGGAAGTCAAAACTGTGAAAACGTGACAGATGTGCATCATCATCGTCGTCAAGCAAACATCACATGGGACGCGAATTGGATACACTTCACATATTAACCTTGAATTCTCAGGAAACTATTGCTCATCATCTCTCAGCTTATCACTTCGAGTAAGCCATTCAAAACAGCACGCGACCATGGCGACAGCGCGGACTTTCTTCAGCACAAATGCTGCTCTTCGCTTAACGTCTAGACAAACAATGTTCCGTCAGTTCAAGAACAACAGCAGCAATACCTGGCAGAAGCAGCAGTCAAGAACTTATGCCAACGGCTTTCGGCGAGGCGGTGGCTATCAGTACTCGCGGTTCCAGCAAGCAAGCGGACTGATGCAGCGATGGGCAGCAAGGCCCACATTCTATTACGAAGCAGGTGGTGTGGCCGGCGTATGTGGTGGCTTCTACGTGTACAACTTAGAAGTCGTACCTGTAAGTTCAGACACAACCAAGGTTGAGGTATGGAAGTCGTCAAGATATTGAGTCACTTTACAGGTTTCTGGACGTAGGCGCTTCAACATCGTCTCTGCAAGCACAGAGCAGCAATCTGGACAAGAGCTGTACCAACAAGTCATTGAGCAATACCAAGGACGTATCCTACCCCCGTCTCACCCTCAACACAAACTCGTCCAACGCGTCTTGAACCGTCTCATCCCTCACTCTGGACTATCCGCAGAAACCAACAACTGGGAAGTGCACGTCATCAAGGATGAGCAAAAGAACGCCTTTGTAATCCCAGGCGGCAAAGTCTTCGTCTTCTCGGGCATCTTGGACGTGTGTCAAGGTGAGGCAGGACTGGCAGCAGTGTTGGGGCATGAGATTGCACACAACGTGGCCCACCATTCTGCCGAGCGCATGAGCTCTTATGCTGTGTTTCTGCCTGTCGCAGTCGTTGCGTCGTTACTACTAGGCTTGGGCGATATTGGAAACGTATTCACGAGGATGGTTGTGGATTTGGCTTTCTTGAGACCCGGTAGCAGAAAGCAGGAGGTGAGTGGTGGTCCTCTATCTTGTTCATCGGATCATCGAGACTGATTCAGATCACAGTCTGAGGCTGATTATATCGGACTGATGATGATGGCGCAAGCCTGCTATGACCCGTCAGCTGCCGTCGGATTATGGTCAAGAATGCACGACGCAGAAGAAGGCGCTCCACCGCAATTCCTATCCACACATCCTTCCAGTCACAACAGAATGGAAAAGATCCAATCTTGGTTGGGCGACGCTGAAATGAAGAGGGAGCAAAGTGGTTGCGGTCAGGTGTCTGACTACGGTAAGTAGACATGGCAGCCTTGGTGGNAGTTTCGGAATACTGACAAGACCACAGCTAATCAATTCCGCAATACATCCTCGTCACGCTGGATTTGAGAGAGAGACAGGAGGTCGAAATCACACTTCATTGACGTATGAGTGTGATCTTATCATTAGTAAATTGAGAAGATGAAAGAAACTCCACTTCACTTAATTTCTACTCCAGATACCGATCTAAGGCAGCCCAGAACTTTCTTAAGGAAGATCACAGACACGTTGCAGTTGACCCCAGGATTATGACATGCTTCCTCCAAGTCGGTGACTGGATGTATTTGACCTGATGGATCGAAGATTGGGGCTGAAAAGGTAAGCCATAGTCACGCGGTTCGTATCACTTTGACACGGTCCTAGCCTGGAAGCAGGTCTGGCTTGATTTCGTGCCAGCCGTCTTTCATTGTACGTGAAACATGGAGAGCTCGTGCGACGTATACAGTAGACTCAACTTGGCGTATGCTTCTGAGAACAACGCAAATGTTTAATGACAGCTGAAGAAGAAGAACGAGTGTCACGTTTCAGAAAGGAGACACTTCCCTGCATGAATCCAAAACATGGGGGTGGTCGTGCTTGCGGCCGTACAACCAAGGAAAGTAAATTGATCAAACGCTTCATGCAGGCAAACAGTTGGAATCGTGACCTCAGTCATCTTACCTCCAAACGACTTGGACTGAAATGTTACTCAAAATCGAATGAAATTGGCAGAACAGCGTTGGTTTGGTCACGCGCTGGGGGCTGCGTGGCTGTGGTCTACAGGTGCAAGAAGCAGCTGGACAACGCGCCGGTCATGAAGGCACTAGCAACGCAGCAATATAAAAGGCAATGCTACAAACGACTTTTCGAAAAACAGAGCATCGCGATTCGTGCTTTTCGATCTTCGAAGCGCTTTGCTTATTTACTCGACACGTTCGATTGCTTGCAGCCACCCGACCCCACAAGACACCCTCGTGTACTTTCGTACCTCAATCCATCTCTTGAGGAAAACGAATCGCGAGTTTAGTCGCCAAAATCCACCCTCCTGAACGAACCTAGGTTTCACCAAACAGACAAGCTTGACCCTGTTTCATCGTTAATCACCAAGACTTCGTCATAGCGAAAGCCACTCCCAAAACGGTCTCGAAGCTATATATAAAAGTGTTCCCTACCTCGAGCAAAATGTTCACTCTGGTCTCTGTGCTGGCTATAGCAACTGCTCTAGCTGCAGCGAGTGTATGGGCCTGTGACGATAGCAGCGCGGAAGAACTGCCCAGCCGAAGATACTACAGACGCAAAGTCTTGTCTGAGAACCGCAGAAGGACAGTCAAGTAGAGCCTCTGCAGACAAAGTGGGAGTATCACTGGATCAAGAGACAAGTCTGGAAGAGAAGCAACAGCGCAGCCATGTGGTTACCCTCCGAGCTACTCACAATCTGTCACTCCATCATGGATCCAATGCACCTTCCTCCAACGACCAACACTCATCGAGCCGACCATCAACATAACAATGATACAAAGCTTCAGCCAGAATCTCTATCTCAACATTGCAAACAATCAAAACGGCATGCTGTCTTTCCGCTCTTACGACTGCCTCTCGATATATTGGCCTTGCATTTACCCGCCCACCTTCCATACGACTCACTCATTTCCCTTCGTCTGAGCAACAGAGATTTGTTTACAGCAATCCCAACGCCCAAGAGACGAAAAATGAGCGAGCTGACCAGTTGTGAGAGAGAAGCCATTCTCACCGCCGTGGAGGAAGGGAAGGAGCAATCCACACGCAGGTGTTGTGTATTGTGTCGGAGCTGGTATCCTATCGCCCTATTTACCTGGGTACCAGACCAATGCACTGTACCGGGCAGTGACCTTCAAGACGAAGATGACATGATGGAAAACCGAGTGTGTAGATGGCATCGTGGAAGGTTCGAGCGTAGCATTCCAAGGCAGACCTCTGGGAAGGATCAAGGGATAGAGGAGGGTTGGACTCTGGAGAAAGCATGTATGCATTGCGGAGGCGTGTTGGCTTGGGGTAGATGCGACTGTGAGACGCCTTGCCAGACCTGTTGGAAGAGGGATGTTTGGTGTTATACACGCATTTTAGATGCGAAGGCTGCCGAGCCTGACACTTAGAGATGATATAGCACGAATTCTTGCCTGGTATCACAGTCAATCGATACGTCTTCAGCATGGGAGCTACTTTGAGTTCAAAGAAGAAGAGTGCATGAATGGCTAAATAATAGGTATATATCGCTGACGTTACGCGTAAAATAAAGGAAATCGTAAGTAATGCTTCTATCGTATCCAAGGTAAATGATAAGTAAAGAACCTTTTGAGATCAAAGGAAAAGGATCGTGATCAGGAGGGCTTCTCAGCAACCTCGATGAACGTAGTGCTGTCTTTTTCTCGAGACGTCCATTGCTGAACGCTTTTGACAACATCTTGGTACTCATCGGCAAGGCTTTCTTCCTCATAAAAAGCCTTCTCTTCGTCCATACGCTGGTCGCCTTGGACTGTGTTGTAGTTCTGCAACTCTAGCTTGAGAGCATATCGGCGCACGCTCAAACCTATACCCCATTGAGCGATTGTCCAGAAGGCGAGAACGGCACCAAAGGCAATTTGAGCTATGAGAACGTCCGTTTCGCAGTGGCGACGTGCCTTGATACTGGCACCAAGAGTTTGTTCCGTGGAGGAAGTCTGGATGACGCGCCCGGGGCCGTGCAAGTCCGCGGTGGTGGAAGGGAACCAGAATGACGTGTTGAGTTTGCTGGTGAAGCAGAGATCTGCAGTGACATCGTAGAAAAGATAGACAAGGCCGATTTTGGGAACGAGCGAGAGGACCGTGTCTATGAGCAAGTGGTTGGAGAAGATTGTCAGGTGTGTGGGTGATTTNCTGCACTAAGTCAGAAATGATAAAGTTAAGGGTTGCACTAGTATAAATACCTTATACGATCCGTACACTCCAAGTATAGCCAAGGCACATCCATACCAGGCATATGCAGTCACACCGAAGGACATGTACAAGGGGTCGCTGGTGAGAAAGGTGCATAGGTATGCTGTAGCGGCATGATAAATCAAGATGAGGGAGGATACAGCCATGCTAAGCGTCCTGTCGGATATTGTCAATTCTGACTCGAAGAAGCGAGACCAGCATAGCTTTCGCACCTCGCATTGTCGTATGTTGTACCCATTGTAGTAGTGGTTGCAGTGGTTTGTTTAGTGGGCAATGGTTGATGTTTGCTGAGCAGAAGGCGGGTCGAGATGAGGATATGCAGGTGATGTAAGAGACCAGCTCGGAAAAGGTCTGTCTGATTTCCCACAGAAGCAGCGACTCCAGGCGCGCGTGAGTGGGTGAGCCGACTATTTGACGTGCAGCAAACGAAGGTCCGAAGGAGATGGCAAGTGTGAAAAAGGAAGAACACAGATGTAACTTGGGAATTAGAAGTGCGATCGAATGACCGCATAGTCATACAGCGCCCACATCGACGACCGTGCTGTCCGGTGCTTCCGGCATGTGCGCCGACGATGAATCTACAGCTATCTATTGTGCTAACCGCCGCGGACCGCTGGACATGTGGGATCGTAATCCGATCAACGACATCCGCTCGCCCTTTGTTCGGTCTGCCTCCTCTGCGTACTTCACAGACTCACAACCTTCGCTGTTCCTGCAGGTGTTTCTTACGCAGATCTCAAGCTTTTCCTTTCACATGCATCATCTACATGGTCTGTGCTATAAGGCCCGGGAGAAGAGCGAAGTGGCTGCATGGCCCGCAGAGCCCGATCAACCTAAAGCGGGGCGGAGGTCCATGGCAGTCCTGCTCGATCAGCCAAACTATCGAAAATTAGGTGAGTAAAAACAGACATCCATCAAGAAACCTGATCTCAACCATCGAGACGGCTCAAGTGAATGCACAGCAGCAAGGAACTCATGAGCTTGGGAAACAAGAGGCTGGCTGATGCATTGGTACACGCTCGATGTATTGCTCTACCACTTGCCTACCTACGTCTTCCGGCATTATTCTCTTCCAAGAATTGGCCCGTCGCGTGCGTGCCCACCATCATGCTTGGTTATCGGTGATTCGTTTGTGCATCAACGACTGCCTAAATTGGCTTGCCGATGATCTTTTCATCGTCTGGGCACTTCCATGCTCTCTGTACTTGCTGCTGCTTTGAATTTTCTCAGGCTGCCTTCAAGCTATTCCTAGGATAACAGCAAATACCGTTTTGCTACAACGACTGTCGAGTCCATAGCCAAGTCGGCTACCGAGTTTCGGACCCGGTTGTGTCGGATATGTTCTCTGCCTGACCTGAAAAGGTCCGCCACCTCGTACGACTCTTGATCTCTTGTCAACGCGACCTCTTGCCTTGCGCGATGGCTTGGTTCGCCAGCGGATTCTATATCACTTACCGTGGTTGGCGCAGGAATCGTACGACAACTCGTGAGTCGTCTTTTATCTCACTGTACCTGAGGCTCTTCGGATGATCCACACTATCATCCTGGTCTTCACGCCATCGCGGTCTCTTGTGTACCATCGACATGGCTTCACATAAGGATCGCATGGGCAACCGAGTAGTGTCAAGGGACCAGTGCTCAAGTCGTTCCTATCAGATCTCTGGTAATGGAATAGATAGAGCGGTAAATGCATTATCAATCTGCAAAGGCTCACCGTATCAGCATGGGGTCGTATGGTCTAGTGGTATGACATCTCTCTCACACAGAGAAGATCCTGGGTTCGATCCCCAGTGTGACCATTTTGTTTTGTCTCTTGTGGTACAGATCACCTTCGTTTGCTGAGTCGAATGATCTTGACAAGGCAGTATATTTCAGTGAATGGCGTTGTGTTCTGTGTCTGATAAGCGACTATCTGACAGGCGTAAGGTACTCGCTCGTCCAATGCAATGGTTGATATCAAACTGTACTCTCGGAAACTTCGAAACGCCAACGATCATATTTTGAACGGTATCGCATACGCATGGCTCGAAATAAGATTGTAGTTTTGCAGGTATTGATCCCAAGTGTCGAATGCGTTAAGCAATAACTTGCTACTTATCTAAATCTTAGAAATGGGGTTACGAAAAACAGGGTCACCACCTTTACAACTATTATCAATCCCCGACTCGTCAAGGTGAGACAGCAGGCTAGCATTTACGCATTGGAAGTCGATCACTGTCATACATCTAGCACACCATTACAGAACATATTGTACCGATTCTTTGTCTCTCGCATCTATTGCACTAGTAGATTGATTGTTCTTAAGCTTGAAGTCCGTTGACCGGACTGTACAAGAGGACAAATCTTCGTGTGATAACGATCATGAAGATGCTTTTACAATAATTCTACGAGCGAAAGCATCAAAATCGATGTGTATGTCATCTTTCTTTACTGGTGAGCAGCCACTACCAACCTTTCCTGTGTGCTAATGTTCAACAGAGCATTTTATGGTCAAACCACATTTTGTGGTGCTTGCACCACAAAATACAGCACAAAGCTCAGCTTTCACATCTTACATGGCGCAGTTGGCTAGTGCGTTCGATTGTTGTCAGCATCATCTCTACACATGAGACAAAAGAAGTCAGAACCTGTACACTAGAGCAGGAAAAAGACAAAAGAAAGCTCTCCCGGACAGGCTTGAACTGTCAACCTCTCGATAGCCGATTTGATGAGGATCAAATCTAACAGTCGAACGCGCTAGCCAATTGCGCCACGGAAGATGTGAAAGCTGGGCTTTCTGTGGCTGTTGGATGCGGGCTTGCAGATTGGAAAAACTTATATGGTATCCTACTCCAGACCAGACATCCATAACTCGCTGTTCAAGAGAGCCACTGGTATCTACAAAATGGGAAAAATAGCTCGAGCCTCATTCGAGAGAGCCTTTTCATGTTCTTATCACAGACAGCACGTTTGCGAAACTCAGCCATTCGATCTGCGGCGCTTGTGATTTCTCTTCACAGCTGCGACATTGAGTAATTCGTAGGATGGCTCAACAACCATAAATCCGTATTACCTCAGGGGAGAAGTCTACTGAATTTGTGGGACTGTAAATTGAATGACTTGCTACGCGACACAAGGAACAGACAACACAGAAGCGGAAGACGAATATCGAGTAAAGAGAAATATAGCAATTACAACAACTGCTGGGTAGGGAGAATCCAGTTTACAGGCACTGTCGTGACGTCGTGCTCCAAGAACAACCAGCTCAACCATCAACACCAGAAGAAAAAAAAGAGCACATAAGCCCGACTCATTTTACACATATAAGCATCCAGCCCACCCAGCCCAAAAGATCACCAACGCCTGTAAATATTTTCCTGCAGAGGGGTATCATGTCGACCTACTGACCCATTCCCGACCCAGGTCGTTGTTGGTTCATCGCGTTCTGACGAGCGAACTGCATTTGTTGCTGCATCTGTGCTTGTTGGGTCTGCAACATGTTCATATTCTGTTGCTGCTGCCCTGCACCGTTCATCATGCCTTGTTGCTGCGCCATTTGAGGGTTTCGCTGCATTCTTGCAATCAATGCTTGCTGATTGCGAAGGTTTTGCATGTATTGCTCCGTATTGCTTGTGTCGCCAAGTGCCTGTTGCTGCGCTCGCGCCGTGGCCGCTGTCATTTGCGCCTGTGCCGAGTGAACCATTTGCTGCTGCTGCTGATATTTGTGTTGCAGTTCAACTGGTATTTGTTGACCTTGAGATTGCATATGTAGGATCAGTTGCTTCGTGCGCATGAACTGAGCACGCACTTGCTGCAATCTTTGAGCCTGGGCGTTCGGCATTTGCTGCTGGCCCATTTGTTGACTCATTGCCTGGTTCATCTGCTGCTGTTGCTGCTGCTGAGAAGGCGTCTGCATCATGGGTGTTCCGCCTTGCATGCTCTGCAGCTGCATGCGTTGTTGCATCTGAGCATACATTTGAGGATTCATCTGCTGCTGCAATGCCATGTTTTGCTGGTTTCTCATCATAGCAAGCTGCTCAGGCGTATAAGTCTGATTTGGTGAAGCTTGCATCGTCTGTTGTAGGCTTCTAGCGCGCTGTTGTTGCATGAGCGCCATTTGTTGCCCAGGAGTGAGCTGATTCATTTGCGCTGCAGCCAACAGGCCCGCTTGGTTGGCAGTGTTTTGCATCTGAGGAGGAATTGGACTGCGATGTTGCATGTTAGGTGTACCACTCATTTGACGATTGGTGTCGATGGGTACAGCAGAGGCCATTTGTGGAGTTCCGTGAGCCATTTGTGGAGTAGCATGACGGCTCTGACTGGTCTGCTGGCTGAGCTGTCTTGCCATGGCAATGTTGGCGTGTTGCATAGCAGCCGAAGGGGGACGAGCTGGGCTTCCAGCGCCTTGGTTCGACATAGAGGGTTGCATGGAAAACCCTCCCATATTCATGTTGGCAGCATTCGGCATGAGAGGGGATGATGCCATGATAGGAGTAGGGTTGTGGACGATGGGAGACGAGTGATGGGCGGCCATGGCAGCTTGTTGTTGGAGATGTTGTTGCTGGGGATTTGCAGCCATGGGCGTTTGGCTCTGAGCCAGGTTGTGCGCATGTTGCTGCTGCAATTGTTGTTGCTGTTGTTGTTGTTGTAGCTGAGCGGCCTGCTGCTGCTGCTGTTGTTGCTGGAGAGCCTGTTGTTGGGCCTGCTGCTGAGCCTGTTGCTGCTGCATCAATTGTTGTTGTTGCATCATCATCTTCTGCTTCTGTTGCGTAGCGACTTGCTCTTGTCTGTTCCTGTCCTCCATAAGCTTCCTCTTTTGGGCCAGCGCAGCATCGTGTTGACGCTTCTCGATCGCCTTCTGTGCTTCCTCTTCCTTCTTCTTACGATCATTCTCCTCGTGGTTCTTCTTAATAGTTTCGAGCGTCTTGAATCTGGAGAACCCAAGAGCGACCGAGGCAGTTTGACCTTCAGACGCCGAGGTACCATTAACACCACGTAAAGAAGGCTTTGTGCGCTCGTCCATAATAAGCATGCGTCTCTCTTCTTCGAAAGCTTGTGCGTCGTCGAGGGCCATTTCGGCATGTGTACGTTTGCGTGATCTTGGAGAGGGCGGGGGCTCTGAGTGCAGGGGATGTTGAAGCAGTCGCAGGGCCATCTCGGCCTCCTCGGCCGACTTTGCAGGTTCTAACAGCAGCGGCGGCTCGCTCGAAACAAGCATACTGGCCTCGAACTGGTAGTAGTCCTTCTCGTCGAGGGCCAGCGCAGCCTTGTTTGGTTGGTTGGCAAGGTGCATCAACTCGTGATGACGTGAAAGATCTGTGGGGTGCAGGACAATGGTCGAGGTCCTGGGACCGGTATGGGCTTGTTCCTTGGAGCCATCGTGTTGCTTGACAGACTCGGATCTTGACTTGGTGGATAGAGATGTACGGTCCGAAGCCTTCTTGGGGTATGGACCAAAAGGAGAGGGNGTAACATGATCGTGGTAGTTGTGCATAGAGAAGGGAACGTTGTGGTCAGCCGACGACACGGACAGGTTGCCAGGAGTTGCTGTCTTTGCGACAGAGGACTTGTGATTGACGATATTGACAATAAGACAGCCATCATAGAAGGCAACGCCGTTCTCCAGCAGGTCTTGAACCATCTCGTGGGGGATGGTCTGTTTGCGCAAGTGTTGTAGGATGAATTTCATGGGAGAGTCGTAGGGGAAGCTGCCGTCTTGCTGGTCGAAGCGGAAGAAGGTGGCATGCAGATGAATGGTGAGCGAGGGAGGACTACCGCGGAACTTGCGCAGGATGTGCTCTGACGATCTGACGTGCGGTTCGGACATCTTCTTGACGGGGGTATCGCTGCCTGTCCCAGTCGTGTGAGTATTGGCGCGCGTGCCCAAGCGGGCGCTCAGGCTGGGTCGCGGCCGGCGCATCGCATGACCGGCCTTTGCTGTCGTCGCCGTCGCCATGCCGAGTGCTGGCACTAAGCTCTGCCGCTCTCTGCTCGAAGAATAGATGGGCGCGCACAAAGCTCTGGATGCTCAAGGTGCTCGTGCGATGTGATCGGCTCCAGTCTGGGGGACATGTTGAACGGAGATGCCAAGCCCTCCTTTTCCCGTTTAGGCAGTCTTACGTCACTTTCACATGACAACTGCTGTCTACATTTACAGGCCAGGGACCATGCATTGTGCAAACACACGCTCTTCTGTGTTAGTTCTTCATCAAACATGGCAGAAATAGCAGCCGGAGCCGTAGTCGCCGAACAGGCCGTAACAACAACCCTAGAAGGAGGAGCAATCGCTGGATATGCAGTCGCCAAACCCACCGTTCCTCTGAAAGCTACCTTCTCGCAGATTGCTACTGCAGACAAAGACGATACTACGTATCAATATACACATGACCATATGAGAGATTATAACTGACACATGCTCAGTCTGGCGCTTGCACGTTCACACCATACCGTCAGTATTGCTACTGATAAGGCGTGCATATTTGGAGGCCAATCCACCAACGGAAGGCTGGCATCCAACGACATCCACACAGTGACCCTTCCCCTGAAGAAAACAAACTCTACCGACGTTGCTTATGCCTGCTACCCAGCTGTTCCTCGCGATGAAGGAGCTGCTGTACCGAGTGCTCGCACCAGACACGCGGCATGTGTTCAAGGCCACGAGCTAGCTGTCTTTGGAGGTTGTAACGAAAATCACTCGCCTGTGGATCCAGACTCCTCCCTATGGATATGGAACATCGAATCGTCAAAGTGGCATCAAATCGTTGCAGATAGGTATGCACTATTTCGAGCACCTTGATTGCCAATGCTGATCATCCTACCTTAAAGCCCCAAGCCCTTACCTAGGTTCGACCACAAGCTGTTCCATTATGGTGGCCATCTTTTGCTCCATGGAGGACGATCATCTACTCAAACTCAGTTGAATGACACCTGGTTCTTTGATATGATCTCTCACACGTGGACTCGCCTACCTGATTCTCCAGAGCACTCGGAGAGTGTAGCCTTTGCTGATGGCACTCTCTACCTGATTACCAACTCGCCAGCAGAGGGCATCACTCATGTTTACAAACTTGAGATTGGCGACAGTGTACCTACCCCAGGATCGCCTCATGGACTAGAATGGCAGAGGATCACTAATCCATCCGAAGTCCCATCCTCTGGCCCGAATGCTCGACTCGGCGGTGCATTAGTGCCCGTGACGACTGGATATGGTCGTCTATACCTCATCTACTTCTTCGGCAGCAAGGAAGTTCATGCGGATGCCGAAGATCTCGAAAAATCGATCGAGTCAGGCGAAACAACTCGACCTATCGAGTCAGATCTATGGACCTACCAGCTGCCATCCAAGTCAACCAAACCTACGACCTGGACAGACTTCAAGCCAGCTGCCATTAAAGACACGATTCGGGACAAGTTGGGCTACAAGACTGGCGGCTACGAGTGGGCCGAGGTCGAAGTGCAAGCCACAGAGCAGAGCGGTCATGAGGGCAAAGTGCATCCCGGCCCTCGAGCCTTTTTCGGTGCAGATGTCGCGAGCGATGGACAAAGTGTAATAATTTGGGGAGGAGACAACGCAAGGGGCGAGAAGGAAGCGGACGGCTGGCTCATCCGCTTCGAATGAGTTCCCGTATAGGGACTATGAGTTGACGAAGAAAAGCATGGGCAGGTGTATTATCGTGATTCATGAGGTATACAACGATCCTCTGAGGATTACGCTGACCCGACATATCGCCTCTTTCCCACAGTGCGTGCACTCATTTTGCCTTTGCCATTGTCTTGCAAAGGGTGTTCTCTCTCCCACTTCTCGTCATCTTGATAGGCCTCGACGGCAGAGTCCAGGTCATATTCATGCTGCTCGAGATATAGTTGTGCGACATCGTATCTAGAAGACAATTAGAGTCAGGAAACATGGGCTATATGTAGGACAGCAAGTACTTACTCGGATACTTTGCATGTCACCATGAAGCGGCGTAGCTTTGATTTGCGCAACTCCTCCTCTTCACCCTCGATTGGTCTAGGACTCAGACTCACGCCCTTGTAGTACTCTCCAGGAATGATGACGGTTCTGCGACCCTGAATAAGATGATCTGCAAATACGTTGTTGGCCTTCCTCAGGGCAGGAAGAGGTACACCGTATGCGAGAGATAATGAGAGAGCGGTGTCGGCAGGTGTCAAGAAATGTAACACATCTGGGGCGTTCTCGCGCGGCTTCTCTGACGGAGGCTGCAACGGCTCGTGTGAAGAGTAAGCAGGCGGTGCGTCGTGATCCTTCTCAGATAGTGGCAGGGCAGGGTCTTGTGTGTCATTGTATGGCGGAGGGTCACGAAGGCCCTGAGGTAGTGTAGATTGCGGATCTGTGGAGATTTGACAATATGGGCAATACGAGTTGTAGCGAGGATTCTTTGTAATGCATCGTTGGCAGACGGGTCGCTCGCAGCAGGAGAGGTGGCGGGCAGCGATGGTGGGCTTCTCAGTCTTTGAGTCTATCGTGTCCAGCACCGATGAACAGATGCAACACGCCGGAATAGAGGAGGACATGGTCAAGGACAGGCGAGGTCGACAAGGTTAGGGATATGGCGATGGTCAAACAGGCACACAGAGGATCGCGAACATGGAAGAAACAACAACCTGACACTTTTGGCCACGATGATGTCGTTCATGGCTATCATGTCGACAGATCAGCACGGGATGATACTCAATCGGGCAGGATTCTAGAATACGGCGTCCATGGACGGGTCAGTGTGTCGCGGAAGGCAACGGGAAGGCTTTCGGGCGGCTCGCGGGGTGGCGAGGAATTCTTTGAGTGGTTTGATCGTATCGGGTGACGGGCACAGACAGGGCCGAAGCAACAGGAGAAATCGAATGACGATCACAAATACCTTCCGCCTGCCTCATTTCCTGCCGTATCCACCTCTGTTCACTCTTTTCCTACAACCACAAACTATCCTACGACCAGCCACAAAAACACCTTGAATCAATCACAGCTCCAGCGCCAATTGCCTCTGTTCTGGTCGTCTCCCCCAAGCGCAACAACAAACGGAGCTTCGCGGATCGCAACTTCTTCCACTCGCGTGCCGGCTTGAAGCCACAACAAGCACAAGCACAAGCGCAAGCACAGCACAATGCAGTCCGCCATGGCCAACGCGACCATGCTGCCTCTGCCTCCTCTACCCACATACACCTTGACGCCTCTACAACCTCTGCTCTCCTGGATCCCCGACCTCTACTTGGCCCTGATTCTTCCCGTAGCCGCTTACTGGATCGTTTCCTTCGTCTTCCACTTCATCGACGAGTACGACTTGTTCCCTCAATACCGCCTACACACTCCTGCCGAGGTCCTCAAGCGCAACCACGTCTCTCGATGGGACGTTTTCCGCGATGTTATCATCCAGCAGGTCATCCAGACGGCCGTCGGTCTTGCCATAACCATCATTGAGCCTGAGGCTACCATCGGACAGGACGACTACAATGTTGCTGTTTGGGCTCAGCGGATTCGCATCGCCCAGCGTGCAATCCCCACCGTGCTTGCCTTTACCGGCCTCGACGCCAACACCATTGCAACCAAGCAGGCTGTCGCACATCCAATCCTCTCTGCTGCCTTGAAAGGTGGTAGCTACAACCTCTATCAGCAAGCAGCTTCGGGCGACCTCATCCCAGCCTTTGCCTCGTGGGAGCTCACGCTAGCAAAAGCCATCTACTGGATCGGTATTCCCGCCTTGCAATTCACCTTTGCCGTCCTCGTCGTCGACACATGGCAGTACTTCTGGCACAGAGCCATGCACATGAACAAGTGGCTCTACACAACCTTCCATTCTCGTCACCACCGCCTCTACGTCCCCTACGCCTACGGCGCTCTTTACAACCACCCCTTCGAGGGCTTCCTTCTTGACACCTTGGGTACTGGTATTGCCTACATGCTTGCCGGTATGACTTGCAGACAATCCATGTGGTTCTTTACTTGCAGCACAATCAAGACGGTCGATGACCACTGTGGATACGCCCTTCCTTGGGACCCCCTCCAGCACATTACCAGCAATAACGCTGGTTACCACGACATCCACCACCAGAGCTGGGGCATCAAGACCAACTTCAGCCAGCCATTCTTTACTTTCTGGGACGGTCTTCTTGGTACAAAGTGGGTCGGCGGAGACGTCTCTGCTCGCTACGAAAGATCAAGAATTGCTGCTCAGAAGAAGATCGACCAAGACAATATCTCTCACTCTAGCCCTGCACAGAGTCTTGAGGTCGAGCTTTCACCATACGAGTCTGAAGAGAAGAATGCCAGCACACTAGCAAAGCAGTCACAAGCACAACTCGACCCTAGCATCCCGGAAGGCAAAGCAGCACTGCAAGCTCTTGGATCTAGACAGCAGATCCTGGACGACCAGGCCGGAGGCGGTGTTCAAGTCCTCCTTGAAGAAGCGGCCGAAGAGCGTGAAGCACAGCGTGTCCTGCGCCGCAGCCCTAGGAAGAAGACGGTATCGCAAGCGTCATCGGCTCCACTCAAGGGTCTGCGAGATAGAGTCAATACCAGCCTGCATGGGAAGGCGAGTGGCGTGCTTGTTGAGAGCAGCAGATGAACTTTGATTCTTTTTCTTGTTGTTCAGCGCCGTTCTTCATAATGTTTATTATACCCTTCTTTCACTACCATTCATGGCCTTTGCAAGAGGCATTTATTCACCTGTCACTTCTCTTCTTTTGTTTTATCGTCTTCTTCTCTTCTAACTTTCAAGACTTTCGTGTAGAATAAGCTTAGGGTCTTTCTTCTTCCACACTTGTGTGTTGATTTACATGGCGTTGGAAAGGAACTGGAGTGTTGGACTTTGTTGGACGAATTTAATCGGAAACTCGTTGTCTCGAGCCCATCGAATGAAATGGTTCCATCACAACCTGTTTGCATCATTGCTGCTTCTCGTGCACAAATTCTTGTTACAAGTAGTTCCTGTTGTCATGTGTTCTCCAATCAGAGTACTCAAGCGAGCCAGATTTTCTGTTATGCAAAGGGTCTGATAAATTATACTGATACGGATGCCGAAAACAAAGAGATTCGTTCATTGATCCGTTAGTACAATCAACACAAGAGACATTTCGAATCAAGAAGGAACAAGAGAAGAGCAAGAACAAAAAAAGGACATTATTCCATCTCCGTCGCAGAAAGGCAGAAACCGATTTGGCTCGCCGAAATTTATGAAAGAATCCTCCCGAGCAGGAGAATAGTAAAGAAGAAGTCCTTGAAAGGCAACAGCAGGCGAAGCAGCCTCTGATTGGTAAAGACAGAGGAAAAAGTAAGAAAGAAAAATAATAAATAAGAACCCCACTCCCTTTGCCCAATGGATGCAACCTCCCGTTTCGTGTGTTATCGTGACCCTTTCGATGAGAACAATTGTAATAACTCGATGGCTTTGTCAAAGAAAACTCCATTCACCTCCCTGAGCGACCCCACTGATGCGACGAGCTCCGTCATCCATCCGTCTTTCCAGAAGACTCCTCCCTTTCGAGGATGCATATGCGTGGAATGTTTTGTGCGTGTCCAAAAATTTGCGTCATGTTTGTACAGTTATCACTGGTTGAGCTGACCGACCTGGGAGTCGTGTTGTTGACTTCGCTGAGCTTCGAGACGGGCGGCACGTCGTCTCTCGATCTTGATCTTCTCGGCTTCGGTGCCGTCGTCTTCGTAGTGTTCCTTGAACCAGTCATGCTGCAGGGCTTGGTGTGCTGTGATACGCTTCTTTGGGTCATAGACAAAGATCTTCTTGAGCAGGTCGAGGAACTTGCGGTTGAACTCGTTGTGGGCTGGGATGATTTCCTGAAGAGTGTATAAGTATGGTGCCTATTGGTTCTGGCTGAGGCCAGCTGGACGAGCAACTCGAGGGGCTGGACGGGGTGAGGGAATAGGGGGNCAGGGGAAGTTCTCAAGTCTGGAGAGGGTGGGAGGACTTACATGAAGAGGTTTCATCGCCTTGACAAACTTGCGGGATGAGCGAGGAGTGTCGCTCTGAGGGTAGTCGAGTTGTTGCCGTCTGAAGTAACTTGAAAATAGTTAGTGGACGTCCCGTAGTCAAAGTGTGTGGCTGGGGACTTACGCTGCAGCAGAGTTCTTGTTGCTGCCACGGCCAGAGGTGACTTGGCGGACAAGTGCCTTGTCAATGGGAGTGTTGCACACGGCTTCCATCATTGCCAGATGCTCCAAGTTATCGTGCGTCTGGAACAAGGCATCGCCTGTGAAGAACTCGACGAGGATGCAGCCTATGCTCCAAATGTCGCAAGGGAAGCTCCATCCGAGGTTGAGTATGATTTCGGGGGCACGGTAGTGGCGGGTCGAGACAACAGATGAGTGATACTCGTCGTCAAAGGTGGCCGAACCAAAGTCGATGAGTCGAATCTCGGGGTCAAGCAGCACCCTACGGAACTTTGCCGAGCGGGGATTTGTGTTTGATGATGACGGGATGTTGCGGTTATATGTGAAGGTCTGGTAGTGGTTTTGTACAAGGAGAATGTTCTCGGGCTTGAGATCGGTGTGGATGAGGTTGAGATCATGCAGGACTGTGGACAAGAGTTAGAGGGAGACAGACAGAAGTGACAACCGAGACTTACAGGCGACGCTCGTAAAGAGCTGGCGAGCAAACTGCTGGATGTGAGTGCTGGGGAAAGGTACGAAGGTGTTGCTCTTGAGGAAGTCAAAGACGCTCTGGCCCAAGAGGTCGGTGACGATGCAGATGTGGTTGCGGAAGTCAAACGTGTCTCGCAGGTGAATGCACTTGTTGCGGTTGTGCTTGTCGTTACATGCCAGCGTCGACAAGACCCTCAACTCGATGCGACTAGCATCGCGGTATTTCTGCACAGAACGGATGATCTTGATGGCCACGTCGGCGTTTCTCCTACGATCATATGCTTGTACCACCTTGCCGAACGTGCCTTGGCCGAGGAGCTTCACGATCGAGTCTGTCGAGAAAAGGTCAGTGCTACTCGGGGCGTGTCCAAGCAGTGTCGACTTACATCGCTCCGTCAGGTCAGCGTGGTCATGGACAATGTAATGACCGTCGTCATCGTCAACCTTTTGGTCACGCTTGGCCGTTCTNCTGCACCTGCATTAGCAAACAAAGCAAGTGATCGAACAGGCATTGGATCAACATACGTCTGGTACCAAGGGCACAAAGACATCCTTGGCCTTAAGCGGTGGCTTGGGTGGAGGGACATACTCGGCGAAGGGATCAGGACGAGCAATGACTTCGCGCTTCTTTTGGTCGGCGGCGGCCTGACGAGTGGTCCTCTTGCGCTTCTGGCCCGTGGCAGCATCTTCGGCATAGGCACTGGCACTTGGTTGCGAGGCCAGAGATGTGGCAGCCGACGTCTTGTACGATGTGGGGTTCTGGTCGGTCGAGGCAGCGTCATAGTACGGCGTGTGGGTATTGGAGTACTCGGCGTGATGGTAGATGGGGTCATANGTTTGTGGTTTTTCTGCGTTTGTCCATGTGCTGCTGGGTTGTGCTGGCGGGCGGGGCGGGGTTCTGGTATGTCTGAGTAGCAGCGGGCGCTTCTTCTTCTTCTTCTTCTTCTTCTTCTTCTTCTCCTTCTTCTTCTTCATCGTCATCGTCGATGACTATGATTTCCTTGGGAGGCTTGCCGCCGAAGAACTCGTTCAATCGACTGGCTGATTCCTCGGCCTCTTGACAGCAGTGCCATTCGAGGAAGCAGCGGTTGAAGGTGGGGCAGGATAGGGTGCAGCAGCGGTAGCGGTGGTGGTGGTGGTGGCAGTCCGTGACGGAGGATAGCCGTTGGCATATGGTTGCGGGGGATATGAGTAGTCGGTCATGGCTGGGAGATACTGGTGGGACTGGTAGTGGTTCGGGGCAAGGGTAGCGGTAGCGGTTTGAGGAGTCGACATGTTATCACGGGCGTGGTGGTCGTGGTCGTGGTCGATGTCGTCGTCGGCAGCGTGCAGCGAGCGAGGCAGGTCGTCTATCAGCGAGACTCGGCCCACTCGACACGGGCGATTCTGGGGCAGCGACTTTGGTGCGGACAAGACTCCCGGCTCGTTCGACAGACGAGCGGCAGTAGGACGGCCTGGGCAATGCAGAAGAAGTCTGGCGTAGAGACCTCACTCGCAGAGAACAAGCGGCTTAACTGCGGCTGTGCGTGAAGGCGGCGTGACCGAGTGACGGGCCTGCGAGCGGTGCAGAGTCAACCTGGTCGTGCTGGTCGAGGGACGTGAAGAAGCAGACGCTGAAAACGTGTGCCAGAGGGCTGGACGAGAAAGCGTGCGAGACAGCAGCGACAAGGACGACGAGCTGCTCCTTCACTGTGCTTCGTCATTCTGGCACTCTCCGCATCTTCATCTTTCTCAGACCCTCAACAACACTACCTGACTGTCTATTGCCCTTTATTTTCATCCCGTCTTGTCTTCTTGCTGCATACTCCCTCGCATAATGTTGCCCTCAAGTTCAATGCATCTTCTGAGACCATTCTGACTCTCTGACCCCATGTGTTGATTGTCTCATCCAATTGGTATTTCCTGGCGTAGTGGCGCTGAACAGCCAACCTCCATTGTCCGTTCTGGCTTGTCTCCACAAGTCGCCAGAAAATTACACTTCTAATTCTATGCGATCCAACTACTGCATGGGCATCGGAATGAGTGTCGAGCGGGTTCTGTACGAGCCGAGGGCTGCATAGCACTCATAAAGCTGAAGTCTAGACTCTTCCACGATGATCGAGAGCTGCGCTTCGCTTTTACAAACCCTCTCTCTCTCTCTCTCTGCTTCGGTACACTTTCAATACCACTGCTGGTCCCAAGGTCTGTTCCATGCTCACAGGGATGTACATGAAAACTGTGAGTCTTGAAATTGCCCGATTCTATTTGGCTCCAGAACTATCTCCATCAAAAGTCGACGAGACAATGTCCTTGACGATACAGTATGCATTGTTGTTCTAGTTGATAAACCTGTACTCTAGGAAGCTGATATCCAGCCATGTACGAAAACCTCAGACATCTGACGAAAATGTGCGGATCGAAGGAGTTACGCTTTCTGGAAGTACTCCTCAATCACTCTCGCAGTCTTTTGCACTATCAGCTCGATCACGTCAGCCGTCACATTGTACGCAGGAGCAAGGAGAATGTGGTCTCCGATCTTGCCGTCAACAGTGCCACTTCCAGGGTAGAGCGTGATGTTGTGTGGATCACTCAGCCCTGCAATCGGTCAGCACCTCTTCTACAAACCACCTAAACAATCAGTCCTCCAAACTCACCCTTTNTCATGGATGTTCATTGCGACATTCTCTTTCGGATCGAATGGCTCTTTGGTTGTCTTGTCTTTGACAAATTCAATCTGTTTTCCGTCAGCGCCGAATCAATGTTGTCCTCGAGTAAGTAAATAGCTCACTCCCCAGAAGAGTCCTTTTCCTCGCACATTACCAACATGAGGCAATGGCAAGACTTTCTGCTTCAAAACTTCCTCCAGCTTCTCGCCCATAGCAGCCACATTCTGTACCAGCTTCTCCTCTTGGATGACTCTGAGTACTTCCAGCGCCGCTCGGCAACTGACAGGATGACCTTGATATGTCTGGCCATGAGTAAAAGCACCGGTGCCTCCAAAGAGTGTATCTGTAACCTTGCGACTGATTAGTACGCCCGCTACAGGCGCATATCCGCCACCTAGTCCCTTGCCAATTGTCTGTACATCGGGTGTGACGCCAATGAGGGATGACTGCCAGGCGTGCAAGGTGCCTGTACGGCCCATACCACATNNTACTTCGTCCAAAATCAAAAGCGCCCCATACTTATCGCAGATAGCGCGTACTGCCTGGAAGTAACCCTTGACCGCTGGAACACAACCCAGAGCCNNTGTTCGCGGTCAGTATGTATCAGAGATCTTGGCCAATTTACTTACAGCACCGACAACAGGTTCGGCAACGAAGGCACACACATTCTCCGGTCCGAGGCGCTGGAACTCGTCATCAAGCTCATTTGCCAATCTGTCCACGTATTGTGCCTCTGTCTCGCTCTTCTTCATGCCACGATACGCGTTGCAGGCAGAGACCCTACTCATGTTTGGGAGCAACATGGGCTCATATAGAGCACGGCGTGCCTTGTGGCCGCTGATCGAAAGTGCTCCGAGGGTCGTTCCGTGATAGGACTCGTGCCTGGCGATAAACTTGGTTCTCTGTGGTTGTGGGGGCTTGGACTCGAGGTAGTGTTGTCTTGCAAGCTTGAGAGCTGCCTCCATTGCTTCGGAACCTGAGCGTCGTCGTTAACGACCGTCGAATTGTTTGACTAGACGATATGCCGTACCAGAGCTGACAATATACGCCTTCGACATGGCTCCATCCGTTGAATCGACGAGTTCTTTTGCAAGCTTCTCTGCAGCTTCCGTAGCAAATGTTGCAGAATGTACGTACGATACAACATCCAATTGACTTATAATCGCCTCCTTCACACGCTTGTTGCCATGCCCAAGACATGATACAGCCGCTCCTCCTGTAGCATCGAGCAGTTTTCCACCATCGGATAGATGCAGGTAGTTTCCAGTAGCTCCAACCACTGATATTGGGTCTGAATGGAGACTTCGATGGAAAACAGCGCTTCGCGATTCGGTTATGGCCATCTTAAAAATTGAGAAACCTACAAATCGGTTTGTGATCCATGAAACCGCAGCGTGAATGGTCTATCTATCTATAGATCGGCAAACTTCATCAGGGACGGGAAGCACAAAAGATGGGGCGGGCAAGTGAACGCATCTGGTCAAGCAACCACAATATTCACTCGTACGCGTATAAGCATAAGGTCACAACTGATAAGAGTTGTCATCGTAGAGAAACCTTGAGGTTAGGTTGTAGTGGTCAAAGCGAAGACGCGAGGTCACTCCTACTCAACACCAGAAACACGTACTGGTAGATGATGTAGTCTGCAAAGAGGGTTGGATGAACGGTCACACGCTTGTTACTCACTCTCTCCAGCAAACACTTTACTTCCAAATGCTTCTCATAACCTCTTCTTCTCACGTACTTCGAAGCATAGGATCGAAAATTACGACTCCAATTCTCAAAACCCAACTCTGCAACATGAGTGTCAGTCCGCCACCTCTGAAGAGAAGGCGTTTGGGCGACAACGACACCAAGCCCACCACTCTGCCCATAAATCCTCCGGACAAGGATCACCTGCGCGTGTATTCCTGGAACGTCAATGGGATCCAGCCCTTCATACAGAAGTCTATCACTTCATTCTTCCAACCCAAGAGATTATCATCCAAACGACCAAAGACAGACGCCACGGCCACCGCATCCCTGCGGGATTTCCTACGGCGGCATTCCTGGCCTACCATTCTCTGTCTCCAGGAAGTAAAGATCAATCCAAGTGACGAGGCGACTAAATCGGCAGTGCGACAGGCCGTCAGAAGTACCACAGAAGACGGGCCTGACTACGAAGCCCACTTCTGTCTACCCACCGATCCTCACAACGCCCGCGGTTTTGGTAGAAAAGTATACGGTGTATGCACCATAATTCGCAAAAGTTTTGTCGCCAAGTATCAACCGACCGTGCGAACCGTGGATTGGGATCTCGAAGGCCGCATTCAGATTGTCGAGACAGTAGAACCTAAATTGAGCATCTGGAACATTTATGCAGTCAATGGCACCGACAATCCGTACAAAGACAGCAAAACGGGAGCTGTGGTGGGTACCAGACATGACAGGAAGCTCGCAGTGCACAAACATATGCTCGACGAGGCGAAATCACTGGAGGCACAAGGCTTCAGTGTAATACTTACAGGCGACTTGAACATTGCTCGATGTCACCTGGATGGTCATCCCAATCTACGCACATCCCCTCAACAGCATATCATCAATCGCGCGGATTTCAACAAGAAGATCTTTGACGCGGATGAAGGGCTCAAAGCTATCGATACATACAGACAAATTCATGGAGATGAGAAGGGATATACGTATTATCCTCGCGGAAGGAAGTTTGGAAGCAGTTGCGACAGGGTTGATCTGATTATTTGTTCCAGATCTTTGAAGAAGAAGGTTGTTGACGCAGGTGTCTATGCTACGGAGAAGGAAAGAGGGCCCAGCGACCATGTTCCTCTGTTTGCAACTTTCGATCTTAAACAGGACGACCAGGCGACAGCTAGTAAAACATGAGATGTATCGTTTTCATCACAGATTAAGACGCCCATTTTAATCTATAAGCTTCTTGTTGACCATATTTCGACTCCTTGTCCCCGACCGTCTCTACGCCCAATCTCGAGATTTCTGTTCATTGTAGCCTTGTGAGCAATACCACCTCTGATGACTTGGCTTGCTTCGGATGGGAGAGACGCTTTGAGAGAATGTATCCGTAGCTGTATCCTTGACTTGGTAATCTCTTGAACCTGATCGCATGGCTGTCTGTGGTTGACGTACGAAGGCGCACTCGAGATGGACGAGCATTTGAGTCGTGACGGATCCCATGTGCCGCTGTCGTACACACTGCCACTTGTGCCCAGTAGGGTTGTCTCTTCTGACGATTGTGCCGACATGTCTTTCTGTAACAATTTCCTCGGGCCCAAGTCATTCATCCAGCTCTTGCCTTCTCAACCTCTTTCAGCACGACAGCGACCAGCTGTCTGAAAGCCTCCATCTCCTCTTCGACACTGCCGCCGTTACCAGCCGACGAAAAGTTGACCGAGCTGCCAACCTGTACAGGCAGATTTGTTCTTCTCGCCAACGTTTTAGCCAGTCGGTCGGCAAAGTCTAGACTTGATGGGAGTGTGTATAGAGGTGTGCTGAGTGGTGCTGAGGGGTTGTAACGCNNTGTGTCTCGACGTCAGTATGTGGAGATCGAACAAGTTGTTTGCAAGATACATACATCAGGCATGGCATAGACAAAGCTGCCGAGCGAAGGTATGGCAGAGGAGGAGAACTCGGCTGTAGTGCTGGTGCAGAAGATAAGGATGGACGTCGCGAGGATGGTCAAATGCGTGTGGATGCGGCTTCCGGGTGCGTTTGGCAAGGGCATGGAGAATTGAATTGGTTCCGTCAATTTCGACTCTGGGCCAGTACCATTTGTGAGTGGTCTACTTGCTTCGGTGGCCATGTTTGTTATTGGTATGTTTGTTCGAGGAGCAAGAGTTAATTGATCGCATCTATGGTTTCATGATCATGATGGTCATGTTTGCCTTGTTTGCTACTTGTCTCCCTACTATTTGATAACGGCTATATAACTAATCGGCCAGTGCTTCATACCACTCTCTACAGTCATTTGCAGCATTTTTGAACAGTATGGATAATATGCATGAACAGATGTCAGTACCTTGCGAGGACGTGACAGACGATGAGGGCTCGGAGATTGATCCGCTCTGTGATCCTGAAGAAAGAAGGGTTCTGTTTGCTGCCCTCGATTCGTTCCGGTAAGTGCATCAGATCTTTCGTTTTCAATGTGCAATATAAATTGGGAAAGTGTAAGTGTGTGAGGATAAAAAGACAATGCCAAAACGCGGAAGAAGAAGAACACGTTCTGAATTGGCGACCTCTAGACAATATCGCCAGGCTGCCCACTATAACATCACCCATCTACGACGCCAATCTTTCTACTCGCTTCCTCTGGCTCACATGGAATTACTGGCTTCCGAGCCATTCAGTTTGCCAAAGACTTTGGACGCGGTAGATGCGGCAATTGATGCAAATGCCGATATAGCCGAGACAGTTCTTGCACTGGGCCTCAACATGTACGGTATAGACCCCGAATCAACCGACTGGCATGGAGCAGCCACCTCACAAGACATGGACAAAGTACGCTCGACTATCCGCCAGCTATACCGCGATTGGGCGGCCGAAGGTGCTTCCGAACGAGAAGCATGCTACAAGCCCATCTTGGCTGGCCTCAACAGAGCCTTCGAAGACACTAGTCCAGCCAAGCGCTCTCATGTGAGTGTTCTGGTTCCAGGCGCCGGACTAGGTCGTCTAGCGTTCGAAATATGTAATGCAGGCTACGCCATGGAAGGAAACGAGATCTCGTATCATCAACTCCTTGTCAGCAATTGGATACTCAACTACACTCCAGGGCCCAAGTCACAACCCGTGTACCCCTGGGCGCTGGGTTTTTCAAACCATACGCGCCGCTCCCACCAACTCCAGAAAGTACAGGTCCCTGATGTCTGGCCGTCCGAAGAGCTGGACAAGAGCTGCAAGGATCTGGAAGCAGAACTACACGCTTATCAGCGAATGTCAATGTCTTCGGGCGACTTTTGCGTCTTGTACAAAGAGCCGCGATACGAAGCTGCTTTTGATGCAGTCATTACATGCTTTNTTATCGACACGGCACCCAATCTGATCGCCTATATCGAAACCGTCAAACACTGCCTCAAGCCCGGGGGCGTGTGGATAAATCTTGGGCCCTTACTTTGGCATTTTGAAGGCGGCTCGCCTGGGAAGAAAAACTCGACTTCGTCCTCCTCTTCTTCAGAGACAGGCAGAGAGGACCAAGACAGGAATCGAGGCATTGGCGAGTCTGGTTCTTTCGAGCTCGCAGATGAGGAAGTCGTCAAGCTGATCGAGCATTTTGACTTCAAGATTGTCGAACATGATTCGGCTATTGGAGAGGCGGGCTACATACAAGACCCACGCAGCATGTTGCAAAACATGTACAAGCCTAGTTTCTGGATGGCTAGAAAACAATAAGTAAAGAAAGTCTGAATTTGGGTTTCGATATATTTCCTCTTTCCCACCATCTTTGCAGCTGGAACGCTGCAGCAGCAAGCCGCAGTGCGAGTCACTTAAGATAATGCTGACGATACATAAAACGCCACGCCTCTGCTCGCTAACTGTCCGACTTTATTTCAGCGGCCGCCATGATCCGAATTTGATCTGTCCCCTTGCTACACAGTATGCCCGAAGATGGCCCTATTTCTAGTAGCCTGGTCACAATGTCCTTGAGTGTTTGACTATGCGCAAAGTCACGTTGGTCTCGACCACAATCCATGGTCCATTTGTGCTGTTACTGACAAGATTGGAGTTTGCCGGGTCTTGCTCGAGGCCTCTGATCTACAACGGGTGTTTGAATGATTGCTTGCCTGCTTTTGAGACAAAGTTCCTGGGCTTTCAACCACCTTGGCCGTTGGGTGGTGTGATGTTGGGGACTGACTTTCTAGGTCCTGTGCTCCAGGGTGACATACCCGCCCCAAAGAGCAGAGGACTCTGCATGCCTGTATAGTGTCCTGAAAAGCTCTGGTAACGGTCTCCGCGGGCGCCAATACTATTGTAGGGATTTGGAGTCGGCTCGAAAGAAGACAGCCCGTCTGGCTGTGGGAGAGGACTTCGGATAGAGTTTGTCGAGTTCACGCGGGAATGCGCGTTCGAACGTCTGGCGCTGGCTGAGATGGGGAGTCCAGGAGGTGCACTTCCGAAAGGAGTTATCGGGCTTGTTTCTCGTATAGGTGCACCATTCCAGATGTTGGAGACCGAATGCAGACGCTGTGAAGGAACGCCAGTCGGACTCAGAGGTAGCTGCCATGCTTCTGTTCGCAGTTCGGGCGTTCGAACAGCCTGGAAACCACGCGGCGAAACCCCNCTAAGGGCAGCGTTGCCGTTGTAGCCGGTAACACCGAAAGAGTCATTCGGACCTGGAGGAACAATGTCGTCTTCGTCGGGCCCAACAAGATCATCAACCATTTGACTGAGTTGGGCCTCTCGATTGAGCGGCTTTGTGTTGGTAGTGGCTACTGTCACAGGGAGTTCGGAGGTTGGAGACAAATGTCTTTGCGCAACGGGTTCTTGCTGAGCCACAAGGGACGTAGTGTTCTGCATCGTTGAGCGAGGTGGAGCAACCTCTGGAAGTGGGTTGACCGAACTGCCGTCAGCTGAGCTAGGATCTTGGTGGATGAAATGCAAGCCATCAAAGGTGATGGGTACGTCCTGAATTGACGATTAGCCTAGGACGAAAGAAATGTCACAATTGTGGGTACAAACCTTGTCAACGGCAAGCAGCAAGGCATCGAAAAGAAGTTCACGAACTCTTCCAAGCATTTCTTGGTTAGTGTCAAGACGATTGATGCCTTCATCGTTGTATTTAGCCTTGGTCTGTCCGGTTGAGTCGTCCATCCAGACTTTGCGCGATCTGTCCGAGTTTAAGGGCTTGAGACCAAAGGCATCAACATCTTCCTCAAGCTGGTATGGAACTTCTTCGAGCTCGCGGAACGAGAAATTGAATGCCATGATAGACAATGTCTTAGTGTAAGTATGCCAAAAATGATCCATAGCGGTTTGGAAAGGTTCATCGCCAACGCGTGCCGCAACAATATGAGCATTACTCAACAACCAAGTGCTGTAGAGACGCAAAGCAGGCAGGACATGACGTGCCAAGTCCGTAAGCTTATCGACAAGACTTGAAGTTTTGGCATGCTCCTGAAGGTGCTTCTCGAGGTCGACATAGTAGACCTCTAACATTGCCGTGAAAAACTTCACATTCAGACGCAGAAAAAAGAAGTAAGAGTGCATGAATTCGTGTTGATCAGGCTTGCTCTCGAACTGGTTGCCGGCAGTGGCCTGGGCGCAGAAGTTGATCAAGGTCATCTTAGATAGGATGCCGTCCAGAGTGCGCGTTTTGATTTCGGTGACAGTGCGACTCAAAACTTCACGCTCGAGCTCGTTGTAGCCAGTAAACTGCTCGCCATTGTAGCTAAGGCTGTGGAAGCGAATGAACCAGGATACAAGAGCCTTGCGCGAAGCAATCGGGTCCTGAGGAGAGTGTTTAGGCACCAAATCGCCTTTCTGCCATCCAGTTTTGATCTTCTTGAACTGCAGTTCCAGATTGGGAATGGCGTTGGGGTGTGGTTCGTTAACGTTGATGGAACGGTAAAGATAGTATGTAGAGCGGAGAAAGTCGCCTTGTTCAAAGGCAACAACGGACTGTTGATGGAAAGCGAGTCCAGACTCGGGTCGCAAAGAGGCAGCAAGGGCGTAGTAACCAATAGCGGGTCCCCAGTCGGGCTCCTTGTCGAGTCTCTCGGCGGCACGGTAGCGGAACAGATCACCAAGATAGATCAGAGTCTGGTGACAGGATAGAGTGACGGCGGCTTGAACCTGTGGAGATGCAGGCCTTCTCGAAGACTTTGGCACGGCTATAGAGGATCAGTCTCTGTGTACTCAACACACGAAAGCAGGGAGAGATATACGGTCGGATCGGACCTGGCGAGCGATGCGCTCCAGATCTCGAATGCCACCGAACCTGGCATTCAGCTTCTGGATATAGTCTCGGTAATAGCGCTGGCTGTCCTTTAGAAATTCAAGATATAGCTTGATGAATTTACGAGTCTCGACTGGTTTGCTGGAGCGTTCCTTGCGCAGCNNTGGTGAAGGGGTGAGCAGGAGGCAGTCTTGTCGAGAGGCTATTTCGAGACTAACCTTGCTGAGTTGTTTGCGCAACCGTACGTTCAGACGGTTGTGCGCGTTCCAAAGGCGTATCTCAATGTCGGCAGCGCGCGCAGACAGAAAGTCACTAGCAAGAGCATGCGCGGCGGCAGTGCGGTACCTGCGTCGGGGTTGGTATAAGAAAACGGCGACACTGATGTGCAGGCAATGTCAGACTCACTGTTGCAAGACTAGAAAGACGCGGTCCAGAGATGAGTCGGCGGGCTGCAGCGTGTGTGCAAATTCTTGGTCGAGGGCGATGGCCTTNGCTAGGAAGAGTGTAAGTGTGGTGCCGGCAGACATTGTCGAGGTGGGTGCATACGCAATGGCCTGGTCGCCGGTGGGTTCCATATTGGAGGATGGCGCTCGTCATAGAGCGCCTATGACCGGGGTCGTCGGTGACCGAGCAGTGCGAGAGGTCAGATGTAAACGTGCTGGTATGCGAAGATTGCTGACGGGCGATCCATGGAGGGCAGTGATGGCGGACTCGGTGGGTGGGAGCGTGCAACAAGGACAGTCCCGTTGCTGGCGTGAGGATCCGAGATGAGCGCGACGGGGAACCTTCGTCGAGATTTGGCAGCGACGACCGAGTGTAGAGGCCAAAGGCAGCATCCTCCAACTCTCGGGATGCGGCTAAATTCGCTCCGTCCTCTTTCCGCCCATCGGGATTCTTGCTTTCTGCAGCACCCTGTCGCTGACTTACGACCTGCACCACCTCTTGCACTCTCGCTCCAGTCTCCTTATCTACCACATCTCTACGCCATGTCCAAACGCGCCAGACGAGACTCACAGTCTGATGAACACCGCACATCTCCTACCGACGAATCGCTCGCTCACAACATACAGCCACCCGGCAAGTATACACATCTGGATGCTTCACCTTCAAACATCGCAAACACGGCCATAACATGTGCTCTGCCTCCTCACGATCCCATCAGATTCGCCACGTATAATGATTATGAACTTCACTATTACAAGTCACACGTTTTCAGATGCCTAGAATGCACCAAAAATTTCCCTACCGATCATTTTCTCTCACTGCACATCGCCGAAAGCCACGACCCTCTCAATCGTGTCAAAAGAGACAGAGGCGAANAAACATATCACTGCTTTGTTGAGGACTGCGAAAAGGTCTGCAGTACTCCCCAGAAACGGTGTATGCATTTGGTCGACAAGCACATGTTTCCGCGCAACTACGATTTTCACATTGTAAATCATGGCTCTGACAACCGCACTTCGTTGCTGATACTAGAGGGCAAGAGCTTTCAAAAGCGATCCAAGGCTCCGCGCGACCAGAGTGTCATCGAAGAGGATGCCACTGGCGTTCATGCATCCGATCTTATGGAGACTGGGGAGAAAGTTGTTGACAATCTTCACCAATCGACAAAGGATAAATCCATGGACGACATTGTCGATTCCATGGCTGCACTCAAGTTCGTGCCGAAATCCGTTACTTTTGGAAGAACCCGCCAACGAGGAGGCTTCTCAAAATCTTGAGGACAACCTGCTAGGGATGTTTGGACTGGACAGGTGCATGCGTTGTTGCGAGGAGCCATCAAGAGTGGGTTGGTATCTTTCACTATGGACAGCGCTGATAGCAGCTTTTGCTTCAAGCCTTCGCGTTCTTCTTTTCATAGGCGCCAAGTCTTGTGTGGGAAGATCTTGCGCAACCAGCATGTTTGCTCACTCTCCCGAACTCTCGAGCTTCAGCAAGCTCTTCTGAAGTGCCTTCTTCTCTTTGCCGTCTCTCTCGAGTACAACAACCCAGTCTCTGATCTGGATGCCTCTACCTTCCACGCCATCTTCTCTCCAACTTCCCCACTTTCTTTCACGTACCTGTAGCGCCTTGTCTGTGCCATTGCCGCCACTCGAAGAACTCCTTCCGCCGCCATTGCCATTTGTTGCTGCGCTGGCTGAAGTAGACTTGGGGGTCTGCTTGTAAGGATTCACAGGGGCCGCTGGTGCACCACCAGTCAACCAACTATACTTCTTTTTCTTGCCCATGCCTAATTGCAGGGCGGCGGTAGTGTTGGAATTCTTGTGCAGTACTTCTTCGGTCTGGCCCATCTTGGCCTGTCGTTCACGTTCCTTCTTAGTCATGGGCTTTTCTGGGGCAGCACCAGAAGCATCTGTGGAGGATGGAGCGGCCACTGAAGAGGGTGTCGCAGGCCCGACTGTTGCATCGTTGCCGTTGATACCGTCGGCATTCGCTGTAGAGTTGGCGCGCTTTGCACGTTCCTGGCGCTTGCGGACACGTTCGCGCTCGGCATCCCGATCTCGTTTGGCCAGCTCCAGTAGATGTGTAGAGATAGCTGAAGAAAATGACTTCGTTGGTAGTGATTTGCTTTCNTGAGCTTGCACGTTAGCGACAGATCCCATGCTACAACATACGAAATACTTACCGGGTGTTTCGGCTTTCACCACGCCACCCTCAATGCCGCCGACGTTGTCTTCAGACACCTTCTCCCAAGCAGAATTCGTGATGCGTGGTACCTCAGCCACAGCTGCCGATTCGTTCTCACCAATCGCAAGATCTGACAAGTTCGGGGGNACAACTCCATGGCTGCCATAACGTCTGCCACGAGCAACAGCATATGATTCATCAACCAAAGAGCGGACTCTCTCGTTTGCAGCAAGCGATACAAGAGTAAGAATTTCAGCCAGAGGCGCCGTCTCTTGAAGCAATCCATGCGCTTTGACGGCTGCAGCTGTACCGTTGGGACCCGTCGCCGAGACACCCTGAATACCCTGTGGTCGTTCGGGCAATTTGTCATACAGTCCTTCCACGTTCAGGGCAACGCCTTGATCATAAGCAATGCGGTGCATACGATGACGAATGTTGTTGGCTTGTAAGAACGGGTCGTTCAGGTGCTGCTGACGCTTTTCGTTGTGCGCAAGTGCTGCAGCGCGGTGTTTCTGGTCGAGCTCATCCTTGACAGATTCTTGCGATACTGGTGGTTGCGAGATGGGACCGCTCCCCGCAAAAGCAGGCTGATTACCAAAACTGCCCTGCGAGACCAGACCAAAGCTATTGTTCGGTGACGCAATAGTCGTGTTCGAGCCAAACGAGGTGTTGAAGGAAGGGTTCTTGTGCATGTTCCTGTAGGTGCTGGTCATGTAGTTTTCTTCTTCCCTCAGATCGATACCCGAACCGTGGAAGACATCAGTGACGTCGCTGATATCGGTGATCTTTTCCTTGTCCTCTTTCTCAGCCTTTTCCTGTGTGGGTCGTGGAGGAGGCCCCATGGCGCCAGGCATGGGTGAAGGAGCGTAGGGTTGAGGCGCATTGAAAGCGGGGGGACTGCCAGCAGTCATGGGCAAGTAGTTGGCGTAAGGACTCTCGGGAAGAGCGGAAGGCGGAGGATATGGACTCTGAGCGGTATGAGGTGACTGAGGGTTGGGTGAAAGGCGCGGTCTTTTCGCAGGGGGCAGAGCGATGCCAGTTGGCGAGGAACTATTTTGATAAGGCGAGTAAGGGCGCGAGACAGGCTGCATAGGTGGATGCGGCTGATGCGACTGTTGTGGAGGATGAGGAATTGGTCGTGGGGCTGCTGCTGCTGCTGCTGCTGCTGCTGAGGCGGAAGTGGATGCTGGGGCAGCTGTGGTGGGGCCTGCTGGGAGGGCGACATGTTGTGCGACATGGCGGCGACTATGGGCGACTGGGTGAGAGGATGGGTGTTGCGGCCGTGGCCGCTGCGCAGCTAAGGTTGTAGCAGTTGTTGGAAGTATCAACAGAGCATGCCGAGAAGTACAGGCCGGACGTGTGAGTAAGGCGCGAAGATGGTGACGATGACGGTGACGGTGATGGACCAGGCGCTTTTGGTGAAGGCAACAGATGTACAGTCGTCGTCGATGTCGAAAGTGGTTAGCGATGGGTTGAATGTGTCATGAGCAGTAGAAAGTTGTATGCTTCTGCGCTGCCGACCCGGCCTTGACGCGGCGGAAGCTGCCGTGTCGCGTCGTCGACCGTCACTTCCTCACTTGTAGCTCTCGGCGCCTGCGCAATTCACCCTCCTTCCTCCATCCATCACTTGACAGCAACAACCCTACGCTATCTCACTCGACATCTTATGCGCGCATCAAGCACACCTCGTATACCGTCAGCCTCGCTATATATTCTATAAGACTCGTCATCAACCGTCACAGCAACAAGTTCGCTCGCCATGGCCACCAAGCGAAAGCTCGACACGGCCACCCCCGAGCCCGAAGAGCCCATCGATCCCTCTGATGAACTGTTGTTTCTGTGCTTGGGTGGTGGAAACGAGGTCGGCCGTTCATGCCATATAATACAATACAAGGGAAAAACGGTCATGCTCGACGCCGGTGCCCATCCTGCGTACGATGGCCTGGCCTCTCTACCCTTCTACGACGAGTTCGACCTGAGCACCGTCGACATTCTCCTCATCACTCAGTAAGTCTTCTTGGCATGCTCATCAGCCACGCTCACGGTCACTGCATCGGCACACGTTTCTCTTTTGCACTCACCCCTTGACTGTCTTGCATCTGCATGCTATAACCTGTACACCCAGGCAGCTCCCCCCGCAGTATGTATATAAACCAAATCGAAATTTGTTTCCACCACTTCTCCTGTGTGCCGGTGACCGTGAGCTGAGTTTCAATCTTCGCCTTCTGCATGCCCGAACTTATGATTTGCTTGTATATGTTATGCAAGCTCAATAGCTAACACGCTGTGCAGCTTTCATCTAGACCATGCCGCCTCTCTACCCTATGTCATGGCAAAGACCAACTTCAAAGGGCGTGTCTTCATGACCCACCCAACCAAAGCCATCTACAAGTGGCTAATGCAGGATTCAGTCCGTGTACAGTGTGTTTATCTTACTACTCAGTGTCTTTATGACAGGCTAAAGATTCATCAGGNNAACACCCATGCAACTGCCGAACAGCCAACACAACTCTACACTGAAGCCGATGTTCTATCGACCCTTCCAATGATCCAGACCATTGCCTTCCACACCACACACACCCATGCAGGTATCCGCATAACTCCTTACCCAGCTGGCCACGTCCTCGGTGCAGCCATGTATGTGATCGAGATCGCTGGTCTCAACATCTTGTTTACTGGAGACTACTCAAGAGAACATGACCGTCATCTAATTCCCGCTTCGGCTCCGAAGGGTGTCAAGGTGGACGTCTTGATCACCGAGTCCACTTTTGGCGTTGCATCCCATATCCCGCGACTGGAACGTGAGACTGCTCTGATGAAAAGCTTGACCGGTGTTCTGAATCGCGGAGGACGTGTCCTCATGCCTGTCTTCGCCATCGGCCGTGCGCAGGAACTTCTTCTGATTCTTGAAGACTACTGGAATCGCCACCCCGAGTACAGAAAGTATCCCATCTACTACGCTAGTAACCTCGCAAAGAAGTGCATGCTTGTCTACCAAACCTACATTGATGCCATGAACGACAACATCAAGTCAATGTTCCAAAACAGGCTTGCCCAAGCAGCTGATGGTAGCGATGGTGAAGCTGGTGCTGGAGGCCCCTGGGATTTCCGCTGGATCCGCAATCTAAAGTCTCTCGACAGATTCGACGATGTTGGCGGATGTGTCATGCTTGCATCTCCTGGTATGCTCCAAAATGGCGTGTCTCGAGCTCTTCTCGAACGTTGGGCGCCCGATCAGAAGAACGGTGTCATTGTCACTGGTTACAGCGTCGAAGGCACCATGGCGAAGATGATTCTTACTGAGCCCGAAAGCATTCAAGCCGTTATGACCGGCAGAGTGGGTGGTAGAGTGCAAGGTGTAGGTAGTCGAGGAAAGTCGGGTGCCGAGGGAGAAAAAGTCATGATTCCCCGAAGGTGTACAGTTCAAGAATATTCATTTGCGGCACACGTCGACGGCACCGAGAATCGCGAGTTTATCGAGGAAGTCGCAGCTCCTGTGGTGGTTAGTACTATCGCAAAGTGCCGCATTCCTATACGTGCTAATTTGCCACAACAGATTTTGGTTCACGGCGAGAAGACAAACATGATGAGACTCAAGTCCAAGCTGTTGTCTCTGAATGCAAACAAGACAACACCCGTCAAGGTCTTCTCCCCTGCAAATTGCGAAGAACTTCGCATTCCTTTCAGGCAGGACAAGATTGCCAAAGTGGTTGGTCGACTTGCAAACCAAATCCAGATATCAGCAGCCCCACCTTCACCTCCCACTTCTGACGACGATGATACAAGAGATGACAAGAAGTTCAAGACTGCGAACGGGGACCAGGTAGTCTCTGGTGTCTTGGTGCAAAATGATTTCAAACTTAGCTTGATGGCGCCCGAGGACCTGAAGGAATATGCTGGACTGACAACCACAACAATTTTATGCCGTCAAAGACTGACACTTGCAGCCGCGGGCCTTGATTTGATCAAATGGGCCCTCGAAGGCACTTTTGGAGCCATCAAAACAATTTCCTCGCCTTCCGAAGGGGTCAAGGCAGAGGCTAATGGAAACGGTGCCAATGTTGAAGACGCCGACGAGGAGCTCGAAAGACAACAGGAGACCGTGTTCGAGGTTATGGGTTCAGTCAGGGTCAAGTTGGTTGATCGTGGCGAAGTCGAAGTTGAATGGGAAGGCAACATTGCCAATGATGGAATAGCAGATGCTGTTCTTGCCGTCCTCTTCACCGTTGAAAGCAGTCCTGCGGCTGTGAAGCGTGAGTTCCAACCTCAAGAGAAGTCATGCGACCAGTGTTCTAACAGAGTTGCAGAATCGTCGAATCCGCACTCACACGACCACCACGAAAACAAGCGCAATCTCCATGCACACATCAGCCCATCAGAAAGACTCTCGCGCCTATGCATGTTTCTCGAAGCCCAGTTTGGCGAGGATGCCATCACTCCGATCTCGAGACCCAAACTAAACATCTCCGAAGTTGATGACACTATTGCTTCTGACGATCCTATAGCAGCAGAGAAAGCCAGGGCTCAGCTGGAGATGGTAGAGCTTGAACGTCTTCACAGAGCAGGCATTCCCGTGCCAGGATTGGAGATCAAGGTGGACAAGATTGTAGCCAAGGTTTGGCTCGAGACGCTTGAAGTAGAATGTGGCATGCGAAGCATGGCTGATAGGATCCGTGCCGTGGTAGAACGGGCTGTTGAGGTTGTTGCTCCACTATGGGAGTAGAAGTGGAGGATACCGAGCAGGTAGACTGAGAAAAACGAGAGCATCTTACACCAGGAAAGGATAGTGGACACTTGTGGAGACTTTTGGGAGTACTCGAGGAGGAAAAGCATGCGCTCTCGGCCGATATTCCACTGGAGGGGAACGAAGTTCAGGCGTTCAAAGATAGGCGTAGTAGTTTATGCTGATCACTATATAGGTTGAAGAAGCTTTTATTGCTGCTGTATTACTCCCAGATGCTGCCGAATGGAGCACTAATCACTCGTGAAAAAGCTGTTAAGCATCTCATCAAGTGGCCGAGGAGGTTCACCTGTTGGAAAGCATGGCATCTCAACTCATGATTTAGCACGCAATCCTGCCGGAAGTTTGTTTCATGACGGTTCATCAGGATTCAGGGACTTTTGTTATACGTACCCGAGTACGAAGTTGTCGAAATCAGAGTCCTGACTGCTGAACCTACGCAACTTATTGATGTGCATGGGAAGGAAGGGCTTGCGAAGGGTAGGATCGCTCGGCCGACAAGATAAAAGAGGATCCCGCTAAAAGTTACGATCCTCGACCCGCAAGCTAGGGAAAACAGACGCTTTGTAGCGTGCATGAATAGGCAAAGCGAGACGAGCAGAAACGCTATCTTGCAAACCACTAAATCCCGCAGATCTTATCCTTGCGTTCATGCATAGAACACCTGACTTGCAGTACGTGGTACTATGCCAAAAATCTGTACTCGTTATGCTATCAGAACGAGAGGTTCTGACTGCTTGTATGTTGCAACAAACACTCGACGAATCATTCTAGAAAGATGTGCGCTAACAGATGGGCAGTAAGTGCCGGTTCGAAAGAAAAAACGAGCACTTTGGCAGGGTATTGTTCACACAGAAGTAAACTTCGCACCTGCATAAAGAGAATGATTGTCATTTATTGTTGGACCGAACTTCACCTTGTTCCGCCCAGCGAAACATGCATTTTTCCAGACAAACCGTTCAACCGAAATTCCAACAAGTGCCCCGTTAATGTTTGTCTGAACCAAGACTTTCTACTGCGTGTCCGTTTCAAACCAGCTTCTCCACAGCTGTGGCCTTGCCAACCCCACTTTGCTGCATTCGTCGCTCCTGCACTTCCCGCTCTTCGTCCTCTTGCATCTTGAGTTGTTTCAGGGATTGGCAGAAGCTGCTCTTCTCCCGAATGCTGTCGCCGAACCGGATGAAGGCGAAGGGAATAACGCACATGGCTAAACTCAGGAAGCCCAGCAATGAACAAGCCCACGCAACACCGAGCCGTTCATACCTATCCACTGACGTTAGCACGTTCTTGGGTAAGTTCTCAACCTTGACGTGGCTCTGCTGCCGCAATCGCTAGTGATGCTACCTTGTGGCGCCACAGAGGTTGCCAGTACTCCGCTGCGTGCTTCAGAGGCCTCTCGTCCTTTTCAAATCGCACATTCAGCACTTACATCGGCCGCGCCGCGAACGGCAGGACTGTGCCAAACAAGCTCCTTGAACAAGCCGATGCTGCCATGGCGCTCGCTGCAAACACTTCATACGCATCAACAAGATAGCTGCGGCCACGTCAGCCAACGAGGCGGCGAAGCAGTAAAGTACGGAAGCGTAATACTTGACCAAAGACATGAACAACAGCAGGAAACCCATTCCAAAAGGTAAAGCCGACAAAACGGGCACCGCCCAATGAATGTCCTCTCGAGCTGTCCCTAAAAGGCAGCATCAGCACAATTTCGACAGAACCACAATACAGTACCACGAGATTGTTGCAGTGTCAGTCTACCCATGGCTACCGGAACTTTCCAGGACGGAAGATGGCTCAAGGCTTATGCATCGCGGCAATTGTGATAAATATGCTCCGAACAGACATAACAGCAAACAATGTTGCAGTCTCGTGGTACGGTATGTGCGTCTGGGTCATACGCACATCCAAGCCAGAAACAACTGAGTATGAGCAATGGTCCTCCAAGGCACGCTAGAGGCAGACGCCGATACTCCTCACTTTGTGACCATGCAGCAGGCGGATCTCGTGCCTTTGCTCTCTCCAAAATGCGATCCCAATAGAGGTATAGACCACATGCAAAAATGGCTCCGACTCCGATTGGCAGAAAGGTCAACCCAACTTCGCCAGAATTGAAGTGGTAAATCCCGCTGAAGATAGTCGGGTAAGCCTGGAAGTACATGTAAAAGATTGCGTACACAAAGGATAGGTAAAGACAACTGCATAGTACGATAGCTTCGGTGAAGAACATTCTCACCGGTCTGGTCAGAACAACGGTGATCATCTGCTTCATGTCATGATGCTCGAGCTCGAGCGGTGCAAAGATGTTGGGGTTGCTGTTTTCCTTGCGGAGACGCCGTGCACGTGTGGCAAGGATGACTGGTGCATAAGTCTCTGGGCTGAGAAGCAGGATCGGCCAAGTCACTCCAGCTATGATCAACGAGAGCCAAAATATCCAGCGCCATGAAACGACAGCGATGAAGCCAGATATGATCGGCCCAATGATTGGGCCAATGTGGTAGCCTGCGGCTGGAGTTAGCTCCTCAATGCTCTGCTATGCCTACGTCGAACGCTAGCATCAGAAGTGCCAACATATTCGGCTGGCAGAGTGACCAATCGTGCACATCACGAGGTATGAGCCTGCATGCGAAGGCAGATGACCGCGGACATGTCCAACCCGTTGATGGCAGCGCCGTCTCTTCTAGCCTTTTGAGTCCATCAGGATCCTTGCCAAGAGATAGCAGCTGGTGCTACAACTAGGCTCGGAGATATTGTGGATTTGGGAACCAGCACCCTTCGTTTTGTGGGGCGATATGCATTACTGCGGATTGTTACTTACAGTCATGAAGATAGTCAGAGCTCGACCCTGGTCACAGGGTCAGGGTATACATCGGCATAGATGCTGGCAAGACATTCAGTCGAGGCATTCGAACCACGTTTGTGGATCTGCATACTCACCCACCCACCACGGAGATAGGACTGGAGGCGCCAATACCCACGAACAACCTCATTACACACAAAGTTGCAAAGTTGTTTGCTAGAGCACAGCCTAGAGTGAAGGCAGTGAATAGTGCCTGGATGGGGAACATTATCAGAGCAGTCAAATAATTGACAAGCACAGTTCCTTACAAAAGTTGAGATCATGACCCATTTTCGGCCGTAGCTCTCACTTAGTGGCCCAAAAAGTAGCGGGCCGACGACGTATCCGACCAAGTAAGAGGAGGTCGGCAAGACCAGCTGCGCCTGATTCGTGATATCGAAATAAGCAGCAAATTGGTGCGATGCTCCTGCTGCTATAGATGACCCTATAGTGGAAGACATAACCTAGGCTTCCTATCAGAACAACGATTGGTATCCGACAACATGAACACGGACCAAAGTCACTCCATTGAACACGACGAAGGATTTCTTTCGGTTGGACCAGTTGTGGGGATTGTCTTTGTCATTGGGAGCGAAAGCAATGACTTGTTTGAGGCTCCGCGAACTCGAATGCGAGGAACGAGGTATGTTCTCTTCCTCTAACTCAAACCGGAATGTCATGCTGCTCCGATTGTTTTTCTCGTGGCTGCGCTGGTTTCTGCTAAGACCGCACCCGTTAACACGCGCTTGCCAGCGTGCCCTCGCTTGTTGAGAAAGAAGATCGATTAGAGGACGCACAATGCGTGAGCGTATTGATGGAGGGATAGAACGTGAATGAAGGAAGGATGGGAGCTCCAAGCAGACTCATTCTCGCATACAACTTGACCGAATGTCTGCATGTAGATAGGTCTTGAGACGGATAGTACGGCATCAGATAGACCAGCCAAGCAGCCTCGACGACACAGGCAAGAGAAGTGTCGATGTGGGGTGCGGCAGATCGTCGTCACCCGAGCGAGCCACGGAGCTGGGCTCTGGAGAAAGGGTGTTGAATGAGGGGTAAAACGTCCAATCAGCCAATCTTCCCGTGTTACGAGAGCTTGACGAACGAATGCTCGTGCGGAGGTCTTCTAGTGTACGTGTAGTCGCAAATGTTGATCAAGCAGAGTAGTAACTAGGGCTTACAAAAACGTGCTTTGGATGCGAGCGAGCGTGAAGCTCATCTTGGGAATAGTGTGGGATCTTAGTCTTCGGAAACGTGCTTGCATAATCCCGTCCGGGCAGATTAAGTCAATTGCCCGACGCTTTTGTAGACAGCTTCGTTGGATTGATCGGTGATCGAGCGATCTGACAGTGCTAGACATGGACACCGTTTGCCAGCCCAGTAATCGAGGGACTTCTCAGCCGAGATAGATGGGCAAAGCCAACAAGGTGAAGGTTGAAGAATATCACTTCCTGAAAGGGTCAAAGGCTGGGGAGCATGTGCAAGAAAGAGACAAGGTTGGACGTCAAGGTGGAGACTGAGAGCAAAGATGCAGCCAGCCGAGGCATTCCAAGTCCATATCAGGACAAATTTGAGCCAAGGAACAGAAACCCTGCCACTGCCACGTGCGATCCTATAAAAATCCGAGATACAGAAGACAGAGGTGGCTTACAGGCTGAAGAGTGTTGAGGACGAATGCGATTGCACAGTGGGTACAACGACCGTGCTCAAGCGAGCAAAGCCCAGCCTTGTGCCTGGCTAGCAACTGCCTGTTGTGAGGACTGCACAGGGAAATTTGGAAGCTTTTGGATTTGACCTCTTTTGCGTTTTACTAGAAGCTTCTCACCAACAGTAATTTGAGGGCCAAGCGGAGCAGTGACAGTCGCGGAGGAAAAAAGGAGCCAAGAGACGAGTGTCGGGTGGTTGCAACGTAATGAATGATATCAGGAGACAAGCAAGCGCAATGCAGTCAGTCTCTGTGGGCAGACTATTGCACGTTGCTGAGCTGGGCAGGTCTGCTATGGGCATGTGGTGTTCCTCGCACGAGCAGGCCTCGTCGCAGAGGAGCAGAGGGAGTCCATGTCCATCTGACGCAATACCGTAATGCCACGAGCGAGGCAGGCGCGCAGAACGGACCCTGAGGCAGGCTGGATTTANGAGACAACGGCGTGCACCCAGGAAACAGCGGGTGATGGGCATCGCGGAGCGGCGGAAGCACACTCGTTTGGCGGAAGTCTAATCGAGAGGTGCAAACGGTTCTGACAGTCTCGGCATCTGCACAAAGCTATGTGGTTGTTGGTGAGCTACGGCGTGNNGCATGTGTCGGTGGACTGCAAGGGACGTTTCTGAGGCGGACTGGACCGTGAGATCCAGCTTTCGTACATAGACTCTACTCGTACACTCTCGGGTCTGCCGTTTGCCCTGGAATTCGCATTTTGNTTGTGGTGAGAAAGATGAGCCAGTTCGAGACAGCAGGTGCAAGCATGAATTGGTAAGTCAATGGACGAGGGCTTCGGAGCTGCATTGCATGCAAGCAAGCATCAGCAAGCCGCACGCAAACAAATGGCTGCTGCCCAGAGCTGACGTGACGCCTTGTCTTGTCACAGGGACTGGCAGCAATTCACGCCATCATCCACCCCGACCACGACCGTCTTTGATGTTAATGTCAACAACAATGCCGCTACGCCCACGCAGACGCAGACGCAGACGCACTTTCACGACGCCTTTCCCAGCTACTATGCCCATCACAAGCGAGACTCGATAGCGTCGACGGCCACTGCCACGTCGATAGACAGCAACCCGCACTATGTAGCCTACCCACAGTTGCAGCATCAGCACCAGCAGTCCTACCACACGTACGACTATGCCACGAGTCCGTCCTTTGTCCAGGGCCAGGGCCAGGGCCAGGGTCAGTGTTCGAGCCAGCCTCAGTCTCAATCCCACGTCTTCCAGATGCAGACACCCCTCCGACCCGAGGCTCGTCCACCAAGCGGAGGCCGCAACGACTAGACAGTGTTACGCCCACCGCATCTAATGCTCTCCGCCAGCCCAACTTTGACATTGCCGCCTTCAGCTTCAATGCACCTCAGCAGTCCATGAACTCGTGGAGCCAGCTCTCGGGTCCATCGTCTGCTCCGCTGTCGGCTCCTGCCTGGACTGCAAACCAAGACGATCCCTTTTCACACTGGTCTACCCAATCCTCCATATCTTCTCAACCCGCCCATACCTCTCAGTCGTCCTGGTCGCATGCTCCTCCGCAGTCCTTGGCTCCCTCACGTCCTACCGTTACTCGCTCATCCAGCTCCAACAACGTCCCATATGCTACTCCCACCGCCACCAAAAAGCCTTCCGCACCACCCAGTGTGGATCCGACCCATCTCCGTTCGTCGCCTGTGAGAAGCCAATTCCCCAGCATTCCTGAGGCACGTCCTGTGTCGCCCGCCAAGCCATGTCTGGCCCCTGCCTTCCCCTCAACCTCGGCCTCACCAGTGAAGAATGGTGCTCTGCAGCGCAGCAACACGGTCGGAAACTTCTTGAAACCGAGTCCAACTATCGTGTCGCAAACTCCCGATGCTGCAACCTCACTTGGTCGAAGCAACTCTGTCTGCAATCTCCCACGCCGGTCCTCTCCCCTGAAGCGAATAGCACGTGGCCCGTTGTCCTCGATTGCCGAGACTTCACGACCTCAGGTCCGCACATCTGTTGTTCTTACAATCGACGCCAATGGAACTGCGAGGACAGAAACTAGAGTGATCGAAGAGAGCCCCTCCCAAACCAAGAAGGACTCGCAGTCGATCAAGGAAAAGTATCCTAATCTTTGGGACGACTCGGATAGCGAGTCAGACTCGACGTGTGGCACCGAATGGCCGAGCCGCCACGATTCGCTTGCCCACGCCAATGCTGGTCAAGAGCGATCGGCTAAAATGGCAAGGCTTGATACGTCGTCAGACAACCTTGAGATGGCACAGCTGCCGCGCTCAAATTCAACGGCATCGCTGAAAACTCCGTGTAAAACTGCTTATGCAGCCGCAATACAACTGAGACGGCAGGGTAGTGCCAAGAAGCAACAACGACCGTCAAGTGTGCAAAGCAGACGCAACACGCTGTCTTCGCTAAACAGCTCTTTCGAGAACTTGGCTGCCATGGACCTGAACAAAGATGAGATGCATGTCAAGGCAGATGCTGGTGCTGCTCTTCGCCAGGCCGCTGCTCATCGCGTTTCTCCAGGGATTCCGGTTTCGTCCAACCACCGTCAATCTGACAATACCACAGTCCAGCTTGTCCGCTCCGGTCGCTCGGACACTGCTCCCTCGAGTATCTCACGACCTCGACAGTTGTCGCAGCCTCAACGCCCTCATCAATTACACCAAGTACAACAACCGCACCAAGTGCAGCAGATACAGCCGCCTCAAGCACCTCAACAGATTCAACAACCCCAACCGCAAAGACCACAGCATATACAACAAGTCCAACAGATGCAGCAGCTGCCTCTGAACACTCAGGTTCACCCACATACCCATGCAAAATCGCACAGTGTCAGTTACCCAACGGCCACACCAACAGCACCAGTCTTCGATCCGCGCGGCTCCTTCACAATGGAATACACGCCCGTGGCTTTCACTTCGGCACCTCCTCCACAATCATTCACGAACGATATGAGCTCCATGACACGATGCATTTGCCAAATTCCATTCGACGACGGTAGGATGATCCAATGCAACATCTGTGCTATGTACTCCCACTCTGGTTGTGTTGGCCTTGATTCCTCCCAACATGCATATATTTGCTCTTTCTGCGTCAGCAACAACCCCATCTCCTACGGACATCCGGTACGGTCAACTTCAATGCAGAATTTTAATGCATGGACTGTTCCCGGGCTCTGAGACATGTTACGCCACAAGTCCACAATCTTTCCTCAAAGCATTTTGCATTCAATGATTGAAACGATACAACTTTGGGTGGAATTACCCGATATACTCCGCCGACCTCTTCCCTCCGAGCACCCCACTTCGTCAAATCATGAGAGGTGACCGCTCTAGGTTGATACAGTGATTTCCCCACCAATCTCATGCATCCTGCGACACTGCTGCAAAGCATTGCTTAAGCATCGTTCTTCTCCAAGAAAAGTCTGAATTACTTCGACTGCATTTTTGTCTTAGCTAGCATTATGGCAGACCTTAGCGAGTGTCTGCCAACACATGTTGTCTTGTCTTCTTTTTCTGCATCGGGCGGCATTGGCAGTGTTTTCTGTTTAGTAAAAATCCAGGGCGAATCATTCGCATAGATCAGAAAGCTGAAAGGTGCATAACATTGCACAGATAGTGGTATCAAGATAGGTCTCTCATATTCTACTACGGCGCCCTATGGGCTTGAAAAAATAATCTCTTTTTCGTTCGTGTCATGTCTCATCTCAATCATCGCTGATGTAAGCCCAATACGTTGCCACACTTCAAATCATCGTTGCTGGTGCTTGCTTGTTGACTCGAGATCTCACTCGGAAAAAGCGAGGTTCGTTTTTCCTCGCATAATGACTAAAGACACGCACGACGTGCACGACAAGGTGCTCGTCAAGACATATGTCTTGGATAGAACATGCCAGACAAATACTGACGGATTAGAAGATTCCACTTGGGTCTCGAAGGACATGCTTCTCGCACATATCAACCGTGTCTTTGTTTCTGAGTACGTCGATATGGTGCGACTGATATATAGGATACCTGCAGCACTCTTTTCAAGTTTCGACATCTGAACCTAACTCGAAATAAACGCCTGTTACATACTCGCGCCACAAATTTCATTCACAGTACCGTCTTGGAGCGACCGACTAGTTGGACGCACTTACCATCACCCTAACTGCTCAACACACTGCTTCCTGCACACAGCCTCAGATCCGACCAACAACGGCGCCTTGAGATCCGCCACTCGAGGACAAGCTTCTACGTCCCAGTAGCGAGCGAATGACCAATCAACAATCCCACATGGTCGTCGGAAACATGGAACATTCAATTGGCAACCAACAAAGAGCAACCTCGGCGGCATCAACCTCTTCGTCACTGTCTTACCTCTCTGTTGCTCGAACGCCTTCACCAGGCCAACATGGAGAATGGACACCACGCCGTCGACACGCGCCTCCACCAGCATTGCCTACACATCGTCGTGCTAGAGGCTATGAAGACCTGTTTCCTNTCGAAGTCAGCCAGCTAGCATCAGTCCTTTGCCACGCGCCGCCTGTCAACACACCTCGAGATGGAGCTGTATGGACAGCCTATGTGTCACACACAAACCAGCGGATCGCGCTACTTGGCCCCAAACTCAGATCTGCCACTTCACTTCCATCCTTCCTGCCTTGGTCCATCAATCATACTCTATGCAGCCTACACCGTCGTCTCAATGCCAAACCTTTAGAGGACATCTTTGCGGCTTTACGATATGAGATTGAGGTCAGAACACAGAAGGTTTGGCAGCATGTGGCCTTAGCTGGTGCTCTATCGGCCTCGCAGACCGAACAACTAGCATTGATGGATGAGCTACAGTCACTGTGGCTGTCCTCGTCTGAATTCATGAAAAGGTTCAGTCGCTTGCCTGCCCCGAGATATGCACGTCAAGCCGATGGATGTGTCGCCTGTATTCTGGCTAGGATGGGAGAGAACGTGGAGACGGCCATGACGCTGGGTGCCTTGTTGTTGGGCTCGATGCGTAGGTCTGACATGTTGAGTACCCGTGTTTGCTTCTGTCGCGAGTGGGTTCGCTACACCGTCGACGGCGGTGTTGATTGTGTAGACGCTGCTCTCACCGAGATGGAGAGGATGGGAACCAAGTTTCGAGAAGCGAGAAAGTGGGCGCGACAGCGAGCAGAAGGTACGAGCGAGTATCGAGAAAGAAACCTTGGGCTGGGTGGCATGCCATATGTGCAACCGACAAGGGTATCGAGCCTCCAGGCTATAACTGACACTCAAGTTCTTGCCGAGACAGATGCGAAGTCCGAGGCTATTGAACAGCAGCAAAACAAGCAACCTGCTGGAAGTCACGCGCGGCAAAAGGAAGCAACTGCGGGTCAGCAAAGCTCGCCTCAGCACCTGCCTCTTAAACCATGCCTGTCAACGTCAGGCTCGCCAAACCGCTACTTCCTTGAGCAACTTGTTTCGGAACCTGTTCTACCCGATCAATCTCCTTCAGACTTGTACTCGGCTGGACAATATTACTCTGCTCACAACTCTCCAGAGCCTCAGTTTCGAGATACTGGACGCTTTGTACCTCGAGCTTGTTCTCCTGAACCCAGTCTGCAACTGCAAAGACGACCTCAGGAGCCAACCACGCAAGCGAATCGGGTAAACAGAAACATATTGCTTGACCCAAGTTCCGTCAGCCAGATAACTCAGACGAAACCCGCCTCTTCAACAGTCCGTAGTCCTGCCAGAAAACTCTCACCGGNNGACCAGTCCCTTCGACAACGGACAACATACACCGACCGAGCTCACCTACATCTCTATATTCCGAGTTCACTGGCAATCCTTTTCTGGACGGCAACTCCTCACCCTCGCCCATGCATGACAGATACCTACCTCCGGATCTGCCATTCCGCCTCTTTGAACGACGTCGCGTACATGACAACGATGGAACGCCTAGTCCACCCAAGAACGCTGTACAGTGGCCCAATCAGACCACGCTGACCAAACGATCCACTGCAGAGCAGTTCAAGGACAGGCTCATCCCAGTCGCTTGTCTGGCGAGGCTTGACAAAGGCGACAGGAGTGTTGGTGCTCTCTGGAAAAGGAGGGTAGGGAAGATGAAGGCGAGTGGAGAAGGTACCAGGTAGATTGAGATACAGGGGCTTTGAGGGAATGATCAGAAGCGGGAAGGAAGAGAGGATGTGTTCTGCTCCAGCTTTGGAACTGTCCCCTAAGCAAGTCAGCTTGGGTTGTTCGAAGAGGATCAACAGAATGTTGAACATCATTACCCAGTGATTAAAGGTTCTGCAGCCTATAGACACATATAGACAGGCAACAATTACCCACTTTTCATGATTTGTCGAGCATGTAGCTAGATGATTGTACGACGGTATTCAGAACTCATGTAACGTCCACCGAGTCGTTTTCACATCAGTTTTCCCAGCGCAGATCTCTGGTTGAAGACAATTATGCATCAGTGATTTTGTTCTACATACATATCGCTCTGTATTGTTGCGGGACAAACCTAAGGATAGCATACCTCGACACACCATGAGGCTAGGAACATACGGAAGAGGAAACACGGAAAGAACAGGTTGCATTTCTAGTCAATCAGAATACATGTGTCAGTTGCGATCGCACCGATCTTTTCGCTGCGGCCATTTTTGACTCAACTCGTACAACGCCCTATCAACACCTTCCAATCTCTCATAATGATAATGTGTGAACGTCGTCGGCTTTAGACGTTTATTTGAAGGGCGAAGCACTGCCGCCGAGTATATCGCAATGCGGTCAGTCTGGGGACGCATGCTTGCTAAGGATGAAATAGACAGCATCTGTGCTGTCGGTATACCTTTCTTTTGTTGTGGGTCGAATTTCAAGATGCGCCCAAATCGATTCGCTCAGGCCAGAACATGCAATCTGCATTGTCAGCACTCATCTTGGTTTGTCGTGATCGTTGGTGCTCGAGCCAGATTTAGAGACTAGCAGCTTTGGGGAAGTTCATGTTGTAGACAGCATCGACAACTGGCGTGGCCGTCAGCGTGCGGCCATCGAAGTACCTGCCGTTAAGGCCCTTGAGGGCGCTGTCGCCTCCGGCAATATCGGCAAACTTGACATAGATTTCGCCGTCAGAACTATCACGGAAAACACCGATGTGGACGACTTTGCCGTATTTAGAGCTGCACTCTTCCTTGAAATCTTCTTCGAGGTCTTTTGCCCAGTGCGGGTCGGTTTGGCTAGTGTACATGTTAGCAGGTTCAGGCAGAACAAGGATGAAGACAACTTACGCAGCTTCGTCGTAGGCATTCTTGACTACGATACAACGGCTCGGGGCGGAAGTATGCATAACAGTCTTNTTGGCATCAGCACGGGGGCGAGAAGAAGTGGCCTGGGTCTGTGGAGCAGGGTCTTCAGTACGAGCCAACTTGCGCATGAGGGAGTCTCTGCTGAAGTTGTTAAAGTTGACACCTCCAACGTCGGCATCATCGAGAGCACTGGCACCGCCAGTACCCTTCTCTTCGCGGGCGCCAGCACGGTCGAAGTTGTTGTTACCGCCAGCGTGGGCACCACGACCTCCAGCGCCAGAAAAGGACGAGCCTTGGAATTGAGCAGCCTGGTTTTGGCTACCAAAACGTTGCAACAAACTGGCGGTTGACTCGGGGGTGAACTTGTCGCTGCCGAGACCAACACGGATGGGACGACCGGCAATTTCGAAGCCGTTCATGTCGGCGAGTGCTGCCTTCGCGTGAGCAGGATCAACGTATCTGGAAATAGTCAGTACGTGCGGCGGTATATGTTGGATGGTTGTGGCCACTCACTGCACAAAACCGTAACCCTTGCTGCGTCCATTTTCCTCCTTTTGTAGTTGGACAAACTCGAGCTCACCAAATGGCGAAAAGACGTCGCGCAGATCTTCCTCGGTGACAGAGAAATGAATGTTACCGACGTAGAGCCTGTGAAAGGGAATGCCGTTAGATTGCGTAGGCTGTCCAGTTGCTACACGGGCCTGGCGATTCTTCTCAGCTTCTGTGAGTTGTACAATGACGGGGATACCAAGAAGCTTCTGACCAGTCAAGCCAAGTGCCTTCTGGACCGATTCTTCTTCCTTGAATTCGACGTAGCCGACGCCCTTGCTGCGTCCACTAACGCGGTCCTTGACAATTTGGGCTTCCTTGACGGGGCCGATCTGAGCAAAGAAAGCCTCGAGTTCCTTGGTGCGTAGGCGAGCGGCAAGTTGCTGGACGAAGACTGTACGGCGATCGCGCTCGTCATCGGTGGGTTCAGGGGTTCTCTGGCGAGGAGGGGATCTATCACGAGCAGCACGTCCGCCACGGTATGAATCGCCGCGGTCGCGACGGGGAGAACGACGTTCGCCACGTTCTCTGTCACGGCGGCGAGGGCGATCGTCGTCTCTACGCGAGCGGTCTGAGGGGCGGTAGTATCTGTCGTCGTCTGAAGGGGATCTAGTTCTGTTACGGCCGTTTCCGCGGTAAAAGTCACCACCACTGGATCGGTAGCGCTCGCGACGGTCACGCGAATCAGGGCGGCGGGATGAGCGGTCGCCACGCCTACTACGAGTGCTTCCGTTAGCAGAGACGTTGTCCGAGTCCTTCATGTCAACATCGGCCGTGGTGCCGCGGCGAGAGCGAGCGGCGTCATCGTCTTTGTTGGTGGTGGTAGTGTGTGCTTCTTGAGCGGAGGCGTCTCTCTGTGCGGACTCGAGAAGTTCTTCGACGGAGATGTCTAGGGCACCCATGATGTCTGGTTGGTGAGAAAACTAAGCAAAGCAAAGGCTTTCGCTGACTTGCGGCGTAGGTAGGCGTGGGCGGTGGGCACGCTGATCCTGGAATGAAGTAGAGTCTGTCTGATGAGAATTCGCGACGAGATGGATGTACACGGTGTTAAGTTTGAAGAGCGATAATATACGTTGGTGGTGGTGAAGGGAAAGAGAGCAAATTCGATCGCTACTGTACAAGGAAAGTCGCGGAGCGTGCTTGGCGGACGTCCGTTTCGCTGGGGTTTGCCTGCCTAGATCTCTGCAGAAAACGCCGGCCAAAATCAGTGTTTGCGTGGGCGATAACGTGACGGCTATGATGTGTCTCGCTATGAGCGTGAAGACGCCTATCGAGCTGACGATGCCTGATCAGAACCTCGAGTGAAGAAGTGCATCGTAAGGCTCGAAGCAAGGTACTCGATAGATAGGTGCCAGATCAATGGACGCGCTGCCGGACCCCTCGGCGCGGCGAGACTGAGCGGCATGTTGCGGCCCGGGTGTCTGCGCCAGTCCAAATTTCCCTGAAAGGGTTGCTTGACAGGCACGCCACCCATCACCTCACTTAGTTTTCCAAACCTCGTTGCCTACGTTTGCATTTTCAGGAGACTGTTATATTTGCCTGCTCCCGCCCTCCTTTTGTTTTCGACTTCCAATCGCCAATTGACATTTCGACATTGCATCTGGCTTTTCGCCTTTATTTACATCCGACCAGCCCGCCGCTCCCGGCTTACACCTGATCGGCTCTTTGCGACAACATGCCTGGTAGAACAAGAACATTGCCCACCATTCCTCAGGCCGACGTCGCCTCGCACAACACTGCCAAGTCTTGTTATGTAACCGTCGGTACAAAGGTCTACGATATCACTCCTTTCCTTGAGGATCACCCCGGTGGTGGTGACCTGATTGTCGAATATGGCGGCAAAGATGTCAAGGACATTATGGACGACACAGCCTCCCACTTCCATTCAGAATCTGCTTGGGAGATTCTCGACGACTATCTTGTCGGCTTTGTCGCTACCGAGTCTGTCATGAAATCCGTTACCGACAGCACCCATCCGGCCGATATTGTACCCCTGCCGCCTTCAGAGACCGGTGCCGAGCAGCTGCGCAAGGACGGTGTCAACCAGCCGCTGTACGAGAACACTGGAATGTCTTGCGAGGAGGATTTATCTAAAGAGACGGACGCTACCTCTGATTATCGCACCCACAAATTCCTTGATCTTAACAAGCCTCTGTTGATGCAGGTATGGAGGGGTGGCTTTACCAAGGACTTCTACCTTGAGCAAGTGCATCGTCCTCGTCACTACAAGGGCGGAGACAGTGCGCCTCTGTTTGGCAACTTCCTTGAGCCCCTGAGCAAGACCCCTTGGTGGGTAGTGCCCACCGTCTGGGTGCCTCCGGTCGCTTACGGCACCTACCTCTCAAGCCAAGGACTCTCTACCGCTGGCCTGGCTTCTTACTGGATCATTGGTCTCTGCATCTGGACGCTGGTCGAATACGTCTTGCATCGCTTCTTGTTCCATCTGGACCAGTATCTACCCGACAACCGGGTTGGCCTCACATTGCATTTCCTGCTCCATGGCATTCACCACTACCTGCCTATGGATAGATTGCGTCTGGTCATGCCCCCAACCCTTTTCCTTGTTCTTGCCACACCTTTCTGGTATCTCGCTCACGCTGTCTTTTTCTATGACTGGAACGCCGCCACTGCAGTCTTCTGTGGTGGTATCTTTGGATACATTTGCTACGATCTGACTCACTATTTCTTGCACCACAAGACGTAAGTTGCTCCATTCTATGCGAAGCGAACATCCTTGACTGACATCTTCTAGCNNCTTCCTGCTTACTGGCGCGAGCTGAAGAAATATCACCTGGCACACCACTTTGCCGATTATGAGAACGGCTTCGGTGTGACCAGCCGCTTCTGGGACTGGGTATTCAAGACCGAGCTGCCCATGACTCCGCCCAAGGTCATCAAGACGACTTAAATGTTCATGTCAAGCATTCATGTCAGGGGTTATGTACATTAGACGGTGGGAGGTGGTTGGGCGTCCCAGGAACTGGACAGGCGTTTAGGCTTTGGATTTCTTCTTATCCTTTTTCTTGGAAGCAGGTGGCTCAGGCGCAGCAGCGGGACCGCCGCCAAACATGCTTTCCATACCCGCAGGCAGAGTGGGCACTCCAGGCTGACCTTGCATGCCCTGCATTTCCTGCATCATATCCTTAAAGTAATTTTCGTTCACGCCTCCACCGCTCAGAGCGGGNGAGTGTAATGGTAATATCGTACCAATCTTCCAACCTTTAGGTGCAGCTGGCGGTGGGATGGGCTTGGTCGGGGGTGGTAGGCCGGCAATGCGCATGCGCATAGGCGATTCCTCGGTGGTGGGGTGTGCTCGTAGGTACTCGGCAACCAGTTTGTACAGCTGGTGCTCTGTGTAAAGTTAGAACAGAAGCTCTCGACATGTGATGACAGCTGGCGTACTATTCTTGATGGAGCCTTTTCCTGCGGGCTTGCCATCCTCCTTGATCAAGACACGCACGCGACCAGGATTGGCCCAGTCCTTGGGGTGTGTCTTTGCAGGCTCGAAAATAACCTGACCTGCGACAGGTAGCTGCGAGCAGGCATTGGCGATGTCTTGTGCTAGCGGGTTTGCGACAGCCTCGTTCTTTCCTACTCGTCTACCTTCGGCGCGGGAGCGAGATGAGTCGAAGTAGATGGGGTATAGACATTGATAATGCTTGGTGCGCTCACGTTCGGCATTCTGATCAGGCGGTGGGCGGCCAGGGAAGTGCGGCTGCAGGACAGGCTGCTGCTGCTGCGAGTATGGAGGCGCAGTGGAGGGAATGTTGGCGGGCTGGATGATGGAGTTCAGGAGGCCAGGATCAAAGTCCGAGGGATCCATCTCGGATGGGTCCGAGTCGCTGTCGGACACTTCTTCGATACGGGCATGGCGAGACATGACGGGTGATGTGGTTGGACGTGAATGTGTCGTGGCAGGTGGAAGGACTGCGAAAGAGGTATAGAGGTACCAGCCAGAGTGCGGGCGCGGCTTGGCACTATGATTTGATTGCCTGTTTGTCTGAGGGCGCTCTCTCAATTTCCTCCTCGCACTGTTGCGTCTTCTACGGATCCGTCTTTTCTTATCCGCCTGCCTCATCGCTCTTGCCGCAACTGCGCCATCTCGTCCTTTCCCTGCGCATCCGTCCGGACGACCTTTCCGGCAGCTTCCTAAAGACATGTGGGCACAAGGCGTGCTCGGGTCATTGCCCGCTCTATTTCTTCTCTCTGCAACGACGTCGACGGCTGTTTCTCTTGACTGCAAGAACGTCGTTGTGAAGGGCCAACACTTTGATCTCTCGGAGCTGGCCGGTCCTCGTGCTGTGCACCTTATCGAAGAAAATCCTCCCAGTCTTTCCAACACCACCTTCACTGTCGATATCTGTAATCCGCTCAAGAGAACCAAGAACGTCCCGAAGGACAATGAATGCCAAACTGGCACATATGGTATATAGTCCTACTTCAGTGTCAGTGATCCTCGCTTGCTCACAAATTGTANNGTTTGCGGTATCGAGTACGACTATAACCTCGCCGACAACTCGAGCACCATCAGGCGAGTTATGCCCATTGCTGGCCAGTATGCCGGGTCTCACGGTAGATTTCTGGATCCGGAGTGGACTCGTCTGAAGAACTCTCCTTCACACGATGATGCCAACAAGGAGGGGTTGAGAGTGGAACTACATGGAGGAAGATATCCCTTCGAGAAGTCCGACGGGCGCCAGCAANAGGCCATCATCGAGTTCCAGTGCGATCGCAACAGGACCGGTCTGGAGGGTTCTGAGCATGACACGCGCGACAAGCTTGACGAGGAACAAGAAGCGGAACGAGTAGTGATTCGCACTGAGTCTGACGACAAGAAGGATGACAAGAAGGACGACAAGAAGGACGAGGAAAAGCCCGTCGAGGATGCCAGCCTGAAGCTAATCAGCTACAGGTCAGAGGGAGAGGGCGATGCCGAGTTCGATGTCTTGCGCCTACAATGGAAGACAAAGTATGCATGCGAAGGCATGACTGAACACAAGCCTACCTCTGGCAACAACTCCAGCAAACACTGGGGCTTTTTCACCTGGTTCCTCATCATGTAAGATCTCTTGTGGCTTCTTTCGAACTTGTGCCTTTGCTAATGCCGTCTACAGTNNGCCTTTTTGGGAGCAGCCGCGTATCTGATTTTCGGAACTTGGCTTAATAGCAGCAAGTATGGCTCGCAAGGCTTCGACTCAGTACCACACGCGGATTTCTGGCGTGATCTGCCGTACACTGTCAAGGACTGGGGCCGCTCGATTGTTGGTATGGTCCAAGGACGCACCAGCCGTGGAGGCTACAGTGCGGTCTAAGTCGTGGAAACCCCTTTTCTATGCACATCCTTTATACATCTCTTTTTTGTAAAATGAACCCGCACCTTTCGTGTTGAATGCTTGAGTAGTCTTTTGTGCACACTTGTAGGCATGAGGGACTAGCCACACAGGCCTCTTTGAGTCTTGAAGCAGAAACAATATCTCTGTTCATATGCTCAACAACCACAATTTCACAGCTGGATACCTTCGACAGATTCTTGATATGACCTACCAATGCGATTTGGCGGAGTTACTCTCCGTAAGCTTGTGACGTTCGCTGGAAGCCACCGAGTTGTTCGTCTAGTCGGATGAACTGGGGCTGGCAGCATGACCAACAACACATCGTTGGAGCACAGAACCAGCTTCTCGGTCCCGTGTTCCTCTCAGGGGCAACAACGACCCTGATGACATGAACAATGGTCTTTGACGATTCCCATGATGCGATCAGCGTGGTGCGTTTGTGCCACACTCGGCCGAGGCGGTTGATCGATCTCTCAGGCACGTTCGCGGGCCGATCGGAGCCTCTGCTCTTCCGATTGGCCAACTTTGAATCTTAGCGCGGGAAATGGTCGAGTTATGGTATCGTCATCATGCTCGAAAATAATTATTGAATCGTGTTTCGCACACACCCGTTGCGTGTTGACCGGCAATTACGTTCTGGGTTGTCTGGGGTTCTTCCTCTTATATCCTCGATTTCCCTCTCTGACTTCTGTCGCTGCGTCTCTCCTTTGGTTGTTTGATTGACAGCATTGTGTGGACGAGATGAGTGTCTCTGCGGACTCTGGAATGGCTTTACCACTTCAAGCCTTGATGAACAACACGATGGGCTACGACGGCGTCAAACATCCTTACTACCCATCGGATGCCAACATCGCCAACTATGTGGCCAATGAGTCCACTGTCCTCTCGCTATTGGGCTCCTTTGTTGCTGGCTGTGCTGCAATCTTCGGTGCAACATATTTGGCCGTCAAGAAGGTCAACCCGAGGCTGCCGACCATCGAATTGCTCACAGTCATGTGGTTTGTCTTATGTGGATGCATACACTTGTTCTTCGAAGGTGAGTCAGGTTGTGCTGGAACAATGACTGAAGAAATTGAAAATGAATGTTTCACAGGTTATTTCGCGTATAACCACACGAGCATGGGTGGATTGCAGACATTCTTTGGTCAGCTCTGGAAAGAATATGCTTTGTCTGATTCCAGATACTTGACACAGAATGTCTTTGTGTTTTGTGTCGAGGCCATGACTGCAGTAAGTGATTCTTCGTCAATCCTTGCCTTTCTCAAAGCTTACTGGTGAATTCCAAAAGNNGTGCTCTGGGGTCCACTGAGCTTCGTGGTTGCTGTGCTGATTGCGACCGAGCATCCACTGAGGCATCCCCTGCAAGCGGCAGTGAGTCTCGGGCAGTGCTATGGCGACCTTCTCTATTACGCTACCAGCATGGCCGATCATTACTACCTGGGCATTGAATACTCGAGACCGGAGGCTTACTATTTCTGGGGATACTATTTTGGAGCGAACTTCTTCTGGATCGTGATTCCTGCAGGTAAGTGGTTCAGGCAGTCGCGTGTTGTTGCAGAGTTTCTGATATCGTNNGCAGTGTTGTTGTACAACAGCGTAAAGGCCAGTGCCGACGCAATTCGACAAGTTCAGGAGACCAGGGGCTCGAAGAAGACCATGTAGGGGCTCAAGACGAAGATACTAGGTAGAACATCAATAGACAGAGCGCTAATGTATAGTCGTACTGCAACAACCAACAGACCTTGGCTGTTCCAGACATACACCCTCTCGCATTCTAGTGACTGTCATATTTCAGGTGTAAAATGCACAATACTTTCCAGAAGCAAGCCCTTTCCACAGAGAGACATTATTGCAAGGTGTCTCTATGGCCATGCTCTTGGCTCAGAAAGCACTTGTGCAATTTTGTAGCTTGTAAAATCGTCGCATATCACCGTGAGAGAGTGAGAGACAGAGGGGCCGATCATGAGAATCCAAGATAAAGAGAGATGATACGCGTACAGTAGATGGGGCGTTTCGCGACGGGCTGGGGATGGAGCGGATCATGATGCGCGGGATGGCTGGTTGCACCTTCCGATTGTAAACACAGAGTCTGGTTCTTGTCCTCGCTCTCGTCTGTGCGCTCGTCCGACCTCTTCCTCTAGCAATGCACTCTACCATCAATTCCGCGGTCAAGTCTGAGCTGTAAAAGACTGTTCCCCACCGTTGACACATGCCACCAGGGTCCAGTTTTCTCCACGTTCGCCGTTGAAACCGTAAGACACACATCGACAACAACGGGCATGTGGTCGACACTGACGTGGTTTGGCAGTTGTATCTTGCTTGCCCGAACCCACATTCTTCCTAGCAAGTTTGCGCACCCTGTCCTATACCGTGCTGTATTCATCGCTTCGCTCTCGTTTCCTCGAACCAATTCTCAATTCCGCGACGGACCAACATCCTCCATGTACCTTGTCTCTGATCGTCGCCTTCCAGTCGCAACACATCTAGCGCATTACCAGGACCATCCCGAATACGACAATCTCTTCTCGGCGCGAGCAGTCACACATGAGGAAAAGCGGCCGTGACACCGGCAAGCAAACCGGCCTGTACGACACCGATAAGATTCACCAGAGGGTGCAAAGATGGCAGGCTGACAGTGCTGAAGCCGCCATTACAAAAGAGGATGAGAACGTGGTAGTTGTCGAATACGAGGACGATGCAGACGATACGAAACGAGCCAAANAACCAAGCAAGAGCTCCCCAGACAAGTTTCTACCTGATGCAGGCAGGGGCAGCCGGCAGTCGTCTCCAACCAAATCGCCAAAGACTCCTCGAGAACTTGATGCAGACCGACAAGCATGGATTCGTAAGAAAAGCACTTCCCGGAACGACTTGAACTCCGACGTCAAACATGCAGGGGCTCCCTTGAAGCGTGTAGTCAGTGATGCTCACTGGCGCAAAGACCGTTCGCCTACTCAGACGCCTGAGAATGTGTCCAAGCTGGGTCCAAAACCATACACGATCAAGAGAACTACTATACACAGAAACGAAGACTTGCCAAAGCCAAAGAAGGATGACGATGGCATCAGGGTCAGGCCGATGACAGAAGACGACGGCATTCGAGTAAGGCCAATGGAGGAAGATTCTCCAGGGGAGCACAAGCATCGTACGCCCAAGAATGATAGTGATCGACCGGGCAGCTCTGGCTCGTCAAAGCAGCGGACTTCAGTACATCGACACGGCTCGGCTACGGCAGAGGAGCCCACAAGAGATAAGAACAGGAGGAGCGCTCGCGAAGTAAGCCGCGACAATTTAGATCGTAGACGTAGATTACGTCGCCGTCTCGGTTCACCCGCAGCTTCTGAGGCAGGTACAGAGGCCAGATCGATCGCACAGACCCTTGACCCAGACGACAGTATCAGTGCTAGAAATGCTCACACTCGGAAGTCAAGAGGAGCTCCACCGACTGCACAGGAAAGGAAGAAAGACATGACGGCTGGCAATTCTAGAGCAACGGGGACTGACGAGATGTCCCCTTCGAATGTACCACCTACCGCAGCCCCAGCCTATGGAAGTCGAATCGAAGCATGGCTTGGGNGGACTCCCGATCCTTTCGTTGCTGACCAAGCTCTACAACAGAAAGACGGGCACGAAGAAGCTCCAGCATCTAAAGGTCGATCTAGGCAACTGAAAAGGGTGGATGGACTAGGAATACAAACTGACTCTGCCGTGGACGCTCTCAATGACCATGGAAAGCACACTGGCCACGTTCCACCACGATCTTCTCCTGGTGAACCAAATTCGCAATCGAGAGAGGTGCTCGGTACCATTCCCGAGTCTACACCTCCAAGCTTTGAAGACGGAAACTCTTCGTACGCTACGTCGTCTGTACCATCTAACATCCAGCTTCCCGACATTCAGACCAGCAAACATGCGCCAGGAGCAAATCTTCGAAGGCGATTCCCCACGACAGGAAAAAGACTGTCAACCATCGCTTCGGCAGAAACTCTTCAAGAGCCTGCGGCCCAATCTGAATTTTCTGAACAAGAAACTATCGTGCCCGATCGTACAGAATCTCTGAGAAGCGCGAATGGGCTCAGGCGGAAATTGACCCGTCACGAGGATCTGATGTCTGTGCTATCACTACCTATGGTCGATGCCAAGAGCATTGTCTCAGCACGTAGTATACGGACTAATCGAACGAGGCTTGAAAAAGCGACCCTCCAGGATCTCTGGAACGAGTTTACCGCGGACGAAGTCAAATATCAGCGAGAACTCCGCACCTTGGTGGACGGGGTTATACCAGTGCTACTTTCGTGTGTACTTTCCAAGTCAGACTCAGCAATCGCTGCTGGTCTGTTCGGACGCTCTACCGCAGATGATGCGGCTATCACCAAACCTATCGTCGAGATGGGCGTTGCTCTAGAGCGCCTGAAGGCACACCATCGTCGAGTTCCTAAGAGTGACGATAAAGCGCTACTATCATGGGCTCAAGGAGCTATCCGAATCTACCATGATTACCTAAAGGCCTGGAGGATGGGATTTCAGGATGTCGTGGTCAATCTTGCACCTGCAGATGCTGATACCAGCACTAGATGGGATGATGAGTTGCTGAGAAATGAGGATGGCGACTTGATCAATGGTGACGGCGAGAGGGTTGATGTCGCTTTTTTGCTAAAAAGACCATTGGTGCGCCTCAAGTATCTCGCCAAAACTTTCAAGGTACGTACAAGTATCAGGCTAGATCTTTTGGATATTCGGGACTGCAGTGCTGACAAAGTAGNNGGTATTCATTTCTTAGCACCGTCAGCTTCGGCGAGTTCTTTGGCCGAGAAGTATCAGGAATTAGTCACTGAAGCCCGCAAAAGATCCAACGAAGAACGAGCTCGCTTGGAGGACGAAGCGGCTGCCGCTATCGATCCAACCCGGGTCAGAGATCCTCGAAGCCTCGCTTTGCTGAAAGGAGTCAGCATCGATGCCACACGGTGTGTTCATGCCAGGGACTACTTCGACATGAACGTCATTCACTCCAGTGGCCAACAGTTGGATTGTAGGATTGAGCTCGTAATTCGTGACGACGGTCCTAGTCGAGGAAACGGTGGCGATGTTCTCATCTGCGAAATATCCGATACAGGTCGCTGGCTACTATTTCCACCTCTCAGCAGGGACTCTGTTTCCGCAAGAGCTGGCAGCAATCCAGGAGATGTAGTCATGATGATACGAGGTCGGTATGCTAACAAAAGGNAGTGGCACGAGCTCCTGTCATTGCGTGCCAGCGACGAATCTACTGGGCCTGAATGGGTGGAGATGCTCGGACTCAGTCCTGTTCCTCCATCTTTGGCAAGGCAATCTAGCTTCCTCACCAAGCCTCAGACTCCATCCCGCCCTCGTTCTCAAGAGGCTACATCACCTGCTGTCAGCCCCACTTACCGAGGAGCTCAAAGGACTAAAGAGATCGAGATTCCAATTGGAGAGAGGCCTAGCTCGTCTAGGAGCTGGGTTTCGGACCGCAGCGGGCAAGAAAAGCTCGTAGCCGCTCCTGAAAATGGAACATCATCTAGCCTTCTCGTACCGGATAGCATATCACCGCGGAAACCTATCTCATCATCGCCAAAAGCTGTTCAGAATGACTTTGTGCTACCTGATTTGGCATTACAGGAGAACATGTATCCTCCCGCTAACGTGTCGCGGACAGAGATGTCTTCAGGAGATTCACCAGGTCTACGAAGATCAACGGCAACGCGTCACAGATCATCGCCATCTATGTCGCCTAGCTCATCTCGGTCCTCGTTACAGTTCCCTCTTGACAAGGAATCGAGAGCATATCCAGAACACCCTACCCATCACATGTCAAGGTCGGAAACTGGAACCACCTTGAGCTCATACTCAAGCCTATCCACTCTGTCTCAACCAAGAAAGGAGTACAGTGTTTGGATGCCTCCGTCCACAATTCCATCCGACGAATCCGAAGAAGAGGAGGCAGATGACAACTACACAGATACACCAACCACGACGCGCTCGCAGTCTCACCGTAGAGTATCATTAGTACCAGTGATTGAGCCTCCTCGAGCTCCGAAGCTGCGGCAAAGAAGCGAGCCAAACTCACCCGTCCGGCCTCCGGAGCTTTTCAACCGTTCAGATCGCACACGACTTGAGGAGTTAGTAGAACCTTCATCGGCACCTCTCAAATTACAAAAACGCCGGCCAAGTGTGAAGGGTGTCAGCTTTGATGACATACTCGGGGATGTCTCTAGCAAAGACAAGGACTTGCCACCCTCAAAGCCGAAACGCTTCAGTATCCCGTCTTTCACACCGAATTTTCTGAAGAGACATCGCAGGTCTTCATCTCCTCTCAAGCACGAGTATGAACCATCAATCACAAGTGAGTCCTCTACAGAGAGTGACTTGTCTTACTCTGAGGATGACGACGAATCAATCACGTCTGATTCGTCCGAAGAAGCTGTGGAGNGAAGCAAAAACGTACTACCGCTCGAGTTGCCTTTCGTTGATGGGACTGGAAAAGCCACTCCACCAGCATCACTTGCTTCTCTGCCTACCACCACACTCGGCCCATCGAATTCTGCCTCCCAAGCTCCATATCGAACAGTTCCTCTCCAAGCGACAAATGCTTCCAAGACTATCTCATCGATCTATTCATGGTCAGATCGAGGCGCATGGGAAATGTTGCACCCAGGTGAGTGCGTTGTTATTGTCACACCTGGACTGATTGAAGCTTTCGACTTGGACGAAGCGATCCCAGACGGAAGTGATGTGACTAGTCCTTCTGCTAGGGGCATACAGCCTTTGATAGCGTTCGAAGTCACCCCGCTTGTTCCTTTGCGTCGGGGCACAGCACTTGATATCTCCATCAGATCACCTCCCACGGCTAATTCCTTGATTCGTGCCAGCAACAACGTCATGTTCCGCTCTCGAAGTGCGGATGAGTGCGACATGCTGTACTCGTTCATCAACACTGCTCGAATCAACAATCCTACATATATCGCCCTACAGAACGCTAGAGGTCCAGTCACTGAAAGTACATGGTCTGCAGCCATGAATCGAGACAACAACCAGAGGTCTGCGAACGGCTCGTGGTTCCATAATCCGCTTCGCAGGAGCAACACATACCGATCGAAGACCTCTCGGGCACCCTCTGAAGTGACTGACTCTTCTGTCGGTACAATGAATACCGCCTTTTCTGCTCTACGCCGATTCAATGGTAATAGTCGTCTCTTCAACATTGCTAAGAGTACGATTACATCCCGTCAAGGCAGTCGAAATGGTACAAGCGAGTCGCTTTCTTCTGGAGCATCAACTCCAGTCGTTTATGATCCGTCACAAGGAACGCCACTTGGTATCACAAATGCTAAGATTCGATTATACATACGTGAGTCCCAAAACAAATGGAGAGACATGGGCTCGGCGCGATTGTCAATATTGCTTCCTCCACGGCCATCTCCCGGAGTCCCAGCAAGCCCCCGGACAGTTGGTCTGGAGAAACGTATCTTAGTCAGTGGCAAGACTAGAGGCGAAACACTGTTGGACGTCACTCTAGGCGAAAGTTGCTTCGAAAGAGTCGCCAGGACAGGCATTGCAGTCAGTGTCTGGGAAGATAGAATCGGACCGGTCACCTCAGGTGGAGTGCTTGCTTCGAAAGCAGACACTTATATGATTCAACACAAAACAGTGAGTTCTGCCTTCCCTGCTCATTAAGCTCAACATGCTAACTATGACCAGGAACGAGAATGTGCATATACGTTTGGGCTTGTAGGAAAATTGAGATACTGAGCGGCAGTCTCACTCTGTTCCTCAAGCGCCTTTCACCGTATCTTTCATTCTTTCTTTTCTTCGTCCTGAATGCTACAGCATCGAGTAGTGACAGCCACTCGTGATGTGTTGTTGAGTTCCCTTTAGCGCTTGATCTTTTGTGGTTCTTCTGTTTCAAAACTTGATATCCCCCTAGCGTTTGTAATTGCTTTCACTTTGGCCTTGTTCATCGGTAGATACATGATTACGCAAGCCTTTTCATGGACTGGCGGTCATTCAGCTTCATCAATCTTACTTGTCTGATCCTCCGGCTTATTCAGTCTCACACGAGGTTTCTCACAGCACTCTGTCACGCCCCTTTCTTCAAGTAACCTCATTGGGTGTATCACTAAATAGTGAGAAGTGCTACAGATGAAATCAAGGCATCAATGACTCGAGTTCAGCAAACATAAAAAGTAGCCTTGGTCCGTACGCACTCCGAAACAACAACTTGATCTTTTGATCTCATCTTCGACACAATCTGTTGATACACTATCCACCATGGCTTCGTGGCTGCGCAGTAAAGCACAAAGGTTTGAGGGCTTCCTAGACGCTCGCACAAAACGTAAGTCCNCACGATCTTTTGAGGCAACTTTTTTGTGGTCGAAAAAGTTGACCCATGACGTAGCGTCAAACACTGCAACGGCACCAGCTGTCAAAGGGACAGCCGAGACAGGAATACCCACACCGCAGAACCCAACACTTCTACAGGCATTCGAATGGCACACACCTGGTGGACACTGGACCCGCCTCGTACAAACAGTCCCCGGCTTGTCTGACATCGGCATCACTTCACTCTGGCTTCCTCCCGGCTGCAAAGCCAATGAACCACATGGCAACGGCTACGACTGCTACGACCTCTGGGATCTCGGCGAGTTTGATCAGAAATGGACACGTGCAACCAAATGGGGATCTAGGGAAGAGCTTGACGAGTTGATCGCAAAGGCCAAAAGCTTGGGGGTCCTGATTATCTGGGATACTGTTCTGAATCACAAGACAGCTGGAGACGCCAAAGAGGAGTGTTGGGCCGTCGAGGTTGACANNGAGCAGGCACGCACACCCATTCTTTTCTCATGCAAGAGTCAGGCTGACCGAGACTTTCCAGACCGTACAATCGAAACAACGACACCAAAGAAGATCGAGCCCTGGATTCACTTCTACTTTCCCGGCCGCGGAGACCGCTACAGCGGTCTGAAATGGCACTGGCAACACTTTAGTGGTACCGACTGGGATCAGCGTACCCAGAAGAATGCTATCTACAAGATCGTTGATCCCNCGGAGACACTCNCCCGTCGTGGAGCCGTCGTGGACCCCACCTGGCGCAAGAAAGACTGGGCCACCGATGTCGACAACTGCATGGGCAACGGAGACTATCTCATGTTCTCCAATATCGACTACTCAAACGCTGAAGTCAGAGAAGACGTCCAGAGATGGGGCGAGTGGATGGTAATCGAAGTCGGTGCGGATGGCTTCAGACTGGATGCTGTGCCTCATATCAGCTGGATGTTCATCCGAGAATGGATTCGCATCGCAAAGGAAGCCGCCAAGCGCCAGGACCGTGACCTCTTCATCATGGGCGAGTTCTACAACGGCAACGTGAACAAAATTCTGCAGTGGATGGACAGAATGAATAACGGAGTATACGCTTACGACATCCCGCTTCTGGGCAACTTTGCCAAAATTTCCATGGCAAAGAGCAAGCTCGACGTCGACTTGAGAAAGGTTTTTAAGAACACCTTGATCCAACACCGACCCGGCAATGCTGTCGTAAGTCTTCCGTTTTCTGCCAAAGCACAACCACTAACAAGCACACCCAGANCCCTTGTAACCAGCCACGATACTCAGCCAGGTCAAACAGTCGAAACCCCGGTTGCACCTTACTTCAAGCCTCTAGCTTACGCGATCATGCTCTTACGCCGCGAAGGTCTGCCTTGTGTTTTCTGGGGCGATGTTTACGGCATAAAGGGCCCCCATACATCGCCGGCAGCCTGTGAAGGCAAACTGCCTACACTCATCCTCAGTCGCAAACTCTTTGCTTACGGTGAGCAAACTGACTATCTCGAGAGTAGAACTTCGATTGGTTGGGTTCGCCATGGTACCTGGGACAGAGTCGACGGCTGCGTGGCCATCATGAGCATCGGAGGTGCTGCTAAGAACAGCATGTTCGTTGGTCCTACCAAAGCTGGTCAGGTCTGGACCGACGTGCTGAGCAACTCTAACCACACAGTTACCATTGATGACAGAGGCTACGGCGAATTCAGGTGCACCGGAAAGAGCGTCAGTGTTTACGTGCGCAAGGATGCACCTGGCAGAGCAGAGTTTGGAGCTTGCCACCCTACAAACTTCACTATGCCATGACAGGTCAACTACTCTAAGAACATGTCAAGCAGTGCTTGATATTCAGCATCTGTATCTGGAGAGCAGGGAGCGGATATTCTTGTATTGTAGTTCCCAGGATTCCGACCATTTGAGAGTCGTGATGCCGAATCCGGAGAGAAGGAGATATAGCAGAGGTTGACAGTAGCTTATGACAAACGAACCATCTGCAACGACTTTTGATATCGTTTTGATGCAAGTGAGAGAACAAGCACTACGACACCAAAACACATGGAGGTGCTTCCCCCTCTCCCTCAACGGCATATTTGTTTTGGTATGCTATAAAAAGCACAGTCACTTTCTTGACAGAGGTGTGGCCAAGGAGATGCTCGAACATGATATCTTCTCCGTGAACATCCCTCTGGCATGGAAAGTATTGTGCATTTCTATAGCCACATTGTGGCTGTCTATCGCGTATGAGAAGGATTTATTGCCTACTTGTCATTTTGGCTTCGGATCATGGTCACTAAAATTGCTTGATTCACATGATAAGATGCACCGTACCTCGGTCGCACTCGACCACCGACACAACACTTGCATATCAGCATGTTCACTGGATGGAGTTCAAAGTGATGGTCGAGTCCGAGTGAAGAGGGCGTGGGGAACGCCAAGACACGGTTTTGCGCGATTAGCTCGGGCTTGGCACGGCGCACTACGCTCGTCGCTTGCCAAAATCCTCAGCACACCTTTGATTTGGTTGTATTCGCGCCGCCAACAGTAACATCGCTCATCAACCGCCACGATGTCGCTCGTCTCCGGAGAAAAGTCGAACTTCCAGTTCATTCTGCGTCTGCTCAACACCAACGTACGCATTCCCACGATCCGCCCGACATTGCGCACCTTCCAATACCCAAAATTGCCTCCCTTTATATTCAGACACGCAAAGCCTCAGACGCACGCATCGCCAGACGAGAAGAAAAGACCAGTGTTGACATGATGTTTTACAGNNGTTGATGGCAAGCAGAAGGTCATGTACGCCCTGACCAAGATCAAGGGTGTCGGTCGCCGCTACTCCAACTTGGTCTGCAAGAAGGCCGATGTCGACCTTAGCAAGCGGTACGCATTTGCTCTCGGACACGCAGCAGAAGAGACTAGGATCTAATACGAACAAAACAGCGCCGGTGAACTCACCTCGGAAGAGCTCGAGCGCATCGTCACCATCATCCAGAACCCCACCCAGTACAAGATTCCCTCGTGGTTCCTCAACAGACAGCGCGACATTGTCGATGGCAAGGACTTCCAGGTCCTCGCCAACGGTGTCGACTCCAAGCTCCGTGAGGACCTCGAGAGACTGAAGAAGATCCGTGCCCACAGAGGTCTCCGCCACTACTGGGGCCTCCGCGTCCGTGGTCAGCACTCCAAGACCACCGGCCGCCGTGGTCGCACCGTCGGTGTCAGCAAGAAGAAGTAAACGACTCGCTTTCTACAACATTTTCCCGGAACGATATTGGGGCGTGTGGTGGTGCAGCGTTTTACAGCCGAATCAAAAATACCAAAGCAGTCTGCTCTCGGCTTTCTTCATGGATATGGCGCAAGACTATGGTTGTTGTTGTGGTCCGCTCTCAATGACATTGTGCTGTTGAAGAAAAATAAAAACCTTTTCTTTCTCGTTGACAAACACAATGCTCTATGCCGCCCCGATACCAGCCTTTGGAATGAGAATCCTGTAAAGTGAACGACGATATGAGGCAGTTTCAGAACACGCAACCGACCCTCGCGACACAAACACATGTTGATCACAATGTCAAGAGTGAAGAAATGTAGTTTTCATATCAAGGACAAAGCACTTTTGACGTAGACAAAACTCCTGGGGTATGTTCGCTATAAAGCAATGAAAGAAAGACCAGACATCTCCGCCAATAGACTAGTCGCCCTCGTTCATGACGGCCATGTCCAAAACCTCAGCCCTGGCTCTTCCCTTGGTCTGTCCACTGACAAACTCGCTCAGAGGCTTGAAGCTGCCGGGCTCCACGAAGCCGACAACTTCCCATTCTTCGCCCATCATATCTTGACTCTCGACCTGCTCGATGTAACCCAGTATCCTGTCCTTGACAGTACCCTTTGCCTGTGCCTCGCCTTCGGCCTCGTCGCCGGGTTTGGGTGCATTCTTGACTGCCTGTTTCAAAACCGAAGTAGGGCAGGTGATTCTCAGTCTCATTCTCGCACGAGCGACGGGAATCGGCTGATGTGCGATCAAGGCCTTCATTGCGTTCAGCGCTTGAGATTTGGCATCGCGAGTGGTCACGACGCCGGTCCACATGGGCTTGGATTTGTGTTCGGCATGGCTCTCGCCTTCTACAGGGGTTGCGGTGCCGCTCGCGGTAGGTGTTGTTGTGTCCTTTCCGCTTTGACTGCTGAGTTGGTCGAGTGCTTTCTCAATCATTCCAGTAGTGTAGACACGCTTGCTCTTGGGATCGACCAGCTTGCCCGCGACAATGTCGATGACCTCGGCGTGGACTCTTTCCAACTGGGCGTGTCGTTCCTTCTCGCCGACCTGCAGCTCACCCTTGTTCAGAATCTCGAGAATGATGTCATTCAAGGGCACCTTTCCAAAGGCTTTCTGCAAGTCTGCTGAGGGAGCAGCCTGACCTTTGGAAACGTTAAGAAAGACGTTTGGGATTTGGAGGACATTGTCGAGATCGGTTTCGACACCAGAACGCCATTCGAGGACTTTGTTCTTGTAGCATGCGACTTCGAAACGCTTTTTGCCTNNGGAGAAGATGAGTTGAACATTCATCGAGGGAAGACCGACACGATGCGCGGGGCGGTAGCACTGTGCGCAAGGGAGAGTGAACATACCCTTCTTCATCCGGACAAGAGAGACATTTGTAAGTCTGATCTGGTTCGACGGCTGCGCATGACTGTCAGAATACCAGAGGGTTTGATTGTAGATAAGATACGGGACGTGCCTGGTTAATCTGAGCCGAAGGCATTATTGTGGTAGTGTGACGATATACGATGGAATATCGAAAAGAGGCTGGGTTAACAATTCATGCAGACCAAGTTCGGCATGCAAAAGCTGCTAAAGCCGTTCGCGCCTGGCGAAAACGTCGTCATGGCAGCGCCGGGGAAAGCAGATAAGCTCACACGACTCGCAGGGGACATGCTACCGCCCGTCTGCTCCTGCCTTAGCCAGCGTCCACTCTGCGCTCCATCTGTATCGCTGGGAGTCTGTACGCAAACATGTCAGACAAAATTTTGGTTGGGTCCCTGCTCTACTGACATGTTCAGATCAGATCCCTCATAGCTGCTGCGGGTCGAAGTCTTAACTCTCTCGCGCATCTCCGTATCTCAGTGGTGGTGCGTTGGTTAAGACAAGGTCGACCGGTTGGTACCACATCCGTGACATCCTTGCCTGATTCGGCAGGCGGGCGTCCCAGGAACCGTGCATGGGAAGCATGACCTTGATACTCCCCACACAAGGCTCTTAGGCTGCCTCTTTCCTCTCCTCTTCCTCTCCCATCCCCTCCACCTTGATAACCTCGAGGTCCGCTTCTTGTCATCCATCCTTCTTCTACATCAATTGCTTCACCCTGTGTTGCATCGATAGCATCAAGTATCACAAACAGCTACACAGCCATCACACGAGTCTGTTTGCGCCGCCATGAAGGTCGCCGCATACGCCTCTCTGATTGGAGCCGCCACGGCTGCCATCACGCCTGGCCAATCCATCCTCAAAGCCCCCAAGCAGGCAAACGAGGCATGGTCTAAGCCTCTGCACAACTTGCAAGAGTCTCTCAAGTCCTTGACCGGCGAGGCCCGCCAGATTTGGGATGAGGTCGCCCTCATGTTCCCCGAGGCAATGGACCAGACCAGCTTCTTCTCTCTGCCCAAGCCCCACTCGCGCAAGCACGATAAAGAGTGGGACCACATCATGAAGGGCGCCGACGTCCAGAGCGTCTGGGTCGAGAACGCTCAGGGCCAGAAGGAAAGAGAGATCGAGGGCAAGCTCGAGAACTACAGCCTGCGAACCAAGAAGGTCGACCCCAGCCACCTCGGTGTCGACAAGGTCAAGCAGTACAGTGGTTACCTCGATGACGACGAGGATGACAAGCATTTGTTCTACTGTAGTNGGCGACCGCGCTGTCGCGCTCTCTAGCTTATACTAACCCATCGTACAGGGTTCTTCGAGTCCCGCAACGACCCCAAGAACGACCCCGTCATTCTGTGGCTCAACGGTGGTCCCGGCTGCTCTTCCTTGACCGGTCTGTTCATGGAGCTTGGTCCATCGTCTATCAACAAGGACGGTAGCCTCAAGTACAACCCCTCGTCATGGAACGCCAACGCCTCGGTCATCTTCCTTGACCAGCCCGTCAACGTGGGCTACTCGTACAGTGGCAGCTCCGTCACCAACACTGTCGCCGCCGGCAAGGACGTCTACGCTCTCCTGACTCTCTTCTTCAAGCAGTTCCCCGAGTACGCCAGCCAGCCTTTCCACATCTCTGGCGAGTCTTACGCTGGCCACTACATCCCCGTCTTCGCTTCCGAGATTCTCTCTCACAAGAAGCGCAACATCAACCTCCAGTCTGTTCTCATCGGTAACGGTCTTACCGATGGTCTGACCCAGTACCCCGAGTACCGCCCTATGGCATGTGGCGAAGGTGGTTCTCCTGCCGTCCTCGACCCTCAACAGTGCCAGGCTATGGACAACGCTCTGCCCCGTTGCTTGAGCTTGATCCAGAGCTGCTATGACAGTGAGAGTGTCTGGTCTTGCGTTCCTGCTTCCATCTACTGCAACAACGCCATGATTGGTCCTTACCAAAAGACTGGCCGCAACCCTTACGACATCACTAAGAAGTGCGGCAGCAACAGCCTCTGCTACGATGAGCTCGATTGGATCAGCGAGTACCTTAACAGACCCGAGGTCATGAAGGCTCTTGGTGCCGAGGTCAGCAAGTACGACTCCTGCAACTTTGACATCAACAGAAACTTCCTCTTCGCCGGCGATTGGATGCAACCCTTCCACCGCCTCGTCCCTGGTATCCTCAAGGAGATCCCCGTCCTGATCTACGCTGGCTCGTTGGACTACATCTGTTCGTAACCACCTGACTTTCTATATAGAACATTGCTGACAACTCCCAGGCNNAACTGGCTTGGTAACCAAGCTTGGACCGAGGCTCTTGAGTGGCCCGGTCACAAGGACTTCAAGAAGACCCCTCTTGAGGACTACGTTCTCCTGGACGGCACCACTGCTGGAGCCGTCAAGAGCAGCGGTAACTTCACTTTCATGAGAATTGATGGCGGTGGCCACATGGTTCCTTACGACCAGCCCGTTGCTTCTCTTGAGATGGTCAACCGCTGGGTCGCTGGAGAGTGGCTTGCTTAAGTATTGATTTGGCTTGGTACCTTTCAATAGTGCCATTCGAAGAGGTGTATGTATCATATCGCCTGTATGTAATCGCAGGCGCTTGATTTCCTATGTACAACCAACAGCATTTTATGTTTCAACACGATTTCTACTTCATGTTCTTTGTTTGTGCTGATGTCAAACAATCTCACTCCCAGCCGTCATATGCCGCAATAAATTGATTTGGCGCACTTCAGGTAGCACATACGATCGCTTCCGAGAGGTTTGTGGAGTCTTCCTTCTTGGTCGGCCGCTCTATGCGACGATCGAGAAGTGCGTGTGAGCATGTCAATGACGTGAGATGTACGAGCAAGCGCCACTTAATTAATGAATCCTCTCGGCCAACATTGTTCATGTACCTTGTTCCCTCTCTTCTGTAAATTTTGCATGGTTGCTTGAATTTTGAACATGCCTCACCTTCCTAAATTACAAAGCGTTGTTGTTGTTGGCGGGTCTCTCGCCGGGCTGATGCACGCCTTGGCCATCATTGTACATTCTCCATCGGTCAAAGTAACAATTCTAGAAAGATCACCATCCGCCCTTCTACACAATCAGGGCGCTGGAGTCGTCGCTGGTTCCGATACACAATCTTTCTTCTCTCGCTATGTATGCCCGGGGCACGACTTTGCCGTTCTGAGCACGCAGCGGCAATACCTTGACCGCAAAGGGGAGGTTATCCAGGGAAGTGCCGAGAAAAGGGACCAACGGATGACAAGTTGGGACACTCTCTACCGCTATCTGAGATGGAGAGTGGATGACATGGATATCAAGGACTATATATCCAGTTCCGACCTCAAAAAACTGGAAGCCAGGCTTTCTGACTTTGGCCATGGAAAAGCCGATTATCAATATGGCTGTAAAGTCAGATCTGTTGAAGACCTTGGACCTTCGAAGGGTATTCGCGTACGATGGACGAATAAGTCTGATAAGGAGGAAGAGATGACTGCAGATCTCGTGATAGCCGCCGATGGAGGAAGCTCATCAGTGCGTAGAACATTACTCCCAGCTGTTCAACGAACATATGCTGGTTACGTTGCTCTTCGAGGCACTGTTCCCGAGGACGAGATCTCTGAATCTGCTGCGGAAGCTTTTAGCGAGAAATTCGCTTTCTACCACGCTGATGGCACTCAAATTCTGGTCTATCTTATCCCAGGAGAAAACGGTACATTGGAGCCTGGCAAAAGACTGATGAACTGGGTCTGGTACAGGAACTATAAGGACGGCAGTGATGAACTGTCAGATCTGATGACAGGAAAGGATCAGTCACATCACCACATCACCCTTCCTCCCGATCAGATGAAGGATGAAGTCTGGGCAAAGCAGAAGCAAGACGCTAGAGACGTCCTGCCGCCTCAGTTCGCTGAGCTGGTCAACAAGACAACACATCCATTTGTCCAAGCTATAACGGACAACATATCGCCCAATAACGAGTTCTGTAGCGGCAAGCTGCTGTTGGTTGGAGATGCCCTTGCTGGATTCCGACCGCATACGGCTGCATCGACTAGTCAGGCTGCTTTCGATGCGTTGACTTTGGGAGAGTTGCTTGAAGGCAACATTAATAGAACTGAGTACAACGATAGAGTCATGACGTATGCTAGCGAGACCCAGAAGCATGGTGTCGAGCTTGGTGAGAGGAGTCAATTTGGCAAACATCCTCTAGCTTGCTAGCTGGCTAGAATATATCAATGCGTTGATGAAACATGTCGCGGTTGTCTTTTCAAATTCATCGTCTGCCATGATATACGTCTTGCGATCTCTCAGATAGTGTCAACATTCCATCTTAAGCATAGTACGGATAGATTCGGCACTTCGTTTGTAGAAGATTCGGTGGTCATCAGGTTGATGTCGGTTGCTGTCGGTATGACCCTGTCACAAGATACAGAACATCCTCTAATAAGCAATAACCCAGATACACTTTGAATGTCTCCGCTACTTAGCTGAAAGGTGTTACGAGCGCATCATCACGTATCTTCGATGAAGTTGTGAGTGCAAATAATGTCTACTCAATTTGGTCATTAATAATGTGCATGTGGAATCCTTGTGGCATTGCCGCTGGACTGACATCACGATGATCATCGAACCGATATATATTGCACTCTTTGCGCGCAGAAAGTGCGACCGTCATCTTTGAACCTGCCTTGATCACAACACATTAACAGTCTCGACCTAAAGATCATGCCAAACATGAATGCCATCGTCGTGGAGAAGTACGGAGGCATCGAGAACCTCGTGCATAAACGAGTGCCAAAGCCTACAGAGTTAGAGGACTACGATGTACTTGTGCGGTAAGGTTCATGACCACCAAATACCCCTTATCCCCTATGTGTGCAAGGACAGTCACAATGTCACGAACAACTCCTCTCACGGATTGACGTACCACCAGGGGAAGTAGCTATGAAAATGCACAACCACTTTCCAAGTCAGCAGCGTGGCCACAGAGATGCCTCAGGATCACATCTCTCCGTGGACACAGCGGCCATCTAGAAAGTATTGTGTGTTTTGATAGCCACAGCCTATAGCATACGGGAAGGGTGGAAAAGGAGACATTAAAGCTGATAGATTCCAGAGTGAAAGCCGCCAGCGTCAACCCGATTGATATGAAGGTACGGGCCGGGGTTTATGACGACTATGCCGGTGAGTAGCCTAGAGTCCGACGCTATCGTAAAGACCAAACATTCTGATGTCGATTACACANNGACTACTATGATCATGTACCCAAGCCCAAGCCAGGCGAAGGCGGCTACCAGATCATCGGGTTTGATGGGGCTGGCATCATCGAAGAAGTCGGCTCTAAAGTCAAGAACTTCTCTTCTGGCGACGAGATTTACTACTCGGGTTCTCCCATACGACAAGGTTCAAACGCAGAGTACCAGCTGGTAGACTCTCGTTCCGTTGCGAAGAAACCCAAGAACCTTGACTTCATCGAGTCTGCAGCCCTACCCCTAACTTGGATCACTGCATACGAAGCTTTGGTCGAGCGAATGGAAATCAACAAGGGCGAACAAGCCGGCCTCCTGATCATCAATGGCTCTGGAGGCGTTGGGTCGGTTGCAAGTCAGATCGCTAGGACAGTCCTCGGTCTGCCTGTGGTCGTTACCACAACATCGCGACCCGAAACCACCGAGTTCTCGAAGTCGATGGGAGCCACACATACGGTAAACCACCGTGAAGATCTGCCACCGCAAATCGAAAAGTTGGGTTTGGAGGTACCCATCAAGTACATCTTCATCACTCACTCGACGACGCCATATATAGAGCCGGCGGCCAAGATCTGTGCTCCATTTGGCAAGGTCTGCTCGATAGTCCAAGCCAAGGATATTCAGATGTACGGCACGGAGTTTATGGCCAAGTCCCTGAGCTTTGTTTGGGAGCTGCTAGGAACGAAACCATGGTATGGTGTTGACATGAATAGCCACGGCAAGATATTAGATGAGCTCAGGCAATTGGTCGAAGACGGCAAGGTCAAGACTCATTTGCAGCAAAGCTTTAGACTGGATCTGAAGGGCCTGAGAGAAGCGCATGAAGCTATTGAGAGTGGAGGCTCCATGGGCAAAAATGGGTTGAGTGTTGATTTTGGTGAAGGAGGAACTCCTTTTGCATGAACGAAGGTATTTCAGCTGTCGCTGTCATCCTCGCTTGATTCCTCCTCAAAAGGATTGAGAGATGCAAGTTTGACATTTTTCGGTTCCGAAGTCGAATTGTCCTCAGCATTGCTAGCAGTTTTCGGGCTTTCTTCTTCAGCAATGACAGGCTCGTTCTTCGAAACAAGACTTTCTCTAGCAGCATTGTCGAGTCCCTCCTTCCCACTCTTAGTCTGAACGATCTGGGAGGCTTTGGACTAGGGNCTTGCGCTCTCTGGACCACTCTGCCTCTCCGCTTCGTTGATCTTCTTCAGAAGAAACGCGACAGTGCTGTCTCGTGCTTTGTCGAACTGCCGCAGCCGTTCTAGAGGCATTGTACTGTAACTAGGTGCCGGTATAGGAGGTCTTGAGGGGGCTTTCTGTTCTGTTTGAGATTGCGTCTGCTTCGTCTTCTCCTCTAGAAGTCTTCTCAATACCAGAATGTTCTGGTCTCGATCCGCCAATTCGACGATCAAACTCGCTTTCTCCATGTCTTCATCCTCGACTCGCCTGCGCTTCTGACTTTCGCTGTCCTCGTTCTGCCGCCAAGCTCGGATTGCGTCTCTTGCAGAATTCTCGATGTGTGCGAAGCGCGCGGGACCTAGCATAATGCCTCCATACCACCGTGCAACAACAAGGGCGCCTTCCACACGCATCTCTTCGATAACTTTCAGCACGTGACGGCCCCCATATCGCTCCCCATCGTCGTCCGTGCCGGTTTCAAGAGTGCGCACATTGCCGACTAATGTTCTTTGCGAGGAAGGACTTCGCCATGCCAAGATACGATGTGAAGCATCTTTGATCTGATCCAAATTCTGAAGCTCCTTTGCAGGCATGGTTGGAGAGAAGAAGGCCTTGAAAAAGGATGTGCGGTCCTCGATTGGTTCGGATACCCAGAAGTCGTGGTCTAGGCCATCTATAGCATCCTTCCTGGGAGATGGGCTCCTGGGACGTTTCGCCATTGTGGATAAATCGGTGCTGCTCTTCTTGTGCATTTCGAAAGTGGTCGTTGGACCCGTGTCGCATAAGATGGGAGAAGCGTGCCAAGCCGTTCCAAACAATTCGTAAGCCGACGCCGCACCAGTCGATTATACCGTAGCCTACCTAGGGATGCGGTGCTTTCCTTCTCTGCAAAACCATCTTGCATCTCAAGGGGTTTCCGTGGCCACATTTCAAGTTCGGGAAACACTCTGTATCTCAAAACTACTGGCAACACCTGCAAAGCGCTCAGTACGATGATTTTTCTTGATTGAAACGTGCTGCAAAAACAAAGTATTCTGCTGTCTATCCTGCATTTCCACGTTTGCCACCACGCTTTTGCCGATCGATATGACCTCTCAAGATCTTTCGTTGGTCGACCAAACTTCTCTTGCCCTTCCTCTTGGCCTTTCCTAGAGTCATGAGGAAGTTCTTCTTGCGAGCCTTCTCCTTGTTGGTTGTACTCTTGCCCTCGGCCTCCTTCTTCTCCTTGCGCTTGGCTGTAGTAGACATGTGCTTCTCATCACGGTCTCCCTTTGCCAACGCAATCTTCTCTTCCTTGGTCGCGCGTGAAGACAGCGCTGCAAGACCCTCAATCTCAGCAGCTGTGAGAGGGTCGTCAGCGTGACGTCCCGAAGCACTTTGCTGTTGACGCCTTTGTGAAGGCATGTGTTTGGACACGGCTGCACTCGTCCGCAGCTCTTGTAGCTTGGCAAGATCTGCTGGTGTAAGAATCCGGGTCGTGGCCAGTTTGGAGAATTCGGCAATGGGATCCTTGGGTGTGTCTTCGGTATCCTTTGGCGCTTCAGCGTCCGTCTTCTGCTTCTTTGCTTTTGGCTTCTTGTCTTCGTCTTCACTGTCGCTGATGTCGATGTCTTCACCGTCGCTTTGAACATTGATCCAACCTTCTTCGTCCGAATCGTCATCCTCTTCAAGATCCCACTTGCTCCAGCCTGCTTCCTCATTCTCTTCCTCGTCGTCTTCGTCCGCGTCAGAGGCATCAGGATCAAGACCCTTTTCGATGCGTCTTTTCCTCCTCTCTTCGGCCTTCCATTCTTCAAGCAGCTCCAGACCCTCGATCCCACCTGCCTCGACTTGTCCGAACTTTCTGTCCTTGAGAGTGCCCTTNTGTATGCCTATTGAAGCATCCTTGCCTCTGTCTCTTCTGCGCAACATCTCTGGGCCAACCTCACGGTACAGACTCAGCAGACCCTTTGCGGCCATCATGACACCCTTGTCCTTGCTCTTTCTGTACTCGACAAGATCCTGGAGGAGGGTTTCGTTCATAGCAAGAGGCTGTCTGACACAGATTTCTCTAATTGCGTTGAGACCAGCTGACGCGACTTCAGAGGCGGCAGCCTCGGAAACGAACTCGTTAGCAATCTTCTGAACCAGAGGTTCAAGAGCGTCCGGAGGAACGAGGTTGTGGGTCGACTGAGCAAGCGATGCGAGGAATGAAGTGACCTGAGGTTGCTTGGGGGTGAGATACTTGATGAAATAGGAGTAGAGAGGGATCAGAGTTAGCGTGTGCAGGCCGACAAGACGCGAGACAAGCTGCAGAACGACCAGCTTCTGGTCGAGCTTGAGTTTGGCCTTGGGTGTTTGAGTGTTGAGATGCTGGTGGAACAACTTCTCGGCGAATCCCTGGGGGTCGTGCAGGAGGTGCAGGGCAGAGAAATTGAGAGGGTGCGGGGCCTTCTTCTTCTTCTCCTTGCGCTTGACGGTGGCGGCTGCTCTCTTCAGCTCGTTGGCCTTCTTCTTTGTCTTCTTGTTGATGCCGGCCTGGTGGCGCAGCTTGCCCATGTCGATGTTTTCGTCATCGTCGCTGTCCTCCTCTGCCTTCTCCTCACGCTCCTTGTCTCCACCCAGGAAGAAATGCACACCTCCAGTGACGACCTTCTCGTGTTGTGACAGGGCAGCCTCCTTCATGATCTCTACGGCCTTGGCATCTGTCCAAATTTGTCTGGCCCACATCTCACGGGTGATGCGCACAGTCCAGACACCCTTGGCCGAAGTGGGATCGGATGTGAGCAAGTTGTAGAGAACAGTCTGAATGGTGCGGTTGAGCTTGTGGTTGGTAGTCTTCGAGTTTGAAGTGCGGAGGTCGGAGATGATCTTGGTGAACAAGAGAGTACGGAGAGCTTTGCTGGGCGTGTCGACCAGCAGAGGGAAGAGAGCGTTGAGCAGANNCTAGGAAGCGAAAGCATTAGCAGAGCGCATGGGTACCGAGCAGGAGACTTACACTGCAGAGTCGATGATATCCTTCTTGCGCAGCAGAACCAGACTGCCAACAACCTTGTCGCGCAGTTCGGGCTCCAGTTCGGCATGGTGCAGACGGAGCAGAGCCATGAGGTCGGTGGGGAAGTCGGCGGTGAGTTTGGGATAGCAGTCGGCGCAGTGGGCAACAAAGTCGATCAGCTCTCGGAGACTGACCAGGCCTTGGGAGTCGGTCGAACTAGGGGCCTGCATGAAGAGTTGCAGGAAGGCCTGGTACTGGCTGTACTGGTTGTTGAAGTCATCCTTGTACGANTCTGGCGCAGCGTTAGACTGGACGGCGGCGTCGTCTTGGGATCGTCTGGCAACCTACGCGGGGTCTCGTCGGACCTTGTACTGCAGATTGGGCAGGTCTGCATCGACCTTCTCGAGCGCTCCGACCTTGCGCTTGACCATCTTGTGCGAGGTTGAGTGTATCGTTGTCACGAACCGTGGGTCTGCGTCTGTTCTGCGCACTCCCGAACATTTTCTGATTGCGCCGGGCGGTGAAGATACCCCACAAAGTCTATCTTCCGGCGCCTTCTCGCCAGACTTGGCGTCGGTCATCTTCTGTCCCTGAACGAATCACTTCAAGAAGACTTCCAGGTCATGTCTCGTACATCATTTACTACGACTATTACCGACTGCGGTCAAACTGTTACTGACCTGCGAGTAACTCGCTCTTTCACTCTTTCCAACTCCTCAACGCTTGCCAGTCCTTTGTTACTGGCCTCGATCTCATCTGCCACGTCCTCGTAATGTCCAAGCAATTGCAACTCGAACCTTCCCAGTACGTCTTCGTTCAATACCCGTCCGCGTGCCACAAGCTTGTCTTTGCCCACCCACTCCCAGGAGGGAGGCCGTATCGCGCTCTTCGCTCCTCCTGTCGTAAGCTTGGAATTGATCGAGAATTCGTTATGATGTTTGTGTCCGTCGTGAAGCCTCCACCAACGTAGTGCTTCAGATTTGTACAAAGGTTTGCCCTCCCTACCGAGCAGCTTTTGCAGCCATTGGATAAAGTGAGACCATTTGCTGGGTTTGGGCTCAGAAGCAGACCCTCCAAGATCCATACGCGCTCTGACCGAAGCATGTATGAACTCGTGCGTGTCTCTCATGAGCACCCCGCTATGCTTCTGCACGCCCGTTAGAGGGTTCGTCACCCTGTACCGTCCAGGCGTTCGAACTACTCGCCCTGCTAGGCTCTGTGGAAAAGTGAAGGAGTTGTAAATCGTTCCCAAGGACCAGCCTCGCGCAGGTGGATTGTTCTGATACCAGACCTTGTTCAGTGCTTGTTGCGTGTCTATGTAGTCGTCATAGAACTCAATCCAATCCTTTTTATCCAGTGGCGCATCAGTATAACTCTTCGTCTCTCCTGAGAGCTGGTCCATCATCCATGCTAGCGATATGTCTGCGGTAGCCGTATCGTCATACGAACCACCAATATTTGAGTGTACACCAGGAAACCAAACTTGTTTCAGATACNNTATGGTACAGTCAGCAAGGTTACTCACAACAGAATACTCAAGTTGACTGACTGTATGGCTACCCTCGGGCTTCTCCCATATGGCAGGCGAGAAAGGTGCTCGATGCTCATCCAGTGCCAAAGCTTGAAACGCATTTTCCACGTTATCAGAAAGCTTCGTGTCAAGCCATTTGTATTCGTGCAAGAAACCAGGTAGCCCGAGATGTTTCTGGAACCACGGGTTGACCGGAATACCGAGAGCACCTGAGAAGGTCAGAATCTTTAGTAAGGATGGACAAGAGCTAGTCTTACCAACTGTATCCCAGACACCTATAGCTCTGATTGGCACGTCGCGTAGCTCGTTCTCCCGAACTGGAACGACGTGAGTCAGGCCGAAACTCCGAAGCACTAAAAGCGACACAAGTCAGCATATCTCAGGATTAAGGATGACGCTATGTAAGTCCCTCGTAGACATACTCGCGCGATACTCATTTAGATAGTCGTAAACTTTTGTCGGGTCATTTGATGGTGTTTGGGGCATATTCTTCTTGTCCGGATCCAGAGGATCGCGATAATGTTCCCAGAACGAAGATCCTTGTGAGTTCGGGTTGCCTGCGTTCTCCCAGTCGAGGAAGATCTCGTAGAAGAAGGGAAGGCCNCTCTTGTTCAGCAGGCCAAGGTTTCCAATAAGTCCGCCTAGACTTCTTGCCGTAAAGCTGCCGCGTGAAAAGCCAATCAGAAATATAGAATCACCAGGTGAGTAATTGTTCGCAAGGAAATAGTAGGCCTCTCTTATGTGCCTAAAGCGAAGGTACAATTAGCATGATTTCACGAAGTTAGATGGCAATCCTCACTCCGAGAGTCCCAAACCAGTACCACCTCCTAACAATTGGTCACGGAGCCCAAGCCCTGTTCCGATCCCTGCCTGGTAGTAGACAATCTGAGCGTGATGCTCGCTATCCTCGGGTTTGATGGCTCTCAAGATTCTGGTAACGTTGGAAGGTGTCTTCAAACTGCCATTGATCCAACCAGAATCACTATCCTTCATAAGTGGTCAGTACTTCAAAAGTTTATTATGATACGAAGACCAGTCTACCTGCCAGGTGCCNTTTATGTGTCAGCGTGTATGCATGGTTGATCAACTCTTTTACTTACCATCAAGGGCACAGATGATTTTCTTGGGCTTACGAAGGATAGCTCGATCAGCTGTAGGAGACACTACCATGGCGAAAGTCCTCGTGTGCTGAAGATATGCGAAGTACAATGGCGATTTGCAAGGCAGCAGTGTGATCTTCCTTGGGATTGACGATAGTATAGAATGCTGTGAAACAGTAGAGCACAAAGGGAGATATTTGAGAGACATATATAGTTAATGGTATTGGCATGATCCTCCTGAAGAGGAGTATAAGGCATCCATAGCCTTGCAGGCAACGTGTTGGTTCTGCTGGTGGTGGTCAGGCGTGGGGCTAATTTGCGGCTGAGGAATTGGCGCATACTTTGTCTTGTAGCAAATGCGCCGATTCGCCGCCTCTATGTGTGCCAACAACTCGACTTCCTACTTATGTACTTACAGGTCAAAGTAAATACTACAAGGAGGCGATCACCTTCTACCGCCCACAGGTTTCGAACGAAATGGGGCTCTGCAACAGAGCAACCCAGATGAGGTTATATGAATTCATGCATGCCAAGCGAACAAGAAGGCCGCTAACAGAGGCGTATACTGGACAACATATATTTCGTATTTGAAGCCGGACAACACAGTCCTAAAAGATGACAGCAGTGGAAGCAATCTTCGAGTGTGTGATAGCAAGGCCATCGGCTTTTGATGGATCATACGACCAGGTAAGACGGTATAGTCTTATCCTGAACATATTGCCGAGTCAGCCTATGGCGATACTAGACTCAGTAAAACGAACCGGTAACCTCTCGATGTACAACTCTAGCACGCCGAGAAGAGGCAGAAGCCCTTACTGGCTTTGTTTGGATTTAGCAAATAGGTATTACGCGATCTCAGAGAGATGGGTCCAAATGTGGTCAAGACCTTCCACGGGCTGCAGCCTGGAACTTGTACATTGGGGGATCCAGCGACCCTCACAGTCAGAAACAAGGCATAGGTGGTAGTCGTGTAAGACGGGATTATAAAATACTGACGAGGTCCACATGTTGGTGGAATCTGAAAAGAGACAAAGGTGCGGCTGTGGGTCCTCGCCAAGCAATTTGATCGTGTTTGCATCAACAGCGAGTGTGAGTGTCCTGGCGACACCTCAAGCCATACAAACCAAAATTATTATTGTAAGCGCAAAAATGGCCGCCATCATGTCAAGAAGAATGGTAACTAGTTTGCGCCTAGTCTATCACGAAGCTTTATGCTCATTATCCTACAGTTGTCGAAAGATGAAGAAGGCGAGGAGACTGAGGTCCGCCGTGAAGACCAGGACAAAATCAATCGTTTCAGTACACTGCATCAANAAGAGAAGTTGTTGCAAGCGGAGCTCAAGACCAAAGAGGTTCTCTCGACCTTTCCACTGGAGTCATGCGACAAACTCGCTGATACANATGCCTTACAGAAGGAGAAGGAGGATCTAGAAGAAGTCTCGTCAGAACTCGAGCTTGCCGACGAAGACGAGAAGGTTTCGTAAGTAATGGCAAAAAGCCGCTCAGGCAGAGCTTAGCTCATGTGACGACTAGATNACAAGGTTGGAGACTCGTTCTTCCTGCTACCTTTGCCCGAGGTTCAGGAGTTGCTGACAGCATCAATCGAGAAGATCGATGGGGATGTCACAGCTGTGGAAGAAAAGTTGGGCGAACTCAGGGAAGAAATGCAGCAGCTGAAGACAGCACTTTACGGACGGTTCGGCCGCAGCATCAACCTCGAGGCATAGAACGGAGTGGTGTTGCTTGAAACAAGCAAAAGAATCACATCAAAAGTTCCAACGACCACTTACGCTCGGTCCACGGGAAGAGACAGAACAGATTGCACTGACCTGGGTAGGACTACTCAGGCGTGAAGGGCATGAGATTATATTGCATAAGATGACGAGACTGCTAGTCTGCTACAGATGGTAGATTGCCGGAAATGGCATGGTCTGCAGGAGCCCCTTAAAATAGCGAGGTGAAGGCGCAGCTGCTGACGCACGAAACACAGATTCTCTTTCCTTTGGCAACGTGATTACATGCCACAGAAACAGACGTGGCCAGCCACCGTTGCAGCCTCCCAGGGAGTATCAATCCTTCTAGCGCTGGAGGTCAAATCACAAATCAAGAGCCCATTTCGCACACACATTCAATTCAAAACGTTGGTCAACAGCGAGATGTTCAACCGCTCCATCTCATCAGTGTCGCAGTATACGGTAGCCATGAGAGTACACGGCTACTTGATCTTAGCCAGGAAATATGTTGACACCTAATGGACACTGTCTTGAAGTGGCACTATGAATTTTCGCAGCTCACTCATCACTTACTCTATACCATCGTTGTTGGAGAGTGGATTCGTTACGTTGTAGCTCCATGGTGACAGCCATTCATGAGAAACGACGTGGCGCATCGGACGTAGACACACTGAGACGAAGCCACTCGCCGGCTGTGGGGATATAATTCGAGCGTGAAGATCTGACAAGTTCATAAGGAGGACATAAGGGCTTGTTTCTGCGTATCACAATAATCGATCCGTGTCGATCTGTCATACTAATGAGAGATGATGACACGCATTCTCGGCCCTCGATGATTAGAGCCACTAAATCATCTTTTCCAAAAGTGATAGATTCGTTCTGATGGCAGTACAACAGACGGCATGCGACTGAATTTGTTGTCGTCAAAAAATCCTTTCTAGGCGTAGGATTTAGGGCTTGCACCAACGACCTACCGAGCTGAGGAACGCCGAACGCGACTCCCAAAAGTTGAGAAAGAAACGTCTACCGGCAGCACAAAAGTCTGACAACCCAACGGGCACTGACGGAGCACAACCGGTGTCGGCTACAAATGGGTTGCGCTGCGTACGAGGTCAGCCTTAAAGGAAAGCAAGTTGAGAGTTTCCAACCAAGCCCTGTGAGGCTGTGAAGGGGGCGGTCGAACGTCGCCGGCCTATCCAATTTCAACGCAAAGCAACACCGAGAACCCGTCGAGTGAGGAATCGATTCGTGGTATAAGCCGTTGTTTGAGGGGTGCCGTGAGCCTGTGGAACAAAACGTCTTGACTGGCAACTTGGCAAAGCGTGGAGAGAGAAGGATGTGTCTACAGGGCTGATCGAGGCCGCTGCTGAGTCGGATGGCTTGCTAGGAGCCTAGAGCTGCTAATGGCCCAAGCGTCCGCTGAGGTTTGCTGTCAGTGGTCTGTGTGGCTGTGTGTTTCGGGAGCAGAGCCGTCATCGTTCCTTCCCTTCCCTGGTCGATTCTGCCCGGTCGCATTGCTCTTCGACTCCTTCTTCCTTTCCTCCTCAATCTCTGCAGCCACATCCCTTTTTACCAGCAACAATTCCCTCCGACAACACCACCGCGTCTGATCCGCTCTCATCGCCAAACACCGTCGCAAAGACGCCAACGCCTCAATCCGCAGTCACTCGCTCAGCTTATATCCGACAAGCGCTTCTTGGTCTTGGCACTAAGGCCGCGTAATCCCACAACGTGCACATCCGCATTACCCATAACTTCACACGCATCGCTCCTCTGCCCCCTCGCCAGTCACCAGCATCATGGCCACTGCTCAATTTGCCCAGATGGGCAGCCTCNCCCATGCCCTCAAGCCGGATCTTGATATGGAGTCGTTCTTCGACTTCAACCAGGGCACTTCTCTCAACTCTCCTCAACTCTCGGGTCCCACCCCTCGCCCTTCGATCGATGCCTCGGCCTACTACAACGCACCCTCGCCCTTTGAGGCAGACGACGCCCACATGTTTGCCGGCCCAAGCCATGAATACGATCGTTTCAAGCAGCAGACCGGCCTGCCGGTTGGTTCTGTCGCCAGTTTCTCTGCCTTGAACCAGCCCGTCTCTGACACTTTCACCCCCAGCCATGCCTTTGGCGGTTTCAACTCGGGCATTGACGACATGTCCTTTGACCCTGGCTTCAGTGGTTCATGGTCCTCTGGCATCGATGTCGATGCCGACATGAACATGGACTTCAACGCCACCCAGACCATCCCTGCCATCTATTACNCCCAGCCCGGCCCCTCTCAGCCGCGCTCTGCCGACTTTGTCGACCCGGCTTCCATTGGCACCGATGTTTCTCCCAGCAACGCAGGCAGAGTGTGGCCCGGTATGCACCAGCAGCAGGCGCAACAAGCAGCTATGGCCAAGGCCCAGATTCAGGCTCATGCTCAGCAGCAGCAAAGAATGCAGTTCGAAGCCCAGCAACAACAGCACAGACGCCTGGCACAGCAGCAGCAGCAGCAGCAGCAGCAACACGCACAACAGCAACAAGCACAACAACAACAACAACAACAACTCGATGTCAAGCCAAACAGAAGCCGGGCTTCATCGTACCAGTCTGATCCCCACACCGAGGAGAGCATCTCTCGTCTTCTCAACCAAATGCGTCAAGGTAGCGCTGTGCCCTCTGGCAAGGAGGACTCTGCCAATGGCATGCTTCCTCATGTTGCTCGCATGCGCAAGGAAGAGGAAGATATGGACGAGGACGAACGTCTGCTTAACAGCGAGGAGGGAAAGAAGCTCAGCAGCAAAGAGAGACGTCAGCTCCGAAACAAAGTTTCCGCCCGTGCCTTCCGCTCTCGCAGAAAGGGTAAGCTTTTGAATCAGTCTATCACTTTAGACGTTCACTAACAATATCATANNGAGTACATCTCGCAGCTTGAAGGCGAAGTGGCCATGAAGGCACAGGAGGCCAATGACCTTAGAGTGGAGAACCGCAGCCTCCAAGAGGAAAATGGCCGCTGTCGTCGTCTCATCGAGGTTTTGTTGCGTCACNCCTCGTATGCTCCTTTCATTGAGGACATCAGCAAGGACCCCAGCATTGCTGGCCCTGTAGGCCAAGCCCAACAAGGTACCGCTGGATCGGTACCTTCGCAGCGCGAAGCTCCTCTTGATATGTCTCTGCTGAACTTGAACAATGGTCTTCAGGTTCCCAGCAACTTCCAATAAGCAGGGATTTCATGTGTTGGCGGTGGTTGGCAAGGAAAGTGCACGTTCGTTTGTTGCCGCTCGTGCGGTGGCACATCATTTCCTTTGTCAAGTCATTCTCTCATCGGTTCTCAATGATTCCTCTATTCCCCCGCCTTGTGGAAGCGTTCTCGGGCAATGTTGGCGTTTTGGTTGTCGGTTATTCTCCTTCACAATGTAGATATTGCAATTCTTTATAGACTGGAAAGTGGAGTTCATGGTCAAATCTGTTCCCAAGTATCGAGTACTCAGACGTGATCCAGATGCTCAAGCGAAGAAAGAGTGGAGTTACAGACTTCAGGGAGGGAGGTATGGCCGAAGCGGGATGACGGACCGTGCTTGGTTGTGGTCACAAGAAATTTGGGCCCTCGTCATGCATCTTGCACAGGCAAAGAGAAGAATTCAAAGACAGCTTCTCGTACCAGCACAACAGTGGCTACCAATCTGGCATTTTTACGGAGTCCATTGTCGAGTCTGATATCAGTGACACGGCCGCAGCGAAGGTTACTGGCAACGTGCATAGCATTGCAGAACTCGCGTCCGGGCTCGACAGGCGCTCAGCACGTCCAGGACTTGTTCAGCTGCTACAAGACTACACTAGATCTCGCAAGACAGCCACCCAAGTCCAAGAAGCTTCGAGTCTTGCGAGGCCTTCTACAGACAACGGCCCGTTCGCGCCTGAGCAGCGCACCCAAGCTCCGGGGCCAGCGACAAGGACACCATCTCGTTTTCCCGCCGTCCGCCTCTCTCGAGATACCCAAACGAGAAGGTCTGGTCACTGCGACCAAGTTCCGGAGGATGCGCTCCTTCTTTCAGTTCGTCACGACGCCGACGGCCGACACACCCGGCACCACACTCCTCCTGCACTTTGACAACAAGCGCTATCTTATTGGAAACATTGCTGAGGGCACTCAGAGAGCGTCGGTCGAACAGAAAGTCCGCTTGTTGAAGGTGTCGGAGCTCTTCTTGACTGGAAACACAACCTGGGAAAAGACGGGAGGATTGATTGGCATGATCCTGACTCTGGCCGACGCTGCCTCCTCCAGTGCTCAGGCCAGCTTATTGGAAACCAAGAAANAAATATTGAACAAGTTAGAACGCCAAGGTGCCGACATCAACTACGAAGACATTGCTGAGCAGGCTGCTCGTGAGGTCAAAGATAGAGCGCGCCTCTCCATCTTCGGAGGGCCCAATCTCAACTACACCTTGGCCACTGCCCGCCGCTTTGTCTTTCGTAAGGGAATGCCTGTCGATGTACACGAGTTCGGCCACGATCTTGCCCAACACCCGACTTCCTCAATCGAGCCTACATGGTCAGACGACAACATCCAAGTATGGGCCTTGCCTGTTTCTCCCGCCTCAAAGGTAACGAGCGCTTCGAGTAGCCCTCGCAAACGCAGCTACGACGAGCTCAACGGACAGGACGCTCTGAAAACTCGTGCGTCCCTCCACCAGGCAGACAAGGAAAAGGCCCTGATGATGTCCAAGGCTGTAGTTTCGGAAATGTTCGACTCCTCCTGGCGTATGGATGCGCTTGTCGAGACTCCCATCAACGAAGTACAGCTGCCTGCCACGCTGTTTGTTCGCGATCCAGAAACAAACAAGATGACAAAGTACACCGGTCCTATGCCAGGAGGTAAGGAGCCAGTTCCGAACATCAAGGTTTTGGTCCGTCGTCCCTGGCCTGGTGCTCTTATCGAATCTCTTCCACCCACCGAACCCGTAAAGGTAGCCATGTCATACATCTTTCGCAACCACATCATGAGAGGCAGGTTTCAGCCACAAAAGGCAATAGCACTGGGCGTCCAGAAGGGTCCCAAATTTGCTGCTCTAGGCAAGGGTCAGAACGTCGAGAATGACAAAGGTGAAATTGTGACACCAGATATGGTGTTGGAGCCAAGCAAACAGGGTGGTGGTGCGGCTGTGATCGACCTGCCATCGCGCGAATATGTCGAAGCCCTGGTCTCGCGACCTGAATGGAGATCGGAAGAGATCATGGCCGGTGTCGGTGCCTTCATCTGGATGCTTGGTCCCGATGTTGCTTTACACCCCATGCTCAAGCAATTCATGGAAGACATGAAGCACATGAAGCATGTCGTGTCTTCCNCAGATCTTTGCTCCAATAGACTGGCTCTTGACTCGGCCGCTGGTGCTACGATAAGACTGGGTCAGATCGACCCTACACGTTACGATATTCCAGTACATGACAATACAGCCGCCACACAGGCACTTGAATCTCTGGATGGCTTGAAAAATTTGGTGACTGTTGCCGACCGCGGACAAAAGGTGCAGCTAGAGCCGTCGATAGAGATTCAAAACAACGAGATAAACACCCTCCTGGATGTCGAAAAGGTCAAGGCAGAAATGTCCAAAGACGTCCTTGATCTCGCTCGGATTGCGAATGAAGACGTCAAAGCTAGCAAACAAGCACTCGACGCCTGGGCCGACAGTCTACCCCAAAAAGACGTAGAAATCACCACTTTGGGAACTGGCTCAGCCTTGCCATCCAAGTACCGTAATGTTTCAGCAACGCTAGTACGCGTTCCGGGTTGGGGCTCCATGCTTCTCGACGCTGGCGAAAACACTCTTGGCCAGCTGAAGCGTGTATACGCGCCTAAGGTGCTCGACGAAATCATGAAAGAACTGCGCGTGATATGGATCAGTCATATGCATGCCGACCATCACCTTGGTACTGTTTCGGTCATCCGCGAATGGTACAAAACAGTCCATGGTGCGCGACCAGCAGCAACCATCAACCCAGGTAGCGATGTCAACTTTGATGCTGCTTCAATGTTCAGCAAACAAGATCGTCTTTCCGTGATCTCAGAGGCAGCGATGTTGCACTGGCTCGAGGAGTACAGCCACGCTGACGACTACGGTTTCTCACGTTTGGCGCCGCTGTGCATCACTCCCAACNTTCCAGAACAAAACCTCAGATCCACTCTCCAGTGGTTCATCCCGCCTCTTTCAACACAAGCTCCTGATGGCAGCCTTTCTCGCGCGGACGAGCCGTGGGCAGATAAGACCGCTCGCGCCCAGGTCTTGCCGCAGGCACTAAATCTCCAGGACATTCAATGTGTGCTGGTTCAACACTGTCACGGAGCTCGTGCTGTATCGGTGACATTCCCCTCAGGCTTCAAAGCTTCATACTCTGGTGACTGTCGCCCGTCCAAAGCATTTGCGCAGATCGGCAAGGACAGCACAGTGTGTATCCACGAGGCAACATTCGATGACGAGCTGCAAGGCGATGCCGAAGCAAAGAATCATACGACAACTAGCGAGGCTCTCAGTGTGGCCTTGGGTATGGGAGCAAAAGCCTGCGTCTTGACCCACTTCAGTCAACGATACCAAAAGGTTCCCGTGCTGGAATACACAGAGGAAGATGATGGTACCGTCAATTCGCTAGCAGCGAGTGGAGACGAGATGGATATCTCCACAACCACTGACGATGATACCGATGCTCCAGTGATAGATACAGCTGCTCCTGCATCTGAAAGAAAAGCCCCTGTCGCTCCTACGAACACGAGCGAGGTTGCAAAGCACATCAAGATCAAGGCAGGAAGTGACATGAAAGTCTGCGTTGCTTTCGACTACATGAGGATCAAGGTCGGAGACATCGCACAGATGGAGAAGTACACAGACACGCTCGTGGCATTGTTCGCCGAAGAAGAGTCATCGGAAGAGAAACCTGAGCCGAAAACAAAGAAGGTCAAAGGTGGCAAGGGGCAGCGAAACAACTGACCTGACCTCTTCAAACGTTCTACTGTACATATTCAGACAGCTTTCAATCAATAATCGCTGTTTCCGATTCGTACAAGAACAACTCCAGTCGCAAAGTGGCCATCGGGTTAAGAAATTGTTGAAGGTGTCATTTTTTTCGTTTGCATGGGCTACGAGAACGAGAGCACTCTCGAGATCTCTCTAGCTCAATGAGGCTAGTCTCGGACGAAGTGCAGGAAGCGCAACCCTGGCCAGATGGGACGCCCACTTTTCCTGGTTTAGCAGTTTTGCCAGAACTGGACGACACAACTAATTTCGATCTCGGCATCTTCAAGATCAGCCATGGGACCACTGGTGTTTTACAAGTGAAGGGCAATGGTTGATAAAATTGGCTGTGATGTACATAAGATGATACCCTCCTTTGGAGGTCACTCGAGTGTGAAGAGGAAGGTAGCTAGTACCTTGACCTCTGGCATGAGGGGAAGGTTGTTCGAAATCCGAATCCGAGTTCGTGGTTCGCCGGAGAATGGAAGGGGCGATACAGAACTCTGAGGACATCCGATATATACATGAGCGGCAGCGTTGACAAGAACATCATTTTATCCAGTAGGGTTGGGACACAAGAAGCTTTGATCACGATGACATGGAAGATGCGAGCTGTGAAGACGGTGGTAGAATTGGATCTATGACTGCACTCAAACAACGAACCAAAGGCTGCATAAGAGACGACCTTCTCAGAAACAGACCATATCCTTCACTAGTAGCTGAAGAGGAAACCCAACGTAAAAACCAAACAAGTGTAACGTGTTCGAGCATCAAGATTCGGGATCGCAAAGCTGGACGCTGTGGAATTTGAGCCGCTTGAGCTTGATACGGAACCTGTGTTGGCCAATTCCTTGAGTTGCGCTGCTTTTGTGGAGAGGATGACTGTGCTCCTGCCGCCTGGACAAAACACAACTTCGACACCAGCTCCAGAAGGGATGATGAAAGTGGACGACTGGTCGTCGTACGCATAGCTATAGGCATCTGGACATATGGTCTTGGCTGCTTTGGCGTAGTAGTTGGGGCTGCATTGTTGCGGCCCATTGTATTTGCCCAGGCAACAGTACTGGTCAGAGTTGTATTTGGCGCAAGCCGAGAAGCAAGGGTCGAATGCAGGTCTTTGGATGTTGCCGTCGGGATAAGGATACACGTTGCCTCCAGGAGCGGATGGGGCATTGACTTGAAGATCCCAGGGACACCACTGATTAGCATTACTTGTGGTGACCTTTGTCTCAAAAGGCAAGGGATACGAAGCATTCGTGCCGAGGAACGTCCCACTGCTGTATGGGTCGAAGTTGGACGCAGCAAGCATGGACCCTGTGCCTTCGCAGGATGGGTTGGTGAGGTTTGGAGGAATATCATCCAACGAAGAGTTGCCGTGCGGAACAAGGACGATCGCCAGCGGAAGGTTGTACCCATCGACAAGGGAGATGTCGTAGTAACTTTGACCATCGCCTGCATTAAGGGTGAACTCGGCAAGCGTCACTGGTATGGCACCNCTGGTTGCGATCAGTATTTGTTAAGCATTACGTCTGGGCAGGAAGCTTACTGCTGCCTGACAAGGTATCACGCCGTTGCAATCCCCTGTGGTGCAGGCCGGACCGCCGCCATTCGATCTACCTTGAGCGTTGAAACTGCAATTCGTCCTGCCCCAGATACGTCCTTGCCAATCTTCCGAGACAATTTGCGATAGAGTGGCTCCAGGAGTGAGCTCGAACCCAGTTTGCCCGGGTGCGGTACCGTGTTGTGTGGCGATGCCAGGAAAGATCGTATCGGGACAATTGTTTGTCACAACAAGAGGNGTGTTCGCCGCGCTGTTTTGACGAGCAACAAGCTTCTGCTTCATGTGGTGCGTATTGAAGCCGTTCGTATAAGGAAGCAGAGCCAGAACATATGCCATCGATCCGTGCTTCATGTTGGAAACGTGGAAAAGGAATCAGAGATGATGATGAGGCAGGTGGCGCGGGTCGAGTCCGTATGTCAAAAGACGGGTTGTCTATTGGGTCATACAGGCTGATGCGACCAACGGAAAGCCCTGAAGGAGCGAGGAAGGATAGGAGATAAATGTAGCGAGATCACAGTTGTGAGAGGAGGTCGTGAAAGGTATAGAAGCTGGCAGATAAGGGTAGAGCAAGGGGGTTGATGGGAGGAGCAGAGACATCATGGACATGAAGACCTACAGAGTCCCAGCATGGAAACAAGGAACACGCAGGAAGGCGCGAATGAGCTTGTTGATGGAGGGATGCGATTGGAAGGCGCGACTGCTCTATGTTGGCGCTTCATGACGTTGAGGCTTCAGTCTTGCACCTTTGCACCTGTCGCGCACCAAGATTGCCTCGACCAAGACACGGGGCTGGTATGAATGTATTATGTTGTCTTGGACATCGTCGCATGGAAGGCCATTGCTTGTTCTGGTTTGAGGTGTGCCAATCGGCAAAGAGAAATGGAGCCTGGTCAACCGACCCCAGGTTCAAAGGTCTGTGCACTGGTTGCGACGATCAACCAATTGAGTCGACAGAGATAACAAACCAACTTCAAACTGTGGCCTCAACATCTCGACTTTGAATACATCAAACGCCATGCGTGAGGACTGGGAGCGTACAAGTCATAAGACGGGTCTTTCGACCAGAAGTCGTGATGGGCCCGATGTGTCTGTCTTTGGGGCTCTTGACATCGCTGTCAAGACTGCATCAACTCTAGATAAATATCCCGGTCAGTCTCTGAGCCATGAACAATGGCAATTCCACAGTGTACTAACGACAAAAGCAAGACAACACGCTCAGAGAGTGGCTCAAGCTCTAGACGTTGACCAAGGTCTCATCTATCTGCCTGGCGAACAGACTTTCAATTGGCCCGACAGTGATCAACCTCGCGCTTTCAGACAACTTCGTTACTTTCTGTACCTAAGCGGATGTCAAGAGCCAGACTGTTTTGTGACATACGACATCGCCACCGACAAACTGATTCTGTGGTTGGCACCTATCGACCCGCGAAAGGTTGTCTGGACCGGCAGAGGATCGACCGTCCAAGAGGCGCTGGATAAGTACGACATTGACGAAGCCCGATTCGCACCATCGCTTGAACATTTTTTAAGAAATGGGTCGCCAGGCATGCAGGGTCTGTTTATCTTCTTCATCCTAACAATGCCCTTTCCGAAAGCCTTCCTCATAGAATCAACTCAGAGAGTCTTCGACCTGCAATGGATGAATGCCGAGTGATCAAAGATCCACACGAGATTTCACTAGTGAGAAAAGCCAACCATATCAGTGCATTGGCTCATGAAAAGGTTCTGCGAAAACTGCGGTCGTTTAAGAACGAAGCACAGGTTGAAGCTGAGATTTTGGACGTTTGCACTGCCCATGGCGCCAAACATCAGGCATATTCGATCATCGCTGGGTAAGCAACAATCCTGGTTCTCCCAATATGCTAAAGTTCGACATACGTGTAGCTGTGGAAACAGATGGTTGCTGTGCAGCTTATGAACGTGCCTAAAGAGTGCCGACGAGATGAATCCCTCCATAGGATGTCGTTCGGCTACTCGAAAGCATGCTGAACCTTTACAGCTACTCGTGTGGAGAACTCAGTACACGGAGATGATTTACGACCCTTGCTGAGCAGTTTTAGGTCTGGGCCAAACGCTGCGATCTTGCACTATGTCAAGAACGACGAGGATTTTGGAGATCGACAACTGATGTGTCTAGATGCTGGTGCAGAGTGGCAAGGGTATGCAGCAGATGTCACCCGAACGTTTCCCCTTTCCGGCAACTGGCCCTCCAATGAGGCGAAACAGATATACGACTTGGTGCAGCACATGCAGACGAAATGTATGGATATGCTTGGCCCGGGCAAGCGATTTGTAGATGCCCAATATCTCGCACACCTTGTGGCTATCGAAGGACTGCTCGAGCTGGGCATCTTCCATAACGGCTCCAAGAAAGAAATTTACGAGGCAGGTACATCTGTTGCCTTCTTCCCACATGGTCTGGGTCATCATATGGGCTTGGAAGTGCACGATGTTTCGACGGTGCTCACAAAGAGCACTACAACCGACGTGCACGATAAAATCGCTCCCGAGGTACCATCACCAGAGCGACTGATGTTGATATGTGCTAAAGTGTAAACAGATCACCCAACATCTGCCTGATATAGACAACAACACAGAACTTAGGTCACTGTCGACCAACATTGTTCCTGCAGTACGGACCAGTGCCCTCAGCGAAACAAGCGCGCCTGGTTTACGGCCTGGAAATGTCGTGACATGTGAGCCTGGAATGTGAGTTTATACCACACGGGTGAAGAACAGCAACAGCTGACTAGGACATAGCTACTTTAACCGCGAAGCACTCGAGACGGTCTTCCTTCCCTCCCGGTACATTCGAGATACATAAACAAAACGGTACTCGAGCGCTTCATGCCGGTCGGCGGAGTTCGCATTGAAGATGATCTTCTGATTACCAAGGACGGGTGGGAAAACCTGACGACAGCGGCGAAGGGAGAGGCGGCGCTCAGGATCATCCGTGGCGAGGTCTAGAGTCGGACATATTTGCGCCCGAGGAGCAATGGTCAAACACATAGCCGCACAAGTAGAAGATAGTAATGTGGATGAGAGGATAAAGTAGAACGTAATTTATTCAAATGGATAGGCCGCTCGCTGTATGGAAGCAAGACTATGGTTGGCAACTCCGTAACGCCGTGGTATCTCATGTCTGAATGGGAGAAAAGGGATGTGCAGATGCCATGTAGAGAGGTGTCGTTGCTCAGAAGGCATCCAGAGTCATGCTGTTGCTCACGTCCGTGTTCTCGACCATCTTGGTGAACTCCTCAAAGCTAATCTTGCCGTCGCGGTCAAGGTCGGCCTCCATGATGGTCTTGTCGACAATCTGCTGCAACTGTTGGTCCTTGAGATTGCTTCCGACCATCATCTTGAGGACGATGAAGAGCTCGCCGTTGCTGATGTAGCCATCGCGGTCAATGTCGTAGACCTTGAAAGCGAAACGCAGCTTTTCCTCCTTGTTTCCTTTTGAGCTAAAGGCGCTGAGGCCAGAGACGAATTCTTGGAAGTCGACATCACCGCCACCGTCTTCGTCGAAGATGGCAATCATGCGTGTGGCAAGAGGGTTGGAAGAGACCTGAGGGAGGGAGAGGAACTCGTCGCGTTCAATGGTGCCAGAGTTGTCTTTGTCGAGCTTCATGAAGCGCTTGCGCAGGCGGTCGACCTCATCACGGTCGACTGTTTAACGGGGGCGGTCAGCACATGGCAGGATGAGAGTTTGCGGGCGAAACTCACAGTTACTGCCCTGAACCAGGTTCTCGAGCATCTGAGAGTTTGCGTTACCCATGCTTGCGTTGTGTGGGTTTGTGAGCGTTACAATGCAGTCAAGAAAGAGGAAGGATGGCCGCAGTGGTTGCTTGGGCTCGCCGAGACGACGTCTGGGGCTGGCTTTGGCCCTGAGCGCTGTCTGAGGTCTCTTTGCTCACACGTCCACATCGACATCATTGTCACAACACACCGCAATGGCCGACAGCCACATCCTCCAGCTCGCAGAGACGATTCAGACAGCCTCCATCAACAGGCACCCTTCGCCCGCCCACGATGCCAACCCTTCGACCGCCGCCTCGATGAAACAGCCCGTGCGCCTTGACGACGAGCCCGACCTCGACCAGCTCCCCACCAACATTGATGAAGACGAGATCCCTGTATCTGTCCTCAGACCTACGCCGCGCAGCAAGCAGTTCCCTCCCCTGCCCGACCTGCGCTTTGAACAGAGCTATCTCGCCAGCATCCAGGACGCCACCTCTTGGCAGAAGGTTGCCTGGATTACCTTTAGAGACCAGCTCTTCATGCCTCTGACCCAAGGGCTGCTCTGGACCTTGGTCGTCGCTGGCTGGAGGAGCTGGAATACAGTGCACAACACTTCGTCCAAGTTCTCTGGCTCCAGCATCGGTGCTCGTCTGCGAAGGTGGTGGTGGCAGACCAACAACTGGTCTATTCCTGGCTCCAAGTCGTCCTTGCGTGACCAAAGGCTCGCTGGCCAAGTCCAAGAGGTACCTACTAAACCCCGAGCCTGCTACTCAATGCTGAATCTGTGCAAAGTTGATGCTGACCACTCTGAAGTACTATCAAGCCGAGTTCAGCAGTGCAGGCGCCGATTGATCCATCTGCCGAATCTCTCCTATTCGTCGCCAATTCCATCATCCAACCTGCTTCCCACTGGCCACAGACTGTTATCGTCTGCCACCTCCTTCCGACTTGAACGCTTATAATCATCGTCATGCCAAGGCAGATACGATAGCCACAGCCATGCTCCTCTTCAAAGAGCGGATCGTAGCGCTCGTTTGTGAAGACTCGGACCTTGACCTGGCTAATTGACGCAATCTGGCTCATGCTAGTCGAGCGGCCATGTTTCCCAGAGTGGCTTTTCTAGATGTACTTTCCATGGTACGTCGGTACAGTGTTACTCCACGCCTTGCTGGGAATTGATTATGCAAGTGTCGAGTCTAAAGTCAGCATCACTCCCTCCCCGTGTGCAAAAGACAGCCACGACCTCGCCATCGACCCCTCTCCCACACTGACATATAGTGTTGTTATATGCTATAAAAATGTACAGTCGCTTTCTGCATCGAGGTGGGCCATAGAAATGTCCAAGAATAACATGGTCTCCGTGGATCGCACTCTTTAATGGAAAGTACCGTGCGTTTTTATAGCTACACTGTGACTGCCTTCAGCACACTGGGAGATCGAACCTTCAGCCCAGCTTTTGAGCGCTTTTTGCCTTCATCCAGATACACCGCATCTCGTACAGCATATCAGACCAGAAATGGAAGCTACAGTTCATGTCTAGACAACCGAGACTTGGCTTTGTGATATGCGTGGCATTGGTCGCTCGGTGGACATGTAGTTTTGCCGATACGGCGCGAGAGCATTCGGTTGAGGCATTAGGAACTGCGGCACTGCGGCGGCATGTCTGATGGTTGAGGCGTCGACATGGTCGAAGCGGGGTGAAGAGGAATAATACCCCGCCAGCGCAAACCTTGTCGACAAGATGCATTTCCGTACCTGTTCCTTGTAAACAGCACGCACGATCCAATGTGCGCTATTTCGGCCACTAAAACGGCTCGCCATGCCAGGGCAGCGTCGGCCACCACACGCAGAACGCCTCGGGCCCACCAGAACACCCACCACTCCACTGCCATGAATTGCTTGCACGTCATCAAGACCACCCACTTTGGTCACCACTTTGGCTCTATGCTCCATCGGGCTACCGTTTAATAATGCTTGATAAATCTCTGTCGTCTCTTTGATCCTTTCTCACACACTTTTCCCTTTGCTTGTTCTATTCTGCATACATTTGTAGACTTTCCAATTCGTCCACTGTTGTGCCCGAGACGAGCTTTGAAACCAGCCCTCTCCACAGCCGCAACCATGTCCAACAAGCCCATCTTCGTGGCTACCCACCCTAGAGCATGCTCGACGGCATTCGAGCGAGTGCGTTATCCTGACTGAGCCATGGCAATCCGCGGCCTCGACAACTGACCATTTCCACCAGGTCTTCATGACTCAGCGGGATACGCTGCAATGCGTCCATGAGCCTTTTGGCGATGCCTTTACTTCGGTCCCGAGAGACTGAGCGACAGATACGAGCAAGACCAGAAAGCCCGCGCAGAGAGCGGCTTCGAAAACTCGACATACGAGACCATCTTCGACAACATCATGAAGGAGAACGAAGAGGTGTGCATCCCTTACAGCGCTGGGAAGCAGTCTTGCTGCATGTCCCACTGATCCCTCTCCTTCCCATTGTTTCCTTCTATCCATCTCTGGCTCCCGCTGTCCCACAAGCCCCAATCGTCAGACTGGATCAGCTCATGGACCATCGATCACTTTTTCACTTGCATCAGGCACACGTGCACGCTGCACCACTGCATTCTTAGAGATATGACTTTGTCCTTGTACTCACCATAACCAGGGCAAACGCATCTTCATCAAGGACATTACCCACTATCTGGCTCCTCCGGACGGCAAGCCGGCATCCATCGCACCCTCATTGATGAAGCTCAAGCGTGGTGTCGGTACCAACGGCAGCAACCCCTTGACAGATATGGCCAATGGCTCCAACGCTTCAGACACCAACGGTGCAGTGAAGAACTCCCCTCCCCTACCCCCTATGCCACCGAGGCCGAGCCTGGAAATCCCACCGTCGTCCCAGCGGAAATCTTGAACAAGTTCCATTTCGCCTTCCTCATCCGTCATCCCAAGCACAGCATTCCCAGCTACTGGAGATGCACTATCCCTCCGCTTGACGCCATCACTGGCTTCTACAACTTCATGCCTTCCGAGGCTGGCTACGATGAGCAGCGTCGCCTGTTCGACTACCTCCGTTCTTGCGGCCAAATCGGTCCCAAGCAAGCAGGTCAGGACGGCGAGCAAAAGAGCGGACCTGTAGAGATCTGTGTCATCGACGCTGACGATCTTTTGGACAACCCTTCGGCCATTCTTGAGCAGTTCTGCAAGAGTGTTGGCATTGAATACTCCCTAGCATGCTGAACTGGGACAATGAAGAGGACCACACTCACGCCAAGGAGGCATTCGAGAAGTGGAGAGGCTTCCACGAGGATGCCATCAACTCAACCGAGCTCAAGCCCAGAACTCACGTATGTCTTGCGCCAAAATTGTGGCGGATAAATGCTGACAACAGACACAGAAGAAGGCTGAGAAGAGCGACGAGCAGCTTTTCGCTGAGTGGTCCGAAAAGTACGGCGAGGAGGCTGCCAAAATTATCCAACAGACCGTTGCAGACAACGTCAAGGACTACGAGCATATGAAGCAGTTCGCCATCAAGGTATAAATACCTTTGACGAAATTGGCACTTTCCTAGATATCTGATTGTAGGCTTTTGTTGGCCATATTCTTATTCGATGAGACATGAAACCATAGCACAGATCGCTGCTCCTAGCCAAAACTACACAGTCGTGTGTTGCCATTGTTGAACCAAAATTATTGCGTTCCTGAAAGTTACGTCATGGCAGTTGACGTTTGTAAGCATCCGCCGAGCACATCATGAGATGGATTGATGGCATGTGCAGCATCCTGCATCACAACATTTCTCTACGACGTTCAACTTCTCCAAAACTTGCATTACATCGGGCTCTTCTGTATATACACTCCGATTCCAGCTCACATACCATCATGTCCGCAGCACTCATCTTTGGCGGGTCCGGAAAGGTACTCTTTACATGTCGCTGATACCATTGCGTGAGGCTAACAAGACCAGNNGTCGCAAGACACCTAACGACCAGGCTGGTGGCTTCATCTTATACCGTGCATCCAATCATTCGCAAGGAGTCTCAGATCCCCGAGCTCGAAGCACTTGGATCCAAGCCCATTGTGCAAAGCATTGAAGATTCCAGTGTCGACGACCTCACAGCGACTATCAAGAAACACAGTCCTAATGTGGTCATCTGGAGTGCAGGAGCTGGAGGCGGCAGTCCTGAGCGCACAAAGGCTGTAGACCATGAAGGTAGGTCAAACTTGTTAGTAACATATCGAGTTTGATTCATGGCTAACACGNAAACAGGTGCTGTCAAGGTCTTTGATGCCACGGCTGCTGCAGGGGTAAAGCGAATTATCATCGTCAGTGCAGTAGACATCCGCGATCGTGGCAACAAGCCAACTCCAGAATGGTAAGGGTCTCTTGAAAAGACCAACAGCTATTGCATGCCAACATTTAAACAGGNNTACAATGACGACGATAATGCCGTCAGCAAGCGAATGTGGGATGTAATTGGTGTCTACTGTCAGGCAAAGCTTGACGCTGATCGCGACTTGGTCACCCAAAACGACCGCCGCAAGCTGGACTACACGATCGTCCGTCCGGGATCACTCAACACGGAAAAGGGTTCTGGCAAGGCTGCAGCTGGTAAAGTGCACTTGGGCAAGAGCGTCTCCCGAGAGGATGTTGCCGAGGTCATTGTGCAATGCATCGAGAACCCGTCTACCATCGGTCTGGCATTCGATGTTGTTGGTGGTGAAACCCCAATCCCTCAAGCTGTGGACGAAGTCGGCAGCAAGAAGATCGATACCTTCGAAGGACGCTACTAAATAGCAATATCAGGTATTGTCCAGGCACGACCAAGCCGCCTAAAATCCATTGTAGAATGAAACAGAGGCCAACTTGATCGTTGTAACTCTTGATATTTGGACAACATGCTATGAGAGCAACCCTGGTGTGGTATCAAGACAAGGCTGACTGACTTCGTCAAGCAGCTGTAGGGTGAGGAGACGAACAGGTCTACAATGGACAACTGCAATTGACAGATAAACAATCGCACACGAACAAAAACGTGATACAGGGTGAAGTTGCTGTGTTTGACCACCGTAACGAGATATATCCCAACGATCGTGTATGAGGTGCGGTCTGTTCAGAACACCAAAGGCCCAAATAAGAACATAAAACATTAAGATCATATACAACCTAGAATATCTATCGTATGCACTCAGGGTCTGCTTCATCCCTGCAAAACCGAATTATAGACGGGCGACCACTTCTGCCGCATCCACTCCAGCACCAAGCACTTTGGGTTGCACCGGATTGCTTCCTGGTTCCAATCCAGTACCGTTCAGAGGTGACTTTCCAGTGTCCGAATTCGTCACAACCTTGTCCAGTTCTTCGTTACGTTCACCCTCCTTCTGACGTCGCTTCTCCATCTTGTGGATGGCTTGCTCGGTGAGCTGCTGTCTGAACATGCGCTCCACAACATCCTTCTTGCGAGTGATTCGATCACCGATACTGATGAGGATACCGCCCGTAATGTTGCATGTAATCGAGCAGCACAAAATGACAGTCGTGAGAGCAAATGGTCGCACATGGTAGGAGATGGCCCATGTGCAGGTGCCCAGAGCAATCTGGAGGAGGGAGTGACAATCGAGCAGGACGACAACAGCAACGAGAAGTCGTAGAGGAAAGGCGTGGTGAGTTTCGGTTTCGTGAGGCTTGTAGAAAGTGTGGGACTTGGAAAACTTGTCCTCGTGATGCTTGAGCTTTCTCTGCTGTTCTTCTGTGAGCACGCTCTCCTCGTCATCTTTGCTCATTGATCTGTTAGACTTGGCATCGGCGTTGAGAGCAGAAGCCGTCTCGTTGACGGAAGTAGCGTCGGCGGTAGAGCCGGTCTCAACGTCGGCATCGATGCCGGGTTGAACAGGAAGATCGTTCTCGTTCTTGAGCTTTGGAAGGTTGCGCTTCTTGCGCAGGCTCCATGTCAAATGATGATAATGTGCGATGTAGATCATGTGGTACGTGTCGACTGCTCGGAAGGGGGCCAAACCATCACCAATGATGGCAAAAAGAGCGACCAGGACGTTATCGATGATGTTGATGATATAGGACTGTCGACCTCCGACATTGATCCATCCGATAAGGAACAGAACCCAGGCAAGTCCAAACAGAGTAATTAGAGTGGCATATACCGTGACGAACAAGCCAAGGGCTAAAAGAGATCAGCAAAAGGCACAACGAGTTGACAGGCAGGAACGGGACTCACGGCGGCGAACATATTGACCAAAGCCCTTCATGCCGCGTTTGAAAGCAGCCCGGCGAGAGTGCAACATGTGTCTAACATGGTCGTTCAGTTCCTGCTTCTCGGCCAGACTCCAACCTTCGAGACTGAGGCCATGAGGAAGAACGGCGTAGTGATCCTCGGTGTCGCTCAAGTGCGAGGCAATGGTAAAAGTGCGATCCATACCCGGACGATCTTCGACATCTGCAGCATCTGTCTCGATGCGGTTTTGAGTCATGATGGAAGGAGGCTTGACGGAAGGCGCTTTGGCTGGTGGATGGTGATCACGGAAGAAGCTTGGTTCACGAGTCAGATTATAAGTTGGACGACGGTTCAGGAACGAGCCCAAGTCCGGAATGAACAGTGAGTTTTGGACGTTAGTAAGAGTTGCCAGAGTAGCCACCTCGGGATCTGCAGGATGGTANAGTCTTGTGATGGCGTGGGGGAGGGGGTTTGAAGAAGACGAACCCACAACATCGAGAATGTCAACCAGATCAGAGTCATATTCGTTTGCCCAAGTTCCTCGCCGGGGCCTTCTTCTCGGGGTGACTCCCAGGTCGTTGTCTTCAGGGTGCGGCTGACGCCTGAAGGGCTGAAGGGCGGCGACGCTTGCTCTCTTCCAAAGACCTGGACGCATGGGCTCTTCGAAAGTCGCGGGGTCTCCGATAGCGGCCAATTGCTCAATGTCGACGTCCGGAGGGATGGTTGTGGATGGGCGTCCTGTCTCCTCTTCCAGGCGAGGCATATGGGTAGAAGTAGGACGTGCGGCACCTCTCGGAAGGCTCAGGGTGTTGAGGTTGTTGGCGTTGGCGGCGACCCATGGTGGACGCTGGGGCTCGGACGACGAGCGGCGCCTGCCAGACGTGTCTGCCGAAGGCTTTGCAGCGAAGTCAGTCGTCGCAGTCGTGTGTTGCGAGCCTAGGGTGCTGGCGGATCCGAGGCGGCGCAGGCGGATGCTGGGCTGGCGACGGTCGTCTAGCGTGGGCCTTCGTCGGTCATGGCGTGGCGTGGACGACTGGGCGTGTGAGTGTTGAGGAGGGGAGGAGATGGAGTCGACAGGCGTNCTATTGTTGTTGTCGTGGATTGGAGCGCTCGCTATCGGCTGCAGCGCGAGGGCGTCTCGGCCGAAGCCAAAGTCGTCTGCCTTGTCGCCGCTCATATTTGCATGTTGCGAGGGAAAACGTGCTGAGAATGATCAGGTTCTCTTGGTGCCAGCCGCCGCGGAAGTCGCTGGCTCGAGAGAAATACTAAACCCGGATCAAGGGTCAAAACACGCTTCGTCTGAGACCCGGCCACGAACCTGAACCTACCGAGACTGCACTGCGCCCGCCAATGACGCACGTTGTACAGCCAAATTTCCCACAAGCCGCCCCGCAGATTACCAACTCATCTGCTTGCACATACCAGCCTGCCTCCTGAAAAACGCCTCTGACCAAGAATTGGTCTGTTGATGTCACAGCTTTTATTCTTCTGACATTTTGCCAACCCAGACATACTCTAGCCTGGACCCTGCTGTAGTCAACCAATCGTCTTCACGCTTGTCGTCAATAGTAGACCATGTCATAGAACAAGAAAAAAATTCTAATGCATTCCCTGAAAGACTCCTAAAAGTACAAACCGAGTCGAAGATTATGTAGGATCTCAAGGTACTAGTTCCAGCCACGTCTTGGACCCGATGAGCTGCGAAAAATGGTCGAAGGATCGTCCATCTGGTATCCATCCTTTTGCCCAAACGTGCATCCTGTTTTGGTGTGGTCATGATCGCATCTGTCACTCCTCTATCAAAGTTATAGACGCTTATTTGGCGATTTCTACACCTCCCTCTGCGCCAATGGCCTTCTTGATATCGCCNTTCGAAGTGTGTTAGCACAGTAAAGGGCATTGAGAAATTTCTTGTAACATACCGTAGATGGCGAACTGTCCGGCGGTGATGGTACCGACCATGAAGAGACGGGCACCGATACCAGAGTACGAACCCTGCATGTCAAATCAGCATCAAGCTTCGAGCGAAACGCAATATTAGAGAGTACTTACGCGAAGACCAAGCTCCTTGGCTATCTTGATCAGACGGGAAGTGGTGCTCTCACCAGGTGCACCCTTAGTCTTGTTGATCTTGGAGAGCATGGTGTCGGCGGGCTGAGAAACGAGAGCGGCAGCGAAACCGGCGATGAGACCGGAACCAAGGTTGATGCTGGTCTGCATACCGGGNGAGGCGGTGCTCTTGTCGACGCGCTGGTAGATGGCCTCGGCGACCTTCTCGTAAACGACGAACTTGGACATGGTGTAGGGGACCCTAAGCCAATGGTCAGCATATACTGATCAGACAGTGTAATATGTGGAAGCTTACTGCTTGAAGAGCATGGGGCCGAAGCCAGAGTAGAAACCACCGAGACCCTCAGTCTTTGCGATCTTGGAGAAACCAGAAACGAGACCGGAAGCGAAGGTGGGCTCAGAGACGAGACGGATACGGGTGGCCTCGAGGGGGCAGAGGGCAATGTCGGCGAAGAACTCGGCGAAGGCGGAAGAGACGAGGTAGACGGCGGTGCGGTTCTGGACAGCGTTCTCGTAGCCGACCATGGAGATGGCCTGCTGCTTGAAGAACTCGTAACCACCGAACTTGAAGGCACCCTGGAGGAAGTAACCAGCGAAGGTAGGGCCGACACCGGTCAGGAGAGCGCCAGCACCCTCGTTCTGGATGACCTGGCGGAAACCACCAACGAGACCGCGGTTGTAGGTGACGGGGTCAAGCTGGATTCTGGTCTTGACGCTGTTCGGGGATCGAGTCAGCGATTGGTCTCGTCAATTGCCCTGGCGGCGCGCAGAGAAGCGCTGTGTACGCGCGGGACGGGTCAATTCTTACACATCGACGGGGGTAAGACCACCGTGGGTGACGGAACAGCAGACAGCACCGGCAAAGGCGAATCTCGAGTAGAGGTCAAGACCGCTGAGCTTCTTGGGAGCGGCGGCCTTGATGTTCTCCTTGATGGCGTCCACCTTGGTGGAGCCGGTAGAGGAAGGAGGAGCAGTTCCGGTGGCAGACATTGGACCAGGAGTGAGGGAGTGGAGGATGGACAAGAAGAATTGCAGCGGCCGATTTTTAGAAGCAACCACTGGGAAAGCCTTCTCAACCAACACACGCACAGGCCAACCGCTTCGGTACTTCGGAACAACTCGGCCATGGCCCATGACGTTTCCGTCCATCCAGCCAAACAACAATTCACTTGCTGTGTTGCGACAACATTCACACACATCTCACTCTTTCACCTGACTGTCTATGAGAATAGGACATCTATAATGTCGTGAGTAGCCGTGTATGTCTTTTGATACAGTAGTCCTGCTTGCTTTATCGGTCTTGAGGGCAAGTCCCTCGGTCGCCAGCCATCTAACGGATCTCGAGATTGCCGAGCTTTCTTTAACAAACATGAATGCCACAAAGGTCGACTGTCCGGCCGACCGTTTGGACGTGTTCTCGTCCAAAATACAGTGCAGCCATTTCTTTCACAAATTCTCCATCACTCTGGCTCCATTCATCCAAACCCATTCTTCTCAAGTCTTCGCTGTGGATGGTTATCGTAGTCTCGTCTCCGTGTTGAGCCTCAGCGTCGGCAGCTTCGACAACCTCAGCCAGCGTCTCCATGACCAGTGTAGTAAGGCGATGCGAATACGCTATCAAAAGTACTGCCATCGATTGAGACTCCACATCGATCCCTTCCACTTCGTCGTGAACAGAAGAGTGCCTCCTGCCATTACTCGGATTGTGCTTGCTCGGAGCTGGCAGAGGCAGATTGTCTAGTAATCTTGCATCTTGACACGCCTCGTCGTTCAACAGAGTATCTTTTTCTCCAGCTGAGGCCCACCAGAGGAAACTAGTATATGCAATCGAGGCCCAAGAAGAACGTTCGACCAATTTTGTTTCTCCTTCAAGCTGGATATATTGTTCAGAGTCATTGTTTTGGTGTTGGCTTGATGGAACCAGTGGAGCGCTTTCACTCTGATTGTCATCGATTGACTGCTCGGCTTCTGCGTCGTGATATGTTGGGTTTTGTTGTTGCACTCTGTGCAGCTCTCGCTTGAGCATGTAGTAGCGCCTCAGGTCACGCTGGGTTGCCTTTATTTCTTGACCGCTAGAGGTACGGATTTGGGGCCATTGTCTAGTGGCAGACTTGTCAGATGTATGTGGTGGTAATTCGACAAGTACGTCAAAAAGTTTTGTCTTGGTTGCTAAGATGTCATCGGTGCTACATGCGATCCAGGAGTTTTGCGGCTTGGACTTGGTGGCCAATTGAGATAGGTAGTCTATATCATGAATGCCGACATTGAACAAAGGCCTCAGCGGGTACAAGGCTTCCTTGTCTCGAGCCATGTCGGCTGCCGAAGGTGGGATGTTTGATAGGACAGACAAGTTGTAGACAAGATTGCAGGCAGCTTGGACGGGTGCCGGAGACATGATCAAGATGGATTTCTTGAGAAGTGCAGCTCTCTGAAGTGGGAAGATAAGAGGACCGAAGGCATCGAGGTTTTCGGCCAAGGACATGGCGGGATGGTGCTGAGACAGAGTAGGGTTGGTCGGATGCAAGCCGGCAGCATCAGACAGGGCGCGTGGCTTCCGTCGGGTGTGGGCAAGGTCTGATTCATCTTCACCAGATATACGGTTGTGTTCCCAATACTCTTGTAGGGCATGGGTGTTGTCGGTATCGTCGACCATGTTGCTANNCAGCGGGGTCAGCATGATATACGGTATCCATATGGCACGGACTGGATACCTGACTAGCTGGCGTAGTCGGTGAGCATGTAGCCAAGCGCGTCCGAGACGTCCGTATGTCAAAGGTACAAGGACGCCGACAGCAGCAAAGTGTGCATTTCTTTCAGACTCGTGGGCAGGGCGGTTTGCGAAGGCGCTGATGCCGGCGTATTGTTCGTGGACAAAGTAGACGAGGTCCGAGGCACAGTTATGGAGGCCCGAGGGGAGCGACTTGTACTCGACGACGCCATCCAGCTTGACNTGCAGTCGTCAGTCCGGAAGGCAAGCACAGCGACAACAGAGGACAGAGCACTCACTGTCTGGAATCCCACGTTGCCATGCTATCGTGTANCCTGGGGCGGCGGTGTCGTCAGCGGACCGTCTGTCGTGTGTGGACTCGATGACGCACCCTACCTTGCGGTCAAAGACGACAAGNAAGAGCGCAGCTATCGGCGGCAATGCCACCTCTGCGCTCTTTGATCTGTCCTGGACTGCCATGTTGTGTCTGCAGCAACTCGAGGTCAGACCAGCATGGGAAAGTCCATCAATGTCACGCCCCAGCCGAGCATGCCGACAATGTGGGGTGCGGTACAGAAGCCCCTGCTGTCTCTACTCGCCTAGGTATATCAAACACATCACTCTCTCTGCCTCTGTACAAATGAACGCGACCGCGCATCTTTGCTTCCTGCTCGCCGCTCCATTCGGCTCGTGAGACATCTGCAACTGATATCCGATCCGGACCAGCATACCTTGTCGTGCTTTGGCGACGCCCTAATCTTGACAATCGTTGCCAACGTCATATACCCATCAACATCCACAAGAGTCACTCGTGCCATATCCCTCTCAACCTCTTACCGTGCTTCTAACACATACCGCTCCAATGGCCGCCGCACTAGAACCTATCAATCTGATCAAAGGCTGGCCTAGCACGTCGCTGCTACCCACCCGCCATCTGAGCAGAGCAGCTCAAACAGCATTGGCCGACACATCCATCGCCTTCNCCGGCCTACTTTACGGTCCCGATGAGGGTTATGCCCCGCTGAGGGACACACTTGGATCTTGGTTGACCTCCTTCTATCAACCCGAGCAACCTATTGGCCAAGAAAGGATCACAATCACAGGCGGTGCCTCTCAGAATCTGGCTTGCCTTCTCCAGGTCTTTACCGATCCTGTCTACACTAGAGATGTCTTGTTTGCTGCCCCTGCTTATATGCTCGCTTTTCGTATATTTCAAGACAATGGCTTTTCGGGCAAGATGAAGGCAGTACCCGAGGACGACCATGGCATGGACATGGTTGCTCTCAGACGAGCACTCGAGGAAAGCGAGAAGCGCTCTCCTGACAACAGCACTCCTGTGCGCCACTCTATCTCAGCATCCGTATCTTCTCTGCTGACACCATCTTAGATGTTCAAACCACCAAGATCTTACGCAAAGTATTACCGCCATGTCATCTACTGCGTGCCCACCTTCTCGAACCCCTCATCCAGGACTTTGCCACTAGATCGCAGGACCGAGCTCGTAAAGTTGGCTCGAGAGTTCGATGCTCTAGTAATTTCGGATGATGTTTACGACTTTCTGCAATGGCCTGCAGATCCCGACGACTCTAGCTCCACCAGCATCACCAAAGCGCTGTTGCCTCGTCTAGTCGATATCGATCGCTTCCTTGACGGAGGGGCTGAGCGTCACGGAGCCGATGGCTATGGCAACACGACCAGTAGCGGCAGCTTTTCCAAGATTGCAGGGCCTGGTCTGCGAGTAGGATGGTCGGAGGGGTCGCCAAAGTTCGCATACGGAGTTTCTCAAACTGGCAGTTCTTGCAGCGGAGGGGCCCCGTCTCAACTCACATCGACGTACATGAATATCTTGGTCAAAGAGGGCGCCATGTCCGAGCACATCTTCAAGATACTACAACCCGCGTACGCTGCACGATACAAGACATTGGTCTCGGCAATTCAGAAACACCTTTACCCTCTTGGAGCAAGGCTGCCGAAGTCCAACCAGCGTGTCGTAGGGNGTTATTTCTTATGGTTGACACTGCCTGACACGGTCAAAGCAGTTGATTTTGTCAAGAGATGCCAGATTGAGGCTCAAGTCATCATTGCACCGGGGAACATTTTCGAGGTGCCTGGTGATGACAGTGTCAAGTTTGAGCATTCCGCAAGAGTGACCTTCAGCTGGGTTGATGAAGTCTTGATGGTTGAAGCTGTGAAGAGAATCAGCGTGGTTCTTGAGAGTTGTTTGAAGGGCGAAGGTCCTACAGAGAATCACAAGCAGCAATATCAACCCGTACTCAAATAGATGCTGGTAAGTCTGCCAGAAGTTCCAGCGGTTAATGGCAGAGTCTGCCTCTTCTTGGCCACAGCCGGACAGTTCGCCATCTAAGGAATGTTACAAGAAATTTCTCAATGCCCTTTACTGTGCTAACACACTTCGAAGGCGATATCAAGAAGGCCATTGGCGCAGAGGGAGGTGTAGAAATCGCCAAATAAGCGTCTATAACTTTGATAGAGGAGTGACAGATGCGATCATGACCACACCAAAACAGGATGCACGTTTGGGCAGAAAAGGACGGTTACCAGATGGAGGATCGATCTTTCGACCATTTTTCACACAATCAACTAGCACAGACATCAACTTTGAAAACAAGACTCTGGAATGGGAGCTCAATATGTACAAAACACATGTAAATCCTATCATAACAAAACGCACAAAACACCGTCGCCATGCCTCCTAACACTTTTGTTCAACCTTACTGCAACATGCCCTCAAGACTCTCACCCAGAATGGCTTCAATTTGGCGGATCCAGGCTGTCGTCTCNCTCTCCACATCCTCGTCATCGTCCTCTTGCAACTCACTGATGAATGGCAGCATCTCGGGCAGAAGGGCAAGCCAGTCTTCTCCAAGCTTCTCGGTCAAAGACTGCTCGCACTTGACTGCTGCCAATCTGGTCAGTTCATTGTCGTGTCTCATGAGCTTGAGAATGGCCGAGTTGAGCGTTTTGTGATGTTCGGGTGACGCTGCGGCCCCCGCCAGCCCAGTGACGGCAGAGACAATGTCAAGCGAATCTCTGACTTCGGGCTCGTTGGCGAAAGTCACTTGGTCCAGGAGAGGCTGCATTATAGCGTCGAAGTGCGCCGGGGCTTGCCAGAAGTCGTCTTGATCATTGCTGAAGCTGGCAACAAGTGTCTGGAGGAGAGCCTTCAAGAGAAGCTGTTCAGACTCTCCCTGTGGCTTGACATGCTGAAGGATAGACGCGGCCTGTTCCAGAATGTAACCAGAGTACCCAGTAACGATAGANCTAGATATCAGGTCAGCGTTTGCTCTTAGAATCATGCTATAGAAGAAACTCACCTTCAGGGTCTCGAAAAACCTAGCTAGGAACCCATAAACACTGATCAGACGAAGGGTTCGACCAGCTTGTTCCTTCTTGGGTAGACCTTCACCTGCCCACGATACGAGACGAGTGAAGAATGGCCTGAACGTTGTGTCATTCAGTCTCATGATGGCATCCAGGGCCAATCCATCTCTCTGTGCTTCCATCGCTGCAAGCTGGCCACTGTCAGGTGACGTCGGCTGTTGGGAAAGCAGGCGACGGAGATCAAAGGATTTGTTGAGAATCGAGAACAAAATCGAGGCATTCTTGATCAGAGCCGATTTAGGATGCGTCTTGATCACCGTGTGAAGAGTAGTGAGAATCTCTTGGCAAGCTTGGTGGCCAAGTGTGACAGCATTGTCAAACGTACGCTCCAAGGCTGCCAGTATGGTCCTGGCGTCAAGTTTTTGAGAGAGCAAGCTAGTGAACTGTGGGCGACTGCTCGAGGTCTGGATGTCTGTGGCTCCGCTACAAGCCGATTGTTGTGTGAGCAACAAGGCTTTATCCAGAGTCTCAGCAGAGAACATCCAGGAGATGTACTCGATTACGTTTGTCAAGAAAGAGTACACAGCATTGTGCAGGCGAGCATTTCCAGACTCGGTCTTGGTGGCATAGTCGAAGTAGGCATACGAAGTGGTCAGAATTTGTGGCAGAATGTCGACGAGGTCGTCTCTCAGAACCTCAACCATGGTAGCGAGGCAGAGCAGAGAGATGATGCGAAGTTCGTCGTTCTGGCTGCCAAATGCGTGCTTAGAGGCTACCACACGAGCAGCAGACATGACCTTGTCCGTATCCTTCTTGCCAAACTTCTCCGTGATAACATCAATGCATGTGACGGCGCTGTGCACCAGCTCGATGGAGCCTTCCTGACTAATAATACCAGTTACGCTTGGCAAGACAGATAGCATAGCACTTGCCGCTGTGGCATCAGCGAGCTTGGCTTCACGACCACGCTTCTCGAGCGAACGTAAGACCATGAGCCTAAGATCTTGTTCAGATCTCTGCAAAAGCTCCTCAGCAGTACGAACGAAATAAGGTGTTGGCAGAAGGCTCAAGGCTGCTGTCAGCACATCGTTCGAAGCAGACTGCAGATCAGACTTGTTGTGAATGGATTTGGAAGAAGAGAACTGCATGATCTTCTGCAAGATATCGGCGGCAGCAGACTGGAGGCCACCATGTGCACTTGCGTCCTTATCGAGAGCCTTGAGAATTTGTACGTGAAGAGAGCGTTGTTGCAAAAGAAGTCCCAGAGAACGCAACAGGTGCGCCACTGATTGCTCAATCTGCTCTGGGGTCTTGTCATTGAACCCGAAGATTGCTTCGGACACAACTGACTTGGGCTGCAGAGCATCGGTGACCAGATCAATGTACTGGGATGCAGCGATGAGCTGAACTTCCGGAGAGAAGGATCCCATGAGCTCGGCAGAGAAGGTGGGTACCCTTTTGTCTGTCGGGTACTTGTCGAAGAGCATCGCAGTGATAGCAGGTAGGAAATCTTGAGGACCCAGAGCATTGACAAGATGGCTGAAAAGACGCAGGCGACGATGAAGGGGNATGTGCTCGAAAGCGGCGGTGAAGCTGAGCAAGAGCTCGGCAGCTCCTGTTACAAGGTCTTGGTTCTTCTTGCGAAGGGAAGCGACAAGAGGNGGAACAACTCGAGATACAGTCTGATCGATAACATGAGCTGAGTAGTCATCGCTTTGTCGCAGCAAGGTATTGCTCATGAACGTAAAGATCGGCATCACACTGTGCAACACTAAGTCGGGGGCCCAGCTCGCCAGACTTGATATGAGTAACAAGGCAGCGTTGTGGATCTGAGCATTGGTGCTGGTGCGCACACATTCAACGATAAGGTCTGCCCTCAACACGGAGCGGTCGACCTTAACGGCAGGGTTCTGTTTCAGCGAGTCAACGATTGAGAAGAGACAGCCAATAACCAATTGCTGCAGATAGACCAGGTTCGAGCCAAGTTGTGTCCTGTAGTGCTGGAGCTCGCTCAGGACGTGGAAAAGGCTCTTGAGCAGTTCTGGGTGTCTTTCAGGACGAGAGCCCTCGATCAACTCCAGCACAAGAGTCAGTCTGCGAATGACGTTATGCAAATCTGCAACGTTGATGCTTTGTGATTTCGCCAACTCGGACCTGCTAGTTCTTCTACGCTTTGTCGCCGGAGGCTTGTCTTCCATCTGTGCGATGCTAGGCACTGATTCCAACAAGGACAAAAGGACTTCGGTTGGCATTGAGACCTGGCGGAGAAGATCCGTAGCCTCGGATTGTCTAGCTTCAGAGATGTCGTCCGATTGGTCGTCCAGTGCGAGGTCGAGGAGGAAAGTAGAGGCGGATGTCTGTGCGATCGGCTTCATGCTTGGCCATAGAGCTCTAAACCTCTGAATCGCTAAAGTGGACAAGGAAGAGCTTTGTCCCAGTTCTCCATTCGCGAGTGTTCTAAGACATGTCAATTCCTCCGAAGTTCGACTCGTCAAACAGCCAACGTAAGCCCTGTCAGCACTTGATACATTAACATGAGAAGAGGCGCACGAAGCGGATCGGAGCTGTAAATCGGATTGGACCCAGCTTCGAAGAGAGGGAACCAGAGATTGCACACGGCCTGTAGAAGCAGCCTTACCAACGGGACTTAAGAATGAGAGAAGTTGGACTTTGACAGCGACCAAGGGCACTGCGGCAGCGTGCTCGCAGAGATATGATGCAAAAGATGTCCTCAAGGTTGATTTCAGTTCCATAGAAGTAGTAGACGGGTGGCCAGGCTGCGTTTGAGCTGGACCATTGAGAGCGCTAGCAAGCACGCGTGAAATCTGGCTAGGGTCCAGAACACACTCTTCCAGACTAGGTACGAGCGCATCGGAGAGAATCTTGTAAGCATTAGGACCAGACAAAGACGACTTGTTAGGGGCCGCTGCATAGATGTTCTGAGCTGCCCATGATTTTATGGATTCATTCACTTTGCCCTTTGCTGGGTCGGGATGGTAGAGAGTGGTGATGCCAATAAGCAAGCCAGCAGCTGCCTTGCGCACAGCTTCCGAAGCATCGGCCAGAGCTACGAGCACGAACGGCGTCAATGCCTGCATATCGATGACTTCCGAAGATTGGGCTTGAAGGAGTGCAGTAGCCGAGCGAAGAGCAGAGACACGCGCAACGATAGGATAAGCACTTGTCCAGAGTCTTGCTAAGAATGACAAGTACGTTGGCGAGGACAAGACTTCTGCGCCACGGAGTGATGGTTTGCCGAGGAGTTGGTCCAGATCTTTATTCTGCTGAAGCAGAATCAGGAAAGCACGAGCAAAGGCATCGAATGGAGAATTGTCGACGACTGAAACAAAGGAGTAAGCCTTAGGTAATTCCTGGGGCAATGAGGAAATGGCTTCGTCTAGCTGGTCCATTGGGGTAGAAACAGGTCCATCGATCATCTCAGTATCAGCATCAGCAGATGGTAAGGCCAGTGTCTCGCTCGGGGCTAATGAGATCTGTAGCTGAACCTCAACAGACTCGAGGCTTAGGTTGAGCCGAGCAGCCTCGGCTTGTACTAGTGGCAATGTGGAAGGTGACTGGCAAAGAGCAGAGAAGATGCGGGCAAGACGCTCCTGAGAATCAGCAGCTTCCGATGATGTCTGAAGATCTGAAACAGCAGAAAACAAGAGACGGACGATGGCAGCTTTNTGAGGTAGAGTAGGGATGTGCGAAGTGACGGCGCTCTCGATCAAATCGAAGGCCTCGGAGCTCGAAGTCTCATCGAGCGAAGTCATGGCTAGACCGGTAAGAAGTCTTCCAGTGTGTTGTTTTGTCTGCAAGTCGAGTATACGAGAATCTAGGACAGGGAGCTTCAGAAGAGCTCTTGTGACTGGACGCGTAAGTTTCAATGATTGACGCTCTTCGGCAATAATGGCAACGGTTGATAAGCCTTGGTCCAGAGTCTGTGAAGTCCAGCCCCGAGATACTGCGTCCATGAGACTATCCAGGACTTTGTCATCGAGCTGAGTTTTGGAAACAAGAACGCAGATGATCATGCAGGCGCCTAGGAAAAGCTCGGGGACGTTCTTGATGCGTAGCGTTTGCTGGAGCACAGGAACGACACGAAGCAACAGGTCCTCCTGACGTTGGCTGCGTACATCGGCGCGGCCCGACATGGCAGCGTCGAGCATACCGTTTATGGTCGGGGTCATGACACCGGCCCAGAATTGCAGGAGCATGACAGAGTGGTGGCCCAAGTTGGAAGTGCGGACGACATAGGTGTTGAAGGCAGTAAAGAACGAGGGGTTGTTGATGGCGGCATATATCAGAGCTTGACTGGGAGGACACGACAGGCTGGAAATGTATGGTTGCAAGAATTTCAGGGTCGGAGGAAGCGTCTTGGGAAGTATAGACAGCATGGTGGGGAAGACGGGGTTTGCGTGGTATGGGAGGAAGGTGAGTACGAGGGACTCGGTGTTGTACTCATGCACGCTGCAAGCAGGTTAGCATTGTGTTTGGTAGCGTATAGGGTCAGAGGTGCTGTAGGAATACCGGAAACGGCGGACCAGCCACTCGACGGCCTTGAGACCCGGCCGTAGCAGCAGCCTAGAGCTGACGAGGCCCAAGAAGCTGTCGATGATCTGGTCCAGGTCCTCATTCTCCTTCTTGGTCAGGTTGATGCGCTCCTCAGACTTTGACTGTTCGCTGAAAAGATTGGCGGCAAAGGGCGCAAAGCGGGCGTCGAGCATGCATAACTCCTGGAAGGCTTCGGCGCATATTTGGTAGATGGTCTCAAAGGTCTGGTTGGCGGCGACTCGGGCGTCGAACAGCAACGACTTGCTGTGCTGTGCGCGCTGCGCTTTGAGATCGAGTTGGTCGGTCGACTTTTTGGCGATTTGCGCCAACTGCTGTTGCAACGCGGTGGCCATGGTGCCGATTGCTGTCGCCTGGTGGAGCCCAACTGTCTCGGACGATGAGTCTTTCACACAGCGGTCGACGGCCTAAAAGGTGGTGGAAAAGGGCGGCGACAGAGTTGCTGTCTTTGGTATCTGCGTCCAGCGCTGGCAGCACTTTCCTGCCAAAAAGTTCCACTTTCTGCCAAAAACTCGCTGTTCTTGGCACTACAGTCTCCGAGGGCGGTGAGCTGGAAAGCACGGCCCTCTATCGCTCTTGCTTCTCAACTGTCGACCTCAGGTGCGTTTCAACTTCACATACCGACCATCCCATTTGCACCGAAGTTCTACATGTCGGCGCCCTCGAGAGAAGTGCCCAAGTTCTCGAGTTTCCGTGCAAAGAAGCCTGCGCCACAAGAACAGCCATCATCACTTCCAACAACTCGCAAGCGTCAGCCGAGTTCCGAACATGATCATGGCCCTTTGAAATCTCACAGAAGTGCCGAACGTCAGGAGTCTTCATCTTATCCTCACCGTGCCTCATCTGAGTATGACTCGAAAACTCACGACCTTCATCGTCGTGTCCGAGATCAACATCACGAAGGCCGCAATCCCGCATCCAGCAGACCTCCATCACTGGTTCATCATGATGAGAATTCCGGTCTCTTCGTTGTTGACCGAAAGGGTGACGAACAGAACGCTACTTATGAAAGACTGCACAAATATAGCATCCCGTCCTATCACCGAGTAGGCTATGGAAATGTTCTGGGTCTGCATCTCAGGTTCAATATAGACCGCGCCGAAAGCACGCTTGACAAGGTCTTCATTGCTGACAAGTCTGCAACCTCCAAGCAGGTCTCTCAGCGCTTGCTTCTAAAGCGCCAACGGAAACAAGAATTTCCTGCTTTGCATATGCGTGACGAACATGACCTAGATCTAGCTCAAGATTTCGTGGCTTTGTCGCCTTCTACTGGTGACTGTGATCCCGAGTCGATGGATGATGCTTCTGCTTCTTTCAGAGATTTCGATCAAACAACAGATTCGGGTCTGCACAACATCCGTCAGCAGGAAATCTTGGATGTGGCCCCAGCTGCCGATCTGCACATTCGCCAGCAAAACGTCCAATTTGTGCGAGCCACCAAATCAGATCCTTCTGATCTCCAAGCCTGGCTTGCTTTAGCGAAGCACCAAGAATACCTTGTCAGCCCTGGTGCCGATGCTCAGTCCTTGACCAACGTCGAAAGGCAGACTCTGGCAGACATGCGCATAGCCGTCTACGAAAAAGCTCTTAAGCACTTTTCAAACAGCGGAGCATCCAGCCGCGAGCATTTGGTGTTGGAGTTGTTACATGAGGCGTCTCTTGCCTGGGATACACAGAAGTATATGCAAAAGCTTCAGGACATTCTTGAACAGCATTCCGAAAGCTTTCCCATCTGGACTCTGTACTTGAACGCTTGCCAGGCCAACCCCATCGATTTCCGCTTTGAAGATGTCAAAACTCTTTTCATGCGCAGTCTTCGCACACTTGGCTCGAGTGCTAAGTCAAGCTATCAGTCTGAGACTCGAAAGATGACCCTTTACCTGATTCTGCGCTATACTGTCTTCTTACTAAATACCGGCTATGATGAACTATCCATAGCCACCTGGCAAGCTCTGTGTGAATACCATCTGTGTAAACCAGAGCACCTCGCTGGTCACAACAAAAGTCAGGTTCTCATCGACTTTGAACAGTTCTGGGAGAGTGAGAGACCAAGATTTGGTGAAGTCGGAGCACGAGGATGGCGTGCTACCCCTCAGGACACCGACGTCGTATTGGACCTTCAATCGCCGCTGAAGGACTACCTTGATTCGAAAATACCATTCAGATCTTTCTCAGCACTAGAAACAACCACGAGCAAGTTCTTTCAATTCCCCGGGAGAACGATGGACGAGACAGGCGCTGATGATCCGTTCCATGTCGTGTTCTTTTCGGACATTCGTGAGGTCCTCGAGGTGACAGCAACTGGCCTCGACCGCTATGATTTGCTCGACGCTATACTGTGTTACCTAGGTCTCCCTAGCGTGAGGTTGAGTATAAATACTGGTGACGGCGCTCAACCACAATCCGAGTGGCGATCAGACGTTTTTCTCCGTCATGGTCTGCTACAACTGAACTCGCTTGACGGAGCCAATAGCATTCTTAACGGACAACATGTCCAAAGCTATCAGACTACAACGGAACTACTATTCTCCAATACGTTCAAAGGTCTTTCGGGACCAGCTGAGGATGGTGCTCACACCCACAAATCGATGCATGAAGTTATTCATTTCGCTCGAAGGATACTATCAAGCATGGTGAATCACTTTCCCAACGACGACAACTTGGCCGAGTATTATCTAGCTTTCGAGCTTTCGTGCTTTCCCCGGNAGGCATCGAAAGCTGCCAAGCACGTCTTAAAGCAACGACCATCGAGTCTCCGACTCTATAATGCATGTGCAACTATTGAAGCAAAATTAGGGAAAGTCGAGAAAGCTGCTCAGATCTGGTCCAGTGCAATCAACATGAAGGGTAGCTTTTCACACGCAGCACAGGAAGAACTCGTTCTACTCTGGCGAGGATGGATATGGTGTGATATGGAAGCCAATCAACCACAGTTGGCACTGTCACATCTTGCATCCTTTGGTGGTACCGTGGATTTGAATGAAAGTGACATCGTTCCGACGTCGACTGCGACGTTGTTGAGACTGCGCAATGCCTTCAAAGATGGATTTGAGCATTCACTCAGCCAACACCAACCTCACCTTGCTGCACTGAATGTCGAAATGCTGGCGCTTGTTGCATATCTAACAGAACCAGATGCACTGCAAGCATCTGTTAATGCAGTACATGAGCAATGTAATGCAGCGCAACAGAGATTTGCGAACCAACATGTGTTCACTGAGATTTTACACCAAGTCAAGGCTGGCTTGATCGCTTACCATATCCGTCAAAGACGACCATACAGACCTGCATTTGTACGCTTCGAGCTGGAGACAAGTATTGCGCACTTCCCGGACAACACCATATTCCTCGAGATGTATCGAGACAATGAGGCACGTTTCCGACTTGACGACAGGGTAAGGTCAATACTCAAAAATCAAGTGCTTACTCACGGTCAGTCACCCCTTGTGACATGGACGTTCGCAATAAACCAAGAGTTGCTTCGGTGCACAAGCCAGTCTTCTGGCTCGACAGCGGAGTCGGTAAGATCAACGTTCAACCGCGCGTTAATGACCGTCGGAAGCCCCGTTCGGTATTCACAGATGCTTTGGATGATGTGGTTCCGATTTGAAAAGCAACTAGCCATAGAAGAAGTGGTAAGGTATTCGGTAGGCAAAAGCAGTATCGTCGAACAAAGTCCTTTCAAGAAGTTGAAGCAAGTCTTTCTCTCTGGTTTACATCATCTTCCTTGGTCCAAGGACTGGATCTTGCTAGGCTTGGAGACGTTCGATAGAGACGACAAGATGGGCTGGAGTTCCCAGGATCTGAAGAGGTTGTACAATGTGCTCATTGAGAGAGAGCTTCGCATAAGAGTGGATGGCCTCGAGCGTCTTCTCAGCGTCAGGGCAGATGATTACCACTAGGTAGACTTAGGACAGTAGGTCAGATCGAGCAATATCAATTCATCAAGCTCGACATGTCGCTATACCAGATGGATGGTAATGCGCAAGCAACGCGTACTGCCAGCCAATCCTCAATTACGTGCAATGCTAAAAACGCGTTCCGAGGAATGTTATTGTCAAGAAAGCAAGATGCTGTGAGTGCCCAAAGGTGCTAGCTAGAACGACCGATCTGGAATTCGATTGTGAACCAAAGACACCTACGTGTACAGCAGCCACATCTATCGTCGACTAAAAATCCCATGAGACTGTCTGCTTGCCACACTTCGAAGACGCGAATCGTTGTACTCGCTGTATACGCGGCCATCAGCACCCCCGACGGTCTTGGCGACGGAGAACATGCAGTTGTTCAAAAGCCTAAAAATCGATCTTGGCCGGTTCGCCGGACTCTCTATTCGTGAGTAAAATGTTCGCCATCAAACATCGGAAAGCAGAGAAATTGCGACTGCAAAGTCAGCAGGCAGGCGCTACAAAGGCTCAGGTCTTCAAGGTGCACGACAAACATGTAGACGCCTGACGGCTTGGTTTCAATGTGCATGACCAACACGGCGCCCAGGACGATGAATCTGTTGGATTGCGAGATGAGGACGTGTCAGTCTGAAGGCCCGGCCCTTGCTATTTCTGATGCCGTGAGGTGTCACGGACTGTTTCAAGGACATAGCCTCCTCTGTGCTCGTTGGTCGTTATGCAGACTTCGCCTCTCTCTCGGCAGGAGTTTGCGTCATGCATGCACGACCTTTTCGATACAAAGCAACACAAGAACCCGGAACTCGGACGGTCATCTTTTCCCCTTCTCTTTCAGACCTTTCTAAAACTTCATTGTCCTTCCCTGGACATACCAGGTTGTAGAGATCGAACGATATATGAACACCCCAGAGTCCTTGGCAGTCATCATGGGTATGCGGCTACGAACATCATCTTTCTTCCAGTCTCGAAACATCTCTGGACAGTCGACTCGCAGTGCTCAAAGTTCTCCGCTGGTATCTCCTGCTGCTGAGAAGGCTGGATTTCTGTCTACATCGGAACAACCTCAACATCTCCTATCACCCAATCCTCAATCGAGACCATCATCTCGTCTTCGCAATGGAAGTCCTCCCTCACCACCTTCTGATACATTGTTCGATGAACGGACTGCCGACACACTGCATCCAACTGTCGTCGAGAGGGACGAGGAAAAGAACCGCCGGAGGTCGTGGTTTGGACGAAGTAAGAGCACCGAAAGCATGGAACGAGGCCCCGCGGCATGGATCGTTGGTCATCCGGAGCGACGACTATACGACCTTGGTCGTCTGACAAGCGGAGAACAGTTGTCAGAGTTATGGGATGAAAGCGCAAACTGTGAGATATATTTGTTCCCTAGGACTTCTGGCAAGGGTCCTTCGTTCCGACTCGACTCGAAATTATTGGCTTCGTCCAAGTTATTGACCGAGTTGGTTCTGCCTTCCGGGTCTGGTAAGTNNAGTTTGTGCTCCAGGGCTGTAAAAAAATATAAAGAGCTCTCAGCAGCCATAGTACAAGCAAGCGCTGACTGTCTCCCACCCTCAGATATCAACTCGAACACTACCGAGCCTCATACGCCTCCTATGACTCCTAAGACCGGATCAAGGTGCGAGCTCTTCTTGCCCATCGCACTAAAATCTGACATGGTGTTGTCGGTGCCTACTGGGTCTCAAGAACTATTGGGTGACGAGGAGACGCTTGTTGCGGCCCGCAATCTCTTTGCTTTCCTTGCTGGAGAGTCCTTAGTTGCCACGCAGAAGACCCCGACTATGTTCTCTGTCTTCTCCAAAGTATCGGAGACTCTTAAACAGTTCGGTTTCTCCAACCTCGATGGTTCCACGTTCGGTGAGATTGCAATGTCCAGTTTCGATAAATACGTGGATGAGCTCGGCCTGGCAGACGTGAGATCAAGCCGTGAGAAGACCATCGAGGGCGTCGTTCTAGGAGAGCGCATGAAGAATATCAAGCTGTACAACGAATCTTTCACTCATGCTGTCGGTACGCACGATGAGCTCTTGAAGATGAGAAGCCCAAAATTCAGACTCATCAGCCCCATCTCTGCCAACAGGCTGGGACGTGCAGCGATGGACCTGGAAAAGCGCACAGCAAGCGTTCGGCACACCTTGGAAGACTTTGACTTCCCGCAACTCTTTTCTGGCCTTCTGAACAGCAAAACAGCCGAGGAGCGCAAGGACGTTGATTTTGACTCCTTACGAGATTCGTTTCTCGCCACTCGAAAGTTTGTCGTTGCATTCTACAAAAATCGCTATGGTTCGTGGCCGCCGAAGGCATCGAAGAAGAACGAGCTCGAAACGAGCGGTCTCAACCGAACGGTCTGTCGAGATCTGTACCATGATCTTTGCGCCGTGTACGACCTGTTGGTAGACCGCTCAAGTCTAACAAACCGTACTGCAGACGGTGTCTTGATTGACGATAGGGATGCTGATGCGCCACGGGTACGAGCACTTCGTGCGGTACTAAGTGAATATGACCGCTCCTCGCCGCCAGTCAAGCCGCCAATTCCCTACGATCTTCCTATGATTCCATCACTAAGGCAGACCCGGTGTAATGGATGGGGCGATGCGAAGAAGGAAGCGAAGGCCATGTCGAAGAGACTAAAAGACGACGACGTTGCGGAGATCATGACAGCCTCACACAATATTGACGTGCCTCCTNCGCCATTCTTGAACTCTTTCAGAGAAGTCGAACGCAAAGCGGCGAAACATCGCACTATCAAGGAACTGGCAGAAGTTCGCATGGGCCAATGGCTTTTCGTCTACGCCGTACTGCAAGCTTTACCGATGGTCACTGTCGACGGACCTCAACTTCAATATACTCAGGGTGTAGAGTATTTCCTCTGCGAGTCTCCCAGATTCGGTGTGCCTTGGGCGAGGGAAGAGGCGCTGCGCGACGCGAGTCGTACCGGAATAGCCAGAGCAGGAGGTATCGCCCACCTCCCTGCTGATGATTTCCATCATGGCGCCGAGGGTATATACTTCCGGAGCCACTGCTGGCAGGCAGCAAAGAAATGGAGTGCTGGAGACACAGCACTGACCTCAGTACTCCATTCGCAACACCTTATTGATACATATGAAGTCGATCCTCCAGCGGTAGCTAGAGTTCAGGCACCTTCTAGTAGGAGTGGCAGTCCTGCGGGCGATGTCCAGAGTCGGAATGCAGTGGGCCTTGGTCTGGATTTACCCAAGACTCGACCAGCAAGACCAGTGAGCGTGTATGATCCAAACTTGACCTTCGACTCAATCTTAGGTAGTACCCCAACGGGTGCGGACAAGAAGAAGAAGTAGTTCGATGTTTCCCATATGGCATCACAGCAAAATGCAATCGCGATCCTCAATCAAGTGTGTCGTCGCTTGCAATTCCCATAAGATGGCTACCTGGAAATGATGACACCGGCCTCTAAACGACAGGTGCAGTGCATATAGTACCGAGTGACATTGTCAAATTAAGGTTCGGTCTGACACTTAGCACGAGCCTTTGCCCCATAGGTACTAATATATCGAAGTTCACGCGCGCATTGAAATGGCAGCCGAACGCGTATGTCTATGTCAAAGGTCTGTGTCGCTCTACTCAGTTGTGGAGTACTGTACTCGAGTTGGCCCTCGTGAGACCTGCCGAACAAGAGTCAGAAGATGTCTTCGGACGAGCACGTGTGTGATGTGAGCTTTGATTGCGCAACCAGATACCTCTCAACCCGAGCTTGGCCGGCCTTTGATGGATCAAGACAGGCCTGAATCCAGCAGATCAGTGATCACTCCATCATAAGGTGTGACATTATTGCCTCTCGCGGTTACCGGTGAGTGGTCCGTCAACTCTACAGTCAGCACATTCTTTATGGCCAACCCGACATTCCTCCAGGCCAAGCATTGAAGTCTGAATGGAGATAATCCGGACAAGCCCTTGCAAGGTTCAGCATGGCGTGTGCTCGCTGCGGCATCGTGCACATGCCTCCCTGCGCACAGATTCGCGTGTCAGGGTTTACCGCGCATTGAGCTCGGGCTTGCTTTGAGCACGAGGATATAGAGCACAAAGAATCCGTAAGTCGGCAGATTTGCCAACAGCTGTACTTGTCCAACTCAACCAGGTCAGGATTATCGTCTCTTGAGTCAGGGACAAGATGCACAAATCGGAGCGAAAATGGTTGGGATGTTATCAGAAGACTTTCCATTTACTCCTTCCCTCCTCTAGAAGGCACGGACAGCGCTTGTGCAGTGCAGTGTGCATGCATGTAAACGTCGGAAGGTGCGCCTTCGCAACTCCCTCGATACAGAAACGCGGATTTCCTGACTTGGTCCAAGAAACATCGTACATGATATCCTGTACCTACCTGCTCGAGTACGATATATCCTCAGCCAACTTGCCGATGGTGATTCTGTTGGTCCTGATCCAGTCAAAGCGAAATCACTCAGGCACCAGCTCATTAATAAGCGGCCAAAGAGGCCCACCTTCTAGCAAAGTCGAAGCGAGCTCGCTCGGGTAACGGAGACGGTCCGCCTGGCTTCGAGTATCGCGAATTGATCGTCACAAGCATGTTGACCACGCAACTCCCAATTTCCATGTCGGTGCGAGTGGGCTTTGCGAGTTGATGCAGGAACAGCGGTTACAAAGGCAGTGTCAACTGGCGAATTTCGGCTTTTCTGTGAACCTCTTGCCAAAACGGGACATTACAATGTCTTTGCAATTGGTGGCTATACAGATCTATCTCATGATCAGAGGAGAGAAGAAGAAAACATCAAAAGCATTGAATCACTAGACACCAGCGCTGCAAAGTCGTTGCTAGGAAGAGCTTGTTCCTTTTCCAGATTCCCCAACTGTATCAAAGACGCCTTCGCAGAGTTGAGCACCAACAACTTTTTTTGTCCAAAAGTCCTGACTTTTTACCGTGCAGAAACGCGTCTCTTTTCTTTCCCTCAAAAACGTCGATGTTTCTCCTTTTCGTCTAGTATTAATTTCGATAGTCTTCCTGGGTGTCGCATCGTCATAAGTCGTCGCTATAGCGGCCCTGCAATGGGCAAGTCTCGTCGGGCTCGTGTTTCTTATAGGGAGGGGGATGTTGTGTCATTGATGGCGAAGTGGCAGAACTTGAAGCTGGTGGCAGAGAAGCTTCAAGGTCATCGGTATCGTAGGGTGGAAGCTTGATCATTCTGTAATGGTTGTCCTCGTCTGCACCGTCGCGACTCCCCCAGGATGTNCTGTAAAACGGTCAGTGGCTTCCAGCGTTATGTCAAGGCACAGATTAACGTACAGCAGAGAGTGTCAACAATCCTGCAAGCTTGATGAATCCATGAACATGACCAAACAGTATCGAGTACGACAACCACAAGAGGTCTGCAGGATAGCGGATGAAGTGGCCGTAGAGCTTGATGGACTTTGCAAATAAGAAGATCCAGATGCCAACTGCAGTCAGAATGTTTTGTCGAGTATCTACCGGCAGGTTTTCTGTAGCTCTGTAGAAGAGAAAGAAAATCAAGAAGTCTGTGAAAGCCCACGCGGTGAGAGTAGTCTGGAAAACTGCGTAAGTTGTCCAGGGCGTCGATCTACAACTAGTGAGCTCGTATTCGAGTTTTGTGTGATGCTCATATGCTGGTTACACACACCTCCAATAATGTCTTTCCACAAACATGCTTGTCAAGTTACTCCTCCAGTTGCTGCGTACCCAGCGAAGACATTGTTTCAAGTACTTCGGGCTGTCTTCCAGGGTTGTTTGTACCTCGCAAGCCTTGTGATACTGCATGGCAATCTTCCAGCCATGTGTATACATCCAGCGGGTGATGAAGTTGTCGTCGTCGGCATTGAGTTGGAAGTTTCTCCATGTCTCGTTCGTGAAACCATAGGTAAATGCATCGTCTTGCAGAATACAGGTGCGATATGCAACTGTCCTACCCGAGAGACAAGGCAATCCACCGTCAATATTGAGACATGCAGAGCAATCGAAATTGCGTCTTTCTAAGTAGAGAGATCCAAGGAAGCTCCAGATAGTTGGCTTCTTGGGACGCATCAGACGTTGAGAAGTCCCTACGCCACCCATCTCGTCATTTTCGAAGGGAGCGAGTATCCATGGAAGAATGGTTTTGGGCCAGATCACATCATCATCCGCAAAAATAGTGATCTTGGTCATAACCTCAGGGATAGCGGCGCACATCTGGCTGCGCTTGTTGGCCTTTGCAACACTCAGTATGCGAATCTTACTGGTGTTGAAAGTAGCAGCAGTTCTCTCGGCCCTTTTGATGCTAGCATCGATGGTGACAATTATGATTTCGAAAGGCTGTGTTGCCAAACACGTCTTTATCGTCCGGCAGAGATTTCCTCCTTCCCCTTCGATAGTGGGGATGATGACAGTGACATCCTTGTTGGTATAGTTGGGACTCTCGGGTACGGGGATGGGTCTATATGTCCAATTGGAGATCAAGTTGACAACAAGTCGAAGATAACGGAACACGNNCTGCAGACAGCGGTAAGCACATGATAAGTGTGTAGGTCAGGACAATAAAAAGACTTACAAAAGCAAAACCGCAGCCCACGCCCAGCACGACAGCAGCATGACGAGAAACGAGAGTGGAAGCAGCACTTACGTCCGTCCAAGGATAGGAAAAAGAGGCTTGCAGGGCCGCTGGGGGAGCGAGGTATATGAACATAATGGGCTCGGCTGCGTTGTGGTGCAGTCTTGGTGGATTTACAGAAATTTTGGTCTAGCAAGAGTTCGCGTAGTGGGTAATAGTGGCATGGCATGATGAGATCAGAAGGTGATGAGAGGCGTCGGAGGGTCGCTGGTCGTCTCGCTGAGGCGCCCGCATTGAGCTATCACCCGCCGATACCACCCACTACTGGTGCTGTCGACCTTGATTTCTTCAGACGAGCAACCGGCCAGCCCGCTTTGAAGGTGGGGGAGCATGGGCTGTGGACATGGGCGCGCTCGTGCGCACAATAGGCTAACTTAGTCGCTCAATGGCGAATGAGGGGTCCTCCGTCTACCGCAAGCCGCACGCCGCAAGGGCCTGATCGGCGCTTGATGAAATAGTAGGGTAGCTAGAGCACTTGTTTGGCACAGGGCAGACAGCGAGCGAGCCACCCATAATCAGCTCGTCCACAGTTGCGTCGTGCATGGGCATCCCCAGGCGAGCGAATGAGCAACATTGCAAGCCAAGGCACGAAGTATCTCGCAGGACCGACCTTCTGCAATTACTTGCAGCTCGCATACTTTGGTATCTTGATGCTTGGGTCGGCAGTGTAAAGGAGAGTTGGCCCATGTGAAGCTCCCTCAGCACGAGCATATCATCGGCGATAACTGACCACTTGAGGGTCATGGCAATCGCTGTTCTTACGAGCGACCCTAATAACGCCACTTTTAGTGTACATGGTCCAAGCACCATTAGAAGACCACAAGTCAACACTTCGGCCTGTTCGCCGTGGCCATGTGCGCTGCTAGGACCGAGAATTGAAGAACTTGAACGCCGAGGACAGAAGAGACAACAGGTTAGGTCGACAATTCAGCTTCCGATCGTCTCGTCATGAAAACAAACTTATTCGTCACAAATCGATATTGGTGCTGCAAGTCCTCGACCGTGATGTACGTCTCTGGTGTGGACCGATAGGCAATCACTCTTACGCTCAGACCAACAGTACATGCATGTACATACAGTGTGTATGCAGGTTCGACCGTCAAACGAGACTGCATGCCGACTGGCGGAAATTGATACCAAGCTTACGGGGTTCTTATCCTACGCATGGAACAACCGGTATGTGAATTGTTTGCAAGAATGCCAAAACTCGTGGGTAATTTAACTTGTAGGTAAAGCCGTATTACCATTAAAGAGGCATATGCTAATCACGTTTCTCGAGGCATTTGTTGTTACCCATTCGAGTGGCACACTTGTTCGTACAGCCTCGGGTCGAACTTGATCCTCAGTCGTCTTGGTTGAGGGTCCAATTTAGAGCCGATTTACTTGTTTTGGTGGGGCAGGCGGTCGGCCGCTCGAGCGGACTCAGAGCTAGACTGGTTGTTAGCTATCACAAGACTACTGCTACCGTCGTTTGTGCTCGTGGGCAGCACAGCTGATCCTCAGGCCGTTTTAAACCCAGACATGTGAGCCTGTATACTGATATCTGGGGTTGGAATCGTGGCTTCCAAGTAAGTGATGATGATCGCTGGGGGAAGCATGTATCCGTCCCGAAGCGATGTGTATCCGTTTTCGGGGAAAGCAGTCGTTTTGGCAGGCTGTTTGCGAGAGGGCAAGGTTGACGACACATGGGATCGTCATCCTTGATCAGTCGTCTATATGAACGACTCGCTTACTTGTAGGGTCGATAACGTATTGCTACAGTGAAGCCAAGGATCCGTCGGCTCCGACGTCTGCATGCTCAAGACGAATCACATGCGATATCCATCCACTGCCGAGCCGTTTTGGCAACCAGACTTGATGGCAGCCGCATTCAGCTCCTTTCAACTTCGGATCGCCAAGTTTGGTAGAGATTCATGTTTCGCATTAATGAGGGTGGGAGAGCACACACGACCCTTGGAGAGTGTCGGGATATACAGGCACCCTTCCTGTGTATACAGATGACGAAAAGGTAGACATTGTACAAGATACTTGCAGAAGCCATGTTCGGCTGAATATTGGATTTCTTATTCTGCCGTCCTGGTCCTCATAGCCGGGACTGAAAACGTTGAGCTTCAGCAGTCAGACGGATGAGCGAAGTAGATGGCGCTCCAATCAATAGCAAACTGACCGATCATATTTTCTTCGCATTTCGACGATCAGGGACGGCGACAAGATTGGACTACATACAGAATCAAAAGAAAGGATGCAGACAGCACGAAACCAGCTCAATTCTGCAAGAGCTGTTCGAAGCATATATTGAGGTGGGCATGGGAGAGCAGGGTCCTGTAGGTCTAGCAGGTTTGACCTCACAAAATCTGTTAGATGTGTACTGTAGCCCACATCCTCAAGAGACGTTGGCTCGACAAGCGTCTACGCAACAGCGAGAAGGGCGGAAACGAAACTGTGCAGGCCAGAGGTGAACGAGCGGTGCAGCAGGTAAGAGAGAGCAGCTTCTACACTTTGCAACGAGGATGCACAAGGAGGTGAAGTCGAAGAAGGCACAAAGTTCAGATCGGCTGGAGCGGAGAGGAACGGAGAGGTGCCAAGACACGGACGCTGTAGATTTGCAACCTCTGGCCGGCGCGTCTTGAGCAGTTCGAGCGAGCAGACCACGCACCCTCACGTTTCTTTCCCACTCGTCGCCCATCCGTCGTCGCGCCCCGTCTTCATCATGTCTTTCTCGGCGTCCCGTATGCTTTTGCGCACCNCCCAGATTGGCCGCCTCGCTGTGCGCCACGCCTCGACCACATCCGAAGCAGCCAATGCTGCCTCCAACGCTGCCTCCAACGCTGCCTCCAAGGCCACAACCCAGGCCTCGCAGGGCCTCTCAAAAGTCTCGTCGTCGGCCGAGTCTGGCATCTCAAAGGCTGCCGGAGCTGCCACCAACGCCATGAACAGCGTCGGCGGTCGCACCGGTCAGGTCATCAGCTTCGTCCAGTGTACGTGACACGCTGCCTGCTGACCCCGTCCGTTGCAATCTCGCTGACTGTTCTGCTCCTTTGCAGCCATGATTCCTCCCACCGTCTACTACGGCAAGGTCGGCCTCGAGCTCGCCAGACTCGTCGCCCGCGGCCAGAAGATGAGCCCTCCGTACGTCACGCTTATCGGGCAATGGTTGTGCGCCTCAGCTTACGTATTTGGCAGTAATGTCCAGACTTTCCAGACCTATGGCCAGAACTTGATGAGCGCCGTCAAGAACCCCAGCGCCAACAGCCCGTCGAACCCCTTCCAGGCCATGCGCAACATTGGCAGCTCCCAACTCCTTACTGCCGGCGTTGTGACGGCCGAGATTCTCGGATTCTTCACGGTCGGTGAGATGATTGGACGCATGAAGCTCATTGGCTACCGATCGAGCTCTCACGACGAGCACCACTAGAGGGTGGACAAGACGCGCTATACGATACCGACGTGAAGGAAGCTGGAGGGCTCGGCATGGTGGATGAAGTTGGCCATGCCGAGACGCCGAGGGGCGGACGCTGCAAAAGCATAGCAATGCACATATGGGAGCGACACATGAGCCTGTCTCTTAGCCGTGTACAACAGCCTAGATCGCCATTTTTTCTTTCTTGCCTGGACTCTCGAAAAGTCTGCTTAACAATGCTCTTTTGTTCTTTTTGTATCTTGTTCGTTTGAGCTTGCTGAAAAGTGCATATGGGTTGAGCACATTCTAGATTTCATGGCTAACATGGACGGTCAATACTTTACTGTCCTCTTTCCCCCAGCCGAACATCGAAGTAATTTCTTCTGGTGCCATTCGAAGCACCGTTGCTCACACCAATACAACGCAGGACTGGGGGACATTATGAAGGACACTCGAAACAAGTAGGTAGTATATGTGTAAGAGGTTGAGGACATACAGCAAGTGGTGATATAATTACTCAAGAACAGGGTGATATGACTGGCAAGAAAAGAAGGTTTACGGGGGCCGCTTCGCGAACTGGTCCGTGCCGTTTCATCGCGAGTCAAGCAAGAGCGAGCGTCAGATGGACGAGATAAAAATTTCCAGACTCGAATAATCTCTCTTCCAAATATCACCTTGTTGTCTGAATACCGATTCTTACAACAAGCCACAATGGATCCCCTACGATTGCTGACGAGATCGACCAAATTTGCAAAGAAAAGCACGGCGAACACACCATCCTCAGGTCCTGCATTGAATCCGCAACTCTTCGACCATGGCAACGACTCTCAAGCCGCAAACCGCAAACGCAAGAGAGGGAGCGAGACGGTGACGGCTAGCCTGGACTTCTTCGGTGGCGGCGCATCGGCCAAGGAAAGAGACGTTGAACAGCAAGAGCAGGACGCTTCGGAAGAGCAACCAAGGCTGCCGCAAGAACAAGCAGCAGCGGCCGTCGCAATGAGCACCGAAGAATGCAAGCAGCTGCTTGGACGCCACAAGGTCAAGGTCACTCTGTTTAGCAAGGCCAGCGAGGCACCCGCAAAGAAGAAAAAGAAGGACAAGGCCGACAAGCACACCAAAGCGTCTCAGACCTCGGGCGACCACGCGACACCACTGTATCCCATCCCCGTCAGTGACTTTGGCAGCCTGGCCCCGAGATACCGCATCTCAAAGGCCCTTCTCCGGAATATCAAGGACAATGGCTACAGCACCACGACCGAAGTCCAACTCGCCGCACTGCCTCTCTTGCTCGATTCGCGCCCACGCTTGGCCGCATGGGAANCACGAAAAGACCAAGAACAAGCACCTGTGCTGGATGTCGATCTTCTGAGCATTGCCCCGACAGGCAGTGGAAAGACTTTGGCCTTCATGATTCCGCTCATCCATGCTCTGGTCCTCGCACGTCGCTCTCAACCACAGTCCGGTCCTCAGGCTATAATACTCGCCCCGACAAAAGAACTCGCCAGTCAGATTGCCAACGAAGGCAGAAAGCTGGCTCTAAACACTGCTATACGTATCACAAATGTGCGCAAGGGCATGCACCTCGGTTTCGACCACTCGCCCGATACAGACGCCCCTGAGAAGGACGTACCTCCTGTCAAGGCTGATATTCTTGTCTCGACTCCAGCTGCCCTGAAAAACGCAATTGGAGATGCAACCGCTAGCTCACAAGCATTGTCCCATATTCGCTTCCTTGTCCTCGACGAGGCTGATGTTCTGCTGGACCCCTTGTTCCGCGATCAGACCCTGGCTGTATGGAATGCCTTGTCGAACCCCAATCTCCGTCTTGGCTTCTGGTCTGCTACCATGGGGTCCAACATTGAGGAGCTCGTCAAGGCCACCATCAAGAGTCGCGCTGAGAGGCTATCTGAGACCAACTCTGAGCCTGTCGAGATCGCGCCCTTTGTACGTCTTGTCGTTGGCCTCAAGGACTCGGCTGTGCCCAACATCGACCATCGTCTGGTTTACGCTGCCACCGAGCAAGGTAAGCTCATGGCTCTGCGCCAGCTCTTGCATCCTACTTCGACCGGCGTCGACAAGCAGCCCATCGTCCGCGCCCCCTTCCTCATCTTCACCCAAACCATAGAGCGTGCAGTGGCCCTGCACTCCGAACTTCTCTACGATATCCCCGCCGAAGCAGGCGGCATCTCACGCATCGCTGTTCTGCATTCGGATCTCTCCGACACTGCTCGTGACCATGTAATGACTCGCTTCCGCAAGGGTGAGGTCTGGATTCTCATCACTACCGACCTCTTGTCTCGAGGTGTCGATTTCCGTGGCATCAACGCTGTCATCAACTACGATGCACCGACGTCTGCCGCAGCTTACGTCCATCGTGTTGGTCGTACGGGCCGTGCTGGCAGAGAAGGCGGTGTAGCTTTGACTTACTACACAGACGACGATGTCGCGTCCATCAAGACAGTTGCCAACATCATTGTTGCCAGTCAGAAGCAAAGGGGAGCAGCAGGCGGCACAACAAACATTCAACAATGGTTGCTGGACGCTCTACCAACCCCTAGCAAACGCGACAAGCAGCAGCTCAAGAAACGCGGTATCGAAACCAGGAGATCTGCTTCTGGCAAGGATTCCAAGACTGGCAAGCCAAAAGCCCGTATCAGTACAAAGAGCGGTTATATTCGAAAGCTCGAGAACAACAGGAAGGGCGCAGTCGCAGCGAGTAAGAACCCGCAAGAATCGGGAGATGCGTCAGACTCTGGTGAGAGCTTTGGCGGATTTGAAGAATAAGTGCAGTTACTTAGATACCCTTTGCATATGTTCAACATGGGAGTTTTTGTTCAAGCCAAATATCCCTCATCTTCTTCGTCCCTGTCCTCTACTTTCGAGTGCCACTTGAAGCCTTTCTCTTTCTCAAGATATGCTTGTCTATATTGGTACGAAACATTAGACTTTACAAGGTTAAATTCTTCATCCTAATTGATCCAGAGACCTATTGGAAATTTACAAAGGCGCCGCCGTCTACTAATATCTGTGCACCAGANCTAGAATTCATACTGTAGTCAGTACTGGTAGGCTGAGCTCTTGACTGGCAAAAACTCACAACATATGACGAGAGGCTTGAAGCGAGAAATACCGCTGGTCCTGCAAGATCNCTAAAAGCTGTTAGCGAATCACTTTTCGTTGGCTTCAGGATACATACATGGGGTTGGCCTAGCCTTCGAAGCGGGATGCGACCCTCCATGTACTCCTTCTTCATAGGGTCTGCCAGGTCCTCGTCGTTGAGCTGAGTACGGATTGTACCTGGTAGCAAAGCATTGCATCGGATGTTGTACGGACCCAGAGCGCAGGCGCAACTCTGCATAAGAGACAGAATGCCTGCCTTGGTGGGTGTGTAGTGTGTTTGACCAGCGCCACCGACGAGAGCGCTGATGGACGAAACACCGATGATACTGCCGCCTTGAGGCGATTGTTCTTTCATCTGACGAGCTGCTGCTTGCACGGCGAAGAAAGCGCCCTCGAGGTTGATGGACACGGTCGATTTGAGAAGCTCAGGGCTTAGACTNATTCGTTATCAGGTTAGTCGGACGAATGCTTATCCAGGATCTTCGCGACATAGGCACCTTAGAAACTCAGCAAACTGGCACACGCCAGCGTTGCTCACAAACACATCTAGCCTGCCAAATTCGGATACTGTCTTGGAAACAAAATCGGTGCCTGTTTCGGGCTTTGCAATGTCACCAGGTACAGCAATGAGCTTCGCGCCAGCACCAGCCTCTTCTTGCATGCTCTTAAATTGTTCGTCTGATTTGGAGTCCGGATAGTGGTTTACAGCGACGGCTGCTCCCTGGCGCAAGTATTCGAGGGCGATGGCTCGTCCAATGCCCGTCACTGCACCTGTGATGGCCGCGACCTTTCCAGCAAGTAACGTTGTCATCGTGGTTTGCTATATCTGGTAGTATCTGGATGGAGCGTGCTCAACTTCTGTAACGAGAGAGACGCGCGAGTGAGGAAAGGGGCCTCTTCTTAATAAACATTTCTTGTCCGGGTTCTCTAATCATTGTGGAGATGTCGTGTAGGGACCGGGGTGTCATTGTACCGAGCACACCGAAGCGCGGGGCAGTTGCACAAAAATCATGTGCACAAAGAGATGCTCTTACCTCACCTCGGGGTTGGATCGTTCTCCTCGACTCATCATGACGGAGTAGTTGACAGGTCCGTACGTGATTTGGTAGTACGGTCCGGTAGACTGAACATAGGAAGACCAAGGTGATACAGTCAGTGGTGCTGGAGCTCGGTGTTTGATTTACAGGGCGATGTCCGCTAAAACCACCATTGCTCTTTCGCAACTCTGTACTGACTGGCTCGCTTCACGTGAATATGATGACCCCTTTACATCTTCCCACTCCGAGTTGCAAGATCGTCTTGACTTCGTTTGATACACATTGACTATCGATAACCAACCCCGCAACGATGTTAATCAAATTGCTCCGAGGTGGTACTGTGCTTGTTCATGATGAGCGGGACCATGTCAATGTGAGCAGAATACCGACGTGCTTATATCCAAGGCAATACAATCGTCAAGATATCCCAAGATATACAGGCTGGTCATCGCTTGTGTAAAATTTGCGACAAGGTTGACGGCATCTAGGTAAGACGTGTAGTTATATCCTAAAGGCTATGGTCTTTGACCAGGTGTACGACTTCTCGTGATGAGCAGGGCTCGAAGATTGTCTATACTGATAGAGAGTTTGATGTCTCAATGAAGAATACAAGCTGGTTAGATCAAGCATACTGCCAATAACAGAACTCGAACTTGGGGTAATGAGTCGCCACCACTTAGCATGATATATAGGATAAGAAAAAATGGGGAAGTAATGGTGCTTTTGTTACTGGCACCTCGCTTGGAGACTGATGCGGGTACGAATTGAGAAAATTTGAAATGAAAAGAAGAGAACAAAGGCAGCGCAATTATAATTACAAGGGATACAGAAATACCACAGATTTGTAGCTGTAGGAACCCACTTCTCCTTTCATAAGTCGTTTCGTAGTCAATCAGAAGACGTTAGATGTGGTCAAAGTTATGTCGTCGACTCGTTCAAGCTGCCATTCCGTTCGGCTCCTGGTTGAGCTTCATCGAGACCACCAATGCCCAGGCCACTAGATTTGGGCCTTGATGAATCTTCCAGTTCGTGTACGACTTTAGGCGTGGCGATCGTATCCTGTAGAGCAGGCGGACGCTCGTTGCGTGCGCGGGCCTTTGAAAGGGATATTGTGTTTTGACTATAGCTTGTCGTGACTTTACCATTCGAAGCATCATAATCAATAGTGGCTTTCATGAGCGCAGCCATCCACAATCGACCTTCCTGCCTACTGTTTACGGCAAAATAGTGTACGGTCGGTTTTGTAAAGTTGACAGCTTTGCTAAGTCCTTGACGTGGTGGGACTAATTTGAATATGAAGAGACCTTGTCCGTCCGCAGACGGCGCTACAGTCCCTTGTGGCACCATGGGNGACGATCCGGCACCCGTGAGTGCAGCGTGCAGCCCTGTCATTTTCTCGTTCTCAGCAGGCAGGACGCGGTGTGATGAGATGTCGATCAGACCCTTCTCTTCGGTGTCGTTCTCAGAATAGTAGTAGGACAGTCTCCGACCACGAAGTACAAAAAGACGAGGCTTCCACGAGCCTACCAAGCTCGAGGATTTNTTCTTCATCCATCCACTGTAATCACAATCGGCGATCTGCTCGGCAGGTGACTTTTTCTCCAGGCCGCGAGTGTATGCTGACGTTGACTTCTTGCTCTTCACTTTTGGCCTAGGACGAGTGGAGATTGCAGGTGGAGCAAGGGCGCCTGAAGAGCCCGTTGATACTCGAGATTGGTTGTCTGACTTCTGCAAATCGAACGAACGAGTCTCGGTCGAAGGAGTGGTAGAGCCAGTACGAGCGGGAGAAACGAGAGGCTCGTGCTTCAAGGTACTCTGCTTCTTCTCGCTCTGAGTCACGGCATCGGAAGCTATCCGAAGTCCACCACCGATACGAGGCTTGGAGAAGAAGGATCGAGTGTTCGAGGCAGGTGATGGCGAGGGATTGAGCGATGAATTGTCGCTGTCAGCCAAAGTTTGATCTAGTCGTGTGACAATGGGTGATACGGGCTGTTGAATAGATGCCAGGGGTTTGACGGCAGAATGTGGACTGCTGACAGCACGGGTACTAGCAGGCTTGTTGAAGGAAAACTGGCTGGACGCAGGAGACATGATGGGCGAAGCAGGATCGCGCATCGACTCGACACTGGACATCCTAGGGAAATTTCTGTACGAAGCGCTGTGGCGAGCAGAATCAGTAGCAGCACTTATGTTCCTTGTGTGAGCCGATGTCGACTTCTTCTGCAAAACATTGCGCTTGTTGCGGGCATCAACCTCGTTTCCAGAGAAGTAACCGCGGTCCAAATCGACTGGTGAAGAGAGTGAGCCAAAACCATAGTCGCCAACGCCTCCATCGGCCTGTGCAATTGTGGTCCCGAGGTCGGCCGCTGGTTCGTGAGCAATCGAAAGACGGCGAGTGGTGGTGGGCGCTCCGGAGGTTGTGCCGACCGAGGACTGCCTTTGGTGTGAGTAGCGATTCATGCTATCGATTGATCCCATAGACGAGTGCCTACGGGAATGGTTGAGGTTGCGGATGGAAGCAGCCGAGGGACGCTGGGTGTTGTCTGGCCGAGTGAAGGTCATGGATGGGGTTGCTATACTGCTAACGGGTCTGTATGGGGAGGCCGTCACGCTCTGGCTCCGTCTCCTTCCAGCCTCGGTCTGTAGATCGTCGCCAGCAGCCGAGTATTCAGACACACTCCTAGGTACGTTGGTCGAGCTTTGGCGTACTTCATCCTGGAGAGCCTTTACTTTCTGCCACGTCTTCAATCGCCTCCCCACAGAACCAAGTTCGAACTCTTTGATAAAGACGGCCGACTGCTCCATGGTCAAAAGCACCTCTCCGGATATCTCCTGCTCGCGAAAAGTGTCACAATGCGACCTTTCGACGCCGTGGTCTTCGAGATATTCAGCAACGCGTACAGGTGACCACAACATGACTTCGGCCTCAGTATGCAGCTGGTTCTCCTCGTCGTCGGTCTCGCGGCCGTTGATGTAAGATAGGCGGTTAGAGGCGTGTGCGCTGTAGATGCTCTCAGTGTCGTGGCTGTGTATATTTGTCAGGGGTGCGTCGCGCGGGCTACGCATGTCTGTGATATGCTCATCGATGACACTCAGGGTTTCGTGCATGACCGAGTTGTGCTGCGAGGCGCGTTGAGCGGGGAGAGAGTTGGAGGATTGGCTCGAGGCGGTCGAAGCAGCAGTCTGAGGCCTGTTGGATTGGGATGCATCGTTGCGACGGGCTGGGGGCTGCTGGGTAGATAGAAGAGTGCCTCTTGGGGCCGGGGTTGTGTAGACTGCGGCGGGCGGGTTGGCATGAGCGGAAGTGTTTCACGAGGTTTGAGAGGCGATGGTTGTGCGTGTCTGCTCACCTTCAGGAAACAGGCCGGTGGCACTAGTGGTCATATGGCGACCGAGGAACCAGCCATCACCAAAGTCGTCGTCTCGCTCGATGAGTTCGATGCGGTCGCCCTTGGCCAGGCTCAGCTCGTCGGGGCTGCGGGCAATAAAGTCATGGACGACGAGCAGGATAGAGCCTGGCGGAACCTCTCGGGGGTCCGAGGGCTGACGAGAGGCCATTGAGGCGCGCTGTCGAAGGGGTAGGCACGCTACGACTGGCGCAGGAGCATCGAAGTCTCAGGGCGATATGTGATGGAGGCGTGTGTTCCGAGGCGTCCCTGTCACCTTGTCGCGGAGATGAGGCGGCGGCCGAGTTGTGACCCGTCTGTGGAGGATGGTCGAGCTGAAACAAACACAGGTCTGGCGGTGCACGGCAATTGTGTCGCAGTCGGGCTCCGGTACGGAGTAAGGACAGCAGGAGGACTTGGTCGTCCAGGGTGGGGCGGCAAGTGCCAAGCTGTTCGCGACTTCTGAAAGCAAGAGAATACAACAACAAGGTTTCGGCTAGACAAGCAGCCAGGAAGAGGTAGGCGCAGAAGAAGCAAGAGCAGAGCAGGAGCAAGAGCGAGCTGCGACGCGCCAGCTGGATTGGCCTTCTGGTCGTACGAGCTCCCTGCTGCCTCTGCTTGCGTTCCTTTGCGCAACTTTGCATGCGCGATTCCTCATCCGGCACCCTACCTACTTATACCTTGCCGCCCCTCCTACTGCCTTGTCGACCACGCGCAGATGGGACTCACCTTTCCAAGATATGGCCCTATCGCCCTCGGACTCCAGTGCAAATGCACGTAACATCCTGGGCCGCCCTACGCAGTATTCGTGGATGCAACAGTCGTCGATGCTCTCACAGCCACCCCTTCGTGCCTCTGGAAAACACGCCCTGCGACAAGGTCCCACTCCAATTGCCAGCGACCCGGACACGGTCCAATACGAGAGTCCCGCAACTGTGCCCCTGCAATCTCCTCCTCCTCACCAAGTCCGACACATGCAGGAGAATGAGATACCTGATGCCTCCAATGCGAGGAACTTTCTCCCTTCGCCCACTCCCAGCGACCACGACAAGTCACCGAGCCCGCCCGCTGCTCGTCAACCTCTGAACGAACCTACTGCTCATCACTCTCCGAGCCAGCCTGCTCTGCACCAAGCTCCAGCCCAGCCTGCTGCCCTCCTCGCCGGAAATAGACCTATCTCTACCACATCTTCCTCACGACAACCGAGCATATCCACCCCAAGTCTGCCACGTCCCTCGGCATCGGCTACTCCCACGGCGCATACCCAATCTCCCCTCTCCAACCACAACAATGCCCCGCCCTTCGGTCCTCAGTGGTCTCTCGTCTTCCAAAGCGGCGAGTGCACCAAGCGCCTATCTGACTTCGCCAAGGCTCACGGCAACCTGAGCGATGCTGACCTTGAGAGATTGGGTATTCTTTATGATGCCACAACTCAGAACGACTGGTACTTCATCATCCTGCTCATGCTCCTGGCTTGCCACTCTTTGAATCTCCCATCACTTCAATCCGTCCAAGCTCATCTTCCAAAACACAGCCTCCCCATGTTTGCGAGGCTTCTGGGAGAACAATGGGAGGGTGGCGCTTCCTTGAGCAACGAAGTTCAGGTCTTTATTAGCAGCTTTCCCAAGCCTCTGGACGAGCTGAGAGCCTGTTTGACTGATCAATCTTTCATGCTGGCCGTTCGCCATATTGCCAGCTGTCTCTATCAAATAACATTGAATCTAGACCGTGTGCTCTTGCAGTGCCGCCAGGCAGAAACGCTTCCGACTGTAACGGACCTCATCGGAGGCCTTGGTATCCGTTCGCTACTGTTCCAACGAGCAACATTTCGCTTTCTTCTGCGTAACACCTGGGGCTCGGACAGTGGTCCGATGGCCGAACTTGCTATGCGGGAATTCATGATCGAACAACAAAGATTTGGGGCCGAGNGGGGCCAATCGACAGAAGTGCGTGGTCATCAGCAGAATGTTTACCGCTCCATCTTCCACCAACACGTACGATCTACTCAACTTCCGCATGCTCAGTCGAACCCAGCCACAAATCTGGCCAACACTACCTCGATCACTGCTACAGCAGCACAGCAACCCGCCCTTGCTCCAGCTGTGCCTACCTTTCACAACATTGGGATGCCTCAGTCACAGTCGCCTCGTCCTGGTCAGAATCGCGTCCCACCATCCCATCAAGCTCAGGCGCCGATACCAACCAGTCCGCAATCGCAAACCACTCAGATGGAGGCGCAGATGCGTACACAGCGGGAAATGCAAATGCGTGCTCGAGCCCAAGCACAGGCTCTGGCACACGCGCACCCACAGCCGCACGCAGTCCAGTCTCCACTTCCTGCTCACTTTCAAAACCAGCAACAACAAGGTGCTTCACTCCCAGCTTCGGCCTACTTCCAAAATCCTCAATTTCAACAAGGCGTGACTGCACTGCCGCATACCGCACTTCATGACGCCGCCCAGATGCAAGCACTGATGATGTATCAACAACAGATGCTTCCGCAACAGCCCATTCTGCCTTCGAATTCGCCGTCGACTCCCTCACTTTCAACTCGAATGTCTCGTCCACAGCAAGGACGATCAAACCCACCCNCTCGTCTGTTCTTTCCAGGACCAAACCCCGCCGTCNCCCAGCCTGCTCACCCGGACTATCGCCGATCAGCGCTTCATCAAGCTCACTTGCGTAGTCCTGTTCTTGTACCAAAGAGGCCTGACACTTCGAACTCTGCCGCAACCAACGACCACTATCGTCGTGTTGTGGGCTTTGCCCTTCCGCCTCATAAGCTAACGATCAAACCGGTCCAAGAGATCCCGTTTCATCTCCCGTCACAAGTTGTTGGACGACTTTTGAAAGTGAAAATGAGCGCCGACGGCGATCCTCCGTTCGGGGAAGCCGACATCAACTCGATAATGTTAAGACTCAAATGCTGCGAAGTCTCGCTATCACAACCACTCCCAAATGAGAACAGATGGGTCCTTCTTGACGGCAGCTGGCCAGTCCAGGCTTACTTTGCAGTCAATCAGAACCCACTTGAACCAAGACGCAAGTTGCATCACGGCCGCTACCTCCCTATCGACATCACACATTGCGTCAGTGCGGACCTCAACAAACTTGTTGTCAGAGTAAACCGATCAAAGTACGACAAATCACCTTTCAATTATGCAGTCGCTATTGAAGTCGTTGGCTTTGCCACTCGCGACAGTATCAAAGAGGCTTGCATGAAGCGACTCGTTCCTTCCGAAAAGATTTTGGACTCAATCNAAAAGTCTCTCACTAGCGACGACGAGGATATTGTCATGCAGTCCAACTTTACACTGCAACTCTACGAACCCTTCTCCAATGCCAGAATCTTTGATATTCCGGTTCGCAGCCGAGATTGTTTGCACAAGCAAGCTTTCGACCTCGACGTTTTCTTGGAAACTCGTCTTGAGCAACAATCTCAGCCGCCCAAAGACCGCATCAGTAAGGTTGACGCATGGAAATGTCCCATTTGCAAGGCCGATTCTAGGCCGCAGAGCTTAATAGTTGATGGCTTCCTAATGACCGTCCGCGAAACTCTTGCAGCCAAAAACATGCTGAAGACACGCGCTATCAATATTGAGATTGATGGCTCTTGGATGCCTATCCCAGAAAGCAACGACGATGAGGAGNACCGAAGACGAGGCAGCCACAGCACCCAAAAGAGCATCGCAGTCATTCTCATTGATGATGACTAGTTGCCGATGTCGTCTTAGGTCTCGTCTATCGATTCAGAGCTGCCATTGCTTCCTTCTTATTTATGCTTCTTTTTCCTGCCGCACGATACCCACTAGCAATTCTTCCTGTTTACTTGCACACCCTCAGCGTTGTTTCTATTCACCTATGAATTATGACAGCATTCATAGCATGCTACACTCAAATTACTCCCTTCAATAGACGAAAAATGCAAACACTACCAACTATGTAATACTTTAGAGAACATGTGGTCAACTTTGAGACCTCCCTGTACTCGAGATAGTCACAGGCACTCTCTCCTACGCCAACAACTGGTGCTATAGTATGCTACAAAAATGCACAGTCGCTTACCGAATAGATGAGTGACCATAGAGATAGCTCCAGAATGACGTCTCTCCTCGGACGTTACCTCCAAGCAAAAAGTATTGTGCATTGATATACTATACACTGAGCGGCACGAGGAGAAGGAGAGCAGGGCTGAAAGGGGCAGAGGGGAGGGGAGTATTGACAACCACCTGTTCTCTAACAGCCCTCATGATACCTCAAGCTATTCCTTTTCTTTGAGTGTTGTGAATGGTTATTGGACTATAGAATTACCATCGTTGGTCCAAGAGGCAAACTTCCATGAGTACCACAAACGCATCTTGCCTGATCTTCTCATGTTCTCCATTGAGTGCCGTCTCATCCTTCGGCTCGCTATTTATACATCAAAGCTTCCTCTGGCCTTTGAACGTCAGAGTGTCCTTTGGTGACGAAGCCATCAACTTCTGTTTCTGTTTCTGTTTCTCCTTCTACTTCTGCTCTTGCTGTGCCAAATACTGCTCCAGCACATCCCTGTCCTGGAAACTAGCTTCTGGCTCCCAGGTTGTGTCGTCGTAGCCCTCCCACTTCACTTGGTACAGCATGACTGGCTTGTCGCCACGGACAGACTTGTTGTGAGATTTGGGATCCGAGAGGCTGTGGGCAAGAATCTTCTCGACAATGTATACCTCGGATTCGTCGGAGCCGGAGCCGGAATCAGAACTCGAGTCGGAGGAGTCATCGAAGTTGACGACTGCTTGACGGGTAGGATTGTTGACGCTCGCGGTTTTCGTCTCGATTGGGCGGACAGAGTTTAATGTTGATGCTGACAATGGTACGCTTGCCTTTGCCGGAGTCGTGGATACTTGCCGTGCAGTCAATGAGGCCACGAGTTTTGCTTTGGCGGATAGAGGTTGCGAGGCCGAAGGCATGGCATGATCTCTGAATGTGAAGAAAGCGCTTGCCGCGCCCTTGTCTTTGTCATCTCTGACTACCTCATCGGCTGTGGCTGGGACGCTGCGTGTTGGCTGTTGAATCGGCATATCGACGTCACGATCGAACTCGTCGTCCAATTCCATTGGGTCAGACTCGTGTGCGTCTGAGATTAGACCTGCCGCCTGCTCCATGGCTGAAGGTGGCTGGGTTGGTAGGTCAGGAGAGGCCACGTTATAGATGCTCTGCACGTCGCTGCCAGCACGATCATCTCTCATTCGGCGTCTTTTGCTATCTCTGTGANNCCTGATCAATGTTAGCTGATTATGTTCAAGAAGGTATGCGTTCAACTCACTGCCATTGCCTCTTGATTCGGCTGTTTCATATGGCGTATTGGTATGGGTCGAGGTAGTGGTTTTGAGAGATCCTCGTGGTGCCCGTTGCTTGGGGTAGAAATGCGTGTATGTTGGTCTTTGCCTGCCACCGACTGTTGCTCTAGTATTTTCAGCGCCAGAAATCGGGGTGCCAGATACGGATCTAGCACGAGCCGAGGAAGAATCAGAAGCTGTGTCAGCGTCTATGATTCTGTTTTGTTTGCGAGCGTATGCCTTTGCGGCTATGAGACCTTTCTGTCTCTTCTCGTCTTCGCTAATGTCATGCTCGAATCTCTGGTTTTCGAATATTTCTAGATCATGTGCAGAGACATAGTCGGTCACTTCTGTAATGGAGACGTTTGGTACCGATACAACACCGATCTGCAGTGTGTATGTGACGACTCCTCTAGAAGGTGACGATCTCGAAATGATCTTTGTTTCTCCATTTATCGGAGCTTTTGTGCTAAGTCTCGAGTGGAAGTGAGCGTCGTTTGCCGTCATTGGTAGTGAGTGTTGTTAGTAAGTGTTGTTAGTTAATGCGTTAAGGGCAGTAACGCGAGTGGTTAGGCGTTTGGCAAGCTAGCGCAAACGGCGATTGAGCAAGGAAATAGGGGCAGTTTGGTTGCCACTCACTTTGCGAATTTTTAAGAAAAATGCCGCTACTAGAAAACAAAAGTAAAAGTAGTAGATATAGTAAAGATAAAGAATAAGTTAAGAGTAGCTTAAACTATTAAAAAAGGCGTTTAGTCTTAGTAAGCTATTTAACTAGCTCTAATAGTTTTATCTAATATAACTATTTAATATATAAAAAAGGCATTTTAAAACTAGTAGCTTAACTAGAAAAATAGTTCTGTATCTATATATAAAAATAAAACAACAGGTAAATTAGTAGTTGAGAGCTTAAAGGACAGGGTTACCTTTTATAGAGGAAAGCCCCGCAGGTTAACATCCACGTACGACTTTGTTTGAAAAACACCTGTAGAAAGCACAAAGAGCTATTTGAACATGGAAGAAGCATGCAAGTGGCTTGGGCTCAAACTGGATACAGACATCCCTCTTTCAAGTGAATCGGCGCATTTGTCACAATCTCGACGGCATCCGCATAGCACCATCCAGCCGTAGCGCGACGCCATTCAACATGACATTCTCAATTGCATGTCTTGTCAACTCGGCGAATTCTTCGCCTTTACCCGCCCTCTTTGGGAACTCCATAACACGCTCAAGCGACTTTCGAACCTTGTCGCTCATCATGGCTGTCATGTTGGACTCAAACAACGAAGGCGCGATCGTCACCACGCGAATGCCGAACTGTGCAAGATCGCGGGCCATAGGTAGTGTCATCGACCTTACCGCTCCTTTGCTGGCAGCGTACGAAACCTGCNNTCTGTATCAATATGGGCCAAAGGTAGGTCGACTGGATGTAAAACTCACTTGTCCTGGTTGTCCGTCGTACGCGGCCGAAGAACTGACCAAGATCACACAACCTCGCTCCTTGTCCGGCTCTGTAGGTTGATTCTTAGTCATGAGTGGGAGCAGTTGGCGTACGAAATCCAGAGTGCCTCGAAGGTTGATGTTCAGAACAAAATCAATGGACGACAAGGAGAGCGGCTCGTTGTTACGATCAATCATCNNTGTCTTCACTCAGCTTTCTACAATCGAGAGCGTCTCTGATATGGTCAGACATACCTTTCCAGGGTTTCCTACGCCAGCCGCGCTAATGATACCACCAATGGGCTTTCCGGTCTCCTGAATCCATTCTGAGACCCCCGCTACAGCTTTCCTGATACTCTCAGTATCACTGACATCAGCTTCGAAGAACTGAGACTTTTCAGAACCAAGCTCCTTGATGGCTTCTGCTCCAGAGTCGGCGTTGAGATCAAGGATGGCGATATAACCTCCTCTCTCATGGAGATTACGAGCTGTGGCAAGACCTAGGCCAGACGAGCCACCAGAAATGACGAAGAGCCTGTCTTTGATGTGCATGTTTTAGTACTATGGAAGGTATGTATCGAGGTTGGCAAGAGAAAGAAACCTGCTTGCATTTGGCAACCGCAAGAGACTAGAGTGAGCTTTAACATCCTATCCTCGGTTTCACAAGCCTCGGCATCTCGAGGTATCCCCGGATCTTGGCAATCGTGACAATTGATATCCTAGACTTTTGATAAGAATAATCATGCGAAGAGTCTCATTTGTCTGTCATGGAAGATTCGAACCATTAGCAGACGTGCACAGTGTCTTCAACCCAGAGGATCCCGAGAGGAGCGCCTGCACTGGATTCAGAACCACAACACCGTCGATCTGAAGAGCATTATATCCATCTCAAGTCAGCACGAGTGCATACCAATGCCTCACGAAGATGAGAGCCTGGTTCCGGTGATGCTTTTGTCAAGAGTATGCTCTGCTAGGACTCTAGTCCTTAGTACATGACGTATCTTGATCGCCACTGTCAGGTCTAGTATTTCCATCTGCAGCTCGACTTTTTCGGTCTTTGAGATTGATACATAACGGTGGGTAGATAGAACTTTCGGCAGCATTGAAAACATGTTGCAGACTTGGAGGAGATTCCGCTGCAGATGTGAGGCATTAAAGAGTAGGATTGAAGATACATACCGACCAAGAAACCATGATTTTTGTACAAAATGGCACGCTGAACACCGCTTGAACGCCTCCCTATGCCCTTGTTGATGCAAATCTACCCTCCCTCACGGACAAGATGGCGCAAAGACTCGTTTGCAGTACACTACTTGACATCTTTCTTTTCGACGCGATTGCCATGCTCATCCAAACCCCACCACTCGCGATGGAACTTCTCCTGTTCTTTCCTCTTCTCTTCCTTGGCTTCTCGCTCCTTGCGGCGCAAATCGCGAGTAGCAAACCACTCCTCTCGGGCGGCGTCCTGCTCGGCTTGATTGGCGTACTGAAGCATGCAGGCGTTCATCTGGCGGCGTTCGGGTCGGCAATAGAAGGGCGCGGTGAAGGTACGGTTGGTGGCACATGCTGCGAATACTAAAAGGCGGGACAATCAGCTCGAGGTCAATTGTCGTTCCAGAGTGACGGATGACATACGTCGTACTTCTTCGGCGCACTTGTTCCGTACTCGTTTGTGGTAAATTTCTCGCACTTGGCCTTCTTGTGAGGCGGATAGAGGTAGTGGTTGACGCGATGGCACGAGCTGAGGGCTGGTCTGAGGTACAGTGGTTCCCGGTGGTGGAGGCGGTTGCGACGGCGGTGTCTGCGGCGGTTGCGAGACCGTCGCCATTGTGAACGAGGACGGTGACGGGGCTGCTGTGATTCGATGTGTTTTGCAGTACCAGAGACCAGGGTAGATAGTCGAGTGCAGACGTCAAGGGCAGTGTGGTAGGTCGATGGTGTTGATAATGTGCTCGTCGAATTGATTTTCCATGCACCCGTCAGTCGTTCCACTCCCGATCTCCGCTCCGCAACGAGATATCGACGCTTGGCAGCGCCCATCTCTCTCTTCCCAGACAATGCTTCCTAGGTGAACAATGGCTATCTCTTGACTGTGTTGTGAATGCCATGTAGGCTTAGATTGATTCCTAATGTACTGATGATATGCTGTCGATCCGATATATGCGATAAATCCTTCAATCCGTCCCTGCTAACTGTCTTATCCAACGAGGGTATAACCATAAACTCCACGCTCATAAAACGAATGCAAATGCTAAAAACATGTCCAGAGCGCTTTCCTTCCCGCGCCAAAAATCATCAGAATATACACATATGCTTCGGCCACTGCAAAATGCTCTTCGACATGCACTTTCATCCATCGTCATCACTTCACCGCCGCATCAAGCATTCCCGCCGCAGTTGAGAAGCCTGGTTCGCGTCCAGGCAAGGAATCGATTCCACCCACCCTTAGCCTGCTTGGTCTTGCTCGGCGATGGCGGTGAGAGCGGTACTGTCGGTGCAGCACCGCTGTGGTCTCCTTGGATGGGTAGACTAAGGTCGTGCGCAGGAGTTTGAGTTGCATAATCAGTGCCAGCAACAGCCTTCTCCTCGTCGACCACGATACTGTTGCTGCCGTTACTGGTCATGCTCGCCCGTGGATCCGTCTTCCGCCACTTGCGCTCTTCCTTCTTGATGACCGAGGCTCTGCGCTTGACCTCTTCTTTCTCGTACTTGCGATCTTTTGCAGCCTCCTTTTCTTCAAAAGCCCTACGAGCAGCACGGATGGCGGCAGCTCGCGAGGCAGCATCCTCTGGCTCAGAGGTGCGTGTGATGAAGCTGAAGGCCTTGTCAATCGAAGTACGAGCAGAAGGGGTCGCTGGGTAATCACTGGATCTACCAGTGTTTCGAACAGAGCGACCCGACTTTATGTGGTCATACGAGGGCTGAGAGCGAATAGAAAGATTGGATTGAGATGCACTGGTCAACTTGGTAAGAGAACCAGCGGTATATGTTTGAGAGAGGGGTGTGATTGCTGGGTTGGAGGAGATGGAGATTGATCTGCGAGGCTTCCAGGGTTCGTAGTCAGGTTGGCGGATGTCGTTGGTGAGGACACCAACGCTTTCTTCTGCCTCGTCGTCGGATGTGTCAACCTGTGAGACGGTTGCAGGCGGGGTGAATGACCGCGGGGCCTCGCGTAGAGGAGCAAAGGGCTGTGTCGGACGCAGCGGACCCGAAGCAGCAACCGTCATCGAGGCAGGGCCGCTAGTGGCACGGGAATGAGAGGCCTTGCGGCGGGTGGAGGGAATGAACGAGACATCCGAGGCGGATCTCGAGAAGGATGGAGCGTCGTCGCAGATACCGAGACCGGTCAGTGACTCGTTCTCGGCAGAGGGTCGCGACAGATCGAGGCGGCCTTGGTCCAAGTCGTCGTCCCGCAACGACATCTTGCGGAGGTAAGGCTTGATCTTGTTGGCGGAAGAGTGGCGGGCATGTTGGGTGGTGGTCATGGACGAGTTGGGCTGGGTGAACTCGTTCTGGATGGGCGAGGGCATGGTGAAGACGGCGGGAGCCTGAGACGAGGTCGAGCCGGACCTCTTGTGCAGTTTGGCATGGTGCGGCAGGTGCGAGGCCGAAGTCATGCTGCGGGCCAGGGCCGGGCGGGCGGGAGCGGCGTGCAGCGAGAAGGATGTCGAGGTCGAGGTGCGTCGGTATGGGATGAGAGTGGTGAAGCTGTCGCGACGGCCATTGGAGTCGCCAAAGGGATTGAGAGCGTGTGATACAGCCGTCCAGGGAGGCGAAATGTGCGGAGGGGTGGTCGTCGTGGGCGTGGGCGTGGGCGTGGGCGTGGGCGCAGGCGCAGGCGTGGGCTTAGTAGTCGTTGTCGTGGCTTGGATGCTGACGGGTCGAATGGCCATGACAGCCAAGTGAGCCGGCCTGTTCTGCCGTCCATCGAGCACCATTGCAACGTGAACTCAATTCCTGAATACCCGCTCCCTCTCAGCCGTGCATGCTTTTCTTTGTTTTTCTTGACAACCGATCGTCACAGCAGATGCTCCACCACCAGCGACTATGCCTGAGCAGCCAAGGACAAGGAGAAAGGTGAGAGGAAAGCGCGGCTCACCACCCCTCAGACCGTGCAAGTACGAGTCTGTGTGTTGAGGGCCAAGACGGATTTCCTGACCTCTGACCGCTCTCGGAACCTCGGGTCCAGACAATCAAAAAACGAGATGCTAAAGGGAAGGTGGATCCAGCCAAACTTCATAGCAACTATCGCTTCTGCTTGCAAGTGCTCTTCGTGTTACATATATTGCTCGCTGTCCTGGCGACAAGTCCAGCTTCAGCATGCCTCGACGCTATCCGTCGCCCCGCTCGAGTCTTCATGCCATCCAAAGCCCGTTTACCGTCGCAACCGGCGTCCGTGTGTTGTCAATAGTTTCTATCGATTGTTGTCCAACTGCCAACTGCGAACCCTTGATCGAGCTCTCTCATCTCAAACGCTTCCGCTTCACACTCCTTCTGAGTCTGGGCCTTGACTGATGTCTTTTCCACGTCCACCGCATACAACTGCCACGAGCTCTTGGGATGTGCCTACCGTATCTTTTTCGTTCAACATCGCTGTCCGCCGTCCATGGGCCGCTCGGCCCGCGAGTCTCGATCTCTGATGCGACGCCCGATCGACAGCATCGCCAATCCCCACATGGTTTTGTCTTTTGTCATGTCGCTCTGACCTCATCTCCGGACCCTGATATTGGTATCGGAATCATGTACTTGATCAATTGTGCCTGTCCGCAAGCATCCGAGGTCAAGCCTCCACTGTCAAGGGGACGCCTTCTTACAGGCTAGTATGATTATAAACTGTATCTGGGCAGACGATCTCTCATAGAGGGCACTATTTCGTTGCCATATTGGCGACAGATCCTTGGACCACTTACCTACCACATTGAGCAGGAAATAGTTAAGCATCTGGGACTTCCTTGAGTTGCAGAAGCAGGCCTTGGATCCATCCACCGAACACTCGGACTCCGGCTTCCCGCAGGGCTGTAGATAAACAGTTCGCTTGATCGCTTGTTGGCGTGAGACACCATGCAGGGCTCAAACCCGTTTCTCATCGAATGCCTAATCTCTATTCTAGGTCTGCCTTGTGGGCCATAAGCCATAAGGAAATTCTGGTCACCTCGATTCGGATATTTTACAGCAACCGTTTGAAAGCACAGCTCCCGGCTCCTCCACCTTGGTGTCGTTGTGGAGCCCAGATATCTCGTCTTGAGACAATAACGACGGATCGCTTTAGCCCCGGAATGCAGCAAGTGGAGAAGTCCTGGAAGCAGCAAGGTCCTCGCAGTTCTGCTCTCGCGGCCTACTTCTTTTAGATCCTGCATGACTCCGGCAATCACGACCATTGTGGAACATCGTTTTACGTGACTCGGTTGTTGTCTCACGTCTCATATCGAGGCAGAGCATTGTGGCATAGAATCTGCGAGAGTACGTTCCTTGAGAAGAGCCTGCGGACCGAGCAGCTTTGTTTGTGCTGTATTTTGTCAGGAGAAGTTGGGTTTGTTTCTTCATACAGCAGTACTGATTGAAACAGTTGTCTTGCAAGGTCAGGTCATGTCATCTCATAGGCGAGCTCTGGACAATGGCAAGTACTGTCTCACCCAAGATTTGTGTAGTCTGCTCGATATTTGTCAAGGTTACCACAACACAGGTGCCAAAGCGAATCTGAAGTGAAAAACGCTACTGCTTCGGCAATCAGAGCACTTGGGATATCTGAAAATTCTCGTGTAGGCTGACGGTCAAGAGTAGTGCCAGAGTCTTGTCATCTACTTGTCTTCCAGAATACCATCATGCCAGGAGCAGGGTCGCATAGGTAACATCACGCACCCCTTGATCCTTCTGCATCTCATAGACTTTCAAAACATGTTTGGTGGACCAGGCTTTGGACCGGGCTTTGGACCATCGTGTTGGCAAAAACACTCCAGACTCCCAGATATCCAGTGCAAAAGTTCTGCTACAGTGTAGCATTCCCGACCACCATTTGTTTTATTCAGAAAATTATAGTGCAACTGCAATACAGTCTTCATTTAGGAGTAACACATGCGAGTCACTATCTCGGGACACGAATCTGGTCTTAAGGGCATGTGTGCATTCTTCTCATATCCGGTGCATCATATTGCAACCACTTCTAAACCATAGATCAATATGTGGGTGGTAATGGTGCTCTGCACGTTGCCAGGTTGGACAGTCTGTACAGCACCAAGAATGGTAAAGGGTCATCGAAAAGAACAGGTCAAGAAGAAACATAAGTAGTGCAGACTGGGGTATAGATCTTGATGATGATAGACAACAACCGCTCGACGTTCCCCTTTCCCTTTTCCTTCCCAGCCTCATTCGGCCGAGACATTGACGGAGGCCCTTGCTCCCTCTTGCCTCTTGCACACCAGACGCCAACCCCGCCGTTGAGCTCTTGTATAAAGGAAATAGAAAACTTGTTTTTGTAAAGAAGTATAAGAAATGTGCTTGTGTGCTTGTGTGTGTGGAGTTCTTCTTTCATACGTTTCGATCTCCTCCAAATAGACAGAAGATAAATATGAGAATGAGAGTCGTTTGGTCTCGGAGATAAAATGTGTTGAAATAAGAGGATCCCTATGCAGTAGCAATATAAGGATAAATTCAAACGTTCGTCGTAAAGAGGTAAGAATAAAGAGAAATGACGCGACTGCGTGGATGCTTTTGGCCGGGGTCAAGGAGCGAACCTTCAAGCGGTCTGCAGTGGCCTTGGTGATGAGAAGATACACGGAGTCGTATGTAATCAACATGTCCGTACTATAGAAGCCGGATTATAGACAATCATGGCGAAGACTCCGAGCGTGAAGTGAGCAGTGCTTAAAGGTCACCACCTGCTTCGAGTCCGCCATCGGTGCCAAAGTTCATGCCACTAGGATCAAAACTGAAGCCGTCAGCGCCGCCATCAGTCGTGAGGAAAGAGTCGAAATCGAAGTTGTCGAGCACATCTGGGCCGCCCATTTCGAAATCGATGCCGCCAATGCTGCCGAACTATTCATGTGTCAGCGTGAGTTTGGCTAGGAAATCTTGATGACTTACATTGTCGTCCATGTTGCCGAATGGAGCTCCGATGTTGGACATGTCGCCTCCGGGATTTTGCTGGCCAGGCATGCCGGATTGCGCATTGGATGGTTGCTGTTGGTTCTGGGGCTGATTTGGCTTCGGGGGAAAGCTGAAGTGGGTTGGGGCGTGATTGGTGGTGCTGGAGTTGGGGTCGGGGGTTGTNTCGGTCGACTCTTGAGGAGTAGCACCAGTTGTTCCCTTCTTGCCGCCCTGAAGATGAAGGTTAGCGCCAGAAAGTACCAAGAATGCTCTGAATTCATTACCTTGTTTGCCGCCTTGGAGTTGTCCTTTTTGGACTTGGTATTGGGCTTGTTCGCTTGCGAGGGCGTGGGTGGAGCTTGGTTCTGCGAGGGTGATGATGGACCGGTGCCANGCTCTTGGACCGTCGTTGCCAGGAGCGGGCGGAGGAGGCATAGCGGCGTTGCGCTGCTGAGGAGTCATGTTGGGTGGTTGTGGTGGAGGCTGGCCTCCCATCATGGGACCAGGCTGGGGCATGAAGCCATTGGCCATCTGTGCCTGGCCGTTGCGTGCTTGAGCCTGGCGGTACATGTCCATCTGTTGTTGCTGGTTCATCTGAGCAAAGGCTGGATGCGAGCTGGGAGGCTGCATCATCTGGCCGTTGGGACCTTTCATCATGGCCATGGGGAACATGGCCGGGTTCATGGGGTTGTTGGGATCGAACTGGCCGGGAGCAGGAGATGCGCGACCGGGCATACCTCCGTCGGCGGTGGGNGAGGGGACGACACCGGGAGCCATCTTGGGAGTGCCGCGTCGCATCTGCTCGTTGGGGCCTGGAGAAGGACCAGCCCTGCTGTTGGAGGGCGACATGGCCGGGGCGAAGTTCTGGGGCTGTCCAGAAGCAGGCACAGGGCCGTTGGGTCCGTTGGTCATGTTGTCTTGCTCTTGGCGGGCCATCAGCAGGCGCTTCTTGTTCTGCTGTTCTAGCAGCATCAACTGCATCTGGTAGTCCTGGAGGGCGTGGTTGCTGTTGGCGTTGGGCGGCGCCTGGCCGGGCATTGGACGCATCTGCGTGTTGAAGAACTCGGCCGAATTGGGATCCTGTGCCATCTGAGGCGCTCCGTTAGGCATCAACCCCTTGTCCACGTTAGAATCCATGGCGGATTGCATATGCTGGCGCATGGAGTTGGCATATACCTGTTGCATGGCTTTTGCCTGAGGGTTGGCCATCTGCATCTTGTCAGCGTCCGTGGCCATGNNTGCGCATCGAGGGGAAAGACAGACCTGTTGCCCGGGCATGCCCGGAGGCTGACCGCGTCCCATAGGGCCCATGGCGCCGTTGAAGTTGCCGTCCAGTCGTTGGCGTTTGGGCGATGGAGCAGCGTCGCCGCCGCCAGGAGACGTGGGCCTTTGCTCCATGGTCGAACCCTCTCTCTGCATGGCGTTCTGCTGCAGCTGTGCCATCTGTTGCATGCGCATCTGCTGCTGCATTTGTACCACTTGCTGCTGTGTACTGAATTGTCATGTCAGCACCTCGGTCGCGAGCAATGTGCCCAAGGCTAAAGCTTACGGTTGACGACCTGGTTGAAGGCCAAACTTCTTGGCCATCTCGGGNGGTACTGGTATGCTAGGGCCAACCATGCCGGGGCGCATGGCCATATTGGCTTGCATCTGGGGATCGACGCGCATCAGCCTCTGTCGCTCGCTGGCCATTCGGGCNCTAGGGCTGCGGGTTAGTGGGATCGGTGGTGGGCAGGGGCAAGGGTGTGTCTTGAGAAAGCAGCGACATACCTGGACGTTGCTCAGATACTTTGCGGTTTGCGTGTTGTTGCCTCGACCGTGTTGGGCATTGAAGCACTCCCAGAACTGGTGCCACCAGTCGTACAAGAAGCTGCCGTCTGAAGCGGCCGGCACGTTGGGTGAAGGAAGGTCGTCGGGCTTCTTGTTGTTGTCTTTGGAGTCGGCATCCATCGAATCGCTCACGCCATTGATGTCTTTGCGATCCGGGCTCTGGTGCGGATCAAGGTCGAGATCGACGGTCTTGAGGATGGCACGGGCGACTTCATGGTTACCGTGCTTGAGAAAGTAGTCGTAGATGTATGTGTTGAGCTTCTGGCGGGACATGTCCCCGCTGGACGCGTTGTTTGGCGTGCCGGAATTGGGAGTGGGCCCGCCCATGATATTCATTGGTTGGCTCATGCCAAAGAGTGAAGGGTTTGTTCAGCCAGTGGTGCGGAAGTCGCAAGGGGATGGTGGTCGATGGGAATGTCTCGGACTCGGGGCGCGCTCACGGACAACAAAGGCGATGGGGTTGGTGCGACAGGTGGACGATAAGGCAGTCGATATTGAGAGATGGCAGAGCAGAGCAGGACAGACGTGTCGGTGCTAGGGGCTGGCGACGAGGACGGACGCGATGGGTGCTGGCCAGTGGTGTCGGTCGCGGTCGGTGGGCAGCGAGCAAGCAGCAAGCAGCAAGCCGAGGCGTGGGTGGTGTCGCCGATCGGAACACGGGACACGGGTTGAGGCGCGTGAAGGGCAGCAGTCGTCGCTGCAGATGCGCAACACAGTTAAGGCGCAAGGGGAGTCGCAATAGCCTAGCGGCACGGCGGACGGGGCGAAGTGGATCAACAAAGGACGAATGTGGGTGAGGTGATGGGGTTAGAGCGGACAGGACCAAGAGGAGAGCGAGGCGTTGACAGCGAAGACGCCAAGACTCGACGAGCGACGACCAACAAGACTGAGACAACCAGGTCCAATTCGACGACTGTTACATTGCTCGCTATACACAATCCCATCCACCTCTGGCCCTTGCTCACTGTTCCCCATCCACGGACACACGCAGCGCCGCCATTGTCGACGCCATCCAGCGCCCTCCAGTTCCGCCGAGTCAGAAGTCACGTGAATTTTTGCATTTATCGTGCTTATAGTGCACTTGCTGCCCCGGATATGCCCCTTTTCTCTGCCTGTCGAGGTACTGCCATGTCTATGTAGAAATACTGTTTCAACGCCTCTGCTATGCAACCATGCCGGTATGTCCATACCGGCCTGCAGGACATTACGCTTGCATGTGGTTACTCGGCTATGTATCCCCTCCTTGATCTTGATACGTATGGGCAGGAACGTCTAGTCTTGAGCCAGATGACTGTAAGTTGGCAGTTCAGAGTTGGTGTTGTTCGTGACGTCGTGACATGTGGGAATAGAGGAAAGTCCCAAGAGTACTCAGTATGAGAGGGCTCACCTCACTCATCGTCTGGTGGCATCTCATCCTCGATATACCTGATTAGGGTGACGCGCATCTCTGTCGTGTCGTTGCCACGGAGAACATCACTCATGAACTGAGTCTCGACTTGCATTTGAACCTGAGATGGATTAGTCGACGGCAGGCGACAAAGGCGACTTCTACTGACCATCTCCAAGGCACCCCTCAAAACACCACAGAAGATGTTGGAGTACCACAGCTCATCCTGTGCCTTTCCGTCGTCGGGCAGCTCAACAAAGTCGGCCAAGGGGTTCTCATCGAATAGCAGAGTGAAAGACTTGTTGTCAGACGACCAGTTTGTGACGACGGGAGTGATGTTGAGGAACATTTTGAAGCCGACTTTTGAGATGATCTCGGCCGTCTCGCGCAGGTTGGAACAGGAGCCAGAGTTTGACTTTGCCAGGAAGTCCTCAATCAGGCGCATGCCCATGTTGTAGCCCATCTTGTCCAGCTGCTTGTTGACTTGAGCATAGTCGGCGTTGTAGTCCTTGCACAACTGGGCGACGATGGTGCCATAGGTGAGGGTGACGAGTTCGGCATTAACCTTGTCAACGCGGGTCCTTGTCGATAGTGTCAGAGAAGGGGTGTCATTTGGGGCGCGTGGTAGGCAGGTAGCCGACTTACTTCCACACCCTGTCGCATGTCAGCAAGTCATGATCGCGCAAGACATGTCGACGAGGACTCACTCTTCACCGAGGCGGGCAGCTTTGGTAGCCATGTCTGTGATTATCAACAGACGAGAATGAGCGGACGGGGGTGGATGCGGAGAGAGGGTCAAATGTACGTCGCGTAGGGCCCAAGCTCGGTCAATCACCAATCTTCGAACATCAACCCAGACAGGCATTGAGGCTGGTCGCAACTTCCCAAACTGCTTCAACTCCCAACCTACTTCCTCCCACCCGCCCACATCACGCACCATGTCAGAGAAGCGGCCGGCGTCCAGCTCCATGGCCGCGGGCTCACTGGTCAAACGACAAAAGTCGGACAACTCGATGGCTCTGACTTCGGCCTCGCAGAATGGCGCCCTCATCCAGAGCACCCTCCGCGGTCCAGCTCTGTCCGCTCCCGTCATGGAACTGTCTGGCCACACGGGCGAGGTGCTTGCTGCGCGCTTCAACCCCGAGGGAAACTACATCGCCTCGGCAGGCATGGATCGCAACATTCTTCTCTGGCGTACTTCTGGCGACTGCGAAAACTACGGCATCCTGTCGGGTCACAAAGGCGCAATCCTCGACTTGCAGTGGTCGCGCGACTCGCGCAATCTCTTTTCTGCTTCGGCAGACATGCACATCGCCAGCTGGGACCTCGAGACCGCCCAGCGCATACGAAGACACCAGGGCCACGACGAGGTCATCAACGCCCTCGACATTAGCCGTCGTGGTGAGGATATTCTCTTCAGCGCTTCCGACGATGGCTACATAGGCATCTGGGATCCTCGTCAGAAAGCCGCCGTCGACTTCATCGAGACCCACTTTCCTGTGACCGCCATAGCTCTGGCCGAGGCTGGAAACGAACTGTACTCGGGCAGCATCGACAATGACATCAAGGTTTGGGATTTGAGGAAGAAGCAGGTCTCGTATTCTCTGGTCGGCCATACCGACACCATCACCTCGCTAGCCGTTTCGCCCGACTCTCAGACACTTCTCTCAAATTCGCACGACAGCACCGTCCGCACTTGGGACATTCGTCCTTTCGCCCCTACCGAGCGTCACATCAGAACCTTCGATGGTGCACCCACAGGAATGGACAAGTACTTGAGCAAGGCTACCTGGGATACAAAAGGAAGACGCATTGCTGCTGGCAGTGGTGACCGCTCTGTTGTTATCTGGGAGGCCAGCACGGGCAAATTGCTGCAGAAGCTGCCTGGCCACAAGGGTTCCGTCAACGATGTCCGCTTCGCCCCCAACGACGAGCCACTGAGTAAGGAAATCTTGAATATTCTGTATTTGACTCGCGCTAACCCAATCTTAGTGCTTTCTGCCTCGACCGATCGCAATTTGATGCTGGGAAGTCTCTCGACATGAGCTTCCCTCGCCGTGTTCAACGATTATACGTATTAGATTCACGAGATGCCCACACACACCATACCATTGCCATGTAATGCGACAATGCAGCACATGTACCTCCACAGTCGCACAGCGCAGCCAGACAGGCCACCCACCAGCGCTGTTGAAACCTCGCCGAGGCCGCGAGGAGGAAGGTGATTGACGTTTGCAGCATACCAGCCTTACCGCCAGGCGGCGTGGCATTCAGCTGCAGTACAGGTTGACAATGAATGTCAACCTGTACTGCCAAAGACAAAGCAAGGCATTCAAGAGAGACAGTTGTATATCAGAGTTACATGTCCCCATAGAGGTGGATTCAACATGATCTTGTTTCGAGAAGATTCAATTCTGTACACTTTCAGGATATACTCTACCAAAACGCTACCAAAAGTACATGATCCCAATTAAAATGCTAATATTTTTCCATCCACTTCATGCATCTACTGGGGGTTTTCGATGATCATCTTGATGCCTGGTTAGACGTTAGTCTTTTGATCATAGCAACGCTGTAGAATTTCTTCTCATACCTTTTCCAGCGTGAACATCTTTGAATGCTTGCTCGGCGTTCTCAAACTTAACGCGTCCGGTGATGAGTTCTTTTACGCTGAGGCTGCCAGAAGTAATGAGATCAAGGGCCAGTTGGTAGTCGCCGGGTCCATATCGGAACGAACCCTTCACCNNTAAAGCGAAGGTACAATTAGCATGATCTCACGAAGTTGAATGGTAACAGCACCACGGCTTTGCTGGGTGTTTGTGCTCAACTCTGCGAGATACCGTCTCGGACGGTGTTGTCAGGACACACGCCTTACGGATCTTTCGCACAGACTAAGACATAACGCCAGAACAAGTCGTGGTGTCTGTTCCTTGGGAGATTAAGCTCACAGTGACTTCTTTGGCGCAAACTGCAATGATCGGAAAATTGATGTCTGGCTTGCCCATACCACCCTGGACGTATGTTCCGCCAGTTCTCAGTGCGTGGACGGCTGTCTGAATGCAGGGCTCGGCTCCAGTGGCATCGATGATGGCATCAGCACCTAGTCCGAGGTCGCACTCGTCATTAAGGAGCTTGGCGTTCTCCTGAGCGCTAACTTTNTGAGAGCGGAAGACGTGTGTAGCAGCGTACTTTTGAGCAAACTCGAGACGCTCCTCGTTGATGTCTACGGCGACGATCTTGGTGGCACCAAACGACTTTGCGACGGCCATGCAGAGCAGACCAACAGGACCTGCGCCAAAGACAACAACGCTCTGGCCAGGCTTGATGTCGGCCTGCTTGGTGATGTGCACACCGACACTCAATGGCTCGACCAGTGCGGCTTCCTCGAGGGAAACGTGCTCTGCGACCTTGTAACAGAAGTCTTCGGGAAGGCGGTAGTACTTGGCGAGAGTTCCGTCATAAGGAGGGGTGGCTGCGAAGGCCATGTCAACACAGAGGTTGTACTTGCCCTCTCTACAGCGTAGGCATCTGCGGCAAGGAACACCAGGCTCCATGGTGACACGATCGCCCTTCTTGAGTGTTGTCACCTTGTCTCCCACTTGCTCGACAATGCCGGCCGACTCGTGGCCCAGTACCATGGGAGCCTTGACTACGAAGTCTCCAATAGCACCATCCGTCCAGTAATGCACGTCGGATCCGCAGATACCAGTGTACTTGACGTTGACGATAACATCGTAAGGGTCTCTAAGTTGGGGAATAGGACGGTCTTCGAACTTGACGTCGTAGGGCTTCTGGAGAACGAATGACAAGTTCTGCACACCATGTACCGTCAGCTCTGTCTTTGCCATACGTCAATGAGTGTGATTGCGGGAGTAGTAAATTACCTTTGCGTCTGCAGAGTTAACTTCTTGCACGGAGGCCATCTTTGGTGTTGCTGTAGCGGAGAAGTTTCGTGTGACTTTCTTAGAGTTGAGGTGGTATGCAGCGGCGGCGCAGCTACCGCAGCTTCTCGAGGATTGAAGCTTGTATGTGGTTGAAGAAGGGGCACGGAAGGCCGAAGCTCTGAGGCTTCTTTGGAGACCTGACTTGAAGACTTGAGACATGATGTAAGCAGTTGTGATGTGATCGATGGTTGAGCTGGTAGAATAAGAGGATCAGGCGAGGAGTATGGGAAGGCCCCAAATGAAGATGGTGGATAGGAGAAAGGAGCTGGGAGAGGAGAAGAACGAGAATGGGCAAGAGCGAGGACGTACAAGAGGAATGTATGCAGGCTCAATTGAGGATGATATCAAGCAGCCACGGATGATACAGAGGGCTTGCCGAAGGTTCGGGTTAGAGTATGCAGAGTTCCAAGAGGGTGATAGCAATCGCTTTTTTCCAGGACAGTGGTACCGCAGCCTGCGAATGGCAGAAAACAGAAGTCATCCATCATCTGAGTGCCGTCCAAGTTGCTGCAGACCGGGCCCCACAGCACATGTCATTATAGCCGTCGGGTAAAGTGCCCCGCCAAATCCATCAGCTCCCGTCGGAACCGCTGCCTTTTTATCTTTTCTCCTCCGAGCTCGAAATTACCGAACACGCCGTGCCGTACACGGCGGGCCTCTTTGCGTGAAACATGAGCACGCAAACAGCCTGATCCCTGATCTCCAAGCACACCCCTGGGTGCTGCTTCCGCTCTGTTGCACATACCTGCGGATTTGCCTAAAACCAAGTCAGGTATCCAGAAGATCTCTCTGGTGTGCTAAGACTGTACTATCAGACCAACGTTCTCTCACGTTGATATTGTGTGTAATATTGTATGTTGTGACAATGCACAGTTGCATCTCAAAATGACAAGTAGCCATAGAAATACCTAGAGATTTCGTCTCTCCATTGAGATCGCTTCGTTTTGGAAGGCATTGTGTATTTCCACAACTACATGTGACAAGTCTCTACCATACGAGGAAGCCAAGTACTAAAGTGTTCAGGGGTCTCTCTTGCGGCGTCACAGAGCGATATGTGGCTGTCGAAATGCACAGTGTTCTCGAGACTACAGATGTATCCAGAGAGACGCAGTGAAACGACGACATCAAGTCTTGATGATCACTCCCGATCGTCCTTGACAACGTTGGCCGTGGAATTACTCCTGACAACCTCGACAGGACTCCTGAATCCATTTCTGCATTGCCACGGGTAGAACAGCGTGATGATCAACGTAAGCCCGCCAGTGATAGCTGATGAGTAGTTCATCGTTTCGGCAGATACAGGCATNCCTAGCATTTCGGTCAGTCTATGTCGAAGGCCCCTTCAAAAGAGGTTTGCTTACGAGTAAGGGAAGCAGAAGATGACAATGAAACATGCGATATACAGACATGCAATCGGCATAAGAATCGCAGCAACCTTGTCCGGCATCTTGAATGGTCCAAATTCAATATTCTTACGTCTGCTCAGCAGATGAGGGAGGATAGCGGCGAGGTACGAAGCCGATGAGAGGATGATGAACGATCCGACAAAAGCATTAAAGGCCACAGCACTGCCGAGGTAGATGAGGCCCAGCACAGTAGTGATGAGGAGGCAGGCAACGGTAGCAGCAAACGGATTTCCCCAACGTGGTGAGATTCTACCAAGTGTGTCCGAGAAGGGGGTGGCACGGTCTNNGTATAGCGTAAGTCGAACTTCCCCTCACTTGACTGTCCAATACATGAGATTATATTACTGACCACGCGAAAGAGTCCAAAGCATGCGTCCGCAGGTGATATAAGTGCCGATACAGTTGGCTACTGTAGGCTACATCGAACACTGTAGTCAGCATCGATCATGTATCACTGAGTTGTACAGCCGACTTACCAGGAAAACTACGATAAGCAAGCCGCAAGATCCGGCCTTTGATCCTGTTGCTTGTCTGTACAGCTCAGCCAATGGATTGGTGTAAGGATTGTTGATCAAGGCATCGATGTCGTTGATGCTGTAGAAGATGGCGATGAGATATGCGAAACCGGTGATGAAGCCAACGCCCATCTGCGCAGCAATGGCCTTGGGCACGTTGCGAGATGCGCGAGGGATCTCTTCTGCAAGATGCGATACGCAGTCTGGAGTGCCCACAGAGAAGGCACCATTGAGCATTCCTGTGACGAAGACGAGACCATTGGATTTGTAGCCAGTGTCGTTCGACCAAGATGACCAGACCGCTGCTGTGGTGGCATAACCTGTACCGGACGTGGTAGGCATTATAGCACAGACCAGGATCGTGAGGAAGCAGCCTCCCAGTGTCAAAAATAGGCCAACTGTATTGATCATTGGCAAAGCTCTGTTGGCGAACAGCACAACACCGCAACACGACCAAGAGATTATGATGTAGCCGATGAAAACATGCCAACGTTCAGCGACGTATCCTGGATGGAAGAGTCCCCACATGGCTAGTACCTCATTCGCTAGGATTGATGACATCGAGGCGGACCCAAAGATCCAGGCCAGGACATTCCACCAACCCGCCAGGAAGCCAAGGAACTTCGAGTAACTCGGTCCCGAGGTGGCAGTTGCCCAGTGGTATACTCCTGCTGAAGATGGCATGCTGGATGCCAACTCTGCTATGCAAGCACCCACCATCCAGTAGAATACGCTGACTGCGAGGAACTCGAAGAGCACGCCAGTCGGTCCTCCATTATACAGGGCTACGACTATAGATCCTCCGAGGGCACACCTAAGGTGGGATCGCAGTCAGATCGACGTACTCAAGCACAGTGGCGATTGGAGTCGACATTACCATGTGTTGCCGGTCACAATTCCTACAGCACAGCAGCTGACTATGTTGAAGTTGCGATCGAGTTCTTGTGTGTGGCCGGACGTATTGACGGTGACAGTGCCTTCTTCGACCTCGGGTTGGTCAGATGGACAAGGTGTCAGCTTATCTGCCGGCTGTTTGGAGTCCATGTTGGTATGAGGCCGGTCTCTGGACGAGGATGTGATTCTAGAAACGAAAGAAGAGGATTCGAGTATGGGGAAAGGAACGAGGATGCACGTCGTAGAAGGCTGTGGGTCGAGGAATGGCAATAAGGGCGATATAGCTATCAATGCTGGTAGCCAGCCTGTAAGATAGGACAGAGAAGAGCCAGACTGTTAGGCTGGACGAGTAGATGTAATCATCTGGTCGACGTTCGGTGGCAACCTAGACAGCCGATGGCCGCTCGTACTGTACCAAAAGCACACCTAAAGATACTGGTGCGTACTCGAGCACTTCCCGTCTCGACTGCGATAAGCGGAGATATGGGGAGAATCAGGGACTGTGCGCCGGCCGACATCTCTTGCCGCTGCCTCTTTGGGACTGATGCTCTTCCGGGGTGCGGGGAGGAACAGCTGCCGTGCTTGCCCTAGGTGCCGATAGCCAGGTTTTATGCCATCTTATGACACTGCAACTGGACTGTCAAAGATATCGTTGATATCTTGTCTATCGTATGAAGACCGAACAGGCAAGTTCAGGAGAAGGAAGATAATCTTGAGAAACAGATCCCCGGAGTACAAGGAATCTGCACACAAATATCCGTTTCGAAGCGTCCTCCTCTTCTCAAGTACATATTCTAGAAAGTATCGTACATGGGGTAAACTTCTGCATTTTCCTCATGAGACATAGACAGTCACAACTACCAATCACCCCTCTCTCGCGGTGACATACAGTGTTGTTGTAAGCTATAGAGATGCATAATACCTTCCAGAAAGAAGTAGCTTTAATCGGGAGTCGTGGCTACATTGGCTCATTTTCGATCTCGTCTCTTGTTTGGGGAACAACTAGAATGTGACTGTCTTTAGTACACAAGAGGTGGTAAGCATGCAATTCAACTCCGATTTCCCGAACAACCTGTACTCATGAATGGTGGCCACCCAGTGATGGCTCGTATCTCTAAAGACCGGATGTCATGGCAGGATTTGTGTACTTCTTGTCGTCTTCCCTGTTCTAGCCGTAGAAGCCTAGGACTTTGTTCGCCCTGTCAAATAACTCTCTCTGAGTCTCACTCAACCCTGCGGCTGAACTGTCCCATTCTTGAAGGCCAAACGCGACCATACCTGCGTCTTTGCCTTGACTCGCTTCTTCAACTTCCTCGAGACCTGATCGACCGATGTGACTAGTCTCTCCAACGCCACCACCAAAATCGGGACCAGGAAGTCCTTCAAGGAACGCTTGACGTTGATGGGCGAGGAACTCTGCGTTACGAGTCGTGAGGGGACACGCAGGAATGTATAAGACTGAGCTGTCGGCAGTGCCTTCGTGCTTCTTGTCCACTGCATGTATCTGGTCACAATGCCAGACGACATAATCACCAGGTCTTACTTCGGGGATATGAACCATCGTGCTGTCAAGCTCCAGATGAGGATGCAGTACGTTGCTCAGCTCCTGCGCCTTCCCTGGCGACGCACCTTGGAGCCAGGATGTTTGGGGATAGTCGAAGATCCAATTGTCTGGAGCAAGAAATGCTTCGTCGAATGTTCTGGTTCGTGGATCCATTGGCCCTTTNTTGGCAGAGAAGAAGGGTCGCAGAAGGCAGTATGCTGTCGCATGCTTCAGCATCGGGTTCACTAACAGAGTCCCTTCGCCTGCTTTCATAGTGCTTAGTGATAACCAGCCCTGTGCTGCACGGAACATGCTGCAGGCTCCAACACCCTGGTATAGACCCGAGTTTACAGATAATCGGGAACTGATCTCCCAAGGGTCATACTCTTCCCACCGTCCCTGCCAGACTGACTCATAGACCTGAGGATTGCCATATCCGGCGGGATCCCATCTTCCTGGACCGCCTCCATCAACACGCGGACCGAGTGCTAAAGCATTGTCTCCTGGTGTCCGTATATGAAGCCTATCCGCATAGATTGTCGGATGTGTCGTAGATACCGAAGCAGGGTCCTTCGAGTGCCAGTGAGAGAGAAGAAATCTTTGGGCGGCTAAGAGATACGGATGGGACCGCGCTCGGATTTGAGCTGTTGACCAAAATAGTTCGTATAGTTGAGGATTATCGCTTGGAAAGGCTTCGGTTTGTGGGTTTGCAGCAATATACTTCTGGAGCTCTTCCTTCATCTCCATTGCTTCAACCGGTGGGATTACATGTCTTATGACGGCCGCACCTCTTGTTTTATACTCGGTGCTGAAACTGGCGCTAGCATCCTTGATATCCTTGAAGTCGATCTCGGGTATAATCTTACTTTTGAGTGCTCTGACGACTGCTATCTCTTCCTTCAAAGCATCTAGCAGACGATGAAAAGATTCTTGCATGATATCTCCACTTTCCGGATTTGCAAACCGTGACTCCAGCGGCATAGTGTTTAGACCAGAAAGAGAGGAAAAAGCTTCGCTTATGTCTCTTTTCTGAGCATGTGTTGCCATGGCTGCCTGCTGACATCTGCGCAGTTTGAAAACATTTGACTGCAACACGGTCCTGTAGCGGCCCTGGAGCATGCTTTGAGGTTCGTACCAGAGGACTTGTTGGTGAAGGTTGAAGGATCGGTCGTAGGTAAAAGTCCAGAATCTATAGGTCGGGTCCCGTGTGTTCGTATGATTGTCCGTACCACTACTTGAATGATCGGGTAGAAGAAAAATGGTAGATGTTAAGCAGCACAGACGATATTGTGGATGATCGTCGTTAGGGTATTCGGTCCGTACAGCCGAGCTCTTTCCACGTTGGCAACGGCAAGCCCATCTCCGCGTCGAGTCCGGCTAATATGATATGCCTGTTACTATGGCTGTACTGGCCTCACAAATGTCCCTCCGCACTATGTTTGGCGAAAAGGGATCAATCAAGGCTCAAGAGTGCTGAACCCGTAAGGGTTGATTTTGTGTTTGCAACCGAGTCAATACCTTGGCTGCATCTCTTTCGAAAGCGTCCCCTCTCCTGCGCTGATATATAAACTGCTCCTCTCCGCTGCTCTGTTTCATACTGCCAATTTCACCATTTGTTCAAACAACATCATGTCCCCTCCTACTCTACCGAAGGATTTTCTATGGGGCTTCGCGACAGCAAGGTAAGTGACACGAGGACTATACGTATAAACGGATACTCAACAAGTCATTTCTAGTTACCAGATCGAAGGAGCTCCGCATGAAGATGGCAGAGCAGACAGTATCTGGGACACTTTCTGCCGCATCCCAGGCAAGATCGCCGGCAACGAGAATGGAGATGTCGCTTGCGACTCTTATCACCAGTACAAGCAAGACGTGAAGCTTCTAAAGGATATGGGTGCTCGAGCATATCGGTTCAGCATTTCATGGTCTCGCGTCATTCCTCTAGGAGGCCGCAAAGATCCAGTCAACCAAAAAGGTTTGCAGTACTATGTTGATCTTGTGGACGAGTTGCTGGCCAACGGTATCGAGCCTATGGTCACGTTGTTCCACTGGGACCTCCCTGAAGCGCTTGACCAGAGATACGGCGGTCTTCTGAACACGGAAGAGTTCGTTGCCGACTTTGAGCAATACTCTCGAACCATCTTCCAGGCCTTGGGAGAGAAGGTCAAGTACTGGGTCACTTTCAACGAGCCCTGGTGCAGCTCGATTCTCGGTTACAACGAAGGTGCCTTTGCACCAGGCAGAACCAGTAATCGCTCAAAGTCGTCAGTCGGTGACAGCAGCACGGAGCCGTGGCTGGTAGGACACAATTTGCTCATTGCCCACGGTGCAGCTGTAAAGGTCTACCGTGACGAGTTCAAGCCGAGTCAGAAAGGACAGATTGGAATTACTTTGAACGGTAGACATCCCGAGATAAAACCGCTATATCTTTAGCTAACATATACAGGTGATTGGGTTGAGCCTTGGGATCCCGAAGACCCCAAGGATGTTGAGGCCTGCCAGAGGAAGCTCGAATTCTCGATCGCCTGGTTTGCCGATCCCGTTTACCACGGGGATTACCCTGAAAGCATGCGCAGACAACTTGGAGATCGCCTGCCAAAATTCACGCCAGAGCAGCGAGCATTAGTCCAGGGAAGCAACGACTTCTACGGCATGAACCACTACTGTGCGAACTACATCAAGCACAAATCCGGCGAGCCAGAGCTGCAAGACTATCTCGGAAACCTCGAATCTCTGCTTTCCAACAAGGAAGGTCAAGACATTGGCCCCGAAACTCAAAGCCCGTGGCTGAGGCCGTATGCCATCGGCTTCAGAAAGCTGCTCAAATGGATATCTGATCGCTACGGGCGTCCCGCCATCTATGTCACCGAGAGCGGCACGAGTTTGAAGGGTGAGAACGATCTCTCGAAGGAGAAAATCCTTGAAGACGACTTCCGTGTGTGGTACTTCAAGGAATATGTTACTGCCATGGCAGATGCATACACCAACGATGGCGTGGACGTTAGAGGATACATGGCCTGGAGTTTGATGGACAAGTAAGACCCGCATTCAGTACTGGTTCCTACATTGGCTGACAGTGTCTNNAGTTTCGAGTGGGCCGAAGGATTCGAGACTCGCTTCGGCGTCACGTTCGTTGACTACAAGAATGGTCAGCAGAGGTTCCCAAAGAAGAGTGCAAAGGCCATGAAGGGCCTGTTCGATTCTCTCATGCTCGAGTCGTAGCGATAAACTACACGGGTAGCTTCAGTAATCACAGAAAATGCAGAGGCAAATAAATCAATGCAAAATCAGGTCCAAAGGAAAAGGATGGAGGGTACAGTAAATCATGAATGCATTCAGATGCTTGTTAAACGTCCTGTCGAGCCATGCCGCCAAGACTCCAGCCACCCCAAACAAAAAGGAAAAAGCAGCAACCCCTTACTCCATGCTAAACAGTTTTGGATATATATATATTAAACATCATAAAAATCTCCGACTTTTTTCTCTCCCAACGCCAGGCTGAAACTTGACAGAGCGTAGAAGCTGAAAGACGATGCATGAAGACTTGAGGAATGCAAAAAGGTGAAAATGGGTCATCATGCTGTCGGCTGCCAAATGGCGGCGGCTGCAGCGGCGGTAGGCGGGGTGATAATGGGAACAGCAGAGGAGCTCGCGAGGCGAGGAGTGGGCGACGAAGTATCGGAGTGGCTCATAGGGCCATCGACGGGACGTGACGTGGCCAACAGATGGCCACTCTCGACCAGCTCTTTGAGATAGGCTTCGAATTCTGGATCCATCTCGACGTTGAGGCCCTGTTGTCGGGCGGCAATGGCTGCCAAAAGGCGGCGATTCAGCTCATGGCCAATACTCTGGATATTGTCCCCCACATCATCGTCATCGTCGTCATCGTCGTCATCGTCGTCGTCGTCTTGATCGGGGTCGTCATCTTCTTGTTCCAGTTCGTGGCCATGGTCGTCCAGGAGCATATCGATGGGGTGGCTGCGCTCGGTGATTTCGACTTTGGTATGGACGCGGATCAAGGCCTTCTGCTTGGATCGTGTGCGCGGGTCGATCCAATCAGTAATGCCGTCTCCTGTCGTGTCTCTGACCTTGATATTCTCGTCTCTTTCAAATCTCTGTCTTGCCCAAAGGGTACCCTCCCAGCGTACCAGGTCCATGACTTCCTGGTCGGTGATGGCCAAGTGGTCGATGGCGCTAAACAGGCGTGCATGGTGGGGAAATCGACCCAGGCGCATGCGATGGGGAGGGTGACAGTAGTTCAGACCAGGATAGCGAGCCTCAATGCTGTCCAGACTGCCGTAGAAGGTGGCCGTCTCGATGCGAATCTCGGGGATCAAGTCGCGTGCCAGGTGGGTTTGAAAGTTGGGCGGGTCTGAGGGGCCAGGACTGGGGAAGAGATGAGCGTAGAGGAGCGAGGCCACAGATGTTTGCCTGCGCATGATGGCGTGCGATATGAACGAGACGGGCGGAGCGGACTGGCGTTCGAAGGGAGGGCACGCCCACGCAATGCCAAACGTCGCAGACTCGGGAGTCGCGGGAAGGGCCGAAGTGATGAATCTTTCGCAGTGTTTTGAGCGGATGGCAGAGCGTGGGGAAACAGAAGTCTCGTTTCGTGGAGAACGTGGCCGACAGGCAGGGCTGCGCTCGCGTGTATCTTCTCAGCACCGGAACCCGGACAATGATTTCAGTGCAGCTTCGGCCGATTCGTGGCAGTAAGAGGAGAGGAGGCCTGATTGGTTACGCGGTACGAGTATCGGTAGGTAACTATCAAGTCGCAAGCAAGAAGGAGCAGGCGGTGCAAGGAGAAAATTCAGTGAGCGAGTGCCGGAGATGGGCGCCCACACGCGCCCGTTGATGATCGCGGGTTGCCGTGAGCTTATTTTCGCCGCCCTGTCTCGGTCCATAATCATACTCTACACCCTGCATACGCAATAATAATACTAGATACCACATGTCGGCTTTGTTGCCAGAGCCACAAAACTCCGACTACCCTCGAAACGCCCTGCTAAACCCTTCACCTGGGATACCGAATGCTTCATATCATGTCTGTCTTCTGCCCCACCTCCTTCTGCTGCCCCTGACCACTGACCACCACCACGTGTTGTTCATCGTCCACGTGCCATGGTTCTCTGTGCCATGAGACTTTGCCGCACGATCAGCTCTGCTGCCGCGTGCGCTGCCAGTCTTTCCTTCTGCCTACTGCGGTCCTTTAGATATCTCTCTGCCTCGGGTCGCATGCGCAAAATCCTAAGTATCATATCGTCACTTGGCTCCGCCTGTGCCTCTTTGCGCTTTTCCTCCTTTGCCTTCTTCATTGTACCAAGATTGCGACTTAGCATGATGCTCTTGCTTCGTCGTGTACTGGGCACTCCCACCAAGCTCGCAGCCCCGCTGAACGAGTGTTGGGCAAGTGTAGCAGGTGCCGACATCCGGTTGAGCTCTCGCGTCTGCCTGGCCTGCTGTCTTGCCACTGTGGCTTTGGCCATTGACTCTGATGTCCTGATCAGGTTCTCCGTCGACTCAAAGTAGAAGAAGTTCAAATTCTGCAGATCGTGGTACTTTGATGATTTAAGAATGTCCAGTGGCACTCCGTGTGCCGTGCCATCTTCTTCATCAATAGCGTGGAANAAGTCAAACAGCATCTGTAGCCATTTGAAGACAATGTCCAGCTCCTGTTGTGTCAATGCTCGTTGTTGTGAAGGCTTGTCTGAGAGCGGAGGTACAAGCAACGACTCGATCGTGACAAGAACTTCTTTCCACAGTCGGGTCATGACCATGACCATTGCCGAATCTGTCAGCGTCTGTTTCATAATCGCAAAGTTATCATCGAAGTAGGTGAAAAGAGGCTTCAGCGCGTTCATGATATCGCCTGGAGTAGGTCCTTGGATGACGGACTGTGGTCTGGCCTTTTGGAAATACCCACGAACTGTATTGATCGATATTCCCTGATTGAGAAGACCACGAAGAGCTCTGCGTGACAAGACTTGTTGAATGTACGAGGATAGCTTNGAATTCAATTAGCTCATCAGCACAAGAGACAATATCGAACACCAGCTTACCTTGTCTGTAATCTTGCGCGTCATGTCACGTTCGCTGCGCTTTAGCGTGCGGAAAGCTTTACCGAAATAAAACTGTATGTCATCCCTTTCGCCTTCCATGCTTACACGCAGCAACAACCTGCCTTGAGTATCGAGGTCAAGCCAAAATTCTCGTGGCATGTAGTCACTAAAGTGTGATGGATCCAGCTTCAACGATGTTCGCCCTACGCAATCATGATCGCCCAAAGCATCCCAATCCCAGATTGTGGCAATAATGTTCAAAGGACCTTGCGTGCTGATATCGACTGTCTCGTCCCAGCGCGGGTTCAAGCTACCGTAGACAATGCGAGTTTTGGCCAAGCGTTTCTGATATTCATCTCCAAGCACGACATACGGGTCGCTCAAGCCATTCATGTCACAAGCTTTGAGATCTTCGGCCTCAATGATCTTGATGGTGAAGACGAATTTGTTGGACTGACGAAGCTTGACTGGGTTGATTGGAGGTGCGTGTCTCTGAATGACATCTGCGCAAGCGTCTACGTTGATTTCCTTTTCTAGTTTGTCCAATTGGAGGGTCGTGTACTCGATGTTGTTTAGCTTGACAAGCGACTCGGGCAAGAACTGGAACGGTTCAACCTTCTCTCGGTTAGCCCATGTGTCTTTGGCCATCTGAACCCATTTCTCCTGGCGGGTCTGACGAGATGCAGCTTCCTGTTCGGGAGTCATGCGGTCCATTTCCTTGACAAACTTCTGTTCTACAAGTTCGCAGTATCTAGCGATGCCAATACCGATGGATTTCGAGATTGCCGTCATGAACTTAGCATATTGCAAGTCATCGTCCCACTCGAGTTTGATAATCTGATCGATGGTCTGACTAAAAGAACGAAACATGTCAACCGCAGACACGCTATGGCGCTCCTCATCTGTAGGAACATTGCCCGGATGGGAACTGCGGACCTTGAAGTCGTCTTGGTTGACAGCTCCTTCAACCCAGCCCAGCATATTTGTATCGGTCATAGCAATCCAACGCCACACGAAGTCTGCCAATAAGCCCTCGATGTGGAACGCGAACGGAACATTCGGGAGCGCCTGTGAGTGGACCTTGCGGATGCTAACGAGTTCTTTATATAGGTCGAACCCATCTTGGACAGGGACATCTTCGCCACGGCTCCGAACGACCTCGACAATACGTGATACCAAGTCGCGAGCGTCTGCGGCAAAGGAAGGTAAAATCTCCTCGACTAGAGCCGTCAATGGATTGACGCCCATGATCTCGGGGTTTTTACGATAGCGTTTCTGGATCTTGTCGGCGAGTGTGACTACTGCTTTGCCAAGTTGTATGACATGATAAAATTCCCAAGATTCTGCATCCTCGGGCACATGCTTCGAGAGCATACCATTGTAAGCCTCCCGAGCTTTTTGCCTTAGTGCATCGTGCAGGGCTCCTGTGAACTCATCCAAGTCTTCGGGCGTCTTCGCAAAGAGNGGATCATCATAAACATGGGTCTCGAGAACATACATTACCGAGCCAATAGAAGGGGGTTTGGGCTCGTAGCAATGTTGTAGAAGCTCGAAAAGTTCTCTGAGTAGCGCATCGTGAATCAAGGAGAGAGATTGTTGCTGTAGTGAGTAGTCGGGAATTATCCACTTGGATGCATCAAGCATGATAGAGGGAGTCATGTGACTCATACGATTTGCCTTTTTCGCCTCAGCCGTAGGCGTCTTCACATACATAAATGCGGCATCGAGCGTGTCCAAAGTGATCTCCTGACGATCGAACTTTTCCCTGATGACGTCCAAGAACAGTGTCATCCTGGAGGGTTGCGGAATGCGCCATCGCAGCGCTAGCTCGTTAAGGACATCAATGGACTGCTTAGAGAGTAGTTGTATCTCTGGTCCATCTAAGCCCTCGGCGTTGTCGTCTTGAAAGATGTCATTTTCTAGAGCCTTCCTCAGAACAGCGCGATAGTAAGCCCTCGGCTCCGATGGAATATATGTGAAGGCGGTATCATCGCTGACCGACTCGCGTGGTGAACTGTTCAGACTAAGTGTGCTCAGATCGAAGGGCTGATCGACTGAAATAGACGGGTCAACATCATCGGTAGATGCTGGAGGTGGAGATTTTATAGCAGCTGGCCCGGTCGTGCTCTTTGCAAGCTCAGGATTAGTTTGGATGATGGCCAGCATTAGCTGTGAGAGGTCCTGAATCTCGGCCTTCTTCCATGCCNNCTCATAGGCGTCGTCGAGTTGAAAGTCCTGGCTGCTAAGAGTCCTACTAGAGTTTAGGCTAAGATGCATCTGGTACAACTTCAGGTCTTGTATGGCGGCCTGTTCGGTCCACGCAGCCTTGTGCGAGTCAATGTCGGCTTGAATCTGGTCATACGAGGTGCCAAAAATGTTTGCGACGCGAAGAACAAGCGGCATGTCTTTGACCTCTGAGCTGCGTGGAATCTCGATTTCAACGGTAGTACTACCGGAAGGCTGAGAAGAGCTGGTCAGATCCTGAGCATGCACCAGCAGCTTGCTCTCAAGCGTCTGCAGACGGGAGGTAAGCTCAGGACGATCGCGCGCCCAGTCGTCCTTCTTTAGCGTCGAGCTGATGAGGCGCACGAACAGAGCAACATGACGGTCGACCATGAGCTTCCAAGAATCGTCGTCGGGGCTCTTTCCTTTTTGCAGCTCGGATGTGGCCTTGGAGAAAAAGATCAAGAGGAGATCCTCGACACGGCGATCCTTCTCCATGGACTTGCGAAATGTAGGATTCTTGAACTCGTTCAGGAAGGTGGCAAAGGTACGCTTGACCAGAGGGTCGTTGAACTCGGGCATGCGCTCTCTGCCGACGAGCACACCGGTGATGCGCTTGTCCAGCTCGCCAGTAAAGCCATGTGGAAGGCGGGTGCTCTTGGAGTCGCGGATCGAGGAGAAGTCCTTGACCAGGTCTGTGATGGACGTGGACGAGCGCGAGACGGGCTTGACGGGCTGAGCGACATGTTGGATGCGACGAGCCTTGGGCTGCAGAAGGTGCGAGAGGTAGGCGGCGCGGAGAGCGAAAGAGTAGGCATCGTGCTCGTCGACCAGCCTCCGCGCAGGCTGTAGGCTCTGCACGCGGTGGCCCGTAACAGACGAGCGAGCCGACGCCGGCGACATTGTTGGTCGGTCGTCCAGCGGCTGTGCAACGAGAGTGGGATGACGAGAGCGACTTGTCTAGGCCGACATTTGTTTGCGTCGGTCGATCTTGACTCTTGACCCTGATGCTGGCAATGTTGGCCGCAATCTTGGTGCCGTGCGAGTCGGTGTTTCAGCTGCTTCTGCTCGCCTGATACGAAGGCGCCGCTGCAAGTACGAGCTCGGTGGGCTGTAGGATATGGTTTGATGGATGCGTGCTTTCTCTCTGTCCCTCCCCTTTACCAGACCCTTTCTGACCACAGCAGCTCAGGTACTTGGAGCAGCAGGCATTGGTATCCACACCGTCTCACGCGTCATACTTAATTGGCCATTCCCTGTCCCGCTAGACGATCGCCCGCAGCGCTCGCCGCGTTTCAGCTTTTTCTTGGCTGCCACCCTGCGACCGACGGGACTGTTACAGCGCCAACTTTGGACCACCGAGTAATCACACCCCTCCCCAATCATCCATCTCGAGATCAAATGCTTCCTTGTCGGAGCCAGACCTGTTGCTTGGAGACTCATCCTGTAGCCATGTCATGTTCGCGTCTGCCAAAACAACTCGTCGTTCTCAGATGGCGGACGAGTCAATGGCTTTACAGAGTCAACGCTGATGCCATGCCTTCCTGCTGACACGCTGCTCTCCACTTTCTGTCGAGAGCTCCTTCTCCATCTGTCACCAGCCACATACCAATCCCTTGATTTCTATACTCACTTGCTACCACGCACCTGCCCGTAAATCTCTGAAGAAATACTGCCCTTTCCTCGAGCAATCGTCACTTGCCTCTCAATACTCGTGCTGCTGTGTTTTCCGTCTTCCTTCATGTCGCCTCTTTCCCGTTCTTTATCCTGACCACCACTCTCAACTCCACATCACCGTGTTCACCCTCCTGCCTTTACGCTTTCTCTCCAATATCTTCTCCACGATCTAACCCCTCGCCTCCCGCTACCATGGCTAACAACAATGCCGGCGCCAACTTTGCCGACAAGCCTCGTTTGACAGAACAAGAAAAGAAGAACAACCACATTGCTTCGGAACAGAAACGCCGTCAAGCAATCCGTGAAGGCTTCGATCGTCTTGCTGAGATCGTCCCCGGCATGTCAGGCCAGGGTCGCAGTGAGGCCGTCATGCTCTCGGCCACCGTCACCTACATGAGAGCTCAGCTCGCCAAGAAGGATGCCCTCAGGGACATGGCTGCAAAGCTGAACGTCAGTGACGGCGACTTTGAGCAGATGTATCGCGAAGAGCGTGCCAGAATCAACCAAACCTACGATCGTTCCTGATCCTTGCTCTCCGATGCTTCCTCATGATGCTTTTCTTACATGCGTTTACATCACTTAGCCTGTTCGTGCGTTTCCTCATCACTGTCCATTGCGCCTGTTGACTGATCACAATCCTCAGATAGACGACGAATCCTCACCATGCTTCTGGGTCTTGATACCACACTGTCCACGATCTTGATGGCGGTTGCTCTCACAGCCAGGCTCAGCACGGATCTGGCCGCCTTTCATCGCACCTGCTTATCATATCTATCGCCGACATCGACGAATGCTTGCACCACATGCTTGATCCAGCCTTTTGCAGTTGCCATCCATCGCACGGATTTATATCATCTTTTACAGCACCAACGGGTGTGGAGGATTTGATTCCTTGCCTTTACATTTGCACTTAGAAACTCTAGACACTGCTACTGCTCTGGGAAGGCACACAGTGACACAGATAGCCCACCCACCACTCAGCAATAAATCCAGCTTCTATCACCCCACATAGTGGCTTGCCGCCCCATAGTCAATTCTACCTACCAAACATCAGACGCATACCTAACTGCCTACTTGCTGGTGCTATGTCTCGGATCGCGTCCAAGTGTCACCGGTAATCGGATCTCTTGTGAACTTTGCAATTTGTGAGCCAAACTTTGGATGGGCTTTGATCCAAAAACCTGGAAAACAGAACCTTCACTGCCCAATCTGTTCGAGTGCAGAATCTTGAGGATCTAGACTCCAATACGCCATATAAAGTGGCAAAGCTTGACCGTTGGGACACTTTCAAGAGAACCAGGTTCACGCTTGTACGCAGAGACGGATAAACGCGGACACGCATCGGCACGTGTGTCGCATGCAAGTTGTGCATATCACAGCCGCCCACCTACTCGCGCAACAGCCATAACTCGTTCATCACGGAGGTCTCTCGACCAAACGATCTGTTGCAAGGGCTTTAGAGAGAAGCAGAGCAAATCTGGTAGGAGAAACGACTATCAATTCAATACTCACCCGCTGCCTTTTTCGTCCGGTGAGCCTTGCGTAGGTTCATCTACGGTCTGAACGGTCTGTCACACGTATTTACGGACGTAAGTCGTCGAGTCAAAGCGATGTCTTGCATTGTCGATCGCTTGGTTACGGTTTTCTGGAAGACACGCTCATCGCCGAGAGTGGGACTTTAATCCTCCTCAGCAAATCACAGTCCAGGGGCGCAGGGCCAGCAGCCGGTGTCATGCGGAATCATTAAACATGCAGCAGGAGATGGCCCTGACGCAGGCGCAGACTGTTAAACAATAAAACGAATAGCCCCTTGCGTGGTGCTTTGATTGGCGCCATGGCCTGAAGGCTGCACAATTTTATCGACTTCGGCGTAAATAAAAGGTGGTTCGGTGGTGGTGCCAGCACAAGCCACCATATCCGTTAGACGCGATGTCTCCCGGAATTCTAGTGCATGCCACGGACGATGCGGGCGACTCATGATCTCGGCCTTGAGGCGTCAAAGCCTCATCGTGCTGAGCCCACGACTCTTTGACATAATACTGTCCCATGCCCGTCACCTCTTTCGAACCGCCAGACCTTTGTTGCTATCATTCTTATCATCTCACAACACCAACAAGTGATCCAACAAACGCTTTTTGCATAAAATCCACTACCTTCCTGGATCCACACCTTCATCATGTTCGAAAACTACACAGTGACCGCATCGCGTCATCCCTCATCGCTGCCACTCTCTTGCGACGGCTTGTTCGGACCCGACTGGACTGTACCTCGTACTTCGTCTCCATGCGAATCTCAGATCTCGGTTGCACAACTCTCGCAACAATTTAGCCAAATGCGCTACACCTCGGAACCCTTCTTTTACTCTCAAGAACGACCAACGAGAGCCGAACGCGAGGTAGACTCGGCCTTGAGCTCTGGTGATTACGTGGGTTCACTATCTCCGTCCAGGAGGCGTGCCCACAGACAACACGGAGTAAGAATGCTCTGCGACCCGTCTCACCTTCGCAACATCCAAGACATGGTGAACAAGATGGTCCAATCCGGAGATCAATGCGCCATATCACCACCTCGGGCTTCCAGTGTCGAGGCAAGCCCGTCTCCCGCGGACGACGAAGGTTACAGCAGTCTCGATGAGAATCGACGCACCGGATCGATTTCTTCAGTTTCGTCTGCTGGATCTGGCACATCTTCGTTGTCGTTCAGACGTTCGGTGGATTCTATTACCGGTGCCTGTGTGTCGAAAAACGTTCGCGTGAAGAAGGCTCGCAGTTCGCGCGGTTTCTCCAGACAGGCATGAATGGTCAGTGGAGTGTTTGGAGTTGTTTGGTAACTGGGCTGGAGTTTGGTCGAATTTTCTGACCTTCGGAGGCGCATGGTAATGACTTACGAAAGGATACTAGACTGGACTGGGGGATGTAACAGGCATTGAGGAGCTTTTGCCTTTCGCGGCGTTCATCGCAAACTGCCAAAGATACCCATTTAGATGATTTTAATAGCTGAGAATGATACTTGTCACTCAAGCGCAGCTGACGACTGCCACTTCATTCTTTGTCGAGATGGTTTTAATGTGTGATAAGAAGGAAAAGGGTTGTGCGTGCGAGACGAGCGCTGAAAGGGTGGTGGAAGGGCTCTCGACTCTCCAGTGACAGCCTCGTGCGTTTTGCCAAGATCAAAGTCGGCCGTCTCGTGGTCGTCGCAGTGGTTGGACGCGCATCGCAACCAAGAATCCAAGGACCAGAACATGGCGCTCTCGGGGCTCATCAGACCAATCCGCAATCGCACGGTGCACTTGCGACTGTATCCTCGTGTAGAGACGCTGGCCGAAAGCCGTGAGATCCTCCGATTGATGCAGCAATACGGACGAGTCGAAATGTTCCGCAACTTCAAGTACGACGCCATGCCCCTGGCCAACACGATGATTGCCATCTACGAGACGGACGAGGCGGCGCGGAAGCTCCTCGAGGCATCGCCGCTGCGCTTTGTCATGAGCGCCGAAGGCTCGGGAGAAGGACGACAGAGGCATTACCAACTCCAGGCCAACTACTCGACCATCCACCACCGCGATCAGATCGACCAAACCGTCTACAATGGCTCCTACAAGGTCTCGGGCAGAAGCCTTGTCCAAGAGGATCTGGCCAAGAAGGTGCCCATGACCGGGCTGAGCGAGTTCACTCTGAGGAAGGAGGAAAAGCCGTGGAGAACGCTGCGCCACGAAAAGGAGAGAGACGCGACTGCAAAGACACTAAGGCAGCTCCTGGACGAAGCGCCCGCAAACGGCAAGCCCATCAGCAAAAACAACGAGCAACAAGGAATGTCAATTGACTGATACTACCAAAACATCAAAACACAAAGAAATCCCTCACCACTCTTGACCGCGGCCTACACCCTCGCCCCTTCCGACTACGGCCTGGACCCTCGCCCCTTCTTACTGCGGCGTACATCCTTCGTCTTTCAGAAGACGCACTGCATCCATCAGATCCATTGCGGTGCTCTCGCTGCCTATCTGCTCCAACCGCCCAATCACCTGCGCCTTGGCCAAGAACTTGGCCCTGTAACCATCCTGTGCGGTAATGAGGCGACCGCGGTAGTGGTTCCGTGGAAGGTGTCGCAGCTCTGGAGCAACACTTATGTCTTGCTCCTTCTCTTCCTTCTCCAGTATCCTCTCGGCCATAACACTGCCCCCTTTCCTGAACGCATACAACGGGTCACCACATACCATCCTGATCAAGACCTGATCAGCACCTTCACTCGCCTTGTATTCTTGCTCCATCTGTCTAAAGTTCAGTACTTCCGTAGTCGTACGGTCCGCCACCTGGTCCTTGAAGACGTGTCCGAACTGGTAGAGGACCCAGAGGCCGCTTTTCCTCATGAGTGTTGCGAGTTCCGCTGCCGTTTTCACGATCATGAATAGTTCTTGCTGCAACTGCTTGAAATATTCTACCGTATTCTCACGGTCGAGGTCCCAAAGCGGCTGAAGTAGCCTGGAAATCTGTAGGGCGAGCTCAAGATTGGCAAACTTTCGCTCGTCAATCTGGTTGAGATCCACTCTGTATTGCATCTCATAAGATGTGATATGCTCAGCTCGGTGTTTCTCTCTGATGAATCCTNNACCACACAGTTAGTCGTTCGTTCGAGGACATGTTGTATTCTGAAGAGACACACCATCCTCGTTCTCTTGGTCTTTTTCCATTTGCTCTAGCCTTGCCAACAACTCAGGAGGCCCGCCAAACAACAGGCTTTTGAAGACATGTTGTACCAGCACCCTATGAATGATGCCATAACTGAGACCATGACGACAAGTTGAGTCTGCGACGACTTGTTGCCATGTCTTCGCATCACCGCCGCCTTCAGCAATGGCCCTGCAGAAGTTGATGAATTCCCACTCATTTCCGCCTTCAATGTTCTTGAGCATCTCCTTAAGCATCTTCGTGAGATTAGGCCTTTTGATGTCTCGTCTGAAAAAGTGGTTGCAAAGGGAGTTAATGCTAGTGCGGATTCTTGCCAGTGTTNNTTCCATGACGACTGCGTCGAGCTCGTTGTCTTTCCTCTCTTGTGGTGTGAGGTTCTCTGGAGGAGTCGGGTCTGCGGTTCCGAGATATCGGGATGTTGGCTGCAATTGTCCTTCTGGGCGTCCTCTGGAAAGTGCGGACGCAGGTGCAGGGCCCCTAGATGTGCTTCTCTGAGTTCCATTGACGTTCTCTTCAGAGGCCCTGTGCGAATCAACTCTAGAGACGCTACGCTTGTTAGGGCTTCTGGACCGTGTCAAGCGATTGCTTACACCTCTTGCCTGGCGGTCTTCTGTCTGTAATTGATTGGCGGCATCGGCGTCAATCTGCTCATCGCCATCGGCATTGACCAAGTACTGAGTGGCGTGTTCTTGGAAGGACACGCTCTTTCCTGGTGAAGCCCTTCCGTTTTTGAAGTTGTTGGCCTGAACGTGGCGCTGAGCGGCAGGCATTTCGTAGTTGTGGATTCTATGCTCTTCCCTCTCTTCCTCTTCTTCTTCCTCTTCCTCACTCGAAAAGTTATGAGGCTCAATCAGTGATCTTTGTGACATGGTGATGACGATGTGCGTAGAGTTGAGTCAATATGATGACAAAAGGTAGTACCGCTATCTCTTGTTGAGATTGACGGCTGCTATGCTGAGCTTTTTGCAGTCCGCTGGCCGAAAGAGCTATTATGATTGTTGTCATTGTCCCCATTCCATTGGTGTTGAATGGAATGCTATCAGAGAAGGAATGTGTGCCTTTCGATACCAGGGTGACCTGCCCATCAGGGACAAACATGAGCAATCTGCATGAAGCACGAAGTCGAAGTGAAGGTGGAGGGCTGATTAACTGCTGTGCCTCGTAGGTATGCTAATTGTCATCACGTCTGAGATCGTTCCTTGGGCAATTCCCGTAAGGAATCTGGAATCCAAAGTGCAGGCAGCTTCGGTGATGCTGAGTTTCTGAAAGCTCTATACATCAAGAAACAGATACTGACGGAGATGAGATCCCCCATCTTGTTTGCTATTGGGGAATCTTGCTCACATGTCCAGACAGCACGCTTACATACTTCCATGGTCCGCGCCACTGGACGAGAACGTTGTGGGTGCAGTGTTCTTTGGCAGTGTAGGGTGAGGTTTGGCGATGACAGAATTACATACGGTATACTGTGTCAATACTCTATCCGTTCTCTCCTGGGTGAATGGTGTGGTCGATTTTCTCTGATAAAGATCCGAACAGCTATTGGCCGTTCATGAGCTCGTGATTTAGCATTTATCAGCTGACTGATCCGCCATGATCTCGTTGTCATGGCTGTATGGCAGATATCTTCTTCAACGCTCGAATTGCAGTCCGACATGGGCGGTATCCTGTCATGCGTTGTTCTCGAACAAATATTCAAGGAGCGGACGATCGGATTAACGATGCGTTGTCGCGCAGATGCAGTTGAGGTTCGCTATTTGGGATCAAGGATTAAGATTGATATCAGGTTGGCATCTAAAAGACAAGCAGGCGCTTTATTTGCGGTGACAGCATTCGGCTGCATTCGAAAAGGTACAAGTCATTGTTCCCTTCGGACGAGAGTCCGTCTGCTATATCTACTATGGACAGGTGGTTGACTCTCGCTAAGATGATATGAAGATGACGACCATGCTCGCGATTGACCGATGCACGTTCCCTATCTAAAATGATGTATATCCCGTCGCAGTGATTGCGCAAAGCCAAACGTGACATCTCCAGTTTGAGGAAACGAAAGAATGTGAGCTGTGAGCCTGTGAAACGAAGCCCACCAATTTGTTTTAATTGCTCGCTACAGAGCCAAGCAAGGGAAGCGGGGCAGCCCTCGTTGCTGAAGACGAGCTTCTGTTCAGCGAGCTGCTCTGCAGCTCTCGGTCACTGCCTTGTTTGATGGAGCATGGAGCACGCAGACAATCTCCCACCGGGCCGTTCGCACGCCGGACAGATTGCAGAACGTCGCATGACGGGCGACAGACGACAGCTGCTGCATCAGAGCCGGGTCTGAAAGCCACGGATTTCGAGCCGCTAGGAGCTCGATTGTTTCAAGCGAAAAAGTGAGGGGCGCACTCTTTGATGACGGACACGGCATGCGTAAGCGCAAGGATAGCCCGCCAGGTATGCTGCCCAGTCGTGATGGTAAATCAAGCCGTCGTACAGCACACGGGACAAGGTTCCGAAGGCAACAGGGCAAGCAGAAGACAACGAGAGCACAGAAAAGGAGTGGCAGGAAAAGCAGAAGCCGTTGCACCATCTGTCGAGCCTCAGGACATGAATTTGTTGGCGCGCTTGTGTGCAGTAGTCGGCTGTCAAGAACCTTCGGCTCGCGGGTACCCGCTCGTAGTCTGGGAGGACCCTTGCCTTTTGATCGCCATCGGGAGGGAGCGCATGCCTGCGGGTCTTCTAACGGCTATCCATGTGTTGCAAAGCTGGTGCAAACAGTGCTAGCATTTCGTGAGACTATCCGGCGGGCTGGTTGCTTTGCCCTTTATAAGACCCAGCGCGAGCCATCGCCAGTCGAAAGATGTTCATCCATCGTGTGTACACCCTCTTCAACATCTTTTGTCCTTGTCAACTGCGGCAGAAAGTGGTATTTTAGCTAGGTCGGTGAGTACATGATTGCCGACAGCAACTTCCCAGCAAACCTGACCATTTCTCAGCAGAGTCATACTCCTCTCCAGAGTTCGGCCGGCCTCCGCGATTGTCGCAGACTGTAACAAAACATCCTTGCCCACACCACCTTCGTCTCCCGCGGAACACTTCGTCTCCAGCCAACCGACAACAAACATGTGCACGAAAATTGTTCACGTCTTCAAATGCGGTCATCAGCAAGTCGACCTGGCCCCTTGCGCCGCGTCAAGGGTCGCAAAGTGCCCCAATTCGCAAGACAAAAAGATCAACCACGACCAACGCTGCTCAGATTGCCGAAGATGACAAGGTGAGGAGGCTCTTCTGAGCGAGCTTGGCTAATCATCNNGCTAACGAAACCCAGTCTTGGTTGCATGGTCAACTACGATATAGGACGATGGGAGGACGGTTGTCCACGTTGAAGGAAATGTTTAATGGTCTACGAATCAGTTGTTGGCAAGGCTTCAGGCGGCATTGACTTGTTTTTGGTCCTTTTTCCTGCTTCATTGAAAATCATTTGATGGATATCATCCCTCGGCGTTCGGCAAGTCAAAAGGGCAGGTTTAGCGTGGCGTATGGTTACATGGGGCGGTCGAAGCATCCAGCGAGCACTGGAGATGGATGACTTTTGCTAGAAATATCGAATATGCTTCCAAAAGTGTCGTCTCTCATACAATGCCCTAGTGTGGGAAGGAGACAAAGAGAATTGTTGTTTGCGGCAAACATTCGACATGCATCTCACGAGCCGTGGGCGTTTGATGGAGTGCAAGTGAAATGATGAATCGTGCCGTTGTCGAATTGCTATGATCAAAAACTGACCTGCATCTGATACGTACCCTCTTCCCCATGTCAAGATTCTTGAGTTGTCACAAACAAAGCAGCGACTGGCTGTCGAGAGCCGGTACGGGCCGAGTGAGCATTGCAGGATACAGCAGATGGCTGCAGGCTCGCAGGCGCTTGGGCAGCTTTCCGCTGTCATGCCAGAGCATTAGGGGACGTGAAACGTGGCTGCAGGGCACAGAAGCATCTATCCTTTTGGCCCAGAGCTTGATTAATTGCTGTAAACGAGGACTTTGGGTGTGAGCAATTGCGAATAGCCGAGTTGCTGTCCGGCGGCGGCAGCAACAGGAGAGACAAACATGTCAAAGTGTCGGTGAGATATCTGAGCGAGGTTCAAGCTTTACGTCGGCGGGAAAGTGGAGAAGAATCTGGCAGCCGAGAATGCGCCTCGACTTGCCCTGCGACCGCAGCGCTTAGCAGGCCCGACGTCTTGTCAGTTCTTGCGGCAAACATGTCGATAGACATCAACTGGGAGACCCTCACCACGGGCTCTGATGGCGAAGCGCTGGCAGAGAGTATCCGGGCTTTCATTCATGATCGCTTCCAAAAGATAGCCCTCCCACGTATGATACGCTCTGTCAAATGCCACGCTTTCGAATTTGGCAGTGTCGCTCCGACAATCGAGCTCAAAGACGTCTGTGATCCATTGCCTGACTTTTACGAGAACGACGCCGATGACAGTCAAGAGGACGACGAGACACCTGGCCAAGTCGACGAGAGTCAACACAGCGTTGCCACCCCCAGGGTCGATGAGACGCGTCCTCACTATCCGCACAACGCATCCTTGAGTCGCGATGAATTCCACAACTCTCGATTGACAAATTCTCGAGAACACATGGGGAACCCAATTCTATCCAGGACAGCCACGCCAGGCATTTTAGGAGGCACGTCGAATCTGGGCTATTTTCACTTGCCACTATCGGCAGGCCTCTCAGGTACCACGACCCCATTGGCCGCTGTGGCCGGCGCACAATTCCACAATGCGCGACATGGTCCTTCCCAATTGGCTCAGTCACCAGAGAGTAACTACTCTGACAGCGAGACACGGCACCGCTCGACATCGTTCGGTTCTCTGACCCCTTCATCATCAAAATCGTCTTCGCGTCCAACCTCAAAACACTTGGACTGGCCCGATGAGTCGTTGCAACACGATGGCCATGGCTCCGACACGTCTCACCATGGGGCTGAGCAAGAGCGCAGCTCAGAGGACGTTCAGATGGTCTTTCACGTGGCATATTGCGGCGATGTCAAGCTCAGACTGACTGCCGAGATCTCGCTGGACTATCCAATGCCAAGCTTTGTAGGCATTCCTCTGCAGCTCAACATTACAGGTCTTACCTTCGATGGTGTTGGCATATTGGCTTATATCAAGAAAAAGGCTCACTTTTGTTTCCTTTGTCAGGAAGATGCCGAATCCTTGGTCGGTGGATCCTTGACAGGCGAGCACGAAGAGCACAGCGCCAATTCACCACAGGTCTCACGCAAGTTGGGAGCTCTCTTGGAAGAGATTAAGGTCGAAAGTGAGATTGGTCAACGCGAGGGAGGAAAGCAAGTTCTCAAGAATGTGGGGAAGGTGGAGAAATTCGTCCTCGAACAGGTGCGTCGCATCTTTGATGACGAGTTTGTGCATCCCAGCTTCTGGACGTTCTTGGTATGAGAGCCAGCTGTCAATGTCTTGGCTCGTCTCAGCAGCTCTGAGGAGAGGGGTCTGATACATTTTTCATATCTCCTGATGTTTGCAACTGGAATGCTGTCACGCTTCTTCCACTCGTTCCTCATGCAAGCGACGAAAACGAGACTCAAGTTGTCCTTTCAAACCCCTGGTCCCATTCGTCCCTGACACCACTTGTCGCAGGTAACAGAGTGCAGTCTGCAGGACCCGGCAAAGGCTCCCTACAGCTGTCAAATGCAAGCCTTCTCGTGCCACCGAATGCGCACATCGGTCGATATGGACACGGCTTCTTTGTTACACTGCAGTCGGTGATCACGGCACGCTCACCCGTTCAGGGCCAACAAAACTTTGCTTGCACAACCCGAATCATCGCACTCTGCGTTGTTCGTTGTTTGAAAACAAAGTTCAGCTCAGACATTATTGACAAGTCTGCCATACTGGATGCAGAAGCAGCTGGATGAGACACTAGAACTGTGGATAATTAGTCAGCTTGGTACATAGCTTTGGGCCGCCAAGCTTCTATTCGTGGCATGATTTACTTCACTTGCAGGACCATGAACTGTGATTTGCTCGTTGGAACTCCTGCTCGAATTCACTGAATTGGTTTCGTCTCCGAAGATACGTGCCAGTCGTCGAGTTCCCCTGGCCTTCGAATTTGATCATTGTCGTTCTTGAAGCCAAGCTGGTGATTCCACACTTAGACTTTGAGAACCGATGTATAAACGATATTACAGGATTGATAAGACATTAGGACGAAAACAAAATCGAGTATTTGGATGATGATAAAATCTCTACATTATAAATCTGGTATCTTTGCTAAACATTCAAACGGAATCAAGTGCATCTTGCACCACAGAGGGTACATCATTCTCCATCTAGTAAGCTACCATGTTTGCCAAACCATCAAGCTCGCGCTGGTAGTTCTTGTGCTGAGAGATGGCGTATGAGAAGGCTGTTGTGAAGTCCTTTGCACCCTTGATGAGGGTTACAGCCTCCTTGAAGCTGTTAACCTCGGTCTGAGCAGCGGTGACGACGCCATAAGAGTCGACAACATCGTTGCCCTCAGAGAAAGCTACACCGGGTAGCTGACAAGCATCCTTGATGAATGCAACGGCCTCACCAGTGGCGCCAATACTCTTCAAATGGCCAAAGGCTTCTCTCACGTAGTGCAAAGCACGGCCGTTCTTACGGAGGGTGGCAATACTGTCGGCTCCACCAGGAACGAAGATGGCATCATACATGGTACTGCGTTGGCCTTCCAAGTTGTGATCAGGAACAAGTCCCTTTCCAGAGTCCTTGCTCTCGCCAGCAGCGTAGATGGGAGTACGACGGGGAGCAATCGTGAACGGAAGAGCGCCTTGGGCGGCCAGGGCAGCCTTGATGGCGTTGTAAGAAACAGAATCGTAGCCATCTGCTATCAGGATGGCCACCATTCTCGTTGAGATGGTCAAGTTCTTGGGAGGGAAGTCCTCTTGAGAGAGGTTTTTGGAGCGCTTTCCTGAGTTGACGCGGCGGGCCTCTTCAGGAATGTCAGCACCAACCATTTCTGCAACTCCACGAGCGAGATCGAGATCAATCTCGCACAGTCTCTCGACCATGCGCTTGTACACAACTGGGTCGTCGCAGTGATCGAGCTCGAAAGAAAGTGCGTTCATGATGTGCATCTTCTCGTGTTCGCTCATGGAGTTGTAGAACAACTGAGCTTGGTTGTAGTGCTCGGAGAACTTCTTGCTGCGTAGGCGAGCCTTCATGCCGGCAACCTTTTGCGGGTAATCCACGTAACCACCTTCCTCAGCAGTGGCAGGCTTTGTGGCTTCGAAACGGTTCGGCCAGTAGTTCACAGTTCCCTTGGTGATGCTATGACGCATGGCTCCATCTCTGTTCTGATTCATGACAGGGCACATGGGCTTGTTGATAGGCAATTCCTGCCAGTTGACGCCGAGACGAGTGAGCTGTGTGTCCGAGTAGGAGAAGTTGCGGCCTTGCAACAAAGGATCGTCAGAGAAGCCAATTCCAGGCACAACATGTCCAGTACAGAAGGCAACCTGCTCAGTTTGGGGGAAGTACTCATCGGGNCTGAACAAGAAAATTAGCATTTTTCGTAAGCAAAGAGCAGTGTGCTACGGAGAGTCTCGACAAGATCTCGTATCTGCGTACTGCGACATAGATATACGTACGTTGCGGTTGAGTTCAAGCTCTCCAATATATCTCACAGGGAAGTCTTCTTCAGGCCAGATCTTGGTGGCATCGAGGGGATCGAAGTCGAAGTTGTCGGCCTCGCTTTCAGGGATGGTTTGGATACCAAAGTCCCATTTCGGGTACTGGCCACCCTCAATTGCAGTCCAGAGATCCTTACGGTGGAAGTCGGGGTCTTGACCTGCCAACTTCAGGGCTTCATCCCACACGAAACTGTGCACACCAAGATGAGGCGTGAAGTGGAATTTGACAAGGTGAGACTCTCCCTTAGAATTGAGCAACTTGTAAGTGTTCACACCAAATCTGAATGTTTGATTAGCCTGGCTCTCAACAAAGGATCAAGTAGCTTTTAAATACCCTTGCATCATNCTGAAACTCGGTTAGCCTTGGTTCTGACAGAATAATGTGAAACGGAACATCGCGCTCGTGGTGGTACTTACTCGGTATGAACGAGGAATACCTCTATCGGACATGGCCCACATGAACATGTGGGTCGCTTCAGAGTGAAGGTATTGGAAGTCCCAGAAATTGTTGTGAGCAGTTTGTGCTTGAGGGATCTCGTTGTGAGGCTCGGGCTTGCCAGAGTGGATGACATCGGGGAACTTAAGAGCATCTTGAATGAAGAAGACGGGAATGTCGTTGCCAACAATGTCCCAGTTGCCNTCTGTATGGAAAGGTTAGCTATTTTGGATTGTCGACTTTTTGAGGAACACGAACTCTTCAGTGTAGAACTTCACAGCGAAGCCACGCACGTCTCTGACGGTATCCGCACTACCCCTGCTTCCCAGGACTGTGGAGAAGCGGATGAAGACTGGTGTTGTACGCGAGGTGTCGGTTAAGACACCGGCAGAAGAAACGTCCGAGGCACTCTCGAACAACTTGAAAGTACCAAAGGCACCGGCGCCTCTGGCGTGAACAACTCTCTCAGGAATGCGTTCGTGATCGAAACGGTGAATCTTCTCTCGGCCAGCGTGGTCTTCAAGCAATGCAGGACCGGTCTTATCGGCACTTGCGACTCTGAGCGAGTCATCTGTGTTTGTCTGCTTGACACCATAATCCGTGGTGATTCTGTTGTTCGAATCCATGTAGTTCTTCATGTTGCCATCCATTGCGAGGACTTTGGCGTTCTCAGCAGGCGAGCCAGTGATGGCCTCCTTGACCGTGTCTGTGATTCCTGGTGCCATTGTGGTTGATGTGAGAAGGTTAGAGTGGTCGGCCAATTCTGAGCTTTGCACGGCGGAAGACTTCCCTGATATACACCCACTGCTGGTGGCCGGAGCTTGGACAATGCGAGTGCTTACCAAAAGTGACGTACATAGTATATCATCTGCTTCTGCCTTGTTATGATTGGAGAAACATACACACACATGGGGTTGACAGCTCACGGTCCATTTGGGCCTACATATATTGCAAGGGCAGAGCCGCGCGTGTCCGGTACCAGTTGAAAGTCTACCATTGGCACACAATCCATTCACGGATGAGCCTTTAGATTGACCTCCAGCTACTATTTTGCATGCCTCACTCGTTAGGCATACGTCAGAGTATGGGTCATCGGCGATGTGGAGAGGCTCTGCCCAATCAGCGATCATTATATCCTAAGCGATTCGTGATATCGCGGTGACTTCCGTACGTTGAGGCGAGCACCATTTCCGAGTGGCAGTTAAACATTCCAGATTTCCCTCATCACGCTTTGTCGCGTGCCGACCACAGTAGACCTCACGGATGAACCCATCGGGAAACGGTCGGGAACGCGAGCCATCAACTGCCGAAGCTGAACACCTAATCACTGACACAACAGACATGACAGGACAGACAAGTCATGGACCTGACCCCAATTTGCTATGCATTTTTGAATCGCACTGATGACTTGTCTCCGCAAGCGGGTGAGATCAGCAGTGGGGGCATAGCCGGACGACACGAGACGTAGTATCTAGCAAGCTTAAGGACTCTAGTCCGCCCTTGCGTTAATAACAAACTCTTCTTTAGAAAGAGTAGGAAATTGAAATAATTTTTCTGTCTTATGATGTCTTTGGCATGGTGGTCAACTCTGATGTCAATCACACGTGTCTGCCATGCGGCTCAGGTAAACTTAGTTCATAGCCAGATGATTAGCTTCCCCCCCCCTTTTTTTTTTTACTGTAGATCGGCAAACAAAATCAACACCGACGAATCGAATCAATCAATGCAAGCATCCACGCCTTACCTACCATACTGGACATATTGTTGCGCTTTTTCACGTCTACAACTTGTTCGATGGTATAGGACTCTAGCTAAGCTCCTATTCGATGACGATATCGAGGGGCTGTATGAGCTCTAGTTTACGACCACAATGAAAGAATGCAATCCTCGCCCTCATGGATATACAGCAGACCATGCAGCAGACCCCAATCTCTCTTGAGTTGGCCCCAAACTCAGGGAAGTTTTACTCGAGTAGATCAGCGGACGTCTCCTATTGCGCTAGCCGTAACCAGCTAGATCTGGGCGAAGAACGAGAAGCAGGATAGCTGACGAGAACTCGTGAGACGATGCACGACATGACCATTGATTCGAGCCTATCATTGGCGAGTTCATGAGGTCCGAAAGGATAACAAGGACTAGACCAGTGCAACCTCCCCATCTGCGATAGACAGTCACAATGTAGTTATCAAAATACAGTCGTTTCTATAGCAGAGCTATATTCACGGAGAGAAGGCTGTGTTTGCATGGTGGCACCTCTACATAGAAAGACACTGTGCATTTCAATAGCTTGTGATAACATAGTGAGTGTAAGAGAGGGGTTGAACGTGAGATTGTGACTGTATTTTGCACAGGGAGAGGAATAATCTGGTTCGTTCATATTTGACTGAAAACATAGGGCCGGGGTATATACAATAGAAATCGATGCGACATGAACTTCGTAAAATCAATCAATAAACTCAAAGATTAGGGAACGCCCGTCTTAAGAGCTTGCGGGCCTTGGAAGTCCTCGGTTCTGGCTGCTCGCTCTCATCGAGCGAAGCGCCTTGCAATCCCGACATAGCCAGCGCGCGTCTCCGTGCCCACTCTCTTCGTCCTTGGGTCGTGGCCGGGGCTGCCGGGATGGCCTGAACTGCGTGTGTGCTGTTGTGCTCTGGTATGGATGTCATCTCTATGGGAGGAGCATGAGCAGAAGGTGGTGCGCTAACATTGGTAGAGCCCCGAGCCTGTGACCCGAACAACATGAGATTGCTCGCGTTGGGCATCTGACTTCCGGCGGCAGCGTGACGGGCCCTCCGAGCTGCATTTCGTCGGAGGTACCTTTCTCTTCTGACGTGGGCATTTGTGATCTTGCCAGGTACATAGCCTTTTGGCAGGACTGACTGCTTGCATAGAGGACACATGGACGACGTGTCAAGCAAGAAGAGATCGATGCAGTTGTTGTGAAAGACGTGTCTACAGGGCAATTCGCGTACTTGGCAGTCCGACTCGGTAAAATCGTCCAAGCAAATAGCACAAGTAGATTGCTCAAGAGGAGGCGAGGCTTGTGACGATCCTTTCTCGGGCGCGACAGTATTGGCAGAAGGCGTGTAAGTGTTCATCTGATCTATGATCTCCTGAGGCACGGTGAGCTTCCCGAGTCCGAGAGCTTCCACGTTGACTTCGCCTCGAGCTATCCTGGCGCGCAGGTCGTTGCGCCTCTTCCTCTGTATGATGTGCATGGTTAAAGAGAGGGACCCGATGAGCACAATCAGGATGGCAAGGATAATCAGCAAGAAGATCCAGATGCTAGGGAGGTTGGTTCCACCGCTACTGGTGGTAATGATGTTGATCAAGAGACGAAGATGGGCATCTGAAGAAATGTTATGAACAGCGAGAAGCTGAGGGCTGAGTACGCTGTCGGCGTTTCCAGAATAGAGGGACAACTGCTGGATGGTCATCTGGCCGACCTGCGAGGCGACAGCATAGACTGGGTAGGCGGTCTGAGATCGCCAGTGGCCGCCATCGCCCAGGTCCCATGTAGGAGAATTTGCTGACGCGAGTGGAGCATTGATCTGGTCAGGGACATAGAAGACAAAGGCAACGGCCATGTCGTTGGAGGCAGCCTGGAGGTAGCTGAGAGTACAGGAAGGAGAGATCCATGGAGCTATAGCGAATGCAGGAGTGTTTACAGAAAGAGCTTGATATCTTGTCACATTCTGAGGCAGAGACTGAGCGCATACGCCCGTGACATTGGGGACATAGAGAAGTCCCACGCTCGGAGTAGACTGAGAGCCAGAGTTTAAAGTACGGACATTGCTGTCTTGCTGGAAGTTGAAGGCAATATCCTGCGGCACGAGGAGACGGGCGGAGTCATCATAGGTCGTAATACTCAAGCTCGACATGGTTGGTGGATGGGTGGCTCCAGAGACAAGCGCAGCAGAGCAAGGGTGGAAGACGAGCGGAATAAATTATGTCAGCACGCAATGTCGAACAGGGCCATGGCAATGGCAACCAAGATAAGCAGGCAAGAGGACAGGAACATGGACGACGACGACGAAGGCGAATGCGAAGGCGGGCGAGCGACACGCGCGGGAAGGCAGATCGAGGGGAAGGCAGAAAGCTTGATTTGCGCACGGCCCTCGAGCATGTGCGGCTTTGTGGAGGTGGTCGCTCAGTCCAGCCCTCGCAAACCATCACTCACTACTCGTGCCCGCGACGACATCCATCAAGCAGGGATCCATGTCCTCGCCCAGCCAATATGGCCCCCTCGTCCAAGAACACGCCGTCCCAAGCCCGTCCGCGTGAGAAGCGCTCGCGATCGCGCGCCGCCAGTCCGACCTCTGCCACGGCCAGTGGTAGCGGCGGTGCGCCCACAACCACCCCGTATCTCCATACTTCCCTGCTGGTCCTGTCTCCGAATCTGTCCATCGACGCTCTGATGGACAAGCACGCCACAAACTCGACCAGTCCCNCCTTGGCCTCGAGCCTGCATGCTCTGCACGACAGCATCCACTCACACGTCCTGCCCAACGTCCGCTCCCTCAGCGACGCTTGCGATCGCAGCATGCGCGAGCTCTCGAGGAAAAGAAAGTTCCGCGCCGACCAAGAACTCGACCGCGAGCGCCGCGAAGACGAGGCAGAACAGCGCAAAAGGNCCCGTGTCGCAAAGAAGAACGATTCACACCGGCCTCCCACTGTTGGCGCCCACGGCCTTGCGCGCCAGGATGGCCAACCTTCTCCTCCTCCCGAATCCNCCTCTGCCAGCAAATCTGCTGCCGAAAACGACTCTTCGTCGCCTGCTCCCTCCGATGCCGAACACCAACCGCCCCCTGCTCCCGCCATTGCGCATTACGAAACCTTTGGTAACGACCCCACTCAGTTCGACGACCCTACCATATATCACATTCGCGACTGGACGCCCGACATGACTGACGACGAGAAAAAGGCAATCTTCTGTGTTGCTCGCTTCCCTCACGATGATTTGCACGACCTGACACCTGGTACCCCTCCAGATATGGACTTTAGTAGCGCCAAACCCGCCAGTCAGATCAACTTCTCCACCTTCCAAGCTTATGTCGAGCCCTACATTCGTCCCCTGACCGAAGAAGATGTTGCCTTTCTGAAAGAACGCGGCGACCGTGTCACACCATATCTTATTCCACCGCGAGGTCCTATGCCATACACCGAAGTCTGGGCCAAAGAAGACGGTGTGAGCCATCATGATTTTAACATTCGTCTGCCTTTAAATGAGCCTAGAGGGAACATTGAAGAAATGAACGACGATGTCGCCGAAACTGCTCAAGTGTCGGCTGGGCCGTTGATATCACGTCTTATGAGCGGATTCCGTCATGATCCGCATTTCCCCAAAGACGACCAAGCTAATGGTAATGCCGACGTCTCGATGACCAACGGAGAAAGCACCGCAGGCGGTCAAGAAAACGAGCAACCCACAAACAACGAAGAACCATCGGACACCGTCGCCTCCTTCAAGCCTGCGACACATTTCCCAGATCAGCACAAGATTCCTCTTAACGCAGGTCGCGACTTTGCACCTCTAGAACAGCGAACGTTACAAGAACTACGTTATTGCGGCTTTGTTACGCCAGAAGCAACACCGGATTATGATTCACAGTACGATGATGAAGTCGCTGCCCGTCTACGCTATCTGCAATCAGAGCTCCAGCGTGTTTCAGGAGAGAATACTGCTCGAAAAGCACGTGTACTTGAGTTGACAGAGGAGCGCATGGCCATGCAAGAATACTCCACCATCGCTGATGACCTGGACACTCAGATCAATACGGCCTACTTGAAGCGGAACCGTACAATGAGCAAGCCCAAAAAGGGTGCAGGCAAGGCAAGGCCGGGCGGTACTGGTGTGGCCATTAGCCGAAACTTGGTCAGCGAAGGCGTCAAGATGTTGATGGACAGAAGAAAGGAGTGGAGGGAGCTCATCGGTCCGGTCGTCGACTTCGGACAACAACGGATACCGAAAGAGACTGTGTTTGACATGGACAACATGGAGAGGCTCGAAAAGGTCGAGGCCGATGCTGGCGAGGAGGAAATAGAATAGGTACAAGTACCTTGCTAGTTATTGCTAGCGGGCTTGATGCCTGCTGAATGACGTTATGTTTGTGATCAAATTCTTCCTCTTTCATTAAATCTGAATGGTGAGATTTGTGTCTGCTCACACACTGCTTGGAAGCCAATTACTCTTGCAGAGGCTTTGTGGAAAACAACTGCCGTCTGAATCTACAAACGGCATAATTCCGCACCGTCTTTGGCCATCGGCCGCGGCCGAACCATCTCTTGGAAGGCGGAGAAAACAATTACTCACGCTTCCCCAACAGCAACCGTCTTCGTTGTCTTTTCCTAGTTCATCATTGACACCGACTTGAGTAGTCATCTTGGTTGGACAGTTGCGTGTTGCATAGTACCCAGAGCTTCAAACCTTTATGACAGCCTCTACGAGTCACGGCACAACGCCCGAAACCACCATTTCCCATGACATGTCTGCTCTGGACCCGCCAATTGTGCCACTAACCTATCATGGATCGACGGATAACGAGAAACCATACTCTGTATACCAAGACATAGATTCGAGGAGTCTGACAGATCAAGATGTCTCATACCCTGAAGGTGGCAAAGGCTGGTTGGTCGTGTTTGGGTCCTTTTGCGGCATGCTTGCAGCTCTTGGACTTATGAATTCGATAGGTTCGTTCTTGTGGCCTGCATGCTGAGATTGAAGCTGACTGAATCGAANNGGTGTCTATCAGGCGTACCTGGCCCAACATCAGTTGGCTGATTATTCCGAGAGTCAAATATCTTGGATCTTCAGTGTATATTCCTTTCTTTCATTTNTTTGTGGCGTCCAAATTGGCCCATACTTCGACGCCAAGGGCCCTCGTCTGTTGGTCTTCCTGGGTAGTGTCNTTTTGATAGGTTCCACCCAGTTGCTGGGAATATGTACANAGTAAGTTCCCAGAATGTGGCCATAGTAAGCAATCATATCTGATTTGAGGAAACCAGAATATTGGCATTTTATGCTTTGCTTCGGAGTTCTTGGGGGCATTGGAACGAGTTTAATATTCACTCCCGCTGTCTCCAGTATATCTCATTGGTTCATGGTAAGACGTGGTAACGCGACTGGTGTCGCAGCAACCGGCGGCGCTGTTGGCGGTGTCATCTTTCCTCTGATGCTACAGAACCTCTTTCCTAAAGTCGGTTGGGAGTGGGCCACACGCATTCAAGGCTTCATCTATATCGGTCTTCTCCTCATGGCAAATCTTTTCATACGGTCTCGGCTTCCACCCAAGCCTGGCGGCAGCGTCTTGCCCGATTTCAGGATTCTCCGAGACATACCTTTCGCCTTGACCACGCTCGGGGTCTTTTTCGCTGAGTGGGGGCTGTTCATCCCGATCTCATATCTGACGTCCTACGCATTGAGCTCTGGTGCTTTCAGCACGACCTTTGCGTATCAGCTCATTGCCATCTTCAACGCTGGATCGGTCGTTGGGAGATGGGCACCAGGTTATTTTGCAGACAAGGCAGGAAGAGTGAACTTAATGATCATTTGCCTGATCCTGTGTGCTCTGTCGTCAATGGGTCTCTGGCTTCCAGCAACAGTCCTTTCCGCGTCTGGCGGTAGTAGCGACTCGACAATTTTGGGCTTGACTATCGCGTTTTCCATTCTCTTCGGATTTGGCTCTGGATCCAACATCAGCCTAACGCCTGTGTGTGTGGGCCAAATGTGCCACACCGACTCATATGGCAGATATNTGTACGTAAGGCAAAGTACAGATAGCACGAGTCAACAGCTGTTTGGCTGCTATGTGTACTATCGTCACTTAAGAAGTATGCTAATTGTGCTCGTAACTCTAGACAGCACATGCTACACCATCGTATCGCTCGGCACACTCACAGGCCTGCCAATTGCAGGAGCACTGCTTGAAGCATGCAACGGAGAATATTGGGGCCTTGTCCTGTTCACGGGCCTATGCTATATCATCAGCTACGTCGCATTCTCTTGGGTTAGAGTGATGAAGCAAGGATGGGGCCTGAGGAAAGTCTATTGATGTTATTCAATATTTATACTTCCTTGCGAAAAGAATTTCTGTGGTTATATATCTTTGGAACAACCAGTCAAACAGAACCAGTCTTTGACACAGCAACATTACCGGTATGAGAAGTTCTGCCATACACAAATTAACTTTGGTCGATTTGGTGTTTTTATATGAGAACGACTGCTCTTGTATTGCGCCTCATGACAGCATGACTTGTGATGCCCTGCCGGCGACCTTGGCGTGCCCTATATCATGGGTGGATATTAGCACCACGCTCTAACCAACTGAGCGTGACCGACATGTCTCTGCGCTCTTCAGTGAATTTTCCTCTGGCTTGGCTCAAAAAGATGATGTATTTTGTATAGACCGAACATTCTTCATCAAACAGGTCGGTTAGCTCAGTTGGTTAGAGCGTGGTGCTAATATCCACCCATGATATATGGCACGCCAAGGTCGCGGGTTCGACCCCGTACTGACCATCGAATAATCTTTTGGCTGGGGCTTTTTTCTTTTGGGACTTCAGAATTGGCGAGATGCGGTGGGCTTGTGCGGACTTGGCGTTGGCTTATGACTTTGTGCAAGCCAACATCTTGTTTTATGATGGTATGTATAGAATAGAACATAACTTTGACCTTGGAGGCTCATAGGCAAACGAATGAATAAACAACTGTGAGTGATAAAAAGGAAATGTTACAACTTGAACTCCAATATGATATCTGCCAAATGCTTCGTTATGTGTTTGTCTTGAAAGGTGAATTTGTCTGGAGCATAGGTACGAAGTATATTGGTGCTGAAAATATAATATTCAATTCCAGACTTCTATCCCTGACACATAACAGTGCGATGTTGGGTTTACTATGAGCCCGAGAATGCCAAGCCATCGCCGACTATAATGCTATGTATCTTTGAACAGTGGTACGCTTCAGATACTCCCCATGGTTAGAGGTGTTTACTAAAGATGCCAGGGTCTTCCTGTCAACAATTTTACTTATACTCCAGGAGGTACAACAAGCCTTAGATTTGGAAGAATCCACCCCTAACTTCCGCTTCTTCGACACCAAAATCAAAGACAACCAAGTAAAGATGTTGCAACCATACCCAATCCTCGTTTCGACTCAACCACATAACGGCTTTGGCTATCTCAACAGCAGTAAGACTTCGGCTGGACAATGATGCTATAGACCGGAGGCTTTGATCAACAGTGATGAGCCGTTTATAATGTTCGAATAACTGAACTTGCCACGACTGGTTGCCAAAAGCGTTTGCCGGAAGTGGTTTGACAAACGAGGCAAGAGAATGATTCGATGTTCGTGAGAAACCAATATCAAGAGCCGCTTTGAGAATAAGGCAACGTAGGCGAAGGAGATGCTTGCCATCAGTACTCGCGCGTGCGGTGGACGAGGTACGTTGTGAATCTACAGATTCCGAGTAGTCGCTCAGTGTTGATGCATTGCTAGACCAGCGGTCGTGATGTTTGGTACCACGGATTGAGCCACCCGAACTTGCTGGGGCAGCAGGTCCAAGTACCAGGATGTTAGGGACGTTGACTGATTCTGTAGAGGAGACTGTGGTGGAATCATCAAAAATCGTCGTCGGAGTCTCTGGCGGTAGCGGTGCATCGTGATACTCGCTACTCAAGCTAGAAGGAGCTCGCTCGGATTGACCTGTTGAATGTTGTGATACTGATGACGAGAACCCAGCTTGGCCGGGTCGTGGTGTACTCTTATCAGGTCGCAGATGACTCCAGCCCTCTCTGAAGATATCCGACAGGTCCCAGCAGGCCTGAACAGCCGATGCGAGTAGTTCATCAAGTGTCTTTGCATCGCGACCCACGTGCCTCAGGTTGAAAAGTGCTTCGGCCAGAGACCAACAAGCTCTCAAGAGTGCATCGTTATCCTGACTTAACGAGGTCGAGCGCTTCATCATCCGATGACACAGAGTGACATAAAATTCCAAGGTCCTTTCCTTGAACGCCTCGGGAAGGTGGCGATCATGTGTATTGTAAAGATGATTATTCATCTCGAAACTGACTCTCAAAACGGAGTCTACAGACTCTTCGCCACGCAGACGAACGTCAAACAGAGCTTGACAAAACTCTCGACATGTTTCCAGAATCTGCTGTGTATAGGACCGATTGTCACATGATTCGTAGAGTTGCTTGCAAAGATACCAGCAGCTGCGCCATGCTTGTTCCTGATGGACATCGGATCGCGATCCTACCCTGGCTCGCTGGCGATGGTTGGAGCTCAAACTAGAAAGCGTTTTGCACAGTGTCCAACACTCATTCAGTGCACATCGCAGCTCAGATGTTTCGTCCGTTGGATCCGATCGCGACCGAGAGTCATCCGCAGCCTTTTCAATGACAGCAATCGTCTCTGGAATATCTNNTTTCTTGTCAGTACCACCTATGCACAGGAAAATCTCGGAGATTGACAAACCCTCGAGACTGGATGTCCGTCTGGATCGCCTCTTCCATTCGTCTTCCGCTTCTTGCCGTGTCTGAGCTAGTGGTGTAGGTCTATCGTTACCTTTTTCGAGGGGTATGTCTGTGATCAAAGACGAAGTGACAGACGATAGACGCTTGTCTTCTGGACCCAGGGCTGCATCTGGTGTGCTTGGAGAAGTGCTATCATGATTGGTACTATGGTTGGACATATGTATGCTACTTTCTGAGCCCAACCGGCTCGATATGTCCTAGTGAGATTATGTCAGAAGTCCCGTGGAATGCGTGTTGGTGGTTGTACTAACAAGCTCTCTGAAACCGAGAGGCACATGTATCACAGATGAAGGTGCCTCATCTGAACCGGATCTTGATCGAGAAGCCACAGTGGTGTCTAGCTTGACGAGCTGCCTTGAGTTGATAAGTCATCGTGCAGCGATCAACATGGANTTGATAATGCGTACGCTTTCTGGACTCTGGGGCCGGCTGGACTGAATCGCAGCACTCATCTGAGGATCTTCGACTTGCTCTTGCACATCCTCTTCAATATCAGTATTCTCTGTACCGTTCGAATCGGTAGGCGAAGGATCGACCTGTGGATATGGAGACGGAGGAGGAGCTAGACTATCGGACGCCGTGGATGACCTGGTGACAACGCTTAGCATGTTTTTTACAATATGGGCGGAGCATTGGGCATACCTTTTAGAGCTGGGAATGTCAGCCTGATATAGAACAGGTGAACTTGGAGAGTTCGTAAATGGGCTAAAGGCAGATTCAGAAGGCATGTATGGCGATGCTACAGCCATATTGACGTTAGTTGTAATGACTTTTGGCGGCACAATCGAGTTGGAAACTTGCTGAACAAGTGGAAAGGCGCAGACAAGCCGCATCTACATTGCCAGCAAACTCTTTGCGGAGACAAGTGGAACAAAGCTTCATAGATGTAACGACTAGGCAGCACAGTTGACCATTGTATGTGCAGATATGGAAGAGGTATCAGAAAGTCGCAAAGACGGACGATGTGCGCTAGATACACAAGCATCAGAACATCAGCTTGCCAAAGTTGAGCTTGGCACAGACTTGCGGCGTAAAGTCTCAAGTTGCGCGGCTAACATGTAGGTCATATGCGTTTGGCGGCATGCTGATATTGCAGCCACTGAGGTGACTCGTGGAAGCGCCGGGCCCAGGCTTCACCCAACTACCTAGCAAGGATCGCCATTTCCAACATTCACCTTCGAGCCGACTACTTAGAGGCCCGATCGGATCCGTAATTGTAATTGATAAGATTGTTTAAATCGAGCATGCCAGCAAAGCATGAAGTTGGATGAGGAAGTGTTGGTGGTGACCGATCAGTCATGATGTATGTCGGCCTTTAGCGCAGCTAGGCACTACCGACGAGATAACAACAGATATCTGGAGCCGAGAAAGAAAGTGACTTTTGTCTGTTGGAATGAAGCTCTTAAAACATATGAGAGCAACAAATGGCTGTGTATGGGAGTTGCACTGTTGGAAAGCATATGCCTAGCAGCTCCATCCGTGATCAAATTGTCACAACCAAATGGAGAGATCACCGAGTGAAGAGCGATAGAAACAGAACAGGAAGATGTCAACACTCTAACGACAACGATGGCTTGTTATCTAATACAGTTGGTAACTGTCTTCCTAGTTCTAACTTCTGAATCAATCATCGCGAACGTTTATTCCAAGACCGATCACTCAAGCTGCACATAGTGGCAACAACGAACCTTTCAAACTATCTGAATGATCATATTTGGAATGCAAGAAACGGGTATCTCAAGAAAACTCAGTCCTGTCTAGTACAGGATCATGATGACAAATCACGCTTCTTTTTAGACTTCTGGATATTTGGCCATAAGCTCCTCAATCTTGGGGATCAGCTCTGGTATGCGGAACGGTTTTGGCATGACATCGTCCNNTGTAAAATGATTAGCAACCATTGAGCGGTAAAGTTATGTTCATCTCACCATGCCGGCACTCATTGCCGTCTCGATCTGTTCATTCCGAGCGTTGGCTGTCACTGCAATGACTGGTACGTGACGGACGAATTTTCCTTCTCTTTCGAATTCTCGAATCTTCCTCGTACACGTCAGTCCGTCCATGATAGGCATCTCCTGATCCATGAGGACGACACTCAACCCCATGCGTTCTGATTCGGGGGTAACGCGTTCGTTGTCTGCCTTGTGGTTCCAGTAGGTGGATTTGCGAAGAATATCCAAGGCCTCTCCACCATGGTTCGCGACATGCACGACGCAGCCCAAGTTTCTGAGCTGTTTGGAAAGGACTCTCGCGTTTACGATATTGTCCTCTACGATCNNTGCAACAGGTCAGATAAATGTCTCCAGGCTATAAGTGCGGAGAGCGTAGAAGATCAAAAAGAGCATGAGTCTAGAAATAGTGCGACTTACGAGAACCTTGATAGGCCTTGCAACTGCCCCTTCAGCCTTGGCGCTCACCATGGTAGGTACTTTTCTGCCAGTCGCATCGCTGGCAGCACGAACGGCAGGTCTGTTCAGTCCCTCAGTTTCGGGTGGAACACTGCTTCGCTTTGCCTTAACCCAGAAAGCAAAGGTAGAACCGACTCCGAACTCAGACGCCACGCCTNNGACAGGTCGTTAGTAATGCGGAAACAATTACGAGAGTGGAATATGCCTACCGATCTCACCTCCCTGCAACTCTGTAAGCTCTCTACTGATGAACAAGCCTAAGCCAGAACCTCCATATTGTACGTGAGTGCGTGGAGAAGCTTGCGAGAAGCGCAGGAAGAGCATCTTCTTTTCTTGTTCGTTGAGTCCGCGACCCGTGTCCTGAACAGCAAAGTGGATGTATACTTCTTCGCCATCACCCCAATCCTTCTCTTTAGTGAGGTCCGAATGTTTGTTGCGTGTGGGAAAATAATTGACCACGCGGTTCTCCAATTCCGAGAAACGTTTCGTTGAGGCTGCCAACGTGACAGTAATGGTCCGTTTCTTCTCGGTCGTTGTGAATTTGATTGCGTTGGTAGTAAGGTTGATCTGGCCATCCTTTTTAGCTCAAGCCTATCACAATGCCGACACTGTACTTACCAGTACTTGCAACACGCGCGAAGGATCGAACTTTACCCAATCAATACCGAGCTTCTTATATGAATCATCAACAACGAATTTAAGTTGAATATCAGCAGTTTGAAGCTCGCCTTCGTGCATCTTCAGCGCACGTTGTGCTACGGTGAGAGGCTGCGCATCCACTGGAGTAACTAGTAGCAATTGCGAATCAAGCTTGCTCAAGGTCAGGATATCATCGACGCTGAATTTTCGTGTTAGTATAAGCGCCGAGCGAAAATACTCGTAGAGCGGAATCTAGCGACCGTCGCTGAAGATAGAACACTTACATTCGTTTTTGGTGCTGATAAGAAGTAAGCATAATGCCCGAGTGAGGTTACTTGCAAACAAGAAGATAGCAGCTATGGCTAGGATAGATTAACTTACTTGTGCGCAAAGAGCGATAGTCTGAGCCGAGTCTACTGTACTTGACAAAATACCATCCACTGTCTCCTCCACATTCTGACCCTTTTCGAGGAACTTGTCAATGGGTGCAACCAGAGAAGCTTGACCATTTAGGCCGTCTCTGAGGCGACTCATAGTTGCGGTTATCTCATCGGCACATTGCAATATCGCCGAAAGCGGGTTGCGCATCTCGTGTGAGGTGATATCAATGAAGTTCTCTTGTTGTCTCTTGAGCTCAACAGCCTCTTCCATTTTGCGTTTCTGGAACCCTTCGGCCCATTTTTGTTTGCTGATGTCTGTCAGACTGCCGAAGACGCTTTTGAGCTTTCCATCCTCATATTTTTCCGGGTAAGCAGAGAAAAGTACCCATCGATCGCCCTCCAGCCCTTCAGAACCATGCCATTTCGACTTGAATCGAAAGGTGCCGGTCTGTGGCTTCTTTTCGACAATGAGATCATGCCATAGTTTGTTGATGAGTTCGCGGTCCTCGTCGTTGACAGCGTCCATCCAGTGATGATCCGGGGTGTTTTCGTCCCTGGAAACTCGAGAAATTTCGAACCACGTATCGTTGCAATAAGTAATGGTACCTTCAGAGTCAGCTATGAACATGCCGACAGGTGCGAACTCTGCCATTCGAGTGAATTTTGTTTCGCTCTCAATGGCTTCTTGCGTGCGAGCTGCCAGTTGTTCAGAGAGTTCCATTCTATCGATCGCGGCGAGCTTTGCTGCCTTTTGACCCCTTCGAATTTCCTCTTCGAAGAGAACAACAGAAGCCAATGAAGTCGCAAGCTGTCTGTTGAGCAACTGTATGAATAGACTGTAGTCTTCATCGTATGGTCTTCGAGGGTTCACGCCCATAACAAGAAATCCGAGCACAGCTTCCCCGGTGGTAGGATGTATAGGACAAATCACAACATTGCGACACGAGTCAGCAAAACCTCGCCCACCGAGCCCTTCTAGTAGTTTAGCGGGAAGATCTTTCGTACCGACTTCGAGAAGGACAGGCTTGTCAGTCTTCATTACTTCACGAAAGACTGGCCCGAGCCCTTCCATGCCGGTCTTGAGGTCGAAACTTGAGACGGCTGCACTGTGGTCTTCAGGCACACCTAAAGCGCCTTCGAGAACGCATTGTCTGTTGGCCATGACGCTGTTGGAGTGAATGGACGACGCATCGCTATCCGTTTCGTCCTGAACGGAGTACAGCATGACAAAAGGTGTATCGTGTTCATTCAGATCCAATGCGGCGAGGACTTGGCCCCAGAAGCTCTTGATATCCCTTGCAGGGGCGGTACGCTCACCAATCTCGCGAAGCGTTATCATGCGTCTCTCAGCAAGCTTTCGCCTCGTCTTCTCGAAAGCAGGATTGTACAATCCCATAACACTGCCATCACCACCAACCATGGGAATAATGGACCACGAGAAGTACGTTTCTTCGAGATAGTCGTTGCGCACAATGAATAGCCGGTCGTCGTCTTTCATGGTTGCTTCACCAGTGTGAAGCGCGTTGGAAAATACATCCTTGACATCAGGCCATATCTCGGACCACGCATCCGAGTAGCGCTGGCCCATCAGCGCCGGATGCTTCTGACCAGCCAACATGACATAAGCTTCATTGTAGATAGCAACCAACTCTTGGCCCCAATACATAGCAGCCGGATGAGGACTGGCCATGATAAGATTACACATCTGCCGCAAATCTGATGACCAGCCTTCGATGGAGCCCAGAGGAGTTTTCTCCCACTCAATGCTTCGTGCGAACTTGATATGCGGAGGCATTGAATCACTGATGGGCAAACGGGTCCAGTCGAAAGACGGGCCTTCTTGGCAAAAGCCAGCCGACGAACTGTCAAACCAGTCAATATTGCCCGCAGTTTGGGCGCAGAGTACTTGCTCGTTAACAAAAGAGGGGTGGGTATCAAGCAGCGTGGTGTCACGGACGCTGAGGGGTGAGATCTTGCGAGAGTCGAGTGACAGCGATGGTGATGAAGTTGATTGGGTCTTGTCATCGACTGCTTCAGTCGAAGGGATGATAGATGAAGAGATGTCTGCTGGAGCAGGGGCTGAGATTGGGGCAGGTGCTGCACTGCCAAAATAATCATCTGGTTCTTCCAGCGTTGTAGGCAGGGCTGAACTGGAGATGGGCAAAGAAGAAGACGGTTGCGATATGGACATGGCGGACGTCGAGGTCGAGTTTGACGATTGGCGGCTTACAGATGTAGCCAAAGCGCCATTCGAAGTCATGGCAGCCGATGCGCCGCTGATGATACGCAGCCGTTTGCGAAGGGTCGAAAATGACCAGCTCGTACCAGCATAGACATGGGTCGGTAGCGGGACGCTGAGTGGCTCTCCAGCGACTTGCAAACCAAATGCCCATGCCTTGAATTGTGCAAAGGCGGCTTCGTCCAGGTCTCGAGCAACGCCCGTCAAGGAATTGATGAGATCGGGACACGAGCGCAACGACCTGTTTGTAAAGACAGGTCGTAACGAGGCCTCTGTGTTGTTTGTGCCATCTGCCAGGTCCACTATCATGGCAGGACGATCGTCATGATCGAGGAGCTCGAGGATGCCGATAGAGTTAAGCGAGAGCTCACCACGCAGGTCGGGCGAAGCACTGCGGCCGGTACTCGAGCGGTCGATGGAGCGGCGCAACGAGTTGGAGACAGTGCCGCGAGCCAGGGTCACGGTCTTGACATGACTGTCCTCGTTGTTGGCCTTGCTTAGCATTGTGGCTCCTGCCTCAAACGAGGTGAAGCGCGGTGGCAGGTGCGGACGCGGCCGCGGAGAGTTCGAGAAGAACAATGGCGATGGAGGGTGCAGGCGGTTGATAGAAGGGCCGGTGAAGGTGAAGCGCTCGTGGCGCGGCAGCAGACGCGGCTTCTTGCGTAGCGGGGGCGCGTCAATAGCGTCGCTGGACACGGACTGGAAGACGAGCGGACGAGGTGGAGGGGGCAGCGATATAGACGAGGGTTTGTCGGAGGGCCGAGAAGTGGTATTGGCGGCCGAGGTGGGTAGGCGGAGCGGAGGCGGTGGAGGGCGGAAGTGGTGTGGATCAGGGTGAGAGCGCTTCTTGTCCTCTGTCGGTGTGTGGTGCTGTGTGTCCAGGTGGTCAGAGGCAGTCGGGGCGGCGGTGGGCGGATTTGGCATTCGTCGGGATACCTCGGGGGTCGTGGTTACAAGAGACACAGCATGGCCGTCTTCATTGCGCTCGTGAGGCTTCGATCTTGGCTCCTGTGGCGGCGATGACGTCGGGTTGGGGAGCGACAGGACTGCGACAGGCGGGTGCTGATGCTGGTGCTGTGTTGACGAGACGGACAGGCAGGCGGGTGCGGGGAGGGCGACGGCGTGGGTGCAGAAGCGACAATGGGAGCAGACGCGGCACCGGGTCGTGGTATTGTTTGACCTCGTGTTTGAGCGGGAAGGCGTCCTGAGTCTCCGTGCTTGCGACTACCAGAAGTCATCAGAGGCACTAGAAACCGACGAACAGAATGTATATGGCTGCAGCAGACGGTCCATCTACTTTGGTGCTACTCGTGGCTGCGCTGCAGAACAGCGATATATTGACGTGTCGAGACTCGCAGACAGGCATTGGATGCTTGCACCTGAAGGGCTGATTGCAGCTCGCCATCTGTTGTTGGATTACTGACGATCCTCGGCTTTGTCTGCTGGCCGCCTCCCCGATGTCTTGGGCCTTCCCATATGCCTAACACCCTCACCTTGCAGCTATGGAACTACACAATCCTCAGTCTCCACTTCTTTCTCAATCCCAAATCGCAGTCCATTTACCTCCGCCTTGATGCCAAACAAGAACTTGAAAAAGTGGACATATGCAATGCCTGTGTAGGTCACAGGAACGTATTTGAAGCCCCTCCTGATCCACCACATGGGGCACTTTGCAGCCCAATCCGCGCTCACGATAGCTGGCCCCATCTTGGACGAGAATGCTGCAAGGACGATATGTCTGTAGACCACAGTTTCGCTTTCGTAAAGCGACTTTGCAAAGGGAAGAAAGCGACGCTTGGATACCGAATACGCTGCCAGTGATTCGTTTCCCCAACTCGGATGCATCTCCGACTCACTGCCCGTGTACCACACTTCCGGCAGTTCGATGGGTCGACGCTCTGTACGGGACTTACGGGTCTGAGCAAACACTTCCACTAGACGTCTGCTCGTCTCGTAGTTGGCCTTCATCACATCACCGTATCTTAACCCATGGGCGAGAATCAATATGTCGGTATTTGCGAGTGTCCGGATCCCGCCTGTCGACACCGATTCATCATCGAAGTCGACCTTGTATTGAAGCGCCGTGATCACAGACACGCCATCGGACTCCAGCTGTTTCTTCAATGCCGCTCCAAAGGCACCGCGAGCACCACTTATAGCAATACGTTTGTTTTTGAGGGTTGAGGAGGTCCCCATAGCCCAATCGAACAGCCTGAAAAANGAACTCATGAACTGGTCAGGATACATGTGACTGAAAATAGTGGACAAAGTCAGCTGAGTCCTTTTGTTTCGTTGAATGTCTTCATCTTACTGTAGAGCATGATACTCAGGACCCACAAGAAGCCAGTCCTTGTCTTTAGGTACCGTGCTGAAAGATATATGGTTGGAATCCCGGCCTTCGAGAACAACCACAACAACGACCCTGACGACTTCGATGGCCATGGTGACATGAAAGATAGTCATCGCAAATTCTCGACCATCCTGTTGTATTATCGGAGACAAACATTTCTGCGAAAGCCACGAGCCGACGAGTTGAGATGAGAGCTCTAGTGGAAGGTTTGTCAAAGCGTTGGCAAGCTTGTATCGACTGTTGTATTTGAGGTGCCGGTCAAAGTACCAATGGTGAACGGCATGGATCTTTGATATCTGACGCAGAGCTCGTGACCGTGATCTAGCGCATCGGTGGAAGAGGAAATGGACAACATCGAAGAAGAGTGTTCCGCAGAAGTAATAGAAGACGAAGTATGCTACTGCGGTAGAACAATATACGACCTGTTGACTTCTCGCTTATCAATACTCCTGCTCGAATCTGACACACATGCACTTACAACATAGTGTTACTGCTATTGACAAACTGCATGATAGATGCTCAAGATCAAGCTTCGAGTAATGGCTGTTGTTCTAGCTTTATAAGAGTAGGGAGCAGAAAGCATTACGTGAACGCTAAAATTGGCCTTCCAAGTCAGTCCGCAGCAAAGGGCAAGGAATGTAACGTAAAAGCAGAGGCGCAGAGGTCCTATCGGATCCGAATTAACAAAGTATGTTGTAAAGATGTTATGTATACCCTGAAGATCGACACGTCTGCTCACGTGGGGATTGCTTCACGCTCTCGCATCAGACATCGCTCTAATTTATATGGCAATGGACATCCTGTTGGCCATAGGTTTATGCTACCATTCTCTTTCTAGGTACACCTGCGTATTGCATACGAAGGGCTTGTAATCTCAGGGTCTCTTTCACTCCAGGCCGTGCCAATCAGCCTTACTTCGAACTGGAACGTGCCACGAAAGGGGCATGTGGCATCTAGATGCTGAACATCGTATTGCTCCTTGCCCTCGTAACGTATTACGAGAAGCCTCGAGCTGCTGCTCGTTGACCACACAGACGCGCGATTTGTCTAAGATAGGCGATGAGCGAGAGGAAACAAGCCTTCCTGTGATGGCTGAAACCGTATCAAAGCTGGGGTGCCCGTATTCATCATTGGCATTTGTGAGCCGACGCTCAGGAGTCCAAGTATTTTCTTTCGAAGTCGACAGATGAACGGTTCTGAAGGATGTTTGCGAGAATCTGAAGCGCTGAACAGCAAGAGATCTCGGAGTGGATTCAATTTGGAAGAGCGGTCTCCAGAGCCCTAGTCGCGTCATCTTTCCGAATTGGGAAGGATAAAGGTCAGAGCCCTAACTCGATACCTTTTGATATTGCCAATAATAGCCGTCTATTACTGCGACTCCATATTATGCCAGTGTTCCGCTCACGAAACCCAAGGCTTTTCTCGGTCCGAAAAACTGTATGGGGTTTACCAGTTGTTCGCCGCCCTTGTTCCTCGAGGCACTTCCGAAGAGAACGTCATGACAAAGCGTCTTATGCTAGATTTTGCTTTGTGACTTCCAGGCTGACGTCTCGCGCGGCTCTGGTCCTCTTNGCATCCACTGCTTCTTTCTTCTTCGGCCAGTCTCTACAGACATCAATGTTGCTGCGAGGAAAGCACAATTCGAGAAATACAAAGAGTAGGTAATCTACAACGACGCAGAGCACGAAGAGCTTGCCAGCCCAGATACCACAACCGTAGTATCTCTTCAGACGATCGATCAAGGCAAAAGACTGTGAAGCAGGAGAGACATGTTTCCCGTAGTGGCGCCACTTGGCATCCTGTTGATCGGTGTAGAAATCATTGTAAGACTGCTCCTCGTTTCCAGTAATCAGGTCGTAGACACGCTCAGTGCGGCGAGCAATGTCGGACCAGCTATACATCATGCGGACCTGCTCATGGAAACGGTCCCTACGAACAACAGTACGTTTCTGATCTTGTCCCATCAAGAGACCTACAGCTTCGCTGGTTGCACGAACAAGGTCGTCTTCTTCAGGCTTGGCAAATACGGTCATGTGGCCAGGAAGGACTTCGGGAATTCCGCCAACCCTGGTGCAAACAATGAGTAGATTGCAGCTTGCAGCCTCTACCAGGACGGTTCCAAAGGCTTCGGTCAAGCTGGGATGCAAGTATATGTGACCTCGAACCATGACATCACGAACTTCTTCGTGACGCACAGGACCCAGAAGGGTTACTCGATCGTGGAGAATATGACGGTCGAGCATCTGCTCGAGGTCGATTGCCTTTGGCCCAGAGCCGGCGATTATGAAGCGGACGTTGGGGTGCGAAGCGAGGATGCGCGGGATGGAGGCAATCAGAAGGTCGGTTCCCTTGTTGTAGAAAAGACGAGAGATAACGACAATGGTGATTGTGTCGTTCGGGCCGAGTGGCTGGGAGGATTGGGGAGGTGGAGGTGGCAGAGCAGAGCGCATCGAAGGCTGGGTGGCATCTTGAGGATGTAGAGGACGGAAGTTCGAGGCGACGACGGCGTTGGGAATGACCGAGACCATTAGGGGATCAAGAGAGGCGCGGAGGACGGTGTTTTCTTTGCACGTGTGACTGACGCAGATGACATGGTCGACATCGCTAAGGGTAAACTTGAGCAGCTTGTTGGTCAGGATGCTGGCAGCGTCGGCGAAGCCAAAAAGACTGTGGTCAGTGAAGACAGTGCGCAGGCCCATGGTGCGAGCATGAAGGATGGCCTCGTGGCACAGACTGCTCAGACTGGCATGGCCGTGGACGATCTGGATCTTCTCACGAACGACAATGTTGCGGAAGATGGGGAAGAAGGAGAAGACGGTGGGGAAGGTGGTCTCGCGGTAGACGACAAAGAAGGGCACGTGGTAGACCTTGAGGCCGTTGGTCAAGTAGCGGACGCCAGTGCGGCCCTCGTACTGATGCGTGATGATGATGACCTTGTGGCCGCGGTCAATGAGCTTTTGCGACAGTTGGTAGATGTGGCTCTCGACGCCTCCAGGCTGGGGAAAGAAGAAATCGCTGACCATGGCGATGTGGTAAGGCATGGTGACGGTTGCATTGTCGTGCTATGCGCTGAAGCAAGCAGCAGTGATCAAGGAGAAAAGGAGCAGAGGAGGCAGTGACGACCGACAGCCTTGAACAGTGTGGAGCAACAGCAGGCGCGACGCAGCCGCAAGGCCTAGACGTCCCGATCGGCATGCCGACTCGAGCGGGCACTTCGGGCTTGGCTATGTGCGATAGCCGGGCGGTGAGCGAGGGCTTCTCGTTTGTCGTCGATGGATCAATCGAAAGTCTCTCGCCCAAGCACATTCCACATGTACGCTCGTTACGTGCCACCCAAGCCTACTGCGCTGGCCGCAGCTGACACCACCACCGTCTCGCACGACTCCGTCTCTTCGAAACCAAAGCAAATCAAGGTGCCAAAGGGCCCCTCTCGATCCNGACGACAATGGCAGAAAAAGAGAAAGCGTGCAGAGATAGACAACCCGCCCGCCGCCGACCATGACAACGACCACGATGCCCCCGCTATTCCCAGCAAACACAGCGCCGTCTATACCAAGTTTCAGAAGGCTGCCCAACGATCCGAGGCTGCTAGGGCCGCTGCGCCCAGCGACCATGTCGACTTGGCCGATCAGCCCGAGCTGCACGGTATGCGCTATCCATCTCACGCGCTTGCTTGTGACTCGCAGTCTGACCGCCATGCCTAGNATCTGATACCGCTGCCACAACCTGCTCGTGCCCCGACTCCCGACTTTGTGCCTTCCTTCTCCTCGCTGCCGCAATGGCTCGCCCAACCGACCGTCGTTTCTCAGTCCACCATCCGTCCTTTCAGCGACCTTTCCTTATCCAAGAAGACCCTGGCCCACCTCGAAGCTAGGGGCTACACGACTGCCTTTGCCGTTCAAGCTGCTCTGCTTCCTCTTTTGCTGCCGCACCCCTATCTGACCCATCTCCCGCCGAATGATGTCTGTGTCAGTGCCCCGACCGGTAGCGGCAAGACTTTGGCATATGTGCTTCCCATCGTCGAAAATTTGCGCACAAGGCTCGATACGAAACTGCGCGCCGTCATTGTAGTACCTACTAGAGAGCTCGTCGCCCAGGCATATACTGTCGCCTCCACTTGCGCCCAAGGTTCCGCCATACAGATCGCCCTAGCCGTCGGCAACCAATCTGTCGCTGCCGAACAGGACTTGTTGGTCAAGAGGGGTCGAGCATACGACCCTGAACGCCATCGTTCGCTTATGGACAAGGCCAGAAAACGGCAGTGCTTTGAGCTAGATTCGGATCTGACCGACATCGAGGCTACTATGCTCGACGACGTCGTTCGCCTCCCCATTGGCTATATCCCCACCTACAGCTCGGCCGCTGACCTCCTTATTTGCACCCCAGGTCGCCTGGTCGAACACTTGACTGCCACTGCTGGCTTTACTCTGGACCACGTCGAGTGGTTGATCGTCGACGAGGCAGATCGTCTGTTGGACCAAAGCTTCCAAGAATGGGTGGCAAAGGTGACCGCCGCCTTGGATGTCCAGAAACCTCTTTCTACACCGAACCCCGAGACCGCTGCTCTACGCCATCTTATGCCACGTCGCGACAGATATGTTAGAAAGGTCATCCTAAGTGCTACCATGACTCGAGACATATCCAAGTTGAGTGCTCTCAAACTAAGACGACCTACTATGGTCGTAGTCAAGACAGAAGCTGAGACCACTCTCAATCATGAGGCGACCACGGCAGAGGGTGCAGACGGCTTTGAATTGCCCACCACTCTCTCAGAATTTGCCATTCCTGTTGGTGATGGTTCTGATAAGCCGCTCTTTCTGCTCGAACTTCTCAGATCCAAGATTTTCTTAAGCTCGACCCCCAACACGAAGAAAATCGAGGACGATAGCTCGTCGATGAATTCATCTGATACCGATTCGTCTTCTGATGATGACTCATCTTCCGATGACGAAAGCGAGTCATCGAGTGATTCTTCGGATGACGATGTTGACGAAAGTTCTGATGATAGCAGCAGCGACAGTGAGAGCGAGAGCGAAAGCGAAAGTAAGGTGTTATCAACCTCAATTGTACCTAAACAACCAACAGGCTTGGCTTCGAAACCGACGGGAAGCAATATGGTTCTGATCTTCACACCTAGCACCGAGGCAGCAGCCCGTCTACACCATCTAGTCACGCACATCGAACCATCCTACAAGACTGCCACACTTCTCCTCACTAAAGCATCTACGAACCTCAACTTCAACACCTCGTCTCCTCCGCGTATCATAATCTCGACCGATCGTGCTTCTCGCGGTCTTGACCTGCCGTTGCTGACGCACGTCATAAACTACACCATTCCGCGTAGTCTGGCATCCTATGTGCACCGCGTGGGTCGTACAGCGAGAGCGGGACGAAGTGGTGAGGCTTGGACACTATTCGCCGAGAATGAAGGTCGCTGGTTTTGGAACGAGATTGCGAGAGCCAAGGGTATAGGCAGAAGCACGAAGGTCGAAAGGACGAACCTGAAACTCGCTGCTGAACAGCAAGAGGGTGGAGAGATGCGCGACAGATACGTCGATGCGCTTGAAGGTATGAAGGAGATTGTGACCAACAAGAACGTGAAGCCTAGAAAAGGCAAGAGCAGGAAGGACGACGATGTGGACATGACTGGTTGATTTGTTCGTGTAATGCAAACAAGTACCGCGTATGCGTACGGACTGGCTTTTTCCTACCACAGAATCAGTCTGTTTTGACCGCAGTCAATCCTGAGATATCTCCTGCAGAAAGTATCTTCTGTCCTCTGGTCTCAATCAGGCACCAGATATAATGAGTCTCTATGTTCGCCTCGAGAGGTCTGGTTCGGCCATTTGGCTACCGATTCTGGCTCGTGGTGGAAGCCTAGCTCAACCATCTGTATAGAACTTACTGCATAGCCCTCCTAGAGAGATCTCTTCACATTCTTATTACTTGGCGCACCCACCGCGGGAACTTTGACCCACGGAATATGGCGAGCCGTAGACTACATCGCGATCTCCTGGGCATCGCTACGATTTGCGATAAGGTCAATAGGTAGAGGGATAGAGAAGGTGTGGCAATCATAAGGAAGTCGGCTACTGACGGCTTCCTGCCAAATTACTGCTAACTCTAACCAGCCACAAGACATGTGCCATTAACTCTGGTCGGCAACTTATCGAGAAGGATGCGGCGATGACTCTGCGCCGAGTCATCGATGCCATGGCACCATGCCAAGGTAGTGCACATCAATGTATCGCAAGGACTATCATTGTGGAGCGTAAACTCAGTCGCAAAGGTGAATCGAGGCGACTGCTGTATTTATGTACTGGAAATAAAAAGAAACAAAAGAGATGCAATCAATGACGAAAAGAGAGGAATACTGATTGTGCAAAAGCCTTCGTTGCCTATCAGACACACAGTATTGGTTCGGCATGGCTATCTTGTCACAGTTGACGTGTGTTTAAAGTTGATACAAGCGTGTCACTATGTGATGTAGATAAGCACCCCCACCTCTGCGCTCTGCGCAATTGATCTTGTGAATCTAAACAAGGGGTCGACAGGCCGCTGCTGACTCGGTTACGGAGGCGGGCACGAAGCGATTGTGCTTTTTTCAGGATGACTCGAAGGGCAAAGGCAGCGAAGATGGAAACATAACGGATGTGAGGTGTTCCGCGCCCCGGCTCTCCAGCATCTACTGTACATGCAGGTGAGCCTGGCGGCGAAATGAAGGTTGTCGAGTGAAGTCATCTTACCCGTGCTTTCACGTGCTTTAACTTCATCCTCCTACAGGTACAAATTCAAAGCTCGCGATATCACACTCCTTACTGAGGCAGACGAGTCAGTGATGAGCTATCGTCCAAACCTTACCGTGTCGCGAAAGTTGCCTGTGGCCACCTAAGCTACTCTATGCATGCTTCTGTATGATAGGTCAAGACTGTCGGTCCTCGTCGTCAAACATTGACGCAACAGTTGTGAGTTTAGTAGTGTCGGGGGATCGACCTTGTCTCTTTTGCATATAATTATTCTTGTCTCTCAACCCTTTAGCGCGAAGGTCAAACCGTGATTTTTGATACGAGGATAGAGTATGATGGGCTACTCAGTAGACGGAGAAAGGTTCTCGGATGACCATCCCAATTGCTACCAATGTCCCTTGATCGAGGATACACTGTATCGACACACAGTATCGGAACACGCCCCGAAGCAGATTGCTAGAGGTCGACATGTACTTTCGTATGGTACGTGTACGATATCTGTTCATTGCAGACCGCTCAGGTTTACTATCCGTACCAGGCTCACGCAAGGGCAAATGTACAATGACTGTGTACAGAGTGGACAAGCAACACATCGAAGCAGAATTGAAGTCTTGCGTCCTGCTTGAGCTGCCCGGTCGGTCGTGTGTCTTGCGAACGATATCTGCTGCCCTTAGCTCCACATGAACCGGTCACAATTGCTGTTTCGTAGACTCGTTGGTCAGCTTGCGCGTATGCAGCAGATATAAACGTGTACATTGCAACGCATGTATGTACCGTACCTTCTGCACCTGTCCTGTAGATCATGATTCACAGAGATCAAGGTCACGTGGTCGCTCAACTTGAACATCTGCCTTATATATCAGATGTTCCTGCCTAACACAATACAGACCTCGTTGGAAGACGTGAGGGAAGCGTATGCACTTGTCGCTTTTGGCAAGTCTATAGCTAGGTACAGACGGGAATAACAAACCCATACCTAACGCATGTCCTAGGCAACTAGGAACAGAGGCACAACCAAGCGCAATCCGAACAAAGACCGATGACGCTACCGATTCGGGAAGCTACAGAAAGCATGACGGGCCTGGCACCGATCAGTTGGCGAATATCTTATCCTCTTGCGGGCTAAGCGGTTACGAGCTTTTTAGTGGCTTTCTGTGCGGCCGTCGGACAAACCTGTGCACTTCGAACATGCACTGGAGACCGCGTAGCTAGCTACAGACACACGTATTAGCTCTGCAGAAGACTGACCTGCAATGCCAGTCCCAAGCCTGTACAGCTACTTAGACTCGGTGAGAAACCCGCCCGTATTCGCGGCCAGTCAAGATCGACAATTTGAGTTCCATCGTGACCTGTCAGGGTCCAGGCCAAGAAGTGGACGACAGACACGCGGCAATGCGAAGTCCACGTTGTAGAAAGACCCTGACAGCAAGCAGGCTCTATGGACCATCAAGAACCTCGAACCGTACGCTTCGAAGTCAACAACTTCTGGGGCTGATATCCAAAGCACAGAAGCCAAGTGTCTCGACGACTTGTCGCGACTCGCCATGGTGATGCGAGAATTCGGCTGAAGTGCACGTTCACATCGGCAGCAGTCCAATTTCCTTGGGACCCATAGACGGTTCAGGGTCTTCTCTCAATAATGGCCCTGTTTAGCCGGACTTCTGCTTGACAAATGGAAACAGGGAACAGATGCTCCACGAGTCTGCGCTTTTGTTGATCTGTAAATCGCAGGGCGCAAGACGGAGCAAGCGGTTGCACGATGATTGTCGAGCTCGTTTGATATCCTTACCGACAGTTTGGTGTTTCTCGAGCACATGGCGACCCGAGATTCGCAGACAGATGTTGTGGAGAGGTGCCGCAGTGTCGGTGAGAGGTCGTCTTGAGACCAATCAGGTGGTTAGGCTTAAGATGCCAAGGCAAGGCGCACCTCTCCTTCTAGAAGGACGTTAATGCGGAAGAGGCGCATAGACAAGTGCTTGGTAAGGCCGGTGGAATACGATTGGCAGGCGTTTCTGCGGCACATGGCAGAAAGTTGGCGGTCCAACAAAAAGGACAAGAGCGGGACCCAGCGATCTGTGGTGGTCAGCAATTGCAAGATAGGGCATAGCAGCCGTTTGCTCAAGATGTAAATTGGCAAGCACGGTGAGTGCGCTCTTCGGCTGCAATGTCCGTGGATGCAAACGACGGGGAAAGGAACATGGGCGGTGGTACGAGACAAGTGACAGGTAGATGCAACCGTGCGGCCGTAAGAAGGCGTTTGTCTAGGGATGGAAGCAGAGGCAGGGGCTTCATGGTTTCGGGAGGGAAGCGAGGGCCAGGACAGATGGGCATGAAAAGGCGTGGAAGTTTGCACAGAAGAAACATGGTCGGAACGAGGATGGAGGTGCACCCAAGGCCGATAGAGTGGCAGGGTGGGCAAGATCGGATGGTCGTGTCTGGCGCAGTCTGACTCGACGTCACACATGTCTTCAGCTCAGCGACATAAGGTTCGCGGGTTTCTGAGTGTCGTCGCAGCGGCGCTAAGATTGAGTTCCCACTGCTGCAGCTCGCTCGAGTTTCCTTTCCTCGAGGCGCCTTGGCCACAGTGACGCTGTCGCAGGCATGCCAGGTCGGGCAGTGGATATAACCGTCCAGCGAGCACCCTGCTTTTGTTTCGCTGCTCTGTAATCTTGAGTCGATCCGCCTGACGAGACTCGCCATTGTTATATATAACTGAAGCATTGCTTCTCGCCCTGACGCTTCGTTTTCGGTCAAATCCCCTGCACGCAACCCAAGCCCGCTGCTCAAAACAAGAGTGTTGGCAGTTCCACTAGTCTCTCTGTCAATTCGAGCCGTTCCCCTTTGGTTTCGTCGTGCCGCGAGCCGCCGCCCAGGCCATAATTTGAGCACTTTCGAGCTGCAAACAAGCCAGCAGTCAAAAGAACAACAGAACCGAGAGACACTTCGATAGAGTTTGCCGGGGTTACATAATCCTCGCCTCGTCGCCTCGTCGTCCCTACGACTAGAGAACCCTACACCCTGCCCTTCCTCTAGACTGCCTGCTGTTGTTGCTCACTCCCTCACAACTCCGGAACCGTCTCACATACTGGCTACGCCACCACAACTGCGTCTCGACCATCGTTCTGAAAGGGACTCTACTTTCAATCTGGAGACCTGGTGTTGTTATTAATTTTTGTGTTTTTTTCGCGACGCGCATCTCCTCCCGAGAAGTCCCAAAAATCCACCCTGCCAACATTCTCTCTTCACTGCGAACGCCATGGCCTCGTCGGCATCGCCCATAGATATTGCCACGCCGCGCGCGTCGCCTCCCAACCAGACATCCAACTTGACCAGCCAACTGCAAGCCGCGAACGCACGCAGCGGCGACACTCAGCCGCCGACTTTCATGGCCAACATGGAGCGTCGCGGCAGCGAATTCAGACCCGACAGCTTGCGTCACGGCTCCATTAACATGGGCAATTCATTCCACTCACGGCCCATCTCGATGCGCGACCGTGGCCGCCGCGACAGCACTAACCATGCTGGCAGTCTCATGGCTGGAATGAGCTGGGGAGGCCTCTCTGTTGGCAGCTTCATTCGTGACGAGTAAGTTCGCTCTAGCTGTGCAATCTCGACAACTCGCTGACACTGGTTCTAGTNNCTAATCATGGCCGGCACTTCGCCATACAACTTCCAGTCACCATCGTTCCACTCGTCATCATATCTCCCTAAGATGGAGGCAAACTTCATGAAAGACTACATCTGCTGCGGCATCACCCTCGACTCGCTACACGAGTTGCTCCAGCATTACGAAGAAGCCCACGCTCAAGTCCCTACACAGACCATGGGCCGCACACCCAAGGAACACCTGCTTGCCAACGCTCGCAACGCAAACGCCGGTACTGCCGCCCAGATGCTGCAGCAGCAGCAACAAAGTCAGCCCCACAACCACCAACAAGCCCCTCAGTTCGATCATCCCTCGGGCCTCTCTCAAGGTCTAGCTCGCGATCCTCTGCAAGACCACGACATGGATGACATGGACATGGACATGGACGATTCGAGCACCGCTCCCGCCGTACAGGACCCTTATCAGAGCCACCAGTTCCAACCTCAACCACAGTTCGGCAGGCAGCAGGCCAGAGCGCCGTCACTCAACATCGGCATGGCCAGCGCTTTCCAAAATACACAACAAGTTAACAACGTATCGACGCCCACAACGCCACAACCTGGTCAGAACATGCAGCTCGGCGGCTTCAATCCCACCGTCTCATCCGTCAACACGCCGACTTTTGGACAAACTTCGCAGACCGTCAGCCCATCCGAATCCACCGTACACACACCTGGCGAGATCGATCCATCCAATTTCAACACCAGCATGTCTGGCTTCGGATTCCCTGACATGAACGGCCAACAGGACGAGTCGCGCTGCATCGACGATCCTGCCAAGCGTCTGCTCAGCAAGCAGGGCGGTATGGGCGGCTTCAAGAACCCCAGTCAATTTGCCAACAACAGCGAGCTGGCCAAACGTCTTCGCGAGCAACAACTCATCCAAGGGTTTGGTTTCCCCGGCGAAGAGGCTAAGCCCTTCCGCTGCCCCGTCATCGGCTGCGAGAAGGCATACAAGAACCAGAATGGTCTCAAGTATCACAAACAAGTGAGTTGTCCCCGTCGTTACCACAAGTTCCTCCACTAATCCGCTTACNAGCACGGCCATCAAAATCAGCAGCTCAAGGAAAATCCCGACGGCACGTTTTCTATCGTAGACCCTGCTACATCCATTCCCTACCCCGGCACAGTGGGCATGGAGAAGGAGAAACCTTACCGCTGCGAGGTCTGCGGCAAGCGCTACAAAAACCTGAATGGTCTCAAATACCACCGTCAACATTCGCCGCCATGCAATCCCGACCTCAAACTCAATCCCGCCGCCGTCCCTCAAATGTCGAGCGGCATGCAAGCTATGAATGTTAACGTCGCTGGAGCCGGTCTGTCTATGGGCATGGACGATGGTCTGGGCTACTAGTCCCTCTCTCACTGCTCTTTCGATACATGATCCACCAAAGGCGTTCTGGCGGCGCCATCGTGTCTTGCTGTTTCACGACACCTCCGCTTCACTTTGTGATACCCTGCACTGACTGATCCTCCTTTTAGGGAGGATCCCGTCCTGCTCTTTCCTCTTTTCTCGGGTTTCTGGTGTTTTTTGCGGGTTGTTTTTCAAAATGTTTATGCTGTCACTTTTGGTTGTACGTTTTTGGAGGAACAGTGTGGCGTTATGGACGTGTTAAACACACGGATGAAGGGTTTCGTCGCCCTCTCGGCAGGTTGCTACCATGGTTACGAGAATGACAGGCAACGAACGTGTCGATTTTTGCTTATTCGTAATAGACATGGCGCTGGTTCAAAAAGTTGGAGCAATCAGGCATAGTATTCACTCACTTCACAAACTGCTTTTGTTTACATCTTGCTCTTCGTGCTGTCAAGCTGGTTTTTGGGGGTCTTCTCAGCATCTGGACGCTTCTTCAAGACCCTGTCTTACGTCTGTGTTACTAACCTTTAGGGGGCGTAGACGTCGTGCCACGAGTATGGGAGCCTCAAATGTTCGGTTTGACATTCTGGACCCTGAGGACGCACGGAGCTCTGAGTCGTGACCTTGTGACTTCTGACCTCCTCTGGTATCGGACCGAAGCGAGTCCTGTGGTAACCTCACGTCCCAGGCAGGCGGCTCGTCCTTATGCAAGCCATTTCAGTCTGTATCGTCTCGTCAAGTCATGCTTCCACCTTTGACGCATGCACACCGCTTTGCTGTGGGGACTCGTGGAGTACTCCACGATCTACATCTATGTTTCGCGTATCCAACACAAGTCTCGAATCTAACCTGCCCAACGGCAATCTATTGTACACTCACCGTGTTCTCCAATGATGTTTCAGAAAGCACCTGCTTGATCCGTCAACGACACTAGCTACTTTGATACTGAACGCGGCACGGAACTGGAGCACAAGTAAGGGGCCGAAGGATTTGCAGCACGACCATTACGACACGCAAATAAATAGCACGTCGAGCCCTATTCACCTCGTTGAGCCAGCTGAGATGAGAGTCGGAGGTCCGCGGGCGAGGCTGAGTCGCGCTGTCAAACTTCCAGCTCGCGTGCCCGCCGTCTTGCATCTGAGCTCGACCTTCCAGCCAGGCTGACAAGTCAGTACGGTCATCTACATCTGCAGGCAAACAACGGCGTGAACAACGGTAGGGGATGAGAAACGACTACTATCTGAACACTAGTCACACACGCCCATACATGTACCGTGCTGACTACTTACTCCAAGGAGGACAACTGGCAAAAGCAAGTTCCAAAGCTCTAGTGGAGGCTATCTATCTCATCTCGGACTGTTGGCTATGCTACGCGTACATACACTGCCACATTCGTAACAACATCGTTCCTCCCCTAGTCTGGTAGATCCCAGCGATCGGTCGAAGGTTGGATTTGTGATGGTAGCCAGTGAAGATCGCTTGATAAGTAGAAGAGATCTTGGCAGATTGTGATTGTCGTCCAGCATGAGACGAGTGCCAGCATTCCAAGTCGACGTCTTCGAAGAAGCCTTTCAGTGGTTGCGCTCGACAATCTCCTTGGCGAATGTAGCAAAATCACGCTTCTCATCGACCATTTCCCAAAGGTTCGGTTGAGTAAAGACAGCCAGAGTGTTTCTTGCAACCTGACCACCTTTGCCAGGTGCAGCACCCTTGACAAAGTGCGGCACCGCTCTGAACTTACCCTTGGTGATGACCTCGAGAGCTTCACCAGTTTGGAAAGCAAGGCAATCCTTTGGGATGTTGACTTTGGTCACCTTGCCAGAGCGGGAATGAATGTATAGCCCGGCCGCCGGGTCCGGTGGCGAGGACAGTTCGGGCAACGTTGGGACTTCTGCAGAGTCGATGTGAGGAGGGTTGGCTGCTTCGTCGATGAACATGGCTGAGGTCAGGCCCGTCAAACAACCGTGATCCAGATGTGTCGCGCACCAATCGTCAGGTGAGCTCTCTCCCTCAGCTTGGTTCGTGGCTGGTGCATAGTAGTGGAGCAGACGGGCCTTCGTAGAAATGCTCGTCTTGACAACATGCTCGAGATAGCCTTCTTGGTATCGAGGCACATTCTTGACAGCATACCGGTCACAGGCCCGGGCAACCAGTGCAGCAGTGTCAATAATAAAGGTGCACAAAGACTGGAAGGCGTGCTCGAAGCCAGGAAGAACATCGTTGCTTGGCCAGATGTTTGCAGCAGTGTATTCTGGAAGATTGGGGAACTTCTCGACAGCCTTTTGGTGCAAGTCTGGGTTCTGTACGGGGTTGGCATAGTAGGATCCTTTAAGCGTGTCGTACCTGCCGTCCTTGAGCGTCTCTTTGCCGCAACTCCAGCCTACGAGATAGCTGCTTTGAGGATCCTCGAGATTTTCTNNTGGTGATATGAGTGTTTGGACACAGCGTAGAAGGAGCAAAGATGACATACCGAGCTCAGCCTGAGGTAAATTGGCCAGATACGAAGAATACGACAGCAGGGCCTTTCTCATGGTAACGAACTCAGATGGCAGGTCACGAACGACAATAATCCCCAAAGAATCGGGACCGAAAGCATCTTCGAGGGCCTCGAATGGCACGGAACCNTACACAATGATGAGATGGTCATGATTGCAAAGCATCTTGTTTACTGTGTTACCTGAGTGCAGGTCGCGAAGGCTTACGGTCACGGGCGATGCGGTTTGCACACCAGATTCGTTCAAATTGACCGCCATGATGGAATGCTTGGAGAGAAATGCTGAGGGTTTGGTGAACAGAAACAACAAGAAAACAGCAGAGACGAGAGATTAGATTATATCAAGGTGGTGGGTGATTTTTCTTCGGGCGGGAGCGCCGCAATATCAGCCGAGCTCCAGCGGCCATCGCCCACATCCGAGCGACAATCTAAACATGGTCAAACCACTCAGTTTCAAGGGCGACAAGAAGGTCAAGAAGCGCAAGCGCACTCGAGACGAAGATGTAGACGGCGATGGCCCTGCGGCGAAGGACATGAAGGCTGGCGCATCGCAGCAGCAGGATGACGACGAATCGTGGGTGTCTGCAGATGCAGTGAGCGACGTCTCAGGCCCCGTCATATTTGTGCTGCCGACCAAGCCGCCGACCTGTTTGGCTTGCGATGCCAATGGCAAGGTGTTTGCCAGTGCGCTCGAGAACATGGTCGACGAGTCGCCCTCGACGGCCGAGCCACACGACGTTAGGCAAGTCTTCGTAGCAAACCGCATCGCAGGCACCGACACGTTTAGCTTCAAGGGACATCATGGCAAGTAAGTCCGAATGCTCCTGCCCAGTCTGGTCCAAGGACTCGTCACTCACACGCCTGCTACAGGTNATCTCAACAGCGACAAGTTTGGCGTTCTCTCAGCCACACGCGACGCGATTTCATCCGAAGAGCAATTCACATTGCTGCCGTCCGACTCTCTCCTCTTCAGCATACGCACAACACGCGACAAGCTCCTCTCTGCTACCAGCGACAAGACGGTCGAGATCAGAGCCGACGCCGACGACGACTCCAGCCCAACATGTGCCATCAGGCTGCGCATGCAAGCACGCTTCAAGCCTGTCCACAAGGCTGCCAAGGAGGAGAAGGCCAATGAGAAGATCAGCAGAGCCCAACTCGAGCAAGCCGTTGGTCGCAAGCTTGAAGACAACGAGGTCAAGCTCTTGAAGAAGGCCTGGAGAGATGGCACATATCACGAAGCTTTGCTTGACGTCAAAGTCAAGGGCAAACATGACAAGTTCGCCTGAGACCTAAGGTCACTGAGCTTTGTCTATACGCTGCTGCTCTTACTGATTCTTGGTTGACACTGGTCTGATGCCTTTTCAAGCATTAGCAACCTCCCTCAGGGCAATTGTTCTTGCCTGACCAGCCCTTTGACTATAGAGGGATTGAGCTCGTGGTCAATCCGTGTCGTTGACGGCAATATGGAACGGGAAGGAGCAAACATGGGTAGCTCAGGAACGATGCCAATGGCCAATTCATTCTATGAGATGAAAAGACCATCCTGTATAGCGAATCAATACAGGTCAACGGCTTCAGCCGATTGCATGAAACTCTACCTGGACCCTCCCACGTACTTTGAGTTTCACAAGACCACGTGAGGCGGCTCATTCTGGTCTGTCGCTCTTCGACCACCCCTAGTGCTTGGGCTTCCCGCACTTGCCATCATCGTCCGCCTACTCATTCTCACAAACACAATACCACAGCTTTGCAGTACGATTCGCAGACCGGAAGACACACCATGAGTCTGCTGCTTATTTCCATCTTGGTCGCCGTGTGCGCTGTCAAGTTGTCCGCTCTTTGTGGCTTCGTGCTGTTCTCGATGGATTAAGGGACTGTTCGCCGCCTGCCTTCTTGACGACAACAGCCTGACATCACGCCTGTACCCTCACGAGTCGCCATCCACGTAACCTAAACATCGAACTGTGGGAAATCCCTTGTGCTAGGCGTGCATCTGGCCCTTGTTTCACTCCCATGGCTTTCTGGGATCAGATGCCTTATTCTAATATCAAACGCGATATATGCGAAAGCTCGCCAGCCGTGTCACCTATCGAGGTCAGCGGTATTCCCGGGCCACGATACCGAATTCCTTCTGGTGTCGGAATCTTTCTCCCTATTTGCAGCATGCATATATGCATGCACGAACAAGCTACCCGGGGTTGAGAGCCGCGTTGCCGATCTGCCTATGTCCGGAGCAGTACCTTACACTGGAACAACATCTATCGTTATATAAAGAGAAACCTACTGGAAATAATCGACGAAGTATCTGGTGTTTGCCTCAGAGGATGCTTATGCCGCGTGTAAGCGAAGGCCTACGGACTGACGTTTAGCTTCACTTCGGCGAGAAGGCCAGATGCTCATTCGACAAACTTCAAGCATTGCACTTTTCCATTCTGGTTCTAGATCTTCTAAGCTGCCTCGGATTGTATTTGTGGCGTAGTCTACGCTCGCCTTCCAAGAGAATGTGGCGGTTTGAACATTGTACCTGGCAATATCAGAGGCGCGTATCATTATTTCGCTCATGTCAATCGGAGTGTCTCGGTCAATGTTGTGACTCCTGGCGAGGATGTGGTTCATTTGGGCAGATTCTTTGTTTCAAGTCTCATGACTGGAGGATGTTGCACTTTCTTCCAAGGCAGAATACTGAGTTTGTTATCAACCTAGCTGGAAAAATGGGCAATGGTTTCAGCATAGTAGGATTGCTCATGGAGATTGACTGCCTCATATGCAATTCTGGTCGTATCCCTATCTCAAAGACTCTTCTGAACTCTCAAGATCTGTTTACCGTAGCAGACATGATTATAGCAGAAAATATGGCACTTTGACTGGTCAAGTATCTTTTCGCCGAGCACTCAGTGCCAGAAAATAGGTACACCAATTGGAAGACCGTTCGATAGTCCAGGCATATTGCAATATTTGTTTTGTGTTCGCTGTAAAGAGACAGGGTTCATTCTTGATTGAGCTAGCCGTAGGTAGAGGAGATCCAAGGAACCTAAGGACGGACATATTTGGCAGGCTAAGTTCCATCTTCAAGTCGTTCAATATTCGTTGGTACACTGTTCATGCTCCTTCGGACTATTGGATATTGCTCCGAGTTTCTCTTGTCAAGTCCCATCCTCACAAGATCATGTTGTCTGTCATTTGTATCTTTCCATTAGACAGCTCGAACGGTTGGATGCATACTTGAAGTGTCAAGATCATATCCCCATGAGTTCGTCCGCGTTTCGGGTCGTTCTTCGAACCATCAGCACACCCTTCTTGTTCTGCGGCAACCGGCGTCGCGAAGCGATCTTTGCGCCAAGTCATGGGGGCCTTGTATGCCTAAAACTCACGCACGCACAGTGCATGAGTAGCTAGATGGGCTATCAAAACAACAGAATCCTCGGTTTATGGGCCGAGATGCAGCAGGTTTTGTCAGCCTGAAGACTTACTCATTGTTTCTTTGTTGTTTCGGAGCCAAGTCGGATCGCCGATGTTGGTGCTTGCTTTGTCTAGTCTTCAGTCTGGTTTTCTCTCTTGGGCCGCAACTCATCCCGAGAACCTGATGGACGTGAGACTTTGTTCATGTATTGGGGATGAGTTGGAAGTGAATTGTAAAGGTGTGTTCAATTCATTTGATTCTTGATTCTGTCCAAAAGATCACGTTCCGAGAATTTTCGTCTATGTATGTTCATGATCCCGTACCAATTATCCACACTCCTCTCAATCCAACAACACCATGTAGCGACTCGTTGACTTCCTTCTTCATAGAAAGTCGTACCCGATCGCGTCATGCAATCTAGATCACATAGATCTTGCGACAGATCGCTAAATCATGTCGATGATCGAGCCACATGTTCAACCCGTCTCGAGCGAGGTGTGATATCCGGATTACTCGGATTAGTGGGAAGAGTATTGTAGTCTCAATGTTCGCAATATATGCGCTGAGAAGATCAACAGTCTTGAGACCGGACCCCTGCTCACATTCATGGGCGAAAGTCGAGTGTCGCGTTTAGAGCAACACCTACACCAAAGTTTTGTGCGTACGATGCGCATAGATATTACTTTAGAGTATTCATCAGGCGTCATAACCGTACGCATGCTGAGGAGCGCCTTCGCGGTATGCCATGGGCTGTGCNGTTCGGGGTTGTCCAGGCATAAAGTGAGCCGACGCGCCATTCGGGTTGTAAGCGGGAGGNGCTAGGCTGCGAGGTGCACCATGGAAGTCAGAGGTGGCCGATGACACGGGTGGTGCGCTGGAGACAAAACCGGCGTGGCTTTGTTGATCATGGTAGGTAGGAGTTGCAGAAGCGGCGTATTGAGGCATGCTTTGGAAATCAGGATGAGCGCCAATTCCAGTGTTGTGGAAGGCAGGTGCAACAGAGGATTGCGCGGGCGCCTGAGCAGTAATGGCTTGCTGGAACTGAGCCGCTTGCGAGTGGCCCGGGTAAGTCATTTGATGTGCTGGCGAAGGGTAGTTTGTTTGTCGGTCACTTTGGCGGACCTGGTAGGCATACGAAGAAGCCGAAGGAACGTCCTGGGCCCTCCAAGACGCAGCACTCTGACCAGCAGTGTGCTGGGCCCCTTCAGGCATGAACGATGCTGAAACTGGCGCGCTACCAGGGCTGTACTGGTTGTGTCGCCTCCAAGCTTCGGCTGGCTGGGGAACACTCCTGCTCGTAGCTGAAGACGAGGGTCTGGGAATGTTCACGCCGGCACTCAGGTGAGCCTGAGGCGAAGACTCGGGCGCAGAGACACTGTACTGCGGCGGTGCTTTGTCTGCAGCTNNTTTCTTGTTAGTACAAGTCATGTCAATTCATGTTCAAGTGCGCTTACCATCATTCTCGTTGACGTTGATGGTGAATGTTTCGCCCGAGAGCCTGCTTCGAAGATAGGCGTTCTCTTCCTCGAGCTCTCGGTTGCGTTGCTGTGTAGCCAGGTACAGCTTTTCTCTGGCTTCTTGAGTGCCAGTCAGTTCGCTGATTCGTCGCTCGAGGTTCTCGATGTGATCCTTCGTTCTTTGACGAATGGCTCTTTGTGCTTCTCTGTCGTTTGCGCGTTTCCTTTCCAGCTGCGCGGCCGAAAGGGTAGAGACACTACGCGTCCCGGCTCTGGAAGCGCGTTTCGAAGGNGGCTTCGACTGGCTACCCGAGTCTGAACTGTGCATAGTACCACTCGGGCTTTGGCGGGATCCTGATGATGCATCCTGATTCATGTTGAGATCGAATCTGTAGATGTTCGAACAAGGCCAGCCCTAAGTATAACAATGTGTTGTTGAAGGAGCTGGAGCGAGTCAAGAGAAGATGAAATATATCAACTGCCGAACACCTGATATGGCCAGCGAAGATCGCCAAGGGAATCCCGGTGGTCAGTGAGCCAATGGGGAAGGGCTAGGGGCAGGGACGTCGTTCGACTTGAGTCGAGTTGGGTGATGATGCACGACAAGGTGAAGATCGGGGGCAGCTTGAACAGAGCAGATGGACAAGGCAGTTTGGAACGAATATAATAGACAGAGGGTGATGGGGGCAGAAGAGCAGATGTGAGGAGCAGTCTAGCCCTAATAATGTTGTGTTCTTGAATCTCTGCGGGCAGCGAGCGATGGGCCTTTTAGAAACATTGGACACGGACTCGGACTCACTGAACCATGGCTGGATAGCTCGAGATCTGGTCAGAGATGCACACACCGCAGCCGCACCGCACATGACGAAAGAACTTTTAGTCTGCTCGTTAGCGGCTTTCGAACCCTGCGTGGAAGACAGGAAGAGATTTTCTGGGCGACTGTTGGACCTGGCGGGAATAATGGACAAGTGTTGCGCGCGCGCACGCGTGAGATGTCTGCTGCACAGACTGGTGGTAGACTAGGCAAAGGGTCACACCCGCCAATTGTAGAGCGAGGAGCGGATTTGGTGCGAGGACATTCACCACGGCAGATCACCGCTTGAACGCCACGCCGGCGCGTTGCATGTTACGGTTTCTCATCTCCAGGCCCGGCTCCTGATTAGGCTTGGTCCGAGGCAACTGCCACGTGTGGCATCTACTGCTTTGCTGCCTTGTACCTGACGTTTCGACCAGATTATCAGGAAGCCATTTCAGCTGCGACTCAACAGGCTGCGAGACTGAGCAGAGTGGCTTTGCAGCGTCGTTTCGGCGTGCCGGATTGTGTCGACTGCCCCGTCCGCTCGTACGTTTACGCCATGCCGTCGCGAAATGAGGGCCCGAAAAGTGCAGTCCTCTCTTCTCCATTCCTCCTTCGCTGTTCCCTCCGGACCACGGGCTTGTTGCTTCTTAACTCAGGGTAAGCTATTAGCTATTTAGGTTGGAAGCCTCGAAACGTGGCACCGACGCCCAGGCCGTAGGATCTTGGTGTTAAACGTTTACCTTTAATCCCGAGATTGTGTGATAGAGTTCTTCTATCAAGTGTAGCTTTGAAGCTGGAACATGAAGGATTGTCTGACGCGCTAATGGCTTGTTTGGTGAACTTTGTTCTGTACTTTTTACCCCATTCAGGATGTCTCGAGATAGCTAGCTTGTTGCTAGCAATGACGATGGTCAATTTGGGCAGACGAAAGAAATGAGCCAGCCCACTCGGGTGCTCGTACAAGAGAGGGATCTGCATACCGCCGCTGTACCGAGGGCCGGAAGTTAGTCTCTGCTCTTAATCATCACTTCAACGCGTATGTGAAGAGCAAAGTGTTCTTCGATGGCTTGTGGGTTAGATTTGTGCGTCTGGTTAGGTAACGTGTGAATTTGATGAGACCATCACGTAACGAGGCTCTTCCGGCGCTGGCCAGTGGTCATCGCACAACAAGCCGTGAGTCTGGGCACCGGCGCGACCGGGGCTNNCTTTCGTCGAATGTGGCTTGGCAGTTAGATACCTACTCCTTGACCCAGCGTATCGGTGGCTTTCTGGATTTTGGGAGGGCCCTTGCAAGCACGACCGGTGCCCAGCCAAGCGGCGCGTCCATCGTCTAGAATTGGGCATCCGGTTCCCACGAGGGATTGGATTCGATCAAAACCAAGCAACGCTCTACAGAACCTAGAGCAGAGAGCACATGGAAAAGAGTTCGTATGAGTCGTGCCAGCTTGACTCGAAACAAGGTTTTCTGCATCTCAAACCTTCCGTCGGCCCATTGTCCGAGTTTGATAGCTGAAAAGCTCCATGCAGCGTGACATCTTAACTCTGGAGAGGGAAGACGGGCGGCAGGAAGCGGCTGCTGACGGACTGAAACAGGGAGGATCATTCTATCAAGGTTTGCTTAGCTGCCAAGTTCATTCAAGCTTGTACTGGAAATACTGCAGAAGCAATAGGCAATTCCGTCTTGTCTTCTTCGATGATACATATAACATAAACCATGACAGATTCTTCCAGCCTCTCCGAGGATTGAGGTCATTGTGGCCCGTCACAAACCCTGGCGTCTCTACCCCTACAAGATACTTTGCGCACTGAGACTCTGCTGCTACGAGACGAATTTTCTTCGATTGCTGGAGCACGTAATGATGCGCTTCCTTATTTAGCAACCACACGTCCCTGTAGGAGCCGAAATCGGCACTGGCGGACGCTAGATCGATAGGTACAGTCCACCAAAGCCGAAGTCGAGAAGCACGCAACGTGTGAGAGGTCCTTTGCCAAGTCCAACATGTGAAGTCTGCTTGTACACGCCCAATCATATAAGACTCGGACCGGTCCCGCGGGACGGAGAACGCTCGCAATTGAGTCGCGGAAGAACTGTTACAGATTCCAACGGGGGAGATTCCTTTGCAATGATGGTCCGTCCTCGTCCCCAAACAATCAATGCATACCGCCTCCAAATTTTGGAGTCCCGATGGGGTTGTGAAATCGTGGGTTATGACCACATATGGTGACATGTTCAGGTATTTTCGCTCTAGTTGCTTCTGCTATTGAGGCACTAGATGGCAACCACTGGGATTATCTCGTATCAATTCTACCACTCTTGCACCTCACCAGGCTTTGGCTGTTGTACGCGAACGACCTTGTCACAGTTGAGCAGACATAGAGGGTCGAGGGCAAGCTTCATCTGTGGTCGAGCGCGTCAGTTATGTAACGAGACGAGAATAGCGGAGCGGCGACCTGGGGTTGTGGTCTGCCTGAACGCGCCATCCATTACATGTTCGAGACTTACCTTTCTCATCAAATCGACAGTGCTGCGGCCGACCTCGTGCTCGAGGTAATCCCGCTTGACCATGCCAACGCCGTGCTCGCCAGTAGCTGTACCTTCCATCTCGATGGCGCGTTTGACCATGCGGTGTACAAGGTCTTCTGCGAGACTGTGTTCCTTGTCGTTGTAGAGGATGATGGCTNNGTACGAGTCAGTAAAGGACCGAGTGTGTTATTTGTTTGTTCGAGGAAACGCCTCACCATGAAAGTTGCCGTCACCGACGTGACCGACAATAGCTCCTGTCAGGCCGCTTTTCGAAATGGCTTCCTTGGTTTCTTCGACAATATCAGGCAAGCGAGAGATGGGCACTGCTACGTCCGTAGTCCAGACATGGTCACCATCATTCTGCTTCTTGGCCATGACGCTCCAAAGGGCTTCCTTCCTAGCGCTCCACAGTTCCAGTGCCTCGTCCTGATTCTTAGCAAACTCGAATGTCTTGCTGCCCGAAGACTTGGCAAGCTTTTGAACAATTGCAATGTGCTCCTTGACACTGGTGGCTGTCCCGCTGAACTTGAAGAACAGAGTAGGGGCTTCCTTCCACGAGCGCGAGGTTTGTCCGGCGTCGTTGATGCATCGCATCTGAACGTCATCCAGCAGTTCAATGGCCGCGATGGGCACGCCCTCGCCTACAACCTTGAATACAGCATTGGCTGCCTCNCTAACCGAAGCAAATGTGCAAACGGCAACACTTGTGTTTTGCGGCTTGACGGTAACTTTCAGCGTGGCTTCAGTGACCAGCCCAAGAGTGCCTTCACTCCCGATGAAAATACGCGTGAGGTCGTAGCCGGCCGAAGACTTCCTGGGACGTTGCTTGGTCTTGATAATGGTTCCGTCTGCGAGAACGACAGTAAGGCTCAGAACCCAATCCTTCATGGTTCCGTAACGATAAGCATTCGTGCCACTGCAGCCAGTGCCCACCATGCCGCCAATCATGGCGCCCGGGCCCGGGTCTGGAGGAAAGAAGAGGTTGTGGTCGGCCAGGTCCTCGTTCAAGCTCTCCCAGCCGACAGCGGGTTGAACGATTATGTCCAGATCATCCTTGTTCAGCTTCAAGATCTTATCCATGCGACTAAAGTCGATGCACACACCACCTCTTGTGGAAGCAAAATGGCCTTCCAGGCTAGTTCCTCCGGAGTATGGTGTGACTGGGATACGGCGACGGTGGCAGACTTTCATAATCTCACTCACTTGTTCGGTAGAAGCAGGCCTCACCACGCAGAAGGGCTGGTCGCCAGGGTGGGCGGGATACGAACTCCACTCAGAGCCTGCATGTGAGCTAAGATCCGAGGCCTCTGTCGAGATATTTTCCTGTCCAACAATGTCGCGGAAGTCGGTCCACGCTGCCTCGAGATTGGTGGGTGCGATATTGTGTTTGGGAGGATGGGCGGCCGCGAGTGGCAGCGTCGAGTTCGGGGCAGGGTCGGCTGGAGCTTGTTGGCCAGCGATATAGCCACCAATAGCACCGGTCAACAAGACNTGCGAGACATGAGCTTGTTGTATCTTGGACGAAGCATGGCAGAGGAACAAGATACCGAGCGGCACCATCCATACAGGTGAACCCCCAGAGCCTTTCTGAGCAGCGCGCATCTCGGCGAAGCGAAGCTGGTCTGCCCTCTCCCTTTGTAACCTTTGAGCAGTACTGTCGTACAATTGGCCCTTGAAGGACTTGCCTTCATCCTCTGAGGCATAGCCTCGTCGTCCTACAAGTCTCGTTACACGCGGTGCTTTCGCGAGCGCTCGGTTCAAGGACTGCGTCCTTCCGATATCAACAATGCCATTGCGAAGCATCTTTCCGGACTCCTGCACTTCTTTGGTCCAAAGAGCAGAGGTTGACTGACTCTTCAAAGAGGTGACAACGGGTCGGTGATATGGAAGCTGTTGCGCATGACGAGCGGGGAGGCCTCTATTGCGAACGAAACAATTCCTATCCAATCAGAGCCCAGCTTGCCCGCCCCCGCTCAAAGGCCAAGCATCATATCTTGACAGGGTGGTCTGGTCACCAACAATTTTGGTATCGGCAGGACCTTGGGCAACCACTAGGGGACTGAGATGATAGTTCTGCTACAAATAATCACAGCCTGATAAACTACAATGTACCAGATCTGATGCAAAGGGCAGACAATGTGGTGGTGTCCACTTGATCAGACGATAGACAGATATCACGAGATATAAGGAAACGTCTGGACAGTGAGGGTCTGAATCGAAGTCATCTTTTCATTTCTGTTTGATTTCTGGAGTACAGCTTGTGTTTCTGGATCCGCCATAGCAGACTAGCCGTAGCAGCCTGACACTCGAAGTCTTGATTGTCGTCGGATCATTCAAGTCACAACGTCGTGCGCGAACGCCCAAGACATCTAGTTCATGTCGTCAAGGCGCTCCTTGAGGTGCTCCTTGGTGTCGTCAGAGACGTTAGGGTTGTCAAGCCCAGCCTTGAGGCCGGCGGCGCTGAAGTATGTCAGTAAGGAGCGCGTTATGAACCAGCGGCTGCACGACTTACACTCTGGTAGGATCCTTGCCATCGTCGGTGTGAGAAGAGGAGGTGATGTCGGCAAGATGGTGCGAGACGTTCTCCTTGGCTTCATCAGAGACGTTGGGGTTGTGGAGAGCAGCCTTGAGACCGGCAGCGNNCTGGAGCACATTAGCACAGAGCGAGGTGGTTGCATGTCAGGAAGCATACACTCTCATGGGATCCTTGCCGTCGTCGTTGTGAGCAGTAGCGCTGGCGCCAGAGTTTGTCTCAGTGCCGAGCTCCTTCTCGATGACTTCGAGAGAGTGCTGCTTGGATTCCTCGGAGGTGTTGGGGTTGCTGAGGTTGGCCTTGTGGCCGCGAACGACGTTACCGATGTCAGACATTTTGGATTGAGTGGTTGAGAGTTGAGTTGACTTGGGTTGTGGTAGGAGTAGAGAAAGAAGTGGAAGTGGTGTGGTAGAGGAGAAGGAGGAGGAAAGTGGCAGGAACAAGTTCTTAAAAACAGCTTGTTGGCATTGAAGTGAAGCACGTAAGGTAGTCGTCTCACTCTTGAGTGAATCGCCAGGTAGCAGCCACCTGCTGTTTGTTTGTCTTACCGACCACGCATAAGTCTACAACACACATACAAAGACTTGCCATATTCTTTGCTTAGATTGGCACGGAAAAGCGTGTCCACCACAAGATCACTATACAGGCGGTACGTATCTGCTAGGCACCCTACAATGTATTCCCAAGGGTTGGTCTTAAAAGGGCTGTGGGAAGCATAACTATACGCCGTGCTAACAAAGCTCCAATGCAGATCCAGTTTATTGAACGAGGCAGACCAGCTGCATGTCGCGTTTACCCTGCATGATTGGAGCCTGGAAGGTCAGCTGAAGCTTATACAAGGTACTGAATGGACAGATGAGGCAGAGAGGCAAACGGGCAGACGAAGCTGAGGGAAGGTGAAGTTCAATGCTTCAAAGCAATCGCGACCTGGCGCGCTCGCCAAATGGGGGACAATGTAAGCCGATCCCTGCAAGTCGGACAGAGCGTGTCGTTCCTTCAATCCTTCTTTACCTGGTTTACCAGAATGCTTGACGGGTGACTTTTGTTTGAAGGATATGCAGCACAGATGGCATAGACCAATTCACATGAGATGTAGTCGTTAGATGATGATACCGGACCGGGGCCGAGGCCTCGAAACAGCCGAGGCATGTCAGTAAGCTGAATCATCTAAGAAGACTGGGGATACCATCGACAACAATCAATTCATTCCTACCTAACAAACCAGCCGTCATGTCGACCCTGATCAAGCCGCCGCCAGCTGATCCTAGCAAATCTGCAATCGAGAGCGTGCTCGAGCTCAAGCAATTGACCGACATCGATCCTGGTATTTTCACCAATACACGACCACTATGGCATCCTCCTGGCGCTCGAGGAATATACGGAGGTATGCATTCTCGATGTGCTGGATGAAGCTTCCACCTTCTCACGAACGATATAGGTGCCGTGATTGCACAATGTCTCGCGGCAGCGCAACGAACGGTCCGCGATGACTTCACCGTCCACAGCATGCACTGCTACTTTGTGCTAGCCGGCAACGCAGAGATTCCGATCATGTATCACGTCGAGAAGGTCCGAGACGGCCGAAGCTTTGCTACACGCACCGTACAAGCACGACAGCGAGGACGCCCCATCTTTACAACAACCATGTCGTTTGTTCGAGAAAACAGCGGAGGTGCCGAGCGGGTCGAACATGCAGTCGACATGCCGACAGTACCTGGGCCTTCGGAAGACTTGGACATTCCACAGCAAGACAACAGTCCTTTCCAAAGCCAACGCATCCATATCCTCAACCACGAATCAGGTCGGCCGCAGGACAAAAAGACAAGACAGTGGATCAAGGCTAGGGGCAAGATCAGCCCCAGTGGAGGACACCAGGCACATCTGTCGGCACTCGCATACATGAGCGACAGCTATTTCATAGGCACAGTGTCACGGGTGCACCGGCTGTGGAGATTCTCGACATCGGACAAGGACGGCAAGTCGACCATCGACAATTCTGTGCTTGAGAAGCTTCGTGACATGGACGACGATACGCTGCGGAGAATGCAGGGAATGGACGAAGATGTCATTGTTGCATTGAGAAACATGAAGGATATCAACAGCGTGGAACAGAGACGACCAGAAGTGGGCATGATGGTAAGTTGTGAGGTGCTTCTTCAGAGGACAAGAGACTGATGGACCGAGCAGGTCAGTCTGGATCATACCATCTACTTCCACTCGCCGCGCAATTTCCGTGCAGACGAGTGGATGTTTACCGAGATGGAGAGCCCATGGGCGGGGGACGGCAGAGGATTGGTATTGCAGAGGTAAGAGGTTGAGCAAAGGGAGACGAAGCAGCAAGCAAAAGCTAACGAAGCACNNAGAATGTTCACAAAGGACGGCGAGCTGGTTGCAACATGTGTGCAAGAGGTAATGACAAACAAACATGACAACCAGGATATTCTCAGGGCTGACAAGTGCATGCAGGGCGTGGTCCGACTAAAGGAAAGGGATGTGTCGAGCAAACTGTAAGGATGGATGGTGAGTCAGAAGTTAGGGCGTGGATGGAGTGACTGTAAGGCAGGGTTAGGGCGTGGTATTGGTCGAGGAGTTGATGGTAGGGCGTGTGTTTTGGTGGGGGAGCAGCGGTTATCGGCGGCGTCACACCCCCGCAGGGACATTTTTTCACACGATGTCGGCGGGATGCTGTCACAGCCCACCTGCGGTCATCTTCCAGTCAGCAGTATATACACACGACACGGCGCCAGCTTTCTCCCTTGGCATACACCTGTTTTCCTGTCGCCCACATCCAACACCGCCCATCATGCCCATGTACGACAAGCACGGCCCAAACTTGCACATGGCACGTCGAGATTGACCACATACACAGGCTCAAAGAACCATGGAAGAAGTACCCCAAATTCCAGCCTCTTGACCTGCCCAACCGCCAATGGCCCTCCAAGACCATCGACAAGGCTCCGCGATGGCTGTCGACCGATCTCCGCGACGGCAACCAGAGCTTGGTCGACCCCATGGACGGCGAGCAGAAATGGCGCTACTTCCAGATGCTCGTCAAGCTTGGCTACAAAGAGATCGAGGTCTCGTTCCCCTCGGCCTCCGACACCGACTTTGAATTCACCCGCCGTCTCGTCACCACCCCTGGTGTCGTGCCCGACGACGTCGCCCTCCAGGTCCTCTCGCCATGCCGCAAGGAGCTCATCCGCCGCACCGTCGACTCGCTCAAGGGCGCCAAANAGGCCATCCTCCATCTGTACCTGGCCACCAGCCCCTGCTTCCAGCGCATCGTCTTCAACATGAACAACGAACAGTCCAAGGCTCTCGCCGTCGAGTGCACAAAGTACGCCCGCAGCATCACCAAGGACGACCCTGAGCAGAAGGACACCGAGTGGTCTTACGAGTTCTCGCCCGAGACCTTCTCCGACTCGAACCCAGACTTTGTCCTCGAGGTCTGCGAGGCCGTCAAGGCTGCTTGGGAGCCGTCCGAGGGAAAGCCCATCATCTTCAACTTGCCCGCCACCGTCGAGATGTCAACACCCAACGTCTACGCCGACCAGATCGAATACTTCTGCCGCAACATTTCCGAGCGCGAGAAGATCTGCGTCTCTCTCCACCCCCACAATGACAGAGGCTGCGCCGTCGCCGCTGCTGAGCTTGCTCAAATGGCAGGCGCCGACCGTGTCGAGGGCACTCTTTTCGGCAACGGTGAGAGAACCGGAAACGTCGACCTCGTCACTCTGGCCTTGAATCTTTACACACAGGGTGTCCCACCCAATATCGACTTCAGCGACATCAACTCGGTCATTGATATCGTCGAGAAGAGCAACAAGATCCCTGTCCACCCCAGAGCTCCTTACGGCGGCCAGCTTGTCGTCTGCGCTTTCTCGGGCAGTCACCAGGATGCTATCAAGAAGGGTTTCCACTTGCGCAAGCAAAACGGCAACAACGACGAAGAACGCTGGCAAATTCCCTACCTTCCCCTCGACCCTCAAGATATCGGCCGCACTTACGAGGCCATCATTCGTGTCAACAGCCAGTCGGGCAAGGGTGGTGTCGCCTGGATCATCCAGCGTACCCTCGAGCTCGACATGCCGCGTGGTCTCCAAGTCGCCTTTAGCAAGATTGTACAAAAGGAGACGGACGCCCTGGGTCGCGAGTTGCAGCCTACCGAGATCAAGAACCTGTTCGTCAAGGCTTACCATCTCGAGAAGAACCCGCGTTTCCATCTCATCGACTATGATATCACCACCGACCGCTCAGTCTCGCCCGCACCGCCTACTGATGGCAAGACCGCCTCCAACAAGAACCTCAAGCGTCGTTTCAATGGTGTCATCGAGGTCGACGGCAAGGAACACCGCATCCAGGGTGTTGGAAACGGTGCCCTCTCGTCTCTTGCCAACGCTCTCAAGACCCTCAATATCCACCTCGACGTGGATGACTACAAGGAGCACGCCATCGGTCGTGGTAGCGACGTCAAGGCCGCCACATATATCGAGTGCTCGACCGGTTCGCACAAGGTCTGGGGTGTCGGTATTCACCAGGATGTCGTCCAAGCTTCCCTTATTGCCCTCTTGTCTGCCGCTTCCTCGGTGAGTCAATAAAGTCGTACCTCGGCTTGGTCCTTTCGCCAGTCTGATTCGTATCCTTTGCGCAGTNTTCTGTCAAGCAGACCCGGCACGCCGGTTCTTTTCAGTGCACCCAAGTTCGACTCGTTGAAGCCGAGTGACGCGCCGTCAAGCGGTCCAGACTCCAAGAGTCACGTCGTCGCAAATCTAGAAGCAAAGGCTGAGAACGGAAGTGCCCAATAGGCACCAGACACTTTGGTCTTCGACGTCGAGTCTTTTTTTTTTTTTATACGTGTGATGTCCCATTTTCTTTCTTTTGACTTGTCTTTAAAAATATCCCAGGTTGTTCATTTGGCTGTCTACAGAACATCAAGTAAAAGTTGCATTTTTGTCAGAACCTCTGCAATCCATGTTTCGTGCCATACGTCTGTGCTGTTCTTGCCTCTTTGCCCGTACTGCCTTCTAGACTTCTTGTTCCTCGGTGATATTGAGGAAGGAGCAAGTGAGGAGCGAGCAAGAGATACGCAATGAACGTGAAGCAGTGATCAAGCACCTACCAAGTGAGTTAGAAGAGAGCCACCTTAAACTGCAAAGCTTGATCATGTTGAGCAATGCAATTGATAAGAGTAATATCTATATGTTATGTTATGCACACTAGACTTGTATCATGCATCATGCGTCCCGTTCGTGTTTTTCTTTCCTGATACAAGGTATGCTGACACGATGCTGCTTCCCTCTGAAATATCTTGACCCAAGCATTCGAAACCGGCCGTACATTCCCAAACCACAACGTGAAGTCGAAAGAAGAACCAACAGACAAAACAGCAAGATGCTAATCTATCCAGTCGTCTATCTCGCATTCAGGTTCAAATGCTTCAATGCATTCTGTGACCAATCATCGTCGCTATCAATACTGGTGCGGTTGGCAACCCTCAATCCGCCCGACTGCTGCATTGGCATGTCCTCGGGCGAATCAGGCGCTCCGCCATAAACGCCTCTGTAGTCCGATCGAGGTGGTGGTTGATGCTGCTCGGGTGCCACGCCTGCAAAGTCCTGCTCGTCTGAGAAGCCGTAAATCATATTGCCTTCCACTGGAGAATAGTCAAGTGTCGTGTTCAAAGTAAGGTCGTGTGGCCGCTCGTTGGTAGGAGTGTGGTCATTGTTGTGTAGGAACTCTGCCGATGGTCGCGGCAACTCGTCCGTGTAGAGTTGTTGGGGCATGGATGTGTCGTACGCATGCGGCTCTTCGACCAACGGCAACTGTGAAATGCTTTCTACATGACGCAAAGAGCTGCCTGCCGTGCCGGGAGCGCGGTTAATACTGCCGGGTCCTCCTCTGAAGGCGCCAGCGCCTGCAATACCCGATTGTACGCTGCTGCGTCTGCCAGCTGCAACTTCGTTTGGCACCGCTGTGCCTACACTTCCCTCGGCATCAGGGTCGCGAATGCTGAATTGAGCTATTGTACGCATCTTGCGCGAGACCCAGCTAGCCAAGATCTTGCCTCGTTGTTTTTCGCCAAGTCGTGATCGTGGGAAGTCGCCCTTCTGCACAAAAGCGACGATATCAAGAACAAGCTGATGTTCATTGAGTACCGTATTTACTATCATAGGCACTATCGATGCAAGGAAGGCACGAGTCCGAGACTCGGCAATCAGGACCAGAAGCGAACCGGCTTGGAAGATTGCACTNGTTGAGAGTTAGTTATGTTTTGTGAGAAATCTTCGAACAACTTACCATCCACCAGAGACTAGAGCGCGGTGGCACCTCTCTACACTGGCTTCAACATCCATAGGGAAGTGTTGAAGACCGTTAACTTCGAACGTCTCGCCAATTCCACCGAGAACGAAAAGAACCTGCATTTCGACCATATTGCCACCAGGGCCAATAGGCCTGCTAACGCTATGCAAGAAACCGAGATCTCCAGTTCGCATGTACCTTACACCAGGATCACCATCGACTGTACGGCCGTTAAAGCGTTCAGCATCAAATGCGTCTTTGGAGCCGTAAAAGGAGTATGCAGAGGCTTCACTTTGTACCCAGATCTCGCCGTACTCGCCTGCCAAACACAGCCGATTGGTCTCTGGGTTGACGATACTGATTTGCGTACTGACAGGCACCATGCCCGAATCCTGAACCAATAGAGCAAATGGCTCTGTGTCAGGGTCGACAGGAGCCACTAAACCTCGGCGAAGTGCGTTGGTGTCAAGGTAGAGCTCGATGGGTTCTATACACATGTAGCTACGGCTCGCAACCATAGGGTTCAGCACATGGCTGTATATGGTGTTGATAGCAGTTCTGTCAAGTGCCGACTGCGAAAATGCCACACGCACTTTGGAATAAACGTCAGCGCGTGGTCTTTGGTCTGTCGCAATCATAAGGTTCTTCAGCTCGAGGAGAGAGGTCGATTTCCCGGCATTATGAGCCATGGCATGGTCGAGCATTTGCGATGTCGCGTAGGTATCCTTGATCTTGTAGCGTGACAGTATCTGGATCAAAATGCTTGGGTTCGCAGCAAAGTCGACAGGCGATACCAAGTATGTAGGAGCGGCCAAGAAGATGCCCATCAAGCAGGTATGCAAGAACCCAATGCCCATAGTAGATCTCACACAGCCCAAGACTGGACGAGTGGACGTCATCTGACAAGTCTCCTTTTGCACCTTGCATAATGCCATAATGGTGTCGTGGCCCAGCTGAACGGCAATCCTACGCTGATCCGGTGTCCAGTAAGTCCATATGAGGGCAGGGAACCCTTGAGCTACCCAAGCTGGTCGCATGGTGAATCCGAGATCGCGGCATCCATGGGATTGCTTGGGCGGCTTTGAGGTATTGTAGATGTTGGGGAGGTTAACCTTGAGTATCAACGCCGACTGCTTGAGGTGCTGCGAAACAGCTTTCTGTCTCAAGAGTGAGTCAACATCTGCATTAACAATAAGGGCCTTGATGCGGAAATCAGCTATGACATGAAGCAACGCTGGCGCATCTTCATGGAGTCTGTTGGAGTCAATGGGGGCCATCGGTACAGCCACTACACCCAGACAGAAACAAGCGTGTACGGCATAGACGAAATCCTCTGAGTGGGTGTACATGAGCAGTAAATGATCACCAGGCTGGACCTTGACCTTGTTCTTCAAGTAGGTGGCCACACCTGCAACCTTGAGATCAAACTTCTTCCAGTTAACACCCTTACCTTCGCGGCCACGACCGTCAATTGTACAGTAAGCTAGTTCTTCAGCCTGTCGCGAAACGCGCCACTGCATCAAATCATGGATGTTAGAGAACTGGTTCAAGGGAGTCGATGTTCTGTCATCAATCACCACCTCTCGGTGATCTACACCGGAATATTGCTTGTCTTGCAACATCAAAAGGTCTTGTCTTGCTTGCGAGGCCAAGGGCGACCAGATGCCACCGGCAGGGTCATCGCCCAATGGTAGGTTTTGAACAGCTCTCTCGACACCAAACTTGACGTACACACATTGCAGTGCTCCGTTGTCGAAGTCCTTTCGGCACAACATGTTTCCGATGTCTCTTCTACCGTTCTTGACAACACGTGGCAGTGTGTTTGGAGCCGTCAACATCACACAGTAAACTCGTAGGTGGTGTTCCTGGTAAAGCACTTCCATGACACGCTCAGTAAGCGAATCCAGGAAAGGAATGTCTAGTTGTCTTGGTGGTCCACCTGCGGTGGTAGGAGCTGTGGAGGCAGCCTGGGACTCCAAAAGCACGAATGGTAGGTATTCGCCGTTGACATGTGCATCGAATGCAGAACAATCGAAGATTTTCGGTACAGTCTTCATGATGCTCGTAACCAGGTGCTGGACGAAGAAGTATCGGTGCTCGTGCTCTTGGACACCATTCTCGACCCACTCTACTCGTTGTCTTATGCGATCCTCGTATAGGCCAAGTACATATACCTTGCCTTCGATGATACACCCAAGAAGGCCGGTACGCAAGAACTCGGGCTCAACCAGGACTGGCGTAGGACTGCCTTCGACAAAACGGTAAGGCCTGGCGTGGAAGATACTCTCAGTGTGTCTTGGCAGAGCCCAGAAGCCTCCAGAGAGTGATGGGGAGTCTACCCAGATTTCTCCAATTGTGAAAGGTGAACAGAGCAGTCCGGTCTCAGGGTCGACCAGAGCAAGGGTTGCATCCGGGATTGGGTATCCGAAGGCACCTGCCCTTACGGTTCCAGGTTCGTTGGCCCTTTTCCTGGCATCTTCACCCACGGCGAGAACGACTATTTCGTTTGTTTTCAGTGCCTCTTTGTCAAGCAATACCTCACTCAACTCGTTCCGGCTATTTCTCTGTCCTTTCTTTGCCGTGGTACCTCCGACACTACCTAGCAGGCTGGAATAGTTGTTTGAGCTTCCTTGGTTTGCAGTTCCGTTATCCTTGAGGTCGTGATCGGCCTCGTCGATACTCAAAGGACATCCCATCCTTTCTTCGCCGCCAAGCCAATCTCTGACAGATACGATCATACCTCCATGTTCAGGCAAACAAAGCATTGGAGCGACCAATTCCCTAGCACGAGGATTACGCATGGGTCTGAACCATCGGTCTGCCAAAATTTCATGAAACTCGCTATCCACGGTGATCGTGTCGATCAGACAGATCTTGACTGTCGAGAAGTTCGGCTCGGCATTCTTTTTGAAGTTCCTCGTGGCCATTGGATCCTGCTGGTAATTGTACGCGGTTCGTTTCAAGCCTGGATAATCGGCAACCATGATAGTGGTCCTATACTTGGTGATCAAATGCGCATACATACCGGGTGTATCGACGGTCTTGGCCTCGAGCCAGACGGTCGTATGACCACCGTAGACACCGAACAGCACACCAAGGATCAAGCCGACACCTTCTCTGGGGTCGAGATAAGACAAGATAGTCTCAGCTTTTGTCCCTGGAGGGGCTCTGAATCCAGAATCAGGGTCACTGGTAGGGATGGTGGACACAATGGCGCTGACACAAGCCATCTGGTGCATGATTGTACGATGGCTCAGGACAACACCACGCAGGTCACCAGTTGGAGCTCGAGAAAATTCTATGTAGGCCAGATCCGGAACCTGGAGCGGTGGCGTGTCGTCTTTCTTCTTTGGATGATAGCTGCCGAACTCATTAGTCTTCCACCATTCGACACCTGAGGGCCACTTCAACCGCTGTTGACTGATGTCACGGTGGAAAGCTTTAAGATTGTTATCCGTGGTCAAAGCAAGATGTGCCTGGGTTGTAGTGAGGAGAAGACCAAGTTTTTGGTAGTCATCGACGTTGTTGATAGGCACAGCGACAACACCAGCAATGAAGCAACCCATGAGCGCAACAGCAAAGTCTATGACCTCGGTATCACGGTAGACCAGGGCAACACGGTCTCCGCGGTACAGATTGCTCTTGTCGCGAATGACTTGGGCGACCTTTTCAGCCCTGCTGGCTAGCTTTTCCCAAGTGATGGAGGCAGTTTCTTTACCCTTTGAATCGAGAACCCAATATGCGGGCTGGCGGCCGTTGAATCTAGCGCGATGACGGAGAACAGCACCAATGTTGTCGAAGTTGGACATGGGAACCGTCTTGTTGTGAGGATCGTAGACGGCAAAGGGCACCTCTCTTGGCTCAAGGGGCAGCTGATGTATGGGAGCATTTGACTCCATGTCGGTCGAAGGCATCAAAGGGGGAGGAATGTTGGCTGTGGGCGAGAAGGCTTCGCCCATGGAATAGCGTTGTGGACCACCATAGCTCTCTTCGCGAGACTGATCCTGCATCTGCTGGCCAGCAAAGTCATCGAAGAAACCTTGTTGCGAGTCCAGCATTGTGCTCAGACGGCTCTGGACATCGGGTGAGGGTTGTTGGTGGGATTGACGAGCGAGCAGGTGATTGTACTGAGGGTCCGGGTTGAAGGCATAGTCGGAGCCGTACATGCTAGCAGGCGTGGAACGGCCCTGGAAAGCCGAGGCGGTACGGTCGACGGCAGTCGGGGCATTGCTGAAGCTGTCATCGGCGGCATACGGGCCGGCAGAGATGTTTGCCAGCGAGGCAGTACGCGAGTGGTCGGCCGACGACAGAGCGTCCAACTCTCCATGGCCGTAGAACTGCGACAGCAGAAGCGTCCGGCGCTTTTCGTANTCTGTCGCATGTCAGTCTGTCGAGCGTCGACCGAGCTGGCGCGGGCAGGCTTCGCACCCTTTCTTTGTGATGTCGCCTTCCTCTAGCTCGTGGTCCAGCTCGCGCAGTTTGGCCTGCAGCTCTTCCTCGGCCATGGCGGCGGCATGGGGTGGAGTCGATCGCTCGGTCTACGTGTGCGTCGCCAGATTCCCGGAGCTCTAGGTTATGCGGGGCGTGTAGCAATGCAGTTGGAAGACTGGCGGCTTCTTGTTGAGGATGTTGAATGTGCAAATGCGGTACTCCATGTGCTCCCAAGACGTGAAACCATGTGGGTGATGGCCATGTGCCTGCCCTGCCGCCTTTTGCTTGGCAGGAACCATGCTGCTTTCGCGCCTGCCTCGTCCAACTACCGGCCTTACACAAGCACCTACCTACTTACCTCTCGTGCCTGCCGGTGTTTCAAGGGGCACGGAGAAGCTTGGGTATCTACCGAGCCATGCAGCCTCAGTCCCTGTGCCTGTCATCAAGTCACCAAACTCATTGCATCGTCACACACATCACCTGCTATTACATCTTTTGGGCAATCAAGGTAATTCTGGTTACCAATTATGAATCTGTGCTACGTTGCACGTCTATGTACCGCTATAAGAAGCACTCCACAAATGCTCATCATGAACGCGCTAAGAAGAAGAGGTATCGAACAGGAAAATCAAAAAGCTGTGCCTCCATCGCTTTAGTACGTGAAAGCCTCCTCATGGAACGTGATATTACCAACGTCGACCTTCTTGCGCACTGCTGCCCGAACGCTGTCTGCGAATGCTCCGGGCCCGCATACCACAACACCCATTGCTCCAACTTGTTCCGCCACCTCCTTCTCTAGCACCGTCGACGGGTTGCAGCGTCCGGGGAACATTTGCACTGTGCCTGTTCGGCTGTTGACTTCGTTCTGGTTTCGAGGCTTGGTGACAAAGAGCTGCACGCGAAGCACCTCCTTGCGGCCCTCCATCTTGAGAATTTGATCCATCCATGGTCGTGCCCATTCGAGCGCTTCGGTAGTGGGCACCGACCAAACGAGGAGAATACGACGTGTCGAGCACGTTCCTTGTGAGTACTGTGTCAAAAGACGGTGCACATAACCCACACAATGCGTGATGCCAACACCTCCGGCAAACAAGACAGCTGTGCCGTAAGATGCCAGCTTCTCATGACCACCGTATGGCCCTTCCATGACACCAGGTAGCGTGATGATTCCATTAGGCGACGCACATGCCCTTTCGTATAATTGGCGTGTCATGCCCGATCTGGCACGGATGATTAGACTTACGTGCGTAACTTCAGGTCCATCGCGGTCGGAGATTTGCGTCTTGTAGTGCGAAACGACAGATTGATGCTTGGGCATGTTCCAGGATGGCAACTTTTCCATCTCAATCTCGAGCGGTGCACTCCTAGGTTTTGTTTCTGCCCAAGCGACAGAGAAGGGATGTGACGACCATAGACCAACCGTGGGGAAGTAGACATGGACGTGCGATCCAGGGATGTAGTTCCACGACCTGGCAAGCTCGAAGGTGACACGGCAAGCCTCCCCAGGAAGTGCTTCGATGTGTGCTCTTGACATGCCGGACTTCAGACTGAAGTTGAAGTAGGCTACACGCACAAAGCGCGAGAGCCACTCTAGTCCCCAGAGGATGATAACGAACTTGATGTATGGTGTTTGCGGAAGGTTGTGCTTCTCGAGATGTAAATAGATACCAATCAGAGCCACCATGACCAGGACTCGATGAAGGTTTAGGAAAGTTTCGTAGAAGGCATGGCGTAGAGGCGAGAATGCTTGAAGGATGATCGCAGTAAAGGCGCAAGTTCCGACCATACCCCATGCATAACTTGGAATGGTCAAGTTGACCTTGAGTCCGTCGTAGCCCACAGAGTCGACAACGTTGACAAGGTAGCAAATTGTGTGGACAATGCTCTCGACGGCGCACACTCTGGCGCACCATCTGTGGAGGAGGTTGAATGTGTCATATGAGACTCTTAGCAGAGGAATCAGAGGGTTGTTACGCATGGCAAAGAGCATGGTAGGGATAATGTTGAGTGCAGCGAGCTCACCGCTGCGACCGCGAAGTTCAGCAATGACGGCAGCACGGTCTTCGCTGCCCCAATGTAGGACCAGACAGTAGGCAATGTTGGAGAAGAGGTAGACAGTCAGCAGTAGAGTGTGGAAGCGTGATGGGAGGGTTCCAATACTGATTGCCGAGGAAAGCTGAATCTCTTTGTTGTGGCGGTTGCGACCTAGTGGAGCGTATAACAAGTGCTTTTTGATCCTTGGCCAAATCGAGGTATGGTTTTGAGCCCAGTAAACTTGTCTATCTGGATTGCTCATGGTGAGTAAGTGTCGAATATGTGCATTTCCCATGGTGGCCCATCGAAACAATAATGTCAACACACATAGTCCGCCGAGTGACACGCAGAGAACGGCGGCGAAAAGATAGTTCGCGGTTTGGTCCACGCCCGATAGTCCATGGGCGTACGGTGATAGTTCTTGTACGGTAGCATTAGCAAGTGCGTTGAGCTCACTAGTGAGCCCTCTTGGGGCTACAACCATGTCCGCGGCGCGACCAAGGGCAGAATGCAGATGTGAGTGTGAGTGGTGAGAATGCATGGCGACCGGCGCAATGCAGAAGCAAGCCTGTATCGAGAGACAAAGAAAGAATCGATGGTGTCGTTGCAATCAAATCCGGAGACTAGATACAAAGAACCGGCTTTGTGGTGAGAAGATGGACGGGTGTGGCTTTCTTGTAATTCAAATATCCGTTGCAATGCGGCAGTAGTTGACGAGATTGGAAGCGGAGCCAGAGAGGGGATCCAAGCGGCTATTAATCACTCGCAGATGTCAAGGAGATTGGTGGTCGTCGTTGAACGATGCGAGGCCGAACAATAGGCCAACAATGACTATTGTAACATGCCTTTGTGAAAGACACAAAAGGAGACAAAAGAGTGAACGTGGTCGCCTTGTTGTCGCAAATCCGAATGGGCAGAGCGAAATTGATGTTTTTTCCGGCGGGTGATTGTGCTGTATGTCCACGGGATAACAGGGGGTTCAGGAATGCAGCAGGCTTTTGGGTGTTTTACAGGGGTCGTGTATAGCAAGCGAGCGTCACGTTGGCTGAGCGTCCAGACAGGAAAAGAGTGTGAGTGAATGGAAGGAAGGCACGACGGACAGAACCCTGGCGAGTGGAACAATAAAAGACAGCAATAATGGTTGTCGCGGAAAGAAACTGATTGATGAGGTCCGCCTACATAAACACCAAATCCAGATTGGCCTCCTTGTGGCTCCGCACATGGAGACGCTTTTGGCACTAGGCGGCTAACGGTTATTGGCCTGATTGGCACCAAGCCACTGTTCCTGCAGACGTGTTTCATCTGTCCTTAAAGCGCCTACCGATGGCTTTCTGGGCTCAGGAGCTCGTCGGCAGTCTATATCTCGTACACAAGGACGAGTGAACCACTTGCCCTCGCTTATATTGTCCGAGGCGCTGCACCAGAATCGCTCACCGTTGTATACCTGATTGCTGGACACGGCGTGGTATATCGTGACCCTCGTCGCGACGCGAGAGCTCGGTCGCACAAATCGATCTCACGGCTCCTTTTGCCGTCGAGATGTGCGTCACTCAAATTAGAGCCAAGAAGGCGCTGACCTCCTCACGCCATGTCAGTTGCTAGCCTATTTCTAAACCCATGCTGCTGTTTATTTCAACGGATACAGGACCCTCGGAAAGGAGATGATGCACATGAGAAACAACAATTGGCATTGATGCTTCTGCACGGTTGTTTGCCTCCATCTTGCAGAGTGCTGATGCTGCAACAACAACAACAACAATAGAGCAGCCTCTCCTGTATTATACAGCAGGATATGCAGGTGGAGACGTGCAACTCGCAATTTCGATGTCAAAATCAGAGCTTGGCGCTCGGCAATAGCTACAGCATATGATGCTTTGTGCCGTGCTCTGTGCTGTGCTTTGCTGTGCTGCACCCTTCAAGCTTGTGTGGCGGTGCATGGCGATAGTAACGTTATCTACGTAGGTGTAGCTTCCGCTGCGGCCCTTTGCCTCACAGGCAACCATATCTAATCCATCGTCTTTGCAAACCGCCGTCCGATTCCCCTTCTGGTTCTGGCACTGCTCGATTCGCTTCTGGCACCACAAAACGCCCTCGCTTAACTGCCTTTCCGTTTCAGAACCATACCATCTCTCTCGTGAAGAGAGCAAGCGCCACATTGATCATGTCGCATCACGGCTCTGATCCTGACCTCCACCGGGCCATCTCTCTGCGACCCAGTCCATTCCACGCACACCCTGAACCCTCAACCCGGGCTACTCAACTTCCGACAGGAGTGTTTCCTGTTCTTCCGCTGCCGCAGACCAAGGCCGCCACTTCTGCTTCTACCTCGTACGAGGTCAACGAGTCTCATGACCCTGTCTCGCGCCCTGCCTATGCTCGCAATGCCAGCGAGGCGGAAGACGTAGAAGGCCAGGCCCTTCCGAGCTATACCTCTGAAAATGATCCGCTAGACCTATCGAGCCGCATCAAGAGCGCTACGCAGCTGGATGCCATACAGGCAAACACGTCTAGGAGACGTCAAGGTGCTAAGGATCGCTTTTGCGCCCCTGTTGCTCAGACCAAGGATGCCATTCAGCTACGCAAAGTTCGAGGCTTCTACGAGGGCCAGAACGAGGCTATCGAAAGAATGTTGAAACCGGTCGACGACCACAGAAGGGAAGCCAAAGAAGAAGCTGGTGCTGACAATCTACAATACAAGATTGCTGTCTACGGCTCATTCGCTGCGAACGTGGTCCTCGCCGGTCTTCAGTTGTATGGAGCCGTCTCTTCTGGTTCTTTATCTCTCTTCACCACCACTGCCGATGCCATCTTCGACCCCTTGGCCAATGCTACCTTGCTCCTTTGTAACCGAGCTGTCAACAAAGTCGATCCTCGCAAGTTCCCTGCCGGAAAAGCTCGTATTGAGACTGCAGGCAATATTTGCTTCTGTTTCCTTATGTGCAGCGTCTCGTTCATTCTGATAGTGCTCTCGGTAATGGAGCTCGTCAGAGGATCCGATTCTGAGACAAAGACCTTCCACCTACCTTCTGTCCTTGCTGTATGCGTGGCCTTTGCCACCAAACTTGCGCTGTTCATTTACTGTTGGTCCTTGAGGAACAAATATTCCTCTATTCGCATCTTGTGGGAAGGTACGTCAATTCAGATCTTGAAACTTATAATGGAGTTATGCTGACAGCAAACAGATCACAGGAATGATCTATTCATCAATGNNGGTATGTCTTCAAATTTGTTAATCTGTCTGTCACTCCGCTAATCTCGTCCATTCAGATTCGGTGTCTTGACCTCCGTTGGAGGTAGCAAGCTCGCCTGGCAAATCGATCCCGCAGGAGCTATTGCGCTCTCGTGTCTGGTCGCCTTCCTGTGGCTCCGTACCGCTTACTCTGAATTTCAGCTTCTGATCGGAGTCACCGCGCCTACCCACATTCTTCAATGGATCACGTACATCTCCATGACACACAGTCCGGATATCGTCAGCCTGGACACTGTAAGGGCCTGGTACTCTGGTCCTCGAATTACAGTTGAAGTGGACATTGTTCTCCACCCGAACATGACCCTTAAAGAGACCCACGACATTGCAGAAGATTTGCAAAACAAACTCGAAGGTCTGCCAGACGTCGAGAGAGCCTACGTTCATAGTGATTACGAGACTGAACACAGGGCGGAACACTTTTTGAAGAAGGAGCTCTGATCGTTGCAAGCCATCCTCGCTGACTCACGCCTTTCAGCAACAACAGCTACTTGCCCCTACCTAACTTACTAGGTAGTCTATCTCGACCACACACTGTCAATATTCTGATGAGTTCCGATGGTTGGTTTTGGGAAATCTCCCGCACTGAAATAGCAATGAATTCACGATTATGAGCATTACGTATCAAGGTTTTTGAGTCATGAAATACCGACATGCCCATGTGTTAGCCATGTCCTAGCGACCGTTCCTTCTATGCGGTCTCACTCGCACGTGCCGAACGACTGCATGTGTCGATCGCGTCCAGATTCCCGACATCCAGATGCATTTACATGCGAAACAGCGATCCGAATGTGCAGCAGCTCTGACAAGTTATTCAAGGGACCCTTCTCTCATGTCGTACAATATATCTCATACATCAAGGTACCCAGAATAGGTAGCGGAGCTCGTGCTCGAGCAGGAGCCGGCGCCAAGTATTCCTTAGCGGGGGCCTGGGGGAGATTGGGTATAGTGTTTCTCAGCATACCTGTACGTCGGGTGTTGTTTAGAATGTCTCCCCTTGTCCATACGTACGGTGATTGAGCAAAAGTACTGATGGTCGCATATTGCCGATTTTCAGCTCTGTGCGATGCCGCTCCCGAAGGCTGGACGCTTGATGTGTCTCAGGAAGACATTCGCTAGCACCGGAAGTCGCACTTTCGTTGGCCTCTCTGATGTACCTGGTTCGCGGTCGCGTTCGGAACGATTGCAAATAGCTGGGCGCGCTGTAAAAGAACAAATCGAAAGACATGCCAGGGCACAAGTCCGCGACCGCCGTCGTCACCATTCGATCGTAATGAGTGATCACTGAGGTATTGTGTGTATCGAGGGTCTGGCCTGTTCAGTAGCAGCGCTTGTATGTGAGTTTTTTTGCTGGTCTAACTAGACCAGCAGTTTTACGACTAAGTTTCAATACCTTCTGAGGACTGTACCGAAGATTCTCTCGAGCCCCAACCCCTTCGTACGAGTCACTTTGTTGCTTGGGAATTAGACATGCTCACTCTTGGACTTCAATAAACTATGCCACGCAATACCAACCATCTATTGACCCCAGAAAGGAGGAGAAATTTCGGATTCGAAGGGGCAACCGTTCTGAACGGTCGGCAACTGCAACGGCGTGGGCAATAGCCCAACGTGAACATGACTTTTGGGTCGACCACATGGTTTTGGAACAGATGTCTAGGCTTTTGGTTGATTTGATCGACTTGGATCCAACCGGATCGTTTTGGTATCGGATTAGAGACTTCCAGCGGTCCAGATTGGGTATCTGGCTGCTGTGAAGAACCGGCGGCCACGTCCCGACTGATTTGAACTACACGTAGCACAACGGCCAGTCAAACCCGATTGACAACAGCGGTTGAGTCGTGCCCGTTGGTCAGCCAGGCACTGGCAATGCAAGCCATGCAACACTCAAATCGCTTCAGGACTGTATAAAGCATCTGTCCATCCGGGCGCCGGGCTCGTTCCAAGCAAGCAACTTCTCGTCTACGAGCAAAGAGCCCTCACTTCCCGCCCGTGTCGAAGCCATACTCACAAGATGCACTTCAATTCGCACTTTGCCCTGGTGGCATCACTCGTCAGCTCAGCTTTGGCATCGCCGGTCGATGTCAGTAGTAAGAGGACTGTCTCCATTGCAGACATCAAGGGCAAGAAGACTTTCACTGTCCAGCAGGTCCTGGCGAAGAAGCAAGAGATGTTGGCTCCTGCATTGTCGATGTTGAGCACATATGCCAAATTCTCTGCCACGCCTCCAACTCAACTGAAAGCCGCCGGTGCCGCAATTCAGGCAGGAACTGTGCAAGCAACTCCACAGAATGTAGGTAAGACTCGATCCTTGTCTCGATATCATTGCTGATCCTGGCACCAGTATGACATGTCCTACCTTTGCCCAGTCTCTGTTGGCGGACAGACGTTGAACTTGAACTTTGACAGCGGCAGCGCAGATCTATGGGTGTATTCCGCGTTACAGCCCAGTTCCCAGCAAAGTGGACACTCGATCTACGATCCCAGTCTGAGTTCGACATCACAGCTGTTGGTCGGAAACACCTGGTCGATCAAGTACGGTGACGGCTCTACCGCAAGTGGCAAGGTCTATGCAGACAAGGTCATCGTCGGCAGTGTGACGGCGACATCCCAAGCCGTCGAAGCGGCCACTTCGGTGTCACAATCATTCCTGAATGATAAGAACAACGATGGTCTCGTTGGCTTGTCGTTCAGCAATATCAACACTGTCTCGCCTAATCAGCAAAAGACCTTCTTTGACACAGTCAAGAGTTCGCTCGCATTGCCTCTCTGGACTGCCAACCTCAAANAGGGAGCTCCTGGTACCTACGACTTTGGTTACATTGACTCGTCAAAGTACTCGGGCAAGATTACCTACGTCAACGTGAACAGTGCCAGCGGGTTCTGGCAGTTCACAGCCGACGGATATCAGATTGGATCTTCATCGACAGTCAGCTCTTCGTTTGTTGCTATTGCCGACACTGGTACCTCACTCATGTATCTTCCCTCGAGCTTTGTTACTGCATACTGGGGCCAGGTCACGGGAGCCGGATATGATAGCAACCAAGGTGGCTACACGTTCCCTTGCAGTTCTGCATTGCCTGATTTCAACTTGGTCGTTGGAGGCAACAAATTCACAGTGGTGCGTATCGTCGTCTTCCTTGAAGTGTAGGAAATTTGCTAACAAAGACTTCAGCCCGGCAGCTACATGAACTACGCACAGATTTCGTACACGACGTGCTTTGGTGGTATGCAGCAGAACACGGGACTTAGTTTTAGTATTCTGGGAGACATTTTCTTGAAGTCGCAGTTCATGGTCTTCTCGGAGGTTGGAGGGCAGGCCACACTTGGGTTTGCTGCAATGTACAATGGCACTGCAGGCGAAGGGGATGGCGACGAGTGGGACTGCGAGGACTAGAATGATGTTGGACTGACGACAAGCGGTTTTAGATAGAATGACATATCAATAGAGTAACGATCCACCTACACGTTATGATCCATGAGCACTTCGATGCAGACGTCTAGACTCCAGAGCCGTGGCGCTGGCTGGATAAACACATGAATATTAAGACATTTACCATACAGCAGAGCGACCAGAGCAATGGCTTATGGCCATGTTGGACGTGTCTTTGCAAGACGAGCTCGAGGCATGTTCAATGGCGGACGGGGCGGCAAGCTCGCGCACAGACCTTCATGCGGGCATGCGTCATTCCCGAGCTTAGGAGTTGGATGCCGGTGTGGGCTGTATGACTGCGGCGGCGTGGCTTTCTGATCGTTGCAAGGTTGATGTTGACATGGTCAGCTTGGCAGATGAATGTGACAATGAGAAGACACTTCTTCTGAGACTTCATTCGGACTTGTCTTCTGCATCTCGATACTCTTGACACCACCGACACACTACGGAGACAGCAAAGAGCTCTCCCCGTCACGTTGAGCGCGAGAGCATCGACATCCACCCCTGAGACACACAGCGACACGATCGATACAAAATTCTCTATTTGGATGGTCATCAGCTTCGACATCGGCCATGTCGGAATTCATCTCATTCCTACCCCCTCCCGGTCTGGCTCTGGCCAACTATGATTCGGCCGCACTGCACACGACGCAGCCGCAAGACGTGCCAGAGATCTTCCGCGACGCCATGAGTGTGCGCGAAGATGTCTTTGTCAAGGAGCAAAACATTGCACTGGAGAACGAGGTCGACATTGACGACGCACGCAGCTTCCACTGGGTTGCCTACGCCTCGGTCGGCACGTCTGGCAGCGACGGCAACGCTGCAATGGACGGCGTCAACAAGGACTCTGCAACGTCTGCCGAGAAGTCGGGTCGCAAGGGCAGTACCGCCATGAGACTGCCCGTCGGAACAATCAGACTCGTGCCACCTCCTCACCCGCCTCATCCCCAACCTGGCTCAAGTCACAAGATCGACAACCACGAGGGTTTGCCGCAAGACATGCAGAGTGGACTGAGCAAGACCGACATGCATGATGGCAAGGAGGCATACATCAAGCTCGGCCGCCTGTCCGTTCTCCAGCCCTTCAGAGGTATGTCCATCAATCCACTTGTCTAATCGAGCCACACTGACATTACTGCTGCAANNGGACTCGGACTCGCCCGTCTTCTCATTGATGCTGCCCTCACATGGGCAACGGACAACGTGGACAAAATCCTGCCGCCCGTGTCTCCTGCAGCAGCTGAGCAACGCAAGCTCGAGCTTGGAGGAGGAGCCGAAGTCGAAGACGTATGGAGAGGTCTTGTCCTGGTGCATGCCCAAGCATATTTGGAGAAATACTGGGCCTCGTTTGGCTTTGTCAAGGACGAAAGCATGGGTACGTGGGAGGAGGAAAACATCATGCACGTGGGCATGTGGAAGCGTGTAGAGTTGAGTGCAGAGTCACCGAAATTGAGGAAGAGGAGCGTGGTGGGCTAGAAGGAGGAAAGGTTAAGCGGCGTCCTGGAGTTGGCATTGTCGATTAGAGATATCCCCCTGACGAATTGCATACGATACGATTGATTGGAATACCACGTCTCGAGCTGTGTCGTGCGGTACCTGATAGATGGAGTATACCCGAGTAAATACGTGAAAGACCACGAGGGCTGACGTAAGCGGGGCATGGGATCGCGACAGATGGAGTTGAGGGAAGGAAACAAAGACTTGCAAAAGCATACACATCATTACAACACACCATGTCTGGACTGCGGAACATAGCAAAAGGAGGGTGGCATCCGGGCGGCGGCAAAGACAACAGCAACAGCAGCAGCAGTGGAGGAGGCAGTGGTTGGCGGTCCAAGATCAACGACAAAATCCCCAGCCGCATCAACGACAGGATCCCAGGGAGCACGAGCAAGTCGGAGCGAGAGCGCATAGAGGCGCGCGAGAACCACGTATCGCAGCCCCTGACGGCCTTGAGAGACCGTGAGTAGCCAAGGAAAGAAGCGTTGTCGGCGACTTCGTGCTGACCACGACGCAGCTGCCTCTTTCNNGCTCCTCCTCCCAAACACATCCACTACCATGGCCAAGCAGCAGCCGCTGGCTCGTCGAGTGCTCTTACCACCACATCTAGCTACGCCAGCACCCCTGCAAACACGGCCGCTACCCGTGGACTGGGTGCCCCGCTGCCCAAAGAGATGATCCAGCAGCAGCAATACACACACCAACAAGCCCAGCAGGAAGAAGAGGAAGCCTCTCGTCCACCACCAGGCCCATATCGAGTCGACACAACGGGCCTGTCGACTTCGAATCTGCCCAAGCCTCCCGTGCGACGTGTCGACACGGCCTCTCCGTCCTCCATCTCCACTCAACCCAGACCTCCTCCTCGTCAGATTGCGCCGTCTCCTGCTGCTCGCGCGCCCCTCCCTCCGCCTCGCTCTACTCCTACGCCTCCCACTGCTCCACTCAGGCAACAGCCCGCATTACCACCTCGATTGCCTCCGCGACAGAACTCGCATCCCGATCTGAACTCTCCTTCACCTCCTCCTGTCTACCAAGAAGTCCAGCAACCTGCACACGCACCTGCACCAGATCAAGGCGCAATGAATCGACTCGCTCGTGCAGGCGTAAGTGTGCCTGGCTTCGACATTGGTGCCAGGAATTCCTCGCCCGTACCTGCCCCTCCTGCATCCTTCCGCCCACCTCAACCATCTCAGATGAATGAGTTGCAATCGCGATTTTCCAGAATGTCGTCCTCCGACTCCTCACAAACCCAACCATCACAATCCTCAAACGGTGTGTCATCGCGTTTTGGAAACATGGTTTCGCAGCAAGCAAGCAACCCACAGGTACAGTCCCGTCTAGCAGGGCTGGCTTCCTCGCCAACTGTGCGAAACCATGCTGCGAACATTGCCTCATCCCCTGCTGTACAAAAACAAGCCGTCCAGCACGCCGGCACCTTCGCTTCTGCCTCCGGCGCATCTCCACAGCAGGCACAGGCTTTACAATCAGGCNTTCTCGCGAGTCGCTGCTTCGCCTACAGCCATAAATATTGCCACCCAGCACGCTGGTACGGTTACTTCGACAGCTTCATCCTCGCCGCAAATGCTGCCGCTGGGAAGAAACCCCGCCGCCGCCGCCAAAGAAAAAAAGAGTTGCAATCTGATGTGCCGCCAGTCCCACTTTCGAGCAAACCTAGATTCTGATCAACACAAGAGTGCTCAGAGCACTAGCATGGCCCCTAACTATTAGATATCGTCTAGACATGTACATGTTTGATTTCGATTCGAGATCGCCTTGTTGACATGAGCTATTGAAAGTGCTGCAGGTCGTGATCACAGTGAAGCACATCTATTAGTGCATCTATCTTAAAGCTATAATGTACCCATCTGGAGCGGGAGTTTATTTGATACATTTTTTGCGATCCGGAAGTGCACCAGTGATCTACCAATCCATATCTTTGACGATAACTTCCAGGGCATTTAACCTTCAGCCTCAATCTCGTAACTGTTGCTCTTGTGCTTGGGCTGGAACTGGAAGTCCTTGTGTGCCGGTCCCAGGAACATTTCACTNGCAGTCTTGTTAGCTGACCTCGTCTCTACGTATGTGATGCCATGTACTTGCCTAATCTTGATCCAATCCTTGTAATTGGGGCTGCTGAGCAACGTCTCGAGCTCGTTCCTGCCGCGGAAGGCAGGAGGTCTGTCGTTCATGTGTGGCGGCAAGTGTTCGAGCAGACCAAGGGGCACGTATCTGCAACTGAAGCTCAACCACTCGAGCAAGAACCGACGCGTGACTCCAACGCCAATCTCGTCGGATCCCCAGTTCTCCAGACCGAAGCGTGTGAATTGCTCAATGTACTGCAGTCTCTCTGAGGCGCTCTTGTCGAGATATTGGCCGGTTTGGATTTCCTCGAAGATCCAGGGCTTGATGAGTGCACCGCGACCGATCATGGCTGAGTCGACGTTGGCGTTGTTGACGGCGTCGAAGTAGTCGACGTGGGAGTAGACGTCGCCATTGCCGCAGAAGTAGGGCATGCCGTTGTTTGAAGCGGTCATGTCGCGTGCATCTGCCTCTCGGATGGTGTCTGTTACCTCTGCTTGCTTTTGCTTGAGTCTGTTGACCAGGGCCGAGCATTCGGCAATGTACTCCCAGTTGGCTTGACGAGTGTATCTTTGTTGACGGCTGCGACCATGGAGGGTAATGGCGGCAACACCGCAGGGACCATCACCAGTAGCGACGGCTTCTTCGCCTCCGAGCACAAGACGTTGGACAAGTCTGTCAGCAGTAGGGTGGTTGTCCTTGGTGCCCATGCGGATCTTGACGGTGATGGGGACTTCTCCAGAGACGGCATTCATACCACGCAGAATCTTTTCGAGCTTTCCAGGTGAATCCATGAGTGCAGAACCAGCGCCTTGACGGTAGACGAGATCGATAGGGCAGCCACAGTTCAAATCGATTGCACGAATGCTGGGGCAGAGAGCAGTGAGGATTTCGGTGGTCTTGAGGACGTTCCAGGGCTTGTTTCCTGCAATCTGGACACCAAACTTGAGATCTTTGGAGTTGTCGTAGCCAGCAACGACAGACTTGGGAGTGTACTTAGGAGGAGTGATCTCGGACTCGTGGGCCTTGGCCAACGCCCATTCGCCCTTTTCACCCTGGATCAGCGGCAGACCCATGGCCATCTCGGACCACGTAACCTGAGCACCGAGACCGACGCACAAACGCCTGAAGGGAAGGTTTCCTTGTGTGGTCAATGGGGCCAGGACCGGAGTCTCCGGACCGTAGTAGATTCTGCGCTTTTCCGAAGCACGAACAGGCGCTTCTGTGAATTGGGCGCGACGTTCCTCGAGTGACATGCTCTCAGCAACTGCTGCTTGTCCTTCTTCTGGCTTGTTTGCTCCATAGTACTTGTTCATCTCAGTCTGGCGCTTGTCCAGCCAAGCCACGTAGGCTTCAGACTTGGGCATGCCGGTCTTTTTCTTCCTGAGCTCGATTTTGGCGCCCATCGAGACAACGTTGACCACTCCTACACCCTCCTCTTCTTCTGCTTGAGCGCCGTCGCCTGTGGCCTTGTCATTATCCAGAAGGACGAGTTCCTTGCGGCCATCAGCAGTGTCCCTCTCGGTAGAGTGAGAACCAGCAAAGCGGCACTTCCAGCCAGCATTACACTTGCCCTTGACCTCGAAGATGGGGCATTTTGTGTTGAAGGTAGTCAGGTCCTCACGCTTGCCTTCGGCCAGGTACTTGCGGAGGTTGTGTTCCATTCTGCACTTGTCGCCGAATGGGCACTCTGCGGGAGAGAACTCGTTGTTATGGACACGGGTTTTGCACAGCTGGAGAGAGTCGCGCGAGCTGCCAAAAGTTCTAGCCTTGTTCTGGCCGCGGTTCTTCTGCTTCTTGTCCTTGGACTGCTGTTGCGACTCGTGCTTGCTTCCTTCAGCGGCATCGTCTGGGTTTTCTTCTGAGACCTGCTCAGGTCTTCCAGCCGGGTCGGGGTTGTGAATCAGGTACTCCTTCTTGATGGGGGCAACGCCCTTGGTTCTCGGTTTGGGATCCACGGCGGCCAAGACAGGGTCCTGTTTCAGCTTGACTCGCTTAGAGGGTTGCTCTTCGCCATTACGCTCGACCTTCTCGGCGCGTGTAAGGGCTGAATCGAAAGGAAGAATTTCCGTTTGCGGATTCGCGGGTTCGGTCGAGTCGCCGGGCGCTGGGCGCTTCAGGGGCTCGGAGGGATTGAGAGGGTTAGCAGTGGGTTGGGCAGGTGCCGTTGTGCCTGCGCCATTGAGAGATTTGTCAGTGTTGTCTGCCATGCTTGCTAGGACAAATGCTGGAAGACTCTCTGTTCATAAAGCGGCGACACTTTTTCGAACTCCGAGACGATAAGCTTCTTATCGCGCACAGACGATTGACCCGGCTCAAGAATGAGGCTTTTGAGGGAAGCTGCGATGGTCTCAGCTCTCCAGTGACGTAGGCATCGACGTAGCCAAGTTTGTTTCGTACGTGTTGCTTCCCAGAGCCGGCCGGTTTTGCGCGGACGACGTCCTGTAGAAATAGACATCCATCTCCAGTCCCTCTTCTCCCCTTCCTACACCTACACAAACCAACCACCAAACACCACCAATTGCCCATCATGACGCTCTACTACAGTCTTGTCTTCGCCCTTCTCGTCTTCGAGATGGTCGTCTTCATGTCGCTGATTGTCCCCATGCCCTTCAGCTGGAAGCGCAAGCTCCTGACCTTCATCTCTGAGAGTCCTGTCATAGCAAAGCTGCAGTACTGGATAAAGGTATCGTGCTCCACATCGTCCAGCTCGCTTGTAGCTCCAATGCTGACCCTGGCATCAGNNATCACCTTTGTCTTCATCCTGATCCTGTTCGTCGACAGTGTCAACCGCGTTTACCGCGTCCAGCTTGAGCTTGCCAAAGCCAACAACGCCAACAATGGCGCCGGGTAAGCTTTGTTTCCCTCTTCCAACCTCGAGTTCATTTCACTAACCTGCTTAATCAGTGCTGCTGCCGTTGGTGGTATCGAACGCATGGAGATCCAGGCTCGCAAGTTCTACTCGCAACGCAACATGTACCTCTGTGGCTTCACCCTCTTCCTCTCTCTGATCCTCAACCGCACCTACACCATGATCCTTGACGTCCTCCGCCTCGAGCTTGAGAACAGACAGTTGAAGGGCACCGACGGATCCAAGGATGCCAAGCTCAACGAGGTCAGCAGCATTGGCGAGGTCGGCCGCCTGAAGAAGGAGCTTGCTGCCAAGGACCGTGACATCGAGACTCTCAAGAAGCAGGCCCAGGGTCTCTCTACCGAGTACAACCGCCTTGGTGACCAGGTCTCTGGCAACTCCGACAGCACCCCCAAGAAGGACCGATAAATTACTCGCTCCACACCCCAGCATTGTCAGAGCATCAACAGCTCGACTCATTCAGCCCTCCTCGGGAGCTAGGGCACATGCCTAAAAAAGCATCACAGGCACCAGGCCGGGAGAAACTCTTTAGTGTATACGATAGTGACGCAGAACAATTGTCTACTACATGATATTTTTGCCCTGAAATCTTGTATTTTTCGTCCCTTTGAACTCATGTCACACGACAATGAATGTGATGGCTTTGTGTGCCGTAGTCGATATTTCCACACTCTTTGGTTAGAGTCTTCTGTTACGTAGATTAATACCCAAAACCCTATCCTGCTTGATTTTCGTGATATTCTCATTGTAGAATCATGTATCCTTGAGCTCCTGACCAAGATGTAACCTGCACAAACTGGCCTTTGAAAGAAAGAACCAAAGCATACTCGCGAGCTTGACAACTCTTAGACGCTCATGATCTTGACAAACTCGTCGTCTGCGGATCTTGTTAGCTCCAACCTATAGGAAATATTGTCAAATCCATCAACTCACAATCAATGTTGCCATCTCCATTGGCATCCGCTTCCTTGATCATTTCGTCAATCTCAGAGTCGGACAGGTTTTCGCCAATGCTCTTCATGACATTTCTCAACTCCTCGGCAGAGATGGTGCCACTGCCATCTCTGTCAAAGACTGCGAAAGCTGCTCTCAGCTCAGACTCGCTGTCTGCTTGCTGGACCTTGCGGCCCATCATTGAGAGGAACTCGTCGAATTCGATGGAGCCAGAGCCGTCCTTGTCGATTTCGTTGAGAATGTCCTCGAGTTCGGTTTGAGAGGGTTCTTGGCCGAGAGAGCGCATGACCTCGCCCAGTTCGTCGACTGTGATGTTGCCGTTTCCATCCTTGTCCNNTATAGTGCATGGGAAGTCGCCTGTTAGTGGTTTCGTTCTGTGCAATTTTCGCGATTTCGTCTACTCCTTTGGAGGACTTACGAAAACGTTGAAGACTTCCTTGAGCTCCTTGATTTGCTCTGGTGTCAGGTTCTCCGCCTGGGTTAGATATAAACGTTAGCTGGTTCTGCTGCTACGAACGCCATCTTTTTGGCTGAGATTGCTGCCTGTTGCGGTCTGGCTGCGGTCGCCCTCGTATGACATACCATGCTAGGTCTTCTTTGGTGTGCCGACATGTTTGCGATATGCCTCGGTGATGATATTCCGATAAAATGACAGACTTTTGTTAATGAAAAGCGAGAAAGAACAGTGGTAAGAAAGGAAGCCTGGTTGGTTGTTGTGGCTGCCTTGATGTTTCAAGAGAAGGGGGCCAGTCTGTTTCGACTTTGGGTCTTTTTCGTGTGCTTTCCCAAGGGTCTTCTCTCCTCTGGCTGCTCACCGGGTCTGGAAGCGTCACATCACATGCTTGTTTTTCTTGGTCTTTACGCCTTACCCTTTTGGGAGGTGGGGTCCGAGGGATCTTGTCTTTGCTGTGAACATATCAATTGAGGTCTTTGCAGAAGAGCTCTTTTCTATTGCTAGAATAAGCAGATGGTTGACTGCTTAGCCTGATGTCTTCACATGGACGCAGCATTTGAGGCCTTGTGCTCGGGATTGTGCTGCTGCTGAGGAGTGAGCAAAGAGTCTTGAGAAGGCAAGCCGAAGGCGCCATTACAATGTTCAGATGTAGACAATGCATCAATACTGTAAACCACCAGGCTAGAAGCACTGTCATGCACTCCGAGTTGCAGACCGGGCAAATACGCGTTGTCAAGGTTATTAGGATAGCGCATCTGTGATATAAGATTTAAACAGGGTGATAGTCTCGACAAGCGAACATGTCACATTTCATCACAAGGCAGAAAACATATAAAGAACCTTTTCTCATTTTTTTGGTGGTCTATACGTCCATGATCTATCTTCTTCCCCCNTGACTAGCCTTCATCAACTCTGTCCAAGCGCTCTCAAACCCTCTCTTGACCTCTCTGTAGCTGACGACGAAACAATTCTGCTCGTCTCTGCTAACCAGCATGATCTTCTCTTCAATACCAGCATCCATCTTGTTCAAGCATGTCAGAATATGTCCGAGATCAAGGACAGGTCGACCATCTGCATCAACCTGATGGAACACATAGTCACGGAACAGTTTGAGGTAGTATCGTTCTCCAGTCTCGGACCAAGCAGATGACGTGTGGTTAAGAGTGTGTGGAGCAGCAGGCTGATTTGGGTTCGCAGCATTGGATGCCAGAGTCGCCTCGGGGCGCTCAAGGACCATGTTAAGCTTGGTAAGCAGGCGTACAATGCGTGCGTTCTCAAGCTCGCGAGACAGATTACTCGTCAGTGAGTCGGCTTCATGCAAACTGGCGTCGAAGGTTAATGTTATTTGCGACGAGATCAGTGAGAGGAAGCTGTCGATATCGTGGTCTGAAGACGTAGTCGCTGCTGCGGGAGCGGGAGAGCTTGTTGGTGCTTGAGTTGGTGTCATTGGCGCAGCAGGGGTGAGTAGCCAGGTCACTACCTCGCGCATCTTTTCGCTATATGCTCGACCAACATGCTCAAGAGATTTCTGAGTGTTGTGGTGAGCCGTAGGATTNTTGTTGGCTATGCAGAGTATCAAGCGCCCCATTTGCAGTATATCATCTTGCTGGAGCTCCGATATGCTGCGGCCCTGTTCGTATTGAGCGATATCAAGGATGCCACAAGAGTTCAAGCGCAGTCGATTCTTGGACGTGATAAGGATCTTCTGAGGAGTCATAAGGCGAGCAGCAAGGCCTATTGAGTGGATAGCCTTGACAGCAGATGCGAGCTGGACGATGTATCCCCATAATTCATGATCAGTCACGTAGCTTCCTGGAGATCGCGACATGGGGACTCCTGGATTTCTGGTGTTTGGAGTGAATATCTTGTCAGCCAGCGTCTGAGAGAGAGGATGGTAGTCAGTGACGACGATCAGAGAACTATCTCCGAATGCTCTGGTTGTGAAAGCGTCATGGACAGTAACAACATTTCCGTTGCTGATACGTTTCCAGGTCTGGATAGTGCGTATCGCGTTCTCATCGGTCAGTCGAAAGCCTNNGCAAGTCTGATGTAAGCTTTCAATGATTGGAAAGTAGGAGCAAGAGTGTCTACCTTCTAGACGTCTTAGAGCATAATTGTACCCATCTTTGCTGGAGGTGGCCTTGTATATCCAACTTGGATAGCCATATGCTGATGCAGACTTTTGGACGTTTGTATCGAGAGCAACCAGAGAATGGAAGTGTTCTATCTGCTGAGGCAGTGCGGTATCTGTGACGATTCAGTCTCGTTGTATCGACACATTGAAGTCATATAGCTTACTGGAGAATGTCTGGAGAGATGCTTCAGATTTACGTTGCATCTCCTCACGCAAGTGATCGGGAATGAAAAAGTCATGAGTTGTCCGCTGATAAGCCATGAGGTTCTCTCGATGAGGACCCAAGGGTGCATAGAGATGGTAGCTAAGCNNTGAAAAACAGTCAGTACATGCCTATAAGAAGAACATAGATAATTGGCATACAGGGTGGGCAAAAGCCGCAGCAGCTGAGAACATTGAGTTTGCAGCCATAGTGGAGGCATCCTGAGCATACGGGTTGATCTGCGGAGCATGGGAAGCATCGGATATCTGACCAGAATTCCCTTGCATGGTGAACGGATCGAAAGAGGATATGTTGTTCGCAGAAGAGCCGCTNCTCAGCCTGTACGCAGCCTTCATCAGCACATGACGCCCATTGCTAAGCCCGAGAACAGTACGATGACACCATAAAAGTGTCCAAAGATTAGTACTTACCGCTTGAGGCACGAAGTTCTGGGGCACGAACTCTTGTATACCACGCTGAGACCATTCTGTCGATGGTTGTTTGGCTGATGCAGCAGGCACTGCTNNGCTGATTTGCGTCAGCCTCTTAATCCAGGTTGCAATTAGGCTGACCATACCGGTTGACTTTGGTGTGAAGACAGCTGCTGAAGCGGCTTTTGGCGAAATGCCGAGAGTCTTCACAGGCTGCGCGTTATTCGTGACAGGCGACAAGGGTTTGAAAGATGGAGAATCAACGTTCAGGAAGCGCTTGGCGCTNATACACTATGAGTTCATGTAGAGGAAAAAAGACCACCACTCTACGTACCTTTCTGTCTGTTGAGAGGGTTTCGGAGGCAGCTCGTGGTTGTAAGGACAGCCTATGATATATCAGTCAGGCTGCACCTAGGCAAAAGGCTTGCACGACTAACCGTTGTTCTGAGCTCTGCAACTGCCATAAATAGTGATGTTCCTACAGAGGACGTTTTTGGTATTCTCNTGTGCTCGTGTCAGATATCAATGATCAGCTAAGTCTTTCGAGAATGGTCTAGGATACATACCACGGCCTTTAGGTCTTGGGGACTGGTGTCTCCTACGCATGTCGCCCGGGCTGCTGGCACCCGATGCTGCCATGGCGGTGAGGGTGATTTCGGGAAATAGAGTGGTTCAATGTTGGCTGGCGAGTTCCTGGAATTCTTCACAGAATTTGTTCGAGTCACGGATGGGTCGGTTTATTTTGGTTCTTCAGAAGATGTGTCATCAAAAGAGACGAAGCTTTGAGAGGTAGAGAGTCGAGCACAACGAAGCAGTCCGACAACAGGAACCAAGAATGAGGCAATATAGCAATGTATAGCTGAAAAGGGGTTGTTGATGCTGAAGAATAGATTTGGCGTGAGCGATACAAGAGCCTCTTAGTTAACAGGAGTTCGGTGACCAAGATGCAGTATCTGCATATGCAAGAGTTAGATGGTGGAGCGACACGTAGAAGTTGAATGCGTTTTGGCAATGCGATAAGAAAGGCCTAGGTAAGAGACGGATAGGGAGGCTGCAGGTATGACGAGCCCGGGGATTGGGAGGACGGACGGGCAAGGTGCAGCCTTCGGTGCTTGGATCTGCACATACCTAATCGAACGAAGCCACGAAAAACATCACGAAATCAACAACTCAAGTGCTGGATACAGGGCACTAGCAAAACCTCGAACCGATATGGCTGGAAATGCACGAGCAACAGAGGATGAGAGTGAAGCCAGTCGTTGGTTTAGGGAAGTGTCGGTATGTGCCGGGCAGTCCTCAACAACAAACTGGAACAACGAAGTTGCAAGTGTACCTTCGCCCACACAAGATGGATTGACCGAGCACAAACAGCTCGAGTTATAAGACAGTTCTGATTTCAAGGAAGGAGAGGCACAGATATAGGCTCGATTGGATAGACGAGGCCACGCGAGATATGTCGACATGCGACCTTCTTCTGAGGCCACTACGAGTCATGAACAGGGCTGAGGCAGGGTTGCCAAGCATGACATGGGCAACCTTGGTGTTCTCTCCAGAGTTTAGATAGCTGCCTCCCACATTATTGACACCGTGGCAGAAGCAGAGGTAGAGATCCCACCGGCACCGGGTACGACGCCATGTCGGCACCTTCAACAGACATATCGCAGCTCTCCGAAGAGCAGCAACTGGCGCTACAACAAGTCACATCTGTAACAGACCAGGACCTGGAGACAGCTTTGGCCTTGCTACAACGTTGTCAGTGGAATGCTCAGGTACAGCCCGGCAGGTGACTCACCAACTACTTGGCCATCACGACTGACGCTGTCCTCNAGATCGCCATCACACGCTTCTTCGACGGTGACGCCGATGTCGTCGACGTCGACGTGCCACCGCCGCAAGACACCCGCAGATCAGAAAACCTGGCCGCAAGTCTCGATGCCGCCGCTTTCGCGACAAGCAGACCGACTCCACACGGCCTGCAACAGGCTCCGCGTGTTGTACCTACGCCAGAAAGTCAGCTGACCCAACCAGCGCCCTTTGTCTTGCAGCTGCTCTTCCTGCCTTTCAACCTGACCTACTCCATCTTCAGCCGTGTCTTTGGCGCGCTGGGCTATCTCTTCCCCGTCATACCTCGTCTCTTACACCGTCTCTTTCCCCTGCGGTCCGCTCGTCCCAACAACTCGGACAGACGTCCCTTGAACCCTCGCGACACAGCCTCTCGCTTCATCCGCGACTTCGAGGAAGAGTACAACGTCGAACCGAACACTATACCCTTCTTCGAGAATGGCTATGCCCAAGCCTTTGATCTGGCCAAACGCGATCTAAAATACCTACTGGTCATTCTGCTGTCCCCCGAGCACGATGACACCGCCCCCTTCGTCCGTGACACTCTGCTCTCGCCGCACGTTAAGGAATTTATACAGACCCACGCCTCCGATATGATCGTTTGGGCTGGAAGTGTTCAAGACTCCGAAGCGTACCAGGTTGCTAATGCCCTCAACGTCACCAAATTTCCCTTCACCGGCTTGGTCGTCCATACACCCTCCGTCTCGTCCACCTCCATGTCCCTGATCGCTCGCGTCGCCGGTCCTGTTCCCTCGGCAGAATTTCTTGTCAAGATGCAAGACGCTATGCAGAAGCGTGATCAAGAGCTGGAAGGTGCGAGGAGACAGCGCTCTGAACAGCAGGCATCAAGATCTCTTAGGGAAGAGCAGAACAGCGCATATGAGCGATCTTTGGCTCAAGATAGGGAGAGGGCTCGCCAAAGAAAGGAGGCTGAAGCTGCTCGTCAAAAGGCCGAGCGTGAGGAAATAGAACGTGCAGAGGCAAAAGCACGAAAGGTACAGAACGTCTTGCAGTGGAGGAAATGGCGTGCACACTCACTGCCACAAGAACCTGCTTCTACCGTCAGCGATGTGGTGCGCATCAGTGTCAGAATGCCCTCTGGCGAAAGGGTGATACGCAAGTTTGGCGCCGACGCCCCGCTCGAAGAGCTATATGCATTCGTTGAATGCTACGACATTCTGCAGAGTGACGAGCTGGCATCGGCAGAGGAGGCCTCCGAACCAAGCGGATACAGCCACGAGTACGAGTTCCAATTAGTCTCACCTATGCCCCGCGAAGTGTACGGTCTTGAGCAGGGCGGTACCCTGAAGTCTCGTGTTGGCAGAAGCGCAAATCTCATGGTGGAGAAGTTGGCGGAAGGGGACGACGAAGATGAAGACGAAGAAGAGAACTCGACGTAGATGTGAAACGACAATGCAAATGGTCACTCCCAATATACAGCAAGATATATCATGTATGTGAACCAGCACATGTGCTCATGCTGTATAACGGTATGTTCTGATTCTCTATTCTTCTTGTGCAGCATCTTATCTTTGTATATGTTTAGTTCTTGCTTGTCCCTCACCCCTCAATTTCTCTGACCGCTGTCGTCGTCCGAGCTTCATCCAAGCCCTTCTTTTGCACCGTCTCCGTCACACCGACCTGGCTGGAACTTTCACTGTCTACTTGCTTCGATCTGACCTTCATCATGGGCCAGTGGCCATGTTGCTCCTTGTAGCGCATGGAGACGAAGGCAACAATTACCGCAATCCAGTAAAAGTTGTATGAAAGGACCGAACCATAGGTTGCAGAGTTCTGCCAACCTAGAATGGCATTGAAGATACCGAATCCTCCAGTGTTGATCTCTGGGTTACAGCAGTTGACATGCCAGACCGATTTGGTAATGTCATAAGATCCTGGGCCACTCCCGACCTCAGAGGCGTCACCACCAATGAGTTTGCTCCAGGTGTGGTTTTCGAAGAACCAGATGGCTTTGGAAAAGAGACCAGCAGCAACGAGGTAGAGGACACAGGTCGAGACGATGAGGAAGATTTGCAGAGATGCCATATTACCGCCTCGATAGATCAGATACCCGATCAAACAGCCAGCTGCAAGACCAGTGATGACGGCCAGAGGAAACGACGTAGCTGGGAGACCAAGAGAGACACCTCCAATGAAGACGACCGCTTCAAGGCCTTCTCTCATGACAGTGATGAAAGGAAGCATGAACATGGCGTACTTTTCTGCGAACCGCTTGAAACGAGTAGACGCCTTGCCCTTGTTTTGGTCCTTTTCTTCCAGAGCCTTGGCCAGCTTGACTCTCCATTTGGTTTGTAGCTTTGATACTCGAAGGAGAGCGGCACCCATGATTGAGATGATGATCGATGCAATCAAGCCGAAGACGCCTTCCCAGATATCTTCGGTCGCAGCGAAATGGTCCTTGCCTTGAGGACATATTAGTGAAGCAAGACAATCATGCTAACGAACAAGCTCACCAAATCCGTAGAATGCTCCAATGAATGCACCGCCAATGATCAGACAGACCAAGAGGCCGAGTCCAATGCCCCACCAAATCTGAGCTCTCAGCTTCTTGTAGACAACCGGGTCATGCTCAGGACCAAGAGTTTGCTTCAGAAAAGACAGCAAGACAGAAACGATGATGCTACATTCAAGACATTCTCTGAAGCAAATAAAGAAGACNTGTACCAGGATCAGTATACTTCTCAGCACTTTTAGGTCATGACTGGACATACTAGGCACAGCAAACACATTAACACCCATGGCTGAAGTGGTGCTGTTGAGCAGAGAATCGAAATCAGATAGATATGATCAAGATTGATTTGATCGAAAACGAGAGGAGACGGGAACACTGATCTGATAACGGTGACATTTGCGACCTCGGCCACCAACGCTTTCTTTTTTCCCTCAAAGCATCCGTGTTTCCCAAAGTGCGCGTTGAGCGGTGCCACGAGCGGTCTAGGGTTCAGCTAGCCCCTTGTGGCGTTGCTGGTCGCGTTCGTTACCAGGATCCTTCGAAAATCTGCCGGAAAGGAAGAAGGTGAGACGTAGCGACGACTCGTACAACAGAAGCCATTGGCATCACTTCCTCAGCTCGCCATAAGGCACCATCGTATGAAGTTGTTCTCATACACAGCAACACAACATAAGATCAATTCAAGACAGTGGACTCCATGATTCTCCATCTTGATCGACGGCCAAGAATTCTTGGTCAAGAGCTTGCAGAGGCTTGTGAGCCGCCGCTACACACGGATCAGATAAGCGATCCGCGTGGGGTGGGGAGACGCATCTGGATCGTCACGTTTTCATCAGCTTCTCTATCCACCCAGTTTGATGGACATGGCGGTACGAACTGGCGAGGAGCATCCTTCGACACATTTCGCGGAATGATACTCATCTCAGACCGCTGGCATGACTACCCATCGGCTCTACAGAGTGCTTAAGCCAGGCACATATCGTGGGCATTGGTACAATCATACGATAAATTGCCCTGTTCGAACATGAAGCAGGCCGGAGATTCACGGAAGTACTCTGTCATACCAGTTAACTTCGGCGACCCTAGGCGGTTGTGACTTGTGGCGCTCTTAGGCAACGGTTGGCCCACGGTGCCGGAGATTGTAAAACTTCCAAAGGCTGCTCGAATAACCTCCCGCATCTTATCAATCATATCATCTGCCAACTCTCTGTTCTTCGCATGTCCAACTGATTTCTCGTACTAGTAGATTCTTATCAGATCATTTCTGGTGATTTGCTGGTGCGTCCACATACCGAAACCATGGCAGGCCGCATCATTCAACTTCTGTTTGGCCTTACGCTATTGCTCACAACATGTCGAGCGGCGGTCATAGAGAAGTACTTCAACATGACATGGGTGATGGCCAATCCCGACGGAATGCAGGAGAGAAAAGTAATTGGTGTCAACAACACATGGCCACTACCTGTTCTGGAGGTCAACAAGGGCGACCGACTCATCGTTCACGTCTACAACGGTCTTGGAGACAAATCAACGAGTATCCACTGGCACGGATTGTTCCAAAACTCTACGAATGAAATGGACGGACCTTCCATGCAAACCCAATGCCCAATTGTCCCTGGGGCGTCTTTCACATACGACTTTACTGTCGACCAAAGTGGCACTTATTGGTATCACTGCCATACCGACCTTTGTTACCCAGATGGCTACCGACAAATGCTCCTCGTACATGATGATGATGCCTGGTTCGCGGATCAATACAAGGAAGAGTTTGCGGTTACTGTTAGTGACTGGTACCATAACATGGTTGAAGACATCACTTTCCTCGACCTCTCTAAGTAAGCAGAAACGCCCATGGCGTAATAACATCTACTAACACGCCCCCAANGTCCTACGGGAGCTGAACCAATTCCACAGAACTTTCTATTCAATGATTCTGTTGCGAGTACCAAGCTCTCTGTCGAGCCCAACTCTACTTACTTGCTGAGAATCGTCAATACCGGTGCATTCGTCGCCCAGTACTTCTATATTGAGAATCACAACTTCACAATCGTTGAAGTGGATGGTGTCTTTACTGAGCCTCAGGAGGCTTCGTTGTTGTACGTTGCAGTGGCGCAGCGCTACTCTATTCTGTTCACGACAAAACCTTCGACTGCTCGCAACTATGGTCTTGTCACCATTGCGGATCAGGTGCTGCTAGATGGAGTCCCGGACACATTGAGTCTCAACCAGACCAATTGGCTCCAGTACAACCCCTCGGCTGCTTTTGACCCGGTCAATGTGACTCTCAACATTGTGGACGAGAATCCCGCTTTTGATGACTATTCCCTTGTTCCATACGACAAGGAGCCTCTGTTCGAGAACCCTAGCAAGGTCATCAATTTGACCGTCTCCATGGGCATTCTCGAGAATGGCAAGCCATACGCCTTTTTCAATGACCAAACCTACACTCGTCCCAAGGTCCCCAGTCTCTACACTGCCCTCACAGCTGGTGACGAAGCCACCAACGAGGCTGTGTATGGCGAATATACAAATGCCTTTGTTCTTGACCACCTCGACGTTGTCGAGGTCGTCCTCACCAACAACGACGGAGGCAGTACGTTCCCTTTCTCTTCTTGCTCCACTTCAAAGTTCCTAGGCTGATTGATGCAGGTCNATCCGTTCCATTACCACGGACATAACTTCCAGGTCGTTAGCCGTTACCCGTCCTACGGTGAGGACTTTTACTCACTGAAGGACAATGTCAACCCCGAAGTCTTCGATCCCAACAACCACACCGCATTCCCTGAGTATCCTATGCGTCGTGATGTCGTAGTGCTTCCACCCATGGGAAACCTTGTCATTCGTTTTGTTGCGAATAACCCTGGAGTGTGGGCTTTCCATTGTGAGTATTCCGAGGCAGCGTCAATTTACAAGCGAATTATACTAAATCTTAATCAGGCCNATATTGACTGGCACATGCAGCAAGGTTTGGCTGCTACATTCATCGAAGCACCCATCGAGATGCAGAAAAGACTCAGTGTGCCAGACGATCATTTCGCTGCTTGCAAAGCCGCCGGCATGCCTTATGCAGGAAATGCAGCTGCCAACACAAAAGATCTCTTGGACCTGAGCGGCCAGAACAAACCGGCTCGTCCGGTACCTGCAGGTTTCACGGCTAGGGGCATTGTGGCTCTGGTTTTCAGCTGCATCGCAGCATTTGCAGGTCTGGCGGCAATCACTTGGTAAGTTGCTGGAGATCACGTTTCACCAGATCGCAATCTGTGTAGCAGTGGCTGATGCAACGATGTTACAGGTNACGGAATAGCACCACTGAGTGCGAGTGAGCAAGTCTCCATGGAGCAGAAGGTCGAAGCTTCGGCTGTTCGTACCAGCGACGAGTAATGGACACGAAGACAAACCGTCACATTTGTTGAGATGTGGCAGCGAATCTAAGGACAAATCTATGGTATTTTATCAAATCTCCAAACCTACCACTCGATACGTGTTCGAACATGATAGCGAGAACGCGATAAGCACTTGCGAGAACATGACGTTGTTTGCTACTTGAGACCACCGTCTATCTGGTGCTATGATCAAATAAACAAGATCACATTTCTCAAATATGTGTCTTTCGACAAGACCCTCATTGATAACAGAGCATATGTTAGGGCTTCCCGAGGCACAAGGCATGTTGCATGTAGGGGTCTTTTTTCTTTTCCTTCATGTTGAGAACCATGAAAAGTTGTCATCCTTCCTCTATGACTAGACGAACGAGTTTGCTCGATGGGATAAAACACAGGTTCTGGTAGCATGCGTATGATCCGAGTATGTACGTGTCAGAAATTGGACAGAGGATTATCAGTACAAGGACGTTGGTCAGTCAAAAGGCCAGCCGTTGGCAAGCTGGCCCAAACAAATGCGACTATTGTTGCAGATCTGCAGCTATTCGATGTTTGAACAAAGCGAACCCAAGGTGTTGGTGAGCACTTGCACAATGATCCGCGGAAGGATGTGTTTCCGCGTTGTGAGCCCTGAACAGACACTGAAGCCCTTAGTACAGTACTCAGAGTAGAGCCCAATAAGGCGCCCGTGTATTGGCGAGTTAGGACATCTACAAGATGCACAAAGACAGATTGGACAGACAGAAAAGCTGTGGAGAAAGAGCAAGAAGTTCAACAGCGGCGTGTGGCAGGAATTGGCGAGCAAGTTATGCACGTCTCGCAGATCGAGGAGGTGCGGTCCACTGTTGTGGGCCTGGAAAGGATGTACACTGTACATGGCTTGGCTTGAGCTGTGGGTACGCCGCAGCTTGCAAGACTCGGACGAGGGACGAGCAGTGGAGAGTCAATTCAAGGGAGGCGCCGAAAAGTGTGTAGAAGGATGCGGGCGCCGAGTTTGGTGGACGGAGAACGACGATTCCGAACAGTCGTCGCAGAGCACCAGCTGTCAACAGCCTAGTCCCTGCATTGGCGTGTGACTGTGGTCAAGCAGAATCTTGTGCTTTGGTGGACACCTGCGGCCCTGGATGCAGCAGCGGCAGGTTTCAAGACAGGATCCGAAAGCCGTCGGGTTGCACCCCACTTTCAGAGGCTTTCGAGCAGCTACCAGCTGGTGGGATGGTGGCAGGAGTCGGAAGAGCGAATCTGGTTCCTGCTCTGCTTGTCAAATAGAAGCATAAAGACGAGCCGACATGCGAGTCGCTCGCTCCTTCCTCTCCCCAACTGTCAGAAGCTTCCTCAGCGTGCCTGCCCCCCCCCCCCCCCCCGAGTCGTGCCCTGTTGACTTGTGTTTGTGTGTCTCGCTTTGACTTGCTCGGCGCAAAATCTCGACTGGTCTCAGCGGTCTGGGCTGGTGTCCTTCGCTCGTCATTTAACATTTTGCTTCACCTTGCAACTTCCAATCTGGTACTCCTGTGTGCAAACATTGTTTCACCTTGGTCCTCCCATACTTGCTACTTGACAGCTGCTTGACCACTCGACCCCTTGGTTGTCTTCCGCCCTGCTTCGCTCCACTCCCACCGAGCCTCTCCCCCAACTTTTTGACGCTCAAAATGTCCCGTCACGCAACCATCACCCAGTCATACCAAGAGCGCGCCTCGCTGCCAAAGACATCGCCCGTGGCCTCTTATCTCTTGCGACTGATTGCCGCAAAGCAGACGAATCTCTGCGTCTCGGCCGATGTATCCACCACCAGAGAGCTCTTGCAGCTCGCCGAAGAGGTCGGCGACTCAATATGCATGCTCAAGACGCACGCAGACATCATCAACGACTTTGGTCCTCGCACTATCCAAGGTCTGAAAGAGATTGCTGCCAAAAAGCACTTCCTCGTCTTTGAGGACCGCAAGTTTGGCGACATTGGAAGTATGACCATGCTCCACTCTCATCTTGCTATCACCAGCCACTGACACCGGCTCCCAGGCACGGTACAAAAGCAGTTCACCGCTGGCCCCTGCAAATCGTACGCTGGGCCAACATTATCAATGCCCACATCTTCCCCGGCCCCGCCATCATCACCGCCCTCTCACAAGCTGCCCACGATGCCGTCAGCTCGCTCAACACCGCCGTGACCACCTCCATCTCGGCCTCCCCAGTTCCGTCATACATGGACGACAGCGATGAGGTTGACTCGCCCGCACTGTCTCATCACGAAGATTCCGATGACCTTGACAGACTCTCCAGCGACGATGACACAAATCAGCTTTCTACATACAACGACCCCACCGGTCGCAAGCCCAGTGTCGTTTCTGTTTCGACCACTATCAGCACAAAGACAGAAAGCATCTCACCTCAACCCACACCAAACCACCTCAGTGGTCCTTCCGATTCCATCTCGGCCATCAGTGCAGGCTCGGCTGGTCAAGAATCCTCCGCCTTGGCCCGTCTCGGCGAACCTCCTCTCCTTCGAAGCTTGCTTATTCTTGCAGAGATGAGTAGCGCGGGCAACTTGATGACTGGCGCATACACAGAGCAATGTGTAGTAGAAGCACGCAAGAACCCGGAGTTTGTCATGGGCTTCATTGCACAACGCTCGCTCAACGAGAAGCCTGGTGACAACTTCATCACCATGACTCCTGGCGTGCAAATCGGAGCCACCGGAGACGGCCTCGGCCAACAATATAACACACCGGAGAAGGTCATTGGCGAGGCCGGTACCGACATTATCATCGTTGGTCGTGGTGTCTACGGTGCTCAAGACAAGAGAGCAAAGGCCGAGGAATACAGAATCAGGGGATGGAAGGCATACGAAGAGAGAATTGGCTCTGCTTCTGCAACAAAAGCCACCAGGTAAATACCCTACCGAAACCAGTGAATACGCGAGCATTCGCTGCTCTGCAAATGGGGAACAGTATATTTCTTTTGGTCGGGAACCAACAGGAAACTTAGAGTCCCTGAGAACTGGGAGGACAGACTAGAAACTTCAAATTGGATTTCATGTTTGAAGAAATACAGGCACATATTGCGATGCAGATACAAAAAAAAAAGTGTAGAGAGGCTCTCTGGAGTCGTCCAGTATTTTCCAGCCTTTTCTGGTTTCGTCTTGCCTTATTCCTCTCAAGCGTACATGTTCACCTCTAGAGCCGGTCCGGTTCACACGGCACAAGATTTGAATGATCAGCAAGGTGAGCCCTGAGAAGCCGGGAGATCTGTATACGGAGCTCCACTGCCTGTTGATCGATGACAAGACGTAAGGACTTGACTCTTGACTCGTACGCTCTTGTGTTGTGGATGTAATATTGCGTAATCGGTTACGTAGGTTGCAGGTCCGAGAGCTTTGGACAATGTCGCTAAACGGTACTATGGACTGTATGCAACCGACTCTCCTGAGTACTTCAATAGGTAACATGGGTAGCTTGCTGTCTTGCAGTGACGAAGGCAGTGCTGATATATACGTAAATCTATGTACAAGGACGATCAAATCACTTTCAACCCGTCCAGAGCCTCTCATTAGCCATAAAAAGATCTCTCGTGTCGAGATGCTTAAAGAGATGACTTTGAGCCTGCCGGTTCTTGTAGTGTTGATACATGCTCGCGCCAGCAGAGTCTTTCTTCCAAATAAGCGGTCTCTTGACTTTGGACCAGGCATACTCGTGCCGACACTCTTGCCAGCACCACCAACATATACCGACCTCGCCCAAAGCAAGCACCAAGAGATCTAGCAGAGGCATGATGCGTGTGCGAATGCCACAATGATGATGATTGTTGTCTACTTGATACTCGGGGGCTTGTTTGAAGCTGTCGACCAGGTCCAAGATTTCACCATCATAGGGCTCGGGGGCGTCCGTGGTTGCGAAAATGGTGCTCTGCAACGAGAGAGTGTTGATGCGTTTGAAGAACTTGATTGTCTGGCCTAGCTGGAACATATCGCATTCGGCACTGCTGGTGTAGCCGAGCTTACACTGGCGGTCGCGAGACGTGTATAGGGCGAGGAAATGTGTCTGTATCGACTGAGTGGTCTGGAGTATGCAATCCCGGCGGAACAGCAATTCGTCTTCAATGCCCATGGGGAGATCCCACCACAGAGCAGCATCTTCTTCAGGCTCGTGGCCGACCCAGCCACGGTGTATAAGACGCAGAGAGGCTTGATATACCCAGCTCGCATTTTCCAGAAAGATACCGACCAGCAAGCGTTGGCGCGTGCGCTCTTCCGTCCATGTGGCAGTAAGTTTGGTGTTGGATTTGGCGTCCAGAGCGGCAATCATCTTATGGCTCTTGCAGTAGGCACGCCATGGCACAAGACAGTCAAAGCGGTCGGCGACGATGCAGAGGTTGGCGATGTTTGCCAGAGGTGGGGTGACGGTGGTCAAGTCGCGAGCGTGCAAGGCGCACAGGAAGTCGGCCATGAGCGGTTTGATGGTCTTGACCGAGGGTGATATGCGACCGACGTCTACAATCTTGACTTCAGGGAGCTCATCGGCAGGTACGGATGTGTCCAAGGTTGTGTATTTGGTCTTGAGTTGTTCGTGGGCGAGGGCCACGAGGGTGCCTTCCTTGTAATCGCCTGACAAGAGCCGACTAAAGTAGGTCGAGGCTTCTTTCAGCCTGCCCGAGTCGACACGGTATCTGCATGTCTCTTGTGTGGGAGCGTCTCGTTGGACGAGCAGTACGACGTCCCCTGCTGGCGAGATGATGGTGATTCCGGACGGGATTTCTTCCAGAGCGTTGACGGTCTTATTCTCTGCCGACTCGCGTTTGGCGGATTTTGATTTCTTGGTTGGAGTTGACATGGCCGGGAGCCGTTCGAAGCACTGTCCTATGGGTAGGGCCAAAACATTGCTCTGAAAGTGGCGTGCGAAGAGTGCTTTTGCTACACATCCATCTCGACATTTGTCTGCGACTGGAGACATGACGTGTCTCGCCAAGCGTGTGTTTCTTTCTCACTACACTCTCGTCACCAGCACTCAAGAACAGTACACAGTCTAGGTAGTTTGTATATCGACTTTTCTGTTATGTCAATCTAGCTTGTATGTGTCTCTCAACATCTATGCAACACTATCCACAAACCATGCCCTCTTTCGGTACTTCTACTTTCTCCCCATTGCTCTCCTGCTCTTCAACTCTACCTTCTGGCACCAGGCCAACTTGTTTGTTTTCTTCTTTCTCGCGCTCCAGACGTTCCTTCTCTTTCTTGGTAAGTTGCATCGATCCCTTCTCGATAGCTTCCTTTGGCAGCGGTCGTACGTATGGTTGGCAGATGAACCACGGTCTTTTGCACCACGCAACAGCCGCCAACGAGCTCTCGTCCTTTGTTGCATCCAATTCAGGTCTGGTCTGTGGTTCCGTCTCAGGTTCTTCAGAAGGGGTGTTTTCGTACTCGAGCAAACCTTCCTTAACAGCAGCCTCGACCATGGCCAGAACATTCTCGTACGCCTCAATGTCGCCAGCACGGCAGCGAGCGAGAGCGTCTCGGACATTGGTGTGCTTGGAAACTAACGGGCGGAGCATATGGAAGAGGTGAGCCTGCATCGGGGTGAGATTGGGATTCGAGCACTTCTCATTCTTCTTGCGGCTTTCGCCCTTGTTCTGTTTTTGCTTCTTGGACGGAGGTTGGCCATTTGTCTCTTCCCCTGCCTCGGCATCCAGAGCCTCATCCTCAGCGGGTCGCTTCTGAGCGGAACCGTTTTCAGTAGTTGACTTGACGGTAGCTGTGTCGATTGGCGCATCATCTTGGTCTGGCATGAACAAATGTTTCCGTGTTGGCGGCTCCTGACCGAGCACATATCTGTGAATAATATCCATGTAGCGCCTGAGTACGGCATCCATGCGGTAGCCACCTCTGCCATCTTTTCCTCTCCAGTATTCTCGTCCTTCTTGGCCCACGGGTGGAGGGTGAGCAAAGACAGATGGGTCGTAGAGGTTTCCCTCGGCGCTCATGACACCGTCGGCACCGGTAGCCTCAAGGCAAGCAGGTATATCGTCGTGGCGCAAGATGTTTCCATTGGCAAANATGACAGTCTCTTTCGGGAGGTTGTCCCTCAGGTAACGCAAGACGGACCAGTCAGCCAAACCCGTGTTGTGACCTTTCTGGTGGCGCTGACGGCCATGGACGGTGATGATGCTGGCACCGGCAGACAGGATCATTTTTGCGTAGTCGAGAGTCTTTTCGCGAGTCTCGAGGATGCGCATCTTTGCCGTGACAGGGATATCGAGATTGACGTGGAGGTTGTTGATGAGCTTATAGATCAGGTCCCAGTCTTCCTGCAGGAAAGAGCCATAGTGACCCTTGCGAGCAATGCCCTGAGGACAGCCGAGATTGAGGTCGACGGCATCGCAGAAGGGTTGGACATGTTTTGCAGCAGCGAGCAGGTCGTCAGGGTCATTGGCGCAGAACTGGACGAACAGAGGACGGTCGGTCTGATGGTTGCCGTCGAGATGGAGGGCGTCTTGATCGAAATGGGACTGGTCGAAAGGGACGGGCGACTCGGGCATCGAGGCTTTCAATGGCTGGAAGTGGGTTTCGCGGTATTTGGCGTTCTCATGGAACAGGCGGGCGTGGAACATGGGCGTGTAGGCAAGCAGTTGTTTGTTCTGCTCGTCCGGTAGGAACGAGCGCGTCAACAAGCGCCATGCCTGTCTGTTTTGTCAGTACTGTGTCTCTGTACACACTCATGGACAGTCTTGACGTACAAACTCGCTCTGCTCGACCATGGGCGCCAGAATCAGCTTGGGGCAGCCGATGCTCTCGTAGAACGCCCGCCCATGCAGCTTTGGTGCCTTGATCGACTGGCTCATCCTTGTTGTATATGTGGGAGAGAAGGGCGAAATGCGCAGTGCTGCTGGCCGTAGCAGTCCCGTCTTGAACATGAGCGACGAGACGAATGTTTAATTCTCCCTTGCCCCAGTCACAAAATTTCCCCACATGCCAACCACGACCCGCTCTGCACGAGCGCCACACCCGCCGACCCTCCAAACCTTAAATCGTGACCTGCAGATCTCAACCGACGTCGTCTCATGCCCTAGAATTGTGAATTATCCATCGCTTTTCCAAACTTCCGACTTACCGCACGACAAATCCACTAGCCATTTCCAGTCACACCTCTCGCAGTCTCTTCTCGTAGTTCTCGCAATACTCGGAACACTCGCAACATGCTCTGCTCGTTCAACACAACGCGAATGGTCAATTTCCATTTTCGACGAAATACTAACATTTCTTTTCCTTGCCTATCGAATTGATTTTACATATCTGGAGACCATAGCTGGGAGTTTCATTTTGTATCCAAGTGCCGTGGCAAATTGGAGCTTTCACTGGGTTCGCAATTGGCAGGTTACGCACCATCCGGAAGGAATGACCCGCCATTCCACTGTCAAGACTGGCTCAGTCGCTCTTTCCCATATCTTCTGTCATCAGGTCCTTCTCACAATCACCTAGTCTGCACGGCATGTTTTGCATATTTACGGCCGTTGTAAACGTCGAACCAAATCCTATCGTTCATTCGCCGACACAGATATACCTTGCAGTCTATATCGATCGAAGTCTCCTGGATTGCGGATATCAGGATCTCTTAGGCCCATAAGCACAATCATACTTGTTGTGTGATCGATTCAGCTTTCATTTGAATACTGGACCCCTGTTTGTTTCCTGTTATCGCTATGGCTTCCATTCGGTCTTCAACCCTGGGACTCGTTCATGCCCTCAACATAGCTGCAACATGTTAGCCTCAGCATTGGAGTTATACCACTCTCAATGGGAAACTGTGAAATCGTCGAGTAGTTGAGTCCTATAGAAGATTCTGCCTGCAACAGGAAACGGTACCAAAAGTTGGCAGCATTCATGGATCTAGCATCTGACTCTGGAAACCCTCCTACCATTCCAAACCATCAACGACGAGTTGTGTGCAGCCATTGGTGCCCAAATTCAAATAAGACTCCATCAGAAGGACCAACATGCTACTAAACCATGACCTTAGAAGAAATCCTTTCGCTACACTCCTTGGACAGGGCCCACGCCCCTATACCATTGACTACTATCCCGATTCCTGATCACCTCCCTTTTTCTCGCCTTCCTCCTCTTATCTCCTTCGTCCCTATTTTCACCCCCTCCTTCTTCTCTTCTCACCTCTTAGTCAACCTCTCTTCCATCACACCCCCTCCCATCCGACCCCCTCCCACATACCACACCTCCTAATCACGCCCCCATCGCGACCACTGCTGCCTACTTGCACTGACCATCGCGTTGCTGACATAGTCTCCAGAGTATATGTATTTCTTCTCTTCCTCTCCCTCCATCTTTCTTTCATCTCACTCCAGTTAGCATAGCAAAAATCACAAGGTTTTTAGATAACATCCAATTCACATCACATCTTCATCCATCTTCATCATCATGGCTTCCTCATTGCCAAACTACATGCTCCCCACTGTCGCCTCATCATCACACACTTCAGCAAGGGCCGCCACCCGCGCTGTCGTCGCTCCGCTTTCTACTAAAGTGTCCAAGCAGGTCTCGCGCCCTGCAAAGGCTCTTCCTCGTCCTTTCTCGTCCGTCCTCCCGTCTGCCGTCACCCAGACCACCTTCGCTGCTCGCCAAAAGGCCACCCCCAAGCCTGCCGTCGGCGCTGCCGCCATTCCTCGTCGCTTTGTCGTTACCGCTGCCCCTCGTCCAACCATTCCTGTCGTTTCCGCCCCTCGCTCTTCCGCCCTCACCCCCGCCGATCGTTTACGCCTTAGCAAGCTGGTTCCTGCCATCGAGGAGGAATTTGGTCGTCTTCGTGAAAGCAAGCTAACAGAGGTGCAGGTTACAGATCCTTTCCCTGAGGACTAGGAGTCCGACTGGGACGATGATCTGCTCTGTGAAACAGATGATGAGTCTGAAACCACAATCTTTGACAAGGCTAACATGGTGGTGCGCAGTCGTGATTCTAGCTCCATCGATCCTTCGCTTTCGTCCTTCACTCACAGCAACACCGCCCTCGCTCAGATCCTCGCCGACTTCAGTGACGACGTTTTCAACAACAACGACGCCACCGACGCCGACGACGGTGTCTTCTTCAACGATGACACTGTCATCCACCATTCGCTTGCTCCGTCCGCATACGCCCACTTTGTCGATCCTACCGACACCGATCTCGAGTTGGAAGAAGACGTGTCGATGGCTGCTCTCGAGGAGCTATCGTACGTCGAGGTTAGTCCCATCGTTCATACTAACCTCCCTTTCACTTCCNCCCCTCCACACACATTCACTAACCACGAGGACGACCTTGTCGCTGCTCTCGAGCAGATGGACTTGGCTGATCCAGTCATCGGTGAGGGCAGCCACTTTCTTNTTTCTCCTCTTCACTCCTCATTCCTCTCGCGTCATCCTTCCTTCCTCGAAGACAGTTGAGCTCTCTCTTCTGTCCCGTATCGTCATCACCCCCTTCCTTCCACCGAAATATCAGAGTGTTGCGGTGCTGAGTAGGCTGCTGGCGGGCAGCCTCAGGGTACCGTCTCACAACCAAAAACAATTGAAAAGGTGCTAACCGCGAAGGCAAAAACGGAGGTCTCGGGTTTGAGGCCCAGTTGTTATCAGCGTTTTGACTTTTTGTTTTACTTTGCTTGTTGTGTTTGTTTCTTGTTTTTTGAGTGGTATGTTTAAGACTTTGGTCGACCACTATGCGTTGTTTTCTGGTTTGTTTTTGCTGTTTTGTTTTTTCTGTTGCTAGATTTCTTTTGTTGTTAGATCTCTTTTGTCGTTTAACTTTCTTTTGTTCTCATAGATTTCTTGGGTTTCCGGCATTATTCTTCTGTTTCTGGAGTTTTTGCTGTTATTTCGCGTTGTTTTATTTCCTTTGTTTTTCCTATGTTCTCGTTGGGTTTCTAGTCTTGGACTGGGGCTTGAAGAGGATTTCTGACATATTGTATCCTGTGTTGGTTTGATACGTTGAGTCAAGGATTTCATAGGAGCTGAGAGAGTGGGAGCTGCGTATAACATCTTGCCCATGTGCTACTATGATTGACCCTTTCTCAAGGAGATGTGTAGTGGCAATTTTGGCTGTAAAATGCATGGTCGCTTTCTCAATAGAACCATGACCATTTAGACGCTCTAGGAAACCCTCCTTTCGCTGGATATCACTTCCTTCTGTGAAGTATTGTGCGTTTCTATAACTGCCTATAACAGTCTTCAGCGAATGGGAAGGACAGAGAATGCTTCCTTGATGGAGTATGATCAAGAGGGCTATGGGACGGAGGATCTTTTCAAGAGACAGATAGAGTTCAAATGGTCTTGCAGAAGATGGATGTTGACAAGACGTTCTCTCAAGGCATCTTAAACTCTGGGCAGGATGAATTGAGATTGATTATGAAGTAGATGACTAATGATCACGGCTTCCAATTGGGATCATCTTCCCCGGTCAAGTCGGGTCTGATAGACTTGTTTTCCAACCAAGCCTTCATCTTGCCATACAAAACATCTTTCTCAGGGCCGTGTGCATTCAAGTTCATCTTGGGCGGCTGGCTGATCTTGTTCTCAGCCCAAGCCAAGTACTTGTAACCACTTGGATACTGCTTGACCTCATCCTCGGGAATACTGTAGATTCTCTCCGGGTTTACTGGCGTGAACTTGTCCTTGTCGAACAGCAGCGTGTAGAACACGACACCCCATCTGTTTCCTCTCTTCTCGACAAAGAAGAAGAAGCGGCAGTCGGCGTCATTGTCCATCTCGATATCATCAAATGTAAAGCGACAAGTTATTGTAATCTTCATCTTGCAGACTGCACGGGTAAGGTCGGGGTTCATGTCGACTTGAGATCCGATGATGCGATGTAAGATATACATGAATTTGGAGCCTTTTTCGAATCCAGCTTTGGAGGCTTCGATGAACTCGTCGATATTGCCTTGCTTCCAGCTAGTGGCGATGTAGGCGTCGTCGAAGAACATTGAGCGATAGTTTTTCCATNNCTGTGATGTGTGAGCATTATATACGGATATGGTTTGGGGTGGGACGCTGTACTCTGCTGCATCTCTGTAGACTCCNCAGCCCTCACAAAGCTCGCGAATCTTCATTCGCTCAATGAGCTCCTTATCTAGGTCGTTTCCTTCGGCATTGTTGCGGATAGCATCCTTGGGGTATGTGCTAAGCGGAGGCTGCTCCGTGTGGTAGGGGTCGTCGGGATTCTTGCTCTTGTCTTCAGGCATGATGAATAAAGATGTAGTTTGTAGTATGTCTCGAGATTCTATTAAAGTCATTGAATGGGCGCCAAATGGTCTTTATCAGTCACAAGCGCTCTCGGCAGTTGCTGTTCAGTGATCATCATGATGTACACACCAGCTACGGGCCTCCCCACGAGAGTCGTCTCTCTAAGCTAACTTTACGGCCATCTTGATTATCTCACACATGGCCCGCAAGCTTAGACCTCTCAGCTGCCAGACATATATGTAAATATTTTCATCTATATCTAGACCATTTCGTGGTTGAAGCATCAGGTCAAGGGAGTGATTTATCAACAGAACCCCACTGCTGCACAATGACGTCTTCGAAGATTTGGTCATCCTGCGGTTTCCATTCCTGCACATGTTGGCCATTCGTCGTCTGTCAACCTATGAAATAGATTAAAAGACGTGTATACATAGAAACATGCGCTAAACAGGTATTGACAGTGGTTGAAATATGTACTGCCACAACCTGTCGTCTTACTTTTCTTCCGCAAGTTTTTGTTACACACAGATTAGCGACTCCATCTCATGCTAACATGACTTGATGTACTTGCTCCTCGCGACCTTGGATAACTTGAAACTTCAGAGAAGCCTGTCGTAAGTGAGTGCACTTTATTTGACCTGTCAAGGGAAGCGGGTGCTCGTTTAGAGATCGGATCGTCAACGTCACCCTCTGAGATGACCAGGAGTATCTTTGATATAGATCCAGCTCATCTCAAGCCGCGATTTTAGAGCAAAGACGGGCTACTAATTGCATCTGTCTCAATCCAGTTCTGACAACAATCAACCTTGTCACACCATAGTCACAACTACAAGACAACAGCAATGCTTCGAACACTGTGCTACCGAATCAGCATAACCCTCCTCAACATCTTCTTCCCACCTCTCGCCGTCGGACTCCTTGACAACTTCAGCACTGATTGCTTGGTCAACAGCATTCTCTTTGTCTGTGGGGTGTTGCCTTCTCACATCCACGGCTTCTACATCAGCTGCGTCTACTTCTCGCGTAGACACAAGGTGCGGAGAGGANTTTATCCCGGCGGGACCAAGGCATTCATCTACACGGAAACAATCTTGAATGGAGGCGTGAGTAACAAGGAGGTGAGGAGGTTGGCGGAAGGTGATAGGACGAGGGGCAAANGAGCGAAAAGTCCCAGGGGCTAACTTGGAAGAGTCGGTGGTTAGAATGTGTAGACGGATAACAGGCGGTGTGGACATGATACGGTCACAAAAGCAAGCAATGTGTGTGTTCTCAAGATAAAGAGTATACGTTTGCTTAAGAATCTAGGAACCGAGATGAAGACTCTAGGGAGACGACATGAAATGGAAGCTGGAACGCAAATATTCTAGACGTTGCTCTTCCGCTATTCGAGCGATAGTAAGGTAGAACTTGGCCTCATTTGTGTCCTGTCACAGCACGATGCCTCCGAGAACGATGCGGATGAGAGTTATGATATGCAGGTGATAAACTGAAACACCCCAAAAGATGGCGGAAGTCGAATGAGGTACAGGTCGAGGAGGTCAGAAAAGACCGAGGGCAGAAAGCAGACGCAGAAAACCAAAACGCCAGAGTGATGCTTCGCTGGAAGGGAATGGAGAGCGAAAATACGAACAACGAGCCATGAGAGGGAAGTGTCAACAGACTACTCCATCTCTTCATCGGTAAGGTCCTGGTGACGGGCAAGGACGTTGCGCTTGAACTCTTCCATGTTGGTATCCCAGAGCTCGGCAGCTTGACCGTTGAGAGGCGAGGAGCTGTAAGAGGAGTCAGCGGGTGTTCGAGTCTTGAACGTGAAGTAGACGTACTTGTTGGGCTCGCCGAGCAAGCTCTGCAGGGATAGGAGCACAGAACCGACGTTTAGGACAGCGCTCCACTTGTCTTTGAGGATGTCCAGACAAATACGACCCTTCATGTCGACATTGGGGTGGTAGATGGGAGTGGTGAAGCGGACCTCCGGAGGCACATATGGGTAGCGCGCAGGGAAGTTGAAGCGGAGCTTGAGCGTGAGACCGGAATAGGGAGTGTCGGCGGGACCGACGATGGTGCCGTCCCAGACAGTGAGGTCGCCGTTATGCGGAAAGGCGCTGACACCGGGCGTGGGCGATGTCATCAGTGTCATGAGCTCGCCTTGCAGTCTNGCGTGGGGTGTCAGTCAACCGGTGGGAGAAGACTCGGCGGGAGTTACAAACCGCTTGATGACATTGCCATTGTCCTTGGACTTGGACGGGCTGGTGGGTGCGTTCGAAGCTGCAGCGACAGCGGCCATGTTGACTGTGTCGGCGGGAAGGGGACTGGACGACTCTGATGTGAAGAAAAGGCGGCGAGAGCGGAGCGGGACCCAAGAGTAGAGATGCGAGAGAGGAGGTTGTGATGGAGAAGGATGGATTGAGATGTGGTTACGGGTCAAGAAAAGTCAAGCAGCCTGTATAGTGTTATCATCCACCGAGTACTATCCAACAATGCACAAAGGAATTCCATGTAAACAATGCGCCGTTGCCGGGGCTCTTGTCGACAAACTCCACACTCGCGTCCACCTCCTGACGCGACTGAGCGCGTCATTCAATTTGAAACAAAACACTTTGAGATTCATAAGTAATACTGTATAATTCCTATTATGCAGCTTTCGTGCCATCTGTAGCCATGAAGCATTTGTAAAGCCATCTCAACCGCTGATGCTGTCCCTTCAATATTCGCATCCCTCATCAAATTTCATGCTCTTGCTGTAGACACAATGCATTCGGTTATTCGTCCTTGCAACTGACCCCTACCACCGAGACATCCTTGCCGCTTAGAGAACCTATTCAATGGTCAGAATTGCTTCAACATCATTTCATGCATCAGATACTTACATCTGCGATGTTCTGGCGCACAATGATGCTCTTCTGTCTATCATTGCGGCTGACACGGTAATAGTAGTCTGTGTAGTCGGCGCAGTTCATGTATCTCAAAAACTCCTCGTCGTGAGTGATGACAATCAACTGGAAGTTCGATTGTTGTCTTCTGATGCGGATAATCTCCGACAATGATTCTGCCAGCGAACGGATGTTGTCACGGTCAAGATTGGTCGTAGGTTCGTCCAAAGCGATCAATCCGCAGTTTACCCCGAAACACTCTGCCAGAGCCAGGCGGATGATGATGGATGCAAGTACTTTCTGACCTGCAGAGCAACGACCACGCATGTCCATCTCAGCATCCTGTTTGCACATGACGACGCGGTAGTTGTAGCTCTTGTTGCCCTTCATGTTGTCGTTGTCGGAGCGAATCAGAATCGAATCGACGTCAGTGCCGCGATACGTCTTCTTCCAAAGCTCCTCAATGATGCGGTTGATTTCCTCCATCTTTAGAGCGTGGTATCTCATGATGGCCTTGTCGAGTGCACCACCATAACGACCGAGATCTTCGACAGCGGCNCTTTGTCGTCTCAACCTTGACGTGAGCTTCCTTGTATTTGTATGCAGCATCCTTGTAATCCTGCTCCCAGTCCTGAAGAAGTTGTTGAAGCTGGTCGTCTTTGCTCTTCAGCTGGCCCATGATCGAGGCTTGCTCTGCTGTAAGCTTATTGCGTGNTCATCTCCCAGCGATTGCCTTCACGTTCGTGAGTAGTCTTTTCCTCTTCGGCGTTGTGTGTCTCGAGCTCCCTTATCTCAGCACCTATTGCGTCCACAGCAGCACGATCACGACGGTACTCTTGATTGTCTGCGATCTGACGCTTCGTCTCCTCGACGTTCTGGAGGTTGTTTTCGAACTCCTTGACCTGTTTGGTGATGGATTGCATGTCCTTCTCCAAACGTTCGATATCTTGTTTCATGTCCTCGATATCGCCCNTTGGCTTGAGCCAGCTTAGCTGGACCATCTCTCTTGATGTAGCCGCTGATCTCTTGCTCGACCATTTGCAGCTTGTTCACGCTGTCGTTTATGGCGGCTGTTTCTTCGCGAAGCTGTCTGTCTTTTTCTGCACCGCGACGGGCGATATCATCGTACTTTGACTGAGCTTGCGACATCTCTGGAACCAGACCAGCAAGCTCCTGCTCGAAGGATCGTTGAGAATCAATGAGCTCATTGTTCTGTTCCTTGAGCTCGTTGATCTGTTTCTCGAAAGACGACTTCTCCTTGAGATTGTAGACGGCATCACTGAGCTTTGACTTTGCGTCACGAAGCTCGAGCTCAAGCGCGTTGATGATACCGCGAGCACCATCGCGCTCACCAAGGATCTTGGTCAATGAGGTTTTGGCTCCGCGAGACTGCTCGTTGATCGTCTTGAGATCGTCTTGCACCGTCTCGAGGCCACGAGAAAGACCCTGGCTTTTTGTTTGGCAGCCAGCTCTNTCAATCTGCATCTCGAAGTTGACAACTTCTTGGGCATATTTGACAATGTTCTGGACGGTTTTGGAAAGACTTTCAACCTCCTGCCTGGCTGATTTGCGCTCGCTGACGACGCGATCTTCTTCCTCGACCTCGTCGGTAAGGGAAGACACACGGGCCTTCAAGCGTTCCTCTTCCTGCTCGAGATTGGGAATGTCCTTGCTCTTGAGACGATCCCAGTTGTCGTAAGTCGAGCTGATCGCCCTGACTTCTTGCAGATAGTTCTCGGTGTCTCGAAGCTCTTCAACTGCGCGGCCAGCCTCCGCTTTGTTGATCTCCATTCCCAGGAGGTTGATCAACTTCTCGAGTCCTTGACGATCCTTTTCATAGCCGCGACGGCACATGAGGCAACATTTGTTCTCCCGAGCAGCTCTCACTGCACTCTCGTAGTACTTCTTGAGGTGGCCAGCATACTCGCTTGAACTCTTGCGATCGTCACGCTCTGTTTCGGTCTCCTCAAGAATCCTCTGGTACTCCGAGGGATCTGTTTCGATGACGTTCTGGATTGTCTTGTGGCTGGCATCCAGTTCCCGTCTTCGTGCACTGAGGTCGGTCTTTGTTTGCTTGAGACGATACTCCAGCTGCTCAAGTTCACGAGCCTGACCGTCTCGCTGACGTTCAGCTTCTGCTACCGATTTGTTGCTGCTGCTAAGAGCACTTTGGAAGTCGCTATCCAAGGACGTGGCCTGCCAACCACCACCAACAATGCTATCAATCTTGGATCCATGAGTTTTGGTCATGGTATCGAGACTGCGCTGGCGATCCTTGATCTCCTTTCGCAGATACTCCAGACGTGCCGAGTCTCCTGCCTGCTTGGTAGCCTGGAAAAGTTCCATCTCCAGTTTCTCCTTCTGATCATCCAGACGGCGTGAAGCAGCTTCGATCTCGTCGACTTGCTTGTCCCGATCCTTGACTTCGTAGTCAGACTTGGCCGCTTGCAACTTACTTTCAGTATCTTCGACGGAGGACTCAAGCATAGTCTTGGATCCCTCATCAACCTCGATCTTGTTCAGTTCAGTCTGAAACCCACCAATGCGTTGCTGGTTTGCAGCATGAGTGGCTTTGGCGCTTTCTTTCTTCTGGTTCAACGTAGACTTTTGCTCGTTGATGCGGTTGAGGACACCTTGGGCGCGTTGCAGCTCTTGCTGTGTCTCGCGTCTGGCGCGTTCGAATGTGGCGTTTTGCTCTTTCGCCATACGGCTGATGCGATCGACCAACTCTCGAGCCTTGTCATCGTCGACCTCAAGATCGTAACCACGAAGGCTGTGCCTACGAGCAGTTTGCTTGACCAGCTGTGCTCTGTTCTCAATCTGACGATCGTAGTTCTTTCGGTCAGATTCCAATGAGCCGACTTCACGNCTCTTTCATGCCGAGCTTTTCGCGGTTGCTCATCAGCTCCCGACTAAGTTGTTGATATCGGCGCTTCTCCTCGTTGGCTTGATCGTGCAGCTGTTGGATTCGCTCTTCATATTTCTGTAGAAGAGCCTGAAGTTCTTGGTCCGANNATCGGTCATCTCACGAAGGTTGCGTTTGAGCTTTTGAACACTTTCCTGCTTAGCACGTTGCTCAATACGTTTGCCGGAAAGTTGGCCGACGATTTCACCAAGGAATTTGATCTTCTCCCAGGCGGCGTTGTAGTTCTGCTTGGCCTCGGTAATCTTGGTGCCCATATCCTCGCCTTTGAGTCGTAAAGTCTCAATCTCCTCGTAAAGCTCGTGGGATCGTTTTTCGGCCTTCTCGCCCTTATCCTTGTCTTCCTTGGCGTGTTGCTCGATGATTTTGTATTTTCCAAGCTCTTCGGTCTGCTTCTTCTTCATGATCTTGATGTTGTCGATGGCCTTGGTATATTTCATGGCTTCGAAGATGGCATCAAACCGGTCTTTGAGCTTGCTAGGCTCGCTGAGCGGCCATAAACTCTCATCCTGATGACAGAAGATGACAGAGTCCAAGATAGCCTTGCTTACACCAAGATATTGAGGCATGAGCTGATCAAGTTCGGCAACGCGAGAGGAGATGGATGTGCGCTCGCCCTCTTTGATCATGAGAAGCTGGCCTTCGAGCGATTTGACTGAGCGTGTCAACTTCTTGACGGTGAGCTGCAGACTGCGAGTGGAAACCATTTTGGCTCCGGTGGTGGCCAGGAATGACATCTTGACTTGGGCGAGGACCTCTTTCTCGCCGCATAGCNNTATGCTCGTCAGCCGAAGCAGTACGATGGTCCTTGAAGGACATACCTTGGGATCATGAATGAAGGCACCACCCTTGCTGTTCGGNGGTTGGTCTCCAGTCGTAGCATACTTGAGACACTCGATGATAGTCTATGCATTGTTGTTAGTACGGTCGTGATTTGTGGTCTCGAAGCAAGGACTTGCAGTCTTTCCGGAGCCATTGTGGCCCACGATCAAGGTGAGAGGTGCGTAGAACTGGATGGTCTCGCTGCGTCCATTGTCGAAGGAACGGACTCTGTAGCAGGCAATCAGTAAGTGTTCTGGTTCAATTTACATGTCAATTGGTATGCATACCCCAAGNATGGAGAGTTTGTCAATCTTGGCTGGAGGAGGAATGTCAGTGAGTGGGTCCGATCCTCAAGAACGCGCCGATTGACATACACCTGTTGGAGGAATTAGCTTCGGGTGTATTGACGGATGCGGATCGTGATGAACTTACATGGTGGATCAAGCTCGGAGTTCACTCCGAGGTGGGAAGATCGGGTGTATGCAATTCTGCGTGCGAGCAGAGGATGATTGATGAGAAGAGAAGTGAGCAGGAGATGAGTACTTCTTTCGGAGGTGGAGGTGTTGAATCAAAGAGAGTGTCACATCCAAGAGTTGACACTTTTGACACTTTCTTCATGAGTTGGCAGGCAGACGCGTGTGAGGCGGAAGGAACGCCTCACAGTGGAAGCTCGGAGGAGGGTCTGCCCAGACTTATGTCCCAGCCTGTTCAGGGCTACGCATCAGAGATTAGTCGCACAACACTTAGGAGACGTGGACAAACAATCATACTGGATACTAGCTACGTCTCTCTAGATAGTTCTTGCGCCTTTCAGTAGATTCGGCGACAGTGTTCTGATGGAATCAAGCATTTGTGCAATCGAGTTGGAGATCAACGATTTGTTTCGGCGGACCAAATCGTTGGCCAGAGCAGGCGCGGGCAGACGTCAGACTTCGGTCGCAAACAGCGACTGCGGATCGAGCAAGTCTTCCTGCATCGTGGAAATTCAAGTTTGTCTGGTGGACTCGCGGGACCAGGCACCGTCTCTGTACAGTTACCTCTCGACTGGGTCCAAAGCCTACTCGATAAGGCAGGATAGCCATGTCCTACCTGTCGTCGGTCGATGGCTCGCTACCCCAAAACGTAAGTGCCCAGAAGACCGAGTCCGCTGCGTGCGAACGCCCACTGATCATTGGTTTTGTGCATCAGATGGCCGGGGTGGGGTCCGCATCCGACCACCTGCTGGACCCAAGCGCCAACCTCATGTCTGATTTGCACGATCAGATTAATATGCTGCCCATGGACCTCGATCTGAACGACCCTAACCTCGATGTCTCGCTGAGCAACGTTCCCTTTGCCGACCCCGGCGCCTTTGGCAACAACCTCAGCTCCATGTCCTTCGCCCACCAGTCCCATCACCACCATGACGACGGCCAGTCCCAGTCCAACATGTCGGGCATCGGTGCCGGCCCCCTGCCCACTGGCTTCGGCATGGGTCCTCCTTCCAACGGCGGCAACACCCTGACTGAGTTCACCAAGCGCAGAAACTGGTCGCAGCGCGTGATCGAAGAGCTCAGAGATTTTCTACATATACTCACCCCCGATGGTCGCATTCTCTACGTCTCGCCCTCGGCCAAAACCCTGACTGGCTACGAACCACGATACCTGGTCGGCAAGTTCATCGGCGAATTCGTGCACCCCGAGGACAGCGGCATCTTCATGCGCGAGTTCAACGAGTCCATAGCATCGGGCAATCCTTTGCGCTTCTTCTACCGCTTCAAAAGAGAGGACGGCACATATATCATATTCGAATGCGACGGGCACCCACACATCTCGTCCGACCAAGGAGCATACGGCCATATGAGTGGCTCGGGTCAGGGCGCCATGAGCGCGTCGGGCCTTTGCCGAGGCTTCTTCATGATGGCTCGTCCATATCCAACCAAGAACGCAGCCTTGCTCGACTCTTTCCTAGAGCACAAAATTGAGAATGAGCGCTTGAAGAAAAGAATCGAAGAGTTGAAACGGGAGGAAGTTGAGGAGAATCAAGTCCAAGAAAGACAATGGCAAGAACAATCCAGGCGAGATCCGTCTGAACCTGGCCGTGTCGACGGCTCGACTGAGAACAGCAAAACACCAAACTACCAAGGCATGCCGCCACCCGCCAAGCCCCCAATATCAAACACTGCTCTTACACGTCAAAATCTGGACAGCGCGCTGTCGGCCCAACAACCCGACAGCATAGCGGACAAGATGTCCCGCTATGAGGGCTCAAATCATCTCGAGACGATTGAGATGCTCACCGGATTGCGTTACCGTGACGGTGAGCGCAGTCATGGTATTTCCACTGGAGACACATCACCTGCGCTCATCAGAGGCGATGCCGGTATCGCAATTCTGCTTGATAGGGACCGTGATGGGACCAAGGAGAAGAAAAAGAAGCTCAAAGTCGCCGAAGAATATGTCTGCGCAGACTGCGGAACTCTGGACAGTCCTGAGTGGCGCAAAGGGCCCAAGGGTCCCAAGACACTATGCAATGCGTGCGGCTTGCGATGGGCCAAGAAGGAGAAGAAGAAGGCAGTTGGTGACAGCGGCACAAATTCGAATGCTGGTATGACTCCTGGAGGAGGTGTACCGTCGTTACTGCACAAGGACAGTAGCGGAAGCAATTGATTACAATCGCGACGTTTGGATATTGGATCTTCACGATGTGGGCGATGGGCGTTTGGCAGGCATACTCGGAGCTTACGATTCACCAGCCTTTACTATTCTTCAGTGTAAAGATTTATTGACTAGATACCAGAGGGCATTACGGAGTTTTGTACTATATACACCATGGCATGATTTCTGCATGTGTTTACCTAAAACTTTCGTTTCTTTCATTCGAACAACTTTCAAAGTAGCCGAAGGACTGCATGCCTACCTTTTATGTAGACGTACAATATCCTGCAGTTGAGTCATTCGTGGTGATCACTACGTTATTTGAGGATCACTTGAAAGCCTTTCGGGAGCATGCCACCAAGGTAGACCACAGAAAGCATAGGAGGCGACAACGGCGCCCTACAATCCAAATCGGCTCCGAGGCGAGATCGCAAGCACACGATGCGACAGGTAGATGACTTCTTCGCATAACTTGGGTTGAGAGCAGTCATGCTTATGTGCAGCAAATCGCTTGCACATAGATTGGTGTGCAGAGTAGCATCATGTGGTTTCATCGTCCGCCCTACAATATGCCTCACAATTATATTTGACCACCCTTTGCCCTCTACTAAGCAAATGCTGCCAAATTCTGAGACGCAGTCAGCCAATCAACTTGATCTTGGTTGCATAGGTATGCACGGGATGTAAGGCGAAAGGTCCACGGAGAATAACAGACTCAGCAGACCACTCATCTTTTAAATTGAGAGGGAGTGGTCTAGTTGTAGCATGGCAAGAAAAAAACAATACAGTGCGTCAACCCTTTGAAAAGGAGCGCTTTGAGCAAGACATGCTTGATGCATACACTCTGGCTCAGCAGCAATAGAATCTCAGCCCACAGGCATTTGTCCCGATTCCCGTCGAATTGATGCACCCTGTCAAGCCACGCGGAGTATGTGATGCGGAAAGCAGGTGCACCCGCGACAACAATATGCAAGCGATTCTGTTCAGCTGCGCTTGTGCGCCGCCCGAGCAGCGCCCCTGCCGGCGATTAATGTCCGAGACACGATGATTGTTCGAGGCACTGTCCAGCTGCGCGGTCTTTCCAAGAGAATCCAGAACCGACAGGCTGGTGATGCTCATTCCATGCCTCATCAGATATCAGCGAGGTGCTTTATCGCAGAAATCAGAACGGCATCGGGGCTCAGTTACCAGCGGTCTCCTGGTTGTCGTTGAGACTTTTTATCTGCACGTTGGATTTCAGGTCAGCAACGGTCTCTTACGCCACTCCTACGACGCGTTCCCGGAGCGTGGCCGTATTTCCATTTTAGTGTATTGACACGGCCGTCATGAGAGGGGATGTCGAACAATCAGTACAGCGGTGAAGATTTTCGACTCTTCAGGCCTGGTTATTAGTCACTCGATACACAACAGATCTTGAGAGCAAGGTATTGCTGATGGCTTCGAGCGACGAGACGCTTGTGGCCATCAAGGTCGACGACCGCACTATGCACAATTGATGCCCTTATACAGTACAGCCACAAGGGCCCCCACCCTGAGGCTACTTCTGGATCGAGGCTAGTGATGCACCGCGCTGCGTGACAGACCTCGACTGTTGCTTAGCCAAATCCCCAAACTGTATGAGCCACAGACTTGGATGCGCACATCATTCGTCTTGCACGACGCAAGCTGCAGCCAGCCGCCGCTCCCTTTGTCCTGGGAAGGTCTTTGACGGCTACTTGCCAAAGGGCCCGGGACAGCATGTCTCCTTGAGTCTCGCAGGCGTGAGATTAACAAGGCCGCAGAGACAAGTATGAATTTGGTCACGGGCGGGTTTGGCCAAAAACAGCAAGGTTTCTATATGTATCCGCCAACGTGGTGTGCAAAGTATACATGGAGACGAACTGCACCTGCGGGCCGGCCGGTCAACTTTAGCCTTGCACTCTTGGGCTGGCTTGTGCTTTGTGCCCTCTGCGAGTCTGCCTCACCCCATCCTTTGTCTCGCCGTTTCATTCCGTTGTCTCCTACATCTTGTCCTTGTTTGATCGATACACTCGCTTCTGGTAGATACTTTCCTGTATTATCAGACGTGATGCAGGACGTGTTCTGGCACTAGGTGAGTTTTTACCACATGCACGATTGTCCAACAAGATACACGCTCGCTGTCGGCCCAAGGACGTCATATCGCTGGGGAGGCCTGACTGGCTGCATTTGCCAACAATACGCTGACAAGGAGTCTATATCACAGATGCGCTGTGTGTTCGTAGCACATGTGATGCAGCAAGCCCCTCTTACCATTGTTTGACCCTCGATATCGTTATTAAGACCTGGACACTTCCAAGAGCCCCCTCGCTGCTGTTGATCACCACCATGGCTTCGACCCAGATCTCCGGATCGACACTGTCGCTCCATGGAGCCCCGAACAAGACAGACCACGAACAGAACACCTCCGACCCGTCGAGGACGGCTATCTTGGTTAGATTGAATGATCAGGTCATACGTGACTTGCAACAATGTGCCCACGCGGGCAAGGCAGTGCAATTGCTGGGTGGAAAGACACCGGTATGCCCTTGAACATGTTCAAGAGCCTCGACAGAACCCTTTCTGACGAGTGCAGNNAAAATTCGATATGGTGCAAAGCTGTTGGAGTTGAATGTCAGACCCGAGACGTTTCGCCATGAAATCTACTCGACAAACGACAACAGCAATCAGCTTGGCTTTGCCGCCTTTGTGTCGCATCATGCAGAACTCAGAGCGCCCGTCGAGAAGAAGGCTCAAGAAGACAGTGCCGGTGCTGAGGCCGCCCTGGAGGCTCTGAAGCAATCGCTGGCGTCGATGGCCAAGCAGAAGGAGGAACGANAAGTGAGTGTGAGCAAAACTCTATCACACTAACTATCATTGACGTGCGGCAATAGGACGACAATAAGTAGCTCCGTGGCCGCTGGTGGCAAAAACTCCAGATACCTTCAACCCTCTTCTCGACCAACTTCCCTCGCTCAACGCACCGCTTCTTCGTCGACCACCCCTCGGCCTGCCGCACCCACTTCTGCTCCTTTCGACCCTCACGCCCAAGCACGAGAGAAGGGCATGCGATTTGCTGTCATACACTTGCTTGCCGTCAGACCTTTGTCCGAACAAGATATCCACCAAAAGACTCACATCCCCAAGGCTCAATTATCATCACTGCTTCCCAATATTGCCGACAAGCAAGGGCTCACCTGGGAACTCTCCAACAAACCGTACAAAGAGCTTGATCCCTGGACCTTCAAATACACCTCGGACCAACGGAAGTTGGCAATTGACCACGCGATCAGAGCTTTCGACAGAGCCAGGATACCAAAGGACGACAAAGCCTGGCAAGTTCTGCTGCCCAAGGAAGAGCGTAACAAAGGCAAGATCCTTTCACGCCTTCATCTGACTGCCGAAAGGTCGGACCAAGCTGGCACACCTGGTCTTGCTTCCACTCCTGTTCACACAAGTGCAGCTGTCACTCCAAAGCTAGGAGGTACCGGAACACCTCGTGGCGGAAGCGGTGCTACTGTGACCGGAAGACCTGCTGCTGGTTTCTCTATCGAAAAGCGTTTGAAGGAGGCGAAGAAGAAGGGCGCCATGGAAAAGAAGAAGCAAGAGAAAGAGGCAAAGGAGGCCGCTGCTGCTGCAAGCGATCGCGAGAGCAAGCCCAGAAATGTGACCGCCAAAAGACCTATACCTCCCAAGAAGGTCCCTTCAAAGGTCAAATCTGACGAAGTCGTCCACAGCTCGGATGATGAGGAAGAAGGTGAGGTCAAAGAGGATTCCACCTTGAAGAAGAGTGCCGCACCCAGAAAGGAGCCTCCCAAGCCGGCTCCCAAGGCACGACCTGTGGCAACAGAGAGACGCGATTCCTCGGCTAGTGAGGCCCCCGGATCAACTAAGGACAGCAAGACACGACCCAAGCCATCGACTTCTGACAAGCTTGTCGCCAATTCTGCCACAAGAAAGGACAGCGCAATCTCCAAGGTCAAGCCAGAGGCTCCGTTGCTCTCCAAAGCTGCTACTCTTCCGAAGAAACTTGAGGGTGCAACAGCAGCACACGCCGCTACGAAATCGAAGGACAGTCCGGCTCAAAGACCGGTCAAATCTTCCTCATCGACGCAAAGACCCAACGTCAGCCCACGAAGACTGACAGACACAAAACCCAAGGTGCCTTCACCTCTGGGTACGAGTCCTCCGAGAAATGCATCTGACCATGCCGAAAAGCCAATCAAACAACCGCCCAAACCGTCAACAAATGCTGCCAAGCCAGTCAGACCTACACCCACAGCGAAAACCTCCGAGCCTTTGAGTTTCTTCGGTGGTGTCAAGACCAGCTCACAATCAAAGATTATCACCAAANAACGTCCTCTTGAGTCTGACACTGAGAGCGTCGAACCAGCAAGAAAGGTTGTCAAATCTACCACTTCCACTCCAGCGAAGACTTCAACCGGAGTTGCAACCAAATCTTCGGTGGTGAATGGCACTGGCAAACAAGCAGTTACCAAAGCAACATCTGCACTTTCCGCTGCCACAGACAAATCCCTGAAACGTAAGGCCAATGACCTCTCTTCTGGCTTACATGACCATGCCGCACCTCCTTCGTCCAAGCACCGCAAGACCGACTCAGGAAGCACGCACTCGCACACAGCCACAAGTTCGTCGGTCGCATCTCTTACAACTGCTCCCACTGTCTCACCTCACTCGTCTCCTGCGGGCTCGGATTTCTCAGACGACAATCTTGCTGGCATTCTGAACGACCAATACGAAGGCGGAACGCTCACATGGGAACAGACTCGCGCTGCGGCTGAGACTTTCCGGAGCAAGTTGTATCCAGAGTACCTCAAACTGTACCGCCGTATTGAGCAGACACCCAGCGACAAGGTTGCAAAGGAAGATACCGTGCGCTTGTGGCAGTTGCACAACCGTCTAGAGGCCATCAAGCATCGTATCGAGGTCGCTTGTCGTAATGGTGACAAGGGAGGAGCATAGGGAGCAATCACTACATCTACATCTGCGTTTATCCTGGGATTGGAGTTTGGGAGGATCATGACTACTGAGCCGGGAAAGCGAAGCATTTACTTTTATTTCATCAACAGGGGTTTCTAGTTACACAGGTCTCACGACAATTATAGCATGGGGGATCTTCGTTGTTGCACAAAGACACACACGAACAAAATATCACTTGGTTTACAATAACGATGCTACACGTCACTTATATCGTGAGACGGCAATGTTGAATTCTGGTCGACTTGAGAGTTTCAAAGGATAAGTCCGTATTGACGTATCACCACTTGTATCATGCGAACGGATTGAACAGGCCACTTCCGGCTAACAACACATCTGCTTGTTTGGCAGTGAGGTTCTATCGTCGGCGACTTCAGATAGCAGTGACCAGGGTCGTCCCAGCGACCACGCAAGATGAAACTCAGCCACATGCGCAGCACGCGAGGGTCGAGACATCCGTGCACGCCGATTGAAGCGACAAGCAATAAACTCTTGGCCCCATCTTGTCGGGTGACGGCGAGCAAACGATCCTATCAAAAGGAGGAACTCGCCTGGTCCAGCTGACTACCTCTCTCCTTACACTCCTTGGAACTGTCCTGCGCGCCTTGCAACACTTGGATCAGAAGGAACCGAACCCACCTGCAGAGTCGATCGCAAGCTACTGCGTCCCACAAGCCAACATGCTGGCTAGCATCATTTTAGATCAAAACTTCCCGCATTACACAAACCTGGACTACATTTCCGGAAAAGTGTTTGTACAGACGCAGACCGCGACGACAGTCTCTAGCATCGTAGTAAAGCTCGAGGGTGAATCGAGGACAAGATTGCTACCGCCCCCGACCCCATCCGACGACAGGCAGAAGCCTCAATTGGAGTTTCATAAGGTCGGTGAAATATTTGTCCTCTATCCTGCCATATAATGCAGCCATAGGCAAGGTGATGCCAGTTCGGTTTGTCACAACCTTTATAGGGTCATTGCGGGTGGTATGCGATTCATACGCTGACAAGCAGTCAGANTTCTCTATAAGACCTTAGCAGTATTCCCACCTCCAGAAATTGCAGAACAACAAGGTAGTAGCTCTGGGACGTTCTCCGGCAAGACAGCATACACTTTGCCAGCTGGACAGCACGAGTATCCCTTTCGGTTCAAGGTATACATCCTCCACGAATTCCAGTGTTTTCACAGCTGATTGTTGACCAGTNTTCCCTTCAACAATGCATGCGAACCGTCGTCCAACTCTAATCCGACCGTTACATTCTTCGGAGGTCTCAATGTGGAGATGTACAAATCACCGCATAGCCATGTCAAGAAGACATTACCACCGACACTAGTAGGATCTCCTGGCGAAGCCGAAATCCGTTATTATGTCAAGGTAACTGTCAACCGACCCAGTCTCTTCAAGGAGAACGCTCGCGCCTATGTCCCATTCAATTTCTGCCCAATCGAGCCGCCACGTCCACCACCATCGGATGCCTTGGGATATGCACGACGTCGGCATCAATTCAACATGAACATGCCTTCCACACCCACGGCAATTCCTAGCAAATCCAAGATGGCTTCTTTCTTCGGCGGCTCGAAGAAGCCCAGTGGATCCACGTCAGGAAGCACGACACCAACAGCCCCGTTCATAGCCGTCGACATACGCTTACCAGAGCCTGCGATCCTGACTTGTGCAAAACCAGTACCTGCCCGTCTCATCGTCACATGTTTGAACGGCAAAACTACTGCTTTGACACTCTTGTCTCTGCAGCTCGAAGTCGTGGCCATCACCAAGATCCGGGCGCAGAACGTCGGCAGGGTTGAGCGCAGCAGCTCAGTATTGTTCTCTCGCAGCGGTATGGCAGTCCCACTTCAATTTGGTGACAGCGCAGCCAGAGATGCAATCGTACCCAATGGCGGACAAATCGAGTCAGAAGCTGAGATCGACTCTCGATACTGGGGCGATATACCTTTGCCTAACATCGTACCACCCAGTTTCGAGACTTGCAACATCACTCGCACGTATGAGATTGTCGCTCGCGTCGGTATTCGCTATGACGGCACTGCGTCAATGGTAAGTTCACATCATGTGTGTTCATCGCAAACCGTATAGTNNGCTGACACCAACAAGCCTCAAACAACCACCATAGACCTCCATCTACCTGTCCAGATTTTCTCAGGCATTACTCCACCTCCTGAGCTTCTTGAAGCCATGGCGAGGGCTCAAGCCCAGGGCTCAACTGATGATTCTTCTGCGCCGCCTGTACCACCTAGACCCAGTTACCCAGCAGACACCAAATCTGCATCTGGAGCACCGCCACTTCCAGCTCGTAAACCAGTTGCGTCTGCAGCGACAGCAGAGACCGCACAGGCACCAGTCCAGGCCGTACAGCACGTGGACCATTCGGGCGAGGAGCCGCCTTATGGCGACGCGCCACCTAGCTACGAAGATGCCGTGGCTATGGAAGTTCAGCCAATGAGTGGAATTCAGAGGGCCGAGTACGCACCGCCTGTCGTGGATGAAGATCCATTGTTAAGCTCTGGTAGGGGCGAGAAGAGCGGATGGCATTGAATGTAGCAAGGAGAGACAGGAGATGCAATAGTTGATGTTCATGGCATTGCAGTAATAGACTAATAATTAATAATCATTACCCTTTTGCTTCCGATCAACCGTAAAAACTGTGACCCAAGAAGAGAGGTAAGACAGACTATACAATGACATCTACATAATTCTGTATCTCCCACCTAATATGCGCAGGTAAGACAAGCAATTCATCACCAACAAGCGACAAGGAGCGAAGATCTCTCAAGACTCAACAAACAACAGCATCATTCGACACTGGCAAAACAAAAACACACCCGTAGCAAAAACGCAAAAAAACCAAGCCTCAGCTTGGGGGAAACATCCTTTTTAACCAAAGTCATCGTCGCGAGCGACCAAGGCGGAAAGTCGAACTCACCACCTCTGGATTCTATTTACACTAGACTTTGTCGAGATTTCTATCGAGTGATGCCGTGTGAGCCACAGAACCGATCTCTGAGAAGGAGTCGCTTTTAGTTTGTTATCATGCTGAAGGGTAAGTGAGGGAAACGGTGGTGTCATTGAAGTGAAGGGAAGTGCGACTTCTTCCTCTTTCTGTACCAAAGCCTGTAACTCGCAGCCCTCATCGCGATGAAGCTACATGAAAGCATAACAATATGCACTTGAGTCCTAGATGTATATGTGTCTAGAGATGACTTAGGGAACAACAACTATCAATGTAAGCTATTCTATCTCCTGATATTGCGCAGTTCTATAGTTGTTCGCTTTGCAGACTCTTGCGAACGAAGAGGTGGGAAGGGTCAAGAAGAAAAACATGCTTTGAAGGAATGCCATTGGATTCTCTGATCGAGAACTTTCAACTCTAAGCTGAAACGACTGTGTGCTTCTGATGTTCCGTCTCTTGCCCATAGCACGACCGAAGGGGAATTAGGAACCTTCATTTCCGTTCAGGCAACGAAGGGAATTGCTCGTCGTAATGATCTTGCTGTCTCTGCTCTTCTGAGATAACCGATGGCCATATGGCATCGTAGGCGTCTGAGTCCAACAGCCTCTGTAACTTTTCGATTGCAGCACAATACATGCATAACGAGGGCCTAATCGACAGATTTTCCTGCGTCGACGACGAGTTCCCTAACTCTCCATAGCATCTCGCGAAAAGACACCAAAGCCACCGCTAGCTCCACCTCTGAGATGACCATAGTATTCCTGACTATTCTCTTGTGCAATGATGCTGTTTTCGGATGCATGTTCCTGCTTGATAGGCACATCTTCGATGGCGAGCTCACGCTTGTAGACAAGTTGATCCCTTGGCTCGGGTCCACGGATGACACGGTCCAGTGATTCATTGCTAGTGTTTTGCCAGGGACGGTAGTCTTTGGTTGACAGCAATTGGACAGTGCGGACGAGGCTGAGGGCTTCTTCGAGGTTCTTGCGATCGATAGGCGACAGGGTAGAGATGGATGACGCAAGCGTCTGGTCAATCAAGGAGTCTGCGCGGACCAAGAAGGCATCCGAACCCGTCTCCTCAGGCATGCTATGCACAGTGGCGAGGTCCTGGAGCTTTCTTTGCACTTCGCGAGCGGCGTTTTGACCTCTAGTCCTCCTAGCTGGACCGCTGGGGGACAGNTCGTTGTCTGTAACAGAGGCTTGCAGGGTAGGTGCATACTCCACTATCTCGTTCGATGTGACAATGTCGTCCATGAGAATGCTGCTTTTGTTTTGCTGTCTGTGCTGTTCGACGAGACGGCTGCGTCTAGCTAGCGCCCTGGCTCTGTTCTCGGCCACTTTCTGTTTGTGGGCTTCCAGTTTGGCGAGTCTCTTTGGATCAGCGGCACGCTGGGCAGCCTTTTCCTGTTTTGCGGCAATCTTGATAGGGTCAGAAACATTCAGAGCGGCGTTTTCGCGTCTTTTGTTACGCTTCTTCTGCTTCTGAGTAAGTTCTTGTTGCCTTCTGCTTTCGTTGAAGTTCATTCTCTTCAGAGCCTGTAAACGGTGAGCATCGACTGCAGGAAAAGGTTCAATCGTGAAAGGGACGACTGCAAAGAAGGCAAGAGGTGAAGGGTAGGAACTTACACTGATCATCTGGCCTTCCTGGGTCTTTATGCGATTAATCTCCCTGGCTGCATCCTTTGACAGTCTAGACTGCTCACTGGCCCGCTGATTGAAATGTCCACCACGCTCTTGGTCGAGTGCTTGTTGAGTCTGAGTCATGGCACCTGGTTTCTGTTGTCTCTCCAGGGCACGAAGATACATGCTCTGATGCAAGGCGCAGCGTTCTCCAATCTCTGGACAGCTTGAACAATCCTCACGGGCTGGCACACCTGCGAAAGCCATTCCATCCGACATTTTGTTCTTCGTGCTTCCAAGATCGGTAGGGGGAATAGATGAAGTTATGGTTGTGCGCGAGCCAGATCGAGTGAGGAGGGTTGAGGGCGCTCTGAATATCAGGATCGAACAGCCGCGACAGAGAGCGTGACAGTGTAGTGCTCTCGAGGCGGCGAGCAGGAGAGTCGCCAGCAAGATACCAACGTAAACAGCGATCGTTTCGCGACTCCGTAGCAAAAGAGTTGTAACAATGGAAAAGAAAAAGGATGATTCGAAAAGGGAGTTGACGGCGTGTGACAAACGATGGAAGAGGTAGCTTCACCAAAAGCTCTCACCAAGAATCATTGCGGAAGTCGGCGACTGTCAGTCGCAGTCACTTTCGGGACAATGACACAGAAACCCCTGCTTAATCATAAACTAGCTTCTACAGTGTTGTCCTTTCACAAAACACGATCTTTAACCAGACATTCTCAAATTCTCATAATATCACTTGGAGTGAGGAACGTTTGAAGTCGAGACGGACAAAAGAGAGTGACGGTTGAATCTCGGTATGCACGGACTTTACCCGCATCGAAGGGGTTGAACTTCGTGCGGCGACATCCAACTTGCCTGCTGACCACGCAATACGGCCATCACCGAGCAATAGCCAACAAACCTCTCATCGTGCCAGAACGCAGTCAAGAAGTGTCCAGGAGTTACCACACTCAGACAAACAGCAGCAGAAGTAGTAAAGAGTGCGCGCCCAGGAGTGACCTACGTTCGCCTGCGCATTCCATCGACCACCAGTGTCGCACGACCACCATTCATCACACCTCCCTGCGCATCCATCTCCGAGCACTCCAAGGTCTCGAGTACAGACTTTTGAGCGCAGAGACAGAAACACTCAGTGGAAAGTGATCGCGGTCATGTCGAACACCATTACTGTTTGTGATCCCCTCGTTCAAGGGCAAATCGCACGTTGGTGGCGGCGATGCCAACGAACTTCACTGACATTTTGCAGGGCGAGATCTATGAGAAGATCATCCAAGAAGTCATCAACGCTTCGCAGAACGACTTTGAGGAGAATGGTGTCCAGCAGCAGACCTTGATGGAACTGCAACAGGTTGGTCATCTCTNNTTTTCTTGCACTTCACCTGTCTTCATGCCTTTGATTCNNAAATCACTCGCCATACCTCGATGTCCGTGTTGTTCTTTTGTTGTGTCTCTTTTTGTTTTCGCTCGACTGGCTGCTGCCTGCGAAGCTGAAGCGCNNAGGCGACAAAAGAGCGGCGGAAGCGGGGCTTAAGGCTCAGAGACGTCTTCCTCTGACCCCAGTTTTATACTGGTTGGTCTGAGCGTTCAGAGTCCCGAAGCTTCGCCGATTCAACCCTCTGATCAGCTGATATGTTATCATATTCCTACATGCTTGTACTAATATGTATCCAATAGTCATGGCAGCACAAGATGTCGCAGCGCGATGTCGCGCAGATGCCTTGGGACCCCAAGCCGGCTCCACCACCGCCTCAACAACCGCTTCAACAGCAGCAAGCACCACAACCTGCTCCAGCACCCCTCCCTGTGCAGAATGGAGCTCCTGTCCAGCACCAAGCTCCCCAGAACGGACATGCACAGCCCAAGCCTGAACCTGGCTCGAATTCTCAGCCTATGCACAACTACNCCCCTGCTCAGCAAGGCTATCCTCAGCAGGTGAACAACCAGATGATGGCGCAGCAACGTGCTGCGTCACTTCTCCAGCAACAGTTCGGTCAACAAGCCAATGCTTCACTCAACGCCATGCAGCAGAGAGGTATTGCTCTTCCTGGAGGCGTCCAGAACGCTCATCCCCAGCAACAGCCACAACAACAGCAACAGCAACAAAGACCGCAAGGCTTGCAATTGCCCGCACAAGCTGGACAGGCTGCTGCGCAGCCTGCACAGGCTCAACAGCAACGCCAGATGCAGGCTCAGTATGCTCAGCAAATGCGTCAACAGACTGCTCATCAGCAGCCTCAAGTCAAGGCTGAGGGCAATGGTCAATACCCTCAACAACATGGTGTCAGCTACTCGCAGACAGATGGTTCAGATGAAGCTGCACTTGACGAGTGGAACAGATACATAAGTGAGAGGCGCAGACTAAGCTCGGCTCAAGTCGAAAACAACGACCGTATGATGAGACGTCAAATCGAAGACCTGCAGCACAGACTCGAGAATGGGCTGTTGCTTCCTCTGGACGATCAGAAAGAGCACAGCCGCTACAGAAAGCGTGTATCTGCACGTAGAGTGAGCGCAAACACGGGATCGCGCTTGGCTAGCATTCCCCAGTTGGATGGTGAAATGGAGGAAGAGGACGAGGATGCCATCAACTCGGACCTTGATTCGTCGAGCGACGAAGCCGGCAACAACGCTGACGAGGAGGATGAGGAAATTGACCATGTTCTTTGCACGTACGACAAAGTGCAGCGTGTCAAGAACAAGTGGAAGTGCACTCTGAAGGATGGTATCATGTCTGCTAACGGCAAGGAGTAAGTTGAGATGCCAATGCACGTGTTCCAGGACAGTGACTGACAAGGTTTTGCAGGTNACCTCTTCCACAAGGCTCAAGGCGAATTCGAGTGGTAGAATGCAGGCAACCTTACAGAGTTGGCAGGCAACGGACGTCAGATGGCCCGAAAAGTGTGTCTTTGGCAACATGGGTGCATTCTGACTTTTCTTATTCTTTTTCTTTATCAGAACGACACAAAGGAGGGACGAAATTTCTTTATTCATGCTAGATGCAGCTCGCGTATGGTTTGACAGAGCTGGTTACTAGGGCAGGAGCGCGTAATGACAAGGACTGCACAGGGCAGAGCAGAGCAGAAAAGGTAGAGAAAATGGAAGCGATGAAAGCGAGCACGAGATGGCCATGTCGAAGAGGTTGGCGGCCAAGCAGATTCGCGAAAGTGGGAATGAGAATGCAGCAAGCAAGCCAAGCGAGACGAAAGACTGGAGTTCTTCTATCAGATAGATCACAGCAATCCAGAGCAGTTTCGCAGGCAGATATTGACCGAGTGAAGATACAAATCAGAGTTCGAATCTTTGTCGGAGGATTCAGTCGTCGACCCCACGAAAGCAAGAGTTTGGCTCGGCCGGTCTCTTGGGCGGCTGTGGTGGCACGCGAACAGGCGGAGAGTGGAGTGTCTCGCATTTAATTCTCCTCCTCCAATTTCTTGTACATACATATCCGTCGCAGCTACGTTCGTTTCTCCAAGGAGTCTTTGATTTGTTCTTCTCGCCCCTCGCGCTTCCTTTTTGTATAATATATCGCCTTTGCGCCAACCATCGACAGCCCACCTCCAGCCATCTCGCAGCCATGAATCCAACCACGACGAAACCGACATATCTCAATTACCGCGCAACATCAAACACGACGGGCCTTCCCTCGGGCATTCGCACCGGCAGTCCTGCCTCGTCGACCTCGGCGCCAATGCTCAACAGACTGCCTTCGGCCAATTCATCCATCCCCACCAACCCTACTGGCAACAGCATCATCCTTTACGTGCCCAATGTCGCTTCGCCCTCACTCTCCCAACATCTCTCAGTTCTTCTCTCTACCCATCGTATCGCTGCCGTACACTTGATTGGTCGCCGCGATGTCGTACTCAAGAACCTGCGCACCGAACTCTATACTCTGGCTGGAAAGATGAGGACCGATGTCCAAGTCTCAATCTCCTTGACAGAAGGCGCAAAAGGATTGGAGACGGCGGTCAGGGATATAGGTGTCAGGAGGCAGAAAGTCTTGGGCGCTCTCGTCTGCGAGTGGGATGAATTGCCCGAAGAGGAAGAGCAGGAGAAGGATGTCTTGACCATTGACACGGATGAGATTGAGGCCGTGTGGAAGGTGACTTTGTTCTCTTGCCCATTGAACACTCAACAGCCTGCTAACACGCTAAATTAGGCATCGGTGCTCCCACTACACGCTCTGCTCCGCAACCTCCTACCCCTGTTTTCCGACACCACTACAGAGACACCATCGCACTCCTCTGCCATGCCATTCATCTACCTCGACACATCTAGCCACCTCTCAACCTTTGCAACCACATCCCGCTCCGCTTTGCTTTCCTCCCTCACCTCTTCTCCCGCCACCAAAAACATCACCATTGGCCCTGCCAGCGAATACCTCGTACCAGCCCCCGTCGTGTCAGAAACACAGAGCATGAGAAGTTTGCAGATCGATACGAGCAATGGAGGAAGCAGTCGAGGCAATGGATACACGGCCGACTCTCCAGAGACGAGTCCACTCTTTGGTGCTGAGAGCCCGACAAAACTCTGGGCCAGTTGGGCTGCTCAATACGAGTGATTGCAGAGTGCGCAGTGAAGGCATGGCTGGTTCGTGCCTTTTGACAGACCATATCGCGAGAACAGACAGCGCGCACAAAAGGAGTTATTACTGTAGTGTTAAGTGTATATATTGTTTACTTGTCTGGGCTAAGGAAGAAAGGGGGAAAGGAAATATTGTCTATATTCGTAGATCTGTATGATTCTTCGCACTTGGCTGGTGCTCTTGTATCGCCAAACGGTTTACTTCTTTGCTAGCTCTGAATTGTGCTCGAATGTCAAAGCAAGCAAGACGAGTACGGGAGGATTGGTCTCATCAGGGTTGCGCTAGTGTGTGGGTCATTAGAGGAGAACTGGAATAAGATAATGTATGGTGGTTCGTGAGCTATGGAGAGACCAGAGGATCACAGTCCCTCTTTCGCCAGCATATCTGTACAACGTCAGTCTGTATGTACATCACACATGTTCACCGAGACTGACCAGCAATATCCAAGTAGAATGCAATTGCGTTGAAACTGCAGTCAGATGTGTTAGTATCTCGGGCGTTCCCAGCGAATTGGAAAGCATGAATCAAAACGCACTTTCTCTTGTTTCCGGTCAACTCCCACAAGAACCAACGCAACCTGTTCGTCCAGTTGATCATATCCAGATGACTGACATCTTTGAGCGTGCCCTTGTAAGTGCCCCATTTCGCACTCTTGACACTTACTAATCCATCATTTTCACCCTCCAGCCTCTGGATGATCCTGTGACTCTGACGGAACATGCTCCAGAATCGGGGGTTCACTGTGGCACCATACGAGTAATAGGCAATACCTTCACGATCGGGTGTTTTTGCGTTGAAGTTCTCTTGCATGTATTTTTGGGTCAGTTGGCTGAATGCGCCGGTTTCGAAGCCGAAGAACTCGAGCACCTTGTAGAGCTTGGGGACGTTGGTTGCTNNACATGCCGTATGTCAGTGGTCAGCAACAAGTATTGGGGGCGAGGGAAACGCACGACCAATCCAAGAGAACATGACATCTGCGAACGAAGAGCCTTCAAAAGATGGATTAGTAAACCATGCGTGTCCAATTCACGAAGAACACGATCATACCCTGNNGTGAGGTGTCGCGATTGTCGTTAGCGAGAGCACCTTGACGTTTGCTGGTTTAAGCTGACTGATCATGTATCGAGAGTCCAGGCCGCTGAGAATTATGCTATGTTAGTCTTGATTGACTTTTGGGTTACTTTGTATTTACCCCTAGTGATCGGTTAGCAAGAAGATGTATCATAGTCACCCATCAGGCCATACCATGCTGTGNTCTATCGAACAGATTAGCTATTGTTATCTGTAGTGCGACATATGCTAAACCTACGCAATAATGTTCACGCTCTTTCCCTTTGCCTTNTTATGGATATCCTCACTCAATTTCTGAGCGCGTGCTTCGATGGATCCAGACGGCGGTACAGTCGCAGTGATCACTTCGATGCCTTTGGCAGCTAGCGCTTCACGTATACCTCTCCAGTACTGTATGCCCGGAGCAACTGCTTTGGGCACAATGTTGAGTTCTTCGAATCCGAGCAATCCATGAGCTAGAATGATTGGATTCTTTGGTGTCGCTTTACTTCTGTCAGGGCCAGGAGACGGATCGTCTGGTGAGAACAACATACCGTACTTCTCGCGAAGGATTGCGTACTGGTCTTCTATGAGCAAGTCACCAACTTCCTCCTTGAGGCGAGGATCCTCGGCCTTTTCCTGTCGTACCACCGAGGCATGACTGAACTGGGCAAATCTACTGCTGACCGACGAGAACAGAGGACGCGAGTAGTTTGGACGACAAAGCTGTCTGGTTGACAGTCGGAGGCTCATTGCACAATTAGTTTATGTTCACGGATGGAAAAGGTAAACAGATGGATGGAAAGTGTGCCCCGGAAATGACGTCAAAGCCGATCACGAGCATCCGTGATGTTAGAGTGTGACTTGGAATAACTGGAGTATGAGGCGGGCTTTCAATTACTAGATTAACGAGGAATACTACAAGGAACTCGTTGGCAGTGTCGTAGAGGCTGAATATGCAGTTCAAGGGCAGAGTGGTGCGACTCGGCTCGTCAGATGAAGGTCAATCTATAATTCGAAAGAGGATATCTACAGCGAGGAAAAAGCAGAGCGGTCGGAGGCAGAAGATGCGATTGGGAACAAGAAGATTATGCGACGGGCTGCTCGACTCTGTCGGGAACCTGGGGCTTGACATCGGTGACGGCGCGTAGCAGGTTGTCGACGACGGTGCTGCCCTCCTTGTCGCCAATGCTCTTGATCTCCTTCAACTTCTCGTCTGTGTCCTTGGAGGCGTCCTTCTCGGCCTGCTCGTTGCCGCTGGTGTGCTGTNNAGGCGGAGTGTCAGATTGAGCAAGTGGTTGGGAGGTGCTCGCAGAACACACCTGTGTTGAGAATTGCTTGAACTCTTCCTCCTTCTTGTTACGGTACTCGTCGATCTCCTTCTGGGCCTCGGAACGAGCGTCCTTTACGCGCTTGGTGCGGTCTGTTGGATGGATGGTCAGATATGGGGGTTCGCTACGGGGCGCGGGTGGTCTGATTACACTCTCTGGCTGTTTTGTTGTTAGTGTGGATGCAGAAGGCGGCGCAAAGGTCAGAACATACCCTGCTGGACGATCTTCTGGGCCTCGCGCTCAGCCTATGCGTACGGGTAAGTAGGTGTGTCGACGGAGGTGCCTGGGTCTAGCCTACGTCGAGCAGCGTTTGGATTCCAGCCGAGTTTTGTGCAGACTGGGGCAGGTGTTAGCTTGTGACCTTGTCGCTCTGAGCAACATATCCTTGAGGGAACACACCATAGTGATTGTAGATTGTGTGACGACGGCTTCTACTGGTTGTGGTTGCTGGTCGAGAGGTGGATGTTGATGGTGACCGCCAAGTCGTGGGGCCCAAGCGCGCCGTCCATTCGATATGCGACAGGCACCCGCTCCTTCCTGCAAACTTGAAAGTCGCCTCTTCGTTCTTGTATCAAATTATGTCGACAAAAGCAAAGTTGACGCTGGCTGCCACGTCGCTTGGTGCCATTGGTATCATCGTCTTCGTTCACCATGGACAAAAGGTCGAGAAAGCCGTAAGTCCTTTCCTTCTTGTCTACTTTTCTTGTGCTAACTTCTGGACCAGGNCAATGCACGCAGGTGTCATTCGCGACATGGAACAACAAAGGATAAAGAAGGAGCGCCAACTCGACTTTGATATGCAAGCTCAGCTGGAAAAGGAATACCGCAAACTTCAATCCGTCTCCGACGGCCGCAATCCAGAATAGTCCCGCCTGCCTGACTGTCAACGCAAAATCTCCACTCCCACAATCACCTCTTCTGCTGCCTATACGCCGATAGACCCAGACCTGTCTGCTGCTGCCGAAACCACCCGCTTCCTGGCCAAGCCTCTTGATCCGATTGGGCTTCGTGAATCGCCTCAACTGGAAACCGCCATACCAGCAGACCCGTGCATGCTAGACTGCATGGAAGAACACCCGTGACTAGGACGGAGCCCCATAAGCTTGGTTGCGTCCCTTGGTTTGCAACACATCGAGCTACAAGAGGAATCTGTCTAGGACTACCAATTATACCTACGACCCAGAATTTCACGCAGAGGCTAGGAAGAAAGTTGTCTTTGACTGCATCTCTGCTCTCAAAATGAGTGTGCCTATTAGTGATCTACACACGCTGTATCTCGTTGTGGAAACGGGTGGAGATGGAGGCTTTGCCACATGGCGAGCACAGAGAATGGCTATAGGAAAGAGTACAATTCTTGTTCATTACAGCTCTCATCACCGACGTTATTGTGCGCTTACTCCTTGTCAACGGCGAATTTCTTGAGGTCGTCTAGCGACACCTTGTCCAGTGCCTTCTCGTTCGTGGCGTTAAGGAAGATCNNCTGCCTGCGATTAGCACAAGTACCACAGTAGTTGAGGTCGGGTTCTGCATACTTGGGTACGATCTTGTCGCCCTCCTTTCCTCTGGCATCAAATGCCTCCTTCCAACGAGACACGCAGAGACACCATTTGCAGCCTCCCTTGAGTCCAATCTGGCGGAGGTCGTTTCCACGCTCGGCCGAGAACTTAAGGAATTCGTCTGATACCTCTGCGGCGATGCTGTGGTTTCCGGCGTCAGAGGCAGGCACCTCGCAGTAACCGTTTCTGAGGTAGCCTGTCATCGGACTGGTAGAATGGATGGCCAAAGGCTTCGAGAGGACTGTGGCTTTGTGAGTGCTTGTCGGGTCGACACTTTCTATGAAACGTCACCTACCATTCAAGGATCGCGACATCTTTTGTGAGTGGTGATGTTTGTGAGTAGAGCAGGATACAATTGTGAATAGACTCGCGAGGCACAGGAGACAAAGAAGTGTGAGGTTCATATGAACAGAAAAGATGCTGCTTTTGAAGCTCCAGGTACTTTGATGGATATCATGAGCTCATCGTTCGCGAACGCCAAGAGTGTCAAGCATTCTTTCTTGGGGCGGAGTGTTTCGAAAACGACATGAGGCTCCGTTCCACAACTGTAAAGATGGGGAACGGCATTCCTACTTCGTATCGTCCTTTTCTTTGAGAATCCTACTCATAGTGCAAAGATGTTGAAGAAGCTGTGCTTAGCTCAGTACCACTGATGATTGAATCGATTCTGTTATTCAACCTGTTGCTCAACTGTAGCTCGGGTTTCCGAGGGTAATGTCCGATATCTCTCTGGCAAGCGAGAACGGCAAACAGATTCTAGTGCCGTGTGAGCCGGTTCGTCGAGTTGTCGAAGACAAAACTTCTTTGAAGAGAACTTTCGACATGCATTCTTAAACCCCCTTCATACTACTACACAGACTCGTGCGCATAGTCGCCAGGATGACACGCTCAATGTCGCCGTCGTCGTCGAACACTTTGCCAAAGGAAAAGTTCAGTGACGACATCGCGTCANCCCCACAACAACAACCACCACGAGATGAGGAAGCCGCTGAAGTCGCCAAAGAACAACAACAAGGCGATCCATTTCTTGTAGGATGGGATCCAGGCGAGGTGAACTACCCGATGAACTGGTCGTCCGGGTACAAGGCCTTTGTCACTTTCATACTCGGCATGCTCGCCTTGGCCGCCAGTCTTGGTTCATCCATCATCTCGCCCGCCGAAAGGCAAATTGCCGAATACACTGGCATCTCTGGAGAAGTTGCAGTGCTGGTCATCTCTCTATACATTGTCGGTTTCGCCGTGGGGCCTCTCATCTGGGCTCCTGCCTCAGAAGTATGGGGACGTAAAGTCAGCATGTTGCCAGCAATGGTCGGCCTTGGTCTCTTCAGTATAGGCACCGCTGTTGGCAAGAATGCCCAGACTATCATGATATGTCGTTTCTTCTCGGGCGTGTTTGGATCCGCCCCCGTCTCGAACGTCAGCGCCGCTCTCGGCGACATATACTCCGCCAAACCACGCGGTACGGCTATGACCTTTACGGTAAATTACATCCTCGCCCTCTCGCTGCGAAACCTCACTGATTTTTGGATAGCTGTGGCCGTCGTTGGAGGTCCCACGATTGGGCCGATTATTGGCAGTTCGCTTACAGTCAATGTCGGTTTCAGATGGCCTTCGTATATTCTCGCTATCTGGGTCTTTACCGTCTGTGTATTCGCCTTCTTCTGCCTACCAGAGACGTATTCTCCCGTTCTTCTGAAGAAGAAAGCACAACGTCTACGGAAAGAGACTGGCGATTCACGATGGCACCACCCTCATGAGGATGTCAAGCTGGATGTCAAATCAGTCGTTACAAAGCACCTCGCAAGGCCCATCATCATGCTCACGACAGAACCGATGGTCACCTGTATCGCCTTCTACGCTTCGTTCGTGTACGGAATCCTCTACATGACCCTCGAGGTCTTTCCCATCGTGTTTGAGCAGAACAGAGGGTGGCCGCTTATCACAAGCACCTTGCCGTTCTTGGCACTCTTCGTGGGTGTGCTTTTTGCTGTCCTGGTCAATCTGGCTAACCAGCCGCGGTACGCTCGTGCTGTTGACGCCAACAAAGGAAGACCTGTAAGTCAACATTTTCTTAATCTTGAAGCGCTGCTGCAGCGTTATAGAGTATTACGGTGCTGGCACTCTGCTTCTCGGCGGTCTATATGCAAAAACCGGCCAGATTTGAGGGTTTAAGCCCTGTATCCTACCCTAGAATCACACTTACAAGAAACATCCTGACTGACCATTGCCGCAACCGCAGNNGTACCGGAAGCAAGACTACTGCCGATGGCCTTGGGTGGTGTTCTCTTCACCATAGGCCTGTTCTGGTTCGGTTGGACCGCTGATCCATCCATTCCATGGCCTTCTTGCGTCGTTGCAGCAGCATTCATCGGAGCAGGCTTCAACATCATCTTCCAACAATGCATCAACTTTCTAGTTGACACATATACGCTCTACGCTGCGTCTGCAGTCTCGGCCAATACATTCTTGCGCAGCTTAATCGCAGGGGGTCTTCCACTTGCTGCCAGGCCGATGTTCAACAATCTGGGCGTTGGACCTGCGATGAGCATTCTTGGCGCAGTTGCTGCATTAGCACTGCCTGTGCCATTTATCTTCATGAAATATGGATTGAAGCTCAGGAAGTTGTCAAAGTTCGCTCCAGTACACGAAGACTGAAGTGTTGTTTGATTCGGATTTTTCGTTTGGGGTCGACGGTGTCTTCCGTTGATATCTGACTCAAAAGTGCTTTCAGTATTCTGATTCAACGAAGTCGCATTAAGAACCATAGATCGATCGAAAAGCATTTTCGATCCTCTTTCTGCGAAAATCCACAGCATTTCCATACACAGGGATCAGCATCATCATGTTCATGATGATTCCGCCTATCGACTTCCAGGCACAATTTACTCCGAAGATCTACAAGTCAGCAGCTCGACACTCAACTATTTACAGTACAAATGCCGTCGCCAGCGTGCACCATGGATCATCATCATCCTCCTCACCATCGGATTGTCTTGCCCAGCTCGAGGAAGCGAGAAGTATGGCTTTGAAAGCACAAGGCAAAATACAGCTTCTTTGGATCGCATCGACAGACAACAAGTCACCTGCACGATCGGTGTTGCCAAGTCTGAGTTTTGGAGGCAGATCAAATGACACTTTTCGTCGCTTGCAGCGCCTGGCTGACAAGCTCAACCAATATCTCAGTTCCTTGCTCAGTACAAACCTGAAATTCGAATACAGTGGCACCTTCAAACTCAATATTGCGTCCATCATTATCAAACATGAACAGAAGCGTCTAGCGCATTTCCTTGATGTGTGGTAAGGCTTAGAGCCGTACTTGCCACAATCTGGCAACATCACTCGGTCAAAGGAGGTTTACGATCTGCTCGAGTCGGTACTCGGCACTTTACGACGGCTGCAAGATTGACTGGTCAACATACATCACGATATCTATGATTTCCTGGAGCCACAGAATACTTCAAGGATACAGCCTTTGAACTTTGCCTTTGCAGCCACGAGTGCTTATAGCGGATTGCAAAGATGTGAAATGCAATCAGGCTTGCGAGGACGTGGCAACGAGCTGGTGAAAGGCTCATACGAGATATCGGGTTTTACAGACGGTAACTCTTTGTTAAACGAAAGGACAACCACGAGATGAGGCAAATACGGATGGGTCTCGAGTATTGAGAAGTGATAGTTCGAGCGTTGGTATGTTACTTGGAGTGGAGACTCTACTGCAGCAAGCTATAAATGATACACCGCATGTATCCAAGGACTATTTCAAGTCTTGTCGAAAACTGCAGCACAAAACAAACTACAAAAACTTTGTGTCTAAATAAAGCCTGCTCATATCCAAACACCGGTCTGTACCATAAGCCTCATGCCTCTATGCACCGGAGACGACTGAACGCAGGTAAGGGGATTGTATGGCACCTCCCATATTCTGAGGACTAGGCATTGCAACGTAGAAGCTGTGAAAGATCTTGCGAAGGACCTTGTGATTCTTCTTCAGTGCTTTCTTGCTCAATGGTTGAGGTGTATGAACATTCTTCTGCACACCTCTGGGTTGGGATGTGTTGCGCGATTTGCTTCTCGACTTGGATTGTGTTCGTCTTCTTGCTCGCTTCTGGGATGTCGACGAGCTACGAGAACCATGACCCGGAGATGCCTGTGCGGATGATTTGCGGGATGGGTGTGATCTTGTTGATGATGATCTTCTAGCAGCAGCAGTTGAAGCAGCGGTGACAGCGGCTCCAGAAGCTGGAGGAGGCGGTGGACCACCGTCTCCGTCAACTTCGTCTTCTTCTTCGTCATCCTTAGGGTCTTCGTCGTCCTCATCGTCTTCTACCTCTTCGGCGACCTCTGTTGTGTCTGCGACATGCCCATCCTCGGGAGTATCATGCTTTTCCTTGACTCGGAGATCCGTGTTGTTCTCGTCTCCTATGGCGAGGCGGGTGAGTGCTGGTGCAGCTATGTCCAATCCTGATGATGGATCCCTGTGCCCTGGTCCTAGAGCAGGTAAGATGATTGGTCCGGTACCAATCGGAGTCAGAGCCGTCCGATGACCCACACCCCGAACNGCATGCATGTAACCAGCAAGATGGAATTGACGAGCGGGATCGTGTTGTTGCACCCCTCTAACATATCTGTGCCAGGTAATTGTCCGGTCGGCGCTATACGCGGGTGAGTATGCAAAGATTTCGACATCTAATGCATCTGCAACAAGTTAGAGCATATCTAGATCACCTATCATCAGTGTTAGTACGCATACTATTATCGAACTAATTAGATACATACCTAATTGCCTATTATAGACGTAACGTTATAGGGAACCACCATAAGCACTATGGCTATACTATTGCAAAGAGATATAGAGTGCTTACCTTAATCGGCGTACTAAGTTTATAGTGCCTTCGGTAGGATTTATAACAGCATCCTAGAGCTCGCGGACTCTTTCGTAGACGGGATACGCCTCGGCGATGCGTCTTACTGCTCTTTACCTTCCTAGCTAGTAATATTGGATTGCGTGCTACATATAGCGGTTTCTAGCCCTATTGGCATTTAGCTAAGTAAATCTCTAAGATTAACCATCCTCGGTAACGATTATCTTACCCTAGTTAATAAATGTAAAGTCTTTAGCATCCGGATCTAACGCCTTATTAGATCTTATACCTCTCTTCTTCCCCTTCTTATTAGCTCCGGCATCCTTATCGTCTTTCTTGCCGCCTTTCTTACCATCCTTTAACCTATCTTTAGCTACACTATCATTTTTGCTACCTTTAGGTAAGGCTTCGGCGCCTTTACCGCCCTTCTTACTACCCTTTAGCGAGGCACTAGCATCTTTCTTGCCATCTTTTGACTGATCCTTTCCTTTGCCGCCAGTATTAATGTCAGCGTACGGACCGGCAGCGTCGTCACTATCGTCACCACCGTCGTCGTCTTCATCGGAGTCAACTGGAGCCTTAATATCGCTAAGAGCAGATATAACTTTGTTGATGGCTTCCTGCGACAATCCATACATGCGTTGTTTGTTTGCAAGCTCATATATGAGTATGGCTTTNTCTAGGTCCTAGAGATCTTCAACAGTGCTAAGTCCGTACTTTTGGCATTTCTTGACAAGGTCGTCACGGACAGGAGCTGGGGTCTGCTCGCCTTGACGATTATATAGATCGAGCAGCTCTCGAAGGGTGAGGCCGTGTTTATCCCACTGTTTATCGAGAGTTCTGGTTAACTTTGGTGACTCTCCTCTGGCTTTTGCTGCCTCTTTTGCCTTTCTGACACGTTTGGATGGATACTTAGCGAGACTCACGTCGTGGGTGTGCTGAACCTTTCTATTCTTTAACTCATCCCCGAGTTGTCTCTCTAGTTGCTTTACTAGATCTCCCAGTTGCTTTGCTGATCGATACTTTCTGCCGTCGGGAAAGTTCTTAGATATCTGTGATTGCGAGTTTGGTCAGCACTTTTTCTCCCAAAAAGACAGTACACTGTCTGAGACTCAAAAACCACAGTATGCAGTTATCGTAATGTAGAGACTCATCTAGAGCTGGTTGCCGCCAACACGTACCTTCACACGCTTCTTTTCTGCGATTGGATTAATTTCTTGATCGTCTTGGATTTCCTTATCCTTTTGTCGCTTTTCGTGACGCGTCTCATCACTCTTGCGCTCCGGGATGTCAAGATTCGAATAGAATTCATGACCACGACCAATGGTACGGATAGCCTCTTCAATGTCGTCAAGACGATCGTCACAGCGTTGGCGCAGACGTTGCATGGAGGCCCATTCCTCATCAGGCTCGTCTTCATCCTCGTCGTCAGACTCATGGTGCTTGGAAGGTTCGACTTTGAATCCCAGGTCTTTGATTCTGTCCTCCAGATACGACTCCAGCTTTACTCTCCGAGCGGTCTTGGGTGAGAGCTTTGGTTTCTTTGGATTTCTGGTTCTTGGTGGCGAGTCGTCTTCTTCGTCTTCTTCATCGGCACGCTTTCGTTTGGCACCTGTTACTGGAGTAGCTTTCTTTGCAGGGGTAGTCGGTTTAGTAGGAGTAGTTGGCTTGGCTGGCTTCGCTGCAGTCTTCTTGCCACCATCCTTGACAGCAGCTCCGTCGGCAGCGTCAGCCTTCTCCTTTGCAGCTTTTGCTGAACCGGCTCTCGTTACACGCTTTTTACCGTCCTTGTCGTCCTTCTTGTCCTTCTTGGGAGGCATTGTTGAAAAATAAGTAGTATTGAATAGAAGTGTTGGTAAAGGATACGATGTGTTTCTCTGATACCGGTAGTTGAATAGGGAGTGGTTGAGAGAGCTCTGGTTATTTGTGCATCTACCTTGTCAGGACAATAAAAGTTGCAAGTCATTGTCTGTTGATGCGCTGATCACGTCAATACCGGATCCGGCGTATAGTATTCTTTTGACGACAATAGCAAAAAATCTGGCCCTGTATTTCCGCAACCGGCACTTCATTGTGCGTTGAGAGTCTCACTAGATTGCTAATCCACGAGACCAGTCTTAGACATCATCTCAATGTATGAATTCCTCTATGCAAAGCCCTTCATAGTACTCATGAGGAAATTGAGGTCCAGCTCAGAGAATGATTGTTTCCGCGAGGTCTGCATCGCTATAGTCGTGTGGGCCAGGTAGACATCAGCATGAAGTGAAGCCGGTTGAAATAAATTCGGAGAGGCCTAGACTCGAGTGAAGACTTTCGCTGAATTGCTGTCGATTTTAAGGTGAGCTTGATGCATACTCCCACCGGGCGACTACAATAGCTTCGGACATTGTCCTTATTGATAGCCACTAGTGCTGTTCGTGGAGGAGATACCTGAAGCGAGTGAGCTTTCACTACAGCAAGTACACACATCCATTCCGATTAGCATGGGTCAGCAGGAGTGGGCGATCAGAGGCCGATGGAGGGTGACTTAGGAAGCAATCTCGACCGTATATCTTGAAGTCAAAATCCGTCCATCGCATCAAAGCCTTGATGATTTTAGCAAACATCGCTTGTCGCAGATATTGAGCCTCAACTTGGCGAAATTTGGTTCCTGCATTAGCACCCGGCGCTGATGATACAAAGACGTGTACCTCACATTTCGCTGGCGATCCGATCCTGTCATGCACAACCCAACTGTCCTGCATCATCTATTTTTACAGAGATTGTTGCATATTCAGGGTGACTGAGCCACAAACTATTGTTTGCTGCATATCGCTTTGCCACTCGCTCGAGCATCGATGAGGTCTGTGAGTGCGACTCGTTGAGTGCTCACAGAAAAGCAACAGAGACGCGTTCAAACGGTAGAAGCCATCCCCCGGAATACAGTGGTGCCATTGATATATCGTGCAGTGAGCACAGCGCCGTTGTGCAAGGCGGCAGAAGTATCCACCAGCGATCGTCATACAAAAGGGGGGAGAGTCCATGAGGTGAGGCAGAAGCGGAAGAGCGTACGCGTTCACGGCAGACCACAGGACAAAGAGCAGGGAACAAAAGAAATCATCGNGAAGTCGCCCACTTACGAGTATGCACTTTGTAAGCAGAACCCGCTCGTAAAGTGCGGTGAGATCGGGTGTGCGGATTCTCGAGCTCTGAGAGGAGGGAGNNAGTGCCAGAGTTTGAGCGACGGCCACGGATGCGGCGCAAGGGACAAAACGGACGGACGCAGCAGACTTGCATGAGCCAGACTTGACACCCGCACTCTAACCCTTTGTCTAAGNNATGACGACAGTCATATCTCCTNAACGCAAACATAAATGCCTTGTTCTTGTGGTCAAGCAGGGCGGATGGACAGTGAATCTCACGATAAGCGTTGCAGTAATTGTGATACTCTTCGGTGTGCTTGTCAGAGCACAGCACATGATAGCCATCAGGTGGCTCTGAAGATCAACTCGATCATCACTGTGGGTTGCCCCGTGACGGCCGTGCGGGCCAGGCTTGCCTGTTCCTGGCACGCTAACAAGAACAAGCCTTTTATTCCCCTGGAATTGATTGGAACAACCGTCTTCGACGAAGCCAAACAGGACGTCGCAAGCAAAGGGAGGCTGCTGTGTCGTCAAGCAGCGTTTATTTTTCATGATGCTGACACGCGCCCGGCCACATGCACGGGTAGGTGCAGCGAAGACGGTGATGCTTCTGGCGCCAATCGCCTCGGCAGACGCTGCAACGCACCTGCCGCCAGAAAACCGGCCAACGTAACAGTGCCCCCTGTGTCTGTCTGAGCCTTGGCCAAAGGGATTTATCTTGTCTCTACTCCTGCTGAAACTGCTTCTTCTTCGTCTTACATTTCTCTTCAACTCTTTTGCATCTCTCGCTGGTCAGATATACACCGAGCTCTGGTCTCGTATTGCTGTGCAATTAAAGCTTCTCTACCAACATTCCTCTGCTGGACAATTACCTTCATCTCTCTGAGCATTCCGCTTTCAGATAACATTCCATTCGATCAACCTAGCAACAACACCCAAACCCAGCGTTGCCAATCAAACAAGACTCCATAAAGGTATCCGGTGAATACTTTCGGCCTTTTCTCTGGTCATTGGCGGCAATCGAATCTGGTACCGGAACATCTCGACATACCTAGCACATCATGTTCTTCAAACACACAGTTGCCGCATTGAGTGCGGTAGCGACTGCATTCGCTGCACCTCAGNTAAGAAGACACCACTTGTACAGGAGGTATCGGAGCTGACCACATCGTAGCATGAAGCGTGCCAATGGCTTCAACTGGGGCAATGAGGTCATGCGTGGAGTGAATCTCGGTGGATGGCTGGTCCTCGAGCCGTAAGTCGAGCCTTGTTCAATCCTCGTAGCGTTGCTCTAATATGTTATAGGTNGGATCACACCCTCAATTTTCCAGGCCTACCCTATGTCGCAAGGCATCATCGATGAATATACTCTTGGTGAGAAGCTCGGCCAAGATGCTGCACACGACGTCTTGAAGCCTCATTGGGACTCGTGGGTGCAGCTTGCCGACTTCGAAANNAAGATTGCAAAGTCTGGATTCAACGTCGTCCGTGTGCCGATAGGCTATTGGGCGTATGACAATGCCAACAGCCCGTACGTTTCTGGAGCAGCTCCATACATGGACCAAGCCATCGAGTGGGCGAGGCAGACTGGACTGAAGGTCATTGTTGATTTGCACGGTGCACCTGGCTCTCAGAACGGCTTCGACAACTCGGGCCAACGTACAAACAACATCGACTTCCAGCAAGGAGACAACGTGCAGCGCACTCTCGCTGTCCTGCAAACCATCCAGAACAAGTATGCCGACTCTTCCTATGACGACGTTGTCGCTGGGATCGAGCTTCTCAACGAGCCTCTGTCCACTTCGTTGAACTTGGACGACCTCAAGCAGTTTGAGCGCAACGGCTTCGGTCAGCAGCGCACCGTCTCCCAGTCTCGCGTAGTCATCATCCAGGATGGATTCCAACCTCCTAGCTCCTACAACGGCTGGTTGACTCCCAAGGACAACAATGCCCAGAACGTCGCTCTCGATCACCACGAATACCAATGCTTCACCAACGAATTGGTCGCCATGCAGCCCTGGCAGCACCGTCAATATGTCTGTAACAACGTCAAGCAATACTCGGGCGCTGACAAGTGGACTTTCGTTGGCGAGTGGTCGGCTGCCATGACTGATTGTGCCGCTGCTCTCAACGGCTACGGCATCGGTGCTCGCTACGACGGTACATACCCTGGCAGCAGCTACGTCGGTTCTTGTGCCACCATGAACTACATCGATCAGTGGTCCCAGACCTTGAAGGACGACACTCGCGGATACATCGAGGCCCAGATGGAAGCATTCGAGAGTAACACCATTGGCTGGGTCTTCTGGAACTTCAAGACCGAAGCGTCACCCGAGTGGGATGCCTTCCGTCTGATCGATGCTGGCATCTTCCCTCAACCCCTGACTGACAGAAAGTTCAACCAGATTTGCTCTTCATGAATTGACTGCGTCGTTCAGGAACGTTGGACCTGTGTATGACCGCCCCAACGAAGGAGTATACCATCCCAGAACATATGCATACAAGCGCAGGAGCGAGGAAACATGGTCTTCGGGCTGCCTATTTCGTGTTGCTGACTCTTTTTCCTTCTTTTGCTCATTCAAGCATGTTTCGATATCCTTCTTCTTGTGGTTTATTTTCTCCATACTTTTCTGGTAGAGATAATCGTATTGCATAACTTCTGATCATGAACTTTGTCCTGGTGCGGTGTTTGTCTTCATTGTGCCTTTATGTGATGCCATGTTTGTCGCCAGATTCCAGACTTTGGTGATGCTTGAGTGCAATTGGGTGTTCTCTCAACCTGTGAGATTTATGGGACGAGATGACTTTTGATAAGAGGTCTTCTTCGATCAACTCGAATGATCCGTCATGCCATCACCACTCGAAAGCCCCAGGAACTTTACAACCCTCGACCTCTGTAGCCACATCTTCACCCTTATCACTCTCATCACCCACAGCAAGTCTCAATCCTACACACTCTTTCCACACCTTCAACTCTTGCGCATACAGATCCATAACGCAAGGATCACAGCTACTGCCGCAACAATCTCCCGCTGGTGGTTTAACCGGTTTTGTAGGAGACACTGCAGCGGCAAGCAGAGCGGACTCTCGTATTGGGGCTGGACGGGCTTTGAGAAGTTTTGTGAGGGTTGGAGAGTGGGATTTCAGTGTTGATGTTGAGATGGTGGGTTGTGGTATTGTCATTTTTGTTGTTGCTGGATTTGGGTTTCGATGCAGAAGGTGGTGGGATGTCTTCGGAATCTATATCAGTATTTTTGGAAAGAAGCAAAAAGTGGTATGTATAGGTGAGACATGAGATACAGTTGATTTTGGTCAAGTGGGATTGGAAGTGGTTATGTACTTGAGGGAGGTTCCTTCGGCTGCTGATATCGGGTGTTGTCGGGTCGAATGCTTTGGGTATGACCCTGACTTGATCTCTGAGCATTGATATCTGTCCACTACAGTGATCATTGTGCATCGCGTATCCAGTGCGATCAATGTAGAAGGATCCGTTCAAGAAGGATACCATAATAGTGGACTTGAGATCTGTGTGTGCTTCAAACATGCTTGATTTTCTTCTGACGTTGGACTTCCCAGCGAGCTTGTCGGAACTAATTCCCGAAACACTCAGTCCTCAAATCATAGTCAATTTCATTACTTAGGCAGCCAAACGACATGGAGCCAAACGGAAAGACAGTCAGAAGACAACATGATATCGTTGAGAATGCTTTGTTTTGATAAAGTTACATAGTTGGGTTAGGCTACTTTCTAGGAACCAAGTGTAATACTGAGAAAGGAAACCAATTTGATCTCGTGAACACCCAACCATCAAAAAGAAAAAAAAACTCCCATGTTATGCGTTTGAAGATACACTTCCGCTTTTCTTTCCTCCGCTGCCCCTACGTCGTTCGTCGTGGCGTGATGCTCCTTGTCGTCCTAGAGCGGACTCGTTGAGAGCAATGATTGCTCTTGTGTCGGGTATACTGTCTTCTGTGTCTTGACTTGAATATATTGTCAATGTCCTCATCTGATGCTGACACCGCTACGCTTGGTGTACATGCGCGTGGCCACGTTCATGGCTGCAAGCTCTTGGAACATGAGCTTGGCGGCGTATGGGATGATGATCTGTGCGATCTCGGTCTTGTTCTTGCAAGGTCTGCACTCGAACTGGTTCTTCTTGAGCGAGNNCTGGAAGCGCGTTAGCAGAAATGTTCAATGAAAAACCTGGCAAGAGAAGAAATAAACTTACGCGATAGGAGTCATCAGACCGCAGATCTCGCAAACGTGAACACGGAAAGCGTCCGAAACATCAAGCAATCTCTCCTTCAAGAAAGCAGAGGCACCGTGAGCGATCATACAATCACGCTCCATCTCTCCGAAACGCAGACCACCGTCGCGTGCTCTTCCTTCCACAGGTTGACGAGTCAAAATCTGAGTGGGACCACGAGCACGAGCGTGAATCTTGTCGTCGACCATGTGACGCAGGCGCTGGTAGTATGTGGGACCCAGGAAGACCTGAGCAGACATCTTCTTACCAGTGTGACCGTTGTACATGACTTCGAAACCACGCTGCTGGAAGCCGTGTTGACGAAGCAAGTCGGAGATTTGAGTGACAGTGACATCGGTGAAGGGAGTAGCGTCACCTTCTTGACCACGAAGAGAACCAACCTTTGATAGCAGACATTCAATCAAATGGGCAATGGTCATACGAGAAGGAATGGCGTGAGGGTTGATGATAATATCGGGCACAAGTCCATCGGCGGTGAAAGGCATGTCTTCTTGGCGGTAGGTAATACCAATGGTACCCTTCTGACCGTGACGAGAAGCAAACTTGTCACCAATTTGAGGAATCTTAGTTGTTCGTGTGCGAACCTTGACGAACTTGAGACCTTCGACGTTGGTTGTAAGAAGCACCTGGTCGATGAGACCGCTCTCGGTGGAACGCAGAGGAGTCGACACATCGCGCTTGATGTGGAACTTCGTACGCTGGCCAAGCTCTTCAGCGTCGGGAGCCATAGGTGCAGTCTTACCGATGATGATATCTTCACCAGAGACACGAGTGCCTGGTGCAATAATACCATCATCGTCCAGCTTGTCGTATGTTCCGTGCTTCATTCTCATGGTGTCTCCGCGAGTAGGCTTCTCGAACTGCTCCACAACCGACATACCAACACGCTTCTCTTGGTCCATGTAAGCACGGTAGAACAACGAGCGGAAGAGACCGCGATCGATCGACGACTGGTTCATGATGACGGAATCTTCCTGGTTGTAACCACTGTAACAAGCAATAGCGACGATAGCGTTTTGTCCGGCAGGCAATTCTCTGAACTTGAGGTATTCCATGGATCGCGTAGTGCCGAGAGGCTTTTGAGGGTAGTAGAGGACGTTGGCCATGGTGTCCATACGCACGTTGTAGTTGGTGAGTGTAATGCCCATAGCTTGCTTACCCATGGCAGATTGGTAGGTGTTACGAGGCGACTGGTTGTGATCGGGGAAGGGAATAATCGAGGCGCAGATACCTAGAATCATGGCAGGGTGGATCTCGCAATGAGTCCAGATTCTGACGTTTGGGTTGGGCTTGCTCTTGATTCTTCGGTGAGGATCGGTCACTGGTTCATCGTAGACAAGACCGGCTCTCATCTGGCGATGCTCATCCAGATCTTCTGGAGACATGACCATCATGGCAGCCTCTTCTTCTTCAGCATCCAGGTATTCGATAACTCCCTCATTGATCAAATCCTTCCAGCCATAGATTGCACTATCACGCTCCTCTTCGCTCAAACCAATAGTCTCAGTCTCTCTTGCATTGAGAAGGTTGGTAATGTGCTGTCTGTTGAGGACGAGTTGACCCTTGGTCGGGCTTGCAGGATCGTTGTTGACAACGAACAATGGTCTCATGACACGTCCAGCATCAGTGAAGATCTTGAACTCTCGCTCACGGACATCTCTGATGAGCGAGATCTCGAAGGAGATAGTGCCATTACGACGGAGGCCCTGCACGACCTTGACGAGTTGAGAAGGGTCTCTGTGAACACCCACCCACACACCGTTGACGAAGACCTTGGTGGCATCCGGGTTGTTCTTGGGCTCGTACTCCTCAAGCAGTTCCATGTTTCGCTGGTTCATGAACTCGACAATGGGCTCAGCGGGAGTACCAACACTGACGTAACACATAAGAGACAAGTTCTTAACGAGACCGCAAGCTTGTCCTTCGGGAGTCTCTGCAGGGCAGACGAGACCCCAGTGAGTGTTGTGCAATTGGCGAGGCTTGGCAATCTTGCCATCACGACCGATAGGAGTGTTCGTTCGTCGCAAATGTGATAGTGTGGAAGCGTATGTGTATCTGTTCAGGACCTGTGAGACACCGGCCTTGGCCGATGCAGCCTTCTTCTGATCTCCCCAGTTACCAGTGGCCAAACAGTAGCGCAGACCTGATGTGAGGATGTTTGACTTGACGGCAAGAGTAAGGTTGAAGTCTCTGCCTTGCTCAATGCAGCGAGAAAGGTAGACGCGCATGTCACGCACAAGTTGAGTAAACTTGAGACGGAAGACCTGAGCCATCAGAGGACCAGCCAGATCGAGACGCTTCTTTCCGAAGTGATCTCTGTCGTCTTCGTCGCATCTACCGAGGGCGACTTGACACATACGGTTGATCATGTAGCCAAGGAAGAAAGCCTTTCTTGTCTCACTACCCTCTCGCTGGGAAATGTGAGGCAAGAACTCCTTCTGCAAGATGTCGCGGGCATAACGAATACGCTTTTCCTTGGTTCCCGTCTGCTGACCACGTTTGCCAATGTAATCGAGGGCATACTCGCGGTCCTGGATAACGAAAGCTTCTTCCAAACATGGCTTGATCATCTCGCGAAGCTGTGTGTCGTTTGCATCGTAGCAGATACAGTCGAGGATCTGCATATCTGACACAATACCAAGCGCGCGGAAGACGATGGCAATGGGGATATCGGCCTTGATGTAAGGCAAGGTAGCCTTGATGACACCGCCCACGTTTCCAGCCCTGGACTGGTCACCCTTCTGATACCACTTCAGCTGCATGGACGAGAGCAACCGGGTGCCCTTTTCGATAGCACTTCTGATTTCAGCGACAATAGGAGTGGGACTGCCCTTCTTCCTGAAGACCTGGACGATGTTGGCAGCACTACGTTCTTGAGCGATCAGAACCTTTTCTGAACCGTTGATGATGAAGTAACCACCCTGATCGTAAGGGCATTCTTGGAAGGCGTAAAGTTCCTGTTCCGAGCGGTTGCGTAGGGTACAGATCTTGGACTTGATCATGACGGGCAGCTTTCCGATAAAGACACGCTCCTCCTTCTCGACAGCATCAGGGTCCTCCTTCTCCCATACCAACTCGGTCTCGTCGTCTTCGTTCGGTACGTGGTCCGGATCGTCGTCGTCGTGCTGTGTTGCGCCAATGCGTCTTTCGCGAGCGACCAAAACGCGACTGGTCATGCCAAGGTAGATGGGACTCGAGTAGGTCAAGTTGCGCAGACGGGCCTCATTGGGGTAGAGAGGACGAGTGGAGCCGTCGCCTTCGGTGATGGCAGCCTGGGAGATGGTGATGTTGCCAAATTCGATTTCGTAGCGGCGCTTGACGATGGGGTCGACTTCGTTGTCGTCTTGCGGCGCATTCTGGTCGATGACGATGCGACCCTGTTCGGTCACAATATCCTGCATGGAGGTACCGGCGAACTCATCAAACGAGTCGAGCTGTTGTGAGACCAGACCCTTTGAGTCGAAGAAGGACTGAATGACGGTCCAGCAGTCCTCGCTTGTGATGATGTCGTCCTCATCGTAGTCGTCCTGGGAGGGGCTACCTACGCCATTACCCCAGACGTCGGCCATGATGGAGTGGAAGGTGTGATGAGGTGGAGATGGTCGGAAGATGAAAGGACGCGATTTGACGGCGGCGGAAGATGGCAGATGGGTGAGCGCGCGCGCTCTGTGGCGACGAGTGAGCGGCGGATGCGATGTAACGACGCAGTGAAGCGGCGCTAGACGAGACGGAGGATGGCGTGAAGAAGGGCGGCGTGATGGAGGATGGCGAGCAGGACGGAGCTCTGTCGCGCGAGAGTGAGTCGAGATGCGATTGCTGCTCTACAGCGTCGATGCTTGACGCTGGTCGCTGCTGCCCCGATGTCAACAGGGCTGAAAGTTGAAGTCTTGGCGTGCGTATGATTGGCTGCACGCGCCGACTACTGCCATCTGGCCTCGAGCATCAAGGTTGACCAACACACCTCTCTCGTTGTTGCTGTCGTAGTAACCTGTTCAATTCACTCTGTCGCCATGTCTGTTCAACCTCTGAACGATCTCTGGGAAGCTGCTGCTGGCCAGCCTTACGAGCCCACCATTGGCAAGAATTCGCACTTTACCGTCGGCATCACTCTGCTGTTTACTGGTATACACCATCTGTCTTTGTCTGGTCGTCGGAGAAGAGGAAACTGACATGTGCAGNCTCTTATTCTGTCTGGCTACTTTGGTCTGAGTATGCTACCACCAACCAAATCCGGAGACTTGTTCCTTGGCTAACACCTTTCCANNGACCCCTCGCTCAAGAACCTGCCCCTGATTGGCCTTCCTGCCTCTATTGCTGCTGNNGGTATTAACTCTCTTCCTCTTCATGGCTATAGCCTCCCGCTAACGCGATTCAGTTTCGGTGCCGTCTACATGATTTGCGCTGTTGGCGTCTACGTCTGAGCTCTTGCTCCTCTTCTTGCCCGCCTCCTTCTGTTTCCGCTATTCGAGATACCCACACCAAAGCAACACAGCCTTGTTCTACACCTTATGAATGCCACCCGTCAAGAGATAGCCGCGCTTGAGCTGGTTGTCAGCTGTGAGCAAACTGAGATTACTACACACAATGAGTGCGAGAGTCGTCAAATGGACAAAAGAACGGTCAGGCCGATACAAAGACACGAGCTCGTGCGAGTTGCGAATCGCGAAAGCACGAGGCGTGAAGCCATCGTGGTTGCCTATATACGGCTGACTAAGCTTGGCGTCTCCAACTTCCATCTTCGAACCATCCATCTCGCGTGATTGTCGTACTTTATATATCAAAGAGCATCAGGCGCGCTTTAACCTCACCACCCGTGAACACCTTTCCAAAAAGATTGCCGAAATTGGAATTTCGCAGATTCGCCATAGATCGCGTTCACCCATCATTGAGATTCGCCTGCCACTGCTATAATACATAGCAACATGGCATCAACAAATTCAAGTCTTTTCAGCGCCGTGTCTCCAGCAGCTCGCGATTTAACTCTTCTCCTAAGATGCATTGCGTTTGCTTCCAAAACCCAAGTTCGCTTATCGCCCGAGGGACTACGTTTTAGTGCTCAAGAAACAAGTGTAATGGAAGGCAAGCGCTTTCTCAAACACTTTGCCACGTCTTCCTAACTGTGTCTAGCCTTTGTGTTTCTCTCAAGGTCTCTTTTCACAACTTGGAGCTATCAAGACCCAGAGACTCCCGAGGACGAATCAGCCGAAGACGCCCTTTCACCTCCCACTTTTCAAATATCTCTTCCTGCTTTGCTTGAAACGCTTCAGATATTCTCTCTAGGCGACAGCAACGCTTTCCGACAACAGCAAGATCCGTACGATACGTTCACCGCATTCAGACAGAACCGTGATGCGAACAACCCTTTCTCCGCCTCAGCTCTGGGATCCTCTGGTCTCTGCCGCATCTCATACGAGAACCGCGGTAGCCCTCTATCAATCCAGCTGTCCGAGTCAGACGTCACTACTAATTGCGACCTGACCACATACGAGGCTGAGACTACAGAGGACATTCCATTTGACCGAGAAAGCTTGGCCCTCAAGACCATCATGCGCTCTGCACATCTGGCAGATGCCATATCAGAACTCGCCTCCACGAACCCCACCAGTCTTTCCTTGATTGCCTCGCCCACAGCACCTTACATGTCGCTGTCAGCTACAGGACCACTCGGCTCAGCCACTGTCGACTTCAACAAAGATCAAGACCCGTTACTGCTCGAAACGTTCCAGTGTCCAGCTCGCTTCCGCACGACCTACAACTTCCGACACATCAAGGCCGTGTACCGCGCCATGGTCTCTGCTACTAAAGTCAGCGTCAGAGCGGACGAGCAGGGTGTCTTGAGTCTACAATTCCTGATCGAAGTGGATCCTACAGCACAAGCAGAACCAGGCAAGGAGGGTATCGCTTTCGTGGACTTCCGCATCGTGCCCCAGGTGGAAGGAGAACTTCCAAAGGAAGACTCAGAAACGGATGATGAATAAACATGATTCCAGAATAGAGGGGAATGCCAACTTTAATGTTGATAGACTATGAACAACCAAAAAGAAGTAATTGCAGCGAGTGGGAGTCGAACCCACACTTCCCCATATCCATCCAAAGATCTTAAGCCAGTCAGCGTGGCCGATTGGACTTGCAAACGAGCCCGATGCTTGTGTTTGCAAGCGCGGGTGGTCATTCCCTGCTGGGGCCCCTCGCCCGAGGAGGCCGCAGACAAAGAAAGATCTCTGGTGACAATGCTTGTGTTTGCAAGGTCATTTGATGGCGAGGCGCCCTACCATTGGGCCATCGCTGCTTTTGCTGGAGATAATACAATCCTGACTGCTTATAATGGTAGACGCTTCTACGAAGTGCGTGTGTTCGATTATTGGAGGTTCCAATCTCAAATCTTGTGAAGTTTGTCTTTTGTTCTCATCTATGTTACTATATACAGACCACATCATGCCTTCATTTCACATACATTCCGTCGTTCTTCGTGTCCAGCTCATTCTCGTTACAACTCAACGCCAAAAAGGAAACAAAAGGTAAACACATGAAAGTCGCTCGCTCGCTGATTACGCTCTCAGGATGTAAAAAGAAAGAAAATTTGCAGATACCCTAGTCATCGTGGCCCTTGAGCTCAAGACTTCCAGTCGTCTGGGCGGCACTGACCGGGCTCTTGAAGCAGTGGTAGAAACACTGGAGCCGATGAGAAGGCGGAGGTCTGCAATGGGAGAAGACCAACATCAGTGGAAGTGTGCAGGCCCGTGACAGCTACACTCGCAATTGCAATAGCGACGGCTTGGATCGCTGGATCTTTGGCAACACCTCTGGGCATAAGTTCAACATATCGTTCCCTATCTGACATCTTGCCAGAGATAGAGAGCTCCACGTGTTCAGTCTTATCTTGCGGCTCAGGATCATCCTTCCTCCACATCGGATGTCTTTTTCCATGGCCTACATCTATCGGGGGCACTGAAGCCGGTGGGATTGAGGGCTCGTTGACTGCTTGCACCTGGCTTGTTGACAGGCTAACCTCGTTTGTAACAAAGTCTTGTGGAGCAAGCATGCCATAGAAGGTAGATGCTAATAATGTCAGGGCAAGGAAGAAGATGGCGAGGTTTCGACGATCGCGAAACACAAGGTAGAGGTAGTTGCGCAAGAGGAGACTCAGGGGAACATCTTTGGCCTGGTAGATGGTGGGAAGGTCGTAATATGGGGCAGATGCAGGTGTGACAATAGTGAATGACTTTGACTGGGTTTTCAGGTTGTGCTGCGTATCTGTAGTCACCGCTGTTGGTCCTTGGTCTGGCGCCATGATTTGAGATTGCAACCGTTGCTTCGGTTTCTCGGCGGGTTGTAGTTCGTGTCTCGACTGAGTAGCAAGATCGTGACCTCCTCTCTCGTTAGCAATGTCCTCGGCCAACTGCATCTCATCGAGTCTTCGGCAGATATGCTCCGAGATGCAAGGTCGAACTTCGCAGTCAACTCTCTCCATCTCAGAAAAACACGCACTCCAAGCGCCAGCACGCATGAGACCATTGGCAGCATAGACTCTCGTATACCAAGCATCGCCAACATGAACTCGTTGACAGGTATTGCAAATCGACATCTCCGTCTCCTCATCGTCTGCCTCGCCTTCCGTGACTGTGTTTGGCGTTCGGGGTCTGTACTGTCCGTCGTAGCCGATGCGCTCGGGAAGTAGGTCCAATGCCTCGAGCACGCTTTCTTCCAACAGCTCAAACTCTTCTCTTGGGTGAGCGATGAGAATGCCTCTTTGTGCCACCAGTCCCGAAGTTACTGCTCGTAGCACTCCAAACTGTCTTTTGAGCTCTGGAGGCAACATTGCATCGAGGACAGTGCGGCTCCAAGGTAGACGTGGAGGCAACACTGTGACGTGCAGTAGGACTAAAGGAGCGGGTGTCTCTTGTTGAGTGTCGTGATGAGCAACATCTTCCCCTCTACTTCTAGGACGGCCATCTTCCCCCCTACTTCTAGGGCGGCCACCTTCGCCTCTACTTCTCGGACGATGAGATGTGTGTCTTGGGGGTCGCAACGAGGATGGCGACAGGCGTTCAGGCAAAGGTGAGCGGCGGAGGCTTCCCACACGATAGGCAGGTCGAGATTTCGAGGTCGAGTAAAAGGGTCCAGGTACATCAGACTCAGAGGGCCAAGCCGAGTCGGGAAAGGAAGATACCGAAGTCGTTGTGATGTTTGAGATGCGGCGTTTCGGATCGTCCTTGTCGTTGTATTCATCATAATCGTCGACTTCAATCGTGGTGGAGATGGGGCTGTCCGCCCTGTATCCGGATAAGCCTGCCATGGAGGCCCACTGGCATTCCGGACTCTTCAACGATAGAAATATCGGAACTTTCTTTTGCACAAAGAGGAAAGCAAGGGACCTGTTCGCGAGTCACGGAGCTTGGGGTGGAGAGAAACGTTGTTGTGACAGCTGCCCCGGATGTGTTGCCACGCCAACTGAACCATGAACCATGACATCTTTTTCGTACACACCAACCGGCTCCACCTGCTCATCTCAGTTGCCATACTTTCTGAGCTGGCCAACGGTATGCTATCGTTCGTTGCACTCTACAGACGGTCATTCTATGTTGAACCGTGATTTGAACAAAATATTTTTTCAACTGTATCGAAGTATGGGAGCATGCATCTTTGGGGACCGGTCATTAGAAGATATCAGAAGGCCGAAGGTATCATTACTGCCCACATTCGGACTGCCGGAATATGCTTGAAGGTGGAAAAGGAGAATTCAAGAAGATAACGTAATAAAAGATCGTGGTATCATGACTGCTTCAGCACTGTTTCTGAATCTCCTCAAATATCAGGAAGCAGAAGGTTGGGCTGTGCCAGCTTGTCATCGCTTCCGCTCCAAACGCGTGCACTGTAAGCTTGTCTCGCTTGTTGTAGCTCGGCCAGGAGTTCGCTCTGTGATTCGCGTCTCTCGGATTGTACAGTGTCAAACTGAACCACGACTTCGTCCAAGCCAGTTGTCGGCGTTTTTGTAGAGAGATCGAACATCTCCAATTGTGGCTCACTGTCGCTGTTTGCCCGAGATTTGCTTTCCGAAGCAAATCCATACTGCGCAAATTCTCCGCGTACAGGAGACTGCTGTGGTGAGGTGACCCCACTGTGAGAGTTAGTACCACGCTCCGCGGTCGACAGCTTGTTCTTATCAGAGGTGCTCGAGAGATGACTGCGAGTGCGGTCTAGGACAGTCTTGAACAGGGGCCTCAAAGTTGCCATACATGCTGCTGTGATGCCCATGCCAGGTTCGATCGTGCTCAGGATAGCTATGCTTGACGCGTCCGAGAAGAAGGTCGTGGCGTCCTGGTCACCAGAATGGAGCGTCTTGATATAGAAGAGGCGGACGACTGATGCCACGCTGCCGAAGACACCAATGACAAGGACAAAAATTACTGACGACTTGTCTCTGCCACTCATGTTGGCTTTGCGGACAACCAGAATTGGGAGAGACACAAAGATCCAGTCGGTCAAGGCGTTCATGACTCCGTGGATATAGTTCATGGGACCAAGAATATCCCAGGAAGTGCATTTGCCTTGCACTTCGTGAAGGAGGTATTTATCCGGAGAACCACACTGGAATATGGCGATAAAGAACAACCCGAATGTGTAGATTGAGAATACAGCAGTGCTGATGAGGATCGTTCGACGCTGCCACTTCTCCAACACCNNTAATTTCCTCATATCAGCACGGCTAGCCAAGGGTGTGGAAATAAGAGAGCTCACAATTCTCAGGAAAAATATGGCCAGTGAGATTTTGAGCACCATGGTGGTGAATACATAGAAGGCGAACTCAAGGACGACATACTACGCGTTGTTAGTAGATGCTATCAGAGTTCTATACTTTTCACTGACCTCCAGTGTACTAGACAGAGGTATTGGCCACTCCAAGTTGTGGTTTTGCTCCATCCATGCAATGTGCACGAGGAAGGCGGCTTGACAGACGAAGGAGGCAAGTGTCAGTAGAATGAACCAATCATCCCAGCCCAAAGCACGAATCATGTAACCTCTGACAAAGAACCGAAGCGAGGTGAACGTGAGTGTGAGGGCAAGAAAAGCAGCAGCAATGGCAACCAGCGCTTCGGAGTGGTAAGCTGAGGGCGGTTTGTAGCCGGCGTCAGGGTTCCATGTTTCTGACATTCGGGACATCATATGGGATTCCATAGCTTGCCGAGTTTGCTGCTACTCGTGTGCAGGTTTGATGTTAGGCAAGGGTCAGCCCAAGGAGAAATAGATGCAGAGTGCAGGCGTTGCTTGTTGTAACGATGTGAACAGAAAAGAGCGTAAGGAACAGCAGCGTAGCAGTTAATGGGAACGAAAAAAGGGAGCGTGATGATAGTAGGCACAAATCGCAAAGAAGCAAGAAACTCGAAGGGACAGCACATGGTCTATGTACACCTATATTTGACCCATGACTTCAGTGCTGGAAAGAGAAATGCCCTGATCGTAAGGTTAGATAGCGCAAGACTACACCGTTACTTTGCTGGCAAGACATGTGCAATGCCACGTGCTTGATGCACCTGCGGTTGCTGAATGAGGAACTGCTCGGCAACCTGAAACATTGCGGTCTGCCAGCGGAACTCTTTCTACACCAGGGCCCGCCTTGGGCATCCGAGAGTGGCGCTGGAGACCACTCAAAGAGAAAGTCTTACTGGAAGAGATACCCGCCTCGGCTCCCTTCTGCCATCCCAACGGCTGTGGCTTGCTGAGTTCAGGAGTTTCGCTTAACACAATACACCATGAGAGCACAGCAAGCGAAGCGGTCCCGTTTTGTGACCACCGCCGTGCACAGAGGATTAGGGCCCACGGCAGTCCAAGGTTTAGACTTCTATAAGCCTTTCACAAAGACCAATCGGTATGCATGCAGTATCTCGATGTGGAGCTCTTCAAGCCAGCAATCTTCAATGGGCTGGGTAGACAATCTGTTTCTATCCGCCCGCCATTGACGAGGTGGGGGTTGTGAGGATATTAGAATTTTTTGTTGTCGTAGAAATCGTGGCATGAACAAAGGACTGATGTTTGGATCGTGGTTGTTGTAGGCAAACGGTAACATCGAAAATGACGACCTCGTTCGAGGCATGTGGTTGTCGCAAACTCGAGGTTCTCAAATCTATGCTGCCGTTCAAGAAACGTGGTACCGACATGACAACTGCCCCTAGTCTGCACGTTTGTCCAACGTCGAAGGAAGGAAACCACGACAGCACGCGCAAGGCCAGGAAGGGAAGAGCGAGAAGGATGCGCTCGGCAGACTCCGTGTCATCAGCCGAATAGCGACCCTGTCCTTTGCGTCCGAGTACCGCTTGAACCCCTCCGCAAGACCCTTTGACTGAGGGACGACACACACTGTGAATGTCAAATATTCTCAAGCATTCTTCATCGATCGTTGGGTGTCTGTATTCTTGGAAATGAGAATCTAAAATGCCGCCACCACCACGCGTTCAGGCTACCGCGGCTGGTCCTCAAGCGCGTCAGAATCGAAATGCCAGAGCAAGGCATTCGCTGGACAATACTGGCTTCTCCATCGACAGCTCAGAACTTCCATCAGGCTTGATTGTCGATTACAGCATTGATGATTTGGTAAGACCTGGGAATATTGCAGAGCCTAGGCGTGGGCAGCAAGCAGAAAATATCCATCTAGATGATGAAGACGAGGACGATGGGGATGCAGATTTAGATCCTGAGGAGATAGATCTAGGTAAGGCACATTCTTTTCTTTTTGCCCGCTGTGCATGCTAGTTCTTCCCCCTGCTGTGTATATCCGCCGAAAAGTGCAACTGGACACCGCCCCTTTCATGGCACAGTGCACAAGCATGACTATCAAAAAATCCTACCATTCTACAACCGCGGCCTTGACTGCCATGGGTAGCTCTTGCTACAAAATCTCACCAGGAGCTGTCTTGATTCTAGAAAGCGTTGCGCGGTCTGATAGTCACGCATTGGAGATTCACTCCAGATGGGATGTCCGTTTGCCATCGCTTTACACCTTGTTTTCCATTTATTAGAAGCTGCGCAGCCGCATTTCGATCCTCTTGCACTCGACAAGAGCAACCGCACAGCCGCGACGAACACCACATCAGCCGCAACAAGCCAGTCCTATCACCATGTCATCAGACATCTTAGATGTTGACTCCTCTGTTCTGTCATACCGTTCGTCTGCCCTTTCATGAACAGCACTACATCCTAGTCGTGCCATGCGCACACTCACCTTTGCATGACATCACTCCAAAATTGCACAGAAGTCTAACAGATATTCCAGATGGCGCGCCTTCAGCGACCGGCGATCCATTGCCTCCATGCGGATTGAAAGAGATCTCTTCGCTCGCATCCTGGACTGTTAGCACCAGCAAACCTGGCTGCGGTGTCGCTGCCCTACGCCACCCATCCACTTCTCTCTTCTGGCAAAGCGATGGTCCCCAACCCCATCTTCTCACCGTGCACTTCTTCAAGCAAGTCGCCGTTGCTCACATCCGCATCTACCTCGATTTTGAGAACGACGAGAGTTACACACCCACACGCATGCAATTTTGGGCTGGCACTGGTCTACACGACCTCATCGAGTTTGCCGATATGCAGTTCGAGCAGCCTCGCGGTTGGATCCCTGTCGATTTCTCTCAGGTCGGACCCATTGAAGATGAGGACAACGAGGACCCCGGATCCATCGATTGGAGCAAGAGACCTCTGCTCCGCTGCTTCATCTTGCAGGTCCGCATCCTTGAGAACCATCAGAATGGCAAGGATACCCATCTTCGCGGTCTGCAGATTTTTGCTCGCGACGAGAGAGCTGAGGAGAACACTGGCCTGATGGAAGATGAGGCTGACACCAAGGAGGGCGCTCGTACCGACAGAATGGACATGCCTGTTCGCTCCAAGGAGAAGCGCAAACGTTCAGAGGGCTTGCCCAAGCTCAAGAAGGCCTCGTTCATGATGGAGCCCGAGTTGAGATGAAATTGCAGCATTCGATCCGAGTTCCGACACAGGGTTCGCGGTTAAGCGTTGCTTCGCAATTGGTCTGCATTGGAGCGGATCATGATTGGGTACATTGACATGGGGCGGGATGGCAAAGGTATCAGACGTTGGTCACCAAAGCAAAGAGGTAAGAGACTTGATCATCGTCGTTCTCAAGAATGTGCCGCTTTAGGCGACAATTAGAATTAACATTATGGAAAGTCTTCCTGCTGTATCTACGTATCAAACGCGATCTCGTACGCTCACTCTGTCGGTCTATTCCTTTACGTCTGGATCCAGTCCAACGAAAAATGACAAATGAAATCTCCCCAAGATAGCAGGACCACGATAGGGAATGGCACTAACAGCAGCCTTTTCGTCTGGGTCCATCAAGTCTGAAAACTTCTTCCCATTCGCGCAGGCCGGAAGCCCACTGGCCTGTGCCTGCTCTCTTTCGCCGTCTTCTGGGTCCATCCATGCCACTCTTTATACTGTTTCCTCCATCGTCAATAGCCCAAGACAAGCTGTCGCCGTACTGAATTCCAGAAAGCGGATCATCGGGATCAATCTCTCCTAGCTCAATCTTCGCCAGGATCATACGAGCCAGACGGTTGAATAGCTCATCCACACCATCACCATTGAAAGCTGACACCTCAACAGCGAGGGGGATAGTTTGTGAAGTCGCCCATTGTGTCGCTTGGGTAGCAGAGACCTGCCGACCGTCGGGCGCAAAGGTAGCGCGTGCGCCGTTACCACCTCGTGGTATAGTGCCTCTGGAAGCAATGCTGTCGAACCTGCGCGAGTCGTAGCTCGACGGCGTCTGGCCAGATGGTGGTGAAAGGGTACCGAGTTCGTCCATGTCTTCATCGCTTTCTGCATCACTGTCGACTGGATCGGCAAGGTCGGCCTTGTTGCCGGCCAACAACAAGGTCAACTGCGGACTTGCCAGGGCGCGCGCATCATTCAGAAAAGTGCCCAACTGTGCAAAGCTATCCCTGCTCGTAATGTCGTAGATCAAAATTGCGCCAGCGGCACCACGATAATAACTCCTGCTCACACTCCTAAAGCGTTCGGTGCCGGCGGTATCCCAGAGCTGCAGCTTTATTCTCTTTCTACGGTTGCCGTCACCGACTTTTACAATCTTTGTAGCGAACTCGACGCCGATGGTTTGTGAGGAGAGGATGCGCCAGGATGAGTTGACGAAACGGTGGAGGAGGCAGGATTTCCCAGCTGACGAGGGGCCTAGGAGGATGATCTTTGCGAGATAGTCGTACATGGAGCCGAGTTCAGACTCTGGCGGGAGTGAGTTGTCGGGCGCTGTGGTCGACGCGGTCGAGGGACGCCGTTGTCGCGCCATGGCTGTGGTTGTGTGTATGTGGTGTTTATGGAAGGTCGGGCGTGTTTGCTGTGACCTTTGTGGACTCGGAGATAAGTGGATTGTTGGCCGGTGGTTCGCTTTCACGTGAATGTTGGATGGCTGATGATCAATGTTGGACAGGTGCGAGAAGACCAAGCGGTCGAATGCGGTGCAGAGAAGTCGAAGCAATGTCGTAAGATGCAAAAACAAAGGGCGTAACCAACGAGATGAAGATAACCAAATTGCAGTGGCCTGTTTCAGCCTGGTGCTGCTACAATCATCCCCAGACTTTTGTTGAAAGAGCGGCGCCAAAAGCCCTCGGATATCGCCGTTGCCTACCAAGACGCCCATGAGAAGAGAGAGCTTGAGCTCCAACTTTTCATATTTTCCTCTCCCTCCTGCTGCGTACAACAAGTTCCAGTGCTTGTCAGCATCATGTCTGTTCTGTTGCACGCCTCTTCTACTTCGTCGACCATCTCACGTTTCATTCTTACGACCTCCGGGGCGGCTCGGCCATGGGCTGTCGCGTGCCCATTGTTCAAACAAGCAATGCACAAAGCCTGGTCGTCGAAAGAAGCAACTCGATGATGGTTGGCCGCATGCCTCGGGTCATCTGAGGCTTGTTGGCACTAAACATGACAGAAGCATGCTACATAGCCTGGTATTGGTGTCGTCGACATCTCGACATCATCGGCATCATGTCCATACACTTCCGTTGCCAAGGCCGGCATTTTCAATGAAGTCATCTTTGATCGGGTAAGTGGTCGTGTGCGCTAAGTCCGTCTTCACATGCCTTTTCCTCCAAAGTCCATCTCGCTTTTTCAATTCACCTCTGCCCTTCATCCCTAGTCTTGTTTGCTACGATTTTCTTCTCTCCCTACTGTCTCCCGTTCCTGCCATCATCATCTCTCCTACATTACTTTGATTGCAACCACCGCCGCCATGGTGGCCTTCTTCTCACGCCTCAACCCAACTCCGGCATTCCCGCAATATCCTGGCCCTCATACTGTCGGTACAGTCGACGTCGAGATTCCAGCCGCCGACTTGTNNTCCTCCACCACCGCGACCCCTGCCGACGCCGCTCCCACCGTATCCTTCAGAATATTCTACCCCTGCCAAAATCAGAAAGAGAGCGCGAGGCCTGTGAGATGGATCCCCTCGCCACAACGGCCTAATCTCTCTGCCTTTGCCCGTCTGCTGGGTGCTGGCTCGCGCGCCTCCGACTTCTTCTCCTACTTTCCCACCATCCTCTACTACATTACCATACCCGCCCAGCGTAATGCCCCTCTGCTCGCCCCACCCACCACCAACAACAGATGGCCCGTCATGATCTTCTCCCACGGGCTCGCTGGCAACCGCAACCTATACTCGCATATTTGTGGATCTATGGCTTCGTACGGCCTTGTTGTCATCGCCATGGACCACAGAGATGGCAGTTCACCAGTTCAATACATTCGTGCGACCTCGGACACTCCCAGCAAAATTGTCGACGAAATCAAAATTTCACACTCGCCCTCCCCCGAAGTCTACGCTGCAAGAGACAAGCAATTGCGCATCAGATGCCACGAAACCTCCCTGATTCACGCAGCACTACTCAAGATCGACCAGGGTGAGAAGGTGAACAACTTGGATGACAACACTGCGCAAACCAAGAAAGAGCGGGTCGAAGTTCTATCGAGATTTGCTGGTCAACTCGACGTGCACACACCTGGCAAGATCACCTTTGCCGGCCACAGTTTTGGTGCTTGTACGACGGTCCAGTTCCTCAAGTCTGTCTTCTACGCCAAAGAACGCCCACAGAGCGCTCACTCTCCTCTCTTCGTTCCGACCGACTCTTCTTTGACCCGCCAAGTCACTCCTGCCTCTCCAGTACTATTGCTCGATCTCTGGACTCTGCCACTGCGCAGCCCCACCCAATCTTGGCTTCGCGATCGTCCTCTGCCCTCATACACTGACACCTCGATTGGCGGCAAGAACATCCTCAGCGTCATGTCACAAGCCTTCTTCAAATGGACTGGTAACTTCAACGACGTCCGTCGAGCCATCGCACCACCCAGAAACTTCTCTGGACCCAATCCACACCTGTTCTACCCAGCTACCAGCCAACACTTTTCCCAATCCGACTTCGGCGTGCTGTTCCCTTTCCTCACCAGCAAATTGCTGAAGACCGAGGATCCAGAAAGACTACTGTTGTTGAACACTCGCGCCATGCTGCAAGTTCTCAGGGATATGGACATTGAGGTTGCTGATGTCGGCGAGAAGAACCTGGAAGGCGAGAAAGAGGAGACAATTCTGAAGCCAAGTGGTACCGGGCAGGAAACTGTCAAGGGCTGGGTCAGAGTCGCCGTTTCCGATGCCGACAACAACGACTCGGGCATTTCTATTGAGCAGGACAAGAAGCAGAAACCTGCTGACGACTCCGAGGGTATGGAAATGTAGATATGGGCTTTTTTCTTCTTTTTTCTCTTTTTCTGTTCTTTCTTTTTCCCTGCTCTACAACAGCTTGGTGTTGGTCTTACACTTTTCTGGTTATACAGTCGCATAGCATTTTCGTTGTTTTTCTCTTTTTCTTGAGTTTAACAGCCGGCAATCAGGATGGGATCTCAATGGGTGGGAAACAGCGACAGGCGTCCAACTTTGGAAGTTTTAGAGTGTACATACAGTTTATGATATTTCTTTCTACAGATTTTCCTTGTCTTCCTATCACAAATTTCTGTCGACCTTTTGAGTGTCTTGATGATGCTTGCTCCTGAGTTGCTATTCTTGGCTTGCGCCGCCAACCGCCCACCATCCGCATCTTCTAAGCGCCCAAAAATCTCCATCACACCTTCCTCGCCAAACGCATACTTTGAGCCGATAACTTTGAGACCACAAGCAGGTAGGAACCGAAAACATGAAACGCGGTACGTATCTGTCCGTCTGTGAAGCAGGCGTTTCTAGCGACCAACCACAGCACATGTAGCACAATTTTGCTAAAAATGTGTCTGCTCTCTCATACGTCGAGCGGTTACGAGGATCTGCTTGCGAAATGAGGAGGATGATTACTGGAACCATAAGAGAGTGTAGGCCGCGACTTTGTCGAGGATCTGAAGACAGCTCTTTTCTATTCGCTTCTTATCAATACCATTTCCTCACAAGCACTGGACTGCTTTGGACATATATTTCCATCATTGTCATTCTCTCCTTGATTGTACCGCTGGCTCGGATACCTGGGAACTTTCCATAACATATACTTCTCCATCGCGACTTGGCTCACCAGATTTCTTCTTTCCAACCAGCCAGACAACATCTCTGTATCTTACAATGGCTATGAGACCAATCACCCGATCACCTCTTCTGCTCTTGACCCTCAGCATCTGTTTATCTCTACCTATCCTGGCCACCTCAACCCATATTTTGTCCATCTATCGTTCCGAACATGCGACTAATCCATGGTGGCTACCCATCTGGCATGCCCACTTCAACACCCATGGTCTCATCGCCGTCATCACAACTTCCTGCATCGTCTTCGCGCTGGACATCATTTACATCGGTCTGGTGGTCATGGGGAACAAGAGTGGTGATAAGGTGGATATCTACTGTTCCGGAACACTATAAGAAGTCGGCTGACGAAACGAGTAGAGCAAGATGATCAAATGGATGGCAGTTGTATTCATGCTGGCGGCTACAGTGGTTGCGCTCATCGCGATGATCATGCCTGCTGTAGCAAACGCTGCGGCTCCTAGCAAATCTGATACCGTTCAGACATGGACTTGCCGTTGGGGAGGCGCTGTGGGAGCACCGGAGAACTTTGAACCTCTGTGTAGGGAAAGTGTATGTGTCGTTTTTACTCTTGCACGAACCCGCCTTCCTCCTCGTTCTTTTCCCGATGACCTTGGCTGACATGTGTCTTTAGNNCAATTCTCTTCCTACGCGCCCATCCCACTCTTCATCATCCACCTTCTGCTCTTGGTTCAGAGCATTCAGGATGCTGTTGCTACTCCTCAGCAGCAGCCGAAAACGTTCGACGAGGAGCTGGTCATCATCACTAAAAGCGTCGAAGTCGCTACTACGGCTTCAAACGAGAGTCCACAGATCAAGTAACAAGACCAAGGATGGAGTTGAAGAAAGAGAAGTTGTGATTGAATATAAACAAGAAGGAAGGTTCAAATCAGCCAACTGCCGGACTTGCTTCGTTCAGTGTGAGACCTCCCATTGACAGCTCGCTTGTTCGCATGGTTTACATAACACGGGCAATGGTAAACAGACTTGTCAATGTCAATACTGAGCCGCTGTCTCTTGGAGATCTGTCCGCGCCACCAAAACTTCCATTATACTGAGATAATCTCGACCTGCGTGTAGAGGACAAATTTGTGATCATTAACACTGTTTCAGTGTTAGCCCGAGTTACCCGTGAGCTTTCTTCCGCATCCATTCAACCTTGTGATTGTGATTCGCTCTGCTGATCGCAAGAGTCTCCAACTTGCACACGAAGAGCGTTCTGTCGAGGAGCGAAAGGGAAAACAAGAGAAGGACTGTATGTTCAGCGGATCTCTGAGTGATACACCTCAGTGAGTATCGTGCCCACGATCCAACCTACGCTGTGTCCATGGAGGGATGAAAGCTATTCATGTATCATGACTCGGATATTGCTGCCAACGGTATGTCTCTCGCGGTATCTGAGCCAGAGTTGGCACTTTGTCGCTCACAAGGCGACGGATCTGATTTGACTTCCCTCGNAATCTTTCTCGTATGGCGCGTTGAGGCATCTTGCACGAGCGACTTTCCGAAAAGGCGAGAAAGGCTGGCAGTTCCAGGCGGGAGAACTTGTCGGGTCTTGGATCGGCAATATGAGGGTCCCAGGGAAGTCTTCGCTTGAGATGTGAGTTTGGTCCAACTATGCATACCCTCGGGCGCGGGACCGTCTCCTTCTTGGCAGGTTCGTCCTCGACGTGACTGAGCACAACCACAGCATTGCCACGAGGTATCCTCAACAAGCTGCCGTCTTCGAATCTGGCGATGAACTTTTTCTTGGGAACGTCTAGCAGGTTGTACAGTACCTCTGCATATCCTCTGGTGTCAACTTTGCGCCAGGCTTTGTCGAGTTTGAGCCCCTGTTCTCCAGTAACGGCAGGCTTGCCTTTGCGCAGTACTTTGATAGTCCAGAACTGCTCAGGGCTGATGAAGCCGGTAGGGATAGGGTAGAGCAGACGGAGACGCTTGACAAAGCCTCTAAGCATGCAGTCGACAAGGTCGGCGGCGAGAGATGGCGTGATGGCTATGTTGACATCTTTGTCGATCACGGAAGTCGCGGGTGGTTCAGGNGGCATTCTGATGGTGAGCATTTCGAGCTTGTGGCGAATAAGAGACAGATGAATATCGCGTGGATGTGGTGTTTGTTTTTGAAGGATGGCTTGCCAAGGTAAAGTCTCGAGGCGCACTTGTCGGACGTCGCGCCTGATACTAGCATTGAATCTGTCGACGCGGTTGAGACTCATGATGTCCGTGATAAACTCGTTGGATGAGTAAAATATCGGAGCAGTCTCTGCATACATCTGCTTGTTGGTTAAAAAGAGTCTTAGGTGAAGTGGGTCGCAGCGAGTGTTGTTTATGCTATTCAGGGGTGAGAGAAGAGAGTGTACACCAAGAAGTCCAACATCTGGCTTCTCCGGCTCTGTTGGCTTTCTGAATGGTACGTTGTCGACGATCAGTAACTCTTTCCATATCATGTCACGCAACTCTTGAGGAAGGCCACGAAAGGGCTGCTCATATGTGCGGTTCATCGCAAGTGTTGGCGAGAGACTTGTCCTATTATTTTGGTGAGTCAGTCTTCAGCGCGCATCCGTCGGTCCACCCTCAGTTGATGATGAGTGCGCATGCGAGATGTGGTAGATGAAGCGAGCTGTCTTGGTTGTTGTCTTGGTTTGGAATCGATGCGCACGCTCAGCGTTGGGCTTGTATCGGGGTTGGCAACAACAAAACTGGCATCAACTGTTGCCAACGTGGCTCGAACAATTCAGGAGTACCTAGTACTTTGTCTGGAGAGTCCCTTCCTTTACATCAGACATTGTATATCTCGAGCACATAAGTCTTCTTGTTCTATCTCTTAGTCTCCAACATTCACCGTGCTCAAGTGAGACCACGGAGCGTATTTGTCTCTGTCTCTTTGTTTATCGACAATGCCTTTGTGTAGAGCTGAAGGCTACAACTGCTCACTTCATATACCGCTTGGTATAAGTTGGTGGCTCTTTGCTCAGCCCGAATAAGTATCCAACAACATCAAACTTACATTCGCCATGCATAGTTCTCCCGACATTCTTGCACAGCGTATAAGCAAAATCAGCAATAGGTCGTCTCTACAGCCCGATAACCCTAGCATGCCTACCGATGATGCATCGAGTAAACCCTTACCACCGATACCAAATGGAGCTCGAAGAACCAGAGACGGTCTACCAGTCATCTCACTACCTATTTCAGGCACCTTCGTGGATCTATGTAAGAGAGAGGTGTCACAGAAATATGTTCCGCCCAATCGCTCTCCTATGAGAAAGTCATCAGAAATGCCGCTCTCCTGTCACCCTCCATTCCAATCATCTTGGATCGAGGTGCAGCCTCTTCGCACTCACATTGCCAAACCAAAGGTCCATCTCAGGCCCGATGTCAAACATAGCAGTACAAACACAGCATTATACAGGGAGCCGCCTCAAGCAACGTCTAACCGCCTTTATCACGGTGTTATACTGCCACCGCCACCTCCTATCCCGAACTCGGACAGAAAATGGAAAAGGCCTTGCAGTAAATCTCTGACACAAAGATCCCAGGTCACGGCCCCGAGAAACCTCTTCGGACAGCCTGTTGCTCCCTTAACGCCACATCAGCGTGAAGATACCATCCCCTATTCCGTTCGATTACCATGTACATCTGAAGACAACTTGGCTCCAGAACAGTGCCCTCCTGCAGGAGAAAACTCTGACCATAGCTGCAATCCTGTCCCACCTGCCCTTCGCAACTCCTGGGCCAACAGACGCTCTTCACATGTCATTTTGGCCGACAACTCGCTTCAGCTCGAAGCTTTCTCTGAGCTTGGTGTTGAGCTTGATGAAGTCATGAACTTATACACTCCGAGCAAAATGTCGCGATTTGCCTACCAGCACCAAAAAGACAATGTGTGCAGAAAGGGTTGCTGTGTGAGATCACACATCAGAGCATGGTGTATCAAGCATTAGAGCGCCCGGCTGGTCCGGAAATGATACTAGCCCGTTGCTCAATGGATGAGAAGAGGTGATGAACTGATTCGTGAGTCGATTTGTCGGTTAAACATTTAGAGTTCTTATATACTATGTATGCACATATCTTTTGGAAATGAATAGAGAAGCAATCTCTAACTGGGATATTAAACAAGAGTCGTGAGACCAAAAGATGAACAAACAAAATTCCTTTCCTGGTAGAAACATCGAACTCGTCATGCGTAAATAGCAGATCATATATTCAGACTTGCTCTTCCTTCGTAGTAGACTGCGACCAGCTACCGACAGGTGTGAGGTCACGCATGTACTTGCCAAAGATGGCAGTCTCGATGTCTTGAGCCTCGGGTCCTGCCTTTGCTGCCTGGTGGCGGAAGTAAATACGCTTGGCCCACTTCCAGGACTCGACACCGATGAAGAAGATGAGAGTCGCAATGAAGACAATACCCCACTCCCAGGAGATGCCAGTGTGACGGAAGACGTCGTGATTGATAACAGGAATATAGAGGACGGGGAAGATGAGGACGAAGCCAACGACGACGGATGTGAACAGGAACTTGTTGCGCCAGACGTCAAAGATCCACTGAGTGAAGTAGCGGTCGGAGTCGGGCTTCATGCGGAAGAAGCTGCGGCGAGGGTCAATCATCTCCCATGCGAGGAAGAGTGAAAACCAGGTCAGTGTGGCAAAGCAGGTCGAACGGGCACGGAAAACGACATCGCACTCAGGAGACCAAGAGGCATTGCAACCGGTGGCAGGAATACGGCCAATGTTGCCATCCTCGAAGCCATAGAGAACAAGGCAGAAAGAGCACAAACAAAGTGCTGCAACCCAGAGACCGTAGACGAGCATGTCGAGGAGAACCTCGAAGGTGAAGACTCCGCGTTTCAGACTTTGAGGAGGGCGGCGCATGACATCTGGCACGGCTTCTTCGAAACTCAGACCCATATCAGGGAACGAACTGGTAATCATGATGATCCACATAATCTCGACAGGCGAGATGGGGAAGACCGAGAGGCCATCGAGGTCTTTGAAAACAAGTCCAATAAGCAGTGTACAAGCCTGAGCGATGTTCTGAGACAGAAGATGCAGAATGAATTTTTGAATGTTGTCGAACATGCGGCGACCTTCCTCGACGGCATTGAGAATACTGGCGAAGTTGTCATCTGTCAGGACAATATCAGAGGCGTCTTTGGCGACATCAGAGCCAGATTGTCCCATAGCAATACCGACGTCGGCGCGCTTCAGGGAGGGTGAGTCGTTGACACCATCACCAGTCATAGCAGCAAAAGCCTTACGTCTGTGCAAAGCCTCGATCATACGGACCTTAGTGTTGGGTGCGCAGCGAGCGATGACCAGGGGAAGAACAGGAAGAGCGTCGATTTCGTCGTCACTGAGCTTGTCGAAGCCACTTGCCTCCATGACGATAGCGTCTAGGACCTCTTTGGACAGATCTTTCATGTGAGTAGGCAAGATACCGACATCGGCAGCAATTGCTTGCGCAGTACCCTTGTGGTCACCGGTCAACATATGAACAATGATGCCAGCCTCGTGAGCTTGGCGGACCGAGGAAGCAGATTCTGGGCGAGGAGGGTCGTAAAGGCCAACAAGACCTCGGAAGGTCAGACCATCCTCAATAGAGTTACGGTCGACCTCTTCGTCCTTGTTGATTTCACCTTCGAAGTCCTTGCTAGCCAGTGCCAAACATCTCAAGCCGAGGGAGGCGATAGCTTCCATGTTCTGCAAAATCTCCTCTTGAATGGCCTCGGTCATTTCGACTGGTTTGCCAGATTCATCTTGGTAAAGGTTGACACACGAGCCGATGACACGCTCAACAGCGCCCTTTGTGAACACTTGCTTCTTACCAGTAGCAGCCTCTTCAAAAACAACAGACATCTTCTTGACGTCGGAATCGAAAGGAAACTCGGCAATCTCCTTCCATATAGGATTGTTGCCAGAAATGAAAGTTGATCTGTTCCAGCCAAAGCGAGCTGCGAACACTTGGATGGCGATTTCAGTAGGGTCTCCTCGAGCAGTCCATTTGTCGTCCTCGTCCTTCTGGACAATGGCCAGGTTGTCCAAAGCAGCCACTCTAAGGAAGTGTGCCAGATGTTCGTTGTCCTTAAGCTCATCGTCATAAGCGACAACATCGTGCTTTTCTTCTCCAGCTTTGATGTTTCTTGGTTCTTCAGGACTGAACTGGAGTTCGCCAACGGTAGGGTTGGAAGTTTCGTCGGTCTCTCCGATCGAGTATGTACCTTTGGCAGGGATCCAAGCCTTCTTGGCCATCATCTTGCCTTGGGTCAGTGTGCCAGTCTTGTCGGAGCAAATATCAGTGACACCACCGAGAGCCTCGAGTGAGCGCAGGTTTCTGACGATGACATGACGCTCAACCATTCTTCGGGTACCAGCAGCCATACAGATGGTGAGGATAACCACGAGGGATGCGGGAATCATACTGAGACCAGTGGCAACGGCGTATATGATGACTTCTTGCTGGCTGCTGAAGTTGTTGGCGGCTTCAACGATGACAGCACAGATGACAGCAATGAAAAAGAGTAGTACCGCGAGCCTCGAGAGTTGCTTCTGAAGGGGTGTTCCAACGTTGATACCGAGGAAGCGACCGACGGCATCGGAGAAGGTCAAAGTCCACGCTTGGGCGTATCTGTGAGGTTTAGCAGAGCCATCAGGCTTGCGCTTGACAGGTCTGACTCTCGAATCCTTCTTGCGAAGTGCTGCAGCGATCGATCCAATTTCGGTATACATGCCAGTAGCGTAAACAATACCACGGGCGCGACCTTTGGTGACGACTGAGGAAGAGTAGGCAACGTTGAGACGGTCACCAGGTCCGGTGTCCTCATCGAATACAGCATCGGCATCTTTTCTGACGGGCAAGGATTCTCCAGTCAGCAGGGCTTCGTCAGTCTCGAAGTTGACTGCTTCGATGAGTCTGACGTCTGCGGGTACTGTGTCACCNTACAATACGGTCAGTAAGTGAAAACTCCAATGACTCTTCCGAACACACTTACCAGTCTTGATCTCAACCATATCGCCAGGGACGATTTCGATTGTGGGAATGTTGACAGTCTTTCCATCGCGAACAGCGTTGGCAGTAGGAGAACTGAGTGATTTGAGTGAGTCCATGGTCTTTTCAGCCTTGAACTCCTGCATGAATCCGATAACAATGTTCAGTCCGATAACTGCTGCAACAACACCGCCTTCGATCCATGACTTGATGGCAAAACTAACAACCATGGCCATAATGAGCACCTATTTTTGTCAGCAAGACCGGATCATTATACACATCCTTGCGCTACGTACCAGCGTCATCGCGTTTGCAATCTGACGGATGAGAATCTTTCCAGGTTCGACACCGCCGGCGTCACCAAGTTCGTTGGTTCCATATTGGCTGTGTCGTTCTTTGGCTTCTGATGACGACAGGCCGTTCTCGGCGTTAGCCTTGATGTCCTCTGTGACTTGAGTGAATGTGAGTGAGTGAGCAGGCTTCGAGAGGCCATTTCCATTGGCCTGGCCTGACACGTGCTGGTCGAGTGATGTGTCTTCTTGCTTGCCCATGTTGAGGATTTGGGCGTTAGGAATGGTAGATGGTCAAGTACAATGACGAGAAGGGGCACTCGCATATCTTATATGTGGTGTGATCGNAGTTAACTCTAGCGGAGAGCAGACTTTCCTCCCTTGGCACCCTTATCATTCCTCTGGATGTTTATGTCGCCAAGCGACGACACGTACAATGGTACCCACGTTAGAGGCATCTCCGTCATCCTTTTCTGGTTCTCTTCCTCAGGATAGCCTTGGAAGTTGTAACTATCGTCGAGATGTTGGGTCAATATCCAATAAGGTGTCGCATGGCTGGAACCATGTTGCATGGCACCAAGAAACACAAGAAACTGGCTTGGCATCTGTCATTGACCTACCTGTTCGTCATCTGTCGCGGTGCAGACAAGCACCGTCTAAGCGTGGATTACAGTCAAAAGGACGCGAATACTTGCGTGGCTAACTCTTGTTGCCGAACTATGGGTTTGTCAAGTGTACACAGTATGGCTTGTAATGAGAAGAAGATGATCAATGAGATGTCGTCCCTGGGTCCAAGACTGTCCAAGACCCTGTGAGCGCCAAGAACAGCTCCGAGCCCGCGGAGTTTTGCTTTTGCCTTCGCCATGGAGAACAAGCCGGGGGTTACGGTACACGTGCCAAGTGGAGAGATACGTGATAGTATGAGCCGAGTCAACAACTGCGAAGGAAGGCGATAGTAGCGATGACAAGACCAAGCCCAGGCTGGAGTTGGCCGATACCCGAACACACCACTCGGCGTGCGATGTTCGAGGATGCGTAGATATGCGGAAATGACGCGGAAGCTTCTCTTTCAGTACTGCGGTTGGTTGATAAACATGTTGCAAGGTTGTAGTCCGATCTTGACAAGCTTCTCTTGCGCACGTGAAATGCTTGAGGTCAGGAGAGAGATGAGATGGACAGTCGATCCGGAACTGTCGAGCACGGGAACCAGAAAGTCGCAGAAGGAGAGAAACAGCTCTGGTTGTGGGATACCTCCACCTCAAATATCCAAGGCCTTGCGCGATTTTTGATATGCCGCAGGGCAGTGCAGAGGGCTCGGTGTGGTGAAGGCCGGTAGGCATCACTGCAACTCGGAGGTAGTTGTCAGCATGTCTGCGTTGCTTGTAGGCTCATCATCCGCCGAGGCAGTGCAGATGCAGATGCAGATAAGGTCAGACAGAGTGGCCGATTGGTCTTGGCGAGAAGAAGTGGCTCTCCAAGAGATCATGAGTTGACACAAACTCGAGTATCGACCATTATCGCGTTCGCGTCTGGACATCTATCGCATCATGCCAGGGCTTGCAAGGGCTGTCGCCTTGCTTGTGGATTACGCTTGTAGCTGCGCTTGCGGTGCGCGATCGTGAAGACCGAAGGATCAGTCTGATGGCAGCCTTCGTAAAGGGCACTCTAGAAGCACGAGGACAGCCATCGCATTTCTTGTTTCGGTCGCCGGACATGATTCTAATTTCGTGAGCTGATCCACTGAATCTCCCACCCATCCTGCCATTGTTACCTCTTGCCAAAACGGTCATCCGGTCACGACCGTGAGACCTCGTGGCAGAGGTTGCCAAGATCTCACTTGTACAGAGGTAAAGAGTGGTATGCGGCGTGCGCGACAGGCGGTGCAGCGTATTTACATCGATGCCAGATACTGCAAGATGACACCTGAACATGCAAGGCACGCTCTCACATTGTTGAGAATACGAGCCAGTCAGCATGTCCCGGATGTGACTTCCTTGTGGACAAGCGCATGCCAAGCTAGTTTTTGACACTAATTATAGAAAGTGTCAGAGTTCTTCCTGGTTCCTACTCTGCATTTTCCAGAGCAACCACCTCTTTCGGCTACGTCCCCGTCAAGATTTTCCACTCGAGAAGCCTCTCTAGGTACATCTGGCTTCGTATCGTGGCGAACGTGGCGTAAGAAGACTCTAATTTGGCACTTCCGAGCTATACCACACCTCGCAAAAGGATCAAGGGCCGTAATGCTACCACACCGCACCACAGCTTAGCTGTTGATGCTATGTTCGGCCATGAGGCGCAAAGCCTAATCTCAACAAACGACGTCTGTAAGGTAGGCAGCCCTCACCTCTGACTAGTATATTAGTTGCGGTGAGGGTGCACTCGAAATTTCTTTTCTATCCACAACAAATACATCCTGATCATCCTTTGCTCAGAACCACCCTCGCTCCATCATTCGCTCCTCACTGAACATCCCACCGCTTTGATCATCATCTAAAGCTCTATCATATTAGCAACATCCGAAACATAATCGACTACAGATAAATAATCAAGATGCACTTCACCACTACCACCTTCGCCGCAGCTGCCCTGCTGGGAACTGCTTCCGCACTTCCTGGCAAGTTCCAGTTCGAGAAGCGTTCGGTCGCTGACTGCGATGCCACCTACAATGCTTGCCGCACCAAGTACTTGGCCAACATGTCTACTTGCGCCTCAGAGTATGCATCGTGCCTTGGATACAACCCTTTCACTGCCGCCGCCAGCCACACTGTACCTTTCCCTCTTGACTCTTCTTACCTCTACGGTCCCACTGGCTCTGTGTCCAGCAAGACCGGTGNNCTGTTGGGACTGGCGTCTTTGGAACTGGCCCGATTGGAACTGGCTCCGTCAGCACTCCTACCACTTCTTCGGTCGTCGTCAAGCCTACAACCACNNACAGGAGATGGAAGCACAATCACCAAGACCTACACTATCCCTGTTGAGGTTACCTCGACCATTACATCTTTCGTGCCTTGCTCGACTGCCGTCATGTCGAACAGCGAGACCACCTTCTTCAGCACCTGGTTGACTGTTACATACCTTACAACAACCTACAAGACCGTCACCACCAGCTGCGAGACCATCTACCCTACCTCGACTGAGTCTGCTTCAGTCCATGTTTCTGCTACTACCCTGCCCGGCACCACTCTTACTGGACAGGCTTCTGGCACTTGTGCTGGACCCGAGACTGTTTACGAGACTGTTGTTTCTTACGTGACCGTCTATGGCGATTCCAAGACCAAGAGCGCTGCCCCTGCCACCAAAACTCCTATCCAGCCCGGCTCAACCCTCAGCTGGTCTCACACCGGCTCTGCCAGTGGTATGGCCAAGCCTACTGGTTGGGTCAAGCCCTCCGGCTATGCTAAGCCCTCAGGATACTAGGCGGTCCCTCCCTCTCGCTCTTTGACCTGATCTGATTGAGCGAACTGTACGATGGTCCGTGGACATGTGTACGGCTACGATTATCATAACCTTCACGACACTCCTTGATGTTTTATAAAAGTGGGATTAGAAGCGACCAGCAGGTTGGCATAGAGGCGTCTGAATTGTTCTGATTTGTTTTACGGCGTTTTACATTCACAGTGCTCGCGCACTTCTTAATATCTTTAAATGGCTCTGTTCTAAGGGCGTCTATATCGGAAATGTACCGTTTATCAAATACTATGGTCCTGCCACATCCTTCTTCCATAACATACATAACGAGATGGTGAAACTCCAAGTACAAATCAGATGCTCAGATAGATTGTATACATATCTGTCCTCGGGGATATCATTCCTTCTTGAATTTCCTAAACGTGATGCTGATACGAGGTTCCTTTGAATTAGATTTGGGAACACCATGGCGAAAGAACTTTTGCGTATGACCGCCCATAGTCAGAATAGATGCATGAGGGAGAGGAACTTTCAAAGCTTCTTCATGCTCAAGATGCTTGGCTCTAATCTTGAAGATGCGCTCATCACCCAACGAGATGATGACAATGTCTGCATCTTCCTCCATACCCACTTCGCAATCGCTGTGTTGTGCCGTAAAGTCTTGTCCATCCTTGTACCAGTTTATGACGACTTGATCGTATCCAGCATTGTCTCTATTGACATATTCTAGAAAAGGTAGAAATGCGTCTGGGAGTGGGTCGTGGTTGGCAGAGTCGTCCTGTCCTGAAAACATGTAGCTGTAGTGTAATGCTGGGTCGTGGGCTGGTGTGTTGAGATAGCTCTTGTGCCAGCGTGGTGACTCGACTTCACCGGTTTGCATCTGGACTCTGCCTCTCTCTTCGGGGTGCAGGTTGAAAAGGGTGTCGAAAGCATTTGCGCCATAGGTTTTGAGGTCTTCTGGGAGGGTGTTCATGGTGATATAGCTTGCGCCATCGTCGCTGAGGTTGATTTGTTGTGTCATCTTGAAGTGATCAAATGATAGTATTCGCAAGAGAAATATTTCTACTGAAAGTCAGGGTTTCTGTTTACTTATGAGTATCCGTGGTTGCCAGGGAGTCAAGAGTGTGGTTGGTGCTCTATCAGGCCACCGGGCAGTATCCCTACTCGATGCAGTGTGCGGTGTCCATATTCGCTGCTATTTGTTCTACCACCTTCTTTTGTTTCCATCTCTTCCCTTCTCTTGCTTTCTCTCGTAATTCATCGGTGGTGACTAGAGATCACACCCCTGCTTGTTCTGAACATCAAAGCAATCATAGTGTGGAGCACTCACGGAATCCGAATAATCAGAGCAGAATAATTGGTCAATGACCACATAGTTGGTATATAGAAGTCGTTTCTCATGCAGAAGACTGGGCCATACGAGCTTTCCGCTCTTCTGCCTCTTTCTTGCCGTGAACGCCGCGCAAAAAGTCCATCTTGCCAATGTAACCTTGTTTGCTGCGGCCGTACTCGTCCAACTCGTCCTTCAGTCCCTCTTGGTCAACATGGGCAGCCCAATCGATAGCCGACTTCTGGACAGTATTGAGCTTGACGGCTTTGCCGTTCTTGGCCTCCTCTTCCAATCTCTTTTGTTGTGCGATGACATCGGCTCGAGAGGGNGTGCGCAGTCGTTGGCGCTCTGGTGGTAGACCTCTGACTTCGCCGGTAGGATTGGGCTCGAATTTGGAGGCGCGGCGTAACGGTCGGCGAAGAGTGGGTTGGTCATTTTTTGGTGATGGCGAGCGTGGTTTAGTCTGTTTTGCAGGGTCGTTGTTTGCGAGGAAGAGCTTTGCTTCGGCCGAGTCCTTGTGTACGCGCTTCTCTTCCGTCACCTTTTGGCCAGCGAAGTCGTAGGATCGCTTGATGGTGATCATGCCATTGTCTTCTTCGTCTGCTCGCGCATCTTTGTTGTCGGCCTTTTCAGGTGCGCCGTCTTGGTTGTTCGCGACGTCTTCAGGCTTCGGCTGGTCTCGCGACGGTCGTCCGATCGGTTTGGCGGTCATGGAGGCCCAAAGGGCATCGACGTCGACAGTGACATTGTCGGCGTTGGCTTTCTGGTATTCTTGACGCTCCTGTTTCCTGCGACAGGCGTTAGCTGTGGTGCTGCAGGGTAGCGACAATCAAACGTACTCTGCTCTCCTCTGGGCTCGCGTCTTGATCAGGCCGCCTTCACCACCGCTGTCCTCATCATCGTCGCCTTTCGGTTTCTTGGCCTTTCTCAGTTCTGTAATTGTGGCTTCATCTCCAGAGTCGAGTTCGTCGGCATCGGTTTGGGCCTTTTTCGCTTCTTGGAGGCTTTCTTTGGTTGCGGCGCTTCGTCTTCGTCCGAGGACAGGTCCTCGTCTTGTGCTGCCTCTACCTCATCTGGGNTTGAAGTCTTCATCTTCGCTCGACTTGTACTCGTCGTCCTGGTCGATGGCCAACTTGTCTTCGTCTGGCATTTTCTCAAGAGTNGAATTGTTCTGGATATGGAGAACGGGAACATGGGCCCGTCCTGTTTGCACTGTTTGATTCATGACGCTCTTCTCCACCTTCTGCTTTCACATGCATCACAACTCACGAGCATCTCGCGATGATCTGTTTTCCTCCTGGGAATCTCAAGTTAAAATTGTTCATTATGCCATTAGGATGCTACTGTTGTACAATGCCATGGTCATATCGGCATGCTTCGTGCAACCCTTCCTACTTCTGGAAGGTGTTGTTCTCGCCCTGGCCGAGCTGTTCCTGAACAGTGCCACCAATTGAGCCCTCGGTGGTGAATTGCTTTCCAATGGCGCCCTGACTTGAGAAGGGTCCACCGACCTTCTCGCCAATTTGGCCGATCGAGCCGCCAGCTAGTATTTGATTAACAATTGGTCTGCAGATGACAAAGAGTATGAGCATACCAGTGAACTGCTTGCCGATTGAGCCTTCTGCGCTGAAAGCAGAGGTGCCTGTGCCTGTGGTCTTCTCTCCGACGGGCTCGCCTCTAGGGACAGAGTCCTCGTGGATGCCAGTGGACCCAAAGTCGTCGTTTCTCAAGGCAGCAGAGGCGCCCTTGTCCATGGTCTTTGCAGATGCGTCACCGTCCATTGTGTAGATATGTTGTTTGAGTAGTGTTGGTTTTCGAGAGGTCAAAGTGGCTGTAGGTTGCTTGATCGAAGAAGCATTAGTACCCAGATTGACCTTTCTTATATTCGTTCGAACTCGCCAGAGCTGTCGTGATGGATTGTCGAGGTCGTCATACTTCAGGAACCATTATGTCATGACAACATGGACGTAGTAAAGCGTCGATGGATCATCTTTGCACGAGAACGATGGATCATGGACATGTCGAAGAGGTTTCGAGTTTTCAGAAGCTCTCCTCCTATCGATCTATCTGATCTTCTACTGGTCTTGAATGCATTGTGATGATGCGCGATCTCCACGATCCATGATCTCACATGTCTGTAGAGTTCAAAAATACATGTCTTCATGACCTGACCTCTCGAGGGTCTCAGACCATTCTGTAACCTGGAGCATCCAGCGCAACACATATAAAGTCTCGTGATGCCGTTACGTTCTGCTCTAGAAGGTGCTCAGTGCAACGGAGTAATGGTCTTGAAACGGCATGGGTGGTTTCGGATTTAACGCGGGCCAATGCCGGTGGCTGTTTTCGTCGCATTGCCCCATACTGTCTTTGGCGATGCTTCTCAGTGCAGCCTGTTGCTGCTGTGGTATCGACAGGACTCGAGGTCTGTTTGCAGCTGAATAAGACGTCTTTGACTTGAGGCTCTAGACGTGCATGAGATGTCGGTTGCATTTACGCACGGCAGATGCAATCGAAACAGTTTTGCATCGGCCTCGGGATCAACCCAACGTGGGCATTGGGCAAGCCTTACCGTGCTTATCGCCTTCTCGATCTGGCGGCTAACCAGATTAGGGCGGAAGTGATCTGCCCTGTAGGATTGCCGCCGCGCTGTCCGAGTCCCTCCACATGCCTGGAGACCAACCAGCGTTCACTTCTGCACCTTGTCAGCGCATTAGCCTTTGGGTGGATGGTCTTTCAGCTGTCATCAAGCTCTCACCTCGAAGGTCTCTGATCTGATTTGCGCGTTTCAACAACAGCAAAAGCGACAGGCTTCCAGTGGCGCCTGATAGCACATGGCTAGTTTTCAACGTTTTCTCCTCCCAAAGCGTCCTGGTGCCCACACAACGGCGTTTGAGCCATGAGCTGGCCAGTCCCAGTCCCAAGATCAAGTCCAAGTCAATCCCTCAGATCCCTCTTGTTCTTTCCTGCCCCGAGCGACTTGTCTACATGTTGCCTGGTCCCTCGGTCCCAGTCGGTCGAACGCTCTTGTTCTGCCACATCCATTCCTTTTGCCTCTAGTGCCCTCTGCTCGTCCTTTGTCATCAGTATACACACCTCTTTGTCACACGTCAGACCATTTAGGCTGTCACAGTTGCACGCGGATCCGGGAAGGTGCATCTAGCACCGCACAAGTACCAGGATGCTTTTGGAACGACCACTCTCGTTTAAGCGCGCCTCTGCCCGGCAAACATTCTATCCCTACCCAGACTCGCCCGCCCTCGGAGAACAAGACCGCAGATCAATGTCCACGACTGGCGGAGCATTGCCTCGAAGGGAAACCTACAGGAGCGGCGTCCTCTCATTGCTTCCTCCAAAGACGGGAGAGCAGCTCGTCCGCACGCGGGATGACGAATCCGGCGACGAGAGAGACNCAGCAGAGATCGAAGCTGCATATTTGAACCTGGTTGGAGGAGGAGGCAATCGCTCACGAAACATCAGCTCCGAGTTGTCGTTCGGCATGTCCCCCGACAAGGATCCAGACGGTCCGGCATACTCGATTGAAGAGTCCAAGAGGAGGACAAACTACTATGAAGAGCAGTTTCAATACAAGGGCAATGGGTTAGGCAGCGTGCGAGAGAGGATTGAAAAGGACTCTCCGGTCGTGGCCGAGCTGCGTACCAATGTCATTGTATGTTGTCGTGTGCACGTGGCTATCGCGAGGGTTGTCTACTAATGCAAGGGGAACAGGNTCAAAGACGAATTCACCCTCGTCACCGACATGTCGTACAATCTTAGCCAGCGCTACTCGCGCCCCGAGAGCAGCATCATGGTCAACGTCGAGCACTCTGCCTGCTTGCTGCTCGCTGGCTCCTTCGAACCCGCATACGTCCTCACCATCACCGCCCTCNCCTCTCAATTGCAGCCTGTCACCAACAAGCGCAACTCGGCCCTCATCCAATCTTTCATGGCAGACATCCTCGCTGTCCCACCGGAAAGAGGCATCCTTCGATTCCAGCCCATTGCCGAGGAGAATCTCGCCATCAATGGCACCACTGTCTTTGGCGAGATTGAGCGTATCGAAAAGAGCAGCATCGACTCGGACGTGACGGCTGCCAACGCCATCAAGCGCGCCTGGACCAGAGGGTCGCGGAGATCAGTCCATGCGAAGAAGCCATCAGTCAGAAACACCGACGACGTACCCTCGGCACTCCCACACGTTGCAAACACCCACCTACCCACCACCAGCCACTCTCGCCAACCCAGCCAAAATCTATCTCAGTCCGCTGTATCACTGACCTCCCACCCGGGCCCCGCATTCGTCGCTAGCTCAACGTCTCCCGTCCTCGAAGAGCGAGAGAGATCACCAACAAGACCAGCACTACCAGGCCCACCAACCAGAGATCTGCCGCCCACACCGATCGCAACGCCAAATGGCGAAGACAGGCGCAAAAGCAATCTGAATGGAATACTCAAGAATGTGTCCAACAGCTCTCCTCGCGGCTCTCCTCGGCCGGGCTCATCTAGCACCCATGTACCGAAACCACCGCCTATCCCACAAAGCGCGTCGCTCGTTAGTCCCAAGGTGGCCAAGAGGAAGAGTTTCATTTCCATCTTCAAGCGGTGACAATGAGCATACACGCCATACATACAGCATCAAGAGCGAGGAGTTTGGATTACATTACAGGTTGGTACTTTTGCATAACAAGGCGTTGTTCTTCTTTCTTTGGTTGTGTTTCTCTTTCTCGTCGCATCGGCCTGGTTTCTTCGCCATAGACATCTTGTTATATACCCCCTTCCAGACTGCTGTTTCCTGGCGAATCTCCTATCTTAATTTTCCCAAATTCCCGTCCTTGCATACATGGCTACTCTGAAGTTTCCTCTCATCAAATGTTGGAGCAAAATTATACATATTTCTTTTCTGCCTCTTCCAATCTCTCTCTCACGACGGTACGATCTTTTCGATGGCCTATGGAAATACACGATTGCTTCGGTACCAGAGGTGTGTCCAAAGAGAGCAGAGCAGGTCTATCAGAACCTCGTAGGAGGGTTTGTCTCCTCCAAACGCTTCTCTCGCGCCAATGCCAAATCAGCACGATGAGCTATGGAAATGCACAATTGTTTCCATGCCGGATTTGTGTCCAAGGAGAGCGGGTCTGTCAGAGCCTCATCGGAGGGTCCATCTGTTCCAGTGCTTATCTCACGGCGGCGCCTAAGCAACACGATAGGCTATAGAAACTCACAATCATCTTCAACGTCCAACACGGTCCAAGGAGAGTCTGTTCGGATCGTTTCCTTAGGGATATCCGAATGCCGAATTGGATGCCAATCGAGTCGGCGTCAGCCTTGGCGAAAGACATGGCTCCATAACTCTTCTTGAAATCCACACCAGCCGCCGAAAGCAACAGTTCTTCTGTACGGATCATCTCGGGACTTCCTTTGCTAAGATCCTTGGTAAACTTTTCGATGACTGGCCAGACCTAGGAGTCTGCGCCTATCTTCTTCAGCGTAAGATCTTGAAGATCCTGACGAAGGTTCACAAACACTCTCATGCAGCCCTTGATGTCGTTCAAGACCGAAGAGAGCATAAGTCTTAGGGGCACGGAGGCATGAATTGCGATAAGAAACCTCCACGTAGGGCCCCAACAGCTTGTTGATGGGAGAATGACTCAACTGAGTAGCGCGTTCCTTGTGACTCCAGCCGTCATCGACGTCGATCTCGTCGGGAAGTTCAAGAGGGTGCAGACGGAGCGACTCTGTGAGAGCGGGTATGAGGCGTGATGCAAACACCCTCGCAGGTTGATAAAGGCGAGTGTTCATATCCTCATATAGAAAGGAGGCGTGCTGCAGAAAGTCCGTGGCTTGGATGGCCAGCTCTCTTGAAGACAGCTTTGCCTCGGGTAGATGAGCCAAATGGATTGGCAGATCAACAGCCACCAGCGTGTCGTTGGTGAAGACCGCTTCGCGCGATGAAGGCTTGTATGCTTCTGCTCTCTGCAGAAAGCATTTATACACTCCTCCAACAAATAACTCAGCGAAAGGGGCCGTGAGAAGGTGAAGGACTGCAGGAACGAAGAGGGGCGCTTCGTCGCAAATAAGCTCGGCTGAAGTCGCATTGGTGAGTCTGCGTTTCTTGTCAGGAAGGTCAGGGTCGGAGTGTGCGCTGTCTTCGTCATGCTCGCTGATCGAGGCGAAGAGCCCAAAGCTACTGTGTACTGTTGGGGTCTTGTTCGATTTGTGATGAGCCGACAGTACATGGCCCAGTACTGCATACTGGTCTAGGGGGACCGAGAGAGAGCTCTTCTGGTGAGTGTTCTTGAAATCTTGGACTCATTCCTGATCCCTGAGTCTGGCGAGAGACTGTAGGAAGATCCTGTTATACGTAACGAAGAACTCGGCGTCATCAGCCGAGATCTTGACGATCTCATCTGGCTCGAGCGACCTTCTCCAGTACCTGTTTGAGAGTGCCGCCATGCCCCTTGCGCATGGTGTAGTAGTCATCCCCGGCCTGTCTGGCGGCGCTGAGTCTCTGAGCTGCCATGGCTGGGTCCGTCTCTGCAAGTACTCTGAGCTCGGGCTGAAAAATAATATAGTCAGCATCGAGGCATACGCAAAAGCGACTATAGTGATTTAAATCTCCGTCTTCTCCCTGATCGTATCCCTCACGACCTTGCGCAAGGAGGTTGCCGAGATATTGACTCTCTTCGATTGCTCTCTTCTGAACCTCAGTCATCCCCTGCTGGACGACGTTTCTTTGAGCTTCGGAGAGCTTCTTGATAGAAGCAGGACGATCGGGGGTTATCTGTTTGGAGATAGAAGAGGAACCCTTGCGCAGTATTGTACTGCTTTGCCTCAATTTTCTCGATCTCGGCGTAGTCATGGCCGCACCGGACAGCGGTCACCAGAATGTCGTGAATACCACTGCCAATGTGCTTGTCGGGGTAGGCCGGTGTTGTGGCATCGCCTGTCATTGTGACGATCTAGAAGTTCGGGGTTTGGTGTGGACGAGATGCTGATGTGGAAAGACGGTGGTAAGCTCGAGTAGATGAGAAGGATCTCAAGAAGAAGATTGAGGGTGATGAGTCGAGAAGGCGACAAGTGAAGAAAACCAGACAGCGAAAGGCTTGCCGGTGATGTGGACGACACAGGAGGCGGATGCGTCGAAAACAAACACAGCATAAACACAGGTCCCGAATGAGAGCAAAGAAGAATCTGGTGAGTCCTGCCTTCTTCTGTTGTCAGTACTGATCTTGCCGTTCCTGTTGGACATTGATACGAACACTGACCTATATATATCATTCTCAATCTCCTCCGGCAGGCCTGGATTGGGATCTTCGTCCCAGCATGCGACAGATCTATATATACAGGTTTATATTGAGATGCTATTCGGTAGATCTGATTGCAAGAAAGTTATGGGAACCGACAAGTCCATATATCCCTACCATGATTGCTACCTATCAAAGGAGCACAATCACGGACAGCTCTAGAAACTGCCACAGCTTGTGTCTCTTTGCTGCAAGCAAGACGCCCTTTTCCTGTAGTTTCTCCTTTGTTCGTGACCTTGATGCTGTTCTGCGTGCCTCTCTCACAGCGACGCAGAGCACTATCGTAAGCTATGAAAATGCAAGGTTCTTTTCGGCACAAGAGATGTGTCCAAGAAGAGCACCCGTCTCACTGGCTCTCTCTGGCCTCATCTTCGATTCGAATACTATCGTGCATTTTCACAGCGAGTTTGTAAGGTTGTGCATGAGGAGGGAGAGTCGCTCGATGAGTGCGACGATGTTACGTACCCGTGTGCCAGCGCAGGCAATGAAGTGCCACGACTCAAAGACTGGGTTTCCTGGGGCCATGTGTAGGAGAAGATTTGGTGTGGGTAAACAGATATAGATATACGTCGAAGACTCGGGCGACGGCTGAAGCGATGTGTGTTGGGTCTATCCTGTACGCTTGTAATTTGGCTTCACCTAGGTCACTCACACGATGGGAAACCAGCCGAAGATACAAACAACTACTAACATGACACAACGAGTACAAGCGGACAGAATTCGATAATTGATTTAACATGATTTGTATTTTGGTGGAATGTTTATATAAGCGTCTGTTTTCTTATCGTCGACAGCAGGAAAGGAGTGTACAACTGCCTCGCCAGATACGAACAATTCAAGCTATACAAAGGCCAGAAAGGCATTCAATAGCCTAGCCAGAAAGGTCATTAAAGTAAAAAGGTCGTCATGATATCATGTCCCCCATGGTCCTTTGAACACAGGAGAATCAAAATGGTGTGAAAAGAAGAAGAATAAAAAGGGGTTTACACAAGAAGTGAAGGAGAAAGGAAATTGCAAGAGACTAGAGCAGGATAATCCAGCATCTAGAAGAAGAAGACAGCAACCATGGCGGCGGCGGCAGCCATGAAGCTTGCATTGCTCTTGCTGGCAGCACCGGTGTACTGAGCAGGTGTTGAGGTGGTAGCAGAGGCGACAGTGGCGCTGGTGCTGCTAGGAACGTTGACCTGAACAGAGCTGCTCAGGACAGACTTGATGGAAGAGGCGGCGGGGCCGGAGCTGACGGGGGCAACGGGAGCAGATGAAGGGCCAGGAGCCTGGATCTGACCGTCGCTGATCTGAGTGACAACGTTACCAGTGGGCTTGACGGGCGAGCTGGCAACGGGAGTGGTGGCAGGAGCAGACTCGGCGGGCATGGTGCTCTGGACGGGAGCAGACTCGACGGGCATGGTGCTCTGAACAGCAGACTCGACGGGCATGGTGCTCTGGACGGGAGCAGACTCGACGGGCATGGTGCTCTGAACAGCAGACTCGACGGGCATGGTGCTCTGGACGGGAGCAGACTCGACGGGCATGGTGCTCTGAACAGCAGACTCGACGGGCATGGTGCTCTGGACGGGAGCAGACTCGACGGGCATGGTGCTCTGAACAGCAGACTCGACGGGCATGGTGCTCTGGACGGGAGCAGACTCGACGGGCATGGTGCTCTGAACAGCAGACTCGACGGGCATGGTGCTCTGGACGGGAGCAGACTCGACGGGCATGGTGCTCTGGACGGGAGCAGACTCGACGGGCATGGTGCTCTGGACGGGGGCAGACTCGACAGGTTTGGTGCTCTGAGCAGGAGCAGATTGGATAGGTGCAGTGGTCTCAACCTTGGAGCTCTGGGCAGGGTGGCTCTCAACGGGGGCAGACTGAACAGGTGCAGTGGTAGGAACCACAGGCTTGCTCGATTGGACAGGGGCAACAGGCGATGACGCGGGCTGGCTCTGGACTGGTGCGGAAGAGACCTTGGTGCTCTCGGCAGGGTGGCTAACGATCGAGGTTGTCAAGAAGACGGAAGTCGAGCCGTGCTCATCAGTGGTGGTGTAGGGGCAAGTTGTGGTGTATTGTGTGACAGGGACGACAACGGTAACCTTTCCAGAAGAGACAGGCGAAGAGTTTCCAACAGCGGACACTGGCGAAGAAGCAGGAGTTGAGACAACAACGACGGGGTACGAGCTGGTAATGACCTGGCTTCCCGAGGCGCACTTCTTGCAAGAAACAGTGATCTCAGTAGTGCTGTATCTGGTGAGGGTGGTGGGCTTGGGTGCCTCAGGAGCAGAAGTAGCAGGAATCAGGACTGAGCCGGACTTGGTAACCTTGATAATCGAAGTTGCGGTCGAAACGGTGATGTACGATGTTGTTTTGGTAACACCGCCAGTGACGTAGGAGCTGGTCACAGGGCATGTGGTCAGATAAGTGGTTGTAACATCGGTGATGTACTTGGTGGTTCCATTGCTGTAGACAGGAGCAGTGGGAACGATATGGCCCTGAGTAGGTGCGGTGATGGTAGCGTAGCTAGTGTAGGTGGTTGTGATGACCGAGGGGCGAGTCAAAGTGGTCGTCGAGCCGCCGGTGGTGATAACTTCGCCGGATGAGCAAGTAGTCACGGTGGTAACGACAGATTCAGTCACGGTCTTGGTCTTTTGAGAGTGGACAGGAACGGGGACCCAACCAGAGGGAGCGACACCAGAAGGACCAGCATGGCCCTGAGTGGTTGCATTCTGGATCGGGTAAGGAGCAGTCCAAACACTCTGGGAGGACTGCTTGGGGGTCTCGGTAGGCTTAGAGCAGCCGCCCTTGCACGAGGTCAAAGTTTGGGTCGAAGTCGTAGTGTACGTCTTTGTCAGGGTCTTGCCAGCACTGACGGTGGTCTCAGTGACTGGGCAGACAGTGGTCGTTGTGTAGACTTCCGAAGTCTTGGTAGTGTCCGGAACAGATTGGGTAGGCTTAGAGCAGCCGCCCTTGCAGCTGGTGACAACAATAGTGCTCGTAGTGAAGTATGTGAAGGTATGGCCTTGCTTGACGGTAGTCACTGGGCACAGCGATGTGGTTGTGTATACAGTCTCTGTGCTTGTGGCGTTGGGAGAGGGAACCCAGGTCGAAGGGGCTGAGGTGGGCTTGGAGCAGCCGCCCTTGCAGCTAGTGACGGTAAGTGTAGAAGTTGTGGTATACACGGAAGTGTGACCGTTCACAACAGTGGTTGCAGGGCATACTGTGGTGGTAACATAGGTGACGAGGGTAGAGGTAGCATTCTGCTCAAAAGAGGAAGAAGCAACCGACGAGCTGTGCTCAGGGACCCAACCGCTGGGCTTAACCCAACCGGTAGGCTTGGACTCGGAAGCAGAGGAGCTCGACTCAGAGACCCAGCCGGTAGGCTTGACCCAGCCAGTGGGCTGGTGCTCCAGGACCGAGGAAGAGGAGGACAAAGTCAAGTCAGACGAACAGGAAGTAGACGAAGAGGAAGAGTGGGTCCATGTCTCGTTCCAGTTGCTGGCAGACGCAAGACCAACGAGGCCTGCGAGAATTGAGAAAGACTTCATTCTTTTACAGATAGTCGAGTCGATATCAATGAATTATTGCTTTTGATGGATGTGCAAACGAAAGTATCCAAGAGAGACCGTAGCGAGAGAGTCTCCAGAGGGTTGATTAGTAAAAGCGATTGGAATGATAGAACAACTCCCAGAGAGGGAGCAGGACAATTAATATATCCCACCTTCCCCAGCATGTTGACTGCCCAAGCTCGAGATGCCCCATCCTCCACGTCTGGTACTCTATGGATTGACGTGATTTAGGTACGCCACTGATGAGGATCAACCGGCGCCGGCGGTACCTAATTGATCGAGTGTCTTGACTTGCTGGCAGGCGCATGGTTGGTACGAGGTAAGCGGAGCAGCCGACTACCTTGAGCTTGGCAGAGATGAGTTTTTTCGTATTGGTGTCGATAGCTCCAAGGTTTGTCGTCTCAAGATCGACCCACGCCATGACTAGACGGCACGAGAGCTCCACCTGCATGCAGGAAGCGTGCCCCAGCCAACCGAGCTTTCCACCTGCAGGCAGCTTGCGCAGAACACTCACAGCATGCAGCATGCAGAGCTGAGATCCGGTAACTCATGTATCTGATCCTTGTCTTGTGGCCGGGTTCCTGCTGGTCCATTGAGCTTCACGACATGACGTTGTGTATCTGGGAGCACTCTCAGACAAAGCGTTTTCGTATGCTCGTTGACTGAACGTTTTGGCTTCGGCGAGGCTCAACGGTGGGAGGAACGGCGTGATGGGCTTCCATAACCCAAGACAATGAACCTGCAGTAGCGTGCCAGTTGGCGGAAAGACGAACAAAACCCAGAAGCAGAAAATAGAAATGGCATCACGTCGATCTTGTGGGGAGGAAAGGGCCGTCCACAACCGAGACAGCCAGAAACGAACCACACAACTTTAACCTGGACGTTCCTGCCCATCGACAAGAGGCTCCAGGTGCGCCATATCCGTTTTGCTCACAGCAAGAACAAAACCTTGCTTGCGCTGAAGGATTCTGGAGTCGCATCATCATATTTCGAGCCCTCAACAAAGACTTGGGAATATCGTATTCCCACTGTGGGTTCTCTGCGGCTATCGAATCGCTACATCTCTTCGTGAGGTCGTGGGCTGGGTGGCTGCCACATACGAGCTGCTTGGAGCAGACAAGTTGCTAGGCGGACCTCATCACGCGGCCACGCTGACTGCGAGGAGGATACTATTGTTATACAGCGCTGTATCGTGTATACGAGGGACAAGCAGATGTCACACCCACCACCGTTCTTGCTCGGTCGGCGAGGTTGCATCCATGAAGCCATCCATCGCTCGATGCTGGATGCATGTGATGTGTCGTGCTTTTCCAGACTGCGACGTTGTTCCCATCTGAAGGATCAAGCCACCGACGCCATGAAGTCGCCTTGAGCACAAGCATTGACCTCCGCCATGTTCCTCTCTGAATCATTGCCGCCTTCCGCGCAAGAAGGTCGATGTTTCTAGCAGCCTCACTGCCTTAGCGATAGTTACGAGGGATAGAGTTTCTAGACTTTTGCCCTTTCTCGACAAAGAGTGGAGCAGAGCACGCTCTTTGCACGCTCTCTGTGCGCTTGGTTCGCATGGTATTGGAATACCATTGACCAGCCAATCACAGAAAAGAACAGGCTGCGGGTTTCCTCGGTCACCACTTTTCAAACTTTTGTTGTTTCCGCCCAGCTCTTTCTGCTTGCGCTCAGAAGCTGGCTCTCTCACGCCATCGAATGAGAGGCTGCCTGGCTCGCAAACTTGTAGCGAAAATGGCAGCACTTATGCAGGTACATGACAAGGTTCCGCTTGTCACAAGAGCACAAGAATAAAGCATGAATGTATTCTGGTAGCCTCCAGCCGAGCATTTACGAGCGAATGGTTATTTTTGTTGAGAGGGCTTGCGATGCCTTGTTGTGGTGCTGCTGTTTTGCACAATTACTCATGATATGCACTCCGCGAGGGCTAACGCAGCCTTCGAGGCCAGATCAACGCCCAAACCAGCATGTTCTTCCGACTGTCCAAATCTCCCAGCCGACCCACCAAGATCCCAAGAACTGACTTGAAGAGGAAGGACGGGAAGGAAAGATGCCTCCGCCAACCCAAGAAATCGTGACTGCAGGGTTAGCACTGCCCTGCTGATCTTGCTGTCATCTTGTCAAATGTTCCCTGCAGGGTGAGAAAAACAACACTCAAGAACAAGTTGTACCTTGCAGACTTTTTATCGCTTTCAGCCGAGTTTCATGAAGCTCAAGAATCATCATCGCTTTCGCTGCCGCTCTCCCATCCATCTTCATATTCCTCGCAAATCCCTACCAGTCCATCGCAAAGTGCCTCGCGCTCGTCAATCCCAATGATGGAACGAGCTATTCTCTCCACCGAACGGATTCTCTGCGCGACAGAAGTAGTCGTTGAAAGCGTCGCGTGCACAGCGAGTTTCCGAACAATATTGCCAGATGCAAATACCTGAGGGAAGCTGTCGATGACGGGGAAAAGCAATGAAGATTGATGACTGNNTAGAACCCTTGTTAGTATCTCGAAAACTCGTGTTCTGCCGCAGTATCGCAACATCACAATTTCATATGTTTCAAGAACTCACCTTTCAATTCTGGGACCATGACCAAAGCGATCGCGAGATGCGAGGTTCGTATCTTCAATTTCGAGACTCGACTTCCATTTGCCGCGCAGGCTTTGCAGTTGACTGAATACGTGAGTTCGGCGGCTGTTGTGTCCTCGTTCGCCAGTCAGGTTGGCTGTCTTTGGTTGCATGTCTATGTCGATATCCTTTGCTTCTGCATCGTCATGGCCATGATTTCCGTTTGTGAAACCATTCATTCTGCTGTCGTGTTGTGTTGCATGGCCATTTGCTTCGCCCTCGAGTTCGGCTGGGTCTTTGATGCTCATGTTAAGTTGAGCGACTCTGCGGTTGCCGTCGTTGCTCAACAATGTCTCAATATCAGCAAACGACGAGCGTCCTTGCTGGCCTGAACGCAGTCTAGTTGGCAGAGTCATACTCTCCAGGGCTAGCAGCTGCAGTGCGGAAGTGTGCCATCTGGAAGAGCCATTCAGATTGACGTATGGCGGTAGAGCATCCGGCAACGTGGTGAGTGGAATGTACATGCTCGCCTGGCTCGAGATCTGGTAAATTGACTGTGCGACATTGGCGACCTGTAAGATTTGCTTGTCNCTGTTACATGCACGCGTGGCATTAGTCTTTGTATCATGATTCTCGTGCATGTGCATACTGACCCTTGGCTTGCGTCCACCCTCCTCGAGTCCCCATACCCAAGCACTTGTCTTGCCTAGTTCGTCTCTCATTCTTTCCAAGTATTTGGCTGTGAAGCCACCCCAGGCATCATCGGCAGAGGTGATCATTTGAATTGCTTGCAGTTGATCACACTCTTCCAAGAAAGGTCGCAAATCTCTATCCAGAAGATCATGTTCTTTGTCGAGACTGTCGAACAAGTCCTCTCCGGTAGTCCATTTCTCAAAAGGCATGAGAGAGGAGTTCAACTCGTACTCCTGCAACTGAACGATAGATTTGGGATGATAAAATACCCTGTTGAAGTCAGACCAGTAGCGAACAGTGTCAGGCGATAGTGTGGGTGGTTCGAGTCCCTGGTCCAGGTGCTGCTGATATGCACTTTGCTGAATCTGTTCTGTTCGAATGACATTCGTGTTTCCCGCCCTTGGTATTTGGTAAGTCATCTTTCACATACATAGTCGAGCTATATGCAAGACATACCACATCTGCTGTGCAATTGCTGCAGGATCATCTGCTGCACCATAAAGTGCATTGTCCCTCCTCAACGTACCAAAAGCACCTTTGAGATCATAGATCAGTGCGCGAGGCGTAAATGTCTCTGTGCCATCTTCCGAGTGTCCAGGTCGAAAGTGGACATCATGATCCACAGGAGATTCTTCTTCGTCGCCGTACGTAAAATATGTTTCNCTAGGCGAAAATTGTCAAATCTTTGTTTTCATGTGTTGTCAAGCTCTGCTTCTTTAGAAACTGCGGTACTGTGCGATGTATGCTACCGTCTGTGTCGACTTTGGTTTCCATCGCCTTCGTGCGTAACCAATCTCACATATTGGAGGGGCTGGGAACGTTGTGGAAAAAAGAAGGCTTACCTGCGCATTCCAAAAGTGGGTGCCGACGTGGTTGGCTTGTTGGCCGAATTGCAGCGTGATCACTTCATGCATCTTGAGATTATGGGTAGGGTTGTTATTTAAGAGACAAAGTCGATTTGTCGTGATAATGCAAAGCAAGATGAAGCCATGAGGCGAGAGCTTGCACAAACGCGGAGGTGCAACATGAGCAGAAAAAAAAAGAAATAATGGAAGAATAAACTAATCACAAAAGTTGAGGAAGCAATATGCTTAGGATGTCATCATTCGTTATTGCTATTGGAGTGATGTAGGCTCTACGGGTCATAATGAGAACAGCTAAAGATGACCTTCTAGCCCATGAGTTGTAGAGGGGTTGTTGGTGGCCAGCGAGTCTGTGAGAAACTCAGGCATCTCTTGATGGACTGCAAAAACTTCCTGGTGATCTCGTCACTCATGATATGTGCAGCATCCTTGTCGTTTGCGTGTAGTTTCTCTCGCGCGGATCTTTCGTGGATACCAACCATGGTGACACCGATAGGCCATGCANNCTGTAAATGGGTAAGCATTGTGTCAAAACCAGGGTTTGTAGGAGGTTTGACTTACGCTTTTCCGATACTTAGTCGCAGGTAAGCATCGTTGGCATCAACATAGCGTCTCTCCTGACAGGCTCGGACGATTTCGACAATCGGACCCAAAATGCCTTCCTCGACCTCTCCCTTCTCCAGTTTTCGATATAGCGGCACCATGCTGTCACGAGCTTGAACCATGGCACTGTAGGCAGCTTTTCCGCTACTGCTCGTCTTAACAGCCTCATCTCGTAGAGACAACGAGACTTGCCACTCTGATAGGACCAGTGTAAAGTAGGAGGCGAGCTGGCGATAGAGGAAGGTGCGGCCCTCGGTATCCTTGGGTACAACGTCCGAGACTTTCATGTCGGCTTCGGGTACGGGTTGAAGAGTGGTGGGTATGGGACCAGAATACATGGTGGCCTTGGGCTTGCCTGAGGCATGGAGTCCAGCAAGTTTTCTGTATCGCCGCAATTGGCCGTTGTGTGTCTCTCCAAACAAGCGCGCGGGTTCGTTCATGGCCCTCAGCTTTTGTATAAGCTCCTCCTCTGGAATATCATTCTCAGGCGCAGGTGTGGCATCACCACCCTCGATAGCCTTCTTTTTNGGCGGCAGCTCTGGCAGTCCCAGTCTCTTCCGGCGGATCCTCTCTTCCCGTTCCTCCTCTTCCTCTCTCAATCTTCTGCTCTCTTCTGCCAACCTCTTTCGCTTGTCCTCTCTTGCTCTGTTCTTCTCTGCCTCGTCTTCGTCAAACTTGCGCTTCTTCTCAAGCCTAGCGATGCGCGCATCTTCGATGGCTTTCTGTTCGGCAGCATAGTCGGCTTGTCGTTGTGCTTCGACGTCGGCGCGTTTGACGTATTTGGATGGCTTTGCTTCTTCTGGCGTTTGAGATTTTGGGGTCGGTTTGGCTTTGGCGATTTGCGCCGACATGAGCGATGCGAAGTCCATCGTGTACGATTAATGCTGTACTCAAGGAATAGACTGTTGTTCTGATGATGAGAAGAGGCGCGACTTGCTTGGTCGCTCTTGACAATTCGGACGGTGACACATCTTATCGCGGATCTGCCCGCTGCGGCGATGCACGAGACCTCCGAGAACTGCCTGTCGCTAGCAATGGACGTTGCCTGGTTGATGTTCATTCTATACAGCAGTAACTCATTCGTAGACTTGTCGTCACGATTTTCAGTTATTGAGAGGAATACCGATTTTGTTGTTCATGTTCTTGGTGCTGTGTCGTGGGTAATAGTGGAGTGCTTCTCTACCCATTCCGACGTCAATATCAAAAAGGCTTTGGTCCACGACAACTCCATTAGCACTGATGTGTACTTGACGTACCAATGAGTCTCTATTTAAGACTTTGGTAGCACCATGATTAAGAGGCAGAATCGTCGCCAAGTGGTCAGAAACGAGATTAGTCTTGAGGAGCAGGGTTGTACCAGCGACAACCAGACTTTGCCTAAATTTGTCTCGTTACAATTTGGGTAGAAAACACAACCATTACTTCGCTTCAAGATATCATGGGTCCAGGTTCATCGGACCTGCTCCCAGAACTGCAGATGCTACCCACCCAAGCCCACCCCACGGCCACATTGCCAATGCGATCATCACCTTCCCCAGAGCTGGCTCCTCCCACACAATGCCCTCCTCCTTTCGCCCAGCCAATGCTGCGCCCAGATCGCCACGATTGTCCCAAACCGTCCTTTGTCCGGTATGAAGAGTCGGATTGAGTGAGCATCTCACCAGGCCCCAGAGACTGACCGTACTCACTACAATCCAGCTTAGAAGGAAGACTAGAGTAAGCACAACATCACAAGACATGGCTGCCATAGAAGGGTCATGGTTTAGGAAATCCACTAGGCTGAGCGTATGGAATCGATGATGGACGTCAGACTGGTGAAGATACAGTCGATATGAAGGATTCTCGGGATCGGCCACAACATCCTTGAAGAATATGATGTAGGTCGACCAGGCGTGAAGACCGAAAGATAAGATACCAGTTGTCCAGAAGACTTTGCTTTGTGCTTCCGAGATGCTGACGAGTCGGCGATGATGATTGTTCACCTTGGGGAGAATCCAAGAGATGAGTGGGAGGACCAAAGAGATTATAGAGAGGGACAACAAAGACCTCTGAAATAACGGAGTGTTAAGAGTGGGCATCATCAGCCACGCCAAGGTGTGGTGGGCCATCGACAGGAGTCCGACAACGTAGTGTAGCAAGTCGACGTCAAACCAGCTGGTACCTCTTGATGGAGGCGTCAAGAGTATGAACAAGAACAGCAAGCAGTGGGCACAGCTAAGGCTTGTCATGGCTACCCAGACGAATGCAAGCATGGTGATTGTTTTCAACCGACGAACGTGANNGCTGATCAGAAAACACGAGTTAGCCAGATTTCCACGAAAGACAAAGGCAAAGTTCGACTTACACCGAGTCAATAGGAAGAAAACAAAGCTGATCAATCCACTAAAGTATTGCTGCGACCACCACAGAAAATAGCCCCATTCTGGCTTAGGATTCTCAGCTTCGCCGGCCCAGGATCGAAGATGCATCATCTGGAACATTTGCGGCATACGATCCAAATGTTCCCTGTGTGTATGTCAGCAAGACTAGGAGATGAAGACCAGGTGCTATGGAAGGACCAACTCATAGAACCAAGGATATCTCGCTTGAGGCATATCACGTGAATCACGCAAACCAGGTTTCTGGATATCGGTGAAGTACTGATCCTGATAGTACATGACTACAGTAGCAGAGAACAAGGCAGCAGCGAGGTAGACGGCTGCGAAGACCCTTCGGGAGGTTTGAGGATTCGAGGTGATCCGGGCGAAAGTGCCTCGACTCGCATTTTGCTGGCTCACATACCAAATGTCGACCAGAATCAAGACTACGCAGGTTATGAAGCCTGCCGGACTCCAACTGTCAGGGCGAACCACGCGCTGGATATAATATTCTGGATGTGTCATGTTTGAGCTGATGATAATGCGAAGCTGACGAGAGGAGGACAGTTGGGAGGAAACTAGATGGTCTTATCCGTGCCTCTCTTTGGGAATGCACATGTACATTCCATTGTGGTAAATGGAAACATTTGACCTAGCTTTGCACAATAGACAGGCGAAATATTGATGCATTCCTTAGGAAGGACCCCTTGGACGCACTTTCCCCACCAGCGTCTTGACAAGCTGTCGCGTCGCTGACGGACGCCTGTGCGATGCATGTGATTGATCCTTTGACTGTGGTTCCGCACTCATGAGAGCTCGTCTAGCCATCTTTTGTCCGAGTGTGCCATAGCAAATATGTATCACTTGGTGAAATCGCTCTATCTGCATGCAACAAGCAAAGAAGGTACGACAAAGACTCAAACGAGCTGTCGCGATTTGACTTTGGCTGACGCGACTCAAANNGAGTATTCCATTCTCCTTCTTGGACTCGACAACGCCGGAAAGACGACCTTGCTCGAACAGATCAAGGCCCTCTTCAGCCCACACCTGCACCCAAAGCTCAATACCGTCCCTACTGTCGGCCAAAATGTCTCTACCGTCGACTTGCCTGACATTTACCTCAAGATATGGGATGTCGGCGGTCAGCACTCCTTGAGAGGACTATGGCAGTCATACTACAGCAGCTGCCATGCCATTGTCTTTGTCATCGACAGCACAGACGTCGGCGATGGCGACATTGAGCACCTCAGTAAAGGCCAAGATACCGTCGAAGAGCAGGGAAGACTGGACGAGTGTAGGCTCGTGTTGGAGAGCATTCTACAAAATGGAGAGACTGAAGGTGTGCCTCTTCTCGTCCTGGCCAACAAGCAGGACCGTGAGGACTGTGTTGAGGTCGTTCGTATCAAAGAAGGCTTGGTGCGCAAAATCGTCGAAGGTGAAAAAGGAGGAAGCGTCAGAGATAGCAGAGTCCTTCCTTTAAGTGCCCTGACCGGCACAGGCGTCAAGGAAGCCGTCGACTGGCTCTGTAGCAGAGTCAAATGGAACAAAGAGGCGAGGCCACCAGCTCTACGTTGACCGAACAACGACATTGCTCGTCCGATATCAGACGCCTACACACCAGTCCCACTGACGTGGACAAACATTCATCTCGAATCGACCCCGAACAACCGCTGCCAATTTGCTGCTTCGCTTTCCAGCCGAGTGACCACGCTGGTCCAACCAGCTCATCCTGACCGGGCAACAAGACTTTGGCCGAGAGTATCTTCAAGGATCTTGAACATAATATGTGCGGGAGCAATGCATACTTGCACTTTATGCGAAGCGCTCCCTGACAATAGCTTCGATCTATTTTCTTACGCTTGGCGAGCTAAGCATGGCAGTGTCTTGATGACTAACCCCGAGTCTTCAGACCAGAAAGAAGTACTACGGATCGCCATCTAGAGGTCCGCTCGGTCGATATATGACCTCCTCACGACTTATGTTAGGCCTATGGAAATGCCTTTTTATGTCTACCCTTCCACGATGTACACCGATTCTCCATGCCGACGATTGTCTTATGTCGTACAAAAGAGCATGCGCCACCTGAATTTTATGTATCTACGTAGGTAGTCTTCTCAATGCTCGCATCACGATACTTAGTATGCAATGTTCTATCTCCGGGTATAGCCGATATCTCTGTGACCTCAATTATCGACAAAGCCAACCGGGTTCGAAGACTTGGCACGTTGATCGTCTCTTGCGACGTGCAATCAACCCGACCTCCATGTCAAACCACAAAATCCTACATCTAGTTACAGCCACTCGAACCACCACGACGACTTTGTCTGCAGCCGAAACGGTCGGGGAAATCAAGCCGCATCTGTCAAGAAGAAACCGGGTCGCCGGTACCTCATCCGACGCAGCCCCTTCGCGAGGGTTGGTTGACTTATCACTTCGAACCACAACTTTGACCATCTTGCATACCAATCAAAGCTGCTCCTTGCAAGCCACTGATTTGCGCTCATTAGAATAAAGATGCCCAATGCGATGGATGTAAGTAACAGTGCTACCCCCGGTTTTTTTTTTGGAGGTTGAACGATGTCGCTCCCCGCTTGGAAGGTGCGCTTGTATTGAGACTTGGTGATTGGCCTTTGCAACCAGCGCTTGTGAACATCGAGCGCTGTCAATGGAGCACCTTTTCCTACACGATTGTGAGTGCTGAACCGTTTCTTTCTTGATCACCTGCTGTTGCAATAAAACTTGGCTGTTCCGCACTCTAAGCTGCGCTGAGCAGTTGTTTCGCACCCTCGCTCCTGCCACAGAGAAACTACAATCGCAAGGCTTTGAGGCGTGCATACTAGTATTGGCCAGCACGAGAAGACATCAGTTCATGTGATCAGGATAAAGACCATACACAGAGAATCGTTCACTAATAAGATTACTTCAGAAGGAAAAGAAGGCACCACTCAACTCCATTGCCATTTCTATAGACAAGGAACACAGATTTCAATCGTTCAAACAACCACAATGCCACGGCCCGGCCTCCACATCCTTGGTGGACCGTCCGACGAGCGTCTAGGCCGAGAGAGGTTAATGAGTTATATCCAGGATCAAACCTCCGCAGACTTCCCGGACATGTCTGCCGAAGTATCAAATTCGCAATTCCACACTGGCCGCCTACCCAATGGCGCTAAGAGTCGCAACAGACCAAAGTTAATGCTGATGGGTCAAAGAAGGTGCGCAAATCAACAGGCTAGTACAAGAACAACCTATTGACCAACGTAACNNAGAAGCGGAAAATCGTCAATCTCAGGCGTAGTCTTCCAGAAAATGCCACCTTCTGAGACGCTGTATCTTGAGACGACAACGCGACCAGAAGAATCGTCTGCACAGTGAGTAATCTGTTTCGACAACCACTGAAACTCTGTCTGATCAAAAGTCAGCTCCTTCATGGATTTTCAAATAGCGGAACTCCCAGGCCACGTCAATTACTTCACACCCGACTTTAACCAAGCTAACATCTTCGCCGAAATCGGTGCTGTCATCTGGGTCATTGATGCTCAGGACCAATACCTGGACGCTCTCAATCAACTGATCGACACAATCACTTACCTAGCACAAACGTGGCCTGCCATAAACGTTGAAGTCTTTGTCCACAAGGTTGATGGTCTTTCTGAGGAATACAAGAACGATACCTTCCGGGACATTCGACAACGAATTTTGGACGAGCTTTCCGATCTTGGTTACGACAACGCGCCCGTCAGTTTCTATCAGACTAGCATCTACGATCATTCCGTCTTCGAGTCGATCAGCAAAGTCATCCAGAAACTTCTGCCACAACTGCCTACACTAGAGAGTCTGCTCAACAGCTTGTGCAGTACGTGCAGAATTCAAAAGGCATACCTGTTCGACATCATCACCAAGATCTACATCGCATCAGATACAAGCCCACAAGACACCAACAGCTATGAAATCTGCTCCGACTTCATCGATGTGGTGGTGGACATTGGTGAACTGTATGGATGGGCAAGACCCCAGCAGGGCGAGAAGACCGAGTTCAACAACCATGCTTGCGAGAGTATGGTCACCATGGAGAAGAAGGGTCAGAACTATTTGTACCTCAGAGAGATGAACAGGTTCGTATCATCTTCCCAACATTGCTCGTGTTTGTGCTAATATGCATTCAGATATCTTGCTCTGGTTTGCATCATGGGTGACGACAACCCGATGGAGAAGAAGGTGCTCATAGATTACAATGTCGGGGTCTTTCAAGAAGCTCTTGCTAAAGTCTTTGGCTGGTAAGACTATGTACGATACCTTTGAAACCCCGCAAATCACAAGATTAGATGTCGCACTCAAGTCGCTTCGGCGTCATTGGCCTCTCCGAATCTCGTTTGCTTGACGTCGGGTGGCTTCCGAATCGAGTCGATCATGATGATGATCAAAACTTTTTGCCAACGCTGTATATGTCGGACAAATGCCACGAGATGAACAACAGACCGAGACAAGGTGGTATACAGTGAAATATCTTGCGAGCAACTGAATCTTCCGAATCCGGGTGTGACCTCCTTTGTTCGACGGGGTTAGCTCAATTGTAGAATTCGAGGTTACAATACAGGTTCAAGGCGAGAACATCAGCGAAGGTATGTTATGCTTCGCTTCTTTGTGTTAGAGACAAAGGTTCTTTTGATTTTTGATAATGCAAGTCCTAATGCATCGAGCAAACACATTTCTTAGCTCGGCTGTTCTGACCTGGACCATCGCACCTTCCATCGACAGATGCGGCGAACAAAGACGGGTTTGACCTGGACGTCCTCAATCTCTAGACACTCCATCTTGGCTGGCAGTCTTCCTTCCTCGTATACACACCGAACGCTCCAAATTCTTCACCAGGCCAATATATAATCGACATGGCTAATCCTACGCCGCGCTTTGCTGATATGGTCATCAATGCCAAAGCACAGGTTATACGAATTTTCCGGATTTGGGTACTCGTAGCTCCAACAAATCCAGTACCTGGCCAGAGCGTCATCACACATACCGCAGGAAGTACATGGCGCGGTATTCCACCAGCAAACAGTGTTATGGCCGTCGGGGCCGAAGGTGTAGTACACCTCTGGTGTAGGGTCAACAATGCCACCGGCATCATCGAGGATCGGGTCGTTGTCAAACATGTGGTATCTGGTCAGCTACGTTATCAGGATCCTGTCAACTGGGTCAATGGCCAGGTGGGAGGAGAACCTCTGGAATGTCGTAACGCCAACCTTGTCTGGGCAGCCATGCCTGTGGCCGATCGTCAGCATATCCAATCATGCTTGGGCTGGGGAGATGTGGTCCAGCCAGGCGTGGTTCCACAAACTTACCAGTACAAGCTTTATCACGAGTACTGTCCCCACAGCAGTCTGAACAGGGTTATGAAGAACCAGCCAAAGAGAAAGAAGAAGGGTGCCNATCAAAAGGGTAGGAAACAGTTCCCGGAGTCATTCCTTTGGTACATGTTCGAGTCCTTAGCAAAGGCTTGTGTAGCGATGGACCGGACTTACAACCAGAGAGGTCTAGTACATCAGTACGTGTTTGTATAACCAAATTCATTCACGAGTGGTAAGCTAATTGACGTGACAGAGNATATGCACCCAGGAAACAGTAAGCCGCCAGCCGAAGCAGTCAGTACGTAGTTGATCAACTAACATTATATAGTCTTCTTTGGTCCCGAACATCCCACCACATTCCAAGCTTACCCAGTGCTCAAGGTAAGTAAGAACATGAAGTTCTCCTGGAGAAGAGAATTGACACTCTTGTGCAGGNTGGCCGACTTTGGCAGTTCCCGCGAAATCACCAATCAAGTGAGAAACCGCGGTCTGATCGTCCAGGATGATCCGGTCTGTTTGACATATGCTGCACCCGTAAGTACACTTACACAATCATCAGGCCGGTTACAGGCACTAACTGTTGACGTCCAGGAGAATACATGGGTCTATCCAATACCCGCCGGTCAGCCACTCACTTGGGAAGCTCCAGGCATGAGAATTACCAAGAGGACAAACATATACCAAGTCGGTCTCATAATGGCGAGTGCGATAAGATTGATTTCGCCGCTGCCGGAGAACAACTGGAGAGAGCAGCCACCAAACTACAATATCCCCGCAGCAGATCAATTGCACCATGACCCAGCTGCGATAGGTGTGCTAGAACTGCCACTAGCCAAACTGAACCCAGGACCGAAAAAATACAGCAACGAACTTATCAGTCTGGTTGCGTGGTGTCTGAGACACCGGAACGTGGATCGGCCTATATCAGCTACCTTGTTGAACCGTATTCGGCAGCATGCAAATTTTCAAGGGATGGACGCAGTAACATTGCCTGTGCTTGCTGCCATGAAAAGCCTTTGCATTGACCTCAACCAGGATAAATACACGATCAACACGCTGTTCTAAGGGGAAATGGGAGGTACTAGTTTGTAGCCTAATGAGGAGCACACTTTTCACTGATTTATAAACCAAAAAGGTCAAAAGACTTCTCCATTTGCCTTTCTGAATATATTTTCTTATCAGTTGAGCACTAAAATGCTCAAAGCACGGTTCAATGTTGGAAATCACTATTTGTTTTTGCTTCGCATCACGATTCAGTTCGATTAGATAAATTTTGAATGAAGCCTTCTTTTTCACTAAAGACTATGTTGCCATTCTACGTAACTCTTCGTGGTGCACAAGGCTTCTTGCCGACCTTGTACTTATCGTTGAGACTCATTCTGATAGCCTGAGGATGGTTCCAGGGGAATCTGCCTGTTGCTGTCATCATCCCGCCATCCCTCCCAACCATCTTGATCCGCACTTCCTGAAGCAGTTGTTGCGGCGTTATTCTGTATGCAGGATCCACCCTGATACACTTGCTGACCAGCGTCAACAACTGTCTGCTGTATCCTTGCGACTGAACGCCATCAAGTCTCATCTTCATAGGCTGAGATGCAAATCCAGGCCCAAAGCCCATCGCTTGATGCTGGGGTACTTGAGCTGTGTAGGCAGGATCGTGGTGCCGCCATCGCCATTGTGTTTCAAGCAGTTCTGGCTCGAGGCGAAGAGCACTCAGCATCAGCATTCCTATTTGCCAGGTATTTGTCTTGCACGTGATTGTTGCAGGTCTCCGGACGTAGCCTCCTGGTCTCATGCCTGGTGCGGTGGGCGGGGAGTCGGGNTCCCAATGGTCGAAGAATTGCACGGTGTGCTGTGCTGGCCACACCGAGTTATCGAAGTCCTGCTCCGGAGCAGCAAAAGCCTCTGCATGTGGTCCCATGCCAAATCTGTTCACTTGGCCTTGAGCATTGGTCCTCCGGGCGCTACCAAAGTCTCCTAGCTGGATTGCCTGTGTTAGTATGGTTGATACGTAACGACTAGAGTGAAGCTGGCTTACCTTGGGTACCGGCCAGATCGCGAAGTGGTTGGGATCAGGTTGGCCGAAGAAGACTGCCACTAATCAGCAATGCAACAATAGAAGGTAAAGCGGTTAGATCGTACTGTTTGCAGATTGTATATCACTACGAAAGGTTAGCTAGATCTGACTGCGCGGCTAAGAGTTTAGAGTAACTTACCCATGGACAATGCCTAGATTATCCATGGCTACAGCAGCTTGGGCGAGTGCTTCGAACAATNNTGAACGAATGGTCAGAAGAAGATCGATTGAGTGTGAGACGCAGATAGTGATACTCACAGCCCACAAAAATCCTTCGGGAAAAGGCTTCTGTTCAATCTCGACTCTCTGTCTTGTCAAGCGTCCAGGACGCTTGCGCATCTTTGACGTTGGCCACTGAGATTCGATACATTTAGGTAGATCACCTAACAAATACTCATAGTACAGCTTAAGTTGAGGTAAGTTAGGCTGCAGAGACGTAACATCACTATAGCCCAAACATTCGTTGATGAACTTCTCCTGTGCGGGGCTATTCGTTCGCAACCATGAATGGAGGGCATTTGCAATGGAATGTTCGAGNGGCTCTCCACCAACTGCTCCTAAAACCCAATAGTCTGGGTTATTGTATCCCTGCGCGCCAGGAAAACTCTGCTTGACGACAACTCGATCGGTGATGTTGTGGTTGCGATCGACGCAGACCCAGACGTGGACAATGCCGCTGCCGCCGCTAGCAAGTGGTATGTGGTTGTGGCTCTTTGGCGCTGGCAGCCAGCGACCTTGCTGGTATGGTCTCGCCGGGTTCAATGAGGAAAATACGGGTGCTGCGAACTGCCAAGCTGCTGTAAAGCTGTGAATCAGCCAATTCTGCACACCTTGCGGCAGAAGACCAAGTTGATTGATGAGTCCATGGTGCGGGACTATAGCAGGAACGCGATGGGGTGCTGTAGCCATTCTCAGTAGGTCTGTTGAGTGAAGCTCCAGTAAAAGCTGTTGGTCGTGAGCGTTACCTATGTTTGAGTGGACGGTAGCTGGTGATCATCAGTTATACAACTCCTTTGTTCCTCAATTCTGTAGAACTTCCGGATCCGGGGACACCGAACAAACAAAGAAGCCTTGTTGAATACTGTGGCGACGCCGGATGCGAGGGAAAGCAATTGTACGGGAGCCAAAGTATACACAACTACTGCATTAGTAGAGATCAGGAAGTGGCGAACGAAACATGTTTGTATTGCAAGTACAACCGCGCAGAATTAGTAAGGAAGAAGAACCAGGGAAGATACGAACAACAGAGAAGCACTAGACATTCCAAGCGTCGAGTTTGAGAATCAACAACAAAACCAAGAACAAATACATCAAACAGCTACAAAATGGCCATTGAAGGCATTTTGCAAAGATAAGCTGTGATATCGGGTATCATAACCATCGCCTCAGTGTGCGCGTCCACGTCAACCACGGCGAGGCAATGAATTTTGAAGAGCCTGGTGTAGACCATCTTCATTGACAAAGTCAAATTGAGGAGCAGGTCGATCAAGTCCTTCGTATCCTGCTGCAGGATTGAAGAAATCATGAACGGACTGCCCAGCGTTAGGACCCACAAGAAAACTTTGGGCAGGAGTGTCTTGAAGAGCGCCTGATGTTGTGGCGATTGATCACCGGGTATCATGTGAGTTTTTGGTGGGTTTCTGAGTGGTGTTTTTGGCGTTGGACCTCCTCCACCAGGCGGGTTGGTTGTTGGTGGGATCTCGTCGCTCATACTCATAACCATGATTTCTTCTTGCGTAACAGGGTAGTCGTCTACGAACGGAATGCTAGGATCAAGATCATACTCGCCGTGATATTGTGTAGTGTCGAAGCAGTCTCTGGTTCTCATAACACCGGTATACATCTTTACGCCCTGGTTGACTCTTGCGAGAAGTTCTCTGGGAGTCGGCTTCCGATCGGGCATGTAATCGAGACACCGTATGGCCGTGTTCTTGAGCAATGCGCTATAGCCTTGCATTCTTGGATTGGTGTCTGTTTGACTAAAGAAGTCATCAAGCCATGCGTCGCGAGCATCGTAGATTCCAAAATTTGGTCGCTTGAAATATTGAGCAGCCGTCATGAGATCAGCTGTGATGAGTCCGGCGTTCCAAACATTGGTGGCAGAAGTAGTTCTTTTGGGTACATGCGCCAACGTGATACCAGATTTTGCGTTCCGTTTCGGAATGTGATCTGTTGGGTTGTCTCGAGCAAACCGCTCTATGTCAGGTGCAACATAACCGGCGGTCATCGAAGCTTCAGACAGTGTCAGCAGTTACACATCTATCTGCTTCTGTTTAGCTGACTTACTGCTATCAACCTTTTTCGAGTGTTCTTCCTCAGTGTCTCGAGGCGAAGATATCATTGCGCCTCCAAAATCACCCAACTAACAGATCTTTAGCTTAGCCACATCATGAAGACTCACCTCCTCATGTGCTAAGAGTCTGTAACTCTACCCTCCTTCCGAGGAGAGTAGAGCGAAGTGTACGCTATAGAAATGCACAGTTCTCTCCCGAAGCAGAGAAGTAGCCAGAGAGAGCTACCAAGATTCCGGCTCTCAGTGGACAGTGCCTTGTTTTTTGATAGTACTGTGCATTCGCATAGCTACACGCGTTACAAACTTTAGCACACGAGAGGCGTGAACTCACCTTGGCAATAGGGTACTTCGGAAAGTTGTTCTCGTCGGGCAAGCAAAGGAAAACTGAACAAGATCAATACTAGACTTCACAATCGACCTGAGCAGATAAAGCTTACTGTTGCCTGGTTTGAAATCACTGAAGTGTCCGTTAGCGTTGTATGTGCGGCGCTGAGTTTGAGTGAGACTTACATATGAGCTACGGATTCATCTCCTTTCAAGCCATGACCGGATGGATTATTCATGGCATGTACTACTCGAGCAAGATCATGGAAGAGTTTCCATATATATGGCTCTGGGAAGACAAGCGAACGTTTTTGATATTCCTGGAGAAGCCTTCTCAAGTCACCTCCAGGACCTAGAGATGTGTCAGCGAAAAAGGCTCGAAAGTTGATTATGGGCCATTTACAGTATTCCATGTATAATCGAAAAGCATTCCTCTCTTTGAAAAACCGAGAGCAAATGATGTCGATGGCGTTTGATTCTTTAGGCAAGATCCTGCTCATGAACTCTTCCCTAGGAATATCTTTCTTGGGACCGTAAAATTCATATTCATTGTCCCATTCTGTTACAGGCCATACTTCTTTGACTGCCATCTGTCTAACGACCCTTTGAGTCTCAGGATCAAGTTTGACGAACAAGCCTGCACAGCCTTGTCCACCATCTAGATAACATTGTCAGCATGTAGTTGACAGAGAGAAGCAAGCATATTCTGGATTGCGTCCTATGGCGCCTGTATCATACCTCCTAGCTGTTTTTTCCAACCCACAGATCTTCGTCAGGCGTAGACCCGGGTTTCCTGTTGATCAATGCCAAACCGCGTCTGACATTGTCACGGGCTTTTCGGATACTGGGACGGGTAGCGGTTATGCGAGATGGTGAAAATTTTCAATTCTCAAAACTCGAGTGGAAAGCAGCCACTTCTTTGTGCTTGATTTGATGATTCACCGCATGCGGGCTGGATTTCTACTATTCTGCTTGTCTGAGTAGACAAAGAAACTACTGCTACAATGAAGTGGACGAACCCCCGACGAAAGTTATGTTGTCCGACTGATTTGCCGAGTGACAGAAGATTTCAGCTGATGAAGTTGAGAGCGACGACCGTCGTTTCCACGGACGGCGTTGCTTCGTCGTGTGGTCAGACCCAGGAACAGATACATAAGGTATTGTCTGGATCCTGCTGGTGTAGATACGATACATGCCCAGAGTCCAAGGCTCTTCCACGTGTACGTGTTCATGTATGCTGCCCCCATAGAAAGACATCGACATCGATCGCCAGTGTATGAGCGCACTCGCGACATCTGGAGTTACTCCTGCCAGTTGAAGACGCTACAAAACAATCCAGAGTAAAACTTGTTGCAGTGCTATGCTGTTATTGTTTAGACATATTAGTTGACATAAAGCTGCGAAGAAGAGCTTTCAATCAGCACGGCGTCGCTTAGTTTGGCCATTCGCTGGTGCTGCATCTTCGTCATCTTCGAGAAAATCAGACTCAGGGCCTTGGCTCTTGCGACGATATTGTCCTGCTCCAATCGCAACCATCTCCTCCTCGCTATCGCTTGCGTGAATGTCTAACAGGACAGGCATGCGAAACTCGTGCTTCACCTGGCCTGGTTTAGCGGGGTCGACGGTCAGAACGTCGACATGTTCGTCTTCAAGATCAAGGCGCCTCTTGTGCAGTTCTTCAATAGGGTGTATATCGAACTCGTCTTCTGCTTCGATGTATTCGTTGTTTTCCTCGACTTCAACAAAATCAGGAGCGAGTGCGGACCAGCGTTGTGGCGTGTTGACAGACCATAGATAGATGCGACCAGACTCAACACCAGTGGCTGCGACGAAGGGTCTTTGAGGATGCCACTCAACAGCTCCCAGCTCTTCCTTGGGACCCTCAAGGATTTTGACCAAACTGCCATGGCCACGCTCCCAGATGTATATGTCGTGATTCATGAGAGTCGAGGCCATGACATAATCGCCAGACGGACTGAAAGCAACGTGGTTCCAAGAGAGGCGGTTAACGACGTCTTGGAATTTGTGCTCAACCTCAAGGCGCATGTTGTCAGGGTCGAAAGATGGATCTCCGAGGTTGGGCAGACGGATTGTGCGGATGATGCTGTCAGCTGCATTGACGAGTAAATCGCGGCCAGAGGTGGTAAGACGCAAGAGGAGTAGTGCCTTGTTGCTAAGGCGAGTCGAGTAGATGACGGAACAAGTGCTCGCCTTGATGATGTTAAGCCAGCCCTTTGTAGTGCCTGTGATGATGTGATCGCCAGAGGGGGTGAAGATGGTGACGGTCGTAGTATTCTTGGCATCTTGGGCAGCTTGTTTGTCATCTTGCTCGTAAGCAGAGCGCCTGGGGGCTGAAGGGAGAGGTTTTGGGATAGTGGAGGGTTGATCGAGCGATGCCAGGACGGGCTGGGCTTCGAAGAGAGCGGCGGTGCAGAGCAGGTGATTGTGAGGATGCAACTCGGCGATGTAGATGGGAGCGCCGAGGTTGACAGTGCGAATGCGCGAACCGTCGTTCAGGTCCCAGAGGATGGCCTTCCAGTCGACCGACGAGCTGAGCAGGTAGCGACCACAAGCAGACCAGCTGAGCGACTGGACCTGACGGCCAGGGGTGTGACCACGCAGCTTGCGGGCGACACCATGTGTCTCGAGATCGAAGATGGCAATGGCTCCTTTGGCGGTACCGGAAGCGAGCAGATCACCCTGGCGGTTGAAGCGTAGACAGACGGCGGCACCAGAACTGCGCAGACGGGCGATGAGCGCCTCCGGCATGTCCTGCGCCAGCACGAACGGGTCGACCAGGGCGAGATTCATGCTGGATGTGAGATGGTATGGTCAGCAAGACTAGAGTAGCATAATTGTCGTAAAGTAGGTCCAACTATCAGCAAACGACGACAGACGCCGTGAAAGACATGGCAAGGCTGCAAGGGCGACTCTGTGTCCGTGACGGCAGCCCGTTCGAGAGATTTGTTTGCTCGCCTCGGCCAGACCTTTACTTGTACCAAGGGATCATGATCAGCAGAGAGTCTTCCTTGTTCCTTCTTCGACTGTGACTCGCACCGAACTGCAGGTCCACTGCTTGCGAGCATAGCAGCACTGAGCACGTGACTTGCGCCTTCCCAGATTGGTGGACTCCAGAGTCAGAAGCAGAAGCAGCGACCAGCGACGCTCACCTTAGCGGCCGGCGCCTTGCAACATCAACGCCCGTCATATCCTCGACCTCACCCTTGCTGCCTCCACGCCCTCACCAACCACATCTCCGCGCCCGCCATCTCCGCTGCGCGCATCTCGCCATCTCGAGTCGCGTCGCTCCTTCACTCCCGTCGATTTCTTTGTCTTCGCCGCTGCCCGGCTGTGCGCGCGCCGACCGAAAGGCCAGTCGCTCGACACGCGCTCTCTCGCCAGAGGCATCCGCTTTCCATCCACAATCCGACTCCTCATCGCAACCGCCATCTGTCCTGGAGACCTCCGGCCGACCTCCCCGTCGACAGCGCCTTGAACGTGGCAGCCGCTGATCCGATTCTTAAAACAATTTCCCTTAGCCATTGCTATCAACAACCGCCACCATGAACATCCACTCTTTTCCCTATTCCAGCGCTCCGCTGAAGACCATCCAGGAGATTCAGTTTGGTCTCTTCTCGCCAGAGGAGATCAAGAACATGAGTGTGTGTCACATCGAGTACCCAGAGACCATGGACGAGCAACGGATGCGTCCGCGAGAAAAAGGCTTGAACGATCCCAAGCTGGGTTCCATCGACCGCTCTGTTGCTTGCGGCACTTGCGGTGAAGACATGCTCGAGTGCCCCGGTCATTTTGGTCACATTGAGCTTGCTGTGCCCGTCTTCCATGTTGGTGTGTTTGCTCGCCACAAAGTCCATCATGTCTGACATTGCGCTGACCCGCTGCAGNGTTTTGTCACCAAGATCAAGAAGATCCTCGAAACCGTCTGCCACAACTGTGGCAAGGTCTTGCTTGATGAAGTGAGTCGCCCTGCGCGGCTGAAGCTGAATTCAATGCCCGACCCTTATGCTAATCACTACATTCATAGANGCATCCCTGCTTTTGCCCAAGCCGTGCGCATAAGAGATCCCAAACGCCGTTTCGATGCTGTTCACAGACTCTGCAAAGCCAAGACGACTTGCGACCCTGACGAGGCTGGTGACGACGGAGAAGACCCGAAAGACGCCTTGAAGAAGGGCAAGCGATCACACGGTGGCTGCGGCAACCTGCAACCCACAATTCGCAAGGACGGTCTCAAGCTCACTGGCACCTACACCTTTCCCAAGGACGCCGACACGGAACAAAAGCCGGTAGAGAAGAAGGCCATCACCCCTCAGATGGCTCTCAACGTTTTCCGCAACATTTCGACATACGATTTGGCCAGAATGGGCCTCAACGCAGACTATGCTCGTCCCGAATGGATGGTCTTGACTGTGCTGCCTGTCCCGCCACCAGCCGTCCGTCCCAGTGTCTCGGTCGATGGCACCAACCAGGGCATGCGTTCCGAGGATGATTTGACCTTCAAACTCAGTGATATCATCCGTGCCAATGCCAACGTTCGCAAGTGTGAGCTCGAGGGCTCCCCACACCACGTTATTGCAGAATTCGAGGCTTTGCTGCAGTTCCACGTTGCCACATACATGGACAACGACATTGCAGGACAGCCTAAGGCTCTGCAAAAATCCGGTAGACCAGTCAAGGCTATCCGTGCGCGCCTGAAGTCCAAGGAGGGCCGTCTTCGTGGTAACCTTATGGGCAAGCGTGTCGACTTCTCCGCTCGTACTGTCATCACTGGTGACCCGAACTTGTCCCTGGATGAAGTAGGTGTGCCCAGAAGTACCGCCCGCATTCTCACCTTCCCTGAAACCGTCAACGCTTTCAACATTGACAAGCTACAACAACTCGTCCGCAATGGTCCCAACGAACATCCTGGAGCAAAGTATGTCATCAGAGACACTGGCGAGCGCATTGATTTGCGCCATCACAAGCGTGCTGGCGAGATTCAACTGCAATATGGCTATAAGGTCGAAAGGCACATTGTCGACGGTGATGTTATTATCTTCAACCGTCAACCTTCGCTGCACAAGGAGTCTATGATGGGACACAGAGTCCGCGTCATGCCCTACTCTACCTTCCGCCTCAACCTTTCCGTCACCTCACCCTACAACGCCGATTTCGATGGTGATGAAATGAACTTGCACGTTCCTCAGAGTCACGAAACTCGCTCAGAAGTCATGAACCTCTGCATGGTCCCCCTCAATATCGTCTCTCCTCAGCGAAACGGTCCCTTGATGGGTATTGTGCAAGACACCCTTTGTGGTATCTACAAGATGTGCCGCCGTGATGTTTTCCTCGACAAGGAGATGGTCATGAACATTCTCATGTGGGTACCTGATTGGGACGGCATCATCCCACCACCTTCAATCGTCAAGCCTCGCCCGAGATGGACTGGTAAGCAGATTGTCAGCTTGATTGTCCCTGCTGGCCTCAACCTCGTCCGCGGTGATTCTGAGGGTATGCACCCGCTCAACGACAATGGACTGATGGTACACGGTGGTGAGCTTATGTACGGTCTGTTCAGCAAGAAGTCTGTCGGTGCCAGTGGAGGCGGTATTATCCATATCGTCTACAACGAGAAGGGCTGGGAAGCTGCTGTCAATTTCTTTAACGGAGCTCAGCGTGTTGTTAACTACTGGCTGCTTCACAACGGTTTCAGTATTGGTATTGGTGATACGGTTCCTGACGAGGCAACTGCCGAGGCTATCACAGATGCAGTCAACGAGCAGAAGGCAGAGGTCGCTGTCATCACCGAGGCTGCTACTGCTAACGAGCTGGAAGCTCTACCCGGTATGAACGTCCGTGAGACGTTCGAGAGCAGAGTGTCCAAGGCTCTGAACAGCGCTCGTGACAACGCTGGTGACCGTACGGAAAAGAGTTTGAAGGATTTGAACAACGCCATTCAAATGGCTCGTTCAGGATCCAAGGGTTCTGCTATCAACATCTCGCAGATGACAGCTGTTGTCGGTCAGCAGTCTGTTGAAGGAAAGCGCATCCCCTTCGGCTTCAAGTACAGATCGCTTCCTCACTTCACTAAGGACGATTACTCTCCAGAGTCTCGTGGTTTTGTCGAAAACTCCTATCTTCGTGGATTGACGCCTTCAGAGTTCTTCTTCCACGCCATGGCTGGTCGTGAGGGTTTGATCGATACCGCTGTCAAGACTGCCGAAACTGGTTACATTCAGCGTCGTCTTGTCAAGGCTCTCGAAGAAGTTATGGCCAAGTATGATGGCACTGTCCGCAACTCTTTGGGCGACGTCGTGCAATTCGTCTACGGTGAAGACGGCTTGGATGCTGTCCATATCGAAGGTCAGAAGTTGGACATCATCAACTGCTCCGACAACCAATTCGAGAAGAAGTTCCGTATTGATGTCATGGACCCCAAGATGTCTCTCTCGCCCGACATCCTCGAGCAGGCGCACGAAATTGCTGGCGATGTTGAAGTCCAGCGTCACCTCGATGCTGAGTATGAGGCATTGCTGGCCGACAGAGCTCTGCTCAGAGACGGCCGTACCGACGACGAAGAGACTCATCAGCTTCCCCTCAACATTACTCGTATCGTCGAGAGTGCAAAGACCAGATTCCGCATCAAGGATGGCGCTCGCAGCGATCTCCACCCATCCGAAGTTATTCCCAAGGTCCAGAACTTGCTCGACCAGATCGTTGTCGTTCGCGGTGATGACCCCCTCTCTCAAGAAGCACAATACAACGCCACTATTCTCTTCAAGGCTCTGCTGAGATCACGCCTCGCTTTCAAGCGTCTGGTCAAGGAGTACTCTCTGAACAAGCTGGCTCTTGACAACATTCTTGGTGATATCCTGAACAGATTCTCAAGATCACTGGTCAGTCCTGGTGAGATGGTCGGTGTCTTGGCTGCACAGTCGATTGGAGAGCCCGCAACTCAGATGACGCTTAATACTTTCCATTTCGCCGGTGTCTCGTCCAAGAACGTTACTCTTGGTGTGCCTCGTCTGAAGGAAATTCTGAACGTCGCTACCAACATCAAGACACCTTCCATGACTGTCTACCAATCTGCCGAGAACCGTCTTGACCAGGAAGCTTGCAAGAGACTCCGTAGTCTTGTCGAGTATACCAGCCTGCGCTCCATCACCGAGAAAACTGAGATTTGGTTCGATCCTGAGATTCAGTCCACTGTTGTTGAACAGGACAGGGATATGGTAGAGTCTTACTTCATCATCCCCGAAGAGAATGCAGAGAGTCCCGAGACATACTCCAAGTGGCTGTTGCGTATAGTCCTTGGTCGAAGACAACTTTTGGACAAGGGTCTTTCGGTTGCCGATGTCGCCGCTGCAATCAGAAATGTCTACAACCATGAGATGTCCATCATCTTCAGTGACGACAATGCTGATGAGCTTGTTATCCGCATCAGACCTTCGAACGCGATCATGGAGTCCAAGGAAGATGATGACACCGCTCTCGAGGCTGATCTTATCATCCAGAGGCTCGAAGGTCATTTGTTGGATGAGACTAAGCTTCGCGGTGTTTTGGGTGTCGAACGTGCTTTCGTCAACTTCAAGGAACGCCTACGCATCAAGGAAGATGGTGGTCTCACTATGTCCAAGAGCGATCCTCTTTGTAAGGAATGGTTCTTGGATACCAGTGGAACTGCTCTTAAGGAAGTCCTTACTGTTGAAGGCACTGACCCTACCCGTACCTACACCAACCACTTTATCGACATCTTCAGTGTATTCGGTATCGAAGCTACCAGATCCGCCTTGATGAGAGAACTGAAGCAAGTGCTTTCTTTCGATGGTTCTTACGTCAACCATCGCCATCTTGCCCTCTTGGTCGATATCATGACCGCCCGCGGTAATCTCATGANNGCTGTCACCCGTCACGGTATCAACCGCGCCGATACTGGTGCACTGATGCGTTGTTCGTTCGAAGAGACTGTCGAGATTCTGTTCGAAGCTGCTTCCTCTGGTGAGCTCGATGACTGCCGTGGTGTTTCTGAGAACATTATCCTTGGCCAACTTGCTCCCTCGGGTACCGGTGAATTTGATGTTCTCTTGGATCAGCAGATGCTCAGCACGGTTGTTTCTCGTCACCACGGTATGGGTGCGGGTACTCAAGCTGGCGCCGCTCCTCTGGACGGTGCCATGACCCCCTACGACATGGGTTCTCCTCTTGCCGAGGGCGATTACGGCACAGCAGACTATGGAGCTTCCTTCTCTCCTATGGTCCAGGCAGGCGGCGACGAAATGGGCGGCTTCTCTGCCTACCAAGGTGGAAGCTTCAGCCCTTACAGTGGCGGCCAGAGTCCTGGTTACGCACCAACGAGTCCCTTCAGCATGGGCACAAGCCCCTCATCTCCTGGATATGCCTCGCCGTCCTCTCCTGGCTATTCACCCAGATCACCTGGTGCGGCCCTTGGCAGTCCCGGCTATGGTATGGGCTCACCGGCAAGTCCAGCATACAACCCGACTTCGCCGACATACTCGCCCACATCTCCGGCATATGGCAAGGGGTCTCCCACATCCCCTTCATACTCCCCCACATCTCCCAGTTATTCGCCGACTTCGCCCAGTTACTCGCCTACGTCGCCGAGCTACTCTCCTACATCCCCTTCATACAGCCCTACGTCTCCCGCTCACAGAGGATCGGGCATTTCTCCAACCTCTCCACGATACAGCCCGACATCCCCGGCTTACTCGCCCACTTCGCCCGCATACAGCCCGACCAGTCCTTCTTACAACCCTGGTGGAGCCTCGCACTCACCTACGTCGCCCAGCTACAGCCCGACGTCGCCAGTGTACAGCCCTACCAGCCCGGCACAACAAGGCTACTCTCCTACGTCGCCACAGTACACTCCCAACTCTCCCGGCCAAGCCTCGCCCAAGTACTCACCTACTAGCCCCAAGTACTCGCCCAAGTAAGTTCAAGAACATATCTAGTTGGATTATCACGTACTAACGATTCTTTCAGCTCGCCTGGCCAATAAGCGAATGAAGCGAGCAGTTAACAGCTGGGACGTACCCTTTGTTGGGCCCACGTCTTCTCATGGGCTAGGGACTATATCAAGTTCACAAACAACTCGAGACAAACAGTGCTTTCGGTGTTGGTTTACGAAGACGATGCATGAGCGGCAAGAGCAGAAGCGGGTACAAGGCGTTCTTCTTTTAGTTTCGTTTTCTTTCTTCTCAACCTCTTTCTCGGCGGCGTGAGGAAGGGAAAGTTCTCCAAGTTTTTGTTCTTTCCAGGCTCACAAAATTGCATATGGAGAACGAGCCAGAGTGTGTACCAGAAGATCTTTTTTGAGGCAAAGATAAATCAAAAACGAGCAATAACACACATGCAAACGAGCAAGTTCGGATTCCTTCTTTATTGACTGTGACTACGGAAAAGGGAAGGTGGATGTGGTTGAGCACGTGGATATCATCAAGAATCACTTCTGGCAGGGGGACCCATGTGACTAGACATTGAGGATAGGGAAGGAACTGGGAAAGAGAAGACATGCTACTGCCATTTGGGAGTAAATGTCTACCGCTTCACTCTTTCCTTGATCTACATGACACCCGAACTTCCAATAGCCAACCAATACCATCAATGTCAGCTTCAACGACCCATATCATAAGGACTCCTCTCGTTCTCATAATAGTCATGGTCCTGGTCGCTCGCATAGAAACTGTTGATTCAAGAGGTAACAGTCAAGTGATGAACCCAAACGCCTGGAACGTTCAACATCTTTGCTCCAGCCTTCGCGAGTTGATCAGCTTCCTGGTTCAGTGCCCTGGGAACCTTCTTCCACAAAACCTGCACACCACTCTTTGCCAACATCTCAACTTCGACGACGACATTGCGGATGTACTTTGAGTTTATGATGACCTTGCCGCTCTTCTTGTTGGAGTAGGCGTGTGTCTTTGGGTCCCAGCGCCAGATCAGCAGGTGCGAAGTCATGCAGTCGAAGAGGTAGGCGGAGTCAGTGATGATAACGACTTGGAAGGGGAAACCCTTGGCCCAGCAGTTGATGTGGCAAGGACAGGTGTAGGCTTTGCTCTGAAGCAGCTTACGGCGAGCGGGTATGCACTTCTCGCGGATGATCTCGAGGGCACGGGTTGCAGCCTTGAGCTCGGCTTGTTGACTGGTAGGAGGTCTGGCAGTGTAGGGCTCAATGACTGCTGAGACATTGAATGAGGAAGAGGGTTCGAAGTGGATGCCTATGCCTCCAACAGCACTCTGGGCGCCATTTCCAGGACAAGCACAATCAACGTGAACCAAGACCTTGCGTTGTTCAGCACGGTCTCCTCCAAGTGAGTCGTGGTGGGGACACTCCTCATTCCAGGCCTCCTCTGCTTCTGCGGAGCCGGGACCCACCGTCATCCAGGTGAGCTGGCAGTCTTCGCATTACTTGGAGACTTGAATATCGGCAACAAATCTGGCGGCTGCGCCATTCAAGACTTTGGTGGCTGGCTCGGCTAATTGAAGGATTTCGTCAAGGTCGTCTTCGCTGGATACTAATGACTCTTCGATGCTTGAGCTCTGCTCAGAATCCTCGTCCATAAAGGTGTAGTCGCAACGACATTGATGACAGATTTGCCGGCCATGATCCTCACAGACCAATTCATTGGGGAGTTCGACAGGAGAATCAGGGAATGCCATCTTTGTCGGCTTTGTAGAGGTGCTTGGTAAACAAAGATAAGAAGACAGACGATAGCGTTGTAAACGTTGAGAAGGAGGGAGAAAATATGTGAGCTCAGAGGATTGACGTGATTGATAGCTTGCTGTTTGCTCGAGCTGCAGGCCAAACATGAACCAAGCTGGGCCTGAGCTGTCATTGACCTTGTTGATCAATCATATCTTGCTCGTCCATGCAAACGGGCTGCGGGGTTCATAAACTCAACTTAGAGTATTCATGGTCGGCAATAGCATATGTATCTGAATAATATTATCGGATATGACAACTGTTATGATTTGTGTACTTTGAATGAGGACATCAGAGAATGATAAAGCAATCCCCGAAGACGCTGTGAGTCGCGTCTGGATATCGCTTGGTACATTTGATGCCGACAATGCAACGATAAGAGTATGGTTTGGAGTATGCATAGTTCTTTTCTGGCAGCATTATCGTGTACCATGGTAGCGGAAATTTTGGTTGAAACTTGTGTGATCAACAGCACGCGCGATCGTGCATATCAGGGGCGGCGGGAAAACTTGATGCAGGAACATGTTCGAGAGCCGGTGCGCCCCACAGGATTGGAAAAGCTGTACTGTTCCTGCGTTTCACGTTCGTGAACGGTACGCGAGGTTAATTGTGTCACCTGCGTGCTGCACCAGCACTCGAGCCGGAGGTGGAAGCCCTGGGCGTCTCTGGTGAGCATGGAAGCAATACTTCTAGGCATTTTAGTAGGACNTGGCATATGGTCAGCAAGATGGAAGGCGGATAAGTGATGAATTGCAAGGACTCACGATCGACAATTCGTTCTTCAGCTACGCCCATCTGATAGTCGACCAAACCTGTCTTCTCTATACTATCACACAGCTTCACAATCTCTTGACCCAGCATCTCGAGATCATCGGACTCCAGAATTGACTGCCCAAATGGGAGCTGCTGTCCAGTCCGAGTCATGATTTGTGTCGTTTTGTGCTGAGAGTGCAATACCGTTAACCAGCATTGGTTGAAGGTTTCCCATAGTTGCAGTCGATCCTGGTACTGACTTTTGTCGTCTCGATCGAGTCTCAGAGCTCCAACATTGCCTATTAGGAATTGTGATACTTGGAGGAGCAGACTGCCTGTTGGTTTCAGGTCACGATCCTTGACGTGTGTGAATATCTCTCTGGTCTGCGATTGATAGTGATCGAATCGTGCGCGCAAGTCGGGATCGTATTCCTGCGCAGGAGTTTGCTGCTGAACTTGGCCGTGTGGGATGTAGTTGTTATAGCCGTCGCTAACTGCGAACCCTGATGTTTGAAATGCTTGGTGGTCATATGACACAGCCTCGTACATGCCAGACCTGGCTGTCGTTGGATCTAGACCATGGAAGGAGGCTGTACTCGCAGCAAATGCTTGAGCAGTATGAGGCATGCCGTAGTATGAAGGGATGCTCGTCGATGGCATATTATGCGGTGTGTAATGAGGCGAGTTGTGTGCTCTAGGAATCTGTTGATATCCATACATGAAATCAGTGTTTCCCAAAGACGGCGAAGAAGACTGCTGATGGGTCACATAACTGTTGTGACTTGCCAGGTTCATAGAGGTTGTTCCGCCATACGGGAAACCTTCGTAAAGAGGTGACGAGACAAGACGTTCGTCCCCCAGGTACGAAGAGTGCGCAAGCGGCTGAGCTCTCGACTTCGATGTGGTTTGTTGTGGTAGTTGTGGCGTTTTGAATTGTCCAGCTGACGATGCGGAGGTCGATGAGTTGTAGTGTGCAGATATCTGAGTCGCTCGACCTCGGCTAGAGTAATGTTGGTGGTTCCTGCCATCTTGATCTTCCATTGCCCAAAAGGCGACACCACAATGAGCGCCAGGATTTCGGGAACATATGGAGTGTGCTTGGATAATAGTTGGTCCTCGGGAAGTTAAAACCAAGAGCGATGTGACTTTCCACGGGAGGAATCTGGTGCTCAAATATTGCTCGAAAGTGTAGCCACTAGTATACGTGAGGTGGGCTCTTGTTAGATTTCCAAGCTCGAGCAAATTGGAAACCTGGACAGGAAGTAAGTCAAATCACCTCTCTGGCCAAAGATGCCGAGATCAGGAGCTTGGTGCTCAACAACCAGAGACGGCAGGGGGTTGGGGAGCTCTTTCGAGCCTAGGCAAGAACGGCGCAAGGACCGTGTTTTGAGGCCTAGTTGCTTGCTTGCTTGACAAGATCGGTTGCGGAGACGGCAACGATTAGACTTTGGCAACTACGCATCGAAGCCTCATGTCAGCAAAGAACAGATGTGTATGTTACAACATCTGTAAGACTATTGGTGCAATGGCGGGTTGTGAACTCAAAGGGTCAGCAGTAAGAAGGAAATGTTCGGCAACCGGGCCGCAACAAACCACTATCAACCAGCGAAAGGTTGATGCGCGTGTCAAGTGTCAATCAGAGACATACTATATCTTGACGACAGTGTTGAGAACCGGAGTCGTTTTCTGGCTCCGCTAGCACCGAGCTGAAACACTCCATCCTGACTAAAAGCGCAAACTTACCAACAACTCTTACTCGGAGGTACACGTCAAGGTGTGGCTTGCAGCAGTGCTGCACTAACGTGATGTGAGGCATGATAGGTCTTTGTCAGCCGAGTCAAGAAGCCCTTGCAGCTTATTTTCTCCCGCACTGCAAGACAGGTGCTACCACGTGAGTTGGTCACTAAACGCCAGATTGGTGGTTCTAGTATGGTGTTCCTATCTGACACTGGGGAGCTGACGATTCGAGGAATGCTCAATATTGCATTGAGCTATGCGTATACGTGCGTAGCTACGCAGATGCACTGCAAGAAGGTCAATGACGAGTACATTCGGCAGTTGAAGCACAGGCTCGTCTCCCTTCATATGTAGCTTGGCATGGCATCCTGAAAGTGCTTTGCTACTTATCAGCTCTACCACATGTACATCTCGGTGGGGTCCACTGGGTCGATTTGGGCAGGCTGGAAGTGCGCTATGGTGGTTCCGTTCGTTCTTGCCGCAGGAGTACGCTTAAAGCCAGGCTTCGAAGCAGAAGGCCGATGACTCAGCGATTGACTCTTGTGTTCATTCTCCAGCATCAACCATAATCGGAAAGGTGTCAGGAGGTTGGACTTGATAAGTGTGGCGTGTATGGCCCCTCATGCGCGGGACATGGCTGTTGAAAGACTTCACTCTGAGCCCCAACCACACAGGGCGTGCTAATCAAGGATTTGCACCGTTCCTCCAGCTTCATAGCTTGCACAATTGTTGAGGGCTGGTGCGATACCGACTCCGCTCCAAGCGCCCTGAACCTGAACAAGGTCGTGTTGAATACCCATGGAGAGCCGTGTAGAGTAGCTACGGACACCGGTCAAGTACGAGCGCTAGCGCACACAAAGTGCCGTACGGAACTCATCGGTCCGGCCACATTGGTGTTCAGCAGATCGAGAGTCCCGACCAATGACCAACAATCTTGACTCGTTGTGATATTGAAGACGGAGTAGAGTCCGCCTACACGTTCTCTGGCGTCCATGCCCGCTGCTGCCCCGCTACATGCAGTATGCTTTTAGGGCTATTTTCGCACCTCCGCCTCTAACCCAGAAACGTATCAACTACCGACGACGCTCTGCAGAGCAGTTCATGTGATCTTGTGTTTCCTTCTTCCTGTACTGGTCCTAATTAACCGACATCGCCATGCGAAGGAGCCTTTGAGTTTGCAAGCTCGTGCTTTGCCAGACCACCCGCCTTGCTGAACGATTACCATGCAGCCAAGTTCGTAGCATCTCGATCCTCCAGCTGAGCAGTCACTTCGACATGTAAGGCCCAACCCAACATCTTCAGACGACTCTGGTAAGACCCATTGACCGGGAATGATTCGAAATCATGCCCTTCGAGCAACTTGGCAGAGGACTGGACAAGACTCGAGGTTGAGCGCCAATTACCAGGTGCTCCATCCCAACTCTTGCGGACTTCCCACCAAATCCTCGCCGAGAGTCACGAAAAAACAACCGAGAACGAGAGACAAGAGCCGCATTTGAATTCGACAGGTCGCAAATCGAACGAGGAATAAGCAAGCTCGCAACCCCGTGAATCCTTCTCGCCTCTGATCCTTCTCACCTCAGGAGCCCCAAAGGTTGTCAACAAAAAGACAGCTGCCACAGCTACTCGAGCGCATCCCTTCCTAAACTCTAATCCCGTCATGCATGTTTGGGGCCCACCATCTGCGATCGCGCGCATGCATGCAAGAGAGATCGAAAGAGATATCGCAGCTTTGAGGTTCAGAGATTCAAGGGCGAGCTTCCATATCGCAAGACGAACTCCGTCTAACCGTGAAGCCTATCATAACTTCGACCCTCCTTGCGAGACGATAGTTGCGTACACCATGTTACGAGTCTCTTGAGCCGTCATTGCGGTTGATTGGTCGGAAAAGGTTCCCCGTCTGAGCTGTGTGATAAGGCGTAAGCAATCGATTCAAGACAGATCCTATCTCACCTGGCTTATTCCCGATTGCTCGTAACCCTTTCTCGTGATATTTGAAGTAAACGCTACTTCGCCGTCTCGGACGACGATGACCCGAGTCGTTCTTGACTTCACTCAAACTGAAATGGGACGAAACCAAATCACGGGTAACCTCGAGTGCTCGAGTTCATAACTTTGGTATTCATCATAATATTCTTGGAATTTATCAGTTCCTTTCTTGCTTCCTCCCCAGTGTCTCATATCCTGCCTCGGACCTAAGGTGATGGCACCGGGCCTGGCTAACCTTCTGTTGAAGATCCCACGCCGACGTTCTTTGAGGGCGTACCGCTCCCTACTCAGAGGGGCGTTTTGTGTTCTTCCGGGTTTCGTTGAGAATTTTATGTGCGGAAAATGACTTTTGTGCGAGTTGTTCATGCGCTGTAGGTCTGCTTGGGGAAGGGGTANTCTGTGATTATGTCATGTCAGTTTTCGCTTCAGAAGCATATTGAAGAGCTAGAGACGTACGCGGGACCCAACTCCTTGATGCTCAACTTGGCCAACCAAGAGCCCATGTCGACACACTTCTCGATGCTCTCGCCCTTGGCCATGCCGGCAAGGAAACCACCAGCAAAGGCGTCACCAGCACCAGTGGTGTCGGCAATCTCGTCCTTGCCAATGACGTGGACGGGGAAAGTCTTGACGTCGTTGTCGCCCTGGACGGCAATGACGGTGGGCTCTGTACCCTGGGTGATGATGACGGTACGCTTGCGCTGGGTGTTCTTCTTGGGCAGGTTGGCCATGTGCTTGGCAATGGTGGGGATGTCTTCGGTGTTGAGGTCGTGCGAGGCAGCGAAAGAGCGAGCCTCGGTCTCATTGCCGACAACGTAGTCCCAGTAGGGGGAGGTCTGGTCAAGCTGGTCCTTGAAGAACTGGGGAATAAAAGGAGCGGAGAGAGAGAGCATGAAGACCTTGTTCTCGGCAGCGGCCTCCTCGGCGAGAGCCAAGATGGCGGGGACCGAGACGGTCAAGTGGTAGCCACCAACAAAGTAGATCTTGGCCTGCTTGACGAGATCCCAGTTCTCCTTCAAGTGCTCGACCTTGTAGCAGTTGGCAGCGGCGAGGTCGGTGCACATGCTGCGGTCGTGACCGGTAATGATGACACCACAGCGGCCGGTGGGCTGCTCGTCGTCGTAGCGGTAGACGGCGCGGAGGCCGACCTTCTTGTTGGCCTCGACCAGCTTCTCAGCATACTTGTCCTTGCCGACGCATCCAACAAAGACGACCGAGTCGGCAGGGAGGATGTATTGGACACCTCTGGCAGTGTTCTGGGCGGCGCCACCAGCGTTCAGGTCGACCTTGTAGTTCTGGAACAGGTCCTCGTAGAGACCCATGTGCTTCTCTTCGGCCAGGATGGCATCGTTGGACTTGAGTCCGTACTTCTGGAGCAGCTTCTCGTCACCGACGGCCTGGATGTCCAGGAGGGGGTTCTCGAGGCAGAGGATCTCGTATTGGCCAGACATTTTGATATGCAATTGATGTGCAATTGGTGTGGTGTAAGAAAGGGAGCGTTGCTGCTTGCTCCAGATTTGCTGAATCCTGACGTTTACCATTCCATTCTTGGTGGGGCCTCGACGCCAAGGCCGCCCCTCAACCATACAGGTGCCTGAGGAAGAACACGCTCCCAGTCATCAGTGGATAGGCATGTGAACATCGGTTTTCATTGCTCGTCACGGCAAGCACAGATACATATGTACAATCTTCTCATCTGTCTTCGTCCACTGCCTCTTCGCCTTCGTTAACGATCTCTCCCCTTCTTTATAAAACCGAATCGAAATTACAACCATCGTTTGTTCAATAAACCAATACTGACTAGAAATGATAATCTTCTCCGCTCTTGCTAATGACAAACTCACAGCCGAGCCTGCCAAATCCTTCGAGGCTCAGAGCATCAGCGTGCTCGTGGAGCTGCATCAATATACGTTCACCTACATGTGGCCCGTCTTCCATCGTGTCCTTGATATGGATGATGACCACCTTGACGCCTTGCAGTGGTGCATCCACGGGCACAGGTGTATTTCTCTCTGTGCCCGTATAATCAGGCGTGTTAGCTTGCGATTCTTCTTCGGGCACCATCAAAGGAAGACTGCCGCGTCGAGGTTGCATGCTAGACGATCTGGTGATGACGCTCTTGGTCCGTTTCTTATTGTCAGTTATGTCGTCCATCGTTATGTTCAGCCCATTCGAGCTTCGCTTCCGTTTCCGTTGGGCTCTATCCAAAGCTCTGGCAGCCTTCTCGTCCTTGACCATCTGTGCGAGCGTCTTCATCTCAGCAACAACATGCCGAGGTGCAAGGTGTCCAAACAGTACAGCATCTGGCTGACTATCATCGTATGAACATTCGATGAAGATGCCCCCGAGTATCCCTTCGGCTATCTTTGGTGCTGCTTCGGCCCATATATTAGCCAAGCGTGGGACACGCGATATGCTGTCTGGTTCGACGTCGCCAAAAATCAACACCTCCTTGGACGTCTCGTAGTCTCGGATGAAGAAGGCAGTGCTATCCACTACCGAGTGTTGTGGTGTCGGGTCACTGGTAAAACTCCTTCCATGTGGGCCAGGAGAATAATAGTTGTGGCCTGGAGTTTGTTCGCCTGGTGTCCCAAAGACATGAGGTATTGGCAGATTCCGGTAATCCGATCCCTTAAAAGCAGAGTAGTCCGGCTCCGAAATGCTGCCCAGCGATCCACGCTGAGAGCGAGTCGGTTGGGGTTCCTTCATGCAGTTGCCGTGGCTCACTTTGAAGCCTTTGACTCCGAGACCATCGCACACCTCGATGTATCCCCTGCCCTCTCCTGTGCCAACCATGATATCACCACCTTCTCGTAGCCTCTGGAAGCTGACAAAGCCAACTCCTCCATCTTCATCTGTCAGATTGGGCCATATAACGTCGTTGAAGATATGCCTCTTGATCGCTTCAACGGTGAAGGGTAGGGCTGCCAGTCTTTTTGGTCGCGATGTGGCATGGAAAGCGGCTGTATTGATGGCGAAGCCTGAGAGATGATCGAGGTGGGGATGTGTGATCAGATAGGTTGAGACGTGTGCACGTACGACATGAGCTGCATTGGCGCGAGCGGAGGCATGCGGGAGAGACAGGCCGGCAAAGGGACCGTTGTCGAGCACGATGGGTTCTGGTAGCGTCTTCGGTTGAATGGGATTCCTAGTCGGCGGCGACGATGTGGGAGACGATATGCCATCGGTTTCCGAGTGCTGGGGAGGCAGTTCCGGCGCGGGTGCCTCGTTGGGCAGGTTCTTCTCGAAGATGCGGGTGATGGCGGCGAGATGTGAACCGGCATCGACTGCGAGCAACGAGCCGCGAGCCCAATCGGTAGCCGTCGACCGCACCAAAAGACCCGTCACATTGTCTTCGCTGGGTCCTCCTCCCGAGCCNCTAGAGACACAAGACGATGGTCAGATCTGTGGGGTAGCACTGTCGCGTGGGGAACATGGAGCGCCTACAAGACAGATGACCTGGATGGCCGCTTTGTTCGTCTGTGAATGTCTCGGCTTCATGCTGAGAAATAGCGACATGCCCGTGCCCCGTCTCGGGCGGGCGCTGGCCGGCGGAAGCTGCACTGAGATGCGACCTGTACGAGTATGTGATTGTTCGAGAGATGCCCTAGGTTGCGGGCTTGCCTAGGCCTATGATGTCGACGTGCGTGCGACCACTCGGTGCTGTCTTGCAAGGTACTCGGAGCATGCGAAAGGAAGAGGATAACGTCGGCTTGCGCTACCAGCCTGCTTCATGGTTAATCTAATGCGACTACCTATCCGCTCACTCTTCAACGGCTCGCCCACCGTTAGACGCAAGGTGCGAGCTGCCCGGTGATGCACAAACGAAGGCAGGCACCAACCACCGCCGCCAAGGTGATCGCGGCAGCCCCGAAATCTAGAGCGCCCAACTTTGACAAGTACCTATATTTGCATCGAACGGTGACAGGAGCGCCAAAACGTTGTATACACGACGGAGCAAATTAGAACGAGGAAGAAAGACCATACAAGGTTGTAGCGAGTGAGAACAATCCAAACAAATTTCATATCATTGCCATTGCCATACCAGCTCGAACGTCATGTTGACTATGTAATAATAATATTAGAGGCCGGGTCTTGCTCCACATTCTAAGCAGGAAAAGAAGTAGCGTCGCCTAGACTTTGTCAGAAAGAGGACACAAGATTGTGCCATGACATCTTGTGGATCCTTTGGATTTGGTTATGTCTGGCATTGACTCCTTTCGTGACCGGCCATCGACATGTGAGCGTCCTCGTCCGTGGACGAGGAGTTTGCATACGAAACCAGACGTACAAGCTTATAGCTTCGCTCCCTGACTTCTTCTCTTCTCCTTCTCCTTGTCTCTTAGAAGTCGACGCAGAATCTTGCCTGACGGTGATTTCGGGACAGTGTCGATGAACTCGATTCCACCTTTTAGCCACTTGTGCTTTGCCTTGTGTTGCTCTACATAGCGAGCGATGTCCCGAGCAACCATCCTGTCGGAATCTTCAAGTCCGACAGAAGGAGATTTGACGACGAATGCCTTGGGCACCTCTCCCTCACGGTCTGACGGCACACCAATAACGACGCAATCATTGACTGAAGGATGTGTCAAAAGATGAGCCTCGAGCTCCGCGGGAGCCACTTGTAGCCCCTGNGATAAGGTCAGTACCTGTTGAGCATCGCGCGACCAAACAACACTCACTTTGACCTTGATAAGCTCCTTCAATCTGTCCACAATGAAGATGTGCTCATGGCCGGACTTTGGATGCTTTCTAACGACAGCCTCGTCTCCAGTCCTCAGGTACCCATCTACGAATGTCTCATCGGTAGCCTTCTGATTGTTGAGATAGCCGAGGGTGATTGCTGGTCCTTTGACCCACAACTCGCCTGGTGTGTCGAACTTTGTCACTTCCTCACCTTCAGGCGTGACGATACGCGCTTCGATACCTGGCAGCAGGCTTCCGGAAGATCCGAAATACACATCACTCGGAATTGTTGAGCATACCACCGTTGCACTCTCAGTCACNTATACGATGGTCAGTATCTCTTTCTCCAATTTAATGGGGACACAAGACTTACTTCCATAGCCTTGTCGGATAGCCCATTTCGGGAACATAGACTGCAAGTCCTCTGCTGTCTCCTCTCCTAGTGGTGCTGCTCCAGTAAAGATGCTCTTGACCGAAGAGAGATCATATTGCTTCACTATGTCTCGCGACTTGGTCATCGTGATAATGATGGGCGGCACAAGGTACAAACAAGCGATCTTGTATGTCTGTATCGTCTCAAGGAAACTCTTGAACTCAAACTTGGGTAGTATGATGACACCATCGCCCCGATACGCTCCTAGATGTGCGATGACTATCAGAGCATATATGTGGTTGAGCGGTAANCTGCGCCGGTCAGTATTCATCCCGCAAAGGTCATTGTCAGCATAACTCACCAGCCCAAGGACATTCTCAGTATAATCGGATTGGTTGCCAGGCTCTATAAGCGTCTTTCTCCATGGATCCTCAAAGGTTCGCATCTGAAGGACATTTGCAATGACGTTCTTGTGACTGATCATAACTCCTTTNCTGGATCTCCAGTCAGCATTCGACTCCCTGACCACAACCAAGGAAGCACATACTGGCAGACCAGAGGTACCGGAAGAGTAGCACAGGAACGATGTCTTCTTCGCGCCGTCGCCTTTGGCCCAATGCAATTCCTCAAGCTTTGGCAATTTTCGGCCCTCATCAATGAGTTGGTCAAGGGTTTTGTATCCATCTCTTTTCTTACCAGCAACAGATTCGGGTACTTCGAGCAAGTAGATTCGGCTTTCGGGAATCCCTACAGTCTTTGCTGCTTGCAATGCCAGGTCCAGCAACGGCACACAAGTGAAGAGACATTTGGCACCAGAATCACGAAGCTGGTGCTCTAGTTCTTGGACCGTATACGCGGCATTGGCTGGTGTTTGGATGCCACCGATGCGGTGAGTCGCCCACGCAAGAGTCAATGTGTCAATNCTGTATAGAGTCAATTGCCTGGCATCAAATGCGAGCCGTATACAATGGGTGCTTACGGTGTTGATGCTAAATAGCCCGATGACCTTGTCCCATTCCGATCCTTGATTGGGGAGGAAGCCCAGCTCTTGACTCAATCCTCTGGCCAGGAAGTCGACCCGCTCTTTTACTTCCAAGGCACTATACTCTTTGCCCGTGAGCCCGCAGGTAAATGGTGGCCGGGAGTACCCTAGAGGGTGGCGTTCGAAGTTTTCATCCAGGATAAATCTGTCTACTGAGATGGAGTCTGGTACGTCAAACGGGAGCTTGGGCACCCATTCTGGAGCGTAGAATGGCATTCTGACAGATTGGACGTAGAAATTGTGTGAGTTGACGAACGACGGCACACAGGCGGTTTTGGTCAAACCAAGCACTGACAATTCGGGATGGTATATCTACCTCGGTCTTCTCAGCCTTCTCAGCCATTATTGCGATGACCGCAACCATCAGCGCTTGTTTCAAGCTGCCTTGTCACCGAAAGATGGCGCTTCTCCGCACTCTGGTGCGGGGTTGTCCAAAGGGAAACGATGCACGGACCCCCACACGCACTTCGGAAGTGAGCTTCCGAAAATCAAGGCCTCGAGACGCGTCGGGTTCTCGGGTCGTTCTTACCTCGAGATACCATACCAGAAAGACATTGACCTTTATCTGAAATTCTTACCACCAGCAGGACATACTCATCTTCTAGAAACGTCAAACACTAAAGGTACTAGGTCTGTTCTTCTCTGGCAGCTTCTCCAACTTTCTCGCCCCACCTCTGGAGGCAGAAACACTCTTTGACTTTCTACGAAAGTTGCAACTTGACTCATCTTACAATCCATTCATTCTGTATACCCTTACAATCCTGGTTAGTTTCCTTCTGCATCTGATCTCCAGGAAGGCAAAGAAGATCGACTTCAAGTCTCCCTTCTCATCGTAAAGACTCCTCAACGATCTCTTTCAAGCCTTCCGAGAGCTGTCACTTTATACCTGTTCACCAGACACATCGAGTCAACTTCGATCTCATCAGGCATCGCCTGACTTACTGTCCGATCCTCTGTTCTTGGTAAGTCTTGAAAGAACATCATTGACCCGACAAGACGCATCCCTACCACGTCATCTTGCCTGTTCACGATGTATCGATGCCTGCCATTATACTTGCTTGACTAACATCGTGTAGGCAGTTTCGTGCCACGTGGTTCTGCTGGTGTTGTATTCATCAGGTCAGCAAGCCTATTATGTATGATGCGGTGTCTCTTGTACGCACATGTACATCTACTGACCTAAAACCTGCAGATATAGGGGTTGTTACTGGTTTTTCCAACCAGTTTCGGACTACTGGCAAATCCTGCAATCTTGATCTCTGTAATCAGTCGTGTGGATTGTTCCTGTCTCACCAAGCTGAGAGACTATCACGAGCTCTTGTATGAAGCCTATCTCAACATGCGTTTTCACGTGCTGACCGCCACCAAGATATATCCACAGACTCGCCTGGAGTCTGCTATCTTGCGCTTGCACAGAGCAGAGCACATGCTCCCGTGACGCATCTTCTATTGCACGCGATTACATGTGTTGGCAGTACTCTCTGTTGATACAGACTGCCACATCTTCAACTCTTCCACCAACTCTCCCATCTGTCTCCCCTTCCCGAGTGTCTCCAACACTAAGACATCCAACAACAAAACACTAGTCTTCTGACTCTACATCTTGTCATTACATCTTCCTTTCTTATCAGTACTCACATCTGTCAACATGGATTCAAGACATGATTCGTTCTATGAATTCCAAGACAAGAGAGGTTCTCTCAGTTTCACGGATCCACCCAGCTCGCCTCTGAGCTCTGTTCCTGGAGATCTTGACTATCAACAAGTCCCTCAGGATCTACAACATATCGCTATGCCTGACAGCTCTATCGAAGACCGTAAGTCTAGGCTCTCTTCTGCCTCCAGCAGCGCTGTCTTGAGCACCATTCATGTTGCCTCGCTCAACAACACTGTCCACGAGTCCCCAACGTTCGTCCGAAGATCTGAACGAAAGCGCAAAGTCCCCACTCGATACCTGAAGAGTGCTGGGTCTGATGGTGTCTCACTGTTTGAGACACCCGCAACACCTGAGCGCCCAGCCAAACAGAGAAAGATTACGCAGCGCAGGGTCACTCGCAACAATCGTGGCAAGAAGACAACGAAAACTGCAAATGCTTCTCTATCTCATGCAAATGAGTCGTACGTGTCAGATGAAGAGGTCAAGGAACCTGTGTCTGCTTTCAAGCAGGTTGAGACGTCGAGAGTTGTCAAGATCAAGGTCAACCCTGAGAGACTTGGTCAAATCCTCCATCCAGCACCTCCTACCCCATCGACTGCTACACCATCACCGGAGCCGATGCTGCCAACCAGCCCTGTGTTTCAGGCTGAGATTCTGCTCCCAGAAACTCAGCCTCCTACTTTCGATGCTCCCAACCACGACTTGATTTCACTCTCGTTGGCTATCACGAAGAAAGTGCCTATTGAGCAGAAACCAAACCCTCGCGGCCAGCCAGAGATCTGGGCAGAGAGTCGCCACCATCTCTGTGAGAGTCTCAGCGGACTCTATGCATCCTGGCAAGGCTCTTACTACGGCAAGAATGGTGTTGCTAAAGCGTTCATGCTCGATGGTAACGGCCATGCAAGAGATCATCTTGACGAAAACGTCATCATCCTGCGAGCTAGCGGCAGCATGGCAAAAGATGGCGATAACGGCATGAAACAGCGCGAAGACCAAGAACCAAAGCATCAGTACCATGCCATGGTCAATGCCATACAACAGCAAAGTCCGGTCGCTGTGATTTGTGGTGACAAGAACAGTCAGGTGCCTAGCAAGATGCCGCACAAGTATAACTCTCTTGACTGGTACAAAGTTACTCATGTTTGGACCGAACGAGACAGATTCAATGTCATCAAGTATCGTCTTGAGAAGCTGGATTCGACCACCGCTGCATGGTGGGTTCCCCAAGATTCAGGATCCGTCGTCGAGCTCGGAGCACTTGGATCGCCCGTCAATCAGCACTGTGGTTCTTGCAGCAGCGAGTACGACCAGATTTATCTGTGTGGTTGGATGTGTTTGAACAGCAAATGTGAGAAGTTCTGGCTCTTGGCTGATGGCAATACACCCGACGCTGCGCAGCTAATCTACGATCCTCGCTTCCTAAAGCAGAAGGTCTTTTGGGCCAACGAGCAGGCACCTCTCAGTTTCCGCTTCCCTTTGTATACTACTTCTGCCATCGCCGGCGAAGACTACAAAGCAGAGAATCTTCGTGGGATGACTTGTCCTGAGTGTGGTAAATGCAACGCACGTGTCAAGTGGGAGGGTTGGGAATGCACAGGCTGCGGTTTTGAGCACAAGCCCAGAATTACTCCCCTGCCCGCAGCTTCAATTCAGGATCAGAACTACCCAGTCACTGATACCTATCCTTCGTCGCACGATTCTGCTCTTCCTCACGTCAAGATCTCCGTCGACTTCTCTCACAACTACCGCTGGATCACTTACAAGTTCAAGGTCTCAGCTACTGAGGAAGGCGAAGTTGTCCACGGTATTGCAAACAAAGTTGTGCGTGAGGAGGCTGGAGGTCCTAATGAGATGTGGGAGCATCTTCAGACTAACTGCCACGGGCTGGTGCGCAGGGAGTTGTCGAACGCTCTCATGAATTCTTTCACCATCAACTATGGCATGCCATACAAGTTCATTGCTGCAGGAGACAGCCTGCCCTTCACTGATGCGCCTTGGCCTGTTACAGAAGCCGTCTCCCGTCTGAACTGGGCGGACAGAATGACGTCTGGAAACGACATCAAAGAGCAAGAAAAGTTCAACGAACTCTATCTGGTCGCGTATCTTCAAGACCAATCGATGAGCTACCACGACGATGGAGAAAAAGGACTGGGCTCCACAGTCGCTACTCTTTCCCTCGGCGGCCGAGCTGATATGAACTTCAGACCCAAGGCACCTTTCTACCACGGCAAGAAGGCCATCACTCACAACCAAAAGAGAATGACGGTCATGACCATGGATGAGCCTCTGCCTGAGTTTCCCAACTATGAGTTGCGCAAGCAGTTCATTGACGAGATTCAGAACTCCACTCTGTCTGAGGACGAAAAAAAGGAAAGACGTGCTGAGATGGCCGTTGCACTTCGCGCTGCCTATGCTCCCAAGAAGAGCCATACCAAAGTCGATGACTATGTCAAGCTTTCGCTCGGTCATGGAGACATTGTCATCATGCGCGGCGCTCATCTTCAAAAATACTACGAGCACGGAGTCACCCCCAGAGGCCTCATGCGCTATGCACTGACATGCCGCACCGTCTTGCCCGGACACTTGAAGAAGTCCGAGCTGCCCGACTACGAAGTTGACCTTGTTCAGAACGAGTACGATGGCCGCCGAATTGCCAAGTGATGGCAACGAGATCGTTTCCCTGCAGGTCTCTTCTCTCTCCTCTCTTCTGATGCCGACGTACTTCGATGCTGTTGCATCTTTTTGCTGAGACTTATGTTTTTCTTGCTTCCTTTCACTTTCTTTGTTACTGATGTTTTCCAAATGCAACAGGCGAACGCGTCTTTTGAGGACATATGTTTTCTTGCTGTTTTTTACATATGGGAGTTGGGGATTTGGGGACGGAGGACATGTTTTTGCTTCATGATACTCACGACTTATGAGCTTTGAAAAGTAGCTACTAATTTCAATATGATTTGCTTTCCAACAATGTTTTCTGCCATTGATCGTTCTTGCTGATCCTGATCATTTTGGCAGAGAAAAAGAAACACCAAGTTTGCCACTTACGACCTGGTCAAACCGAGGTTTCTCGCATGCGTAGGCGATGGTGGGTAGACGTGTGTGTTTTGGTTGTGAGAAAGCACAGCATATGATCACAATGTGAAAGGGTGGTTGTCGTTGCCAAGAGGTCTTGCAAGCAGCATGTGAAGGGAGGCCGAGCCGAACCTCGGCATCTCCAGACAATACATCATCTGCCCTGCCCTTGCCTTGCCTGTCTGCTGCTGCCATTTCTTGTTGGCAATCCAATCAATCCTCACAAAAACCACATCACTTATTGAACCAGAATACGCAGAGATGGCCAACCAAACAGGAAAGAATTCAGTCGGTATGTATCAGTGCAAGCATACAACTTCTTGAATGCAAAGCTCATTTATTCCAAAACAGNCTATCGAGCGTCTCTCGCAAGTCACAACTCACCTAAAGTCGTCCGAAGTCGACTTGGCCCCGAACCGCGATGCCATACTCAAGAAGAGCCCCGATGATATCGTCGTGACAGCCTGTCTGCGTACGCCTCTGACAAAAGGAGGCAAAGGAGGCTTCAAAGACACACCTGCCGCAGATCTCCTCCACGGAGCTTTCAAAGCACTGATTGAGCGATCAAAGATCGACCCCTCGCTGGTCGAAGATATCGCTGTGGGATCAGTGCTGCCGCCAGGAGGTGGCGCAACTGAGTTCCGTGCTGCGGCTTTGGCGGCTGGATTCCCTGATAGCACTAGTGTGCACTCGCTGAACCGTCAATGCAGTTCGGGTCTGCAGGCTTGTGTCGAGATTGCAAACGCTATCAAGACTGGTATGATTGATATTGGTATCGGTGCTGGTGTTGAGAGCATGAGCAGCCAGTATGGTCCTGGAGCTGTTACCGAGTTCTCAGAGCTGCTCGAGAACCACAAGGAGGCTGCAAAGTGCAAGGTTCCTATGGGAGGTTTGTGCCTTTGAAACCTCGACATGCTGCAACTCTACTGACTGTCGACTANNGTTCTTTCCGAGCAGATGGCCAAGGACCGCAACGTCACCCGCAAAGACCAAGACGAGTTTGCCGCATCCTCATATGCCAAAGCCACCGAAGCACAAAAGAAGGGCCTTTTCGACGAGGAAATCGCTCCCCTCAAAGTCAAGTGGACCGACCCCAAGACCGACGAGACCAAGGAGATTACCGTCAGCAAGGACGACGGCGTCAGAGAAGGCGTGACAGCCGAAAGCCTCGGCAAGATTCGTCCTGCCTTTGCCAAAGACGGCTCCATCCACGGTGGTAATGCTTCTCAAATCTCCGACGGCGCTGCTGCAGTGCTGCTGATGAAGCGTTCTACGGCCGAGAAGCTGGGCCAGCAGATCCTCGGCAAGTACGTCGCAGCATCAGTCGTTGGTGTCCCGCCATTGCTCATGGGCATCGGTCCCTGGAAGGCCATCCCCGTTGTTCTGGAGAAGGCTGGTATCTCAAAGGAGGATGTCGATATCTGGGAGATCAACGAGGCTTTTGCTTCGCAGTGTCTGTGGTGTGCCAAAGAGCTGCAGATTCCGATGGAGAAGATCAACCCCAAGGGCGGTGCCATTGCCTTTGGTCACCCGCTGGGCTGTACTGGTGCCAGACAAGTCAGCACCCTTCTCTACGAGCTAAGGCGAAGAGGAGAGAAAGTTGGTGTGACCAGCATGTGTGTGGGCACCGGCATGGGCATGGCCGCTCTTTGGGTAGCTGAGTAGACTGATACTCGGCGCACGTACGAGCGACGGGTCGCCGAGTAATTGGTGCTCTTGGTCCCTTGAATTCATGTATTATCAGATCAACGAAACCGCATCACGATATTTTCCAGAACCACAACGAAACGAGATATTGAAACGAAATTTTTGCTTTGATTATCCTTGGTCCTGTGGTGCGATGCGATAATATGTGCGCGCTATGTCGCCAACGATGCCAATCGCAGTAGCTCCGGAAGTGCAATCCATCCTCTACTCCATTCGCCTCAAGACTCCTAGAATACCCATGCTAATTCTGCTGCACAATCCTTGTGACACGACAATCAACTCGAAGAAGTCCAAAAGCGACTGTACAAAAATCAGGCAGACTCGGCCTCGATACCCTCGTCAAATACATCATCTTCGTCATCGCTGTTCTCGCTCTCACTAGCAGGCTCCCATCCGGCTTTGGCGCGCAAGATGCGGTTTTCCTCCTTCAGAGCAGCGATACGACGACGGTAGGGCAAAGAGCCTTCTTCGTGTGCGCGTTGGGCCAGGCGTAGGTATTCGGACAGGCGCAGCAATGATGCCTGCCAGGCTTGGTGTGTGAGCTGGGCTTGGATGGTTTCGTTGCGTGACGTTTCGAGCAGAGAGTTGTAGTGTGCGTGTAGAGCNTGTTTTGTAGGTCAGCGACAGCCGTTGCGTGACTGAGGAAGGGCATTACCGATGGTTGCGCTCTGGTGGTTATGAGCATACTCGCTGACTTGGATCTTGAACTTTTCGACAATCTCTTCGGCGTAGTCGATGACTTCGTTGGCCTCCTTGCACTCTGTCTCGAGTTCGGTGATCCGGGACAAGGCGTCTGACAATTGGGCTTGGAGGGCGGTCGTGTCGACATCAGAAGAAGCATGAGGGGCATGAGAGGCTGCAGGGAGCAATAAAGCTTCAGTATTAGCTAATGAACGAGAGAAACAAGAATTAAACGAAAGGGTATCTAAGCGCTGTGGATAATCAAAGACAGCAGAACCATGAACGACCGTACCATTGACATCTCCGTTGGTCAGAACACCATTCTCAGTAGGTCGANNGGCTAAAAGGAAGTGTGTGAGCAATTCGAGCATGATTGCCATGTCCTTTTGGTTGTTGAGGTCTACCTGGGCACGCGCGAGAGTGTTCTGCAGCTCGTCGTAGTTTTCGCGGTTCTGTTTCAGGACAGAACTCAGTTCTTGGACCAAAGTCCAGATGTGCTGCATGTCGCTGTGGTGGCCGGCTGATGGCATGCCGCCTCCGAGTGTGTAAGGTGCAGCCGAGTTGGCCATGGCGGGGTTCTGAGCGGCCATGTCAATGTCACGAGAGTAGATGTTGCGCAGAGCGTGAGCAAGATGGTCGGTGATGGAGGAGTCGTTCAGCGAGACAAACTCGTCATGATCGTTGGGATGGCCTGGTACGAGAGGTTCCGAAGCAGGGAAAGTGGGAGTGGGTGGCAGCGGGCGCGCAACTGGGTGGCTCTTTCCTAGACTGTTGGTGGTTCCAATGTCGCCAGGTCTTGGCGTAGTGTGGCCGTCTCTGACCTTGAAGGCAGTGCGCACCGATGTGTCGGAGCCGGCTGAGCTGTCGCTGTCGCTGTCACTATCAGGCTCAACGATATAGCCGCCGTGGGATGGTTGGTTTTGGCCGGGGCCTGTCTCTTGGATGCCGTCGGTGCTCGGTACACTCTCGAACTCTGTCTTCTTTGTGCGTAGCTTCTCGTCGGCTTGTCCTCTGGCTTGCTCAGATTTGAGCTGCTTCTCACGCTTAAGCTGCTCAGCGTCGGCGACAAATTGGTCTAGTTCTTGTTCGTGCCCTTCTTTCTCTGTAAACGTGCAAGTCAGCCTTGAGTCCTTTAGGTAACATGGCTCGTGCGCCATGCCGATCGCGGCTCGGCCCGTCGTGAACGTACCTTCGTGTTCGCGTCTGCGTTTCTCGTTGACCATACGCAATTGTTCAGCACTCACTCGCATGAGTCCGCCATCCTCTTCACGTCCTGTACGAAGCAGTGCTCCACCTTCCAAGAGCACCTGCTCGATCGCCATCACTGGATCGTTGTGGTGAGGAACAACCCGCTGCTTTGGTCTTGGGGTACTGCTTCGGACCAGCACAGGCGGACGCCTGGACGAGTAATGCTGGATCTTTAGGTCTTCCGTCATCTCTTCACTCTGCGACTCTGTGCTTACATTGTCTGAGGTGCTTTGTTCGTCCGGAATACTGATACCAAGGATACCAAGTCCAACGGCCTCTTGCTTTGCGGCGCGCTCCAAGGTTCTACCTCTCTCTTGGATTTCTGGAGCCCTGTAGAAATTGGAAGGTTTATCGGCCTTCTTGCGTTGTTTCACACGACGAAATCCTTCGCCCACCTGGCTTCTGGATTCACAAGGCATGGTTTTCGACGTGCCAGTCGTCCCGGCTGATGAACTCGGTGTTGTGAAGTTGGTTCTGTGCTCGGTTTTCGACCGGGTCACTGTTTCCCATCAGTCTATCAGTGTGACGGCGAAGATCTCGCAAGGTACTTACAAATCTTGTCTCCGATGTAGGTGGAATAAGTGCCTTCGAGATCGAGGTATCTAAGGTCGGTAGCGGATTCGGTGTTCGGCTCCTCTAAGTGTACTGGGGCCGGAGTCTTTCGTGCAAGTCGTGATCTGGGTGGTGATCGCGATGGATCAACTCCTCCGCGCAAACGTTCGCAGCCTGAAATGAGTCAATAAGAAGCCCACAATCTGGTACAATCTGTGGGCGTGCAATTCACCTTCTTGCTTGTTCGCTGATGTTGATGTGTCCAGATGAAATGAATTTCTTTGACCTCTCACTGAAGCAGAAACGTCGATTGGTGAAATTCTCGTGGTGTCGGACTTGGCTTTGGACGCATCGAAGACGTCGACATCGTCGAGCCTAGCACCTTGCAAACGTCTAGCAAATCATTCAATTCTTGAATGTATGTCTCGATGTATGCCGGAGGACTGCAAGCATCCTCTGGTTCAGAAGGATGAGTCTCCAATAGGCTTTCTTCATCCTTGGCCTCTTTCGTTGCTTCCTGACCCTGCGATCTTTCCTCTGCTTCAGACGAACTGCTTGCTTCTGGAGGCTTTGTTATCTTCCCAGATTCCTGTGTCTTGGTAATCGGCCCTGCAAAAGCTTCTTCGCGCGGACTGGGCTGTGATGTCTGATTGGAGCTTCCTGTGTCAATCGTTGATGACTCAGGCTGCATAGGAATGGCGGTCCTCAAGTCGAGATGAAGCAGATTCGTCTCGGCCTCCAGGTATGTCTCAATCTTAACAATTGAGATGGATTTGGCAGGCATCCTGATGAGCTCAGTATCATTCTCAGAGATCTACTCTGCGGCCGCCTCCTGCTCCTCGTCACCAGAGCTATGCACAATGTTCTTGAGCATAAAGGAGTCGTATGCCCGTGAGTTGGCCGTTCGTGCAGGTATTACACCACGTTGTTTCTTGCTCACATACACGAGACGACCTCTGGCATTTCCGGGTTTGGAGATCGCTTTTACTCTCACCCGACTTCGAGGGTTTCTGCTGAGATCCTCCACATTAGCATCATTTCCAGTCTGTAATGGTTTGAGTTGTCACGGACCTTGCTGTTTGTACGCCTCTCACAGCCTTCGGGGGTGATCCAGAACCTGTTGAAATGACGCTGCTCCTCATACCTTGCGTAAACGCCGAATCTTTCCTGGTTTGTCGAGAAGGTCCGGCGACAGTTGGCTCTTCGTGTACACAAGCGAGCGAGCCCACATCCCGGAGCCGTGGTTGCTCTGCATCCGTTGGGACAGGCTCTTTAGATGTCATGGACACTCCCCAGTTCTCTGGTGGGGCCCAGGCAGATGGTCTGGGATGTCTCCTTCTGACTAGCTCTTCAAGATATGCATTTGCTTTTCTAGAATGGAAAACATGCACTTCCATTAGCTTATCCTCGGACATTGACGTGAGGCGGGAGTAGTGCCAGTAGGTTGGGCTTGGAAGGTAGGTGGCAGAGGACTTCTCGGATGGTCCTTCGTCTTCTTGCCCAATGTTGCATGAGTTAAGTGAGGTAGCAGACTCTTGATGGCGTGACTGATTATATGCTTGCCAGAAAACGGTCCAGAAGCTTCAGGTTGTCGATGAGGACTGGCAGTCTCGTGAGCAATACCACTGGTAGCCTTGCCCCTCGAGGTGAATCGCGACTCGAATGGATTGTTCTCTTTGTTCTTTGGCGAAGGAGTGGCCGTATACTGTGGGTCCATAGTGCTGGCTGTCGAATTATGTTCCGTTGGATACTCTGTACTAATGCCTGGCGATGAATATGATGCTATCTCTGCAGGTTTGATATGTCACAGTATGAGATACGTGGCGGGGAGGAACAAATATGGGCAGAGCATACAAGAAACGGAAGCAGCGATAGAGACGATGACTCTTTCAGAAGAGTCGTCCCGCACAGGCTGATGAGTTCGTTACGAACCTCAAAATGGCAACCCTAGTCGTCATGACACATAGATACTTCTTCCTTCCTATGAAGGTTGCCTGGCGCATGATTACGAAGTACATGCTCGAGTTGACTGCCAATCGAGTATGGGCCAGAATGCGTCTCTGTTGCAATGCAGGCCACCTAGTCACCGGATGATGTTCGAGCATTTGTATTACAGAAACAGTTACACAACGCAACTTAAATAAAGCCTCTGCTACCTAGATGTATCTATTTTATCTGAAACTCATCAAGCAACGCTTAGTCGACAGTTCTGCCAGGCTTGCGACCCCAAACTTCATCAGCATCAGATTTACCCTTAGTCTCAGGCACTGCCCAGAATACGAATGCCGCCAGCAATGCAGCAAAAGCGGCGAAGATGAAGTAAACCTTACCTCCGCCAAGTTTCTCGTTGACGATAGGGAAGAACTGAGCAACCACAAAGGTGGCAATCCAGTTGGCTGCTAGAGCCCAGCTCTGAGTTGCGCCAACAGCGCCAGGCCCAACAAGCTCCGAGGAAAGGATAAAAGGTACAGGTCCTAGACCTAAGCCAAAGGATGCTACGAAGGTCAAGACGGTTATGGCCGACAGAACAGGAATATGCTTCATGATTCCAACGCCCAGAAGCAAGGACGAAATACCCATGCCGAAGATGCTCGCAAGAAGACAGACCTTGCGGCCAAGCTTGTCGGTCAAGGGGGCACAAGATGTGGTTACGACGATGTTCAAGACTGCGACCAGAACGTTGAGCAGGGCAGCATTCGCCGAGAGCAGATTCGAAAGCAATGAGACGCCATACATGACTATTGAGTTGATACCACAGAGCTGTTGACCAATCATAATGACAACAACTGCAATGACGGCGGGGCGGGAGTCGGGATTCTTGAGAACAGCAAGTGCACCAAGAGCTTCGAAAGCTTCTTTGGTCTTTTTGCCGGCGGAGGCGTTGGACGAGGGTCCGCTCTCTTCGATGCCATCGGAAGGCATGCGGTCTTGGTTGGACAAGAGGCTGTCTTCCTCGTCTTCCATGTCTTGCGAGCTCTCCACTCCCCAGCCCTTGACCTCGTCCTCAATGTTGGCTTCGTGGCCTCTTAGCTTGCGCAAGACGCGTTTTGCTTGTCGTTCCATGCCATGGTCGGCAAGCCATTTTGGACTCTCCTGGCCACCAAGGAATAGACCGACGGCTTGAACAACGCCGATAGCTCCGCCAACGGCCAGGATGATTCGCCACAGAGAGCCTTTGCTCAAGAAGAGGCCAAGCAGCTGTGCGATGAAGATGCCCATGTTGATCATGATTTGAGTGAAGGCGCCAAAGAAGCCCTTCTCTTTGGGAGGAGCAACTTCAGAGATGAAGATGGGTGCGATGACAACGGAAGCGCCGGCGCCGAGACCGCTGATGAATCGTCCAATGGTCATGAGAGGGATGTCGGTAGCGAGGACTTCGAAGACGGGGCCGACGATGAAGGGAAGGGTGCTGAAGAGCATGGACTTGTAGCGGCCATAGCGAGCTGAGAGAGGACCTGCGCTGAGGGCACCTAGAAGACCTCCCAGGGTGAAGATGGACGAGACCAAGCCGAACTGGGTCGAGTCCATAGGGATACATTGCGGCAGACTTGGAGCGATCGTCGACGAGATGGACTTCTTCTCGCATGTTATGACGGATTGGGGCGCATTGAACTCTGCNCTGCAACAAGTCAGAAGGTTGGATACTAGCAAGTCACGGTGAAGAGAGATACATACAAGATGGAAGCCGAACAGCAGAGGGCCAATGGTGGAGACGAGGAGGAGGTAGACAAAGTAAGGCGTGAGATCCTGGAACCACGACTTGGTATCCATGGCCGATTAAGCTTTGGCAGACAACCGTCGGGCTTGCTTGAGAGTGAGAAAGAGCAGCTGTGAAGAGGCGTCGCTTCAGCCAGGCGTTTGCAAGGAGGATTATCTCGCAAGACAGGCTTCAAAGCTCGCTAAGATGCTGCCGTGTCACAGTGACATGGTCAATATGGACAATGGCTGGGAAGCTGGAGCCGTTGTCGAGACGTGACCGTCACATGCGGGCCGTGGCAGCCGCGAAGCTTGCCCAATGCCGCTCGTTGGTTGAACAAGAACCACTCACCACCAACAACAAGAGACCAGCTCGTACGTCGCGCTGCCATTTCTAATCTGCCACATCATCTGCTCCCTCGACCTCGTATTCCTCCACTCTCGGCTTCACCGCATGTTTCGCTGTTTGCCCGGGCCATAGTCCCTCTGTCTCTCCCGGTCCCCGTCCCCGGTCCCGTCGCCAGCTCGGCCCAACGCTGAAACTTTGCCCTCCGCCCTCTGCCCTCGGGGCGTGGGGTATGCATAAACCCAGCACAATTTAATCCATCGCCATGATTACTTCAACCTCTGCCCTCTCGAATGTGCCTCCTTCTGTGACCGCTTCAGCCGCACCCACCAACAACCCGCCTAGCTCTGCCGCAAGTGTCAGAAATGCAACTACCTCAGTCCCAGGAGGTAGTCTGACCCTCAAACGAAATCTACGTTCTGCGTTTAACGGTACCTCCCACTTTGTGCCTCCGTCTTCTCTCTCCATACTATGCATTACGTCGGCTAATGCTTACATTCACAGAGCCTGCCGATACTAAAATGTCGTCCATGGGATATACTAGCCAACGGCGCATCAACGACAACTACGATGTAGTAGGCTTCATTAGTAGTGGCACCTATGGCAGGGTGTACAAGGCCCGCAACAAATCTGGCAGAGGCGCCCATCCGGTTTTGAGTCGAAATTCTGGAAACCCCATCGAGGCTTTTGCTATCAAANAAGTACGCAGAATCTCATGTCTTCTGCACAAGTGCTGACGTTTGGTTTCCAGATTCAAGCCCGACAAGGAAGGAGAATTACAATACACGGGCATATCACAGTCCGCTATACGAGAGATGGCTCTCTGCACAGAACTGTCCCACGAGAATGTTATCTCGCTTGTTGAGATTATCTTGGAATCGAAATGCATATTCATGGTCTTTGAATATGCAGAGCACGACCTCTTGCAGATCATACATTGGCATACGCAACATCCTCGGACTCCGATCACGGCGCCAACGCTACGCTCCATTATGTATCAGCTCCTGGAAGGGCTTCTCTATCTACACCGTAACTGGGTTATGCACCGAGATCTCAAGCCTGCCAACATCATGGTTACATCTGCCGGAGTCGTCAAGATCGGTGACCTGGGCCTTGCACGACTGTTCCACAAGCCACTCCAAGCCTTGTTTGGTGGTGACAAGGTGGTTGTGACCATCTGGTATCGAGCACCTGAACTACTGCTCGGAAGTCGGCATTACACGCCAGCGATCGACACATGGGCAGTGGGCTGCATATTCGCCGAGCTTCTGAGTCTACGACCAATCTTCAAAGGCGAGGAGGCAAAGCAAGACTCTAAGAAGACGGTACCATTTCAAAGGAATCAGATGGGCAAGATTGCTGAGGTGCTTGGTATTCCGAGGAAGGAGAGCTGGCCACTACTTCAAGCAATGCCTGAATATCCTCAGTTACAAACTTTGGCCGCCGGCAATCCTGCAGTCCAAAGGCCAATAGGTTTGGACAAATGGTGGGACAACCTTACTCGAAACAGTCAATACTCGGCCGCAAACATGCCGGCACCACATCGAGATGGACTAGCCATGCTCAAGGCTCTCCTTGAGTACGACCCACTACATCGACTAAGTGCTGAGCATGCGCTTCGCCATCCATACTTCCTTCATGATGAAAGCAACTTACCAGCGGCGCCTCCAAAGAACTGCTTCGAAGGTGTCGAGCACAAATACCCTCCTCGCAAGGTCAGTTCTGAGGACAATGACATTCGAACAGGCAGTCTGCCAGGCACAAAGAGAAGTGGGTTGCCCGATGATTCGTTCCTCAGAGCACCGAAACGGGTCAAGGAAATGTGAACATCACGGCCGTATACCAACCTTCTCCAATACCATCACCCCACCGCTGTTTAGTTGGCGGGACACGTGTGAATCAAGCCGTTGCCGAAGCAAGATAGTCGGAGTCAGACGTTGCACGACAAAAACCAGTCTGCAGGCTGCACTAATTCTGCTTGAGGCATATACAACTCCAGACATATCAGAGTCTCAGCAGTCAAGGTGAGATTCTGAGGCCTCTCCATGCTCATGAGCAACAGCAACATCCACGATGGCTCTCGGGAGCACCCACGTCTTGAGAAAGGTCAAGGTCAAAGAACTATCAATGGATCTTGCGAGACGCTAGAAAGTGATAAGTCTGCGATTGCATTAAACATCTTGCAAGGCACATAACCCGAAAAAACAATTCACGAGCGGTTCTCTTGTCTCAATACAAATATCATCAGCCTATTAAATAGTGTGTGAAGAACTTATCGTAGTTGGTCGCTCATGTTTGGCTTTGGAGCGCTGCACTCTCGAGGCCGTGCACAAGCGTGACTGCTGATCAACTGTTGTGACCACTTCATCACATACCTACATACCTATTCTCTGCACATCGCTTGTTTCCATATTATATTTGTGACGATAATAAAATCACCATGGCAGACAACGATTCAAGATCGAATTCCGAATCGCAAGCACAGACACGCATCCCGACTCAGGCAGAGCTCGATAAAGTTGCCCAAGTCAACATCTTGGACAAGAATGGCGACAAGAAGCAGTTCGGCACACTCTGGAGTCGCCATGGAGATATGCCGCGTCGAACTATCGTTATTTTCATCCGTCACTTCAACTGCGAGGTGAGAAAGCTTGTCAGAGAACAACGATTCTGACGTCGCTGTAAATACTGATCGACCCCGTCCAAAAGTNCGTGTGCCGACTACGTGCGTGCTCTGTCGAAGGCGTTCTCCCCTGAAGATCTGGCAGCCAGGTCGATACCGACGACGCTTACGATAATCGGATGTGGCAGTCACACATTCATCTCGACTTACCTCGAACGCACCGGCTGTAAATTTGAGATCTATACAGATCCATCGCGCGTCACCTACGATACGCTTGGATTGACGTGCAACTTGGGCCTTGGGAAGAAACCAGACTATATCGAGAACAGTTTTGTGGGAACTCTGATTGGCACGGCAAATACGTTGATGACCTTGACCACTTCATCGGGAAAGAAGAGTCAGAATGGTGGAGAGCTCATCTGGATTGACGGCGATATTAAGTGGGCAAGGAGGATGCAAAACACACGCGACCATGTCGAGATTGAGGATTTGAAGCATGTGTTGGACGACCAGGAGAAAGACCTCGAGAAGAGCGACATCGCATGAGCTCGGATACATACTACATAATATCATTCATTCTACGAACCAAAAGTCTCAGGACAGATGATCCATCAGCTCAAATACGATGCTTGATGTAGATATAATCATACGACCAGGGTCTTTCCAACGACAACACAAGTTCCCCTCCATGCCCTCTCCAGGAGTGTCAAGATGCCTCTGAAACGCGCACACGTGCTTCACTTCGCATTCAGTCATCTCCATCCTAGGGGAGCAGCCGTTGACACTACTAGCCCAATATATCTGGATCTGCGGCGCCTCTTCTTGCGCGTTTCATACGCTGGTATGCCGCGATGCGGAGGATCTGCAGGACGAGAAGGGGGCAGCCGCGTGCAGCGGCGCGCGTGCACCAAGACAGCAGATATCGCCGCAGGTGTGCTCGGAGGTGCTGGGTTTAACACGGGATCTTCTAGAAATGCAAGGACATTCTGTGATCAAGCGTGATCTCGAATGAAGACTACATGAGTGGAACCAAAGAAGCGCGGCGTGTGGCTCTGGAACGTGAGCGAAGCGTGCCTAAGCGCCGAGCTGTCAAAGGTAAGGTATCCAATCAAGGGCTAGCGATTCATCTAATTTGCTTGCACCTTTGTTGCGGGTCGTAAACTCAAAGAGCGGTGCTTTTTCATTCAGGAGCTTCACCCGCGGCAGCCTGTCCGCACAATGGAAAGACATGGTGCCAGCAACATCTAAGGCGCATTAGTGTGCTGGCCGTTCGGAGATGTGGCCTGTCATGTGGCAGAGGGAGATTTGTGAGACGTGTGTGGATGGCCTCGATGAACAAACGAAGAAGACCAACCCGCCGCTGCACCATACCGCTTCTGGACAAGCCCGTTTCAGGGGTTCGCTCTTCCCTCGCTCGCAAAGAAAGCAGCGTGTGCCAAGTTGAGCTTTGTCCCCTCCTCCCGCTGCCTGCCCCTTCGCGACCAAAGAAGGGTTCTTTCTTCTCTTTCTCTTTTCTTCTCAGTGTGCCCTTTTGCAACTACTCGGCGCCGTCCTTCCTTCCCTTTCTGCCTTCATTTGGTGACTGCAGCCTTGTTTCATTCTTACCTGTTTGTGCGTCGGACCTTTTGCGAATTTAATAATCTCCCCAACCCGGAAGGCGCTTTCTCTCTGTGGGCGCGCTCAATTGTCTAGCATCCCGTCGCTGTGTTCTTGTTGAGCAACTTCACAGCCCCCTCGAGCTTGACACCTGACCACTCTCATCACTCCGGAACACTCCAGTTTCTGAATCTCTCATCAGCACATCTACGCACATCCATCTGTCTCGCGCACTAGCGTCAACGTGTGCCTGTTGACAGCCCTGTTCCGATACACGCGTTGGTCCTTGACATCACACTGCACGGCAACACGACAAACACTTTCCTATAGTGTAATCATACGCATACAACACGTCTGTCTGGTTGAAAGACCGACAAACATTTATCTACTCGACTACATCTCATATCGCGTCGGCCCACCGGATCTCTCGGCTCCCACCGACCGTTTGTGTGATATCAGTTTAGCATCACTCGGTGTAGCTGCCTGCTTGTCAAGCACTTCGCCTCTTCCACAGCCAATCCTCTCTCTACTTCTGTACAAGACTCAACCTTGACGACAGGCTTCCTGGCTTGCCCATATTCTAACCGGTCCTTCGACATAACGCTCCGCACTTTTGCACGAAGCACATTTAACGACCCTCCGCATCATCTTCACTCAGCATCATCAACATCATTTCAGCCCAGATCTCACCTGGTCTCACGAATCAAACTGTAATAATGAGCATGGACGCTGGCGGTCTCGCTCAGATGACTTTCAACGGTTTCTCTTCCAACGGCCTTGGCGCTCCCGGCTCTGGCTTTGCTTCTAGAAACAGAGGAGCCCATAACCACAAGCGCCTTAGCGTTGGCCTCCCTCAGCATATCAACCCTATTGAGAACCACTCCGACTCAAACCCTACACCTCGTACCTCGCGCTCCCACCTCCTCGCCGGTCTCCGTACCGCTCCAAAGACGCCGGCCGTCACGGCCTCCGCTCCTTACAACCAGCTAGACTACCAGTCTCAGCTCAGTGGCATGGACGCCAATACATACAACGCTTATATGCAAAGTGTTCCTCAGTCAGCCACTGCTGCTAGTTTCGGTGGCAACCACTACGGTGGTCGCCAGCAACACCAGCAGCAGCGTCATCAGCAACAGCAACAACAACACATGTATTCTATGCCCGAGCAGGTCTTGGCCCCGCCCACCTTCTACGGTCAGGAGGCCGAGATGGACCCCAACGTCATGGAACAGCTCCAGCTTACCAGCCTCTTCCTCGCTCAGCGCCAGCAGCAACTTCAGCAGCAGCTCGCCGCTATCACTGCTGCCGCCAACACTGCTCAGTTGCAGGGCTTGAACCTCGCCCAGTTCCAGCAGCCCATGTCACAGATCAATGCCTATGGCCAGCAGCACGCCCAGCAACAACAGTCGCCCATCGAGGTCCCTGGTCAACCTGGTCTCTACCTTGTGTACAACCCCATGACTGGCCAGTACCAGTACGCCGTAGACAACAACGCACAGTCCCCCATGTCGCCTGTCTCGCAGCACCAGAACGGCTTCTTCAACGTTGACACTCCTCAGAAACAGCAACAGCCCGTCTTCCGTGCCGAGATCTCGCCTCCACCCACCGAGCGTCCTACGCCAACTGGTTCTCGCTCCATCACTCCTCCTAAGAAGACATCTTCGCCTGCATCGAGTCTTGCTCACGTCGAACCCCTTCCTCCTCCGTCTGCCAACGCCTTCCGCCGTGGCCACAAGAAGGCATCTTCTCTTGCTATCAACGCCCTAACTGGAACATCTGATGGCCCCAAGACAAGCAGCGTTGCTACTTTCGGTTCTGCCAGATCCGTCTTCCCACCCACCCCAATGACTGGCACTTTCGGACCTGGCGCTGCTCGTGCTGGAGAACATCCTGTTCGTCAACCTCGTGGCCCACCTCCGCTCGAAGAACTCATTGCTTTGCCCACCAGCAAGCATGAAGGCAGCAAGAACTTTGCCACTCGTCAACGCCGTCGTGCTCTTGACAACCTCGTTCGTGCTGGCTCGTTCCGTCGTGCCGTCAGCGGATCCCCTCGCGGTAGTCCTATCAGCGAGCGCGAGCTTCACTTCCAATCAGAGGAGGACGAGCCCTGCTTCCGCAAGCAGAGCCCTATTGGCAGCGAGCGCAACGCTAAGAGAAGCTCCAAGGACAGCCTCGAGGGCCTTGGTGCAGGTGGCGCCGTTCACACTCCAGTCAGCGAGAAGGGAGACGCTTTCGACATGGGAGCTTTTGCTAAGCAGCTCCCCAGCCCTATTCAGCAAGGTCTCGGCCGCAGACACATGATGTTGGGTGTTCTTAGCGCAGCTGAGAAGAGAAAGAGCATGTTCTAGATGGAAACGGTGGACATCAGTATGGACGACACAGACGATGCAATTTTTCGTTTCTGGATTCAACTCGTGGTTGGGCAAGGCTTTATGATTGGGCACTGGGAGTCTGAGAACGGGTTTGGTAACTCGGAACGTGTCAAAGACTTTTTCATTTCTACCCACAAGCTCCGGCAAAGGCAGTGACTTTAGGGCTGTGCCCTTGAGTCTTGTGCAGTCAAATTGCCTGGAGAGGGGCGAGTTGTTATTTTTTTCTTTTTATATTGCCCCAGCAAATGCCTCCCGACTAGCTTTTAATCGATACTTCTCTTCTCGCAGAGCAAGAGAAAACATTCCATGTACAATCGAACCCTTGAACTGTAGATGTTGCCATGCTTGCCGAACGTGATTGCCATGCCACGGTGTCGGCCGCATAGGGTTCGTTCCGTTGCCCCGCTCCGTGCCCTGACTTCTCCACCACCTTCTTCCTTCCTCTCCACACAACTCACCACAATTGACCACAATGGCCTCCGTCGAAAGTGTCGCTAATACTGCAAAGAAGTTGGAATGTCGGTTCTGTCAGAGAATCTATTCCAAAGCAGAGCATCTGACAGTAGGGCAAAGCTTTCGTAGTATTGATTTGGACGGTTGCTGATCCGCCTTCTCCAGANGACATGAACGTTCTCACACAGGTGTGCGGCCGTTTACTTGCAAAGAGTGTAATCGTGCTTTCAGTCGACAAGACTCGTTGGCTCGCCATGAGAAACTCCATCTGCGTAGAGGGAGCATGAAATGTGCCTCGCCTGCTGCCTCGACCTACACGCCGGCCAAATCGCACGCACTGCAGCATTTGCTGGCAGCTGATGAGGAGATCGACACACGCAGTTATGTACCACCTTCGGATCATGGTACATCGCAAAGCTGGCATGAACAACCATATCAAGTTGAATCTGACATGATGGATATGCATTGTGCCACGGATCTCGACTTTCAGTTGATATGGCCTGATTCTGAGGAGTTGTTTCAGTCAATCATGTCTACAGATACTGCGTCGCAGATTCCAGTGGGCACTCTGCCTTTCCCTCAAGGCTTAGAACAATTCACACCAACCAGCCTCGACTCGCCCACTTCCTTCGATGACCGAGGATCGGCCATCAAGGCCATTCCCAATGGTGGTGGCCACCAGGCTGTCCATGGAGTCAGCAAGATGATCTCGAACCTGGTGAGAGGCTTGAATCATGTAGAGTGTTTCCTAGCTGACCTCTTTAGTNCGTCAAGTATCACCGCAGAAGCAGAGGCTACATCCATTACCTCAGTGTTCTTGGATGAGTGCCTGCACATGTTCTTCGTTCGCTTCATACCCACGTTTCCCGTCTTGCATCGCTCAACCTTCGTATTCAAGGAATGTACTCATCCAGTGCTGCTCAATTGCATCGCTATAGGATCTTTGTATCTCGGTCCCAAAGATTCTATTGCAAAAGGTGAAGCCCTGTGGCGTCTTTCGCACACAGCAATCGCGACCTCATGGCAGAGTCTGATTACCCATCGAGGGCCGCACGATCCGTGTAACGGACTTCAACTCGTAAGAATGAATTCCATCACCAGAAGCTATAACAGATCTAACATGACTTAGGTGTTGGCTGCCTTGCTCGGTCAGGTCTATGCAGCACTTTCAAAGGTAAGAAGCTGTGCCGCATACCACTCACAATTACTGACAAATTAGAATCGTGTACTTCGAACGACATCGCAGATATTCCATGCTCTCGGCTTCTCCTGGGCCAGGCATTGTGGCATGTACGATAACGACACATTCTCGTTGGATAGTTTGCCTTCGCTGGACGCGTCCCCTGCGGAAAAGGATCGCCAGTGGAAAACGTGGGCTGCTCATGAGATTAGACGAAGGGTTCTCCTCGCTCAGTACATACTAGACGGGCTCGTCTCATCAGCTAGTGGCAACCCTACCTCTGCGCGACACGCTGCTAACCAGCTTGGACTGCCTTGCGATGAGAGCTTGTTCGAAGCAAATACCGCGGATGAGTGGCTAATCAAGATGCGATCACAACCCAAACAGGACATTTCTTTCCGCAACATCTTCCGATCGTTGTTCTTGCCTGTCGACATGGGAAGATTACCAGACCATACTCTAACCTCTTTCTCATTGCGTGTAATCTTGGAAGGCGTGCAGTCACTCGTCTCGGAATCCACAGATGGACCCTCAGTAGGCGTTCCAACCCGCTCTGAGATCCGCAGAGCGTTGGCCCAGGTTCACGAAAGCGTCACCAAGAATGCGATATCTACTCCGGAGACGCTTGAGGCTCTGTTGCGATGGCACTCGATCTGCCTCGATGCGGCCACGGACTCATCCATGCTATGCCGCCATCTCTGCGTTCGCTACAACATCCCACAGCATGTGCTGGGAGGTAACAAAAGCCTCAAGGCAGGGCTAGATCTGGTCGCCTGGGCAAAGACTGAAGACGCACGCAGAGCGTTGCTCCATGCTGTCGCTATTCAGGACATCGTTGAGCAGCTTCCTCGTGGTCGTGCTCACGTACTTCATATGCCTAGTTCGCTGTTCGCTGCGGCCACGGTGTACAGTGTGTTCTCACTAGCAGGGCATACAACGGTCAACCTGCCCCGTGTCGTCGACTGGACGGATGCACTCTTCACAGAAGTCGACCCATGTGTCATTCTTGGTGACCTCGCAGGCACATCGGCGGGATCGAGCACGACGAGAAGATTCGTTCGTGGCGAGAAGCTCTCCGGCAGTGGCTACGAATCTTTGACTCGCAACTTGTTATACGAGCTCAACTCGATGCAAAAGCTGTTCCGTTGTCTCAGCTCACAGTGGGGGCTCGCATACGACATGGAGTCTTTGTTGAATTCGTGGATATCTCTTTGTCACTGAAGCCTTCGGTTGTTAACGAGATGGATGCACACGTATTCGAGAAGACACATACGAAAAAGAAGGAGTACGAGCATAACGCCGCTGCCGCCTTCGAGGCGTTGCTCGTACGTGTGCCGTACCCCTTACGCGCGGACCGTACCACCTCATGGGCCCCCATTTGTCTCGGTGACTGCTTTTATGGGTGCTAGCGATGAGTCGACATTGATCGTCGCTTCGAGGAATTTGCTATGATCCCATCCGCGCAAGAGCGCTGCTCCCATTGCTTCGTGTGGTCCTGGAGCTGATTGATGTACTCAATTCCTCGATCTTGAGCATACCTTCTCAATTGGATTGAGATCTGGACTGTTCGGTGGCCAGTCTTGAAGAATTGACTTCAGCGTGCACGGTGTACTGATCTTTTAGGACCAGCCATCGAACAGTCCGGGCCCCAATCCAATTGAGAAGGTATAGTCTATACTCAAGGATCGAGGATACTGGAATGAATCAGGAGTCACCGCAGCCGTGAAGAGGTGGAACTACATGTACGTGATGAATCTATGTCTGGAAAGATCGGTTGGTATCCGTTTCACGATGAATATTTCCGGAGTTTATTCACATTTCAATACAAATCGTTAAGCTGGCATGATCATGCAATGAGTGGTCTGTTTACATCCTGTTCTTGCTCTTTACTTCTCGTCTTCAAATACGGTGGTCAAGGTACCAACGTGTGGGTGAACTTCGACAGAGAACTCGTCGCCGTCACGCAAGAATTCCTTGGGGTCCTTGCCAACACCCACACCAGCGGGAGTTCCAGTGAGGATGATGGTACCGGCGGGCAAAGTGGTGCCCTGAGAGCAGAAGCTGATGAGCTTGGGAATGCTGAAGATGAGGTCGTCGATGCCGGAATCCTGCATGACGTTGCCGTTCTTGCTGCCCTTGATGTGCAGCTTGCTTGGGTCGGGGATCATCTTTGTGCTCGCCAATACAGGACCGATAGGGCAAGCACCGTCAAAGCCTTTGCTGTAGCACCACTGGCTCTGGGCGAATTGAGCGGCACGGCTGGAGACGTCGTTCGCAGCAGTGTAACCGAGAACGTAGTCGAGGGCTTCCGACTCGGAGACATTCTTGCAGGGCTTTGAGATGACGACGACGAGTTCGGATTCGTAGTCTGCCGTGTCGGAGGACTTTGTGTGCTTGGGGATGATGGTGGGGTGAGGGTATGGGTCTGCGAGCGAGGTGGCTGGCTTGAGGAAGATGACGGGCTCTGAAGGGGCGGCCATCTTGACCTCTTCGGCGTGTCTCTTGTACNNTGTTGTTCTTGTCAGAAGCTTGCCTATCGCTGGAGTCGAATTGAATCTTACATTCAGACCAATGCAGCGTATCGTGCCGACCTCCTCTTGTGACAATGGTGACAGCAGTCTGGCAATCTTCTCGGTCTTGTCTGACAGCGAACCAGGGTTCAAAGCCGACTTTCCGCTGAAGACCTTGACCTCGACCTCATCGCCTTTGCGGATAGCAAGACCGACATCGAGCTCAGCATCGACGGGCTCGCCGATTAGGATCGCCTTGGAGTCGCTGGCTGGGACGAAACGGACGAGACGGTTGAAGGACATTTCGAAAGGTATGATTCTGGTATCTGCTATCTTTGGTCTTGAGAAAGAAGATCAAGGGTTGAACAACACAAAAGGCTTAGAGTCTATGCCGATGTCGCGCAATGGATGCTATCACGAAACACATCAAGTCCCGCGTGCGAGATCCGCACCCTTGAGAAACACCTTCCCCACCTACGAGGGGTACAGGTGGGGATCTGCTCCTCGGCCGAAGCCATGCCGAAGACCGAGACAGAGCATCCAGAAGTGTCCTCTGTTGACTTGAAGTCGTATAGAAGCACAAGAGGGAGGACAGAACAATGCGAGCAGGACAGGCAGGCTTCAGAGTAGACTGCTCTTCCAGACAATGGTCCTTCCCACGTGTCGAAACAGCACCACCTGATTGTTTGCTGGTCAGAGCTCTACAACTGGAGGGTCGTGTGGGGCAGTCACAGAGTGTTTTGACAAGATAACCCGATGACGGCCGAGAACATCTATTCCATGTAGCTCTCCACGAGTGTTCTTGTCTTTTGTTTCTCAATCACACAATCCATATCCTTCACAACATGTCGACCACTAAGCCATTGGGACCTTTCAAGCTCGTTACCGTCAACACAGCACCTGAGCGTGCTTACAGGTTGATCGGCCGCGTTGTCGAGAACGTCAAGGACAAGTACACAATCATCCACGCTGGAAATGCAGACAGTAGGTTACGAGGACGGAAAGCATTGCAGACATTGGCTGACCCCGATATAGACCAAGAACAAGTTCGCGAAGTCGTTACCAGAGAGCAGCCGGACGTACTGGTGTGTCCACCCGAATGAGGCACAATATAGCAACGAAACACTGACAAGACGGCCAGTNTCACAGCATCCATGTGGACACCAGAGGAGGCCAAGAGCATCCATGCCGAAGCCAAAGAAATCATGGGTCCGCAACTAAAGACTTTCGCTCTGCCCCAGGGACTCCAGGTGTCGAGAGGACCGGATGCTGTGGTCGAGTTCATCGAGGAGAACTTGCCCGCTCTACTCGAGGGTTAGACAAGAGATAATGCCATATACCAATGCACATATTCCATGTTTTTCTCTTTACCAAGATGTATGAAAGGAGTTGAGTAGAAAGTCGAAAAGGAGAGCAGCAAGGCCAACGTCATGGTTTGGACAAATGGAGCCCCACATGGCTGTTGCGGTAGAGGCGCAATGTCAGAGTTACGCGTGTCCCGCGGATGTAGGTAGTGATAGATGGCTGTAGACATGCATGATTGATCCGGAACAAAGATTAGGTGCAGCGACAGGAAGCTCCTCCCGATGGATTGAATTCCAAAAAGATCGTGTCTCTGCACGGTGATTGGGTTGAAGAGGGTTGCGGAAAGGTCGGGATGATTGATGACGCATGACGATCTGCCAGATCCGGGGCTCTCTCTGCAGGCGCGAGCTTGTTTTATGGGGTCAACTTCTGGAAGCACTCAAAAGACGTTGACGATGATGGCGTGGATGATGATGATGTCCAATTGAAGTCTCTCTATTCCTTGCTTGTCCTTTATCACACGACTCTCAGACCCCTCACCGCCGCTCCTGTTCCCAATCCATACCCGAGCAACTGTTGCTCTCCGTCAGCCTTTTCACCGCAGCTTCCACACCGTCGCAACCATGGCCGAACTACACAAGGCGCTCGAGCAGTTGGGTCCTATCGACTGGGCCGATGTGCCGCAAGACCTGGGCCCATTCATGAAGAACCTCTTCGAGACGGGCGAACTCATCTGCAACTCAGTCCCACCCCCTTCTGGCGGCAAAGCCTACGATGCCTCGCAACCCACCCAGCTCAAGCCCGACACGGCAAAGTCGTCCAAAGATGTCGTCAACTCAGACGCCCGTCCCGTCGACCCCCACCCCGATCAAGTCGCCCTGCAAAAGTCTTGGGGAAAGCCCATCAAGTTGAACGCCAAAGACAACCCCTCGGAATCTCCGTCTACAAGATGGCGGCCAAAGACAGACATGGCGCATGGTTTGCCCGCAGGCAGGTCCTAGAGGGCATCTCTCTCACAAAGATACGCAGGGCCATGCAACGCGAGTTCGCAGAGTCTCTGTCCCAGTCTGGTGGTCCTGGTGCTGGCAACGTCCGTGGCATTGGCGGTGACCGCAGACTAGACAAAAAGGAGGTAGACGACGTGGGCAAGATGGAAGCTCTCCAGCTCAGCGCCCAGTTTCCTGGTCCCACAACTCCCAGAGAATTCATCACCCTGCTCTTGACCTCGGAGAATGCCTTGTCCAACAAGACTAGCCAGGACAAGCACCCCATTCCGAGACACTACATGGTCATCTCCAAGCCTCTCACACACCCCGATACTCCTGATCGTGAAGGCTACGTCAAGGGCTCTTATGAGTCCGTGGAGATGATCCGCGAAATTCCTCTGAACCCCGTCCCAGACAAAGAAGGGAACGCAGATGGTGATAAGCACGAGCTCAATCCTGTCGAGTGGATCATGATTACACGCAGTGAACCAGGTGGTGGCATTCCTCGTTTCATGGTCGAGAGAGGCACTCCTGGCTCTATCGCAGCTGACGTGTCCAAGTTCCTGGACTGGGCATGTGCCAAAGACGAGATCCCTGATGCAGACGCCGATGAAGAATTGCAGCAGAAAGCCCAGGCCGAGCAAGTCGAACAAAGGGGCCCGCCCCTGCTGCACAGCAAAACTCGCACGCACAGCAACCCGCACAGCAGCCAGGCGGCCTTATCGCCTCTATCACAGGCGCCGTGGAAGCAGGCATCGAAGCCTATGCTCCCGCACCTATCGCCAACTACACCCACAACTACATGCATCCAGAGGACGACACATCGGATTCATCATCTTCTTCAGACTCATCCGATGCCGCCTCGTTCGCATCTGCCCAGGACCGTCAACTCGACGTAGGCGACCATCCCGCGCAACATCCCGCACATGACAGTAGAGCCGTAGCCGCATCCACAGCCTCGCTAGGCGGCGCTTCATCAACCTCATCAACAACCCTGCCAATGGGCAGCACTCATCATGACAAAGAACTACGCAAGATTGACAAGGACCGCGCTAAAATCGAAGCAAAAATCCACAAGAAGCAAGACGCCGAGGCCGTCAAGCTCGCCAGCCACAGAGAAAAGGACCCCGAAGACATTGCCAAATACCAAGAAAAGTACGACACCGCAATGGCAAAGCTGTCAGAGAAGCGCGAAAAGGAGCTCGCCAAGCTGGAGCAGAAACGTGAAAAGGAGATTTCCAAAGCACAGAGAAAGAGAAGTGTACAGCTGAACAGAGACGAGGCCAGTAGAGTTGCCAGGGAGAGAGACGACTTTAGACATCAGGTCGACATGCTGAAGCGCGAAAACGGTCTGCTTAGAGAGCAAATGACCGACCTGCAGCGCGAGAACGCCATACTCGTCGAAAAGGTTAACAAACTCGGCGGAGTCGGCGCGCTCAAAGAGATCAAGACTGAAGTCGAGCATCATTGAGCCAAGAGTGCATGCATTCACTTACGAGGATTGAGGATTCCAGCATTAATATTATCGTTCTCTTTTGTTCTTGTTCCCTACCAAAGTTTCATCTCGTCATTTGTTTATGGAAAGCGATTCTTGTGCATTTTGTTCCTTTCTTTCCACGTTCTATCATACATACTGCGAGGTCGACTGAGAAACGGGAAGGCTTTGCTGATGGCTGGATCCTTGTATAATAAGGAGTCTAGAAGGCAGATGGCAACATAACGAACCTAGAAGACATGTGATACAGTTGGCAGCACCAAACTCTAATGATACAAGACTTCTTATGCAACCGTCTTAGTTGTCTCGAAGCAGGAACAAGATGGTCTAGCATGAGTTCAAAGAGTGCGAGAAAGGCACAATAAAGGAGCACGATTGTAGAGTTTCCCCATCATACACACACACATCTAACATTCTATACACAACATTTCGTCCCAAAGACATCTTACAAACTCCCTTGCATCAAATCTTGGTTTAGATAACTCCGATGATCTTCCGCTTCACTCCTTTCATATACACATACATACTCAGTCAATCATTTACTTGTTCTCGCTATTGTTGTTCCCATCATCCTCGAACCCATGCTCTGGCATCAACAACCCAGGGTGTGCGCCTCCAAAGTCTGGAAACAGGGAGTTGACATCGAATCCTCCGACAGAGTCTGCGGCGAACAAACCGCCTGCGTCATCACCGAGTCCGCCAGCGCCCACTGAAGGTGGATCCACATTGAAGGGCATGAACCACGCAGAGCTTTGATCGTGCCACGCGTTATTGTTGCTGTTCATTCCAAAGTCAAAGGCGTTGAGGTCGATGGAGAAGGGGTTGGCGGTGTTGGATGACGGATCGAGGGATTGGTAATGTGACATGTTAGCATCGATACCGAGCATGTTGCTGTACTGTTGATGCTGTTGATCTGGTTGCTGCCGTTGCTGTTGCTGCTGTTGCTGCTGTTGCATCATGACCAGCTGGTCAGGGAAACTGGTGTTGTTTTGAGGACTCAAGACGCCAAAGTTGGTGTTCAAAGACCCGGCTGTCATCTGAGAGACCGTGGCTGCTGGATGTTGTTGTCTTTGCGCTTGTGGCTGTGCTTGGTTTTGCTGCTGATTTGGGAAGCCTGATGGGTCAGGCGCAGCTGATCCAGACGTTCCTGCCGCCGTCACAGCTGTCGCTTTAGTTTGGGATTCTGCCTTCCCGCGCTTCTTCCTGGGCGCCTTCTGCTTTGCGGTCTTGTTCGGAGGACTCAACTTCGAGAANAACTCTTCTACACTTTGGAGATCGTTCTTCTGACCCAATACCGCATCAGAGCCTGGCTCTTTCTTGACGTCCGTGACGGGCTCCTCATAGTCTGTACCACTGACGCCATGAGGATATCGGTCGAACCAATCACCATATTGGAAGATCGTCTCCTGTGGCTTCTGAGTGTTGCCAGCTTGCGCGCCTCTGAAGGCAGCGTCTGCATGTTTTCGGTATAGATCCTTAAGATTTTCTGTGACAAAGTGAAACATTCCCCAGTGTTTCTTCATCCTCGTCAGGTATTTGATGTTCGTCGCCAAGTTCTGTTTAGATGACGCTTCGAGTGCTGGATTCTTCGAAAAGACGCCATATATGTGTACTGTACTGGAGAAGAACGCACAGTACCCAGCAAACGGTGCAATCACCCTATGATCCATAGCTTCGTTGATCAAGACTGAAATCTGGTTAGCTGCATCCAAAGCCGCCCTTCCGCTCTCGGTGATGAACGCCTGAGGAGTGTCCCTGACGCTTGCCGACTTCGACCCTGGTGACGGTAATGCGAAGCGATTTGTGAAGCAAATAATCTGGTTGCATATCAAATGCATGAAGATGAACTGATTGGCAATCTTCTCGCTTGCATGGGTCTCGAGATTCTCATGCGACCATTCGAGCCATCTTGGGAGTCCAGTTTGCCATTCGCGAACAGCTTCTTTTATGGCATGGAACTCTGATTGAGTAGACCACATTGGCTCCTTGTCTCTCTCTCTTCCTCCTAGATTCATATAGCGGATCACGCGACCCCAGATAGCTACCAGTCGGATTATGTATGCAGCCACGCCCATATTCTCGGTGGCTGAAAGCGCGTGTGGTCCAGCGTTCTCAGCACTGTCAGAGTTCGGTCCTTCGAGTACTTCCGTTGTGCCCGGAATCTCGAATTGGAAAAAGTGTTCCTTGACGGGCAGTTGAGCCTGGATGTACTGATCGTTGACAAAGAGTGGTCGTTCAGTTCCCGACGAGTTGAAGCGATCCATCNNTAAACACGTTAGCCATTCAGTCGACACGACACAGTCGTGGTGAGATCTGGTTACCATGAAACAAGCCCACATCGTACGCCTCCTGATCTCCCGATCAGTGAATGTGAGCTCTGCACTGCTCCCTGTAGCGCGTGACGAAGTGTCGTGATTCAAATCTTTATGCAACTGCAAGGCGTATGCCATGCGTTGGGCCATACCACCAAGCATCCAACTTCGACCACCTTGACAGGTTCCAAATTCGTGCAATCCAAGTAAGAGGTAGACTATGAGGATTGTAATGTTTGGCGAATCGTATCTCTTCAGAGCAATCTCCCTCGCTGCACTGGCCCAGTTCTCGCCTCGTAGGAAAGCAGGTTCCGTCTTGACGTCAGGGTGTGATGAGAAGCGAGCAGAGATGGCACATACGGCCAAGATGAGCACCGGCGGCACCTGTCCGACTTCAAGTTTTCGCATGAAGCTTGGTTTATGCAGTAGATGATAGCTCTGACCGTAAACATAATCGAAATACACTTCGGCCAGATGAATCTGCAACTCGTGGGAAGGCAATTGGTCGGCTCCATCTTGTAGCAGTTGACGTTCATCTTGTTCTTGAGGACCTATCCTCAACCGAGCTTCTGCGCTGCCACCAGACTTTGATCTTGACCAATTATTGATATCGTTGCCAAAAGCTGTATCGGCAGCTCTCTTTTTCTCGTTTTTCGAGGGCAATCCCGGGATAGCAGGCTTGACGACGGCTCTACCGATGGTTCCTATCCGGCCTTGGTCCTCCTTCGGCACTATTTTGATGACACGCTCTTCCATTCTCTTCAGACGTTTGTCCAACATGGCCATGTAATCTGTCCTTGGAGCAGCCTTCCTGGTGGTGACCTTGTATACGCAAGGTATGCGAGAACGCAGGCAATGCTTGCAAGCGGGCTTCTCGCCTGAACAACGAATCTTCTTGCGTCTGCAAGCGATGCAGGCCAAGGGAAGTCGCTTGCGCTCCTTTCCCGCTTTCGTCTTGAGCTCTGCCCATGCTGGTGTTGGGTCGTTCTTGTCTTTCTGGTCGTCTGGGACTGGGTGGCCGGTCGAAGGGTTCGTCGGGGACCTACGGATCCTGGATCCTGGCCGCTCACGGGANCTGGTCGCATCAGAGTCGGCGATGCTGCCAGGATGTAATTGGCTCGGTAGGGGACCTGAGCTTCCGATGCTCATGCGATGGTGGAAATGGGCGGAAGATGGCGACTGACCATCGCCAAGTTCGGGGATAGAGAAGTGGAAGGGAGCATTGTGCATCTGGGGAGATATGAGATGACCAGGATCGAAGGGGGCGTTGAAGGAGGTCAGGTTGGTCTCCAGGTCAGGAAAAGAATTTCCTGGCGTGTCAAAGGACGGCGACGTGTTTGGCGACATGGACATGATTGCAGAGAGCTATAACGGCCCATGTGGGGCCCTCTGCGAAAGCTGCTGCGAGCGACTCGACCGACGATGATGCCTGGTGCCTCCGGAGCGATTGCGATTGGCACGCTGTGTCTCTGCCTGCGGCGCGCCCGAGGTTTCAGCAACCAGAGCGCCGGCCGCGTCGAGAGCCAACGACAATCGTACGTTGGTAAGCAAAATCGATCTGATAGAGCCCCGCCTGAGCGTGGAGATGGCGGCGTTGCTTATAAATGATCCTACCAGCGACGATGTGATGTACGCTGGATTTATGTCGCAATACCAGTTCCTTGCGCAAGCAAATTACTCAGAAGCAATCATGTACTCAGTAGCTTTAGGGCAAGAAAGAAACAAGCCTGTCGAACTGCCTTTACATGTTGCCGTTGTCGGGGTCCTATTGACCGGCGAAGACTAGACATTATTAAGGTTTCCTCCGATGTGGAGCATGTGGAGCATGTCGATTTCCTGTTCACTTGACAGATACCTTTGCTGCTCTTCTACTGGTCAAATGCGTTGGATATACTGTTATTGCCAATTGCTACTGGTTGTCGAAGATGTCATCTCGTGTGCATCCTCGCTATCGCATTCAACAAACCCCTTGGCTCGAGTAGCAATTACCCTCTGCATGTCGTTTTTGAACTAGCACCTCCCCGCATTCGGAGTCAACCTCCATGATGCATCCATGCTGCACGTCCGAGACGTCCTACGCTGCTTACTCTTGACCTATCCAGCCTCCCGGGGCTGTCAAGTCTATACAGCATCTGTGCACATCGAGTTGCATGTTATTGGTGGTCTCAATCCGTATCGTTCTTGTATCATCCTCCCTTTTCTTTTGTTCATTATACTTTCTATGCTGGTTCTGACCAATCCACCTGTTCTGTTGTGACTGGGCTCCCTGCTTGTGCATAGCTCACCTTCAATCGCAAACGCAACTTCTGGGGAGGAGGNCTGTGATATTCGTTAGCGCATGCTTCGTTCGCAACATTCCTGCCATGACTTACTCCTTGGACGCTGATGATGCGCATCTGCTGTGTTGCTTCTTCTCCACCGTCCAGTTCACTTGAGCTGATACCCTGCAACTGTAGCTTTTGGCTCTTGGGCACAGCCGCTTGCAAGCCAAGATCTGTCAATCGCTCGAAGCCACCCGTGTTCCTGAATCGAGCCATTACTTGCACTGCAGTAGCGTTTCTCTGGATTTGGAATGTGACCAAGAGCCCGTTCTTGTCGAAAGCTGTATGGGTTGGAGGTCCTTGCGTCTGAGGTGGTGGAGAAGTCATCCCGCCGAACAAATCGGCACTCTGTGCGCGTTGTTGTGGCGGCGGTTGCGGTGTCGTTGCAGTCGACGACGTGTCAAATAGGTCCATGATTGAGCTCATGTTGCCAGCAGGCGCTGGCGATGTGGTTGGATGAGGCTGAGAAGGTATTGACACAGATTGGCCGCCATCTAGTATATCAGCGAGCAGGTCTGCGTTGTGTTGTGATCCGTTGATGGTTGAGCTTAGGTCGACAGCAGGCATGTTCGTGTCGCCACCCATCAGGTCCAAAAGCATGTCCTGCTCAGTAACCTGGCTAGGCTTCTTCATCTTGGGAACCTTTGAGTGTCGCTTCTTCGTCGCCTCGCCTAACACTCTCTGTTCTTCGCGAATCTCTGGCGGTGGCATGCGCTCTAGAACACCACGACGTACTTGATCGTATGCAAACAGGTTACCATACTCGACTGCACGCTGTTGGATTTCCACGTCGAGGTTGGTATTGTTGCTTTCCAGTAGCCTTCGCAATCTTTCGATCTGTGCGGGTTCCGTGAGACGAGTAGTGAGCTTCATGGCAGAGGTTATTATGTACTCCTTGACGATCTGGCCGGCGTAGCTGCTGTTGAGAATGCTGGTAAACAGGTCGACGATATCACTCTGTTTGACTTCCTTGACAAGCTCTTCTTCCTCGTATTGGCCGCCACGCAGAAGAGCATCACCGTACTCGCCAATCACCCAAGCACCAGCCAAGCTGAGTCCTTCTTGAGAGATGTCCTCCTTGAGAGTAGCGTACAGCTTTTGAGCTGCATAAGTTTGGAGCTCAGGGGTCGTTGCGATAAGCCTGACGAAAGAAGACAGGATTTGTTCCTTGACGTAATTACCAGCCAGTTTGAGAACTCTCAGCATCGTGTCCACGTGCCATCGCTTGTTAGGGGCGAATCTGTCTGCAGCAATACCAATTTGAGATGTCATGATCGGCTTGAATTCGGCGTCTGCGACCTCGAGGAAAGACAAAAGTTCGCGGATCAAAACTCTAACATTGTCTGCGTTGATCAAGGTGAAACTGAGATCCAGAGCTCTTCTGCGGATACTAATATCAGGGTCGCGCAAACAATCCAGGATGGTGTTACGGTGTCGTTGCACTGCATTGGGCTCTACAGCGACAACCTTTATTAGAGTGTTAAGGGCGACGTATCTGATGTTGTTGTCCTTGTTGGTCAAGAATTTGCCTAGAATGTTGACACCGAGGACGCGCAAGCCAGAATCGGCTTCAATATCCAGAATGGTCAGGACTGCTTCGTAGAGAATCGAGTTTCCAACGTTCTTGGAAGAGTCGGTGTTTGTGGCTACCTGGGCCAAAATATCGTTGATCTGTTCGCTCGTTTGAGCATCGCCACGACCCAGAGCTCGCAACAGGCGGAGAATCTTGACCTGCAAGAAAGGATCGGTAATGCCGGTAACGTCATGTTCGGGCGCATATCCGGAGCTGGAAAGACTCTTGAGGATCTTGACCAGTGTAGGAACAAGCGGTCTGAACATCTCAACTACACCCTGCTCTCCGCCCTCTTCCTCGTCTGCCTCGCACAAGCTCACGAGCAGGGTCATTCCGCACAAGAGGACACCATGGTTTCGGTCGGTCAGGAGTAGCTTGGCCTTTTCGTAGAAATGCTCCTGTAGGTCGGGGACTTTGTGGCAGATTCTCATGGCGCAGAGGGCTGCTTTTCGTCGAATGTATGGGTTGGAGCTGGAGAGGATGGTCTCGATATCCGGGAACAGATCGCGCGACATTTCGACCGAGGCGATGTTGCCGAGAGTGCAGAGGGCGAGACCGACGATGTACTGGTTGGAGTGCTTGAGATCACTGNNAGTGCTTGTTAGCAAGTAGACAAAGAGTAGACAGCAGTAGATGGGCAAATACTTGGACAAGGAGTTTGTGACGAGTGTGAGGACTTCCTGGTTCTCGTCGAGCAGCAGCATGGTGCCCAGATAACCCAGACGCTTGTCGGCAAAGCGAGGNGAAGCCAACAGCTTGAGACATTCTATCTGACCGAAGTGGGTGCGCTCGCCGAGGGTGAACAGATAGAGGAGCTTTGCGACGTTGTTGCGCCTGGTGTAAAGTGGTCAGCGAGGGGTAGGTGGGCGGTGATTGGAAGAGGCATCAAGATACCTGACGTTTGAGTTGTGGCTCTCTTCGCGAAAGCTGGCTCTGATGGCAGCGCTCTCTTTCTGGACGACGGCTCTCTCATCGGCAATCGTCTTGGCCGCCCTGACATTGCGGATGAATTGTTTGACTGCAATCGGGTCAGTATGGGGTTATTGATGGCAGCTGTCGTTGATGCTCACGAGAACTCATGGCGTCGACCCCTTCGACCCCAGGGAGCAGTGTGGAAGTAGACTAGTCGTCGGCAAAAGCTAGAGCGGGTCGAGTCGAGCAGATGGTCGGTGGGAGGATTTGAGAGATGGTCTCGACTTTGTTGTACAGCGTGGTCGCTGTGCCTCTCTCCTTTAGGCTTTCCGAGCTCGATCAGATTAGATATTAACCCCGTGAAGCTCTCCGCGATCTTGGCAGAGAATTATCCAAGACGAACAACAGATATATTCTCAACCCAACAATGAGTCACCTGCTATGACTTTACAAGCTATTCTTGACCAATGTGAGATGACTTCTGTCTGCTGCTCAGCGACTGGATGCCAGCACAGGATGCTGCAACTCCATCCTGTTGGTTCGCGCACTTGAAACCCTCCGTCCGTAGCCGTCGCATCACACGCCAAATTATATGCTACGTCACCGCATTTTCTCTAATCTCGTATGTTTGTTCCGGCGCTTCCTAGCCTTGTGGTTGTTCTTCGGACGCACTCCTACTCTTCCTTGTTCTTGTATATGGCCGCATCCTAGCAACCTACTACATCTCATTTCTTGCATCGTTCCAGGCCTGTCTTGTGCGCTTGGATTCCGAATCAGCAGAAGCCATCTGCATCTACGCGACTCCTGAATACATTACACGACAGCTACTCGTAGCCTGCATATCGACACTCACCAGCGGGCCATGGCAACTTCAACTGGCAGCGACACAAATGGCATATCCATTCAACAACCAAAACCGCGCCATCCGAACTCACAGTCCTTGAGCGCATACCACCAAGATGCTGCCACCGCACCTTCACCATCCCCTTCCAGGTACGCCAACTCCCTGATCGCTTTTCTCCCTCTGCGACNNAAATTACCTGACTCCTCCAGCGTTCCAAGTACGCCGGGTCCAGGTACTCCTACCAACGCCCCACCCTCGGTCAAAGCAACCACGTCGGCTCGCAAACAAGTCCGCGCAGAGCAAAAGAGAGCCTTTCCAAGGATACAATATGCCGCTCGTGTCAGTCACTTCGACCCACGCTCCAAACACTCCAACTTTAGAGGCTTCTTTGTCCTCTTCTGGATAGCCTTGACCATCATGGTTCTTACCACCATGCTGCGCAACCTGAAAGAAACGGGCTTTCCTCTGAGCATGCGCCAATGGGGCTTGTTTACAAAGAACATCTACGAGATGGCCATAGTAGACTTGATCATGGTTGCTAGCACTGGTCTAAGTCTGCCTCTGAACAAGCTGTTCAAAAACAGCAAGGGTTGGCTCCAGTGGAAGCACCAAGGCATGAACGTGCAGATCCTCTATCAGGCCTTTTGGCTATTACTGTGGGTCACTTGGCCCTTTGTACGCGACTGGACATGGACCGCCCAAGTCTTTTTCACTCTGCATCTCCTCGTCATGTTTATGAAGATGCATTCGTACGCCTTCTACAACGGCCATCTCGCCAGCACACTACAACGTCTGTCTGCACTCGACAACCCTGCTTCGGACGCCTCGACTGCTGCTGCAGTCAAGTACCCCTCGTCACAGACTCCGATCGATGTTATCAACGACGAACTGAAAGAGGAAGAGACGACACGAGCAGATTCTTTGACACAGTTGCGTGAAGACTTGGCCATGGAGTTGGTTTCTCCTTTCGGCCGCCTTACCTACCCTCAAAACCTGACGGTCGCTAATTATTGCGATTTCCTATTCTGTCCGACACTGTGCTACGAACTCGAATATCCCCGTACCAGCTCTCGCTCTTATCTCGAAATCTTTTGGAAGACTCTGGCAGTTGGCGGCATTATCTTTNTGCTCACCATCACTTCCGAGGAGTTCATCATTCCGGTGCTTGACGAGTCTGCTGAGAGGTTAGAACATCAGCACAACTGGCAAGAGGGCAGTCTGGTCTTTGCAGAGACGGTCAGCAGACTACTCTTTCCGTTCATGGTTGCTTTCTTGTTGGTCTTTCTTGTCATCTTTGAATATCTCCTCGGTGCCTTTGCAGAGATTACTTGTAAGTCTGAAGCCTTCGATCGTGATATAGAGAAGCACTTCCTAACATTTCTTAGGTNNTTCGCCGACCGACAATTTTATTCGGACTGGTGGAACAGTCTCGACTGGCTCGAGTTTTCTCGCGAATGGAACATCCCTGTCCATCATTTCTTCCGTCGCCACGTTTACTCGGCATCTCGCAACACCATGTCTCGACCCGTGGCCACTTTCATCACCTTCCTAGTCTCTAGTATAGCACACGAGCTCGTCATGGGTTGCATCACACGCAAGTTTCGTGGATACGGCTTCGTTGCCATGATGTTGCAGATGCCGATAGTCTTGGTTCAGCGCAGCCCCTGGATCCGCAACAGGACCATCCTCAATAACGTCCTGTTCTGGTGCAGTATGATCTTGGGCTTGAGCATGGTAAGTGCTATCCTCCTTTCCCTGGACCAGGTTTTGATGGTTGCTGACCTCCATGGCAGATGTGCGCGTTGTATGTTCTGTTGTAGATGTAGTCAAGAATGGTGCCCAATTGATCCGGGCCCCAAATCAGACACACTCCACTCCACAGTTTGAAAGCTCAGTTTTGGCGAGGCTTGACAATTCCATCGTGAACAATGTAGTAGACAATTGTGCTGTCATCGTCCACTGTAGCCAAGACAACTCTCTTCTTGGTTCTCCACTTGTTCGTCTGTTGTTCTTCCTCTTCCTCGTCGTCATCCTCGTTTGGCGGAGGCATAATGCCAACCTTCTCAAACACGTCTGCGAAGCGCCTGAGCGTCCACTTTTCACGCAAATGGCTCGGCAACACCCATTCTCTCTCTGCCTTGACCTCGCCCAATCCAGTCTTGCCCTGCGCCTTCTGTGTCTGTAGGAGCGCAATCTGCTCGTCTGGGTGGATGTACAGTCGTTGTGGCGGCGTGCCACTAACCATGGGTCGTGGAAGAGGGGTCGAGTCGAGGGGAGAGATATTGTGGACGCGCAGATCGGTCCACAAGTGTTGATGCTCGAGGTTGTGGGCAATCTGGACGGCAAGGTTGACTAGATGCTGAGGGTGCGACGATGCGGAGGATGAGGTCGTGAGGAGGGTTTGGAGAGCTGAGGGCTGAGGCTCGTTCAGCGTGCTAGCTTCGGCGGCCATCTTTTCTTTTGTAGAAGGTTGTTTTCGCTACGTCCCTTGGTCAGAGACGGGTGATGATGACTTGAGGTTTGCGCGCGGAAAATTGTTCTCGAACTGCTGCAGGGCAGTCATGTTGGCCAAAGCTTGGTGCGGGGTCTTCTTAACAATGATGATCCTTGTAGATATGTTTGTTCGTGAAAGTGGTCTGAGTGAATATATATATACATCGTCTTTTGTTCATATCGCATGATAGACATGTTGCTTCCTCTTTACAAGGAACTCAGGGGAAGAAAATCAGTAACGCCTTGCTGGGGCCGCATCAGTGCTCCCAGCCTTTCCATGCTATTGCCTTTGGGTATCGATTGAAACAGATCATAAGGTGACCAAGCGAGAGGATAATCAAACCCAAGGGAAAACGTCAATATCGCGCCATGCAAGTCACTCTTGCTTCACTTCTTGCTGCTGTGCCTCCTTGCCTCCCTCTTTCTCTTCATTTTGTTCTTCAGTACCTTACCGACTATGTCGTTGTCTCCATCTTCTTTGCAGCTCTTCTGCTCTTCGCTTCGCCTCGAGACGGTTCTTGTTTTGCATCTCCGCTTGACTTTGCTCGTAGTCGGGTAGCTCGTGTGCTGGTGGTGGTTCGTCACCGTAGTCGTGGGCTTGCCAGGCATAGGGTTCCGTTTCGAGTCGCTCCTGCCATACATTCGGCCCTTGACGAGTCAACGCAGAACCTCGGGGCTGAGGCTGCCTGATTGGCAGATGAGGTGAAGAATGCGACGGTACAGGCACTTGAACGTGTATGGTATTAATATGCGAGGTATGCGCTCGTGCGTATTGGGGCCGTTGTTGCGGTTGCGAGTACTCCAGTCGTGGTTGTTGTTGTTGGTCGCGCCATGACGGTGTTTCTCCGAATGAGCGGTGTAGAGGTGATTCTGGGGTAAATCCAGAGGTTGCTGCAACGAAGAGCGTCAAGTCCAGATCGTTTGAGAACTCATTATCACTACATCGTCTGTCGAGAGGTGGTATGGCTTCAGTGTTTCCGGTTCGAGTCATTTGCTCCTCGCGCTCCAGGTCTTGAAAGTCTGGTTGACTGATGCAGCGGGGTGCGGGATCTTGAACTGGTGCTACCCTGCCTTGATATTCCATGAACGAAGGCACTGAGTTCTGAGAGTGTATTTGAGGCCTGATGTGACGAAATTGTGGGTGATATTGGTTCATTGGTGGTGAGTGGTATTGTTGTGGTAAGTGTCCAGGTATGTTGTCTTGGTGTTGTGATTGGTTCCTGTAGTAGCCATCTTCTGTGTTCGTCTCTGCCCAGCGATCGCGAGGCAGAGACCAGTCTGAATTGGGATCCATCTGTGACCATGAATCTGCAGCTACGTCACAGTATAGATGATGATGTTTCGCGTAGCATGTCCAGTATGGAGAAGGTTGGTGAGTTCGATCCCGGTTCATGAGTGTGATGCATGCGATGCGACGATGGTGGGTGGACTAGTATGGTCGAGTAGATACAATGTTTAGCTGTTGGTAGGTGGAGGCGGAGTACAGGATCTGAAAAGCCACGGGAAACAGGGTAAGCCAACCTTGCATCTTAGATAAGGTGACAAGGTAAGCAAGCAACAATGGAAAGGCAAATTGACATGATCAACTAGCTCGTCGACGGTGGGCTTGTGGTTTTAAGAATACGAAACAGCCGTGCACACCGCGAACGCGAGGATACGCTAGAGCCAAATAGTCATAGAAATGCGGATTCGATTGATGGGATCGAGACCAGTTCCTGATGTTACGAGACAGGTACTGTGCTGACGGTCAAGAGCGGCGCCGATGATCTCTGCAGTCTTCTTGTCCGTCAGCCAACAAGTAAGACGATCCAGATCCCTGACTCTGCTTGTGCCTGTTCACGCGAGGACGAGCAAGTGGATGTGGACAAGAATAGACCACTTTTATCTCCTCCCACGTCAAGGGTTAGTTGGCCTTGGACTTTCTGGGCAAACAAAGTCAAAAAGCAAAAGAAAACTCGTCAAAGGAACAACCTATTGGGGAAGAGATGCGCCTCGGCAGGTCGGCACATACGGCAGTTTGCTCTTCCAGCAGAGTGTGGTATGTATGAACCGGGCGAGAACCTTCAGGCTTCGCTTCTGAATGCGGCCAATTGAAGAAGTGTGGATGAGGCTGTGGTCTAAAAATATCTTCCTGCTTGGCAGTGTTGATCCGTTCGAATCCTCCGACTCGGGAGCCGCAAGAAAAACGGTCAGTCAATAGAAGAGCCATCCGTCAAAGCAATAGCTGACTCTTATTTCGCTGCTAATTAAACCTTCGTACTCGTGCTATGGCAGTAATTGCCGGCCTAAAGACTCAGGATAGCCAGCTTATATCATGCCGAGCTTCGCTCTCTGTCGACGCTGCCTATTCAATCTGCAAATCCGTCACTTGGGCAGAGCCTCGACCTCACTGGGCAATCTTCGAAACATGCCTTCAGGAGCTGGATCATGCTAAACCGTCTGCCTTTGATGTCTGCTGAACAGAGCTTGCTCAAGCCAAGCAACCATGAGTTAACTTACAACCCAAGTCAGTGCGTCCATGGCACGAAGCACGAAGGCTTGAGACTGTGGTAACCCTGGTCTCGATACACAACTTGTATGTCACACTTGGCAATATCATCAAGACCTTGTCCCTTCTTCTCTAGTGCTTGATGGAAAGTATGGTTGGCATACAGGATTTGCCTTGAGCTCTCCCAAACAATTCAAATGCATGAACAATGAATAGGTAGAGTCTCCGATGTGGACTGTTGGAAACATAAAGCGTCCGCAAAGAACGGACGCCAATCAACGTCAAAGTCTGCCCACCTCATGGGGTTTTGAGAGCCCCTGAGCTCACAAGGATTTTGGTGTCCGTCACAGAGAGTCGACGCTCTTGAGATCCTCACAGCATGACTAAACCTGCTTCATCACATACCCGCCTCCAAGGCGGTCACTACGATGGAGATTTCTGAAGCCTCGGAGCCCGAGAAAACGACTGTGGAGACCCTTACGGATAGCGTACATGCCGAGAGAGAGGTATACCTATATATCATAAATGGCGTACAAAGTAGTGTCCCATTCAGCTTTCGGACAGAGATTGGTCGCTGGTTGGTCGCTGGTTGATCTTTGAAGATTATCTCGAGACCTGGTTATCTCGCTGACAATCTAAGATACCCTCAGGCTCTCTGGATAGGTATCCATGAGACAGGATTTGTCTCGTTGTCTGTTGTGCGTACTGTTGGTGGTTGGACTGGAGAAGGTTTCTAGAGAGAAAGCGGTTGTTGAACGCCTCTTTCGCGCAACATGTGGAGAACGATGCACGGTGCACGATTCGTCAAATTTCACTGGGGTTGCCGGTTGACGGGCCAAAGGCTCGAGCCACGGGCAAGCAACAGTCTCTGCTCGGTGCTAAAAGTTGTGTGCTTTGAGGACAGCATGTCTACGCATGTTCAAAGTGGTAATCAAGGGCCAAAGTCAACAGGAGCTGTGACCGCCAGGTGTGGAGCATCAAATCTGGGGACACGAGCGCGCCTTTGGATCTTTCATGTGAAGGCGTCTCCAGCATGCAAAATAGTTCACTACGAACGCCGCGGCTGACAATGATCAAGCTTGACGGCAGTGAGTGTACGATCATGATTATATGAGAGTGGTATACATCAGGCTCAGCGCTGGCAAGGAAGAGGTTGCACGGAAGAATTTACAATTGTTTATTACCTGCTTGCCGCAGCTGAAGATAAGCGCAGATCATCAGCTTCTGGAAAACACCATGAATGCAGTCTTGTCAAAGTGACGTGAGGGTGTTGTTCGAGTCCAGATCTTGGACTCAGGGGAGTTGAAAGGACAACCATCCGAGGGACGGAAAAAGCAATAATCAAGCGAATTGATGGTGTTGAGGAATCGACTCTTCCAGGTGAAGGCAAGAAGTGTTGAAGTTGGGGAAGGTGCGTGAATTTCCCGAGCTCCTTCCGATTCGTGCCGCTTAGTGCGCTAAAAATTCTTAGCCGGCCCCTTCTTATTTGAAGCTGCGTCTTCCATCCAACTTCTTCCCTTTCTCCATCCTCTCCTCTCTTTTTGTTTTATTTTCATTCAAAAAGACATCAAAATGGCCAACCAGGCTGACAAGAGCGTCTTCGGCATGCCCGTAAGTTGCAACGTCCAGCTGTCGCTCGCTGTGCGAATTCGTTGAGACCGTGCACTTCACAAACGAAAACCTCGACAGATCGCTGCATCCAGCTACAAGCTCATCGAGCTCAGAGCCATCCATGCATTGATCATCTGTCGAAGGATTGCGGTGAACGCGCACTCATCGAATTGGCACTGTGCGCAGTGGCAAGCTTATCTGGCCTTTCCATGCAGTCCACTAACAACCTCTACAGGGCTTCGTTGTCGACTTCTTGATGGGTGGTGTTTCCGCCGCCGTCTCGAAGACCGCTGCTGCCCCCATTGAGCGCATCAAGCTCCTCATCCAGAACCAGGATGAGATGCTTAAGGCTGGCCGTCTCTCCCACAAGTACGCCGGCATTGGTGACTGCTTCAAGCGCACCACCGCCGATGAGGGTATCGTCTCCCTCTGGCGTGGTAACACTGCCAACGTTATCCGTTACTTCCCTACCCAGGCCTTGAACTTCGCTTTCCGCGACACCTACAAGTCCATGTTCGCCTACAAGAAGGAGCGTGACGGTTACGCCAAGTGGATGATGGGCAACCTTGCCTCCGGTGGTGTACGTTCCAAACACTCTTGCCTTGCTATCTCGGCCTCTTACTGACCTCAATCCAGGNCTGCCGGTGCCACTTCCCTCGCCTTCGTCTACTCCCTCGACTACGCCCGTACCCGTCTTGCCAACGACGCCAAGTCCTCTAAGGGCTCTGGTGAGCGCCAGTTCAACGGCCTGGTCGATGTCTACAAGAAGACCCTCGCCTCTGACGGTATTGCCGGTCTCTACCGTGGTTTCATGCCCTCCGTCGCTGGTATCATCGTCTACCGTGGTCTGTACTTCGGTATGTACGACTCGCTCAAGCCCGTCCTCCTCACTGGTAACCTCGAGGGCAACTTCCTCGCCTCTTTCCTCCTCGGTTGGTCCGTCACCACCGGTGCTGGTATCGCCTCTTACCCTCTTGACACTATCCGCCGTCGTATGATGATGACCTCCGGTGAGGCCGTCAAGTACAACGGTACCCTCGATGCTGCCCGCAAGATCGTCGCCGCTGAGGGTGTCAAGTCTCTCTTCAAGGGTGCTGGTGCCAACATCCTCCGTGGTGTTGCTGGTGCCGGTGTCCTGTCCATCTACGACCAGGTCCAGCTCATCCTCTTCGGCAAGAAGTTCAAGGGTGGTTCCGGTTAAATGCTCTCTTCGCCAATCACTCAGAGCAAAGCACAGGGGATGAAGAACGAACGATGTATTACCTGTCTGCCGATGGAGGACAGCTCCAACTCAAAAGCGGCTCAATCGGCCTGGCGATGAGAAGGGGAGTTTGGGAAATGATGTTTTCTGTGGCGGTTTCGAATATACCAGCCTGTTCTCGTCTTTCCTCATGTATCACAAATAAATTTCAGGCGTTTTCTTTTGATCATGACCTCTGTTCCATTGATCTCTATTCGCAAGTGATGTCTTTGTTGCTGTTTCGGTGGTTGCTTCTTGAGCTGGTAGTGGTCTATCCACACGACCATGTTGCTAGCGAAGCCGCGAACCTGGCACTCAATGACCACACGCCTTGTTTACTCTTGATGCAACAAGCAGGCACATCTCGTTGCCTTCCCTCATAGGCTGCCAGCTGGCATGTTGGATGAAAGCCATACAGCTGGCAGATAGGCGTCACTAGACGTCACCATGTCACATGATCGACTTTTGGACAAAGGGACGACAATAGAAGGCATAGTCCAATGCAGACATGACCACAAGTATTCCTACAGCTACCCACGAACAAACACACACTCACGAGCAAGACAATCATGCCACCCATTCCAATCTACGCCGATGCGCCCATCTCGGCAGCCGCCAAAGCAGACGGTCCAACTCCTCAGACAGCACCCCTCCAACCCGGACAACCGACCTGCCAGCGACTACGACTTCTACAACCAACAATAGCTACCCAGCTGCCCAACCCGGCGCCGCAGCTGGTCCCGCACCCACCGGCAGCGTGTCGAGACCGCCTCCACCACCTACCAGCACCATCTCTACGAGTCTCCAGCATGATGGCCCACCACCCCCCAGCCCGGAGCTGTACCCATGCCCCCTCGCCGTCCACTCGCTCCAATGCCTACGACCCCACAAGTCCAGCCGCTCCCAGAGCACAACCCATGCCACACCAACTCAACATCCCACCACCCACGACGAGCGGCCTGCCCACCCACACTACAGCAGCAGCTAGCCCAACCTCGCCGACCCGCCGCCCAGTAACATTGCCAATGGGCCCCGTGTCTCCCACAATGCACAGCCGACCTCAGAGCATCTCCACACACCCACCGGGCTACCAGCAAAACCCCTACGCTGCCGAAATGACCTCTGCCCAGCGCGCCAGCCTCGAGGCCGCCGAAGCAGCAGAAAGAGGCCGCAAGTCCGGTCGCAACAGCATCAGCGAATGGATCACTGGCGAAGACGACGGCTTTGGCCGTCCGACCACTGGCACTGCAAAGGCATGGTTTAAGGGCGTTGCTTCTCAGGTCGGCGACATGGCTACCAAGGCCAATGAGTTTGCGAGCAAGAAGCTCGGATAGATTGGCGTTCTTCTTGATGCTGTCACACCGTTGCTTGGACATGGAGGTGTGATTCAAGATAACTGCCTCTTTCTAGGTATGTGGGCTTATGGTTTGGTCTTTGGTTTGGGGTTGGTTGGGTCGTAGTAGGGGGGGCATTCTAACATGCATTATGACTTTTCACGTCCGCTGATGTCAGGGTACGACAATACAAAAGAGTGCTATAGATACAATATCGCAATGCGCAATCGTTCAAACTATTTTTCTATCTCGTCTTTTGACAAGACTGTCACATTTCAGCTGTAGGCGTGCACAAAATTGCGCAAGAGGAGCGACATCCAGAGAAAGTCTGGTCATGCAAGACTTCCTGAAGCCCTTGATATCTGGACATCGTTCTTTGTCTTCGTAGCTTCGTTCACAACGTCGCTCAATGGTGTGATAGATATTGATAGTCAACGGAGGTAGATCACTTGTAGCGAAAAAGGTTGTGTCTGTCTTTAAATGTTCCATTTGATTTTGGTTCTATAATATATCCCATGTATGCGTGAGCAAAGGCTATCTTTCTCATCTATTCTCGCAAGAAACAGCAAAATCTAGTAGACACCTGGCAAGATCTTCCATTTGACGATGGAGCAGTAGCGGTCCCAGTCGTTGCCGTATTTGGCACGGCAGTGGCCGTCGTCTCTGCGCTCACGATGAATGAGGAGGATGCCGAAGTAGAGCATGTAGAAGTAGGTGATGGGTGTGCCCCAGCCAGCCATCTCGCCATTGGGTCCTTGGCTGATGATCTTGTCGCCAGTAAGAGCAACGGTGTGCACAACGTAACCAGAAAGCCAGGTAGGAAGGCAGTATGCCCACGACATGACCCAATCGCCGAGGTAGTTGATGTGACGGGCGGTTCCCCACCAGCCAGAGGTCAAGAGACGGGTTCCACGGGCAGTCTCGATGTATTCGAGGTGCTTGACATCGGGGTGGTTAGGGTTGGTTCTGAACTTGTTCTTCTCGCCATTGCTAGAGCGGAAGATGTAGTAGCCAGTCAGCTGGACAGCCATGATGAAGGCGACCTTTGCCCAGCCAAGCTGGACGGCGTGGATAGAGAGATAGCGAGCCTGGATGCTGTATATGAAAGGAACCCAGACGAGATCGCCAAAGGCAAGCATGCAGCCGAAACCGTCGGTGGTAATGTCCATGGTGGTCATGATGGCGGGTTCGTTCCACAGGGCATCAAGAACGTACCAAGCCTGAGTACCGACGACAATATACATGGAGTCGGTGACAGTGCCGTAAGTGCCGTATTGACGAGCGGCGAAGGCCAGATCAAGCAAGACCCAGCCAAGGAGACCAGGTCTCAGCTCCATGAAAGCCTTGATGTCGACCTCACCAAAGATGGGGAGTTGTACGCGAGGGTTGAGCTCTCTTCCGATGAACCAGTCATAGATCATGTTGCCAGTAGCGCCTCCCTGAGCGAGCTCACGGTTGTCGGGGTCATTGGGCTTGACAGAGAAAGAGCGGATGTAGCAGAAGGTGGCCAGGAAGTAGCCAATGAGGATGTTGGTGGTCAGAAGCTGGATGTAATTTTGGTTGATGAAAGTCCAGAGAGGAAAGTCGGCGCCCTGGAGGAAGGTACCAGCGGCGGCGACTGTGAGGATGAACATGGCCGAGGCAAAGGCGTTGAAGCGGTAGATCAGACGGCCTCCTGAGGCCAGAACGACGCCTTGAACCTCATGAGCAGGCAGGAAAGCTTGAAGAGCGAGACTGAGAGTGTAGTAGCCAAGGGTTGCGACAACGGACTGGGTGTTGAGGAGTCCAGCGAAACCAGGCCATCCAACTTCTTGCTTGAGTTTGTCGAGTGTAAGGGTGGAGGGATCGGTCAATGATGGAGGAGGACAGCCGGAAACATCGTTGAGGAGGAAAGCGAATATGTAGCAGACGAGGGGTAGCACGAACGAGATGCCAATGGCACCCAGANNCTGGTGTAGATGTTAGCGGATTGCCTCGAAAGAATATATCGAAAGGAGAAAGACTTACGGGCCGCCAAACTCGTAGCCGTGGGCTTGGTTCTTTACAGCCATTGTCGCGCAAAGAGTATGGTGGTGGATGGGGAAGGAGAGCGAAGGCGAAACATCAAGATATAAACATAGAAATTCGACAATGACATGGCTCGATTGAATTTAATGACATGGTACGATTTCGATCAGCCCTCGGCAGGCGGATCCGAACCCCAGGCGGCATCTAGCCAGAATGGGGCTCGGGGGCTTGATGACGGGATGGGGCTTGTCGAGGTACGCATCCTCCAAGCCCTGTACAACTGTCCTGCAGTCTGCGACCATATCTCTATCCAACAACCCACACCCGGCCATGCACTCTTCCATCTTGTACCGTCTGCTGGCATTTGGTCTGCCCGTCGCGCTGGCCGCTGCCGCTTCCGACGACTCCAAGGCCAAGAAGGAGAACCACGTACCCTGCACCATCCGCTCACCAACATCCGGCGCCTTCTTCGACCTCAACCCTATACACGTTATTCTTCCCGAAGATCCCAAGAAAGCGAGCAAAGACGCGCGAAACGAGTCTTGGTCTGCTCGTGGCTACGACTACGGCGCAAACTTTACCCTCAACTTCTGCGGTCCCATAGTCGAGAATCTTACAAACGTTGTTGGTGTTGATGAGGCGAGGTGGCAGAATGTCAGCGCTTTCTACATGTTGGACGGCAAGACATACAGCATAGGGTAAGATGCTCCTCCCCGAGACACGCTCGTACTACGCCGCTAACAGATTCATAACAGACAACAAAGCTCCGAGCCCGTCTTCCGCGGTCGCAAGCTCGTCTTGAACTACACTGATGGATCACCATGCCCAGAAACTCCTGTATCCTCTCTCAGCGCACGTGGAATCATTGGCGACGACGACGATGATGATGATGATGATGACGACAAGGACGACAAAGACCACAAGGACAAGGACGACGATGACAAGAAGAGCAGAAAGGGAGGCAGCAAGGAGCCCTCGACCCACCTTACCCGTCGCAAGAACACAATCATCTCTCTACTCTGCAACACCGATCCTCTGGCCCCTCTCAACACCGTCTCCTTTGTCGCTTCTCCCGATAGCTGCACCTACATCTTCGAGGCCCGCTCTTCGGCAGCCTGCGGAGGTATCGAGGTTGCCAAACAGCAGCTCGGCCCCAGCGGCGTTTTCGGCGTCATCGCCTTGATCGCCGTCATAGTATACGTTGTCGGTGGTTGTGTATACCAACGCACCGTCATGCACCAGAGAGGTTGGAGGCAGTTGCCAAACTACTCGCTCTGGGCAGGCATTGCCAGTTTTGTCTCGGTAAGCCCTTAGCTCAACTTCACATCATGAATGTTCAAACAAACGCTGACTCACGCTTTTCTAGNNGACATGTTTATCATTCTCTTCTCCTCGTGCGCCCGCTTCCTGCCCGGACGCAAAGGTTACAGCCGGGTAGGCAGCAACTTCAACAACGGCTCCAGCGCCGGAAGACGCGGCCGCTCAAATTCGGACGACGAGAACAGATTGATCGATCAACTGGATGAGGAGTGGGAAGACTAGACATGTTCTCGTCTCCTTCTCCTTGACCCTTTATAGCATTCTTCTTTCCTCTCTCTCCTGTTTTGTCTTGAGAGGCACCCAAAACGAACATGATAGTGGCGTTTGACCTTTTTGTCTGCTACGGCGGGCCTTGGGATAGAAATGACCTCTTTGGAATGAAAAGATTCGACTTTTAATCTAACCACTTATCTGAATTCATCACTCGTACACATTTAATATCGAACAGTGTTCTACTCAGAGATTCGATGGATTGTGCTTTCTATAGCCTGAAGATTAAAATGAGGGTACTCGCTATATGCAGAGGATTTGTGTGCTGAATCAACGAAAACCGAAGTGTGAAAAGAACAAGACAGAAACGACTCGCTCGAGAACCAGAAAAGGAAAATGTTCAGCGCCATCCCAATGCAACAAAATTGGTAACAAGAAAGGACAGATAACAAGAAACAGAAACCTCGATGAAGTAAACCACCAATCATCGCAAACACCGAGGTGGACTGCTATGCGACGACAAACCAAGTCGAATCACTTGTTTGCTAATGCCCTTCTCTTTCTTCCTCTCCATCGTCGCAAGCCATTTTTGCACGTTCTAGTCGGACCAATCCCAGACTCTCTTGAGGAACGAAGCCATGTTGACTCGCTTGGACTTGATTTCCAACATCCACGGATGTTCCAGCATCCGCCAGGGTGTCGCTCGTCGGTTAGGCTCCTTTTCTAGACTGCATCACCCTCAGTCAGCTTGGCTCGCATGTGTAGCGTTGACAATCACTTACCTGCACTCAATGAAATATTTGAAATTCTCACTCCATCGGATATCCTGTCCGTCGGGCGTACCAATCTCATCTTTGAGCTTCGGGATGGGCTGCGAGACGATATAGGTCAAGAGATCGATGAGTCCGGCCCTGGGTTGTATCTCCGTCCCATCAGCCGGGAAGGGGAATCTGTGTTGCGCTACCTCGAGTAGTGTGACACCCAGACTCCATACGTCGGAAGTGATTGTGTAGCTCTGGCCAGTGATACGTTCGGGCGCCATGTAATATGAAGTTCCGATGAAAGTGTTCGCGTCACCCTTGGTGCCGAATTCACCAGACACGCCAAAGTCGCATAGTTTCACCTCGCCGGATCGGGTGAGTAAGATGTTGGATGGTTTGATGTCGCGGTGGATGATGCGGTGACTGTGCAGATAGGTGAGTCCATTGAGCACACCCTCGGCCACTTTGCCCAGAACCTTTTCGCCTGTACGACCGCCCAGCTTCTTGACCTCGCGGTAGACCGAGTCCAGAGAACCACCCTCACAGTATTCCATACTGATTCCGATGGTGCCGTGGGTCTCATCGATGAATGCGCCGTAGTAGCGGCAGATATGCGAAGATGCGCAATTCTTGTTGAACGAGAGCTCGCGTACAATCTGTTTCTTCACGTCCGGGTTAGGGTCTGTGGTGATGATCTGGGTAAATGGTCAGCTGCCGATACTGCAGTTTGCGATCAAGACACAAACCTTCAATGCGAACACAGTCTTTCCACCCTTGAGTATACATCTGTTGACGGCACCTCCTGCACCCTCTCCAAGGCTTCCAAGCTCGACGATTCTGTTCTCCTTAGCAGCCACTTTCCAGCCAGCGTCATCCAGATCCTCAACGTCAAGTGCTCTTCCCTTCTCCAAACTCAATTTCTCCAGATCCGGCAATATTGCTCCTTGCATGCTGCCATCTCGTTCCATAGCAGCACCACCAAGTCCGCCAGCGGACGATGCCGAATATAACGAGCCAGCGGCAGAAAGAGGGTCTTGTGAGTTGGATTGGCCGCCAATCAATCCAGCGAGCGAGGCCGAGTACGAAGAAGCAGTGGTAGAGGTAGAATAGTTGTTGCTCGCACCGTTGCTGTTGGATCTTGAACGGGCACTTTCATCGCTACTACCACCACCACTCTGTGCTGTTGAGAGACCCGTCACTTGTAATGGAGGCAGTTTTCCTCTTGCGGCCCGACCGGTTTCTTGGGGGACCCCATGACTTCCCATGGGTGTGGCCAGACTTAGCTTCGGGGGAGCCTGACGAGGCGGTATTTGCAAAGGCGGCACGGCGTGTGAGTTGGTGGAATTGAGAGGTCTAGCACTGGGAGAGGGCGGGATGGCCAGGCCGAGTTTGGGTGTGCGTGAGGCACTTGTGTTCCTGCTACCGGGGATTGGCGGTCTCAGGAGTGGTGCCGGCGAGGCCATGTCGACCGAACCGACGGGCGGCCGCAAGACACCCGACGAGGACGGCGGAGGCGTAGACGGAGTCTCTTGGTGGTCGGCCACGACGGGCAGGTAACCGCGTTTGGAAAGCGGGGGTGTCCTGGGTTGAAGGAAGGGTCGTGGGAGCGACGCGCGGCGAGGGGTTTGGGCGAACGAGGCCGAGAGGAGGGAGTGAGCGACTTGTTGTAAATTCCGAACAGCTACTGAGGGCGAGTAGAATTCAGATGGGATGTTTCGACTTGACCAGCGGATCGAGTCAGTCCAATTCAAGACTTGGCAGGTACTCAAGGAGGGAAGCTACGACATTGGGGGTCTAACTAGCGCTAGAGCAGACCCCGAAGCCAACGCATCATCCTGCCGCTGGGGGACGACTCACTTCAACTTGTGTCCAAATATGTCTTGTGTGTGCTCACAGCCACTGTTGGAGAGGGCAGGAAGGCTTTCTAAACACAAAATGGGCAAAAGGAGGTTCAATAACTGGCTGACCGGTCGGTTGTCAATCTACAGAGAGGCGCAGCCGTGGTGCAGCCAATCCAATGCTTTACCGCCGGCCATTGCGGGCAACCCCATGGCGTGTTTCCATTGATGCATTTCAGCTATCGCGCATGCATTTAAATGCAACATGGTCTGCATCATGTGCGCTTTTCATCTCTGTCGGGCATACTGACCTCCATCCGCGCACCCATCCACTGCTCTCTGACCAACATTGGTCGGTCTGATCGTCGTCATCTCCTCCGTGCTAGCCGCCTATCGTGTCCAAAATACGTACCTTCTCTGGCCGGTCGGGTGCCATCGCGGCAGAGGCCACATACTACCGTGTGATTCTTTACCTCTTTCCATGTTTCAGGTGCCCGCGACTCGAGCGGTCGCCCACAGTATCTATGTACGTCTCGGGGCAGCAGTGCAACATGTTTTCTCCGAGCAACAGGGCGCACTCTCGCATGCTCACGCCTCGGTCATTGTGGACATAAGCACATGTCGGTTGTCAACATCTCAAGCTTTATAACACATGCATGTATGTATTGCGCTTGGTATCTATCGTGATATCATAATGGTTCCAATATCGCTTGCTTACAAGGCGCTGGCAGCGGTGAGCTTGCTCTTGAGGTCGTCCTTCTTGAGGGCCTGGATGTCCGAGTTGCCGCCAATGTGCTCCTTGTTGATGAAAATGTTGGGCACGCTGCGCTGGCTGGTCATCTCGGCGAGGGCGTTCTGGATGTCGGCACCGTCATCTGCACAAACAACGTGTCAGTTACCGGATTTGAATGAGCTGACTGGCACGACAGGCAGGGGCGACTTACCGATCTGGTCGAGCTCAAGAGCGTAGAACTTGGCGCCGGACTTGGACAAGAGCTCCTTGGTGGCCTTGCAGTAGGGGCAGTACGACTTGGAGAAGACGGCTNNGCAGAGGGTCAGCAAGTCGGCCACAAGGCTGTTATGGTGAAGGGGTTGCATACCAACGCCGTTCTGGTCGATGATGTTCTGTGCCTTGGCCTTTGCTGACGACATACTGGCGGGACTGGTCGCGCGTGTGAAGAAGCTTCGTACGAAGTTAATGGTGGGCGATTTGCGAGGGACCGAAGTCGTTGTTTTGATATTGAATTGATGGTGGGTATGGCGAGAGGGGTGTCTGGCTTGCTTTATTGGAATGAGAGAGCTTACAAAGCGGGCACTCGTTCCTCGGGCAAAATGACGTGCTGTTTGTTTCTGATTCCATATTTCTAGAAGCCGCTCAACTATCGCTATAATAAAGTATTCTCCGGCGCGCAGCTACTAACACACATCGAGAGCTGCATAGATTCGAGCCGAGGTATAGGTAAAGGTAACATGCAACCTTGTATGCGAAGAATACGCATGTGAAATGCCCATATCGCTGCACAGTTCTATGTTTCAGTAGAGAGGAAGAAGAAGGGCGGAGAGCTCGAGGTGGCTTGGCAAGAGCGAATGGCATCATGAGGATTGCCATGCTGAAACACACTCGACCTTTGAACATCACAACCATGTCCAGCAGCACAATGGCCACTCCTTGCCGGTCGGCGATGCGACTGCTCTCGGCCAGATCCAGGTACATCCTGCAGAACCCTCGTCTCAAGTCGCCTTTGACGCAAACTCGCTACTCGTCAAGATACAGCAATCCCGCAGCTCGTGCAACCGGCTCGACCCTCTCGGCCAGAGCTCCCTCTTTCCTCGATCAGCAACAGGTCGTCGACGTTGAAGATGCAGAAGCCCGCCCGGTCAATCCGCTGGACGAACTCGCCGCCCGCCGCGAGTTTGAAGCCAAACGTTCACATGCCATGCGGCGTATGCGATTCGCCGCTGTCGGTCTGCTCATGAGTGTTGGTGGTCTTGCCCTTACTATCTACAATCTTGATCTGGATGAGTTGGAAAAGAGTGCCAACAAGAAGAAGGCTCAACTAGACGCAGGTCCTGGCTCGGAAGATTTCCAAGGCCGCCACGTACATGTCATCGGCGCTGGTGACGACAAGAGAATTGTAGCTGAAGGTGACCAAGAGCTGGACCTGGTCAAGACGGGCAGTGGCAGCGTGCCCTACTTCCCTCGTAAGATCTTCCTGCCTATCCCTGGTTCAAAGACCGCGAGATCAGAAACTGCCCAACCCAACTCGCGCATCAACCCTGGAAACGTGCAAAACCAAGAGGAATACACCTTGGTCGGTCTCGGTATTCGCACTGTCTCCTTCCTATCCATTGAAGTCTATGTCATGGGTCTCTACGCCCGTACCCAAGATGTTTCCACTCTGCAAGCTCGTCTCATTCACCTGATCAACCCCAACGCTTCTACCCTTGTGCCCGGCGAGAAAGACAGTCTCAAGCAGCGCATGCTCGATCCCGACATCAGCGTCGAGATCTGGGAGCAGATGCTGCGCGAAGAAGGCATCCGTTCCGCCTGGCGTGTCGTCCCTTCGAAAAACACCGACTTTGCCCATCTGCGCGATGGCTGGGTCAATGGAATCAAGCGTGCCACTACCGAGATCAACAGAGTCAAGCAACAGAACCCAGCAATCGTCACCTCGGATTACGAGAACGAGTCGTTCGGCGACGCCATGCGCGACTTCAAGGGCATGTTCAGTGGTGGCCGTACTCCCAAGGGCTCTGTTGTGCTGATGTTGAGAGATGCGCCTGGCTCTATGGAAGTTCTGTTCGAGGATCCGGCCAAGGGCACTGGTATCGAGAGAGTCGGCAAAGTCGAGGATCCTAGAATCAGCAGGCTGATCTGGATGGGTTATCTGGCAGGCAAGAATGTCAGCTCGGAACCTACGCGAAAGGCTGTAGTCGATGGCTTCGTAGGGTTTGCTGGCCGTCCCGTTGGATCAGTGGAGACCATGGTGATCTAGTGTATATAGCTACAGTTCAATGGTAGATAGATCCCAAATATCTGGACAACAAGTCCAAAGGATTAACACGAACCTTTCATTGCAAATATAGTGGCAAATGCTTGTTGTCCATCGAAGATTGTAAAATGGAGTATGATTCCGCACGCTCAAGCAATATGTGCGAAGTGTCTACCCATAATAACCCCAACACCTTGCTAAAATCAAGTAAATATACACACCTTGGTCTGGAGCTACAATCTAATATTACCATTGTCACTACTACTACTACCGCCAAACAGCTTGCCAAAGAAGTTGCCCCCATATCCTGAGCTTGGAGCACCATCATCGTTGCCTCCGCTCATCCACCTGGGCTTCTTAATACCCTCTCCGATTTCCCGGAGCCACGCCGGTGTTTCGACTGTATCAAAGGTGTTGCGCATGCGCTGACCGACATCCTGGAAGAAAGCTCTTTCACTTGTGTCTTCGTCCTCCTCGGGCATTCGCGCAGCAGCTCTTCGTGCTGCAGAGGCGCGGTTGTTGTTATTGTTGTTCATTCTTCTTGGTCGATTGAGGTCGGCACTATGACGTGGTGATGGTTCAGCTGAAGACAGCAGACTGGAAGAAGCCAAATTCAGTTGTGAGCCATCGGCCTGGAGCTCACGTTCGATGAGAATGCGGCCCTCACGCCAAGTTCCTGCTCCCGGCTCGTCGTGTTCGTCTTCAATTACGCCGAAGCCGATCACATTCTTGACCTTGCCATAGAGGTTGAAGAGAGTCGCAACAACTGGAATTAAAACAACGATTGGGAAATAGGCTGAGAAGTTGCCAATAACAGGTGTGAGGTTGATCAGTCGCCCGAGGAAACTGTAAAAGGTGGTACCTTCGCTGATGGTCGGGTCGATCATGGTGATGAAGTTGAAGCTCAAAGGAACTGTGAGCTTAGCAACCTGCAAGCTATACCAACATGCACTCTCAGCGTATGTCTGGCGACGTACGAGTGCACGATTGCCCCAGACCTTGACTTCCGTTACAGAGTACAAAGCTGCAGCACACATGTATAGCAACCACGCAGCGGAAATCATCTGACCGGCGAAACCGATCTGCCCTCGAGAGCTCGAGGGATGATGCACGACGCTCATTCCAACCAACGAGAGCTTTGGTCCCATCTCGTGCACCACTTCTGACCAGAGCAGGCCGACAGATGCACAGGCCAGGAAGACACCTGCAACAACACGCAGAGTAGGCAAGACATGAACCTGGACATGATAACGCATGCTTGCTGCTTTTGGACGCTGTGACGAAGGGAAGTCGATGAGTGACTGGAATCTGGCAGCCTGCCTGACGAGGTGGTTCCACTCGCCAGTAAAACGTGCACGCTTGTGTCGCGCACGCTTTACTTTTCGAGATAGTTCTGCCAGATATCTTTCCGTCACGACGGGTGGGGGTGCGGGTACAGATGCGTAAGTAGCAGCAGGACGCGATTCGGGCAGACTGGACATATCGTAGAGTTCTTCGACCCATTCTTGTAGGTCCTTGGGTATTGTGTTTTTGCGCTGGCGTAGTTGAAGGACCTGAGTCTCGACTTTGTGTAGATCCTCAATAGCCTCATCCAGCTTCTCGTGTATGCCCGGCGCATGGCTCTGAAGCCTCTTCAATCGAGCGCTGACGCTAGCATCCCTGATCAGACGACGTGGTATGGCGACAAGTCCGTGACCCATGAGGTAGATAGCCAGAACCAGACCGTAGGCATATGCCATGGCCATGACTAGAGCCTTGAGGGTTGTAGTTTTGTTTGTGGTATGGTCATGGCGGTTCTGCCAGAAGAAGTAGATGGCGCCAGTGGTTCCGAGGGATAGTGTGATGAGCTGATAGCGGGCGTTGGATCTAAGAGAGTATATGAAGCGGTCCTTTGGTTCTCGGTATCCCGAGTCACAATATTCGCCAAGTAGAGGAAGTACAAACCTGGGTGAGAAGTGTTAGCTTAAGTAGTGTTGGGGACGGGTTGCCGAGTTGACGGACCATGTCAAACAAAAGATGAGCCAGTATGCTAGCCTCCAGGCAATCAGCATGACATTGTTGGGTAACCATATTCCTCTTTGACCATCGGTATCGGTGCCAGAAGACGAAGCCAAGTCGATGGGTACCAGGAAGACTATGGAGGATGGAAGCGCCAGAGCCAAAAAGACAGGAATCAGGAGGTAGGCAGGAGTTGTCCGTAAGGGAAGGTAGTATCGAAGAAGGAGAACAACAGTTGCCGAGATGGACAGTAGGGCGAGCACGGCGAAGACATCGGAGCCTACGGATGAGGAAGGCGCCATGTTGTTTGTCAATTGAACACAAGCCAGCTTATGATGGAGAACAGAGGGTGATCATGGTGTTGGCCGAACGGGTGGTGAGATGTTTGAGGGGGCTGAACAACGGTTGCGACCCGAAGTGATCAAACAATGTCGAAAGTTGTAGACTGCGGACTCGTCGGAAGGGTGGCAGCCGGTCGACAGTGACGCAGCACGAGTGATTGCGCCAGGGGCAGACGTTGGCAACGGTTGCGAAACAAAGAGGGCTGTTTTAGGTTCTTGGCCAAGGAAATCAATCTTCTGTGCTTGCCCCGCTGGCTTTCCAAACAATCTGTTTGAACATCTGACTGCCAACCCAGGCACACTCACTACACCTCCATCACATCAGCATACCTCTTCATCATGTCTGAAGCCGAGAATAAGCCCAAGGACGTCGTCGCCGACGCTCCCAAGACCGACGAGACCAAGACCGTCACCGAGCAAGCCACCGAGACCGCCGCCGCTGCCGCCTCCGCCGTCAAGGACAATGTTTTTAGCATGTTCGGTGGTGGTCCCAAGAAGGAGAAGGCCGACGAGAAGGACGAGGGCGCCGATGAGCCCAGCGGAAGCTCCAAGGCAACCGCCGCAAAGACCGCTGACGAGGTGAGTTCATCTTCACCCCCGTCTGCATATTTAGAGTTCGACACGAGTGCTGATACGAATGCAACAGGAGGACGAGGTTGACGACAAGGAGCCCGACGTTCACTTCGAGCCTGTTGTCCACCTTACCGAGAAAGTCGACACCAAGACACACGAGGAGAGCGAAGAGCAGACCTTCAAGATGCGCGCCAAGCTCTTCAAGTTCGACCGCGACAGCAGAGAGTGGAAGGAGCGTGGTACCGGTGAGGTCCGCCTGCTCAAGCACAAGGAGAACGGCAGAACCAGACTTGTCATGCGCCGTGACAAGACCCTGAAGGTCTGCGCCAACCACTACGTTGTCCCCGACATGAAGCTCTCCCCCAACGTCGGCAGCGACCGCTCGTGGGTCTGGAACGCTTCGGCCGATGTTTCTGAGGGCGAGCCCGAGGCTCAGACCCTTGCCATCCGTTTCGGCAACAGCGAGAGTAAGTTTGATGCTCAACATTTGCTGGTCAGGAACACATATGCTAACACATCTGCAGACGCCAACCTGTTCAAGGAGGCTTTCATCAAGGCACAGCAGGAGAACGAGGCTCTCTTCAGCAAGTCTGACTAGATTGTCGTTTCAGCACCAGCATGACCACGCCGCCATTTGTGCACCACCAAGCAGTAGCCAGGCCCAGAATCCCAAAAACCCCTATCCCATGCACATGCTGCATCTTCCTCACCCACACCACCATGTATGCCTGACGAAGACATCGAGACGCATCTTGCATTCAGCATTCTGGGCGTTCGGCACTGCATCCCCCTCCCCATATCCCCTGTCCTCTCGGTGACGGCTTTGAGATGATGATGAATGTTCCCCCAAGTCTCGTTAGCGCCTTCATCTAGATAGAGCACATGATGGTTAATGTATCTACGTTCTCTGACCTTCTGCATCCCCGCCACATGTGTGAAAGACAATGTCCTGTGAAACACCTTAGAGTGACGTCGTGTCGTTCTGCCGCAAAGGCGCTATGGGCATCCCCGCGAACTTTACGACACGCTCAGCTGTCGCGTCGGCGTCGGCGCAAAAGCGGAGGGTCCTTCTTACAATGAACATCGCTGCTGCTTGTACATTGCTGTGCTTGCATTCTAGTGTCTTATATACTTACGTCGTCGCGTCAAACCTCTCTCCGTTCGCAGGGTTTATCAACGTCTCACGATGCCTGACGTGCGCCCATTTCCGCCTCTATCAGCCCGCCGAGGTACTGACGCGCATACAGATTAAACGCCAGATCAAGCTCGTCACCGAGCAGCACGTCTTGTAAGTCGCTATGGACCGTCCTCACTGTATCCTGTGAATAAAGCCATCTGACCAGTGCTGTTTCACCGATAGGCCTGATGTCCCGTCAGAAGTCGAGGGGTTTCCCATGCGCGAATGGAGCATCGAAGTCTACGTAGTCGGCCCCAACGATGAACAACTACCCGCAACCTGTTTCGAGAAGGTCACATACCGTCTGCACGAGTCCTTCGGCAAGCGTGCCAACCAAAGTACGCCGTCCCCACCTCGACTTGGCCCTCGAACTTCCCTCTGAAAGAGAACGATATTGATGCGGATATATTTTGCAGGTCTCAAGCAGGCTCCCTTCAGGATCCAAGAGCAAGGATGGGGCGAATTCGACATGTCCATCGTCCTCACACCCTTCTCCCAGCCCAAGGGCGAACAGACCATCTTCCACGACTTGAACTTCCAGCAAGAGCGCTATGAGAATCTGCAGCAGTTCGTACGTTGTCCCCATGTCACTGTACTCATATCAGAACTGATCCGTCATGCTAGANCTTTCCGTAATCCCAAGCCTGAACTTGTCGAAAGACTGAGGGAATCCGGTCCCGTCGGAGACGCCAATGGTGCTGCTAAGCCCGAGAAGAGAAAGAAGGCATCCAAGACTGTACGTTTTCCTAGCCCACACCTCAGACGTAACTAACAAACACGATAGCAAGTCGACATGGAAAAGCTGGCAGAGGGTCTGGAGCGACTTGGCGAAGACGACCTCTTGCACGTCGTCCAGTTGGTACACGACAACAAGACCGAGGAAACATACACTAAGAACGACGTCGAGAGTGAGTTTTCTATTCATCTCATCGATTCTCCAGTACTAACACGCAATACAGACGGTGAGTTCCATGTCGATCTCTACACTCTCCCCGACCAGCTCATCAAGATGCTGTGGGACTTCGTCAACCAGAAAGTCAACATTGCAGAATTTTGATCATCTCAGCGATTTACTTAGCTTTCGCATTTGCTTTGGGTTCATACAGGCTTAAGAGACGCCTGTCGAAGAGTGGAATCTTGCTATCCAGACCACACACGTGTCAAGACCTTAAAAGCGGCATGGACGCAAGGGTCGGAAGAATGATACGAGAGGGTACAGACGCAGCAGCAACAAGGATTGAAAGGGCGTTTGACGACAAACATAATCGATACCCGCCGGAAACAGAGATATGGCTTCATTTTTACTTTTCTTTTAGCTAGAAGAAACCAAGGTCTTCTACCATTGATACCACATGACCCATGTATGTGCGCACTGTCTCCCGCCATGTTCTCTCATCAGAGACACAGTCGAAGAGAGCCGATGAAACGATAGCTTGCAGTGGATGTTACTCCAGTCTCCGAAGGTGGTATCTTTACAGCTACTTGAATATCACTTGCACTCAGTCCAGATTGAAGTCTCACGGCACGAAAAGATTTCCTCAAACAGTGTTTGTTTTTGTATGATCTGAAGGACAGTAAAAAAGGAACAAAAAACTGTATGCCAAACACCTTCTTGCAATCTAATCCTTCCCATCCAAGATTTATCCCTTTCCATCCATAATGTTCGAATCGCAATGTAAGTCTCTCGAGAGAGAACATTTTGGCGATGTAATTCATCGCGAAGAAAGCGCAATGTGGGCGACGTATCGCCTGGTTTTCCCTTCCTTCTTGGACTCTCATATACCAACCAAGTTGCTCAATATCCTGGAGCGTCTTGCCGCCTCCAAGATTCTGCTGCTCCCCCGTAACGGCCATGAGTGGGTTGACTGTGTCGCTGATATCGGCCCCCGAGGTGGGCGATTTCCGAGTTTGAGCCTTAGCCTTATACCAGATCGTGGCTGATGGATAAAGGTCAGGCTTCGGGGTTACCGGGCTCGCTGGCCATGTGAACTTTCAGAGCGCGTCTGTTGCGATGAGTCATGTGTTCGTGATGATCGACCAGCTTTTTGGCGTCGGTGGGTTTTGGTTGCACCTTGCCCAGTCTCAGCTTCAGACCAGAACGGTGCTGGTGGTGGCAGAGTGAGAGAGATTTGGGTCTGCCTGGTGCGTCGTTGAAGTGGACCTTCAAGGCGCGTCTGCCGTTGATGGTGATGAGCTCGTGATGGTGGACGAGCTTCTGTGTTTCTCTGATAGTGGCAGAGCGAAGCTGCATGTGAAATGCGATGGTAGCCATGGTAGCTTTTGTGATGACGGAACGTATTTTGTCTATGGTAGAGAAGTATAGAGTTCACGCTGTTTGATAGCGTTGAGCTGATTTGCTGTGGATGCTGACTGCGTCTGTGACTTAATGGTGTCTTTGACTTGATGGATGGGTAGAGGAGAAAGAGAAACAGATTTGTGGCAGACTGACCTTTTCGAATATTCGTTTCCATGTGCTGTGGGCGATGAAAATTTCGATGGCCATGTGCCAGATAGGAGCCTTGAGGTAGCGCATTTGAGCGCGATACTAAGGTATTCTCTTGCTTACGCGGCGGTCTTCTTCAAGCCGGCGACGATGTTTTCAACCAATAGCTGTAATCTCTCCTCGTTCTCGTAACAGGTCCTCCTAGTTGGTATAAAAAGTTGCGCGAAACATTTCTGGTGTGTCGATACTGTTGGAAGCGATCATTGTATCTCTTTCAAGGCCATCGAACACCGGGTGGGAAGCGGAGTTTTATGAAGGGATCGAGAATCGGACTTGGTAATCCCGATAGTCCTTCCACTTGAAGAATGGCTCTCGAAGAGATCTTACCGTTGTTAGGCCGGCCTTACGGCATCATCTTGGTATAGATCTTAGGCGAAAGCCGGAGACGTATTGGTATTGGTAGGTTCTCTTAAAGATCGCAAGAACTTGCTGCTCTCTCAGCCAGTCAAAGATTCCGCGTGACGTTTGGTTGACGCTCTCCAAAATTTTGGCAGTCGGTTTCCTGCTTTTCGTTCTAGAAAGCTAGATCATTGAGATCTTACTCTGTGGTGATTGAATCATTGTATCTGTTGCAAAGAAAAATTTTGAGACCAGGAGATATCGTAGGAAGATCAAGGCTGCTTCAACAAAGTGATGATATTATGCACTCTCCTAGCAAGATCGTGATGTCTAAATTTCCGCAGATTGATATGCTTTGACGTCCAGGTGGTGTCCAGATGATTGTGTCTTGCGAACCTAGAAAGGTGACATTGCTTCTATTTTTCTCCACTCGATCTTATACCAGTTTCCCCCGGATTTTTGTGTCGATTCGGTGACTAGGAAGTCAAGTTGCTCAGAGAACGCTCGGCATCTTGAGGCATGCTTTTGGCAGAAAGCCGAAAGAGGCAGGCGGTATAAAATCACCGCGTTGTCTATCGACATTCTCTTTCCTCGCACCACAATACAGGCATTCTCATAAAGCCAGAAAGCCATAAGTTTGTCGAGCGTCAGGAAACCACCATCTTTGTGTTGCTCATACGACTGGACGGGGCAGAGTACCTTTCGGACTTCTGTCGAACCATAACGAAGTCCTGGATATGGATGGTTGGAAAGACTTTCGCAACACTAGATGACTTCGCGCCGCTATCTCCTTCTCAAAGACTCCAAACGTAGTGGCCATACAGAATGGGATCTCGGCATGCAGGAAGCCGCCTGCTGAGACATACCAAGTGAAGGGACCACATGCTTGGTTTGCGATGCGCCTTTCACTTTCACCATCCTTTAAATTCTACCTTTCATCCCATCTCTTCACTCGAAACTACGTCTGCTTCGCAAGTCTGCGACCACGCCCTCTGTTACATTTCTACCACTTATCTCAGACTTCAAGCTATCGTTTTATTTCGCTCCCTCGTCGTAACAATGGTAAGTCTTTGGTAAACAGGTCCCTCTGCTAGAGACGCGAAATTTCAGAACAAACCGACAGCTGTGATGCTCAGTCTGCTCAACTCCTGTGCCTTCACTTCGGTCGCGTCGCGTATCGCGTTTCTGACGTCTCTCAGGGAGCTTGGGGATATGATCTGTTCCAGAGTGACACAGACCTTGACACTGTGAACATGCTCAATGATGCTGCCGACCTCGACAAGGTTAAGCAAAGAATTGTCGCCAACTCAGCCAGGTACTCTTTCAGAAAGATCGAGAAGCCCAAGGATGCCAGCGAACAGGATACCGACGCATACCATGACATTGACGATGATGACATTTACATGACTCTGAACAACCCTTCTCACNCCGGTAAGTTAAAGTATACATAGAAAGGCCATGGATGCTGCTACAATGCTAATCCTGCCTCCTTGATTTAGGATCTGGTCCAGCAGCACCTTGATAGTGGTGTTCTCATGCGCATGATCAACGACCTCCGAGGCAAAGGACAGGGCAATGCACTCTGTCTACTCATCGCGTGCGCCATGCAACTTGGCTGCAACATCCCAGACTGGTGCTGTCAAGAGCTCACCCTGGTCTACAAGAAGTGTCGTCTTCCACCTGATGGCGAGGTTCGCTTCGGCAAGGCCCTATGCGACTATCGCAATGGTATCNCCTACCCTTTCAACTCCAAGAGCCTCGACCTTACGGTCAGCACCGGGAATCCCTTCTACAAGGAATCCGAGATCTTCTGGATGAGACTCGAAGACGTTCCTGCCGGCGAAGAGATCACTCAGCAAAACACCACCATCGAACGCGTATATGGTGACTTCAACCACCCCGTCGACATTTGTGGAAATTGCGCTGGCCAACAGTGTGATGATGGTAGCAAGCTGAAGCGCTGTGCAGGCTGCAAGGAGAGGTAAGACTACATACATTCATGCGTGAAGAATGTCACATCTACGCCAACTCACTCTTTCTCACGCTTAAGACTCATGCCATACCTACTGTTTAGTCTCTGATGCTATGATTGGCTTGCTGACAATCCACCCAGACTGTACTGCTCCAAGACCTGCCAAAAGGCCCACACCCCCAAGCATTCCTGTCTCTGTCCAGGCTTCAGAAAAGCTCACGAAGAGCAGCCCGAAGATGCCTGTGGCCCGTGTGGTGCGAAGCAAGCAAAGGACGGAAGCGCTCTGAAGCACTGTGCACGCTGCAAGAAGAGAAATTACTGTTCTGTCGAGTGCCAGAAGGAGCACTACTATGCTCATGCCTCGAAGTGCAAGGCAGCAGCTGAAGAGGCCAAGGAAAAGAGTGAGGGCAATGGTGGCCGTGTCAAGGGTCTGAACGTTCTTCAGACTTGGTAGGCTCAAGAAAGGGACAGAGTAGGTGGCTTCTCCTCCACGACACATGGGGATAAGAAGATGATGGACATTTGCGTGGGGCTTCCTGTTGTCAATCCGGCTGTAATTTGCTCGCTACAGAGATCAAGGAATAAAAGTATGGTTATCTGCTGTGGTGTTCTTCTCGGTGATCATTGAAGGATCCAGGTACATGTTGTGTTCCTGCTCCTCTTGACTGATACTATGAAGCTGGAACATGCACGTGAGTGAGCATCATATTGTTCATGTGCCATGTGTTGCCTGGACTTCGGCGAATGATCGACCTGAAAGTCGAACTTCACGTAGTCCCTCTAGCCAAAACTGCATGCTGCCTGTATCTGGCTTGACCGAAACAGAGTGAAAATGGACTTCCACCCATACCATTCAATATTCACGCTCGCCTCAACGTCCAAGTCACCCTAGGTGCCGTTCACAGCATCCTTATGTAACGGACATCTCCCCTTGACATATTTGACACCCATATAGACCTTTTTAGCATTCGAACATATGGCGGATGGTCCTCTGGCTTCTCGAACCCCGCATTGAATGACAGTCTCAGAGTTTGTGCTGCATGCTTGGTTGTTGCAGGGCGACGTTCGATATCTGGTCGACACCACTGAAATGTGGCACATTTTCCCTTATTGGGTTTAGACTCGAAGGATATGTATTTAGGACGTTCGACGAAGCATCCTGGATGCTTGTGTTGCTGTGAAGTTCATGAGATGTGAATGTCATAAGCGTATATGGCGAGGCTTACTACCGTGAAGATTCTTGTCAAGTCTACCTACAAGGTCATCACACTGATGAGCAAGAAGTTCTTATACTCTTCTTTGATGCACTCGCGTGCTTACAAACTTACTAGGTCATCAGCAGTTCACACACCGCTTCCGTGTGACAGGTTGGGATATTATGCCAGGGTATGATCGAGCCAATGAGTGTATGAGATCTCAGTGTACCTTACAGCTTGCAGTGTGGTACACTCTCAAATCAAGACGAAACTGTACAACCGGGAGCTCTCAACGTGGGCACTGCGAATACAAAATGAAAGGTCATGCGATTGAAAATCCATGCGGGAAAAGATGCCATTGTGTTCCAGTGTCTCTGATGGACCTGGTGAGCTTTACACTACAGACTGGTCAAGCCTTTCAAAGCTGAAGTCACGCTGCCAAGCGCTCCCGTGAGTTTAGCCAGGGAATAGACTGCGTTGTTCTCAATCTCTCCAGTGGCGGCGTTGAGGCCGATGAGTACCGCTTTCAAACTGTTCTCTCCCAGGATCACACCCTCTGGAATCTGTTCTCCGCTTGCAGCGTTGAGCTGGATGGCCATTGCACCCAAACTAGCCAAAGTTGTCGTGGTCTTTGGTGGTTGCCAGCCGAGCTCATAGGGAAGTTTCTCTTGTTCGAACAAACTACGCACATACTCCAGTGGCGCAACTCCAGTGATCGGATCGCCCATAGTTGACAAGTACAAGGCGGTTTCACCGTAGCTGAGAATGAACTGAACTGGACTGTAACTGAAGTTGGGGTCTCTAGCGGCCTCTGTGCTGATGCGGTTGTATCTAGCTTTAGAAGCGACAGGGATGGCGGCGTCCTCCATACCGCTATAGTAAGCGAGTACCGTGTCCCAGATGGTCTGATTGAAACTGTAGTTGTTTCCTGTAGAGGCGTCGGCACGAGACAATGAGCCATCGTGCTCAATCAGAAAGTCGTGACGATCCAGCATGTCGAGGTCAAAGTACAGACCTGACGTCAAAGGATTGGGGTTGGAACCGATTCCTGCTGTGCCCACGACCAGAGCGAAATCGGCACCAACATTCAGTCCTCTCTTCAGGCAGTCAGTTAAGATAGGGATGGTATATCCTTTGCCGCTTCGGGGGCAGATGTCATGATTTGCTAATGAGTTCAGGCCAGGGCAGGGAGAGCGGACTATATGATGGTCAGAACGATGATCCCCTTCGGCGAACGAACTACTCGTACCTTCTCCAGTTTGTGGTGGGTGCCAGGGTGGATAATTTGTGGAAGCGCTGCTAGATGTAGTAACAGCCTTGGCTAGAGGTTTGAGAGGAAGCAGACCAGCTTCTCTACGGGTGTTCCCCATTCCAGGAAACGCAGAGGCATACTGGGCCAAAACACCCGCAAGTAGGACTGATGAAGACTTCATGTTGCACAGCGGATTCTCACGGACAAGTGGTGAAAACGGAACACACAAGGGGAAGCAACCCACTCACCTTTTGAGCTTGAACGAGACGGTTCGTCGTCATGACTCGTCGATGCTCGATTGGTTCAGCTATGGTTCAGCTAATAGGACGGGTTGTCTGGTGAAAGAGTGGTCGTCACTGGACCGAAGTTCAGCACCATGGATCGACATGGATCTACGGATCCACACGTCTAAGACGGCACTTTGACCGTTGTAGGTAATCGCACAGAACTACTCGCACCAAGGGAGATTGCTGATTGGATCGTGCTGCAATAGTAAGATGGTCTCGCACCGGTGCCTCGGTCGAAATGGCGATGTTCGACAAATGCGAGCAGTGCGAAGAGAAGAAAGAGCTGTGGCTGAGAATAGGGAATTTTAAGCTCAAGGCCGGCAGGCGAACGACCATCAGACTTGACATGGAGGCTGTCAAGAGGCGTTTCCTGCCTCGGTCCAGAATGTTCGAAGGTCCGTCATGGCTTGTCAATGCACAAGGAAAGCAGAGCAAAATCCTGCTAGCAAGATAGCAGAAAAGGGAAGCCGTTGACATGGGAAAGTGCAGCTGAATCGCTGGTGAAATACAAGAGCGGGTGCAGCCGAGAACAGCAAAAGGCACGTGAGATGATTGAGGATGACAGGACGCGTTTAGTTGGAGACAGAGCGCAGCTGTGGTAGCAGCAGGTGCTGCCTATCTCGAGATGTGTTCGCACTGTCTGGCGAGCAGCAGGACGGCATCGATAAATTAGTAAATGAAGAAGGCGCGATGATGGCGTCTTTGGAATCTCTTGTCTCTCCACAAAACGCACGGTGCAGCGATCATTGGGCCGAGAGTCGTGGGGACATGATGCTGCTTGCTGGTCTGGCAGGAAGGTGCGTCGCGAAGCAGTCCAAGTTGATGTCTACGAAGAGTGGGCGCGCATAAACGACTGGACTGAGCTGTACAGTCTCACAATGTCAGAGGCCGATGCCAGTGCAGCCGGGCCTCTGAACGAACCCGCACCCAGTCACAGCCCATCCGTATCCGCAACCGCATCGACACCTACCTCGACCCAAGCACAGCAGCCCTCGCCCAACTTTGTTGCTCCCAGCGACTACCTACGGCCTCGCGAAAGGGCCCATGGCTCGAAGTCACGGGGCCCCATGACACCCCTCGACCACGAGCAGCTCGATGGCCTAGTCAGTCCCTCCTCTCTGCCTGTCAAGCCTCATCTGACCCTCGTCTGCAGCNGAGCCATCCGCGAATTCCTCAAAGCTCGTACAAGCTACGACGTTCTGCCCNTCAGTTATCGCCTCATCGTGTTTGATACCGCCCTGTTGGTCAAGAAGAGTCTCAACATTCTCATCCAGAATGGTGCGCATACCATGCCCCTCATGATTCAAACATGGCTGACATCCGACAAGNGCATCGTCTCTGCTCCGCTCTGGGACTCCAAGACGTCGACTTTCGCTGGCCTCTTGACCACCTCGGACTACATCAACGTTATTCAATACTACTGGCAGAACCCTGATGCCCTCGCCCAAGTCGATCAGTTCCGTCTCAACAGTCTTCGCGACATCGAAAAAGCCATTGGTGTACAGCCCATCGAGACAGTCTCGGTACATCCTCTCCAATCTCTATACACGGCCTGTCGTCGCATGCTCGAGTCTCGTGCTCGTCGTATCCCTCTTGTCGACATCGATGACGAAACACAACGCGCCATGATAGTCAGCGTCTTGACTCAGTATCGCATCCTCAAGTTCGTCGCTGTCAACGTCAAAGATACCCAGAACTTGCGCAAGCCCCTGCGAGACATTGACTGCGGCACCTATGGCGACCTGCAAACAGCCACAATGGAGACCCCTGTCATGGACGTCATTCACTTGCTTGTTAAGTACAGCATATCGAACGTCCCCATTCTGGACAGTGACGGTGTGTATTCTTGCCTACACTTTTCAGTCCATCTTGCTAACTTCGGACCAGGCGGCGTTGTCAATGTCTTCGAAGCGGTCGATGTCATATCACTTATTAAGGGTGGTGTATATGATGACCTGAACTTGACAGTCGGTGAAGCTTTGTTAAAGCGCTCAGAGGTAGAACATCTAGCCCTTCACCCAGCGTGATCGTGGCTGACTTGACTTTAGGATTTCCCTGGTATTTTCACTTGTACCCTCAACGACCGCCTGGACTCCATCTTTGACACTATTCGGAAATCCCGCGTCCATCGCTTCGTCGTGATCGATGAGGACAAGAAACTCAAAGGCCTGCTTACCTTGAGTGACATCTTAGAATATGTACTTCTTGAAGGCGAAGGAGATGAGTTATGATGAATTTCGGTTTTGATACCCATGGTAAGTTGGACCCATCCACAAGTACCACTTTTCAGTTTTTCTACACTACAGATCATATGAAAACTCATTCGTACAATACACACATCTACCACGTTGATACATTGCTCCTAGTCATAGCTATGAGTAGTCGTTACTTTGAAAAGCAGTTGGCTATGACAAAGGCGAATTATTTGATGTCAGATAGAGATCGATCGTTTCTTGCCAGCATCTAACGCAGCCCGGTGTTGCATTTGGCTTCGAGGATCGTTAACACGAGGGTGCACATCCTGACGTGACATCCGGCCAACTTCCCGCATCATTTTTCCCGTCGATAACATCTACTCTTTCTGCAGAGAAAAAGACCTGCGCCCAGGATTCTGCCCGCCGGAGCTGGCAGGATTTCTCCAAATTTGCTGTCGATGTTCGGATAAAGGACAAGGATCATCATCATGCATCGCTTCTCCGCAAGCATGGGCATCCTTCGGGATAACAATTGAGCGAGTAAATCGTCTGTTTCGACATATGTAAGTAAGTATGACATCCTGTATGCTTGTCGTTCGCAATCGCCATTCCTTGTCACACTTCCCGAAGCATGCAGTTTCCTCATCCATTTCGTTTGCGTCTCGCTCCATACAGTGCTCTGCTATTTGCAGCTAGTATCGCTGTCTCCCATCCTACTGGAGGCCATGATGATGCTTTCTCATTAGATATACCGCGAACAGCACTTGGCGCATCAATAGAACACGATCCTTCCTTTGCGTCTTTCTCGTTCGAGCCTGCATTCTGGGTAGAGTTCTTTGGCAATCTCAGTACGCCGAACAAACTCGCCTTCAATCTGCTCAATCGCATTGTCGATCATGGTGGACAACCAATTGTCTTTCTCCCTTTATGTTGTTCAATGTTTGTACTAATTATAACAGNNATTCGACCTGGTGGGATCACAATGGATTCTATGATCTTCAATGTATCAGCGGGCGATCCGGTCCGTACTACAAATCCCAAGGGCGGAGTCTATCGTACAACTGTTGGACCAGCTTACTACGAGAGTTGGTCAAACTTTCCTGAGGGCACCAAGTTTGTGTCTACGCTGAATTTCGGCAACAACTCGATCGATATTGCCAGAGATATGGCAGTCGCCTCTGTCAAATATGCAAGCAATGACAGCATCAGCTTTNTTGAACTTGGGAACGAGCCAACGAATTATCCAAGCTCGAGATGGAAGAACAGCACGTCAGCATATATTCAACAGTGGAAGAATTGGACAGCACAGATAGACGCGGCTGTCAATGCAACCCTCGGTACCAATGCAGCTGTCGACTTCGGTAGCGAGCGCTGGTGGGCCTCGTCCGCGACGACAGACCAGAGTGGCCTGGAGGTCCGACCTGCTGCTCTCATCCCTGCTGGTATCGACTCCAATGATCAGGTGGCCGACTATTCCATACACTCATACCCATTCTCGACCTGCGATCCAGCCCGAGCTGTGTTGGCAACGACACAGAACATCCTGAATCAGACTGAATTGAGTCGCTACGCCGATGAGGAAATCTATCCATCAGCTAAGGCTGCACTCGACGCTGGTAATCGATGGATCATTGGAGAGTTCAACTCCATTTCCTGCTCAGGCAATCCGAACGTTTCAGACACTTTCGCACAGGCTTTGTGGGTGATCCAGAGTGAGCTTATATATGCCGTACGCAATGCCTCGGCGGTGTATCTGCATCAAGGAGCAGCATTAGTCTTCCAAAGCAGTCAACAAGTCAATTCTGCAGGCCAAGATGGATCACCAGGCTATTCGACGTACGACATGTTCTATCCTCGAGACAGCGAGAAACGTGGCCCTGCAAGAGTCTTGCCCAGCTTTTCTAGTCAACTTTTCATGGCTGAGGCATTTGCAATTCCTGACACTCGTGTTCGTCAGGTGGAGACGCCTTCAGGCATCGACGAAGACTATTTCTCTGCATATGCCTTCTACGTCAGAAACCGACTCAATAAACTTGCCATCGTCAACTCCAAGCCATACTACGCTAATTCTACAAGCGACTCCAGAGTGACCGTGGATATCTCTAAATATGGACACTCGGAGAAGGGAACAAGAGCATGGGTGAAGAGATTGAGCGCTCCTCATGTTGATGAAGGCGATGCAAGCAAGACCACTTGGGCAGGCCAATCATTCCCCGAGGGCAATGAGACCGGAGACCTTCTTGTAGAGGCAGTTGGGCGCGACGGTCTAGTGCAAGTCAGAGGCAGTGAGGCGGTGCTTGTCTTCTTTGACAAGAGAGATACCAACATGGATGCGTGCTGATTGTTTCAATACATACATTTTTTCCTGCCATTCTTTTTCATGCTCCATATCATACGATACTATATATCCATCTTGGAAGCTACTGGCAGTAACTCAACCCGTCCTCTAAGCCAGGTAATGGTGGCCTCAGATCAGCTTCACAACCGTCTCCGTAGAGCTCAGAGTATCCAGACTCGGTCTGTATAGCGTATCGGCCTCTGAAGATACTCTTTCCTCGTCATCATATTTGGGACCGTCAAGTGGTTGATACAGCGCCTCGCTTTCGCGAGAATGACGAGATTTTTCAGCCGAGACCCGAGTGATGCTAGGAACAATCCTTGCACCAATGTGTGTATGACAGTTACGACAAGTGCGTGTAAACGAAAACGTTCTGCATATCCCGAAAACATAACGAAGGACGAAGAAACCGTGGATGCAGCTATTAGAAACAGCGTCAGTCAGCCATGCATACTTTGATACGAGGATAAGCAAGACCTACAAGTCCATCATCAAGGGCACACTTCCATAAGTCCCCAACATTACGACTCCGCTGGGGGTCGACCACCCTTCGTGGGCCGTAAGTACCCAAAATGGCACCAAGATGCTAAAGAGGAAGACAGCAAGGAACGCATCGATGTACACAAACATCCAACGCTGTCGGAAGCTTGCGTTCAAGGAGACCAGGCTGAGCACAGCAGAGAAGAACGCAGGCACAAGACCGATTGCAAGAACGCAATAGTATGAAACAAGGCTATAAGGGATTAGAAGAGCCAGAGCAAGCAAGAAGGTGATGATAGTTGTGTTGCGGAGGATACGGTCCAGAGAGCTTGGAGTCTCCATCATGTGTTTGGTTCAAGTGGTGAGGTGATAACCCAGGACGAAGAAGGAGATGAGATTGACTTATGCGTAGACCTTGCAAGTCTACTCTTATATAGAAAAACATGCTCGCTGCGCCTCATCGTCGTGTGCTGTTGTTGTTCCTACAAGGCATCAATATTCTCTCCTGGGTCTACGTGCAAGGCAGCTGTATTCAATTGGTCGGCGTCTATTCAAGTGGGTCCAAAACACTGTTTCCGGAACGACAGATGGGGCCGAAGGATTCAGGGGCAGTAGCGAGTCAGATATCTATGGCGGCTATACGACATGATTCATTGGGTTTGATGAGTAAGCAGGATGTTCTGACGTTGGTTGGCGCTTGCATAACATTCGTTCTACACTCTTCGTCGAGACAGAAGTGATCTTCGTTGACCTTCTTCCCGTAGGTGATACAACCCTGAGAATGACCGGATCCGATACGCTTGTTGCATCATCTAGATTCAACACAACCCTTCGCAATCTGTTACTGCCATGCAATTCCATGAAATCCAACAAGCATCTTCCACTCAATCATATACAGTGATAACAAACTCATGTGGTCCTGAAAATTGCAATCGTCTCCACGAAACCATCCAGATTCTCGCTGTAGAATGCCACATCGACTCCATCCAACTGCACCGAATAGTGTGTACCCACCGTGTTCAAAGCGTAGATGCTCACAGCCTGGCTACCCTCGATATCCGCAATGTGATTCTGACAAACCTCTCCATTGCCCTGATCCGAGCAGTTGGTCGAGTAATTGTCGAAGAAGGAATAAAGACCCGCGCCGTAAATCAGTATGTCTTTGGAGTTGACGATGCGAAGACCCCAGGCGTCTTCGGTGGGAATCGAGGTGTTAGAAGACGTGAAGTTGACGGCCCGGGCCACAGGAGCGAAGTAGGGGTCGTCGATGGCTGCGACGTACGGGAAGGGCTCTGAAGCTGGAGGGTTGGGTTGATAGTANTCTGATACCAAATTGTTAGTTTCAGATAAATATGAAAGATCGTGGCGGAGGCTTAACGGTGTTTCTGTTTGTATAAAGCCAGCAAAGACGTCAGACGCATCAGAGAACTGGTATTGGTACTTTGAATGGTGTTCAACGGAAGTACCAACAAGCCAGACAGGGCCCGCGCTTTGGTCCAGAAGGCCGCGGCCAGTGTATATGGTCAACTGTGTTAGCTGCGGGTCGTCGATATCGTGGTCAGCCGTCCAGAGCCAATTATTCTCGGCGTAGAAGCCTGATGCGTCTGGAGTGATATGCAGCGACATGTAGGCTGCAATGCAATCCGAGTTCACAGGCGCGGGTGGAGTGGTGATGTTCGGTGTCGTTGGGCACTCTGCAATCTGCAAGTCGGATCCTGCAAAGCCGCCGATACGCATATGAACATCCCAGTACCCGGACGGATTGCCTTGTGGTGCTGCAAGATTGTGCTCGACCAGAATTGCACCAGCTTGTGGGCCTTGCGTCGATACTATTATATCCGAAAGTTCTACTCTTCCCCACTGTTTGGCGAGTCCGACACGCAGGACCGGCTGTGGAGAGTTAATGTTGTTAAAGAAGTCGCCGGACGAGAGTATGACACTGTAGCTTTCACCAACAATCCTAGCTCCTGCCGGAATGGTAAGAGTACGGGTTATTTTGTAATCGCCATGATCGAGGAACAGAATCTTTCCTCGTGCGGTTGCGACGTTCATGGCAGTCTGGAGAGCTGTTGTATCGTCCGTATGACCATCTCCTGTAGCACCAGAAGAGCGAGCACTAATAAACGCTGAGACTGGGTATTGTTGGTACTGAGGCTTAGCTTGGGAGTAGTATTTTGACCCAGGAACGAGTGAGGCAGAGGAGTACCATCCAGATCTAGCAATGAGTGAAGCAGGCCTGGCGTTTGCCGGGAAGGCATCTTCAAAGTTCGTGGGTCCATTCGGCGTGTATTCATGGCCTTCACCCCATGCACTGATGACGCTCGAACCAGACGAACCTGAAAGTGCCGTGATTGCTCCAGCGCCTTGAACAGCGATTGGCACATTATTTAATGCAACATTTTCTAAAATGAGGCTGCCACCAGCCGCAGGCTGGGAGGTTAAGTCGTGTGCGGTGATGACGCCTATCGGAGTATTGCTGATCGTGCTGTCGACCAACACTACCGACCCTACAGCTTGGGCTGCCGAGCCCCCTGATGACATATTGATGCCGATAGAGCAGTTTTCGATGTTGATGTCTTGATAAAGCCAGCCTNNGGAACCAATCAGAAAATGCACCACTAGAATCAATGCACTCTGATACTGACCCCAGTCCCATAGTTGGTTTATTGCAGTCACTACGTTTGTGAAGTTGAGTCGTGATTGTGTGAACTGCTGATTGCCATTCTGAAGCATTGAAATTAGTGTCTGAGTCGACGAACATGTTACGAAGCTAAACAGGCTAGTGATTTACGATTATCTATTACATTTTCGTGGGACGTGACTTTGACAAATACGAAAACTTACCTGTATGCCATACAATCCACCGTGGAAAGCCAAGTCGCCGAGGAAGCCACCAGATCCACTCTCGATGAACACACCTTGGTGCTGTGTGCCTGCTTCCTGGCTCAGATTGAAGGTGATGAATTGCAGTGAGGTAGCCTGAGCAGTTGGCCAATGAATGCCAGTCACCGACTGGTTCGCTGGAACGGAAGTGGTATCAATGACAAAGTTTCGGATCTGACGGTAGAAAACATTTGTAGCACCAAATCCGAGACCATTCGCGCCATATTGATCACCGTCGATAAGACCGAGGCCATTTGCTCCAGTGTAGTTAGCGAAAGCCTTGATCGTGGGCACACAATTCGGATTTCCAATCATTTGAGTGTAGTAATAGTCGATGATGGACGAGGAGATCATGTAAACGCCAGCAGGAAAATAAACGACTGCTGGAGTGGTCGTTGTTGAACTGCATGAGCCTGGTGCACAACGTCCACCCGAGCTAATTGCAGCTTGAATTGCGGCGGTATCATCAGTAATGCCATCGCCTTTCGCCCCAAATTTTTTGACATTGCGAAACACTTGGTAGGAGGAAGGGTCAGGATTGAAAGCCGCAATGCCTTGATGTTTAATATCCTCGAGCCAATATGCGCAACTGGCTGATGGAGTCGGGCTATGGAAAGGATGCGGAGCTTGGGTTGGTCGAGTGATTGTTGGTCTGGGTCCATGATACCATGCCGAGAATTCCGACTCTATGGCAGATATGTAACGAGAAACTTCTGGAATGTGCATATGAACATGCTGAGCAACTGCATCGCCAGCTAAGGCCAGGAGGATGGAGATGATGAGCCTCATGGTCACAATCTGCTCCGTCTGCGGACGAAAAACCTAAGCTTGGTGTCCTTGGGCGGTCCATTGTTGATATAGCCTCGAGGCCTACAGCTAGATCGTGCAGCGCAGGGTCACATCCCGTGTCCACTCATCCGGTCAATCAAGCCAAAAACGGCAGCTGAAGAAGTCATGTTGAAGCGGAAGCAAGGATACAAAAAGGGAAAAGTTGCAGGAACTTTGCTCACCAACCTATCAGGTCTCCGAGGAGTCTGCGGGTTTCAGCTTCACACTCGACTTTTGCTCGTTGGAAGTACCTACATAGGTAAGGTCAGGTGGATGGACGACTTGACGTGCGTCTGGATCCCCACAGTCGAGCCGCAGGCCATCCATTACGCAGTGCGGGGAAGGTACCGCTAGCGGGCGGGCATCTTTACATGAAAGACCGCCAATCCATGCAGTCATCAATAGCTCTGCTTCTATGAACAAGGTGAGCCAATTTGATACACACGCACGTTCATAACGCATGTGAATTTACGGAATCAAAATTCTAGCACATACGGCCACAGTCAGCTGAAAAATGGCATCCCGTCCGCTCTGCCATACATAAGCAGTTGAACGGCAGGTTAGTACTACGGTGAGTGACCACGTGGGAATCCCTGTTGCTCTATGTTTTGCATTTGGTTTTGGTCTGCATGCTCGCATCGCTTAGGGTGTTTACGGTCCGCAGCCAGGTTGTTGTATCATCAATATCGGTTCCCTTAATTTGCACAGCAGTATGTTAGTAAATATCGAGACTACTGCTTCCAGGGAAGACAATAATGCTTAGGAGCATATCACCTAATCCAAGTTTTGTGTGCCATCATGATGGCTCTACAAATCAAACCCAAACAAAATGTCTGGTGATTTGCACTTAGATACTGTCCGTAAGGTCTACAAAGTTGGTTCTGGGACGACCCTGCTCATATTTACCATCAGTCCTCACTCACCCCTCAGACCTCGGACATCAGACCTCACACCTCGCCAAGAGATACTGCGACACCTTTGAGCCTTGTAGAATTCCACAACCAAAGACTGATGTAATGCTCTCAAGCATGGTGACTGCTTGGACGTGAAGCAAAAATCATCGCGGTAACGTGGAAGCTCTCCCCACACCGTTGGGAAACAGTTGCTCATGCACGGTTGTCGTTTCTGTGGGGGATCGAGGAACCATGAACAAGCACAAAACGACGGCGATTGCAACGGACGATGTTGCAAAACTGCCATCAAACATATAAGCCTACAACACTCCCCAATCGCTATAGCGATAATTGCGAATTGTCTTCTGGGCAAAGATGTGCAGGTCAGGTCACACCTGGAGGCCAAGCCACCCAGCCACCACAGCGCTTGCAAGCGAATTTGTGTGTTGACAAAACACTCGGGCCTGTTAGCTTGCAGAGATCGACAGCGCAAGAAACAAAGGCTGGGAGATGGCGCCTAAAGTCAGCCATCTGCCTTCTTGTATCCTTGTTGGGATACCTGGTTCAGAGTTGGGCAGCACGGTCAAAGCCCAGCACATGTCTTGCTGAGGTGGTCGTAAGAGCCAACAAATAGCAAGGCCGACACGAACGGGGAAGAAGCAAACCACCCGAGTGGCTCGACGGGCAGGAACAGGACCCTCGACATTCCCACTAGTCTTTATATCCACCTGGAAACGGGCGGGTACAGTGACAACAAACAGGATGCAGGTCAAATGAAAGGTCAATCAATCACCTTGCCCTCTTCCCACTTTATTTAGTATCCTGCAAGACAAATCACCCTCGTCACCTTAGCATCTTCTTCTTCCTTACTCCGCTTTCCATCCTCGATCCAACCCCGACAAGGACCTTCAGTTCGTTCTTGTTGTCCTTTCGAGTTGTTCAAGGACAGTTCGTAAGGTCTTCAAGGAAGAACACTTGACATCCAGCAAGCTGGATTTTGAAGCAAGAGTGAGTGCATACCATCAGCATCGAATGATTAGTGCAGTAATTGACAGCATACTCGTAGGTCCCCGTCCCTTTCAGTGGTATCGTCTCCTTCGTCGCTCTCGATTGATAATCAGCTCACACTGTGCAGTCTTCCCGTCCACGTATAGGAGCGATACTGTCACCAAATCTACCGGGATCAAAGTCGAAGAGCAGGTCAACCTACCCAGCTCGCACGGCGGACGGGAAGGTCACGAAATTCGCTATACCTCATCTCAGGCCCCTCCGTCCCGCCGCTTTGAAGAGGAGATCAGAGTAACAGAAAAGGACCGCTACCGTAGTCCGGGACGCAGAGAAGAGAACGTTCACGTCTACGAAGAAGAGCGTACGTCTCGTCCCAACAGACAGACCAAGATCAGTGCCGAGCAAGACCGGTAAGTCAGTGTTTCGTTCCTCTCCCTTCATCAGCTCTCTCCACCCACGCAAGATCAGCATCACTCCACCGCTNTTTCTGTTCCTTAGCACTTCGCTTCGGCACGAGCGGGCGGATCGGGCGGTTCAGGCACTAAAGCAGCGACATGAACCAACTCTCCACCCACTAGCGTGTTGCCATGTCAACTGGAGTGTCCATGCTGCTCGTCCAAGCTTTCCTCATTCACCCATATCCTCCCCTTGACCTGACTCTCTCTTCCCGCACCGTTGCTTCCCCTCTTTGCTCAGGCCAGTCCCACTGACAGCCCCAGCTATCGTGAACCTTACCAACGTTACGTCGACGCACAGATCGACGTTCAGGACAAGGCCTACGACCACCAGTACCGTACCACCCACGGTCCTGCTACTCACTTGGAATCAGAGGTCGACGTTACCGAGCGTGACTATCGTCGCAGAACTAGCCCCATAGTCCAGGACTCCTACGTTCAGGACACATCTGGCTCTTACGTCCAAGACTATCCCAAGACTACATCTGCCCGAGACTACTACCACACCTCTCCTGCCCAAGAGGAAGTACGTGTCAAGACCAAGACCCGTACTACCGTCGACCCGCCCAAGCAACGCAAGTTTGACATGGGATATTACGACGACGAAGGCCAATATCACTCTTTCCGTGACGGACTTCACCGCGCCACTGACCACATCCTCCACCCCATCCACGGACCTCGTCACCACCACCAGCATCATCATCACTCAGAGCCCGTCAACGAAGTCGTTGAAGAACGCGAGACCGTAACCACCATGTCTACTCCTCGTCGTTCTGCTGGCCGCTCTGGTCCTAGCAGTGCCGTCTCAATCCCCTGCCACCACATCCGCATCGGTGACCTGCTGTATCTTCAGGGCCGCCCTTGCCAGGTCATCCGTATCACCACCTCTTCTCAGACTGGTCAGCACCGCTACCTTGGTGTCGATCTCTTTACCAAGCAGCTGCAAGAGGAGTCCTCTTTCATCTCCAACCCTTCGCCATCGGTGGTGGTTCAGCAGATGTACGGACCCGTCTTCAAGCAGTACCGTGTCCTCGACATCCGTGATGATGGCCAAGTTGTTGCCATGACTGAGGGCGGCGATGTCAAGCAGGGCCTTCCTGTCATTGATCAGAGCAACCTGTTGCAGCGTCTCACTGATGCTTTCGACCAAGGTCGTGGCAGCATCAGAGTACTTGTCCTCAATGACGAAGGCCGCGAGCTTGCCGTTGACTACAGAGTCGTGAACGGAAGCAGACTGTAAACCAGTGCAGGTATGTCCATCATGTCTGTCTTGTCAGTGCGTCACTAATTAATGGAAGGAATGAAACACGACCCGACCACGACTGTCGTACTCATAGACTAGAGCAAGGCCTCAGCCGACAGAGCTGGGACAGCTGGAGCTTTGAACCTTGAATGACAGATGTAATGCCCTCCTTTGATAGTCTGAATGATAGCCAAGAATTGACACGAGAAATTTGAACTTTCCAACAATATTCATGACATGTGTTGCCCCTTACGTGACCACAACTGTTCTGTAACGTGGCTCCCGACTAAGATCAACCAGAATGGTAAAAGATCAAGTGTTGTATCCTAGTTCACTCTGCTTGGTTCTCGTGATCTGTTGGCGCACGCTTAGAACAAGATTTACCACCAAAGAAACCTGTTGAAGGGGACTTCAAGCGAGTGATTGAGCACGCGGTGTGGACTTGTAGTCAATCTGCTGATGCCAAGTCTAGTAATCATACTTGTAAGCGCTGAAAGAGAAATACAGGGAACGCAACAGCCTGCCTGATGTTAAGAAACCTGGAACAGCACTATATGGCATGGTAGACGCGTCAGCTGGTACCTGCTTTGTGGATGGTTGACACAAGCCAGTAGATGCGTTTAGTAGCGACCCCTGTCGTGGCGACCCTGTCAGAGGTAGTCAGGCATCCAGAAAGAAGATGGCGGCGAACAAGATCAGAAACACGTTGGCAGATGTCATTGGTGTTTGACATGAGTCGACCACACTGCCACAGAGGCGAGGGTCGGTAAAAATAGAAAGGCTTCCTCGGGGCTCGTCGCGTTTCTTGGCCCTATTAGAGGCTCCGAAAGAGCCGAGTTTTGTGGGGTTGAGGAGCTCTGACGATGTTCTTCCAAACGGTCGTCGAACCTCGTCGTTCGAAAACAGGCCTGTCATCTGCTTCGACCTGTTCTAGCTGCAGAAATTCGTGGTGCATGGGCCCCGATCAAGGTACCGGAAATACGGATAGTTGTTGTTTACTGAAGCGCTGGGTATCGGAGCATCAAGATGAGGAGCCCGATAGAGTTGTCGCAGTGTCGGAGGCAGAGTTGAAGCAGGAAAACACCCAAGCTCAGCAAAGTTGGAGTTGCTCAGTAACCCCGTCGTCATCTCTGTGACGTAAAAGCCGGTTGCTGCTGCGTCGTGTTGTGGTTTGCCTGTCTTGCTCCATCTGTTCAACTTCCAACTACTTTACTTGCTGGAATTGTCTCTCGTCTTTCTTCCTCCACCTCGAACATCTCAATTCCTCCCACGCTTATACAACACAACCAATTGACATAGTATGCTTTCCGAAGGCGCAAGATTGATCGGCGAGAGCGGCAAGAGCTATCTCGCGGTCAGCCCACTGGGCCAAAGCAACGTCTGGACCGCTGTCGAACAGAGCAAGGATCCAAACAAACCAGTCCAGGTGGTCGTCATCAAAGAACCCGGCGAAGTCGATACCCAACCAGGATGGCCCAGCTTTCAGAATGAGATGGTTATGCATGAAGTCTTCAAGGACTCACCAGCCATCAGACAGCAGGTTGACAGGATCCCTCCCACCAAGGCCGGCGACCCTCCAATGATTGTCTTGGAGATCACCGAAACCACTCTATGGATCGCACGTACGAAACGGCCCATGTCGCTTGCCGAGATCAAGACTGTCGCCAAAGACGTCCTTGTAGGCCTGCGCGACGTGCATGCTGCCGGCCTGGTGTACGCCGATCTCAAGCCTCAGAACATCATGGTCGATGGGTTCAACGCCGAGTCGGAAGAGAAGGACGACCATCTCAAGGCGAAACTAGGTGACCTAGGTCTTGTCATGGAACCCATGAACGGCAAAGTCCAGCCCATCACGTACCGTGCCCCCGAAGTCTACCTCAAAGGCGACATTACCTCTCGAGTTGATGTATGGGGCTGGGCTCTTATCTACTGCCATCTGCTCGAAGCCCGCACCCGCTTCTCCAAGACCGGCCTTTACGACGATCTCGACACCAAGAACGGAGGCATGGTCGAAAGAGAAGACGCCGTCAAGAGCGCGTTAATGAACGACTACAAGCTACAAAACGACCCTGTTTACGGAAACGTCCCGCTGCCCGCAAACGACCCAAGCAAACATAAAGGCGACCAGTGGGAACTTTTGCGCCAACGTGGTCTGGAAGATGGAGAGGTTGATTTCCTCAGATGGGTCTTGAAGGCTGACCCCTATCAGCGGCCGACTGTCAACCAGATCTTGGAGAGCGGATGGCTGGACAGGAGTGCAGAAGAAGTGGCTGCTGGCTTCACTCCCCCAGAATTCGAGCATCTGGAGTACGATCCCAAGCGTGCGACCCCAGTCGAGTTCGCTGCACAAGAAAGGCAAGAGGCTTCCAACAACGAGCAGGATCAAGGCCAATATTTTCGCCAGCCCGTCCAGCAGACCAGACCCGTAATGTCGGAGAAGCGTTTCCACAGCGCTGAAGACGAGGTACCTGTCAAGAAGATGTACGTGCCTGACGACTCGTTGACGGCGCCGGCAGAGCAGCAGCAAGCAGGCCCTGCCTCTGCTGCCATTCCTACCNAGCCTGCTCAGACGAGCCCGTCAGCCGTACAGCCCACCCCGTTCAAGAGCGTGGAAACAAGCTCAACCCTGCAGCCTACTCCTTTCAAAGATGTGGGTTCCTACTTCCAGGACACTGCGGCCCCTGTTTCATCTAGCGGCAATGGCTCTACCCAGAGCACTATGGCTGCTACTCCGTTCAAGAGTATGGACACGACTGAGACCAAATTCATCTCCACACCTTTCACAAGCTCCACGGAGAGCAAGATGGTTCCAACTCAATTCACAGATGCCAACGCCATAAGTGACGCCTCAGCCCCTGTGCCGTCCATGAACGTCACCCAGAGCAACCAGTCTACTACGCAAAGACCTCCCTTGAACACGACCAACACTGGCACCTTCCTGTCGTACAAATAAACTGGTTTCGCGAGAGAACTCTCTGTTTCCGTTACGCATATTCATTTCAAGTAATCATTAGCCCTGGTTAAAGCAGCTAAAGTTCAATTCGCCAATGCATTTCGTTTTAATACAAGAAGACAAGACATGAAACATACATCCCTCACCAAGTACTGTGATCCACCATTTCCCTTGCTGATCGTGACATAGTTGAATTATGAACCTCTTCCATTACTCTTCCTTGTTGTTGACTGAATTTTTGACCCCTCGACCACAGTCTCACTGATATTCTGCACTCGCTCGCCAACACTGCTGCCGACGTTCTGTGCAGTCTCGCCAAGGTTGCTGCCACCAGATTCAACGGCGTTCTTCACACCTTCGACAACAGTCTCACCGACATTCTGCACGCGATGCCCAGCTTCCTTGCCAGCCTCAACAGCACTTTCTGCCATATCCACCGCCACACTTCTGACCCTTTCGAATTCATTCTTTGCCTGTTCGCTCACGGATCCAAGATCATGCGGCCACTGTTTTGTCGCCTTGAGGACTGTGTAGTAGGCCGAGATGATGAGAACATGGATACACTCTTTGATCACCATGCTGAGTCCATGTCCGAGGAAGCCTTTGACGACTTCAGCGTCTAGACCGCTATAGAGACCTTTTACACCTTCAGTGTTGTAGATGTTTGTCAGCGAGCGGATGATGGCGAGTTGTTGGATTTGTTGCCAGAACACTAAGCGCAAGACTTTCTTGGACCTGGCGGTGATTTTGGAATCGGAGGACAAATCTGGTTTCTCGAGGTAGGAAGGTGGTGTGCGTTGAGTATCTTCTGCCATAGGGCGAGACACTTGAGCGCGGCTCTTGGCTAGACTGAAGGGGTAAGTGGCGCTTGATGCTATTGCCTTGGACGTGGCAGCAATGAGGAATAATGCCCCTTTTCCTGGGTGTTCGCGTTGAGAGCGAGGGAGCAGTGTCCTCTTCAAAAGGTTCTGGAGGAAGAAGGTCAAGGCGGGGTTTAGTGTTAGGATCAAACTGGCACTATAGCCGGCCCAGAAGCCTGCAAGCCCGCGCTCGCTGCGGATCTGGAGGAAGATGTCCCTGACGCTGAGTTTAGATGCCATACCTGGTGGCAGCGTAGAAGTTTTGTCTCTTGCAGCAATCAGAGCAGCAGTCTGCTTCCTGGTGACGATCTGTTGAATTGGAGTTGTGACAAACTTTGACAAAGCTCCAGCAGCTATGCCGACACTCAGTTCATGGAAAACAGGTAGAGACTTGGTGCCCAATTTCTTCTGCTGGCGCTGACGGAGGGCCGTGTAGGCGAGGAAGAAGAGAAAGCTGTCAATCACACTCTTTGCTGTGTCTGTCGCACAGCCATTCCAGAAGGCCTGGAGTCCACCCTCATGTGTGTATATCTTCTGTGCTGCATCGGCGAGACTGGTATATTCGGCATCGTCGGCTTCTTTGGCGGCCGAAGGTGCCTCTCCAGGTGTTTTGAGTTGTTGCTGGACTTGGAGGCGAGTAATGACGAGGTCAAGAGGGTACAGAACAAGATGCGATAGAGCAGTACCCGCACTCCCTGCTAGAGCATGGCCCAAGGCGGGCAAACCTATGCCATCGGCACTGGGGCCCCGTCGCTCATTGTGCTCCTGTATTTTGTGGTAGAGCTCAAAGGCATCCTCGACACCATAGTCAGCAGAGTAATTCAAGCGATCGATGGCGCTCATAAGGCTTGTTACCAGCTGACTGTTGTAGACCGACATGTTTGTGNNTGATGTTTCTACAGGACGAATCAGCAGGGCACTTTGGGAAGACAATCGATCGCGCTCGGGCGTACCTTTTATGAACCTCTTTGGCGCATTCCCTGCTCTGCGGGGCAACTATACTTGAGCTGTANNGTATACTGCGGAGNNGTCATGCAGAGTAGACGGCACCTTTGTCTTGGTCGCAGCCTTTCTCGAGTCTTGACATGCACGCCCCACACGCGCCGTCTTCCCAGATTTTCTGTCGTCATCGCTGATGAGCCGAGGCATGTGACAGTGACACATACAACCTGAGGACAACGAGAAGAAGAAGACATTACTTTTCATTGGTATCCAGGTCTAAATCAGTGCGCAACAACAAAGAATGTGTTGGTGATGAGGCAAACCACCATGACCAGCAGTCCGTAGACTGCCAGCCCAAGACTGAGCTTGCGCAGAATGCTTCCACTGTTCCATCCCCCAGTCACTGCTTCGCCGTCCACCTCTGCCTCTTCATCATCGTCTTCCTTGAGCAATCGCTGGTGATGCGGCGAGTCCGGCGATGAAATCTTGTAGTAAAACAGTCCCGGAAGAATGAAGCTGATCGACGTGCTTCCAGTACTGCCGACGTATGCGAGCACTACCGACAGAGATGAAACTGTCATGGCTACAATGTAACTCAAGATGATGATGGCTGTGGTAATGACGGCGAAACGTCTGTCACTCATCTCGCCACGGCCTCTCTGCGAGTTGCTCGCAGAGTTCAAAAGGGTCGAGCGAGATGGTGACACATTGACAGAGGCATATTCTGGCTGCTTGCGCGAAGCCGGACGCCATTTGAGTACTGCATCAACCGAAGCACGGCAAGGATGAACTTGCAGAGGGTATGAGAACATGACAAGTACAACAATCGCTGCTTTGCCAATGGTCGATGCCACTGAAGGAATATCTGAGACTTGTCAGAGTCGCGTTACAGTAAACCGTAAGGTCGATTGACTTACANNCTGAGCAACAATGTTGCCGGCGACATTGTCACCAAAAGTCAGGTAGCCAGTTATGGCAACAAGCAGATAGATACCGCCGGAACTACCGATACTGGCCAAGACGACAGACGTCGTCTTGAATGTGCTGTTGTCCTCAATCTCGTTGAGAATTGAGAACATNCTACTAGAATGAGCATTTGAAAGTAACGTCGGTATAAAGACACTGCTTACGTTTTGGTGACATGTATAGGCAAAGACGATGACCGGGAAACTGGCCAAGACAGGGACAATACCCTTGTCGGGCACGATGCTGATATCGCCCTTGAGACCCATGTCATCGCCCTTTGCAAAGTGGTAGACAACCAAGACAACAAGATAACCAATGGACACGAGAGCGACGATGCTGGTGTACTTGAGCGAGTCGAGTCTGCGGAGAAAAGATAGAGGAATGACAACAAGNCCTGATGACATGTTAGAGAGGGACGGAGGAGAGTCGAGATTGGCACATGCTCACATAAAGGCAGTAACCCAGAAATGTCTGTCCAGTAGGTATTCGGCCGCAGGAGTGTCTGTAAAGCCACGAACCACACCAGGCATGAGATCACCAATAATGATGAGATAACTAATGCCAACACCGAAACACTTGATGGCAATGGCAGCGTCAAAAATGACGGCAGCATTGGGGTATGTGATCTGGCTCAGAGCGAAGAAGCTCGCACTACCGCGATCCAAATATCTCGCGCATCTTGTTTGGAGGTAGAGACCGAAGCCAGAAGTAAGGCCAGACCAGACGATGACGAGAATGCCGAGCAGGATGCCCATGTTGGATAGGGCGGATGGCATGGCCAGCACGCCGGCGCCGACAATGGTATTGACCAGGTTGATAACACTACTGACCCAGCTCGCCTGGCCGTGGACGCCATTCTCCTTGCGGCGCGGACGGCGCGACATGCTGGCGGTGCTGTTGGGGCGGGACGACGAGTCGCTGGGCGGCGAACGAATTGATGCGTAGCTGGTCATTATGTACTGGCCGACTGGAACTGAGGGTGCTGGGCCGGCGACGAGGACTTCAGCAGCGACAGTAGCAGACCATGGTGTGAGAGAGTTTGCGAGGCCAGACGATGCGAATGTCTCGCAATCGCTATCCTTTGGGCCAAGCCACGCCGAACGGCTCTCGGCGCTGCCGACTGTTGATCACTCTAAGCTCGCCATTTCCCGTCATGAGCGCACCAAACACAAGATGTGCCTTGTCTTCACACAGCGCATCACACGACCATGTCATCCATCGCCCACGACACGGCCTTTCAGACCCTAGACGCTCTGGAGCAGCGACTGCAACGCGTCCGTTTCTTGCTCTATGGTACCTCCACCGCTGCCGACCCGGACACCAACGTCGAAACGCCTGCCGACACAACCACCACTCAATCCATTGCTTCTCGATTGCAAGCTCTACAATCCTCCTTCAACTCTGTCCTGTCCGAGAATAAGCCCGCGAAGGAACTGGTCGCGCTGCGTAACCCTCACCTGTTCCACCATGTGTTTGCTACCCACCTGACCCTATAACAGNAATCACAACATCAACACGACGCTCCTGACATGAACCAAGATGCTCTCGCTGCCCTTGTTCTCTCACATGCCCCATCTTACCAGGCCACAGCTGCCCGCCTAACCTCTCTACAAGATCTCCCAGTCCCTGATCCTTCTTCCTCGGCCGCTCTGATTCACTTGCTTCCTCGCTTGCAGCGTGCTGCCCATAGACAAGAGGATCAACAACAAAGCATCGCCCAGCTGCGACACCAGAGCCTTGCTCTCCTAGCCAGATGGTACGATTCGGCTATCATTGGAATGGACGACTGCTGGACTGAGTGGGAAGCGAGACTTATGGATCAAGAGAAAATCGTCAGAAGAGCAGAAGCCGACAAGAGACAAGACGAACACCCTCTGTGACACTCCTGATGCAAGAGCTATCTACTCAGGACAACAAGTCGGCAACCATCTCTTCTTCTTACTGCTGCATGCCATCACCCAGCTTCGTAAGTTCCGTCTTGAACAAGCGACACACCATCCCATCTTCTGGTAGGCCATGTTGCATACTCTGGTCAGGCTTCTAGGTGACTCGCCTTCGACTACGCATTGCATGAAGAAGCGATCATGCGTGGTGAGTAAGAGGACGGTTCCTTGGTAGGCAAGAAGCCTCAAATCAAGTGCTTGTACACTATGTGGATATAGATGTGTAGTGACCACCAGGACGAGTAGATGCAGTGGATTCCACAGTACTCGGCCAACACCAGTCGCCTTTTGGCCCACTCAAAAGGCTCATGGGCATCTCTGAGAGCATAGGCTTTCTTTGCTCTAGGACGGCTTGTGATATCGCCCTTGTTTAACAAAATTGCTCTTTGGTTTCTAGTGGTATTGCCCCAGCCGAAGCAAACCTTAGTTACCTTCTATGAAAATGGCCTTGTTGAGTGGTGGTGTATAAGAATGCTTTGTACCCACTTTTGGAAACATCTGAAGGTGTGTTAAATCTAGGTCTTTGTGTATGTTGATGAAGCGTCCGTACATCGGTTCACGATAGGCTGTCACTCTCCGATGCGCGATGGGCTGTCTTTGTTGTTGTTGTTGAGAGACGTAGCAGACGATGGAAAAAGCTAAGGAGAATTAGTTATGCAGGGGCGACCAAGACTCGGAGAATATCGTGCAGAGATGCTGCTGACGACCACACGGGGAAGGAGTCAGAATGCAAGTCGCCTTCTCTGGCTTGGTGAATTTCGATGTCGGAAAGACCAGTTCTTGGTACTTAGGGCAACAAACAATAGACTGTTTTATGCTCTGGACCATGAGCCATTGGCGACTTGCCCATGAGTCGTTTGTACCTGAGCGAACTGCGGAGAATTTCCCTTGTCCGTTGTGTCTCGGCAGTGGGTCTGGAGTTGAAGGGTCTATATTTAACAATGACATCGCTCATAGAGCAACAGAGATGGATTCGGTTGACAATGCCGGTTGTGTCGAGGGTGTTGAATGCTGGTAGACTGGTACTGCGTGGAGAGTACGAGGAGGCTGGTGACAGCGCCTGGCACCATGCCTCTTTCAAACTTGGCCGAGATGCATCGCTTGTGGGGGCGACGTGTGTGTTTCATCAACAGGGTTGCGTCGACTCCTGAAACAAAACGCATCTTCTACCGCTTCTCAGTCTTCTTCGTCTTTGTCGCATCCATCACGACTTTGGCTGTCTTTCCTACGACAACCACATCCAAGTCCAAGAGGCGGACCGTCCTTCGTTTATCGTCTGCTCTCGTTGACTTTGTAACTTTGAACCCTTTTTCTTGTTGTCCTACCGTTGCCTCTCCTTTCCCCGCCCACCATCAGCTACGCGCGCGAACCGTTTCATTCTCGCCAGCAAACGTTCTTCTCTTGCGCTGCCACGTCCTTACCAAGACCTCCGATCCCTTTCACGAGCCACCAGCGCCAGATCCCCTACAAGCCTGCTGCCGTCCGACACGTCGCCAGGAGCCATCGTCCACTGTCTTTTCCATCGACGCCGATCCACCTTACTCGCCTCGAAACAAAGCGGTATTCTTTGAACTCGCATCGCCTCTTCACATGCCATACAGCTCGCTCGGCTCGCCATCTTCGCAGAAAATGGAAGCCAGTCGCCGTGATATGTACAGTGGCCGCAAACCGAGATTCAGCTGTGGTCAGATCATCGGCGACCCATTCGCCCTTGCGACTTCTTCGATAGCAATCGTACGTCGTCACTGGACATTGGTTTTGCTTCCGTCGGACTCGAGTCACTGACCTGGTCCAGNNATTGCCTGGCTCATCGCCTTCGTAGCTTCCGTCATCTCCAAGATCCATGGCCAATATCCCAACTATTCGTGGTGGGCTCTTGTCTACATGTTCTTCTGCATCATTGGAGTCCTAGTCACAGTCGCTTCTGACTCGGTCTTTACCTACCATGTCGCTGTAAGCAAAGCCCTTTGTTGCACTCTTGCAACTTCTCTTACTTACTCAATCGTAGNNATTGTCGGCTTCCTAGCTGCTGGTCTCGTCTTTACAACATCCTCGGTCAACTCCTTGGTCTACTCGTCCGACGGCGCACATGAAGCAGCTGCCGCCGGCTTCATCCTTCTCTCAATGGTCGCCGTACGCCTCAACTCCCCTCTCGCCGATTAGGAAGAAAGTACTGACACGACTGTCGCAGNNATTGTCTGGATTTTCTACTATGGTTCTCAACCCACTGCGTCCAGTCGCAACGTGATCGATTCCTTTGCCCTCCATAGAGACAGTCGCGTGCCATCGCGCATCTCTCGCCAGCCTCAGCACAACAGCTACCGCCCCGAGACCTCGGTCTCGCAGCAACCACAAATGTATACATCAGCCCAGCTCAGTGGCTTCGAGACATCATCGCCCGTCACTGGCTTCCCCGGAGGAGCTTTGGGAGCAATGGACAGTAACCGTGACAGCGGTGCTCGCTATGGCCAGTCAAACACCTTGGCCCCTCTATCAGCAGCAACAGACCGACCCAACTCCACCGCCGCAGCTCCAGCGGAATACCCATACCGCGCAAAGGCCATTTACAGCTACGAGGCCAACCCCGACGATGCCAACGAAATCAGCTTCTCGAAACACGAAGTCTTGGAGATTAGCGATGTTAGCGGAAGATGGTGGCAGGCCAAGAAAGAGAACGGCGACACCGGCATCGCACCAAGCAACTACCTCATCTTGTTGTAGTGGTCACGCTATTGCCACTCTTGTTTGGAAATGGTTGGCCGAACAGCGTCTGCCTCTGCTTTTCTTCTGTTTTTCTGCGCATGATACCAGTGGTCCAGGCCGCAGTTTCCTTTGATGTTTTGATGTTGAATCTGTTTCACTGGGTTGGCAATGGCGTCTGGGAGGATGATTCTTTTCTTGTTTCTATTCATTGTGCCGGCACGAGTCTTGTTCATTTCTTTCTTGCGACGACGGCCCAATTGAAGATATGCTAGAGTGTTTTGGGAGGAGCTGGGAAAGGCCCCAGCATGGAAAAAAATGATGGATGCGACATCAAATTCAATGCTCTTTTGTTTCAGTAATGTGTTTGTTCAATCAGCATGAACGCGAAGAATGAGAATAGCGAGTCAAAGATGGATTCGATAAACGGCATTCGCGGGCATGGTTCAATAAACGGCATTTGCGGTATGGTTCAATAGAATCAATTCAGCCTCATCCCAATGACTCGCTCTATCAGCTGGTGGTCACTTTATACCCGAAGTCATCATCTGTGCATTTGTCCGAAGGTCTATCTTGCTGGAAGCGGCACCAAGCATGTCTACTAACAGCTGAGTTTGTCGCAGCTTAAAAGGTACCGCTGCACATGTAGGCTGCGTAGTGGTTGAGTTTGGCTTGCGGCGACCGACGGATGCGCAAACAGATGATGGTCCTCGATGGAGTCGACGAGAGTGATCAGGCCGGCATGACAGTGCACGCCCAAGAAAGGCAGACGCCGCGGGCAGAGCAGGAACCAAGCAGGGGTCGGTGGTTCTCGGTTCTGTGGGAATAGAGTAGTCTCGCGTGCAGCCACGAGCGACGGTTGGCATGCCGTCAGTCGTCTTTCTGTTCGACATGGCGGGCCGAAAGTTTGCGATCGGCAAGATTTGGTCACAGATGGGCCTGGTGGAATCCTTTGGACTGGCGGGTTGAAGAGTGATTTCATCGTGCCCCGCGCACACAAGACTTGGTTGAGAGTCTTGTTTCTTTCTAGTCTTCTCTTTTCCTCGTCCTTGTAGCCTCACTTACATAGCCCGTCACGCCCTGGACCCAGCAGTGTTATGGCCGAGTGAAATATCCATACCTAGCTCTTGTGCATCTCACGTCACCTCACCGCTTCCCGCATCAATCAAGAGATAGAAGCCCGCCCAAGCCTAGACCCACTGCCGTACTGTATCCTCGGACTCGGATCCTCGCCCTTCGTCAAAACAAAGAACCAGAAGCTGTTCGCTCACTCTGAACTCCACAACGAACTAGACCCATAGGCCATGGCCACGGCAGCAATGCATCACATCATGCCCAAGCTGCACATCGGCAGCAGCAGAGACAAGGATGGCCGCAAAGTGAGCCGATCCGAGGCCTCGGCCAACAACCGCGCCCGTGAAGAGGAAAAGGGCAGACTTCTTGCCTGGGAAGCACAGAAACAACCCCTGGAGTACGACCAAATATTGGTCGAGCCCAACTCGAAGCCTGTTGGTCACAGCTCAAAGGTTTTACGGCGCGAGGATTTCGATCTTGTCAAGACACTCGGCACTGGTATGCGACAAAGACTCCAGGGACAACCGATGCATCATGTTTGCTGACAACAAGTGTCCTCATAGNGCACATTTGCAAGAGTCTGGCTCGCGAACTTGGTCACATCCAACAAGGATGACGCAGACAAAGTCTTTGCCCTGAAGATATTGCGCAAGACTGATGGTGCGTGAAGCTGTGTCATCACCAGACAAGAGGAGATTCTGACAAGTCTTTCAGTCATCCGCTTGAAGCAAGTCGAACATGTTCGCAACGAGCGCAACGTCCTGGCCGCCGTAGCAGGACACCCATTTATCACAACAATGGTCGCCAGCTTCCAGGACCAAGACACTCTATACATGCTGGTAAGCTGCCTACCACGTCCACCCAGCCACATCCAAACTGACCTTTCGTGTCTCTGCTGCAGTNTGGATTACTGCCCTGGTGGTGAGGTTTTTAGCTATTTGCGCCGCGCTCGCCGTTTCAACGAATCCACGTCACAGTTCTACGCCGCCGAAATCGTCCTTATCCTCGAATTCCTGCACGACCACCAAGGTGTCGCATACCGTGATCTCAAACCCGAAAACATTTTGATCGACGCAGAAGGACACCTCAAGCTTGTGGATTTCGGATTTGCAAAGAAGGTCGAAAACNAGTGCGTAATCCCCTTTTCCAGCCTCCAGGGTTGTGTGGTGAAACCGCCAAACGGCTTTTGCTCTCGGTTCCTTCTGCCACGTTGTGCTGGACGAACGGGTTGGCTGACGTTGGATACCAAAACAGGAGAGACATACACATTGTGCGGAACGCCAGAATATCTCGCGCCAGAAGTCATCCGAAATACCGGTAGGTCACAATGCACTGAAGATCTAGTGTGGTATGCTGATTGTTTTCTAGGACATGGCCTAGCTGTTGATTGGTGGGCACTGGGCATCCTAATTTACGAGTTCTTGGTTGGCCAACCGCCGTTCTGGGACCAGAATCCTATGAAAATCTACGAACAGTACGCAAGACTCACGAGAGACTGAAGAAGCGTCCCAGAAGCTAACAAGCATCTAGAANTCGTCGAAGGCAAACTCCGTTTCCCTTCTGCCATGTCACCGGATGCTCGCGACCTCATCTCACAACTGTGCACCGTGGACGTGTCAAAACGTCTGGGCAACATCAAAGGCGGTGCTTCGGCCATCAAGGCACACCCCTGGTTCAAAGAGATCGACTGGGACGCCATGTACCACCGCAAGGTCCAAGGCCCCATTGTACCGCATCTACGAGGTCCCGCCGACACACGAAACTTCGACGAGTACGATCCAGAACCTCTGCACAAGGACCAATACACGAAAGAGATGAAGGAGAAGTACGAAAGTGCGTTCAAGGACTTTTAAGAGAGTTCCCACGTTTGGGGCAGGAGATGGATCAGAGCACGGCATTGCGATTCATCATGGTGCTCTCCTCTTGCCCCTCGCTTATTCACGACCCTTTGCTTCCCTTTTATACCTCGTCCTTGGATAATCGCCTTTTATTTTCTTGCTTGCTTCAGAGCGAAAGGGCTGCCAAGATATGTACTCACGACCTACTTTTTATATTCTGTACAATCGCTGGAGAGGGATGACAAGAGACGGTACTGGCTAGACGCGTAGCTGACGAGTTGTCTATAAGATACCGAACATTCTTAGAAGAAAGCCCTACATGCTACTCGAATGAGGTATAACAGAGCAAAGCGGATTTGTTTCCGCATTGCGCTTCGTCCCCAAGCCTTGAACCCCGCATACCTAGTTTACCCCTCCTTACAACCGGTTATGCTCTTAAGGTGTTGTATTCCGGCGCATAGGAGTGGATGAATGCTCTCGATATGACCGAGTACCTTGTATCTTTTCACTTTTGTCCTTCCTGACACTCACGACGTTAAGGTCTGTCTCGATTGGCTCCTCTCTCCTTGAAAGGCCTCGCTCGGCAGCCAATATACCAACTCGTCGGACGCCAGCCACTGAAACTGCTTGTTAGTGAAGGTGGTCAGACAGCTCAGGATAGACTAAATTGGAAAAACCATTGGGTCAAGAACAATCGGAATATTCCCTCTTAGGCGACACTCTTTTCACTACAAGAAGAACATCCAGTCAGGAGGCACGAGAGAAAACAGACCAAGACTCGAGCCTTATAAGAATCAAGACAATCGATAACAGGGAGTTCGGCAGCCATCGGGGTACTGGATGATACACCCGATCTTCTACGATTTGATCGAGCAAGGCCGTTGACATGCACCTCTTACGACCCCTTCGGCACTCGGTAACGATCGCCAGACCGTCGATTGCACGATTTGCCAGACGTCCCGTGGTTCTTCGGAGGCTCAATGTCGTTCGTGGGCTTTTGACCCAAGCAAGGGATCGTGGGCCTAGTAATGTGAGTTTGATTATTGACCAATTCACAGACACACTCTACAAATCGAGAGAATGCGAACTCGTTTCAAAGAATATTATTTGACCAAATATTTAGCCACTTACTGACTACCTGTGTTTCAGCCTCCACTTATCACACAAACCATACCAGAATACTTTAGAGACGTGGTTAGCGAGCATGGTGACAGACCTGCGTGAGTTTCCACATACTTTATCGTTCCATCGAACTTATGGGCTGAGGGTTTTGGCTACAGAGTGATAGCTCGTCATCAGAACACAACATTGACCTATGAAGACCTGGATATTCAGGCTGATGCTCTTGCACGAGGGCTCGAGAGACAGGGAGTCCAGAAAGGCGACCGAGTTGCTGTTATGCTAGGCAACAGCGTCGAATATTGTGTCGTATGATTATCTTTTCCATGCCCTAGCGATGAGAAGTATCTAACATTCTTCGCAGNNGCTACATATGCTCTTTTTAAACTCGGCGCAATGCTTGTATGTTGTAAGAACTGACGTTTAGTAGACAATGATACTAACCTTTTGATGTTCAAGGTGCCTCTGAATCCTGCCTTCAATGCTTTGCAGATCACCTCAGCACTCACTCACCTTGCCGCATCACACCTCATCATATCCTCGGAGATCAATCTGCCTTACAAATCGCCAAAGTCGGTCATACCATTGCTCGCTCATCTAATCCTAGACATGAACAAGTCGAAAATGGAGTCCGAAGCCGTACCCAGCTTAAAACGGGTTATCGTGGTTGACAACTCGACCGGCCGAGTAGAAACCGGAGCTTTTGGGGCACTGAGCAGCTATGTGGATGTACTTCGAGATGGGGAGGGTGAGAGGTTGGTGCCGAAAGAGTTGGATGCGAATGAGGTTGTCAATATCCAGTTCACGTCTGGCACAACGAGTATGCCGTAAGTTCGGACTCTCTCAGATCAGCCTTAGTAGAGCATCTACTGACCACGAGGGTTTAGTAAAGCGGCATGCTTGACGCATCGGTCCGTACTCAACAATGGCAAGAGTATTGGTGATAGAATGTTGTTGACGCATAAGGACATTGTCTGTTGTCCACCCCCTTTGTTTCAGTAAGTCTCTATAAGATTCAGTTTTAGGCTGATAAATCATGTTCATGTCAATTTACTGACTGGTCTGAAGCNNTGCTTCGGAGCCGTGTTAGGTTACATGGCCACCAGTACGCATGGGTCCGCTATTGTGTTCCCGTCTGAATCGTTTCAAGCAGAGGCTACCTTACGTGCGGTCCAAGAAAATGCATGCACGGCACTCTACGGCGTGCCCACCATGTTCATTAGTGAGCTGGAGTTACTGGCCTCAGGAGTAGTGCCATACGAAGGCTTCTCCCAGCTGCGTACAGGTATTGCAGCAGGCAGTAGCATTCCTGCTGCGTTGATGAGCAAGCTCCATGATGTGCTCGGACTAAAACAGTTGACGATTTGTTATGGCATGACAGAGACCAGTCCAGTCAGTGCAATGACAACGACCGATGACCCGATGTGGGCTCGACTCGAGACAGTGGGACGACTCCTTCCACACGTAGAAGCCAAAGTCGTAGATGCGAATGGAAAGATCGTACCGCCAAACGTACGTGGTGAGCTCGCTGTTGCTGGGTACTTGGTCATGTAAGTGTGATTGGCTTCCGGGAATCAGCTTCGACGAAGGATATACTGATGATGGGTATTACAGGAAGGGCTACTGGGGGACGAAGCTCGTACTCAGGAGGCAATACGATCAGAAGAAGGTACGCTGTGGATGTATACTGGCGATGAGGCGAGTATGGACGAAAACGGCTATGTACGGATCACAGGTCGACTCAAGGACCTCATAATTCGCGGTGGGGAGAACATCCATCCTCTGGAGATTGAGAACGCTATCCTCAAACTCCCATCCGTGACGGATGTTTCGGTCGTAGGACTGCCAGATCCAAAGTATGGTGAAGTGGTTGCAGCCTTCATCATGCCAAAGAATGCACATGCGAACGAGGAAGAGAAAACCCAGATGGCGAGAGATATCAAGAAGTGGGTCAAGGAGACGTTAAGTTCGCACTTGGTGCCGAAGTACATCTTTTGGTCCGAGGGGTGGCCGAAGACAGCGAGTGGAAAGGTAAGTAGTGAACCCGGACATTTCTATCGCTCAGTCATAGCTAACGACAACCAGATCCAGAAGTTCAAGCTAAGAGAAACAGGTATTGAGCTTGCTGAGGGCGGGCATGGCGTGTATACGTGACAGTCGGAGGAGACATCTTTTCTACAGCTGAATTCATCAATGTGATACAGAAGCTTCTCATTGGACGCAGACGATTTGACGAACTGGGAGTATACGTTCTTCTAGATAAGTCCTCAATAGGCGATTTGTATCCTCCTCGCGTGTAGCCGAAAGAATTCTGCCTCTGTGTACGAGTAGTGTACGCTTCGCTCTACACTCTTTTAGAAGGAGAGTAGGATTGCAGACTTCAGCACATGGGAAGGATGATAAGTCACGATGAAGTGATAAAAGGTTGACGGTGTCGATATCTAGACAGGACCTGTTCGACAGGGTGAGATGCTCGTCAGGCGCACGTCTCGGCCCGACTCCTAGAAGTTGTGCCTGAGCTGGAGACGAATTTGTGGGGAGCTTGGCAATTGGGAATGGTCCCAAGGGTTCCTCAGGCGATAAGCCATACATCCTAGACAGCGGGCTAAAACAAACGACGGGAACAAAAGTTTGAGAGATAGCGTCAAGACGAGATCGGACCGTCTTGAGCAGGCTCAGGTGTCGCGCAAAGGTGTTGAGGCAGAGCTGGTACAAACAGCAAAAGTGAGAAGGATTCAAGCACCGACTTCGCAGAGAGGGAAAAGGCCTTTCGTCATTTAGACGCGCGCCGCCGCACGTCTCAGAGTTCGCGACCACTTCCAGACTCCTTCGCTCTGGGCACAAGACCAGCCATCAAACATGGGTCTCTCAAAGTCGACGAGGATATGCATCCTCCTGGCCATTGACACAGTCTTCTTCCTTATCGAACTCATCACTGGTACGACTGCCCGTCATTCAGGTCGTGCGACGATCAGTTTACTGACAAAGCATACAGGCTATGCCGTCCATTCTCTCGCCCTCGTGGCCGACTCGTTCCATATGGTCAGCCGTCGCCTCCTCCCCGAACTGCAGCACTCGAAATACTGACACCAGTACCCAGNNCTTAACGATGTCATCTCCCTACTCGTTGGTCTTTGGGCCGTCAAGGTCGCCAACCAAAAGACAACGTCCAAAATGTACACCTACGGCGTATGTACTTACATCCGTTCTACGAATCGTCCACCCACTCACACTCTGCCAGNNTGGCAACGTGCCGAAACCCTAGGAGCTCTGGTCAACGGTGTCTTCCTCGTCGCCCTATGCCTTTCCATCTTCCTTGAAGCCATCCAACGTTTCGTCGAGCCGCAAGAAGTCAGCAACCCTAAGTTTGTGCTGATTGTAGGATGCCTCGGTCTTGCCTCGAACATTGTCGGTCTTTTCCTCTTCCATGACCACGGCCATGGTGGCCACAGCCATGGCGGTCACTCTCACGGACACAGCCATTCCCATGGAAACACCATCAGCGATGCCGAAGAAGGCCGTGCTGCCCAGGACGAAGATGCCGACGTCGCCGACGAGTCTGGAAACGTCGCCGATGTGCTGCCTCAGAGCAGAGTTGCAAACTGGCCCAAGACTAAGAAGCCGACGGCGAGCGGCTCCGGAGCCAGCGAAGATGTCGAAGTCTCACAATCCGGCCACCGCCGTCAAAAGTCAAAGTCCAGCCGTTCCCGTTCAAGAGCATACTCTGTAGAAGACGTGCCCGTCAACCCCTCATCCTTCCGCCGTTCCATCATCGAGACTAGCAGGCTCCAAGACATCGAATCTGGCGAGAACACCGAGGACTCCGCCGCTGAGGACGACAACGCCGACCAGACACCCCAGCAGCCGCTCCTCAATAAGAATGGAGCCAACGGCTACGGTAGCATCCAAAAGTCAAAACCCATCGACCACCAGCAGCACAAGCACAGACAGCCCAAGGAGCAGTCCAGCGGCGGTGGCCACGGTCATTCTCACGACGACCTCAACATGCGTGGTGTCTTTCTTCATGTCATGGGTGACGCTCTCGGAAACATTGGAGTCATTGCTTCTGCCCTTTTCATCTGGCTCACCGACTACAGCTGGCGCTTCTACACGGACCCCGGTATCTCCCTCATCATTACCTGCATCATTCTCGCTTCTGCCATCCCTCTCTGCCTTGCCGCCTCACGTATCTTGCTTCAAGCTGTCCCCGCTGGTCTGAGCATTGATGACATCAAGGAAGACATTGAGGAGCTTCCTGGTATCGTTAGTGCCCACCACCTCCATGTGTGGCAGCTGAGCGACACCAAGCTTGTTGCAAGTTTGCACGTTCAGGTCGACTTTGACTTCAAGGGTGAGGGCTCGGCAAGATACATGGAACTCGCCCGTGCTATCCGCGACTGCCTTCACGAGTATGGTATCCACTCTTCCACCATACAACCTGAGTTCTGTCTCGACCCCGAACACGACCACTCTGCACCTCTTGCCGATGATAACCACTTCGCTGGTGTAGATGGAGCCTCTTCTCGTAAGACTTTGGATAGGCAAGCCAGCAATGCAAACAGCCTCCGCGCCGCGGCAGATGCATGCTTGCTTGACTGTGATGATGCATGTAATGGCAAGAGTTGCTGTGCCCCTGCTTCTGCTGAGCCATCGCAGGAAGACGGACATGACCATGACCATAACCATGACCATGATGACCATGGCCACGGCCACAGCCATTAGAAATGGCCACAAGGTTTTGTGCTTTCTGTTTTCAAGCCCTTTTCTAGACTCTCTTCCTTTCTCAAGACCCCACCATTGGTGCCTGCAGACGAGACTGATCGTCCTGTTGGAAACACTTAGAGTTGTTGTCAAGCTTGGTTGAGATGTCTTACTTTAGCATTGCTGTTTTGTACATCACTATCCTATTCTACACGTTTTGTAATAAAGACAAGGACCACATCAAATATTCTAGACACATCTCTGATTTCTGTTTTGTTTACATGTCCTACTCGAGTTCACTTCACTTTGTCCTCACAAATCCACTGCCCACGGTTATTGATAGTGAGACAACAGCATTTCCCTCCGTCGCCCCTGGTGTCACCTCACTTGTCCGTCACAATCTCAAGTACTAGCCTTGCAGCCTCTGCATCCAGACACCATGGCAGCCGCTGACAGTGCCACTTACGCTGCCAGCGCTGACGACATTGTTGGGATGCCTTCTCATCATCTAACTTCCGAGGCACCCTTTATCACTAATGATGGCGGCAATCAGAACAAGCACATTCGCCTCTGCTTCGCGCCAACCGAGCAGGCCTACAACCATGGATCGGACCGTGTGCGCCCCCTTCGCACCATGCCATTCGACTCTGCGACATGGATCGGTAACCTCGACGACCTCGGTAGCCGTGTATGGCCACATCCCAGCTCCAAGGAACTGCTCGCACGCTCTCTCACCGGGGACCCAAGGTTTCCACTCCCAGATACAGTGGCCAAGGAAAACAGATTCCAGAACTTGCGTTTGCGGTGCTGTAGTGATAGCTGTTGCCCAACCACCCACAGCCCCTTTGTAGAGTACGAGAAACCTTCTCGTCTTGGAACGCTTGCATTTGACCGCACGCAGAATGTGAGGCACCCTATCAGATCAGGTTCAGAGTGTTGGCATGCTAACATAATCTCCAAGGTCGTCATCTACCCTTTCTATGTTCGTCTGTGCAAACGTACCGGACTGCAGAAACTCTTTGCCATCGTACATCGTCATGAGAATGGAGAGTACTGGTTCTGGAGAGCCGACGGCACTTATTACGAGACTTATGGCCTCATCAAAGGAAACGTTTCTATCTTCCAGAGCCCTAGGTCCGCTCGCAGCAAAAACAATGGCAGTTCGGCCTCTTCGAAGATACCATCGACAAGCACTCCCACCAAACCTGGTAGTTCAGCAACACAGCTAGTCGATGATCTTGACGACACGCCACTGCGAGTCGTACAGAAGGCACGCGCACTTACCAGGAGCGAAAACATGGAAGCACAGCTCGTGAATGGCGCGGACGAAGACCCTTTTGGAGACAGTCCTGAGCCTCCTTCCAAGAGACGACTTATCGCAGGCTCGTCCGTGCCACAAATCAAAAACAGCGGCCGTGCAAAAGTCCTCCACATAGATACATCGCATTCCATGGCGACACTGAAGAGACTCAGAGCTAGAGGCCTCTCCACAACTCCTACCAGACAGCCACAGCCGAGTAACGCTAATATGCAGAAACCCAACCGCTCCTTGTTGCACATCAACGAAGTATGCATGCTTGCCTATCATCTTGACGGACATGGTCTCAAGTTGATGTACCGAGACAATGCCTTTACCATCGAGTCTGGCGAAGGATCTCTAATCGATCCTACGACTGGAAGTCCATTCAAGATGACCGAGCAGCATGCACTGTACGTACTATCTAGTAGCCAGAAGTCCCTCAAGGTCATCATGAGCAAGAACACTGCGTGGAGCATTATGGAATCACGCGACGATATTTCCGAAGGCGTCATTCTGTTGGAGTTTGGTGGTGTCAGTGCTCGTGACGAGTTCATAGCTCGTATCAAACACATGGTCGGGATGACTGTANGGGGTATCGGCTGTGCTGATGAGTAAGCTGATCCTTTTACACCTTGCATGAAATACTAGTACTGACAGATTCAGCNNTTGATGATTGAACCAATGTACAATAAGCTCTTGGAACAGCTCAACAGAAACCGAAATGCTGTGTTCGATCCCAAGAATGAGGACAACCCCACTGATCAGCAATCGGCCAAGCGGACCCAGTCGCTTTCTGCAGAGAACAGTTCTTGCGCCGAGGGCAGAAAAGCCATATCCTGCCCTCCAGGGGTGACCGAAATTGCCTCGTGTCATGCTCCAGCAATCCCTGTAGTCTCGAAATCTGCCAAACATCCGGTTATCCCGGTGTCAGTCGAGTCAACCCAGCCACGCCTACCGACCAAGCCATCGAGTTCCTTGAATACTTCCCAAGCCGTCAAGGCCAGTTTGACGGGTTCACTATCCAGCCAGAGCCAGGAGAAAACAGACATAGTTCCATCTGAGTCCAAGACCTTGACTAGTGAAACAGAGATGAAGAAGCAGTTGCTGAGCTTGTTGCGTGAGGTCTACGTCAAGTATCCAAGCGCTCAGGATGACGACCAGGTTGAGAATATGGCGCTTTTGTTGAAGGCACCTCTTCTCGCTGGAGATGAGGAACGTGTCAGAGAGCTGAAGATGGATTTGAAGGTGTATCTGATTTCACATCACGGGTAGCTTCTGTGAGCAAGTATGGGAGGTCGGGTCATCAAGTTGAAGGGATGCCTTATCTGGTGGTTGGAGAGGTAACGAGAAGTGGACGATGATTCCGAGGTGAAGTGGAGATAAAGAAGGGACCTGTGGTAGGTATGCAATAATCTCAAGTGTAAGTTGATCTGTTTACCTCGCGACTGGCACCTTCCACAATAAGCGCGTGCGTCGTCGTGTTGTAACAATTGAGCTGCAGGAAGCCGCATTTTTGTTTGACTTCCTTCCCACCTTCTATCCGCGCACGCGTCACAACACAGTTGCAAGCATCTTACAACCTCTTTCTTCCTCTTCAAGAAGCATCAACGAGGCCATTCTCGGTGATTGTTGCCCAACATCCCCACGCACTCTTGACAACTGAATTATACAAGCTTTGAATTGGGTCCAAGTCTCTGCCTCTCACTGCACGCGCAATGCCTCCTTTTAACTGGCAATGTTTTGCACCAGTGAGCGACCCTGGAAACCATGGCTCTGACTCTTTGAAGAGTCTCCAGGTCGCTCCTTTCCAAGCCGAGAGCAACTCCGTCTGGATTGGCTATCATGATCAACCATCGAAAAAATACTTGGGAGTCTTCCCAAGCTTCGAAGAGGTCATGGAACGCTGTCGAAGCAAGACACCGTCGGCCACACCGGCAACTACACCATCTATTGCACCTAGTGNAGGACATATCTTTCACCAACCATTTCGGACCAGACCCCCTTGCGGAAGAGTACGGCCGTATCACTACTCAGATCTTCCAGGAATACTCGATGAGAGTTTTCGCACTGCCAGAAGTCACTAACCTCATCCAGAGGATGAAGCAGGCCGTAAAGGCAGGCGATAGACCTGCGCTTTGCCGCGCTTATGGTGCACTCCAAGCTTTCTTGATCACGGTCGAGTAGTTGAGACATTCGATTGTCTGGAAACGGCACTCTCTTGTGTCCTCAACTAGTTTTGCGCACATTTCGTTCTTCCTCTGTTCCAAGGCATGCTAGTATGCAAGTTACCCTTTGTAATTCGCTATGGGATTTCCGCTCTCTCGCTCATTACAGCTGCTACGAAGAGTCTAGAATTATAGCTATACGAGAGACATGACGAGTTGACGAATCGACGAGTTTAATAAAACCATAATGGGACTTTCACATGGCCATCTCCAATAATGCACAAACACAGTATACAACATGCGTCAGAAAGTTGCAAGGTCACATCTGCTTGTACTCCAATCAACTCTCCAAATAAAGCATCAAGTGGAATGAAAAACATGATCGAGGGAAGGAGCGCCTGTCGTTGCCATGAGCCTTTTCGGTATTGTCCTCAGCATGAGGTTGCCCTTGCCTCTTTCTCCATCCTTCATTACTGTGTTTCGTTCTTCCAACAACCATCTTCCTCATCGTACTGTCACCGGTATCGTTCTACTGCCTTCACATCCGAACCTTTCGTGTATCGTCGGCCCTCGAGTCCGTGTCCCTGGATCGGCTTTCTTGCCGTCCTCTGGACCAGGCAAGATATGGAATGGTATGTCTCGCCTCCTCCTTCTGGGTTTGCACAGCTCACCTACCTCGCCTCTTTTGCTTTGAGTTCATCGGAAGAGCTGACCCATCGACTAGATCTTCTCGAAACCTACCGCCGTCTTCATATCCACTTTCCTCAACCTCCATCGCGTTCTTCGACTTGATATTTACCAAATCCTTCCGATCTTCCTTAGATACGACGCCATTGCTCGATCTCACGGAGAATCCAAGCCATTATCGCAAGAAAGGCTAAAAGACGGCGGCAATTGCAAAGCTCCATACCGAACAAGGAATTCGAAGGGCCAGCCTAGGCTATGGAGAGGGCTACATCTCTGCTTCAGAGCGAGATGGTCACGCGCGAAGTCTCAGTCCCTATTTCAACCATTCTGGCATTGAGCTCTGTGCTGCTTCTGCTCCCTTCTGTGGCAATGGGCCGTGGATAGAACTTGCACCTCTCAACTGCTTGTCGTTCACGAATGACCCCTGAACCTTTCCAGTCAGTTTACGGCATGAGAGACATGGCGTCGAGCAAGTCCATAAGCCAGCACTCCCACAAGAAGGCGCCGGTCCTCCTGCTCCTTTCAATCTCCGTTTACGATATCGGCTTTGTTCGAGTCACTGCACCCCAGAGAACAGGCTTGTCCAATGTGCAGCACTCTACCAGCCTTTCTATGGCCCCTGCCGCTTGCCACCCACACTCGTTGGCAGGAGTCTTTTCCAGTCGTCCGTGACAAACACAATGGAGAGGCTTTGATAAAGTCCTACCGCATCATCTGGTCAAATATAACGAGAAACTTGGCTGTATCTCCACGATGTCGTTGTCGAAGCCTCCCAAGTGATTTGTCACATCGTTGGCCCGAACGCAGAGATCCATAAGGCACTAAGATTAGGAGAAGACTGGAGTCATGCCACTCTGGTACGTCACAAAGAGGCAGGTCCTTTTCGGTCTGACCAAGAGTTACTTTCTTCGTCGCTGTTTTGCTAGCCTTGTTAAGGCTAGGCATCGAAGAAAAAATCACCTGGTTCGATTCGATGGCGATGATGAATTTCTTGTCTCTCTTCGTTCGTCTTGTTCGGCAGCCCCTGGAACTCCAAGTCTCGCAGGTCTCACCCCAACAACGCAACGCATCACAAAAAAATGCTTGTCTAGCTTTTGATTCTGATGGAAAGACTCGTTCATGGTGCAGGACGAGATGCAAGCAAAACGTGGATCTTGTGATTCAATCCGTTCTACTCCCCCTATTTGTGCGCAGGGCTAATTGTCTATCGTCTTAGGCTTTCGCCTCTTCGTATCTCTTCATGCATGCTTTGGAGCAGATGCGCCAAAAATCTCAGGTGTCTTGCATGTCTCTTCTGGACAACCGTGACTTCCTGACATACCAAAAAAGAAACCTCCATCAACACCATTGTTGTAGTACATGGCTGTGATAATGCATTCATGCAAACTTTCATCATCTCATCATTCCTCCTTCACATCGACTTCTTCCTTGACGTCGGCCTCCTTCTTGATATCCTCCTCTTCTTTGACGTCGAGTCCTGCGTCCTTGAGCCCGTTTCTGAACTCGTCGCGAAGATTCTTATTCTTCACCAAGGCAGTGTCGTCTCTCGTGATGTCCATGGCGTCAATGGCGTCTTTGTCTTCCATCTTTGGGTGCCCATCCTTCTTTTCTTCTTCTAGATGCTTGAAGAACATGTCTTCGACAGCAAGTGCTGCGTCGGCCTCGAGTTTCTTCTCAGCGGCAGCGTCTTCGGCGGCGCCGGCCACGCGATCGTCGAGTGCGAGCTTTGACTCTCCAAGAGCATGGATTTGCTCTTCGATTGTGCCGCGGGTAACAAGGCGAACGACCTCGACATCGCGAGTTTGACCGACACGATGGGCGCGGTTCTCTGCTTGAATGTCGTCTTGAGGATTGAATCCAGAATCGAGGATGACAACCTTGTTAGCACATGCCAGGTTGATACCCGCACCACCGGCCTTGGTACTAAGCATGAACACAGGGATCGAAGTATCTGTTGTGAATTGATCGATGATGTCTTGGCGGGTTGCCATGGGAGTACTGCCATCAAGGCGCATGAACTTGATCGAAAGCGTCTCGAGAACTGCTTCCAAAATGTCCATCATCGTCGTAAACTGAGAGAAGATGAGGGTACGATCACCGTTCTTAATATAGCCTTCGAGTAGTTCCTTGAGCTTGTTGACCTTTCCACTGTTCATCCACTCGTTGTTGCGCAGAATATACTTAGTCAGGAAATCATACTCCAGACAGAAGCGGTGCATGCCAAAGTCACCGCCCTTGGTCTGCTCTGTGAGCATTCTCCAGATGAGCTCCGGCTTGTTGTCACCATACTCCTCTGATCGCTGAAGAGCTTTTGCCATCTTCTCAAGCTCCTTGTCGCCGTACTTGCGTCTCAGAAGGAGAGGATGGAGAGCTGCAAAGCGTAAAGCAGTCATCTCTTGAGCAGTCTTGGCGGCTTTGGCGCCGCCCTTCTTGGGCTGTGTACGAGCATCCACAGCCTGCTTGACCATCTCGTTATACACTTCGCGTTGCTCTGGCAGCATATCGCAGTATTCGACACGACGGTGCTTGGCAGGCATGTGCTTCAAGACCTGCTGCTTCTTTCGGCGGAGGATGAATGGAGTCATCATGGAGCGAGCTCGTGCAATACGTTGTGCAGAGAGCAGAGCTGCGTGATCGGCATCCTTGGTAGTGGCCTTGTACTTGAAAATGCTGTCTAGATCCTCTCTCCGAGAATGGAACAGACTGGGAAGGATGAAAGAAAGCAGCGAAGCAAGTTCTTGCAGGTTGTTCTGCAGTGGCGTACCGGTCAAGAGAAGACGAAATTCGGCAGGGATGCGCATTAGCTGCTGGTGTCTCTTCGACTGGCTATTCTTAAGAGCGTGACCTTCGTCGAAAACGCACACTACAGGGCGTACGGTCTTGCGCAANAAGTCCGTATCGTACTTTCCAACAGCCGTCTCGTATGTAGTCACAATAACATCAATCTCGTCTAGACGAGATCCGTAATCATAGCGTTGTTCCTCTCTTTCGGCTTGCGAGCCGTAGTAAGGAGCAACATTCAGAGCGGGACAGAATCTGTTCAATTCTCTGATCCAGTTCTCCAAGGTGGATCCAGGCACCACGACGAGATGTACACCTGGCACTTCAGTCTGCTTGAGGTGAGCGAGGAAAGCAATGACCTGGCAGGTCTTGCCCAGTCCCATATCGTCAGCAAGGATACAGCTCAGCTTCTTAGACCAGAGCAGGTTGAGCCAGTTCAGACCGAACAGCTGGTAATCCTTCATGGTAAGGTCGGTGCTCATGTTTGTGGGTTGCTTTAGGAAGATGTTTTTCTTGAGCTTGTTGGGTCTGGACGTTTTGGGCTTGACTATGTCGTCGTCATCGTCGTCAACAACGCCAGTGGAGCTGGCGGGAGTGCCCATGCCGGAGTCATGCTGCGTATCTTCCAGTGAGGTGAGGGCCAGTTCGCCGTCCTTGGTGGCGGCAGCGAAGTCGATACCCCATTGCTTCATCGTATCGGCAATAGGTTTACCGAGATCATCGCATTTCTCAACCAACTCATCAACAGCTTCGTAACCTTTATACATTTCTTCACATACATCCAGGACCTTATCTCCGATGGCTTTCTTGGCGGACTTCTTGCCTGACTTCAATGGGGANGCATCGGAAATGTTTCGAATAGCATTCAGACTTCGGAAAGGCTTCTTGGACAAGATGAACTGGGCGATCTCCAGCTTCTCATTGGACATGTCGGCCAAATCCTGAGCACTGCATGTGTTGAAGAACTTGAGTAGACGACCATCGAAGTCACTCGTGTCTTCTTCTGATGACCCTTTGCCAGAATCGGCGTCAGAATCATCCGAGTCGATGATGACAGCACGCTTCTTCGGTACCGCTTCGACAGGTTTAGTTGGAGAAGGAGAGCCGATGGGTGACACAGGGTTCTTGCGACCTTGCATCAAGCGTCGTCTAGGCTTTGCAGCCTCCGAGGCTGTGGTAGTAGTCGGCTTGGGCTTGGTTGAATACTTGTCGGCGATGGTCCGTGTCGGTGCTTTGACTTGTTGTTTAGCGGCCGGTCTGGGTTGGGCACTGGGTTTCGCAGCATTGCTCTCAATGTCTGAGCTGGTGAGGTCGACAACGTCCATATTCCCACCGTTCTCTTCCTGACGGAAGATCACGTCAACAGCATCGTCAAAGTTACCATGGCATTGCTGCAAAGCCTTGTACAGCACACGGATAGCTCGGCCAGGCACAACCGTCATCATTCGCTCCACCTTTCTCTGATCGTGGACATCGAAGATGTCATTGATCGACATGTCTTGTACAGGCTGAGCGCGCGAAGGGGCCGGTTGGCGTTGCTGGGGCTTGTTTCTCGAGACGCCTCCATAAGCACTTTCTAGTCCGCCGGCATTATAAGCAAACGAGGAAGTGAGGTTCTTGAATTTTTCAGCCGAAGACTTGGGGCTCTCCTGAATACGGTTGGGAGAGGAGTCGAGGTTTCTTCCACCTTTTGTAAAAGCAGTAGGGATTATGGCGGATTGTGTAGCGGGGCCCTCGGTGTCTGAACTGCGGTCGACCGGAGGATCAACGAAGTCATCATCGTCGTCAATGTTAATGAGCGGCACAGGGCGAGACTGTTGAACGCCTGGAGGACGTCTGAATGCGGTTCCGGGAGGAGCAAAGCGAGAGCCGAGTGCGTTTTGAAGACGAGATTGGGGCTGTGGCAGCGGTGACTCGGGGACAGGAGCGGGAGAGCTGCGGGCCACTTGGACGGTCGGAGTAGATGAGTGAGAGCGCTTCTGGGCGTTGGAAAGGGGTTGGGTCGGTTGAGTGCGATAAGAGGATTGTGAGTCGGAGGTCAAGTCGGCCATAAGGTTAGCAAAGGTCAGACCGGCCTGCTGCGCTGGTCGTGGAAGAATCTGCGTCGGTATCGTCCCGGAGGTGCTTGTCTGTGTCTGTGTCTGTGGCCGGCGACCAGCAGGGCGGAAGCCGCCAGCAGTCTTCTGCTTCTTGAATGGGCTGCTCATGATGGGATCACTTTCATCCATTGTGCCTGCCCCTCTGCGAGGTTCAAGAAGATGAAAAAAGTCTCGGTCTTTTGCTATGCCGACAATGTTACAAGACAAATCGCTAGGTCCAGGCTCTTGAGGTGGGATGAAAGGTCGTACAAGGCAATGGCGCGGAGGGAGGGGTTCAATTGTCGATAAAAGCACAATCACTCAAAAAAGTGGCAAGGGAGACCCTTGGAAGGCTTCACAATTGTCAATTGCTTCACTGTCCGACTTTGAATGCGGAGGCGTGACGCGCACGCGCCGACCCTGCACTTTGCTTCACTAAAGAGGCATTCAAACCATCACCACTTCACCAACAGTAGCAAACTCTGTAGACCGCCATGGCTACCAACAGAAGAATCGTCTCGCAGGAGAAGACCCATCTGGATCAAGATGAGGTCCAGCAGCAGCCTTCCATAACCACCCCTGCTGTGCCCCAGTATGCTGGATCCGTCAATTATCCCATCCAGTCCATTACTGATCCACTGCCANGACATGTCATTGTCAAGCTCCTGCTCTTCTCGTTTGCTATGATTATCCTTCCCATCTCATCCTACTTCTTAACTCTCAACACTCTCTACTCTGGTATCTATAATNTCATTCACCAAGCAATTCTCACGCTCCCTACTAACTCGACAGGCAACTCTACTTTTGCTGGTGCGACTGCTGCAATCATCGCGAACGTCGTCTTGATTGGCTACGTTATCGTCGCAATGAGAGAGGATGCAGGTGAACGAGCAGAGGCTGAAGAGAAAGGCAAAAAGTCTCGCTAGTCTACATTACAAACCTTTATAATGTCGCGGGCATGTGTATGCAATGCGGTCTGAGCAAAGATATTTTCATGAATAATCAATACGAAAAAAAAAGCGAGAAATAAAGGCAAAGGCGAGAAATGATTCATTTGTACCGACACCAATGTCAAAGTGCCGGTTTTACGATGCCACTGCCACGAGATGGCCTTTGTCGAGCATCAACCCAACCCGTCCAGAAGAAGATGAACCCAAACGCCGCTGAGATGCAGCTGTGAAACACCCAGCTCCTTCCCAATCTGCCCATTAGGTCATTAAATATGTACTGCTTCTTTTTCAAAGTTTTCTAGCGGTTGCTTTAGCCCTTGCTGAATCGCTTCTTGAAGAAACCCTTCTTCTTCTCCTCTTTTGCTGCAGTAGGTCTTGTAGCAGGCGGCAGGCTTCCACCTTGGGAAGCGAGTGCACCATCAGCACCACCGAGCTTAATAGGTGCGCGGACAGGCGGTGCTTGTGAACGCGTCGGGGCCGCTAGGTTTCCACCTGAGACCCCGTTTCTGTTGCCGTGCGACATGCCGTAACCGCCATCTGAATCACTAGCATACTCCTCCATGATCGGAGGTCCGTTGTAAATATCGTAACCATATGGGTCGGTCTGCTTGGGAACGCCGTTGGCGCGGTCCAGTGAGCTGTTCTCGCTGCTGGGGTCTGTCGAGTTTGCCCAAGGTCCAGTACCATCGCTGTGTTGCGCACCGGCATCGTACGAGTCGTTGTAGCTGTGCTGAGGGTAGAATCCGTATGCGCTGTTGGAACGACTCGAGTTCATGCGTCTTGCGTATTGGTTGCGGCTGGGAGGGCCTCCAGGAACACCGGCGTCAGAATAACCATCCTGGCGGCGCGATGCGTAGTGACCGCCGTATTGCGAGCCATTTTCGTAGCGGGCGGAATCGTGGTCTACATGATTCGGTCAGTGTGATGTTCAGTCCATCGACAACAGATGGTACATACTGTTGCCGCCGTAGTAGCTGCTCCTGCGGCTCTGGTCGTGGTTGTTGTAGGTATAACTCTCTNNATGATGTCTGTCAGTGGGGCGTCCCGGGGTCTGGAGATTGACAGCGCACGTACCAGATCTGCTCACAGAACGACGCTTATATCCGCCATCAATGGCTCTTTCAAATGATCTGATAGTGTCCAGAGGTCTCTCCCAGCGAGGGCGAGTTGGGTTCGAAAGATCGGGTTCAGCTNNGCGGGATATGGTCAGCGACAATGCATCGAGAGGCGGCAACAGAAGACTTGACTTACTGATTACATTACCATTACTATCTTTGTGTTGGACATGGCGCAGCGACTCGAGGGTCGACTTCTCCATGACGGCGGCATCTTTGTTGGGGTCAGCGGGAGTGACGGGAAAGCTAACAGCAATGTCGGCCATATTGNNGGAATGCAGGATTATGGTAATCAGGCAGTCGGGGTAGACAGTGATGGAAAAGTCAGAAAGAGAGAAGAACACACCTCCAGGCTGGGCTTCATTGATAGCAGCATTTGGGTTCGCCTTGGACCCGCCCTTCCAGAAACTGTCGCGGCGCTGCTTCTCGGCAGGGTTGTCAACCAACACCTCATGCTTGCTGCTGCGACTGTGATCGGACTTGTGACTGAAGGCGCGAGAGGTAGTCCGCGGGCGAGTGGTGGGCGACGATTGATCCATGCTGAAGTGGGCTTTCGGACCTTTGCTGCCGGAGGCTGACTAGTGCTGTGGATAAGTTTGTCGATAAGGCCCAGGCGATTCTACTATGGATATGCGACACGCGATAAAAGCGAGTGAAGTGGTTAAGATGAGGTCGACGAGAAGCAGAGAGATGGAACTTGGAATAAAAGTACGAACGAGGGAAAAGAATTGAGCGCCGTGTAGGTTTGTGTCGTGAAGTGATTACGAGGCATTCGGCTTAGGTTGCCGCGCATGCAGAAACAAGAGAATGTTGCGAATGTGGCTGGTACCTTCGAAGAGGTCCCCTCTCTTGCCTGCCTCTCGATTTACTTACCCTGTCTGGTGATGATATATACTTTTGACAGCACCCTCCAGAGCTTTCAGCTATTCATCTCCTCGCAGTCATATTTCGTTCTTGCAGTACAGAGATACAACCTGAAGCTCGTCGACAGCACGCCAAACGTCTGTCTGGCGGTTGAAGGCTTTTGGGGCGGTGCACCGCGCGTAACGACGAATGATGTGGCACCATAAACGTCGTGGCCCGACGGGTACCTTTGATCGTGACGATGCTTCTTCCTTGTCCTTGTCTGACCTCATGCCCAGTGTGTTTGACTAGCAAGGTTGCTCCCAGCAGCCATGCACCTCTGATACATTCCACAGTCCGATTTCCTCACCCATGGTCAACTCGCCCTTCTGTGCCTCTGTGCCCCCACACACGAACAACTTCCCATGGGGAAAATACGCTCTATTGTAGGAACGGCTGGTTCTGCCGTGTTTCAGTGCTTGGCCCTCGGTCGATCCTGGATTGACTTTCGATGTTTTTCGCATGCGGCTTGAGCTATTCTCGATGCGGGCTTATCTTGTCATCATACCCGGTGAATCCGTAGCGTTAAGCGTAGATCTTCCACACACGGACTTGGTTCCTTCCGTTTACCGAAGTGACATTCGATAACGGATGAACCTGATCCTGTCAAAAGAGTTCCAGCCTGCTTTGGAAGGAGGGCTTGCGCCTTCTCACATCTCAACTGCAGTCAAATATCTGTTGCACTTATTGTCTTGACACAGTCTGCGAACCAGTTGGTCAGTTCTGGGAAGGTATACGAGTACGCGTACGACTAGGAGAGAAAAGCTCAATTGAATTTGAAAAAACTCATGAAACATACTTGGTCCAGGGTCGCGAGTTGAGTAGTGGCATGCGGTGCAAGGTCATCAGAAACGTTTCGCAAAATAAAAGCCTGGGAATTCTAAGGTGAATGTAACAATTCGATCTGTCTGCTTGCAAAGACGCATCTTACTCAAGCCAAATCTCCATGTTGAACCATCCTCTGATAGCTTCTAATAACACTGGTCAATCAGATGAAGTATTTGCATTTTGATCAATCTTGAGCCTTGATTTGTAAACTGTTAGATTCTTTCCCCATATTATCTGCAATATCTTCCAGGATATTTGAATGTCAATTATTTTCCCACTCTCGTCTCCATTGCTTCTTATCCGGGCTACTCTTAGCCATGCCATGAACGTGACGAGTTAATCCCTAGTGCTCGTTTTGATCTTCCTCGTCCTGCGCTTCGAAAAGCAACATCTCTGCGTGTATAGCACGCAGTCTCTCCATGTCTTTTCTCATAGCCATGCTCCTAATATCTCTTTGCATCCGGCTATGGGTTTCTGTTGCCATTCTGCAACCGTGTTTCATCAGTATCCTCAGGATAGGTCTGGTTATGCTCGTGATCTCGACATAATCGGTGGGAGAACTGCTGGTGCAATGTGTAACGACGTGATCAAGAAGATCAAGGTGTTTGTCGTCTATGGCTTGAGTCGTGTCTGCAACCGTTGCCTTGACAAGTTGGCGGAGCAGAGGTATGAATGCCTCGTCCTCGGGCGAAGTTGGGAAGTCTCTAAGTATGTCACAGATCATTGGAATGAGAATCTTCTTGACAGCTCTCATGTCGTTTGCAACAAGAGAGTTGGCAGACTGGATCAGCTTGCTTTGGGCATCCTTGTTGGTAGTGTCTGCCTGATCTAGTTGTGATGCCTCAGGTTTATGCTCTTGCACAATCTGGCCCTGGCCAGCCGCCTCCACCTTGTACTGCCTGAGAACATGCTGGTCACTTACCTTTTCTTTCACTGACTCGCCTCGGTTGCTTTGCTGCGAGCTCATGCGGGCGTGATCACCCTCTATCCTTGTTGTGCTAGGCGTGCTTTGCCCGAGTTCGTGTGGAGGTGTCTTGTATTTGATCTCGGAACGGCCACTTTCCATAGAATCGAGCTTGATGGCTGTATCGCCCATACGACCCGGTGCAGCCAAAGTTGACTGCAGGATTGCAGGTGTTTCTGCGTTACTTCCTAACTGTAACTTTGCAGAAGATCTGGATCGAAGTCGTTTGGATGGGCAAGCATAGTCCTCCCCGCCTGACACTGCATCCAAACCGCTCTCCTGCTGGAAGCTTCGTTCTCTCTGATTTGAGGTGACGTGGCTGCGTGGCTGTTCGATTCTGACTGAGAAGGGGTGCTCGTGTACGGTACGCTGTCGTAGCCGCTGATATTCCTTGTCATTCCATGGGTCTGTAGCAGGCGCCCATCCTNNGTCGTCGAGACCTCTGAGGAACAAGTCTGGTAGCCCGAAATCGCTAGCCTCCTTGTTTTTCCAGGCGGATCCTGTTACGAATCCTGACTGGTCGAAGTGCTCAGGGAAAGCTTTTCTCAGTGATCTGTGTGATACCCAAGAATTTGCACGGCTGTAACGCCCTGGCTTGATGACATGTCCGGCAAAGGCAGCCATCAACTTTTGCTCTTCGTTTCCACACTCCAGCTGTTTGGTTTTCTTCTGAGATATCTCTGGCGTGACCTCATCGTTGGCAGGCCAAACTGGGCGAGGAACATCAAGGATTCTGGAATATTGCGGTTCATCAACACTACGTTGACGTTCAGGCCTTCTTTCCTGGCGTATTGAGACTCTCTTGTTCAAAGCAAAAGCTTGATTTGAATCGCCAGAAGCTGACTTGTAATCAGAGTCATCGTTGATTTCTATGAACATGCTGTGTCTTGGACGCTTCATGATGGTGGGAGCGTGAGTACAAGCTGCCACAAGCGAACAAACCCTATAATGTCTGTTGAGTGGTCGAATGAAAATGGGAGTCGGGGAAGGAATGACAGTCAGGTAAAGAGTGACCACGCAAGCTGGTGATCTGATCTGAGAGAATTTTGGGTATGTTTTCTCGTCGAGGGCTAGGCGTGAGTTAAGCGACTGATAGAGAGGCAAAGCGTGCCGAATTCAAGTCTGCTCGTGTAAGTAGCAGTCTTGAAACACCGAAGCACAGATGTGAATGAGTGGAGTGAAGTTTGATCAGTTCGCTGAGGTGGACAAACTGACCGGCTCCGTCGACTTCTTGTGCGCTCGTGATAGGTTGTTACTGATTCGAAAATAATCAAAAGCGACGTAAAAGTGATGGTATAGTGACTTCCGCATGTGCTAAAGGCTGAAACCACACCTGCTCCCACAAGAGTATAAAGCGAAGTGTGCACGATGAAAAGGCAGAATCGTTGTCCGAAGCAGAGATGTAGTCAAAGAGAGCCGCTAAAATGTCGCTCTCAGTAGATGCTGCCTTATTTCTTGGTAGCACTGTGCATTGACATAGCTACAAGCGTTACATGCTCTAACTTACAGGGAGTGAGTACAGACTGAAGAGGTTTTGGAAGTCCTTAATGCCTTGCTGGACAATTGAGTTGTGGCGGCTCAGAAGGCAAGTGTGGAAGTAGATTGCCGAGCAAAAGCTCAATGTATGACAACTTGGAAGGAGATCGAGTTTTGCAGGAAGCAGACTACTAGCAGAAGTAAAAGCCTGCTGCGGAAGAAAGTACACAAAGAGGGAGAGTCCTAGGAAGCAGGTGGCAGTTCGAACCGATTTTGTTATTGAACATGTGAATGTTTGCAAAAGCTATTGACCGTAGCGAATGTTCTACCAGGCCGTAGAACTATGAGGATCCTGCCAGGAGATATTCTAGGAACCAGGGTATAAGAATAAGCCTTGAGAATGTATATATTCGCAATGGTTGGCTGTGTAACACTTTTGACGACTTGCTAGAATTCGTTGTCGAGCTCACTGGGCACCGAGCATGGCAGCAACATCCTTGTCCAGACCAACACCTTCACCAGTACTGAAGAGCTCCTCGTCCATTTCGGAGCTGTGATTCATCTTTCTTCTCTTCAGCCTGGGATCAGTAGTAGCAGCGGGGCTGTTCGATGCAGGACGGGTCAGGCTACTAAGTAGCATGTTTGCACCCTCTGACGTGGCGGGAATGCTAGGTTGAAGAGCTGGGGAGGCNTCAAATGAGGGAGCGGGTTCGGTGTGTATGGGTTCCTGTTCTTGGTTCGAGTCTGCAGCGAATGTGTTTGATTCCAAGAAGTCTTGGTCGTACGCGTTATCGTCTGCGGGATAGGCGGGCTCGGGAGAGCCAGTGGGCGTGAAATTCTCGACATCAGGGGGAGGTGGGGTGAAAGATTCGACTTCGGGACTGCCGTCATTTCCAGTAGGGCGGGGGTTGGCAGATAGGCCAGAGGAGGCGGCGGCCGAAGCATCAGCGGACAGACCACGCATAATGCCGTCCTCGACATCCTTCTTCTTGGCCTCGATGGTAGTGCGACGGGACAAAAGCTCCGAGTGTGTCTTCTGCTCTTCAGCCAGCTTGGACTTGTTGGCGTCGAGCAATTTCTCCAGACCAGCGATGAGCTCGTTACGGGCCTTGAGGCTAGCATCGACGGCGCCCTCTGCAGCTGCGAGGTTCTTCAGAAGCGACGACAGACGGGCGGCGTGAACGGGAGGACTGGGTACAGGTGTGTTGGGGTCCGTCAGCTTTGCGTACTCGGTGTTTGCGGTCTGGATGAGTGGTTGAGCGGCAGTTTCGGAGCGAGAGAGGGAGGACTGCGGTTGTGCCAGGGCTTGTAGCTCGGGTGGTACTGGCGAAGAAGAAGAGTTGGAGAAGAGAGAACCACCGAGGAGGGAACCACCGAGACGTGCGCCGCCTGAACGAGCTGTGCGTGACTTGTCGACCTCTGTTGCTTGTTAGTCACACAATTGCGCCAAGGGACAACGAGAGCAGGTACCTTGAATACGCTTCTCAATAGTGTCCTGTATGGCGAGGTCGAAGATGTTGCGCTGACGCCAGACTTCTACAACGCGCTTGATCTTTCCGCCAGTGTCCTGGGTGCCACTCTTGTAGGCTAATGATGTGGCTTCTGCAATGATCNNTGGTCTGGTTAGAGACGCTTGACAGGCTGCTAGAAGGTAACGCACAGGACTGAAGGCCACAAGAAAGTCGTCCTTCTTGCGTGCCTTTGATTGCTGGACAACCTCNTGTGAGACAAGTTAGTAGTGGTCGCGTGTGATGGGCAGCAGTTATGGTCAAGTACCATTGGCGAGATAGATCAAATTGACTTTCTTTGGAGGGTTTGAATCCTTGAGCCTTTCGAGCCACAGCTCGGCAGTACGGTCTGCGTGTCGTCTGGGTACAAAATTAAGCTATGCTGGTTTGACATATCGCGGCGCAAAGCAAACAAACCTGTGGAAGATGATCCATTGAGCGACACTGACGATACTATCTTGGGTTTCGTTCAAGGCTGAGAGCTTTGCTCTGACGGCATCATCGGCGTAAGCCATTGTGCATGCACGAGACGAAAGGACGTCGTGATGGGGTATTTGGATGGATGGCAGAAGTCATCAATCATGACGACCAAGTTGCAGCGCGCAATCAAGGTGCTTGGACTTTATATGGGCGGCAGGACCCGCTCTCTCCCGCATCATCACGGCGCCGGCGGTGCTTTGGTGCTCCGTGCTACCCCAAGGCTGGCCATTAGCTGTCGTCAATCCGAACTCCAAACAATCCACCACAACTCAGCACCTCATCAACACCGTTTCTTACAACTCTCTACCGCCTCACTGGACCACTGCGCTCTATCACCCTCAACCTCACTACTTGCACACAACCACAAACTCCACAATGGCCGACAAGTTCCCCTCTGTTGAGGACCTCGATTCTGGTAAACCATTGCATCTTGACCAGTACTCACCACACTCCGACTAACCATTGACGAACAAGNGTCTGATTGGAGACGCTACCGCCGATAACAACATGGACACCACTCAAATGTCTGATGAGCCTTCAGACTTCCTAGCCCGTGAGCGCGCTCTCCTTGGTGACGATGCCGACCAATTCGCGACTCTCGCCGACAACGCCGCTACCGTTGAGAATGACGACGACGACCTTCTTGGAGGAGGCCAGTCCTACCAGCCTCCCGCCGACCACGAGATGGGTGGCTTCGAATCCAGTTTCCCTGCTATTGACACATCAAACGAGGTCCGTCCCCCTGATCTCCTCGTCTACCATCAGACAGCACTTTCTGACGCGCATATCCAACACAGGNGAGTAGCACCCGGCGGCACAATCACCGGATCCACACTACCATACCAGCCCAAATCCAACCAAGCCTCATACGAAGACGAGTCCGAACCCGACGTCATCCGCGAATGGCGCGAGCGCAGAGACATGGCTCTCCAGCACAGAGACGAGGTCTCGCAGAACAAGAAGGAAGAGACCGTCAAAGCCGCCCACCAAGCCATCGACGACTTTTACGAGAACTACAACAACAAGAAGGACAAGACCGTCTCCCAGACCCGCAAGGACGCAGAGGAATTCCTCAAGTCTAGAGAGGACACCACTGCCGGAGGAACCAGCTGGGACAGAGTCTCCAAGCTTGTCGATCTTAGTGGAAAAGGCAGCTCTGGTGGTGCTCAGGGCTCGGCAAAGTCCAAGTTCAGAGAACTGTTGCTTAACCTTCGCAAGGACGAGAACGCCCCCGGCGCCAGCGGCTACTAGGACAGAGATACCCCGATTGTTTCGCCCATGGATTTGGCTGCAAAAAGAACCATGTAGAATTTGAACATTTGACCTTTTATCCCTCTAGCCTTTCACATCTCACAATTCTGGTGTGGGCTGTTCTTGAAACGCACGTCATCCTCAAAGTATAATGCTGGTCTATAAGATCAAGGCGAGTTCTAGGATACAGTACATGATCGTGCAGATATGCAGTAAAAATCTTTGAGTGGGGTATACCTCCATCCATTTCTTCTTCTTCTTCTTCTTCTTCTTCTTCTTCTTCTTCTTCTTCTTCTTCTTCTTCTTCATCTTCATAACAATGCCATTCATGACATGCCATCTCCTGAGCACCGAAGCCCTCGGTAACAAAAAACAAAAGTAAAGGAAATGCAATTATCTACATGGCAGGGGTGAGGGGTATTCAAAAGGAAGAAACAGAAAACAACAACAACAGATTGCCGATCCGACTTCTTTCTTCCATTCTACCTCCCCGTGCTCTTTGGCGTTCTCTCAGCAACGGCTTCTCCAGCAGTGATGTCCTCACCCCTGTACTTTGTACCTTGCTCTTGCATCTGCTCTTGACCTTCGGCAGAATCGTTGTCTGCGAGATCATGCTCGATTTCCTCCTCTTCGCCGATCTTTGGGCCGTGAGGACGAGATCTGGCTGCTTCATTGCCGGACATTTGCCATTCCATGAGTTTGCTGAATGCGCCTTCTTTTTTCTTGCTGAGTTCGTTGTACGTTCCGGTCTCTGCTACTTTGCCGTCATTGCCTATGCAGATGATCATGTCGGAGCGTTTGATGGTTGACAAGCGGTGAGCGATAGAAATTGTGGTGTTGTTGCCTGCAAGGAGAGTGTTCAGGGCTTGGTTGACCAGAGTCTCTGATTCAGCATCCAATGCACTGGTTGCTTCGTCGAGGATCAGAATGTCTGGGTTCTTAAGCAAGGCGCGGGCGATTGCTAGTCTCTGCTTCTGACCACCAGAAAGTTGTGTGCCTCTTGCGCCAACATGTGTTTCGAGGCCCTCGGGNCTGTGACTTTGGTTAGCATGGTGTTAGACTTGGACTCCATGGGGATTACTCACGAAGTCGGAGATGAACTGGCAGTTCGCCTGGCGCGCTGCAGCAATGATCTCGGCGCGAGTCGCTAGAGGACGGCCATAGGCAATATTCTCAGCGACGGTGCCTGAAAAGAGGACAGGCTCTTGTCCGACATAGCCAATCTTCCTTCTCAACTGCTTGGCGTTCATGGTAGTCACATCACGTCCTCCGATAAGAACGTACCCGGCGGCTGGTGTGTAGAAGCGCATGATCAGACTAGCCACGGTAGACTTACCAGCACCTGATGGGGCAACAATTGCAACGTTAGTGCCTTGCTTGATGGTGAAGTCCAACTCATTGAAGATGGGGACGGCAGGACGGGTGGGATAGGCGAAGTTGACGTTCTTGAAGACAATGTCGCCTCTAGCACTCTTCACAGGTTCACCCTTGGTAGGGCTGATTGTGGGTTCGCGGTCTTGTAGCTCAAACAGACGCGAGGCGGCTCCCACACCCTTCATCAATTCCGAGTAGAACCCTGAGAGACCAAACAGCGATGAGCCAGCGTATGCTGTGTACATGAGGAAACTGGACAGGTCACCAACACTGATAGCTCCAGTCTTGACCATGCCACCTCCGAAATACAGAAGAGCCAGGAAAGTCATATTGCCCATGAAGCCCGAAGAACTGAAGAACACGGCGCTGATAAGGGCTTCCTTCTTGCCGAGATCGAAAATCTTGCGGACCTGAGTGTTGTAGCGGTGCACTTCCTGTTGCTCACCAGCAAATGCTTGTGAAGTGCGGACGTTTCCTAGACGCTCTTCGGCAATCTTGGTCAAGGTTCCGAGATTTCTTTGTATACGTCTTGAAAGAGTGCGAATGGTGCGACCGTAGAAGAAAGCTCCGATGGCGACAGGAGGGAACATGAGGGCCAGAATACCGGTCAACTTGAGACTGACGTAGCCCATGAGTCCGAAACCAGCGACAGCTGAGACCAGGGATCGTAGACCATCAGAGACGTTCTGGGTGATACTCTTTCCGACGATTATGGTGTCTGAACCGAGACGTGAAATCAGGTCACCTACTCGGTTGGCATCAAAGAATTCTGCGTTTTGGATAAAAGTACGTCTGAAAAGCTGAGAGCGCAGTCTGGTAACGATACGTTCACCAACGATGCGCAAGATAATGATGCGACCATAGTTGGCAGCAGCACCGATGGACAGAACGGTACCTAGAGCAATATAGAAGACAGGCATGGTCATGCCGAAGAGGAGGTCGGCGCCTCCATCTTCGGCAGGCTTAGTAGCAGCATCCAGAATCTTACCAATGGAAAAGGGTAGAGACATTGAGATGGATGACGAAACGAGCAGGAAGAGGAAGGCCCAGGAGAGGACCTTGAGTTCGGGACGGGCAATCTTGAGCAATCTCCAAATCTCATTTTGACCGCCCGTCTTTCCGGTACCGTCTTTGCTCAGCTTCGCCGACAGGTTCAGCTGAGCAGCACTCTTTGCCTTTTCGGTAGGCTTGAAAGATTGGTCGTCGGCGGCATCGTCGTCGTCGGGATCTTGTTGGTGCTTGATCTCATCTCGATATGAGCGAGCGGCCTCTTGAGACTTTGCGACGATGGCAGAGCGAGTGNNAATGGGCGTCGTAAGGCCAATGCTATGGCAGATTGGGTGGAAGAATGTAATGACGGGCGTGACAGGGGTGTCAAGCGGGCGCACGAGAGGCCGAGGGAATGTGAGGGTAGCGATAGCGGTTGTTTGGCTCGTGTGGTCAAGNAGGCGACTGTGTCTAGCTGGCGCAAGGGTGGACCTTGACAGGACTGATAACAGGGCGGACGAGTCCTGGCATGCTCTTGAGCATAGCCATTGCCGGGGTGCATGACTAGCCGGGGCTCCAAGGGCGAAGGCAGGCGGGCACCGGGGAGGAAGCTGGAGCAGGGCGAGGGAGGGAGGGAGAGGTCGTCTACCGCAACAAGTCGACAGAGCGGACAGCAATGGGCATTCTTGTCATGGATCGTGTGTGAGTGAATGCGACATGGGTTGACTGGCTGTACAGACACGGCAGTCTAGACGTGCAGCCGCGTCTTTGTCGCATCGTCATCATGAACCTTCGGCCCGCTGCGCGCTCGGAGCTCGGGCCTTTCCATTTGCTTCTATCAATCAGATGAAACAGCAGACGAACAAGTTATCCCACTTGTTCGTGTATAATCACCTCTTCTCCTGATAAGAGCATCCGCGTCTGTTTCAGCAACGAAGCCTCTGCATCGGTATACCCAAAGAGACGACTTCGGTGCAGCTTCTTTCCTCAGCCCCGCAGTCATGCCTGTTGATTACAGCAAATGGGTAGCTATTCTTCCCCTGAACTTCTTTCCTTGAAGCTAACCATGACATCTAGNNGACGCTCTCGAGCTGTCTGACGATTCCGATATCGAAGTCCACCCCAATGTCGACAAGCGTTCCTTCATCCGCGCAAAGCAGAACCAAATCCACCAACAGCGTGTCGATCGCAAACACCAGATTGAAACTCTCAAATATGAAAAAATCATCAATGATGGCTTGATCAAGCGTATAGATGACCTGCTCGACTCTCTGCAGTCCTTCAAACAAGAAGCCGAACAGGCTACATCAGGTTTCGAACGCTACATCTTCCAGGCTCTGATCAAGAGCACAGGTTCCCCTGACAAGGATACCCCTCCACCTCCACCAGGCGGTGTTCATGCAAATGTTCAAGACCCTCCGCGCTACAGCAAGATGATGGCTGCACTGGTCGATCAAGCAAAGCAGGCCGTAGACGAGACCAAGCCTACTCCTNCAGCATACTATGCTGCTTTCATAACCGAAGTCACCTCGCACAAGACAAAGATTCAGGACCTACAAGTCCAGCTGCTGGAGAAGCTTGCTGAGCTCGAGAAGGAGGAAAAGGCAAAGATCACCAGCGAGACTTACCGCACCGGCTTCGATAGCTCTCACGTCTCCAAATCTTCAAGTCAGCCTGGCGCCAGCAAACCTTCGTCAACTCCCGAACTGCTCAACCCCTCGCGTCCTTCTATTCAACATGCCGACAGTGGCCAGTCGTCTGGCGCTGATGCTGACATCGAGGACGAGTCGATCGTTACGAAACCCGTCGCGAGTCTAGACAGCGACGACGAAGACATGCAGGCCTCGCCCCTGGCAAAGAAGTTCGCCAAGATCAGATACGGTGACTACCGTTCTTCCCTGGATTTCATCTCAAACAATCCCTCTGTCATGGGCGAGAAAGAGACGGATGGTTTACTGGTAGAGGCTTTTAATGCCCAGAGTGATGGAAATGACGACTACGCAAGACAATGTGTCCACCAAGCCCTGTTACTACAGTATTGCCGACAACTGGGCCGTGACGGAGTACAGCTCTTCTTCAAGCGTGTCACCACACAGGGTCATCAAGCACAGAAGCTGTTTATGGACGACGTCAACTCGACATACGCCAGAATCCGATCGCGCACAAGAGAACTCGCTGAGCAACGCAAGCGCGACGAGGCAGAGGGCACCGGCGGCGTCGAACAAATTCAATTGCATGCAGTAGATCCCAACACTACCATCAACATCGTTGTGCCACCTGCCGGTTCTACTGATGAGGATGCCAAAGAGGCTCGTGCAGTCTTTGAGACCTTCNCTCCAGGCCTACAACGCGCTCTTGAAAGCGGCAGCTTGGACAAGGTCAACGAAGTCTTGGGCAAGATGAGCGTCGACGAGGCTGAGCAAGTCGTAGCACAACTTGGCGAGGGTGGCATGTTGAGCTTGGAAGAGGGCGTCATCGATGCAACAACCGAAGAGGGACGAAAGCAGATGGAGGAGATTGAGCGTTCGGGTAAGATGCCTCACGACCAAGAGGAACGTGTGATCGAAGAAATTGAAGATCCTGGCATGGATTGAGAATTTCTAGCTTGCTCAACTGCTACAAACCGTGTACAACTTAATAATACACCTTGCATGATTACAGAAACATGGACTCCGACAGTACGTCCAAATGAACTTTGATCGGAAATCCTTGAAAGAAATTGCTCACAAGCTACCTCCGTTCCGATTCTCACTGGAGGATATGAGCAGTCTCGTCCAAAACATTGATAGCATGAATCTTCTAACCAGATACGGTCCGTAAGCGGTATAGAATTATCATCACGCCAAGATCGGCAGGACCATCGTTGCCACCTCAAGCATCAGCATAGACAGGCGACCTCCCTCAACGCAGCTCTTCGTTCCATGCCTGTCTGCAAGACAGTTCATCGCTTCAAACATCTGCAAAGGCAGCCTCATCTCTTCCCCTGTCACAGGCTTCTCTGCACGACAATCCATCACTGGAGACTCCTCCGCCAGCAGGCCCATGTCTTCCTTCGAAGTGTCGATGTCAGACTGGCTTAAACACACTCGAAGCCCTAGAGCTTCACTACCGCTCTGGTGAGTGTTGCGTGCGTCTGTTTGTTCCTCCATAGGACGACAATCTTGCACGGAAGAACGAGATTCTCTGGAGTGTGATCAACTTCAACCTTTCCCACCCACTGCAAAACAGGCCCGGAGGTCGTACCTACATGCTTGGATGTGCGGTGGACTTTCCATCGAGAGCTGAGGAGTTCCAGCATTACTATCGGAATGAATGCCTGCAACCGACTCACCGGAAAGATCGTGCCCAAGAATTCAAGGCGACTTTGTTCTATCTAGCTTCAGATGTGATCCGGTTCCACAAGCAGGCCTGGGGCCTATCGCGTTTTACCATGGTCAGGGTATCAAGAGGAGTCGAGCTCTCAGGGAAAGAACACGAAAATTTGTGGACGCAGGAATTATTGAAGGTTGGCCCTGTCACGTACAATCTCATGGACACGGCAGAACAAGGTATCAATATTGCGTATGTTATCGAGAAGTTCGACCCCAGTCAGAGTGGAGAAAAGGCGACAACAGCTGCGTTCCATACCATGGGCTATGTCTCTGTGTGCTAAAACCAGTCACATAGCAGCTATGCAAATGCACAATCATGTCTAGACAGAGGATGAGATCCAAAGAGGGCCTATCCAGTTGTGACTTTCAGTGGACGCCACTTGTTCCCTGAAAAGCATTGTGTATTCCTATAGCTTACGATATTGCTGTGCATCACCATGAGAGAACACGAGAGGTACGAACTCAGACACACTGAAGATACGATTCCCTCTTACAGAACACTAGAGACGATGCACATTATCTCGACAATGACACAGGAGGATCACCTTATCCTTGTGTTTCGACATAGCAGCTCTACCTCCAACAAGGACCACCTCAAAGAGCACATAGAGGACGCACAACAGGCCGCGACTCTCCTACACCAATCTGGTAGAGCGCGTGTGGTCTCTATCGCTATAATGAGAGTACCAGGGATGATGCTATGCCACCAATTGCGAAGGGTTCACAGTCACCATATAGCTTGTTGTGATCAGCGGTCGCTCGTACGATTTCTGTAGGACAGCTGACTGACCATCCTGGGCGCGACAAGCAAGCACGCGATGTCGCCTGAGTGTCTAAAACATCTGCAAAAAGAAGAGGCTTTGATAAAGCATCTCACCAAATTGAGCCAACGAGTGAAACATAGAATCTTACGAGTTGGTAGAGTCTACAGACGAGTCGATTACCAGCCGAGGTCAATTAGCGGGTCGCGGCAGTATTGATCGGAAGGCAAAAGACTCAGCCGCACGTAAAAATTCGCAACAACAATAGGAAGGAACAAAACTGGGCTGTTGGTCCCTCCACGATATGGTAATAATGGTATTTACAAAGATTGAGGCCCCATCCGATAGTCACAAGCTATAGGTCATGCAAGAAAACAATGTAGATAGGTATCTTATCAATCGTGGATCTTCGGTAAGAGTGGTTTGGTGGGCGGAGGTGACGCTCGAATGCATGCAGGGGCCACAAGAGGCAACTGCCATTTAGCAAAGCCGTCCCATCACCTTCGACTTTCTGTTGTACTTCTGCTCCTTCCGCTTTCAACCGCACAAGACTTTCAATTGAAGAACTTGTTGTAGCAATCGCTCGCCAGCTTTGCCCTCTACATACCTAAAAATTCTCGTCGACGTGAATCTACGCATTGCCATTCAGAGGGGCCTCTTCTGGAGAAAGCTCTTATCTGATCCGATCAGATATCCTCGTGGTGAGTTCGCACGTCTCGAGCCAGAGTCGCCCCACATTGGCACAATGACGAATGTCCACTTTGCGATGTCAAATGTCGAGCGTCGCCTTTGTATTCTTCTTTTACTGACACTAATCTCTCTGCAGCGACTTTCACACACCTCGCCAACATGCCTCGTCGCCATTCGTTGTCGTCGTTCACCATGACGACTCACACACACAAGCACATTCCCACATCGGCCACATCACACCCTGACAACCCAATACCCACAGAGCCCGTCTCTATCCCACAAGGCAGCATGTCGCCCTCCAAGCGATCCGTCCACTCACAATCACAATCACCACGCTCATCGGGCGACTCGCTGGGCGAGTCAATGGCTTGGTCCGAGGGACATCTCGAATCTGGAATCTCGACGCCCTCAACCGAGTTGTACGACCAGTTCGAAGACATGACACCCAAGGATAAGAAGAGTCCGATCGAAACAGAGGTTACCAAGCGCCGCGCCTCGACACATCTGATCACATCGTCGGCCGACGACATTCGCAAGCTGCTCGGAACTGGCGAGACTGGTACCAAGTTCCTACAAAACTACTGCTGTGGAGCGGCTGCGAACTGCTGTAAGATCAAGACTCTTCCTCCGGACACAACCCGCCCTGGTTTCATCCCCGTCGTACTACCCGACAGTGACGCCTTCCGGNGGTTGAACCTCAAGATCAACGCGTTAACTCTCGATACTGGTCTGAGCGATCTTGTGGAACTCCCCAAACCCAAATACTCACTAGAATCTGTCTCGAAGGACGAGACCAGTAGTCACCACAGCACGGTCGACGTCCACCCGCCTACCTTTGTTCAGCCCCACCCTCCTTACGATGTCTACTCTGCACCTGTGTTCCACGCCCGCCAGCTTACCAATGAAGGCGCCGAAAAGCGTACTGTACACTTCGACATTGACATCACTGATTATCCCAAGGAAGGAGATATTGACTTCAAGGTCGGTGGTGCCGTTGGTATTTGTCCTCCCAACGACGCATCCGTCGTCAACACCATTTTCAACAGGATTGGTACACCCAAGTTCGTCCGCGACAAGCCTGTAGTACTCAAGACTGAGGGAGGACGATGGCCTACAATCTGGGGAGATGAGAAGCCTCGTGAGCTGCTTACCACACGTAGAGAGCTTCTGACGTGGTGCGTGGATATTGCATCATCTCCACCAACCAAGCAACTCTTCCGGGTTTTGGCTGAATATGCAGATGCGAAGAACGAGCGCAAGATCCTCGAATACATGGCTAGTGCTCAAGGTCAAGGCGCTTTCTGCGACCTTCGTGTTGGACCCAACATCACACTGCTCCAACTTTTGGAAGCCTTCCCTTCATCCAGACCTCCTTTTGAGATGCTACTCAGTTGTCTCAACCAGCTTATGCCTCGGTTCTATTCTCTTTCCAACGACCCTCATGTCTCTTCGGACAGAGAAGGACTCGCCGGACGACGTCTCATCGAGATTGCAGTCACGGTCCACGAAAACCCCAACTGGGATGGAAAGATGAGGACTGGAGTTGGTTCCGGCTACCTCGAGCGCGTTGCTCGCCATTTCATCGACGCTGAGAAGAAGGCGAAGCAATCGGGCGGCGAAGTCGAGATGCCAAGCGTGCGCATCCCAATGTTCCGTGGATTGATGGCCAACCCTCTCTCCAAGAAGTTCGACTCGGACGGCCCAATGATCATGATTGGTGCCGGTGTGGGTATGGCCCCCTTCCGTGGCTTCATCCTCAACCGTCTACGCAACTCAAAGTGTGCCAACAAAATTTGGCTGATCCAGGGTGTACGAGACTCGACTTTGGATGAGATTTACTCTGGAGAGCTGGGCGACCACGAGCAGCAAATCAAGAGGGTTGTCCAGTCTCGCGCCAAACCTCCTCCGGTTGACCAATCGGACCCTGGAGTTGTTGACATCCAACCCAAGAAGGGTGGTGAAGTGACTGGCAAAGTCGTGTCAGAATCTCAAGCAAACAAGGCAGCCAAGTACGTTCAGGATGAGGTGCGTCTACAGGCAGACATTGTCTGGTTTGTCATCAATGCTCTCGATGGTCGCATATTCGTCTGTGGAAGCTCGCGAGGTATGGGTGAAGGTGTGGAGGAAGCTCTCATTGATGTGGCCATGGACAAGGGTAACCTCAACTTCGAAGAGGCCAAGGACTTCTGGGCACAGAAGAGGGATGACGGTCAATACGTTGCAGTAAGTCTTCAACCATCGACGCCTTCTGGATACATACTAATGTCAACAGGAAACCTGGTAAAAACTCATTCGATTCGCAAGCTCGGCAGGTTTATCTACGAAACCAATACGCCTGCCAAGCTTCTTCTCCTTTCCATCACTACGTTGTTGGTATTTTTGATTATGATTGATAGCGTTCCGTACTTGTTATCTTTGTCAGGGCCACATCCCAAGGGCTTGTTAGAGTCACTCGATGTGTGATGTTGGTTATTGGCTTGGTTGGGGTTCCTGGGGTGATTATTGCATGGTTATGGGCTGGCACACCAGAGAGAATCAGTTTGCTGTTTATGTCCAAAAAGATGAATGGCACACTGCCCAGTTACAGGTCCTATGAGTATCTAGAAAGAATGTACAGACAGACCATCTACATGAATACATGTTCCCAGCAAAACTCGGACTTAATGGAGGTGATGGATCTATGAGAGGCTGGACAAGGTTGCGGAGTTGGGTAATAAAGTGTCAGGGCAGGATTTCGGCCGAAGCGTCATACCAATAAGTGCTCGTAGATAAATAGGCAATTCCACTCAGCATAATAAGATAATCAGACGAGTTTCATTGTTTGACGTGCTTTGTCTTACAAGTCGGCAGTTCCATACGCAAAATCACTCCAACAACACCTTGAATCCTATATCCACTACCATCATGGTCAAGACGCTTCCATTCGGTTCCTCGGGCATCGAGGTCAACAGTCCTGGCTTCGGAGCTATGGGTTTATCGTTTGGTCTCGGAACCAACTTGACACCCGAACAAGCCGAGCCCGTTCTTCTCAAGGCCGTTGAACTCGAATGCACCTTCTGGGACACTGCCGTCGTCTACGCAGCAGGCATCAACGAATCTCTCCTCGGCGACTTCATCCGCAAGCACAACGTCCGCGACAAGGTCTTCATTGCCTCCAAGTGCGGTTTTGCCGTCTTTGAAAAGGCAGGCGTCACGAACTCTGCCGAGCACATCAAGAAGTACATTGATGGCACCATCGAGAGACTGGGCTTTACTCCTGATCTCTACTATCTTCACCGTATTGATCCCAACACTCCCTTGGAAGAGTCTATCCCTGCTCTCGATGAGATTCGCAAGGCTCGAAAGACAAAGTATATCGGTCTGTCTGAGTGTTCGGCGAGTACATTGAGAAAGGCGAACGCTATTGCCAAGATCGATGCTGTGCAAGCTGAATACTCTGCTTTCGAGACTGTCCACGAGACAGATGGACTGATTGAGGCGACCAGAGAGATGGGGGTCGCCTATGTGGCGTACAGTCCTTTGGGCCATGGTTGGTTGGTCGGTGACTTTCCCTTCAAGACTCCTGATGACTTTGCTCCTGATGACTTCCGCCGCAGTTGTGAGTACTCTGCACCATATACTTGTCCTGTTATATCTACTNGATTAGTTATTGTAGCTCCCAAATTCCAAGGCGACAACTTTTATAAAAACAGAGCCATTGTCGAGGAGATCAAGAAGCTGGCCGACAAGAAGGGCTGCAGCATCACACAGGTCGCTCTTGCTTGGGTTGCCGCTCAGGGCTTTATAGCCATTCCTGGTACGACCAAGAGCCACAGACTGGAAGAAAATTGGACTTCCAGAGACGTTGAGCTGAACGAAGAGGAAAAGGCTGAGATGAGAAAAATCATCGACAATGCAAAACCTCATGGTAACAGATACGGCGAAGCCAACCAGAAGCTGGTCGGACACTAAGCTAGACGAGAAGTGGTGACTGGATAGGTTAGATATGTGCAAAGTGGTATGAATTCAGAATATAGACAGAGAAAGTAAAACATCCAGGCCATGACAGTATATCCAAGCTCTTTTCATCAAAAATCGTATCGTGATATCTTTAGATCAGAGCAGCAGCGACGAGACCTCCAGCGGCATAGGTGACGGCATTGGAGAGCCAGGAGTCGGCATGGCCTCCAGCGGCGCCTGAAGAAGTAGCAGTGCTGGAATTAGAGACAGTTGAGGAAGAGCTAGCACTCTTGCTTCCGCTTGCTGAAGATGAAGTCGCTGATGCGGTTCCCGACGAAGCGGTAGCACCACGGCTGAGAGATGTAGGTGTCGAGGCGGCCGAGCAGGTTCCCGCGGTGTTCTGGGCGCAACAGGCAGCGTTGCCGGAATTGTCTTGACCGCAGTAGCTGCCGCTGGCACACAGGCCTGCGGGGCAGCAGGTGTACTCGCTGCTGTCGAAGCAGACGCCGTTGCAGGTCGATTGACCTACACCGCAAGAAGGTGAGGCTGAGGAGGTCGAGGTTGTCATGCTGCCACTTGCGCTAGCACTCATCGATGTGGTGCTTTGTGCTGCGGCGAGAGCTGCGAGAGTTGTGACGAGGAGGAAGCGCATCTTGGATGGATTTGGGTTGATGTGAGTGAAAGCTGAAAAGAAGAGATGTACTCGAGGATGGTGAGGTGGACGGGAAAGAATTGTGTGACACAAAAGAAGGAAATCTACGGCGATCAGTGTTTATGTACCAGCTCACCTCTGTGTGGCAGTGTCTGTTTACAAGAAGACGAGGCCTGCCCTGCCAAGTTGGTACCTGACAGGTTTGCAGGGATGAAGGATGATCATCATGTCACAAATATCTTGAGTGTTTCGGACAAAGGTCGCCTTATCGCCGCCGCGTGGCCCCAACGACTCAGCCTTGTTCGCACGAGTGCGCGTACTTTTTATCACGCTAGAGGAGCGACGTCAAACTCCCTTTCATGAGTCTGAAGCTGTTTCTCATCTCATGCCTGGTCGAAAGATGTAGGAGGAAGAATGGAATTCTGTGTGACTAAGGCAAGGCATTGTTCCCAGCTTTCGATAGAAGTCATCGACTGCGAAAGCAGCAAGCATCCTCGTCTGTAACTACACCCTTCTCCCACAAGAGTGTAAAGCGAAGTATACGCTATAAAAAGGCACAATTCTTTTCCGAAGCAGTAGAGCAGCCAAAGAGAGCCGCTAAGATGTCGACTTTCAGTGGATACTGCCTTGTTTCTTGGTAGCACTGTGCATTCTCATAGCTGCACGTGTTACATACTTTAGTACAGGGGGAGGATACAATAAATCCGGTCAAGAGGTACACCTCTGATCACTTTGTTACGGCAAGTATTCAAGATATCAACCCAGAAGAGAAGTGAAGAGATGGAAGCAGAAGGTCTTGGTTGGTTCCGTTGTTTGCGCCTTCCGTTTTTGCACGCTTCCTTCACCTCCAACACCAGCTTTGCACGCTTTCCTTTCTTCTGATCCGCGCACCTCTCCTCTCTTTCATTTCAGTCGAACATGGTCACATCTTGTTCCTACGACATCACTTCTCTTTTCGCTCTCCGCTCTCAAGCTTTCCCACCTCCTCATTACGCATCCGCAGAACAACTCAATCTCTGGCTGCCAACTGCACAACACAACGCGCTTGGTCAGACACAACCCTTCCCCCTTGCAAACTACACCCGCGGCATAGGATCAGTCACATCTTGCCACGTCAAAGAGATCTTCGCAGACATGTCGTGGGACAATCTTCCTGCTGAAGAGTCTTGGGGCGTCAGCCTGNAGCCCTCTCAAGTCGTCGAAAAGAGCACCACTCCTGCCATTGCTGACAACACTGCTATCATCACTGACGCTACTCCAGTCATTACTGGCGCCGTCAATACTGTCGCTACTGATGAGCCCGCTGGTGAACTCACTGCCGATGCCACTTCCCCTACAGTCAGTGAAGTGCGCAAATCTTCTCTCGCCGATCTGACCAATGGTGATCGTGAAGCACTCACTGCCCACCTCGCCCAAGGCTTGGGCCCTCACAGGTTTCTTTCCCGCTTCAGCAGCCTAAAGTCTGATGCTGAGTCGGTCACCAACGGCCATGCCTCCAACACTCAGCTGTCTGAGCCTGACGGTGCTGCTTCTGTGGTCGACTCGACGACCTCCGATGCCTCGAACGCCGCTATCAACAAGGATGAAGGCACTCAGACTGCTCCCGATGCAGACCGTCTTGCCAACAAGCTCTTTGACGCTACACCTCTCAGCTCTGTTACCGGCGCCGACGAGTCCGCTACTCAGTCACCTCACCTGTCTCCATGCACCATGCGCAAGCCAGGTCCACACCACAGAGTCAAGGCTTTGGCCGAAGACATTCCTCTACCCCAGTCACCTGCTCCTGTCGCTCAGTCATCTGTCTCTGACGAAGGTCCTACGACTCCTGTCGTCGCTGCCATCAGCCTCGAGCCTGCAGTCATCCAAGACGGCCTTTCCGCTGTCGACAGCGAGTCAGACGCTTCATCAATCTCTTACGCCAACTCCAAGACCGAGCTTCCCGACTCCAAGGCCGAGCTCTCCATCTCACTGTCCGAGAAGAAGTTCCCTGATCCCAAGGCCGACGAGTATGTCCCTCCCTTGCACGTCACCTATGATTCCGAGGCAGTCTGCATCAACGAGTGCTGCCCTGTGCCAAGGGAGTGGTCGGTTCCTCACGCTATCGGACACTTCGCTGACGGTGATCTCTTCGACGGTCCTACTGTTGGTGACATTCACAAGACAGTCTTGATCCACTATTCTCAGTACTTTGCGGCAGCTTTCGTCTCGAGCAAGGAAGCAGAGCTCGATGTTATCGTGAAGGACCGCTCCTTCGCCGTCTTCCGTCAATGGGTTTATGGCCGTAACCTCTCTGTCAAGTCCCACGATGGTCCCATTCATGACGTGAAGATCGACCTGAAGACTCTGGTCCAACTCTGGCGCTTCGCAGCACGTATTCAGGCTCCATTCTTTGCCAACGTTGTCGCCAATGTTATTGTCAACAAGTCCATCAGTGCGGACGACGTCTTCGACGCTGCTGACGAAATCGAGACTCTTCTCCAGCTCGTCCCCGTCAACAACACATTCCGCCACCTCATCAGCTGTGTTGCCGTCCTTCGCGGCATTCAGCTCGACTACAACCTGTACGACAAGTGGCCTAAGCAGCTTGTCTGGTCGGTCTTGAGCTGCCTTCAGATGGGTAGAACCACCTACCCTGCCATCCAACTGTTCTCTCAGACCCACCCTTGCGTGTACCACCTCCACCCATTGGGCCATACTTGCACCTCCTAGTTCGACATAGAATGAACCCATTATTGTGTTGTGGAACGTGTTCGGCCGCTGCCATCTCTGAGGAGATTAGGATGGAAATGTGGCCTTTCTATGCAGGAAAGAAGAAGAAATCTGTACATCAGTGATAGCGTGCGCCTTATCATAGCTCTCAAAAAACACAGTCGATTGTCTTGATTCGTTGTACTTTCCATACTTGATTGTTGATGTGACATCCAAACAGCACCCTATGGCTGGTTCCGAATTTTGAGATAGCTTTGTCACATAGTTTGTTATGACCAAGAGATCAGCATCTATATACCTCCACTCATGGCCTTGAAGCGTGCCTCTGCAGCTCTTGCTCTTCTTTCTCGTTCAAGCTTCATACGCATCTCAGGGGTCATGCCCCTAGCCTCTTCTTCTCTCTTTTCCTGTGCAGTCTTCTCGGGCAGCATCTGCGCCAACGTCTTCCCTTTGCCATACTTCTTCTCTTTGCCCTGCTCTTCTCTGATCTTGTCTTCGTTCCGCAATCGCTCGGTCTCGGTCTTTCGTCGTTGTTGTTCTGCTGCATCTTCTGCCGCCTTTTCGTCCTTCTCGCGTTGTACGCGGGTGTCGTAGTCGGTTTTTGATAGAGCGGCTGGTACACCTGCTGAGTCCCAGTCATATGCACTCTCTCCTAGCTCGGAACGAGCCAGACGGAAGGAGTCGCGGGTGGCACGGTCGCCTGCGATTTCGAAAGCTGTCTTGCCTTCTGCAGACTTGACAGTGGGATCGGCCTTTGCTTTCAGTAGCAAGGATGATATAAGAGCAGGAGCATTGAGAGAAGCGGCGAGATGCAAGGGCGTGGGCGCGTGATGGTTTTGCGGATTGTCTGAGGGGAAGAAGGTGAAGTTTGGCGAAAGGTTGTTGGATGTGATGTAAGAGACGAGTGCGGGTGCCTTGGAACGACGAATGAGAGCTTGTAGCTGGGTGGTGTGGAGAATGGCTTCCTCTTCCTCCTTGCTAGGCTTGACGGGCTTTGGTATGGCAGGTTTGGCGGCAGCTTTTGCTTCAGCAGCTTGACGTGCAGCTTCCTCCTCTTGAGCCTTCCTCGCAATGGCAGCTTCGTCGATGGTAGATACCTTTACGCGAGTGAGTTCGACGAAAGATCGCATCAGCTCGGCTTGGGTTGCACGACGAGTGGCGAAAGGGAAGCCTCTGATTCTCTGGTCTCTGGAGGTCAGGACCTGGTTCTCGTAAGGACCAAACAGAGTGCGACGGTTGGTGGTGCCGGTGGCGCGGACGAAGACGAGTTCGCTGCTATCAATCCACACCTTCCAGTCCTGCAGCAGTTGGCGGACCTCTGCGATTAGAGCTGCCTCGTTGTAACGACGGATGCCAGCACCAGCAGAGTGAGCAGCGCCCTTTGCACTATCGTTTGCAGATTGAGAACCACCCTGCTTGCGACGGGTTGTGTAGCGATGGAATGTCTTGTGTGCGAGGACAGTGGCAGCACGATCCTCAACACCGGCCTTTCTGGTCATCTTGGGCGTCAGAGACACGACCATTGCAGCAAAGTGGCCGCCGCCGATCATGCAGAGGAAGTAATGAGGACCTGTAGCAGACGTGTCGGGTTGGAGGGATCGAGGCAGAGGGACGCCTCCAGAGTCTTCAGTAGGAGCCGAGGTAGGTTGTGATGGTGGAGGCTTGGGNGAGAGCTGCTTGTCCTTAATGGTCTGTACAATGGTAGCAGCATCTCCAACCTGTACGGCAGTAGGCAGAAGAGTTCTGTAGACACCAAGGGCGACATTCGAAGGCAGCTTGGATGATGAGAACCACAACAGCGGTGGCTTGCCTGCGCCCACCTTGGTCTTGGTCGTCGTAAAGTCGTCAAAGTCTGGGTCGGCAATATTGGCCTGCTTCTTGAGCAAAGCACTCAGCGTCGTGTCTTTCTTGCTATCGTCATCGCTGCTGGCCGAGTCGTCGCTGTCGCTGCCCGAGATGCTTTCGTCCAGGTCTCCCACCAGCTTCTCAAAGTCGTTCTCTCCTACAGGTTTCAGGCCGCGCATCTTTTGCTTCATATTGTAACCGTGCAGATCGCTACGCACATGACTCCTCTGCTCTTGCACACTCGGAAACGACAATCCACACAGGCCGCACGACGTTGCTGACGACGGCACGCCATCTTCATTCTCGCTTCTCTTACTGTTGCTGTCGGCTAGCAGTTCGGACTCGTCGGGTATTGCGATAGCGGCATTGTTTTGAGCCTTAAGTTCAAGTGTGGAGAGAAGTCCTTGTGGGAGGTCAAACACNTGTGCTGGCGTTAGCATGCTGCAGAAGAGCCTGATGTTGTGATGCTTGCCGTATAGCGGGCGCTGTAGTAGGGGCTCGGTGACTTGCGACATGTTGCGACAAGATTTTTGTATGCCAGGATGAAGATGAATGATGCTGTGTCGGAAAGTCGTTTTGGTTAATGCGACGTCATCATCGCTTGCTCGATCACTTTGCTGCTCGGGTGACCCTGACTTCCCATTTCTACATGCTCAACCACTCAAGCCTTTGCTTTTCATCGGACAGCAGACCGGTATACGATATTTGTGCACAGATAACGATATATTGTTCGGTCGTGCAGGGATCTATCACGCCCTCGGGAGGACATTTCGATGTAAACATACATGACACCATCTTTCCGCGATATCGCCTAGAGACTACATGACAACGATATAAAGGATAACGTAGGATTTGTGTATAGTATAGTACGATAGTGCACAACCACTTACCAAATCGGGCCTCCTTGGACATAAAACGGGCCCCTTCTAGCTGCCGTATTGCTAGTAGGCTTATAGGAGATACTTACCGTCTGCGCGGCTCTCGGGTGAGGATGATTTTGACCTCGACCGTCGATAGGAAAGAATGTATTCAGAGAGCAAAGGAAGAACAACATCTCTCGAATAACGGAGTGTTTCAACAATTCACATCAAAAAGACCACTCGTGCAGTGGTCAGAAGTCGCAAAGAGCGAGTGCGGGGCCGAGCTGAACCCTCTTGGTGATGCGGGCAAGGTTTGGATTAACCACATGTGGTCCTTGCCTTCATCCAGTCTTGATAACTTCGAAGGTCTTTGGATCTTTGTACCCTCTTCTGAACAGTTCGTGCCGCAAGCTCTCTGCTGCAAACTCCAAGCTGAAACCCATCGCAGCTGAGCACTTGTATCTACGTACGAACCCGCCGATTCAGAATCAATACGCGGTGAGATTTGACCATCGCATAGCCTACTCGCGCATGTACATTGTACACAATGCTCTGGCCTCTTGGCCCGCTGCCGCCGAACTATTCAGCTCCGAAGACGTGGCTGCGCTTGCTCAAAGCCTTGTACAACTACGGATCATATACTTTATAGGAACAGGCCGACCGCGATGCCTTCCCTACGTTCAGCAGTGGCGATGGCCCAAAACGATCGAAGCACGGCAATATCAGGTAGTCTAATCATCCCGAAGGATGAATTCGACCGTACACATAGAAGTCTCGACCGTGAGAGAGGTCTTGACAGCCAAATGTAGCATCAGCTCTGAGGTCGGTTCTAAGCCGTCTGCAGACATAATCTCGGACTTGACGACCATACTGTGCGTGTTGTGAACTCTAGATCCCAGAGAACACAGATGTAGAGGTAGAACTCGCGTACATGAAGGGAAGCCATCCACATCCACTGCATACCTCATTCCTCATATCTCATACCTCGCGCACTCAACTCCAATCCAATCTCAGTCACCGATCTCTCGTCACAATGCATTTCTCTTCCTGGACACCACTTGTGGTCTCCCTTCTCACAGTCTCAACCACTGCTATTCCCGTCCTCGAAGTCCGCAAGAACGGCGGCGCCACCGCCGCTGCCACGAAAGGAGGTCCTGCTTCAGCAAAAGTTACGATATACAACCAATACACCTGTGTTGCACCGAACACTGTGAGACATCNNTACAACAAGTCCCATCCTTGGACATAGATACTGACAATTTCTCNNAAGCCTCCGCCCACAGACGGTAGCGCTGGTACTTCCATTCAGTTCAGCGTCACAGAAGCCCAGTGCACAATCCCCAACACCGGGCTGCAGTTCGGTGGAGCGTTGACAGCAAGTCTGACTGCATCGCCCAAGACAGGTACCGCTGGATGTAAGCTTGCTAGATGTCTAACTGTCCGAGGACATTTGCTAATGGAATGAATGTAGGTTNACATTGTCGGCCACAGTCAGCAGGGTTGTGGGATCGTGCTAAGCAATGCAATGTACGGATGGCCAGTAGCAGGCATCAGTGTTGGAGATTCGCTCGGCTGCGGTAATGCACCGTCTGGTACCTCATGGTCTGCCTTTGAGATCATCTGCCCGTAGTCACCAATGGAGCATTTTGGAGAGTATGTGGTAGTTTTTAGAGAACATGCGCACCATTGAAGTTCCCTATGCTCGAGACTGTTGTAGTCACATGATCAATTCCCCTTCCCAAACCAACATATAGTGCTATATAGTGTGCTACAGAAATGCACAGTTGTCTATCGAATCATATGTGCGACCATGGAAGTAGCCTTTCAGATGATGACTCTCCTTGGAGAACACTCGATTCCAAAAAAGCATTGTACGTTTCTATAGTTACACTACAACGGTCCTAGGTACATCGAGAGGGTAAGGCAGGGGTGGAATCGAACAGGGAACCGGAGTTGACCCCATGTTCTCTGGAAGGTCCTTCAGGATGCAGCGGATGTACAAAAATTCGATTCCATTTGATTGTCACGTAAAACACTCCTCGATTCACCGTTCTGCCTTCAGATGCTCTACGAAGTCGCATCTTGAATCTTCTTGTACGCAGCCTTCACTTCATCAGTCTCGCCGTACTGCTTCAGCCACTTCGAAACCATCGGATAGTCATCCAGGCTCAGCTGAGCATAAGCGTGCTGGCGAACCCAGGGCTCATAGTGTGCATCAACGGCCGTGTAGCCACCAGGCAAGATACTTTCGCCATTAGTCTTCTTCAGCTGGCCTTCAAGAACCTGGTAACAGCGGTGTGTTTGTGCCGCATATCGGTTCAATGCATCCTCGTTCTTGACCTCATTGTAGTGTCTATCACCACAAGTCAGTAATGGCCCACAGCTCTCAAAGCTAGACAAAGAATCGCCCAAGACAAACACATACCTGTACCAATTGGTCTGTCCAGTCATCGGGCCCAAAGTCGTGAGTAAGAAGTACTCCCACTTCTCGAAATCGACTAAGTCCTGCTCGCTCTTTCCCTGTGGACCCAACTTGTTCCCTGAATCATACTTTCTTCTGATGTAGTTCATCACGGCACCAGACTCCCAAGAGACGACACCAGTGTTTGGGTCTTCGAGGGCAGGAACACGACCATTCTCATTGATGGTAAGAAACTTGGCTCCCTTGAGGCCATTCTTGGGATCATCACCAAACTCCCAGAGTTTGATTTCGTAGGGGACCTTGAGCTTCTCGAGGGCAATGGCGATTTTGATGGGATTGGGGCCAGTTGTGTGGGCGTGAAGCACTAGGGGCTTGATGCTCGAGGACATGGTCGATTTTAAGTGTCCTGCAGTTAATGGGTGTTTCTGATGATTGTTGCGAAGAGGAGTAGGTACTTTATATGGACTGTCGTTAGCATCATCGTTACATGGTGCCAAGTGAGATCGCTCAATGGGGCAGTGATCGCTTTAACCATCACACTTGAGAAAGCTTGATCAGATTCACGCTTTACAATTTCAATCGTCCCATTCATCTGGTATCAATTCCTCTGTGCCTCGTTCCTTCCTTACATACTGACGGTCTCCAGTCACAACACATTAACCTGAATGTGGCAGAGACTGCTCATATGCATGCCTTCCTTATCACATCTGCCCCGCATATCCTCTGACGCAACCATTACCATCCCCACTCGTTCGTCCCGCATCTTCTCCATTCACATCAGCCCTCCATAGGCATCATCCTTTCTCTCCCAAGAGTTGACTCTCCTCACTCTCTGCGGCATGTTCTGGGGTCTCGAGATCCTGAAACCGAAATAACTCGAGTCTTTCTTCTTTTCCTTGATTGCCTTTTCTCTGGTCTCGTGCATCTCCTCTACGGATTTCGTGCGTCCTAGTTCAGATAAGAAGTCGACTTCGATGGCGACGGTCTCGTGGTGTGCTTGCTGCGACTGAAGGGTTTGTGTAGCCATTTGCTGGAAAACATCGATGTTGAATCTGTTGCACAGAGATTCTGATTGTAAAGCAAGGATTGCAGAGCGTAGCCATGATTCTGAGGGTTGTGTCTTGTCGGTCTTGGATAGAGCCTGTTGAACACGTTCGCCGATGCTCTTGACATTGTTCTCGCCAATGAGAAGTTTGACTAGCAATTCTTCACCCTTGAAGCCATCGCTGTTTCTTCGTTGGCTGTTGTCGGTCTCATTGGACAGGAAGACGGAGGTGTGAGGGTGTTCATGGAAGAAGAGTCGTTTCTGCTTCATGGGCTGAACAGAGATGGCCCATGTTGGAGAATCTGTCGACGTGGGGTTTGACAACGCAATGGCGTAGATATGATTGACGCTTGTATCCATTTCTGGTGATCTTGATGCTTTTCGACAATGATGAGAAAGAGGTTCTCTGGGACAGAAGACACCAGTGCGTGTTAAAAGCATTTCGAAGAAGGCAACAAAGTACTCAAGTAGCGAGAACGAGTCAATATTACGGAGTGGTGATGAAAGATTGGTTGATTGATCAAGCCTGTTGCACCCGTAGGGAGACATTCATCAGTGGCGCCTGTGGTCAATTTATCCAGACACCATGGTCACCATATCCGAGCTATACCGAATTTGGTCCGGTGTTATGGCCGAAGTTCTCTCCCTACGCTCGAATCTCGGATCAGTGACTGTGGTTGAGGAAACTCCTCTTGGTACTCCTATCGTCTCAGACATGCATCTGTCACACGACATCGGAAGGCGCGAAGGACCACTCACAGAATCAGCTTTGTTGGGGACCATTCCTGAATTAGTACAGACCATCAACACAACGAAGGCTGCCATGTTCGCACGATATCTAACCTGTAATCAAGAGAGTGGTCAGTAGGTTATCGTTACTGACTTTTGAGAGCATATGGTTTCATAAACCCGAGCTTGTCGACATTAGAGGCACCTCAAGATTATTGGTAGCGAATCGAACAAGCATCTGGCATTGGGGTCCATATGGAAACCACGCGACATTTTGAGTCCTTTCACCCATCGCAGTCTCTGATTTTGCAATATGTCTAGTATTTGATGTACGGCAACTCTGAATGTCTCGATAACTACTTCGTGTTTCTACAGCACTCGAGTTTGCGGACATCACTCGTGTCACATCTTCCACACCCTTGATGAGTGCCAGAGTCATCGAATCCTTTCTGGATCTGGTGAAAGCGCTGCAAAGGCTGCTGGTAGCATTCTTGCAGCGGGAAAAGACACAACATGTACCCAAATTCTGGCAGCACCAACGAATCAACCAACAACTTGGTGCACAACATCTAGGAACGACCACTGAAGCCGCTGTGCAGCCTCAAGTGCCCGACAACTTCATCTCTTGGTCCAAACATAGCAAGAGAAGAGCCGAAGACTTAGAGACTGCCATGCGTCCAATGCTGGAGAACGATGATATGGGACTCTCATACCGAGTTGGTCAGAACTTGACAGAGTTTCCTTCGAGGTCCTCACCCAGCGTTTCGAACCTACCACCTGTGCTCCAACGGGACGAGCCTATTATGTTGCTTAATAATGGCGATAACACTGACAGCAACATGAAAACCACGATCAGCACAAAAGTCCTACCAACCATGACTCCTGAGCAGCCATACGGCGTCTTTCCACCAGAGCTATGGCTCGAAATCTCGAAGCAATGTCCTACACGCTCTCTGAAGAATCTCGCCCTGACCAACAAATACCTCCACTCTATAGCTTCAGACCAACTCATCCGAATCGTGATCCTCCTAGGAGAAAACTCCTCGGCAAATTCAAATTGGATGCATCTCTTGACAATGCAACTCTGATCAAAGACCCAGCTGCATTCAACCGCCTAGTTCTTGAACACAGGGACCTGCGTTGGTATAGCGCTGTCAAAACTGTCTTTGTTGTGAAGAACGGGCGTCTTTATGCTACCAGGCGTTCTGCATTGCCGTTGGTGTGCTACTACATCACTTGGCATTACGCACCAAGAGAGCTTGTGAAGTATACGTGGAAGGTATGGGTCAAGATTCCTATAGTCGTCACGTTATGGCCGCCAGAAACGTGGCCAGTCAAACACCCGACCATGCGCAATGCGGAAGGCGATTCCCACTGACCGAGGACGTGAATCGGCTCCTTCGATCAACTATGGTACATTAATCATGGCTGGTTCGAGATCTTCCTGCAACTGGTCAGCTCTACTGCACTATACCGGACGCTTGAAGAGTCTGCCCTTTTTGGCGCCAAAGTGGCAAGTCAAGACCCAACGACATTATGCTTCAGAGTGAATGGCAGAAGGCTGTAGTGAGAAGATGGCCAAACACGGGATAACGACATCTGCTCTTTTCGCATTCTTGCCAGCAAGAGATGGTGGAAGAGGTGTATACATACAAGTATTTTGCTTTCTACAAGCAATCTAGAACTGCACAACAGCAATGCAAGTGCAACGCAATGCACCTCTTCTGTTCAATCCTTCCTTCCTTTCTCTTTTCCCACTAGTGACCTTGCTGTTGGGCACAGCCAAATCAAAGGCCATTCCTTTTCATCACTCGCTTCTTTGGCAAGGATGTTCTCGATTTGCTTTACCACTGTCCGATTACTTGTAATCGTTGTGGTTCCTCTAGCCCAACCATGCAAAAACACACTCTGGTTGATAGAGGTCAGTTGCTCTTTAACCGCTTTGGCTGACGGCGGCAGTGTCGTCGGTTCCTCCTCAGGAACCTGGGTCACAATCGGCAGCCTCAGGGATGCGGGAACCTCAAAACGGCTCTGCTTTTCCAGTTCCTCGCGCAGCTGTGCAGCGGGAAGCTCGGTGTCACCCATGAAAAGTTTGGTCCTCTCTTTCTCGCCGGCAGTGCCAATGGTATCCACAATTTCTCTCATTCTTCTTGCAGCCTCGTCGGTACACAGCAGTTCTCTGTTTGCCAAGGCGGGGTATAGAAGGTTGGGGAGCAAGTTTTCCTCGTCTTCGATCTCGACTTGGCGTTTTAGGGCGCGGTGGAACCAGGGTTCGGTGGTGACGGAGCAGTGGCTGAAGTCGCTGACGAGGGCGAGCAGGATGGTGCAGTCGATGTTGAGAGAGGAGGTAAAGGTAGCGAAGGGATCGGTGAGGAGGTGTGGCATTACGCTTTCGAAGGGAATAGATGGGTAGGCTGAGGATGAGGTGCTGTGGGGGTTGTTGTTAGCAAAGTGCGACTTGTACGTCCACACAGCCTGGGACACGGCAGCAACAGTCACTTACAGCAGTCCCACACCCAAAGCCCGCAACTGATCCAATATCTTATCGATCTCGGCGACTTCTCCCTCTTTCAATTTCGGCAAGACCAAAGTAATCCTCGGTGACCTCGTGCGGATTCTCACCTCCTTGGCCGCTCTAACCAGATCCTTGGTCATTTTGATCAAAGGCACATCATCCTCGTTGTCCTCAGGAGGAGCAACTTTGTCGTGTCGGCTATCTTCGTCGTCGTCGTCGTCGTCGTCGTCGTCGTCGTCGCTGCTCGACGCATCCTCCCAGCCCAATTTTGCCTTGTCAAACAACAAGCGATTGTTTGTCAAGAGCGAGACTTTGAACCACTCCAAGCCATCTCCGGTAACTACATCGACCAGAGCCGAATTCTGTTTCTTTTGGCCTCTCTTCTGACCTTTNTGCTGCCAGTAGAATCTTTTCTGCATGGCCTGTAGTCCATTGTTGTTCTTGACGACTCTCCATACTGACTCCAAAAAGGGCAGGTTCGAGGAGTTGACAGTGTGTTGGTTTGTGTTTTCGTCGTCGGAAGAAGCAGAGGCAAGACGCTGTAGAGTCCGCAATTCAGATTTCACCGTGTTACGGAAGTGGGCGATTTCGACTTGGTGGTCTTGTTTGCGGGACTTGAGGTATTCTTTGAACGTCTCAAGCTCGGAGAGGAGGGTTTGGCAGCGGGAGAGAAGATCGGACGCCGTGGGAGGAGCCTGCGAGTGGCCATTGGTGTGTGTTTCTGTCATTCTGGTGTGAAGATGAAGAGATCAGAGGAAAGAAGAAGTCGCGTGTCGCAAACAGAAACCACAGTCATACGCCTGACGAGCATGACGCTACTCAAGTAGATTTTGAGTCATGGCATCCCCGCGGTGATGATTTGTTTGACTCGCACGCCGCGATCAACCTCGGTATGTTCGAGTCTGCCGCGTCCTCTCGGCCATGGTTGTTAAGAGCTACGAGCTACCGAGGGAGATAGAAATTACCATTTTGTTTCTCTGACCTCTCTCTACTCACACTCATCTCTAGCGACACCGGCCATTGCACGATAGCACCAGCGCTTCAAAATACAAGAGCTCCCTTCTTAGCAACACACACACAACATGACTTCCGACATGTCAACGACGAATCTTAACAATCTCGTCCGTCTCGTCGCAACCAGAACCGACAGCCTGGTGGCCTGCCTCGTCCGCGTCCTCTCCACGCCTGCAGGAAGAGACAAGACACTCTGCACTCTCCAATACCTCCTTATCGTCATCTACACCCAACTCTCGCGCCTCCAAGGCCTGAGGTATCGACGCTTCCTCCTCTCCGTGAGCCGCAAACTCGGTGCTGTCCTGCTGCCTGGAGAAACTGTCGTTGCAACGCTATCACCGCCCGAAGACAAACTCAGCCATGTCATCAAAGGTAGCAAGGCGCTATCCGAGTTGATCAGCGACTTCAGATGCTTTTCTCGCGTCGTCGAGTCGCTGGATCTGTATACCTGGGCCAAGGGAACTTGGAACAGCCCTCCCGAGNACACTGTCGTCAAAGCTGCCGTGTGGGGTCAGATCTGGACCATCACCGCATACCAGTGGTACGAGAATGTGGCTTATCTAGCGTCCAAGGGTGTACTCCGTGGTGAGAGATTCGACACAAAACAGCAGAACAAGTGGTGGGTGTGGAGCTCGCGTTACTGGATGGCCTACATTGCACTAGAAGCCGTGCGACTTGCTCGTGTATGGCAGCTCCGTCCAACAGTTGCGTCGTCAGGAGATGGTGCTGAGAAANAAGCGGACACACTTGAAGCTGAGGCTTTGTGGAAGAGACAGATGACTGTCAACATGGCTTGGGCACCTGTCTCCTACCACTATAGCTTGGAGTCGGGTGCCTTGAGCAGTGACTGGCTGGGTGTTCTCGGCCTGATCGCTGGTGCTACCGGCTTCCGCAATCTATGGCGCCAGGCTGGTGCAGTGTAGGCGCAGTGTAGATGTATTGACGAACAAACGACGGCTGCAATATAGCTATGTTGTTAACATTTGACGTACGGCTTTGTGTAGACTCATAAGACCTTTCATTCAAATACCTGACCATGCCCAATTGCTCCTGTTGACGACGAAGCATTGTAGAAGTATCTGTCATCTGTCAGAGGATGCCTCCAATATCCCAGACCGTGGCCTCTTATCCAAGATCCATCCTGACTATTAACTCCAACCCAAACAATATTCGTTATGCATCAAACATCTTCTTTCTCTAGCAGGGGCTTCTTCTCATCCACCATCCGCTCCTCCACACTGTCCCAACCCCAATGTAAGCAGTCCCAGCAGAACCCGACCAAAGCCACAGCTCCAGCTCCAGGCAAGATTCCAGTTGCTGCCCAGAAGCACAATTGCATCCAAGCACTACCGTCAAAGATGCCCTCCCCGAGGCCATACTTGACAACCACCGAGGCGCCGAGCATACCTCCTAGCGCCACTCTTGCGACACACAGTGCGCGGTCGTCTCGCCTGAGGCACAACAACGTGCCAAACGCATACAGACATTCGAAAAGCGAGAACAAGCCCATAGGGAGTAGGACAAGGCCGTCGTACAGGTAGCGGCACACCAAGGCAGGTGTTACTTTCTCTGAGGTGGGAACGTCGACGTTGAGGTAGTACCACGATACCGTGACCAACATGTTGAGGATTAGACAGAAGAGTAGTGTCCCAGATCCAGGCTTCTCGAAGTCAAGGAATCTTGTCTCGTTCTCCTCATGTTGTTCTTCAAGGTCATGCCGTGATGGTGGTGTTGAGAGGGAGTCGATAGAGGCCATTGCAGCCGTGTACTCTTCGTTGACCGTTGGCCTCGTCAACGGCGGTGAACCGTTGGATAGAGTGATAGTCTTTGCACCGTCCATCTGCAGAGTCGATAACGAGACCGGGGCACCGTTACAAAGAAGATCCGGAGAGAGAATGAGAAAGACTCCAGCTACTTAGCTTTGCCAGCAATTCGTTGACATATATATTCCGGTTCGAATGCTTCCTGGAGTGCTATCGTGTATGCAGTATGAGCATAGCTTGGCTGGAAATTGCGTGATGAGCAAGCGTGGATTGCGTGCTGTGTTGGGCTCGAGACGCGGATTGGTTGCAAAAGAGAGAAAGTCACCGCCAACAAGAAGATCGAGCAAAGACCAGAAAAAAAAGGTTCACGGTGAGCAGAACCTAATATGTAGACATCAAAAGGCAATCAGTACAATCCTACCTGATCCTTGTGGTTAGACTGGGCCCAGTCAATATTCTCGCGAAAAGAGGAAGTCGCAGCTGAGAAAGGTCCCGCTGCGCGTTCCTTCGGTCGGCGCGGGACCCATTCCAAGCCACAAGAGAACCGATTATTGGATCAGGCTCAGCTGAGGCACCTTGCCCTCTCCGGATCTGTATGCGATCATTTCAAAGTTAATTGAAGAGCCTCAGATACGAGAGCAATTCCAGACATGAAAGCTCGTCTAGACAGAAGACGTGGAGGGAAAATGTCTTGTCGTGTGTGCTTTGACAATTCTGTGGAGGACCCAGACCCTCGCTCATCACCGAGGAGAGCACAGTGCGCACTTTGTTCTGTATTTAGAGCTTATAGATGAAGTTGGATTTCCACGAATCTCGCTATTCTATAATCGGAGTACGAATACTGTAGCGGTTTGTTCGACGACAAGATCCTTGCTCCTCCTCGGCGTCTGGCTCTCGAGTTTGGCGGTATAACAACCTCAATCATCAGAACGTACCTGCGAAGGCAGATCGCCAAGAGACGAATACATGAACGTGAAACAAACAAACCGTGCTATAGAATGACGCGGTTGTTCTGCAATTATCTACTGGGATGAATATTCACCATCGGCAGAGGCTTTGCTCCTTCCTCCTCCCTCACGTCGGGTGTGCTTGTGCCTTCAGGTGTACCGAGGCCAGAGAAGGGAGTGATTGCACCTGATGGAGGCACAGGAAGCTTCAAGTCTTCAGGGCTGTCAGGTACAATCTGAGCTGGTACACCGGAGACGTGAATACGTCTGGCTTCGTTGTTGTAGGATGCAGGGACGATCNNTAGTGCACAGGATGTCAGCGAATGGGGTCAAACGAGACAGGATGGAGAGCATACCTCAATAATCTCGTCACGAGGGAACTGCAACTTCGGGATGTCGCGCGCACCACAAGCCATCAAGTAACCATAAAGCACTCTCAGTACACTCTCATGGGCCACGATGAGAAGATCGTTTTGCTCGCGCTCCAGCTCCAGGATGATGGGCTCCAAACGAACTGCAAGATCGTGGTAAGACNNTGCGTATATGTCAGTTTATGTTTACACTCGTCATGGCTCTAGTCTATCTCTTACCTCCGCACGAGGGTAGCGATGGTGGTACGGGTCAAGCTCATGCTTGCGCACCTCTTCGGGGTATTGTTCTCGAATCTTGTCTTCGGACATTTTCTCGCATACGCCAGGATTAAGCTGACTCATCTGAGGACGTTGCTTCACAGAGTATCCCAGGCTCTCCAGATAGTGCGACGTCTCGACTGTGCGTCGTCTGGTGGATGTCCAGACTGTCAGGGGCTTCAATGGGATATCGGGACCACCTCTCTCGATAAGTTGCTTGCGCTCGTCCTCTCTGTGGCTGATAAGGGCATCACTCATCTTCTTCGAGTAAGCCACACCATCCTCGGAAAGCGAAGCGTCAGCTTTATAAGAGTCTTCATCTCTTGTCGTACCAGCTCTAGCAAAGTAAACCGAGCGGTGCTTGGTGTGGAGATTCAGAAGGTAGAAGACAATACGCTGAGAGAGATAGTTGAAAGCACAGTTATTGACAATCACGCGTTCTCCAGCGTTGATCATTTTCACGTAATGCAGCTCAGCCTCTTCCATGGACTCAAAGTGAGGAATGCGAGCGTTGATTCTGGCCAGGTAGTCTTTGACAGCATCCTTGTCAGACCAACCTTGGTAGTCGGGAGACGAGATCTTGACGCTGCGGACGTTCTCCTCGATGATTTTTTCATCTGTACAATGCGACTCGATGAAAAGTGTCTGCACGTTATGCTTGGAGAACTCTTTGGCGAGGGAAATGCGACCGGCAGCAGAAGGATTTACTGCATCGTAAATGGCAATTTGACCGTTCTCGTGCTCGAGGAAATCGTAAATGTCCTCCCTACACTTTCGGAGAATCTTCTGGCGGAGTAGAACCGAAGAAGGAGAAGCGTTGATAAAGAAGTAATCGTCAGGGACTTCTTTGCCCTCACCCATGGTCGCTCTCCTGTAATCACCAAGATGGAATATACGGGTCTTAACACCAAGCCATCGTAGATATCTGGCCAGAGCAACTGAGGTGTGAGTCTTGCCACGAGCAGGCAGGCCAACGGTAGCGATGACTATCCTACCGGAGTGGAACAAACGGCCAGACTCGGTGCTGTAGAGCTGAGCAGGCGCCATACTCTCCTTCTCGGGCAAGTCATGGATAGCATCAACGAAAGTGCTTGATCTGCGCTTCCAGTTTGGTGAACTGGCCATAACATCGGCAGTACTGATGCCATGTACTCGTCTTAGTAAACGTACAATTGGAAGCATGATTGTGAAAGACTACGAAAGGATGTACTAGAGCCATATCTGCGACCAATCGAAGAGAAGGATGGGATGATAAAGGAATTCAAAGAAGACGTACAGAAGAGTATCCATGGTTAAAACGAAGGGCAATCGGGTGCCGGTAAAATCAGATTACTCTGTATGGGTAATTTGGTAGCGGATTCCGACAGACTGATGTGTGAGGAACAGGTGAGCGATAAGACAAGCAGCTGATCTTGGCAGTATGCGAGGGTGGTGTTCGACACAATCGGTAGAGTCGATGGATAGAGCAAAGTAGAGAGCGGGCAATGGAAGCAAAAGCCCAGGAGAATAGCCTGCCGGTTGGTGAGAACAGTATCGAGCAACCTAGGAGGTGTAGATAGTCGCGAGAGGGCGAAAGAGTGGTTGAGGCTCTCGGAGGTCATCGGTCCAATCACGCGGCTCGGCCTAAATTTTTGGCATCGACGTCGGTCGCGCAGAAGCAGACACAACTGGAAGTGTCAACGAAGCCATCATCAACGCACCATTCTTTGAGAGAATTGTCGCGCCGCTGTTTGCACCTAAGCCGCGCCAGAGTCGACCCGTCGCTTAGAACCTCATTGTGTTGCATCCCAGCCGCCGTTCGCCGCCGGTGCCCCAAGACTCGTCCTCTCGCCCTCAGCAGCAAAAGTCTACATCATGACGTCGCTTCCCATCACCACCACCCCTTACCCTCCCGTGGCGCCTGTCGCTCCTGTCGCCGACAAGAAGTCTGGCGCTCTGTCTGCCATCACCAGCAACCCTCTGGCTTCGGCGCTGAAGGACACATACTCGGCTTTCCAGGCACGAAGAGAGGCTCTGGGCCTTACCAACCCCGGTACTGTCGAGAACGTTGCAAAGGAGGTCCAGCGCGATGTCTTCCTCAACAACCTGTCCTTCTCCGGTCTGCGCGCCGACCTCACAAAGGCTTTCAGCGTGTCGCCGCTGTTCCAGGTCTCGCACGCCTTCTCCCAGGGCTCTCAGCAAATACCTCCTTACGCTTTCCTTGCCCTTTACGGCACCAACAAGGTATTTCCATCTCCTGCCACTTCTCAAAACACCCAACGTTGACCAATGTAGATTTTCTGCCAAGGTAACCTCGACAGCGACCTCTCCCTCTCTGCCCGCTTCAACTACCGATGGACTCCTCGCTGGGTCACAAAGACCACCACTCAGATCCAGGCTGCGTCTATGGCCGGCCCTGGAGGCGCTCAGTTCTCCNTCGAGAACGACTACGTTGGTAACGACTTCACCGCTCAGATCAAGGCTATGAACCCTTCCATCCTCGACGGCCCTCTTACCGGTATCTTCATTGGTAGCTACCTTCAGAGCATCACTCCCAGACTCGCCCTCGGTCTCGAGGCTGTCTACCAGAGACCCGCTGCCCAGATGGGTCCTGAGGCCATGATCAGCTATGCTGCCAAGTACAAGGGCGAGGACTGGATCGCCAGCGCTCAGCTCATGCCTTCCGGTGGTGTCCAAGGTTCTTACTGGAGAAGACTTTCGGCTCAGCTCGAGACCGGTGTCGACCTCAACTTGCAGTTCGCTGGCAACCCCATGATGGGTGGCATGAAGAAGGAGGGTGTCGCCACTCTTGGTGCTAAGTACGACTTCAGAGCCAGCAGTTTCAGAGCCCAGGTCGACACTGCTGGTAAGCTCGGTGTCTTGCTCGAGAAGAGAATTGTTCCCATGGTCCAGATCACCTTTGCCGGTGAGCTTGACCACGTCAAGGTAAGCACCACTCTTTGCATTGCTACTCTTTACAGTTCGCTGACCTTTCCTACCAGANACGCTGCCAAGGTCGGTCTTGCTGTCTCTATCGAGGCTGCCGAGGAAGAGGTTATGGCCCAACAAGAGAGCGCCATGGCCGCCGGCCCCGTCACCCCTCCCTTCTAGACATCTCGCAGTGTAACTTCCCTTACTCTGCCGTGTACATTATAAAATTTGACCCTTTCTCCCAATGTCTTTGTTGTTGTCGATAGCTGGCCTTTATCTCCTGGGTTGTGTGGGAAAGCAGATGCTGTCTTCTTTGGCATGTTGATGTCGATTTATCCTGCATTGTTGTGGTTTATGAAGGAAAGAGGAAAAGGAGACTCTTGGACCGGACAGAGAAAAGACGGAGTCATGATCAAATATACATTCCACCTCTCTGTATTTTATGCTATTCCATCTGTTTGTATTGTGTACTCTATGCTCTTTGGCAATTGGCATCTTTGTGCATATCCCGCGTTAACAACGTTTCTTCTTCCGCACTTCCAATCGTATCGAGATTGTGTCACGGTCTTCGGCGGCACAGGGAAGGCACACTCGGTTTAATGCTCAGTGAAATACGGAGTAGATAGTGCCGCAGTCACATAACTCTTGCATGGCAAAGCATGAAGAGTGACATTCTCCCATGACTTATCTCATCTCGATCCCGTCCGCGACCCCTGGCAACTGATCCAACGCCTCTCAGCTCGTTAGGTGCTTCAGTCAGAAGACGGTGAAGACGAGCGGTAGGTCCACAATCTCCATCACTGTGATGAAAAGCCCCACCTATTCATGAGGTCCAGCCTTCACATGCCTGATAAACAAGGGAGCTCAGACGTGCGTGTCGTTTCGCTGCTGAGCTTTACAGAGCCTATGACATCACATGTATGACGTTCACCCCGCTTGAGCTGCGAGGTGCAAGGCAACAGCCACCGAGTGGCCAGCTCGACCAGCTCGACCCCTCACCTCGGCTTGAGCCCCCACGTTAAATCGCTCATCGGGGATCCAAGTGAGAAGAGGCGTACGCAAACAGTGTCAGGTGGCTCCTAGCAAGTGAAGGACCAAGGAAGTAGCGTGGTGTGGCTGAAGAGTCGAAACGCAAATCGTCGCCCGTAGAAGTACTTGGATGCCATTGGACCAGGGTGGAGTAGGAAAGAGCGTGCGAGTGAGAGCTGGCCTGAGTGAGAGGAAAGCGCGTACGTCACCGCAAACAGAGCTCCCTTCCACCACTACTTAAGAAGCTCCCATCACACTCTTCCTCCAACCTTTCTTCTTCCATCAACCAACTCATCAAACCACATCTTCTCTTTCCAAATAAAACCAACCAACCACCAACCACATTCAAAATGTCTGCTCCCAACGCCAACGCACCTAACGAGGGTATCGTCGGTCAGATCGGCAACTCTCTCAACAACGCCGCCCAGTACGTCTCCGAGACTGTCCAGGGCACTGGCGCCACCGCCTCCAAGGAGGCCAACAAGGAGCAAGCCAAGGGCAACTCTGCCGACTCCTCCATCTCTGGCCGTGTCTCCGGTGCCATGGGCGCCGCCTCTGACAAGATGGACGAGAAGAAGCACGAGACCTCTGCCGAGGCCAACAAGCGCTCCATCTAAGCGTCTTGCTTCAGCAACTTCGACACCATCAATTCGACCAAGTCCTCACTTCATTGATGACTTTCGACACGACGGCATGACACGACAACATCTCTAGCTCCCCTTCACGGGTTGAGCTCAAGTTCTTTGCACGAGGGTTCACTTTTTACGACACCTGCGATGGAAAGCGATCAGAGCTTTGCTTCGATGGTCTTCACGATGTATCAATTATACCCCGAATGATAATCCCCTCAAACATCAATTCTTCTTTGTTGACTTCTGTGACTGTGACTGTTCTTTTGACTGTATCTTTTCGTCTCTTCAGCTTGATTGTAGGTGTGCTTCCCACTCTCGAGCTTGCTCAAGCTTGATGTTGTTGCCCCACTTTGCCCCTCGCTCTCAGCTTGCTGCGGCTGACAGCCCGCCGCACGGATCAGGTTCGCAATGATCTGCGACACATTTCCCCAACAGAGCCGCAGAAACAGATGCACAACATACTCAATGCCAGCAATATTCAAGTCAGGAACACCACGAGCGACAATCTCCCATGCGCCAGCTATTCCGAGCTCCTCATCACACCTCAAGCAGATCTGCCAGCGAAATTGGCGACATCCTCACAATAACGATCGACGGTGATCAACAGCCCAGTTACGGAAAACGCACAAGCAAAGCCAACCTCACCTCCCGATTATCCATGACGGAGCTAGTACCATTGAATAAAATTGTCCTTATAACAAAAAGAGTCTGCTGCTTTTCCATAGATGATCTTCAATTCCACTCTTTTTCTCCAACTGCACTCTTTCCAGACGCTTGATCGTGCATACCCCTGCAAGAAGCCCTTATCCGACGAACATCAACGAAAGACGAAATCATGCACTTTACCAAGACCATTGCAGCAGCTATTGCCTTGACGGCAACTGTATCAGCACTACCACTGCAAAAGAAAAGAGATGATGCTGTAGTCAACAGCCCAAATAGTGTGTTTCTCCTTCCTTGTTACTGTTCACCTTCGCCGTCCTTGTTCCTCATTATCATCTCGCCACCTTGATCCGCGCACCATGAACATGTCCTTCCTTCTTCAAAACTATCCATAATGTAAAGAATGAATCAAAAACTAACATATAGAAGACCCCCTCNNGACAACCTCTTGACAAACATCAAAGGAGGTCTCGAAGGTGGCCTAAACTTTCTGTCCATACATAGCGGAGATGGTGCCAATCAGGTCAAGCGTGCTGAAGATATTCCAGATGCTGCCAGTAAGTTGTGGTTCAATAACAATCAAAGTATATTGCTAATGCAGAAGACAGACCCATTGGTTGATTTGGCGGAGAACGTTGAAGGTGGTATCGAGGGATTCTTTGATTTCCTGGGTGCTTCTTCTGGAGACGAAAAGTAAAAGGATGGGAAGTAGTTGGTGATGTTTACACGATCTGTAAAAATTTAGGGTAGTTGTGTGGTACGAGGGTTGTTTCATATACATATAGGGACTCGGTAACGTGAGGAGTAATTGGCAATTGGAACATACAAGACTACACTGGTAGAGATTATGCTGAGGGAATCACCCTGTCCCAGATCTGGTACACCAAGCATCTTTGGGTCCGACGAGAAAGTGATGTTCTTCTATATAAAAGATGTTTGAACAGAGCAGACTCTTATCGATCAGCCGCTGGATGGGTCCCGTATCGCTTGTGATGGTATTTTGATTATCGATATGCGAAACCAGCGACAACTTCACGAAGCCCGACAGAAATGTGGGAGGAACGCAGCAATATTGCACACCAGAAAAAGGAGAACACAGAATGATAGAAGTTTGTCATAAGAAAACGATATGTATAACCATCATATAGAAAAGAGAAAGAATTATTCAAACAAGCACACCAAAAGACAGGTATCTAGAATGTCTTCCGGCGGCTTCCCTAAATCAACAATCAGATTAGGTACAGAAGAAGAAATGTCCTTTTGAAAGTGAAAAAGATACGAAAAGTCCAGGGCGTGAGGAAAATTATGTCGTGTCGTGTATCGTGTTTTGTGAAATGATGCTTGAGAATGTAGGTTGTCAAGATCATTTTTACAGGAGAACGACAGCGGCACCGAGGGCGGCGATACCGTAGCCGGCAGCGACCATGTTGTTGGCAGCGGCACCGGTGTAGATGGCGGGCTTGGTAGTGGTGGCAGTGCCGTTGGAAGCACCACCAGTGGCCATGGAAGCAACGGGCTTCTGTAACAAAACCATTAGTACTCGTTTCGTGTGAAGATGAAAGGAAGCAGAAACGTACAGTAAGNNGGTGCAAGGGCAGTTGGTGACGGTGATGGTGGTGGCCGACTTGATGGTGTAGACGTTGTTGGCAATGGTGGTGGTGTAGGCGCCGGCGGTAGCAGCAGGGCACACGGTGGTCAATCTGTACAAGATTTTGGTCAGAAAGAGAGCCCAGGTCGAACATGATCAAGATCCAACGTACGCAGTAACAACCTCAGTCGTGTAGACAGTTCCATTTGCAGGAGCAGTGCCGTTGATGTAAGCAGCAGAGGCCGAGGCGGCGAGGGCAATGACACCGAAGGACTTCATTTTGACAGTTGGGGTTTGGTTTGGTTGGTTGGGTAGAGAAGCGAGTGTAGAAGAGTTGGAAACGACTGTGGGATGGTTGGATGATGATGAAGAAGAGAAACTGAGTGCAAGGACGAGTATTATATATCCTAATGTTCTGTATTTGGATAGGGTAAGGTCTGGGTCGTCGGCAAGGAATGCTGGCTCGAATGACTGCGAAATGAGATGGCTTTCGTTCGTGCTAATAACAACGATCGTTCGGCCGGTGGTGTCTTCAACGGTCGTTTATCTTCTTGCTATGTATGGAAAAGCTTTACTGAGTCGTTGAACTTTTGAAGAAGAGGCTGTGATGCTGACGTGGACTGATGCTGGCCAGCATTGTGCTCGCAGCCTTTGTCGCAACATACGACTTACAAGTGAGACGACTCGCAGTATCGAGTAGTACGATAGACGATAGATAGCCAGGGCATCTCGTGCGTTCCCTTCAGATAGCCGGGCACAGCGGTGATGGAGAGTTCCAACGTTCGAGGTCGAGAAATTGCCCGACACCGGCTGTCGGTATTCCATCACGGATAACCACTGTAGGGCATCCTACATTATGCTTCTCCTGGAAGCCTTGTACGCAAGGAAGTAACTGGTGTGTTCGAGAAGGCGTCAAACGTCCCTCGGAAGGACCACTTGGGGAAGGGGCAAGCGGCAGGTTGATTCTCGGGGAACGTCTTGCCTGCCCGATTAGGTCTCAAAACAAACAAAATCTCCAACACAGCCTCGACTTGTGGCATGTGAAAAGCACGAAATTGGTGCGAATGTGGTCACTCTACTGTTGGTAATTTGAGATGAGGAGTAAAGGTTTGATTGAGTATCGAAAGCCTGAGTCTCCTGTTTATCGGCGTTTGGGCATGCCCTAATCTCATTGTCAAATAAGCATATGTATAAATGCTTGTCCTTCTACCTGTTTTTCTGAATTCAGACATTTCTCTGCTCATCACATTACGCTAGCATGTTATCTACAGGATCATGACAGCTTCGTCGATATCGTCGTTACTCCCCAGCCACTCGATTGTTCCCGGTTTCGAGATCTCATAGTCGAACGGTTGCTCGACTCTCATTGTTGTATGCGTCCATCATTACCGAAAGGACCGAGAAGGATCTCTACCACGGACCGAGACGTCTCTCGTCACGAAAGTGAGGATGATATGAGAGTCTCTCGACCCGACCAGTCATGGAAGTAGCGAGCACCAAGTCTAAGCTGTGGTACACAAACATATGTACAGTCCTTGAATCTAAGGCGCATATTGAAGACGATGGGTGGTGGTATAAACATATGCCCAGAAAGCGCCAGAACCCATGCAAAAGAAAAGTGATATCTAACTTGATCGTACAACTCCATGGAAAGCCTCGAGACATCAAACTGTGGTGGATTTTTCTGTAACTGAGGAGTGCATGATTGAGCGGGCTTGATGAGATCTGTGTCATCATAGGATCTGGTGTCTGTAGGAAAGAAAGGTTAGCCAAGAATAGAAAGAAAAGCCAGTCATGTGAAACATACTTTTGGAACAGGTTCTCGAGAGTGATGGCACTGAGGTCGGCATCATCAGGGATCTCGTCGACAACAGGAACGAGACCTGCGAACTTGTCGCCGCCACGATATGCCAGGACAGCGGGCACACCAGCAGGTTCCATCTCGGCATCAAGATAATGCATCTTGACAAAGCGCGTTGTCTTGTGCTTGCGGGCCAGTTGGCGCATGCAATCTTCGACCATGTAGCTGACCTCTGACGAATCGTCGTAGATGAAGACAACAACGACAGTATTTGAAGGACTACGGTCCACGGCATCCAGGTAACCCTCACCATCGACCGACACAAGACCTCCATAGGTTGCGCGACTTCTCGGTTGGCCAATACTGTTGCTTGCCTGGCGTCCGTTCGCAGACAGCTGATTCAATCTCTTTTGCCGCCACTCGGCCATGAACTCGTCTTCGCTCTCAATATCGCTTCCGCTTTGACTGCCTTTGCTGCGACCGTCCAGACTCAGTCTGGCGACATTTGGTGTGTATGCGTAGTTTTGTGTGGCTGCTTTTGGCGACGAATTGCGTTCCCTGCGCGCGGCTTCGAAGGCTTGGGCATCGGCGATAACACCCTTGGGGCCTGTGTTCGAATATGACTTGTTTCGCGGAACATGGTCTCTTGAGGGCAGGTTGGGTAGAGCTGAAGGTTCGTCGTCAAAGTCGGATAAGAGGTCGTCGTTCTCTGAAGGAATAGACTCGTTGTCGTCTTCAGGGTGGTGGGTTCTGCGTGACTTGTCGCGGAAGAGCTCGTTGTATTCGTCTTGTGCTGTAGTCATGGTTGCGTGTGTATGAAGGTGTGTTTATCGTCCTTGTTGCGAAAGCGACTGCTCGAGTCTCTGTCGTGTTGCTCGTGATGATTGATGGTGGACCGTGCTGGCTAAGGGTCTATCAAGGGTCTTCGTGGAATGCTGTCTACCTATGTTTGTGCGTGTATGGATGATCAATAGACTTGGGTTGGGATAGGACAAGAGTACTGGCAAAAGGCCTGACTACAGAGAGCGTCCGGCGACCAGAAGATATACCTCTACAATGATGCAGAAGCGTTTGATAATTCAGGGCAGCTACCGCATACATAGAACATGTCAAAGATTCGGGAACTTCTCGAAGCACACTCAAACAAGGCCTTCTGAGCACACTCTTCATCATCACAAAGCCACTCATTCTGTCAAACACACTGCAACGAAACCTCCATTCACACCTTTGGCTGGCCTATGACGGATTCGGGTGGATCAAGTACCTCGACACCAAACCAGCACGGTCCAACACCCGAGCTAGAAGCATGTGAAACAGCCACTTTTCACCGATCCCTCCCCAAAGTCCTTGCCAATCTGTGCTCGTCCACACCGTACACGCCAGCACATCGTCCTTCTCAAAACGGCCGTGAGGGGTTTGCTTCAATCAAGTTTCAAGCTCACAACATGTCTGCACAAGTTTCAGGACAAGACAGCAATTACAAGACGTCTTGGTTATAAGCATCGTGCCTCGCTCACTTGATGCTGCGTGTCTTGAGTCGATGAAGGAAAAAGGAATTATCTCTGGTATCTGCTCAGTAAGGAAAAAGTACACTACGAAGAATGCATACGTGGATAGACCCCACGCACTTGCATGCATCGCAAAGATGAAAGAACCGCTATAAAACAACAAAAGAAAATCGACAACAGGAAACGTGTGAGATGTGCTTGGTTGAAAGGAAAACGATGAAGAGCAGAGAGACTCCATTGCAGCACTTTTTCTCCCCTTTAGCTCCATGCTCAGTAGCTCTCTGCCTTTGACCCAGCGTCCGGAATGGAAGAGAAATCGAAAACCGGAGGTCTGCTATGAGTAAGACGCCAGAAAAAAGACACAGCGCCGCGAGAAAAAGAGAATTAAACATCAGATAACCATCCCGACCCAGGCAAAGGCTTGCTGTCGCGCACATTTGAGTACACAAGACCTCCATTATGAAACTTATACGATTCAGGAAGAAGGAAAGAAGAAGGGGACGAGGCATGTCCTCCTTCGGCCCCATAATTCTTGGAAAAAGGCTCTGCTCCGGCAGAGTATGAAGTGAAAATAGGCCACTGTGTTGCGGTCAAGGCGTAGTCTGCATGGCACATGCCCTTCGGTGGTATCGTTTGTCCGTTTTTCTGGTATGGGTTGTTGGTTCCGTTGTCTGGACAGAGACACATGGTGGCGACGTTGATAGAAAATTAAGTGGTCGGCAAGACTCGTTGAGAAGTAAGGTCATTATGCCCAGATACGGAGCTGCACAGAAGTGTTAGCAAAGATCACGCAAGTCTTGCAGTCAAGATGCTTACCATCGAATCCCAAGAACCTGTGCAGAGAGAAAGAGCATCGTTGCTGACACCCAAGCAGCTGACGCGGTTGTCGTGACCTTGCAATGTGCCAACTCTCTCGCCACGAAGAGTGTCCCAGACCTAGCGAAAATCAGTATGTTACAGTCAGAATTCAGAACAAAGATCGCGTACCTTGCACTCGAAGTCATCGTAACCAGCAAACAAAAGTCTACCGGACACGGAGAATGCCACGGATGTGATACCGCAGACAGGCTCGCCAATCNNTAAAGAATCAGGGTCAGTCATGTCGAACTTGAAGATGCGTCTGCGGAAACGTACGGTGTAGCTCTGCAATTCTCTGTCGGCGCGAATATCGAAAAGACGGCAAGAAGCATCGTCGGAACCAGTACCGAAGGCGTTTCCGTTGGGGAAGAACTGGATAGCGTTGATATCCGAGTCGTGCGCAGCGAAAGTTTGGACACACTTCTGCTGTCTGATGTCCCAAAGCTTTGCGAAGGCGTCGCAGGCACCGGAAACGAATTGGTTGTTATCAAGAGGGTTGACGCTCAAGCTCATGACATCGCCAAGATGGTCGGCGAATTCTTGCAGCTTCTGGCCAGTCTCAATATCCCAGAGCACACAGGTCATGTCACCAGAAGATGTCAGGATGCGGCGGTCGTTGATGAAGCGACAGCATGAAAGGTATCCGGAATGACCGGAAAGCTCTCTGGCGACACGGGTAGGACCGTCGCGGGCGGAGAGGTTGTAAATGGAACAAATGTTGTCGAGACCACCACAAGCGACGTAGTTGCCGCTGGGAGCGTAGGCACAAGTCATGACCCACGAAGATCTAAGAGGGATGGCGTGAACCTTGTTTGTGCTATAGGCATCCCAGATGATAAGCTTGCCGTCCTGCGAAGCCGAGACGAGATGCCTTCGGTCAGTGGACCAGTGCATGGCATAAATCTTTGCGAGATGGCCCTTGAGAGTGCGCTTGGTCTTCATCTGGAGGCGGGGAAGAGCCTCTGTACGTTGGCGGGCGACATCGCGGACNTACAGAAGAGGGTTAGACAAGCCATGAGGGGAGTACCGGGTGAACTTACGTGTTGTGTCGGCGAGCTCATCCTTCTTCTTCTTTATGCGGTCCTTGAGTGCTTCGGCATCTCTGCGGGCGATTGAGATCTTCTGCTGGATTGATTCTGCGCTTCCGTCGGCCATGGCTGGAGATGTTTATATGCGAATGTGGAGATGTGGTCGCAAGAGTGGAAAATGAGTGACGCGGTCGTGTCGAGGGTCACGGGCGAAGCTGGGATGATCCGGCGGCGACGTGGACAGCTTGAGCAGCGGCGACAGGAGGGTGGTGACGACTTGTGCAAAGAGTGCGGAGCTCACGAGAATGGAGGGTGAGCGGCAGCGACAGGAGTCGGTGGTGCGAGGTGCAGGTCAGCAATCAGGCGCTGGCTTTGGGAGCGTGTTTGGTTGGTCGGGCAGGATCAGATCGGCACAGGTGGGAACACGTCGGGCAGGCGCTCGCGACCGGAAGACAGCAGGCGTGTGGGAGGTGGTCGACGGTCTGGAGATGGCAGAGGTCGAGGGCGAGCAATTGATCGATGATGTCTGTCCGTGGACGTGGGATTGAGCTGGGAGAGGCTGCACGATGCACGATAATGGGGGGAGATGATTTGGAGAGGTGTCGGCCATCGGTACGAGTCGACGCAAAACGTCTGAGCGCTGCGACTAGCAACCTGACTGGCTCGGTGAACGGCCAAGGTGCCGCTTGGTCCATTCAAACGGGAGCAGGCTGGGTGGAGCCAGCAATCTGAGTAGCCAACTCTAATCACCAAATGTTGCTCTTCATCAAACTGCACAGGAGAAGTCTGCGCCTGTCCGTCTGTGCCGGCCTGCCTACAGATTGTTCATCTCTGTGCATTTCTCCCTGCTCCTGTGTCTTCTTCGGCCTGTTGACTCTGCTCGCTCGCGTGTCTTTAGCCCTGTGCCCAGATCCCACCAAGGAAGCGCCCGTTTCGACCTCTCTTGACCTCTCTGTCCTTTTACACCATTCCCGGTGCTGCCCGTTGGCTTCATTTTGCAACGGCCGGCTTGCTGCTCCTAGCCATGAGCATTATTGGCCTAGCTCCCGAGTCTCGCCCATCATCAAAGTCCACTCAACACTCGCTGCCTTCTTCTTTGGCCTAGTTGAGCCTCGACATGGCTACTCACCGTTGCCACTCGACCCGCAACCAACATCGTCCACGGTCATCTGGAAATGGAGATGCATGGGTTGCTTCCATTGCATTGACCAACAACAGCAATAGTACATCTGCTTCGTTGGACGTTGTGACCTTTTAGCCAATATAATGCTTATGTCGTCTGCGTCTTTGTCTGTTCCCTGATTCCCCATGATTTGACCCTGCCTCTCCTCTTTTGTCCCCTGACTCGCAAACCTCGATGCTATGCCTATCCTTGCAAAGCGTCAATCTTCTTGTACAGCCTAATTCATAGCCTTTGCTCCTGCAGAGATACGACTCAGGCGAGGCCTATGGTGAGCTGAAAAGCATTGCACAAGCAAAAATGTACAGGCAATCTCCTTTTGTCGCCTCCTCGGCTGTCAATTGCGGGCTGGCTATTGCCCTTGACTCAGATTTATGCCATGTTCCAAGTTGAGAGCATAGAGCGAGAAGTAATAATTAGACCACATGTCACAACACGATCTGATCAACCGCCGATGTCATTGATCTAGAAGGAAGGGGGAGCCGCGTTCGAGAAGTCGTACACATCCAGTACAGCTGCTATATCCGTCCCTGTCCTCCTGTATGCTGCCGAGGATAGGTAAGGAAGTATCGGGGAACTAGGCGAGGCCTTGCAGCTCTGCCATATCACTTGACTAGGCACAGCCTCGCAGGGCTGCAGCTGGACGCTTTCGATTCCAAACAACGACACCATGCAAGGGATAGACAATTCTAGTCATGCAAGGTACTGCAAGGAAAAGTGGCACAAATAATTCATGAACATCAACACAATGATTTCGTTAGGGCGACAAGAAACAGCTTTTGACTTTTTTTCGTTGATCTGCGAGCAGAGGACGAGCTTCATTCCATGTCCGATAGTAAGAGCCATTGAACCCATGTAAAATTGCGTTGCAAGCACCACCCAAGACTCCTGCCATGATCAACTCATCCTCCTTCGCTTGACGTGCGACGACGACAGACCCAACAATTGGGGCGTTGCATTTAGCGGTGCTGTGGCAGAGTGTTAGCCTCCGACAGGTGATGACTCCAGAGCGCATGTCGGTTGCGGGTCTGGCACGGAAATGCGTGGGTTTGTGAATGCATACCTTGATGAAACCAATGTCGGTGGACTTCTCACGGAAGCACTGACGGCAGATGTTCAAGCCGTACTTGCGGATGAGACCAGCCTTGTGGGTGCAGACGCGNGCTGTAGAAGACATGAATCGTCAGCCAGATGTTCTCTTTTCCAAATGTGTTATCCCCTGCCCAAGCGCGCGCACGACACCAGTGTATTCCTTCTCTTTCTTCTCGAGTGCTTCTCAAGCAGGCGACGGGGATCGTAGGATGTGAACGCACCATTCTCTGCTGCCCTTGCCGTAGGTGCGAGGACGCGAGTACCAGACAGATTCGTGAGACATGGTTGCGGTGGATGGGTTGCCGTAAAGGTCCTGATGACAAGAAAAAGCGCGTGTTAGAGAGTGTCCTTTTGCGATTCCGATGCGACTGAGGAGAGATACACACTTGAAGTCGTACGGTTTGCTGGATGTCGTCGCTGGGTGAGAGATCTGAATTTCGGATTTTCGTTGGAAGCAAAGTGCGACGCTTTGCTGTGCCAAGGCGCTAGTCACTTCGGACGTGCGATCCGGGGTTGTTTACTGACTGCTGGCCCTCCGCTGCCTTTGCACGTCAACAATATCTGGACATAAATAATATTTTCAACGGAGTAATCAATTGTCATCATGGTAAGCCAATATGTTGTAGCGGACTACATCTCTCGAAATCTCATTTGTTGCCTGTAGACTAAAGACTCATCACACACCTACATCCATCTGCATCGCAGCCACCATGCCGATCTTCTAGAGGATTTCAATCGTACTCATCTGCCTCACGAAGAGATATACGTTCCACCCGAACACCAGCCATTGAACCCTGACGATGAAGACGACGTTGTCCCTGAACAACATGCTGCCTTTGGAATCCAGAGAGCCACACAGCGTCAGCAAGAACCTGCTTGGCGTGATCTCGGTCTGGACAGGATCTTGAATGAAGGGCCACCAAAGACCCAACGCCAGAACGAGCAACTATCAAAAGTCCGTCTCTTGCGATGAGAAGTTTCTAAGCTTGCTGCTGAACGATCTACTGTCTTGCTACAAAGGGTTCACAGACAACACTTGATAATGAATTACGAACTTTCCAACACGTCTTTCTCGGACATAAGCTTTTCTATTGTGACAGGCACCCAAAATGACTGCCTATCCCTACCTTGTGTCTGAACCTTTCTCTCCATGTCTTCACGATCTTTGAGCTTTGAGTATACCACTATCTTCAGGCACCAGTGTGAATTTGAGTTCGCCTGTCTCCCCATCCTACAATATTCACTAACCCCGGGATCAACTCTTCAAAGCTCCAAAAGACAACAACATCAAAGTCCAGCCAATGATTCAACAGGCGGAGAATTGCCACGCCGATATGCCGTCGTTCGCCGCCATATCACCCAAAACTACTGGTGGAGAGAGGCAGAAGTTTATCGAAGCACAGAAAGCCGCCGGCGAGGAAAAGCAGTCTGCTGTCGAGGAAACCAAGTCTGATACCGATAATATTGAGAGCCAGAGAGAGGGAGAAGAGTCTGGCACAACCGAGGACAAGGCAAAGATGAAGAGGGACTTGTCTCGGAACAAAGACGCCACCAGTCATGCAGACTCAGGCAAAAGTGGTGTTGATCAAGACGTAAGAACCGAATCGAGAGTCGAGATGGGACAGCAGCCCGATCACAGCCCACACGTACATCATCCTGAGCATATTGACACCCCACATGTGGTCAGTTTCCTTGCACTCGAGTGTATCATATGACACTGACCATTTTTAACTAGTACTCGGACCCTGTAGAGCGTACAACAACCAAGACCTGCAACATACATGACCTCTTGGCGTTCGGAGAAAAGTACGGAGCTACGATCGAGAAGCATCTGCAAGCCTCTCTCATCCGATCTTTCGAAAGCTTTGTCGTATCCGAGACACAGTAAGAGTCCTTACGTTGGCAGAGGCTATACAAGGGGTCGCATAAGACGCATCAAGTCAAACGGTCTCGAGTAACGAAACCGAGCATGATCTCAGGCCGGCGAACAAACGCTGTGAGAGAGTGTGCTGCTAGAGCAGTTGACGATGTCGAGGCAAGACCTTGTAGGAGGGCTGCGCTATGAAGGCTCTCGCCAAGATGCCGCATCAACAACCCGCACCAGAGGTGGTGACCTTTGTATCATGGACTGAAACGAGGAGGGAGAGAGTGAACAACCCAAAGCCATTTTTCTTCTTCTTGGATGCTTTCCCTCTAACCCGTGCTTTCTCTCTCACAATCAGTGGAAGGCAATAGACGAACGTAGTTGACAAGGTTTCTGGTCTTTACAATGTGCTCTAGTAGGTTGCTTTGAAGTTCTGAAGGACAACAGAACCCTTCTCCCAGCATCCGTAACAGATAGCTGAGCATGTCCTTTTTCTTCTGTCATTACATTACTTTATGTGTATGTCCAACTGCAGCGTCTCGAACGCCAGTGCCGGGTGCTATACATCTTCAACAAAGAAGGCAATAGGCCTCCTTGTTTTCTATGTACACAATACCCGCGAGACGATGCCTTATGTTCTCCAAGATACAACCGTCCTACTAGTCGGTCTTGCCAGGATGGAAGGTAAACGTAAACACCGCAACCAACAGTTTAACCCCAGCAGCAACCCACAACACACTCTGCAAACCACCCTGACTGCGCATAAGCCATCCACTGATAACAGCACCCGCAAACAAAAGCACCACAGCGGCCGCCCTCCTGTTTCTCTTGACGTTATGCAATGCGAACAGTTTAGCATCACCCATCAAATCGCAGTAAGTACTCGTCAACACATTGACCGGCAACTCGTTATATCCCAACAAGCGACTAGTGGCAATCTGCATGCCAGACTGGAAACCCAGAGGGGGNAATAAGCTGACAATGAGGATGTTGTTGATGACGCCTGCTTTATGTTCGTCGTCGGGGTAGCCAGGGCGGTTGTGAGGGACGAGGTTTGCGCTGACGATTGCGGCTGAGATGATGACAAGGATGGCTTGGACCAGGAAGATTGTGGTGAGCCAGAGACGGTTATTGGTGATGCCTTTGGGGGAGATGAGCGAAGTGCTGCGGAAGGTGAGGAAGGCGCCCAAGAGGAAGGAGGCGAGGGAGACCAGGGTGGTTGTCCAGGCGTGAGGGTTATCTGGGAGTCCAGCAGTTGACAGACCTAGAATTACAGTGTTGCCTNNAGAAACATGTTAGACAAAGTTGATGGTGAAAGAGTAGGCAAGGAGGAGAGAGCAGGACAGCCATCCATCCAAATCCCAAATTAAAGTATGGATGGAATGGATCCTTCAGAGTCGTGCTTTCTGTTTCCAGATCGATGAGATACATCCATATTTGCAGCGACTAAAAGCCAAGATGGAAGGTTCAACAAACGACATGGAAAAGAGATATCATCACCTACCAGTCTGCATTCCCACAAAGACACCCCAGTTGGCGAACGAGGCCGCATCAATTAGACCAGTCACAAACGAGTGCACCAACAATGCGGCATCTCCATACTCCTTGTCGACAGGTCCCAAGATCCGTCGTCGCGAGAGAAGCCCAGGCTTCTTGACATCCAAAGGCTCAGGAGACGCCTTGCGCGGCGGTGATGTGTCGTCGGCTGTTGCTTGTGCTGTTTGTGGCATCGTCGCAGAGAATTGGTGGACCGAGCAGGAGAGTAAAGACGAAAGAGAGCCAAATCTTGTGTGGGAGGGGACGGTTTTTGTCGGTATGGAGCGCGGCAGCTGTATACCGGGATACACGATAGTTGATAGGTTGCGATATGTGTATGCGATTTTTCTTTTCTTTCGTTATCCCTGTCTGCCGTCGGAGATGGCTTGTTGTGCCTTATCTACACCTACCGAACCCGATCCTCTCTCAAACACGCCTTATGACTGTACACGCAAGCCTGCCTAGAATTTTCCTCTCTTTCTCTTTGGCCGCGCCGGCTTCCTGGCAAATTCATTGGTGGCAGAAAGCGCTTTCTTGTTTTGGTTCCTCGGTCATCAAGGTGCGGACCCGCTTTCTGCCGTTTTCGGATTGGTTTCTTTGCACCATGGCTTGGAAAAGTCGTGTTCTTGTGAACGGTTCTCGTCACGCAATTGTATTCCGCTATGGCGAGAGCAAACAAGGCTTCCCTTCTCAATGTAGGCGTCGCAATGCAATGCTGGGCATTTGGTAAGAGCTACAGTATGGATTCTGGTTGCTGGGTTCTTTGCTTGGTTCTCGAAAGCTTATCTCGCATCAATTCGCTGCCGGGATCTGCATCTCCAACTGACCCCGACTTCGCCCTTGGAGTTAATCTCACATGCCTATTTCGTGTTGGGGTCACAAAGATGGGCAGAAAGCTGTCAACATGGAAAGGGGTCAGCGTTGCACTCCATACCAAAAAGTATAGATCTCGGCATATTTTCTATCTATGCAATAAGCTCTCCTCCAAATCACCCAAGTCTCGATTGATCTTCGTCATATCCCATGCCCATAGGTTGATTTTGCCTCTCCACTTGTCGAGCTTCCCGGGATGGTCTTCGGGATGTGCATGTCCCTCGCCAGCGATGCACCAATACTTCCGATCTGCTTCCATCCTTGATGCCTCGAAGAGCCTGTCATTCGCTTCACCCAGGAAGGAAATCTGATGGGCCCATTCAATGTCTGAACGATAATTGTACCAGACCTGGAGGTTTTGACATTGCCGTGGCTGGTGTCGGCCCCAAACATCAAAGAGTCTGATCTCCCTTGCTTTGATATATGCTTCTTCTTCATCTGGCACACCATATTCGGCAGTNCCAATCTTCTTTAGCCTGGTGACGAATTGCCATGGTGGGGGCTCGATATTTGACCATTTGCCGGCATGAGTGGCGATGAGATAGTCCCACTCTTTGTCCCCTCCCCACCCGAAGGCAGTATTGAGGACGTCGGTCAGCTGTCGGAAACTAGTGGCAGCAGGAATCCGCAGGGTGCGAGTCACGCCTGGCTTGCCATTGACAGCATTGACGGTAGCACCGTTTGGTCCTCGTAATACCATCTTGACCTGGATCAGAAACCCTTCTTCACTTTGGCCGGCTCCATCCTTTTGGTGGAGTGTATAAGTGCGCGATGAATTTCGTGCTCATCACACGAGGACGCATACCCGTCTGATGCCACTTCATCCATTACGGGAGGAACAGCGGGCGACGGAGGTCTGGAAGACCGCTCTTCCTCGTTCATCTCTCAACGACCCCATGTTGGCTGGAGTATGGCCTTCAGACTCTGGTGTCGCAGACCCAACTTCTGTTTCGAGCTCGAACGGGAGAAGTTCGAGAACTGGAAAGGCTTCTAAAAACTTCGTGGACATTATTTCCCGGTCCGGACGATATTTCATGTATGCCTGAAACTGCGAATGACTGTAACCGCTATTGTCAGTAATAAGAATGTGTGCCTCGCTCATCCTGATCACCTTGCCACCTCCGCGGCGAATTTCATGCTTGATGAGCCGCATATCGCCTTCTTCGTAGTTGACACCAAATCTGATCTTGGTAAGTTCGCCTCTCCTGACCTGAGATGTCCCCCAAGCTTTTGCATATTGCTCACGAAGGGCAACATTGACCATGGGTGGAGAATCAACCATAGGCAAAGCATCAGTTGGCTCCTCCTTAATAGTTGTTTCAATATGCTGTGCTAGATTTGTACTTGGAACGTGCCTGACGAGGTTGGGTGGTTCATTGAAGGGCCAAGACTGTCCCGTATGATCGTTGCCAGTCACATGAAATATCCCTTCAGAAGGAGCTGCGGCCCCAGAATGATCTTGTATCGCATCTCCGCCAGTCGTCTCATCCGAGGGGCCGACCACCGTGTCCGGCTCATCAGCTACAGTCGGTTGATTTTGATTTTCTCGTGCTGGACTTTGTTCCCAGTGGCCATTTGCAGGCATTTCTTGAATCATTCGGAGTAGTCATGGTTCGTCCAAAGGAGTTATTCTGAAGCTGTCGAGTATCGTAGTTTTGCTCTTGCTGACGCTCTGGCCCAATACAGAGTGTGTCGTGAACTCATCAGGGATAAGAACGACTTGGCCACCATGTTGCTCGATTAGCTCTTTAGCTTTGGGTCTGGATAAGTTTGGAAGTTGTCCAGAGAATACAAAGATGCAGCCAACTAGGCAGTTCTCGGCTCCTTGAGGAACAGCTAGACCTTTGTTTACAGGAGTAGGTGGAAGAGTGGGTGTCTCACTTGAGATAGCCCCAATACCGATGGTTCGCCTTCTCTTTGAAGGAGGACCCTGGCCAGCATTATTGGCTACCACCGAAGAATTGGTTGGCTGTTGTGCAACGCGCTGTTGTCCTGTATTTGGCCGTGCCACCGAACCAGATGCCGGCGCGTGCAGGTTCACGTCTTGTGGCTCTGAATCTTGGGCAATGGAAGCAACAACTTGACTTAGAGAAGGAAGCTGTTGGTAAGCAGCACCACTCACGCTTGGCGAGTTTTGTGGATTGGTGGTGGATGTCGCTACTGTACGACTTTGCTCTGGAGTCACTGGGTGACTTCGATCTACTGAGGCAGCGGGGAGATGGGCTGACCGAATGTTCTTCTTCGCTGTCGAGGAAGGTAGTGCAGGACTGTCGATGTAGTTTCCCATTTTATGTGGCCAGCCAAAGGCATTTACTGCGCTCGTGAAAGCCTCAGCAAGAGGATCCTGGCCAGTGGAAGCTTGTGCATTGGGTTCGACAGCCCTCCAAGGCTCGAAATTGGACATGGTATCTTCCTTTTGAGAAAACCTCTATCGTAGGTCTCGTCAAGTGTTTTTGGCGAAATATTTGAAGGTGAAATAAAATGGTCTGGGAGGCTGCAGCATGACGCGCGCATCAGACGCGCTCCTCAAGCTTTGACCTCAATTTTTCTCTACCTCCAGCACCACCACTTCTTTCGATCTTCGCCATGCCATCGAACGACATCATGTTCCGTGCAAATTCAAGATGAACAATAAGCCGCCCTCGGGATAGATCACAACCACGAGATTTTTGCGAGGCATGCATATCCGCAGACCCCTGCAGAAGAAGTCGGTGGATTCACAAATCGTCATCTTTACTTCATCACCATGATGGAAGGACGTGGCGGTAGTGCGCAGAAATTCCCCGTCAACACCTCATTGGAGCATCTGCCTCACCTGCCCTCGGTGTCGGATGGTCTGCAGATTGCAAATGATTTCATGACCTTTGTTCTCTGCATCGAAGCAGCTACGTAGTCCACGGGACGCGAGGTATATATACACATCGTAGGTCACTATAAGCAGTTTTTCTTTACCCTCTTTGATACACCTCCAACCGTACACACGAAACATACAGGACATGCAGCACATTCTTCAGACCGCTCTGGGCTCTGGCTTCTCGGCCACCGAGGGCTACCACTCAGAAACACCTAACAAGGTCGATCCCTCATTCGATGGCATGGCAGCAGTCCTACCTCAGTCATTCGTTCCCCAAACCTCGACGCGCATCACGTTGAAAGGCAAGAAGGGAGATGTCCAGATCCCCTGGTTGTCTATTGGAGCATGGTCATGGGGTGACAAGGCGACATGGCATTGGGACCCAAAGGAACGCGAAGGTCTGAACGAGGCCTGGAAATACCTGGTCGATAACGACCTCACCTNNGTGAGTCGCGTTCAAGATGGAACAAAGTTGATTGATGCTGATACTGTGCCAGACATCGACACTGCTCAGGCTTACGGCTCGGGCGAGAGCGAGAGAATCTGTGGTGAGCTTGTCAAGGACATGCCTCGTGACAGCTTCGTCATGCAGACCAAGTACTACGTCGTCCCCGACAACTTCAAGAACATCTTCACACCCGCATCTGCGCCATACAAGATGCTCAAGGAGTCACTGGAGCGCATGAACCTGGACTTTGTCGACGTCTATATGGTCCACGGACACATCCACGCCGGTAGCATTAAGCAAGTTGCCAAGTCGCTGGCACAATGTGTGGACGAAGGTCTCTGCAAGGTGGTTGCTGTTGCCAATTACAGCAAAGAAGACATGTTGCAGATGAAGGAAGAGCTGGCTCAGTACGAGATCCCCCTCGAGCTGAACCAATGCGAGTTCCACGTGATGCGTCGTCTTCCCGAGACCGAAGGTATGCTGAGAGCGTGCCGTGAGAACGGTATTCAGTTCCAGTCATACTCTTCGCTAGCACAGGGTCGCTTGACTGGAAAATGGACACCTGAGAAGGAGCCACCAAAGACATACCGCTTCAGCTCGTACCCCATCAAGGATATTCAAGACACGCTCAACGTGGTGAAGAGAATTGCAGAGAAGCGTGGTGTCAGCATGGCTGCTGTAGCGCTGAACTACAACATCAGCAAGGGCGTCAACCCAGTTGTTGGTATCAGAAACCTCGAGCAGGCCAAGAGCAACATCCAGGCATTCGGCTGGAGACTGACAGACGAAGAGATTCAAGAGATGGACAGTGTTAGTATTGAGGGCAAGCACAGCAAGCTCTGGCAGCAGGGTTAAGCAGCTCTCTGTCAGCTGGCAGAAGTCATGAAGCTCATGTATCACGAATCAAAGCAATAGCACTAGACAGAAATGTACTTTTAGTTAATGATGCTGGGTGTCACATGCAGATCATGTTTCTTGAACGTTTGACGATGAAACGCAGGGCGGTGGGGAGGTGGAGTCGATCGGGCCGGGCCCTTGTGCGTGCTAGGCACCGCCACATACGCCACGAGTCAACCGACGACGACAAGGCCACCGAGAGTCGGACGGAAACATTTTTCGCATCCTTGTGATGAGTTGGAGTAGAAGACATGTGCTGAGCATCCATCCATCATGTCATCGTCGCGAGACTTTCACCGGAAGCGCAAGAGCTGGGCACGGCGGGTCGAACGGTGTTGCTGTGGAGCGCTATCCTACTTCCCTCTTTGCTTTGTCTATGGCCTGCTGTCTTGGGCCGCCTGGGTTCAGATAAGCATCGGCTTCTGGCCCAACCAAGGCAAATGGACAGGTACAAAGACGCGTCCTATTCTCGAGTCTCGACTCTGCTGACACTCCAGTCTAGGCAAGACATCGTCCTTCGTCGGTCTCGTTCTCTACTCGCTCGCCGTCTCGTGTTATACAGTCGCTGTCTTCAAGGACCCTGGTTCTCCTACAAACTCACCAGCCACCGGCGGATACGCTTCCCTCCCTACCCATGAATCCGCCACGCCCACACCGCTCACGGCCAAGTCGTCGGGCAAACCACGATACTGCAAGAAGTGCAACTCGATCAAGCCCGACCGCACCCACCACTGCAGCTCCTGCAACCGCTGTGTCCTCAAGATGGACCATCACTGCCCCTGGCTAGCCACCTGCGTCGGCATGTACAACTACAAGGCCTTCCTGCTCTTCCTATCCTACACATCCCTCTTCTGCTGGCTCGCCTTCGCGACTGCTACCGAATTCGTTTGGCGCGACATCTTCGACGAGACCAAGATCGAAGAGGGACTAAGAATTGTCAATGTCATCCTGCTCGCTGTTCTGGGAGGAATTATCGGCCTCGTGCTGACGGGCTTCACCTCGTGGCACATTTACCTGGCTACAACCGGCAAGACGACTATCGAGAGTCTGGAAAAGACTCGCTACTTTAGTCCATTGAAAAAGAGCATGGAGCGTCAAATACACAATCACGAGAGACACTACATGCACGATGATCCCTCCGACGAGCCCACGCTGGGTGAACAGCTCAAGGAGATCCATGCAAACGCTGTGCCAGGTGTCACCAGGCCAGAAGAAGGCGAAGAGTCGAGAAACCCGACCCCTTTACTTACACAGAACTCGTCGTTCGAGTCCCCTGCTTCGGACAGTCTACGTCGTAATTACGCAAGTCTCGAAGCAGACCGTGAACGAGAACGCTATGCTGAATATCTGGACGAGCAAGACAGCGACAAGCTGCCCCATGCCTTCGACCTCGGGTGGCGACGGAATCTACTAGATCTCTTTGGCCACAATCCATATCTGTGGTTCTTCCCCGTCTGTAACACTGAAGGAGACGGTTGGAGATGGGAGGTTAGTGCTCATTGGATAGCCCGTCGCGACGAAGTAGCCCAAGACCGCCAATTGCGAGAAGAATCAGAACGCCGCTCATGGCGGGACTATCAGGCCCAACGTGCACAGTGGGGTGCTGGCGCATATGGTGCAGGAAGGTATTTTGGTGGCCCCGCTCCAGTGCAACAGCATCAACAACAGCAGCCGCCACAACCACATCTCCAACCCACTTGGTCAGGCGAGCAGGAAGATGACGACGAAGGCAGATATCTGACTACCACTAACGGTGTTACTCGTGTACCTCTTGCCGGTCGCCGCTCTCCCTCGAAAGCAGCACAGATCTTGGGTCAATATCAGACAGGGAACGGTCCACCTGCAGCTTTTACACGCCGCAAGACAGACCTTGATGATATTGATGACTATGATACCAGTAGCGATGAAGAGAGCTCAAGACCACCCAGCCGTCCGCTTCCGCAAACGCGTGATTGGAATGATATTCCGGATGACTTTTTAACGTCTGCTACCGTGAAGCCAAAGAGAGACAGGAGTGGGAACAGGACAAAGGGTGATTGACCATAGCGTTTTGTGTTTCTTTTGACTCCCTTATTTGCATACATTCAGATGGTGTTTCTTCAGCTCTCCTCATGGTGTCGTGTTCTGGGCTGCATTCGAGCGATACTTTGTATATTAGTTATCAATACCAGAAGATTCTCACTGCTGGATTTTTATTCTATGTGCATCGAGCAAAAGTATACATATAGATCACTTTCTTTTGACGAGCGTGCCAAGCGAGTGAGGGATAGTGTCGTAGGGACCTTCGCCCTCTCCTGCTCTCAACGAGACTTCCTCCCAATCACCGGCTTCGCGAAGCCATTCATCCGTAGGTCTAGCAATATCACAGCCACCAAAGAAAGTCGGCCAGATGAGATTGACGAAAGCTGGAGAAGAACAAAAGTCAGCAACCAACAAGCAATGACACAAAAGGGCTTTTTGCTTCCACTCACGTTGCCAGTAGCCAACAAATTCATTATGGTGTTTTGTCTTGACATGCTCATAGACCAACCACGTACCCCCNTTCTTCAAATAGGGATACAAACTCTTGATGATATTCTGCGGACCAGGACAACTGCACAAAGTCTGCAACGTCACTATCGTATCCACAGACTCAACCTCCAATCCCATTCTCCCCAAATCCTGAGCTCCCACCGGCAGAATCTCATAGATGCCTTTCAAGCCCGCAGCTTCCACTCGTCTGCGCAGTGCAGCATGGTGTTCAGGATTAGGCTCCACGCCATAGACTTTGGTGACTTTGTTTGCTGTGGCTGCATAGAGGTAGACCCATTCTCCGCTTCCGGGCCCAATGTCGAGGACTATGCCAGACACGTTTGCGCGAACTAGGGGAGAGACGGTGGCATCGGCGTTTTGGCGGGACACACCGCCGAACCAGGACCAGAAGTTTCCGAACCAGGCGTGTTGGAAGGAGGACCAGGAGAGCAGTTTTGAAGGTGACGAGGTCAAGAGTCGGAAGACTGTTATGGGGATGTAGGAGGCTGAGTAGGAGAGGAGGAGAAGAGGTCGGAGAAGGGTTAGTTGAGGTGGGAGACCCATCTTGTTTGCTTTCGTCCTTGAGGGAGATGTTCAATTGAGTCACTGAAGCAAAAACTCAGAGAGAAGGAAAAGAAAAGTTTCAATGGAAGATATATATACTACCGAGTATCTCGTTAGGGTAAAGCAAAGCAACGCGGCAAAGGTAGTGGGGGCTCTCGCGGGGACTTGATCAAGAAGCCGACCGTTTTTGAACTTCGGCGACATTCTGTCTATAACGGAGGGACATATGAGATGGTTCAATTCTTATACAGATACTCGACCTCGTATATCTCTGAGAAGTCGTATACAAAGGCACGTGCTAGACTCCAGAGGATGAGTTCTGAAACAGAGTCCAAGCACACAAGGCGGAGAGTGCTGGACCCCTTTCCCCAAACAAAACCGCAGTCACACTTCATCTCACATGACAGCTCACCAATTGCACGGGCGCTTAGCGAAACCACAAAGGCGATAAAGAGGACACTGAAGCAAGAACGCAACCCGCTTGAACATAACGAACATCGGTTTGTAATCGGAGGGAACAAGCCAGCCGACCACTTTCTTTGTTTACAGCCGGAAGCGACAAGGAGACACCAGCCCTGTGATTGAGACGACCTTGCATCTCTCCGTCAACCACAAACTTTTTGGGTTCCTTGCTTGTACATAACTATCAACTGGTCTTCTGCCAACATTGAAGCCTTGCTTCCAGATTCCAGTATCTGCACGCTTCAATCGCTGGTAAGTGATTTACATGTCCGGATTTTACCCTTTCCTTCGATCCTTCAAGCTGGGAAGATGCAAAGAAGACAAGAAATCATTCCCACTACACCGAGAAGGACTTGTAAATGTTCAGAACTGACGTCAAATAGAGAAAAGGTATAATCAAGTCATACCAGGAGATTCGGAAAACATGACCGGATTCCAGAACCTTGGTGCGATAGCAGACGATGCAGCAGCAGTATCAGCAGCTCCAGCTCGCGGCAAAGAGATGCGCGCAAACCTCCTGAACAAACTCCGCGCACCACCTCTAGTCCACGCCTGGGACTTCTGGCATGATCGTCAAGATNCGCAACACCAACACCACCACCACCACCACTACATCTACAACCACTCCACCAGCTGCTCCCCCTCAACCTCTCCCACAGACAAACCACCAACAAACTACGAAGACAGACTAGTCCACCTAGCCTCAATCTCAGACGTCCGCACCTTCTGGAACGTCTTCAACAACTTCGACGTCTCGGCCCTGCCCCTCCGCGACTCCGTCCACCTCTTCCACAGAAACGTAAAGCCACTGTGGGAAGACCTCCGCAACGCCCACGGCGGCTGCTGGACCTTTCGCGTGCCAAAGGACCGCGCTCCAGCCTTCTGGGAACGCATCTGTTTGCTTGCCGTGGGTGAGAAACTGCAGGCTGCGGTGGAGAGCGACAGACAGCAATTTAGAGACGACATTTGCGGTGTCAGTTTGAGTGTCAGATTCACGAGTGTGTTGGTGCAGGTGTGGAATAGGGATGCTGGCCACGAGGAAGGTATCAAGAGGCTGTTGGAGACGGTCTTTGCAAACTTGGAGCCCGAGTTGATGCCCAGAGCGAATGGTTTCTATTACAAGCCGCATCACGAGCATGCAGCTTTCTCGGGCGGCAATGCTGGTGCTCCACCCACGGCATCGAAGTAGACTTGGGTATCGACTGATGGGCCTGGTCAGTGTGGAATGGCATTCAAGGCTAGACAGAGTTTTATGGAAGCACTTCACGATCACTTCGAATATCATGAGAACACAAGACACAGGTCAAGAAATGAAGACAAAGATGACATGTATGCTCTACAGAAGTGTGAAAGAAAGATAAGGTAACAGAAACCACGCTATGCGCACTGCAAGATATCTCCGAGAACATCAATAAAGCAGAAACCCAAGTAAATAATACTTCCCAAACACACTCGCATAAGAAATAAGAAACCTTGGTATTCTGGGTCCGAAGCAGTAGGAAAGAGAGCAGGAAAACGCAGGGAAAAATCAACAGATTAGACAAGGCGGGCCAGCCGACACTAGGAGGCGTAGATGGGGTATTAAGGAAGAGAGGTTATTACCAAACCCAAACCCGCCACCAAAACCGTTGCCGGCAAACCCAATGGAAGATCAGAATACCATGACGACCGCACGCTTTTGAAGCATCTTGCTGCGAAAGTCATAACGCGGCAAAAGGAGATAAGGAAACATAAGCAAACGCAAAGAGGTGAGAGGAGATCATCCGTCTCGGGTATGAGACGGATCAGTAACAGAGACATGAGATGTGGTCGGAAGAAGGGTCGTGAAAGGTGGATTACAGTGTCAGTAGGCAGCCACCGCGAGATTGTGGGAGGTCATAGTGGGAGCAGTATGCGCCTGCTCTTGGGCAAGCATTGCTTCCTCATAACCAGAGAGTGCCTGAGCGTGGAGCTTGAACGATTCACCCATGAGTTTGGTGATGCCCCAGACAACCACTTCGTCGATCATGCTGCCCCAAATGCGGGCAACCATTGAGCTGAGTTTGCCGTACATTTCAACCGAGTCGTCGTCAAATAGATTGCGAAGCTTCTCGTACATGGCAATCTCTTCAGCATTGGGAGCTTCGTCGTCGTGCTCAACGCGCCAGAGCCAGAGCGTCAAGATGACCATCAGATCAAGCCCACACAGAGGGTGCTCAATGCTCCAGTTGGTGGCAGAAGTGCGAGCAACCCAACGAATGCCATGAACGGCAGCGACCTCGACACAATCGAAGCAGGCTTGGATAACCTTGAGCATCTCAGGAGATCGCTTGACCTTGTCTCTTGCGTTGGTCATGGCGGCGGCAACTTCGTAAGGATCGTGGTAGCGAAGAGCCTCTTGAACTGACTTGAGATCGACCATGAGTCTAGCAGTGGTGTTGCGGTACACAGCCATCGCGTTGAAGATAAGAGGATGTCCACGGTGAGGTGCGCTGAGCTGAACAACAACAGTCTCAGGCTCACAGATCTCGAGAGACTTCTCCCATGACTCCAAGGCCAGACGAAGCTTGTATTCGGTCACAACGTCCTGCAAAGCCTCGGGGCATCTCTTGTGGTACCAGACTTCGAGGAAGAGAGCGTTGATCATGACGCGAGTCGCGAAGGCACTGTAGCGAGCAGGCTCACCCTGGAAGAGATTGCAATGAGATTCCTGGAATGTGATGATATTCGTAGTCTTCATGCTCTCATGCCAGATAGAACTCTGGTTCACATCGAGAGCCCATAGGGTTTCTGATGATGGCAGCTCCAGTGTGTCGAACTCGTTAAAGCTGATGGCAGGCGTGTGGTTGTAGGTCATGGTCAGTAGGCCAAAGAATATGTAGACAGCGTAGTATGTGCGACGGCAGCTCTCGTCTTCGATCCACTCTTGATGGTTAGGTTGCGCACCCTGGCGGGCTTCAGAACGCAACTTGAGCTCGTACCTGTTACCAGCGACCATGTTGGCGACAAGACTCTTGACTGAGCAAGCCCACTCGAGGCCCTTCGGGTCGCCACTCCAGCTGGCGAAGATCATGTTAAGCAGAGTGGCTTGCATAGCCCAGATAGGACACTTGCGAGAACTGAAGTTTTCCTTATTGACCAGGAACTGGTTGATTAGGAGCTTAGAGCCAATGTGGAGCATGTATGCAGAATCTTGCTCAAAGGCGTAAAGCGCACCAACTGAGAGGACCGATAGGAGCAGGGGTGCCGAGACGTGTGCTGGGTTGAACGACGAGGGGTGCAAGAAAGGCAAGTGGTGGTGGAAGAGGTTGAAGTATGTCGACAAATAACGGTTCAGGTCGTCACCGTGGGGCAGACGGAATGTGTCGAGCAGAGCACCTTCGCTGTCGCAGTGCTTGATGTTTGATAGGATACTGGCGATCTGGTCTTCAGACTCGACCTGGGGCGGCTTGGGCATCGTGCAAACTTGAGGAGGGCCAGGCGAGCGACGGTAGTCAACTGGAGACACGGGTCCCATCATCGAAGTGAAGGGAGACAAAGCACCAGGCGTTCCAAGTGCAGAGAGCGACGCATTACCGAATTGCTGCTCCATGAGCGGAGGCAGCTGGTTGTGAATACTCATGGCGCTGGCTGGCAAACGACCATCAGGACCGGTTGCGGTGCTTTGAGACGATATTGACTGCGACTTGGCCATAGGGTGAGGTATCATCGTTTCCATTGTGTCCCAGTGAGTTTGCGACTGCATCTGAGGTAGAGTCATGGCACCGGCTTGAGAGTACGAGGACTCGGCCAGGATAGGCTCGGGCATGGATCCCTGCGTGGACATGGCAGCCTTCTGTTGGAAGTTGGTCATCAGCATGGCGGCCTCCTCGACACCGAAAAGACCATCATCAGCACTCATCTGCTCGATGGTTGCTTGCTCCATGCCCATAGGAAGTTTGGACGGGACGGCTTCCGGCGACTGCTTGGACGCGTTACTCCTTCGCTTGGTGTCGCTCTGCAGCGGCACACCTCCATCCTTTGCGTGTACAGTGCGGTCGTGGCGTAGCAGAAGATCGCGGCGCACAAAGGTGCTGCGGCACTTGAGGCATTTGAAAGGACGTTCCTTGGTGTCTGGGAGAGGATGGTCAGTGTCTGATAAGTGGTGGTGTGGCGGGGTGGGGCAACTTACGCGATCGTTCGTGTCTGCTGCGGTGCTCACTTCTGCTAAAAGCGCGATTGCAGAACTGGCACTTGTATTTCTTTTCGGGAGCGGAGGCTGAGGACTTGCGGCTGATGGAAGGCGAGGCCGAGCCGGCGGCGGGGAGAAGAGTGGTAGACGATGAGGCAGCAGGCATGGTGGATGTAGAAGACGCTGCGGATGGTCGGAGTTGAGAGAAAGAGATGGTGGCGGGCGAGGTGAAGATGTTGAATGCTTCGGGCTATGTCCAAACAACAGGAGCCAACCGGCGCGTAGGGATTAAGTCTTGATGAACGGGGTCTGATTGTAATGATTATGTTGCATGGGCGATATTATGCTGCTCATTGAACGTGGGAGTGCGACGATGCCCTTTCAGACGTCTCGACGCAGGTTACAGGACAGTGATGCCAGGCAAGCGGTGGCAAGTGGGGTAGATGGGAGGGAAGAGGGACACAAGGCAAGAGCGAAGCAGAGATCAATGATGTGAGAAGGAAGGAACGAGGGAAGGAACTCAAAAATGGAATCAGCAAAAAGGCGGCGCGACTCTAACGATGCGGGGCAACAACCCTGCCTCTCGTGTCCGAGCGCTGTCATAAACTAGCAGGTAATCATCACGCCTGTGGCTGATTTCCTGTTTGGATTGTTGCAAGTCGCAACTTGCTTGTCGCCTGTCGTATGAAGCCTGCCATCCCTTTGGCGGGCTGTCCTTGTCATTGCCCCATGCTCTCGCCTCTGAGGAGTGAGTCTATCTGACTACTTCAGCCCAGTCGCCAGCACGTTGACAGCGAAACAAAACGTTGTTCAGCGCCTTCTCGTCATGACTGGCTTGCACGCACGCGACGTCCGTCAAATCACCACTTCGCGTTTGCCAAAGAGCACAAGAATCCGTGCCGTCTCCGTCTGATCTCTCGACTAATTAGCGATGCCTCTATATTAACTGGACATTCGTTGTTCTGTGTCACTGCCAGACCGCCAGACTTGCACCTTCGCCGGTAACTGCAGCTTTCTCCAATTCCAGTCCAAAGACAACTCATCATGCGCACTCAATTTCCATGCGCACTTGAGCCACTGCAAGTCTGTGCAAGGCGCCACGTTATGCATGTAGCCGGACGCCGATGTATCTTCTATTCCTAACCCAGCCCCCTTATCATCTCATCACCGCGACTGGCCAACAGAGAGACTGATCCCTTTGTCGACTCTGAAGGCAGAGCTTCAAACACCGTCATGATCTTTGCATCGCTTCATGTGTCGTGTTTGGACGATCTTCAAGCTGCATGATCCTCTCCGTATTTGGTCCCGACCAAATTACTTGTTCCTGGCATCGCGCCCATCTCGCAGAATTATCGATGGCCTAACTCGGGCTAAGGCATAGGAACCTCGATCCGGCAGCTGTCTTGGGGTTCCAGCGAACTTTCCAAGTCCCAACTTTTTGGGACAAATCTGATCATCATGCTTTTCTTTTTCGGTCGATTCTGGTCCGCGACCAGATTGAAGCTCGAGTCTGTTCTCGAAACTTTCTGTTTAGGGTCCGACCGCTCGTCTGGCATATTTGACATACTCCTGCAGATTCAAAAAGTTTCTACAGCACGTGGTTTCTGTTATCCAGCATGAGCATGTGCTCGTCTACCATCATGAGGAAATCGGAGGGACGAGAGGGTGCGGGTCGGGCCATCTAGCATGCCCCACTTCACTTATTAGCTCCCAGCGGATGCTCTCTTCCGTTTGCACGCCGGTGCTCACCCCTCGCTCGCCGCGAACCGGATGCTTAGCGCGTCAACTCTTGAATTTCTTTGGACATCGACGACATTTTCTGATAAGAGATTTCAACTGCAAAAGTTGCCTTCGAGTCAGAGGTTCAACTCAATGGACATCTCAAGCAGCAGCTCGTTTTCGAAACAAGTCTGGGCATCATGCCTCGTCTACAGATTTGAAAAGGGGGTTGATTTTCAACATCATTGATAAGTATACCACTGTGGTTTCATTTTAAGTCTTGGGCGGAAGCCAGCCTCTAAAGTCTGCGGCGGTCCCCCAGCAATGGAAGCTGGGACATTGATGCAATTTCGACAGGACCTTGCCACCCACCTTGACCGGGGTATTGGTCCAGAGACGGACAGCTCTAGGGGGAGCGTAGGCTCGTGGAATCGCCTCCCCGGTTTGGATATGGCTCGGCATTAACGAAGCTTGTCCAACACGAGACGCGTATCTGATTGATGATTTGTCTCTTCACGGCACTTTGACCTCGCGACGGGTCGTTGATTGAAACTGGCTTGAACACGAATTGGCCGGGTTGCTGCGTGGACTTTCGTGATCTGGGTGGCCACGTCTGATCGCTCATATCCGGGAGTATTTCATCGGTCTTGTAGGTTTCGCCCTTCGCAACGTACCGCAGAGACGTTGACAAAGGGATGGACGTTGAACCGACACGACTGCGGGACGGTTCTCCAGCCTCTGGACTCGGCCCTAGGTGAACGAGGGTGCGATGCTACGAGTGTCGCGTAGAGGTAACATCTCGCAACGTATGCTGTAGCAAGACGCCGCGCGTTAAGCTCACAGTGGTAGCATCGCGGTCATCTTTTTGAGCAACTTGCACAATCATCTCGCATGGTTGCTCGTGGTGCTAATTGTCTATTCTCCCGTATGTATGAAACAAACAGACAACAGGTTTGTTCGACAAGTTCTGGGAACAGTCGTTGGCCGATATGATTGTACAAGGCTCTGAGAATGCGATACATCTTAAGCGGACGCAGGTGTCCTCCGACTGAAATGGGCGTTGCTCTAATCGCTTGTTTCTGTACCACACGTCGGCGAGCGCTCCAGCCAAACAGTATCACGTGAAAGTTCGACATGCACTACGGAACGACTTGAACCCGAACTACATTGATAGTACTCGAACCTGCGATCGCAAGTATACCGGTATCTAAGGTAAGTTGCTGCATTTGGACACATACCACCATCATTTTCCGCGACTTGGTATCAGGATGCACCTCGTGTCAGAAAACGGAACATCTGAGAAGACTCAAATAACGTGGCGGCAAGTCGAAAACCAGGGCCGGAGACTACTGCATCGTTGACAGGATAATTGACAGCGGAAGAGCTAGTTGCAGCGGAGAGTGGGTGTTTGATTTAGGGGTAGATCATCGGCTCGGGTGAGTGATACATCAAGCAAGGACAGTGTGGTACCGACCAGACGAGATGGAGGGGGCCACGTGAGAGTCGATGCGGGTGCATCACAGGATCTTACGCGCATAGGAAGAGGGGCAGCGTTATCCACCAACGATAATGCAGACAGTGGCCGCAGATATACAATAGATGGTAACCACGGGGTAGAACCAACAGAATCAGACAAAGACTTGGCCGATGGGGCTCTGAGCAAAGGATCAATGGTTGCTTGCAGGGAGGTAGCTGTCTATTCTTTGACAAGCATTCGATTTGATTACTGCTTCTATCGTGTATTTAGACGTGCCATATCAAGAAAATAGGTACAATCAAGTGAGGTAGAAAGCCATGAGCGCTTAAGTGCAACCAGTCATGAGTTTACGACTGCGTGGTTAAGAAGGGAGTAGACGACATGAACAGGACCAAGACGTACACAAGAGAGAAGCGGCATCGAGGGCCAACGGGTATGAAATGATACCCATCGGAGTTGAAGAGGCAGGCTGGAAAATAGACAGTGTTTGGTTGTTGTCATTTCATGGTCCATTCCTGGGAGCTGGGAGTGGTTGGCGTCGGCACAACACAGCACGAGTAGGCGTTGGGGTCAGACCAGGACGACCAGGGCGCATATCGATCCAGGCCAAAACACTGGCCCAATGCGTAGGTAGTGAGCCCTCGTAGACCCTTGGATGTGCATCTTGACGCAGCCTTCACTGTGCTCTCACACCGCCCACGACACATTGCCCATTCTTACTGCAGTCACTCTTTGCGCCCTCGCCGTCACTGCTGCTTGCCGAAGGATCGTCGCTCCTCCTTCACTGCCGTCCACCGTCTCACCCTTCGACCCCTCGCACAGTCCACAGCCTCGACCGAATTCACTCGGCGCCGATCTCGACGACCAGCGACTCCAGTCAAGCAGTACAAGCAGCGACAGCCACCTAACATACGCTTCGGCGCCGACGTCCCTCCCGACCCGCAGGCTTCACGAGTTCGAGTAGCGACCCCGAGTTCGACCATTGCGAGACGCCGCAGGGCGTGTTCACCCCGTGAATGTCAACATGAATGGCCTCGCGTCCTCTCCAATGGGCACCATGTATGTGCGTGCACTCTACGACTACGATGCCGACGATCGCACCAGTCTGAGCTTCCGGCAAGGCGACATTATCCAGGTCATCACCCAGCTCGAGAGCGGCTGGTGGGATGGCATAATCCGTGGCGTGCGAGGATGGTTCCCCAGCAACTACTGCGAGCTCATTGCTCAGCCAGGCGATGTCGCTGCTCAACCTGCCCGCGTGTCCGACGCGCATGCTCAGCCGCACGCACGCAACCATATGGACAACGTGGCCCCCGAATCCTCGTACCGCCATACCGACGCTACGCAGGACAGCCAGGAGGAGGCTGCATTCTGGATACCACAGGCCACGCCCGATGGTCGCCTCTTCTACTTCAACACCTTGACTGGTGTCAGTACAATGGAACTGCCGCTGGAGAACCCTACCCAACACCAAGAACCAGGCCCCCACGATCGCTACCATGTCCTCACCCACGACCAGACCCGTCCTCCACCCGAGATGCTTGCACGTGGCGGCTACGAGCGTGCCGAGTCGGAAGCTGACTATGAATCTGCAAGCGAGGTCGACATGACGCGCTCGAGGACTTCTTTGGTGAGTCTCGTGTCTAACTGAGACAAAGAGAGCTCTTNNCTAATCTCTACTCTCTTCTAGCGAAATCGAGCCTCGTATGTCTCAAACCCTCTCTCTCCCGCGACTTCGTCCGAATCGCTACGAAACAAGTCTCCTCTCACCAGATCGCGTACCAATGTCGCCGACACATCCAACTCAAGCTACGCCAATCACTCCAACATGTCCAACGGTACCGCAATGACATCCTTCATCAACAGCCCCGTCACGCCTACACAANAAGACGATCTTGTCATCTCACGTCGCTGTTTCGATGATTCTCAGACGGTCCTGCTTACCTGGAATACTCTGGTCGAGGACATGCGCCGAGCTGTTCAGCGCTATCGGGAATCAATCGACAATAGCAACAAAAGCGAGTTTGTGAAAAGAGCAGAGGACATCTCGGACCACCTTCGTCTTTTGCTTGCAGCGGGCTCCGGCACCACCGACAATCACTCTGGCAACCCCTCGATCATCTCGACTAACAAGGCCTTGTATCCTCATTTCAGAGAAATGATGTCGAGCTTCTCCAAGCTAGTCTTGTCTTCTCATTTCGCCGCCGCAGACTTCACTACCCCGGACTCGTATTCCAAATGCTTGCTGGAGGCCGAAGGCTTGTTGCATGGTGTTTATGGTTATGTGGAAGTTGCGCGCCAACAACGGGGTGAAGAGATTTCACGCCTCACGCCCGGCTTTGTGTCAGGCATTCGTTCGGGCGGAAGTTGGCAGAACAATGGTCTGGTTCTCGGTGATCCATCCGCTGCATCGCAACCTTTCCTACAGCAAGACACAGATACACTTATCGAGCCCACTTCTCGTCTTGACCAGACTTTGCTAGAACGCATGGATGATATGAGAAAGAACATCTCCATCAGCATTCGTCGTTTGGACAAGCACCTCGCTTTTGACGAGAAGTTGGTCACCNCCAAAAAGCACAAGAAAGCCAGCCAGTTGATCTCCGAGGATGCTAGTCGAGTCATCGAGGCCTGCCGACCATACTCTGCCGTTGTTGAAAGTATCAACTTGGCCCCGCTTGGATCCACTTTCAGGAACCCCCAAATCATAGATTTCAGCACACAGAAACAGAAGTTCTACGACAATTCATCAGAGCTAGTGGTTGCCTGTCAGACCGTGGCCAGTCCTCTGAGCGACGAGTGGTCTGATCATAGAGGCAGTTCGCTTGAGGAGCGCATAACTCACGTCAAACTTGTTGTGCGTGAGCTTGACAACTCTGCTAGTCAACTGCAATTCTCACTGCAACTGCTAGCCGAAATGATGCCTCAGATCGAAGCTGCGGTGGCGACTGAAGATCACCACAGCTCTGACAATTCCTATGCCGAAGGATCTCTCGGAGGATCAACCTTGAGGGGCAACCCTAACAGTATGGGTCCTGCAAGGAGCTTTGTGGAAGGCCCTGAGCCTACTGTCGAGACGCCCCGTCTTGCAGACAACTCGAAACTGAAGCGTTTCTTTGGTGAAGTGCCCGCACCCATACAACAAGAGGATGTTCCAGACTTCCTCAAGCTCGATCACGAAGGTGAAATCGCTTACGATACTAAGGTGCATCCGGCTCAATTGCGTGGTGGCACACTGACTGGTCTGGTTGAACAACTAACGCGACACGATCGCTTGGATTCACCGTTCAACAACACATTCTTACTTACATATCGATCCTTCACATCTGCCAGTGAGCTATTCGAGATACTAGTTAAACGATGGAACGTGCAGCCTCCCTACGGTTTGAATCCTCTCGACCTCGAAACTTGGGTCAATAAAAAGCAAAAGCCTATCAGATTCCGTGTAGTCAACATTCTGAAGAGTTGGTTTGACAACTACTGGATGGAGGAGAATAGCGATGCGAACCAACAGCTCATGCATAGAGTCTACTCGTTCGCGAAAGAAACGGTTGCCTCTGGCAGCACTCCAGGTGCCGGTCCCCTGATGACAGCTATTGAGCAGAGAATGCGTGGACAAGATGCCCCTGGTAAACGCTTGGTCTTGACACTGAACTCCGAAAGGACACCCACACCAATCATCCCCAAGAATATCAGAAAACTCAAGTTTCTCGATATCGATGCTCTCGAATTTGCTAGACAGCTCACTATCATCGAGTGCAGACTGTACTGCAAGATCAAGCCTACTGAATGCTTGAACAAGACGTGGCAAAAGAAGCTTCAGCCCAACGAACCTGATCCGGCTGCTAATGTCAAGGCTTTGATCCTGCATTCGAACCAGCTGACCAATTGGGTTGCTCAGATGATTCTGACTCAAGCTGATGTCAAGAGACGTGTGATCGTCATTAAGCATTTCGTGGCAGTCGCAGATGTAAGCATGCACTCGTGAGGTTAAAAGACGTTCATGGCTAACATTCTACAGAAATGCCGTCAACTCAACAACTATTCTACTCTTACGTCGATCATATCAGCATTGGGCACAGCACCTATTCATCGTCTGGGTCGCACATGGGCACAGGTCAACCAAAAGACTCAGGCGACTCTAGAGGTCATGAGGAAGCTGATGGGAAGCACCAAGAACTTCTCAGATTACAGAGAGACATTGCACAAGGCCAACNCCCCATGCATCCCCTTCTTTGGTAGGTCAAGTGTTGTCGACTGTGGAATATAGCACTGACGTAACAACANNGGTGTCTACTTGACCGACCTTACCTTCATTGAGGATGGTATTCCCTCAGTGATCAAGAAGACCAATCTCATCAACTTCGCCAAACGTAGCAAAACTGCAGAGGTCATTCGTGATATTCAACAGTATCAGAACGTCCCCTATCCGCTGCAGCCTGTCCCGGAGCTTCAAGAATACATTCTCACGAACATGCAAACAGCGGGCGATGTGCACGAGATGTACGACCGCAGCTTGGCAGTTGAACCCAGGGAGAGGGAAGATGAAAAAATTGCCCGGTAATTCATGCTGACACCTTTCAAGAAGAGCGTTATACTGAGTTGAGACAGATTACTTTCTGAATCGGGATTCCTGTGAGCGGCCCGAGGAGTGGGTCATGCTACGTTCAAGAGGACAACGCATTGGCTCCAGTATCAAAAACCGGGGTCGAGTACCTCACTCATTATTATTACAACCACCAAAGACTGGTGCCGATCATCAGCACATTCTTGTCACACAGAATCACATGGCTTGAGGTGCGATAGGCGTCAAAAGACTGCGTCGAAAGACAAACAAGTATGTGTCAAGTTGATCATAATCGCTGGCGCAAAGCCGTACCCAAAAGCAACAGGGAAGTCGGGAATTTCAGGGTACCGCTCTGGAAGCTGGGTTGGTCATCAAAAGGTGAGAGTGTATTAATCTGGCGTTAGCGCGTTCGCGGGACCCTCAGGGATGGGCCAGGTATGGGAAACGAGTTACGGACGATTGTTGTCTATTGTTTTATTCGTATTCAAATCGCCGCGGAGTTGCATGTGGTGTGTGATGGGTCTCGAAAGACAGCAAGGCAGATCGGAGATGGAGAAAGAAGGAGAATATATGAATGACAGAAGGCTGCAGTAAAGAGGCTCTGCGCTGGTCGATTAGGTCCGTACAAATTTCTCCCTTTGTTCTCGTTCTCCAGACCAATTGTTTTGTAGCAGACGGTTACACAGTAACAGGCTGAGACATGCATGCTTCCAAGCTCTAGCCCTGCATGCCGGATCGGCAGTACAACACAAGACCCTTTCTCCCAGCTACCCTTTCAACAGCAAACAGCTACGACAGCTCGACCACCCCCTATGGGCCAAGTGTCGTAAGGCAAGGGCCGCAGTCGTTTGGTTCGGCCACTAGAATGCTAGGAGGTGTTCCTCATAGAGGAGTGACAGGGCCGAACAAGAGTTTGGAGGGCCTTTGTCATGTCTACTTCTGCAGTCGTCCTTGCCTTTGGTGAGGTTGCGCAAGCCCTCGAGAACGATAGAGATGGTAGGCAGGTACGAACGACTGACTCGTCATCAACCACATCAGCACTACAAATCGTCGCTTCCTCCCAAGTATGAGAATTGTAATCGGGCTTTCTCTCACTCATACACATCCTACGCCTTATCTTCTTTCCGCACTTTGATCTCTCGCAAACCCAAACATCATTTCAGCTGTCGTCAGCATGCAGCTATTCTTTCTTTTACCGAGTGTCCTCTTGGGATGGACGATCATGTTTGGCCTTGCCTACGCAGCCCGTAGGTTAACCGAAAAAATATAGGGTACTGCTCGCTCGCACTGTGAACCACATATCAGTGGTCAGGGCCCGCAGCATGCCTTGTGCCCTGAGGCTTGCAACACTTGCTGACCCTTGTGCTTGTGTACCAGAAATCGGACATCCACGCTGCGAGTGTGGCTACACGATTAACGCTACCGATGGATCGAGTCCCTACGCCCTCTTTACCGATTTCCTAGAAACCGATTTCATGCACCTATACAAACTACCTGACAGCATCGATATACCGGCCTCGGAAGCTGTGGGCTGGGCTGTGCAAGCATACAACATCACCCCATCGGCCGCTCGGGGTCCTTACGGCAAAGCTGCCGAGATCGATAATGTTGTCTTGAACCCACTACCTTCACGCAAAGCCTGGGGCGGCGAAGGACAGCTAGGCGGTGCGCCAGGGCTGCAAGTTTGGGTCCGAAGTCAACAAGACCTGCTGGGCCCGGTCGGAGACCAGATGACTCGCTCTGGAGAGATTGACAGTCTGCGTCGCGATATGCGTTATGGCAGCTTCAGAGTTAGCATGAAGATGAGCAATGTCTCTGGCACTTGCGCTGCCTTCTTCTGGGTGAGTGCACATGTTGAACACATGAAGAGATCATTTGACTAACACAAACCACAGTATCGCAACGACTCGCAGGAGATTGATATGGAATACCTGAGCCGTCAGAACATCTATGAGAATAGCAACGGCTCTTCACCCATCAATCTCGTCGTCCAATCGCCAGCCTCTGCAGATGCAAACTACAATGCGATCAACACAAGCACCTTCCGCGTCGAAAACTTGCCCTTCAAGCCTAGTGCTGGTTACCACGAATATCGTTTCGACTGGACACCAGAGCGGATTGTCTTCTTCGCCGACGGCCAGCGTCTCCAAGAGTTCGAAAACACCTTTGATGGCGATGCACCTGACGCGCCTGGAACCTTGATGCTCAATCATTGGTCTACAGGCAATGAGGGTTGGAGTGGGGGACCGCCAGCTCAAGATGCTGTTCTCACGCTCAGCTATGTCAAAGCCTACTTCAACTCGAGCAACGCGACACGAGAGAACGAGTGGCGCAATGCCTGCGCCAGAGACCGTAATTGGACTGGCCGAACGTGTCCGATCCCTGACTTTCCTGCTCAAGGTATCGACCCTCAACGTACTGGGTTGGAAGACCCGGGCAAGAGCTACTTTTTCATGTATGACGACTACTGCAATGTCAATCAGACCATGTATCCAGCCGCTACAGGAGGAGAACCAAGTTCGGGTGGTCCGTCTTTGACATCACATTCACCTACGACATGGTCATTACTAGGTTGGACGGCGATGTTCAGTCTGTTCCTACTTGGTGGTTGAAGAAGAAAACTTCAAACTGTTGGTCTTGCTGTTCTCTTAGCATCAGGGCGTCTTTCATAGCCTTAGGGTGGTCGTATCGAGCTTCGTTATCACAGTGATCTAAAACAAAACGATGTCTCTTATGCTTTTCACGCGAACCTCAACGTTTCAAGCGCCGACGGAAAAGTGACATTGATCTGTGGTTGTCTTTGTCATTTCTCGTCAGCGAGAATTCTGTATGTTCGTAAAGGAGAATCGAACGCAAAGATGTCACACACATGACAGGAGAAGAAACGTGTATATGGTGTAACAATAGACTTGAATTGATCATAGATTTGAACGTGTTTTGGTATATTGGCAAGAAAGGCAAACATAAAAAAAAGAGGGACATGTCTATATGCGTTTATGTGGTTGGATCCTATCAACAAACAGCAGAAACCAGCGGCGGGTTGGGCAAGAGGGTATTAACGGAGAAGTGTACAGAGGTGTTTGTAGGATGATTTGAAGGGTTGTCGCGTGAATCCAGACGAAAGAAAATGAAATGAAACTCCATGTATGCTATGCAAAGGACCAAAGACAGTGATGGATGTAGTCGACGGAGAGAGGCGCGTGTAGGTGATGAGGTACTCGTGAGAGTGGACGTAGGGTGTTTAGATTGGAGCTGCGACGAGTCGGAGAAAGCCTAACGAGCAGGAGGCCTGATGACACATGGCATGAGTCGAGTCGAGGGTATCCGGTACGACAGGTGTCGAGACTTGGATCGAGTGAGAGGGCGCGCGTCATGATCAACACCACGCGAGCGGAAGATCCAAGGCAAGCAGCCAAGAAAGACATGCGCCGATTACAGCAGCACAACGCCCATACCAGCAGCAACACCAGCCAGACCCAGGACGGCGGTCAACAGCGAGCCCTGAGGCATGACCGATGCACCAGCACCGGTTGCTGCCTTTGCGACACCAATCTCGCCTGTGTGTGTGCCCAAGCCGATCTCACCAGCGCCAGCGGTGGTCAATTGTCCAGGAGCGGATACAAAGGTCTGAGAGTAGAAGATCTGGGACCAGATTTCGGTACTCTGGACAGAGTCCCAATGGTCGGCGATCCAGTAGTTTTGGGTAGCGGGGACTTGTCCTGTTGCTTTTGTGGCTAAGAGGTTGGCCTCTTGACGGAGNCCTGGTCTTTGGTCAGTGTTGTGTTCGAAGGTGTAGAGGGAATGGAGTTCTTACTCTAGTACTACACCTGAGGCTTCTGCGTTCCAGGCATCGCCGGGAGCTACTGTTTGTGTGGGCAGAGACGCGGTGCTATGGCTTTCGGGCGAGGCGGTGATGAGTGGTGCGTCCTGGTTTTGTTGTTGTTGTTGAGGTGCGGCGAGTGCCAACAGGGGAGCTGCGGCCAGTGTGAGGAATGTTGAGAAGCGCATCTTGTCGTCCTGGGAGTAGCTTAGGATGTGAAAGAGAGTGTGTGTCCGAAGAACGACAGCAAACGAGACAATATCCAGTAAGGCCGGAAGACGGTGCCAAGGGGAACTCAAAGGTGGCTTAGAAGCGTTGTGATATTTCTATATCGATCCCGGGTGTAAAACGGCGTTGCTGCAACCAATGCTTCGTTATTCAGGACCTTGTGTGTGGAGTATTTGTGTATAAGAGGGAGAGAGGGAGAGGAAAGAGAAACAGACAGGGCAGATTCGCAAAAGGCCGAGCGAGGCGCAGAAATCCAGGATAGCGCCATGTCTGGGACCGGGGGTGGTGGGCTGGATGGGGTTGGGATACGGACTGCAATCACAATCTGATTTGCGTCTCCATTCACCGTCTACACCAGCCTGCCCGCACGCACATACTGCCGTCATGCAATCGTCCTGCTTACTCTGCAGCTCCCCTCTGCATCTCGCCCTCTCCGTACCCTTCAGCACTGCGCGACCTCTCCTCGTCGTCGCTCGTTCCTGTATCAAAGGCTGTCAAGCATGTTTCAGAAACTGTCTCTGTATTGCCTGACTCGGCTTCGATCTGCACGAATCCTAGCAAACTTCGTCGAAAGCTTGGTTAAGCTTCCTTGGCTCTCGCTAGTTGTTGTGGTCCGACTGCTACCGGCCTTTGTTGAAACACTTCTGCTCTTTGTTTATCTCTCATACACCTCCCATGACCACCTATTTACAGAGCTGCTGCCCCTATAAGAGTTGTGATTGATCCATGTACGGTCAGAATAAAGGTCATCAATGCACAAGGAATCATTCTTGTTCTCCATCGCCATCTACTCATCCGGTGGCTGGCTTGGCCAAATCGAAGCCGCATGAGTCTCCGGGCCAATCTGTGCCGGGCTTTGGCCCAACATGTGCCGACTTGTGCTGCTGCTCGTATACGATCTGCGGTTCATCTCCGTAGCAGCGAAAATGGGAACCAGGTTTGCATAAAGCCGGACCCTTTGACATTCCGTCTTTGACCCCTCAAAAGAGATCACTATCAACAAACAATTCACCAACTCCTTTGCCCCTGTATAACGACTGTCAATGCTCATACCAAAACTTCCTCCAAACTTCTATCGCGTACCGTTATCGACGTTGGAGTGCCATTCGTCATGCTCGTAACGTCGTCGCACTAGACTTTCATGCATAATCTGCCGTGCTTTGTACCTGTGTACTTTCTGGCCGACGTGTGTGGAGCCGCTTCCGTAGTTAGATTTCTCTCTCAAGCGCTGGTCTCTGTCTTCTGACCACTTGCAAAACACAACACTTCGATCCTTTCCACGTCTCACAACGTAGGTAGTAGCCAAAGACATTGAATTGTGAGTGTACGTAAAAGGAGTAGGTCGTGTTTCTTTCCAGATTCATTGTCTCAATCACTCTGCGTTCCCATCAAATTCAACATGAAGAGAAAGATACGATGTTATGTTCACGTCAATCTCCTCATACTCGACCCAGCCAGATATCACAATCAGCTCAATCACTGACTTCGATATGCCAATACGATTGCAAGTGTGGCATGAAAGTACAGAGGCCTTGGTTCTGGTCAGGGTTGCCAACTCACCCGACCTTGGTATGAACCAAGGTAGTTTCGTGGAACAGCAGCTTAACTTCTTAAGTTCCCTAACCTTTCTCGTGGTAAAAAATGCTGTACAAACGAAACTTGGATCATATACCATCTCCTATGCGTCATGGACTACAGTTTCCAGACATAATATTTGACCATGTCGGACTCTACCACGAGACAATCAAAAACATGATTTAGAGCCACCTCAATCACGAAAAACGCGTTATTATGTCTTGGACGGATCGGTTTCTCATACCAAGGGTTAAAGAGTGACAGGTGTCTCGAGCTTTGGAACAGCGCATTGTGTTGTTTATCAACACCAAACTCGAAAATCTTCTATCGACGCAACAACAAACATATCAACACGACAGTCACAATAACAGCTAACCCACCTACCCAGACATGTACAAGCTGGTAAGCCGAGGTTGTTGACCTCATAGTAGAATTGACTGACCTTCAAGATGCAGCTCATATTCATCGCTCTGGTCGCTGGCCTGAGCAAAGCTATGCCTTACTCCATCGACTTCCCGAGTATCACCATTGACATCCGACCCACGTTTTCGCCCAACACTGTCAACAACACAATCTTACCCTTTGCCTCCTTTCCAAACACGACCACAAGCATGACTCTCGCCATTCACCCGACTCCCTCTCCATCAGCCACCTCGATCAACAGCAGCCTCGGTGCCTGTGGTCCTGGCATTGGCTCTTGTCCCTCTGGGCTCTGCTGCAGGTAAGAAACGATCCCCTCTTNNTCAATGCTCACATCCCCGACTAACAGTAGACATAGTGAATATGGCTATTGTGGTTCAAACTCCAGTTATTGCGGCACAAACTGCATGCACAACTTTGGTATCTGCGGTCTCAATGCTTCTCAGCCATTGTACAGTTTCTCCTACGCTCCTCTCAGCACCTTTGCTCCCCTGAGTGATGGCGCCGGTGCTGCTGGTATCGTCACTGATGATCTCGATCAAGCTGCTTCTTCGACTTCCATGTTCAGCTATACTCCTGAGAGCAATGGAAGTGCGATAAGCTCTACTTTGGCAACTGAGACTAAAATCTCGTTCCAGCCGACGAGCACTACTCATACAGCTGTCGAGTCTACTTGGGCTGCTGGGAGCTACGCAGATGCTTTGACGACCACAATCACTGTGTTGAAGAGAGTCAGCTGTTGAATACAAGATTGGTTCCTTTCAAGATCAAGAAACAAGCATGAAGGAGGAACGAGGATGACAGTAGGTTTGCGTAATTGGACGCATTGGCGGTAGGGTAATAGTGAGTCGTTCACACAATCGGCCAGATCAATATCATGTTGCCCATGATCCAAGAACGACTCGAACATGTGATCAAGCGTATGAGCAAAGACAAAGCGAAGATACTGATGACCAACTGAGGCACTTTTATGATGCAGTATATCAGCACATGGTCTCTCAAGGAAGCGATCGTCTATATCGCTGAGGATACTGTCCTCCCTTGCCGGATCCATGTCGACGTCTATAAACGGGTTCCAAATAGCGTACATCATATTGGCATGTGTCCCGGGCATTGAAGATCGAAGTTGTCTTCGGAGAAATTTAGATGGGGACCGCAAGTCTGGGAAAGGGTCAATACGCAAATGCGTAATTTGAGAAATGACAAAGAGCGAATTCATGACCTCCAAGGATCGCTCCCTCTTTTCACACGCATTTGCTCTGATTTTCTCAACGTCCATTCTCAAAGGCTGCAACATAATGATCTTTAGCACAGACTGCAGCAGTCTATCTCGTTGGTCATGTTCGATGCTGGTATACCTCGTGATCGCGACTCTTGGTATAGAGTTTGAGCTGCGTGCTTTACTTGCTCAATATCACACGAGCTTGCCTATCATTGGAAAGATCTATGGCTCACACGACGTGCCGTGGTTCGTGACTTTCTCTGACTGTCGCTTCCTCTGACTACAAAGAATGCGCCTTCCAAATTACTTCAGTCGACACTTTGATTTCATCCCAACAACATCGACATGTAAACCATCAATAATTAATCAGATGCACATCAATCGAACAAGATCCTACTCGACCATCATGGATTCTAGTTCCAATTCGCAGAGTCCGAAGCCCGAAAGCTCCGTACAAATGAATACCGAAGACAAAGATCACATCGCCATGTATGTGGCAGGCTACGCTTGGAGGACAACACTCCTGATATGGCTCGACTTGAGTGGCCTGTCCACAGATTCCACCTTCGATTTCGCAGCCCGTTGGATCGGCAGTTTCGGCCTTCTCATCGCATGTCTAACTCTGCTTTCAACCAGCCTCGACGCCCTTGGTAAGGCTANNTGTATGGTACCTGATGACCATACCAAGGGAGCATCCCGGACTTNNTTTATCGGTGCCCTGACAGGCGTGTTTGTGGCAGTCATCATTGCTGTGTTTTCGCACTGGCTGGACGAAAAGCTGTTCCTCTATCAGGTCTTCTGGGCGCAAGTACTGGCGCTACCTGGAGGCTTCATTGTAGCCAAGTATCTGGGAGACAGAATGGATGGCAACGAGGACTGGCTCGCGAGCCTCGGTGCATATGGCCTGGTCAACATGTTCCTGTGGCTGGACCTCCTGAACATCCCCGGTCCCAAAAGTGAAGAAATGCGCCAAGCGACTGATTGGGAGGCTTTCGGGATGATAGCATGGACCATTGGTTATTTCGTGCTTCTTGTTACCAACNTCGCGTTGCGTTAAAAATTGTGTTATTACTTCATCCTTCTCATCGGCACCATCGACTACATCATCAAGACTCGCGACGCAAAAGATCCTGGTGGCAATGGCAGAGTCTTGACGACTCTTGGTGCTTTCATCGGCGTTGGTGTCATGACAACCGGCATCATGCTACCCCTCGAATTGGTGTTCTATGTTCTGGAAGGCAGATACTGGATCTATCAAATTCTTCTCGCGGAATCCGGTGCACTGCCCGGTGCATATCTCATCGGCGGCTGGGCGTGGTTCGCTAAAGTCTATGCTGGTCAGCAGCCTATCTTGCCTCGGCACTCGACAGTCAGTACGGGAGAAGCACAAGTCTCAAGTACATAAGGCAGCAATGTCTCCTACGAAAGCACTTGCATGACGATGAGAATATATTCAGAATCTGGTATACGATAATTCACGCACACGAGCAGGCAGAGCCTGGAACGAAGAGAGAATGTGAGAAAGAGCTGTACTTGCAGCTAGTAATATTGATAGTTGTTTAGCAGATATTACCAGAAGCTACATGTTCGCTCCCAGCCAGTCAAGTATAGATATCAACAAGCAAGTGTCTGTCCGATTTCCGTAGAGCCAAACCAGTTGAATCAGAGAGCAAGATGTGTTGTCAACTGTAGCCAGTATCAAGCATCGTCATCACTCCATCTGCATTGACATATCAAGACCAGGGCTGTGCAGTCGAGTCTCCGCAATATCGCCTTCCACTCGAGGCCAGTCGCCGGCAGTCCGCAAAGCAAGTTCAAGGTCGAAGCTCGGGTCGAACCAGCGTTCTCGTCGAGTAAGCTGACGTTGCCCTCCTTCGAGTGCACTGCGAGCAGCTCTTGTTGTTCGAGCTCGTTTGCTTCCAGCACCGCCACCACTTATCGATCCTTGACTGCTACCTTGCAACCTTCCTCGATGTGTTTCCAGAGCGAGATCATAGGCAGCAATGCTGCGGACATATGGCGCGACATCGGTGACCACAGTCTTGAGAGGGCCATCGAAAACCGAGTAAGCCAGACTGGGAGGGCCGGCTGTGGGGGTGGTCATCATAGTGGCTATTGTATCGAAGGCTGTCGAGACATCTCCGCGAGTAAGTTGAGGTGCTCTGCTGGCTGTAGAGTCAATCTCCACCACACGCCTCACGAGACTTGATGGAATGGGTTTCAAGAGGTCGGAGAAGACACTGCGTGCGAGACGCGAACCAGAAACCGCAAGTTGGGTGTCAATAGTACTGTAGTCAACAACCTCTGGAGTCTGGAGCAGCGCCATACCATTAATATAACTTGCGCGGATCTTGGGAGGTAGCTCGGGCTGGGTCGCATCGGTCTTGTGATTCTCTCTGCCGGGCAGACCGGTTTGACAGAATACGTCCATGTCGCTAAGGCTGTCAGATAAGCTCGAGTACTGCTTTAGTGCAGCTATACGTGATTGGGCATCCAATCCTTCCATGACTGGAGATGTGCTTGTAAAACCAGCAAACAACTCTTCACGTGGATCGACATTCCAGCCCTCCCAAATCTCCTTGAGCAATTCGTCATCCTGTGTACCTTCCAAGGAGAAGTCTGTCTCATGTGCAATAAACCCCATACCCGCTTGGTAGGTGTTCTCACTGAAGACTCGGATAGGTCGACCATGTTCATCAAGCCCACTGCCAGGTGGCCATCTGGGATAGATCCAGCTTAATCCGCCTCGAGGGTCGCCAACGCCCATTTGACACCATAATTGCAACTCGGCGATACTTGCACGCAAATCATGATGCTTTGCTTCGTATAACGTTGATACTGTGTCTCGGTATAGCAAATGACCCTCTTGAGCTGCCATCAATAACATGTAGTCTGTGGCGATGTCTGCAGGTGGAGCAGATAGACGAAGAAGTGCTTGACATGTGATGGCCTGAAGAGGTACAAGATCTTCATCGTTACAGGTCATGATGATGGGACGCTTCGAACTCTCGAGTAGAGTAAAGATTGTGGTCCAGAAGTTTTTGTCTTCCTCGAACATGATATCAACTTCTTCTAGCAATATCAATGATTGCTTTTGTCCTCGTGACGGCTTCGAAGATGACAAGACCTTTTGTACTTGGTCGACGCTGAGTCTTGGTTTCTTTTCCTTCTTTGGTTGTGGTGCTGACTTCGGTTTGGATGTGAAGAAAGATTTCATGGTGCCTTGCCTACCAGATTCGAGGTCTTTGTTAAAAGCGTCAGACAGTCGGCCAGCGTCTTCATCGGTAGATGTGTTGCCGGTATCAAGTGAGCGATTCTGCACCAAGTGGTTCTCTACCATGTCTCCAATCCTGTCGAGCACATCTTTACCACTTCGACGCGAACCAGGGTTGATCTCAAATATCTCGAAGCCTAACTCCTTCGCCGCGGCGTGGATCATGGCAGTCTTTCCACAGCCAGGAGGTCCACTCACAATGACTGAGTTGGCAATCTTTGAGCGGTTTGACTGGTCCGTGAAATCGGTGTGACGCACGAGAGACGGTTTTTCTCGTCGACATGACAGCGATGGAGGATCCAGTCCAACAAGCTCATCTGGATCATTGTAAATATCATCGTCGTTAACGATGAAGTCGTCTAGTCCGGCAGCCTTCTTGCGGCGCTTCTTCTTGTGACCTCGTTCGCGGTCTGCCCTATCGCGCTTGGGCACATGCGACCCAGTCGTCTCGACGGCACTGATAGTGAGGGCCTTCATCCACTCTCTCAGATATGCTGCCTCTCTTCCCAGTTGCAAGACTTGACTTGCGCATTGGGGTGAGTACTTCTGAGCCCAGGCTTGTATTTCCGACCGCCCATGATCATATGGTGTAAGTATACTTGATATGCCAAGATAGAGGCTTTCGCATGCTGGGTGGACAAAATTGCGATGATTTCCAGGTGCAAACTGAAGTTCATCTGCTAACGGTTGCGCGCGAAGCTCGTTGCTGATCCATTTCTGAGCACGCAAACCAGGAACAAGATGGCGAGACGGAATTCGTAGCGAAGATGGAGGGTCGTAAAACCCATCAGGTCTCAGCGTATCTTTATGACGGAAGTCAAGGTCACTCTCGATACGGGTCAGCGTACTCTCGGATGGGTCCAGAAGTGGTATCTTGTATTTCATTTTGCGCGTCGAGTGAGGTACGACAGTGGATGCATCTCTCTGCGGTCGGCTTGCGTGGTAGCAGAAATCTCCACGAACGTGAGCATGACCTTTTGGTGGAAATGGAGCTTCAACCATGCCGGGCTGTTTAATGATATTTCTGTCTTTGTTCGCACCAAACTGCGGGAAGCCAGAAGAGTTGTCCATACTCTTCGAACCGTTCTCTCGTGCTTGTGCTCGTAACTTGCCAGGGGTTACAGCTGAAGGCCTTCGTGGGCTAAGCACATGGCTGATCTTGGGATCTATTGGGCCCTTTGCAGATGTGGCAGGGGTTGAGATGGCGTCTTTCGGTTTTCCGGAGAAGAAAGGATGCGTCGGTTTGGAAGGATCAAACTTAACGACCTTCGGCTTGGGTGGAGGAGCCATTGGGGTAGGTTTCAAGATTTTGAAAGTTTCGGAACCCTCCATTATACGTGCTATTCGATGCCCCAAAGCGTGATCGGGAGGGTAGTGTAGGGTGACAAGCAGCTTTGATTTCTCTTTCTTGGGTCTTCCTCGTTTCGCAGGCTTCTTGGTTTGTGCATCTTCCTTGGCTGGCAGTGGCTTGGACGAAGGAGAGACGAGAGTACCGCCAGTGCTCAGCTTCAACATCTTCTTGGGTGGTGTACTTGCCGGTATGCTCGGAAGAACAGGCGAAGTCTTAGATTGTTGTTCTGAGTCTTGGTGTGGATCAACGGGCTGACTGTTCCCAGGGTGCGACGAAGGCACAGAGGTTGGACTAGAAGGTTGAGGCAGCATATCTTCGGAGACTCTATCAGCAACGACGACATGATCGGTAAGGCTCAGCTTGCGTCGCTTGCGGCCTGTTGAGGCGGTGGACTCGATGGACTCGAAAGTTGAAGTAGCATCTGGCTTCTGCTTGGCCTTTCTGGGACGAGTCTTTCTACCAATGGTTGAGTCGGGTGCTGTTGGGAGTTCAGGCTGCGAACAATTGGGCTCTGCGCCAGGCGAGGCATCGTCGTTCACTGCAGGAGTTTCGGCATTGGGTGTTGGCTTTGAAGCAGGCACTAGATGGGTAAGTGGGTGCAGTAAAGACGGAAAACAGTGCATGTTTACCTTGAGGCTTCACAAAGAACGGGTGAAGACTTTTGTTCTGATCATCGCTCATGGCGCCGATAGCCGTGGAAGGGTTGTGTGTTGTGCAACTTTGTGGTCTGCAACTCTCGCTCCATCGACGCGTAGCTTCCCATTTCGGATGGAAGACGCGCTCTTTCCCATTTCGGAGTTAGAACGTCATTCGAAGCTGTTATGTCCGAGAGCGGTCGCGCCTGCCCGTCGGACTGCCAAGGACCTCGATTTTTTTGAAGCAGCAAGAGAAGAAACACCATACGAGCATTGTCCACGCCCCATACCGTACAAATGGCCGACAGAGCTGCCATCGAGGCTCCCTTTACTCTGGCCTCTCTGCCCAAGCCCTTTGATCCCACTGTTGGCACCACCTACGCCGCTCCTGTCTTTGGACTCCGCGGCCAAAAATGGAGAAAGCGTCCTGAAATTGTCGCAAGTGTCGACGGAGACAGCATCACCATCTACAATGTATTTGTTCACTCTAGCCGCCTTTTAAGCCTTGGGGCACTACTGACTCGCATGTCTAGGNTGCGTAATCCGCGCTTGGTAACATCGTATGCTCTTCCTCCTCAGACCCGTCTGCTATGCGCCCCATGCTCCATCTACCGCAAGATCACTGGTCGCAAAGCTGCTCAGAGAGTCACCTATGCCGTGCTTGGTCACACCACTGGTAAGAAGACAGAGGTCATCTGCTTCACCGAGGACACCATCGCCGACTCGACCGACCTTTCTGCCGATCAGCAAGTCAAGACAAGCTACCAGCTGCCCACTTCCACAAGCACTGTCTTCGCCATCAACGCTCTTGCCTCGCACTCGGACAACGAAACTCTCGGTCTTGCCCTGGATATCGCTGTCACATACTCGGACGGAAGTGTCGAGTGCATTGCTGGCGACCTCCAGCAGAAGAGATGGGATGCAGATGCCGCTCGCGCTATCGTTATGGCCGAGTCCGATACCGTACCCTCATCTGTCAAGGTTGAGTATGCTAATATCACCGATGTGCCTTCGGCAAGAAAAGGCCTGCTCAAGAGCAGAGAAGACGCTCTGGCTTTGATTGGAGGCACCGTCAGCCTCGACAGTTCGGCCGATCTAAACACGCCCCTCCTCGCCATGGTCACAGTCGACGACCAAAACACTCGTCGCTTCAACCTGTTTTCCCTGCCGTCAAGATCCAAGGATATGATTACTAGCGCCCACCAAGGTCTCCGCTACCTTTTCAGCTACGAGCTGCCTGCCACTCCTTCTTCCGACAAGGCCACCTTCTCTCTGCAGTCGTCGGCTGGCAAGTTGCATCAACTGCTTTCCGGCATCATCACCACATATGATCTCTCAGGAACTGTTCCTCGCGTTCTTTCTGTTCTTACTCCTCATACCCAGTCGCATCAATCTTTTGTTCGCATCTCGGCTGCACTGGTCCTTGCTGCTGAATCCACCTCGTGCGCCATCTATGATACCAAGTACAACTCTTTGCAGGCTGCTTTGTCCCTCGAGTCTGACCCTCTTGAAAAGGCTGGTGACAAGAGAAAGAGAACCGATGGCGCCACAGAAGGCTCTCTTAACTTTGTCACTTTCTTCTCAGACCTTGGTATGGCTGTTGCAATCTCTGGAAACGCGCTCGTCGGCCTGCAGATCAACTTGTCCGCAACCGCGTACAAGAAGTCCAAAGCTAACACCAGTCTTCTGATCAACTCTCTTGGTAAAGGATTCAAGAAGGCTCTCGTTGCTGCCTCGGACTCCGAGGCGTCCTCTCAAGAGTGGGAAAGCTGGAAAGAGACAGTTGACTCACTCGTCGACTCTGATGTAGCTGCCCTCGAACGTTTCCTTGCAGCCGAACTTGAGCTGTCCTCTACCCCCAAGCAGCAGAAGTCGACTGCCCAAGACTCTGAGGCCCAGGATAGTGAAGACAACAGGATGTGGCCTGTGAGAGATTCTAGATTCCTTGTCCAGAAGACCGAGAGGCGCAAAGCAGTCTATCTTCTCAGCAAAATGTTTGCTTGGAACGACGCCACAAACGAGGACCAGAGCTCGATTTCTATGAACTTTTTCGCAGCAAACATCTTCAGGTGGCTTTCTGTTACTGGCTACATGTCTGCTATGGCGGTCGAGAGAGCCTTGCGTGAAACTGGCGCTATTCAATCCACTGCCCAGAGGGTCCATCCTGGTGACATTATGAAGGCAGTCAATGAGCTTGACCCAGAGATGCATGTCATGCACGAGTGGCTGAGCTGGCCTGTATACCTGGAGATTGAAGAGGTCATCGTGGCTCTCGCTTCCCTCGTGAAGTCTCTACAAGGGCCAAGCCCCGCCGCAGTGGCTAAGCTTATCACTAGCAAGAGCGAAGAGTCTGGCAGCGAGCTTGAAACCACAATTCAGGCTGAGACTGATGCCGCCGAAGCCGACCTTGAGTTTGCTCTGTCAGCCCTGGACACTGGTCTCAGTGTTCGCAGTGCTTCGTTCCGCACCGTTTTTACTCGCCTCCATTCATTCCCTTCGCGCAGTATCGTCGAAAGGCTGCGCACTCACCTTGCGCCTCGCGAGGTCGTTTTCTTCATTCAAATTCTCCGTATTGAGCTTGCAGACGGTGGCTGGACGTCTAAGTACACCGAAGACGAGATTGCCCCCAGGCCCGAAGATGCAGGATCACCCAGTGATCACTCGATCGCTATCATCAGCAACCTTCTTAACTGTGCTATCGACGCTATTGGCACGTCTGGGTGGCTCGTAGGACTTAGCGGAGATCCAGACCTTCAGACAGATAACATGCTGGAAACTCTTGTCGCCGAGACCAGTGCTGCCCTTGAGACTTGTATCGAGGCATGCAGCTTCGGAGTCTTCTTGAATGACTTTGAACGCTTCAGCAACACCATTCACGCTTCGCAGAAACAGACGACGATCAAGAAGGTTGATCCCATCAAGACGCCCGGTTTCGAGGAGACTCCCCTCGCCGTTGATCCTATCCTTCCTCTTGGTTACAAGGCTCAAGGACCCGCCAACAAGATGCGTATGACAAGCACTGGCCAGGTTGAGAAGAGCAGGGGTCTGCGTGGTAAGGAGCTGTCGATGCGTGTCGGCAAGTACTCCTTGGACAGAATTGTTGTCTAGACGTTGTACAGAGGGAATTATGTACATGGAAGAGATTTGAATGTATTTACTTAGCGAGGAGTCACAGGGCAGGAAAAATCATTGTTTTCGTATGCATCCATTCATCCACTGACTCGTAACTTTCTATATCGCTATCCACAAGATTCTATGATGTCATTGCTTACCACTCGAGTTTGGCAAGCACGGTCATAAAACTGAACGACAACTCTATACTTTTTCTCAAACATTCTTCCAGACACGTGAATTCACACTCAACAAGAAGAAGAATAATAATCACGCAATCACCATGGGTCTCCCACAGCAACCAGTACAACCAGCAAATGACGCGCCATCGAGCAGCAGCGTTCCGACACAGGCGGGCGACCTGCCACCTGCAGCGCTTGAACTAGCAGGCAAACTATTCGATTTCGCACGACAAGGCAAGACGGAGGAATTGGCACAATACATCAGCGCGTAAGTTGACCGAGATATTCATGTTTCGTGGATTGTGTCTGCTTCTCGTCAATTGTGACATGGCCAACGTCATATGATGGATCATACACAACCGAACCAGAAAGCATCGATCTATATTGTTATCAAGACAAGCTAACTTTGATCCATCTATAGTGGCATTCCACCCAATCTCACAAACCACAAGGGCGACACACTGCTCATGCTAGCAGCCTACCATGGCCATGCAGAAACAACAAGGATGCTGCTGGACAAGGGTGCAGATCCGAATGTGTTGAACGACAGAGGTCAGAGTCCCATTGCCGGCGCAGTATTCAAGGGCTCGGACGACGTGGTCAGACTATTGTTCGAGAGAAAGGCAGATGTGTATGCAGGACAGCCCAATGCTGTGGACAGTGCACACATGTTTAGGAAGGAGGACTATCTCACACTATTCGGTGTGGAACAGCAATGAATGATGAACAGGTTCCTGGCTCGGACTGTGATTGCAGCAGCCAAATGTTGAAGATCGAGGAATGGTCGAGCTGCTATCAGGTGTCAATCAAGCAAACACTTGGGAAGATGCAAAAATCCTTCTGACAAGATGTGGAACCGATAAGCAATGTTATTACGGCACTTGAGTTTGGACGAACCACAGGCCAGCAATCATGTGAATGGGAGACGTGAAGGGTTCTCGAGGCTACCAGCCTGCCAACGCCCGCATCGATAGCGGCATCTCGCAGCACCAATACTCAGCAGTACCACATCGGTTGCCTGGTTTTCTACGAGGAAGTCTAGCTAACACGAGATGTGTCGCTTCAGCCAGATTCAAGATAGTCTTCACTTTGATAGTCGACAAAGAGCAATGAAGCAGAGTTCCAAGACGACCTCATGGTCGAGAGCATTTCCGAAGTGATCGAGTTGTCACCGAGAAAAATGACATGTGAAAGACGCGGGTCATGCCAAGGCCACGGGAAGAGCATGTGATATTTGTTGCCCGTTGTGCAGAGATGGGTTTCATCGACGTCCTTCCCTACACGACCAATGCCAATGTACCGTCGCGACCTGCTTCCATCACTTGTCAATCGCCGTCGAATCCGCCCAGTCCTGTTTTGCTAGCTGCTGCTGCCAGAGTCGTCGCCGACTTGCGCAGGTGTCGACGTCAGTGCAACAATGGAATCGCAACGCCAAGCGCCGCCCGGATACGCCTACGAGCACCATCCCGATAATCTCAGATTGCCTTCTGTTCCGACCCAAGACATTCACATAAACCACGCCCCCACCGACATTACCCTTCCCGACCTGAAGTCTGTCCTTGCCGACCTTCCCTCCAAGACGGTCCACCCCAATGTCTTGCTCAATGCTGCCGCCGCAAGAGACGTGGACCCGCAACCGAGCATGCCTCGAACCAGCATCGAGTCCGACGCAGCTAGCAACATGAGCATCGAAGAGGGGACCCAACGCTCAACAAGCGTGTCAATGGACGACCCAGACGTCCGCCTGGCCGCCGAAGCTCTATCTGGTCTCGGAAACCCTGGTGTGTATGCGCCATCTCAGCTTGCCCGTTCCGTCGACTGACATCCTANNGACTTCGCGCCCTCCCCAAAAGCCAGAACATCAGCATCCAAGCCTAGCCCTGCGAACGCTTCAGCTTCTTCGAACAAGGACCTCGAACCGCTATTGGATCTTCTCGTTGACGCCCACCCATGGGTCGGAAATACTGTAAATGGTAGTTTGTCCGCTTACAACGCGACAAAGAATTTCTCACCTCGTATCGTCCGATACGGTGTCCATCTCGTAGAGCGTAACGTTGGCTCTCCTGTCGCTAGTACCGTCAGCAACCTCGGTAGACGTACTGGTGTCGAAGGAGGTATCAGACGGTACCTTGATAGCCGAAGACCCAGCTCGCCAGCCATGGATCCATCCCATGGAAGTAAACGTCGACGAGTAGCATCCGACGACATGGACGTTGACCGCGTAGACCCGAGCCTGCAAGACTCACAGGAGTTTCTACCAGCGTACCAAGCCAATAAACCACCTTCGTACAGAGAGGAGGTCAGCCCTCATGGATCGGAGAGAAGCCGTGGTGTCGACAGACCACCTATCAATCGGAGCTGGTCGACCAAAATCTTCATCTCGACCTCTGCACTTGGTGTCGCACTTAGTGATTCTTCCTTGCGAAGCCTTCAGTACTGCGTCAAGCTTCTCTCTTCAGCTACTGAACATGTTGAGAGTGTGATGAATGCGCTCAAGATGGTTCTACACGAGTACGACCAATCACAAGAGACGTCACAACAAGACCGAGCCAGGCAAGAGAAGGAAAGAGAAGTTGGTATCGTGGTTGAGATTCAGAGCGTAAATGAGCGCGACCAATCAACAGAGATGCTTGCGAGACGTATCAAGCAGCTCTGCGACGACATCTGGCACACTATTCAGACTGTGGTCAATTCCGTGTCGACTTACGCTGGCGGTGCTCTTCCTGAGAATGCCCGCAACATTGTCAAGGGCCAGTTGATGTCCATTCCTCAAAGATGGCGTTGCGCCACACAGTCGGCAGAGGCAGCCTCTCCCTCTCAGTCGGCTACCAAGGCCGATGGAGGCGAAGACGGCACAGCAATTGCAGGTCAAAGCGCAGACGAAAACACCCGCAAAGCAGCCCACCGCATGATCGCATTTGCAACCGAAGGTCTCGATATGATGGCTCAAGTCAACAATGTCGTTGGCATCACGCTACAAAGTGCCGAGAACTGGCTGCAGAGCCTTGGTAGAAACAATCGCGAGGAGGAAATGATGGATGCTGATGACCCGAAAGAGTCGACGGCTGAGTAGAGAGCAGCGTAAAAAAAGCCACGAGCCTACGAAAACACAAATTTCAAATCCGATTCTTGAGCAACAAAATCAACAAAACACGAACATCCCACTGGCTATGAGGCGTTCGATTGAGCTCCCTCCGCTCGAGCTTTCTGCTGAAAATGCCAATGGGATGAATGTTCGAGTCTACATCTGGTGTATGATGTCTCTTTCAAATTATCGATATGCGAGCGGCGGGCGTTATGATGGCTAGGGATTCACAGAACAATTCTTTTCTTTCTTCTCTTCCATTTCTATCACTCTCGTTTGAAACGGAAAAAGCGTAGTGTCTTTGTCTTTCTGCAGACATGTTGCTTGTCGCCTTTGAATCTGGGGTTGTATATAGCAGATCTTATGCATGCTTTTGTCTTCCCTCTTGACTCCTTGTTGCGAGCTGGTGGTGGTTGCGACCACTATAGCCGTCCGTCACTATGCTCCATCTTACATGTTATATTGTCACCCCAGCAGAGATGCGTAGGATGGATCAGGTTGTCTGTCATACCTAGTCCATGCTATTTGGAGGTCGAAACCAACAAGGTGAATCCGCATCCCATCTCTGCTCTGATGACCAGAGAATGTTCCTGTCTTTCGATAACACTATTGAATATGAGAAGTGCTGCTGAGAGAATATGTAGTGGCTGTACACTGTTGACGGGCAATGCCAACAAGAAGTTTTTACCACAGGCAGTGGAATCAGCGTAGGTCATGGTTTGTCATTCTATCGTCCAGTGGAACAAGTGGCCGTTCCTGTTGTCTGTATGACACGTAACTTTCTCTCTCTGAATCTCAATCCTTCGTGAAGCGCTCCTTGAAGTACATTTCGAACGTCNNTGTAGAGTGTTCGCAGTCAGCATTTGTAAAAAGAAGACATCTTCTGCATCAACAACATACCGTAGGCTTCACATCCGGGAACAAATGATTATGATTCATCCCCCTCGGCCGCCAAAACCTGCCACTCCCCTGCATACCCTTGACCAAGAACCAAAAGTCCACCGGGAAAGCACTTTGGTTCTGCAATTCCTTGGGTGCAGACTCTGGATCAGCCAAAACCTCGTGCATTTTATCTTCATCCATAATGTCCATTTTGACTTTTTTGCCTGAATGCTTTTCTAGCAGATCCGCAATCTCGCGGTGGGAAATGTGGTCAGAAGGAAAATTTAAATGTACGTTTTCTGACGTTGAGGGGGAGAGTAGGCAGGCGCTTATATAGTGTCCAAAATCGGAGATGTGGGTGTAATCCGCTTTTGCGTCTGGGTCGCCAATGATGTGGAAAGTGTATTCGTCAACATCCTTTTGCGTCCATGGACACCATACATTTTCGCGGTCTTGGTTGTAGAAATCTCCACAGCCAATCATTGTATAAGACATTTTGCCGCTTGCGATGGCTGGATGCTGGATACAGTGTTCATTGAGTCTTGCTTTGGCATCCCAGAGTGGATGTATGTAGCCCTGTGCATCATTGGGTTTGCGGTATATATGGTGCATTCCATATTCTGAGGGAAAGAAGCGTTTGACGTCTGCATCTGCTGCTCCATCTTGAATGTCGATTTGAGCATCTAGAACTGGTCCGTTTAGAGCACTGACCACGGCATCAACGCCTTGGAGTGTTTGAGCCATTTCTTGCCGTGAAGTGTGCAGAAGATCCATTTCTTTGATTGTGACATTGTTGTTGGAGGCTTCCGAGGGTGAGGGTGAGTCTGGAGCTATGATGGCTAGGATGTTGAAGGTTTGGGATTTGCAGTCTACCAGGGATTTGAGGATGGAGTTGCCAATCTGGCCGTTGGCGCCGAAGAGCGCGATGTTCTTGAGTGACATGATTCTTTTTTGTAGTGATAATTTGGAATATGAAAATGTGAGAAGGATGCAAGTCTTACTGTAGTTGGTTGCTTATAGCTCAGTCTACTCGCGAGCACGTAACCATGACATAGGTACTATCGAGAGGCAGTGCGATGACAAGTCCTCATAGTGACACTCACACGACAGATCGAATCAAACTTCTCTGGTCACTTACGGGTCTCCGTGTGGTTTTCCTACTTATGATCAGTGCTATCCTGTTGGATTGGATGTCGCGAGCAACCAAGGTTCGAAAATCAATTGAGGTGGACACCACATGTTTGTGGCCCGTGCATTCCAACGCTGAGGGTGCGACCTTGTCCACCATGGTTATCCACGACAACCACCTTCTTTCTGGTCCAGGGAAGCCAAAAACAATTGGATCATAATTCTTGTGTGGATTCTTGTGGGAGACGATTATGTTGTACCTGTAGCTGTTGTTTTGACCTTTTTAGACGTCAGCGAACGACCACAAGATCTCCAGCGAGTGAAGCCATCAATATTCGTCCATCCTCTTCGTCCCTAACATCGAAAGATCTAGGAGAAGCACATCGTAAGACAACACTGGGGGCCTGCGACGAGCTGTCATTCAATCGCTACACCGGCGTGCGCCGCTCGAGAAGAAATTCTGATTCACTGTCGACAACTCAAAAGGAAGCACAGGAACAGTTTATTACAGCGGAATGGTGGCGTCGAGGCTGGAAGGCAGCCATGCAGAATACGAAACGACAGAGGAAGTCCAAGTCCGACAAGCGAGAGGAGATGATCAAGAAGAAAGTGGTTGAGAAATCGAGATACGCCCCTGCATACCCGTGTACATCTCTCGCGTCTGTCGCGCCCTACCAGAGATGAAGGCGTCTATCATGGACGTACGCACGTACTGACATCGCTGTCGGTAGAGACTGTAGAGGCATACTCGCGTAGATCTGACTGTTGGTTCTTGTCGTTTCGCGAAAGCCAGCTCTGGACCTGTCATTGCTGTCACATGTCGTCCGACCGTTTGGTTGCAGTGCAGATCAAGCGCTCAGGAAATGTCGGGTCATGTTTCAACAACACAATAGGCAGGTGAGTTGAAGCCTCTCCACAATGTGGAAATCTCATTGTCTGAAGAGGAAGGACTGAAGTTGAAGAAAAGGCAAGGGCGTTGTTGAATATGAATCTCGGTGCCTATACCTCCACTAGGAAGGTGGAATGGGTTTGACACGAGCCATGTTTTAGATGTCAGGTGATGTGGTCTTCACCAATTCACCGCCTCAACGCAACCTCATATGGTAGAATTGAGTCCAAGGCCGCCAGCGTTTTGCGTCTCGTCAGTAGGCTAATACCTAGGTCAATCAACAGAGCACTAAAGCGGTCAGCCAGTACACGTGCGTGTACGGTCTGTAAGGAAGACAGACGGTGCTACTGTTATGCTTAGAATGAATCGTTGTCAGAACGTGTTATCCCATGGACGCGGAACTGTGCCGCATACCATGGTAGCAACTTACCACCGTCTAAAGCGGGTATGCCGTGCCTTGATGTCTTGCGACTGGATGTTGCTTGGCATCAAAAAGTGTTATCCTGGCTCACGTTGATCCGACAAACAACGATCGGTCTTTTGATGCAATCTCGAAGGCGGCCCAGATGACGGACCACTTGTGACAAACACTTGGCATACTCGAATGGTATTAGGATACCGGCGTTGGATTTATCCGATCAACAATAACGCATCGGCCTGCCTATCTCGCGATGGACTTGTGAAAGTGTAAATGATTATTTCGGAGCGTCAATCGATCCTGTCGAGATAGGTCATGACAACAGATTGTGGTCGACACGCTCTTCTCGAGCCCGGTGATAGCGAGCAGCGACGTATCATGTCGGTGCGTCTCAAGATCCCTCGTGTGACCTCTAGGAGCAGGAGGCCGAGACAGCAAACACGGTGATGCCCCTGTTTGGGCACTTGGGGTTGTGTTTTGGGGTTGCTTGCTTATCTTCAGCCAATGAGAGATAGGCCATACGAGTAGCGTCAAAGGGTCGCGTGGCAGTCAGTCGGGGAAGGTCCGGGGTACGTGTGACATGGCCGTGCTTTTGCTTCTTCTTCGCGGATGATCGGCTTGAAGACAAGGTGCAGGTACCCGATCTCGGGATACGAGCGGTTTGGCATCAATTTTTGGCGAAGGCTGCGTGGCTGGACTCTTTGTTTGACACAGAGATTTCGTGCATTGCCGCAGACGGGCTTTGCTTGCAAAGGGCGAGCAACGAGCCTGGGCAGCCGGCGCTTCTTCGTCTTCTAGAATCCCCCAGCGTCTAAGCTGTTCTCTAAGCCAAAGTGTGTTGAGTCAAACCATATTCTCGGGAGACTAGCCTGAAAAGGCAGGAAAACCATCGTTGGTCGGGAATTAACGCCTCTTCCGCCTGCTACAGCTTCGTGCAAGATGACATGGGCATGATGGTTATTGCCGTCGCGAAAGCAAGCATCGCATTATTTGTTCATGCTGNNACAAGAAGAAAGCAACAGAGACAAAAGAGAAAGCGATGTTCGGATCTCCACGAGGCCTTGACAGGTGGCTCGGCTGGACGTCGTCAGGCCGTTGGACNNAGGCTCTCGTCTTTCACGCGACNNTGCGAGGCAGGTAACGCAAAAGGTTNNGCTCCATTAGGCATCCGACTTGTCGATTCATCCTTATCTATCAGCAAGGCTTGCTGCACCCCACGCCATCCCGGGCGCCCTATCTATGTTATGTCGTTCCTTCCTGCTGGTGAAACGAACGCCCTTCNNTCATCTCGCGTGCACTCTTTCCCTCGACCCAACGAGTCCACAGGTCGCAACTGTCAGAGCCCAACTCGCGTCTCTTGAGATTAAGGCCACTTGGACCCTGTCGGCGCGAGACTGAACAGTGCGCAAAGCTACTCGGCCGATTTGATAATAAGAACCAACGTCATCCGCATTGCCGCCGCTAGCATCGCGCGCTCTGACTCTTGTTCAATATGCTTGTTCCGCGCTCTTTCAAGTACTCTTCATCACCACCTTCCGACTCACAAAATCAACGACGCTCTTCAACAACAAAGTCCACAAAGTCCACAAAGTCCACAAAGTCCACAAAGTCCTTCACCCTCTCTCCGGCTTTCACTCCTGCTCCGCCCCCACGGTCCGACGCTGCTCCCCTTTGTAGCCACCCACCACCCCACGCACCCTGGATCCTCACGCCCGCCATGCCTTCAACACTGCAACCCTCGAGACCTGTCGAGATCCCGTCTCGACGAAGCCCCAGAGAACTAAAACACGTCAGAACATCTAGAGCCAGCAGCAAATCTTCCAGAACATCACGGAACTCCGAAACCACACACCGGCCTGATGCCTTGCCTCCGGCCGTCGCTGCCCTCCTGGCCGTGACTGCCATCCCTCCTCCCAAGTCTCAAATCAGACGCAAGCAGAGTCCCATCCGGGACATGTCTATCGATGAGCTTATCCAGGAATGGAGAAAGGACGGTTCGACCAAGTCCAGCTACAGCTGCGCCTCGCTGGATATGCTCCTTGGATCGGCAGACGAAGACGACTACGAGCACATGTACTCTTCAAGGTCAACGTCGTGTGACTCAATCCCCTCTCTGGATGTCGACGAGGGCTCAGTATCGTCCGTCAGCAATCCTGCCACTCCAGACTCGATCCGAAGCCGAAAGTCTAGCATGGGCAGTTACCGCAAAGAGAAGACTCTCTACACCCCGGAGATCGAAGACTGTAGTGTTGATCACCCGCTTGGATTCCCAACTCTGGAATTCGACGAAGACCTCATTGTCATCAACTCGCCATGTCCCAAGGAACGCAAGCAACGCAAGTCGGGTGGATTTCGTTCCAACTTGAGCTCATCGCTGCAAGCCATCAAGTCTCGTGTGACCTCATCCTTCTCGTCGCTGAACCTGAACTTGGACGAGGACTCTTTCTCGGATGCTTCGCTCTGGCAACATCCTTATCTCTTCCCGAGATTGAGCTCCGAGCTGAGACCTACCCCATTCACGACGACTCCTTCGAAATCGCATCGCCAGTATCTGAATCCTCGTTCGGCTCCGGTTCCTTTCGAAGAGCAACAGCACCACTGGCAAAAGGCTCTGTCTTCGCTAGACTCGCCTGACAGCGAATTCTCCGAGGCCCCAATGATCCAGATGCAAACCTACAACAAACGGGCCGCATCTTCGCCCCGCCGCTCACGCCGTGGTTCAAGCACCGGCAAACCAGATCCTCGTTCGGAAGCCGGCCGCGCCATGTCGGGGCACGTGCCTATGCCGTCCAGGCAACGCGAACCTCGCGAGAACAGTGACTTCCTACGTGTCATCGTGCTCGAAATGAACATGAGGCGTGGAGGCAAGTTTGAAGAGGGCGCAAGTGGACGTGCCAAAATCTGGCTACCACCACGCAAGCAGCCTGTATCTCGCAACTGTGCCTTCTCCGACGACGAGGATGAAGACGAGGTCGTCTCTGTTGCTGGTTCCAGGGTTACCTCTAGAAAGATCCCTCGTCGTTGGGTTCCAGTTTCGATCGAGTAATTATCGAGTAACAACAACTGCGAGAACCCACTTCACGACCCTGGATCATCCCGGCTCCCGTCCCTCGCCTGTCCGTTGAGTTCGAACCCACTTTGTTCCTCTAGAACGCGACATCTCCGGAGAACGGCAGTTCATCTCTGAACTAACAAAGATGGTCTTGAATATCTTCTCTTGAAAGAGGTTTCGCTCTGGACACGACGCGTTTCGACGTGGGGTCATCTTACGCCATCTTCATCATCCCTCTCATAACGATCATCTTGTTTCTCTTTTTCTGTTTTGTTTTCATTGCGGACGGCTTTTGCTGTCCTCGTTGGTTGTTCGGCAAGCGAACGGTCATAGCATTGTAAGGTGTAGCGAGAACGGTTGTCTCGGCGTTGTGGGAATTTTTTTTTGTTGGAGGTTGGGAAAGCGCTTGGCTGCGCTATTTTCTCTTCGTCAATCTCCTTTCGCATCTTTTACCATGCACGGTGGTGGCATGATTTTTATGCCCAATTTGCGCACAGCATTTGAAGCGCGGTCTATTTATGATATCTACGACAGGACAATATACGGCTTAATGAACGAACATATATACATCCATACTACCTTATTCACTCAAGACCCTTCCACTCTCTACGATGAAAGAGCACGCGACACACCAAAGCCCGTCTCAAAGCTTCGTTTCGCGCTAAAATCTGTTATTGTATAGCGGTATCCAGATGAACAATATGTTCAGTGAGGCAGAGTTAACCATGGAATCTGCACACTTGATGCGCTTTTACCAGATATGACTCCATCTCGAAAAATGCTGTGTACTGCCGTAGCTCCCTCAGCTGTTTGAGCACTCATGAGATTCAGCAGTCAGGCAGGTTGTTGTTGTTGTTCGTTCGCTCTCCGAGTCTCCTCCACAAGCACGGACAAAGACACGAAAAAGGCTCACGTCGCACCACATGCGTGCTCGTGCTTTTCATGCGATTCAAATCTCCCCTTCTTTTTCGACCCTTCTCTGAACACGCGGAGTCGAGAACACCCGACCAACGGCTCGTTGGTCATTCAATGGAGAGTTGAACAACGGAGCAGATATTGCGCGATTATCACAGTCGGTCAAGGCTTCTCGGGCAGGATGTCGCTCGCTCTTGCTGCTCCTCGACCATCCATGTTTTGTCCGAAAGGGCCCCGAGTCGTTGTCTGTTGACTGCATGCACTCCGAGTCGTTTAGGCTTCAGTTCCCGACTTCGCTGCTTGATCTGTCACTGACTCACTGTTCATGCGGCCTACCAATGCAACACCCGAGTCGTGGAAGCTGGAGTTGGATGTTGTGTCAATGGTCACGATGGGCCGCGACTCCACAAGTGTCGGTCAGAAGACACGGCCACCGTCTCGGTGACCTCTTGCTTTCGCAAGACATTCGAAACGCCGTCTCTTATCTTTGCTTCTTGCAAGAGCGGTCGACGTCTGGCCTTTGCTGATCAAAAGGCCTCTTTGACCAAGGTCTCCCTGCATGGACTATCGTCCGGTCTGCGGAGTAAGTACATCGGCCGTAAGATGATGATAGTCCACGACTCGACCTCCGAACTTCAGCTCGTGTGACAGCCTGACGATCCTTCTGAGAACGTGTCTGGGGGCCCAAAGTCTGTTATACTGAATCAGGCCAAAGAAGCCGTTTGGAGATGTTTGTCAAGATGTACAGTCAGGACCTTGTCCGGCGCCCGAACCCTAACAGCATTACCTGAGGCCATCAGTCAAGGTTCCAGGTGAAATGTGCTTGGGGACGGCATGAAGTCTGTTTAGACTTCTGATGCCGTACCCCAACGTATGCAGACTGGGCTACTACCACGACATGCATGCCCTGTGAAGACATGTTTGGAGGGTGAAGTCTTGCTCGAGCTACTACTTGCGAGTTCCTTCAACAGACTGTTGACTGAGCCATAAAACTGATGGCTCTTACGCTTCTTAGGTCGCTTCCATCTGGACTACGTGTCGTAGTCCATTCACATCTCTTCGCGGTCATTGTCACAGCACGCTCGAAGCTCTTTCCACGAATTTGAATCAGACAAAAACACGTCTTGTCATGCCATGGCTCTTTCGTTTCATAGCCCTTCGAGTATCATATGTATCAGAACGTGATGCTTGCGCTCAGGCTGCCTGTGGCATCAGCACGATTGCACGACCCAGACCACAGCTCGTGGCATTCTTGACCAAATGTGATAGAATCAATGACCTCCGCCTCAACATGCTAGTCGAGGTCCACTGGCCCTTGTCGTCTTGTTAAGGATCTCTTTCGGACTGTACGTAGCTGCCCTTACTTGTGCATTGTAGAACTTCACGCTGCATCTGTCTCCTGGTTCCTCATCACTTCCAGGGAATGTACAGATTTCTACTCACGCAGGACATCAAAGTCGTTATGCGAGGGAAAGACATTGCCAAGGAAGTAACGATAGCGAATTATATAAGCTCGGCGGAAGCACATGGGAAAGAGCACGTTTGAGTAAATTGCGATTTGTAGGTCACAAGAAAGTGACTGCGATGAGTAACATGCGATGAGTAAGTTGCGACGAAAAAGGATTTCTCAATACTTAAGAACCATACCACGCAGCAAATTTCTTATTTCCTTCTCTATCAACACCTTCCCCGTCAACACTTTCATCTTGGATTCCCCACAGCTCTTCACACCGCCTCTCAAAGTTTAATACATCAAGTCAACATGAAGTTCCTTGGTACCCGTATCGCAGGTCTGCTGTTTGCCAGTACTGCCAGTATTGTCAGTGCTGCTCCCATCGCCGTTCAGCCCAACGTCGAACTCAGCGGTCTCTCTTCCCGAGCCGCCACGCCAGGAGACATCAGCTCAACATACTGCGATGTACACCCAGACGTGTTCCCCTGCTCCGAGTTCTGCAAAGGTAACCAGCTTGCAGACTTTTGCAGACCCGAGTGGTGCAAGCACAATCCTGGACACTGGACTTGTGTGCCCAAGTATATTGATGAGAACGACACTGGCAATTCTTAGAATCCTCTGCAATACTAAAGCACGTTGGTCTGTGGGAAAATACTCGCCTGAGTTTGGTTTAAGACATCCTATGGCCAACCTCAGCAGCGTGGTCTCCACAAATACATCGGTCACTACTGATTCCAGGGTCGTCGATGATGTGTCGGAGTTTGAGGAAACATTGCTTGTCGACCGTGAGGGCTTTCCTTTTGCTGATACTACGATGGTTGGTTCTTCCATTGACGCTACCTACCCCAAGCCTATGGAGTGGCAGTTGTAGGACAGAAGAAATTGAGAGGAAACGGAAAGACGAGATTGATCAGAAATGTTTGAGATTTGCAAGTTGTTTGACCAAAAGTAGCTGCTTCTCCTCATGCGACCGGGTGGAACCAAAAGTAGTTTTATGTGTTTTGATGATTGTATGAAAAGCCTTCTACAAGAAATTGACAGTTCGATCTTGGTACCGTGGTGTTTTGTGATGATCATCGGCAGGAGATGTTTTTGCCCAGTATGTTTAGTCTGGTTGATGTCGTGTCACGCTTCACTATCAACAGCATGCTGCTTACGAGTCGATGGCTGTCAGGGGCCGAGGGCGGTTTTAGACGTGGTGATGATGCATGCTGTGCGTAGGTTCAACAACCTCTATCTGTTGGGTATCCCAATCAAGAGATTACTTTAGACAAGTTAGGGGTAATCTTTGAGGAGAGACTTATTTGCATGTGACAGTAGAATCTAGCGTCTCACTATTACTTGCCAAGTGAACTGAAGCAACCCTATATAGATAGCAAAACTTGCATCTCCCCAAGCAGCAATCACCACCAGTAATGTTCCGTGGCGCGTTTGGTAAGTCACTAACCTCTGGTGGAGCGGCATCCTGGGTTCGAACCCCAGGGCAAGCCCACTCTTTCGCCACAACCACCGTCAGCCTTTCCCTCCAGGCAGTGGTTGAGAGTCCCGGTTGTTGCTTCAAAGATAACTCATCTCAACACACTTTGTAAACCCTCTTCCCCCGAGGTCGCTAGTGTAGGTTTCTCTCCCTCCTTCTGGAGCAGATCTTTTGCTCGAGGTTGGTAGAAGATATGCTTTCGTCATGCTATCAGCGATGATAAGATCCATGTTGTGCTCCAGGAGAAGCACTCCTTGTTCAGACAAGTTCGAAGGGACGCTTAGATCCAGGGGTGGACTGTGGGGTGGCGCGAGAGAGCAAGTCATTCACAATGCGAGATGAGAGTGCAGCGCGCGCAGACTCTTCCTGAGCGTAGGATCTGTCGACAGTGTCTGTACGGGGCGTGAAAAACTGCTCAGATGACTGGGTCGGTTGAATTGGCATGACAGGCATGACGGGCCGGACAGACATATCGGCCATGGTCTGGGCAACACGCGCACGCGAAGGAGGAACGAAGTCCGGCATGATCATACGGCAGAGACGGACAATGTGAGGATGCTTGTTCGGTTCAAAAGCGTCGAAGGGTAAGCTGCCATGGAAAATGGCCTGCATAAGGGTGTTATCAAGGTCAGACTTGAGGACCTCTTGATTGGCGACCTCGGCAGCGGCATGGCTCGTCTTTGTGACCAAAGGCTGATCGGTACGCTGCTCGATCTTGATCTTGAGTTCTTCAGGAATCTGCCTCAGCTCTTTTTCGCCAGCATTAGAAGAGTCATCGTCGAGCAGGGCTCGGAGATAGGTGTAGTAAGATTCACAGGCGGCGAGATGAGCAACTTTACGAGCGACTATGTTTCTTGCCACCTTCTTGTCGTTGCAGTGGCGGCAGATGGCCATGGGAGTTTTGGCACCATCCTCAAGAGCCTCGAACTGACGGGAAATATAACCTTGCTGAGGCGGCATGATGGGGAAGAGACGTGTAGATGTCGGTTGGCATCAAGAAGGCTTCAGGAAGGGATGTGAAGGAGCTGATGTTGATGTCGCGAAGCAACAAGGAAGCTCGGACGCTCTTGCCTGCATCATGGCGCATCTCTCATGCACAGTTATGGACAGTTATGCATTGCTGTACATATGACGATGTTAAAGTCCGATATCCGAGTTCGATCAAGTGAATTCCAGTCCTTCGAATCACTTCCATTCTCTTGACAAGAACATCCTGTCGCCTTCGCTCTCACACCGAGGCACACACTCCGTCACCTCCATCCTCGTCGCCATCTAGTTTCTTCGACTCGAACCCTCCGCATCGACGATTTCTCACAAACTAGTGGCAACCTTGATCCATCAACATTAGCAATCATGGACGATGAACTGATCGCCAACTTTACCGCCATCACCTCGGCCACGCCCGAACGTGCTCGCCAGTACCTTACTCTGACCGACAACAACCTCGAACAGGCCATACAACTCTACTTTGACAGCGATGGCGCCGACATGGGCGCCGCCATGCCCCAACAATCTGCTCAGCCCGCTGCTCAGCCAGCATCCCACCGCTACAGCCAGGACGACAATGGCATTGTGACGATAGATTCAGACGACGATGACGCCCCCTACGAAGATGATGAGGCCATGGCAAGACGTCTGCAGCAGGAGGCTTATGGTACCGCTGGCGGGGAAGAAGAAGTCAGAGCCCCCATGCAAAGAACTACCGAGACGCTTGTCGGCCCTGGCTCCAGATGGGCTGGCGACGATGAGGACGACATCAACGCTGCCGTCCAGGAGCAGATGATGGCACGCCAGAGAAGATGTTAGGCTCTCCACTTGCGACAATCAATCAGTCTGCTAACATGTTGCTAGCCAACCNGACCCGGCATCTTCAACCAAGTCTCCGTATGGGACGACGATGCCAACCCCGGCTTCGCCATCCCTTCCGATCCCGAAACCCATCGCCGCAATCTCGCTCGTGCTACTGGAGGTGCCTCAGAACAATCGTCCAAGTCAACTCTGCTTGCCGAACTCTTTAGACCGCCTACCGATCTCATCTCACCCCTGTCATTCCAAGATGCTCGCGATGAAGGCAAGGAGGACGAGAAGTGGATAATTGTCAATGTCCAAGATCCCTCCATCTTCGACTGCCAGGTTCTGAACCGTGACATCTGGAAGAACTCGCAGATCAAAGAGACTATCCAGGAAAACTTCATCTTCTTGCAGTACTCCAAGGACGACCCGCGCGGCACTCAATATGTCCAGTACTACTTCCAAAACAGAGACAGCGACGACGCATACCCACACATCGCCATTGTTGACCCCCGGACTGGCGAGCAAGTCAAGGTCTGGTCAGGTGCTCCCGTCCCGAAACCCGCAGACTTCCTCATGGATCTGCACGAGTTCCTGGACCGTTACAGCCTGAAGGCATTCGCGAAAAACCCGGTGGCCACCCGTAAGCCTGAGAAGAAGTCCAAAGATGTTGACAGAATGAGCGAGGAGGAAATGTTGGAGATGGCAATGCAAAACAGCCTGCAACAAGGTGGTGCAGCCATCAAGGATGATGACCCTGATGCCCTCACCAAGGCAGACTCAAGTAAGGGCAAGGGTGCAGCTGTCGACCCGGACGCCATGGACATTACCGATACAGGAGTTCCGATCGAGAACGCAGAGACAGAACCTTCAGCATCACAAGCTGGTCCTTTCGCACAAATCGCATCTGACAAACCTCACACTGAGCCTACGGACCCGGCTTCCTCGACTCGTATCCAGTTCAGATACTCTGGTGGAAGACAGATCCGACGCTTTGGACTACAAGAAGAGGTCCGCCGCATGTACGAGTGGCTCAAAGCATCGCCTGTCGAAGGCAAGCAAGGTGTCGACTTTGAGTTTGTCTTCATGGGCCGCAACCTGATTGAAGCATTGGACCAGACCATCGAGGAGGCTGGGCTCAAGAACGGTTCAGTCATGATCGAGTTCTTGGAGTAAGGAAAGAGATTCGTGGTAGTCTAGAGATGCCTTTCGAATGCAGATGCTCGTAAAGCATGCTTTCTGGTATAATGGCTGAAGATGGGGACGTGGAAGCTGCACAAATAGACGGCACGGGATGCTCTAGCTGATGCATAACGTTATAATCATGACAAAAACACAATTACCTATTCTCAATCATTGCTGTATATCCATGTCTTGTGTTTCCACTTTCTGAATGACCTGCCCAACAATGGTTGTGAAACAGGATTGAGACTTCCACCATAACACTGTACTTGCAGCAAGTAGTGCCAGCGACTGGATGAAGCAAAAGGATGACACCTCAAAGAGACAGAACATTGTCGCAGCCGTGAATCGAACACGGGGCTCGTGCATGGCAAGCACGAATTTTACCACTAAACCACTGCGACTTAATATGTTTCATTCAAGATTTCATCTCAATACAAACTCGGAACCAACTTCGGGGGCGTTGCTGCGGCTCTTGCTGCCTCGGCCAGTCAGCCAGCTTCTCCCGTTCAGACGCGACACGCGTGAACTTGGGAAGCTGCGATCATCGCCATCTTTCTTCGAACCAAGCCCAAATAATTGCAACACACCGAGCGATCGTGTTTGCGTGAACTCCATTGCTTAGGGCGAGGTATTGAAGGTGTCAGATGATCTAATCGCCTTCAGCGTCCAATTCCCCATTTCTATCTCAGCGACGCGCACAACCGCCATACCACGTCCTGTCGCAAACCCAATATCTCGACGCGCCCAGCTACTACTGCACCATGTCGTCTCCGCTGTCACAGCCTCATGATGAGGCTCCGGACGCTCCCAATGAGCGTCGCTCCCGCCGTTCAGGACGCGTTTCGCGCAAGCCCGAACTCTATATCGAAGAAGCACCCGCCGCCTCCAAGCGCAAGCGTGATGCTGCAGACGACGACCAGCTTGACGACGATGGAGAGTCCGATGAGGAAGAAGAGAGCGAACCTGGCGAGGAAGAGCTTCGAGAACAAAAGGCCAAAGCGCGCAAGACAAAGGCCGCTGCACCCAAGAAGCCCGCTGCAAAGCGCTCAAAAACGAACGGCACTTCGGTCGCATTACCTGTGAGGGCAGCTGGTAAGAAAGGCCGCTCGAAGAAGGCCAAGGGCGTAGACGAGGCTGTCGCAGAAGAAGCCGGAGGTCTTTACGGTTGGTTCAAACATACACTTATGTTACGCACACGCAATCTGACTTTGTATTGCANNGCTGAGGTTTTCGCGCGAGGCAAGACGCTGGAAGAAGCAGCTGAAGGATGGCTCGCGGCATTCAACGAGCACGAGTCTGGCGCCGTGGCAGATCTGGTCAATTTCGTCTTGAGATCTGCGGGCTGCGAGCTAGAAGTCACGAACGAAGACATCGAGGATCCTGACAACTGTGCTGGCAAGCTCGGCGATTTGCAGGACGAGTTCCAAGCAGTATGTCGATCTAGCCATATCACGCGATTTCTCTACTGACCGCTTTATAGCNAAAATCTCTCTGAATATCCCATCATCGCAAAGGGCAGAGGTACCGCCGCTTTCAAGGAGTCCCTGACGGGCTTTTTCTACACACTGATCAAGGCCATTCACACCACCAACGTCCTCTTCACCAACATCGAACTCATCGAGAACATCCAAGTATGGCTCAGCACCATGTCAGCAGCACAGAATAGACCTTTCAGACACACCGCGACTGTCGTTTCCCTAGCCGTTATCACCGCTCTCTGTGAAGTCGGCAACGAACTAGCTGAAGAGGCCTCGAAAGCTCTGCGCCATAGTGAGACTCAGAAGAAGGGCAAGAACGCGAACAAGACACGAGTCAGCGAGTTGCAGGACTACTCCAAACAAGCAAAAGCAAACCAAGAAGTCCTCGACAACACTGTGAAGGACTGGTTTGAAACCATCTACATCCACCGCTACAGAGATGTGGACCCTCACATTCGCGTGGACTGCGCAAAAGCCATTGGAGACTGGATTGTCGCTTACCCGGACCTCTTCTTCAATGGCAAACACCTGAGATACCTTGGATGGGTGCTTTCCGACCCAAACCACTCAACCCGTCTGGAAGCAATTAAGCAGCTGCATAGATTCTACGCTGACAAGAACAAAATCGGTGGCCTCAAGACTTTTACCGAGCGCTTCAGAGCTCGTATGGTTGAAATAGCCACCAGAGATGCCGAGTCGAACGTACGAGCTGCTGCTGTTGAACTGCTCGATGACCTGAGGGAAGGTGGTTTGCTCGAACCTGATGACGTTGACAACATTGGACGACTGATTTTCGACGCCGAGCCACGAGTGAGGAAGTCAGTGGTTGGCTTCTTCGCAGAAAGTATCAACGACGCTTATGAGGCAAAGATTGACACACTTGGTGGCCAAGAAGCACTGGAGGAGATTCTCGGAGAAGAAAGCGACTCATTCGACAGCCCGTGTCAGGAGTGGATCAAGCTCAAATGCCTAGCAGAAGGACTGGATTCGTACGATTCAGCAGATGGCCCCTTGCCGCCGAGTGTCGAGAGAGGCCCTGGTCAAGGCGCTTTTCTATTGCATGCCGGTTCAGCAGATACTCGCTTCATGGTTGCCGCAGACACACTTCACGACCAGATCGTCGAGGTCCGTGAATGGGAGAAGCTGGCTGGGTATCTTCTATACGACACTTCTGTTGCAGACCAAAATGGCGACGCTGCTAACGGCGAGTCACAACTCAAACAGGAGCTGAGGCTTACCGAGAGTGAGGAAGTCATCCTCCTGGAAGTTTTGAACTCTTCCGTTAAGCAAGCTGTCTCATCCTTGGTGGAAGCACACTCGGACAAGAAAACGAAGAAAAACAAGAAGCAAAAGGAAGACACTGAGGACATGCAGGAAAAAGCAGCACGCCACCTTGCGAACTTGATCCCTCGATTGCTTAAGAAGTTTGGAGATTCACCGCAGACCGCTGCAAGCACACTTCGCCTGGGCCGTGTCTTGAGTTTGGAAGCCTTCCAAGAGTTCAGACAGGATTCATCCACATACGCGACACTGCTGAACGACTTCAACAAGCAGTTCCTGTCTCACAGTAACGAAGAGGTATTGGAGGAAGCCAGTCGAGCTTTGCTGCGTGCAAAGAGCTATCACGAACTTGGAGATGTTCCCGACGAGAGAATCGATACCCTGTGGGAAGATACCATCGCTACTTTCAGCACACTTACGTACGACAAAGATCTCGAAACACGTGGGTTGCTGTCGACCACAGTCCTTGACGCTCTTTCAAGAACAGTGTTACGTCTTGAGAAACTGTCCAGTATTTCCAACCCTGTGGAGTACTTCGAAACCGAACCTTCCGCACCAGCTACTGCACGCTCCGAGACTTCTGAGCCCTCTCCACCCATCGACTCTCTGATTGCTCTGATCAATCGTGCTGCTTCACCAAAGGGCTCGGACCCAGAGACTGCTGCCCTTGACGATGCCTTGGCAATGCACGCCTCGCGCACAATCTGCTTCTATTTCATGTGGCGGATACCTGCGTTCATCAAGTCGCTGCAGACAACCACCCTGCCTGACATCGAACTTGAGGATCTTGCCGTGAGACGTGATGCATACGTCAATGCCCTTGGTGCAGTATTGAAGACACGTCCCGTAAACGATGAGCTCAGCGCTCTAGTTTCTGGTATGCTTCTCGACACGCACACCATAATGGCCACTCTACGCCAAGTCACTACCGACAAGAACGGCGACGAGTACCTCGTGCTAGCCCTGGAGATGGACGCAGTGCTCCAAAAGCGCATCCTTGGCGTCTTTGGTGCAGCCGAAGCTGCCTTTGCCAAAGCCAGTGGTAAACACGTCGAAGTCGAAGCCGAAAATTCACAAGCCCAAGAATCTGAAGACGACGACGAAGAACCCGCCGACCCAATCGATGCAGACCCAGAATCCGAGGATGAAGCAGAAGAGGAAGCCGATGCTGAAGGAGGCGATGAACAACAAACCCAAGCCTCGCAGGCAAAACGCGTGGCCAAACTCCAAAACAGTCTGCTCGCAGAGCAACGTCTCTGCGAACTGGCTTCCAAACTCGTGCTTGCTGTGCTGGGAAGAATGGTCAACGTGGTCGTCATCAAGCAGAGACTCGAACGCAACAAGACACGCTTGGGACACAACTTCAAACTCGTGCTCGAGCACCTAGATGCGCAGACCAAAGGCAAAAAGGCAAGGGCAAAGCCACCACTGCTGCAAAGTCTGGCGCACAACAAGCAAAAGCCAAATCTGCCGCACCCCAGAAGAGCACAGAAATCGTTGTAGAAGACGACGAAGACGAAGAAGAGGATGAAGAAGCCGTTCGCGCAAGAGAAATACAAGAAGATGATGAAATGGTGGATCCTAATGATGAACAAGAAGGCGGCAACCAAGAGGAAGAAGCACACGATGAAGCCGCTGCAGATGCCGAGAGTGTGCTCGGGGACTAGAGATATCCTGGCTGTGCTCTGGTATGAATGAATGTGGCATTTGTATCTCTTTTTTCGTTCTTTTTCGTTCTGTACATACCCCCTTCTTTTTTTCTGTAAATGTCCTAGCTGTTATCTGCAACTCTTTATTCTACCCGTTCTTGATTTTGTTTGCTCGCTCGTTTGGTAAACTCTAACTACTGCCTCCCTGCGTGCAAAAGAGAGTTACAGCCCTCTCCCACGCTAGCATGTAGTGTCATCATATGCTATAAAATTGCACAGTCGCTTTCTCGATAAAGGTGTGGCCATAGAGATGCCCTAGGATAGCCTTGTCTCTATGGGTCTTGCTTTGCTATGGAAACTATTGTGAATTTTTATAGCTACACCATGGCAATCTATTTATTGCACATGGGGAAGGTGTGGAGTGTACCTCTAAGTGACCAAGCAACCCTGCTGCTTTCCTCGTTGAATTTATTTGGTGCACTAGTCGTTTATTCGAACTCGTTTTTGTTCGTTCCTTCTGTTTTTTTTTTCTTGCTTATAAGGTTTATCTGGTTTCTCTGTCTGTATGATGTCTCTGAGCTTTGGACACGCTACACATTTGCGTGGCCGAATTTGCTATCGAATAGTCTCTTTTCTGTCGTCTTGTCAGGTTTTGGCTCGAGTCTGGATTCGGCCGGCATTGTTGTGTAACTGCTATTGCATTGCTGTCTTGTCATTTTCGTTCATCTTCTCCATCATCTACATCAGCGTCGAGCGTCCTCCAATCTCCGTACCAGCCTCTCCATCCGCCATCTCACCGTTCCTGCCCACGACAAACTCTCTGTATATCGTGCTCAGTCTCCTCTGATCAGCCTTGGAGATGGAAGGACGAGTCTGCTCTAGACTTTTGACCACATGTCTCCATGAAATCACCGGCTCCTGTGTTCCCTCGGTTTCTTCTTTGACGCCATTGGTATTCGTGTCTGCTTGGGAAGAAGCGGAGGCTTTAGAGCGCTTGCGTGCTGTTTCCATGTTGGCTAGTTTTGTGGCGATGGTGGCTCGCTCGGCCAGAGATTGCGGTGTGGGATTAGAAGAGTGGTCTTTTCCTAGACGCTCATCGCCGTAGCGGAAGTAGGCAAAGTCTTTGTATTTGGACTTTGAGCGTGAAGATGAGGATTTGTCGTTGCTGCCGTTGCCGAGTTCTTCAGTAGGGCCTAAGACGTCGTGGATGGCTTCCAAATGCGCATTGTACATGACTGCTTGCAAGTCTGCACCCGAGTATCCTTGTGTCTGTCGAGCTATCTCTTGTAGACTTTGATCTTGGTCGGAGGGATCGAGAATGCTGGGCTCGATTTTAAGGTTGCCGGTCACGGCGCGGAGGATGTCGAGACGATCGTCGATATTGGGCATATCGCACAGCAGACTCTTGTCCAAACGACCAGGACGGAGAAGAGCAGGATCGATGAGGTCAGGTCGACTGGTAGCAGCGAGGACATAGACACCTGAAAGACCTTCTGCACCGTCCATCTGCGTGAGCAGCTGGTTGACAACACGATCAGTAACGCCTGTGCTGTCGTGACCTCTCTTTGGTGCAATACTGTCAAACTCGTCGAAGAAGAGTACGCAAGGGCGGGCAGCTTCTGCTCTGTCGAAAAGATCGCGAACGCTCTTCTCAGAAGCACCAATGTACTTGTTGAGAATCTCAGGTCCCTTGACTGAGATGAAGTTGAGACCGCACTCTCCCGCTACAGCAGATGCAAGCAATGTCTTTCCGCATCCTGGGTAGCCATATAGCAACAAACCGGACCGAAGACGCAGTGGACATTGTGCAAAAATGGGCGCATATGTTGTCGGGTACTGCAAAGTTTCCATCAGAGTCTGTCTGGTCTCTTGTAGACCACCAATCGATGACCAAGTCGTAGTAGATGTTTGTAGAGTGACACCGCGAAGAGAGGCTGGGGTAAACCCTTTGAGCGCGGACGTAAAGTCCTCCCTAGTCAACGAGACTCGTGCATTGTCTGGATCTTCGGAGACACTTCGAATCAGGGCTTCGTTCTGTGCTCTCGAGACAAGAGACGTGAGATCTCCAGGCATATAGCCATCAGTCTGTCCAGCAACATCCAGGAAGTCAATCGAAGGATCTACCTCAAAGCCCTTTGCACCATTCACTTGATCTCCTGCCTCTGAACCACCCATCCAAGCGGCACCATCGCTACGTGATCTTGAGTGTTTGGGTTGCTCAACGTCTTTTTGGCGTACCAGAAGCTCGAGAACCTTACGTCTGCCGTCCTTGTTTGGTGCCTTCAGCGTCAGGATATCACGAACAACGTGTCCTCCGATGACAACATTGTTGACCGACTCTTTCGCTTGCGCAGTGGCCAATAATACAACGCCAGTATCTCGAGAGCAATACTGTCTTGCGATAGAACATAGAAGCTCACTGACCTGCCTGCTACGGCCATTGTCGTTGCCGACTTGGAGTTCTGTCTCCGCGGGGCATAGCTTGTCAATATCGTCTAGTACGACTAAAGCGCGACCGCCGAGTCTGGCGCCCCACGCTCCAGCACCAAAGATTCTTTGCAGTGTTTCTTTGATGGTAGACACACGTGTCTCGTCCGTGACCAGCGTCCGACAGGAAAAGTAAGTGACGTGATACAGATGCTCTTTCCGGAGTCTGTTGGCAAGAAGATGTGCAAGAGACGTCTTTCCTGAACCCAACCCTCCCGTCAGCAATATAGATGACGAGTGTGAAAGGTGACTCTGAAGCTCCGCCGTCAGAGTGTCGATGCCGACCATCTCTGGTGGTGAATCTGGGATATCCTGACCAGGGGTTCCCCGTGTCAAGTCCGAAGGCTTCGCAATCTCCGGCTGGACCTCTATCGTTAGTTTGCGCTCAGCACCCACCAGCCAGTCTGCAGGCTTCTTCGCGGGATGCTCTTCTGTGCTGTTCGGCGACGGGTCGAATCGTAGAATACCACCTGGCCAGGCATGATCCTTACTCTTATCAGTCTCTGCTGGCAGAAGCATTCCATCTGTCAAAGGACCTTCGAGAAGACCAGACCCATCTTGACTATCGCCAAAGATAGCCTTCAACTTTCTCACGGCTGCCTCTTTCTCAGCAGTAGATTCACCACCAAACTTGAGGACATTCGACTGAGCAGTGCCGAAAGGAAAGACTCGTAAGTTTCTAACCACAGACTCTTTCTCTTTGAACTCTTTCTTCATGGCCGAAGTTGTTTTGGGTAGCTGTGGAGGAGCAGCTTCGATCCTGACTATGCCTCCAACTAGTCCTGCAGAACCCATGGCTGCGCACAACAACGAAGACAAAGCAGCATGCTGGCTGTCCGGAGCATCATTCCAGGGGCACAGTCGTGCGACTATCTTGGAAGCCGCTTTTTCGGAATCTAGGGCCTGTTTTTGTGGATTGACAGGCTCTTCCAAGCTTGCAGGTCTGACGACCGAGACCGAAACCCAAGTCAGGCCTTTCAGACTTTTGGACAGCAAGTGATCGCTGTCTAGCCAGATGCGAAGTCCCTTGTCGGCATCGTCAGGGTCCTCTTCGTCGAAGTATTCAGCAGCTATGGTACGATCGACACCTCTGAGGAAGAGTGGCGGACGTGTAGGTAGCTCATCACGAGTAGCCGGGTGTCGTACAGTGCTGGCATTGCTTCTTCCNCCGACGCTCTTCCTGCTTGTGCTGGCGACACTTCGACTCGAGCGATCGGAGCTTCGAGGCTGGCGAGTCTTGGGCGCAACAATGACTTCAGCATCCGGCGAGATTTTGACAAAGGCTTGAGTCGATGGTGGAGCAGGACTGAGCGATGTGACCAGGATGTTCGCGGTAGAAGTGGGTGTAAGGTGCAGAGTCAAAGGATGGCGTTGAGACGTGGCACCGGAGAAGGCAGGATTCGGCAGAGCACGAACTTGCGACAGAAAGTTGGTCTCGAGGAAGCGGGCATGCAGCTCAATAATATCCCAGTCGGTCGGAGTGAGCGGCTCAATGTTGACGGTATGGGCTTGCGGAGGATCGATGTGGAGGTTGACGGCAACCTTTAGGCCATTGGCTATGCCCAAGACTCTTGCCAGAGTGGAATCTAGCTCGACAGTAGCGACGTCTTGATCTTGTCTGGCAGCACTTCCTCTTGTCCCTTGTATGCCGTTCCTCGAAACTATGGGGGTCAACCTGGTCTGGCTCTGCATGCCCGTCCATCCTAGGTATATCGAGCGTGGTTGCGATGATGAGGGGTTCGGTTTGTCAGAGGGCGGTGCTGGCTGACGAAAGCTGAGCTCGACGACTACATTTTGAGCTACCTACACGCGTCAGTGTGACTTCTTGCTCATGCGACAAGGCATAGCTACTGTGTTGGCGTTGACCAGTACCGAGACCAGCGACGATGGTAAATTGACGAGACAGCTCTTGAGCTGTGGTTGTAGAACCACTTCGGCCTGAGTCGCGCCCTTGGAGCCCTTCGAAGATGGCAGAGACATGGTAGACAGGTTCCACTACAAGATAGACATCCAATCCATAAAGAGCAAGAACAGAATGGCAGGTGCGACCGGCCAGGGACCACGAACGGCTTCGGCTTGGAATCTGTCAATCAGCCGAGGCTGTCCCCAGTCTTCACATGCATCGGCGCATCGACCTCCGATATAGGAAGCCTTGCTGCCTCAGGCATTCTAAACCAAGAACTGCACATGTCGTGACGATGAAGAATATTACTTTGCAATTGTACTAAAACTCATATAAAGATAATGGCCGTGACTTCAGAATTGCCTCCCACGTTGACCTCCCTAGCCTTTTCCACGCCATCCTCCGAACACCTTACTACTCAAACACTTCTACACCCAAGCGCCGTAATCGTTTCGAGCAAGCCTCTCCAGGAGTCTGATCCAGACCCGCTCTGCTTGTTCTTCCTGTCATGCGGCCATCATATTCGTCGATTCGAACGGTCCTGCGTTCGTCCTTGCTATCGCTCAAGGTTGAGCGATAAAGAGTACTGTTTGGAGTGAGTGCCTTCAGTATGTGTCTGTCCAAAGAAGTCATATTAAGCACCAGTCGTTGAGAGATTTGCGTTCCAGTATTGCCATCATGCATTCTCATTCCTCAATCTTTCTCCTCTTGCCCTTTGGTGCTGGGTCGAGCGGAGTTCGTGAGTAGGTCACTGTCCTTGTAACCACTTGCCGAACACTCATCTTGCTGGTAGTGCTACTTTCGGCTTCCGTTGGTGAGTATGTAGCGCTCCATGGTGTGCCACTCAATGCGGATGCGCTGTGAGGCTCATAAGGGGCGCGAGCGCTCATAGGCGAGCGAGGATTGGCCGGTGACATGGGAGAAGGAGGGACCTGAGCACCCCTAGGAAGCTTTGCAGACCGAGGTTTTGCAAACGGGGAAGGAGGTATGATGACTCGAGGTGATTGTGGCTTGACCTTGCGTTTACTCTCCGAGATTGTGCTGGACACGGAACGTACTGACTCGGCTGAACTCGAGATCACAGACGTGGTAGACGTCTCGGAGCTGGTAGAGTTGGTGCGAGAGAGTGTTGGTTGAACAACTTCAGGAGTGACCTCTGGAGACTTCTCGTCTGTCTCCTCGATGACTTCGCTAGGTACTTTATCGCTGAAGTGAAACTTTGAACTAGTCCCTGTGGTAAGTGGACTTGCAAGGCCAGTCGACATTGACTTCAGGAAGTTCAGATAGGCTACTGGAGGGGTGACAGGTGTTTTGATGTTCTCTTCCCTCTTGATGAAGCTCGGTGTACCTGGGAAAGGACTTTTGACTTCCGATGGATATGAGGCTGAGAGAGGAGTCTGAAGAGTCGGCCTCTTGGGTCTTTTGTCGTCATTAGTCTTGGTCTCAATGACCGAGGGAGCAGAGATACTCCGGGCCGCCATGGTGCAACGTCAAGGAAAAGAATGAACAAAGCGAGTGACTTGACTAAAGAACAAGAGAGATGTAGATATGAATCTCAGCCGGACGGGTGAATGTGACTATGAAAGCACAAGAGAGCAGAACGAAAGAGAGTATATAAGCCGACTTTGTATGCTTACCTGGAAAGCAAGAAAACTGGACGAAACAAGAGCTCAACTCAAGACAAAAGACTTGGGCGGCGCGTAAGCCGCAAGGGTCGACGCACGAATCGCCTCGAGTATGTTTATTTCTGGCATGGATGCTACCGCCCTGTCTAGTCCCGGTTGCGTTAAGGTAACGATCAGAGTTGCCAATCGAAGGCTCTTGTAACGCGCGGGCTCGGAAATCTGTATGCGCTGCGAGCCCTCATTGGGTCGACGAGTAGCTAAGCGCCCTGGTCAGTCATACGCTGTGACAGCCGTCTCAGATTGCATGCTGGCCCGAGAAGAAGCTTGCACTCGGCAGCCAAGAACAGCACATGGCAGAAGGTACTTGTGAATGGCGTTCGCTCATGATTTGGAAATGTGTGAGATGCGCTGCAGGACGAAGAAAGAAGATTGGGCAGTCACCCCCGCTTGTCGACTGTGAATTTTGTCACTGGCGGCCAGCCTCCAAACCATGATAAACGAATATTGGTATAATACATGTCGCTCGAAATCCATGACCCAATCAAATGAAAAGAACAAACTCTCCTCTCTCGTTCTTCCTGATGCGAAGATCCTTCCACAGATCCTTGTCGCCGTCGTCCTTCTTGCCCTGGGCTTGACGCTCACGGTGGTAGCGCTTAAGAGCCTTGTTGATGCTCAAGCCGCTGTCGCTCTCAGGGCCCTTGTCGACGAAGCTCAAAAACAGCTCTGCAGGAGAGCGTTTGCTGACAAGCTGCTTGTCTTCGCGCGCGTCTGAGGAGGTCGACTTTTTGGACAAACTCTTGACTGATGAAGCCTTCTTTGACGATTCCTTCTCTGACTTGTCCTTCTTACTGCGCTTCTTGGGGCTGAGAGGGCTGGCGGCAGCACCGTCCTCGCCGAAGTCGGGGCCGGACAACATTCTGTTCAAGCCACCTGTGAGGCCAGTGTGCAATGCAGGAGTGGGCTCTGCCATGTCTTCATCTCTCTTGCGCTTCTTGTCGCTCTTGTTCTTGTCCTCACGGTCGCGCTTCGAGGCCGGGGTAACAAAGGGTGCGGATTCGATCTTGGCGGGAGTGGTGTCCATGTAGTCGAAGACGTTCACGCCAGGAGGTAGCTCAGCGCCAGATGGAGGAGGAGAAGGAGCCTTTGGCGGGGCATTGGTTCTGGCGATATCGGTAGGGGTGGGTTCGGGTGCCTTGGTCTGGACGAGTGCCTGTTCCTGCTTCTTCTGGTTCTGGTTTTGACCCTTGCCCTTCTTCTCGCCCCTGTAAAGGTGGCCTTGGTATTTCTGAGCCTCAGACATACAGCTGGTATGCGCACGGTAGTCGGTGCCTTGGAAGTGGACCATGCAGTCGATACAAGTAAAAGACGCGCCCCAGCACTGGTTGGCATGGGGNTCGAGCTTCTTCTTGGTAAGGATGTCACCGCATCCCTAAGCGATGAATTAGTATCAGGAGCAGTGCATGTGCTTCGATGCTTCCAGCGCATACCTCACACGAGAAAGAAACCATGTCGGGTTAACGCGCGGTTGGCGAAGTTATGCTGTGTCGCAAAGGAGTGACGGCTCTGCGCGATATTCCAGATTTGGTTGACGACGGTATCGAGAAGTCTGCAAGCGGTTGCAGGCAGTAGAGAGATGATGGCGAGTGTTTGTGAAACGAGACGAGGCTTCTAGGAATTTTGAGCAAAAAGTCGATTGCTATTTATTTTGGTATGCGGAGGCTAGCGCGATGCGGCTCGTTCGGCGATCGGCTTCTCGCCCTTGCGTAATATGGGGTATCGAGAAAGGGCATGAGAAAGAAGGATGGATTTGAGATGGTCTGAGAAGCGTACCAATAGTTGCGATGAATTAAAAATTGTTCGTAAATGTCTAGTTGAGTATCTCAGGTGGTCAGGTGTTCCTCAATCAACCTCCGCGACCCCATCTAGAAAGTCTATTATCAGCATGATTTGATGAATCCAAGATATCAACTCGACTCACCCATCTTGTTCCAGCTTCAGAGGAACGTCTTCTGGGGGNTCAAACTTCTTCCTTGCCTGTGTGATCTCTTTCTTGTCCCCCTCTTCTGGTGCCTCACCATCGGCACATCCGCAGTCATAGAAGTCACCAATGTTGGAACAATCGAACATCTCTTTCTTTAGGGACTTGTTGACCTCGTTGTGGACATGGCAACCCCAGGCTGCTGCTGCTGATCGTGATGAGACTTGGGGAGGGAATTTGTCGAGGATCGTTCGGAAGTGACCGGCACATTCGCCGCTGNNTGAATTGTGTGTTAGCTAGAGTGGCTGGACACGGTGACAAGTCTCGTACCATGGGTACAATCGCTGGAACAAGTGAATGTATGCGTTCAGGGCAGAGCTTTCTTCGGCCGTGGGCTTGTCAGGGAAGCGGGCGAAAGTCGTATGGAAGAGCTTCCATGCTGCACGACCAAGTTCGGCTCTGAAGAAACCTTGTCAGTCATGTGTCCATTCCAAGGTATGGACCTAGCCACTGCGACGTACTTTNGCCGTTTCGTTGCCGAGCTTGGGGGCGATCACATGTCCGGATAGAGTCGAGTCTTGTAGCTCGAGTCGGTCGAGATTAGCGAACTTGGCATCGACGACTTCAGTCGGATTTCCACCTCTTCCTCCAGCTAAGGGATGTCTGACACCAGCTTCATGGGAGCGGAAAGAGAAGACGAATGTGAATGCGAGGAAGGCCGAGACGCCGATGAGGAGGAGCACGAATCGCCGACTAGGTCCTGGGGCTACGGGCATGCTGGGTGTATTTCTGTGGAATATCCAATCGGTATCTATCGTAGCATTATGTAGGTCGAGTAATTAGGGTATTATCTGTGAATTAAAGGAGAAGAAAGAAATGTTGCCGTTGCGACAACGAAATCGAGGGGCTTTCCCTGACTTCCGCACAACGACGCGTGATGCGTCATCTCACTCGTCAGTTCGAGTCAAAAGAGTTGACAGTGCGACTCGTCGTCAAAGACTGGATTTGTTTGTGCAACAAGGGTATCTATAACGATCTAACAATACAAAGACTGTCGCTGCTCTATCATCAAGCCTGCGTGGGTTCGGCACCTGACTGATTCTGCTTCTCGGGTTCGGGCTCGGGCTCAGGCTCAGGAGTTGGCGAACTTGTCGAATACCAGTCCATGTCCACCGCCTTTACCAAAACAACCTTTGCTCTATCGGCCATGGCGTAGTAATCAGGATTGTCTTTTGGCGTGAACATGGCAACGTGAGCGCTGATCTCGTTGCTCGCTTTCTCGTTGATGCATTTGACCCAGGTGCCTTTACTTTTCAGCTTCTTGTCCACGACGTTGCTTGTCTTGCGCTTTTTGAGCGGTGATTCACCTCGTTGTTCCTTTGCCTCTTTTGGCACTACGCAGAAAGTTCTTTCCTCGCCCAGCAGTTGCTCAGAATAGTACGTCTTGCCTTGCTTGTGTGTGTCGAGGCACGTGTAAAAGTCGGCGAACCCGATCTTGTGGGAAGAACTGAGGGCGGCTACGCTTTCGATACGTTTGGTCAGGTCAGCACCACGGGCTAGACAGCCAACGAATTCGAGATGGCCCCCTGCCCATGCCCAGCCTTTGGAGATGTGCTCACGATTCTGCCATACTGCACCGCCAGCTGCTGCTAAGGCTGCAGCGCCACCCGCAAACATGGCATACTTGCCCCATTTCCCNCAGCCACCGGCTTCTGGGGGTGGAAGAGCACCTGCGGGAACCTTTGTTGGAGGGACTGGTTTACTGGGTGACTTTCCGAGGCCGAAGAGCTGAGAGGCTTGGTTGTAGGCGTTCATGGCGGCGGATGCTGTATTGTACTGTTCCTCAGCACCATGAGCTACGACACCAGGATGGATACCTAGATAGGGCGTATCGAAAGCAAGCACGGCCTGAATGTAAGGGAACAAAAATTCAGGAGCTTTTGCTGGATCCGTGTCTTGAGAGGGGATCGGAGGCTTCTCTTGGGGAGGCGCAGATGAAGATCTGGGTTGTGATTCGGGAACTGCCAGGTTGACTGTACTGTTATTCACAGATGTTGGGTTTGAAGTGGTCTTGTTGCCGATTCCTGAGTCGTCTTGAGTGGATGAGAAGGTGCGACTCGAGGGTACAGGTTGATCGCGAGCAATGCTTAGCAATGTCTCTGCCGCTACAATACCGCCCATGGAGTGGCCGACAAGAACGACTCTGACCGAAGGGTCGACAGTTGGCGATGGGGTACCATTTGCGACTTCGAGATCGATGCACTTGTCGAGTAACCATCCGTGAAACTTGGCCACGCATTCGTACAGATCGCCTTGTGTCTCGAACTTGGGATATACGATGGACAGAACGTTTATCTTTGGTAAAGCGTTCTGCACAAGAGTTCTGAAGTGATCCGGAAAGCCNTACCGTAATTGTTGAGCAACGTTTTCACGACCAGTGGCAGGAAGTTGTTTACCATCAAATGTGTGGTCCCCTCCTTTGAAGCCGTGGATAAAGACAAGTAATAGACTCTTTGTCGGCATTTTGATGTTTCCGCCTTTTCATAGGAAGCTTACGAAGTTTAAGAGAGGTTGCGACAGAGCGAGAATAGAGGGAGAAGTAGAGAGCGATGGGCGGTCTGGAGCAGTTGTTGTTGTTGTAGGGGACTCGAATGCCGTGTGACAGCGAGCGGTTGCAGCGCGTCATCGAGGCCGAGGTCATGATGGAATTTCTGCCTCTCCAAAATTCCATCACCATTCTACAGCAGTTGTCTATCATACCAACACATTTCTCACGAAGCACACGAGCGACGATACACAAGACACATCATGTCACACCCTCAAGAACCTACGCGACAGCCCACCGTCGACGAGTCGGAACGCTACAAGGTCACACTGCACCGCGCCGCCATTGCATGTCTCGTTGTCTGCCCAGCTCTCGCCGCCCTGCCGCCGCGCAAACTAGACTTCTACACAATCTCTCTGGTCGGAATGACTGGCTTTTCCGCAAACTACCTATACCGTGAATCACAAGGCCAAAGCATCTGGAAAGTCATTGGTGGCTCGAAGGCCGAAGAGATGCGACCAAAGGGCGACACATCACTACCCACCGACAAGGCTCGTGAGTTTCAGCGTCAATTGAAGCTGCAACGCGAGGCAAGGGCTGCTGGCGACAACTCTGGAGTTGAGGCTGCCCAACAAAACAAGCAAAATATTCTTGAGCAGGTCTACTACGGGGATGAGAAGCCCGAGGGCTGGCGAGCACGCAGAGCACAAGAAGACCAGAAGGCTCTTGCTGAGGGCAAGGGTCTGAGCGACATCATCCTCGACCAGATCTGGGACGTCTGGACTTGGGGCAAGCACAAGGAGGCTCAGGCTGAGGCCCAAGTCAAGTCAGAGGTCGAGAAGAAGAACTAGGAGGCTTTGTCACAACACCGGAGTTCATACATATCGGAACGGCTTTCTTGTACGACTAGCACTTGGGCATGAGATTGTATTATACGCGGAATGCATGATATTCAATCATAGACCCTCCGTTCCGAGCATCGCAACTAGGAGGACGATGTTGTGGATCTACCAAAAACAATCGAGCAAAGGACTGAAGACAGATACTACTGACCTGTGTATATAGTCTATCGTAAGCCAGACCAATCGCGGCTTGGTAACAAGGAACATGGAGTAAGCGGCATGCTCGCTTAGATATCGTGCCTAAAAAGCGCTCCCGAGATCCTAGTAACCCGCAGCTACTTGCTTGGTATTGCTTACCGAGTTAAGCTCACATCCGTTCCGATGTTATATATTGGACATGCGATACGTCTCTCCAACCTCGAGTCCACTTTAACAAAATTTTCAAGATCTGTATTATCAGATACAAATTATGTTGGCACTCTTGACTTGGTCCTCCGTACTTCTGGGGAGTACTCTTGCACAGAGTACTCCTTTTCTCAATACATCTAGAAGTGCTTCCATCTATGCAGCCGCAAAAGCAGACGGCATCGATCTGACGGTCTTGCCTTTCGTGACTGCCGCTCTCGACTCGGTCGAGAATGCCTATACGCCAATTGCAATACCATCATTCAGTAACGCGTCGAGGATTGATGTACATGGTGAGCCGAGTGACGATTGATCTCCGGCCTCCAACGTTAGTTGACTTGGTATAGCTCACATAGTGCCCATATGGTACCACGCACTCGTCCCTACAACAGGCCAAAGTCCGACTCCAAACTGGACCTTGGAAGCACAGTTCAGCATGATGCAAACAGTCGGCATCCGGAAAAGCATCCTCTCCATCTCAGCACCTGGCAGTACCGTATACGTAGCCGATGAAGCAAGAGCAACCGCTCTGGCAAGGCTGTTGAATGAATACCTGGCCGCCCTGTCTCGTACTTACCCTTCTCATTTTGGCTTCTTCGCCGTCACCCCGTTACCCTATGTGGATGCAGCCATCAGAGAAGCTCGCTATGCACTCGATCACCTTGGTGCTGCAGGTATAGGGCTCCTTTCCAACCACGAAGGCTACTATCTTGGTAATCCTCGATTCCAGCCTTTCTACTCTTTCCTCAACATTTCCACGAACACCACCGCCAACGAGATTGTCTTTGTGCATCCGAACGAGCCATGTATGAGGATCCCAAACGGCAATGGAAGCTTGATCATCGCAAACCCAACCATCTACCCTGACGGCTTGGTGGAGCTCTACTTTGAATCCGCAAGAACGTTCATGGACCTCACGCTCTCCTCCACTCTATCCTCCTTCTCAAAGCTCAACTTCATCGTACCTCATGCTGGCGGTAGTTTTCCTTCGATCATCAGTAGAATGCTCTCGCGTCTTTCCCCTGCGGCGTTTGCGGCGCAGCTGGAAGTTTTCAAGCAGAGATTGTGGTGGGATACTGCGGGTCCGACTTTTCCTTGTCAGGTCAAGGGGTTGTTGGCTTATGGGATCGGAACCGATAAGTTGGTTTTGGGCACTGATTATCCGTATGTGCCTGGAGTGCCAGTACAGGTATACAAGGCATTTGCCGATGAGGTCAGCGAAGCGGACTTCTTGGATGCCACTGAGAAGCAGGGAGTGTACTATGGCAATGCTGCAAATCTACTCGGCGCTCGACTCGGATAGTTGTTTTGTGCAGTCATTTTGTGTATTGCGACGTGGAAAAGTTTTGTTGATCATGGTCTTGGGATGGGTGTCGTTGTGAAGCATCTACCTATCGAACCTAGGTACCTTGCTGTCTGGAGCCCGACTCAGAGACCTGGCAGATCACCCCGTTTATGCTGATGCGAGCGAGACGACCATTCGGTACTGCATCAAAGTCGCGAAGCTTGCCTTTGTAGAGATCCTTGGAGGAATATGTTCGACCGACAGCCCTTTCTCAGCTGAACCGCAACCTTTCTCTCACTTTATTCCTTCGACTCGACCTTTAGCTTTCCTTCTTTCTCTGGTCAAGCAATATTTGTTGTTAAATCTACTTCCTGCCCTTTTTCCTTCCAACAACAACTTCTTCTCATACAAAATCAACGCCATCCACCGTCAACACCTTCCTTTTGAAGGGATGTCTTCTGTCCCGATGGAGAGTAGTGATTTTCAAAGCTCTCTCTGGACATAGGCTATTTCATGACTACTTTGTGCATTTTTATAGCATCTTTTTGACGTGCGGTTCCATGCTGAGAGCGTTGATCTTTCCCCTTGCCCCCTTTCCTCCCTGCCGTTTCTCTCCCTCGTGCCGCTCAGATTTATAGTATAGCATAAAAACGCATAATGCTTTTTGATCTCTAGCAGATGTCCCTGTGGTCACTCATCTGATCCGATAAGCAATTGTGTAATTCCATAGCATACTGTAGCACTAGTTGTTGGAGTAGGAGAGAGGCTGTGACTGCTTTTGGTCGCTGACCCCATGACTCCAAGAACAGCTTCACTCATCTCTTAAAGATATATCCACTACTGCTTTCCCACAATATCTCTCTCCTCAATCCTCATCCACATGTCTGTAAAGTAGCTAAGCCCACCCTTGTACCAATACCTTGCCGGTTGCTCTTTGTTCACCGCCTCAAACTTGAACGTCCTCAAAAACTGCAAAGGCGCTTTATACAACTCCATATTCGCGATTTCTTTGCCCAAACATCCTCTTGCGCCATAGCCAAAACCTAGATTGTATTTGTTGAAGATACGGGTTTGTTCTTCGTCTTCAAACCAGCGAGAGGGACGGAAAACGTCGGCGTCGGGGCCATAGATTGCAGGGTCGCGGTGCACGATGTAGGGGTTACTGGACACTTCCATGTTTTCAGGGATGTGTTGACCAAAGAGATCCATGCCTCCTTTGCTCACCACGCGAGGGAAAATGTTTGGCGCGGAGGGTGTAAGGCGCATGGATTCTCTGATGCAGGCGATGTAGAAGGGGCAGTGTTCGACGACTTCGTGGTACTGAGGCATAGCGGAGAGGTGGCCGGCTGCAGTAGCGGTGTCGAGTTCGTTCATCAGGGTTGTGTAGACGGAAGGGTGGGTGAGAATGTCTCTCATCAGGGCTTGGAAGGCTGTGCCTGTGGTGTCTGCGCCTGCGAGCAGGACGAGCAGGATCTCGGCTCTGATGTACTCGGGATCAAGGGCTTGACCTTTTTCGTCGCGCGCGTCGATGAAGCTTTTATTGTGTTAGTTGTCATGGCTCCAAGTTGTTTGCATGAGCAGTACTGACGTCTGAAGTAGATCAATCCTGCCATTCGTGTTACCGGCCTCGATATCATTCCTCCTCTGCTCAATCAACTTATCGCGGAATCTCATAAGCGTACCAATGCCAGACTCCTGCTCTGGTCTAGCGACAAGATACTTGTCGCCAAAGGCAGTTCGCTTGATCCATCCAGTAAAAGGATACAGGCGAGCCATAAGTCCGAAAGGAACCAGGCCTTCGTGAAGACCTTTGATCAAGCCAGCAACATCCGACCCAGATTTGATGAAGCCAAAAGGGGCACCAAAGCCAACTTCGGAGATGACATCGTATGCCATGTATACAGCCCAGGGAGCAAAATCCATCTTTTCGCCAGTCTTTGCGAAGCGAGTCGAGAGTTCGTTGATCCAGTCATTGATGCGTAGATCAATCAATGGCTCCATTTTCTTGATGTTAGAGAAGCTNGTGTTGATTTGTTAGCCTGGCGGTCCGTTGCAGCATTTTGAAGGATCATACCTATAAGATCCAGCAGCGACTTTCCTGAAGCGAGCATGTACCTTCGAGTCTTGCATGTTGAACAGACTCTCGACGTGTCCAAAACTTCCGGTTATGTAATGTTTTGACTTGTCTGCATGACGATGGTAGATCTCGGGCAACTTTGTGGCATCGCTGACCAACAGGAGCGTAGGAGTGACTCTGATGATAGGGCCNTTCGAAGATGTCAGTATTTGAAACGATGGGCAGTGGCGATTCTGTCACCTACCATATTTCTTGTGGAGTTCGAGACAAACTGTGTGCTCATCTTCCCTGAGGTTGTGATANTCTGCCTGATAATTAGCTTCCTAGAAACCGACATGCGAAATCGTAGACAGAGTCTGGAAAGGTGCTGGCACTGACGCGATCCATGATCTTGTCACGCTCCCCCAGAACGGGCCTGGGAAGCTGGACAAAGGGTGAAACCATCTGTAGTAAACGATCTGGTATATGATACGAGCGACGACATATCCCAACATTGCAAGAATCAGATTGCGGAAGGTTAGCAAGGAAAGAGTAGCAGAGCTACCACTCTGCACAGAGGAATTCATGACGCGGATACAAACGACAAAATATGAGGAAGGAGCGAGAGACTCCAAGCTCCTTCTTAAGCTATCCACTCGGAGCGAATGATTGCGAACATATTACAGATCAACCAGCCCAGCACTTGCTGGCTTATGAAACCAATTCGAGACTGCAGACGCCAAGCGGACCCAACGACCCTCTATCCTATGGGTCGTGTCCAGAGGATTCTGGCAGTACCTCGCTTACATGATTGCCCAGCAAGCGATATAGTAGGGTTTGAGGAAGGTACTTGGATGGTAAGAAGGGTCCGCAGCACAAGCACGGGAACATTAGTGGCTCTGTCGGACCTACGAGGCAGTGGTGCGTGTCTTGTAGCCCCGCTCCTGTTGCAGGTTCATATCGATGAAGTTGAATGGTCAGTATTGACAACAACGGACCAATGAAGCAGTGATTGACATGTTGTCTGACAGCCAGCGAAGCCAGGGCAACTTCGCCAGGGCATGCTCGGGTGAGCTTTGTTGACTTGCTGAACAAATGAAATCAAAACTCGGCCCAACATGCCGAACAAGATAACGTGAAACACTGCAGGATTGATGTTTTAGTTTCCGGATGACGAGTGAACATGTAGGCCCGTCCCGTCGAACGCTGGTTCTGTTCCCGGTTAGTTATGTCCTTCGACATGCTGAACAGCGACTGTAGCACAACACGATAACCAAACAACAGCTCTTGACTCGAGCGGTGAAGGCTCACGTGATTTATCTAGCTGACGGCGTACCAAGGAAGCTGCCACCCGTACATTAGTCTGCATAGATTAATGCTTAATATAGTGGGGCCGACTCGCGGCAGACATGACGATCAGCTGGACGACGATCAGCTGGCAGAGGAGCCGAGCATGGTTACTCTCGCGAAATTCAGTTGTGAATACAATGATTGACAATATGCTGGGAGAGGGTATTGGAACAGTATACCAGATACTGTCCTCTTCTGCAGTTTAATAGATACATTGTAGCCGCTTCCGAGCCCGAGTGTGGGTATGAAGGTATGGTGGATCCAGATCCGAATACCTATCTGCCTGATTATGACCTTGGGTATATGTTTGCGAGAATCCACGATACTCATGAGAGCTCCCTGTGGTCTTTGTGGGAGCCGAGTGAGTTTCTCTCCTCATAGGCACTCCGAGATTCTCCTTCTACGTGGACGTGTCTCGTCACACCGATTCTGTTTGGTGGATGTAGAGCTGCCTCTTCACTTGACACGCTGTCGGTATCCTGGTTGATAGTAGTCTGGAAACGACCTTTTGACATGCCCAGATCCCGGTCAATCGTATCGAGGGCCATATGATGGCTTCCTGCTGTACCCCCNATCTTGTGAAAGCCGCTGCTGCCGACTTTGACGTGTACGGATCGCGATGGGTATCGGTTGGAGTCGTAGGAGCCGCCCAGTAGCTTGGGCGCGAATTTCTTAGCTATGGCTTTGAATGCAGGCATCGATGCGGTCAGGATTCCAACGCTGGTCTCGATCACGCTCCAGTACATGGGTCCTGAGATCGTCCAGGTCGGATCTTTTGAGAAGAGCATACTCGGGATATATGTGATCCTGATGATAGATGACATGCAGGTGNNCTAGAACCGTCAGCGTCTGTGGCAACTAGATCTTGCAACAAAGACAACGTACAATAGACCGAGCCCAAGCATAATGCCTAGGCCGATTTTTTGTCTGCGAGGAATTTGCAGCTTGCGAACCAAGCGGAAAGGCAAGATATAAGTCAACAAATCCGTCAATATCGTCAACGCCGCGTTTGTCAGATAGAATGCCGAAATGTTGATACATTTAGCGGTCGTTTGGAGCTCTAACGTATATGCCGCAGCGACCGGTGTGCATTGAAAGATGCATGTGAAGACGTTGGCGATAGCCTGGCAAACAACAATCGCTAGCAGAATTTGCGCGAGACGTTTCAGCTGCTTATCTCCAAGACGAAGGTAGAATGCGAGGATGGAGGACTTCAGAAAGCCTAGACAAGCATTGTAGAAGATTGAAGACAGCCAAACAGTCTGCAAGNNACCCCGAGTCAGCGAAATATGCATGCACTCGACTGAGCTGTGTAGACGTACCTGTAAGTAGCTGTTCAGATTACTAGGACCTCTCGCTCTGACCTCGTCGAAGTGTGAGCCCAGTCCATGTTGGACCGCAATGATTGTGGCAACGATGAAGGCCCATGCGAGAAGAGCCGTGATACAGATTAGAACNTGCTTCCCGTTAGCTTGCGAAGTCAGATATGAGAGAAAGAACTCACCGTCATCCAGACCTATCTTCCCAAGGATAAATACTCGAGCGTAGAGGCGCAAAGCTATGACAAGGACGCTGAGTATCCCAAATATGACCGATATGGTGATGATCGTTTGACCCTGTGAGTCGGACATGTTGACGACAGTCTTCTCCCACCGACGCAATTTCGGTGAGTTGTGATGAGCAGGAGAGAGGGCACGAGAGCGAAGACGTAATACTCGACGATGGTGGAGAAGAGAGGCAGATTGGCGAGACGTATATTATAAGTCAGGGGACAAACTTGAGGGGAGACACAGACTCAAGGCTTCCTTTGATACCTGGAGCAGAATGTGACAGTGCAGCAGTCAAGAATCGGGAAGGATGCGTGCAGGTAGAAAAGATCTTGACTAGATGCACCCCGACCACTGCACATCTGTTAGTCTGCACATCACGACAGACTAGGTAGCACTTCGAGGGGCTGAAGGTTTACTCGAGTCAAAGGCGCATTGGACGTTCTTTGACGGCGATGTACGGAGGGATTATAGACGGGGATGGTGGCAGAGCATGGACGTAGATCATGTACCCACAACAGAAAGCGTGTTAAAGCCTGCTTTTGCCCAGAGGATGCGGTAGAGCCGAGGGCGCCTTTGACAAGGAGGACATGCAGGGCTAAGAAGACTAGTTTCGGTCCGCGACAGGATACTCGAACAGACTCGGCCCTCTACCATTATGTCGGGTCACAGGATGAGTGTCCGAGAAGAATGGTCGAAGTTTGATTTAGAACACAGCATGTCTGATGAGTGGCATTGGTGAAGCTGTTTCGAGCTCGTTGATATCTGTGAAAGCCTTCGGTTCTCTTGATAACGGTGGGTGAGGCGAAGGTGAGAACGGTGAAGGTGGTTGGAAAGATGACGCGAAGTGTCAAGCGGTCGTAGCGAACCCCTGTTGCGAACGAATGGCCCATGCATATCCCATTCCTTACCCGCCGAGCTCCAACCTCATCCTCGACGCGACAGCTGCATTGGAACGACTCACGTTCAAACTGCTCAACCAGACTCCAGCACGATTACGTGTGCAGCCACCGTCAGGATTGCATTTCGATGCACCTCGGCGGCCCGGCATCATATGACACTGGTTCTTGGGTTCAGCCTCAGAAGCCCAAAGGATCGATCACTCTTGCATGCATGGTCGCGCATTTGGAGGGAAACATGCTAAACACGCACGAGCAAGAAGAAAAGCTGTTGCATTCGTACATGCATCCCCTGTTTCCACTAGCAAGGCTGAACGTTCCTGCGGAAAAAGAGAGTTCTTGGATGCAGCAAGTGTGCAGCGTCGAAAGCACCATCGTGTCGTGTTCTGCGTGAAACAGGCGCGGTTCGCGAATCCATCGGACAGGCTTCATCAGTCAATCTCATATTCACACTCTACTCCACCCGCCAGTATATTGCAGTGGTCACGCGAGAACAAGCACGCAAGTCTGTTTGAGAAACACTCTCGAGCAGCGGCATGTCGAAATGGTGATATACTGCGCAACCGAAGTGAAGGATAAGTGGAGGCAAGACATGGGGCTCAGCATCCAATATAAGCTTACGGCGTAGTGAAGCGAGCAAGACTGCTGAAGCAGACAGAGTGCCGAGAGATGCACCCCTGATGATCGGCCAGGTCAAGAGCTTTTGGAAGTTGTACTGTGGACCGTGATCAACCATACAATGTCCTTATAGTAAGTCCCACAAGTATATTCGTACACAGAGCAGGACCCAGAAGCTTGGTTGGATAATATAACATGTCATTTCCTGCTGGCCNCAAAAAAAAAAAAGAACTATAGCTAAAAGTACAGACCCACCGGATATGCGACGAAAGTGGAGAAGATAGAAACAGAGGCTTTTGGTGACNCTTTTTGTACAGATACCCCCTTCGGACATGTTCCAGGGTGGCCTCGATGGCCGCATCAGTCTTCGATAGCCTGATCGAAGCGGCGACCTGAGTCGAGGCTGTTGCCGAGTGGCATGGCGAGAAACCATGGTGGCGAGATTTTGTCAAGTTTATTCAAGGATGCGAGTGATGATACCAGTGGCGACAGTGCGGCCACCCTCACGGATGTTGAAGCGCTGTCCCTGTTCAACGGCGAGAGGCTTGTGGAGNGAGCAGACCATCTCGACGTTGTCACCGGGCATGACCATCTTGGAGTCGGCGTCCTCGGTGCCTTCGGGCCAGTCAATAGCAGCAGCCTCGTCTGTCGAACGTGTTAGATCTACATTTAGAGCAGCAATCCAGGATCAAGACTTACCAGCAGTACGAATGAAGATCTGGGGACGGTAGTTTCCGTGGAAACCAGTGTGGCGACCACCCTCCTCCTTGGTCAGGACATACATGGAGACGAGGAACTTCTTGTGGGAAGTGACGGTGCCGGGCTTGACAACGACCATACCACGAGTGACTTCCTCACGCTTGATACCACGGAGCAGAAGACCGGAGTTGTCACCAGCGCGGGACTCGTCGCAAGACTTCTTGAAGGTCTCAATGTCGGTAACCTTGGTCTTGATGGGGACCTTGTTCTTGCCGACAAGCTCGATTTCGGTATCCTTCTTCAGGAGACCACGCTCGACACGGCCAGAAACGACAGTACCACGTCCAGGGATGGAGAAGACATCCTCAACGGACATGAGGAAAGGCTTCTCAAGGTCTCTCTGGGGAGTGGGGATCCACTCGTCGACAGCGTTCATCAGGTTGTCGATCTGGGTGGCGCCAATCTCGGGCTGGCGGTTCTCAAGGGCGCAGAGAGCAGAGCCCATGATGATGGGGGTCTCGTCACCCTCGAAGCCGTAGCTGCTGAGGAGCTCACGCATCTCCATCTCGACGAGCTCAAGCATCTCCTTGTCCTCGATAGCGTCGACCTTGTTGACGAAGACGACAATCTTCTGGATACCGACCTGACGGGCGAGGAGCAAGTGCTCTCTGGTCTGGGGCATCTGACCGTCCGAAGCGGCGACAACGATGATGGCACCGTCCATGGAAGCGGCACCAGTAATCATGTTCTTGATGTAATCGGCGTGACCGGGGCAGTCGACGTGGGCATAGTGGCGGTTATCGGTCTGGTACTCGATGTGAGCAGTGGAGATGGTGATACCACGCTTGCGTTCCTCGGGGGCCTTGTCAATCGAGGCGTAGTCGAGGAAGTTCGCGTAGCCCTTCTCGGCCTGGCGCTTGGTGATGGCGGCAGTGAGGGTAGTCTTGCCGTGATCGACGTGGCCGATGGTGCCTGGGACATGTCAGAGGGAGCATAGCAGCATACAGGAGGGCGGCGACGGACCAATGTTGACGTGAGGCTTGTTGCGCTCAAAGGCAGTGGCGTAGTTTCTCATGTAGGCACCTCCGCGAGGACCCCATGCGGCCTGGACGGGGTTGGCGGCGCCATTGCTACGGAGAGCAGCGCGGCTGGTACGCAGGAAGGCACTGGCAAACGAAGACATGATGCTGTTCAGCGAGTGGATTGGACAAGACGACGGAACGAGTGCGGCGAATCGTGCCTGTGTAGAGTTGCACCGGGGAGCTCAACTTTTTCTGTTTGCTCTGTTTGCAACGAATTTGTGTCTGGCCCTTCGTGCCTTCCTCGAATTGCGCAGGTCGACAATCGCAAAGCACGCCAGCATCGCCAGTCCAGCCCAGCGCTCCTGCTGTCTCGCAATTCGGCCTTCTCGTCGCCTTCCTTCCTTCTGCTGGATCTGGTCTCTGTCGATTGTCTCGTCTCGGTCGCGCCTCCTGCCCGCAACCTTCGGCTTGCCCTTTACCGAGGCTCTGAAGCTTGCTCTACGCATTCCATGCCCGCTTAAGAAGTCCGACTCCCTCCTTCTTCCCTCAACATGCTGCTCCGACCAACTTGCGCCCGCACTGCTCAACCGCTGAGCTGGATCTCGCGGACTCGTCCCACTACTATCATGCCTCTCCGCGCTCGCATCAACAACCCCTCCTTCTCCGACATGGCTGGAAAACCTGGAGACGAGCCCAACGATGTCCTTTTCAGCTCACACTACGGCGTCCGCACCATCGAACTCAACCGTCCCAAGAAGCTCAACTCGCTCAATGGCTCCATGGCCAACAAAATCCTACCACGTCTGAAGGAATGGCAAAAGTCGCAATTGGCAAATGTTATCGTTCTCAAGGGTGCCGGCAGAGCTCTCTGTGCTGGTGGTGATGTTGCTGCTCTGGCCAAGGACAACCAAACAGGCCCCGAAGGTCAACAGCGCTCGAAGGACTATTTCGCTCTCGAATACCAGCTTGACTACACCATTGCGACTTACCCCAAGCCCTATGTCGCCTTCATGGACGGTATCACCATGGGTGGTGGTGTTGGTCTCAGCGTTCACGCTCCTTTCCGTATTGCTACTGAAAACACCGTCTTTGCCATGCCCGAAACCACTATCGGCTTCTTCCCCGACGTTGGCGCCAGTTTCTTCTTGCCTCGCATGGACGGTGCTGTAGGCACTTACCTCGCACTCACCAGCGAACAGATCAAGGGCGTCAACGCTTTCCTGTCAGGAATTGCTACTCATTACCTTCACAGCAGTTCGCTTCCTGATTTGGAGGCCCGTCTTGCTGAGCTCAACTTTGGCGACGAAGTTTCGTATAACACCCGCCTGAGCATCATCAACGACACTATTGAGGAGTTCACCACCGGCATGCCTCACGACGCACCGCCGCATTTCTCGACCAACGTCCGCATTGCCATCGATTACTGTTTCCAGGAGATTCACAACATTGACCAGATCATGGAGGCCCTGAAAGAAACCGAGGAAAGTTCACCTCCCGAGGTCAAGAAGTGGGCTGCAAAGACCCGTGAGACCATTGCACAGCGCAGCCCGACCAGCATCAAGGTTACTCTCTCCCAGCTGAGGAGAGGCGCACAATGGAATATTGCTCAGACCTTCCAGAACGAGCACAACATTGCGTCCAAGTTCATGGAGCACCCTGACTTTGTTGAGGGCGTCTCGGCACGTCTGATTCGCAAGCCCGCTGAGAAGCCTCAATGGGCAAAGACAAGCTTCGACGAAGTTTCTGAGAGCGAGGTCAACTCTTTCTTCACCGCTGAGCTCAAGCTCGAACTTCCCAATACTGGCGATGACTCGTCCTACACCGATTACCCTCATGCTTGGACTGGACTGCCGCGGGAAGCTGAAATCGAGGCTTTTGTCAAATCTAACCCGAGATACGACATGGAGGGCGTCGTCAACAACTTCGTAAGGAAGTCACGCGGAAAGATGGGTGTAAGAGAGAAGGTCGAGGAAGTGCTCAACAGGAGGACGAGCCCGGCCGACAACAAGAGAGGTTTCGCATGGAACTGATGATATGACCGGTCTTTTTTATTGTACAAATTTTGTAAAATACACATTCCCAAGCTCTCTTTCTGTTTCATCATCCCGCAGGATCACATTCATGACTTGGTGTTGAGCTTCATACGACAAATCTCTAGAGATGCAAAAGCCGGTCCTTCATGTTGCGCTTCGAGAACTGCATAGAGTATGTACAAGGCTCAACCACCACTGAATAGATGATGATATACGGATCAGTCGGCTAGCGCGCATCAGTTCCAGTGTGAGGCATCGGCAATAATTGAGCAAGATGAGGAGGCTCAAAAATGCCCCAGGAAAATGCAGACGTCATCCTGCAGGGACTTGCAGATCGCGCGTTTGATTGTTCAGATCGTCCATCAACCTTGTCACCTCTTCTATGAGCCGTATTCCTTCCCTGTTCATCAACAAAAGTCGCGTGCTTCTTCACCAAGCCGTGTAAAGATGAGTCCTCAGCAGAACGGACAAGATGAACGGGAGCCTTTACTGCAGAACGGTCACGTTGATGGCGGAGAAGGCGGGGATAGTCGCGAGGTCATCTCGTTCTCAGAGAATGATGCAAGTGACCCGAGACAGTGGCCAAGGAGAAGAAAGATGATCAATGTAGGCATTATTGCCTTGATGGCCAGTAAGTCGTATCATGTCCTTGTTGTTAGGATGGTAAGCTGACGATATGTGTAGNTCCTTTCTCCTCTGGCATCATCCATGTTTAGTCCTGGTATTCAACAGATAGCCGATGATCTCAACACCACCAAAGATGCTGTGATTGCCTGCACCACTGGCTTTGTCATTATGCTGGGTATTGGACCTCTTATCCTGGCTCCCCTTTCTGAAACTTTTGGAAGAAGGAATGTCTACATTTACTGCTACACTGCATTCTCTATCCTTCAAATTCCGTCCGCGCTAGCTCCTAACATTGCCACTTTGATAGCTGTCAGAACTATCTCAGGCTTCTTCGGTGCTGTGGCTATCGCAAACGGTTTGTTAAATCTGATCCTTCTTGTTGAAAGGCTCATGCTAACATTTTATANNGGTGGTGGCACGATTTCAGACATGTTTGTACCAGAAGAAAGAGCTGGTATCTTCGGATGGTATCTTCTTGGTCCTCTACTCGGACCCACACTCGGTCCTCTGTTTGGCGGCATCATAGTGCAACGAGCAGGCTGGCGCTGGATCTTCTGGACCACCACAATCATCTGCACCATCAACACTGTAGTCGGCTACTTCTTCCTGCACGAGTCCTACGCGCCTGTTTTGCTAAGTCGGAAAAAGGCCAGCATGGAGTCTGAAGAAGGAACTTCCGGCAAATACCGCTTCGAAGGCGAAGACGACAGACCATTGAGCAGGAAACTCGCTCACTCGCTGAAGAGACCTTTCAGAATCATCACGCAGCCGATCGTGCTCATCATGAGTGCCTACCAAGCTCTCATCTTCGGAACGACCTACAGCATCTACACAAACATGCAAGCCATTTTTGAAGGCGACTATGGCTTCAACACTGAACAAGTCGGTCTTCTCTACCTCGGTCCTGGTCTTGGCTTCCTGACTTCTGTCTGGTTCTTGGTGCCCCAAATCGATCGCGTGTACAAGAAACTTGGCGAACGCAACAAGTGCGATCCAGTCCCTGAATACCGTCTCCCTCTGGCAAACATCGGTGCCGTGCTAATCCCAATCTCTCTCTTCTGCTTCTTCTGGGCTGTGGAGAAACATGCACACTGGGCTCTTTGCATCACCGCGACCTACTTCTATGGTGTAGGCCAGGTTATGATTCTCAACTGCACGCAAAACTACTACATCGACTCGTTTGAAAAGTATGCTGCTTCTGCTATTGCTGCTGGTGCAGTGTTCAGAAGTTTGTTTGGTGGTGTGGTACCTTTGATTGCGCCTTCGTTGTTCAAAAGCTTGGGCTATGGATGGGGAGGTAGTGTGTTTGGATTCCTTTCGCTGGCTATTGCTCCTGCACCTCTTCTGTTCTACAGATATGGTGGCATGATCAGAGAGAAGTTTAAGATCGAGCTGTGATCTGAGGATGGGCATTTGGTGTAAAAATTGCATAAGAATTTTTAGAGTTAATGTCATCGCAGAAAACAGGAGTTTGGGATAAGGAAGTTGGTATGAGCAATCTCAATTTTTCTAAGATATACTGTAATGTATGAAAGAGCAGAGTCTTCTAAAAGAGAGTGTGTGCAAGGAAACAAGATCTAAGATCAAAGTCAGTCATGACAAAGGAAAACAGAGCCATGTGCTCATGATCAGTTCAAGATCCCAAAAGAACGTGCGTGCCATCTCCTTCTTTCCTATGCCATGAACACAAGCGCTCAACCCATCAAAAGTCGCTCGGTCCCATCTCTTCTCTCCTTTTCCGCCTCCTTCGGACGACCGATTTCGTCAGCGACTCTCTTCGACTTGGTCAACCGAAGCTCAATCAATCTCCATGACCTCCACAGGCTCAATCAAGATACCACGCTGCTTTCTGTAGAAAGCAGTGCCCTGCACAGCATGCACATCAACCTCGCGCTCATGCACATCCCGCACCTTGATAGGCATAGCCTTCTCACTCAAATCCTTCAACCCCATATTGTGAATGATAGGAGCAGTAAAGCACTCAGGCATACTTCCGGTAATGGTAACTTTACCCACAGCCCCACGCAGGTAGTTGAGATAGCGCATGCATGCATAAACAGTGTTGTCGGGGTAATACTCACTAATAGCAAGAATCAAGCGCTTGCTGCGTGGCTCTGAGAAGTGGAGGTGCAGAGATTTGAGCAGGTTGTTCTTGCGGCGGCGTCTGAGCATGTTGGCGACGGTGGGGAGCATGGAGAGGTGATTGTGGTATGTCAGGTGCAGCTCCAAGTGTTGGATCTTCTTGAAGGTGTAGGGAGTGAAGAAGTCGTCGAGTTTGAGGAAGGTGGAGTTTACCATTGGGTAGAGGTTCTTGATGACAAAGGGCTTGCTGTAGATTACTTCGTTGGCTTCTTGTTCGATTTGTCTGTTGAGGAGGAAGATGGTGGGGGTTGTTGTTTCCTTGAAGGTGGGATCTTGGTTGCTGATGTGGGTTAGTTTGATGTTTGCTGGTGAGAGTATCGTGGTTATACTTGCAAGNGCAAGCTGCTTGATTGCGAGCTGAAAAGCAGAGGCGCCATCGTTGACATCAGCAGCGTAGCCGTAAATCTTCTGGCGAATATGAAGAGGAAGGCTGAGGAAACCACAAGCCGGACCTTTCATACAGCTGACAATCTCCTGCTTGATATCTTCAGAGAGCTCAACAGTCAGAGAGACCATTTCGATGCTGTGCAGCTCTTTTAGGGCTCTAATCAAGTTGTGGGCCCAGCTCTTGATGCCACATTGCTTTTGCTCGTCATCCAAGCAATCTCTCAGGTGAAAGGACAGATATGCTGATGTGTAATCCATGGTGAACGACTTGATCGAGTGACCAGATCTGAGAATTGTAGCAAGCTCAGTAACAGCATAGCAAATGCCTCCAAAACAGTCATGGGGAGGAGGGTTCAGGTGGCGAGTTCCAGCATCTGAGAAGTTGATGTAGCGGAGTTTGCGAAGTAACTCAGGGGCAATGAGATCCTGGAGATGGGCCTTGAATATACCGAAGGACAGATTGAGAGGAGTCTTGTACAAGATGGGCAGAGCTTCTTCGGTGATATCCTTGCTGACCAAGAGAATAGATGGGCAAGACTTCTCGACATCGGGAGCAGGCTCTCTTGTATCGGATGTGACACACAGAAGTTCCAGGTAGTCACTGCAGTACTTGTCGATTGAGTCGAAAGACAGAGCGTACTCGTAGACCATGAAGCGAAGTTCCTTGGGCAAGTCGCGGAAACGGAATGGGACGTCGACAGGATCGGTAATTGGGTTGCTGAGTGTGAGGGACGAACCAAAGCCGACGTCAGGAGAACAGCACTTGGTGAACGACATAGCGATGAAAGGGTCTTAACCAGCAAGACAGCGTAAGAAGGCGAAGAGAGGACGGCGTAANGCAAGCACCCGAACCAGCGGGATATAATGAGACAACAAGAAGAAGCAAAGCGATGAAGTGGATGATAGCAGGAAGAGAGCCTCTTGCCACAGGACCAGAATTAGTACTCCCAACGTCAATAGCCAAGCCGTCCATTGTGCTGGTAAATAATATCTCGCTTTTCGAGAAGCTATTCAGTCGTTATTGTCTTCACAAAACGCAATGATCCGACTTATCATTGATGGATAACGACTGATCTAACATAATGGTGAGCAATGGTACGAATAGGTTTCTTAGTACTTACTATTGATGGGAGTGTAGTGCCAAACTACAGTCAGGACGACACGCATCATTCAGTGAAACAAGTCGAGTGAAAGCCAACCAACAAGAATACGGAATAAGGAGGCACTTGATGTAAGTGTCGACTTGATCCTCGTATGTCCCTTTGGGGAGATATCAACTTTTGGAAAAGAGAGATACCTTGCATTCAGGTAATAGTACGTCTTGTTGCAAATGTTCTTGTTTCTCTTCCTTAGTGATACCCTCTGTCGTTTGCAGCTCCGTCCTTGCAGCGGTGTTCTTGCCTCTCTCCATACTGCCATAGTGTTATTCCCATGCCTCATGCTGATTTAACGCCTCTCAAATCATGGTAATCTGGTTGCGAAACAACTCCCAAGCATCAACCACAGATTCCATGTGCTGAACAGCGGCCTTGGCTTCTCGTTTGGTTACTTTGTCATCCCCTCCTGCCCCATCGGCGAATTCGGTGAGGCGCTTTTTCCAGAGGTCCCAGCGCTCATTGCACATGCAATCGTACTTGTATACCATCTCGTAGCCTGGCGGAGGCTTGAAGCAGTCCTGCATGTTCTGGTTGACTGCGTCCTCATAGAATCTCCTGCCATTATTAATGATCCAGCGAGCAACCGCTGGAATATACCAATCCGGTATGAATAGCCTTGGTGGACCTTTGCGTTGTTCGAGATCATTGGATTCATGGTTCCATTCAAGTGCCCAGGCGATGAGGTAGTATGCTCTTCTTATCTCGATTAATCCAGCAGCAGTGAGCTGAGCTGAGATGTCTTGTCTCTTGATATAGAGTTCGAATTCGCGGTGAAGGATGGCAGGTGTTTTTGCACATCTGTCCAAGATATCATCAGGGTCTTCCCAACAAATGTCGTTGCGCCAAATCGATCTCAGCCAGGGTAGGCCTTTCCACAATAGTGGTCCACCATCACTCGACTCGTATTATCCGTCATGAGGGCCATCAGTAAGATCTTCGAATGCGCGAAGGAGCATTATGAAGCTCCTGATGCAGGATGGGGGCCATTTGTCGAGAATTTCTGCGAGCAGAAACATCAGCGCAAAGGATGGTGATACGGCTCCTTTAGTCGGAAGTGGGAGGTGAGTCATAGGTCGAGTGATCGCATAGGCTGTTTCGCTTGCGCTTGAATAGCCGCGATGATAAGCTCTGATGGCGTTGGTCTCTTGATGAAAGCCTTTGTTTGCAGGCTTTCGAATTATTCCGTCACACCACTCACCTGAGAGCACTTCGCTCTCATGAAGAGGCGTTTCCTCGAATGTGTCGGAGGCTTGGTTGGTAGCACACATTTTGATTGGTGAGGAGAGTGTGATGCAGATGGTCTTGCGAAGGGCTGAACAGTATACTTGTAGCAGTCGGCGTCGAGTGTGTCGAGTTGGTCGTCTGGCAGCGACGCAAGTCTGAATATTACTCCTTCCTTAAGTTGGAGCCGACGAAGTGACGTATGGTGGTTTGCTCTTGCCAGTAGTTTACTTTCGTCGTTTGCCTTCCTCGAGAGAGGGGCGTTCGACCTGTTCAAGGCACTGGTGACTTCCAAACAAAGCGATTACTTGACCCCTTCTATTCCCAGCCTCGCGGCTCTCTCTTCCGCGTCAAGAAGCCCGACTTTGATCGCTCTGTCAATCGCAACCTGCGCTCGATCTTGGTTGATCTCGATATGCGCCGCCCAACTCTTCAGGGATGTCCTTGCACCAGCCAGGAATGCCTGGCAAATGGCAGTAAAGTGTTTTTCTTCGTAGCCGACAACCACACACTCTTGCGAGTCAATAAAATTGTGAGCAAATATTGCAGCTTCTGCAAGCCAAGCTTCTCTTGACTGAACAGGCAGAACAATAAACCAACCATGTAATACTTCACAGACAATTTTTGCGATAATTGCAGGTGGGGTATCAATTTCCATACCAAGAAAGGCAATAAGACGAGCAATCCCACCGACGAGCTCTGATGAAAGTAAAGTTTTCTTGCCCTTCAGTGTTCTGCACATTTGCTCGACTCTTCCTGAGGAGACGTCAGTATCGAAAGCATGTGATAGTATAGAATCTTCGGCTTTTAAAGACAACAGATCTTGCAAAGACACGTCGGCTAGTACGGCTGCTTTAGGTATGCTGCCCCAAACCAAGTACTCTTCTTCGGCGGAGTACCTCCACGGAAACATCCTCTTGATGCTCCGGAACAGATCGCGATACGGGCGAGCGTAAAAGATGCTGTCGTCCTGTCCAACCTTTTGCGTATCTATTATGCTGATTCTGCATGACTTCAGATCTTTAGCCCTTGCGCTTGCCTTGATCGCACGACGAACCAACTTGACTAAGCAGCTGCCAGTGCTTATCAAAGGAGACTTAAAGTCTTGATGTTGGCTGATATGTTTTCTGATCGTGTTCTCCAAATCGTGATCCGAGTAGTCTGGTGGCGATGACAGACTGTCGTAACCCTCGAAGTAACTCGCGACGAACCCTTCGGGTGAGTTCGATCCNTGGCTAGCATCATTGTAGGCTCTAAAGAGTACGACTGGTAGTGGGGGATGAGCATCTTCTCTGTTTATGCAAATCCGACGGATCCTCTTCTTTGGATACAACGATTTGGGCAGTGTAGCGTACGCCAGCAAAGCCGTGTCGATGCGGGTCTTAACTTCGCTGAAAGCGTTCTTGTCGTCTTTGATCTCCTTCAGAAAGTCCTCCCAGAGTGCCCTCTGGCTAGTGCGACGGAAGGCGAACTGTGATTTTAAGGCTGTTGGTAGTAGTTCTCTGTCGAGTCCATAATCTGCGATATCTTGCTGATAGATTTCATTGAAAACTCTCGTGGTCTGCTTCCAAGAGCCCTGGGTTATTGTCCGAAGCAAATACAGAGTAACGTGATGCTCCTCTCTGTATCTGAATTTGCGAGCTCTATGCCTTCGTTTTTGCAGCTGACTTTCTGGTGCTCGATGTGCTGTTGATTGCTGGTCTTCGGTCTGTTGTATCGGCGCCACGACTATTGTGTCAGCGTCCGAAGCTGAAGATGGACTTGCAGTATCTGTAACAGCAGAATCGACTAATTCTCTCGACTGCGAATCGTACGAGATGTTGTCATGAACGTCTTTGCCTCTTTCGGGTTGGACTTCTCGGCTTTGATGATATAGATTTATCTGACCATTAGCTGGACAGGCATCGAACACCCCGACAATAGGGGTCAAAGTCAAGATATCTTTGCTCATGTCGTATTGCTGATACAAGTTCTGCAGATTCTAGGGAGCGCGAAAAATCATCCGCTTTGAGCTGGATTTATCAGGCAGAGAGAATGACACATACTTGAAGAGTATTATGCTCAAATTGTGAAATACTTACCATGCTCTACCACAGTGCGGCCATCATACTCAATCGGCCGCTCATGGTTCTACACATCATACCTTGTCGTGTGTCGATCTGAGATTCGAATGTTTGGTTAATTAGAAGCGAGGAGCGTCTTGAGGCAAGAAGGGAAAGCCAGCACACAAGTCGGTGCGCGTCAGTCCGTTATTCGCAACATCTCGACTGTATAGATTGCTAGTTCCACATTGGAGATTTCGACTCCGAAGGTCTAGGTTGAACCTTGGATATGCTATGGCACTCGCAGGTCGAGGTTGCGCCGAAGATTGCGGCCAAGGCCAAGGGGCCACGAACCCCACCATGTGGCTTGCCCTTCCCCGCAAGCCACCCAGAAAGTCGACTGAAGAGGTCCGAAGTGGATCGGCGCCGCGCCGGTGCGAACAGCGAGGACAGCGATCCTCGGAGGAGGATGGCGGGGTTGTGAAGAGCATCAGATGCTGGTAGTTTTTGTGGTCCCCGCTGGAGGGGCAGGACACGAGAGGTACTTCTTAGAACATGCTTCCCTCTCTCCTCTGCCTCACCTGCTCCTGCTGTTCCTCTTCTCTTCGATCGCTTGTCGGTAACGATTATTCTCTTGCATCAACATGTCTGGAACCTCGACGTATAACCCCGCTGCCAAACACTTCATCAATGACCCCAATCACTTGGTTCTCACGGCTCTGAGGTCAATCACTCTTGCCAATCCTTCGGTCGCCTTAGATGCAGAGAACAAGATCATCTTCCGTCGTGGAGATGCTGGCCTCTACAAGGCTTCCCAAGTATCAGTTGTTTCTGGTGGTGGTGCAGGACACGAACCGTCTTTTGCAGCCTTCGTCGGACCTGGTATTCTGTCTGGAGCAATCTCTGGCACTATCTTTGCTTCTCCCTCCGCAGAGCAGATCAGAAGGTGTCTCTTGAGTCGTGTTGACACAGCANAAGGTGTTTTGGTCATTGTCATGAACTATACTGGTGACGTGCTTAACTTTGGTATGGGAGTCGAGGTAAGCTTCTCTAGCTGTTCGGTCAATGGAAAAATACTGACCCATGTTTCAGNNAAAGCAAGAGCAACGGGAGTCGACATCGAGATGCTTGTTGTTGGCGACGACGCTGGTGTTCCTAGATCAAAGGGCGGCAAGGTCGGCAGAAGAGGTATTGCAGGAACTGTGCTCGTACAGAAGATTGCTGGAGCACTAGCCGCTACCGNNGGTATGTTAGAGAGCATTTGGACACGACGAAAAGGGCTAACATCAATCGAAAGAGCACCTCTCAAGGACGTACACCATGTCGCTAAGCTGGCTGCTGACAACATCGTCTCCATCGGATCTTCCCTGTCGCATGTTCACGTTCCTGGTCGCAAAGTCACCGAAGCTGGCGAAGACGAACTCACTTTCGAGGAGGTCGAGATTGGAATGGGTAAGCCGTACGAGCACAATTTCACCAACCTCAGTTCTGACTAGCCCTAATAGNGCATCCACAACGAAGCAGGCTCCGAGCGAACGAAAGCGGATCTCCCCGATCTGGTCGAACAGATGTTGGCACACATGCTAGACGAGGAAGACAAAGAACGCGGTTTCCTCAAGGTTTCCAGCGAAGACGAGACGGTGGTCTTGATCAACAATCTTGGTGGTGTGAGCGTTCTTGAGATGGGTGGCATCGCTGCCGAAGTGTTGGACCAACTCAAGAAGCACTACAGCATCAGGCCTGTCAGAGTTCTCGTTGGCACTTTCATGACTAGTCTGAACGGCATTGGTTTCAGCATCTCCCTGCTCAAGCTTCAGGACACTGGCTTGGACAAATCCATGCTGCAGTTGCTTGATGCTCCTTCGGAGGTCACTGGCTGGGCCACACCTATCAGCACGGCGACCTGGGAGAACAAGTCAAGCGCTGCAGATCGAAGAAAGACTGCTATAGCTGATGGCCAGCAAGACACATCTAGCAACCTCACACGTAGGTTTGCTGCCCTGTTCGCTCGATACGCGTGCTAACGTTTTTATANNGTCAACACTGAAGAGGCCAAGAAAGTGCTCAAGTTAGGTCTGGAGCGCGTAATCGCCGCAGAACCAGATGTCACTCACTATGACACCATTGTCGGTAGGTATAATGGCTTGTGGCATAATCGCCTACCATATACGTAGAACATGGACTAACCAGACCATCATTACANNGGTGATGGAGACTGCGGCATAGGTCTTAAGCGTGGTGCAGAATCGGTGCTTCAGCTCATCTCATCCGACTTGGACACGACAGACGCGGCAATCTTCCTAGGTCGTATCGTCTCCGTGATTGAGACGTCAATGGACGGCACCAGTGGAGCCATCTACGCCATCTTTTTGAACGCTTTAGCTGCTGGTCTGCGTTCTCAGTCGCCAGACTCCGGAAGGAAAGAAGCGACAACCGAGGTTTGGGCAAAGGCGGCTAAGCAGGCTCTAGAAGGTCTTGGTAAATACACACCAGCCAGACCAGGTGACAGAACTCTGGTAGACGCACTTGAGCCCTTCATCGAGCAGCTGGTAGCGACGAAAGATCTGAAGAAGGCAGCTCAGGCAGCCAAGGAAGGATCAGATGCCACCAAGGGAATGAAGGCCAGTCTCGGAAGATCAGTGTATGTTGGCAATGAGGGTTTCAAAGAGGTCCCTGATCCTGGTGCCTACGGTCTTTCGGAGTTCCTGACTGGTCTCGCTGAGGTATGAAAGTCAGAATCTCTGAGGTACAGTATGTCGACTGGCGGTTCGTTTGTATATAATCTGTAATCTTGTCGTTTACACAAACACCAGAAGAATTATCCGTTTGCTAGCAAGGTTTCTTGCTTGCGAGACATGTTCTCAACAGGGTATCGAGAAGTTGATCCATCCCTACATCATCTGTGAGATGCACACAAGGTCAAGACAAGTAAGTTCAAATGTTGGATGTTTTGTGTCAGAAGTTAGGCGACCTTGCATCGAGTGTCTGCGATAAGATTAAGTTATGCGCACGGATAAAACGCACGGATCTTTTGTGCTTAATATGCTCGGGCTTGTGCAGGCGTCAGCATGGTTCCTTATGCATCTACGAGCTCGAGATAGATTCTGTGCCTCCTGCCATCCTCGAGTAGGGATATATGAAGGCCTCTTGAACTCCCGATAGTCCGCAGAGGTGGCAGAGACAACGTCTTCACATTCTTGAACAAATCTGGGTTGCCAACGGTGACGGCATACCTCTAGTCGTCTGCTCGGACCTCCATACAGTTTCATTCTCTACGCGCGCGTGTCGCGCTCGTAAAGCTGCGTCTTTGCATCCAACCTCCCTTCTGGTCTGAGATCATAACGACCTTGTAATTTCGCCTTTGCTTGTTCGCGTCCGTTTCAATTCCTTCCTTCGACCTTCCAGCAATCGACACGCCCATCGCTCCTTCTCGTCCTCTCATCTCTCTCCCTAGCATGCTGTAACCCGAGAGACTCTCCTTCGACTCTCGTCACCCACAACCTTTCGATCTCGCCCATCACACACAATGTCGTCCCCAGCGTCCTTCGCTATGGACGTCGACGCGTCACAGTCACCAGGAAATCCCTTTCTCGACATCCCAACGCGTCCTATGAGAGGTAATCCGATGGCTTCTTGATGGCTCCGACTCATGCTGATGTCCTCGCAGNTCAAGGTTCTTTACACGTTCGATAACGACAACAAGACGAACTGCCTCGCTCGCTTCCCCGATATCCTCCACGTTCCCACCGTACCCATCGACGAGAACACTCAGATCGGTGTCATCGAATTACGCACGTGTATTCGCGCCATCGTTTCGGCCAGTCCTGAACTCGTGTCGCGCCTCACCCAAGGCGACTTCACCATCTATGCCTACGACTACTCCGAGTATGAGACGCCGCTGGTGGGCCAAGGAATGCTGTCGTCCGTGCTTGCCGCCGCCTCACCCACCCCCACTGCCCCTGCATATCAGTCAAAGACTATGATCACTGGTCGCGTCTGCAAGAACATCATGGGCCTTTTCTCAAACGGTGTCAAGGAGACGTTGGAAGTTAAACTGAGGCTGGTCCCAGTACCCAAGCCCGTCCAGGGTGACTTTCTCAAGAGCATGGAGATATACCGTAACATCAACCCCGCCATGTCCGCCGGCTTCGATCCGAACGCCTGGTCTGCTTCCTTCTCACAATCTGGTCTGTCTCTCGGAGCTCCCTTCGAAGAAGGCTTGACGCCCACGCAAATGAGGCAGGACACAGCCGACCACGATATGATGTCCTACCAACGTCCGCGACAGGGTTCCAACGCTAGCTTCAATGGTCAAAACTCCTTCCCCGGTCCCACCCTATCATACAGTAATCCACCAAGCCGAGTCAACAGCCCCGCCATGAATCAATCTGGGCCTCAAGCATACCCACCTGAGGACATCCCCAGGCCATCATCAAGGATGTCGGTACAGAGCGATATGCACCACGAGCGCCGAGGATCTATGGCTGGATCCGAGCAGTATCAAGAGGAGGGACCAGCAAGAAAAAGAGTAAAGGTGACACAGGCCGACTGGCGTGGAAAGTCTGCCTTTGGTGGTCCGTCGGATTCACTACGTGTCACAGCCAGTACTGCAGCATCCATTCGTGTACACAAGCCTGTCGCCATGCGCCCGGGTATGATGGGCAACTCGCTAGAGCCGCCACCCAGAGTCCCGACGCCGGTCCCACAGATGAACTTGCCTGGCTCTCGTCCCAACGCTGGAAGCATCCTCCGTCGTGAGTCGTCTCTTGCCAGAGTCCAGACTTACAACTCTCCTTACGACCCCACTCCCAATTGCCTTGCCCCTCCGTCTGATTCGGCCATGAGTTCACCCGAAGATGCTGCAAACGACCACAATGGCATCACACCTTCCGAGTTCCCATCGTCGCCACCTCTTCTCCCCGAGCCTTCTAGTCCGGGACTGCCATCGTTCTCCAGACCAGCTGATTCTGGATACATGAGCTCGACATTTGAATGCCACGACGATGACGAAGACAGATCTGTGTGTGATGAAGACATGCAAATCGCTGCGCAGTACAGGCCTAGAACACAGGCGCCGCCTTCTGGTATCTCCTTCATCGAGCAGACACCTGGGCCTCCTGAGTTGCTGCCTACAAGAATGCAGATGTCACACAACGGAAAAATGGACGACGCTGCCGCAGCTCAGGCAGAATTGTCACGGAAGAAAGCTCGCAATGCTGTATTGGCACAAAACTCGCGTAGAAACTCTGTCGCGTTGCCACCTAAATCACAGTCGAACAAGCCGAGTATGGCAAGATCAGCATCGATGATTGTGAGATCTGATGCAGCATCGCCTGCTCCTACTGAAACCAAAGCACCTCGTAGTGGCTCTGGAGCTCAGAGGAAGAAGAACATCCAGGACAAACTCCAAAAGTCGATCGAGAATGGTGAGATGCCTCCTTTCTGTGGTCACTGCGGTGCTATTGAAACGCCAACCTGGCGCCATCTTTTTGTAAAGATGGTTCAGGGATGTCCAGAAGACATGGATCCTGCAGAGAATGAGACCGTGACCATTGGGGTAGAGGTTCTCGAACGAGATCCTGAAACCCAAAAATCTATCAAGTATCGTATCATCAAGTCGATGCGTAAGACCAAAGAGTCACAAGATGCAACGGTGGGCTTTGATACCATGCAAGTGTGCAATCGTAAGTCGAGCGAGTACATAACTTATGACCACACACTGACAGGAGTAGCTTGCGGCCTCTGGTTCAACAAATTCAGAGCCATGAGACCTTCTGACAAGTGGGTCAAGAAGCAAGCAACCAAGAGCAAGAAGCAACAGCGCAAGGCTATGCCACCTGCCGGTCCATCGGAGCCGCAATCTGATTACTTTGTTGATCAGCCTTCAGCATTGTACACTGATGCTGCTCAACCTGAGGACGAAAGCAACAGCCGATCTAGTGAGGAGCGCGCGAACGATGAAACTGTTCCACCCGTCAATCGTCCGAGGGCAAGTAGTGTGCAAGCCCAGTCCAAGCCTAACGAGAACGAAAAGCAGTGGACCGGTCCTGAACTGGACGCGGCATTGCATCGTGCTATTCAAAGTAGCCCTGCTCGGTTTGTTGGATCGCAAGAGAGTCCTATCGAAGTCGAGGCAGAGTTGACACCTAGACCGACTCGTCGCTTGCTGTTCCCTTCTCCACGTGAGAGAAACGGTCAGATGAAGACACTCGATGACCTGGCTCTTCCGGGTTCTAAACCTCCATCGAGCACTATTGTCGAGATGGCGTTCGTCGAAGAACCCAACAAGGAGAATTGCCCACCACAGGATGAAGAGGACGATGATCTCGCACATCTGTTTGAGTGTTCGCCTAATGTTTTCAAGACGCCTCGCAAGACTCCCGAGAAGAACGCCACTAATCAGGACACTCTGCTCAAGACGCCGACACCCTCACGTTCTTCCCTTCGTACTGTAGCGCGTAATACCCGTACGCCTAGCGGCAATCAAGGCTCGACATTCCTGCCCACCTTTAGCTCGGCTGAGGCTAAGAATCTCTTCCCGACAACTCCGTCGAGATGGGCGAACTTGTCGTCACCCTCCCGGAACCAGATGACGCCCTTCACTCGCCAACTGACTCAACTGCTGAGTGATGCACATCACGAGGCGCCATTCCTCAGCCCAGGTCGTCAGTATGACTTCTCGGATGCTATGCCTACCTTCATGACACCTGGAAGATCTCTCGACTTCAATTTCGACGAATTCGACATCATGAATGTCGATGTTGGCGCTGCTGTTACCAGCAACCCTACTGACACCACCCTTTCGGCCATCACCAACGCAACTACCGCTCTGCATGCGACCACATCTGTAGACGTCTCTACTGAGCACACAAATACCACCACCACTATCACATGATGAGCTTATGACATTATTTACTGTATGAACATTGGGACTAAGGGAAGGAAAGGATAAATGCTGGATGGGTACATTATGGATCAACACATCGGATAGGGATTGTAACACTAGGACGGATGGAATATTGCTAGACGTAGGAGCACCACTCGGAAGATCAAGGTAGCGTAGAAGTAACGTAACAGAACACAACATCGCACAACGCTGCCCATTTCAACACTCTTTCGGTATCTCCTACTTGCCATATAGCTATCTCCCACCTCTCCTAATCCTTTGTTAAAGGCAATTACCCAGTCGTGTTTTGATGCAGAACCATCGCCAAGACATCGAAACGTGGTCCGGGTCATCCCATCAACAATGCCTGTCAACGATAAATCACGTCTCGCATGGTAACAACGAGTCTTAGTGGAGTCATTGTTGTAACAGCATGTCCTTACGTATAATTTCCTGTTACCGTGGAGATTTGAAAGCCATGTTGGTTGCATTGGCTGAGATATTGTCAAAAATGATATCCGCGTTGAGCTTCGTCAGAAGATCAAGCAAGGATGTCATTAGTTGCTCTCTTTATCCTTCTGCCAAACAGTCAAACAGTCAAACTGATCAACTTGATGTCGAGATGCTACTAAGAATTTTGACAGTACGGGACAGCGATATATGATAAATGCTGCCTTATGACTTAGCAAAGCAGGGCCGTGAACCGCAGTGATGATGCTGCCGATTAATGGTAGGTACAATCGAATCTGTTTTCATCTATATATAGTAGAGACACGATTTCGCACATCAAATGGGGTTGTGGTCTAGTGGTATGACATCTTCTTAGCATTGCTTCTTATGAGCAGTCCTGAGTTGGAGAAGGTTCTGGGTTCGATTCCCAGCTACTCCACATTAATCTTTTGCGTTTTGTGTACCCCTCTGCGCGAGCGAGGATATCTTTTGGTCCTTGTCCATGTGTGTATTTTGGTATGGTGGTTTGCAGGGGTTCTGTTCTTTTCGTCATGTAACTTGCACGTTTTGTACATAAGGCTTTGATAAGGATAAGAACAAATGAATATCGGGCTTAAGAAGAGAGACCATCTATCTAGAGCCAACATACACGACTGTGATGCAAGACGGTGTATTGTCTGCATTGGCACACATTTGTATTGCAGTATTTCAATCAAAACGTCGATCTACCTCTGTGCCTAAGACTCCCCTTCCTCATCACTTCCTTGCAGTCAGCCAAGATATCCTCCGCAGCCTTCTCCGCTAGAGCATATATAGTACTCGTCGGGTTTTCATTAACCTCCAGTGGAATAACACTCGCATCCACAACCCTCAATCCTTTTGTCCCATAAACTTTGAACTGCGGATCTACTACACCACCCCAATCGCGTCTTCTCATACCTGCAGAGCCCACCGCATGCCAAGTGGGTGCAAGCGCAGATTGAAAGAACGAAGTCCATTGGGGAAGCGAGGCATCAGCAGGTACGAGAGAATAACCAGGCGAGAGTTCAGTGGTGGCGTTGGGGCCGAGGGCGTGCTGCACCGAGGGAGCAGAGAGGATGCGGCGCAGCACGAGGAAGAGGCGTTGCATAACCAGAGTATCCCAGGGTAGTTGCATAAAATTGGGATTTAGGAGTGGTTTTGCGGGATCGGAGGATGACTGAAGAGAGGAGAATGTCAGCTCTTTGAATGCCATAGTGAGAGAAGAAGCAAAGTAAAAGCTTACATGCACGTTTTCTGTAGACAGAGGTAAAGTGACCCAACGGTTTCCTCCATAAATCTGGAATGTGTATTGGCCGATTGCTATGTTCTTCTTGAAGAACAAATTTGCTCTAGCAAGAAGGATTTGCTCTTGTGCTTGGATAGAAATAGCGCCATTGCTTGCTTCCGAGAGTGTTCGTGCGTAGGAAGGGATATCTTTGTACAGTTGTGCAGCAACCGTGTCGAGTTCATCTCCAAAGAGGTCAGCGGCTGTCAAGGTGCCAGTCATGGGTTTGGCGTTGTAGGATGGAGTTAGAGACTCTAGTGTGAAGCTGGGGTTGTAAATGGCACCTGCCAGCCATTGGTCTNNATTGCCAACGCCAGAACGTTCAAGAAGACCAGGGGTTCTGTATGTGCCAGTCGAAAGGATGACCTCCTGCTTAGAGCGCAAAAACTGCTTCTTTCCAGAGGGCAAGACCACATTGACACCTTTAGCCACAACCAAACCTTGGGGTCCATGATGACTTTTACCACCATCCAAGTTGACGTTGAGCGCGGTGGTGTTAGTGAAAGCGTGCAGATTTGGTCGACCCATCACAGGCAAGTAGTAAGACCTAGCAGAGTCCTGTCTGATTTGCAAGACAGTGTCTTTCTCGATCGGAAACAAGGCAAGTCCAGTATTATTACCTGTATTCGGGTCCCTGTTCCAAGAGAACCCGAGGGATTGCCAGGTTGTGTTCAATGCTTGACCATATTCTCCTGGGTTCAAATCGTTGCCCCAGCCGACTTTGACTGGACCGACGAATCCATGTACACTGGCCTCGTAAGAGGCCTTTGCGCTGGCGTTTGGTGCGGTAGGGAGTTGCAGATGCTCACTCTTCTTGAAGTAAGGCAGCAGACTATCCCATGACAATTCTGGGTTACCCAAAGCTGACCATGAACCGACTTCGTCAACGGTTGGTCGGAGGTATACCATGCCTNNAGATGACATTAGAAAGACTCAATGGTTGAATGACAACCTCATACCGTTGATAGTGCTTGTGCCGCCAACATCTCTACCAGCATGATATTGCAGTATCGAATTGTTGGCATAGATCTGTGGTATAGTAGTATAATTCCAGTCGAGTTCAGTGCCCCATGTGGGTCCAGCAGGACTGGGAATAAGAACACGAGAGTCGTTGAAGACAGTGGGACCAGCTTCGACTAAAGCCACCGAGATGGATGGATTTGCTGACAAGCGATTGGCAAGCACGCAGCCAGCCGTGCCTCCACCCACGATGATATAGTCGTACTCAAAAGAGTTTAATGGACTCGCGTAAGCCGCGGTGGAGAGAGCAGACAAGTATAGAATCCACGAAAAGGTCATTATGAAGGCAAACGACCCAGGGTGATTTGAATCAGGAACTTGAACAGCAGACAACCAGGATATATATTGATATAGACCAGCTCTCTTGGCGACGGAAGCGCAGGGTGCAATCCTTCTCTGCAAGTGTATAGTGGTGTGGGTACGCGTGAGTCGAGGCCAATCATGCCAAAATGTGCACTCATACGGGCCGCATGTTTTATCATATAAGTCGCAAGCACACCAGCAGCTGTCTTCAGACCGGTGTGTTGTCTTGCATCTTAGCGAAGGGAATGCATTCCACCTGCATCTCGACCTGCACCTAGAGCCCCATGCAGCAGTTCTCAGCTTCGTGTATATTGGACAGCTGTGAATTAAGGTATTTGAATTGAAGCATTTCTGTTAGGGCCAAAGGAAACATGATCGGTTACAGGAGTTGTCATGGTGGTGCTGCTCGTGTTGAATATTGCAACCTGTAAGGTCGATCACTCGGTTGCGAACGCATGGTGAGGGGTCATCGCAAAGGATTCTGGATCGGCTGTATACTCCAATCTCACAGCGACCTTCCATACTCACACCTTGTGTATTACCTGCCAAGGTCTTCATGCTAAAGCGATAGCTTTGATAATCTTTGAACGCGTCCTTTCATGAATGACGGGCTTCAAATCAGTATGGTTCTTAGTAGCGCCTAGAAGGCGTTCGTGCTGCTAGGAGACCCGTTATAGCAGACAATTTTCCGATTACTGAGCAGGCCGTTCATGAGCGCAGCTGAAGTTCACACATCATGCCTGTTGATGTTGTTGAGTCAAAATGCATCCGATCCAAGAAGATGGGAAGAAAAAGACCCATGCCAAGGTGGAACCCTCTTGCGGACACGCGGCACAACGGATGTGCCTGAACCAGACACTTGTAGCACAAATATAACAATGTTTAGTGTTTATTGATATTTCTCACACTGCTACAGTGCTAGCAAGTGTTGAAACCATTCGTTTCTTTCTCATACCGGGGGCTTATCTGCCTACGGTACGCGAAGGAATCGCGTCTACAAGCGCCCATCAGGCAACCTGCGAGGCTGCACGACTGAATCATTGATACCGAACAGGGGCTTCCGAACAACCTATCTTTCCACAGTTGAATTAGACACTCTTTCGAAACATTCACATTTTTCAAATCATCTTGACAGAATGGCAGAGCCAGACGGCAACACCAGTATTGCGGCACGCATCGCCGCTTTGAAATTGGACCAAGTAGGTCGTCAACCCACTGGAAAGGCAGGCCCTCCAACGAAACCGAACAAGAGACCGGATCTCCCGTCGAGACCACAGACGACCAATGTGCCTCCGATTGGAGTTCATGCATCTGCGGCCGATGCAGGCCATGATATCGGGAATCAGCCATCGACAGGTAACATGAATGGTGTGGTTCAGCGCACGCCACCAGTAATGCCAAACCGACCTGCCAGAAGTGCGGCTCCAAAACTGCCACCAAGACAGCCATCCGGACCAGCACCACAGCTACCACCTAGAAGACCTTCGGAGACGCCGTCAAACTCGTCTGCGAGACCAGATATCAACAGGAAACAGTCAAGCGAATCTGTAGTGTCAACCAGGTCCTCTATCTCAACAGCATCTAATCGAACTGGTCTAAGCTCGGCCACCAGCAACTCTGGAGCACTCTTTACAATCCGAGCACCTTCTTTTGATGCGTCTACGTTACCTCCTTTGCCTCCTAAGCGGGCGCCTAGTCTGCCAGAGCGTGGTCCTATTCTGCAGCAGAGCAAGTCTTCGCCTAATGTATTGCCTGCTCTACAAGAGCCGGCAAGACCGCAATTGCCCTCTAGGCCACCACTACCTTCTAGGAACCCATCTTCCTCTCTAAGCGTGACGGATCAAGGCACCACTAGACCTACCGCTTCTAAGAGATCTGCATTGACTATGGGCTTTAACACTGTCTCTAAGGCACCTTCTGTACCTGCTGCACGACCCGAATCTGCCGCACCACCACCAGTTCCTGCTTCATCTAGGCCCGATCTCTCTAAGCTGCTAGCATCGAAACCAAACATTGCTGCCTCCGGAACCACGAATGGGGCCGCAGGTGCAGTATCGGCAGCATCAACACCAAGCCAAGGATCTTGCTTGAAGTGTCGAGATTTCTCCGTCGTTGACGCTCACGCTGCACGTTTCCCAAGACAGTCAATCCCATCACAAGATCTAGGATGGCTTGCTCAATCGCTTACATCGCCTTTCCCATCACCAACTGATAAAGCTCGAGCAATTTTTGTCTGGTTGCATCACAACATCGACTACAATACTCACGCGCTGTACACCAATACGGTCAAAGGTTCAACACCGGCATCAACGCTAGCTACCGGTCTTGCTGTTTGCGAAGGATATGCTGGTCTTTTCACTGCACTTGCCTCCAAGGCTGGATTAGAGAGTATGGTCGTTGGTGGGCATGGAAAAGGTCTTGGCTTCGAGGCTGTCACCGCTGGAGCTCCATTGCCCCCTGAGAACGCAACTGGCCATGCTTGGAACGTGGTCAAGATTGATAATGGTCAATGGAAGCTGATCGATCCGTGTTGGGGTGCAGGTCACTCTGGAGGATGGGGTCAACCATATGAACGAGCCTTCCATCCTATCCATTTCGTTGGCAGCAACGAGGAATTTGGCCGCAGCCACTTCCCGAGCGACAAGAATCGATTTTACAGGAGCGATGGCAGACAAACCATCACATGGGCAGAGTACCTGTTGGGTGATACGCACGGTCAAGATGTGGTGCAGACATTTGGAAACATGACAACAGATGAAGGCATCGATGACCACTCAGTTTCGCCCAGAGTCAAGCAGATCTCTGTCAACGATTCCCAGCCCTACATACGCTTCCAGTTCAACAAGGTGTGCCAGCACTGGGACAACGAGCGAAATGGAGAGGGCAAACACTACCTGTACCTGATCTTCTTACCTGAAGGCAATGGCAGACCACCGCGTGAGATTCCTCTGCAGACCAATGGGTATTTCTGGTGGGTCGATATACGGCCTAGCGAGCTCGGACAGCCTGGCCAGGAGATCAAGTTGGGTACAGTGACGAACTGGAAGGGTCGTGATGGCAGAGGAATGGTTGAGAGCGATTATAACAAAGAGGGCGGGTTCTCGGGTGCATATGCGTTTGCTGCCAGATGGGAGCTTGTTTGATCAGCGTAGATACCCCAGCAGTTATTCAGTTCCTTTCTCTTTCTCTTTCTCTATTTTGGATCTTGGCACGACGACTGTAATGAAGCAAAGAAACCAGAATGTGTGTTTATTGAATACGATCATAGCTGTTATATTGGCTGTTCGTTGAGTGAGACATGGTCTCCTGCTTGTTGACTCGATGCTGGGAGAGCAATTGTTGCTAGTCAATCGTTCGTTCTCGTGCCGAGTCTAATCATGGAGATGTTCGTGTTGTTTTTCTCGTCATTGTTGAATTGGTTGGCTTAGGGTGACTATTGTGCTTGGGGCGAGATCAAGACTACCGAGTCTCCTGTAGATAATGTGTGAGCTGATCCGGTTCGGTGTGCTGAGTCGCAGATTGGGTAGGTACCTCTGACAAACAGCATCTCGGACTGCTTCTTGAGCGTNCTGGTAGAAGGTTTAGCAAGCAGTTGCGAGGATTGAGTCTGGATGGATCCTACCCTCACGCTCTCAGACTCGTCATCATCGTCAATAACGTAGATGGTCTCTTCGACTTCTCCAAGAACCAGATTGCAATGACTGTCGTATGCCNNTATCCATATGGCGTCAGTACGCACATTGAGCGCTCGCGCAGAAGAGACGGTTGTTCATACGTGAAGTCTGCCCTGCAACTCGCGATCACCGCGCAGCTTGACAAAGACAATCTCGTTGAGCGAAAGGCGCACAAGATCCAGTGGCTCATTCACCGGGTTGGCGGTGCTGTCTTCAACATCGGCCATCTGCGCATCAAGGTTGTGTGTTTTTGGTGGCTTTGACTGCTCTGGCGCTTCTGACGACGACGGTGATGTCGCGAAGCTGCTTGCTTGCGGGTTCCGCTCTTCTTGGCGGAGAGCGCTGTGCTTGGCGACTTGCGACTTTCCGTCGTCCACGCCCCTTGCGTTAGATTCGCCGGGGAAGGTTCGAGCCGCACTGCTAGCTCCACATGGCGCGAAACGGGCGAGCAGTAAGGTCGCTTGCGAGGCTGGCCTGTTCCTTCGAGTCGACTCTTTTCTTCTCTTCTTCTTCATCTTACAGATACGGAGGAAAGCATTACGCTTCTTTCCACACTGGAAACAGCGTCTCATCGACACAATGTGAAAGATACAGATCTGGACGGTCTCGTCGATCTACAAGTCTCGAGTACATTATCTGGAGATCGTTTTCTCGAGATCATGGCCCTGCTGTCTCGGACAGGCTGTCGTTCCAGCCCGAAGACCACAGATTCATCGACGGACCCAAAGATGTTGACAGCTTCCATGAGGACATACAAAGCTCATTGTTACGCAGAGATTATCGTGGGTTGATCAACGTGTTTCGCTCCACAAGTGACAACAATCAGGACTTCATTCGAAGTCTTCCAGAAAACACTTTTACTGAAGTTTTGGCGCACCTGCAACCAAGGAATGATCTAGGCAAAGCAGTCATGCCATCCTCTCGACTCAGTCCTGCCATGGTTCAACAATTGCACCTGTCATCTGCATACGACCTGATCAGGGGCCATCTTCTGGACGCTGTTCAAATACTCGACCAGCGCAAAAGATCTGGCAAAACTTTGAGTGTAGTTGACTACAGCCTCATACTTGGATTTGCGCGTTGGATCGGCCTGAGAGATGTCGCAGAAACGTTCTGGAAGTCAATGCAGACCGATAATGTCGTACCGGATCTCAAGTGCTACAACAACTATTTGGGCGCTATTGTGTCGAATCTCCGTCATGACCCCGATGTTAGGCATAGCCATCGAGTGACTAACTTCAGAATCGGAGCGCGCTCTCAGCCAAGTCCTAGCGCAAGACACGCAGGTTACCATTTCGGCAATGGAGGCATCAAAGAAGGCGTGCTGGAACTCCACCGCGAGATGCTGAAGAACGAAATCGTGCCAGACGAGGAAACATTTCGTCTTCTCATCCTTGGTGTTGGCCGAGAAGGGGACCTTGATACTGTTAAGAAGCTCCTGAGGCAAGTGTGGAAAGTCGACGTGGATGCTATTGTTGGTGGCTTGAAAGATGGTCAACAGAAGCATGAGCTTGAAATTCCGCCGACGTCTCCCCTCTACCCAACTCCCTTCTTGATTTATGCCGTCGCTCATGTTTTCGGCATCAACAACGAGATTCCAGCAGCCTTACGACTTGTTGACCATATATCGCAAACCTACAACGTCAAGGTTCTTGACCATGTCTGGCATGAGTTGTTCAACTGGACCTTTGTACTTTCTCTGCCTCGCCAAGCATCGAGAGAAGAACAAGCCATCTTGCCCAAGGGTAGTGTACACAAGCTGTGGGAGGTCATGCGAAACGAACCTTACAACGTACGTCCGACACTAGACGTGTACGACAAACTGATCAAGAGCCTCTTCCGTCAACAGAGGACCCGAGACATGTGGCACTATATGTGTGAAGCATTGCCATTGTACGAAGCAATGCGTAAAGAGACCCGGTATCTGAACAAGGCATTGCATAGGGTTCTCAAACAGTCCGAGCCTGTCGGAACACTGCAGCAGAAGTACGACCGCAGCAGATTCAACGAAAAGGCTTCCCGTTTGTTCTTCAAGCGCTGGGCTCGTCTCCTGCTAGGAAGCATGCACTCATGGCGCAGAGTCGATGGAAGTCTTCGATGGAGCACAAGATTGATACCCAAGATTGTTCTTGAATGGAAAGAGTTCATGCCTAGCAACGTGTGGTATGACATTCCTGCAGGCAGAGTGAGCATAGCCTTCCGTACGAACCAGGAGAAAGAGGTGTATCAGGAAAGGATCATGAATGCGATGGACACGAACGACAGGATTGCGAGCAAACACAAACATTTGCCAGCACAAGATGGCAATCGCTACGTGTTGACACGTCGCCAACAAAGGGTGACTGCTCAACGTGGACATAGATCCATGGACCAATAGTCTGAGGCTCAGTAGACACACTACAGCCTGGCCATGAATGAATAGGCAGAGAGGATGAAGGACATGATGGTTATGAATGACATGAAACGATATGTGGCTAGGAGTTCAAAGGACTGGCATGGATAGCTAGGTATGCGCTTATGATATATGGTTAATGACACGAAGGCTTGAAACTCACAATCATCAAAGACAGATCAACTTTTCATCAATTGGTCTGATACAGCGAAGACCCCACACGTGGGGTGTCTCGACTTCTTGGCTGGTGGTGGCTGTGACCCCATGGTGGTTCGAGGCCGAGGCATGCGGAACCTTGTTGGGACTCGACTGGATGCGACAATGAACGTGGAGCCTTTTCAAGATAGCATGAAGTATTGTATGGTTGCCTGATAGACAAAGAGTGCCGAGAGCAATATGATGGACCACCGACGATTAAACAGGAAGGTCAAGGGTTGGTGGGAAAGTCAGAATCTAAAAGGTTCGGTGGTTGCGCGTTCGTTGCGACAACGTCACCAAGCCACAGTGTGAGCCGCCAAACAACCTTCGAGACCCTCATTGTTTCGTTGGCGCCGCATCTGCAATAATCAATCGCTTTGCTCTCTTTCTCCAGCGGATGAGAGGATGTGCCCATGACCTGCTATGCAGAACCATACATAACGACCATCTTTCTCACTGTCCAACGATATGGCGGGCCACGACGACCACTCGGACGAGTTGGGCGGTGTTCGAAGGAGACACTCTGCCCAGTACGACCACGACGACGTTGACACAACCCACACTCGTCACGATGCCCACTCGAGCGACCGCCCACAGTCCAGTCCTTCGACGTCTGGTACCGACATTTCTACTCATACCGTCCGCGAGTCTAGCGAACACTCGTCCCGAGTGAGGTTTTCCTTGCAAGAGCAGAGACCAGATACCTCGTCGCGAGGAAAGAAGAGGAAGAGTGATGAGGATACGAGGTCTGACCTTTCTGTGGATACCAATGCCGCAGCTGCGAGCAATTCTCGTCCCAAAATGTCGCCCATGTCACCACAGACACGATCGCGAGGCTACTCGCTCCGCAGTTCGCTATTCCAACGCAACATGCACGATCGTTCTGGGAAGCCCCTAACTCACCTTCCTCTATCATCGAGATGGCTCCAATCGGTCCATCTAGCCAGCAGGGATCCTCTCAGACCCCAACCACACTTCATTCGAGCAAGAAGAGCATGGATACTGTAGTCGAGGTCGCTCGAGTGAACGATGACGATCGTGATCTGGAAGAACAAGATACCAAGCTTGCTGCTTTACGCCAGCGTCAGGGTGTCCAAGGCATAGGAGCCTTGCCGCACTACCAGTCCTGGATACAACAGCATACTGCTCGCAACCATACTTGGCGATCGATCAAGGCTGGATGCTACAAAGCTAGGAAGTCTGTCTTGCGCATCCAGGAGATCCCACCGACGAAAGACGGCAGACACATCGACCTGGACGCTTCTCGAAAGACTACTCTACTCGACGAACGGACTGGCAAAGCATACATCACAAACTACATTCGTTCCAGCCGATACACGGCCTGGAACTTTGTGCCCAAATNNCAATTGTTTGCTCAGTTCTCTAAACTCGCTAATTTCTATTTCCTTTGTGTTTCTATCTTACAAATGATACCCGGTCTAAGTACCACAGGAAGTGAGTAATTGTATTTGACTCTGGATGACAATCTTTATAACATTGTTACAGCGTATACCACGATTATCCCCTTATTGTTTNTTGTTGCTCTTTCTATGGGCAAGGAAGGCTATGACGATCTACGCCGTTACCGCCTAGACAAGACAGAGAACAACCGCGAAGCGTCGGTACTTCACGCATATCAACCAGTATCAACATCTGAATCTCAAGTCGAAGAGGGCAATGCTCAAACTGGAGGCCCGATCCACTGGGCGAAGACGAGATGGCAGAACCTCCAGGTCGGCGACATTGTCAAGCTCGAAAGAGACGAATCCATTCCGGCTGATTTGGTCCTGTTGAGCTCGAAAGGCGCCAATGGCATTGCATACATCGAAACAATGGCCTTGGATGGTGAAACCAACCTTAAGAGCAAACAAGCCCCAGTAAATCTGGCCAAGCATTGTAATACGCCAGAAAATATCGCTAGTTGCAATGCCCATTTCGTTGTCGAGGATCCCAATATCGATCTTTACAATTTCGAGGGCAAAGTGGCGCTGAAAGGCGAAACGGCACCCTTAAGCAACAACGAGATTATTTACCGAGGCAGCGTCTTGAGAAACACCCCAGAAGCTTATGGAATGGTCATCTACAGCGGCGAGGAGTGCAAGATTCGAATGAACTCCAACAAAAATCCCCGCATCAAGGCCCCTGCTCTACAAGCTATCGTCAACAAGGTCGTTATTGTCATTGTTATCTTTGTCATCCTCCTGGCAATTTTCAATACAGTGGCGTATCAGGTTTGGCGTAGAGGTACGGAAGAAGACTCGTGGTACCTCATCAACGCCAGAGTCGCATTCTTCCCAATTTTGACCAGTTTCATCATCATGTTTAATACGATGATCCCTCTCTCCCTCTACGTTTCCATGGAAATTGTCAAAGTCTGGCAAATGATTCTGCTTAACGACATCGACATGTACGATGAAGCTACTGACACCCCCTTTGAGGCCCGAACATCCACCATTAACGAAGAGCTGGGCCAGGTTAGCTATGTGTTCTCCGACAAGACCGGAACTTTGACGGACAACATTATGAAATTCCGCAAACTCAGTGTTGCCGGTACGGCATGGTTGCATGACGCCGATCTGCAGGACAAGCAAGACGATTCCGAAATGCTCATTCATAAGAAAAGAAGCCGCAAGAGTAAGGGCAAGAGGCCAATTCGCAAGTCAACTACCTCTATCATGACAAACACGCCCAAATTTGGCGGCGTAGATGACCAAATCGAGTTCAGCGAATCTGGTCGCAAGTCAACTTCGCAGTGGACCTCGTCCGCAAGACCCGGAAAGGCTCAGCCTGAGCTCAGTACCAAGACAATGATCCGCTACATACAGCGAAAACCATTTACATTGTTCGCCAAGAAAGCTCGGATGCTTCTGTTGTCTATGGCATTGTGTCACACATGTTTGCCCGAGACACAGGAGGATGGAGAGATAGGCTTTCAGGCATCTTCCCCTGATGAGCTGGCCCTTGTAAGAGCAGCACAGGAGCTTGGGTATTTGGCCATGAATCGAGAATCTACGCTGCTGACCATCAAGACGTATCCTAATGGCACGAACCAAGAACCGGTTCTCGAACAGTACGAGATCCTGGATGTCATAGAGTTTTCGAGCAAGCGAAAGCGAATGTCCGTTACCGTTCGCTTTCCAGATGGACGTGTTTGTGTCATTTGCAAGGGTGCAGATACCATAGTCATGCAACGTCTCAAGTTGGCATCTCTTGCAAATCAGAAGATGGTGGAGATTGAGAAGCGTACGAGTATACGCAAGAGCCTGGAAGCACAGGAAGCTATCCGTCGTAGGAGCGAACAGCACGAGCGTTCGAGCATTACACGACCCAGCTTTTCAAGACCGAGCTTTTCGATGTCAATCGGCCGACCTAGCATTGGCGGCCTTCCTCGGACCAGCATGGGAACCGCTAAATTGCAACCCATCCGCGACGAGCTTAATGTTTGGCTGAAGGAAAGAGAGAGCGAGGTTAACGTGTCGAACGATGAGGAGACGAGTGTGCATTACTCTCCACGACCATCAACGCATATGCACAGCCGACAATCGCTTGCTCCATCCGAAGCTCGTAGCTCCATGCAGTACGATGACTTTGATCAGGACGAGCTCGTCGAAGAATCACTTGTCACAGATGAGGCTACAGTACTTGAGCGCTGCTTCCAACACATCAACGACTTTGCTACCGAGGGTCTTCGTACTCTATTGTATGGATACCGATTCCTTGATGAGCAAGAGTACATGGGTTGGAAGAAGGTATACCACGATGCCACAACAAGTCTCGTGAACCGCCAAGAGATGATCGAGGATGCAGGCGAAATTATTGAGAGAGACCTTGATCTCGGTGGTGCCACTGCCATTGAAGACAAGCTCCAAAAGGGTGTACCGGAGGCTATCGACAAGCTCAGACGTGCCAATATCAAGATGTGGATGTTGACAGGAGACAAGAGAGAGACTGCGATCAACATTGGTCACTCTTGTCGTCTTATTAAGGACTACTCGGCCGTCACAATTCTGGACCATGAGACTGGGCAAGTCGAGCAGCTTATCGCGGCTACTATACTCGACATTGACAACAACAAGGTGGCACACTCCGTTGTAGTCATTGATGGTCAGACATTGACTCTGGTTGAGGATGACGAGTACCTGCGCAAACTCTTCTATGAGCTTGCGGTTCTTGCAGACTCGGTCATCTGTTGCCGTGCATCTCCTAGTCAAAAGGCAGGTCTTGTATCGGCTGTGCGGCGAAGAGTCAAGAACAGTATCACACTCGCCATAGGAGATGGTGCGAACGACATTGCTATGATCCAAGAAGCGCACGTCGGCATTGGTATCACAGGAAAAGAAGGGCTGCAAGCAGCGCGTACCTCGGACTATTCCATTGCTCAATTCCGCTTCCTTGTGAAGCTACTTCTGGTTCACGGACGCTGGAACTACATTCGGATCTGCAAGTACACTGTCGGCACATTCTGGAAAGAGTTTCTGTTCTATCTCACTCAGGCGCTCTATCAACGCTGGACTGGCTATACCGGTACCTCGCTGTACGAGTCTTGGTCGCTTAGTATGTTCAACACTCTGTTTACCAGTCTTCCAGTCATCTTCCTCGGCATTTTCGAAAAGGACCTTTTGCCTCAGACGCTGATTGCAGTGCCTGAACTGTACACAAAAGGCCAGCGTAACGGAGGCTTCAACTTCAAGGTCTTCCTCGCTTGGATTTTCATGGCATCGAGCGAGGCGATTGTGATCTTCTTCATCATGTTTGGACTCTACGCTCAGGCCAGCTTTACCAAAGACCAAGGACTGTATGCCATCGGATCTCTGACATTTACTGCCTGCATCATTCTGATCTCAATGAAGTTGCAAGTCATAGAGAATCACAACAAGTCTATCATGGCCGTGATAGCTTGCGTATTGTCTGTAGGCGGATGGTTCCTATGGATGATCATCCTCGGCTCAATCTATGCCGACAACTTCACCTACAACGTCAAAGACAGCTTCTTTGTCAGATTCGGCGACAACATACTCTGGTGGCTCACTTTGCTGCTCATCATCATCGCAACCATGTGGTTCGAATTTGGCGTCAAGAGCTTCAAAGCAGCATACTTTGCCACCGATGTCGATCTCTTCCAACTCTACGAGCGCGACCTGGATATCCGAAAGAGATTTGAAGAAGCGGCTGCAATGGAGTTGCAAGCGGGCTGGCATCATGGCACCAAGAAGTCGAGTTTCGAGCAGCAGCGCGAGGAGGAAGCGCAGGTGATACGCGAAAATGAGATTCAGGATTTGCTGGATAGGCCAAGGGTTATGGAGGAAGGAGGTGCGAAGGGTGGTGTTGTGTTGGAAGAGCAGAAGGTGTTTGTTAACGATGGGCCTAAAAGGGCTTCAACCGACATTCAAGAGATGCTGTCGAGGAGGTTTGGCTCGGTGCAGCAAGGAGGTATCGATGTGGATAAGAAGTGATGATGTTTTGTTTATACTGCATCTCGATGTATATATATCTATCTTTAGCGCATTTGTTTTCTTCTTGTTATCCAACAAAGATGCGGTTTCTATTTCTAAGCTGCAGCTGTGAGAAAAGAGGGAAGAAATAGGTGCACAAAGCTACATGTTACGGGAATAGGATGCATGAACGTTTTGTTGCAGGCGGGTCATGGGTTGTCAAGGCTGATCAACACGGTGAGAATGGTTCGTTCGAGTCAAAGAAACATGGCTTGCAGCTGCTCCAGCCTTTCCGTCNNTCGAGTCCAGCTTCTGCACTCCTTGTCGCGTGATTGGCACAAGGGACCGTGCTCGGCAGGTTCGGCATGGGCANNATCGCAGATGGGCGACCTCGATGCCAAGCTCGAGCGCGTTGTACATGTGTGCTCANNGCAGATAATGCATGAATGGGGGAGGGTTTTGAGAAGGGCGATGGGTGGATGGTGTAAGCAANNAGCAGGCGTTTCCGGATGGGTTTGGCTGGGAGACGGTTGAAAGGCGGACAACAGCCGCGTTCTCGGTCGCCATGTCTTGCTATTTCTAATGACGGTTACCTTGGGTGGTTGAGACAGTGATAGCTGGCGGGCAGGGCAAGGCAATAGGGATCAGCATTTTATGAGTCTTGCCTAGCCGGACGCCGCATGTGGCAAAGCAGTCTAGCTGAGAGGGAAACAATAAGCTCCCGCGCCGGTCATGCTTTACAAGCAGAAGTGGGTGGAAAGAAAGAGCACTTTTGGCAACGGCGACAACAGCACTTTGCGGGCGACAGAGAGTGTAGACGCATAGAGAGAGGGTCATGTCTACGAATTGCAGGGAGATTGTAGGCGGAGAAGGGACGAAATTGGATAAATTAAATGGGATTGGGTGCAGTCGCGCGGCTTGGCTGCCGGGGCGTCACTCTCGTCGCTCGTCTTCTTTGGCTGCTNGGCTGCACCGTCTCATCCTCTTTCAACGGGTCCGGCTCTCGACTCCTATCGAGTTTTCCCTCCNNCCCTTCCATATCCTCCCATCTCCATCATCCGTCATCAACAATCTCATCTCCATCGCCGCATCTTACGAACGACACGACTCTAGCTTGCATTGTATACCCTCGCAGTTCTTAGCCCCATCTCTCCCACGAGTCCGACNNTCGACCCCCGACGCTCAATTCGCCCTCGGCCATCTCCGCTTCACGCCTTCGAGTCGTAGAGTCACCGCCGACTCCCCTACANCGTTCGAGTCCCCGGTCTGCACAGTCATCCGCCGTCCGACATCAGGCAGGCGAGGCTGTTCTCTACAAGACACAAGGACACCTGAGGCGTCCCNNTCGAAGACAAGCGGCTCGTCTTGGCGTTGGGTGTCGACGCCTGTTGTGACTCGACTTGCATCCGACTGGAATTGCATGGCTGGTGTTTGATCTTGATTGATTCGTTGCATTGCCGGTGTTGTGTGTAGCTCTGGTGAGTCTTCCGTCGACAAGGTCCGTCATAATCAGCCGCTGACGCCTCTCGCTCAGTCTTTGTTGTTGCCATCTCATTTCCAATCTTCCCATCATGCGCGAGGCCAACTTCAGCATCCCGAGCGCGAACAAGGCCTCGGTCGGCATCACCCCTGCCCTCTATGATCGCCGCGCCCTTGATTGCACCTCGACCCTCCCCTTGATCAATTCCCTCAACAACCTCACCTACCTTACTACGTCATCCGCACGCATCCGCGATATCCTCACTGTAGACGGTGGTGTTGAACGCCTGGTCTGCATCTTGAAAGAAGGCAGGAGCAAAGATGCCATGGAGAGCTGGAAATGGAACCTGGCTTTCCAGTGTGTCTTCAACATTGGTGTCAGAGGCTCCGAAGCTGTACGAACCCGCGTTGTCGAAGCCGACATGGTACCTGTGGTAGCAACGCTTCTCGACAATTACATTCGCGCCATGGAAAAGCTGAAGAAGAGAGCCGACGAGGACGCAAGACGCACTCCGGCCAACTTCAACCCCTTTCCCAACCTTCAGAGTCCTACCCGCGCAAGTCGCTCTCCTTACCAGTCTAGATCAGATCGCACGCCTCGGAGATCAGTCCCACCGCCGATCGATGTCTCTGTTACTGACGATCAGCCCATGGTCGACTCACAGCAGCCGCTGTTACGCAACACCAGACTCGATTTTGGTCGGCACACTCCGATGCACGACATCCGTCCGCAATCATCTCCCCAGATTCGCTCAGAGCAAGCCTCGCGTCAGACACTGCGACCAGTTCGAGATGCTGATCGCCTACCGTCGATGCTGCCCAACTTGAACGCAGAGTTGAGCTCACAACCACAGTCGCCTACGACCCCTAGCGCGACGGCTCCGACTAGTCCTCGCTCTGCAGCTAGCCTCGGGCGCAGAAGACCATCGATCCGCCATCAACTATCCATTTCCGGCAACTGGGAAGACGAACAAAGCGACGATGCTGTTCAAGACACTTCAGATACAGCAGAGACGTCCCCAGAGCCAATGGTCGACATTCAAAACGACATCTCCATGCAGGATATTGTCAACGATGAGACCATGCTCGAAGGAAGCGTGACTCCTGTAGCTCTGGGTGTGCCGGCCGTCGACGTGTCGGATTCGGATGCCTTCATCAGCCACGCCTCAGTGCAAGACGGCAGTACTAACAACCAAACTCCAACACAAACTCAGCCCGGATTTGCACCTGTCCAGCAACTTCCATCAGTCGATATTGTTAACGCTACCCCACCAGCACTCATGGCTCCGCGTGCTAGTGTACCCTTCGTCTCGGCTCCAGCTCCCCTTGCCGCCGCCCTCNCCCGTGACGAAGATGTCATCATGTCTCTTCAATTGCTCGCCTACGTTTCGAAATACTGCAACCTCCGCTCCTACTTCCAGGCTTCACACCTCGTCCCCCGCCTCAATATCGATGCTGAGTTGACCACACTGGATGCCGACTACGACCCTTCGGTTCCTTTTACTGGTCCCTCTCAAGAGGAGCTCGAAGAGGCTTGGGACAATGAGTTTGTCGAACAACCCGCATACAACATTTTCCCCTTGATCGAGAAATTTACTGTGCGTTGTTCAAGCTCTCGCCAATCCCTGCTACCAACGTCGGCACAACAGAGCGAAACTATGCAATACTGGGCAGGTGTCGTTATGCGCAATCTCTGCCGCAAAGACGAAAGCCGCGGCGGTATCCGTCAATGTGCATACTGGAAGTGTGGCAAGTGGGAAGAGTACACACGGCAATTTGCCAAATGCAGACGCTGCCGACGCACCAAGTACTGCAGTAAAGAGTGCCAGAAGGGTGCTTGGGGCAGTCATCGATTCTGGTGCGTAGCAGCTGAAGAGGGCAAGGAAGGAGAGAACTCTCGGCATCACCACCATCACACACACTCGCATTCGCACCAGCGGTCTCATCACCACGCACAGGGCGAGGGAGCGGTGACGGCAGCAGCAGGAGCCTCGACGACACGAGGCGAATCATCACGCTCCCGCACACATCATTCTTGATTATGAAACTGGATTTACACGGCATATGTTCTTTGACAGCCTTCTTCGGCAACGATATCCTTTTAGGCCGAATGGAAAGAGCTTAGGTACTTAGGAGATTGAGCAGCACTATGAGCACGGGCAATAGAGCCCTGTGCCTAGATTTAACGAAACATTGCGCAGGCGTTGTGGAGGAATTTTGCGATACTCTTGGGCAGGCGTTGTTTGTGCTATATTTCGAGAAGGAAGGAGCACCCGATTGTCCATCGGGCAGTACTGAGTACCACGTTGAATATTATTTTGCTTCTTCCAAGACTTACTCTACAACAACATTGTGCAAACAGACCGGTCGTACCCTCGGCCCTCGAGAACAAAGACATCTACAGACATGTCAGACAACGGAAACAGAGACGATTGGGTATGTGAAAGTGGGTCCGGGTTTTCAGCGGTTCGGGATGTAATTCAGGAAATACAGCACGTGCGTTTGAGTGAAAGATTGGGTTGTCCGTCGTCGTCCAGATAAGGAAGGAAGATGCAGCGCTGGGCATGACACATAATTGACACTCTGACAGTCGTGACATGGCTGCTACGCCTGAGCATCCTCCCTAACGAGACTCACCTAAGATCGTGGGTGGTGGCCCTGCATACGAGAAGCGACACACACATTCCGACGAGCGACTTCGGCTATGACAGGCCGCGCTGAAGTCGTCACCAACGACGAGGATGCGCGAAGACCGCTGCTGTCGCGCAGCAACACCAACGACATAGACCTGGATATGGCAGCTCTCAGCACACGGCCGGGCCATGAGAGATGGCGGCGCGTGGTCGGTTTGCTATTGCTGTTCACGACTGTCATTCTGTGGACCGCCTCTAACTTTATGGCTTCCGTATGGCTATTGCTCAACCCATAACTATTGCGCAAAACGACTGACAGCATGCTTAGANCACTGTTCGCCGACAACACGTACTCGAAGCCCTATCTCGTCACTTACGTTAACACCGCCTGCTTCATCATCCCGCTCTTGCCCATCGTCGCGCGACGCCTGTACCTAGGCGGCTCCCTTAAGACGCCGAGATACGCTGCTGTGCCTCAGGACCACGACGAAGACGCATACACGCAAGAGCACACCAGTGACTCTACTTCGCTAAAGCATACGGCCATCAACGATGCTCAAGCCGTGGCTCCCTTGTCTCTGGGCGAGACCGCTCGTCTGAGTCTGGAGTTCTGCATCCTCTGGTTCATGGCCAATTACTTCGTGGCTGCATGTCTGGAACACACGACCGTCGCTTCGTCTACTATTCTCACCTCGACGAGCAGTATCTTCACGTTACTCCTAGGATGTGCCGTTGGTGTCGAGATCTTTACTATGCGCAAGCTCTTTGGAGTCCTGGCTTCTCTGCTCGGTGTCGTTCTCATCTCCTCTGTCGACCTCTTTGGCAACAACGATAACGGCCGTGGCCTGTTTCCTCACAAGTCTGCACGTGATATTGCTGTAGGCGATTCTATGGCTCTGCTCTCTGCTGTGCTGTACGGAGTCTATGCCGTACTCATGAAGAAGCGCATCGGAGACGAGCGCAGGATAAGCATGCCCTTCTTCTTTGGCCTTGTGGGTCTCTTCAATGTCCTGCTGCTCTGGCCTGGCTTCTTGATTTTGCACTATACCGGTGTAGAGCCCTTTGAGCTGCCCCCGACTTCGAGGGTGACGGCAATTATTCTCGTAAGTCTGGTACTCCTCTTCTCATCTGAGCTGTTTTGTTGACAATGTACTCTCTAGGTCAACTCTTTCAGCTCCTTGCTCTCTGATATCGCGTGGGCTTATGCTGTACTGCTCACTTCACCCATTGTCGTTACAGTAGGCCTTTCAACCACTATTCCGTTATCGCTTATTGGACAATTGCTCATCAACAACCAAACCTCGCCTGCTATCTACTGGTTGGGCGCCTGTGTCGTTGTCTTGTCTTTTGTCTTTGTCAACCATGAAGAAGCTCAAGATGAGGCTACTCAAGATCAACGCATTTTAGAACATGCATCGTCGAGTAGAGAGGTACAACAGCATGAGGAAGTATGAACAATACTTGCATCTTTTGCATTCTGTTAGGAGTTTTTGGCGATGGAGGCTTGTCAAGAAAAAGGGCAGTACCGTATCTATAGACTGGGCTGGGGGCTTTCTTCTTCTGTGAGCATCCGGCTTTTATGAATATCACGATTTTTATCTTTCTTGTTCGTTAAATGTGTTTCTCTCCCCATACAAATTCCGGAAGGGAGATTATGAATTCGCCTAATTACTAGGTACTATATGGAGGAGTTTTTCTCGTTATAGTGGAGGTGTCTAAATCCGATAAGGCATAAACTTTACTCCTCACGCGTAGGATCAATAGCAGTGATACCTTCCACATTCGGCATGCGTATCAGAAAAATGTGGGTGCCTAAAACTCGAGCCATAATATGTCTGCCTCTCGATCTTGGGGTCATTTTGTACACTTCCGTCAGTTGCAGAGCTGACAACCAATGTCGCTGAACTTCACCATCGAAGCGGCCCTACGGCAGGTGCGAAGCACTGCAGTCGCTTGCTCTTTCGCCGACGACAACACGTTTGGTCCATCGGTTGCCAAACAATGCCGTGCCTTTGATTTTACCTTGCTTTTCGAACAAGCGTTTCTCTCCTCCGTGCCTTCCACTCTACTCGTCCTAGGTTGCATTTTCCGTTTGCGTGGGATTCTCCGTCAAGATGTGAAAACACTACGCAGCCATCTGCATAGTTCGAAGCTGGTATCGACGTGCCGACTCACTTTGAAAGAGTCAGACTGACGAGCTTAGGTGACCGCCAGCTGCTATGCATGCCTACAATTGGCGTTGTTGGTTGTCGTCGCTCTGCCATCAACACCACGTACAAGCCTATCCCTCGCAGCAGCTGCCCTCTCCTTTGCTGGAGCATTGTCTATCTGTCTACTGTCGCATCTGGAGCATACAAAGTCCATCCGCCCTTCGGCGCTGCTGAACGCCTACCTGTTCTTTTCGGTACTGTTTGACGCCGTCCAGCTTCGAACACTATGGGGAATTCGTGGCTTGGAAACAGTCGCAAGCGTTGTTTCCTCAGCATTGGCTCTGAAGGTCGTCCTTCTTGTCTTGGAAGCATGGGAGAAAGACTCTCTGCTTACACCGCCTTACCGCGACACGGCTCCTGAAGCGAAAACCGGCCTCTACAATCGTAGTCTCTACTGGTGGCTCAATCATTTCCTCGCTGTTGGCTTCAGAAAAGCCATTGCTTTTGATGACCTGTACAGCCTTGATGATGCATTGTCGTCCAAAGCACTGGCTGAAAAGGCCCAAACATCCTGGCGAAGAGCAGACAAGACCAAGCAGCATGCCTTACTCTGGAACACTGTGGCTTGCCTCAAATGGCCACTACTAGCCCCTGTAATATCCAGACTCGCACTGATTGGTTTCAACTACTCGCAGCCCTTCTTGATCACCAGGATCATCAATTATGTCGATGATGCTGAAAGAGACAGAAACACCGGCTATGGACTGATTGGTGCGGCTGCGATAATCTACATAGGTATTGCAGTCTCCAAGGGACGCTATCAGCACGCCAACTTCAGATATATGACCATGATTCGGGGCTCGCTCTCTGCCTTGATATACGAAAAGACCCTGGATCTGCGATACACGGCTTTGGAAGATGCGAGTCCTGTTAGCCTATCGACTGATGTGGATTATATCGTCAACATCTCGGAGATACTGCACGAACTATGGGCAGTAAGTAAGCCAAAGGTACAGATAGCACAGACCAGAATCCATTATATGGGGACTGGATTGTTATTTGTTCCATGTTCAAACATAAGAAACATGCTAATTGTACCTTCACTTTTAGNNAGCACATTCGAGATGATCATTGCTATGTATCTGTTAGGCCGAGGCTCTGGAGTCGGATGTGTTGCACCAGTAGTGCTCGCTCTAGCTAGCGCAGCCGCAAACGCTTTGTGGGTAGGCCCTCGAATGAGGAAATATCGGCCGAAATGGAATGCAGCCATCCAGCAGCGCGTGGCTTTGACTTCTTCGCTACTCAAAGACATGAAAGCACTGAAGATGTTAGGCCTGACAAGCAGGATGCGGGCTTTGCTCCAGGATCAGCGCAGGTTCGAGCTCAAGAAGTCCATTGACGTTCGGAGATGCATCATCTGGCTTAACATCTTTGGCAACCTGATGCCGAGTTTTGCGAAAGCCTTTGTATTGATGACTGTGGCGTTGCGAGCACGAGAAGACGGTGATGCACTTGATGCGGCCACTGCTTATAGCCTTATCTCGCTCATCAACTTGATTGATCAGCCCTGGGGGACCGTCACAGCGAGCATACCTTCTTTCATGGGAAGCATTGGCTGCTTTGAGCGCATCCAGAAGTTCCTACTTGCGGACAATCAGAGCGATGATCGTATCATCATCAGCAGAAACACTCCCGAACTGTCACCAGCATCATCTGCCATAGAACTGCGGGCTATGCCTGCGAAAGGAGCAATACATACTGGTAGTAACGCTATCACTCTCGATGAGTGCTCCTTTGGCTACTCTGTCGACACTCCGGCACTCAAAGATCTCACATCTACAATCAAGGGAGGTACCATCAACATGATTGTGGGACCTGTCGGTTCCGGCAAGACTAGCCTCCTCCTTGGTCTGCTTGGAGAGATTCAAAGTCTGAAGGGATTTGTCCGTGTGCGCACCGCAGATGTTGCATACTGCCAGCAATCCGCTTGGTTGCCCAACTTGACCATCAAGAGTATCATAACAGGATCTCTTCCATACGATGAATCCTGGTATCAGACGGTCGTTTACTCTTGTGGACTCGACTCGGATATATCTCGCTTCATCGATCGTGATGATACTCTGATCGGAAGCCGAGGGCTGACTCTGAGTGGTGGACAGCGTCAAAGACTTGCGCTTGCTCGTGCAGTCTATGCAAGAAAAGCGATCATCTTACTTGACGATATCTTTAGCGCTCTAGATGCAAAGACGGAGCAGCTTGTTTTCGAACGCTTGTTATCAGAGCGAGGTCTTTTCAGAAGGAATAGTACGACTGTTATACTTGCGACTCATGCAGTGCATCATTTGCACGCCGCAGACCATATCATTGCACTTGGCAAAGATGGAGCTATTGTCGAACAAGGGTCGTTCCGACAGCTTATGGCCAAGCAGGGCTATGTCGAAACGCTAGCTATCGAGCTCCGAGATCAATCTAACCACGAAGACGCGGCGAAGTTGACAGAGGAATTCAATCGCGAAACGACAGGCGCTGATGTAAAAGATAAGTTGACCGCACTTGACCGAAGGTTAGGAGACTTTTCAGTCTACAAATATTACGGAAAGCGTGTAGGACTGGCTTTGCTCATGGCCTTTCTTGCCTGTCAGTTCATAAAAATTAGCCTCATGTCTCTTCCAGGTTTGTTGTCTCGATGCTTCGCAGCCGACTTTGACTGATGTCGAAATANNGATCTCTGGGTACAATTCTGGACAGAGGATCAGGGTGCTCAAATGAGCATGTACATCTCTGTCATGTTCGTCATCGCATTCTGTAGTCTGATCTTCGTTTACGTTGCTCTGTGGTATGTCTCTTCCGCTGCCTCAAACCGGAATGTAGTTGAACATGTCCAGGNNGTCATAATGATCAAGATGGTCCCCCAAAGCGGATTGAGGTTCCATTGGACACTGCTTTCCACAATCACCGCCGCACCACTCAGCTACTTTACGAAGACCGACGCTGGAGTCATTCTCAACCGCTTCAGTCAAGATATGACCATCGTTGACAGCGCTCTACCGGTAGCACTTCTTCAACTCAGCGGCGTCATGTCCGAAATCGTCTGGCAGGGTGCTTTGATATGCTACGGCGCGTACTACCTCGTAGCATTTATTCCTTTCGTTGTTGCAGTACTTTACGCGATCCAGAAGTTCTATCTTAGGACGAGTCGCCAGCTGCGTCTGTTGGATCTGGAGATGAAGTCGCCACTGTTTACACACTTCTCAGAGACTCAGGAAGGTTTGGTCACGATCAGAGCTTTCCAATGGCAGTCTAGCTTCCACGCCGGTTTCATCGAAAAGTTGGACGCATCGCAGAGACCGTACTACCTACTCTACATGATCCAGCAATGGTTGGGACTCTGCTTGGCTCTTGTAGTCGCCGGTATAGCCATCGTGTTGGTCGCATTTGCAACACAATTCATGCATCAGTCTTCTGGTGGACAGATTGGTGTGGCTATGATCTCTGTCATGGGATTCAGCTCTAGTCTTGCTGCGCTTATATCGCATTGGACAAACCTGGAAACATCGATTGGGGCTGTTGCACGTCTCAAACAGCTAGAGCTTGAAGTCAAGCCAGAGGACCTGCCTTCTGAATGCGAGATACCGCGCTCTTCATGGCCAGAAGCAGGTGCTGTTGTCTACGAAGGTGTATATGCAGGTTACGGAGATGGCAAGCCAGATGTTTTACATGATATATCTCTCGCCATTCGCCCAGGCGAGAAGATAGGCATCTGCGGCAGGACAGGGTCGAGCAAATCGACCTTGATCTCTCTGCTCTTCAGACTTCTATCCACTGGAGCCGGTGTCGTGGCTATTGACGGCATTGACCTGTCAACCCTTCCTCGCCAGAAGATCAGAGAGTCGGTCATTGCGATCCCTCAGGAGCCCTATATTCTAGCCGGCACTGTTCGCTTCAATGCGGCACCTCACTCTGCACCCTTCTCTTCACTCGACACTGATGCATTCGAGAATGCCGTCACCGACACAGCCATCATTGCCGCGCTTGAAAGAGTGGATCTTTGGGACCTGATTGCTCGTCGCGGCGGACTCAACACTCCAATATCTGATCTCGGGCTCAGTCACGGCCAGAAACAAGTCTTTTGTCTTGCTCGAGCCATACTCAGAAAACAGACTTCGAAGCTGTTGATCTTGGACGAGGCTACCTCTAGTGTGGACAAGCATACTGACGAGCTTATGAGACGAGTCATTGAGGATGAATTCGATGAACATACGGTCATCAGTGTAGCACATAGATTGAGCAGTCTTGCTGGCTGCGATCGAGTTGTCGTCATGGATGAAGGTAAGATTGTAGAGATGGGACAGCCAGGTGCTTTGACGGAAGTGGAAGAGGGTTGGTGGAGGAAGTTGTGGGAGGCGCAGAATTAGATGGGTTTGCACCGAGACAAGAGACAGTGAATCAAGAGATATGCAACTTGCGACTTGTACAGTAAATGCTCTAATCCTGTATACAAGCCAAGCATTGAACAAAGGTTGCCCTTTCCAGGAGATACCGCCATCCAACTCTATGCGCAAGTGAACAGCCCGCCATCACCAATTCTCTCCCGTCCCCAAAACCTTTTGCCCTTTCTGGAAATCAGCGCTCTGCTTCTCTCCCATCCACTGCGGCTGCGTCCTCTCAATTCCCTCTTCGATACCCCAAGCTCGTCCTCCTTCCACATACAGGGCTTCGCCGTTCAGAGACTCGGCAACCATGACGCCGGCGATTACTCTAGCCACATCGATGGCTTTGTTGCGCGGCAGGCCTGCTTCTTTCCAGTCATCTTTGATACCGGTCACCATTCTTGTTTCTGTCATCCATGGACACACTGCATTGGTTCTGATTGCGTAGGGNGAGGATTTGATGAGGACTNNCTGCCACCATCATATTAGCCACGTGCTAGGTGAATGCAGATGGGTGAGGGAAACTTACTTTCGCAACGCACGCATTAATCCATACACACCATGTTTACTCGACGAATAGATTGCCAAACCGGGAGCTTCGGTAAATCCAGCTACTGACGATACTAGCGTCAATGATTTGTTTGCTGCTGCGGTGGAGGATTTGTCGTTGAGGGGTGGTTGACGGAGATATACGCTCGCGAGACGAGAAAACAGGATGGGTCCCCTGAGGTTGACGTTGAGCGAGTCGTCGATATCGGGTTCCTTTATNCCACAACACTTGTCAACTCTTTCCCTTCATGAACTTGGACCGAAAACAAGAACAGGGACGAAAATATTTACCTTTCGCACACTCTCCAACGTCAACCCCTGATCCGCGATATTTTCCTCTCTGTTGATTCCCGCAACACTAGCCGCATGATCCACTCTCCCACAAGTTTTATACGCCAACTCAAAGAGCCCGAGATTCGAAAGATGATCTGCTACATTGGTATACAAGAATTTGACTTGTTGGCCTGGTGTCTTGGAGGTTGCGGATAATTCTCTGGCTAGGGCTTCTCCTTGGGGGATTAGGACATCGCCGAAGAAGATGTGGGAGCCGGCTGAGTGGAGTAGGCGCACGAGTTCGGCACCGATGCCTAGGGCGCCGCCNTGGGGATGCTTTGTTAGTATGTCGAATTGATTGGGAGGAGAATTGGATTAGAAGAAACAAAAGGATGTGTGATGCCTCGAAGTGGAATTGTGAGAGCTGCACTTACCCGTCAACACAACAACCTTGCCCTGCAACTGTGTTCCCAACTCCGGAGTCTCGAATCGCGACATTGTTTGAGGTCTTGCTGAAAAACGACAAGAAATGACCTTTCGAGAACCAAAACGCGATAGAAGAACAAACACAGATAAGACAATCAAAGAAAGAAACAGGAAGCCGGTCCCTCCACAAACCACAACTCGGGCAATGGGATGATAGAAGGAAGAGTACCCCACATGAGCTCTGCCCCCACACGCAAAAGTGGCAGTGACGTTGGAAGCCCGTCAGCGGAATCTTTGCCGCGTTCTTGAATGCTTCTGCTTCCGTATTGGGAGTATCGTCAGCCTTAGGCAGAGAAACTCACCAAAAGCTCTGGTGATGTAGAATAATATAGAGTTGGGGAATATAACTGAGGATCATAGAACTCGGAGTAGTTTCAGCAAAGGAACGATGTGGTCATAAGACGGAGACAGCATTTATGTTTGATGGATAGCAACCATGGCGTAGAGGATGAATCAAAGCCGCTCTGATGAGAAAATCGACTCCCCAATAATGGTATTATTGTCTCTAGATGTCGGGTCAAAGTTCTCTTCTACTACTTACTCAACCCTCCTTTGTAGTTTTGGAGCCCGGATCTTGCTCTTCATCCAATCGGGCACGAATGCCTTTATACCCAGCGTTTGTGCCTCTTCTTCGGCGCCAGCACCCTTGACGATAAATCTGTCCTCGGAGCTAAAAGTGCTGGGCTCGCCGGTGACTTGCAGATCAGTCATCAGTTCCAACCTGCACATTGCCAATCCGACGTTTCCAACACCATTGATCCATTTGCCGGGTTTGCCTCTCTTGCCTTGGATTTTGATCTCTGTGTTGCGCTCTGGGGTTGCAAACGCCGTCTCTGCATCATAAACAATCTTCTCTGGTGGTGCAGACGAAGCATCAAAGAGACAGACGGGCAAAACGCGCCTTCTCACAACTCCAGTATGATGAGTGCGAATGGTAAGTTCTTGGCCCACGTAACAGCCCTTTTTGAAATCTATACCGCCCATGATGTCGAAATTTGTATTCATGGGTAGTACGTCGTCGCGCGGAATTTCGTCTTGGCCTTCGGGGACGCCGCGCATGTATCTGCGTATCGTGTAGGCGTCGAGACCTGCATCGTGTAATCCTTGCATGGAAGCATGGGTTCCCAGTGATGTCGTCGAGGGTAACAAGATCCTTTGACCCAATCCTGTTGCTCGTGTATCCACCATAGTAATATTACCTTCAGTATCTGTATTGCAACCTTCACCACTGATATTTGAGTGAGGGGTCCACTTCTGATCTTCCCTCCAGGCTGCCCAGATGTCCAATTCGCCCTCTTCCAACACCCTCAGTGCGAATTTACTCCGTAGTTTATGCCGTTTCAGATGTTTCAGCAAATTGCTTGTTTGTTGCTCATCCACCTCGACTAAAAACCCAGCATCCCCGCTCTTATTGTTCTCGGCGTGGAAGTTCGAGCCCAGAGTGGGATACACGAATACATCGTGCAGCACTTTCCCTTGGGCGGTCAGGAATGCGGCGAAGAAGGGTGCATGCGAGGTAGGATTGACGTTGTTTGTCAAGATGCCCTGGAGGAATTTGGGCGCGTCGGGTCCGTGGAGGGAGATCAAGCGGCGGGTGGATAGTTTTGCTGCGCCAGAGGGTGGAGGCGATGGTGGGAGTGGTGATGTTGCCGTCGTGGTAGAGTATGTGCGTTTGGTCTTTGAGAGGCGGCGCAGACAGACGAATGGCTGTCTGGGGGTCGCGGCGGCCATTATTGAGGATACGACTCTTTGTTGGATGAGTGGTGGATGTTTGAGAGCTTGAGAACGAGCGAAGATGAATCTCGCTGACATCATCCGACTTTTTTTGGCCGAGGCTTCTGACAAGAGCAACCTCCTCTCACGACGACTTGCACCAACAATCCATATTGTTTAAGAACACAGTTGTTTCGAAACCAGGAATGCCTCCACAAAGAGCGTTCTAGATCAGTTCTCTCAGTGGGTGTTACCTCTTCCCTCGGAACTATTGTGAATCATGATAAGTACCGTGTCGTGAATCGAATGAATGACCAAGATCTCAAGTCAAAAAGTGCGAAACAAGTGGAAAAGAGACTTGAACCGTAGTGCGGGTGCCGCGACGAGCGACACACACAGCAGAGCTGTCAAGTAGGCCATTGTACCGATTGTAGGCAAGTGTGATCAATGAAGAAGTACAAGAGGTATGAATTGACATACTCTTTACCAGCACCAATCACTGCCCTCAAACATACATAACTCTTGGAAACGGCACAAAAAGGTTCAGTGTCATAAGGAATGTGTTTTTAACGAATGTCTTCTTGTGATAGATAGTGTCCTATGATGTAGACCAATTGACATGATCTCCGTCCCGCCATATGTTCCGTGCTCAAACAGGACCTCTCTTTGGACCCTTGTTCTTCTCGCTCTTCACCACGCCATTGAGATAGTCGAGCAGGAATCCTTTAGCTTCCACTGGAGTAGATGGCGACCTAAGTCCATCGTTATCCCCTCCATTGCTCACCACCGAAGAAGCGCTGGCCAATCGTGACCTGAAGATTGACGGATCCGTTGGCAGAGGCGCTCCTGAGTTGTTCGACATGGCTGATCCAGATCTACTCTCAGCCTGTGAAAGTCCAGGATTCTGTTTTGCGAACAAGGCGAGGAGTGCATTACGTTGCTCTCCAGGGTGCTGTAGTGCTTGTTCCACACCTGGACTAGCCGCTGTCTTCTCTATCTTTGGCCTTTGTAGGATCTGCGGCTGGAATTGCTTGGGTGTTTCTTGCGTCTGCCTTGCAGCAGACTGCTTGGGTGCTGCTTGCTTTGGTGTAGCCTGCTTAGAAGGAGGCGGCTGTCTGACCTGAGGCATCTCGGGTGATCCATTATGATCAGCTCTGGGCGAAGGTCGTTGCAAAATGGTGAAATTGGCCGGTGAGTCACTCTTGTTGCCTCGTCGTAATTTATGTGGAGTTTGGACCGACTCAGAAGGCGGAGGTGCAGGCGAACCCGAGGAACCTCTAGTAGCCGCCGTGGTAGACGCAGATCCAGGTCGTGGTAGAATCGACACTGGAGCGCGCGGGGCATCGGGGGCAATTTTTTTGCTCGAAGCCTCCGGCGTTGCTCTGTTTTGTATTGCTTGAACTTCCTGTACGACTTGCTTTGCCGGGAACATATCCATCTTTGCCTGTGCAGGCGAGGGAGTCGGTTTGGCCTTTGGTAACGTCCTTGTCAACATTGCCAAGTTTGCATTTCTTTGCTGAGGGGTTGGTGCCGTTGGTGTGGGTGCAGATGGAGCAGGAGATTGAGCAATATGGAACGGAAGAGTTGTTTGAGGGACCTGAGAGACCGGAGTCGCTCTGGGAGGATCGGGAGACTTGAAGAGACCTAACAAAGAGTTCTGGTGTGCAGATCTTCTACGAGTGTGCTGTGCTTCTCCGGAAGGCTGTTGCTGCTGGGTCTGCATGTGGCTTTGATGGGGACTCGGGTANGACATGGAGCCATTGCCCAATGGCATGGCATTATGAGTGATAGGCGACTGTGAAGGAGCCTTGAAAGCACCTNNCAACAAGTTCATGGCATGGTTGTTAAGCCTGGGNGCGGGCAACTGAGAGGCTGAAGGAGCAATTGGACCGTGGGCAATTGGCGCAGGATGACCGCCAGGGAACAGCTGCTGTTGCATAGACGGATGCGGACCTTGAGGATGGATATGGCCGACAGCATGCGGAGGTTGCTGAGACATGTGTGACATTGCTGGCATGACGCGTTGCAGGCTCTCGTGAGCGTTTTGACCAAAGAAGCCTGGTGGATGGAGAGACACATTGCGTTGGTGAGCAGGTGAAGGGAAGGGGAAGCCTGGAGGAGGTTGCTGTCTGACGGCAGGCGAAGGTTGGTGATGCTGGTAGTGCGGAGTCCCAGGCTCTGGAGGGGTGCTTACGACCTGGTCTAGAGGCGTTGCTGGCGGCAGATCGTTGTTTGTAGGAGGGGCCAGTCCACCGGTAGAAGCATTCCCACGAAGCATGGCTAGCAGTGCATTTGCCTGGTTTCCCTCTCCGTTCGCCGTCTGGGGTGGTTCCTGACCTGGCACGTTGACACTCAACAAGCGTTTGAGTTCAGAGGCAGCGTTTGCAGCAGGCGCATCCACAACAGGTGCGTCTGAGGGAATATCCACAGATTCCTCAACAACGGATTCGACCTGTACTTGACGAGCGGCATCACGCTTCTTTTGTTGGTTGATCCACTTTTTCAACGGAGGCAAGAAGGGGGCAACCATGTACAGTTTGTTGGCGCTTACAGTGCCGTTCTCAGCATTGCCATCTTGTTGGTGCGAGATGACACGGTTGTTCTGTCTCTTGTTCGTATATGACGGTAGATCGGTCAAGCGGTACCAAGCGATTTTNCTACAATGTGTCAGCATGTTCAAGAGTCAGAGTGTGGTCATGGAGAGACAAACGCTGATTTCCTTGCGCGTCTTTGGTTCAAAATAAGTGTCGAGAGGGACACCGCGGAAGACAAACATTCGCAAATGCTGTTCTCGCATGGTCACGTCGATGTACTTCTGGTCGTCGTTGGCCAGACCAGCAGCAGCAATGTCGTAGCCTGTCTCTTCCCAGACCTCACGGATGGCGCAGTCGAGATCTGGCTCGTCCTTGTTGATCTTTCCGCGAGGGAAACTCCATGTGGCACTCTTTTTCCAGCCCTTGACGAGGACTACCTGATCCATGTCATGGTTGAGCAGAATGGCACCCCTGACAGGGACACGGGTCTTGTAGGCGAGGAACTCTTGGTAGGCGGCGGTGTGTTGCGAGTCGGAGAAGGTGGACAGGAGGGGACAGTGTTGGAAGATGCGAAGACAAAAGTCGCGTAGGTTGAGCGAAGGTAGCGAGGGGTCGGTGGGACGGATGAAATCCTCATAGAACCACTGGGCCTCCTCGACCTGGAAGCAGATTCGGGCAACGCTCTCGAGCTCTTCTTGAGGTAGGTTGATGATGAAGCGGACACACAAGTCATCTAGCCAGTCGACTAGCTGCATTTTTGATTCTTGCATCTTGACCGGTGTCGCGCAGCATGTCCGGGTGGAGGAGGTGGCCTGAGTGGAGGCGTGTGTTGAGCAACCAAGCCTCGATCCGATCTGTAGAGGCTTCGCGAGCGTGGGTGAGGGTGAGTGAAGGTGGTAAGGAATAATTGTCGTGATGTTAGTAGAGGGTCGACCTGTCCAGTGCCTCTGCTGTTGCTTGCTGTCGCGACGTGCGTCACTGCGAGCAGCTTCACGCTTGGCCTGTGCACTCTCGCCCTCAGGTCTCTCACAGCGACGAGTTGCAACATAGTAAGTTATAGAAATGCACAAATGTTTTCGAAAGAGAATCGAATCCGGAGAGAGCTGATCAAATCACAACTCTCAGTGGATGACATCCTGTTTTTCAAAAGAATTGTGCATTTCTATAGCTGCCATGTGACAGACTTTGGCACATGGGGACGCTGCCAACTCATAGATCTGTCGCATCTTTCCTCTTCAACCAACACATTCACACCCGACTCTCGCAACCATGCCAGGCGACGACGATTTAATTGAGGCTGCCAAGTCGACAGCAGTCGACTACTATGACCTGCTAGGCATTACCTTTGAGAACTCCAGCGAATCTGATATTCGTCGCGCATACCGCCGTACCGCATTAAAGTACCATCCCGACAAAAACGCCGACAAACCAGACATCGTCGAGAAATTCCATCTACTACAAATCGCAAACGATGTTCTATCGAGCCCTGAATACAAGGCCATCTACGATAATGCCCGTCGCGCCAAGCAGGAGAGGGAGGAGCGCCATCAGGCCTTCGAGGGCAGGCGCCGTCAGATGAAAGAGGACCTGGAGAATCGCGAGAGTGCCAGTCTAAAGAGAAAACATCAAGAAGAGGAAGAAGGCGACAAGCTACAGCGCGAAATTCAACGTTTGGCTGCTGATGGCAAGAGGCGACGTTTGGAAAGGCAAGAGCAACTGAACCGCGAGCGACTTGAGGAGGAGGAACGTCTCGATCGCGAGAGGAACGGATACACATCTACGCAAACCCAAGCTGCACCATCTCAAGGAGGGACTGCCGTTGCCGATATTGATCGCTCTGTGAAGGTCGTGTGGCCAAGGGAAGGCGGAGGAGCAGCCATCGACAAAGAACGTCTCAAGGCTATGTTCACCACATTCGGCAAAATTCAGGATATCGCAATACTTAGTGACAAGAAGAAACGACTGGGCGAAAGCAAGTCAAAGAGCATCGTCGGAAGTGCTCTCATAATCTACGACTCGGTGGTGGGAGCCCATGCCGCAGTCTCTGACTTCAAGAAACGCCAGTCAGAGCCAGACTTCAACATCCTCGACTCGGTCTACTGGGCATCGAACAAGGAGCCCGACTTCCTTCCACGTCCATCGACACCCGCCTCACCACCCGCAGAATCAAAGCCAACGCCACGACCAATGCACGAGATACTAGGCATGAACTCACCTGTCACGCCGCTCAAACAGGCAGGAGGCCTGCGTAAGGTTCCTTCCTTTGCTTCCTTCAGTAGCGCTAAGAACTCGCCCGTCGCTCCTTCCGTATCGAGCCCCAGTCTCGAGGAACTCACTATGATCAGGCTGAAGAACGCAGAGAAGAGGCGACTCGAGGAGCAGATTCGCAAGCAGGAAGCCGAGGACGAAGATTGATGACCACTCTCAGTGGATGTACGTACTTGACAGGATGACACTTTGCAACCGGATGGTGCTAATTAGTTGGCGTGAAGAAGCTGGAGACGCAGAGAATAATGATACCATACAGGTGATGTCTCTCCACTTCCCTTTGTGCTGCTTACGTGCTATAAAAAGGCAGATATTGCTTCATTTGTCGCAATGTTCCAATGAGAGCCCTGAATTCATTCTGCTCTCAGTGGAAACTCATCTGACCCGAACAACATTGTGACTTTCTATGGCTACTTTTCGACTGCCTGCTCGTACTGAAAGTCAATCATAGCTTGGCCTTACTATCTACTAATGACCCCAATTGCTCCTTCATAGTAACAGTCATGCCTTCCGCTCTCGGTCTCCTACTTTCCCGATCTACAAACACATGCACAAACTCGCCAACAGCCTTCACTTCCTCAACACCGCGTTCGAATACGCCAATCTCGTAGGTAACACTGCTCTTTCCTAGCTTTTTGACTCGTAACCCGAGATCAATTAGCGCAGGAAAGCCTACTGGAGCCAAGTAATCGCAATGCGAGTGTACTACCAATCCGATCAGAGGTGACGTTGGCGGATCTAGCTTGCAATGCGTCATGAGGTATGTATTGACAATGCTGTCGAAGNNCTGCGAAGGACAAGATGTGAGCATTTTCCAACAAAGTCCGGCTTTGCAGGTCAGAAAGACGTACAGGAAGTAATACACGCTGTTATTCATGTGGTCGTACATGTCATTGTCGCTCNNCTGTATGAACGCGCGGTCAGGTATTATTGCATTATACGAGTACCCTTTGATGACCTACCATCTTGTCCGATACTCGAGATGAAAGCCGTAATCTTGCAGTCGTCGCTTCTTCAACTCTGCTATCTGCGCCATTGCCTGAAGTGTCCGCGCTTCTTTTCGTAGATGTCTGTTTGCAGATAAATCTGCTTTCGAGGCTTGTTGACAAGGTGATGTCTAGGATAGTTGCATGTCTACCAGATCAATCTTCGGTACCGATCACTCAAATCTAGCCGAGGCTCACGGTTAAACCGCGGAAGATGTATCCTATCGACGGGCATACAGGACCGGACTTGAGATCCATCCTTGTTTGCTGCATGCATGCATGAAGGCTGCATCGCAAGGATCACAGCGAACCGCGATGATGTCTGCTCGTAATCCACCAGGGCAACCCGCCTTGTTACCAAGGCCGAGTACAAACACCTTTTCCTGCACCCGTCATCTTGCCTTTCCACTTTCACCTTGTGCCAATTTGTGCTTTTGTATGTCGTGATATAGTCGCTCGCTAGCATCACCTCTATCACCTAGAGACCTTTATAACACATGATGGTTTCAATAACCTCACTATACGCAACTTTGTTACTCACCTTCGCATTCCGTCTCACCGCATCGCAACAACCACCACCCCAAAGCCTGGAAGCAAGAGGTGAAAGCGGTGGTGGCTGGACAAGCGCATACTGTATAAATCCACAACAAGACCTCAGTGCCGCAACAAGCGCCACATGTCCCTCTTGGGCACCTATAAACTGCGACGCCATCCAAGAATCCAATNTAGTGCGTTTCTCCTTCCTTCTCTTCCTCTGCCTTTTCTAGTCTTTTGTTCTGCTCTCCTCTAGTCTTTTGCTGACACAATCTAGTTGCTGCACACCAAGCACCTACTGCGCCCGCGCCTCCGACAACACCATCGGCTGCTGTCCCTGGGGTCAGACCTGCAATCCCGTAATCGCTGGTGGTGGCTGGCAATCACAATCACAACCACAGCATCCCACAACTTGGACACAACCACAAGCTTCTACCGTCTATGTTACTGAAACACATCCAACGACGACGTTAGTTTATGCCGCTGGCCAACAAGCTACTACTGTGTATAATGGTGTTGGGCAAGGGCAACAGCAATATTGCTCAACACTATATGCGCATGGAGGTAATTTGCCTACGACTGAAGCAGGCACTTGTGGGACAATTTTGATTGCAAACACGGCGGGAAGGGCGGGTGTGGTGTCGAGGTGGGTATTGGCGATGTGGGTATTTTTTGGTGTTGGGGCATTGGTGTTGCAGTTGAGGGGTTGGGTATAGTAATTCTTTGGACGTATAAGGTGTATGAATCCACGATTGTTTTTCTGTTCTGACTACAAGCGTGTTTTAAGGATAGAGAATGAGTTGATTACGGCTTTGTCGAGACGACATCCATCGAGATTGAGAGCTTCTAGCACTATACACATTAAGTGTTGTAGCTTAGTCCAGATAAAAGGGTGCCAGTTCCGAAAACGATATAGCACGCCGTTAAATCTGGGCAGTTGCTTCTAGATTCCGATAGCTGTCCAAAGGCATCGACATCGTTGTGTTAATCAGACTCGCTGAGCATGTAACCAACCATCTTTAAGAAGGCGGAGGTTTTTATAACTGAATTGCTTTTTTTTTCCAGCTGTTGAACAATGCCTAACGACCTTTGGGCTTAAAGATAAAGACATGGCACAGAACATACTTTGGGCGGTTTGCAAGACAGAAAGTTAAAAGGTTGGAAAAATGCTTGAAGGAATGCTATCTATAGGGTATAGTAATGGTGATCCTGCTGTCTTCGAGACTAGCAAACAACAAAGAAAGCAAGAAACAAAAGACACATCTAGAAAAAGATAGAAACCAAAAATCTATATATGTGAAAGAGCTCAAGGAAGAGGTTATCACAAGAATACACACTCTTCGAAAAACAGACTTTTTGTCTTTCCCAAAAGAGAGAAAGGTATATGGAAGATGACACAAAAAGAGTAACGCTCAAGGCTTGGAAAGCTGCTCTTTGCGGAAGAAAGTAAAGAATCCAACACAAATGCACAGTTGGAAGATCAGACAGATCCAGAAGTCTGCACTGGCGAGACCGTCTTTCCAGTTGACCGAAAAGTCAGGGAATACGTCGCCGGGGCCTGTGGCATCTGGCGCTGTGGCTCTGGACAAGATAGTCGCGACGGACCCGATGACTTGTGCGGCCACGAGGGTGAAGGTGATGTGGAAGCGAGTCAATGTTTGCAGCAAGATCATGCCGAAACCGATACCTTGGACAGAGTCGAGTACACCGAGCCAAAGCCATAGACCACGACCCAGAAGTGCCGAGGCCATAGGGCTACCAGCCCATGGCAAGTACATGCCAATGTTGCTGCAGCTCCACAAGATCTGACACCATCTAGGAGCGCCGAGACCAATGGCAAATATGGGAATGAACCAGGAATGCGTGGTACTCAGTTGCGAGAACCACCATAGCAACAAAGCCCAGATGACAACAAAGAACAGAACAATCAACAGGAAGATGGCCCAGCCAGGTGCGTGCTTGGAGCTCCAAAGGTACTTCCAGTTGCGACCGTAGATGGAAGCGAGGAAGTAGTTCTGGACAAACACAGCAACGAAGAACCAGACAATAACCTTACGTCTCATGACGGCGGTGTAGAAGGAGGGTACTGCACCAGGCGCTTGACGGTAGAATGCGGGTAAGCCAAGCCAAAGGAGGATACCGATAGCCCAGAGGAACAGGGCAATTGGCACACCAATGGCTGTCATGGTAGAACCATAGGTTACCAAAGTAGATGCACCTTTGCCACTGTCGCTAAGTGCCGAAAGTTTGTCACCCCAGTACCATAGACCGACGATGTAAAGTTGCTGAGTTCCTTGAATCATACAAGCACGGAAGCCCCAGGTCTTGACAGGTGCAGAGCCAGTGCTACCAAAGTTTTGTGCGAAGAAGAAAGACCCAGCAGCACTCGCAAACGAGTAAAATCCAGTAGCGACGTTTTGGACCCACCCACGTCCAGAGGCGGTGGCCGCATAAGGAGCCATACCCAAGAGGAAGAAGGCAAAGCCATAGATGAACCATGGGAGTGCCATTGTGTAAATCAATGCAAAACGACGGAAGGCAAACCACCAGACCAACGAAGCAGCGAGGTAGATGCAAGCCACGACGTACAACTTGCTTGCACTCTCACCAATTTCTCCAGTAAGCAGAGTGATCTGGTAGCTGTTTGCAGCAATGATCTGACCAAGTGCAAGGAAGAAAGAGTAGATGGGCCAGTCTCCAACCTTGTACATCATCATACGACGGACACCTGTAGGAGCTTGATAGTCTTGGGGCAGTAAGAACTGATCGGAGGTCTCTTTCTCGGGATCGATATTGGTGCTGAAGACCTGACCAGTGGGTGAGTTGGCACGAGTGGCTGCAGGGGTCTCCCTAGCCATCTTGACATCATGCATGCGGTTGAACCACTGCTTCTCAGACTTTTCGAGGTACTCCTCGATACACAAGGCAGATTCTGAATTCTTACCGGTGAGATCTTCAAGCTTGCGTTCGAAGGTGCGGTAGTATAAGCCAGTGGAGTCAGTAAAGAACGGTAGCAGATCCTGAGGTGTTTTGTCTTCCTTCTGCTCGATAACCTTGTCGACAGTCAGAGTAGACTCTACGTTAGCTAATCGGCCCAAGGGAGAATGGAATGGCAAAAACGGCGACGAGGCAGAAGGGCTGGCCATTCCAGGTGTTGCGGCGGGCGAGAGAATATAAGGGCTGTTGATACCGAATGGATCTTGAGCCAAGAAGGGGAAGCCAGAACGGGCCTCTGCTTGTGCTTGCTCTTTAGCTTGCTGTGCCTCTTCGCTGGAGATGCCTACTTCCTCGTCTGCAATCATTGAAAGGCGGTTTCTGCCCTGACCGACTTCAGTCGAGTTTCTTCGAGAGAGTGTAGGACGAGAGCCGGAGAAGCTGCGAGCCCTGGTTTGAACGTGGCCGGGACCTGCGCGAGTGCCAAGAGACAGCGAGTTGTTGCGAGACGTTGTTGGCGAAGATTCTGCAGTGTTTCCTGGGCGAGTGGGGAAGAAGGTCTGGATGGGTTGGGTGTGCCTCTGCCCCATGGCGTACCGGCGCCAGGAGTGCCCCATCCANCTAGGAGTCATCCAGCCAGGCATGTTAGGGGTGTTGTAGCCACTGCCGAAAGGAGTTGTGGCAACAGACATGCCACCGTTACGCTGCTTCTTCTCAACACGCTTGTTGTGAATCTTAATAGACTTGGTCTGCAAGATCTCAAGGTCTTCCTTCCACTGAGCGACAGGGAATCTCTGCACGCTACTTCTGGCGCGCATAATTGCTCTGGTCTGATAGTTTGACTTCAAAGCGCCATCGATAGCCATCTTGAACTGGTGCATCTGATGCTTGGTGGTTTGGGACTCGATAGTGTACCACCAACCAGGCATCTGTCCAAGACCTCCGACGCGTGAGCCAACACCGAGAGCACCTTTGCGGCCGAACTCGACAGCGACCAATCCGAAAGGCTCGTCACGACTNGTGAGATGTTAGCAACTAGCGGTTGAGAAGAAGCATTAGATTCTGTTTAACACATACCTGGGAATAAGGGCGAACTCTGCACCTGAGAAGATGAATGGTGGGAGAGCGGTGAACTCGGGCTTCGAGTAGACACGGCCAGGATACTTCTTCATCATGATTTCGAGCTTGAGCGCTGCGAACTTGCCGTACAAGTCAATACAGGGGCCAACGCAGAGTAGCTGGACGTTCGGGTTCTTCTCAAGGATGGCAGGGAAGACATCAGCGATCAAATCAATACCCTTNTGCATACTCCAGCGACCGACGAAGACGAACAAATCAGCATCAGGCTTGACTTCAAGTCCCGCCCACTCCTGAGCTTGGCGTCTCAGACCAGCTCTGGTAGATTCATAGACCTCATCGATTACAGCATCCTTGGGATTGGCCAGCTTCTTGTCCCATGCCGCGACATCTGAAGGGTCAGGGTTAGGCAAGGCACCGATGTTGCTGAGCCCCCAGAAGATTGGGTAACGTGCCCAAGAGCGCTTGCCATACTTCTTACTGACACCAACAGCTCCAAAGCCCTTTTGGTGAATACGAAGAATGCTCGCACCAGCATGCAGGAGATTGAAAATTTCACCAAACTGTACGTACTTGGCAACGACAGACTCTGAGAGGTTGTAGACAGAGCAAACCTCAGCTCTCTCCTTTGCGTTTCTCATTGGCCAAAGGCCTTGGAACTCGGCGTTATGGAGCGACAAGCAGACAGGAATAGTCTGAGGAAGGAGGTACAGTGGTGCAATGGTGCCGTGGTAGTCGTTGATGTGGTAGAGATCGATGGGGAAACGACGACAAGCCTCGGCGATACACTGATTCCAGGCAGAGTAGTAGATAGCAGAGTCGAGATCGTCCATGCGAGCAGGGTAGGGTTCTTTTGCTGATTGCTTTCTGAAGACTGGCGCGTCGAGAAGCATGTAGGTAATGTTCTCGAGCTTGTGGTACTGAACCTGGACCTCATAGACCTTGCCAAGGATGGTAACATCAACCGGCTCGCCAGGAGTATCAACAGGGTAGTCTATTCCACCAACGCAAGGCACCACCCAGATAAGATCCTGATGCTGGAGGTTCTTGCCCATAAGCTGGGCCATAACTCCGAGACCTCCAATCTTGATCTTGATGTTCCAGTCTGAAATATCATACTCCATTGTGCCGATCAGAACAGTCCTGCGCTTGACCATGGCGCCGGCTGTGATGATGCCGCCGTTGTCCACGACGATATCACCAACAGTTTCGGAGCTAGACGAGATAGCTGCATCCTTCTCGTTCAGCACTTCTCTNTTGCTAAACTTGTTTCTGATAGCAACAGGAATGAGAGACTTGGGATCTGCCAGGCCGATTTGGTTGAATTTCACTCCATAGAAGGCTTTGCGGTAAGCCGAGATACCAACAAGAGCCGAGATTGGGGGAATGATTGCTAGCATGATGAATAGAGCCAACTGCCTCCAGCGGTTGCCGACAGGGATGAGAACGTAACGGAAAGAGGCATCACTGAAGTGGATGCGCCATGCCAGGAAAGGAGACTCGGGTCCGTGATCGGTAATGTTGACGACCGACATTTCAAGTGATGTTGGGCCAATTCTGTCCAGTACTGTGTCGTTGTCGATATCACCAAAGGCGGCAGAAACATCTGGAGTGCCATATTCAGTCATTCCCCACACATTTAACTGAAATTGAGATGGCCACTCCGTCATGAAGTCGTACTCCCAAGTGCTGTTGCCAACGAGCTTCATCTTGTTGTCCAGACCAGAGTCATAACCATACTCGTTGAATGAACCATGGACGAAGAAATGGGGGAAGCGACGCATATGCTCTGAGGATCCATAAACATCGCCTTCTTGAAGATGATCGCTACTGCCTGTTGCCTTGGACCAGTACTGAACCTTGACATGGTCACCAGTCCACTTCTGTCTCTTCGTGCCTGCCCAGCTTTGCTTGTCGAGCGTGCTGTTGCCGCTTTGGTAGTCCATCCAGTCAGACCATACTGCACCCCAGGTCAGAGAGTATCTCCACTTGTCGGCACCAGGGGCCTTGTGCTGGACGTAGAAAGCATCTTCCTGGGTACCAGATGTCTCGGATGCACGTTTTGTCAAACCGTTGCTGCTAAAAAGGAGTGTCGAGCTGTAGTTTGCCCTGAAAGGGAAGACCATTGGATTGTCGATCTGACCAACTCGGAACATCAGGTGGTCCTTAGAGCCAGTGAAGCTATTCTTGCTAGCAGAAGTGGCGTTGTTGACTGTGATTGTGTGAATACCGTTAGCGACATTTGTAATGTTCGTGCGGAATCTCCAGAAGGAGGGTACAGCGCCGTAGAAGAGAGGTTCATCCAGAAGTTCTGTGGTCAGACAATCAACACTATTGGTGTCAATGACCGCTACCGATCCATCACCAGTAGTAGATGTGATGTTGATCGACTGACGGACAGAGTCACAATCCATCTCTCCTGAGAAGCGAAGTTCCAGTGTCAAGGTTTCCTTGTCTTCGTTGCTCACTAGGATTCGCGAGTCGTGGCCGATGAAGGTATCGTTGAGTATCATTTTTGTCAGCGAAGGAGATGGGGCCTCCCAGACGTCCTTGGGAACAAAGGCTGCATAACCATACTTGGTCATGTTAAGCCAAGGCAAACAACCGTTGTATTCGGTGGATCCATTGAAGTTGAGCTTCTCCATGGAGGGCTCGAGAGTTCTCTCGTCGAAAGGATAGTACAGGTTCTTGACGGTGGTACCGGCGTCGTAGGGNGAGATGATAGCAAGTCCGTCGGTACTACTGCAGTCGAACGTGTAGTTTCTGGATCCGTTGTAGTTGCTGTAAACTAGCCAGACAGGCTGATTTCCATGACCGCCAGCGTCTGAGAGATCTTGTGCACCTTCCAGCTCTCCGCGATAGACACTCCAGATACCTGTTTCGGTTGGGACTCCGAAGGATCCATTCAGATAGTACTCGAAAGTCTGGTTAGACAGTTGACGAACATCGAAGCCATCGTTGAGCACGGGGTATCTTCGTCTCATCTCGTGTCCTGACTTGAGGTAGTTGTACATGGGGTGGGTTGGGTCACGGTGATCCAACGACACGGCGTCATCTTGGCAACCAACAAGCGAACTGTTGACAGGGAAGTTGCTCAAATTCTCGTCACCGACTTTGTAGCAACCATGCATTTGCCAGGCTTGTGCCGAGCTCATAGCTTGTCTGCCGTAGATGTAGTTGGCGGCGGTGTTGTCGAGGACATAGAAGAGTTGCTCTTCACCCCAGGAAACCATAGAGATACCAGGAACCAGGAGGGTGTTGACAAAAGATCCCAAGACCTGTCTTTCAGTACCGTTGATAAGACCAGGCCATCTCAGAACATCCTGATTTGAGACACCATACATATGGCGAGGGTCGAACTTGCCATTGTTAGCGTTCACAAAATCGTTGGTCTGAATCATAGTATGCCATGCGTCTACAAAGTTCACACTCGCATCACCTGCCGCGAGTAGGTTACCATCGAGTCCGAGGAATCTCATCAGCCCGCGGTAGATGGTGTAGTGGAAAGCGCCAGCGTCCAGAGCTTGATGTTGGTCATCACGGATGTAAGTCGAGTTTGTAGTTGCAGCTTCGGTGATGTTTTCAACAGCCATTCCTGGTTCTTTGCCTCGTCCCAAATAGATTGCACCGTTGGCNTGGATTCTTGTTAGCAGAGTTTGGAGAAATCCGGTCCAACTCGATTTACCGTTGCCGTTGACGATCTCGCCTGGAATAAAGAAGTTGTATTTTCCCAAACTCGATGCACACTCTCTCATCGCGTGTGAAAAGTTGCCTTGTCCGTCAACAGTGACCTGCATGGCTTTGTCGATACGAAAACCATCGAAGTCGAGAGCTTCTAGCATCATACACATGAAGTGCTGAAGCTTGGTCTGAACCGAGGGACGCCAATCGCGAAGACGATCTTGGACACCGTTAAATTTGGACATTTGCTTCTGCCACTCATCGTCTAAACGTGAAGGTACAATTAGCATGTTTCTCATATTTGAGCATGGGACAAATAGCAGTCCAACCCCATCTGATGGGTTCTGGTCTGTGCTATCTGTACCTTTGCCTTACGTACACTGTCCAAAGGCACCAACATCGCCGTATTGGTCGAATTCGCTGTCCATGCAACCAACCATCTTTGAAGTGTTATTATCCTGGATTCGGGCGCCGCCTTGGTCCCAGAACCGAGGATAGTCGTATGGGCACTCATCATGCCATTCGTTGTTGAATTCCCAATCTGAGTAGCGTTCTGCCGACTTATATACAGCCTTGTGTTCTGTGAACGACCAAGGTGCACTGCTGTTCAAATACCCTTCAAAAGCGATGACGTCGCTCATGGTTGCCATGGTGTTGTCAAGGAGGACGTACATGCCGCGTGAATGGATGTCGTTGATCAATTCTCTCCATTGAGCGACAGTACCGAAGTGTGCGTCCAAGTAGGTGTGGTCCNNTATATCGTTGTTACTATCAACCTAGTATGAATTGTAGGTCGGTCTCAAGCATACCAGAGGACTGTAAGTATCCGCCATCCAAGGGAAGTTGTAAAAGATACTGCCGGCAAGATAGATACCCTTGATTCCCATTCCTTGAAGATAGTCAAGAGAGTCCCGTACGCCATTGGTGTCACCACCATGACGAAGTTGGGTTCCGTAGATATCATGTTCCCATGCAGTACCGTTNACTAAGTAAATGTCAGCTCAAAAGATATGTCTATGACAAGAAGTATGGCAGGCTTACATGTTATCATTGCTCGGATCTCCGTTCACGAATCGGTCCATGAAGAAACTGTAGAAGGGGAACCGCCAATTATCTGGAGAAGGATGGTATGTGTGATTCTCGTAGATGGTGAAGTATTCCAATGGGTTGACCGCTTCCTGGTTCATATTCAGGTTCCAGTCGACATATCTCTCGTCATAGCGAAGAGCCTGAGCTGCACCGGCGCTCAACGCCAGTGATAGCAGCCATTGGCCGCGCATTGTGTAGTCGTAGGGTCGTTAAGAAAAGCAAAGAGCAATGCAGAAAACAGATATCCAGCGCCAAAAAGGCGAATTGGCGATAGGCAAGTGTCTGCTTCCTAAACGTCAAACATAAATGTGAGGCTATATGAGCGAATGTCAAAAGTAGGTGTCCTAGAAAGTTGTCTGATGAGCTCCGCAAAGAAAAGACAGAGACCAAGTGTTTATGTAGCACAAAAAGGCGTAGAGGGCAAGGACCCGGAAGAAAATATGCGGAGAGTGCAGTAAGTGGGTCCAACAAGCCGTGAATCAAGGTTGGCTGTAGAACAAGAAAGGTATCGATTTGAGAAGAAGGGATGTATCCGGATGTTGAGCGTCCAGGAAGTTGGTCGACTTAGTCAAGAACTCAGAATTAACAGGAAAGGCCGGCAACGATGGGGAATTGCAGCAGCTTATCTTGATTCGCCCAAATCCATCGGTGATAGGACGGCAAAAGCGCAAGGCCTCTGCACAGTGCGGCAAGCATGGTTCAACAAACTGATACACTGACCATCAATGATACATTTGACCATAGGCGATTGCAGGGGTTGAGATGGCAGTAGCAAAATGATCGCCAGACGGCTTAGCGGGACAGTCCGTCAACATGTCTTTTCTTCGGGCCTTGCTGCAAGTGATTACTTTCAATCGGGACCGTGGTCACAGTCAAACGACTCAGGCACTGCAACACGCATCCGATGCGCCACGCCGCAGCGTGTGCCCACATAAAGTCTTCCCCTCATGAGCAGTTGACGTTTCATGTTACTTGTACGCTGGGAAATGGCCGAGGAAGAAGCGGTCGTGCTCTGGGGCGGCGGGCAAGCTGCAAGAGAGACAAAAGGTCTGCAACAAAGAGTGGAAACATTTGCCTGTGCCGCAGACTGTTACGTTTTGCCCATGAAAATGCACAGCAGCTTTCTCAAGAGAAGTCTGACCATAGAGATAGCCATCGTGCACCTTCTCTCAGCGGACACCACTCTCTCCCAGAGAATATCGTGCAATTCCATAGCCACAATATGACAGTCGTTCGTACACAGGGAGGCTGTATCGACAGCTTGGCAAAGTTTTCCACGCAAGAGCGTTGGGTGACAAGCCTCATGATTGTCCGTGCATCTGCACAATGCAGTAGGGCATCATGGTCTCTTCTGCTTGTCCGCAATCCATTTCCGATGACAAAGGCAGTCTCCCTCTCCAGAGCGGAGAGCTCGGGCTTTGCGCTCGATATCCGTAGGTTGATCGCAGTGATATGATTGGTCGTTGACCGCTTGACGATGCTGTAGATTGAAGGAGGTTGATGAGGCCGCAGATCCTAGCTAACCTTTTTCTCGTCTCGCATGCGTTTTCGACTACATGGATGCAGACTCTGCCTGGTGGAAGAAGAGGAAACAGAGCTTGCCCCTGGCTTTCCTCCATGCTGCAAGCTCGTCTTCTTCCCAAAGAGGACGTCGCAACTAGGAGCCGTCACGATACTCTCCAGCCTCTTCTCATGCATGTTGCGATGCGACACGTCGTAAGCAGGTACGTTTCACATTGCCGCTGCGGGTCCCACTGCAGAAGCCTATCTTGGCGCCATAAACAAGACTGGCATCATCATTGTTTGGCTTTTGTTGCCAGGTTTCCGAGCCGCTGGGTGCGGTACTCAAAGATTCGACGTTGAACTTTCACGTTCCTGCATTGTCAGTGCCGCCACGCCGTCCGCCACGTCAAGCCTCAAATGTATGAACGGCAATTCTATTTCAACGACATTTGTTTTTGGTGAGAGAAAGCCGCGTCGCTCTTGCGCTGCAGCATCGTAAATATTCGTCATCGTACTTGTACCTTCTCGGGGCGAGGGAAGACATTTTCTCGAAGGTACCCATGACGGATGCAGGTCCACCCACTCTGCTGGAATTACAGATTACCACAGGAGTGGTATCGGATCCCTATCCACTTCCGGTCCTGCCAAGAGAGAACGCATGTTCCGCGAAACAGTGGCACAGATTGACACTTTTTGACAACAGAACCACAACAGCTCAAATCCTTGCCGAGCTGGTGTGACCCGAGAATGTTGTTCATCACATTGTGTTTGATTTCACCACCTCCGTGTGCCGTATTGTACTCTTGACTCACCCACGGTATACCTCATGGAAATGCGGATGCGCAGTTCGATGGTAAGTTGAGCTACGGCCGTATCGCAATAGGACCCATGCAAGATTCAGAAATTCATATGCGTACGCAAATCACCGACCTTCAACAATGCCGAATATAACTTTCTGTTCATCACGACCAGACAGCCATAGCATTCTGCGCTGATTTTTACCAGAAGACTAACAGTAGTAGCAGCAGCACAGACAAAATGTCTCAAAATCTTGGACGACCTAATCTGTTGTGCTGCCGATCCACATCCACATTAACCGCCAAGCTGTATCGTCCTCGACTCCTGGTCGATTCGAAACCAATTCACCAAAACACTTAACAATTCGTTGCCGGACCAGGAATCTAAGCGAGGATTGCATAGAAAAGGTCGCACTTACACAACTTCAAATTAGCCATCTACCATCTCGAGTTGAGCTGTGTCGGACTGTGTTCCTTGCTACCCAGCCTCATCAGTATACTTGCAGATCGGATATGCACGCTCCTCACCAACATTCCCACCTTCCTTCTGAATCTGTTTAGAAACGTCTCGGGTGCTGAATAGATCAATGCTCAAACTCCACAAATGATTCGAAGCTCTCTCGGACGATGCCCTTGCACTCCCTTGCCTCGCGGTTTCAACACGACGAACAGTATGGCCGTAATTGCAGATCTGGCACTCATCGAAGCCTGACCATATCTTGACACTTTAAATTTTAACAGCAGACTCGATGAGTTTAAGCGTTGAGTGGTGGTTGATTGCATGTACAGATTAGGCACAGCTTTAGGCATCCAGTCTTCGCGTTGAACATGTCAAGCTGCCCTTTGCAGAAGCCTGGGCTGTCAAGCCCTGCAAAGAGCCCTCTGTGGTGGAGCGGCGTCAAGATCGGGTGGCCTCAATTCAACGCAAGCTAACTCATAGTGCCTGACATGGTATGTACTGTAGTTTGCAGATCAATATCTACAGGTTTCTGCAAATCTTGAACTAATGTCGATAGTGCAGCTGTATGCAGTCAGTGGAACGTTCGGTGTGTCCCCTTACGTTGTACGCTTGGCTAACTACTAACTCGAGTTGACTGAGATCATCACGTTAGTATCTACCTAGTTGCCCATACAACTCAACTATTGAGGCAGGTAACACAGTCGTGAACCTGATCAAATAATCGTTTCCGGGCGGTAGGTTGTTCGATACCCATATCCTGCAGAACGCCATCCTACTAGGTTTTGTCGTCTCCCAACAGCACATGCGAGAAGCTTATAGCTAATAGAGTGATATTGATTCCGGAGTACCTTCCGCTTACAAGCTCATGTTCTTCACTGTCGCCTCTTACACAGACCATGCTGGAGATCTCCTATTGAGCACTCTATCTGCCCTGTCTCACTTTCGGAAATCTGCCTCCACTTTGTACATCTGTGCGAACATCCGGTTCAATTCTGACAATAACCTTATTGACAAATATCGACAACAACATCGAAAGCACCGGAGAACTATAGGGTGCGAACCACTCGAAGCGCTACCCACCGTCTATTCCACCAAACAAACTAGCCAAGATTGGTTGAACTATGCTGCTGTGCAATAGCGGTGTACAAGATCATACCCTGTCCAAAGCGGTCCTCGAATGGCATATCCTGATACATCAACCCAACCAGGTACCATTTCTGCAATCGTAGCTACACTATGACTGTTTTAGCACACGAGAGGGAACACCGAGAGCGACAGTCATGACTTGGTGCTTACTTCTCATATGTGCTAGAGTCTGCCTGTCTCAATTCAATGCCATTTAGTCAGCCATAAAGAGACACAGTTATTTTCAGGCAAGTGAGTTGGTCTACACAGCAAATACGATGAAACACTCTTCCCGGCAGCTGCTGCATTCCCAAGACCACCATGAGTTCCCACAGCTACTTGCTACTGGATTCAGCATTCGAGAGTACACCTTCCGATATGTCTGGCGAACTTATGTGTTCCCAGGGTCACCCTGTAGATTTCAGAGATGTTTGACGGAGAAAGAGCCACTGTTTCTCCTCACCCGGCATTCAACCACGGCCTGCTGGACGGCTCATGGTTAACAGGCATTGCGAAGCCTCTGGTTTGTGGTTCGTCTTCTGCAGCGCGATCATCCAATCTAACTTTCTTGGTCGGCTTTGCTGGCTCAATTTCACGGTTTCGCAACCACGTTCATATGGAAGTGCTGTTTTCCGGCACGATGTCTGTTCAAAGCGCCAAGTCAAAACTGACAAGTCTGCCCTTGTCTTTCAAGCTTTCCAAGGTTGGTGGCCTGAAACAGACTTCTGGGAAGTCGCGAGTCAGTCGAAACGTGATGACACCTTCAGTGCGCCATCCTCAATCGATCGAGTTATATTAACATCCAAAACTTGCCACAAGGGTTCTACCTTAAAGACAGGCATGGGTAATGGCACCGCTTCGTGCCGGCGTTTTTTTCTTCCAAGTGCCAACATTTCAAGTCTGCTTATCTAACACGACCGCAGCTAAAAATTGATGAGTGGCAGGTCGCGATTGCGAATTCGGATGTGCTTAGCGACAAGACGCAAACAAGTCGTCGCAAGATGATTGCCGGGATTGGTTGAGTGGCTGAAAAGCCCCGGCGGCTCTCTCTACAGGAACACACCGAATTTTGCTGCGTTCAACAATCTGCTTGTCTTTCTCGAAACACAATGCTGCCGCGCCACAACCGGCAAATGAGATAGAGCGTTTTCATTGCCGCCCGCTATACAGACATCGTTTATACTAATCAAGGCGGCTCTTGGTGAAGTTGCGAGACTCCATGCGAGCCTCCTTCATAGATGGGTATACCTACTATACCTTGCAGTGTCTTCCTGTTAGGTGGATATCCTTGTATCTGCCAAACACATCTGCGATGGTGCTTTAGAGATTCGACGTCCTTCATCTCGCTTTGCAACTCTGCGACTGCTGGACACTGGTTTTCCTTCCGACTAGAAGCGTGAGGTAAACTAAGCGAGTGACGAGATAATTGGCTATCATGGATAGGCCTAGATCTGTCAGATTCACTGTCGTTCATCTCTTGATCAAACACAGCAGTCAGCGAGAATTTGCCCGGTGGTTGTCCAACCGGTACTGTTCTATCGACAAGCATCTCACCAAAGTACATTGCGTTGAACACCAATATATGCACTGCAACTCATTCTTGTTAGGCTGGTACCAATGAACATGAGACAACAGACAGTGTATCCTTTTCGACCTGCGTCTCTTAATCACTGCATGCTATCGCTGAGGTCAAGCTATCATGCTGACTGCATCTCAACAACTACGGCACATCATTTACGAACGAGGCCAGTGAGCACGACGCATTTGACGCTATTCGAATGCCCGATAACAACGCCGATAGTGGAAGTTTGAAGGCCTGCCAGCAAGACTGTCTACATCACCTCACTTGCTAATATGCTGCGCGCATCGAATGTCCTTCCCTGAAAGCCAACATTTCGGTCATTAACTGCAGCTCAACGACTACGCTGTAGCATCTACAGCATGGTCTAGTATACACGACACGATACACTCTGTTCGATTGTCCGACAACAACCCCGACGCTGGTAATCCAGTGATCTACCAACAAAACTGCTCATATCAGCTCATGTGTTTATCCTGCAGCACAAGGTGTTGCTCAACGTTGGATACATCTCCCGAGGGCAACTCTTGTTCACAAGAACTGCAGCTCAACAACTATACCGCGTAGATCTACAGTCTGGAAGAGTTACCAGGGGAGTATCACCTTTTTGCGGTCGCCTGACGGTATTGCGCTCGCGATTCCCAACTTGTTCATTCCATATCTCAGATGATATCGCTTTCAGTTGAGTGACGGTGGACTCAAGACTGACGCCGACTATGCACATGTCGGCAGATGATCAGGATGCAGAGGTGTTACGATCTTGCTAACATATTCTGTGCAATATAGCCGTATGTTCTCCTCACGAGTGCATGGCACGTTTCTTTCTTCTCCCAGTGTACTCGGCCGTCACTTGCTTTTTGTTTGTCGGAGCCGCGCTTCCTTTGCTTTTGCTAGTCTCTTTCGTTTCGCATGATCGTCAATCGCTCTTTCGCTCAGACAATCAAGCTTTGCTTTCCTTTACTGCCCGTCATTCGCTCTTTCCTCTCCTAATAGCGATGATATTCACTTATCATGATATCCCCTCATGTAATCGGAAACACTGACCGCTTCTGTCATGCTCTTACTATCTTCATGTCCAACATGAAATACAGATCAGAGAGATTCTGCAGCTTAGACACACTTCTGGCATGGAATCTGGCCTGTAGACGTCACTATGACTTTCATTGTTGAGTGAATGATAGCTGTGCTACAAGAACAGCAGTATAAGACTTTTCCTGTAGTGCTCTTGTTTTCTCTTTGATGTCCCAGTCATGCTTCTGGCTAGAAATCTACTCTGTTTCCTCATTGTCATATGGAACTTGGGCAAGTCTTCTTCGCAAGTGATGTGGTGGTGGTGGTGGTGGTGGTGGCACAAAATCATTCGTTGTGGTAGTCAAACTTCAAGAACGGAGCAGAGAAAACATGACAGGGAGTAGAACAACCTGCGTAAGGAAGTTTGAGCATATCGTCTCTCATTGTAGAAATAATGGTAAAGTTATGGTGGTCAAAGCCAGGAAGAAAAGAAAGAGAATCAAAGACCCAGCGTTGAGGTCATCATAAAGAGAACATTGCAGGCAAAAAGTCGTCAGCAAGTGAAAGCAAAACCGCCCCGAAGAAGAAAAGAAAAGAGAAAGAAGAAGAAGAACTATGCGCCATGGTGTCCTGCCTCGGTCTCATGAACAACGTCCAAATCAATCCCCGCCCATTGCTGGAAACGTTCCTATCGTCTCAAACTCCCCGCTGCACGCGAAAACAGACCACGGCTAGGACTCTTGGCCTCCCCAGTGCCTGGTCGAGAAGGACTCAAATTTCGTGAAAGACTGGGTTGGTTTGCTGCTTGCATAGCCAAGGATTCGTCACTACGAGTGCCACTGGAGGCACTTGACCGCTTGGAGGGTGAGAGAGTGACACTACGGCCGAGTTTCTGTTCTGACGAGGAGGTCTGATGTTCGCTCATGCGGCGGAAGAGCTTTTGTGTCTTTTGAGAGAGTGCTGCTCGTACACCTCCACCTCCACTAGAGTGTGACTTGATCGGAGGTCCTGCTTGGAAGACTGGCATAGCATCCGGCGCCTGCAAAGTCGTCGTCAGGTTCGGTGTAGTCTCTGATCGCTCCATGCGCTGTGGTCGTGAGCTGGAAGATCTGCGAGCGGAGTTGTTCCTCAGCAGTGACGCTGGTGGTATTTGAATTGCTGCAAGATTTGGTGCAGTTTCCGAGCGCTCCATCTGGAAGCGAGTCTTTTCGTTGCTTTTTGGGAAAAGTGCCCACTTCTCGATCGTCTTTAGGTTTTGCCGTGTTGTTGGTTCAGCACCTTGCCCATCATGAGGCATGCTCCTGGCTGGCGATACGTTGCGACGGACCTGGAATCTCGACGGTGTGCCCTTGAAAATACTACCNCCGTTAGGATACGAACTGTCTGTTCCTGCGCTGTCAGTGCGATCGCTGTCTGATTGCTCATAGTACTCGTCTTCCTCGTCAGTCGAGGAAAGAGATATACTATGTCTGTTGAACCATCCAGCGCCACTCATGGGGTTTCTCACTTCTGATTTGGTGTGTGGTTTGCTCATGTCGGCGATGCTCAGTGTCTCAGGAGTGTGTAGTAACGCCGCATGTTTTGCGGCATTGGGAAGATTTTTGGCTGTTCTGTGCTGCGCATCTGGAGGGCCGGTCATGTACGAGTCTTGCAAGACGCTCGTGCTTGCGCTGTCCGGTGTTGGAGGAAGCAAAGCTCCGCCGAAGGTCGAGCCCTTGAGCGAGGGCGTTCGGTTTTGAGCAAAGTATGCTGGTCGTTGGGTACGAGATTGTGGCATTTGTATCGATGGACATTGTTCAGCTGATTGTGGTGTCTGTACCTGGATCCAAGAGTTGACATCACTATCCGAGTCGTGTTTGCTGCCAGCATTTCGTGAGATGTTGTCCAGTTGACTGTCAGGAAGGGCGAGCTCGTTCTCCTCGTACTTATTTGAGTCTTGGTCTCTCGGGAGATCGTAGATGCTCGGAAAGCTACTCTTGCTCAGGACACTCAATTGTGGTGAGTCCAACGTATCGATATCTGAGACGGACTTGTCGACGTCTTCCCTCTGCGAACTGAAAGATGCAAAGCTTCTCGCATCATGCAACGTTGGTTTTGGCTCTAGGTAGACGCTTCGCAAAGCACGTGTGTTTGGCTTTTTGTCGTCCATGAAGGAAGGTATACGCCTCGCTGAAGATGATCGCGTGAGAGACGATTTGTCAGATTTGGGCGGTGAGAGCACAGCTCTAGGACAAGGTGAGACAGAAGAAGCACGCGGTACCTCGGAAAGGTTTGGCTGATGGCGATGGTTCTGTTGCGCCTGCTCAAACCTTTCCTCCAGATCACAGATGATGGATACAGCCTCTTGAACAGCCTCGTCCCGATGTTCCAGTTCCTTGACCAAACTATCGTTCAGCTCGAGAAGTGTAGCATTCTCTTCGACGAGCCGATCAGCATCCTCAGCGCGCGAAGCCAGTAGTTGACAGTTCTCCTTTAGTTTCGCCATGCTCTCTCTTGCATGGAAGAGCTCCAGCTTCAAGTCGAAGTTGAGCTTGAGAAGTTGGTCCATGCGCTTTTCCATTTCGCGTGCACCTAGCGATGCGGTAGTGTTCGTAGGGATTTGCGTCTTGTTAGGTGTTGTCGTCAGGGCATCGTTGGCGCAGGACCTGGCCTCGTCGAGGAAAAGGTCATCGTCCAGGTTCGTCAGTCGCGCAGCTGAAGAGCGACGTGATCGAGTTAAGGGGTTTGCGCGACGCGCCTGCAAGCGGTCGAGAAGGTATGGAGATGCCGGATTAGTCATGTCGCGTAGAATGTCGTGAAGTGTTTGTTAGGTTGATGCAGTCGCAAGCATGATCAAGTAAATACGGGAGAGTTGACGATCTCAATCCAAAGTGACGAGGGTCGGTGAAGAGGTCAAATGGTGGTGGTGGTGGTGGTGGAAAAGAAAGACAGGGTCAAAGACATGCGAGTTGGAAGGTGAGGAAGGTCGGTGTGAGCTGGCTTGACTGGTTGGATATGGATTGATTGAGCATTTAAACTCGACCGTTGGAATGCAGTCGTCGCTGGAGCAGCAGAGACGTTTTACGCAGCATCGAACTTCTACACGAACAAGTCGAGGCAAACTTGGGCCTGCTGATGTTGAAAGAATACTGGAGATATTCTTTCAAAGACGGCCAGGCACAGGAAGGGACCATCACTTTCACAGTGCAGCCGCACGCCTATCACAATGCAGCCTTCCAGAAGACGCACGAATGACATGGCCGAACGAGCACATCAAGGTCGCCGCTAGCCACAAAGCCCCCGCACTTGCCGCCCGAAAGAGTTTGATCTCCCGAGACATTCCCTTCGTGTTGCCTTCACGAAGGCTTCATAATACGCATCGCTATGGAGAAGGCCAGAGCATGAACTGACGAGAGGAGATGGGGTTCTCTTTGATTGCAAGACCTCCACAAGCTGATCGTCTGGTCCGAGTAGAATATTCCAATCTCTGTTCATCCTCTTTTGTAGTTATATTCTTCCCTTCTCAAGAACCTCTAAATTGATCCAAGAGTTGTCCACCAATAGTCCTCCTTCTGCCGCCCTCAGTCTCTTCGACCCTTGACGATCCACTGGCCGTAGCAGCTTCTCCCTCCATGCGTCTCCTCAAGCCCTCAAACCTCTCTCTTTCTCTCTTCCCAGCACCCATATCCGGAATTCTCCACGTCGCCGCACCAGGAAGTATCTCTCTTCTGTATGCATACCCCACTAGCCAACCCACTGCTGCAACAATAGCAGAACCAGGTAATTGAGACAGCGCGAGTTGTAGGGGAAGCAGGTAAGATGTCGATTTGGAAGTCAGGTTGATGGTGGAGGAGGAGGTAGAGTGTGGAGAGTCGGTGGCCGAGAGTTGGTATTTGTACATGTAAGGGATGGCGGCGTGGTATTGCGCGAGGAGGGCAAAGACGATGGCCGTGGGGCCGGCGGGAAGGTAGTTGATGTTGAAGAAGGAGAGCGGTCGGATGACGAGTACGAGGAGGAGAGGTGGAAGCAGAACGGTATAAGGCAATGTCGACAACAGGAACGANCTGCAATGTTGATTTAGTTACTGGTCGCAATGGCTGTCGAGTGGTGGACTCACTGCAAACTTGCGCGAGCCCCAAAGACGCTCAATGACGCGCAGTTGGTACAGGGTCATGGCTGAAAACAAGACCTCTGTCGAGTTGGTGTAGACCAGCGGCCAGGTCATGCATCGCCATAGCTGTCTGTAGTCGGAAATGTGTGGCCTGACCATGATGAAGAATAGGTGCTTGGTGTCGGTGATGCTGGCCATGAGCGACGCCGCCACTACCACCATGACTAGGTACTTGGATAGTGGTGCATTGCTGAACCCGGATGCCAGCATCCTGTCGTGTCTACGAAAAGAGTTTGAAGAAGTTGGGTGTAGAAGTAGAGTAGATCGCCCATCCCCCAAGAGGGACACCATGTCATTTCCCCACAAACCGCGAGCAGCTCCACAATCCATCTCTCACCGCCCACATGGCTATAGAAATACACAGTGCTATCAAGATACATAGCTACGTCCACTGAGAGCCGACATCTTAGCCGCTCTCTTTGGCTAGAGACAGCCACTCAAATGGTCGACTCGCTCGGTTCAAGTGGACCATATATATTGTCAGCAAGAGCATAGATAGAAGGCACCCAAGACGGCCAGAGCATATCAAGACAACAAAGGTATGATAGGTAGCTATTTACGCTGTATAATAATGTTCCGCTTTCGAAATGAAAATAGCAAAATGCCAGTTTGAGACCACCAAAAGCAAATAACTCCCCCTCTCTGTGCAGTCAGAGTTCCTTCCAGCCAGTATAACCCAATACAAAAGAAAAAGAAGTAAATCATGAGCAGTGGGAGAGTGCATCAGTCATGCACATAATGCTCGGGTATCCCTATTGTTCCCATTTTCCTTTTCCTCCCATAAATGCATTGCAGGCATTCGCTTGAAACCAATCGTCTTTGCTACCGCCTCGTTCGTAATCCGTAATCGTCAATCTTGCGTCTTCGACACTAGCCTCCTCCTGCTGCGGCTGTCTGGGCTTCTGCTGTTGCGTCGATATCTTCGATTTCGCGTCCACGTGGATCGACCACGATTCGGCGTCCTCTTTTGCTCTCTGGTACACCATCTCGAGCTGCTCCAAAGTCCAACACNCTGCAATCAGTTAGCTTCTGTCATATATGGTTACACTCATTTGCACGTACCTCGATGTAAGTAAGGTTATTCCTTTGCACCGCGGCGACACACCTTCTCTCGTCGAAGCGGACTTGCCACACTCCACTAAGATCCGAGAGCAAGTCGCGTAGACACTCACCCGTACTGATGTTCCACATTTTGAGTGTACGATCTGAGCCACTGATAACCTTCTGATCATCATGCTGGAAGCATGTGATTGCCCCAGTATGCGCCGACAAGATTGATTGGCAGTTTCCGTTATCAGGGTCCCAAATACGTAAAGTACTGTCTGCAGCAGCACTGACCAGACGTCCATGGCTGAGGTCCAAGAGACCTACCAGAGATGTGTGGCCGTCGAGGTTGAACAGGCAGTTTCCTGTTTCGAGAGACCAGACCTTGACCAAGTTGTCCATAGACCCCGAGATGCACCGTCCTCTTTCAGGATCAAGGACCACACTGTAGACCTTCTGCGTGTGGCCTGTGAGACGATGAACCATATCGCCAGTCGATATCTTCCACACTCGGACAGTACAGTCATATGAACCACTGACAAGAGTGTCGCCATGAGCTGCAATGGCGCGAACTGAATTGTGATGACCAGTAAGCACGCGTAGAGAGTAAGGATTATCGCTGTCGTTTGCTGGAGGTCCAGCCTGGTGGATCTGCGGATCACCAGGACGAGGAAGCTTCCAAACTCTGAGTGTCGAGTCACGCGAGCCAGTGATGATCAAGGGCTCCTTTGGCATCATGATAGGCGAACCATCAGCAGCCGTGCCGATCTTCACAGGCTTGAGGATTACCAGACAGCGAACGGTAGAGGTGTGGCCTTGGAAAGTCTGTAGGCATTTACCAGAAGGAATATCCCAGATGCGAACAGAGCGATCTGTCGACCCAGACACCAGCGTGTCGCCCTCATACTGCAGTGCCCACACACCGCCTTCGTGCCCTTCAAGCTTTCTTCGCAAGACACCAGTTTGGGTATCGTAGACGTTGATGTTTGTGTCGTCGCTACCGGTCAAGATCTTGTCCGAATCGAACAGCAAGCAGGTGACGACATGACGGTGATGAGCGCGGAAGGCCAGATGGCGCGGCTTTGCTTCGGCGTCCATCCAGCTCTTTGCAATCATGTAATGCCGTTGGTAGATGGACTTAAAGAGATGCAAGTTGGTCAGACTTGGGAGACCGACGTCAGGTTTAGGCACGGCTTTGGCAGCGGCGCTGGCGTAAGCCATGGGACCTTGTGCTGTCTGGAAGTCGCGCAACCAGAGAGGGGAATCGTCTTGGCGTCGGGACGCCTTCCGCTTNTGTCTTTTGTGACCGCCAGCACTGCTTGTTGCTTTTCTCTTGGTTCTTGTGATACGCAGCGATGCAGAAGAGCCTGCATCGTCACTGCTGACTGAAGGAGCTGCCAAAGGACTCAATGGCTCCATCTCGACGACTCTAGAGACCGAGCGGATCGACCTTGATTGTCCCAGATCTTCTTCGTATCCATCCAGAGAAGGTGCCTGCCACGCCCACCCCTCACGTACTGCACGTTCAATCTCGCCCTCAGGCAGGTTGAAGCCATCTCTGTCCAGAAGTTCTCTCCATGCTCTTTCGTCCGAATCGATCAAATGCCTCCATTTCTTCGATACTTGAGCCGCACGACAGAGACTCTTGACGTCCAGGAATTTTGTGATTTGCAAGCCGAGTTCTACTGGAAGCACGTCGAAAGGATCGCATTTCAGCGCTGGATTGACGAGCGAAGCGACGGTCCGTAACGTTTTCTTGGTGGAACGTCTGAGCATTTGATACAGCACATAAGACTGCATATCCTCGGGTAGGGCGTCGTAAGCATCGATCATTGTGGGAACATCCATAAGCGTCAATGGAGGCTGGTTGGCCTGTCGAGTGTGAGAGTGAGACTGGACGGTAGCCTCACTGGAACTAGCAGGGGCATCCGGTTGATCGGCCATCATGCTGTCTTCGAGGTCCAACCTAGATACTTGACTGGCGTTTTCGTCGTCGGCATCACGCGTTGAGAGGAGAAGCTGGTGGCTGCGAGCCAGGTTTGCGGCGGCTGTGACGGGGGAGAGACTGGGGCTTGGGAGGCTGGCGTCCTGTTGTGAGCCACTCAGTAAACCAGCAGGTAGCGGTCTCGGCTGCTCAAGACGAGGATAGGGGTTATCGACGGGTTCGAGGTCACCCTCTGCGACCGGNGGAGTGGCAGTAGCAGCATCCCTGTCAAAAGAATGACTTGGACCTGCAACTGACGCTCTCTGCTTTGCATGCTGCTCTTGCCATTCACGGGCTTTTTGTGTTAGAGAAGACACTCGCTGCTGCTCGCGGTCATTGGCTGTGGCAGCATCAGTGTCTGGTGTTACTGGCATAAGACGGTGAGCAGAATCTGAGGTTGAGGTTTGTTCGTCGTCGGCGAGCGGGTATGTTATACCAGAGCGGGTTCGCGACAGAAGCGAGCGAGGATGTCTCTTACGACGGTGTAGGCTGGCTAGCTCTGCCGCCTCGGCGAGACTGGGTGGTGAAGCGGGCCTTTTGGGCGGAGGTGGTCGGAACTCCTGAGCTCGGGTGGGTGTGTGGTAGTTCTGGGATGAAGCCTTTTGGCTGCGAATGATTCCGTTGGATTGTTGCAGTTGTGCTTGCTGTAGCTTGTACTGCAGGGACTTGTCAGTGGTAGGCCGTCAGCACATATCAAGCTTAGATACCTTATCAAGTGACGACTGGACGTTCTGAGCCTCCTGGTAAACTATCGGAGTACCTCCAACATTCAGAGAGAAACGTTGTAGCGAAGAAGGAGTGGGGGTGGAGGCCAGGGGATATTGCTTGGGGTCGCGGCTGAGCATGTCTCTTGGTGGGCGGATCAGTAGAGGAGGAAGGGTGACGGTGGTTGTCGTGGTCGTCGTCACGACGGTCTGCTGGGTGGCGGGAGCGAAAGCCACATGGGCCATGGTGGTATAGGGTGACATGTCTTGATGATGGTCGGGCGATGCAGGAGCGGTGGTGAACGAGGCCTGTGTGCTGCGTAGCGTCGCCCTCGTGTGGTCGTGACGGGCTGGAGGGTCCATGGTGTCGTCGGTCTTCGAGTAGTGCCAAGGACGGATGCCTGCGTCTTCGTCGCTACCACCGTCGACAGGCAGTCGGTCTCGTGCAAGCAGGGCCCTGAGCGTGACGACAGATCAACGCACGGGGATGCGAAGGGTGCAAACACGCTCGTATTGCTGAGACGTCGTTGGGTGAGTCGTCTCTTTTGTCAAAGGAGCATCGTCTCTGGAGAAGCAGGCAGAAGCGTCGAGTATCTGGACAAAGTCTTGTCTTGTCGTCGTGATGGTTGCTGCGTCGGTCAGGAAACAAGCCGTTCGCTGCCTGAGTCGCCAGTCGCCAGTCGCTTTGTCCCACGCCGAACGAACGCTTCCCTGTCCGACACTTTTGCGGAGAAAAGCGCCACCGCCTTCTGGCCAAGCGGCCACCAACCACTACGAAAACCTTGCCCAAGCCTGCATAACCTAGTCTTTTTTTTTCTTCGTCATGGGCTTGTCTTGAACCGACTGATCCGCTGTTTACTGCTCACCATCCACTGCCTTGGAACTCGCTGCCAACATCCACATGCTTCTCTACCACTATTCTGGGGTATATATCGAGCTCTGTCCTTCTAGAAGCCCGAGCGACGTAGCGCGTAAAGTGATCACGATCATGGGACCGTCATTGCCTGCACAGGCAACAATCTCTTTGCTTGACAACAAAGAATCCACTTCTCGACTGATGCGATATACGCGTACCAGTCACGTACGAATATGTCGGCTCTCCTTTATTGACAAAGGCTGCTGGGTGAGCTGTAGAAATGCACAAACTTTTGAAGACGCGAGAGATATCCACAGAGAGCCGACGAAATGGCGACTCTCAGTGGACACTGTTCTTTTTCAAACCTATAAAAATGCATGATGGTTTCTGATTGTGAAGTGCATCCAGAGAGAGCCTCTCAAGCAGGGCTCTCAGTGGACATTGCTTGTTCATCAATGCTATAAAATCGCACAGTTGGATTCGAGGTTGAGCCGTGTCCAAGGAGAGCTGAAGTATGAGGGACTCTCGATGGATGCTACTTGTTTCTCGGAAGTACTGTGCAATTCTACACATATCGCGTTACAGATTCTGCACATGGAGAGGACGACAGGAAGAGCTTTGGACGGCGTCCGACCAAGTCACGATGGCGAAGATGTTGGGAATGTACTACGCATTCGATTACTGTTGACTCTATGTAAAAAGAGTCACCGAGTACCAGCTGTACTAGAGTCAGCGACAATAAGAAGCTATCTTCATCTAATCCATCTCTGTCCGAAAAGAAAACACAAGAAAGATGCCACAACAAAGACCATCATCATGACCACCTTTTATCCCGCAAGAACAAGACCTGTTGATAGACAGTTTGACAAGACACTACTGCTGTTGCATATTCTAGACTCTTCGTCCATAGCCAATGTGGCTGAATTAGTAAAACAGACTTTACTCGTCGACAAGCATCGAGACCCAGTGGGGCTTGTTGCCGTCTTCTTCCTGCTCGGCATGACCGAGTCTGGAAGAGGGACGAGAGGTATCAGCATGCTCAGCAAGCTGGATACGAGCAGTCAGAGGGCTGCTGTCGGGAGTGCGGAGCTTTTCGGGCACCTGTCCGAAGCCGAAGGTGCTCTTGCCCTGGGATCCAACACGGCTGGGCGTCGAAGGGAGGCAAACGCCGGAGGGAGTGGAAGGGAGGCGGACTCCGTGAGGAGTGGGTGTGCCGTAGGGCGAGGTCTCCATGGGACTGGTGGACAGCTCATACAGACTGCGCGACTGGCTGATAGGTGTCTTGGGTGCGGGTGCAACGAGCTGATGGGGAGGAGTCACAGAGCTGTACGACCAGGTGTCGACATTGTTGAAGAACCTGTTGCCATTAGGCATGGTACGCGGGGTGCTGCGATACTCCGAGTGAGATACAGAGCCATGCTGAGAAACAGAAGGCTTGGGTGGAGGGGGCATCTCGAAAGAGGTGCTGTCAATGCCACCTTCATCAAAGATCGAACCATTCTTGCGCTTGACCTGTCCGTTGCTAGGGAAGCTGGTGCCAGCAGTAGCAGGGGTGTACATTACGGGAGGCATTTTGGAGCTCTGCAGGGTGTGACCACTCTGGGTCTGAGCCAGCGAGTTGGATCTGTCAGCACGAGGACCTTGAGCTTGGGCCAACGAGTGGGAGCTCTGGACCTGAACTTGAGCCTGACCCTGGAAGTTGGACTTCTCGGCCAGAGAAGTGTTCATGCCAGCATGGCTCTTGTGGGGAGTGACAGGCATGGTCTTTCCGTGCACATCGGGAGCAGTAGTCATGCTACCATCAGCATACTTGAGAACGGGCAAGAGCTGGAGCTCGGGCTTGCCGCGATCGTGGTAGTGCTCAGGCGATGTGGCGTTGGTTTGAGTGCTACGGATGGTCTCCTTGGCCTCCTGCTTGGTAGCTGAACCTGGAACAGGTGCAGGCTGGGTTCTGCTGTCAGTCTTGCCATTCTCAATGGTTCCTCTGCGGGTGGATCTGTAAGTGCCACGACCGCGGTAGCCTCCACGACCGAGGAACTTGGGGCCCATAGGAGGGACGGTGGCAATCTTGCTGTGCTCCATAGCACGACGGAAGAAGTCTCCAGTAGGGGCAGCGAGCATGTTCTCGATGTGAGGTGCCTCGACGTAGGCCTTGACAACCTCACGTCCGGTTCCCTCGGTGTAGNNCTGATGACGGATCAGTATTGGACAGCTCAAGGCCAAACGATGAACTTACTACATTCCGTTCCACATCTGAGTAATGGATCCTTGGTCGATCTTGCCCTCGACGAGTGGAATGACCTCTTCATAGGGGACCAGCTTGCAGTACTTCCAAGAAATCATCATGGAGCTTTGCGGCGTCAGTTAAATTCAAGGTGTTTCAAAACAAGACGACTTACCCATGNNCAGCTTGATCCACTTGCCAGTTTCCTTGTCCCAGAAAGGGGTCTTGACCTTGGGGTCAAAGGCTTGAAGCTCTGAAAGGCCGCAGAAGTGCTTGCTGNNGGGAATGTTAGCAATCGTAGCAGACACCAGAGAAAGCGTTGTCACGGACCTGCCAGGCATTGACCAGAGAAACAGAGTCTTTATGGAGGGATCCTCGCGGTTGTTGTGAAGATCCATGATGCGTGTCATGACGTTCTGGTTGGTGGCCCAGAAGCCAGTCTGATGGGACATGAGGATGTCATCAAGGTTTGGGCACTTGATAGCGACCACTTGCGACTTTGATAAACATTAGTTGGATGATGTTGGGGAGATATGCGAACTTGTACTTACTCCGTAGGGCATCGAGTAGTGGTCAGGGTTCATGCCACTAAGGATCGCATTGGCTCCCATGAAAGTCTCAAAAGAGTGGTCGTCGTTTTGAGCACGAGCTTGCTTGTTGAAGGTGAGAGGTGTCTGCTTCTGAACCCAGACAGGTGGAGAGCCTGAAGGGCGGACATAGTCCGACTCCTTGGCAGCACCAGAAGGTGGAGTAGTGATCTGTGACTTCTTGGGAGCAGCAGAAGCATCGGGCGAGGCAGGTCCTTGACTCATAGGCTTTTCGGCGTGATCAGCAGCAAGAGTTTTGGACAAAACAGATGAGTTTTGCTTGGATGGTGAGTTGGAGGCACTCTGCTGAGAAGGACCAAAGACATCTGAAGGACCACCGTCATCGCGAGAGTAGGGCTCAGCTAGGAGTGAGCGTGTCTTCGCGGGAAAAGAAACAGAAGTCTTCTTGTTGTTGTCAAGATCAAGAGGCTTGACCAAAGCGCCGAGACCAGGGATCATGAAGCCAGTGGGCTGAGGAGTGAACGGAATACCTGAGACATTAATGCCGTAGGGAGCACTTCCAGGAAATCCGATAGGGTCAAAGGCAGCACGCTTGCCAGTGTTAACGGCAGCGCCGGCAAGACCAGGCAGCACGTTGCGGGGGTCGGTGTGAAGGACAGGTCCGTCGGCACCCGAAAGGCTGGAGTCTTGTTAGTGAAACTTGCTGGTATTTGCGGACGAACACATTGCTTACCCCGGGATGTTGAGGTGAACACCGGGACCGAAGCTTGACGCCATATATGACACGGGCATGTTCGCGTTTCTGCTGGGCTGAGCCTGACCACTCGTGAAAGCAGAAGATCCAGAGCTGAACAAGGCCTTGACTGACTCACTGCCAAAGTTGGCGCGAGCGATATGCTGCTGGGAAAGATGCTGCAGAGTTGGGTTGTGAACAATGCGTCTGCGTTTGAACACATCGAGGTAGTAGTCAGGTTCAGCGCCTTGGTGCGCAGAGAAGAGAACTACGACGAGCCGAGGCNNCTCGACGTCTAAGTCAATGCTAGCCTGCTTGATGCTGGTCTCGCCGGTAGCAGCACTCTTTGACACCTTCTCAGAGCTGGATGCTGAAGTCATGCCAGAGGTCAACTCTGGTGAATTGAAGTGCGCCGAGTCGGCGGCGGACGGAGGAGGCATGTTGAATACTGTTCGTATGTTAGCAAGCTTCAAAGACAATCGTTGACCTGTGGAAGACGTACTTTACACAGGTTTGCTCAATCAGAAGATGGAAGCAAAGTTGCGCGTACAAAGTTGTGCTGATTTAACGCGAGGAGAGTGAGAGACACAAAATTTGCGGATCGATAAGACGCGCTGTGAAAACTGGTTGCGAAGTGATGCGCTGGAGATTTAAGACTAGCCAGAACTGAGGGACAACAAGAAACACAACACTCTCTCTTTCTTCACTTGGCAAGCAGAAAGAAACAGATAATGAAAAGGTATGCCTTGAGCCGGCAACACGCTATTAGAGCGTGGATACAACACCTACAGCTTTTTTGAAGGCTGCTCAGCATGACCTCGCTGGCAGGTACCAACCTCTCATGGATATGAGTCTACAGGCATCGAGCATTTTACAAGAGTGACGGTAACGGACGTGGCTATTATGCATCGTCGGAGTATGGGTAGGTGACAATCCAGTTTGTTCCCAGTACGCAAAGGCATCTCCGATGATTCCGTAGCCAGGTCATTCCAGGGGCTCGAGTCAACATCTTGGTAGATAGCACATTCTTATGTAGTGAGACAGGAAGCGAAAGTGAAGAGCTGCTGTCGTTTTGCAGTGAAGTCTGCTGGACGGCACGGACCTCGCTGTCACCGCCCGAAAAATGGCCGCAAGCGAGAGGCAGAGGAACTTGCGTGAATAGCCAAGGACGAACACCAGGTCAGTATCACTCCTGGACACAAGGATGCTCCTTCATGCGATGCATTCAGATGAGATCAATCAAACACAAATCAGATCATTCGATACTTTCAATGTGCCCATCAGATCAGCAATACGGGCCTTGTGCGAGTCCTTATGGTCAATTTCTAGAGACAGACCAACCACCTCTATGCATCCCCGAGGCGAGTTATTGTCGATAGCAATGAGTATGACTATCCGACCAAGAATTCTTCTCTCTATACATAGTTCGATAGTAGGTCAAATTCCAGCAGCATATGAGTTTCTGGACTCGAGCTCGTTGGCTTGCGCTCGTAGATCGAGGAAGGAACGCCTGGTCTCGTGGATGGCACTTGCCTCAACAACCAATGTGCCTTCTATTCTTGCCTGCCTCCGCTTGATCACGCGACCCCGCCCTTGAAACTTATTGCAACTTCCATCCATAATCAACAATTGTCCTCCTCTGCGTTCCTTCTCGGCCAAGACCTCGTCGCGAACATGGCTCAAATCGTGGCTCAGCGTCAGGTAGCAACCACCAAGACCCAATTGACTCAGAAGCAGAGTACGGAGACGGTTCAAGTCATGCTTTATACCTCGGTCAGTGCAGCTAGGGCTCCTCCCATACCTTCGTCCAACTTGGCTGACATGAATCCAGGCTAGCATGCTTTGTCGCCTAAGGTGGGAATCGTCCTCTGGAATACCTTCCGTCGAGCAGGCTGACGAGTCACATTTAGGGGCATTTTCCCTTCACTGGCTTTTGACGTAGCCGAGTTCGACGATGACGACGAACTCTATACCTTGGAAGGTCTCATGAACGGTGAACACCCCTGCCGAGCACAGCCACCATCATCATCCAGCACTTCAGTGAGACAATCCGAGCGAGAAACATTGAGTGTTCCACTACTCAAAAGAGGTCGAAGCGTCCGTGCAGACCAATTCCTCGATTCTCTTGTAGGTTACATGACCAGATCGGGTGGAAGCGACGCTAACTCGAGCACTCGTTAGGACACAGCTTTTGAGGCACTGCATCGAGGAACATTACATGCCCTGCGCATTCCGTTCATAAGCGATCCTGAGGTTAACACTAACTCTCTCGAGCTGTGGTCGTTCCGCATAGTCTACAAGAAGTCCGCCGAAGGCGAACGTCTAGTAAAAGGTCTCGAGACCAAGCTCGGGAACGAGGATGTTTACGATCCAAGCCTATGTGTTATCGATCTTCTGGGTCAGGTTTATGATCAATGCGGAGAACTCCCACAGTTGCCAGGTAATAAAAGTGCTTTCCTCGTTCCTATTGAGCCATTTGCCTGATTCATCTCCACAGACGATCGCTATATTCAGCCAAGCATCTTGTATAGAGAGGATGGATGGGAGCCCAGGGGCTTTGTGGAAACTCAGTCGCAACCATCAGTTCAAGGATTCGCAGGCTGGCATCCGCATGCCGCAGATCTAGGCATTATCGGTGGACTTTATCACGAGTAAGTCGTGCCAGCAGATAATACCAATCTTTTGCTTACAAGGCAAGCCTTGCACTACGGATCGCCTCCCTCAAACATGAGCATTCCAGCANCTAGACGAATTTCCCAAGATCTCCGGTTTCGCAAGCCTGAAGTTGTTCAGGGAGGCCGGCTTTTCACCAGGACTTCGACTCTCTCCAGTGGTGATTCTCCTATCCGACCAAGAACAACCTCGCCCGCTCCAAGCAGAAGGACCTCTGCCGCCTCAGCTATACCGGAGACACCTCAGCGTATTGTCCAGTCCGACGAGAACGAAACATCTTCTGCAGATCGTCGCGCCCTCCCAAAAGTCACGAGTATCCTCTTTCTTGATAAAAACGCACTTTCAGCAAGTGGTGTATCACAACATCCGGCCACAACGTCTGTCATCTCGGAGCAGCTACCGCATTCGGATGTCTCAAATGCATCACAAGTCGATGATGACATGAGACGCAGGAGCTCACTGGATAACATGGTAAGTTTGAAGTCGTCCAGAGCTTGTCACAGAACTAACAAGCTGTTCAGANTGATGCCTAGCTCGTACCGTGAAGACAATATTGCGACTCAAGTCAGGAGAAGTGCGACTGAGTTGTTAGATGATCAGGACAGTCCAATTCCAGAACTTGCTGAGCATATGAAAACCTATGACTTTCTTACGAGCGAGACAGCACATCGTCTGTGGGATGTGACGTGCGAACTTCGGAAGAAATCGACACCGACGCTGGTGAACGCGTCCATCACGAGTTGCCGATGCCAGCTTCATGACTTGACGGAAGAGATGGTATGCTTACGAATGCTTCTCATGGACCATGCTGACCTTTGCTGTAGACTCNGATGCAGTATTTGCGGTGTGCGACAGCATTCTATCTGTCAAGGCTATCTAGAAGGCGACAGTCGTCAGCCTTCACGACATGTCTGCCATCTCTGTTTGCTAGGTCGTATGGTCGACAGGGCCACTCTTAGAAGGCTCTGCGAGTTGGCTTTGGAACGTAGGGCAATGGACCTGCTCCTCTCTGAAGAAGTCGATGATGCAGTGGAGTTGAGTAGAAAGCTCAGTATGTACAAAAGATCCCCAACCTTATAACATGCTGACAAGGATCTCGACAACANNGATACGCAATTTGACAAAGTTGCAGAACTGGTCACATCTCTGGTTTCACAGGGATTCATTGTGGAGCAAGGTAGGCGTTCCACAAGAAACTCGCAGGGCAAGATAAGCTTTCCAGGTTCGGTCAGCACACCAGAGTATATCAACTCGCTTGTAAGGCTCTTTGACCCATACCAAGTTGTGGGACATCACGTAAGCATGGCTGTTGTCGTTGGCATAACGGTGGTACTGACTGTCTAGTTCTCTGATATTGCATTGTCAGACGACTCAGCTGCAGATGTAGTACAGGCATTGAGAGCAAGATATCCGATTCTTGCACCACCTCCGAGAAGGACGACACCCAATGTCTCGCCAGAGCTAAAGAGAGCAGTAACTGCGAATACGAGCAGGACGACGGCAGGGAGTGCGAAACCTACGACAAAGAAGAGAGAAAGAACCGTTCAAGCAGAGGAAGCCGAAATGAGCGAGCAAGCAACACAAGCTCGCCGGTCGTCCAGAGTAAGAACTCCCACACCAAAGATGAAAGAGGCCAAATTTGGCTTCTTCATCAACGGACAGAACCTTCCATCCAGGGAGAATCCAGAGATCAAGTCGAAGCGATTCAAGGGCGACTCGTAAGCACGGCTGTGACTCGCGGGAGAAATTGGGCTCGGATTTGGGGCTTTGCTTGAGTGATGAGCAGCAGAAAGATGGACAATTCGTGTCGGCAGTATTATCGAATATGAGTGGCTCGGAGGATTAATGACGGATGTACACGGAGAGCAAGGTATGGCTATGTGGCTTGAGGTAGCGCGAAACAATCAACACAAGAAAGGATGATGATCTGCTCGGATGGGCACTCCCACTCTGTTCCCACCGTCATGTGTAGCGAAACGTGAGTTGAGGAAATGCACAATTTCTTTCGGATGAGAGTCAGGTCCGGTGAGAGAGAGGCGAGAAGCAGTCGGTCCCAGTGGAGGTCTTTGTGATTTTAAGATCATTATGTGCTTCTACAGTTACCCAAGTGGGAAGAGGAGGGGGCATGCGACGATTTCAATACCTCAATCCTTCCCGTGTGTGAACGACAGTCGAAAGATCACTATAAAAATGCAGAATGTTTTCTCCAGGAGTGTGAAATCCACAGAGAGGCGTCATTTCAGGGTATCTCTATGGATACAATTCTGTTTGGTAAGCAGTTGTGCATTTCCACAGCTACCTGAGAAAGGAAGGGGCGTGCGAAGGATCTCCATATTCTCTCATTTAATTATCTGAGACAGGCAATTGCGTGAGAGAGGATCATGGGCTGTGCATTGGGGGTGGATATTGATTTGCAGTGAAGCAATAGAGGAGTGGAGCCGGAGTTCGAAGTTTTGTCATGGTTCACGACTGGAAGGGTAATGTTATGTTGTACATGTAGGGGATGCAGGCCGTGAGTCGCGAGAAGTTGGACGACGTCCAAAAGATGGACAACAACAGTGGACCCCCACGTTTCAAGGCGGAAAGTTTAGCTAGGAAAGCGGCGCCCCTGATGGATCCAGTCTCGAGCAGTTTAGCGAGCGACGGTGGACGGACGAAAAGCCACCACGGTCGGGACAAAGTGGACTCCTCGGCCACTAACCAAGCTGCCGGCATGGCGACATTGTCGAGGGAGATTGATTCCCTGATTCTTGGGCTCGTCAGTCTGACTGTGCGCAGTTGCAGTGGACAGTTGCAAGGCTGCAGGTTGTTGCAGCATCCATGATCTCTTTGTCGTTGACAGCTCGCACGCGCGCCCGTCAGCAGGAACAGACTCGCCCCTGGACCATCCACGTTTGATTGATAGCGTACCGGTTCTGACGTCGACCGGGCAGGATCGCAGTCTTTTCGCAGCCCCAGGAGGAGGCTTCAACTTGGCGTTCAACCTGTTAGCTGTCGATACACACAATCGCGTCGACGAGAGAGTTAGCAGCCCGCCGCCCGTTGCGTATCGCGACTTTGTACACTGCACGTCGAGCAAGCCGTTGGCCGGTCCATCGATAAGGAGCCTACAGGGGGAGCGTGTTGGGCTTTTCTTCGTCTTCAAAATGCCCAAGTCGTCCGCCGCGCCTGCGCGCCCTCCCAGGCCTCTGTACTCCCTCCACGACGACAAGCACCAATACAGCCGCGACCGACTCGACACGGACCTTGACGTCGAAAAACGCTTTGAAGAAAGCATAGGATACACACTGGCCACCGAAGGAGGAGCCGCCGATCCAGCCATGGGTGCCGCCGGGACCCTCCAGATATGGCCCAAGTTGCACATGGAGCCATACCAGAACATGCCCGAACTCGACAAGGCGAGATTCAACCGCCTACCGAGCAATCACACCGATCCCTTCCTCTCACAGCCCGCCAGGCCCCGACCGACCCTACATGCTACTGCCAGTCAGCCCGATCTGTATTCGGCGTCGCGCAAGAATGCAATCATGACCGATGCCGCCGTGCCTCCACCCGTCCCCCAACAACTCCAACGCAGCCACAGGGTCGATTTTTCCAGACTTTTCTCACGACACAAATCAAAGAACAAGGACAAGGAAAAGGAAAAGACGACGAGAAGACCTTCGGCTCCTCACGTACCTGCGCCGCCGTCCCTGCCTCTGCCACCACCGCCGCCGGTACCTGCATCCGTTCGCTCCCGTCAAGGTAGCGATATCTCGTCTGTCCGACCTGCCTCTTCAGGAACCGCCAGCCATCGTACTCAGGCCACTGCCTTTGACCGAAACGCTACCGAAAATGCAAAGATCAACGTGCGCAGGCCGCCAAAGGGCATCAAGCATTGGTTCGAAGCCGTCGACTCTTCCGACGACGACTTGCCCGAAGTCGTTACTCCTGCCGAAACCATTCACCACTCTGCTTTTAACCCAGCACTTGGCCCAGGAAGATCAAGGGTTGCACCCACCTCGCGTGTTACGCCCAATTGCGAAGGCTCGTCGTCGGATTACTTCCGATACCAGAGCTCCACACATCAAGCACACTCGCAGAACCAAAATCTTCAGGAACGCAGCATGCTAAATCTTTCATCCGATGAAGAGGACGAGCGTTCAGAGCCTCCATCACCACCTAGATGGGCAGACCATTCGACTACCGCAAGTGGACCTGCATCTGACTCGGTTAGCTGGAACAAAATGGCTGCTACCAGGCAGTCAACCTTTAGCATGCAAACCACAATGACGTCTGGTTCCATTCCCATCATCCACGCCGACAACCTGGAACTGGCTTACCGAACTCCGCTACCTCCTCTTCCTGCCCAGTATCAACAATACACGGAACCCAGCGCTGTTCCTGCACCTCTACGGAAACAAAAGTCTTATCATTTCTCATCTCCTGGACGAACACGAGCGACGAGCATTACATCGACCGGTATGCAAAGTGCCAACAGTGCCTCTAGCGCTGGACAGTCTCACGTCATGGCTGTTACTCAGGAGGAGATGGCTTTGCTCGAGATGATGCGTCGCAAGAGAGCCGAGATGCAGACTCAGTCTAACCATCCTGCTCGAAGACAAGATCCGTCAAACCAGCCCTCTCATTACGATCGTAAGAACTCAGTCGGCAGAAGTACCGCTTCATCGACCTTTTCGAGGGGCAGTGCTATGAGTATAGGAATGATGCTTGACGCTCCCGAAGGCACTGCTTTCCCAGCACCTCCAAGCAACAGGATCCTCCAGGAAACTCATGAAATGAACTACTTCACTCTTGACGAGGAACGTAGCAGCAGATCCTCAGAGATGTTGACGCCTCATTCGTACATGTTGGCCGAGCTGGAAGCACCTACCGAACAATTGCAAGCCCTCTGCTTCCAACAACCACCGAAGTCTGCAAGCTCGAGTCAAAATAAACTCGTCCCGTTTGAGAATACAGCCGACCCCTACCGTCTAGCACCAGATCTTGAGCTCTCTTCCCTCGACCTCTTGCCGCTTCCTGCACGTACCTACTCTCCGTCTCTCGCCGGCACTTGCAGTTCAGCCGCGACTCCTGAGTTTAGTACTCACGGCAACACCAACTTCAACGTCGTTGGCAGCGATAGCGAGACCAGTAGCGAGGCAGACCGCTACCGCAACAGCGTCAAGACCATGGACAGTGTAGACTTAGATGTCTATACCGCCTGGGAACGTCTGGGTGGCCTGTAATTTCCCCCTCCTTACACCTTGCAATCTTCTTGAGTCTTCTCCTTTGTACATATGATTCACATTTTTCAGCCTCTTATGTTTATCTTTCTTATGAGATCACGATCTAAAAACTTTGGGGTCTGTCTTGGGTTAGACGGAGGTTTGGCGTATCCCTCTTCGGATCTTGTTTGTTTATACTACACTACTTTGATGTGGATGGATATTTTGACGACGTATTATTTATTGCACGAACTAAAGTTTTTTTGTCTACTTATCACCGTCTTCCCTGTGCTGTGATCGTCGTTGAGAACAAATTTAAGCTAGGACATGCTTACTGAGTCTATCGAGTTCATTGACATGTGAGATCAGAGTCTGAGGAAAGAGCGAGTCGGACGTCGTCCAACCAGGCAGGCACCAAGCTGCCAGGGTCACCTACCTCAGCGACTTCAAACCTTATTTCTGGCTTCCACCAGCACATCCACCATCCAACACATCCACCAACAGAGCGTCATGGCCGACTTTTCAGATAACGATCGACCAAGAAAGAGAGCGCGTCTCAGCGAATCTACAGCCAGTACTGAGTCACCGCCGAAGGATGAGTACAGTTGGGACTGGCCTGCCGACCTCGATCAATCAACTGGCAAGACCATCAGCCCCCACCCCTCGCACGCAACAAAGGCAAAGAAAAGCAGCAACAAGAAAACTCAANCAACCACAGAACCTTCGCCATTCCAACTCACCAAGATTCGTGACTTGCCAGCCTCAGCCAATGTCGACACTGTCACCCTCTCGGACATACTCGGAGATCCCATGATCAAGGAGCAATGGCAGTTCAACTTTCTGCTGGACATCGACTTCATCATGGGTCACCTCGATGAGGACGTACGTGATACGGTGCAAACAAAAATCATTCATGGCTTTCACGACAAGACTAGCCTTTCTCGTATAAACCTCGAGGCTACCGCAAAGAGGTATCCCAATGTCGAAACAATGCATATTTGGTTACCTGCCTATGGCACCCACCACTCCAAGATGATGATTCTCATCAGACATGACGACACTGCACAAGTCATCATCCACACAGCCAACATGATCTCCCAAGACTGGACGAACCTCAGTCAGGCAGTTTGGCGATCACCGCTACTCCCTCTGTCTACTGCACATGACGACACATTGGAGGCTCCCATAGGCTCTGGCACTCGATTCAAGCAAGAGCTTCTCAACTACCTGGAAGCTTACAAGAGCAAGTTCAGGGATCCCACCCGTTTGCTAGTTAACCAGCTTAAGAAATACGACTTCTCCTCTATCAAGGCTGCTCTTGTTGCGAGTGTGCCAGGCAAGCAGCAAGTCAGCACGAACTCCACTACTACCAGCAAACAGAGTCTATGGGGCTGGCCAGGCCTAGAGCGAGTCCTCAAGAAAGTTTCAATGAATGCATCAGCAAGCAAAGCTCAGATCAACGTCCAAATATCCTCGATCGGTACTCTGTATGAAAAGTGGTTGGACGGCTTCTTCGACGTCCTGGGAAAAATGACTGCTGGACAGCAACCCAAGGCCAAGAAACCACTGGTTCGGGTCATCTTTCCTACAGCTGACGAGATTCGACGCTCGCTGGACGGCTACCAATCCGGGAGCTCGATCCATATGAAGCTGAATTCAGTGGTGCAGCAGAAACAGTTGGAACACATGAAGCCTCATCTGTGCACTTGGGCGGGCGACACGAATGGAGACCAGCATGGAGTGCGTCAAGCAGGTCGTCGCCGTGCGGCACCACACATCAAAACATTTATCAGATTCTCCGATACCGACTGCAACAAGATCGACTGGACCCTGGTGACATCGGCAAACCTGTCGAAACAGGCTTGGGGTGAGATGGCAAACAAGAATGGAGAGGTCAGCACCTCGAGCTTCGAGATTGGAGTCCTCGTATGCCCACAGTGGCTTGTCGGCGAGGGAGAGAAGGCTACGATGGTGCCTGTATTCAAGGCAAACAGGCCTGAAGTGGATGCGTTGGAGGGTGTCGACAAAGTGGTTGGTATCCGGATGCCATACGACCTGCCGCTGACACCCTATGCTGAGGATGAGGTGCCATGGTGTGCAGAGAGAACGCACNGAGAACCCGACTGGAAAGGCATCGTGTGGCAAACATACAACCCGAGGACGTGATGTTGACGTTTGAGAGTAAGTTGTAGCTTCTGGACGACGTCCGGTTCATCGGAGATGGCTCGATAGCTCTTTGATTCGGCTGGTTGAGACTGGCTAGCATGGCCTCTGTGGCGCAAAAGACGAAACACGCGACAACAAACAGTACTATGCAGATTATGAAATGATATTGCTTCTCTTTATTCATGACAGAAGGGGTATTTCGAAAGGACCAAAAGAGTCGTTATTTAACCAGTGTAACCGTGCTTCTTCTTGAGCGACTCGACGAGAGCGACGTACTTCTTCTGGGCGTCCTGGGGCTTGACACCCTCGTCGACCAGCTTCTGCCATGCGTTTCTCTTGGCCTTGCCNCTGGTGTAGAAGAGACGTGTCAGCAAGTTGTTTGACCTGAGGTGTGGAGCTCTGTCGTGTGTAGAAGGTGTAGGTGTTACCTTGAGGTCGAACATGCCGGGCTTGTCAGAGGACTCGATGGGAGGGTCCTGAGTACCCTGCTTGAACAGTCCGTAGAGCTATGCCACCACAATCAGTCTCGTGTCCCTTTTCTCTTTGCTCAAAGCTACTGCTCTTCGTACCTGGAGGAGCTCGTCATCCGAGGGCTTGGCCTTGAGCTTGCGGCTGTCCTCGACGGCCTTCTTGAACTCGGCGGTTTGGGCGACCATTTTGACGGTTTGATGTAGTGTAGGTGAGGGGTTTGAGGTAGGTGCTGATGTGGTAGATGGAAGAAGGAGAGGAGGTCTGGTGAGGGGTCCGCAATCTCGTGGTCTCATTTGAGAGAGGCTTGGCGTGAGTGGGGAGCTTCGAGACCCTGGCGAAACGGGGTTGACATCATTGTGACTTTTGTGTCACCGCTCTTGTCGCATCATTTTTCTGTGCAACGATTGTTGGTTTATTCGATGTTTGTCTATGGCGTAGTATGGGTAAGCGCCTACAGCCTGTGTCCTGTCTTCTTGACTGCACGCTTATAGCTCTCCGTGCTCTCACAATCCGCAATCCACTTGTCAATCCTCTCCCACTTCTTCCCCTTCGTACCCAGCTCCCTCGCCAGAATAAACTGTGCGGAGAACAACATCATACAGTCTGCCGCTGTGACACTATCCCCGACCAGGAACTTGCCCTTGCTCTTTGCCAACTCCGCTTCCAGGAAATCCATATCTTTGCACACGTTCACGGACATGCCTTGTTCCATCTTCTCTGCGGCGGCGGGGTTGTCGGCGCCAAACCAGCGCGTGTAGAGGATAGCTAGCGCATGCAGCGCATACGTGGCTTCCGATGCGTGGATCCAGCGCAAACACTGCACACGCATAGTCTCATCTTTAGGAAGCAGTTTATTCTCGGTATCGTACTTTTCACAAAGATATNNCTGTGGTATCCTTCGTCAGCGAGTGCCACAACAAGGCTTCATGGGCTGGGCTTTGACATACTCGGCTATAGCGCCGCTTTCTCCTACTATCAAGTCTCCATCTTTGAGTAGAGGAAATTTCCCCAATGCGTCGCCAGAGTTGTCTTTGAAGTGCTGGGGTGCTTTTCCGTTTTCGCGCTCTGAGAATTCGACTTTATAGTCCAAACCTAGTTCTTCGAGTTGCCAGGCTGTGCGGATGGAACGCGAGGCCTGTAGGAAGTATAGTGTGATGTCTGGCATGATGTTGCGAAATTGATTCTTAACCCTGGGAAGAGTCAGGGATAGTGGGGTTGGTATAGGCTTATATTGACAGCAGAGCGGGGTTGCCATCAAGGTTTCAACGGTTGGTGGTGAGTCTGGTGAGGCTTGTCTGTTGTGCCCGAGGTCCTGCGGAGGTTGACAACATCGACTTGCTCTCCTTGTGCATGAGACTACCACATTGTAGCCATATAAATGCATGATAATCTCTGAATAGGGGTGGCGTCCAGGGAGCGTACGCTGTATCAGGGTATCTCTATGGCCGTAGTTCTGTTCGGAAAGCAATTATGCATTTTTATAGCTTACAATGCCACTAGATGCCACTGCGGGAGAGCGATTGATCATGAAATTGCTTATGGGCCTGGATATAATTACAGCTCGAAGCTATTTCTTATACAGGAACCTCGCGAGGCACACTCCTCAACTTGAAGTTTGTGTAAAACTCGCTCTGGCGGACAAACCACGCATTCCTCGTCTTCCAGTCGTCACAAGCCATCTCGACCTCAAAAGTCCTCAAGAACGTCGGCACCAACTTGTAAATCTCCAACAAGCTGATGTTCTTGCCAATACATGTTCTAGCGCCAGCGCCGAATTGGAACATGGTAGCCTTCATCTCCTTGAGCTTCATGGCATCGGCCTCGATCCATCGTTCAGGTCTGAAGGTATCGACGTCTGCGCCAAAGATTTCGGGGCGGCGGTGAAGGACCCATGAGTTGCAGCCGACAATGACGCCGCCGGGGATGTGCTCGCCACAGATCTCGATGCCTTGCTTGGGGGTGATGCGTTCGAGGATCAGACCGGCGGCAGGGTGCATGCGGAAAGACTCCTGAATGACAGCGTCGAGGTAAGGTAGCTTCTGGCTTTCTGCCCAGGATACCTTGTTGTTCTCGCGTTGTTGGATTGCACCAGTCTCAGCTGCATCGTCGAGCTCTTGCATCAGCTTTGCGTAGACCTTGGGGTATTTGACCAGGTGGTAGAAGACACTGCTAAGACTGATGGCGGTAGTCTCGCTTCCGGCAAACACCATACTCGTCGATGCTGCCAAAACCTGAGCATCGGTCATAAATTCAGGATGGTCGTGTTGAGCCTGGTTGAACTTTGTGAGGAGGTCGATACCACGGCCGGGACGCTTCTCGACAATGCCGGTTTCGCGAACCTTCTGCATCTCATCCTTGCGCTCGCCTGAGCGGTCGAGTGCGAATTTTGTTACGGGGAAGACCTTCTTGTTGATTCCCCACTTCTCGAGTTGGAGCTTGAGGGGNTTCTTCTCGAGGATAAGATCAAGGAAAGGCATTTGACCAATNCTGAAAATGTTGTTAGCATTATAGATCGCTGATGAGAAAACAGAAATACTTACGGGTGCAGCGTATGAGAGGAACTTGTTCAAGAACTCAATGATGCCATCAACATCCTCGTCTCTCTCGATGTATCCCAAGCGCTTGCTCCAGGTCAATTCGCCGATCACATCAAAGGCGTAAAATTGCAACCAGCGGGTGAAGTCACATCTCTGCTTCTTCTCTCCACAGTAAAGCTCCTTGGTTCGCTCAATGTAAACATCGGTTGTGCTGTCAACCAGAGGCTCGTACTCGACCAGCGAGGACATGGCGAAAGCACCGTTGACACATCTTCTGTACTTGGCGTGGTAGTCCTCAAAGGTGGTAGAGAATAGCGATTGCAGACGCTTGCCCTTCGAGACGGCTTGCTGGACAGGGTAAAAGTCTGACTTGGTCATACCCTTGTTCAGACCGTAGATGGTCTTGATGGCCTTAGGGTCGGCAAACGACAGTACGTTAGGTCCAAGTCTGACGATATCTCCATGTTGCTTGTGTAGAGCCACATGTGTGTATTCTGACTTCTGACCCCATACTTCGAAGAAACGCCACCAGTTTGTATATGCTGCTAGCGGAGCACCAGGGTATTTGTTCAGGCCTTTGTAGAACTTGTTGTTTAGGAGGTAAGCGGCTGCTGATGCTGCAAGTACGATTGGCCAATATGCCACCAGAAGTGGCAGTAGCTCGCCGACGATCATGATGTGTTAAACTTCAAGATGCTCGGAGTGTGGAAGAACGATAGGATTGTGGTAGAGTATGGGTAGACTCGGTTGAAGAGAATGAGAAGGGGTAGGGTATGGGAGAGTGATGCACAAGGGATATCTTTCTGATCTCCGAGCTGCAGTAGGCAGCTTATATGTTCTACTGCTGTTTACAACCGTACATGGTCAAGAGACCAGCGATACACAGCTTTCGGCAATGGGCCATTTCGCAACTGCCGTGGTGTTGCAGGAGGCTACATGGGCACATAACGACTTCCAGCTTGGCCTTTGAACGGCAGTTGCAAAGCTCTCGGGTCCTCGGGTTTGCGTACTCCTTATCCTCGGTGTTTGGAGGGTCTGACAGGGCGCGAAGGTGCAAGTCGCAACTACCGTTCTGGCGATCGATGTTTTGGCACTGGGGCCCCAGATTCTGAGACGAGACCTTCCCCACCGTTCTGCCGCATGCTTTTGCGGAAGTCTTCCGCTGATTCGAACTTGACAACTTGTTCTATACCTTCCAGACTTCTTCCTTTCGTCACCGAACAGATCGCCGCTTCTTCGTTCGCTCCGTACCTATGAAATTCTCTGGATGCACGTAGAAAACGGTATGTGTCGTCTCTTGCACCACGACGGATAATTGCATTCGGGTTTCGGATGATGGAGCAGACATCATCAAGGCACGTGAAGACTTGCGAAGCGTCGTTTCGGCAGAAGAAATCGGCATTTCGACTCTGAAGCATCTGCCGTCCACTCGCACACTGCTGCTTTTTCCTTCCCTCACAGATCATCGGCCTGGGTCATTGATATCGGTACTGGATGACCTGAATGACGGCAGCTGCTGGTAAAACGGCAATTCATTCAATAGACCCAGATACGGACATCCGAACAATCCGAAAAGGAGTTGCTAGAATGCGAAACTTGGACAGGAGATGAACCAGATGACATCCGTTCTGGAGACCACCACAGCTCGACTACCCACCACAGCCAGCTGTCTGTCTTTTTAATAGGGCATGGTTTTGTAAGTACGGGGTTACTATCTCGAGATTGCTGAGTTGAGCACAAAGGAAGCCAGATCAGCTGAATCACAGGTTGCCCAACTAAGCCATGAAACCAGTCGAGTCTTGTCTTAAGAACGACGAATTCACGGTCCTACAGATTCTTCTAAGGAGAATGTTCTCCAGAGTTTCATGTCTTTTGATGGCGCCTGCTGCAAAACCAGTGGGGTATGGGGGCTACCGTGGGGTTCAATACCAGAACCGGGTAGGAGATCCGGTCGTGGCGCACAACGAATCGCAGGCCTCGAATTTGTCCACGCAAGCCTAGTGTTTGACGGCAAACATTTGCCCTAAACTCGGCGCTGAAAAGAGCGTAAACGAGAGCCGCAAGGATGGTGTTCTTTGCCCAGACCTGGATTCGGCGCCCCTACGCGGACAAAAGACTTGAGCCGCCGGGGCACCGTTGCTTGGGAGGCTTGATTACGACAGACTTTGTATGGAACGCCACTTCTTGCAGCACATCTGCATTCTGGGAAAACCGACATCCAAAGGCATCAAACACGACGTTTCTCTGGAGTCGGACGGCCAAATAACCTCCTATCTGTCAAACATCCATACAGCAGTACCCCGGATGATCCGTTGTAGCATAGAACTCAGGATGACCCACCAACCCAATCACGTTGATGTACTAAGTGGGTACATTTATCTCGCTGGGACCACCATCACGACCATCCGCAAGGACGCTTGTGGGGAAGCGGAGAGAATCGATTCCTTCTCTCCACAATTTTTTCATATTGAGGCCAACCGTTTCGAGTTGCTTGCCAGGGGATAAAAGGCTCGTCCCAACACCTATACTTTTCTTCCATACCCACCTCTTTTCGTCCCATGTTGCGACACAGTCAAGATGCAACACAACTCTGACTTCAAGGGCGAGCTTCGCGAGCCTTCGGAGATGGACACCAACATTGAAAAGGTTGAGACAGGTGGTCTAGCACCATGGTCAACACATATCCTTGGTGATGCCGCCAATCTCTCTCCTGAGCATCGCGACTACCTTTTGAAACGACATGGCACATTGGAGCTAGATCCTATGCCTGGCTTTGGCGACGCTGATCCGTTGAACTGGAAGACTTGGAAGGTTAGATGACTCATAATGTAAAGATGTCTATACAAGATCTGACCCTTGCAGAAAACAATTAACTTGTTGCTGGTCGCGTTTCACGCGATGATGGGCACGTTCACGGCTGCAGCAATCATCCCAGCTTATTTTAACATCCACGAAGACCTGGGCTGTAGTATCCAAAGAGCCTCCTACCTTACATCCTTGCAAATCGCCATCCTTGGAGGAGCCCCGCTATTCTGGAGACCTCTCTCTGTCAGGTACGGACGTCGTCCAGTCTGGTTGATCTCTACGATCTGCAGTCTTGTTTGCAACATCGGATGCGCCTACAGTCATAGCTATGCTAGCATGGCTGCTTGCAGAGCCTTGGTTGCTTNNTTTTTCATCAGTCCCGCTGGAGCTATTGGAAGCGGTGTCGTTAGTGAGACCTTCTTCAAGAGAGAGCGCGGAAAGTACATGGGTATCTGGACTTTGATGGTGACCGTTGGTGTCCCATTGGCCGGTTTCACCATGGGCTTCGTCGCCAACAATGTTGGCTACCGCTGGATCTACTATATCCTCGCCATCATCAACGGTGTCCAATTCATCCTGTATATCTTCTTCGGTCCTGAGACAAGATACTTGCGCCAAGGTGTCGAGCACCACGGTTCTGACCTCAAGCAAGAGTACTGGGGTTTCAGACGCATTGACCCTACACCCCTCAGAGCATGGGACTTTATTCAGCCATTGACTATGGGCCGTCACGCCACAGTCATGATTCCTGCTGCAGCATACTCAATGGTCTTCTTGCTTACTTCCATTCTCGTTACTGTCGAGATTCCCCAGCTCTTCCAGGAGAAGTATGATTTCAACGCTCAGCAAATCGGGTACCAGTTCGCTAGTATCATTATCGGCGCTGTCATCGGCGAGCAACTTGGAGGTGTTCTCTCCGATTCGTGGATGAAGCGCAAGGCCCGCAAGATGTCTGACGGCCACCGCCCTATGCCCGAATACCGTCTCTGGCTCAGCTACTCCGGTTTCCTCCTCGGTATTGTCGGCTACATCGTCTTCCTCATCCAAACCGAGGACACTGCAAAGTGGAACGTTACACCACTCATCGGTGCTGCCATTGCTGCCGTCGGAAACCAGATCGTCACCACAGTGCTTATCACCTATGCCGTCGACTGTCACCAAGAAGAAGCAGCCAGTATCGGTGTCTTCATCACCTTCGTCCGCCAGATCTGGGGCTTCATCGGTCCCTTCTGGTTCCCGCAGATGTTTGAGGGTATCGGACTCAAGGCCAGCGCCGGCGTTGGTACTGCTTTGATGATTGGTGTCAGTGTGATTCCCACCATCTGGTTGCAATGGAGAGGCCGCTCGAGAAGAACCATTGACGAGTGAATTTCGTTTTGGTTGTCAGGAGATGTTTTTGTTTTCAACCTGATTCTTAATAGACACGAACCGTGACGACTTGTATATGATATAGAGCCCACCTTCAACAAGGGCTCTTTCTTCCTTCCAGATTATGTTCCCTCGTTCCTGTCTTTTGATGCGTGACGGCTTGATCGTTTGTCGTTGTGTAATCAAGCTCTAGACGTCCTCCTCGGGCATGAACAGAAGCTTTCCATGAACCACACCCACACTCTTGCTTTAAGATGCTCTTGTACATACTATTCGAGGTCTTTATTCGCGAATTGCACAAAAACATAAAACCAGTGCCAAGCCCGCTACAGCCCACCACGTCCCACCAATTTCGAAGCCTCAAAAGATTCAGCCACCACAACCAAACTCGATGACTCTGACACAAATAAATGCTCACAACAAGCAAAAGAACATGTGATGGTCAGTACGGGGTCGAACCCGCGACCTTGGCGTGCCATATATCAAGAGGATATTAGCACCACGCTCTAACCAACTGAGCTAACCGACCTTCATGAAAACTGTCTTATTTGCATTGTCAATAATACTCCAAAATTAGGACCTGGACGACGAGGAATGGCCGAGGAGCCACGGAATAGGAGGTGGAGGACGAGAGCAGGTCGGTTCCGCTCAGTTGGTTAGAGCGTGGTGCTAATATCCTCTTGATATATGGCACGCCGGCGCTGGCGCGGCATCGCAAGTCATACATTCTTACATTATTCATCCACGGTAGTCTGGGTGAGAGGAGCACGGTACCGAGTTGTTCTTTGAGAGTGTATGGATGGAACGACAAAAACCAGGCAAGAGGCGCTATGGGTACTCCAGATCATGTTTGTAGATAGATATATATCTGTAGGAGCCAGTGCAGTGTTCAAAGAAGGAGAATAGTCCAGTGTCCCCGTCGATATTGCCATCGTTGTTAGCGATCAGGGTGTTACCCATGGCAACTTTGACTTGGTCATTGGAACACAGCATAGCTCAAAGTCGAAGGCTTGCTGCAACAGCAAGTCTTCCAAGACCGAACCGTCAAAGTTGTGTAAGTATGATATCGAATATAGCTCTCTGACTCTTGACTCAGAAGTAAAAAACAAAAGAATAGGAACGATAATCATCCTAGCGACCATGTCGGGCATGCCGCAAGAAAGTGTTTACCTACGAGTATTTCCGCCTTGTCGATGGAAAGATTAGGATTGATTATGACGACTGTATCAAATCGCCAATCCGTGTGCAAGCACTGCCCGAGTGAGGTCGACAGTATACGGATGTCTAGTGAGAGTCGAAGTTCGCAAGAGCGACACAGAGCTTCCCAACTCGAAGAGAGTGAGGCGATTTGAGTAGTGACGGTGGAGTGGAAAACCCCCTTGTGTGCCTTCCTTGTTTGCAAGAGTCTATATCCAACTCGATATGTATTGCAAGAAGATATCAAGAGTACTAAAAGATGATTAGTCCTAGCCCTGATGTGAAACTTTGCGTCAGTACTGGCTACAAACACACGATATGTCTGGAATTAAGCTGACCATGCAGAGAGGATGCATTTTTGTCTAAGTGAACAAAGTCGCAACCGAGATGTCCGATCTCAAAAACAGGTAGAAGTCTTCAGCTTAATTATCTCTGCATTATCTACCATGACTTTTGTCGTCTATCTTCGTGTCCAGATGCCTGTACCATCCATGCTATGACTTGAGAATAAAGAGGTAAGAAAAGAAAAAAGGGGAATAAACGCCTCATAAAACCATATCGCTCCCAACAACATCAAACACAGATTGATGCAAAAGTACGCCGGGTACGTTTATTGGGAAGAGCCACCAGAGATGGTGAGGACCTGGCCGTTGACCCAGCTGCCGTCGCCGCTGGCAAGGAAGGCCACCACACGGGCGACGTCCTCGGGGACGGCGCAACGACCGAGAGGGCAGTGATCGGCCATGAGCTTCTCGATCTTCTCAGCAGGCCACTCGGGAGTGCCACCCGGGATATAGTGCGATGAGGTAGTCAGCGTTATGTGATCGAAAGAGTATTGTTGGTATATGCAAGAGTGCAAAATTTGCATATACCGGATATCAAAACTTACCCAAGCGTTGGAGGTGAACATATCAGACTTGATACCACCGGGGGCGACACCGTTGACGGTGATACCACGCTTACCGAAGTCGGTAGCGAAGGCCTTGATCATACCAATAACAGCCATCTTGGAAGCGTTGTAAAGGGCGTGGTCACGGACACCAAGAAGACCAGCAGCAATAGAGGACATGAGGATCAAGCGACCATTGTCCTCAAGGTGCTTCCATGCAGCCTGGCCAACAAAGAACTGGGCACGAGCGTTCAAGTTGAAGACGTGGTCGTACTTCTCCTCGGTGATCTCCTCAGTCTTGTCCCACGATTCGGTACCGCTGTTGGACATGACAATGTCGATCTTGCCAAAGTGCTTCTTGGTCTCCTGGAACAGACGCTCAATCTCGGCGACCTTACTGACATCGGCCTGGATGGCGATAGCCTTGGCACCGCTACCGGTGGCCTCGATTTCTCTCACGACCTCATCGGCGGAGGACTTGCTGCTCTGGTAGTTGACAACGACGCTTGCACCGCGTCTTCCGAGCTCAATGGCACATCCACGGCCGATACCACGGCCAGCGCCAGTGATGAGAGCGACCTTTCCGTGGAGGGAGGCAGTAGGAACAGTGACGACGCCTTGAGACATTATGTTGGATTCGGAATGTGGTATAGAGGTAGGTTTTTGGTGTAACGGTGTTGTAGCGAGTGTTGAGAGTAGTGGTGATGATAGGAATACAGAAACCAGCAAACCGTGGACTTACCAGCCATTAAGTATCACTTACCTTTGCTGAGCTCTACCGCCACGACTACTCGAAACAGTTGTTCTGTCCAGAGTCCCGACACAACGAGGGCCGAAGTGTTGAAAGTCGAGGTGGGGAGCCGAAGTGTTTGAGAGACCGAGCACAGCGTTCTGAAGCCCCGAAGCGGAGCGGACGGAGACGACTCTCAGGCACAGCGGACGTGAGACATGTCTTCCCATAAAAAGTCCGACGATTGATGATGAGCATTGATCTTTCGGTTGCGCCAAAATAGATGCCGCCGGAGAATATCTGATGCAAGACGACGATCTTGTCCGTTCGGTTCGCAGGGGCCGCAGGGTAGAGTTGGTGAGGCAACTTTCTTGTCAGGGCCAGCTGCGGGGCTGTCTGTGGCTGACAGCCATGAAGCGTACGAGAGTCGGAGCAAACTTCTTCTCTAACAATCTCCCGTTCATGATGTCGTGACGAGCAAGAGACTCAAGATGATGGCAGACAGATTTCATTCTGAGTATTGTCTTGAAGCACTCGTTATCAGTCTACCTAGTTCATGCTACCATTATGAACACCATGATGGTGCAGCCTCGCTTCTACTAGTCCTTCCATCAAATGCGCTTTCCTAGACTCCGAGCAATGGCTGCCATCCCAAACATTTCCCCGGTATGCATGAACAACGAAGAGGAATCAGCCAAGGAAAGCAAGAAAAGAAAAAGGAAAGAAAAAAAGCCAAAAAGGAAAAGGTAGAAGCACCGCCGACAGGCTTGCGCATTCTACATGGAATATTAAGTGCTCATTTCGTCGTGGCATCATGGTAAAATTGCCTTCCAAAAACAACTCGGCCAGAGATGGCCAGAGCTAGCTAAGGGATAGCATATGCTGCTCATCGCTATACCGAATCGAATGATTCTGTGAGCTTGAGAGCAAAGAAAAAAAGGCCAGAAAACAACAGGATTGTCGAGGTTAAGGTGGCCTTGAGGGTATCGTTTCGAACGCCGGTATCAATCGAAAACGCCAAAGGATAAAAATTGTTTGGTCACAAAGACTCGGTGGTACATTCATCACCAGCCCTTGTAACCGATAGAGGTGGCACGCTGGTAGACAGGAAGCTTAAAGCCCTTCTTCATCTCGGTCTGGACGAATAGAGATGCGCGCTTGAAGCGGCGGTCCTGGTACTTGACGAAGACGGCGTTGTGGTGAACATCAGGAGTCTCGCAGCACTCAACCATGACGGCCAAGAGTTGACGGATCTGTGCGTAGGTGTAGTTGGAGTAGTAGACATGAGCTTGGGTCCAATCGCCTTTGCGCAACATCAGGCGGGCAAGGCAATGGGCGCCTGCAGCCAGGAAACTCGGAGTGCAGCCAACAAAGCGTTCGTCCATGATGGTGATCTCCAGAAAGTACTTTGCCAAGGTTCTGGTCTCTAGGTCGTAATCATCGGCCTTGCTGATGCGGCGCAGGAAACTCATGGGACCAGGCCAGCCGAGCTCAAAGGAAAGCATACTGAGCATGTAACGCTCAGCCTTGAGAATCTCATCCTGGGTGTAGCCGCCATCAACCATGTAAACGACCTCCTGGACCGAGGGACAGTTGACCTCCTCGTATTTCGCGGCAAGGAAGATGGCAGTGGCGCCGACGAGCTGCAGCTTGCCTAGTGAGATGACCTTGCAGGAAAGGAAACGGTCGATGTAGTTGACAGCCAGGAACAAAGTCTCAGGCAAGAGGGTGAAACGTGTGTGGACCTGGATCATCCAGTCCATGAGCACGGATCGCATCGACCATTGGCATTCGTTCTGGTAATCCATGTAGTGTGCGTTCGGCCGCATGCGTTCCNNTGGTTGAAATCAGCAACTCCAAGTCTGACAAGTAACAGGAACTGAACATACCTCGAGAGTTCGCATGTACTCGAAAATCTCATCACCATACTCGGCTACCATTGACGTGTCCCATTGGTCGTCCTCAATATCCTCGGGAGTACGAGTGCTCTCGACAACCTGTCTGGCCTCCTCGATCTCTCTCAATGTCTTGGCAGTATGCTTTGGGCATAGCACGACTGTGGCTCCACCAGTTGTGTTGTCTGTGACACCACCTCGTGTCACTGTTTGGCTCCCTTCGTAGAGTTCCTCTTCATATTCCTCATCGTAGTCATCATCGTTGACAGTGATCAACGATTGACTCAAGACGACAACCTTCTCCTCAGTTTCCGGCGCAAACTGCTCCAGGGCGTTGGTATCCACGATGACTGCCTCGGGAAGGGTTAAAGCTTGCGGCGGTTGGACGGATCCAACAGCAGTGTCCTCCTGGGTATCGTCGACAACCCCGACTTGTTGTTGACTCTCGACTTCGTCGGTAGTGCCTTCGGATGAGGGTTCTGTCTCGCCAGCTGTTGCTTCGTCGATGGTGGGTGCAGCTGAATCTCTGAGGATAGGGGCACTCTTCTTCGCTTGAACTTTGCGGATAGTAGGGAGGGCAGCGGTAGGTGCAATAGTAGTGTTGATGCTCTTGACAGTGAGAGGCTTCTGAGCAGGCTTTGAACCCACAAGAGGCTCCAGGTAAATGGCAGCTGCCTTGCCATTGTCATGTGCCTTCACACCGTCATCTGTCACAGGAGCTGTCCTGATGGTGTTGCTCACATCGGCGAAGACAGCGCGCTTGGCACCAGCGCGTACAGCACCGTTCTGCATCAGGGTGGGTAGAGTGGTGGAAGACTTATTGCGCTGGTGAGTACCCTTGGCTGCGACTGGATGCGAAGGAAGGGCGTTCTCGTCATGGACGCGCAAAGGGCGTTGGGGTCTTTGGGGCTATTTATGGTCAGCAATGGGTATGGGAAATGCTTGTGAATGCGGGTTCGAGGAGTTGTTTTCGCGTGGTGAAAGCAGCATGTGGATACACGTGTGAGGTGGACGTGTTGGAGATATGCAAGGGCGAAGGCAGCATATTCGTTGCAGCAAAACAAACAAAGCAGTGCAAGGTTGCATCGTGGAAAAGAAACATCAAAGTTGCAAGACATCGTGTAGGAAATCAAGTCTCAGTCTTACCTTTGCATCCATGATGGGCAAGTCGAGACAGGGCGGGAGCAATGTGCGGTGTAAAGACAATTCAGAAGCGCGTCGCCGGCGAATCTTCAAAGTCTGCGAGTCGGCCGTGGAAGCTGGCACGCGTGTGGACAAGGAGACAGCTGGAGAATAAAGAGGACAGCAGTTCAACACAGGCTCATGGCGAAGTAAGAAGGTATTCGATGGTCGAGAAAGATCCTAACATAAGATTGCTAGAGGGCCCGAATGTCAAAACATCTAAAACGGTTCCATCAACAAACAGAAGAGCTGCATAACAGCTCCGCCAAGCCGCTAGTGTCAACTTTAACCCTGTCCAATGTAAACAAGGCCTCCTTCACGTCCTCCTCCAAAGGTACAAGACAGCATTTCCCCTCAATTTTCCCACAAACGATCGAATTTCCGATTCAACTGTGATGCATCAAATCTTCTCACATCTTTGGATATTCCTGCTATATATATGACCCGGACTCTCGACAAGTCCGCCCAAATAACGCGTTCCTCCTTTTGCGATTTCTCGAACGCGAGTCTACACCATTGCACGTGACTCAAATATTGGTCTTGGTTGAACCATCACACCTCAATCCATTCTGAAGAAGCCAGAGAATACGGGAATTTAGGTGAGTCTTTCCACGCCTGAAGGAAGGCTTATGAGGTTCGTTGCTACGCACGAGCTCCAATCAGAAACGAACCATGGTTTGCGACAGCGCCAGGTTCAAGGCCTCTCGATGAGCCGCGCCAGTGTAAGGTTAACCTTCTGTGATGTGATGGATGGGTCGAAGCGACGTTTGTTGTCCTTTAGAAGAAAGGGGAGTCCACCCGTCCACACTGTCAATTCAAATGTTGCCAGAACCGTCGCGCAGATTGCGACTCATTCTGGAGACAACTTTCCTGACAGTTGCGACCTCGGCACGCTTGCGCCGGCGCATCTGAAACCGACATCGCGCAGCGGCCCCAATCTCATCGCTGGACTTCTCGATCTCTTTTTCTCCTGTTCTCTGTTCTAAACTCGACTTCACCTTCCGTCCCTCAGAGCGATTACCAACCGCAATGTCAAGGTGACAGGGATGAGTCCTTGTAGACAACGCCTTCACCGCGGGCAGATCAGCCTCGTCATTCCGACGGCATTTGTCGGCGTGGTAAAGCCGTGATGAATGACTTGCGCACGCTGAGCCTGAACCTGCGCCCACAAACCACGCACAAGACACCAGGCGCAACGTCGTTCTCGTCACCCACTTGTCATTGTTTTATGCACCCGTGCTAGGGAGGTTTCAATCTCATCAATCGTAGGCGGTCTGCCCAGAGGCCCTTATAGGCAATCTAACACAGACCCATTCTGAAGGTGAGGTGTTAGCTCCATCGTATCGCAACTCGGACCACACACATTGCTTCTGTAAGCATTCCATATGGCTTGGCGGGTCGGTCGCATTCGAAAGGAATCGAACAAGTCGGCGTCCACGATTGAATGGAATAATTGCACGGATTAGCGCCTGGGAAAGCAGTGCAAAGAAGCGACGCTCGCCACGGGTGGTGCGTTATCAGACACTTGGGAGGAGAGCAGCGCGAGCGGATCTGCAGCGCTATATGCTTGTGCTATGCGCGTCTACATGAAGTGAGCCTTGAGGTCATTGTATCGGTGTACGAGTGCATTGCGCATACACAGCTTGGTGGATACTGGTATGCGCTTGCGTAGCACAGGTTGGGTGACGGACTCGGACACAAGCACGCGGTTTGACAAAGATGGCAGACAGACATGACAGAACAGGGCGATTTGAGCGTCCAAGAGTCAGACACCGCTCTCATATGGCACAAGCGGAACTAGACGTGGGCAAGCGCAACGCCTCATTGGCTTCCACAAGCCGCCCACAGAGCAGCACCGTGGACGAACCTATAGACAGGCAGGATTGTGCATGCAATATAGTCAGTTGAGGTACGATGTGCAGGTACAGGCCAGACTGCGTAAATATGCGTCTCTCAACAGAGCAGTTTCGATAGTGGCATGCTGATAGTTGGAGCCAGACGGGATGCGGCTGAGGGAATGGATAGATGGCCAGGGCAGCCAGATAGGCATTTCTGAACAAAATTCAAGTTGGAGTAGGACTCTGTGTTCAATGCGATCGCAGCGATGTCAATTGTAAAAGGGAAACAAGAGGTGTTTCGCATGCTGAATTGGGCGTGATGTGGTTAGTGGGCCGGATTCTCCGCCTGGGCTGAGAGGGACAACCCAGTACTACTCGTAGCTTTCGTTCTGCGCTCCAGGACAACTTCCCCACCTCTACAACCTTCTTCTCTAGTCCCAAGTCCGCTTGCCTTCTATCATCTCATTGTATCTTTCACATTCCGCATCTTGTTGCGCTCTCGTCTTTCGAGTCATCGGACATTGCTCGTTGCAATCCCGGCTCTTCACCACCGCCCACCACTCTTCGGGTGAGCGCTCGAGCGTCTACACCGAACGGGTATCCTGTCTACAAGACACATACAAAGGGTCGCAAGCGGCTCCTGACACCAGGCTGAACAGCAGCGACAGTGATTGCTTGCTGAAAGCGCTCGAATCGGTTCGTCAACCCTCTTCCAAGGCGGCTCCCCAGCGCCCGCCCAGTCCCAACCGCCATCAATGTCTGAACATCATCACTATCTAACGTCGTGATGCACCATCCCTTCTATTCCACTCATATTCAAGGCCAATCGAGACATCAAGCGCTAACCAGATGACCATTCCAGCTCTTCGACGACCCTCTACTCCCGTTGCGCCGACGGCAACGTCACCACCACGAAACTCGCATATCCTCCCACACGCCTCTCCCAGCACCAGCAAGGGTCCTACCTACAACTACATAGCCTACAACAGCCGTCAGAAGCCATAGTCATGGATCTCGGTGACCTCTTGGCAAGAGATGGACCTCGGGCTACCGCTGCCAGCGAGGGCAGACCGTCGAGCCGTCAGCACTCGACTCGACATTCCCTGCCATCGCAAACACCTCAACTTTACAACCATATGTACGACGGTGCAGCTGATGCTGCTCCAAGAGCATATGCTGACCCTCCTCGCCCCTCGCGTACCAAGCAGCAAAAGCATGTCACATTTGAACTTCTCCTACCCGAAGGTCATAACCGCGAGCACCGCGCTCGCCTACCCATGCGCGTCATGATCTCACCTCATGATACTACCGACTCAATCATCACAACAGTGCGCAACTTCTATGGTTTGTACGAGGGCCCAGGTGTCAGCTTCCAAGACAAGGAAGGGCGCATCCTGATCGCAACCTTTGAGAATTTCGAGCACAACATGGTCGTCTACGTACGTATGACTGCTCCTGACCCAGCTGTGGCAGCAGCTACTAGCCAGATGCAATCGCGATCAGCTACAACGTCGCCTCGCAAGCCCAAGTTGGCGGCTCCAATCGACATGCGCCCACCATCGCGCAACTCTCGCCCTGCCTCACGCGCTGCCCCTGGCCGAAGCCTTTCTCCCCAGTCAAACCGCAGTCACCGCAGCATGTCCAAGCCACAGTCTCGCAGCGGTTTCCGACCCAAGGACAAGGAGAGCTTGTACGATGACATGTATGCTGGTGACACTGATTATGACAGTGATGGCGCGCACAGCCGTCGCTCCAAGATCGAGCCTCATGCTAGCGCCGAAATCAGCGTCGAGAACATTGTCGAGGGTGGCAGGAGGAAGCGGGCTAAGTTTGACAGCTCGGTATGCGCTAGGGCTCCGCTGTGGTCCCATGTTTGGTCTAACCTTATCTCAGNNGAACTTCCTCTTTTCGTGCCTCCTCAGGTACCAGCGGCGAACTCGATTTCGTCCATCTCCNCTCAGCGACGCCCTGCTGCTAATGGCGACATTATTGCGTCCCCCTTCGCCTGGTCCAACCAACGCAACGTCACCTACCAGCAGCCCCTCCCATCGCCTCAGAGCTATACTGGATACTATAGCAACATTCAGACACCGTACAACAACACGACCTTCCGTAGCCGTCCTGTACCCACATTTCAACCCCGCTCGTCGGTCGGAGGTGGCGCTATCCTGCCCACCCCAGAGCCCACCAACGCAAGCGTCATCTCTGATGAAGACGTCGCTCTGCAGCTCATGCGCCTTGGTGACGCTTCCAACTTCTCCCATGGTCGTACCTCGACCTCGACTATGGATGACGGCCTGAGCGGCAAGGCTGATGCTGCTTCCTCGGCTGGTGAGGAGAGTGATGCTGTCGATGACGAAGCCTCTAAGCCTCAGCAGCTCACCTCGCATGTCGCTGGGCCGCGCAGAAAGAAGCAGCGCGTGCTTGACGATGTTCTCCCAAGCACAGACAGCATTCAGTCCAGTGGGGACGATTACTCTGAGGTTGACAGCGACGTTCCAGAGTATGACGAGAATGGTGTTCACGTCGCTCGCGCCATGTCAAAGGCAAAGGGCATGCCCAATGGCAAGCCCCACGACACCTCTGTCAATGGCTCCACTAAATCCACCAAGAGCCGCGCACCGGGCCCTGTCAAGTCCAAGCCAAAGTCTAACTCGACTTCTTCTACCAAGGTTCCCATGTCGCCAGCCTCTCTTCCCTCGCAGTCTCGTAAGACGTCGGCTGCTTCTACCATCAACTTCCAGCATCAGCTCGGCGTTGACGAGGAAGATCTATCGACTAAGCCTCGTTGCCAGAGATGCCGCAAGAGCAAGAAGGGTTGTGACCGTCAGCGACCTTGTGGACGCTGCAAGGATGCCGGTATCGGTATCGAAGGCTGTGTCAGCGAAGATGAGGGTAATGGCCGCAAGGGACGCTATGGTCGTCACATGGGTGTGCCGGTCAAGAAGTCTGACCTTGCCTACGACGCTTATGATGCTGTCCCAATTACTGCTGCTGGCGGTACGGGTGAGTTCCTCGCACCTGCTCTTCCCGACAAGAACAAGAAGAGGAAGCGCTAAGCTCACCACCTTATGGTCGTCCGACCAATTTCGTATGCTTTTCTGTTTTCATCATCGCATAACTCGTGGGCATTTTGGAGTACATGTTGGGCCAGGGGCGTTTTGTTTTGTTTTTCAACCACACACATCCGCAAGATATTCTTGGGCAAGCGAGCGTTCCTTTTTACATGTTTCTTGAGCTGGTCGTCTCTCATTTTGCTTCACCAGACTACATGCACAGCACGCATACACACGCACACATCAAATGCTACTTACCTTTTACATGATAATCCTCCCTCTCGCGTGCGAACAGCCATCACAATGTGACTATAGAAATGCACAATACCTTCTAGCAGGGAGCGGTGTCCAAGGAGAGACGGTACTTGAAGCTATCTCCATGGCCATAGTCTTGTTTGCGAAGCAATTGTGCATTTGTATAGCTCTATTACTTGGTGATGTGCCATTATGAGAGAGATGAAAGGAGAGCCCACATATCCTCCCCTGTGCTAAAGCCTGTAACTCCACCCTCCGACAAAAGTGTAGACCGAAGTGTACACTATAGAAAGGCACAGTGGTTTTTGAGATCACGTGTGTAGCCAAAGAGAGCCGTCGAGGTGTTGGCTCTCAGTGGATACTGCCCATTTCTTGATAACACTGTACATTCCCATAGCTACACGTGTTACTGCTCTTGCGAGCGGAGAGGATGAAGAATATCCCAGGTCAGATACCACCATGCGATACATGTTAACCATCAATGTAAGTGACGTTTTTACTTAGGGCTGCGCATCGGAAGTACAGTTTGAACGATAGAGCTTCGCTCTAATTCACGTAACAACAGATTAACCAAGTACAAGGCCTCAACTATTGCGAGTATAGTCATGGCTATCTATGTGTCCGAGATGTCCGAAACAGTGTATTATAGGTGGGATATGTCTTGGATGTCGAGTGTGAGAGCGGAGCAAGTGACCGGACAGGGTCGCACCAGAAACAAGGCGAGATAGAAGGAAGGCTTGGTCCCGTGCGGCATCGTCATGGACGAGGCTTTGAGACCTCGGCCGCCGTGACCACCTGCACTCATCCTGATAAACAATAACACCTTATCGAATCGCTCACCGCCTTCCACTGCGCGCTCGTCTGCTCAAAAGCCTGTTCGAAAACACAGCTCTTCGCCGCCCCGAAACCAAAGCACGACGATCTCTAGCATCCACCTCTCGCGCCAGGCGCCCCGTCCCACAACATGTCCTCGCGCAAGAAGCTCTTGAAGGTCTGCTCCCATTGATGCACAGGATCTCGTGTCACGTTATGATCTAACAATCATCAGGTCATTATCCTTGGCGATAGCGGTGTCGGCAAGACCAGTTTGATGAACCAATATGTACGCTACCCTCCATCGAACATCCCGAGCAACAGGAACAAGAGCAAGGAACAACAAGACTGATGGACGTGTTACTCTCAGGTCAACAAGAAGTTCAGCGCTAGTTACAAAGCCACCATCGGCGCAGACTTTCTCACAAAAGAGGTTCTGGTCGATGACCGACTAGTCACCATGCAGGTGCGCATGCTACTTCTCCATGAAGATCATCTGTTTCAGTACATCTGACACAATCGCTAGCTCTGGGATACTGCTGGTCAGGAGAGATTCCAATCGCTCGGTGTTGCCTTCTACCGTGGTGCCGACTGCTGCGTGCTCGTCTACGACGTCAACAACTCAAAGAGTTTCGACACCCTCGACAGCTGGAGAGACGAATTCCTTATCCAAGCCAGCCCTATGGACCCCGAGAGCTTCCCCTTTGTAAGTCGTGCCACTGTGAGCAAGACTCGGTCGAGAGCAAGGCTAACAGATAGCAGGNTCGTGCTCGGCAACAAGGTGGATGTGGAGGAGAGCAAGCGCATGGTTCGTATTATGTGACCTGACTATGAATTGATAGCGAGCTGACCGTGACACGAAGNNGTCTCATCGAAACGTGCCATGGCATTCTGTCAATCCAAGGGTGGCATCCCATACTTCGAGACCAGTGCCAAGGAGGCCATCAATGTTGAGCAAGCCTTCGAAGGTAACTAATCTTCCTCACCATGTCTTGTAATTTGGTCAGTACTAACAGATGCTANNGTGATTGCCCGCAATGCTCTGGCCCAAGAGGAGAGCGGCGATTTCAACGCAGACTACCCCGAAACGATCCCCATCAACCTCGACAACGAGCGTGACGGCTGTGCTTGTTAAACACCCTTTGGACATTGTTGATTTTTTCGTTTCTCTCATGCCATTCGTTCTCCTACAGGCGTTTCTGTTCTGCACTCTATGACCAGGGGCTCCGTCTCATTTCCTTGTGCACTGACTGCGTTTATCTGCCGGTGCCTGCGGTGTGAATATAGCACATATATCTATAATACACCAATACCTAAGTCTATGTACAGATTCGATGATAATTAGTGGTGTGAGGTCGTTTTGCTGCCTCGACATAGCCAGTCTGCTCCTACCTAATCTAACCACCTGATCTCGGGTTGTCCTCCGTGGGGTACGATTTCAGGCCGCTCCAGCATACAGCTCTACCTTTACTTCAAACTAAGCTCTTATTACAACCAACTCTGATGTTTTCCTCCTAATTTTCAGCTCTGGACGATCCTCTTGCTACGCACGATAGGTACTCGTATCGATGTCACTAAATTTCATCATGAAATTGCCCCACAATTTCAACGTCCCTCCTGTTAGTGACCATGAGCGACCAGTGACATCCCCGTTCCTTGCGTCTCCCGTCCAAGCATCTTCCTCCTGCATCCAACTCTTGTTTTATCTTGGCAATATAAATTGGTCGTAGCCGAAAAACATTTTTGATGTCGCGACTGTCCATCAAGCTTCTAGCCTCACCATCTTGTCTTCAAATGCCGTCGCCATAGTCAGTCCACAAAACAACACTTCCACGAGTCGTAATTCGCGCACAAGGCCAGGATGGACGGCACCACGGTCAGAGATTTCCAATCGCCGGACAGACATGACAGAGTGGCCTTCCAGGATCAAGGACCTGTAGGACGGAGTTCTATGGCCTCTCCACGTAGTCCGGAGATTCTTCCTGGTCGCCCGCGGTTTGGAAGTGTCGCATCGGGGATGTCGTTCGCGTCGAATGATACCACTGCTCGCCAAAGACGATTGTCCAGGTCCAACACGGTCAAAACTTATCATGAATCTAGTGAACCCAATGGAATGAACTGGCAACCGGGAGCCGAGCCTGGAATTGACACTGATGCTGAGAGAGTAAGTCCACACCTGGAAGCTTTGCGCGCGCGATGCGACATTCTAGTTGCGGATTTCAGTGCGGACCATCTCGAGACTGTGCAAGTTGACAATGCTTCTCTGGAAGAGGTTTTGTCTGAGCAGCGACCGCCTCAGTTGCCTTGTCGCTGGATCTCGGTTAATGGATTGAGTTGGGATGTCATCAAGATTCTTGGACAGCATTATGGATTGCATAGACTGGCTATTGAGGATTTGATCAACACACGCACTCGCACGAAGTGTGATTGGTACTCTGATCATGCGTTCGTGGTGTTGACACTGCAAAAGCTTGTCCGCATACATTCGCACTCTGACTCGGAGGACTGCGATTGCTCTGACGATGACAAGCCAATCTCATATGATGATATTGACGGAACGCATGATCATTATCCAGAACGCGAACGTGTGCCTTTCTGGAAGAAGCCTTTCAAGAAGTCGAAGCGCAAGCAGCCCGATCATACCCTGCCAAAATACAACGATCCTGAAGGTCTGGACAAATTGGGAGATATGATTCGAGCGCACAGTTCGACAGCAGATGGTGCACCTCTCCAGAATATCAGGACACTGCATCGCTATGAAAGCATGCAGAACCCCGAGCACACTCTCTTCATGGAAAAGCACTCTGCACTGTTCGAAGAAAACCTCGTCGTCAGCGTTGAACAAGTCGCGATATTCTTGCTTGCCGACAATACGGTCATCTCATTCTTCGAACACTCTGGCGCTGATATCGAAGAGCCTATTCTGGAACGACTGAACAGCCCCGCTACAATGTTGCGCCGCAGCGCAGATGCATCGCTAGTACTCCAAGCCATCATCGACGCCATTGTCGACTTGGCCATTCCCGTCAAAGAAGCATACAATAAAGCACGGAAAGACCTGCAAATCGACGTGCTGACCAATCCATCAATGAGCACCTCCAAAGCCCTGCATATCTTCACCGAAGAAATTGATATGTTGCAGAACCTGTTCAAGCCCATCATCAACCTCGTCAACTCATTACGAGACCATAAATCTCAAGAGCCTTTTCTTGAAGGCGCATTTTCTTCGGAGCCACCAGCACGAAAGAAAGATAAGAACGAACATCGACGACCACAGCCGAAGAGATATTATACACAAACGCCTACGAGTGTGGTCATGAGTCATGTGGCTCATGTTTACTTGGGAGATGTGCTCGATCATTGTATAACTATCATTCAATCGCTTGAACAAATGGATGCTTCTGCCAACAACTTGTCATCCCTGATGTTTAACACCATCGGTAAGTCTCTCATGTCACGATTAGCAGTAAGCAGCATGACTCACAATCCCTCAGGTGCCCGTACAAACACAACAATGTCCATCATCGCCCTCGTAACCGTCTTCTTCGCACCCCTAACCTTCCTCTGCGGATACTTTGGCATGAACTTCGAACACTTTGCCGGCATCAAGCACTCGGATTCCTTCTTCTGGTACATTGCCGTGCCTACGACAATCGTATTTATGGCGTTGATCGGAGGCGGTGTTGGCTATAGGACAGTCAAGACTTGGGCGGCGAGGTTCCATCTTGCCAAGGTGAGGAGAGGTAGGAAACAGAGGCAGCAGCAGATGAGGGCTAGACAGAGGCAGAGGGCTGCGTTGGCGTAGTACGCTGACGATGAGGAGCGGCTCACCAGGAACAGTCATGAAGACGTTGATGACATACTGGATGGATGAGGAGACGAGAAGGTTGTTTTCTAGCAACCTGCCGCCTCGGACATCTGTGTGTAGTACATCCTATAGCCAAGAGTGCTGTAGTTAGCATGGTGGTGGTGTAAGGGGGTGTTTGTAGGCTATAATAGATTCGTAATATTCATTGAGCATCATCTTCGCGCTCTTGCCACTGGATCCGTACCGACGGTAGCATTACCCCTACGTCGGTACTCCTACGCTGTCGCTGCTGGTAGACAGTAGAAAATCGTTTCGGTGACCACCATCCTACATATGTTCTTTATTCCTTTCTTGTCTTCTTGATGGTCTATGTCTTCATGCCCGCTTCGATGCCTACACCTCAGACACCTTTCCATCTTATTGAAGCTGGCTAAGGTGCCAATTATTCTTGACATAGCGAGCGGCTGCCTGAATGTTCATGCTCGTAGATAAAAGTTCGTCAGTGATCAGGGAGACAGTATGAGTTGCGGATATGTCCATTGGTGAATTTAGATGAGCAAACCCAGAAAATCAAGCAGGGAAGATCAAGAAAGGCATTGCTCAGAACAGTCTCGTGTTGCAGGTTTTTCTCACGAGATACTCATCCTCGGTTATGATGGTTGTTTTCGGGCTTCGCAGGAGATTGTACAGACGGTGTGAGTGGGTCTCTGAGAGATGGACCCATGGAGCAAGATGGAGCAATTCTTCCGGTTTGCATGGTCAGTGAATAGGGCAAATCTTGTCTATGTCGGGGTGATCGTTCAAGACAGATTCACATGCTTTGAAGTAAATGCAGCTTCTGGTATGGCTCGGGTGACCCTTATCCGAGGATTGGATGAGGGTCATCTACATAGAGCAGATACATGGCAGAGTTAAGATTCTACTGGAAGCGAATGGTGTCTATAAGAGCAACAAAGTTTGAACGTTGTGCCTGGCATCGAGAAGGATTTCGGAAGCCGGGACGTGTTTGTTGCTCGGCGCAAGCCACCAAACAGCCCTGACAAGCGCCTCTCGCGTGGTTGGCTTGACTTTAACCGCATGGCTATGATTTTTTGCAGACGTCCGTCGCTATATCGAAGCTTTTGGATGACCATGAAGCTTCTCTACCAAACGGCAAGATCTTGGCTGCTCTTGGTGGCTTGTTCTGAAGCTGGAAAGAAAGGCGTTGCGACGTGCATGGTCGTGTGAGCTCAGTACGACAACAACAACTTCACCACGTTGCTGGAGTAGGCCTTGAAGTCGCGTCCTCACCGTCAAATCTTCCGAAGCCTGGCATTATCCACAGAAGGGCCGAATGCAGAGCTGGAGAAAGTCGGGAGAACTGGAGACAGCAGCGTGGAGGAAGGTGGGTCGTGGGGCATACGAAGACCTGTGCCATGGAGAAGAAAACTGGAAAAGGTGATCGACACTTGGATGCGACCTCTCGCAACGATGTTGTTGGTGCGACCATCCAATGAAAACACGAGGTGTAGGTTGAAGGATGCCGAGTACCCATCTGCTCACGGCATTCCACAGCATGCCAGTTACTCCGGCCGACGTGGGTTGTTGTCATGTGCGCCGGTTGGCTCACTTTTTGTGCTTGCGACCTAAAAGTGAAGGAAAGTGGGATGCTCTTGCCTCAGATTATATATATTGGGACTTCCTGCTCTTCTGACTGCGTGTCTTTTGTTCCTCCGTGCTTCTCACCAGTAACCTATTTCACAACAACAACTACTAACCAACACCTGGAACCCCCTCGCCATTGGGGGCACACAGACAAGATGGTGAAACAATTCGGAAATGTCAACCTCATCGCTGCTATTGCAGTCATCGGCGGTGGACTCTTCGGATTCGACATCTCGTCGATGAGTGCCATCATCGCTACTCAGGTATGTGTCGATCTTATCGTACTATGATTCGATGCTCACATGTTGCCAGCCATACAAGTGTTTCTTCAACCAGCAAGGACTGAATGCTGCCGGCCAGTGCATTGGTCCCAAGGCCGACGTTCAAGGTGGAATCACTGCCTCCATGGCCGGTGGTTCATGGCTCGCTGCCCTTTGCTCTGGCTACCTCTCTGATCGTCTTGGTCGTAAGTGTCACTCGTCAACCCTGATTGTAACTGTTTCTAACCGTTTCCATAGGCAAGATCGCCATTCAAACCGGAGCCGTCATCTGGGTCATCGGGTGCATTATCGTCTGCGCTTCTCAGAACATCGCTATGCTCATCGTCGGTCGTATAATTAACGGCTTCTGTGTTGGCATCTGCTCTGCTCAAGTCCCTGTCTACATCTCTGAGATCGCTCCACCAAGCAAGAGAGGAAAGCTCGTCGGCGCTCAACAATGGGCAATTACCTGGGGCATCATGATCATGGTACGTCTCATTCCCAGGTGGTATCCCTTACGAAATCTAGCTGTAGAAATGCACGATGCTTTCTGGAAGTAAGCAGTGTCCAAGGAGATGCCTGAGTATAACATCCTCTCTGTGGATCTTGCTCTGTTATCGAAAGTATTGTGTATTTTCACAGCTCACTGTGACAGTTTTGAGCACACGGGGATACAACATGCTGCACCTTGCATAACAGCATGCTGATTCTTGATCCCGCAGTTTTACATTTCTTACGGATGCTCCTTCATCACTGGCAATGGTGCTTTCCGCGCTCCCTGGGCGCTTCAGATGATTCCCGCCATTTTGCTCTTCTTCGGCATGATCTTCCTACCCGAGTCTCCTCGCTGGCTTGCGTCAAAGGACCGCTGGGAGGAAACTCGCGCAGTCCTTGCTCTCACTCATGGTCACGGCGATCCGGACAGCCCCTTCGTTGTTCACGAGTTCAACGAGATCAAGGAATGGATCAGAATTGAGTCCGAAGCTAAGAACGCCTCTTACCTTGAGCTCTTCCGTCCTCGTATGCTCAACAGAACCATCATCGGCATATTCATGCAAATCTGGTCCCAGCTCACCGGCATGAACGTCATGTAAGTCACAGAAATCTCCTTATGCCCAAAAAAAAAAAAGAATTCTTTTCCAAAAATGACCCCCAGCACCCACAACACGTCACAAACACCCCCTTACATCACCACCATGCTAACTACAGCACTCCTGGCTATAGGATGTACTATATCACCTATGTATTCCAGATGGCAGGCCTGTCAGGAAACAACCTTCTCGTCTCCTCATCCATCCAGTATATCATCAATGTCGTCATGACTGTTCCTGGACTTCTTCTGGTCGACCGCGTGGGCCGTCGTCCTCTACTTCTGATTGGAGCAGCCTTTATGGCTCTGTGGTTGTTTGCCAATGCCGGCATACTCGGTGCATACGGTACTTACCCTGGTCCCGGAGGTGTTGGAGGCAACACGCCTGAGGCGTCCACCGAAGTCACAGGCGCGGCTTCCAAGGCCGTCATTGCTTGCTCATACCTCTTCGTTGCGTCCTATGCACCTACTTGGGGTCCTGTACGTATCGTCTCTTCACCATTTCAAGCACAGCACAGCGCTAACTTGAGCTTCAGGTCTCCTGGATCTATCCTTCAGAAATCTTCCCCAACCGCGTCAGAGGAAAGGCAACAGCTCTCGCAACCTCTTCGAACTGGGCATTCAATTTCGCTTTGGGTGAGTTGTGCACTAGAATAGCCCTTAGTCTTTTATTCGAAGACCTCACTTGAGACGATATGCTAACACGCTCTATTTCAGGCTACTTCGTCCCACCCGCCTTCATCAACATCAGATGGCACACCTACATCGTGTTTGGTGTCTTCTGCGTCGCTATGTGGCTTCACGTCTTCTTCTGCTTTCCCGAAACCGCAGGCAAACCGCTTGAGGAGGTCACCGCTATGTTCGAGGACCCCAACGGCATCCGCTACATTGGAACACCTGCCTGGAAGACCCGCGCATCCACCTCAACCACATCTCGCCTGGAGAGAGGAGAGGATCTTGAGAAGAAACTCAGCGAAGAGGAGAAGCCTGAGACGCACGAAGTTGCTCCCAAGCAGACTGCCTAAGGATTGTACAAAATTGCGAGGCAACACGCATTGATATCGAGGATGCAGACATAACTTTCACGAGCACAACGTTGCTTTGACCACGCCGAAAGAGGCGCGATGCCTATACAGCATGACTTATACTCTCTAATAATAACAAATCATTTTCTTCCTATTTGACTTGCAAGAAGAAGTCCCAGATATGACGTGTAATGATAACGTGGGAACGTTTGCAGAACGTGTGATTGACGTCCTTACCCATGTCGCTTGAACAACCACCCTGCCATTATTCTCCTCGTTTCGCTCGAGTCTAGAGTGTAGTACATGGAAGCACGATACCCCGAGATCCAAAGCAATGCTCAAGAAGGAACATCACCTCGGGGTCATCTATATGGTGACTTGTCTGATCCGATTGCATTTTCATAGTATACCATAGCACCAATCATTGGTGCAGGAGAGGTTGTGACAGTCCAGAGTACAGCCAAACTCGGAGGTGGACCGAATGCTCTCTCAAGGAGCCTTAACACCATCCGCGAGGCGAACATTCCAGAAAATGTTGTCTGTCAATTGACAGAAGCTTGGGAAGTGGAAGTAAAACTACTGCTGTCACGAAAAAAGGCATCGAGACAAGAAGGAGCAGTTTCGGCGACACCAAAATCTGAGGAGACCTTTGTCAATCCAGTTTCGACACTGCTGAATGCTTCTCGATGGTAGAGGCCTTTGACCTGCAAGTACTGATCCTGTTTGATGATCTCGCGACCACCAGTACCAGGAGAAAAGAGTTCACACATGGTATGCGTTATGTGCAGATATGTTGGATAGATATCATTTTTGCCAGATTATAGGCAACTATACGCAAGAGAGGTCGAATATGACAGATTACGAGATTGGAATCGCCGGAGTCCATCAAAGTCTCGCATGCTCGAGTCAAACGACGTTCTTCTGCAGCCACTCCTCCCAATCCTCCTTTGTGAAGCTGCTCGAAATGCTTGGCTCATTGAGGCCNCTGGAATGGATATCAGTATACGTACATCCCCATCCGACTACTGCTTGAGTACTTACATTGAACATCACAGTGGGCGAGACGTGGACACCGACCAACCGACCAGCCTTGATAAGTAACTTGAGATCGTTGGTCACCTGGTTGCCTGAGTTTAAACTGCCATCCGGACCAGGCTTGTTAGAGATCTCGAGCTGACTGTAAATTTTGCTCTCGTCCAGACCGACAGCAGCAGCAAGCTTGGCGAGGCGTTTGTAGGTTTGGTTTCTTGTCTCATTGACGACGTTGACGTCGAAGTAATCGGTCTGCTTGTCGAACAGGGCAGCGGAGAAGGGCCAGAACTTGGAAGGATCGGTTCTCAGGACTGCAACAGCTGCTTCGTGGACCAGCGTGGATGAGGGATGCCATGGCTGGATCTGTTGGCGGAAGATGACTCGCAGGTTGTTGGAGTACTTTTGCTCAATGATGGGAGCGACATCGCGATAGAAAGTGTCAAATTGCTTCTTACTGAAAGGACACACGTAGTCAAGAACTGTACTTCATATCAGCAACGAGACTATGGGAAATGATTTTGAGAGTCACATACACAGTTCCAGAGTGTGATTGGAACCGAGGCTACCTGAAAGAGCCTGTCCAGCAAACTTGGGAGCAAGGGCCATGTCGGATCTCGCTTGAAGGCTAGCTGAACTTGAGAGATTGCTTGAAGCACTTGGATGTCGAGAAGTAGTATCGAGTACTAGAAGCAGACGAGAGGGAAGGTGTTGGCTGAGCAGCAGGATGCTCGGACTTTGGTGGAGGCGGCTTCGGATAACCCAAGAGATTACCTGCCAAGAAAGTGAGAAGTGATATGAACGGGTTCAGAAGGACGATGGCAGTTTGTGTGAGTAGAGTCGATGTTTATCAACCCTCGTGGTTGAGGTAATGACGTGACCGGAGTTGACGGAGTTTGAAGAAGGAGCTGTCTCCGACGGCATCCAGATCTCTTCACCGATATTCAAATGTCAATAAACTGTAAAAATTACAGCCATGCTTAGTGAGAAGTGAGCTAATTGTCACTGGGCCAGGCTCGTAACTTCGAGGGAACCTGAACTTGACAAGGATGTGTTTCGATAGCTGCACAATTCTGGATACCGGGAAGGAGGGCATGTGCAAGCGGCGTGGCTTGCGTCGGATAAAGAAGTCCATATGTTCTCTATCTTCACGCGTCCCGGCGCGTCTTCCTTTGCCACACCATCTTGTTCTTGTACTGCCGACGGAAGAGGTATGGAATTATTATGACAATGTCGATACATGCTCTTCCGCAGACGGCTGTACGCACCATTCGATCTGGTCAGGCCTTGACAGATCCTGTCTCCGTCGTCAAAGAACTTATTGATAACGCCCTCGACGCGCGAGCATCTAATATCACTATCGAGATCTCGGCAAATACACTCGACGTGATTCAAGTCAAAGACAATGGTCATGGAATTGCCCCTAATGATAGACCACTTGTGGCCAAACCCTATTGTACCAGCAAACTCAAGGATGAANAAGATCTTGCCCTTGTAGGTTCAACCTATCTCGGCTTTCGGGGCGAAGCCTTGAGCAGTGCGTTGGAGATGAGTGGTGAATTGACCATCACTACAAGAGTTGAGGGCGAGAGTATTGCCACTGCCATCAGGATATCTCAGAATGGCGATCCAGTTCAGGATCGTGCCACTCATCCACCCGGAACCACAGTTCGTATTGCCAATTTCCTGAAGAACCAACCAGTTCGCAAGCAAGTCGCCCTCAAGGCCGCACCCAAAACCTTGACAAAGACCAAACATTTGTTGCAATCGTATGCTTTTGCCAGACCAGCCACTAGGTTGTCATTAAAGGTCATGAAGGCCAAGAATGACAAGGACAACTGGACCTATGCACCCAAGATCGGCAACGGAATCGAAGACACAGCTTTCAAAGTCGTAGGAAAGCCCTGCGCTTCTCAGTGCACTTGGGCTGAGCTGGAGTATGAAGGCTTCACCATACAAGCATTTCTTCCTCGCTCTGATGCACATGCCTTGAAGATCAGTGGCTTGGGACAGTACGTCTCGGTTAACGACCGACCTCTCACTTCGTCCCGAGGCATATCTAGACAGCTTGTCCGCATCTACAAGGAAAGCCTCAAGGAATCGTCATCGCTAGGAGATGCCAAAGACCCTTTTCTGTATCTGTCGCTCTCTTGTCCGCCTGGCAGCTACGACGCCAACATCGAGCCAGCAAAAGATGATGTTCTGTTTGGTGACGTCGATAAAGTTGTGGAGGCTGTCAGAAGATTGATGTTGATAATATATCCAGAGAAGGATGACCCAGGAGAACCCACGGCTACTGATGAGCCTACTGGCAAAAGCCGCGAATTGTTTGCGACGCCAGCACCTGGAGCAAGGCCAAGCAGAATCGAGCCAAAGAGCAACATGTATGATCTTGATGAGGACGATCTCACTCTATTCATGGACTCGGTAGATCAGCCCAGGAACGATGCCGCCGAGGAAGAAGAGCAACCAGAATCGATCAGAAGTGCTGCAGTGTCAAACCCTTGGGTGGTTGCTAAGATGAATGCCTACAGCAACAAGAGGAACAACGTCAATATACAGCTCTTGACTCCGGCCAAACAAGCGTCAAGTTCAACCCCTGAAGCAAGTCCACCTGCTTTTGAAACACATTGTCCACAGCAAGACGCACCAGCATTGCCGACACCTCGACAATCGTCACCCATGTTCGCTGCATCAGAAGAACCTGAGGGTGTTGGTCCTCGTCGGATGATAGGCCCGCCTAATCTTCCTCCTCCAGTACACCACATGTCGCCAATGCGAAACAGCGTTGAAGCTCTCGAATCTTCTCCAGCGCCCAATCGTATGACTTTACCTCCTCAACAAACCTCAGAAGGCACCCCGCTGGACATGATACCGGAAGCGGCACCAAGAAGACGAAGTCCTCCGAAACAACAGCAACGACAGTTTGTGAATAAGCCCTTCGTGTCACCAGTTGACCCTGAACGCGATGCTTGGTTTCACTTTCCCGACTCGCAAACGTCGAGGCAGTTTGCACGCAAAGGACGATCCCACAAGCAAAGTGGAGCGGGTTTGGTCCCAAGTGGGGAACCATATTCTTCAAGTGCTACGCCTCCTCCCAACAACACAGACATTCGCGACTTTCTCGGACGAGGACAGCAGTCCACTACTCCAGCAGCTGATGTTCCAGCAAACATAGACATCGAAAACATATCACCGATTGAGGCACGCCGCGAGACGCAGCCTAAGGGGTTCGTCAAGGCTAGTGAACTTGATCTCGCCAGCACTCAATCTATGGAGCCGACACTTCCAGCCCCAGCACCAAAACCAAAACGCCGCAGAACGGCAGACGACCGTGCACTGAAGGAAGCTTCTGGGAACAGCAGAGCGAGTGAAGATGAAAGTGGTTCCGAATACGAAGATCGTCCTCGTCGCCTTCGTACTGGAGAAGTAGAACCAAAACGAGTAAGACGTATCAAGTCGTCTACATTGCAACTCGAAAAAGTGCCACCAGAAGCGCAGACTCAAGGATGGACCGCTCGTCTGTCAACAACGGTTGACGACTTGGACGAGAAGTTGCAACATGTTGAGCCAGAAGGTACATTTGTGGCGTGGAATGCACCTGCCTTTGACACAGAAGCGGACTTGAAAAGAAACTTTATAGAAGGCGATGTGCAGTGCTGGACTTCCTTGCTCAGTCAGTCTTTACTCAAGCTTGAGCCTGAAGGTGAGTTGGTTCGCGATCTTGGTGATGTGGTCAGAAATGCGATGAGTAGATGGGGATCCATTGCTGCTGTCTGAGCAAAGCAGATATCCGTGTGTTTTGCTTCCTTTTTCGAGGACGATCGTCTCTATTGCTGAGATGGACGTGTTCTTGCTGATGTGGAGAGATTCTTTGCTTTACGAGACAACAGGCTCACAGTGCCATAGGGATTGCTTTTGTTCAGATGTTTTGCTGGTATGATACCCCTGAATGTTTAGCTAGAGGAGATAATGTTCGGTATATATATGATAATGGCTGTATGTACATGATATCGACCTTGTTGTCAGCAAGCTACAGGAGATGACGCAGTGACATAGCAGCACATATGATATATCAGGAAGGAAACGCTCACTTTCGAGTTCTAGCAGCAAGTGCCATCTCTCATCTTCCACTTCTAAGTCGCTCACCACCTTCTCACTTCCATTTTGCCTCACCTCTCACCATCGACACCTCATGTGCCAACCAAACCAACCCTCTCACAGCAATCGGCGAGTTGGCCCAATCGGTAAGACCACTCAACAGATTACCTTTGCGATAGAACTCCCAAAAGTCCTTGGTTCGATCATCGGATGTAGCGGAACATTAATGTTCTTTTTCTCTTGTCAGAGGTAGAATACTTTGCAGGCAGGAAGGAGGTTTTCCCAGACTAGCTGTACAGTGAACATGGTTTTTTGCTTGTTTTGTGTGAGGTTCAATAGGGTTGGGTGGATATGATGTCGAAGGATCATGTTTTCGAGGCAGATAGATTGTTGATGGGGTTTGTATTGAGAATCGTTGATTGTCGGTGTTGCTTGTTTTGCGCGATGTGTTTAAGATGAACGAGAATTCAAGAGCAATTTTCCACTCCACCATACACACCTCCAAGGACTTCTCGTGATGGTGAAACATCAAGTAGAATAGTATACATCACCTCAAATATCTTACAGTCCACCGTATCTCCCCTTGTCTTTTCCATCTAAGCATCCAAAGCCCTCTTGGCCCCATCCACAATCTTCTTGACCTCCTGCACACCCCTCTCGACAACCTTTTCCATCTGCGTGCCCGCCTTTTTCAAGTCGTCCGGTCTTGCACTCTTCGCCAACTGCATAGCCCTAAGCTTTTTCTGTTGCCCTTGTCTCGCATTCCTGACAGAGTTGTTGGCCACATCTCCTGCTTTTGCTGCCGCGGCGACGGCTTGTTTGCGGGATTCGGCGGTGGGAGGTGGGATGGGTATGCTGAGGAGGAGGGGGTTTTGGCCGGTGGGGTCGGCTTGGGGTGTGAGGTTAAGGTTTGCGGATTGGATTGATGAGGTGATAGGTTTGAGGTGCTGGTGGTAGGAATGTTAGCATATGTATTCCTTCCCAAGCGTAGAACAGAGTAGGAATATAAATCATACCTCCTGCTCGCCAACCACAACCTGCACAACTCTTCCTTTGGGCACCACCTGTGCTAGATCCCCAAGCTTCACGGGTCCTCCTTGTTTCAGCTGCACACGCAAGCTCTCGAGTACTTGAGGGTTGAATCTCCCTCCTTGTCTGAGCTGTGAAAGATCGCTCTTCAGTTTCTCGACTGCATCGTTGATGTCTGACTCAAGAGCGCTAAAGTCGAAAGGGTCTTCTGAGCCCACTGCTGCGGCTGCCGAGGAAGATGAGGAGGATGAGGACGAATCAGAGCGTGACGCTTCCCGTGCTGCTTTGCCGCCCTTTTTGAATGTGGAGGGCGTGTTGCTGAAGTGTCGGATGCTGGGTGTGTTGTTTGCTGTGATGACGACCAGAGCTGAAGGACTGAGGAAAGCTATTGTCAGTTTTAAAAGACAGCTGCGATGATGGAATGAGGTAGTATACCGGGAGCTACATTGTCTCGCGACAGCAATGTCCCGCGATAGCAGGCGTGAGTAAAGTAATTGTGTCGATCGTGTTGGTCGCATGATTTGGGTTGGTCGTTCTTCCTGTCGCAACTCGAAACCTCGAAAGCCGAATGTGGAACGATGCAAGTGACGTCGGCACTTCAAAGCCGAACTGCAACCCCGTCCTTCTGCCAATCTCAGAGACATCACTGGATCGACGAACGATCTACTGATGCTGCAATCACGAACATGCAAGGGCGACTTGCCAATCTAGTTAGCTTGCAGCTAGTTTACCAGTTTGGCAGAGGACTCAAATATCAACATATCACGACCGTCGGTCAAAGTGGAAATTCAGAACATCGTTCCATGAATGCATTGCTGAAGCTGATTAAAAATTGTCTTGATTGTGTACGCATGAGTAGCTCGGCCGTGAAGACTTGTGAGGAGAAGAGAAGAGGGATCAAACTCATACACTCTGTAAGATCCAAAAGTAAAGAGGCAAACAAGTAGACTCCAACGCCAAAAGAAGGTGACCTATCACCTTCAGAAGCAGCAACTCTGTCGGTTAGCGTCAAAAGAGACAAGAAAGCAGTAACTCCATGACAGAGCATGTGATGAGGGGATATTGTAAAACACCAAATGAGAGAAGGCTCATAAACCCAACAGTCGTGAACCAAAAAGTAAAGCGACCAGTCGAGCCCGTTACCCTGTAGAAAAATTCAAGTCGCTCGTGGGGAATCATTTATGCGTGATGCAAACGCAGAAAACAACTTTCCCACCAAACCTCCCCAGCTTGCGCCGTGATTCATACCAATGTGTCTTTGTATAGCAGGAAAAGATAACGCCAACCTGATGCCCAGAGTGTAATGAGAGGTTATGACTGTAACGCCTGGAGCGCCGCAATCCATGAAACCAAGGATTAAGATGCCAGAAAGATGAATCGAGTGTGTTGACGATGACTGAGAGGCTGGACATGACGCATCATCTTCCGTTGTGCCCGTTGAGCGCGTTTTGACCGTTGCCATTTGAATAAGAGTTGCCGTTGAGACCATGGTCCATGAAGCTGTTCATGCTGCCGAAAGCTGGTTGGTATGCGTATTGGCCGGATGTGAGATTGCGATGAGGCTGAGAATAGCCATTCGCGCCTTGCTGGGAATAGTTTTGAGGATTAATGCCTCTGTACTGAGGAGGAGGATATCCACGACTGGTGTTGTTCTGCATGGGCGATGGCGCGTGTGGTTGTTGACCATGGACGCTACCGTGGACACCAGGAGGCATGAGTCCGGGAGGAGGTCCTGATGCGGTACTGAAACCAGGAGGAACACCCATACCGTTACCGTATCCAGATTGGCCTGGATGGGAACCTATTGCCGAGTGGTTTCTGTTGTCGCTTCTGACACCCAATGGGTTTTTCGAAAAGCTGACACGGATACCTCCTTTGTAACTGTTGTGCAGCTGTACGCCATACAATTCGTGAAGGGCATGAGACGCGTAAGAAGTGTCCTCGAACTCAACGAAACACATGGGACCGTTTGATTTTGTACGGAAGCACAGTCGCTTGAAACCTCTGCTTTTGGAAAAGAGGGATTTAAGCTCGTCCTCGCTGGTGTTGACCGGCAGATTTCCAACGTAAAGAGTGTTGCAAGGGGGNTTCTGGTCAGCAGGGTTGGCAGGAGGGTAATCGTGCTTCAAATTTCTGTTCGAATAGTTCCCACTTGAGCCTACAGGGGCCCCTCTAGAAGAATTTGGCAAAGCAGGTGAGCGTATCGACTGGGGAGAAGCGTAATTCGAGCCTGAAGGAGAGGTCATGTAGTGAGAGTGAGAGTGTCCGTTCGTGGTGTTGTTGTTGGTTTCGAGAGAAAGATTGCCAAACTGAGGAACAAAACTGTTGTAGCTACTCGATGGCCTGGGGCCGTTTTGAGCGTAGCCAACTGGGTCTTTCAGGAGCTCGCCAGTCTCGTCATCATCGTTTCCGTCGTTGATGACAGATTTTCCCGAGATTCGATTGTGATCACTGTAAGCATTGGCGACGGGAGACTGAGGAGAAAAGAGCCCTTGAAGGTTATTGCTGCTGCTCTCAGGAGCGGGCCATTCGTAAGCATGGGCAGCAGAAACCATAGGAGATACAAGAGGTGAAGAAATGCTTTGCTGGCCCTGCGTGCCGATGCTCTGCTGGAAGCTGCTAGTGAAGCGAGATGACTGACGACTCGAAGGATTCTCTGGAGGATTCGTGCTGTTGGACCCACCAGAGGTGTTCTGCTGTCGCAGAGCGGTTCCGTCAACGGTATTACGCCTCGAACCATTGTATGCAGATTGCGGGTTAGATATGAGCTCGACGATCATGGTTGTCATGCCGTTGTCCAGGGGTTTTCCGTGCAGATGTCTCTTGGCTTCCATGGCACCAGCCTCGGAGTGGAAGATGGCGAGAGCGCTCTTGAAGGCATAATCCTCCGGGCTCGTGGATGCGGACGGCTGTACGAACTTGGCTTCATCGAGATCTGTCGCGAAGATGAGCATGCTTCGAAGAGCATCTTCGGTGAAATTGCGTGGCAGACGTTGAATGCGAATCATCCATTTGGCGTGAGTTTCTGAAGGTTCCGAGTTTCTGTGGTTGTTACGCTTCTCCATGGTGGGCGACAGGCCTGGCAGTTGGGGAAGGGTATCCGGGCTTGTAAAGAGACCTAGGTTCCTTGTGCCATTGGACTGGCCTATGGGCGAGAGACTCCCAAAGCTGGGCAAGGTGGACATCCTCGAAGTTGGAGGACTGTATCTTTTNGAACGTTGGTCGGCCATTGCCTATAAATACAGCAGCGCATGCGATATGTAGCGCCGGAAGGTGGTGAGTCAGTGGACGTCAGCAGGGCGAGGGCGTGCTATGTTGGATATTTGAGAGAATTGATGCGGGTGGGCCAATAAGAATGCGATGAATGCGATCACAGGCCAGGGTCTATGCGAGACGGTCGATGAGAGCCAGTGGATGCGACCGAGTTGCGATGAAGCTTCGAGGGGCAGGTCGAGGTTGAGGTCGCGTTCCCGAAAGCGACCGAGCTGCGCTGCGCCGGTTTGCGTCCGATGCGTGCTGCGACACGAGGCTAGACGGACAGACGATCCCGATCGAACACGGCCAGGAGAAAAGACCGACTGTGGGCGGGCGTGAGGTGTCGGGAAAGCGAGCGAGCAAGCAGCACGGCGACGGCGACGGTCGGGGAGGATGAGAGAGATGGAGGAAGGGCTGGGAAGTGTGGAGTCGAGAGGAGAGTGCGCGCCGATAAGGCAGTTCACATCCTTGCGAACACGGCAATGGCTGGGAGTAAGACTAGCAAGCCTTAGTGTACCGCCTGTCGCGCCATCATTGACACCTCGTCCATCTCAATTGGCACACAAGAGCCTGCATTCAACCCAAAACCTGCAACAGCTTCGACGCTGATTTAGCCTCAGCCAGCCGGTGCAACTCGACAAACCGCATCCATCCGACATGACATCTCTACAGCTGCTGTTGCACAGAAGGCACACTCAGCACAACTGCGATTCTGCTTATGAACTCTAAATCCTCGGAAGGCAGCATCCCTCGAACTTACCCACCCCCTCTTGGCTCTGGTTGGCCAAACCCGCGGTCCAGGGACATGGTCAGATGGAATCGTGCCCCGGTACCTTTTGAGATGAGCAATCATTTGTTTGTGATGACCGTTTGTGCTTGACAGTTGGACGACTCCTGGTTGAGGCCTTTTGCAAGTCCATACGGAGTCGTGTCTCAACACAATCGCGGTCTTGTTCCAGGGGTTGTCGTCAGTTGCACGGCCCATGTTCTGCCAACCTGGTACATGAACTCTGAACCTCTACTTCGACCAACCTGTGCAGCCTTTCGATAGATGTCTCGGTTGGCTTCGGCCTCAAAAGCTGGATGAGTTCATGACTGCCTGCATACTATCTCAGTTGCTAGAAACAGCACAAGTCGTCGGTATCATGCTCGGAACTGCGGCCAAGGTGCGACCCAAGACCGTGGTTCCATACGCGAGCCTTTTCTGGGGATGGCACAAGTGGCTGGCTTCTCGACACACGTGCAAATCTTCTGTCGACGTTTGAGAAGTATACTTTGGCAGACGACGTCGCCGTCGCCGACGGATACATCGCATCGCAGTAGCACACAACAGGAAGTCCAGACACCACCAACACACACGTTTCCGAGACTATTCATCAAGCAGCACAGCGGCAACGTGTTAGATTAGTCACAAATGCGCCCTGCTTGGTAAGTAGTACAAGATCGAAGCCTCCCGAGATACCGCCTCGTGAACTGTCGTACTTAGCAAGACTTTGGCCATACACATGTAGACACAGAACAACATGCTGTGGATTGTACGGAATGAGCCATCGGTTATAGCGCGAAGCGCCTTATCCTATGGGTAACAAAACCGAAGCGACCACAGGCAAACAACTCGGCCAGCGAGCCCTCGGCTGCTCACCGACTTCATTGGCCGCTCGGCAGTGATGCAACAGCGGCTGGATATTGATGCGCCTTGTGCAAGGCGATCAATATTCAAAGATCACGTTGCGGTCTGACAAGCCAATGGCAAAGAGGCGCGTTTCATACAACAAAACATTTGAACAAGCCCTGAGACAATCCACTATCGACAGCCCATGTGGCTTGAGGATACATGCAGTGTACCAACACAGGTACTCGAGGTCAAACAGCATCCCTAGATGCTTGTAATTGCATGAACACCATCGGAAATCTCTCCGTAACCGAGGACCAGGGACTATCCACCGAAACGACACACTGTAGTAGGAGCAACACAAGCAGATATGGATAGGTATTGGTAAATATTCGTGATTCGTGAATAGCCTTACTTGGTACGATCTGGTAGACTTGTAATGGTCAGTTCTTGTCCAGAGAATTATCAGATATAAAAAGAGTGCCATACCTACTCTTTCGACTCCTTCGAATCCTTCGAGTCCTCGGTTGATGATGGAGGTGATTCAAGAGTGACTTCCAGAATGTCCTTTCCTCCGTGAAGGCTGATGAGGGAGAGGACAGCCTTGCAGTTTTCGCCAGTAAGAACCGTGGTCTTGGGGAAGAGCTTGCTGTCCCTTCCTTCGGCGGCCCAGCGGACCTTGATCTCGGTCACCTTTTCAGCTTCGCTCTTCTTCTTGTATTTGGCCAGGGCTTCGGCGCAGTTGGCGGATGACGAGGCAAGCTCTTGAATGCGATCGCTCAGGTTCTTAATGCCAAGTCCAGCATTGATGAGCATGACCTCGTGTCTAGACGAGGAGTTGCCGATGGTAAAGACGATGGGGAATTCTTGAGCCATGATGGATGATTGTCGGTATAGATAAATTGGAAAGGTTCGAATGTGCAGAGAAACTTACAGCAAAGAAACAGGGAATGGAAGCAAGTTATATTTTGAGTGATTGTTGTTCACGCGCCTCGCATCCCTGTAGCACCACTGACGTATTAAAGCATGTGAGCCTGCTTTCTGCGAGTCGAAGTCGGTTCCACTTTCGCGTTCTCCACGCGGACTTATGCAAGCTCTCTGACACTTTGCTGCTCTAAACGGCTATCTGAAGTCATGAAGAACGTCCTGAGGGAAAGAACTCGTGCAAAGCAATGGAGGTACAGAATTGTCGCGACGGGCATTGTCAAGATGTGCTCTTTTCTTCAGAGTGCAAAGCTAGGTGACACTCTTGAGTAATATCTTCGTGGTACCATGGAACAAGTCGTATCAGATAGCATTAGAGATGAGTTTTCCAGAATGGCAGGTCAAGTGTGGACGGTTCGAGATGATGAGTGGTGCATGTGAAAGTCGATCTGAGCTGCAACGGTGCCAAGCAAGTCTGACGAGCTGTCTGTAAACCATCGCTGACGACCAAAACGACCCAGACCACATCGCCAAACCCCGAGTATTCGAGATTTGTGCTCCGTTTTCAGAAGAGACAGCCCTATTCATCCACAATTTCTGTCGACCAACTGTCAATCCCCACCGATCCACCTTCGACCCAACGCCCGACTACCAACAGGCCAATAGCCAGCATGGACCGAAGCCTCGACGAGATTCTCGAGGAGCGCCAGGTTTGTCAGGACCTGCATTGCCGTATCATGCCTCTTCTAACACGTTGCNAGAGCACCCGTGGTGGACGCCGCGGAGGACGTGGCCGTCCTGACCGCGATGGTGGCCGTGGACCCCGCCGAGACTACGCTGAACGCGAGCGCGACTTTCCCAGAGACGGCGTCAAANAAGGTCTGTATACTGCTCGAGAAAGGACCCTATCAACACGTGCTGACTCTTGGACTGCGCAGGTTCTCCTTCCTTCCTCGTGCTTCAGTCAATAGAGCGACATCAATCAACATGCGTCGACAAACACCAACNCCTGCGTTCGATCCGCTGACCGTAATTGAAATCAGTCATTCCCCAGAGAGGACGCCAGAAACATCAACAAGTCAGTTGCTGCCTGAGCCCGAAGCACTCTTTGCACCATACTGATTTATGCCAGTGACTGGGTCCACGATAAGTACGAAGACGATGACTGTTAGTTTGCTGCACCATGGAATATCCGACCCCATTCTGATCCAACGACAGCCCGCCGCCCTGCCAGAGGCTCACGCAACGATCGCTACGACAGAGAACCTGCAAGAGATGCGTGCGTACCACTCNCTACAACTTCTTCGACAATCCATTCTAACCACGCCTACAGCTCCGGTTCTACCACCATCCGCGTCGAGAACATCCATTACGATATCCAGGAGCCAGACTTGAAAGTATGTTGCTGCTAGGTCTCGGCCCCAACGCACCGCCCTTACTGACCCGAAATTCTACAGGAGCTGTTCGAGGGTATCGGACCTGTCGAGTCTCTACGCCTGCTTTACGACCGCCACGACCGCTCCCAAGGTGTCGCCTACGTCGTCTACCCCAGCTCAAATCTTGCCAGTCGCGCCTTGCGCCAATTCAACGGCCAAAATGCCATGGGCCAACCCATCTACCTGACCATCCAAGAAGCCGCCCGCCCATCGCGCAACCCCTTTGACAACGTCGAAAAGCCTCCCCGCAGCTTGTTCGAACGCATCGACAGCCGTCGTAGTGCTAGTCCCAACTCGCGCAACGTCGATCGCTATGTTCCCCCTGGTGGTAGAGGTCCCCGCAGCTCGCGCAGTCCCCCTCGTCGTGGTGGTCGTGGGGCTCCTCGCGAAACTGGACGCCGTCCTGGTGCTCGTCGCGAAAACACCGATCGCCGCGAAGGTGGCCGTGAACGTGGTGACAGACGTGGTCCTGGGCCCAAGAAAGAGAACGATGGAAGATCCATGGTGCAAGGACGTCCGAGAAAGACTGCCGAGGAGCTTGATGCTGAGATGGATGACTACTGGGGTGGTGGCTCGGCTGCCAACGAAGGTAGTGCTGTTGCATCTGGTGAAAACGAGCCTGATCGTGGGCCTCAAGTTTCCACCATCGCCGGAGGAGAGAACAACAACATGGGCACCACATCTACAGCTCCGGACGACGACATCGATCTCATGGTCGAGTAAAGAGATGTCCTGATTATGAAAAAGGCAGTGACCAACCTCTCCTCTCGTTACACAATGGCTCACCGCAAAGGCGGGCACGGACAGATTGGAAAACCATCTGCGAGTTTTCTACGGCTTGTATACTTAGGATTACATGTCAATCAGTCACTTCTCAAAACAAAAACCATATGCGAGAAACACTCAAAATCTCTCTTATCAATATCACCCCTCGATTCTGGAGCACGGTAGACAATATCCATTTCGAACTCCTAGGTATACCATGACAACACCTCCGAAAACAATTTGCAGTTACAGTATGACAAGCAAGTATATCATGCCTTCCATGACAATGATGTCCAAACAGCAACCTGGACCTACATCTCCTCAAAATGAGAGCGATTCATCATGACAGTCAGTTGCTTTGCAGGGTGTAGAGTCATATTGAGATATGCTTGGATTTGCTTCTCGGACAGTCAAGTATTGCTGTTGCTTGCACTTTTGGTGGTTGGCTTACCTTTGAGGTTATGCCTTTTATGTTACGTTACATGCACACTGATTATTGTGCCATTCTATCAGGAATTTCAGGAGCAGAAGAACAGTAATGAGACATGGGAGTGGGTAAAAGACCAGTATCTAGGAAACTATCCCTGGAACCCGAACTTCGCCAGTATAAACTGACGCGAACCATCAACAATACAAGGAACGAGAAACATACAATGAGGAGAAGAAGCCTTGGGAGTTCAATTGTACCTCTCTAGCCACTTCCACCTCTTTGAAAAAATCTCTGTTGTTTTCGTGGGTACTCTATGCAGCTTATCCGTCTGCTCTTTCCTGGACGGAATGATACCCTACTGTTTCCACCGTTATCCATGTGATGTCGCCAAAGCTCTTTTGTTCCTTCAAGACCAAAGTAACCTAGGATTCCTCTTGCACCTTGGTTCTAGTGATGCTTTGTAACGAAATAGACGATTGATATGCTTAGGCGAAGCAACTCGTCGTACGTTAACACGATTTGCAGTCGAAAGCGTAGTGAGCGGCCTAGGTATGACAACGCCTCTGTTCGAGTTCCTTGCTGTGCGTGATAACGAAGTAAGACTGGGTGTCTGTTCCTGACTGTGTCTATCTCCACAGACCGTACGATTCAGTCGTGGCTTTCCACAATTTGATGGTACCGTCTTCGCTGCCAGTGGCGTAGAGCTTGCCGTCCGGGGAGAAGGCGCTCGTCCATACGGGGCCATGGTGACCCTTGCGTGTTTCNTGTCGTCTTGTTAGCAAATCTCATTGCGTCGGCCGGTCAGAAAGTCACTCACCAATCTCGGCACCAGAGTCGAGATCCCATACGCGCACAAAGGTATCTCTGGCACTGCCGGTCACGAAACGGCGCTGGCTTCCACACACAGCCACACTAGCAATCTCCTGATCCAGAGTCTTAGAGTCGAGCAGAGCACCGGGACGTGCGCCATCGAAGAAGTACACGGTCTTTCCAGCAGCAACACTCAGAGTGCCGTTCGCAGAGCCATCCAGGATGCTGGAGTTGAGTTCGCAGGAACCGATGGTTCCGTCGACCTCGTGTGTCGCAATGGCGGAGCGTGATCGTAAGTCCCACCAGCGCAACTTCTTGTCGTCGCAAGCCGTGGTCAATACATTAGGGTTTGCGGCCGACCACACGATGCTCTTTATTGTCTGGCCGTGCTCGCCAGCACCGACCTCGTAACACTCGTCGCCAGAAGAGGCACCGTTTGCGGCACCTGCGCGCGTCAGGTCCCAGATACGCAACTTCTTCTCCATGCCACCGGTGGCTAGATTGGTGGGTCTGTCTTGCAGAGCAGGGAATGCGACAGCGCGGACGATGTGGTTGTGCTGCAGGGTGTGCAGTTGCTCGCCAGTGAAAGTATCCCAGACTTTTGCGCTGAAGTCGGCCGAACCGGTTGCAGCGAGAGAACCGTCTGCAGAAACGCGAGCAGACCATACGGCACCCTTGTGACCGACAAAGGTACCGATCCAGTCGCCAGTCAGACCATCACGGAGCATTGGGTTGTTGTCCTTGCATGCCGATATGAGGTAATATTGGGGTTGCGATGAAGATGCGGAAGCCGGGCTCAAGGCTGAGAAGGAGATGTGGGTGATAGGGCGAGAGTGGCCGTGGCAGGTCAGAGGCACTACTTTGCTGGTTTCTACGCGGCTCGCCGGTCAGTGGTTGGAGGGAAGGCAGGACTGGTGCTGGACGCAGTACCTGTAGCCATTGATGCGGATTGTTGGAATGTGAAGTCAAGAAGAAGACGAAGATAAGCAGCTACTGGATAGCAAGTTGGGGCAGGAAAAGAAGTAGGTGATGAGTAGAGAAGTAGAGGAATCGAGGCAGTCCTTGGACGAAGAATTTAAACGAGTGATTCGAAGAGGGGTATATTAGTCTAAGCAAGCAACAGCGTAATGACGATGGAAGCCGAGAGCAACAAGAGATATCGGACGAAGCGAAAGTTGGAAAAAGGCTCAGGTCTTTAAATCTGCAAGGGGAGAGATATGTCTGCGCCGTGATGTAGGGTCGTCTCGTGCACCGCGGGGGTGACACGAGAAGCTGCAAGCCTCCAAACGTTTCCAGTCCAGCGAATCAGGAACACTCGAGAAACTACATAAAACCCAGTCTTACCAGCTCGATCATGTTCTGGACTCTGGGCTCTATCTACGGTGCTACCGCTGTCGCCTTTGGTGCTTTCGGTGCACACGGTCTGAAGAAGAAGATCTCGGATCCATCCAAGATCGCCGCTTGGAACACTGCTGCTCATTATCAAGTAAGATATTCACCACTTCTCACAACATATCCCTCATTCAGAGTCTAACATGACANNCAGCTTGTACACTCTGGCATGATTCTTCTGACTGCTGCCGTTGCCCCCAAGAACAAGGTCGCTGCCGGCCTCTTCGCCGCAGGCATCACATGCTTTAGCGGATCCATCTACCTACTCACTCTTGATCCTCAAAGGTTCAAGGCTTTGGGTCCTGTCACTCCGATTGGAGGCCTTTTCCTCATAGGTGGTTGGGCTGCTCTGGCAATCGGATCGCGCGGTAAATTCTTACCCAAGACCGTATAGGCTTCAAATGTATGAGGTATGAGATGTCTCACGGAACATTGATGGCCAAATGGCGTCCTATACAAACAAACTCCCCTGTATTTCTCTTCTCTACTGCTCATAAATGTGATGTTTGATTACTGCAAGGGAGAAGACTTTTTGTCTAGATTTCTCTAAAGATGATGAAGAACTGCTCAGGCTCGCAAAATCCCTTCGAATTTGCCTATTGCTACATACGAATTTCAAATGCGGCGCGCATGACGCAAGAGAAATCGCTCGGAATTTACAGTCGCCAAACGCTTACATATCCTCAGATGCGGTGGCACCAGTGATAATCTCGACCAGCTCACCGGTAATGGCAGCCTGTCTGGTACGGTTGTAGAGAATTTGGAATCTGTTGATCATGTCACCAGCGTTCTTGGAGGCGTTGTCCATGGCGTTGCGGCGAGCAGACTGCTCACAGGCGTGACCCTCGGCAAGAGCCNNTAATCATTGTCAGTAAATTTGTGTTCCAAGATGTTTTTCAAGACGCGGGGTACATACCCAGAAGAGCGAGTTGGCGAGCGAGTATTCACGAAGGTTACCAAGGATTGAGTCGTCAACTTCGAAAGAGGAGATGTTGGCTGGGGATTATGTTAGTTGGGTGATGAGTTGACCGGAAGGTATATCAAACGCACCAGAAGCCTTGATGGCGTCCTCGGAGAAAGCCTCAACAACGGTGGGCTCGTACTGCTGGGCATTCAAGAACTTGTTGTAGAGGATCTTGACGCTCGAGTAGTTGCCGGTAAGCTGGGTGATCTGGTCGGCAATGGCGGAGGCATCGGCGAAGGTAGGGACGTCCTTTCCGACGTTGGCGAAGCTGAGGGCCATGTTCTTGGGGTTGGATCTGCCGAGCTGGGCCTTGCACTTCTCACCGAGAACAACGAGCTCGTAGCTCTCGGGGTTGGGACCGTACTCTCTGCGGACGAAACGAGAAAGACCCGAGTGGATACCACCACAGAGACCCTTGTCGGAAGAGCAGACAACCAAAAGGGTCTTGCCCTCAGCACCCTCGACGGGCTTGGTCTCGGCCTCGTCGAAGACCTGCTGGGAAGCCTGGCCGTAGGCGCGGGAAGAGGTCATGGCACGTTGGGCGCGGGTAAGCTTGGTCGAGGCGACAATCTTCATGGTCTTGGTGATCTTCTCGATGTTGCGAATGGACTTGAGACGACCCTCGATTTCACGGAGAGTGGCGAAGTTGGCGGCATTGGGANNGCCTGGGGCCTACAGAGGCACAGCGGATCAGTACAATGACCATGGATTGCGCTCGTTGTCGCATGGGTGGGCTCGAAGGAAAAGCTGTTTCGGCGGTGGTTGAGGAGGTGGAGGGGCGTACCTGAGGGCGGCAACACCAGCCCTGGCGGTGGGACGAGCGGCGCGAGACAGCATGGTCAGGCTATGTGAGCGGAGAGGTGATTGAGGACGAAGTGAGATGGCGACGGCCTTCGGGATTGGACTGCGAGCTCTGCTGTCGTTGTGTCGCCCACACCCGCACATCTCCAGCAAGCCTTGGCATCTGACACTCGGACCACGCCAGATCGCTTTGCTCTTGCCTCTCTAGCCGATTCACGTGCAAAGGAAGCAGGAACGAGAGTTCTTCCCTTCCCTTCACTTTGTGTCTAGATTCCATCTACAAATCCCTCTCTATCCTATCTCTCTACTTCTCGTACGCCATCGGGGTTCCCTGTTGTCCTCTCTTTTCTCTTCATCTGTCAATTCCAACTTTTTCAGCATTTCACTTCCGCGTTTCCGCGTCTCTCTCAGCTCTTACTTTTCCTGGAGCAGCAGACACACGCGTCTTTGTGTCCAACCCTCGAGACTACAGACATTCAGCACATCGCGTTTCCTACAGCTCAATACCTCGACTCGGCCCTCATCCGCGTATACCACTGTTCGCAAACCTTGGCCTTTTATCCTCATCATGTCCGACTCGGAAGACGATAAGCCTCTGATCAAGGGTGAGTCCATGCAGCTACCCGTCTAATTGTTTGCCTTGCACTTCTGTCTCTTGTTGGACTCGCCTCACTTCGGCATATTCATACTTTTGGCCATCACCTTCTTCTCAGCTCTCGTCTTTTACCTTGAGCAATTCACTTCAGCTCTCCTCACCCTTTACGTCATACACTTGCCTTATTTCTTTTTCTTCTATTGCTTCTCCATCTCACTTGCAACTTTAACCTTCAACACCTACTCCATTCATCCTCACCTCAAGTTCATACCACTTACACCTTGACAGCCAGGTCCAACGAACGTGTCAAGATGGACGACACCGACACCAGCATGGGCGAGCTGAATCCTGGAGTCTCACTTCGCATGGGTCCTGTTGACGACATGGAAGTCGATCCTCCTGCTACCAACGGCAACGGTATCAAGCGCAAGTCATCTATGAATGGCAAGAGCTACAAGGACGCGACCGAATCAGAAGACGATGACGATGTCCCATTGGTACGTCGCATCCACATGTCACGACCTACCAAGATCTAACCTACTACACAGACCAAGCGCAGGAGAACATCCAAGAACAAGGCCGCTTCCGACTCCGAAGATGATCAGCCTCTTGCGAAGAAGACTGGACGTAAGCCTCCGAGGGTTACTGCACAACAAATCGGCGAAGAAGACGACTCCGATGTGCCCCTCACAAAGAAACTCGCCAAGGAAAAGGCCGCCATTGAGAAGAAGGCAGAGATACAAGCCAAGGCCATTCGCGCAAAGAAGACTGTCAAATCCGAAGAATCCGAGGACAGTGACGACGTGCCACTCAAGAAGGCCAAGGCTGCCCCAAAGAAGAAGACCAATGGTGTCAAGAAGGAGGATTCTGACGATGACAAGCCGCTTAAGAAGGCACCTGCAAAGCGTGCAGCCACCAAGTCGGCAAGCGCTACCCCTGCTGCTTCTGCAAAGAAGGGCAAGAAAGCTGCGAAGGAGGAAAGTCCAGAGGACAAGGAAGATGTTGAAGATGGAGAGGAGCAGTACCGCTGGTGGGAGGATACTGCCAAGGGCGACGGTACCAAGAAATGGTCCACTCTGGAGCATAATGGTGTCGTGTTCCCTCCCGAGTATGAGCTACTCCCCAAGAGCGCCTGGATGCGCTACGATGGTACGCCAGTCAAGCTCCATCCCGAGGCTGAGGAGGTGGCCACTTTCTTCGGCAGCATGCTCAACTCGACTCACAACGTTGAGAACCCGACTTTTATCAAGAACTTCTTTGGCGACTTTAAGAAATACCTCGACGACACTGGCCATGGAACGAACGACAAGGGAGAGAAAGTCAAAATCTTGAAGTTCGAAAAGTGCGACTTCAAGCCTATCTTCGAGCATTTCGAAGCTGAGCGCGCAAAGAAGAAGGCCATGACCACTGCAGAGAAGAAGGAACTCAAGATTGTCAAGGACAAAACCGAAGAGCCTTACATGTACTGTCTTTGGGATGGCCGCAAGCAGAAGGTTGGCAACTTCCGTGTCGAACCTCCTGGTCTCTTCCGTGGACGTGGCGAGCACCCCAAGACCGGCAAGGTCAAGACTCGTGTCAAGCCTAACCAGGTCACCATCAACATTGGCAAGGAAGCTACTGTACCTACACCCNCGGAAGGCACCAACTGGAAGGAAGTCCGTCACGACAATGAAGGCACATGGCTGGCGATGTGGCAGGAGAATGTCAACGGCAACTACAAGTATGTCATGTTGGCAGCGAATTCCGACGTCAAGGGTCAATCGGATTTCAAGAAGTTCGAGAAGGCCAGGGAGTTGAAGAAGCATATCGACAGAATTCGCAAGGACTACCAACGTGAGCTCAAGGCCGAGCTGATGGCCGACCGTCAACGCGCAACTGCCGTCTACCTTATCGATCAATTTGCACTTCGTGCTGGTAACGAGAAGGGTGACGACGAAGCCGACACTGTTGGTTGTTGTTCTCTGAAGTTCGAAAACGTCACTCTCAAGCCACCAAACAAGGTCGTTTTCGACTTCTTGGGTAAAGACTCAATTCGCTTCTACGATGAGGTCGAGGTTGATGCGCAAGTCTTTAAGAACCTCAAGATCTTCAAGAAGGCGCCAAAGAAAGACGGCGACGAGATCTTTGACCGTCTCACTACTAGTGCATTGAACAAGCATTTGAGCAATTACATGCAAGGCCTGACTGCCAAGGTGTTCCGTACTTACAACGCCTCCTGGACAATGGCAAGGCTGCTTCAAGATATGAAGGCAGTCGGAACACACGCCGAAAAGGTCAAGGCCTACAACGACGCAAACCGCAGGGTGGCCATCCTCTGTAACCACAAGCGTACTGTCGCTGCCGGACACGCCGCGCAGATGGAGAAGGTACAAGACAAGATCGACGCTGTCAAGTATCAACAGTGGCGTGTCAAGCAGATGATGCTGGCCCTCGACTCTAAGCTGAAGAAAAAGAAGGGTGCTGAGTGGTTTGCTCTTCCGGAGGGCCTTGACGAGGAATGGCAGAAGAAGCACCACGAAGACCTTATTGAGCAGGAACGCCTGAAGATCACCAAGAAGTTCGAAAAGGAGAACGAGAAGCTCAAGGCGGAGGGCGACAAGGAGATGAAGCCCAAGGAGCTTGATGAACGACTTGAAGTTGCCACTGAGCTGGAGAAGAAACTCAAAGCCGAGCTCAAGACGAAGAAGATTGAGCCTGAAGGCAAGGGACCCTCTGTCGAGAAGTACGAGGGCCAAATCGAGAAGTTCGCAGCCAGAATCAACAACATGGAGCTGCAAGCTGAGGACAGGGAGAGCAACAAGGAGGTCGCTCTGGGAACTTCCAAGATCAACTACATCGATCCTCGTCTCACTGTCGTCTTCTCCAAGAAGTTCGATGTGCCCATCGAGAAGTTCTTTTCCAAGACTCTACGCGAAAAGTTCGCATGGGCCATTGCTTCCGTTGATGAGGACTGGGAGTTCTAAGCGCATCCCGATCGACAACAAAACAATTCTTTCGACATGTTGATACACGTCTCATCATTCTGGCCAAGTGCCCAGCAGCATAGGGTCGTTAAAGGCGATATCGCGAGCAAGGAGTCGAGATCGTTCAGGGTTTCGTACGCTCTGCCACGGCCCGGCTCGTATTCCACCTATTGCTCTTGAAGGCGACAGCGGTTCTTTTTTGAGCAGAAGCAGGGCATAGATAGGTATTTTGCCGTTTAGCGATGTGACGACAATGCTGCTGTGGCAGCCGTGATGTATTCTTACCCAATATCTTGCAGCAATTCAGTTTAGCACACAAGAATCAAGTTCAGCCTTTATCCCAATTTCTCTTTCTCCTTCCTGTCATTCCCTGAGCCAACACGCCTTTCTCTTCCTTGATCCCATGTGACAACACTCCTAAGCTTGGCCTTCTCTGTTGCAATCTTGAGTACCCATTGCCTCTGCCAAAACAATGCATTAGATAGTCAGTTCCTGAACTAGTATAGCAAGTACCACTCTTCTTTGCACGAACTCACATCCGTTGGTATGTGTATCGAATACTATGAAGGTAGAATCTCTACATGCTACCCAAGGCTTCTCGTCCAATCGCTCTTAGGGTTCTTGAGGCGCCTGCGAAACAATGCATTGTTTATGCGATTAATGTCATGGAAGCTCTGACGAGGAAGTCTGTTTGGGACGGTAAAGTATCAGGATATTTAAAGAGTCAGAGAACGGTAGAAGATGGCTAGTTGACGATTAGTCCACGATGGGTATCAAGGGAAAAGAGATGTTTTTGGTAATGTTTCATAAAGCTTTGACGCTTGTGGTACGATAGCCTCGTGGGTAGAATTTCCAATAGAGTGGTATCGAGGCAGTAAGAGCGATCACTCAAACCGATGGTCCAGGCAGAGCTCGTAGACTGTTCTGACTCGCCTTGTGCTTGATTCTGCCGCGATTGAACTCTCTCCAAAGGTGACATGTATTAAGCTCGTAAGCTACAAAAGCATACTGAATGTCTTCAAGAGAGAAACGGGGACCCCACGTCTTTTTGTGAATGTCTGCGCCCATTGAAAAGTATTGCGCGGTCTGATACTATAACGTGATGATTTCTAAGCACATGAGGGGATGTAAAGAAAGTTGTCCGAGGACATGTTTTGATGTATAAGATATGAGAAGATTTATATAGACAGATAGAATGCAAGAGGACTGCTTTTCTCTGAAAGACAGGATGCACGAAACAAAATACGATGATACAGATTGCCGAAAGCCAAACAAGATGTTTGAAGGCAAAGAAAAAACGCCGGGCTGGATGGTGGGATGCTTGCTTTGGCTGATTGATAGATCCTGGAGTTTGTGATAATAAGAAAGGCACATTTAAGGCCACCACTTCATGCGCTTGTAGCTGTCGATGACGGCTTCGACTTCTTGCTTTGTCAACTTTTCGTGAGTGTANCCTAATCAAAGTTGTTAGGGATGTTTTGGGGAGAGTCAAAGAAGGGCTGCTTACTTGAATCCAACAGTCTGCTCGAACTTTTTGCCATCAAGGCAGAGATCAGCTTCGCGCAAGAGTTCCTTTTCCATGAAGGGACTCAGAGGTCCAGTGCCGCCCTCAAGACCAGCTTTTTCTTGTAGTTCGGCCCAGGGATCAAGAGTCTCGTCATTGACGTCGTCGACAACGGACTCAAGGTTGAGACGTGCAAAGGTGTTGATGAGGACGTTTTGGAAACCTGTCTCGATGCCGAACAGAGCCTTGGTAATCTCGGCCATTGTTCCTTGGCTGGTATCACCCTTGTCGACAATGTTGAAGACCGAGGCCGAGGACATGGGGCCCTTCTTGGGTATGGGAGAGGTAGGTGTGGGNGGAGCACTGTCAGCAGCTGCGCCGGATTGTGCTTGATTTGCTCGCCAGTCGGCTGCAGTCCAGCATGCGCGGACGACATCGTCGATGTGGACGGTATGGGTGCGCAGCTCAGGACCCCATAGCCATTTCAACTCTTTCTCAATGCCTTGGTATACACGGGCGAGGGCCAATTGAGTGCCCATCCATTGTCCAGCATAGGGCCCGTAGACGTTGGGTAGTCTGAGGATGACGAGCGGCAGGCCAGGGATCTTGCTGAGGTCTTCTTCGGCTTGTAGCTTCCACTTTGCCTGCTTGAGCGAGGGCTTGAGTTTGTCTGTTTCTCTGCGCGGCGGTTCGCGTTTGCTGTCGTAGACGTGGCCAGTGGATAGCTCGACGTAGGCTTTTACATGGCGGCGAGCAGCCTCTTTGGCAACGCTGAGAGACAGCTCGTAGGACCGTAACTTGTAGACCTCGTCGTCTTGCGAGTGGCGTGTCTCTCCACCGCAGTTGAAGACGTAGTCAAAAGACTGGCCGTCGGGCAGGTCGAAGATACGGCTCAGGGATTGTGGTCGCGAGGCATCGGCCTGCATGAAGTTGTCGCTGCAGGCATCCTTGTGTTCGGGGGCCAGCGAGGCCAGCTGCGGCAATTGCTTGTCTGCTATCCTGAGTGTCGAGGCAAGCGAGTTGGCATGGATGTAGGTGGTCAGGAAGCGTCCAATGTAACCTGCCACGACCAAGGCGTTAGCACACTACTCGGCCCTCGCAACCTTATCGACCATCTCACCAAGGCCTCCAATGATGAGCACATTTGGTTTGGTGCCGGCCGTCGACCCCGCCGTGTCGCCCATCGAAGTCGCTAAAGGGGGAAGAGGGGTCCGAGAAGGCTTCAGCAGTATAAGGCAAGCAATCCAACAGAGAGTTGCTGGTGTTTCGTCTTGCAACAGAGCAATTGAGGCTCAAAAATACGAGTATTGAGCGATGAGCGTCGCTACGTGCGTTTCAACGGTCCGGTAGCCAAGTGGTACAAGGATTGGGAAAGGAAAAAGACATCAATCGTGGCTCGCTACAATTGCTTCCCTACACACAAAGGGACCACCCGATCGATCACAGGCCACTCTGTGGATACACCCGTAGAATCTCAATCGCTGCAAATCAAAGGCTCAAGATCATGCCAACTCCGGTCATGATGCAGTTGCCTGGGAGTGCTACATGTTGTGTCTTTGCTGCCATGCAAAACGGGCAGGAACCCTGCATTCCCTGCATCATGCTGCCCTACCATCAATCCCTTCACCTCCCTTTGTCTTGTCCTTCCTCAGACCTGGCGCCCTCCATAATCTTATGCTAGCCTCGGCCCCTCGAGCTGAGGCACACCGAGTTACGCTCGGGCCCGGGACGATTCAGTTCTTGGTGCCGCGGGTAATCTGCTGCCGAACCAGATATTATGATCTTCCTCCCAGATTGACTTTGCTGAGCTCTGCCTTTTGCACTTTCTTGACTCGACAACAACCGTCTCGGCAGCCAGCTGTTCTCATCATTGCCGCTTCGTGCGGCTCTGCTACACCCATTCGAGAGCATCACGAACCTCCTGGAGTCTCATATGCAACTTTGCATTGGAGGCATATGTTGTTGCATCATAGGATATATGTACAGAGCCAATCAATGGCAACTAGAAAATGTTATGTAGCTAAGCTATGTTGATGCCTCCATTCACACATGTGTATAAGCAAAGCAACCGTGGAGGCACGTCTCCAACTATCCACATCACTCTGTTCTCGTCGTCCTTCATCTCCTAGTTCATATGGGCAGACCGGGTTATTCGATAAGCTCCTTACACACCAAGCAATGCACTGGTTCTTCGGTCTCATCGCCAGTTCTCTTGTCGGTGATTATGATCTTGGGGGCTTCAGACTCAGGTGCCGGAACCTCTGCCCTGATCGTGTCGTCTTCGGCCACTGCGTCTTCAGCGCTCTTGATGTAGTTCTTGTTGATGGATTTGCGAGCTCGTTTTGTGCCGTTCGACTCCGACTTGTCTCCATTCTGTTGGGTTTTACGCTGAACAGCGTCCTGGGCTAGACAAGAAGCATGAAGCCATATTCCACAAGCTTCATTGCTGCATTTGATAATGAGATGATCGGGATTTTGTGGCTGTTTGCATTCGCAAATCAGACGCAGTGGCTTGAAAAGTCAGTACAATCTGGAAGACATAACTTTCAAAGATGGAACACTTACCGATAGTTGCTTGGTATCGTAATTGTAAGTCTGTCGCCAGTAATACTCTCCTTGCGCTGGCATCGGCGCGTCGTCGTTGTCCTCCTCCCAGCGTACGACCTTTAGCGGTCCATTCACTGTCAGAGCATCGATGATATCCATTTTGTTGCCCGGTACCAACTCGAATTTACCGTGGTATGGCGGTGTGCTTCGGGCCTCTTGAGGTAGTTCCTCAGGATTCTCGAGCCAGGTGCAGCGAAGGAAGACATGATGTTCATCCGCAGCTCGAACCTCGTGGACCTGAGCCTTCCAGTCCCGATCAGACTCATTTCCTGGCTTGACAAGAACACAATCTCCAACTGAGTGAGTCTGGTTCCCTACTGTGCTAATCAGAGTCAGTGGGAATATTCGTAGACCGTTTTGTGGGTGCAAAGCATACAATTTNTTGTACTTGGTCATGTTCAGCCATCTGTCATTCGGCTTGATAAGCCAGCGAGCATCAAGATAGTCCTGATCATTCAATCTGAGGGCTTTNTCTTGGACATCGGGTGGGTTTTTNGCGCCTTTGCGGGTTGGAGGGTTGGAAACATTGAATATAGGTCCGTCTTTCTTGTCGGCTTGATCCAGCCAGCGCAGTAACTCTGCTTTCTCGGGTTCTGTCAAGCGACTCTGCGCAGGAGATTGAGACTCTGATGGGAAGTTGTCTGTCAACTTTCTGCGCTTGACTGAGGATGGCTCGTCGACCGCATCGCGCTTTCTGGTCATCTTCGTACGGCAAACACTTAACGGCGACTCTGCGCACGCATGGTACCGGTTTGAAGTCTGCTTCTGGTAAATTCAGGTATGGAACCAGACAGTGTGACACAATGTTGTCGCGTGCAAGTCGACGCGTTTCGATAGAGATGAACCGTGCACGTCACCCTACCCGATCAGGATTCAGGAAGCCGCGACCAGAATAATCATGCGATATTAGCACGAAGGAGAAATATCAAAGGTCTGAATTGAAGTTGTTGTTAAGAATCACTCAGTCCTAGATGAACACTGATATACCTTGGTGCTACGAGAGGGTCGGAATTGTGATCAGGTGGAAAACACTTGCCGATTCAACCTCTCCAGCAAACTATCTAGATTGCCCGTCCAAAGGCCAAGGCGTGAGCATCAACAGCACATCGGATGTTAGTGCGCGCATCATCGGCGTGCTTATATTTATAGTCAATAATAACAACGTATTTGTCTCTGCCCCAAGCCTTTTCGATAGTACACCCTCGCCGAGTGATTACAATCACATCCAACCACTGTCTTCAAGCTATAGACCATGAACACGCGTTGTGTTTGGTACCAAAGTTGTGTCCAAAGACAGCCGTCGAGCTTTCGTTTTCGATGGGAAGCTTCCTATTCTCTAGCAGTACTGTGTATTTTTGTAGCTACGCGCGTGTGAGACTGACACATACGAGGCGATTGAATCGGGGCCTCTAGGTCTTCTTATCCCCTATCCTTGCAGCTCGATGACTCGCAGCTGGTGGCAACCCCTATGGACGAGCACTGATGTTTGAGCAGCCGCTCGGTCTTCCAAGGACAATCGATTTCTCAGCAGCCGCGAGGCTTCATAAAAGTGGCTGCGTTATTGGGCAGGCCAAGGAAGCGGATCGGGCATGTAGCGCAGTTTCCGACTTTCCAAGGCCCGTTTCTGGCTCATCAGCTGCAGCTCAAAGATGGGCGCAGCTGGACACGAAATGCTGGGCTGGCAAGCAAGCAAGCAAAAGATGCCGGTCCGCGGGTTTCGTGGATCATGATGAGTGTCATCAATGTCATCCGTGTCCTGCCGCTCTCTTTGAGGGCGTCCAGGGACGGGAGCCACAGAAGAGAACGAGCGGATGTTGGGGGATCTGTCTGCTTTTGGCAGCCGCCGTCACTTCTCCACGACTTTCTGGAGCAAGCAGTCGTCATCGGGAGAACGGTTTGATGTGCCAAGTCTGTGGGAATATAGGACTAACAAGATCCAAATATCCACTCTCTGCCCACTTCTGCCCTGCTGTCGTTCTCTCCAGATTTCCGTCGTCAAGACCTCGTGCCTGTCGTTTCCCAACTCGGCCCCAGCACTCTTTGGTATTCCTGCCAGACCCGGTTCGATCTGACAACTTAGCACTCGTTGTGTTGCATGCGCGGATCCGCCTGCAGCCGGTATTTGTCTCAAAAGTCCCTTGCAGGCCTTCATCAACTTCTGGTGTCACTGAACAGTAGCGATAGCATTCCAGCTTGCCTTACACAATGCCTCGCTCCCGAGTAATGTCGTTTATGACCCAATGGGGTACTCCGTCGAGGAGTTTCACGCCAGAGCCCAAATCTCAAATGTCCGAAGACCCTTTCAGCAGCAGCAAACCTGCTAGACCTGCCAAAATCGATACCTCCTTTTCCTCCGCTACGAACAAGACCGTCGATGCGTCAGCTTCTCCCTCTCCCAGTACCCAACAACGTTTCCGCTCAGACTCGCGTTCAGAGCGCACTTCTCGCCCCATGTCGATGGTCTACACTTACCAGCCGCCAATCATGGATCTGGCCCAAGATACGCTGCCAGAGTTGCAGCCAATTTTCACCTTCCTCAACAGCCACTCGAATAAGCTGTACCAGGAGGGCTACTTCCTAAAGTTGCACGATCTAGATTCGCGTGAGCAGACTTAGGACAGAGTGCTTCTTAGTACATGGCTGACTTCTTTCCAGGCGNGACGCCCAAGCGCAGATCGAGCATGGACAGAATGCTTCGCCCAATTGGTTGGCACAGTGCTCTCATTGTGGGACGCTGCTGCGCTTGATGCAGCTGGTGAAGATGGCGAGGTCCTGCCCACATTTATCAATGTCAGCGACGCTTCGATCAAGATGGTAAGCAAGACCACGACTTTGTCAGAATAATTCGGGTCGCTAACCATTCAATACAGANTTGAGTCGCTTCCAATGAATGGATCAGCAGGAGGTCAGCTCCAGAACGTTCTGAGCATCTCCACTGCAGCAAACAACCGCTATCTTCTCCACTTCAACTCCCTCAACTCGCTTACGCAATGGACCGCTGGCTTCCGTCTTGCCATGTATGAACATACAACACTACAAGAGGCCTACACTGGTTCTCTCATTGCTGGAAAGGGAAAGATGCTCAACAATATCCGCACCATCATGGAAAGGAGCAAGTTCGTAATAGACGACTGGGCACGCGTGCGCTTTGGAGCAGGTACCCCTTGGAGACGCTGCTGGTGTGTTATTACGCCTCCGAACGAGAAGGAATGGGCGAAATATCAAAAGGCGCTCAAAAAGCGTGACACATACGATCGCAAGGTCGAGGTTCCTAAGGGCGATATCAAATTCTACGAAACGAAGCGCGTCACAAAGAAGACACGGCCTATCGCTACCATCAAGGACGCATTCGCTGCATACGCCATCTACCCTCAGTCCAAGCCACTCATTGACCAGTCAACGCTTATCAAGCTCGAAGGCCAAATCACAATTCACGGCGCCAGCGACACAACCACAGAAGGCTTCCTCTTTGTCATGCCGGAAGTGCATCCAGCGGTTAGTGGCTTCGAAATGATGCTTCGCTGGTTGTTCCCTGTCTGGGACGTCTTTGCGCTATATGGTCGTCCCAATCGTCTGATTGCCGACTCTCTTGACCAGCGTGGTCTTATGTTTGCCATGCCTCGAGACAGAAGATATGGTTATCTTGACATTCTGGACATCTCAGGCCTGATTCACACGAAGGGCAGTCAAACATGGTCCGAACAGGACTGGAGAAGAGAGATGAAGAAATTGACATCGCACCGCATGAACTCATCCGAAGACACGCCTCCACAGGCAAGGGGAAGACGCAACACGCTTTCCCTCAATCATGGCACGGTCCGCTTTGGCAATGGCAGCTCCACAGACACTTCTCCATCACCAGGCAGAGGCTCTCCGGGACCTGGAGATGGATCTCTTCAGTTTGGTCCTCCACGCCGAGTTGAAACGACGCCGATGAGCATGGGCAGTCCGGGCCGCGGACACAATCGTTCAGCCTCCGACGCGCTCGGATACAAGCGGTTTCAGACCGAGAACCGCTCTCGACTCTCTTACGAGGCGACCAGCGACCTACAAGACAGAGCGCCCGAGCCGCCAGCCCACGGCGCTCCCCTGTCGGAAAAGAAGATCCCAACGGTGCTCGAACGCGTGCCATCAGAGGACACGCCGTACGAACAAGAGCGTCGTCTTGAGCCGGCCTTTGAAGAGCTAAAAATACGAGCGGGCTCCCCTCCAACGGGCCCTGTAGCGTCGCCCCCAAAGCTGATGCACGGACCCAACGCTCGGCCCACGAACCTCAACCTGACACCTGTGCCCGAATTACGCAGGGCCAATTCGGCCATGGACGCCGCGACGCTGCAACAGCTTGCAGAAGCCAGTAAGGCCGGTGCTACACCATATCACGAAAAGGAGCAGTTCGACTTTACCGATGCTTCACGAGAGGTAGCTAGTGCCAACAACGGGACTCAAAGATCGCCTGCTGACCCCTCGTTTCGCAATGAAGAGGTAAATCTTTCTCCAGGACCGACTTATCAACCATCGAGAACCTACCGACTGCCCCCCATCCCTGCATCGCCCTACAATCGTGCTGTACAACCTCTTGCAGCTCCTATCAAGTCTGAACAAAACGCTCCTCCTCCTCCTCCTCCTCCTCCTCCTCCTCCTCCTGTGCCGCCACACAACAGCTTTTCACCAGCTGTTTCCGCCCGCAACCTTGCATATCCTCCTCCATCAGTCATGGCCGCTCTCATCAGCAGAAAGCCTGTTCCCACCTCACCTGAGCCTCAACATGCGGATCCTCAACTACAAAGCCCTACTCTCTCTCGAGTTTCGAGCAACGAAAGTCTCCAGAATGAGATCATGCAACAAGCTCTACTGGAGCAAATGCTTCAGCAGTCGCCAGAGCCAGTCAACAGAGTGGTCAGCCCTGTCAGTATCCCAGACGACGAGTCGGTCGACTATTCTAGTGTAAAGAGTATGTCACCGCCAAAGAGAAAACCCATCGAAAGAAGCCGAACCGGCCGCCTCAAGACGGTTGGCAATCCCGAACACGAGCCTCAAACACGAAGCCGCTTTGACCCCGAAAATGGAGTACCCATCAACTTCGGCCCTACATTGACATATAAACCAAACGCTCGACCTTCCACAAGTGGTAGTGTGCCCATCGAATCACAAGAGGACCCCGAGCTTATGCAGCGCCCATCCTCGCGGCTCGCAACACAAATTGATAGCAAGAGAAGCTCCTTCCTCGACACACGCAAACTATCAACCGGAGATATGAATCAAGACAGGCGTCGAAGTGTCGCTTGGCAGCCAGCAGCTGTGGCTGGCGAGTCTGTTGATCAAGGTCTGACCGCTGAGCAATGGGTGCAATACCGAGCATCCCTCGCTGCAGCACCATTGGCCCAGTCACGAGCCACACCTGTGTTCGGACACACCAGGGATCCTTCGAACGCAAATCACACAACCAAAACCCCTCCACTTAGTCGTCCAGCATCTCGTCTCAGCCGTACATTGTCTGGAGACTGGACGCAACAGCTTAACCGCTTGTCACTTGGCCGTACAGCCTCTGGTGATTGGGGTCAGCAAGCAAACCGCGCGTCGTTCAGCAAGACGCCACCACCTCTCAGCAGAACTCCGTCTGGTGATTGGAGCAAACAAGCTCCGTCTCGTCCACACTCCCGTAACGCGGGTGCGTTCTTGAACCCTCCCAGCCCTGGCAGAACATTGCAGCTGCAAGGCACAGCTTTATCGGCTCATGAGCAGATGCAAGTTGCTCGAATGACTGGTGGTTCGATGATCAACCTGACTGAGCGGGACAAGCGCAAGGACCTGAACGACTTGGATGCTCCAGGCTTGGTTGGTGCCATGGCGGCTCGCGAACGTCAACGGAACATTAAANGAGAAGGTCTCCGGAATAATGCTGTGCAGCAAGCGATAGTGGCACGTCAACAGCAGCAACTTCAGAACGAGTTCGATGCCCAGATGAGAGCACAGATTGAGGCTCAAGAGTATGCTCAGCAGCAGGCCGAGCTCCAGGCTCAACACATAGCCCATCAACAGGCACAGCACTATGCACAGCAATATGCTCAACAGCAAGCCCAACAGGCTCAGTTCCAGCAACAAATGGCTGCTCAGCAAGCACAGCAGTATCAGATACAGTTGCAACTGCAGCAGCAACAAGCTCAGGTCAACAATTACCCGTACGGTAGTGGGCCAGGTACGGCTCAACAACGATCTTCGCAGTACTTGGGACATATGAGTCAAGCTGGATGGAGCAATGCAGGCTCGCCTCAACCCCAGCCGGGTTATGCGCAGTCATATTTTGGTCAGGGTGATGGACAGTATAGACAACAGAGAAGGTATTAGCATCAAGGTTGGAGGCTTAGCATGGGCTGGTTGGTCAGACGGATGGTTCACTGGTTAACTACATAGCATTTGGGCGGAGTACGAGTTTTATATATATCATCAAAGCAACATTCACCATGTTACAGTACATCTGTCTTCCGTGCAATATGTAGAGGTAATCATCGATTGATCCCTCTCCCACACTGACATATAGTGTTAGTATATGCTGTAACAACACATGGTTGCTTTCTAAACAAATGTGTGGCCATAGAGACACTCAAGGAAAACTTTCTCTTGCTACATCTGACTCTGTTATGTGAAGTATTCTCAATCTCTGTCGGTTCGGTATACCGTGATTCCATACGGGATGGAGGATGATGTTGGAAAAAAGGGACACCTCGGATCACCTGTAATTCGTGATTCAAGAGCATACGAGCAGCACTGATGTACCATATACTAGCAAGAATATCATCCTGGCGCTTTGTCTATGTGTTAACCTCGCAAGACGCCATGGGAGTGACAGGTTAATATACCAAAACTCTGGACAGGGTGCCATGAGAAGCAATCCCCGATGGCCTGTGCGTCAACGTCTCCCCGCGTTCTGAATTTTAAGGTTTCCTCTCTCAAGTCTTTTCACACCCTCTCACTCTCACAGTGTGCTTCACGCACGCGACATGAACAAAGATTCCAACCATTCTCTATTAGTAATAGAATCCTAGTCCGTCTCAGTCCGTGGAAGCAACATGGTCTCTCTTGTACAGGCGCCGAGCATGCCGCCAACCCTTCCGCAAAAGAGCCTGAAGAGAGACGCCTCGCATCTGTCGTCACCGGCGCCAGAATCCAGCCAGAGCAAGAAATTGCGAGTGGCGTTTGACGACAGGGTCGACGTTCGTATCATGGACGACTGGACGGCCAAGCCGTTGGATCTGGTCAAGGACGAAGTGAGAAGCGCACTCGAGGGCCATCTCAGGACTGGCGCCGACAAGGACGATGGCGCATATGAACAGCTTAGGATGGTCTTCATCAGCGCAGCGCCCTCGCGATCCCACGACAGCGCCTCGGTCTCGTCACATAGCGAAGCACCCAGTACCGCTACGCTCAAGAAGTATTTGGTCGCCCTGAGTGGTCGTGTGAGCGATCTCAAGGCCTGCGGCAAGCTGGTACACGCCGTCCTCGACGTCAACTGGCTCGGCAGAGACGATGCTTTTGTAGCTCTCTATGTCCGTTTTCTGGGTACTCTAGGAAGTGCTGTGCCTGGATTTCTCAGGACTGTGCTCGACCGCATTGTGGGACACTTTGTCGAGGGTAAGCTTGCTTGCCTCTGGCCATCGTGCACCCATTTACTAATATGCTCCCAGTTTCCTNCATCTCTCGGCCGCATCCCCAACGAGCCATACGTCCCCAGACAGCAGATGGTGGTTCGAGTACACAACGCTCTTCGATACCTGCTACGCCTGATCCCGTCTGCCAACAGCGGTCTGGCCGAATCTCTTCGCGGCCAGTTCCCAAACCACAGAACTGCCACCCGTCAAGGTTACATTGCTTTCGTCAAANACTCTCTCAAGACCATCGAGTACGCCCCCGAACTCAAAGCCGAGATTCAGACCCTTATCACCGAGCGCCTGGTCAAGATCGATGTCGAAGTACAAGAAGAGTTGGATGATTTGGAAGACGAGGTTGATGAGGGCCGTGTGCTCGGACTCTCTGGTCTTCCAGAAGCAAAAGAAGATGCAGACGACTCGAGTGATGACAGTGATGCCGACTCAGACTCTTCGAGCGAAATCAGCATGACACCTGAAGAGACCCATCTCCGTGCTCTGCGCGATACTGTCGCCAAGCTCGATTCAGTCCTAGATCTCTTGTTCTCTCATTACACACCCACATTTGCCAGCGGCAAGATGTACGAGGTCAACGATGCCTTCGAGCACCTGATCTCACAATTCTCTACCTTCGTCTTACCTACATACCGCTCGCGACACACGCAATTCCTCGTCTTTCATTTTGCTCAGATGTCTCAGGGCTATGCCGAGCGGTTTGCCGGCGTTCTTATCCGTCTTGCTACTGGCCGCAGCTCTGCTTCGAACGGTTCCTTGTCTGCTGCTGCCTATTTGGCTAGCTTCATCGCTCGTGGTGCTCGAGTGAACAAAACGCTTATCCGTTCCATCTTTACAAGACTTGGTAACCATCTCGACACATTGCGTCGCAACTACGAGGCTGCCTGTGAGGGACCTAACCTCAGCCGGTACGGAACCTTTNACGCAATTGCTCAGGCTATGCTCTACATATTCTGCTTTAGATGGAGGGACTTCATCATGACTCNNCCTGACGACGCAGACATCGAAGACTACGATATTTTCGAGGAGGGCGAACCAGAATGGCTTCCTGGCATCAAGGAGTGCTTGACCCAAGCTATATACTCCAAGCTCAACCCTCTCAAGGTCTGTGCACCCGCCATTGTCCACCAGTTCGGAGCCATTGCCAACCATCTTCGCTTTATGTACGTTATCCCTTTGTTGGAAACCAACAAGCGCCTGCGCCTGTCTTCCTTCCGTTCTTTGGCCGCACCTGTCAGCAGGGATATGGGTGCCGCAAGAAGAGAAAACACCCTCAGCCACCAGAGCGGCGAAGCCCATCATCAGCTGGATGCTTTCTTCCCCTTCGATCCTTACCAGTTGCCTAAGAGCAAGAAGTGGCTAGAAGGCGACTACATGGTATGGAAGGGAGTGCCCGGCATGCAAGACGACGATGAGGACGACGAGAGTAGCGACGAAGACGAGGACGAAGATGAATTCGGAGAGATTGGTGACGATCCGGAATACGAGAGCGAGTAGAGCATTTGCTGGTGTGCTTGGCCGATGGTACGATATGACTGATTTAGCGTGGAGTTCTGGGTTGGAATGTGCATGTTGCTCTTTACGCAAGTGCTGGTTGTGTTTTCGGTGTATTTCAGCGAGGACGGATGGGTCACAAGGCGTTCTCGGCTGAATTAAAATTTAAAAAGCAGGTCGAGATTGCAAGAACAAAGCAGTAGTCTGAGACCACATGACAATACAAATCATTCTTCAAACATCCCGAAATCCCAATAGTATCAATATGTGCCTGTGCCACCCTTGAACGCCTCCCGTATCATGTTTTCTGCTTGTTGTGTTCGTTATTCATCGTCGATGGTTGGTTGGATCGTGTCCTCGTGAGAAGTGTAGACTCTGTCCTCTACAGGCCCAGCGGGTTCTTAGCACTGCCTTTGCCAGCATTGCGCTGTTGGCTGCCGGGAGGCAGCTTTCCACCAGGCATCAGAGTCTTGCTCGATCCAGCACCAGCCAAGCCGAGAGGGTTTCCGCCAGTGGGCACACGAGGACCTCCTGCACGAGAAGCATCCTTGATGTTGTTACCATAGCCTGCGACACCCTGGCCCCAATAGCGTGTCGTGTTGGTGATACTATAGGTAGATCATCAGTATGGGCCAACCAAATGATACGAGAGATGTTGGTGGGCCTTTACCTGTCACCAATGCCACGACCGACGTTGTTCACACCATTGCCTACGNCCGTAGACAATGCCACCAGCCACCTTGCCTGCGCCGGCGACGTAGCCTTGGACTTGCTTGCTGAGCCAGTTGTCACCCATTGTGATCTGATATAGTTCTTGAGAGTACGTGGAGTTGTAGATGGTTGAGATGGATGTCTTTGAGCCAGGAAAACTACAAACCAGGTCTTACGATCGAAGATATATGCAGACACGGCTCAGAGACTACCTTCTAGAATCGTCAGACCAAGGTTCGTGTCTTGACTGACAGGGGGTACGTCAGATCTGATAGACGCGTTATCTTAGCGCGATCCAAAGCCACGCTAGCGGCCTCGGCTCAAGTGGTCGCTCGCCGAGTGATCGTCCACTCTTTCGCCAGGGCTCATCTTCAATCACATTCAGCGCTCACATATTCGATCTGCTGAAGAAGACCTAACCAGACTGGAAAGCACTCGACAGAGGATTGAGGAGGTTGTCGTTCTCAAGAACAACCAACGATCTGGACCCATTGCTAGGTAAAAGGAGTAGGCTGGAGAGGCGGAACATGCATCCTGGCGCATGCGCATAAAGTCGAATTATCATCAAAATATAACCGGACCAGGAAGTAACGATCTGTCAACATAACACTTGGACTGGAAGTATCAGAGCAAACCGATAGCGGGCCAGAAGTGCATCTCCGGCACTTTCTCGACCATAGCGCACTGTCTGGCCCTATAAAGAAACATCCTGGGGTCTTAGGGCAGTGCACCTAGGATCATTCCAGACATGAGCTCAAAGCATCTGGATCCATTCTCTGCGGTCGGCGCCGGTACAAAGCACAAGCAAATCCAGGATGCAAAGGACATGTACCAAGTGGTTGTTGACCGCGCCGCAAGAACAAACACTGCCGTTCCAGACTACGAGTTCCTTGAACTTATTGGTAAAGGATCCTTTGGCAGAGTGTACAAGTGGTGAGTCTCCATAGGATAGTTGTTGATCCGCGGCTTTGACTGATGTGTTCCAGCANAAAACAATGCTACACAGGACCTCGTAGCTGTCAAGATCATTGATGTTGACGATCTGGATTACAAGTTGGACCTCGACCAAAAGGATGAGGCCATCGAGGACTTCCGGAAAGAAGTCAAGACGTTGAAACTCCTTCGAGACAGCCAGGCGAAGAATATTAACTACATCCAGGAGGCTTTCGACTTGCATTCTCAACTGTGGATCGTCAGCGATTACTGTCCAGGTGGTAGCGTTCACACACTCATGAAAGCCACGCCAGGTCCTGGGCTCGAAGAGGAGTACATCATTCCAATTGCTCGCGAACTGGCGGTGGCACTGAAATACGTACATGATGCCGGTGTCATCCACAGAGATGTCAAGTGCGGCAATGTTCTGATTTCCGAAGAAGGTCAGGTTCAGCTTTGTGACTTTGGTGTAGCAGCTGTCATCGAGACTGAAGCGTCAAAACGTTCGACCATCATTGGAACCCCGTTCTGGATGCCCCCAGAGATGCACTCCATGGATATGGCGGTTCAACAAGGTTACGGTACCGAAGTTGACTGTTGGGCATATGGCTGCACTGTCTACGAAATGGCCACAGGAATGCCACCTAATCATAAGTTCCATCCATCGATGTTGAGGACAGTGTTGAAAGCCGCACCGCGACTGCAAGAGGGTGCCTACTCACAGGGTCTTCGAGACTTTATTGCCTTCTGCCTCGAAGAAAAGCCTCAGGACCGTCCCTCAATGAAGGCAATCCTAGAGCATCCCTTTATCTCAGACACTTCAGCGCAGTATCCTACTCATATGGTGAGGGAAATGATCGACCGTTACTTCCAGTGGGAGAGAAGAGGCGGTCAAAGAGCTTCACTCTTCAATCCAATGGGAGCTGCCGCGCCTCAGCCGTCCGAACAACGTGACGACTATGATGATTGGAACTTCTCAACCTCTGCCGACTTCGAAAACGACTTTGTTAAGCGCTACAGTCAACTCGGAATTGCAGAGACCGACTTCGCAGCTACAGCCAACAGTGCTGCTGAAGACGTGATGCCTGCTCTCAACAACGTCACCAAACCGCATCCTCGAAACCCGTTCCACGAGGCGCAAGAAGAAGCCAGAGCGAAGCGAGGAGAGCGCTCGATGGGACGCCTTTTCGACACAAACGCAGACCCTTACGACTACAACACACTTATGGAAGATGAAGAACAGCCAATGTCAGACCTTCCACTTCGCAACCTGTCCAGCGATCGCGCGGCCAATAGGGAGACCCTGATTGACTTGGACATGGGCGCAGCGGGACTCGATTCACAGCCGACCTTCAACTTCGACTTTGGCGATGTGCCAACACTCAAGGCAGCCAGACCAAACCGCATGTCATCGACAATGCCTGATGATGACGAAGATCAGAACGACTTCTATGATGGACCAGACCAAGACACACGACGCGCCACCAAAGACTGGCAGTTTCCTCTCAAGATGATGCCTGCCGATAACCCAAGCCGACGCACACAAGATTGGACCTTCGCCATGGCACAGCCTCCCGCTGCGGACCGCAAGACCAAGGACTGGTCTTTCGCAACTGCACAACCAGCAGCTGATCGCAAGACGGCAGATTGGTCGTTTGCTACAGCCCAGCCAGCCACCGTTAGAAACACACAAGACTGGACGTTCGCAGAGATGGCAGAGCCTCTGACGGCTGAGCCAGACCGTCGAACCGCAGACTGGACATTTGCAACAGCCGAGCCAGTGTCCACCGAACCAGATGCCGAGCCAGACTTCTCTTTCCCACCCATGAAAGACGAGACAGACATTGCTCCTGGCTTCAGACCCCATCTGACTCGCACAGCCACTGAACCAATTGGCCAGTTCAATGACTTCCTTCATCCTCCTGTAGGATCGGCTGCTAAAGACGACCTCGACATACCAAGCATTCGCGAGTCCAAGCCCATCATCGATATTGACTTGGGTATGACCTTCGAACCCGAGTTTGACCTAGAGTCTGCCATATCCCACCACTCAAAACAGCCGAGCATAACACCATCGTCCCCTGTCATAAGTGCGGCAGGTTCGACTGAAACCTCACGCAACCCCTTCTTCTTGGCCGAAGTTGAGCAACCTAGTGGTGATGAAGTTAAGCGCTCCTCGCATCGCCAATCGCGCTCTGAACCACAGCTTCTAGCATCAAACAACCGCCACTCGGGCGTTCTTCACTCCAGAGGACCAAGCAATGTGTCCCTGCTCAGACACTCGAGAGACAGAGGATACTCTTACTCTTCCACGGCATCGTCCGACGTCCAGAGTGGAAGCTGGCCACGAGACTACAACCGCCGTATGGAGGCGCACACAAGACAACAACTTCTCGATGGATTGCACACATCTGCGATTTCCTCTCGCAACAGCTGGGCTCGTTTTGCTGCGGCCGACTCATTCGACGACACCGATATTGAGACGCCTATGGCCGACCCTGGCGTCCGTGTACCAGGACTCGACGATGCAGACTTCCCACTCGCAGGATTGAGGCCTTCATCACGCATTGATGCCTTCAACGTGGACACAGACAGAGACGAAAGCACATACGGAGACCTCACTATGCCTCGCAACAGAGCACGCGCAGATACAGGAGGCACAACAAGCACGGGTACAGGCTACGACTCATCAAGAGACGAAGCCTACATGTCGCAGGTACGCAGCAGTCGCTTGTTGAGCGAGTTCCCTCGACTGTCAGCTCCCGATCCAGAAGCAATGATGGAAGGCGCCGACTCGGAGCTTGTGTTCAATGAGATGGATAGACTATTTGCCGATCTGGAGGGAGGACTCAGTCTGGCTGCAGAGATGTTCGAAAGACGCGACAGAGGCATGTCCCGTGGAAGAGAAGAGGGAGATGAATACGAAAGACAGGCCAAGGGTTTTGGCAGTGAAGGAGAAGGATTAATGTGACATGGGACGGGGTCAATGACAGTCAGATGAATTGCTCTACAGCGAAGATACCCTCACGGCTTGTAAGATAGATAATACAGTAGTCTTGTAAAATACGCTTCACTTTGCAGTAACTCACCTCTTCAGGCTTCAGTAAATATAGCGTTCGAGTCAGATGGAGTTAAGATCGGAGATTGAGTGGATAGCGGAAAATGTCGGTCCTCAATGTGCACCAATCCCCAGCTTTTGATGCGCTTGGCGACGAGAGAGACGTAGAGTATGATGGAACAGAGGGTCTCTGTTTTCTGCCCACCTTATTTTACCACTCAGTGCCTGCCTCGAGCGCTATGAACAGGCAGTCCTTGAAGATCTGACCAACCCCGCGCGAACACCGAACCCACAAGACGTCCTTATACGGACCGCCGAGCACGTTGCCCACCCGGCGCGCGCATACGCCATCATCAGATGAATCCAGCGCATAGAGACGGCTGGCCGCCCAGAGAAGACCACACTCCGCTCCATCGCACTTTCGCGTACGTCGCTATACGTCAAGACGAGGCTGTCACGGGTACTGACGACGTTTCACAGCNNGCGAATCCACCGCCTGCCCATCCTGGTGCAGCTCCTTCTCCGCGCACAGGTGCTCTGCCCNCTCCATCAGGTACAGCCGGTCCCGAGTCACTAATTCACCATCTGCTTACAACTGGAACAGGCCCATTCGCCCCTTTCCAACAGGCTCCTCACAATATCCTGAACCCACCTTCGCCTCGTCATCAGGCGCAAGCAGCCTTCCCTCTCGGCCGCGAGATGCCCGATCATCGGGACAACATCCACATCAAAGAAGAGCAGGACGCTGTGCGCCGCGATCAACAGCGCGAACGACAACATATGGAGCAACTCCCTCCTCATCAAGCCCAGAGAGGGCCGATACATTTGCACCAGCCTGTCGCTGTGCCACCTAACGCTGTCCACGGCCCCAATGGCCTGCTGGCCAACGCTGCTGGCGGACATGGCCAGATTCCGAACGCTGTCTTCAGTGGTGGTCCCGTACAGCCTGCCACACAGTCCCAGGCCATGCTTGTTCCCATGCAACCTGGCAGTGCTCAACCCGCAAACGTCGGCCAAGGGCAGCAGCCCATTTTGAACGTAGGTTCACATGTTCTTTCCCTGACTGTTCGCATAATTGATCATCTCTAGGATGCGCTGAGCTATCTCGACCAAGTCAAGGTGCAATTTGTCGACCATCCAGATGTTTATAACAGATTCTTGGATATCATGAAGGACTTCAAGAGCGGGGCGTATGTGTCGGTCTCCACATCCGACTCTTCTGAGGTGCTGACTGGATACAGTATTGATACACCCGGTGTCATCGAACGTGTCTCGACCCTCTTCGCCGGCAACCCCGAGCTTATCCAGGGCTTCAACACTTTCCTGCCTCCGGGTTATAGAATCGAGTGCGGCACCGGCGACGATCCGAACGCCATCCGAGTAACGACTCCCATGGGAACAACTGTCCAAGCCATGCCAGCACCGCGACCCATTTCGCCTCGCACAGCTGCTCCGGCACAAGACGGAAACAACCAGGAAGGTCCTCTCTTTGCTGCTGTTAACAGACAGGCCAATGGCAACTGGACGCCTCAAGCAGCAGGTCACTCTCACATTATTCACAGTCCCAGTGGCCGTCCAGTTGGTACCGCCCCTTTCACCTCCCAGATGGGTCCCCAGCAAGCCGCTGCTATTGCAGAGGCTCAAGCTCGTGAGCAGCAGGCTTTGAGTCTTCAACAGGAACAGCGTGTCTCGCAGTTGCAAAACGCCGTCTCTGCCGCAGCTGGTGACAACCTCGCTAGAGCTGGAATGATGTCTCCAAGTGGCGGCGCTGCTGCTCTTGCTCAGGGTGAGATGGTCATCGGCCCTGATGGACAGCCTCTAGGCCACGAGAAGGTGAGGCCGCAAGTCGAGTTCAATCATGCCATCAGTTATGTCAACAAGATCAAGGTAAGTCGAGAGTGCTCATCTGTTCCGCGCCTGTCTCGGACATCATGCTTACGTTTCGATCAGAACCGCTTCCAGCAACAGCCCGACATCTACAAACAGTTCCTGGAGATTCTGCAGACCTACCAACGCGAGTCAAAGCCCATTCAGGACGTCTATGCCCAGGTGACACGACTTTTCAACTCAGCCCCAGATCTTCTAGAAGACTTCAAGCAGTTTCTTCCAGAATCCGCTGCTCACGCGAAAGCAGCAGCAGCAGCTAGAGCCCAACAACAAGAAGAGTCAGTCATGCTTAGCAACGTGCGTGGTGATCCTTTCTACCAGGCTCCACAACCCCACCAGACTCCTAGAGCCGAACACCGTCTTCCTCCAGTCGGCAACTTTGCTCCCACTCCAACTGTCAACAAGGACAACAAGAGAAAGCGCGGCGATAGACAAGGAACCGTTACCAACGCAGGTCCGGAGACGAACGGCCTCGCAAAAGCTCCAGCTTATGGCCCGATGGCCAACATCAACAAACGCGCTAAGCAGGCCCATGCTGGTAGACAAGCCATGCCATCTGACATCCCTCCTACTTCGCCAACCTTGGTTCCCGCACTTCCCGAGCCTTTGCCACCAACTCAAAGCACTCTTGCGACGGCCGATGAAATGAGCTTCTTCGATCGCGCCAAGAAGGCCATTGGAAACAAAGCTGCCATGAACGAGTTCTTGAAGCTCTGCAACCTTTTCTCTCAGGACCTGATCGACAAAGTCACCCTGGTCCACAAGGCTCGTGGCTTCATCGGTAGCAACCCCGATCTCTTCCAATGGTTCCAAATGTGGGTTGGTTATAATAACGATGACATTACTATCGAGAACAAGCCCAGAGCTCCTCAGAGTAGAATTTCCCTGAGCAACTGCAGAGGACTTGGACCAAGTTACAGGCTACTTCCTAAGCGTGAACGACTGAAGCCGTGCCGTGGACGTGACGAGCTCTGCAATGAAGTGCTCAACGACGACTGGGCCTCGCATCCAACATGGGCATCCGAGGATTCTGGTTTCATTGCCCACAGGAAGAACGTCCACGAAGAAGGACTCCACAAGATCGAAGAGGAACGCCATGACTACGACTTTAACATTGAAGCTTGTTCGCGCACAATTCAGCTTCTTGAGCCCATCGCCCAGCAGATTCTCCGCATGAACAACCGCGAAAAGGAGGCCCTCGAGATTCCACCCGGACTTGGCGGACAGAGCGAGACAATTCACAAGCGTATTATCATGAAGCTTTATGGACGCGAAAAGGGACATATGGTTGTTCAGTCGCTTCACGCACAGCCTTACAAAGTCATCCCTGTGCTACTCAATAGACTGAAGCAAAAGCTCGAGGAGTGGAAGCAGGCACAGCGCGAGTGGGAGAAGGTCTGGCGTGATCAGACACAGAAGATGTTCTGGAAGAGTCTGGACCACCAGGCTGTTAATGCCAAACAGGCCGACAAGCGTCAATTCCAGACCAAGACGCTCTTGGGCGAGGTCCACACCAGATACGAAGAGACAAAGAGGCAACGCCTGGCTGGACAGAATCCACGCAACCAGCCTCAGATGACCTTCAAGTTTGAGGACACGAGTGTCATCATCGACGCATCGCATCTGGTTCTTCTGTATGCCGAGCAGATGCATTCTACCGAGTTCCCCAGATTGACCTCTTTCATCCGAGAGTTCATCCCTCTTTTCTTCGGTCTTGACTATGAATGGTTCGGCAACCAGATCAGAGCCAAGTTTGGTGACACTCCTCATATGGACGTCGGTGAAGATACAATCTCGGCTTTCGACGACCCCATCAACGCAAAGCCTCGTAAGCCAACAACCAAGAAGGGCGATCTTCTGCGTGGCGTTCTCGAGCGTGGTCGCAAGAACCGAAAAGATGACGGCAGCAACACACCGTTGAGCCGAGCATCTACTCCCGACAACGCATCCAACGTAGACGAAGAGATGAGCGATAGTGTCAATGTGGTCGACGACCTCAAGTCTGATATTGCCTTGGACACCTGGGCCTCGCATCCTTTGGCGGGTAATGTTCACAAGGACAAGGAGTTATATCTTAACCAGATGTACTCCCGCACCAAGTTCATGCTCTACGGCAACGCAACCATCTACTGCTTCATCCGCGTCTTCATATTCTTGTACGAGCGCTTGAACAACATCAAGCAGGCCGAGGCCGATGCTCACACGACAGTCGATCGTGCGATGGCCCCCAAGCCTGCTACCGAGCTCGGCATCATAGACAAGCTCCCTACAGACTTCTTTACTGATGTCAGCGAGGGTTCCAACTTCTATCGTCAAATCCTCGGCATGTTCGAAGACTTGATCAAGGGAGACATGGATATGGCACACATTGAAGAGACATTACGGAGATACTATCTGCAATGTGGATGGCAGCTCTATTCCTTCGACAAGCTCCTCGGCGCCTTGGTACGTTTCGCCATCGGCATGCTCGGCAGTGAAAGCGGCAAGGACAAGAGCTGGGACATTCTCCAGCTGTTCCGCAAGGATAGAGCCAAGGATGAGACATCTTTCCAGGATGAGATGAACTACCGGAAGCAGACGGAGAAGTACACCAAAGACCTTGACATCTACGGCATTGCCTATGTAAGAGATGCACCGAGCTTCGCACACAAGCGTTTACTGACAGACGTACAGGACCAAGCAACATCTGAGGTGCAGATCAGGCTGTACAAAAAGGACGATCCTACCTTCGACACAACCTCGATGCTGCAAGAGGACCTCTGGCGCGTCTATGTTACCAACCTCCTCAAGCTCGCGCCGACGCCTGATGTTCCGGCAACCAGACGCCGGCCAGTGATGCACAGAAATCTGCGCCAACTCAATGTAGACCCCAGCACGATCAACAGCGAGGAGCGTTCGGACGACTACCGCAGACTTTGCGACTCAGCCATCTCGTCAGAAGGCCTTGAGTTCCGTGTCGCAGTCGAGTTCTACCGCATGTACTTTGTCAAGAACACAGAGGAGTACGCATACCAACCCGCAGCGATTCGAAGTGGCGGCAAGGAGGGCGTCGAGGAGGCAGATTCGACAGCCCGCTACCGAAGCGATCGTAGCCAGGATACTTTCGTCATTAACAATGCGGCTATGAAGGGGCTCAGCAAGGAAGATGTCGAAGGCAAGAACTCTGGATTCGGCACTCTGGTCAGAGAAGGTGGTGTCACAGTGTCATCAGGGTCGGCTGACGAAGACGAGGAGATGGATGATTAGTTCCCTCTGTTTCCTCAGGAGGACGAGGATGACATCTGATGGTAGCGGGACAGGCGTTTGCACGGTGACTTTTTTCTACATTCGCAACTACATTTTAGCATTGCGAGTGTCATTGGGGTCTCAGTTGGAGCAGACTGGAAGGAGTCTGGCCTGGATCAGGTAGACCATCATGATTCTTCTTTTCCTTTATGCAGTAATGTAAATGTATACGGTTTTCTACATCTTATCTCCTGTTTGCCAAAGATTCTACAGTGTACTATAGAAATGCACAAAAGCTTCCTGATCAGGGACGTGACCAGGAAGAGTCTACCATGGGTCTCCTCTCAATGGATATCCTTGTGTTCCTTGATAGTATTGTGCATTTCTATAGCTTACTCTGTTACTATGCATCACGGTGAGAGGTTGGGGATGTCGATGTCGGGAGAGAGTATGGAAAGTTCCGAAAGGGTGGGAAATTATTTTCGTGGCACGTCCGAACATCACGGCGTAGCAGCGTCGAGTGCCGCCTCTCGATACGTCTCGGGACTTGCATCTCTCGCCGACCGCCCTTCACAATATATTGACCATGCCGCCTCGTGTCGGACCTCGGGCGGGTCAAATCGCCGGATCTCAACAATGCGTCAGAACGACTGGCAATGCACGCCAATCGGTAGCAAGCCAGCGCGACTTTTCGCAATCATCAGGCCAACAATTCCACGCAACATGCAAGAACGATACACGTCTTCGCCGCAACATGTTTTCCTGGTTGAACGGACCTGGTCGCGTGTTCCGTGAGCCTCTGCCTGGCTCGACCAACTACCTGGGTGCATACGACCGAAGTGGAAACCTTATGCGCCTGAGAGCTGGTGCAGAGCAAGAGAACGACCAAGAGAACAAGGTGGATGTGTCCAAGCTCAATGACGAGGAAAAGGCACAGTACGAGAAGGAGAAGGAGGAAAAGGCAGCAGAGGACCGAAACAGCCTTCCGAGAGAAAGAGCATCCGATCTCCGACCATACCCGTTAAACAACGACTTCCGCAGTCAGAGCGTCCTGAGCGAGGAATTGCGCGAGGAAATCTACAAGAAGATTGTCGATGAGAAGGTTGATCTGTCGACTGTCAGTGCTCTGTACGGTGTCGATATGCGCCGAGTTGCTGCCGTTGTCCGTCTGAAGACGATTGAGCGAAACTGGGCCTCAGAGGTATGTCATGCTGCTATTACTTTCCTGCCCCTTACACCTGCAATGATGAGACATACAAAAATTCGATTAGTCTTTATGACACCCACATGGATACAACGCCTAATACTCTGATCTACTCAACCTCAACCAAAGCATACACAAAAAGCACGATTCACAACATATGCTGACGAGNTTGCACAGGGCAAGAAGTTGGCTACGCCATACCACGACGCAATCTTGCAGATGGTGCCACAAACACGCTTCAACCGCAAGCTCCTCGAAGATCCCAAGAAGAGCATCACACACGAGTCGATCAACGACCTTCCTGTTCATCCTTACACACGCACACAAATCTTCTACCCGACATCTGAGTCTCGCCAATTCACCCGCGCCGACGCAGCAAAGGTCTTCTCACCCACTCTTCTGCCAGCCGACGAGCGGATACCTCTGTCAGAGTTGATCGACATTGAAAAGGACGCAATCAACAACATGCCGCGTGAGGAGCGCACAGCACGCATCCGTGAGCGTACCGAGAAGAAGATGCGCGCAAAGGAGGAGAAGGAACTCAAGAAGCGTGAATGGGAGGAGAGAAATGTCAAGGTGGTCAGCAACCAGCGCTGGAACTTCCGCTTCCAGAGCATCAGCGTCGAAGAGGCCGGCAAGGACGGCCGCGGCAGAGGTGGTGTTGGATGGAGATACGGAAACCCTCATCACGACCGCGAGAAGGGTGAGATCAAGCTGCCTACCAGCGTCGAATAGACGTGGCTTGGCTCGTGGTGGTTGTACGAGTATTGTAATATATACATATCTACATGATGGAAACCGGGTGGCCTCGTGCCCGGCTCTTTCGCATACGCGCATCCTTGTGCACTGTACTTTTGTAGCATCATCAGGTCTCACACAACGTGTCATATGATAAACGTCTGAACAGCATGTGCAAAGAAGGTGCCCGAGGTAGTCAAGGGGCAGCAGACTTAGGCCGAAGTTTTTATGTAAAATGAAGCAGCAGAATAGCAACTTTCACACAGCAGCGTCGGTCTCAGCAGCCACACGCACCTTCCCGACCTGCTTCACCCCTGATATACGATACGCATTCCTACTCCCTCGACAACGCTTTACACAATGAGCCTCCTCGGCTACCTCGGGGCGGCGCTAACGTCGATCCTGGTGTCGATACCAACGCTGCACCTGCTGGCATCCGTGACGCACGCGCCGGTGCTGTCCTTTGCGGCCCGCAGCATCGCATCCTTCAGCGCCCTCATCTTTTGCGCCTGCTATGGCGTCGCCGCCTCGATTGTTCTCCGTCTGGTCGGCTATGGCGGTCTGAGCCAGTGGACCACCGCCCGTGCCTTCAAATGGACCATGTGGACTCTTACTGGCGTCGAGTTCAAGGTCAACGACAAGTATGGCGGCCTCAAGGTGCGCCCCGGTGTCTTCATCGGTAACCACCAGACGTGCGTTCTTCTCACACTCTTTCTATACGAATGGACGACTGATATGTAGTCTGCAACAGTGNAACTCGACGTCCTGATGCTCGGCTGCATGTTCCCACCCTACTGCTCTGTCACGGCAAAGAGCAGTCTAAAATGGATGCCCTTCCTCGGCCAATTCATGGCCCTCTCCAAGACCGTCTTTATCAACCGCACCTCGCGCTCCGCCGCCATGGCCGCCTTCTCCCAAGCCGCAGAGACCATGCACTCTGAGCAACAGTCCGTCTTCATCTTCCCCGAGGGCACTCGCTCCTATGCCAACACACCTACCCTTCTTCCTTTCAAGAAGGGCGCTTTCCACCTTGCTGTGCAAGCCCAGGTCCCCATTGTCCCTGTGGTTGTCGCCAACTACAGCAATGTGTTGGATGTCAAGAAGAAGACTTTCAACTCTGGCATTGTCCCGGTTTCCATCTTGAAGCCTGTGGAGACCAAAGGCTTGACCAAGGATGATGTGGATGCTTTGGTTGAGAGGGTGAACAAGGATATGGCTGAAGAGTTGGTCAGAATCACTCAAGTCGCCGAGAAGAAGGGCGTTGCTGGTAGCGATGCTTCGTCTCGTGCTGCAAAGAGCTCGGGCATGGGCATCAGTGGTTGAGAAACATCAACGTGTTTTACACCCTGAGCACACAAGACAAATTCACAAGAAGGCACGAGGCACTGGGGCTTTGTTGACTGCCACATCATACACAGTCTAAATGCACTAGCCTAGCTATCGAAAGACTCTTATGGGGAAAGGACGAAGCATGTCACGCCCCTTCCTCAGGGTAAGGAAGAGACTGAGCGAAGATCACGGTAGACTTTACACAGGAGGTTGTTACAGAACACCCGCCGGTTGCTCTTTCCTCAAATCTCCATCGAGCCATAGCGCAGCCATACCTCCCTAGCATAAAATTGCATAACACATAACACTATATAGCGACCCTTACACATTCAAATGATGATTGCTCCTTCCTTCCTCGGTCCAGTGTGGTCTGCTTACCTCGCTGCATCTCTGGCTACACTTTGTCTTGCTCTTAGTGTTTCTTACACGCCTTGATTGCAGTATACATTTGGCAACGAACACATACCCCCATCCTCGACGACTCTATGACATGAGCACCACGTCTTTGCTGCATTTTTCTTTCACTTCCAATATTTGCTATCCTTAGTATGCATCTAGCACGAAACACGGTCCTTCTTCCTTCTATTATAAAGATCATCTTATGGTAGTTTTCTTAAAAGTTATTGTGCAGACTTGCAGTGCACCCACATGCAAGTCATCTTTGAAGAAGGAACGAGCAATTCGAACTGACAAGACAACGACGATGAATTAAATCACCGAGACGCTAAATGCAAAAATTAGCAAATATTCGGCAGCGAACAGCATCATTCCCCTTCTGAACTCACAGATTTGGGATCCGAAGGCCTGGATGTAAAGCTATGCATTGTTGGGCATGAAGAACATCTCCTTGATATGGCCCATGGCACCTTGGCCCATGGTGGCTTCCTGCTCTTCGTGAAGTTGGTGCTCGATATCAGCGATGTCTTCCTGTACAACCTTGTGATCGATAGACGGTCCACGGAAACGAGCCAGATCCGTGACAAACATCCAGAATACTCTTTCTCGTGGACAACGATAGTCGAATAAAAACATAGAACCTTTTCATTTCTTCCAATTCTCACAATAACGTGTAAGACGCCCTGTCTTTGCCATTCAATAGCCCCATCTAAACCTCTGTATCTGTTTGCGGTGATGCTGGCTCGTCAGCCTCGTCTGCTGCGACGGGTGCTGCATTTGCCTCTGCTTCCTCGGTCTCTACACCCTCTTCCGCAGTCTCCTCTTCTTCTTCTTCTTCTTCTTCTTCTTCTTCCTCCTCTGCTTCTGCCTCGGCTTCTTCATCATCGCCGACATCAATCAAGTCATGGCTTTTGCTGCCTCCATCCTTCTCAAGCTGGAGATATGAGTCCCACTCGGGGAAAAGGTCCGCATCGCCCTCGCCATCGGTAGGCGGTACACCCAATAGTCTGGCAACCTTGGCCTTGCCATTTGACTCGAGTCCTTGCTTCCATAGCTTGGCAATCTCTGGTGCCCGGCTGGGGAGGTAGGTTTGAGCGAAGAGAACGGCCTCGGCGGTACGGTCGGTACGGACCAGGAGGTCGATACATGCGTTCAAGTCGCCGACCTGCCACAAGCAGCTGAAAGCCACGTTACGAGCGCCAGCATCGTCGGCCTGTTGGGCCAGTCTTCTCAAACCAGCCTCGTTGCAACTTGAGGTGTAGAGTAGGAGCAAACTGCCCATGTCCTTTGCGTGTGTGAAGCATTCCTCTGCAAGGCGCATGTTCCAGGTTGTGAGTGCGGCATCACCGACAGTCTTCCACTTGTGCTCGACATCGGCCTCACGAGCGAGCTCGAGAGCAATGTCCAATTGGTTCAAGCTGAGTGCAAGATCGAAACGGTGCTCAGAATCGGTAGCGACCTCCAAGGCTTGCTCCTTGTAACCTTGGCCTTCAAGGAAGCGAGCAATCTTCGACTTTTGGTCTTCAGGGATATCGGCGAGCATCTCATTGGCGGCATCAAGATCACCGCGCAAGACAAGCGTTTGGTACTCAATGACTGACAGCGAGAGAGCAAAGGAGACGATCTGGACATCCTTGTCGGCAATGTAAACACGGCCATCGCGAGGGATGTAACCAAGAACGTAGTGGGGAGAGTCGAAGTGTGAGATGGTGTAAGTTTGGTCACCAACAAGGTAGTTCAGGCGGTTAGTGCTGTTAGTGTAGACGAAGCAGTCACCGACCCATTGACCAGTGCGGACACTNAGGTTTTCTATTAGTATACATTGGTGAAACGTTGGATGTGAGGAGACATACCTCTCGTTGACATCAGTGACGACCTCGAAGGCGGCCTCGACGCCATCCTCGTCAGCCTCTCCTGCTTGAAGAGCGTTCTGGTACTCCTCGCGAGAGAAGCGAAGAACGTAGAATGTGTCTTCGCAAGCAAGAGTGACAAGCTCGCCGCTTTCTGACCAGTAAACNCTGAGCAAAGTGTTAGCTCCCGAGTAAATCACATGTAAACAAAAACTTACGTTCTTGGGGTCGACCTCAATTCTGCGGACAAGCTGACCTGTCTCCCAGTCAAAGAAGCCAACACCACCCTGACCCTTAACACCGAGCAGAACACCACCGCTGAGACCTTCTGCTTGGAAACCAATGTCAAGAACTGCCTTCTCCTTAAAGTTGCGGAAAGTCTTGACAGACATGGAAGACTCGCGGATAGCATAATCCTTGTCGTTCTCCTTGGATCCCCAAGCAAAGTCAAGAGCAGAGCCAAAGGCCTGGTTTCTCAGGATAAGAGCGGTGTAGATGATGTATTCGCCGTCTCCACAGACAGCGACGAAACGACCGTTGGGAGAGTGAATGAGAGTCTGGGGNTAGATTTCGGTAGAGCCAAGGTCCTTTGAGGGCAGAGTAAGAGGGGAGCCATCTGTCAAAGATTTGTCTCCCCCNTTGATAACAGCAGTCAGGATATCGTTGTGACGGGCCCAGATGATCTTTCCAGAGTTGTCCATGGATACAGCGGGCTCTTCACGACCCATCTTGACAACGACAGCACCATCATCGAAACCCATAGCAATACCTTGGCGGCTGCGCTGGTAGCTGACACACCATGCACGTTCTAGACCATAGTTGAGGGACTGTTCCAGACGGTATGTGTTTGCGTGCCAGATCTTGACGGTGCCATCCTCGGAACCGGAGATGATGACGGGCAACTCGGGATGGTAGCAGGCGAAAGAAACGTTGCTGGTGTGACCCTCGAGGGTTGCGATCAGAGCCTTTGTGGTGTAGTCCCAAATCTTGACAGTGCGGTCGTCCGAGGTGGTAAGCAAGTAAGGCTTGTCGGACTGAGGGTAGTAGTCGACGTGGTTTACACCCTTAGTGTCATGTGCATCGAGGGTGTAGTTTGCGGTGCTTGAGCCCAGACTCCAGATCTTGACGGTGCGGTCCAAACAAGCCGAAGCGAAGGTGTTTGTGTCCTTGGGGTTGATGGCCAGACCCATAACATAGTGGCTGTGGCCCTCGAAGATCTGCACGCATTTCCATCCTCTCTCCCAGTCCCAAAGCTTGATTGTCATGTCATCCGAGGCGGTCAGCACGAAGGGCTGTGTGGGGTGGACGACTATCGCACGGATGTAGTCGGGGTGTGCCTCGAACGAGGTAATCTTCTCGGAAGTGTTGTAGTTGTAGACGCGTAATTGGAAGTCATCGGAGCCGCAAACGATCCAGTTTTTGCGCGCAATGAAGCGACCAGCTCGTACAGGTACATCGGTGAGTTCGAATGTCTTGACGATGGCTTGTGTCTCGTACGACCAGATGTATACATGGCCTNNGTGATTCGTGTCAGATTCGGAGTCTAGGTACGTCTAGCGATTAGGCATACCGCTGTAGAGGGTTGTGAGGATCTATGTTTCGTTAGTCAACAATGTCTCTCCCTTGAGGCTTTGTTCTTGAGGACTTACCCATGGCTCGGTAGGATGGAAGTCGATGCCCTTCACTCGCTCAGAGCGGGCGAAGAGTTGTCTCTGTATGTCGATGTGCGTGTGAGCCGTGTCCATCGCGGTCGTGTTGAGTGTTGGCTGGTGGTTCTCACCTTCACGTCCAGGCGCATTCTGGCCACTGGTCCAGCTTATGCAAGGGGTAATGTCCTGTCTGTCCCGGGGAGTTCCTGGCTCTTGGCTCGCTGTGTCCCTGGCGGTTGCGAAGCGACGATACAAATTAATGGCGAGATACAATTCAATCTTGTTGCTGGTGGTAGCTGTAGCTGTAAACTTGTCCACTCCCTAACTCCACCATGACGCACAGACCACCAACCCCTGCTTCCTGGCTGGCGACTTCTCCTCGAAGCCTCCAGCTGTCTCCACTCTTTACATCTGAACATTTCTCGAACACAAGTCAACAACCTGATGCATATACAAACAAAGGAGCATCATCATGCGAACACGATGAGATATTGGGACACATCTGGCAAAATTGTGAGGCAGCCCTGAGTAATAGTCTGATTGCTTTTGATAATAAAGGAAAGAACAACCAATCCTTCCTTCTTATTGTGAGGACACGCCTAATGTCTTTGTTCAGCCTCATGGCTCATCGACATGCGACTAGGCGTGGCAGGCCTGCTCGTCCTGTTGCCAAACGCAATGTTTTCTCTCAGCGCGATGTACTCACTATCCGCATAACCCAAAGCACCATGGATCTCTGTGCTCTTGAGGCCGCGAATCCTCTTAATCTCCGCTGCTGAATAGTTGACCAACGCTCTGCCAACTTCGAAGGGTGCGGGATCTTCCTTCTCATACTCGAAGGACCCTTTCGACTTGCGCTGCACCACTACTATTCGTACGGCTTCCTGCTGTGCAAAGTTCCCCTCAACCTCTACCACGCCTGCTGGTAACAGGCCAGCTTTGTCAGCCAGTGCTCTGTGTGCGCCTTTGTCGATGTAGACTGTGCCGTGTGGAGCGAGACCATACAGCAGCCAGAAGTATCGGTCTCTGATGGGATGAAGGTCGGGGATGAAGCGAGTGTGTAGTGGAGGCAACGAAGGCGCATCGAGCTTGGGCGATATGGCGCCATTTGTGCTTGATACTTCATTGACAACTGCTTTCTTTACCAGCGAAGAGTCCTCCAGATTCAAATTGCTTGTTGAATTACTCAAAGATTCTGAGCCCTCTGTCGAACTCTGTCGTGACGAGCGTTTAGCTGCGAGTTCTTCTGCCTTNTTCGATTCGGTATATGCGACAATGTTGGCAATATTTCCAGGCTTGTCCGAGCGAGTAATGATGGTCGTTACACCCGCGGAAGTTGCTAGTCGAGCAGCGGTGATCTTAGTGGCCATGCCGCCAGTGCCTACAGAAGAGCCGGCACTCGAGACATCGGCGACCAGGTCTCCGATATCCTCGACAACCTCAATGGCTTTTGCGTTGGGATTTGAGCGAGGGTTGCTGTCGTACAGACAATCCACATCGGTCATGAGGAACAGGTAGTCGGCCTGTACCATGGCAGCTGTAATGGCAGAGAGTGTGTCGTTGTCACCGAACTTGATCTCAGCAACGGACAAGGTGTCGTTCTCGTTGACAATAGGAATGACACCCATGTGAATCAGCTCGATAAAAGTGTTCTGAGCATTGAGGTATTGAGTGCGGTCGGCGATGTCGTTTCTTGTGAGCAGAATCTGAGCGATTGGCTGTCTTCTGTGCATGAACAACTGATCCCAAAGACTCATGAGCTTGCACTGTCCGATGGCAGCCAGAGCTTGAACCTGAGGAAGGTGTTTCGGTCTGCGTTCCATCTCCATATGACCGAGAGCGACGCCAATGGCACCGGACGACACAATGACTACGCGATGTCCATCTTTCTGTAGTTTGCAGGCGGTTTCGACAATGGTGGAGAGGATTGAGAGGAGGGGCTCGTGGCTCTTTTCATCAACAATTGACGAGGTGCCTATGCGCGACAGTCAGCATTGGAATGTAAGAGGGTCGACAATGAAGATACCAAGTTTGATGACAATAGTAAGGTGCTTCTTCATGGTGCAGTTTCTTCTGTGCAGAAGCAACCGCAAGTATTGCAATTCACATGTCTGTTATAGACTCGGAATGACGGGTGAATCATCATTTGTAGGGCGGAAACAGAAGGCGGGGCGGCACTCCGTCACGGCCCGCCAATCGCAATCCATGTCTATTCTGAGGCCTCCGCTCCGCGAGCATCGCAAAGAACCAATCTGCCATCACAGTTCCCTCAACATACCAGGAATCATGTCGCAAAGCAACACAGACTCACTACCGGAGACTACAACGGCCAACTCGCCCACCGCTCCGACACTAGACCAGGACTTTTACACCTGGACCACCTTCTTCAACATTCTGACCGGAGGCGCAACGCCGCAAGAAAGAGAAGCCTACTTCGACATCAAAGACACAATCAACGAGGAGCGCGACATTAAGCGCGCAGAAAAGAACCGCAAATGGCTGCTCGAGTACTCGCCCATAGTGAGGTTTATGCGCCACAACATCAACTTGCTCGGCCATGACTTGAATGAGACAAACATGCGCGTTAAGCGCTGCACCACACAACAGAGCGGTGGCTTTGACCCAGAGTTTGGAATCTTATTGTGCGCGAACAAGTTCAGGAATAGAGGACATATGGAAGATACCATGGCGCATGAGATGGTCCACGCTTACGATCATCTGAGGTTCAAGCTAGATCCTCTGGACCTCAGACATGCTGCCTGTATGGAGGTTTGTTGAACCATGACTCTGCCATAATTAAGAGTACGTCTAACCATCTTTTAGATCCGCGCATCGACTTTGTCAGGAGAATGCCGCTTTGGCCGCGAGTTCTTCACTCGCGGACAGTGGANNAACATCACACAGCAGCTGCAAGAGTGTGTACGAAGGAGAGCCACCTTGTCGGTTGCCAACAGACCAAGCTGCAAGGACAATGCACACGCTGCTCGAGTCGTCGACGAGGTCTGGGACAGCTGCTTCAACGACACCAGACCATTCGACGAGATCTACAAGTGACCTGCTTCTAGAAATCCTTTCTACATCTCTCCTCCTTTTGTTGCATAGCATTGGCGTTAATACCCAAGTCTTGATCTCTTCACCAAACTCACAAAATAGTCATGGTTGTGCTAAAGATACGATGTTGAGTCTTGTCAAGATCTTGTGAATTGGAGACAATCGTCTCGTTCGATTCGGAAGACAGCTCTCCCCATGTGTACAGAAACTCAACAGTGCATCATCCGATGGATTATGCTCAATCCAGAACGCCCCTCCCTTTCATGCATCTTGCCTCGCAGGCGCGCCCTGAACGCCTATAACAAACTGAAGCCCCGGATATCCTAGAGAAATGCAACCTACCTTGAACCCCCTTGATCGTAATTATGCCACCGGTCTTTGACCTCATTCGCTTGGGCGCTGTTTATTGCTGCTGGCAGAGGTTCTGTTATATGCTCTCTCGCCCTTGACACAGTGCTTGATAATCCAAGGATGTTGCTCCACCTCGTGTAATGGGATTCTCTTTTCCGGGTCTAGAACGAGCAANCTAAGATCTTGTTAGTCATCTGATTCTCGGCACTGTAAACTCGAAATTGCGCGTACCTTCTTGATCAAGTCTTTTGCTTCGGCGCTCACGAATGGAGGAATTGTCATTTCTCCACGAGCGATGCGTTTTGTGTCATGGAAGGANGTGTCCTCGAAAGGTGCTTCTCCCACCAAGAATTCGTACGTCAGGACACCCAAACTCCACAAGTCGACCTTCTCGTTGTACCAGTTCTCGTCCTTACCGGGCTTCAACATCTCTGGGGGCAGGTAGTCGAGAGTTCCGCACATGGTGTTTCTCCTGTTGTTGGGAGCGTGCACCGACCAGCCAAAGTCACTAATCTTGATTTCGCCGTGAATGCCAACCAGAATATTCTCGGGCTTGATGTCACGGTGAATGACGTGCTTCTTATGCAGGTACTTGAGAGCAGCGCACATTTGGGCGACATACGAGGCGGCCTTCCATTCTGGGAAGCGCTGTTCGCGGCGCAAGTGCTTGTAAAGTTCACCCTTGCCAGCGAATTCGAGAATCAAAAAGATGCGCTTGCTGTCGTGGAAGTGGCCGAAAAGACGGAGGATGTTGGGGTGGGCAAGATTCGACTGAATCTCAATTTCTCGGCGGACCTGTTTCTCGACCTTTCCTTGCTGGAGCTCAATCTTGTGTAGTACCTTGAGCGCACAGACGAAGCCACTAGAGCGTTCTCGCGCCAGGTACACTCTTCCAAACTTGCCCTTGCCGAGAGGTTTGCCAATTTCAAACATGCCGAGATGGAACTGTCTAGGCGTGGATGGTTGTTGAGGAATGGACGATAGCATAGACTGGGGGTCTGAGCGGCGGGGCTCCGAGTCGGATGATCTTTGCGCTGCCTGAGATGGAAGGGTGATTTTTGCGATTGTGGCGGCTGTGTTTGCGCCATTGGCAGAGTATAACGAGTTCTTCGCGGCGTTGGCAGGCAGCTTCTGCAATGGCAGCTTCAATCGGTTTGCTGCGGCAGCGGCGCCCAAGCTAGAGATAGAGATGGAGCCCTGTGTCTGATGTCAGTCACAATCCTTGTCATATGGTGTATTGCTGGCGCCGTCGCTGTACCTTTGACTTGTGTGAGTTTTGATCGTGGTTCTCGTCGTTGACTGAGATGCCCTCGAAGCGGGACTCGAGTGACTGAACGTCCATGGTTACAGGCGGGATGAACCAAGTTCCAGTAGTTGCTGTGTAGTTAGTAAGTGGTTGGTGTTGTTCGAGATGGGCGACGGACGGTTTTCAGAGAAGGAATCAAGTCTGTTGTTGACAAAACAAAGATGGCGCCCGGCAACCGACGCCAAGCCTTCTCCAGCAATCGCCGCTTGCATGGCCGCATCACTCGCATCGAGATTCGACATGAGAGAGCTTCTATTAGATCAGATCAAATCATATCACCAACGATAGAAGTGTTCTCCGTCTTGATAAATCTGACTAGATCACCATGGCTTCCAACGGAGAACAATCAGACACTCAGGGTGTTGATACTATCGTCTCGCGCAACAAGCAATGGAGAATCAGTACGCGCAAGAGACCTATCCTTAAGGCTGGCCCTATAGATGCCATGAACGAGAAACTTGGTATTCCTGTACCTGAGATGATTTTCGGTGATAATCTCGTTGCTATCGAGCATGTCCCTTCTGGCTGGGCCGTTGACTTCAATGCTTTCAATGCTCTTGACCGCGTCTCCAAGACCGCCGATGGCATGTTGCAGGTTGCATATTCCAAGGAGTGGCAGAAAGACCGGTATGTGCTGCTTGAACTCATTATCCAAATCAAGATGAACAGCGCTAACCTTGCTAAACTTACCAGCCAACACCACCACGAGGGCATCAAGGAAGTCGTCAAGCCATTCGACTGGTCATACAGCACAGACTTCAAAGGTCACACTCACAGCCCGGATCCTGCTGTCGTCTGGCAGCCAACTGATCAGTCCAAGGATCCCATCAGAACTGATCTTCTCTCGCGTCCGGACCCTATACTGTTCTACGACGATGTCATCTTTTACGAAGACGAGTTGGCTGATAATGGTATCGCCATCTTCAGCTGCAAGATCCGTGTCATGGCCGAACGTCTTCTAGTCTTGTGTAGGTTCTTCCTGCGTCTAGACGGAGTCATTGTGCGCGTCAGAGATACACGAATCTATATCGAGTTGGGTTCCAACACTGTGATTCGACAGTACACGGCCAAGGAAGAATCATACGATGTCGTCCAATCCAAGCTACAGATGCACAGAGAAAACATCCCGGAAGTCCTGCGTGATGCCAACCGCATCGCCCCTCTTCTGCGGACTGTTGAGGATACTATGGACAAGGTCATCATTCCTTGAGTTTACAAAAGCACATCTAGCAGATCTTCGGTTCCAGCACCAAGCAAAACAGTCTGGCCATGCCTTGCCCGCTTTCCCGTGGTCAACTGTTCGAATGAGGTCAAAGACCTCCGTTCCAACCTCCAAGAGTTAAGCGCCGAATGGTACCTGGTACACAACGCCTTTACGGCTGAGGCGCAGTCTGCGATCTGCTATTCCCTCCACGCACATGTCTCCGGCGGATTCGAACAGTTGCGTCTCGAGGGGAGAGGCTTTTCTTCCCCAGGTGGAACCGACACGAGTTGCTCCGATCATTGCATCTACCCTGGTGACCCCGCCTTCGTTCGGGAGGGACCGTGAGTGTCCATCTCGTTCAACGGCACGAGTCGATACACCGTGGGACGATGTCACGCTATCGAGTGAATGTCTGTGGGTCCTCTCTCGTGACAGGGGGCCTTCAAACCTGGCTAGTACGCGATTGCAAGTCATATCCAAGCGCGAATAGATTAAGCGCGCGGTGCACCCCACAATATCAAAATCCCTTTCAGACATCAGACAGAAACCCATCTTTGAATCCATCTTTCAACCATTGCGGCATACGATATCGCATATCAATTGCTTTTTCAAGGTCCCGTATACACCCGAAGTATCGAAGTATTGCAAGCCAAAGTCAAAGAGAAGCAAGCAGGCCAAGAAAGCCTTCGCGAGCTTCAAAGGGCTCTGGTCCAAGGCGGTTGAACGTTCAACAGTCTTCTCTTGCCAAGAAGCGGAGCCAATCCTGCTGCAAAATTGCTTACCGATACCAAGAAACGTGGCGCCGGACTTCACCTGATGACCATTGTTTGCCGTCTGGCCACATGCACTGAGCCATGGACCAACCACAATAATGAAGAGGTTCAGAAGTGGTATCATCAACACAGACGATGTCACATAAACTCATCTCTGACACGACTAAGAACCAATTAGCCAGATATTCCTAGCCCAAAGCTTCCGAAATATACGAGTGTCAGCCACTTGGAGATTTTTGTTGGTGTTCGGCATGCCGAAGTTGCAACATTACCGACTCGGGAAGAACGCCCCTGGCTCAGACGCAAGAATCCTATTCACCGTCTGCCAAGTCACTTCTGTACGGAGTCTCCACTCTTCAGGCCACCGCACGGCAACACACTATCGATTGAGAACATGGATGTTTCTCGGCATGGACTGAAGGCCATGCCCAGTCATTGTGCCACCGATACTCGACCTTGGAGGTCTTGTGCAACCTGAGAGCCGGGTCTGTTGTAGCATGAAAGAGACGAGGAGACCGCCGTCGAATAAGAAAACCTCGTGCGCTTGCTATCGAAGCACGTTTCATTCGGTACATGCACAGACCATCGGCCCCGGTCGTAGAGTCTATGGCCCACAGTACGCCCCGGACTCTCCGCATTGATAGCCATGCCCCAGAAAGAAGTCAAAACAGAACGCGTTGATCGCTGATGCAAGGCTCAATCGATGCGGAGTACTGCCTCAGTGACTTACTACGCTACTACGGGATCTGGACAAAGCAGAGCCGCAGGTTAGACAGTGAAATGCGGCTACAGACCCTTGGCCAGAATATCTGGACTTCTCGCCGGGCGTTGCATTAGGAGTCGGTCAGCACCGAAAATAAAAGGTTCCGAAAACGAAACAAGCAGGCACACCACCGACCGCCACGCGCCTTGGCCATACCCCACGCTCCTCTTGGCACATAGAGTTCTCCTTGGCGATCGGCTACACACCCCACGCGACTGGGGGTCTGGGGATAGTCCTTTCTCCAGATCAATGGATTTGGGCTGTGGAGTCTGCCTGGAATGGTCAGACCGTTCGCCAACCGACGGAGAATGGAATGAGAAGGAGGTACGCGGGGCGCACAGAGCCTGAATGGTATAAAGCAAGGCAGGTCTGCTACCATCATTCACCATCCCACTTCTCACTACCTCTCTTTCCCATCCTCCTCTTCTCACCTCTCAATCCGACAATATGGGTGCTGGAGGCAAGCCAGTCAATATCTTCACTTTCAAGAAGAACGGAAATGAACCCNCAGAGGTTCTGAACTGGAAGCTATGGTTCGCTGTTCTCTCTTTCGGTATCATGGGTGCTGCCCGTGGTATCGATGAGGGTTTGATCTCTGGAACTTTTGCAACCAAGCACTTCCAAAACTCCCTTGGCCTCAACAAGCTCGACACCGTAGACCTTGCTCAGGTCAAGGCCAACGTTTCCGCCATGGTACAGATTGGCTCGGTTGGAGGTGCCCTCTTGGCATTCGTCCTTGCTGATCGCATCGGTCGTCTTTGGGCCACTCGCCAGCTCTGCCTCGTGTGGATGCTCGGTATCGTTATCTTCATGACCTCCACTGTTGGCGGAGGCAGGTTGGGACAGGTATATGCCGGTCGTTTCATCGCTGGTCTGGGTATTGGTCAGACTACAGTCATCGCTCCTGTCTACAGTATGTCCCCCACATCTCAGACAATTGAATCAGCTAACTTATACTACTACANNGTCTCTGAAATCGCTCCCAAGTCTGTGCGTGGTTTGTGCACCTGCGTCTTCTCCGGTTCCGTCTACATCGGTATCATGCTTGCCTACTTCGCCTCTTGGGGCAGCTCTCTCCACATCAGCAAGACTTCGCCCAACTCATGGGAGGTTCCTACCTCAATTCACTTGATGTTCGCTGGTCTCATCTTCATCCTTTCGTTCTTCAACTACGAATCACCTCGTTACCTGATCAAGGCCGGTCAACGCGAGCATGCAGTAGCCAACCTGGCTCGTGTCCGTGGACTGCCTATCGACCACGAGGTTGTGCAGGCCGAAATCGCCGATATCGAGAACCAACTTCACGAGGAGCAGGAAGCCACCATGGGACAAGGTGCCATGGGCTACATCAAAGAGATGTTCTTCATGCCCAATAACGCCTACCGATTGTACATTGGACTTGGTTCTCAAGTGCTTTCTCAGTGGTCTGGTGCTCAATCTATGGTAAGTCGTCGCAGCATACCATTTCTGTTTTGAAAAAAATTAAAAACTAATTTCATTCTAGNNACCGTTTACGCTCCCGACTTCTTCGCTCTTCTCGGAACCAAGGGCCAGAACGAGAAGCTCTTCGCCACTGCCATCTTCGGTGTTGTCAAGTTCATCGCTGCCATCGCCTGTGCCCTCTTCTTGGTCGACTGGATCGGTCGCAAGCGCTCTCTCAGCATCGGTATCGCCTGCCAGGCCATCAGTATGGCTTACGTCGCTGCCTTCCTTACTGCTGTCCCTGGCATTGAAGACAAGGGTTTCGAGTTCAGCAAGAGCCAGAAGTCTGCTTCCACAGTCGCCCTCGTCATGATCTACCTTTCCGGTTTCGGTTGGGCCATGGGTTGGAACTCGATGCAATACCTCCTCAACGCTGAGATCTACCCTCTCCGTATCAGAGCCATCTCCTCCTCGCTGGTCATGTGCTTCCACTTCGTCAACCAGTACGGTAACTCGCGCGCTGTTCCTCTCATGCTCCTCGACCACAAGGAGGGCGGTCTCGGCCCTGCCGGTACTTTCTGGCTCTTCACTGCCATCACCATCATCGGTGGTATCTGGGCCTGGTTCACCATCCCCGAGACCTCTGGCAGATCCCTCGAGGGTATCGACAAGCTGTTCGAGCTTCCCTGGTACAAGATCGGTCGCTTCGGTGCCCAGGAGGCCGAGATCAGCGACCAGTACGAGGCCGACAAGATCGACGAGAAGAAGGCCAACGTCCAGGTCATCGAGCGCGTTGTCTAAAGCGGAACTATGTTTGGGGATCTGGTCAGATCTGGTTTTATGGGACTCGACAAGCTGTTTTTGGAAAAGCCTCTGTCATGCTACGAATTGTATATACCTTGTGTCACGAAACACTCATGAACATATATTTCTTCACTTCAATTTTTGATTCTTGTCTCATTCTTTCTCGATAGTGACTGCGTGACGATGGCTCGGTATACTGTGTTCCGATATTTGACCATCAGAATCTGTCGATGGCCTCGTGGCCTATCGGTCGACTGTCGTCCGAGGTGGTCTGCACACCCATAACCTTAATTTTTAAGGTACTTTACAAAGGATTCCGACACAAACCCCGCATCATAGCTGTTGATAGCTTTGGTCGTGACTCTCTGTTCTCTGACCTGAAACTGGAAATTCAAAATGGCAACCGGGATATCGAATCTCTCATGCCTTCTGTACGATCCCCATGATGCTAGATTTGAAGAACGGGAAATGCCTGTGATCAGTGATCCTCACGATGTGATCATTAGAATTGCATATGTTGGTGTTTGTGGCAGTGATGTAAGTCAGTCGAGTCATAGTCATATCCTCTATTCTATCTACATGGAGGGACGAAACCAAAGGCATGAACTCTAAGCACGATGTCCAAGCTGACAACATCAGGTTCATTTCTGGCACCAGGGCGGAGTAGGCCTAAAAGTCTCTNCCTCCAATCCCTTGACAATGGGTCATGAAGCCTCTGGAATAGTCCACAGCGTTGGATCTGCTGTAACAANNCTCTCTCCCAACGACAATGTCTGCATCGAACCCGGCCTCNCCTGCTCTCGCTGCAAATCCTGCAAATCTGGTCGCTATAACCTTTGCCCTGACATGGCTTTTGCAGCTTCGCCTGGCCCTGGCCCTGCTACCCATGGTTGTTTGTGTGCTTACTATAAACTCACCGAAGCTTTTGTTTACAAGTTACCAACGAGCGTGAGCTTGGAGGAGGGAGTGCTTGTGGAGCCGCTGGCTGTTGCTGTGCATTCGATCAGATTGGCAGAGGTCAAACCAGGGCAGAAAGTCGTGGTGTTTGGAGCTGGCCCTGTGGGGATTCTGTGTGCTGCTGTGGCTCGTCAGTTCGGTGCAGTAGAAGTCATATCTGTGGATATGAATGCGGCGAGACTGGAATTCGTCAAGAACTTTGCTGCCACGGGTGTCTTTACACCAGATACGAAAGCGGACGGAGCAACCAACGCTGCAGCGATTGTCGAGAAGTTCCAATTCGATCGCGGAGCTGATATCGTTATCGAGGCTTCTGGCGCCGAGCCTTGTGTTCAAGTAGGCATCCATGTGTTGGCACCTGGAGGTACATACGTGCAAACAGGTTGCGGAAAGCCGAACGTGATGGTGCCGATGACGAAACTTGGCGAGAAAGAGGCAGTGGTCAAGGGATGCTTCAGGTACGGAACTGGTGATTTCGAGTTGGCCATTGGGTTTTTGAAGGATGGTAAGATTGATGTCAAGAAGTTGATCTCGAGAACAGTCGCATTCGAAGAAGCACCTGATGCTTGGGAGAGTGTAGGCAGGGGCGAAGGGATCAAGACCTTGATTCGCGGTGTTCAGCATTAAGAGTGTGGTCCTCGCTGAAACTGGAGGAATTTGCTCTAAGAAAGAAGCTGCTGAACGCTGCCTGAATATGGTTGTTCAGAGCTGATGGTCATAAAGTTGATGTTTTACGATGCTAACGGAAGGGTTCTGGTTGTTGAGAACGATTGGAATACTGTATGCCGAATCGTTCCGAGCCGTGATGAAGTCAACAAAAATTTCACAAAATCTTTTCTCTGTTTTGTTCACCCTTGTTCTTGCACACTACAATACACTCGACAAATGCTTTGCTAGATGTTTTGATGATCGGCTCAACGAGTCGCCTTGTTCCTAGGGAAGGACGCATCCAGAGCACGATCATTCGTGAATCTGCTTGCCGACTGCGATGCGACAACCATGAACGGCGGCGGCAGGTTCGAACATTGTTGCCAGAGGACTTGCTCTGCGACGCAGTATTCTTGTTGCGTCGGGAAGCACAATATTGTATACAAAAAGCCTTAATGGTCTAGTGGTATGATTCCTGCTTTGGGTTTATCTAAATTGCAGGAGGTCCCCGATTCGATCTCGGGTTGAGGCCTTTCTTTTGCATTTGTCTTAGTGACATCCCTTGCATACTACATTTTTGCATCCATGAAGCCTTAGCAATTACTGTCTACAACAGATTTCACATTACTAGCACACGCACGGGTCATGAATGAGGAAACGGAGTTGGAAGTCCATAAGATTTTAAAAGGGAAAAAAAATGAAATGTTTATATTGTGATAAAATACTTCAAGCAACTCCCTGATTTGAGAGGCAAAAGAAAGACCTACTAGAACCATCTTGTTGCTTACTTAACTCTCCAGTAAAGAAGTTTCAACTGCAGTTGTAGCAGCACCAACCTACAAGTGATGAGTAGTAGCACGTTCTACCACACCATCTGCACTTTGGAGGTGGAGGCTTAGGGGGTACCCGGTATTGCCCATATCTGATCGTAACGAGTTTGTGGTGTTAAGTGTCCGAAGTGGTAAGTGTTGAGATTCTGTAGGCTGTTTGTGTGTGAGTTGCTTGGTGCCCTGGATATCTGTGAAACTTGATGCTGGTTAAGTATTTTTCTGATACTGTGGACATGCTGCTTGACCTTCTTTGTCTCATGGTTGTCGAGAACAAAGGCACAAGGTAGGGAGACAAGGTCAGGTCGATCACGAAAGAAGAAGAGCCCAAGGGGACAACGAGATATCACCCTTTCAACCTTTTACAAGGACACTTTGTCCAATGAAATCTATTGTGTTGATTCGTTTGGAGGCCAGACAAGGTCATTGTTAGGAACATCGCGAACACAATTCCTTTTGAAACGCTTAGGGCAACACAACCCTTGGAGAGATTGTCTATATATAGGAGGATATCATCAGTCGCTCTCAGACCAGATCCAAGACTACCATCCGACCACCAATAGCTAAACACCACACCAACACAAACCCCTTTGACATACACAAAGCAAAGATGTGCAACAAGAACACCTCTATCTCTAGTATTGGCATCACTCTTAGTAATGACGCCCCGATATGCGATTGCGGTAAGACTTGTGTTTGGGCCCCCTCTTCTCCTGAGTCCGTCTGGTTTTGTGTTTGTTGTAAGCGCTACTACTTCTAAAGTATATCTGCTCTAGGCGGGTGTGATTAGGTGTAATTGTTTCGGATCTAATGGTAAGTTTCCCTTGATGAGAGGGGTGTCGAATGAATACAACTTTTTTTGTTTTTGCTAAATCACTTATCCTGTGCACATTTGCTTCGTAAAACAAAAGGTGATAGCGGAATCTCCTAGGACGGACACGTTTCCCATGGGAAGTGATCGACAAGCGTACGTGACAAAGAGTCTGTACAACAATGAATGTATTTCGAGTTTTGAGAAGCGACCTGATCACGCTCACGCAATTTGACAAGGTGACTCGGCTTGGAAGATTCTACATGCAACGAAGATTGTCTGCATGAATTACACATATGTCCTCCTGACATCAGACTATAGAGTGGGAAAGCACAATCGTAAATCATCTTTACTAGATTTGTACCACAAACAGAGAACGTGGAAAGACTTGAAGCATGAGTAGAAGACAACCGGGATTTCGCATGACATTACAGTAGAGCAGTGGTTGACAAAACAGATAGACTCATACATACCTCCATAGTGTCTTTACCTACCAGAGGCAAGACAAACTAACCAAATTAAGTCGATGAAGCATTAGCACGCATAGCCCTTATAGAAGCCATCATGTCTCGAATCTCCTGCAAGCTAGCACTGACCATTTCAACGCCGACATGGTTCAGCAGACTCTCGAGTCTCAAATCCCATACCTCGGCGGTTCCCAGCGTATTGTCTTGATCGACGTATCCTTCCATCTCTCTAATGATAGACTGACGCTTGTGCTCGAGCAATGCCATCTGTGGTGAACTGGGCAGCAGATCGATCTCTTCACGGATTGCCAGGAAAGAGCGCGCAAGCAAGTCCATACGAGAGAGCCTTTGCTCTTGATCAAACAGGAAGGACTCGATGACCTCGGTCGCATAGTCCAGTATTCTGATGGTGTCAGTGGGTGGATTCTGGTTCAGAAACCTACGGATGTCTTGTCTACGCTTCTTTGCAACGTGCATGAGCTGCTGATAACGCCTCGTGGCACGTCTGTGAGCTGTGCTCAGGATTTTCACGCCTTCCAGCGGGTTATCGCGCACTAAAGTAAGATCATAAGAAGGCGGGCTGGGTATTTCGTTCATCGCATCCTCGTAACTAGGCAACTCGTCAGCAGATCCTGCAAGATTCTCAACATTCGAAAACGACTCATAGGCTGTCGGTTCAGGAAACTGGACTCTGTCTACTGGGATCACGGGCTTAGTGTCAGAGAAGCCTGGGTGAGCAAAGGGCTCTGGATAAATGTCGTCAGGGTTGCCTCCATCGTAAGCCTCAGTCTGGCATGTTTGGCATGAGCAGTATGTGATTAGCTTGGAGATGATAGGGTTCTGGCAGACAGGCGAGTCCACTTCGCAAAACTCAAGTTGACAACCTAGCCAGTTGATCTCAAGAGCAGTCTCCTGGCGGCACAATTCGCAAAAGTTGTGATCCTGAACTCCCCAGCACATGGTTGGTGTAAACTTCGAATTGAGTTTCTAGTTGGTTGTTAGTGAATTACGAGACCTCTCTCTACTTACTGTTTTTGTCGTCGTTAGCTCGGTGATCTGACCTTCTGAAGAGACATACAGAAGGTGGTTCATATATGCTCAAGGAACAATGCCTCAAAGCTCTTTGTCTGACAAGTACAATGCTGAATAGAACAAGGAAGTCTTCGAACATCAAAGAAATGTTGAGAACAAGAACTCAAAGAGTTTCGAGACCACCGGCTTTGTTGCTCTTGTAGGTCTAGTGCAACCTTTGTCAATTGCCACGCATGACTAACTGACTTCCTATTTGACCTAAAGAGCCTTTATCGCGTCATGAGTTGTGATCGAATATATCGTTATTGTTCCATTATAAATACAATATATCACCTGTTCGTATAAGCAAACACAACAAGTATTATACAGTAACCTGCGCCATTTGATAGACGCCTTACTACAGGCCATGATGTCGTGGCGTCATAATCGCGAGATTCTTGACCAGCAGAGACTCGGATTGATCGCAAGTCTGATCCACCTCCTAACAGGCCTTGAAGAGCTATCGGGACTCATTGTCCCATCTCAATCTCGCGACGTCGTTCTTCACGGGAAGAATTACGTCGTGAATCATTAGTGACCCAGCTTGCGTTGCGTAAGTGCCACGATGGGTCGTCCATCGAGCGAGTCGTTAGATAATTTACATTAGTGGGAGCGTAGTAGCCATTCAATGGCGATTCTGTTTCATCCACGTTGAAGTCGATGCGATTGAATGGGCTGGTAGCTGGAGATATCTGCGGCTCGGGTTTGTGCAGTAGATCTGACATGCGTCGTCTTTGCAGTTCACCATCGTTGAGTGGTTGCTCATCTGGTGGTGTCACAGCCACCATAGCCGGCGGCGTACGTGCAGCTGGGTACATGTTTGCAAAGTGGTTCTCGAAGTAACTCTGGGTATGGTATGACCCTGCGGCACTCGTGTTGCTAGGTCGGTGTAAGAGGTTGATGTCGTCAGAATGAATGTTCTGCTCAGGCTTCGGCCGTCTAAGTCGGCGGCGAGCAAAGAAGTAAAGTACCGTAAAGAGAAATGCTGTCGTGGCAGCCCCGATCGTGGTAGCCATGGCCGCTACATTCCATTGGAAGCGGGTGCTGATAATGAAGCAGTACGGCACATTCAGAAAGCCAATGAGGCAAGCAAAAATGCAGGGTATAAAAACATGCTCAGCGCTAAAGGCCCAGCTACGACTGCCGAAGCTGGTGAGTGCCGCAAGAGAGAAACCGAGGGCCAGAAGGCCGATGCCGAAGCCACCCAGGATCGTCTTGGATATTCGCAGTTGTGGTTGCGAGTCGAATATTGAAGGGACCACGAGAAAGCTATAGAGTCAGCCGACATCTGCAAGCTGCAGTACTTTAATGACTTACCCTCCCAGTATTGAACATGAAGCACAAATCGCCGTTATCCGCCAGTACCACNNTAAGCATGATCAGTCCCTGACTATCATCATTCATCCGTCTCTTTGACCTACTCGAACACTCTTGAGCTTGTTGGCACTCAGAGTTGTATAGCGCATTTTGGCAGAGCGCGGGTGCGCACTAGATACAGGCGGGTACGGCCAGACGAACACTCTTTGCAAGGCCCTCGAGTTCGAAGAAAATGCGACGCGCGTCCGGGGTGTTGTTCAGATGTCGACGGCTTGGTGCGTTGCGGCACGGAGAAGTACGAGAGGACGAGCGATAAATGCTTGTTTCGTGGAGATGGGTTGAAAGCAATCGAGGTTGGGAGCAGCGATCGTATTGAGTGACCGAAGATGATTTTATGGTGGAGGGGTGTAGATGCTTGTAAGAGACAGAAGCAAGAGGCAGGTCAATGGCAGTGCTAAGGCTGAGGCAGCGGTTAGCCGCCAAAAGCGATGAGCACCAGCCACAAACTTGGAAGATGATGCAGAGGTGCAGCTAAGTCGTGAACAGTCGGCGATACAGAGTTTCACAGATATTTTCCAAGGAGAATACAATAATCCCAGACTTGACAAAAGTGGTCTTCTAGGCAGCCCATGGGAGGAGAGCTAGCATGCCAAGCCAAAGATATTGTTTGATTGGCGGATCGCGACTGAGAACATACCGAGTGCTTACTTACGGGTCTTACTGGAGTAGTGCAAATATTTGGCAGGGGTGTTATAACCAGAAAGAAGGAGCATCCTGCGCAGAGAGTCCACTATTGGCAAAAGTGAGTCGCACATGCCTTCGGGACAAGATGTGTTGGTTGCTAAACGACTGGGAGGGAAGAACGCACAGACCAAGCGCACACACGTGACGGCCCACATTCGAAAAGCTGCGCGCACAAGGCTTGATATTCAGAAGCGACTTCCAGTGTTCCAACCCTCTTACCACCCACATCCGACAAAATGGTACGGCCCCTCGCAGACGACATGTATTGCCACGCCAGACACTGACAGACCATGTGAAGGCACCCGCAGCAACCGGAGCCAAGAAGCAAAAGAAGAAGTGGTCCAAGGGCAAGGGTACGCACGCCTCCTCTATTCCANTCCATGCGCACACCATACACATCTCAGACAATCTTCGAAATCACGAAACATCCATTCTCATAACCCATCGCATCTCGAAGNTGGCGCTCTCGCACACCTCCAACCATCGAATTCACACCTCCGAACGCCGCGCCATAGNNACTCGCAAGAAGGAACAGTTTCGCTGACATGATGCGCACACAGTCAAGGACAAGGCCCAGCACGCCGTCATCCTCGACAAGGCCACTTCGGACCGTCTCCAGAAGGAGGTTCAGTCCTACCGCCTCGTCACCGTCGCCACCCTTGTCGACAGACTGAAGATCAACGGCTCTCTTGCCCGCCGTTCGCTCGCCGAGCTTGAGGAGCAGGGCCAGATCAAGAAGGTCGTCAGCCACTCCAAGTGCCTCGTCTACAGTGCGTTTTGACCAGCTTCCACACTCACCCTCGACCCTACTAACTTTTTGCCAGCCCGCGCTGTTGGTGGCACCGACTAAATTCGATCATGACGACTCACGCATTTGTCCGGATGGATTGAGGTCATTTTTTGACGACGACAACAAGAAAAAAGAAAAGATATCCCGTCGGTTTTAACGCTGGTTCTGCTTTTCTATGGGAGTTTTTCAGGTGTCGAACTTCGGTTGAGGGTCAAGGACCCTCCTCGGGGACGGATTTGCTCCATTTCATCAGCAAAAGGGCGCTTTCTTCCATAGGCCGCAAAAGCAAATCCACCGGCTTCTTTCGTCAAAACCTCTCTCCTTTTGACTTGTGAATGTGTGTCTTGTGTCTCGTGTACACTGCGCTCTTCGCTGCCACTCCTCGTACGTTTCTGTTTCTCTGCTTACTTCTTCATCACACCTACCCCTCTTCCCTTTGCAATGATGAGACATATTATCAAACAGTTATCCCTGTCTGAAGACTATTGTTGAGAATTATTTTTGATCTGATACTGCACTCCTCCCTCTTTTCTATCAAGCACATCATTCAGTATATCTGCCGCAGTACGCTGACCGAATTGCAATACAGATGACTACCTTGATGATTTACAAGTTGATAGCGAATCCCGAAATGATAACATTGAATTATGAAACTCTCTTGCTTTCCACTGGTTTACGTACTGTGACATTTCGTTCTGTTTGATACTCATGTCCCTCATGCAAACTTCAAACAAGATACAAGAGCCATATTGCTATAGTACATAACAAGCAAAAATCCTTCATGCTAGGTGATGTGCCATCCTCATCAGATGTCGATCGTTGGGCACATGGCAATCAAGCTAGGCTCAAAATATTGCCGATAATACTTAAACATTTCTCCCTCTTTTCGCTACCAAAGCTAGAACAAGCAAGCTATCAATCGTCCGGGCTCCCTAGAAAGTTCATTACCTGCTAGATCAGAGTGTATATATACCGTAGCTGTTCCTTGGTCGAAATGATGCTTATTTCTAGTGGTTAGTCTGCTTGTTGGTCATGCGACCCTGTCTCAAAATGTCATTTCGGGTCTCAGACCGAAGGACGATCACGGTCAAAAGTAATGTGATATATACAATGAAATAACACTCGTGCATCAGAGACTATACGCGAGTCGGATGAATGTTTCCTCGAACCAGAAATATGCAAGACACACTCATGAGTGGGGGTGTCAAAAGCGATAAAACTACATGAACTCGAGCACTCCGTATACCACAAAGATTGACGATAAAATGTGAAATGAAAAGTATCGCATCTACATGAATGATACGAGAGAGCAGGACAAATACAAATGGTGGTATCTCTCTATCCGATTGACGACTCGTCTTCTACTGCTGCTGCTTCTTTTGAGCAGCGGGACCCATCTCCTTGCTGAAGGCCATGTATGACACCTCAAGATTTGCGATTGCGCTGATTCCGACATAGAGGATGGAAAAGAGAAGGATGCTGACAACACCACCCATGAAGATTCCNTGCATGGAAATGTTAGCTCGATGTTATGTATAATTATTGTTGAGGCGATAGGGCGTACCTGGTGAGAGGAACTGGTACTTCTCAAACAAGGCCAAGTCAGCCTGGGGGTTTGAAGCATTGCTAGCGCGGGAAACGTGGGCGTCGAGGTCACGCTTTAAGTCGGTGTGCATGTTTGACGGGTAAGGCTCGTCCATCTCGTACTGTTCAGGGTGCTGGAATTGGCGTGGGGAGAGGTTGTCGAGAGTGGCATAGAGCACGGTGTAGGAGTCGAGAGTTGCGAGCAGCGAATTCAGGTATGAGTCGGCTTGAAGCAGAGCGGATTCGCGGTCGTCGTTGGCGGTAGGCAGGGTGGGGAATTGGACGTGAATGGCGTCGTAGGGCTTGGTGGGAATCTCTCCCTCNTGCCTCGTGGTCAGTATGTCTTTTGTGGGCGATCAGGAGAAGAATCACATACTTTCGCCGCTCAGTAGCAATGTGCTCGCAGTGTTACATTCGCGGTTGATCGAGGCTACTAGGACCCTGGCGTCAACATGTCCCACGACATTTTTCGCGGCAAAGATAGACTTGACGTTGTTGTCCTTGGCCTCGAGGCGGCGGCGCAGATGCGGTGTGGATTTGGAGAGGGTCAAGTCGTTGGAGTTTACGCCGGGCTGCGATACAACGACGTATGTGTTGGATGGGCAGCCCTTGATTTGGTGTTCAATGCTCTCTTGCAGGGTCTGCGCGCTGATGACATTCACGTTGGCATTCTTTGCGTCCAGCCTGCGTCTATCAGCATGCGTACACGACGGCTTGGTGGCTGGCGGACAATCTTACTGGCTGGTCGAGTAGAGAACGAAGGGCGAAGCGTCCTTGAAAGCATTTGCGGATTGCAGAGCCAGAGCGGCCGCACTCAGATACCTCAACAGCATGGTGGTATTTGTGGTTGGAGTCTATGCCAGCTCGTCGTCGCGTTCGCCCTCGACCTTCTGACGTTGTTGCTGGATGCACGCACGGATCCCGCTTCAAACCACGGCATATCCCGTGCCTGCCTCAGGCACTCATCCCACGTCACTCCTTCCTATCCTTCCACAACTCTGTCTCATCATCTTGAGCAAAGTATGTGATCAGGTCTATCGTCGAGGTCAACTTGCACTTCCGGGCACTCGAATATGGGTGGCTTGCTGGTCTACGCTGCTGCACAGTAACAGCTGGTAAGCGTGAGTTAGTTTCCCATGCTAACCTATGACAATCCATGAAGACACCCAAAAGCATCGCAGTTGACTATATGGTAGTTGAGTCGAGTCATAGAGACCAGGCAGCACTTTAGTCATATCACAATGTATAAAGAGTACTCAGTCAAATATTGTACATGAGTTTTTCTCCCACCTCTTCCACCAAAGAACGACGAACAAAGCATCATGGACAACGCAAGAATTGCCTGGCAAAGATCCATCTGGATCTTCGTGACTATCGAGGGAGATCGTAAGAAGCTGATCACCCCCGCTCAACGAACATCCTCCGACCTTGCTTGTCGCAACATCTTCAACAACCAGTTTGTCTCGCTTCTGGAAGCATACGACACGTATGGCCCTCACAAAGGCATCTTCGTCCCTCGCATACAGCCCTCGACCGATTCAGAGGTCGACTTTGAAATCCGCTGGGACAAACTTAGCGATATATTGGACGAACAGGGCATGGCACCCGCTCCAACCCTCGAACAATTTTCCGAAGCAGAACTCACCATCAACAGCCTCCCCAAGAGCCACGAACACCGAAAGAAGGAGCTGCCAACAGACAATATCGATACATCACAATCCGACTTTGCCGAGTCTCGATGCCTTGCAACACTGAAGCTCCCTGTGCTCAATCTCACACCAAGCGAGATGAGCGCTCGTGCCACTACAGAACGCCAAAGACGTGAGAATATGAAGCTAAGAGACGAGAACGGAGAGGTTGAACGTACAGACCCGAGCCGTCCGGCGCATGTGAGTGGTATCGAACAGGTTCTTACAGAGTTTGAATTGTATGCATCTCACATGCACCGCTTCCTCAAGGATTGTCGACAACAACAGCTGGATGATGATACTCCTGTGATTGCTACTGCGGAGAGAGAGGTCTTGGAAGCCTTGAGTTTCCTCAGAAACACTTTCAAGAAATTGGAGTATGCCCGTAACAGTCTCGTGCGACCTCCCCTGAGTAATTGGGATTTTTCGCATAGATCGGCCTTCGAATCCTACTCGTACATCGTTTGGAGCATACAACATGCGGCCAAAGTCTACAATGAGCATGCTGTTCCGGGTACTTCTGCCCGAAACTCTGCAAAAGCCACGATGACATTTGTCCCTTCTGCCACGTCTGCCTCGAATGCAGATGGAAATACGGACCGAACTTTGCCTTCGCAGGATCTGACGCCACTCCAGATACGTAATCAAGCTGAAGCAGAATTTGAACGTCGTGAGAGTCTCAAGCAACGGGAACAAACAGGACTACTTGAACCGTTCGCTTCAGGAATACCTCGCCATATTACTGGTATTGAGAATTTCTTCGAAGGTTTGGAGAAGAAAGCTCACTACTTGAAGAAACTAATCCGTTCACTGTGCCAGGAACAACTCAAACACCCAGAGCTGAAGAGCCAGGAAGCAAGAGACGCCGTGGATACTTTGAACCAAATTGAGGTACTACTGGAACTTCTCTCTGGTGCTGATAGACTTGTCCGACTCCGCGAGTACAGCATGATTATGCTCAGCTACTCGAGCGCGATTAGTTGTCTCCGATATGTTACCAAGTTCTGTGCGGCAATCATGTCAGGGGATACAAGCAAATCCCCACAGGATGATAGCTTCATCACTTACAATGGTAACGCCTTTGAGCGAAACGATCAGGAGCGACCCAGCCTTTCCAGTGGAAGCATGATCGGGCAAACCAATCAGCAGAAACCTAGTCTTTTCAGTGGTATCGCTACTCGCACATTTGGCGGTCTTTTGGAACCGCTCAAACCCAGCATGACAACGATTCAAGCAACAACAACCCCACTTGCAAGGGTACTCTCTTCGGAGCTCCCACAACACCCAATGGTGCTATTTTTGGCGCTTCCAATACTTCTAACGGTTCTCTCTTTGGAGCCCCCACTACTCCATCTGCCACCCCATGGTTCGGCTCTATGCCGTTTCGCTCTGCTCCATCTGGATCTGCGCCATCTAGCTCCTCAGGATGGAACACTCGTAAGGACGGCAGGGGCGAGTGGCCAACTTTTCCCGCCAACACGCCCGACAGCGAGGAAGGAGATGACGAAGCAACTTAGGGACCATGTCTGAATTTCGGACGCTAGGAAGAAGGAAGGGAGGACAGATCAGATGCCAATGGAGAAGGATGGGTGGGACGGACAATATTCGAGGTCACGGAAAAAGAACAGTTGGTCCCAAGCCATAGGTAGCTTTATACAGAAATGACACGGTGAACAACCAGTATGTTTTGAAACAATACTTATGCTCTCGTACTAAACCATAAGATCATCGACTGAGCAACCAAGGGTTGACGACGCCAAAGCACCTCTTTCTGAGGCTCCGTGACGCAAAATCATATCATGGCAAGGGATTTGTCCCTGAGAAATGCAAGGGAGAGGCCTCGACCTTGAATGGTAAAAACAGAACAAGATAGGTCAATCGTGTATCTTCGTGTCATGCAACCTCCTAACCCGTGAAAGCAAAAGAGCAAGAAAAGGGTTGGGTGATGGCAGAGTTTTGATAAACGAAATCCTTCTGTGTCGACCTAACTTATGCATCATATTGATCTTCGGCATATACGCAGGCTTGGTGCCCACATCATCGGGCCTCTTACGTCTGCCGGGGCTGTCATGCCATTATTTGAATCGTCCTCTTTATTGTTGGCGACAACCTTCTTGCTGCCGTTCTTACCCTTCCCAACTCTTCTCATAGACTTCGAAGCGGGATTCGTGCGTCATGTATGGTGTCAAAGGAGGATGGTGTTTTGTCAAGGAGACAGAGTTGGGTTGTGCGAGTTCTGATAATGTGACATCTACGGTGTGGAAATACTATGTTTTATTATCAGGTGCGCAAACAGCCTTCGTCTTGTCTTGTTTGGCCATCTAGAGCGTTGTTGACTCATGTAATAATGGTTCTAATGTTGCAAGATGAATATCCCTCAGATTGAGAAAGAGCGAGTAAGCAAGCCAAGATATGGAAAGAGCGAGTGAGCAAGTCAGGATAAAGGAAAGACGCAGGCAGGAACAGCTCGGTCCAAATCAGGCAGTCTGGCTCCGAATAGAGTGCAGAAAGAAAGGAGGGACCTACAACTTGGCAAAAGAAGAAGCCAGACAGCCAGCAGCCCCGAAGCAGCCAGATTAAGAAAAGAACGAGTCACGACTCAGAAGCCATGAGTTACAATCACCCTTTCTTTCCACCGAGATATATCCAAAGCTGACAATATCACTAGATGGTCTCGACCAAGCAAGCCACAATATTAACGTACATTGCATGGCGCCCTCACACCCGAGGAAGCCAGCATCAGAAACTTGATATCAGCCTGGTTCCAGAACACCATCAAGAAGCCATCAGGCCATCTCGTCTCCCTCCGAGTCCGACATCCGATGGCCCTGATTTGAAAGCAATCGGCGATGAGCACCAGGGACATCTGGACCCTTTATAATCGCTTGCTTCTCGGTGATAACGAGCTCATCTAGCGGCCGTCCAGCCAGACCGGCAACATTACATGAAACGGACGTACCACACAAACTGCCGGAGTTTCAGGGCGAGCGGGAGCATCTCCGTTGCGTGACACAAAACAAGGGTCCTTACTGGCGAAGAGGCGAGAAAATGGCGTGCATGCATATGGTTCTAGACCTTGGAGGCTGGAGCCGGGCTCTAGGCCTTGCGGTGCATGAGCTGCCACGCTATTCCAAAGAACATGTGGTGCTGGCTGCTGTTCATGCATCAGCGACATGCAGCGGACACGTCAAATGAAAAACGCAAGAAAACGAGAGCAAGAGGCTAGATTGTTGCAAGAAAACAAAGACGTTGTCGAAAAGAAGAGTTGTGGAAGGTCGAGACCCTCGAGACGTCATTGGTCCTTCCGTCTCGGCCAGTCGGAGGATTTCTGGTTCGACGTCCAACCTCAACGTCGTGTCTGGTCTTTCGTCCTTCAAGACAAACGAGTATACCAAATAAGTAGCCGTCGGTAAAACGGACAAATACTCAAGGTGAGGTTTGAATGATTTGATTAAATAGTTATTTTAGCCAAGAAAAGATGTGTAATCACTTGCCATCCATACAAGTAACTGGCTGGAAGAGAAAAATGGAGCCAAGAGTCGTAGGCACCTAATGCTAGTTCGTGATTCTCGAAACACTCCCCTTTCCACGACATTGTCGTGAACCCGAATAACGCCGCGAAATAATCCATTTTATGCTCCTACATCTGTCATAGGGAGTTCCACCCGGAACTCCAAAACGCCTCGCTACTTGGTCAGAAAGTATCCCAGTAAGAATATTGATGCAATAGAAGAGAATCGAAATCAAACAAAGAAGAGAGAACAAAGCAAAAGGGAGGATGTTGGAAGCAAAAGGTGCGAGATTACTCTCCACCGTCGACCTCGCTGCCACTGCGAGCGCAGTATTCTAGAATCAGACGTTGGAGGTCCATGAGCTTGAATGGCTTGGTCATGAACCCCTTCATGCCGACTTTGGCAGCTCTTTCAAGGGCACCATCGGTGACGTCCGCTGTCACGGCCAGAACAGTCGGTGTACCGCCGCAAGCGCCGTTCTTGCCATGGCTCATGGCAAGAATCTTCTCGGTGGCTTCGTAGCCGTCCATGAAGGGCATCCAGAGGTCCATGAGCACAACGTCAACCGAAGGGTTCTTCGACATCTGTCTAACAGCCTCGGCGCCATCATATGCTTCGATCACTGTCTTGTAACCAAACTTGTTGAGCATACTAACAAGAAGCTTGCGGTTGATCTTGTTGTCCTCTGCGACCAGAAAATTTAGGGGGTACTTGGCAGCTAGGTTGCGATCGATACCGTTGATCGATGCTGATGATTTGCGGCCACTCGTACTTAGTTGCTTGGGTGGGAATGATGGCATAGGGAAGGATTGGCTGTGCTTAAGTGCTGGAGGACTTCTGACAGCAGGTGCCGCCGATGATCCGCTGGTAGCAGGTTTCTCTGTCGGAGAAGGCAAGTCCTTGGTCGAGTTGTCGCTTCGAGTACGTGCATGTGAGCCGCCGAAGTTGGGCATGGGNGAAGGACGTCCGTCTGAATCGATTGAGTTTGACTGGCGCACTCTGTTGTGTGATGGTGTTCCAAAGGGCGATGGGGGACGAGTGGTGGTATCACCAGCCCTAAGAGGNATTCTCATTTCAAACTCAGAACCCCGCTTGGGTCCAGTGGTATCTGCGCGAATACAGAACAGATCTCCTCCAAGCTTTCGCGCTAGACCTTTAGCCACCAGAAGGCCGAGACCAAGACCTTCGCTTTGACGGGTGAGAGAAGGGTCTTCTTGTGAAAACGGTTGGAAGAGGCGTGGAAGGAATGCTGCAGGAATGCCAGGACCTGTATCCGTACACTTGATGACGATGTATCGGGCTTTCGGGCTCAGCTTTGCCGAAAGAGAAATGTTTCCTTGCTCAGTGAATTTGATAGCGTTCAGAAAGACGCAGGATATCAGTTTGGCAAGATCCTTCTCGTCGGCGAGGATTGTTTCGGGTACGGCAGCATCCACGGACCACTCGATAAGTTTGGTTCTGGGCTCACCCTTTGCTGATCGTGTGCAAACTTCAATGATCTCGCCAAGATATGTTTCTTGAGCAATAGCTGACTCCGGTCTTCCTCCAACCTTCAAGCCCTCGTTGACGACATATTGCAGGACCCGACGCAGATTCGTGTGTCTAACACCAGGGGCGATGGCGCGGTCACCTTGCAGAGGAGCAATCATAGGTCGAGGACTTATGGGCATTGTGTGGTGAGCGGCGTTTTGNGGAAGATGTTCGGCTTCTTGGACGCCCATCTTCATGCCCTCTGTAGGAGAAGCTTTTGCTGCGCGGGCGGCAAGAGTGGCCTGTACTTTTGATGGACTTCCTTCCGGCTCATTCTTGGGCTCCTCGCGGCGGCGCTTGTTAGGTCTCGAAATGGGCAGATCGCTTCCAGCAACGAGGATTTCGGGATGAGAAGCATGGCTGAAGTCTGGAAATTCGTCCAGGGCGTCTTCGTTGAGAGGCGGTCCTGTAGGAATGCCCAAGTTCATGTCGTAAGCGTGTACGACATTGTCAGCGGCCTCGACGGCACGACGCGAGCTATCNTATAGAAGAGTCAGCACAGAATATAGGAGAGAGGCGTAGAGGAAGTTACCTTGAACCGTCTCAATGTTCTCCTTTAGTGTTTCGAATACTTTACGAACGTCTTCATTGGTCTGACCTTCTACGGCTTCCTGGACAGTGGCATACATGACATCAAGCATGCCAACCACACCTTGCATCGGTGTTCTCAGTTCGTGAGACAAGCTTTTTGCGTAGGGTTGCAGAGATTGGGCGGCGGTGATGACTTCATGAGGAATGACACGCGGTAGATCTCGGTTGGCAGCTTGCTTGTTCGTGAACTCGGAACCTTGGAGCAAGCGTTCCAGAATGGGATCTTCCAAAGCGTGCAGGAACATTTCAATCAAGGCCCAGGAGAGTTTCCTCTTTGCGGCACCCTCGACAGACCAAATGACACCGAAGTGTGCAAAACACTTGCCGTCAGCAAAGAGAGGAATACCGATGTAGGCTTCGGCAGAGATGGGTAACTTGTTTGGGTTGTTGGCGAACATTTCGCTGACCTTTTCGGGAATGACAAAGACCTTGTCGTGACGCATGTAGGAACAGGGACAACCGTACGCGTGGTATTTGAAGCCTTTNTCGACGCCCTGCACACCTTTTCCATCGTTGTAGTACCAAGCGCTTGCCATCAGACAGGATCCTGGCTCTCCAAGNGGNGGCATCTCAATGGCCGAGTCTTGTTCGTCGACCAATATGCGTTTGGCAATGAAAGAGAGTTGGGCTCCAAGAATTTCGGCCATGCGCTCGGAAACGTAGGACCAGAAGTCGTCGTTGTTGAGCAGCCGCAGCTTAGTCTTGAGGATAACCAACTCTTCCAAGATGTTGCTCTCGACGCTCGAAGGATACAGACGTTCCATTCCTGGACGGAAGTTTGGGTCACTGTCGTGGATAACGACATTTGGGGGCAGCGGCTGGCCAAAACAGACGGATTTCCGCGTTATGAAGTCGGGTTCCATGGCGGGGGTCCGCGTGGCGGTCCAGCTCAGAGAACGACTTGTGCTTCGTGATGAGGATGTGGCAGCGGAGCGTGAGGTGCGGTGCAGCGTCGTGTATAGTATAGGGTGACAATGGTGCTGGTCGGTGTTGGTGGTGGATGGACGAGATGGAAGGATGGACGGTCAGGTAAGGTCGTGTCGAAGAAGGCGTCAGACTCAAAGTCAGAGTCGGATTCAACGCAGCAGCGGTTTGGTAAGCATGATAGGCCCAGCACAGAGACTTGGTCGGCGGAACAGACTGAAGTCCGAGAGTTCTCAGGGAACGGCCGCCTACGCAAACCGTCCAAGTCGCGAGGGTGTGCCTTTCTCCACTCAAGATATTCTAGACCGTCGGCGAGCGTCTAGCGCCCAGGGCATGTCTTGGCCATCTGCGAGACGTCATTTCGAGCCTCTGCCTGCAACATGGGCCTTTTGTCTGTTCCAGAGGTCGACAGATGCATCGATCCACTCGCATCCAGACGCTGCCCATGCCAGCCTCGAAAGCAGAGATATCTGTGAACATGCACATTCGTCTTCTCCATCTCTCTCCACCATGCCCTTGGCTCCACCGCGCATCAAAAGCTTATTCGCCGACACCATTGGCTAGCCGTTTTGCGCGACACAGAGAGAAAGAGCTACCCAAGATCCGCCGTGCCGGACACCCGACGTCATGTTCGTTCGACGAGTCTCAGCACATTTAGCAGGCGCCGTTGAGCACACGCTCCCTTTGCTCACGAGTCACAGGAAGAACTACTTTCTCCAAGTGCTCCGTCTTGCTCCAAATTCGAAGTCTCAAACCACACGTCCATCTTTTCTGCAACGAGCGTGGTAGATCTTACGACCACGTCGATCCCGTAGATCTTTTGCTTGCTTGCGTGTAATTCCACGCGACCGACCTTCTGGCCCACGTCTGACTTTGTTCCATACGGCCGTCTCTTCCATCACACCTTCCCATGACCGCTATGAGCATCCGCCAGCTTCCTTGATCAATCATCATATCCAGTAGATGGTTTCCTGCTCTTCTCACAGATGATCTTGGCGCTCGTGTCACGTCCGAGCTCTGAGCGAGTTCTTGCAATGATTCTGCAGGCGCTGATCTCAATTCAGGTTGCAGCTTCCTTGCTTGCAAAGTGTCTTTTGAAGCGCAGTCTTCATTTGACCCTTATCTTTACACTTTTGATTGTATGTGTGACAACACTATCAGCCACCTTTAAGGGGCTACCAAACTCTTCCAGCACAAGCTGCACAGCCTGTACGAGATCGACGATCTGTGTCGCGTTGTCGCCGAGACGTTGCGACTCGCAACCAGAGTGGATAGCTTTGTAAGCTGCGCCCTTCCTCTCCAGTAAACTGCACAGCTTGCAGTGCGTCCGCTACACCTATCCGGATAAATTCTCCAATATCCATTGTCAACACAACACCGTCACGTTCTCTATGAGTCTAAATACACCTTACTCTGCGATATCTGCTCAGCATATTATTACCCATGCTGGCATCGCAACCAAAATCTGATCAAAGAACGATTCGGGTTAGCCTGCTCTAGCGGACTCGCTCTCCGTATACTGGATACGCTTCTTCCGGAACGCCGTTGAGATGCCAAGACCTGATTAGCCAACAAGGAGCCATTCATCTGTGGTGGTTCGAAGATTGACGGCAGTCATGGCTCTCCTTGGTCGTGAGGATGCATCTCCTTGTGGAGACAGACATCGAACTCTATGCCTCGCGCGATGTCGCTCTTGCGGAGGCGTTGTATTGTCAAACTTTGTGCTCCTGTAATAAGGGGCTTCTAACTCCTGTTACCCTAACAGGTAACCTCTCCACGTTGCATCGAACTTGAACCTCTCCAATGCAGACCAGCGGCTTCTCTGTGCTTCCTGCCTCTAACTCTACGGTATCCAATCTAGTACATGAGAGCGTCTCCCAAGCCATATAAGTCAAGAATCATGGTCCTAACCAGACATGACAATGTTGAACCCAACCGAACCTGAAAATTCAATTTGCGGATTTCTGGGCATGCTATAAATGTCAACAACGCTTCCAGGTAGCTATGCATACTCAGGCGCGCCACATCCTTAAAGCTTCCAATGGCGCAAAACATAGAAGCCGCGGCTCCTTTCACGATCAGAAACATTATTGCAACGGCCCAGATCTCTCGTCGTTGTCCCTGCCGAAATGCGATGACTTGTGTGTTTGGCTTTTACAGATTATGCAACACTCAAGCCACGGGCGCCTACTCATACTCATACAAGCCAATTGAGCCTTTGACTTTTCGATGATAAGTTCAGTCACGAGGTTTGATACGCACCACACACCAACAATGCTATACTTTTAGCTCTTCTTGGCCATCACATAACACTTACGTTATACTAGAATACGTTTGCGATCCATAACGTGCTTTTCAACATGCAAAACCAATATTCCCGAGACAAGACAACTTGGGTCTTGGATGCCATGGAAACCCAAATTCAAACGAACACATACAACAACACAACAAGATGAGCAGAGAGTCCAGAAGGGTTGCACCAAATACTCTTACAGAAAGGAAGAAGGTCAGTGATTATGGCAGTTAACCAAACCAAACAGCGTCACGCTGTGTTCCGAGGAACGCCGTATAAAACAGGTCGGTAACATACAACGTTGTGCTTCTTCAAGAGGCTCAAGAGATACACGGCCGTTGCACCTGTAAAAATGACGAGCCATTGCCCAAAACGGTGAAAGAAGCTTCACACCTAATATCGAGAAGGTAAAACTCGCGATGGTGTCTGAAAATTAATTTGGACTTGAATGATAAGCGTAGGACATACCAGAGTCTTTCGCAATGCCGTGCATGAAACCGGATCGTAGCCAAATCAAGACTGCGATACTTCATCGAGATCGCTTTGACTTTTGAGTAGTCGCACCAGCATTCGAGTCACTTAGGCACCAACAAGTCACAGTCATGGAAGATCAGAAGCATATCACAACTCCGAGGAAGGGTTGCGAGAACTACGTGTATAGTTGAGGTTTGGGAAGTGGTCTCCAGTAGCAAACAGATCCCTCATACGATATAAGACATATTTGCCTGGTTCATGGCTCCTCTTCGTTCGGTTCGTCTGCGGTACTTCATGACGACGTTCCTTGCTGTTGAGATAACCAGTGTCTCGAGGTTTGTAAGGGTGAGACCGGTCCGTCTATCTCGTACAGAGCAGACCGCTGACCCCTCCGTTTCCCTTGAAGGTCGAAGATCAGGGCTCTTAATGGAACCTGGGATCTTTGATATGATGGACCAGTCGCGAATTCAGTCATTGCTTGGTATAGCGGTAGCGGAACATTCCAGCAGGTTTCAGGTGACCAGAGCTCCGGTATAGATGCGAAGACTTGGAGAGAGAACAGCTGGAGTATCTTTGGCGGGAACATACATATGAGCGTGTCGTATGAGAGAGTGGTCATACCTTCTACCTCTTGCCTCCCCTTCCGCCCCTGCCACCACCTCTTCCTCGACCTCCCTTACCACCTCGTCCTCCTCTGCCACTGCTCTTCGGCCCAGTAATACCTTCCACATCTCTCTTACTCAGCTTCAGCGTACCTCCACTAAATCTTCCCACGCTCGGGTTCCCAATGCCTCGTTCCCTCTTATTACCACCTCCAAAGCCACCTCCTCTCCCATCCGTTCCTTCTCTTCTGACTCTTTCAAGCACAATACCATTCTCCTTGGCCTCCCTCCTCCTCTCAAACTCCTTGTCTTCCTTCTTTTTCTGAATGCCCACTCTTTGATGTTTGGGCATGTTCTTCTGTGCGAAAATCGAAGTCTTGGAGCCGAGTTCTAGCAGACGCAGGTCGGTGGCTTTATGGCGGTTCTTGCCAGAGGGGTCGGTGGAGAGGGATGTAGCGTCTAGCAGATGGGATTCTTTGAGCAAGCGTTGCAGGGCAAGGTCGTTTTTGAGATCGTCTTGTTCTGTTGTGCCTTCGGCATCTTCATCCTTCTTTTTTGTTGGTTGCTTGGATGTGGTGAGCGCGTCTGTAGAAGTCGGTGGTTTTGAGGACNNTGTTTGGCGCAAAAGTAAATGGTTAGCGCTGAGTTCTTATAATCGAGGCACGAGACAGGGAGTAGCAAGTACCATAAATGCTTTCAATGCAGCTTTGTCTGCCCGTTCGCGCGAGAAGTTGGACATGCTGTGCTCGACTACTTCAATCTCATCCTCGTCATCCTCTTCCTCTTCTGAAAGGCCATCCCAGTCCTCATCTTTATCTTCTTCGTCTTCCTCCTCTTCAACCTGGACTTCTTCTGATTTGTCCTCCTCTATTGCCCTGAATCGCTTCTCAAACGCGCGGCGAAAAGCCTCGTTTAGCGCTTCTCTGTCTTCTGAGTCGGATTCTGGTTCTGGTTCTGGCGCTGAAGGCGGTGGTGCTGCTTTTGCAATGGCGGCTTTCTTGGACGGAAGAGATGATTTGGATGCGACTGCGCGCTTGCGCTTTCCCAGTGCGAGCGACATGTTTTGTTGTATATGCGAGCTTGACTGATGGAAGGTGGAAGGAACAAAAATGCATAAACCCATCAGGGTTTCGGGGAAGCCAAGACTCCTCCGCATGTCGATTTTTTCTTCTGACTCTTTGATTTAATTAATTCCATCCACCATAGGAACGTCTCCTCTGCAACGAATGTTCTCCTGTTGTGCAACCCGCGAGCTGACAGCCAGTCTCTCGGCTTCTTCGAGGTAGTATTACAAAGCATCGCTCTCCCCGGTCTCTCGTCTCTTGCCATACCATTTCCATCATTATCCTCGTGGCTCCATGTGAGGTGTAGCATCTATTGCACATCCTCAACGACTTTATTCCTCCTTTGGAGGAGGAATTGGTGGGTTGGTGGGCACAATCACTAATCCTGTCTTCTTGTGGAAGGTGGTGATATCAAAGNNCTACAAACTTGTCAGTAAATACCATCGGCAGTAGCAGGAATACACTTGCACTTGGCCCAGTTTGAAGCCTACCTCCTCGGTCGTGGCCTGCTGTTGGAAACCCCAAGACTCAAGGTACGGAATTACCCATTCCCTGGTCTTTTCAGTTTCCGAGTTCATGAAGTTGAGAAAGATGCGTGATATGAGACGCTGCGTACCAATCCCAAGCTGCTCATCAATGTCGTAGCCACCGCGCTCAACGTAGAATTGGTCCAGTAGTCCGAGGAGCTTGTCAACAAGACACTTGCTGACTCCCTTGCGTCTGCACTTGGGAGCTGGGTCTACGAAGACGCCAACTTCGACCGCGAAACGCAACGCTGTTCGTGCGCCACCATACTCGTCAGCATAAGCAAAGCCGAGCACGGTATCAACGGCAGGTCGATCTTTGAAGCGTTTCCTTCCGCCATAGCCCCTAGGCGAACACGCGACAAGGAACGGCAGGTGGCCGCCTCGTGCACTCTCCCACCGACCCTTCATGTCCATTATGCTGATAGGCTCTAGCTCCGGGGCGCACACGCTGTGCTGGATATAGTGGTTGTAGATGTCGGTGATCTGAGGGATGTCGCCGAGCTGGGCCATGCGGATGAAGAGGTTGAGTACAGGCTTGATGCTGTTGTCGATCATCGGTGCTTCTACAACGAAAGATGGTTCTTTGGGCGGTTCGTCACGGCGTTGCTTCCCGCCTTCTGGTCCAGCATTTCTTCCGAAACGGGCCATCATGAAAGCGTTAGGGTTCTGGAGGTATTGATTCGTCCAACCTTGACTACCACGATCTTTCTCGCGCGCGAGTTTGTCACCAAATGTGTCGTCGCGAGTGTCGCAGCCCTTGGTGTCTGGTTGAGTCAGGACAGACTGAACTGCCGCATTGTCGGTCAGATAGCGATCCCAGAAAGGTCTGCAATCACCAAAGTCGGAATCGTCTTGGGGTCTGGGTGCTCCGCTCATCTGTTGCTGCCAGAATGATTGAAGTGTTTGACCAGCCTCAAGGATCTGAGGAACCCAGGATCGCGGGACTAGTTCGGCCATAGAATTCGTGTCTTGTTGGGGCGGCAGGAAGTAGAGACGACCATCGGCGGCATTGGACTTGCCAACGTTGAATGAGAAGTTGGTACTGTTTTTGATTGTTGACGTTGTGCCGAAGGGCTTGGGTTCCACGTTGATCTTGCGCGCCCATTGTCGTATGGTTCCTTGGAGATTGCGATTCTTGTAGATGGGACGTTCATCCCAGATGGGAGGTGTAGAGAACTCGCCTTGCCAAGAATAGAACAAGTGTGGATCTAGTGTGTCGCCGTAGTCGATCTGTTGCTCATCAGGAGGAGGCGGCAGGGCCGCGCCAGCCGTCATTTTCTTGAGGTCCTTATCGCTGATCCATGCTGACTTCTTCTTGGGTTGTTTCTTTGCGTGAGCCATGTCTGTGTGGTTGAAAGAATGTTCGAGATGGATGGTCGAGGTGGGACGAAGTTGGAAAGTTGAAGTCGGGTGCATCAGTCGCGGCTGCCTGCATTCGATACAGTGAACGACAAAATCCCAGTGACTGGGCTTGTGCCTCCTGTGCTGATTGCAACCTATCAAACACTGAACGCAGTACACAAACCTCGTCAATTCCAGAAACCCGTCTGTTGAGAGTCGCAGGCTTTTGCGACCAGACAACCACTTCAGCTCATCTTTGTTGCTATCCACGGCTGACGATACCACGGATAGAGCTCCGTTGCTGGCCTCGGCCTCCGTCTCTGACAGATTTTCAATTCTTTCGCAAAGGGCAACCAGTCTCCGCTAAGCAACACTTGTTGTCTGCTTTGAGGTTGCAAAAGCTCTTCCCCTTACCGATGGTGTCAACGATGGTAGATAATGCGGCTTCGTGCCTTCCGTGGAGCTGCCATCTTTATCGCCAAGGGCCTTCGACTATGGTTCCGTACTGATATGGCGGTGAGTGATGGCCCATATCTGGCACAACGTATATCGAATTGATAGGCTGCGCTGGACAGAGAGGCCCAAGAACTGGCGATGATACTCGAGTAGTACTCGATCGTAAGACACGACCTGCCTCTCCATCTCTCAGCAGACTTGCATTCTCACGATTCACTATGCTCCTGCTCAAAGAGCTTTACTACCGCCGGCAAGTCTTTGGGACGACACTCAGTCGGTACTCTTCTGAGCTTTTTGGTAGACTACCACGGCAGCCGTCGCCCATTTTTCAATCGAGGTGAAAAGAGCCAGTGCCAGTTGTCGCAATTGTCGCACTCTTACATGATCACGACATTGTGATCGTTGAGCTGACCCAGCAGCTTGACTTCCAGCAATTCCGCAACGAGTGGCCGGGATGAGGCTGGGAATGGAACAGTGTTTGAAAGGGATAGCGAGAAGGTGTGAGCAGAACCAGCCTCAATCTGGGGAAGCTTTCAAAGTAGGGTGGATCTTTACTGTGAATAGGGACGCCTCTAGCATTACGGAAGACAAGACATAGTAGAATCACGAGAAACATCGTATCAGTTGTAGCAAGTATGGTGCTTCAGATGGAGGTAGTAGTATGCGTGTTTGTAGTATTACGTTTCCTGCCTCAAATCAAATGTGCAGCATTTGTATCGTCTCATAAAGACAGCATGTATATGGACCTGCAGGAAGTATGAGCAGAAAATGATTCTGGTTCGTATATGTAGAGGCTTCAGAAATTCTTTCTAAATAACACGAGCATAAATAAAACCGATTCTGATGGTTCACTGTTCATAATTTGCGTACTGAAGATTTCGAAACAGAAGGTGGTTATAGGAAAGATGTGGTCGATCGGCAGCATTGAATCCGGAGTCGACGGTTTTTGCTACATCCGATAGGAGAACCTGGCGAGACAAGTAGAAATATAGTATATCGAGCTCTACATCTCACTTCCAGGTGTGATACAAGATAGCTGTGAACAAACCATTTGGGATAGGCAGCCACGTGACACGCTCTTGATCNTTTCAAACCAGTCTTTTGACTCTTCTGCCTTTTCGTCTNCCAATACGCCATCTGGACCAAATTTTGCTATCGCCATGTTGTCAATACTCCGGAAAGCGCGCCTCAAGGATAAGGAGATGCGGATTCTGATGCTGTGTGTAAACTCGAAATGGGGTGGCTGCAGCTGGCTGACCATCACATAGTNNGGACTCGACAACAGCGGCAAAACTTCGATAGTCAAAAACATCATGGGCGAGGACATCAACACGGTCTCTCCCACTCTCGGCTTCATCATCAAAACAATCGACTATGATGGGNTGAGGTTGCCTGGTCATCTTGGAGCAAATATGTGGAGCTGACAGCTGAGGTAAACAGATACAAGCTGAACATCTGTAAGGGAGTCTAGAGTGGAGTGCGAGGTGCCGGTAGCGAAACTTACACGGCCGACAGGGGATGTCGGCGGACAGAAGACGCTTCGGACATACTGGAAGAACTATTTCGAGAAGACGGACACACTCATATGGGTCGTGGACGGCACAGACCGAGAACGGATTGACGATTGCCGACAAGAACTGGAGGGGCTTCTTCTGCAAGAGGTAAAGGCTTCAGCACGATCAGACGGAGTGGATACTGATCAGGACGGCAGCNGGTTGATGGGAGCCAGTCTGCTCGTGTTCAAGAACAAGAGCGATGTGGCAGGATGCATGAGCTCGGAGGAAATACGCAAGGTTTGTGGTTCCCTTGCCAGCCGCGGCGGGGTCCCAATGTTTACCAAGCACGATACTGACTCGGACAAACCACGCAGGNCCTTGCGACTCGACACAATTCACACGCACAGGTGGAACATTATGGAGTGCAGTGCATTGACTGGATTGAACCTTCAGGAAGGCCTCCAGTGGGTGGTGCAAGATGCCAAGGACCGGCTCTTTCTGTACTGAGGCGCATGGAGGTTGTGCATCGAATATTCTATAGGAGAGATGGAAGACTATTAGAGGCAGATCGGACATGAGAAGACCCCTGATCTCAAGCATGAGATAGGGTCACAATCAAAAAAATATATGACCTGTTCAAAGATGGACTGCAGGTGAGTTGACGGACGTGTTTCAGAAGAGCGGACCCGCTGTGATTGGCTGAGGCCAAGGGCGGCATGGCGCGTTGCAAGTGCGGCCGGGACGTTTGGTTTGGGGACGGACGGGTACACAAATAAATGTCAACAACAAGAGGAAGCCAGTGTTTGGTCGTTGGTGACTGTTGAACCCTCTTCCTCCGTATCAAAGTCGCCCGACAACCCCCAATCGCTGATTGAAGCATTGATCGATTGCACCGTATGGATTAGCCATCATTACCTAGACGCCTACAAGATACGCCCCACCATATACAATACACCATGGACGATACGCCTGATCTCGATACAAACGCCTTCCTGGAAAGCGTGCGCGAACTCAAGGAGAAGAGACAGAGGGAAGACAACGAGCGTCAGGAGCAGCTAGAAGCGCAGATCGCAAGTTCGCGACTCGCTCGCAAATTGGGTCCGTCACACGACCCTCCCATTCGCAACAACACCGCCTTTACTGACAGAGACATGCAGNAGAGCGAGCGAGGCATGCCATCACCATCAATGTCACCGTCAACGAGTCCGCACAGGGCCTCCNCCAGCAGCGCCGTACCCTCTCGCGCCAGCACTCTTTCGCGCCCACCCCGCAGTCGGCCCATGTCTGTTGACATGGGCTCACCCACCAGGGCTTCCTCAGTCAGGCCTATGAGCATGATGTCTATCCCCGAGAAGGGGACCCCTCTTCCTTCCCGCGACTCGCAACGCTTTGCTGCCCCGGACAATGCTGATGGCCTCGGTCGTGCCATGTCGAGCGCGCAGAGTCGTCTGGATCGGCCCAGCTCACCGACCAAGGGTATGGGTGGCTTCGTGCAGAGCGCCATGCTCAAGCGCAACGACAGTGTCAACAAGAGGTGGAGTGTCACGGCCGGTCCTTCAACCCTGACCCGTAACGATTCGACTGCCAGTTTCCGCAGCGCCGCCAACGCCGACGACACTCCTGCTCGCCCTTCCTCAAGCCATAGCACCATCAGCAACCTCAACATTGCTCCTGATTCAGATCTCAAGGAGGATAAACCCGAGAGACCAGCCACTACAAGACATTCGCGCTCGAGATCCATGGCTTCCTTCTCGGGTCAAGAACCGATTCCTGAAGGCCTCATGTCTCCTCCACTCAGCCCAAACAAGAGATGGAGTCGCAGTCCCACCAAAGCTAGTTGGCTCGAAAGCGCTCTCACTCGCCCAGACTCGCCCAAGCCGCTTGCATCACCACAATCGAATCAGCCCAGTTGGATGACCGACCTCGCCAAGGCAAAACAACAACGCGGTACTGCTGAGGCTTCGCCATCGCAGGAAAACATCGACGCTGCGAAGGCCCAGGACACGCCTACCTTTGGTCAAGGTTTACTAAAGAGGTCGTCCATGAGGAATACTCCAACACATTCTCCCAGCGCATCCAGAAACGTTACGCCTCCTACCAAGGCCAAACCTATCTCACTCGCAGGCAAATCTGCTCTACCAGACCCGTCCACTCCCTCGCTCGATCTGGCGCCGAAGCTATTCGAAAAGACGAAACCAGAAAAGCAGGAGCCGGTCAAGGAGGTACCTGAGAAAGAGGAGATTGAGCAAAACCTCTCTAGAGAGCAACACCGAGTGGACAGCAACTATCTTGACAAGAGGAAGGAAGGTACTCCCAAGAAGGAAGAGGCTACTAAGCCAACCCCTTCGAAGACAAGTGCACTTTCCTCCAGGTTTACGGAGAAGGAGCCAGTCAAGCCAGCTGTTTCAAAGCCAATTGCATTATCATCAGTACCTACCCTGCCGCCCAAGCTACAAGGCGCCGACTCTGTCAACTCAACCGCTTCGTCGTCCCCTAGATTTCCTGCTCTAAAGTCTCCTGAANTTGAGATCAGGCGAATTCAAATCGCCTGAACTAAAGCAGGAGACTACACCAAGACCGACTTCCGCTCAGGCTTGAAATCAAGAAGTGGCACTATCGGTGCGCAGTCAGAGCAAGAGCCGGAATTCAAAGCTCTGTTCGGCAAGCTTAAGAAAGCCCAGACTGAGAAGTACGTGGCACCCGACGAGCTGAAAAGCAACATTCTTCGTGGCAAGGCAGGTCTGTCTCTCAGTGCCGGTCCTCAAAAGACAGAGCGGCGCGATGAGTTAAAGGAGAGTTTGTTGAAGAAAAAGGAAGAGATGAACAAAGCAGCTGCAGAAAAACCTGCACCGGAACCGAAGATCTCCCCAGCACCTTCATCTGTGCCGGAAGCACTCTCTATCAGAAAACAGCTTGGCCGATCAAACAGCACACTCAATGTTCCTGCCCCTGCCAAATCGCACAGAGATATCACCCCTGAGGCACTGTCATTCCACAAGAACCTCAGAGGCAAGGCCAAGGCACCTGTTCCTGAGAAGAGAAGCAGCGTCGTCGAGAAGATAGAACTCAAGCGCACTTCCGTAGAAGCAAAGCCATCTGCCGCTGTTGTTGTTGAGAAACCTACGGATGTGGCACCAATCTCGTCCAAGACCGAGGACAGACCCGAACCAGAGACAAAAGAGCTTCCGGAGCCAGAAAAACGTGAGCTCCCCAAAATAGCAAAACAGGAGCTTCCTAAACCAGTACAGCAGGAGTCATCTAAGCCTCAGGTGCAAACAAGACCCATGTCGAACAAGATTGTCGACAGGTTCAATCCAGCTCTTGTGGGACTATTAGCGCGCGGCCCGCCGAGTGCATCAAACACGCCGCCATCAGGGAACCCCTTCTCACCTCCTGCAATAAGCCATGTCTCGTCTGCACAAGATGAGCCAGGAGAGGGCACTCAACTCACGCACATGACCAAGAGTCGTGCTAAGGGACCGAAGAGACGCAAGCCAAAGTCAAGTGCGCAGGAAGCGAACCCTGAACCTGAAAAGCGCATCTCTTTAATGACCCCTGTGCCTGAGAAGCGTGTGTCTTCTATGACGAATGAGTCTGAGAAGCGTATGTCCTCTACCCCGTCCGTACCTGGGAAGCGTATCTCGTCAATTAACTCGGCCAAATCAATCGACTTGCCATCACCGAGCTCGCCTGTGACTAAGACTCCTGTGCAACCTCGACCCAAGTCTGCGGCTGTGAGGGCCGCATCGATCAATCTCTCTAAGCCGCCGGTTGCTGAGGTAGAGAAGCCCGAGACCTCTACACCTACTAAGTCAATGACGTTCCCTCCTGTTCGATCAGACAAGCCAGCGACTACTGTGTCAGCCAGACCATCGCTTGAGTTGGTGACAGCCGCTGGTGCAGAAAAGCCTAAGCCTATCACGCCTGCAAAGCCGACACATAGCACTCCTCCATCCACGAGTACCGACAAGCCGGAGAAACCTGCTTCCTTCAAATTGCCCCTTCGTACTTCCTCAGCTGGTTCCTCAGTGAGCACAAAACATGCGCCTAACCCTATCTCTCCTCCTTCCACTTCTCGCCAACCGTCTGGTTTCAGCCGACCACTCCCTGGCAAGGCTCTTCCAGGCATGGCCACCGCTATCTCAAGATCTCAGGACAAGCCCTTGCCGCCCTTGAACACAACTGAAGCGGATAAGGAAAACCAGAGTTTCTCATCAGTCAAGGGTGCTGCTTCTATGTGGGGAAAGCCTGCACAGACGACTCCACAGAAGCGGGCCCCTATAGAGTTGCCAACCAGGAAAGATGAAGAGGCCGCGATGTTATCTGCTGGACTCCTCTCGAACTCTCCGCTTAGATACAACGCGTCGCCAAAGACAGGACTCGGTATCACTGAGGACACCATCAATCAGCCAAAGCGAACTAATGGCCATGAGCAAGTACAATCACCCAGTGCCAGAGTTCCACCCAAGCCCGCCAAGAGCTCAAGAGTTGTCAGTGGTCAATTGAGTGCCAAAGGTGAGTCTTAGCATTAGTACATGCACCAGCGCGCAAGCCCAAAGAAGAAGAATTTCGATTCATGTTCACGTTGATGTTTATCTTTCTGTCCAAATTCTGATTGCTTCTGAGCAGTTTGAGAGCACCTTGTACCTTACGATTCATATCAATGCCCACGGAAGGGACAGAGAGCTGACGTGTGTCTGGATGTTCGATAGNACCTACCTCACTTGCCCAATATGCTTGATCTGCCTGCTGGACGCGAGTTGGCCAACTTCTTCGGTGACATTCCACAGTCAAACAACCAGTTGCAGCTGAACACAGATACGCAAACAGTGTTAGGTTCTCGCTCAGGAGAGTCTGACAAGATCAAAACTCTGCGAAACTCGATTCAAGAGATCAAGTCTGACGGCACTCTAATTCCTCTACCAGCACAACAGGAGCACATTTTGTACGAGAACTCTATGTACGTCTGCACGCACATCTTCTACACTGCCAACATGACGAGGATGGCTGAAGTGTACCTCTGGTGTGGTGATCGCATCTCCGAATCAACCATTCAGGAGACTCAAGTCCATGCCAAGCGCGTTGCTAGAGAAGCTGGTGTTGGCCAAAAGTGAGAACATCTCTATCTTGGAAGTCTACATTCAAAAAGCTAACCACATATCTAGGNNTCAACACAACTGTACATTATTGATCAAGCTCGTGAGCCCGCGAACTTCTTCCAAGCGCTTGGTGGCATCGTGATTACTCGTCGCGGCTCACGCGCAGAGAACTTGAAGGAACCTTACATGCTTTGCGGTCGCCCCCACATGGGACATATCGCGTTCGATGAGGTTGATCGCAGCAAGAATAGCCTGTGCTCTGAGTATCCCTACATCGTTGCCCGTCCGATCACACTCCAGGAGACGAAGATCTGGCTGTGGAAAGGCAGTGGTTGTGTGGCGACTGCCATTGGGAGCACTCGTCTAATCTCTATGGATCTGAATCCTGGTGGCGGTTTTACTGAAGTTGATGAAGGCAAAGAGACGGCAGAATTTCTTGCGGAAATCCATGATTCTGCTGACTCGAGCATTTGTCAGTCTCCGGCACTTTGGAGGGGCAGATGCGGCAATTGGGAGCATTCTTCAGTGCGCCTGTTCAGGATTGAAGCGAAGGAGAAGCCCAAGCAAACGGCTACCTCTCTTNTTACGAGCTACTTCTCCCGACGTCCCTCCTGGAGTGCGCCCAAATCCCCCAACATCGATGGATCAAGCAAATCGCCAAACGCCGAGTTTGAGGCATCGATATCGGAAATTGCACCTTTCACGCAAGACGATCTAGAACCAGAGGGTTGCTACGTCCTCGACGCCAACTCTGAGATTTTGGTTCTGCCCGGACCTCTACTTTCGAAACAGGGCTTGTGGCAGCATGCATTTGTACAAGCATGTTTGTTCTCGCACGACTACGCTATTTTGTCTGCCAGCTTAGAGGACAGGCCCGCTATCCCCAGAGCGAGGGTTGTGTTGGGCGGTCTGCGCAGAGAAATCAAAGTCAAGTTCAGGCGTTGGGAAGAAAGGAGAGGGCTTTGGGGATCTGGTGGGTTGATGGCTGGGAAGGCTACCAGCGATGATGGAGGCATGCTCGATGTTAGAGATGCTCTGGGTGTTTGTTGCGGACCTTGAATTTTGCATCTTAGCTTTTGTGCGAGGTATCGGGTTGGGCTTACGTGGCATGATGAGTTTGGGATAGAGGGAGTTCCTTCCGTCTGGATGCACTGTTTTGTGGGGGGGGATATCGGTTAATCTTGTTCGTCAGCATCTTACACCCTTTTTCGTATTGTTCGAACATCAGTCGCTCTCTCCAAGTTTACACCAATAGGCCATGCTCAATCTATAGACAGGAGTGCTGCAAATGGAAGGCATGACGACAACAACTTCTGATCACGCTTTCCTCTTCTGTTTCGGAAGACTTCAAAGCTATTCTGTCGTCCCACAACTCTTCCACTTCCGACATGTCACAACACCACCATCGTCTCGCCATGCATCGAACAACTATCTCGTACATCGCCATCCTACCTACCACCACGCTCGATCCAACCTCAACACGTCGACGCAGACAAATCCAAGCAAGACAACCACTCATCCACACATCCATCAAGCCACAGCACTCTCTATCAGCGACAGTTCAACCACGCGACACCCTTACTCTAGAGTCCTTTCGGGGCTGCGAGACCCGAGTACCGCATTGTGAAAGTCTCTCCTCTGCTAAGGCTTCGCGCCCATATGCATGTCTGCTCTTTTCACATGTGTGTCCGGGGCGGTTGTAGAAGCGGGTTGGCTGATCAAAATATCAAGACTTTCGCCGTGGATATGTGGGTGAGGGGCTGTTTTGCTTGGGTGTGTTTGTCTCAGGTTGGGATGAGTGTGGCAGTCGATACAGAAAGAAGAAAAAGAGTCATGTTTCTCATTAAACAAAGCCGTCATTACAAGCGCCATATCTCATGCTCGAGAAGGGACATCGTTACCGTCTTCCTCCTTAACGATGTCCCAAGTATTCGTATAGTCCCCACTCTCAGCCCGGATTCTCGAGACGATTATCACCGGCACAGGACTCGGCCTGTTATTTAGCGCCGGAGATTCATAACCATCCCATCCTTTGTCGTGGCCGTCCATCACAGTATCCATGACTGTGTCTTCGATATCAGGGATCACAAGGTCCATGCGAGGAACAGGTGGTGCTGTGGCAGTTGGATCAACAGATGGCGCTTGTTCACCATGCTCTGCCTTCTCGAGATCCTGGAGATGATGGTGGTATTTGTGATTGGAGGCCGAGATATGCGAATCTAGTGTTGTCCACTTTGTCAAGCGGTGCAGCAAGGATGTCAAGGAGCTCATGGAGGCGGAGAACCATGGCTTCAGTGCCGGTGCGCAAGAGGCAAATATGCCGATTCCACACTCTAAGAGCTCAAANAGGAGGATTCTTCCCAGGCCGTCTAGAAGTTGTTAGTGTTTTGAGTGAACGTGCTGATAGAAGACTCGACTTACANNGGACATGTCGGTTTTGTGGGTCCAGTAGGCTATGTAAGGCAAGCGACAAATCGTCATTGCTGCTGCTAAAACACCCAAGCCCAAGACGAACCACGCCACGACCATGTTCCTCGTGCTCATGACCGTCTGCCATAGGATGATCCCAGGGATGATGGCGCATGCAAAATCCGCAAAAATCGTGGTACAAGCGAACGAATATCCGACTGTCAGCACTACAGCTCCAGGCAAGCAGTATCCAGGAGTATGAGGGTGATGCCAATGTGTCCAGATGGCTGGGTAAGGCACACAATAGACAAAAGACCCGATGAACATGACAAGCGAAGAGCAGCTGACGATAATCAATATCCAGTGTAATGCTCGTCTGATCTTTGGTGACGTCGACAAGCGGAGGAAGGTGTAGCAGACGCTGCATTTGATCAAGCAGGTTGCTAGCGTGTAGATAGGCTTGTACATTGCGAAAGTCTGNTTCTTCGCATCAGTCTTGTTTATGATAGCTCCGATATAGTACTAGATGCATACCTGAACACCTTTCATCTGATTCTCTAGGCTGAGAACCTTGTCAGGCATACCAAGACCATACACGAATCCCCATAGCGTGACCGCACAAGCTCCAAGATGAAATAAGAGTGCCGCGATAATGAGCCAGTCATCAATCTTGAACGAACGCCTCGTGATTCGGATGTAGCAGCGTAGAGGAACGACGATGAGTGGTAACACGATCATGGCGATTGCGACAGCAAAGATAGGTATCCATTTGTCGTGCCAGTCCATGATTGCGAGTGATCGACCATTAACCAAATTCCTCGAGAAGTGTCATGTTGCAGTATATCCCAATCCAAAGGCCTGGTCGAAGTCGTTGAATTGTATAGTGAAAGTCGACAAGTCGTGCCACGCGTATGGAAAAAGGCCTCAGACCCTTATATCCAAGTTAACTCAACCGTAGCAGACGTTTAAGTCTTGACCGTTTTTTGCCATCGTCCGGCTTTGTGATTATTCCCTTCTGCGGTGTTTCTGTGCTGATTTCTCCCCACCTTACCCCTCGGTGTCTCACTTGTGTTCTCTTATCCGACCTACTTCTCTTATTGGATACTGCATATCTACTCTGTAGGCTTGTGGCTGTCAATAATTGCAGTCTTCCCACGGTGTGTCAAGCACTTGTGCCACCAACGGTTTCTTTGTACTTGCGAACCCAGTCACGGCTTCAGATGTGTTCAGCACACAGACATGATGATAGCATGATGTCCTCAGATGTCTCAGACGATCTTTTCGTTCAATATCGCCCTGGTTGTTTGAGAAGGATGATCTTCTGCGAAATAGATCCTCCCTTCTGCACATACTTGAGAACAGAGGATTCGAAGCAGGAAAACAAGATACTACCAGAGACGTTTCGCGAGCTGAGAAGGGGCTCGCTGTTGACGGTGACTATAACGTTTTTATTGTGTTCAAATTCTCCAATTAAGCTTTTGCATGTCAACAACTACCTTCAAGAGGGAAAGAAACAATTCATGACATTGACATCGGACCCCATAATTAGAGTGCCTACAAGCGATGGGGAGCTCAGTGGATTCCACGTTGGAGGGCGTACTGGTCTAGAAAGAAAGAGTCACTGAAATTCCACCCGTTACAGTTGTCGTTTTCGGCTCCAGATGAGGTTTGAGTGCAGAGCCGAGTACAACTGTGGTGATTTATAGCGGTTGCCCATGTGAGAAAGGCATAAAAGTAGCGTCTATGATCTTGCATAGTTGTGTACTAATAGCATGTTCGTGGTTCATGTCGTTGTTCGAGCATCGGCGTGGGAATTTGATGCCGAGGTCCAAGCGTCGTCGGCTGTTCCAACGCCAAGCCATTTTTCTCCTACCAAAGTTCGACATAACTCCACCAATACCAACTCGCAAGCTCTCAGGATTCGACTAGACGCAAAAGAAACGCATCTCCATGCTACACGAGGGCAAAAAGCTCGACGCCTGTGTGATTCGAACACACGCTCCGCAGCTTCGCGCCGGCGTCGAACTTTAAGCGGAGCGAGAAAGTTTGACGTCGAAGGCGCGAGGATGTAAACAACGATAAACAATAAATTCCTAGTAAGCCAAGTTACAATAGACCATCGTAGAAGTTGTTTCTAATAAAGAAAACCACGTGTTTCTATGTGATGAATTAAGTTTGTTCGAGTTTAAGATTTGCGTTACCTATTCGCCGTAATGCTTACTAGGGAGTTTAGACTCGACGACTGCGTGATCTCCAATCTTCGTAGGCTTCCGAAACACTACGTACTACCATGGGGAAAGATTAAGTCGTGTTGTTGTTTCCGTATATGCTAACAGTTATGGTATAATCGCAAAAACACATAGCACTTTTTCTAATAAAGCAATATCCACCGAGAGAATTGAATATCTAGACATTTTAATGGCTGCATCTCTAAGTACAAAAACACTGTGTATTTTAATATCGAGTAGACTATCTTAATACTGCATAACGTTATAGGAGAAGGTTAAACAAAAATTGTAGAGGCGGACATGCAAAAAGATCGACGCCTAAGAGATTCGAACTCTTGCTCCCGAAGGAAATGCCTTAGCAGGGCATCGCGTTAACCACTCCGCCAAAGCGCCTATAGGGAATCCCGAGATTGGTTAGATTTCGCGGTTGGATGGAGGGGAGGTCCAATGGTGATCAATATGTAGCTCGACACGGTAGGAAGGCACGACCCACGAATCTGAAGAGGAAGAAGCGATCAAGGCTGTCGCGGATCAATCGAGGAATGCACGACTGGTGAAGTTTGCCAACAGAGGGTGAAACGACACAAAATCCAAGAGGAAGGAACAATCGCGAATCCTGACAAGGATGTGTCTTTTGGTCGGCGACCTCAGCGCGGGTGTCCTAGCCCAACAGGGAAGGCTTCGCGCTCACATCGAGTGCTATGTCGATCGAATGCTAACATGCTCAACTTCTCAACCTGCAGTCTCAAGCCACAATGACTGCCTTGCAGAAAGACGGGCTGGCAAGAGAGATCCCGTAGTGTCCACACAGTATTTATTCAGCCCAGAATCATATTGCGAGGACAAACTGAAGCTTGACGCAGGGAATGATAGCTCTGAGTATACGTACGCAAAAAGTCATTACAACTTCCTATATTCTCTGGCCTACATTGAATTTTGTCTGGCTAGAACCATGAAGTGATCTACCATGCAGTCCGCGTTTTGCAGTAGAGTCATGAAGGCGTTGTGTCATGCACATATCTGAGCCGTTAACCAAGGATCTCTTCCCTTTTCGCAACGAGGGCAGCCTGCTCAAATTTCTGGATAACCAGCCGACTGCGAACCATCTTTGAAGGATTTGCTGTATCGTATGCCATACTGCTTCTAGGATGTGCCATGACGCGGCCACGGTAAGTATTCGCCCTTATAAACAGTCTCATTCTTCTCCAACCTGATATCTTGTCTCTCATCACATGAACGACCAAGCCTGGTTGTATTCATCTCATCATGATATTACAGTTACTCCATCTGTTGTCCTTTGTAATCGTCTCTAACGCCCTAGAAGCTTATAGTGGTGGAAGACTTTTCAGTTCGAGCTTCGGATATCCTGGTATCAATGCCTCTTACGACTACGTGATCGTGGGCGGCGGGACAGCGGGGTTGACACTGGCGACGAGGCTGGCTCTGAACGGTAGTTATTCTGTCGCTGTCGTGGAAGCTGGAAGCTTCTACGAACTGGATAATGGCAACTACAGTCAAAGACCGTCCGGTGTCATTCGCTCTGCGGACGCAAGCCCCAATCTCGGCACCGTGAATGGCCTTATCGATTGGAGATTTCTCACCACACCTCAAGCGGGGTTGCTGAATCGTACGGCTCATTATGCACGTGGCAAGTGCCTTGGAGGTTCGAGTGGCCGTAACTATCTTCTGTACCAAAGAGGAACCGTTGGCTGTCTCGACAAATGGGCCAAAGAAGTAGGGGATACCTCATACGAATGGCAAAATGTATTGCCTTACTATCAGAAATCGACTCACTACACGCCAGCCGACACCACCACTCGTGCTGCAAACTCCTCCCAGGGCACTGTGGATGAGACCGAAGCATTTGGAAAGAACAATGGACCTCTTCAGATTACTCTCCCGAAGTATGCCGCTTCTTGGTCATCTTATTTCCCTTCTGCCTTTTCAGAGGTTGGGTTACCGGCCCTGACGAAAGGTACTAATGACGGAGTACTCAATGGTTGGACATACATGNAAATGTCCGAGGATCCAATCCAACAGACGCGAAGTTCCTCAGAAACATCTTTCCTCAGACTGGCATTGGAGCGTACTACCCTCATCGTATACACCCATGCGTTGGTCAAACGGATCATCTTTGATGACAGCAAGACTGCACGAGGCGTATCAGTTGACATTGGAAATATGAAGTTCATGCTGAATGCAACGAAAGAGGTCGTCGTATCCGCTGGTGCCTTCCAATCGCCACAGCTCTTGATGGTCTCTGGTATCGGACCAGCATCCATTCTAGAGAGTCTCAACATCCATGTCATCTCAAACCTGTCAGGCGTTGGAAAAAACATGTGGGACAATCCACGTCTCACCCTGTCATTGCAGGTAAACCTAGAAACCGGCACAACATTGACCAATCAACCCAGAAGGAACCTCGAGGAAACGGAGAAATACATTGCCAACCGTACCGGCATGCTCACCTCAACAGGTGCCGATTTCGCCGGCTTCGTCAAGCTCTCCAATGACTCTTGCACAAACCTCTCTTCAGCAACACGATCTTCTCTGGCCGAGACTTTCCCACAGGATTGGCCAGAAGCAGAGTTTTTCGCATCCTCGAATGGAGTCGCGGGCTTAGCTCACGACGGCGCGGGCATCTTCATTGGACTTCTCACGACGTTCAGTCGGGGCAGTGTGAACATAAATTCATCAGACATGGCAGTCGCACCTGTGATCGATCCTGCCTGGCTAACAGACAAACGCGATCAAGATCTCGCAGTCAATGCATTCAAATATGCTCGTCGCCTTGCCAATACTACATCTTTGCGTAGAGTCATTGTTGGCAATGAAGTTGCGCCAGGATCTGCGGTTCAATCTGATGAGCAGATTCTTGAGTATTTGAAGAACACCACGGTCACTTATTATCATGCTGCGTGTACCTGTAAGATGGGTATGGAGAATGATAGTGTAGCTGTAGTTGACAAGGATGGCAAGGTTTTTGGAGTCAAGGGGCTGAGAGTTGTAGATGTTAGCGCTCTGCCTTTGTTGCCACCTGGACAGCCGCAGGGCACCGTGTATATGTTGGCGGAGAAGATTGCTGATAGGATGCTGGAGGAAGCTTAAGACTTTGGTTGGTTTGATCCTATATCAATCAGTTTCTGTCTTCGTTTGTTCTCTTGTCATTGCACTTGCTCGTATTACATTGACAAATTCTAAAAGCTAATCAACAAGGACAAGGTATATACAACTAAATACACAACCGGAACATTATCCACAATATCAAACATTGGTCACGCTACTCGCACTCGTATCCGACGGACTTGCCTTTGTAGGCTTCTCGACCTTCTCCGCCTTCTCTGCTTGCTGTTTCCTCCTCAACTTGAAGATGGATCCTCCACACCAAACCACTGTTGGAACGACACAGACAAATGACACACACCCGAGTACAAGCGTGGCAGTACCCCACCCGGCCCTCTGCCTGACCAAACCTGCAAGCAAAGGTCCAACCAAAGTGCCGCCAGCGTAGGCCATATTGAACAGTCCATACGCTTGAGCAAAAGCACCATTCTTGCCGAAGAAGCCTGCTGGACGCTTGGCGCCTTGTGCATCCACTGCATACGAGACTTCTGCCATAAGTGGTGTAAGGGAAAGAGTGACTCCAAGACCAATCAATGCAAGAAGTGCACAAAGCAGCACCTTTTGGCGGATGCTGTCATGGTTGACAAGGCGCATCAGGATGAAACAGGGGCTACAGACGATGAAGCCGATTGTCGATGGCCATCTGACTCCGTGCTTGTCGACAAATCCGCCAACGAGAGGTCCAGTGAAAGAAGGAATTGTGACAGCCAGGAAGATCAGTCCAGCACCGATGGAATCCCAGCCCCAGATCTCGTTGACATACAGAGGCAAGATCGAGTCGAATGAGGTCAAAAGACAGGCGGAGACAAAGCAGCCAAACAAAGCGGCGTCAAGTCTGTACGACGCGAGTAGTGAGAAGACTCGAGGAAGCCTGCGTCGTTCCTGTGTCACAGCAGATGTCTCAACTTCGGGTGTGTGACACTCCGGGTCAGCTCTCGGATCGTCTGTGCTGCCCTTGTGTTCGGTGTCAGTGGCTACTTCAGGTGCTGTAGGCCCCCATTTCGCAGCAACAGATCTTTCTATCATCAACAATCTGAGAATTGCATCGATGCCTAAAAGTACAAAAGCCATTGCAAAGACGGCATAATATCCGGCNACTGTGAGCCATGTAAGTACAAGTGTGCTTCTTTTGACCTCCGATATGACGAACCGTTCAAAAACGATGCCACCAAGAAGTGGACCGAGCAAGTAGGCCAACGACATGGCAATGCCAACATAGCCCATCGACTGCCCGATCTCTGCAGAACCAACAGTGTCCTGTAATAATGCCAGACCGACAACCCAAACCACCGCTGCCGAAAGACCTTGAAGGAGACGACCAACAATGATGAGAGCAAGACTGTTACCAACAACCAAGAATATCGTCGATCCTGCCAGTGCCAGCAATCCAAACATAAAGCTCCATCGCCGCGAGTCGAATCGATCAGCTACCCACCCACATATGGGTGCTCCGATAAGTAGAGCGCCGCCATAGACAGCCAACAGTACCGATATCATCGACTGGACATTATCCTGCGGGACACCAGCACGACCACTCAAAGCGAATGGCAGTACTGGCACGATGATACCATACAGGAAGACGTCAGTGAACACCGCAGCGGCGACAGTACTGATGATCAACCATTTTGAACTCCGAATCTCGAGTAAAGCGGGAGGAGTGGTCTCGGTACCCGTCAACCACGCAAACATATTGTATGATGATGATGATGATGATGATGATGATGAAGATGCTGTATTAATGATTCTTTGTGAAGCCTCTGATCGGGATGATAAGACATGCAGAAAGAAGAGGCGAGGAGGGGTGTGACTTAACAAGACATTTCTCGCAGGCAAGATGACTGCTATCCTCCTTTTGCAACGAGGGTTCTTAGCCTTGATTATGCGCGTGAGTTCTTGAACCGCCTCATGGGTTTTCGTATCTCTCGGCTTCCGCGCGCTGCGGAGAAGTATTCGCGGAGGGTGATCTTAAAAAAGGAAGGCCCGAGGCTTCGAATCGTCATGATCGCGTGGACTTGCTACATACGGCGTCGAGTCCAGCCTTGGCACCATGTGGTGTTTATTCCTACTTCGCAAACCTTACCCTCTGAAGAATATCAAGTATTGTTAGAACTAGCGCCTAAGCAACATACAACCACTGTTACTCAAAAATGTCAAGAAAAATCGAGGGCTGTGTAGATTCTGCCCTTCCATGTTATCGTATTGTTGGTGACAAATGCTGTCGAAAAGATGCGGTGAGATATGTCGAAGCGCTGCAGCTCGTGCAGGTTTATTTGGTATACCGGGCTGTAAAAGGCTGCAGGGTTAATGCAGTTGCGCTCGTGCAGGACCACTGCGTCCACATGAGGGGGCAATCGGCAGTTGTGCCCGAAGCGGATGGGTCTACCATGGTTTAAAGTGATGCGAAGTGTCAAATCTGAAGAGTCACGTTCTCAAGGTTGCTATTCGCCTATACATGAGTGTTGGATCAGGCATTGCCTTGTATGTTTAAGGCGAAGCGTGGAAGGTAGGCAGCGATCAGGGTGATGCGCAAGGTGGATCAGGGATTATTACGGCCTGATGAACGTCGCAGATTGGAACAGACAAAATCACAGGGCGACGAGACAAAGGATGCGGCTTAACAGGAAGAAGCGGAGGGGTATCATAAAACAGCAGCGATGTATATACATAGGGACGTCACGTCTGCTTGGTAGCAAGACCAACAACATTCCTCAAAGTGCCAAAGGGTAAGACGTCTCCGATGCGTTTCTGACCAGTGAGGAGCATGACCAGACGATCAATTCCCATACCCCAACCACCAGTAGGAGGCAGTCCCCATTCAAGAGCCTCGAGGTAACTCTCGTCCACCTCTGCTCTGCCGTCACCTTCGCCATCCACTTCACGGTATTTGAGCTGCTCCACAAATTTCTCGCGTTGAGCAAACGGTGAGTTCTCCTCCTCGTACATGTTGGCGTACTCGTTGCCTCGGATGAAGAGCTCAGCGCGAGCGGAGACGACTTGGGAGGTTCTGGGGCAAACGTAGGTTTTCGAAAGTGGCGACATGACTGCAGGATGTTCGGTGATGAAGGTTGGGTCAGTACAGAGGGGCTCGATGTAGTGGCCGGCCAGAGCGTCTAAGAGGCGTGGTAGTGTTGGTTTGGCAGGAATGGCAATGTTGAGTTCAATGAAGAGGTCCAGCACCTCTTGCGTTGCACTGTCGTTACTAAGATTCGGTAACTTCTTACCCATTTCTTTNTCGACAGTGGGTATGAAGGGAAGACGCGGGAACGGTCCTTGGAACAGGTGAGCCTCGTTTGTGTCAAAGTTGACAGCAGTGTCAGCCAGATGCTTGAAGTTTTCTTCGCCCATCTTGCGTAGGTCTTCATGCAGCCCAGACAACAAATCTTCGGTCATCTTCATGAGATGGTCAAGGTCGGCAAAAGGCATGTAAGACTCGCAGATGGTGAACTCGGGGTTGTGCGTTGCGTCCACGCCTTCGTTGCGAAAGGCTGGTCCGATTTCGTAGACCTTGCCTAAGCCACCAACGACCAATCGCTTTAGCCACAGTTCTGGGGCTATGCGAAGATTGAGAGTTGTGTCTTGCATTTCTGTAGCGACAGTCTCAAAGGGTCGGGCTACTGCGCCACCGGCACCAGCAGTCAGCAAAGGTGTGCTAACTTTGGAGTAGCCTTGAGTGTCGAAAAAGGTGGAGATGCCACGCTCGATGGTCGACCGAATCCTCAGCGTTTGGACAGCTTGACGGTGAACCAACATATCGACATGGGGTCTACGAGCGCGTGTTTCAGCATCATCAAGCTGGGCAGGAATCTGATGAAGGGAGGGTGACATGAGCTGAGGAAGCTCAGTCGCAAGAATACTCTCCTCTCCGCCTTGAGCCTTGTGTGGATGACCAACAAAGGTATACCAGTCTCCTCGACGAACGACGCGCTTGAAAGCGTTGAACTGCTCACGAGGCACGCCGTTCTGGTCGAGGTGGGAGAAATTACAGATGGCTTGGGCGACACGATCATCTTGTTCTATGTCGATGAAGACCAGCTTGGAGCCGGCAGTGCGCACAGAGCGAACTCTGCCGGAGACGACAAACTTATCGTCGAGCTTGGTGGCACCATTATCTAAAGTTGCACTGCTCTTTCTCAAATCATTCACGGAGATTCTGGCGACATCATGACGCTGCGGCAGACGTGGCCAGCAGTCTTGCAGCGATGTGTTCGCCTGCAATTGAGCAACACGCTTCTCATAGTCGCCTGTTGGAGAGTCCTGGACGGGTTTCTTCGAGGCAAGCCTAGTATAGGCTGAGAAGCAGCGAGCATATGAGGGACTCAAGGTTGATCGAATGTCTTTCTGAAGAACGGGCCGCAAGAAGCGGTAGACTTCGGCAGACCTTGGCATCTGTGAAAACACTGTTAGTCCCAGTATTGAAAGTGTGACGACGATATGCAGTGTGTATTGTAGAAGAGAAATCAGGATAATCGGTATGTTTGTGAAATCAACCCCCCGAAGGAGTCATTCGCAACGGTTCTTTACAAATTTTGCTCATCATGGAATGTGAATTGGGAAGGTACAGATGTAGACGGAAGGACTTACCATGTGTCACAGCATGTTGTGTGGTGAAGGAGGAAGAAGGAAGGAACGAGCAGTCGGAAGTTCTTGCTTGCAAAGAAAACCGAGCTCCAATGGCCCAAGCTCAAACGTGCAACTTTCTACTCTGACGATGATGCGCAACGTGCAATCCGCAGTCAATCCAATACACTTTTCGTCTTCCCATCCAACAACACCTTTCAACTTATATCACAATGTCTTTCCTCTTCGGTGGTGGTCGCCCCCAGCCCTCTTCAGCAGAGAAGATTGCTGCTGCTGAGGCCGAAATTGACATGGTCTCGGACATGTACAACCGGTATACACTTCACACCAGTTCAATTGTCACACCGTGATCGCGTGCTAACAACTCTCACAGTCTTGTCGAGACCTGCACCAAGAAGTGCATCCCCAACAGCTACCGCGAGGGCGATCTTAACAAGGGCGAGTCAGTCTGCCTCGACCGTTGCGTCGGCAAGTTCTTCGAGGTCAACATCAAGGTCTCCGAGAAGATGCAGGGAGAGGCCGCTGGCAAGCAGGGCGGTGTCGGTGGTTTCGGTGGCATGTAAAATGCTCGACTACGACAACCATCACCAACAAAATCACCTTCACAACCTTCCGAACACATCGAGGCGAATCATCTTCCCGCCACCCTCTTCGATTTGAGCACGCGCCCACGAGCTGGAGTAAGAGAAAAGCAAAAGGAGGAAGCTTTGGGCTCTTTCCGTCATGCGCTCAGGAGTAGCGCTGCTGTACCATATCTCTGATACCCAAAATCACCTCTCCAAAAGAAACTTGTATGAACGACACGAATGTACAACAGGTCGATTAAGACTAGAAATACTCTTTCCAGAACCGGAACTTGACATCGTGACTAGACTCGTCCTGGCACGCCTTCCTGATCCCTCTCGCTGCCATGTTTGGTCCACAGAAATACACTCCGACCTCGGCTCTTCTAGACTCCAGCCCGCTGATATACGTCCCACCCTCGATTGAGTCTCTCATTGCACCCAATAACCTACTAAAGTCGGGTCTGCCGAAATTCGTCCTGGAGTTGAGTTCTGTCAACGGATCTTTGGTGGTGCCAACGCTGTTCAACACAATGTTATTGGCTTGATCCACGTCCATCTTCTGCGTCAGATACGTGTGTATCTTTAGAAACTCGTCTCTCTCCTCGGTGGGCTTGTTTTCGTCCAATGGTGAAGACATGGATAGTGACTGCATCTCTAGAGACGACAACAATGCTTGGAACCATTCGAAAGATGTTGTTGTTTTGCACACCCAGATGAATTCGACTCTCTTCAGTCGCTTGGGAGGGTTCGGCGATAGTCGCATGTGCCATATGTTCTTCAGGATCGAAGCCCATGGCGTGACGCCGATACCAGTACCAACGAGAATAGCAATTTCGTGATTAAAAACATCTTCAGCAGGTGCGCCATAAGGCCCATCGATGCAAAGTGTTGGCATCTCCTGTCCTTGCTGTAGAGCTACTTCGTACATTCCCATAGGATCCAGTTCTCCATATAAGGCTGCCTGCTCTGGTCCAGCGCCTAGAGCGTTCGCAAGCGATCTGGTAAAGTCTCCAACTTGGCGGACGTGGACGCTAATATAAGGGTCGAAAGGGCAAGATGTGATGGTGAAGGGATGCCATTGGTTTTTNGACACTTCTGGGCATTTCAANAAGAGCCACTGTCCAGCTTTGTACTGCATGCTGGGCTTGCGAAACTGTATTTCGACTGCATCNTGTTGCGATCTCAGTACAACTGCACCGAATACTACCTGCTTCTTTTGCTTACCATACGGATGTTTGACAACTTTGATAATCTCTGTCGGCCTGCGAGCACGGATTTCTCGATATATTCTTTCGAACAAATACAGTCCACCACCAATCAGCTCCCACCGCCAGCCCTGGTATCCAAGACAATGGTTCCAGAAGACTTTGCCGGCGAAAGGCGATACTGGTTCGACAGTATCTCGGACGAAACATCCAGTCGCATGGCTGTACATGGCCAGAAGAAACGGCACAAACAAATGGTGCGTGTACCAAAACGTCTCATAAGATTGCTGACGAATCTTCTGATGGGCCGTGGTATAAATCAGGAGCATGCAGAAAAGCATGATATGACCTGTTATGCCACCAGCTTGGGTATAGTGAACTTGAACAGCCGCTTGTTTGCGAAGCTGCATTCGCTCGATGTTGAAGAAGTTGACATAATGACCAGTAGTGTGAATCATCGTCCAGAAAAGTAATGAGTACGCGACCTGTCTGTGGAACCACCGCGACTCATCCAATGGAAGCCATTTGATTTTCGGTCGACAATAACGTAGGATGTTTCTGCACATTGGCAGCATAATCAAGGTAGTGTCGACACTGAGGACTAGTCCTGCTCCTCTTGATATCCATACCGAGAACGTTAGTAGGTTGAGTGGTGCCAGTGCCTTGCTGCTCTGTTGTTTCCACNNCTGATGGCTATCAGTCTGTATGCCAGTCGGAAGAATTGCTGTAACGTACCATCCTACGATGAACAATGCAATGTGAAATCCATGAAATAGCAAGTAGAAACTCAGCTTCCTGGGAGTGACCAAAGATCTCCAGGACCGCTCTTCCGCGTGTTCAGGCATGGCGAAAATTACTCCGTCCGGGATATCCGCGTGGAAGAGGTCGGGGTGAGTTGTCCAGCTTGATGGCAGCAGATCAAGACGAGAATATCAGCACAACCAACATATCATGTCGTCCACAGACTCAGAATTGTGAGAGAACAGTCACGACACAACCATCAGTTACTTAGACAAGGGCGATACGACAAAAATGCAAACCTCGGTTGAGCAACTCAAGTCGCCCTACCACATAGTCACTACTGCATAGCCGCCCAGCACCCACCTTGATGACCAGGACCTGCATACTTTCTGCAGGGCTTACTCTGAATCACAAAATCTGGTGGCTAGCGCAGAAAAATGCATGTGTCGAGGTCGTGAATGGTCGTAGGACAAAGGTCTCGGCGCGTGCTCAAAAACGGAACAGAGGCGCGTTGATTGGGTGCGTAACCGCTGGCACTTCTGCACACTGCGTTGCTCTTCGTGTTCATGTCTGGACGAATGGATATGTTGATAGTGAATGTTCGATTCCATGTCATAGATTATAGATTCATTGACGAGGATTTGGATGATAGGGCTGCTCCCAGTTCGCGTCGATGGATTGACACAGATAACGACTTCACCGTGTCGACGAGGCAGCGAAGAATGCTGTAAGTAGGTCAATTGAATGCGACCGGGACTATGCAAAGATTCACAGATGCCGCCGATCCCTGACCGAAATATGTTTGCCAAAGGCGAGAAGTCGTCCGATTCGATGACAATTTTGGCGCTTCGCATTCGTGAGAAGCCTCACAAGACCATCCAACCACCCACCTCACGCAAAACCCAAGAAGCCAAGCAATCAACTTCAGCTATTCTAGATCCCAATCACCCCGTCCGCTCCTTCGTATTCGTTCCCTCTCTATCCAACAGAAGCGAGAAAAGACATGGATGCCGCTTTCTGTTAAGCCACTCCCACGCAATATCACCTGCATCTCTTCGCTCCCTCGTCTTGTAATCACTAGTACCGTCTCTCCATATTCGCGACCCACCGTCCACGTCCCCTCCCAGCAAACGGATCGCTTGATGATATACAAAGAACTGGCCTTCCAATATTCCGTCACTCCCTTATTGCACTGAATCTGAATCATGTCGGCGTCGACCCCTGTGTCACCAGTCTATCGGTAGCAAAAACCAACATCAACATACCAGAGTTTCACCATCTGTTGCTGGCCGACACACCACAGCATGGGAAAGCTCATCAAGAACCACTTGGCCCGTCTCATCGTCATGACAGCAGCAACATGTAAGCTTTCATTCCTCTTTCTGGCCCTGACGACTTTGTCAGCGAACAGCCAGTCTGACTTTGATTCCATAGATCACATCGCCGCCAGCCTCCACGGCTTCTTCTGGCCCAAATTCTTCTTTGACTTCTTGACAAAGAACTTTGACCCCGCCGTCAAACCTGTACCGATACTACAAACCATAAACCTCATATTCGGCTTCATAAACCTGGCCTGGGAATGGCCGCTCGAGTTCATCGCCGGAACTGCAATACATCGCTCATTAAGGCTACGGATATTGCTACTACCACTGTCAAGCTTGGCGGCTGTTTTATTATACCAAGGGACCAATCCCGCGTTGTATTATATCATCGGCTGCGGAGTCTACTTCTGGGCCTATACGGAAGGTGAGGTATGTTGCATCCTCATAGCGTTGGCCTGTGGCTATGCTAATCAGCACAACAGGNTAGTTTGTGCGAAGCCTTGGACGTTACCCCGACGGCCAAGCCATCCGAAACAATTAGAACAGACATGACTTAGTTTCCAACATGCAATTCTGTTTCCACTGGTCAGTAGCGAGGTGTTCGGTTGGGTTGTCTCTGTCAGAGTGCGACGACTCACTATGAATGGATACACGCTGTTTCCCGAACACAGCTTGTGAGATGAAACTCTACAGCCCAGAACTAAAGATGCATACAAAGAGCTTGTGGTCATGTAAAGACCAGACACATGCCGATGCTGCAACAGATGAGTGCAGCATCTTAACACTCAAAGGCGAGATGTTGAGCTTGAGCGACATAGGCTGAGCTTTACTGTTGTCACGACGAACAATCCTTGCTCACCTCGTTCGACTCCGGCCCTGCTTGACGGTAGTTCTCTCAGGGGCAACATACTGGTCTAGACGTAGCTTCTGTCCCGTCTTCGAGACCTGCGACATACGCACAGATGAGATCGCCATTCGCGAAACACGGCAAGGATGACTTGACGCATGCAGCGAGTTCAAACTGACCCTGGTCCATAGTTCGCCACCAGCGGTCTTCGGGAAAAGACGGTCGTAGTGGAGCGTCTTGGTATGGCGAGAACGTAATTTGAGGGGAGTGGTTCCAGCCCATTCTTGCTGCGGCCGAGGCAGATTGGAGCCTCGTTCAGACATGATCCAAAAGAGTTGTTGTTCGCTTTCTCGCTTCCATCTCTTTCTAAGCCAGGTGAAATGAGAATGACGAGTTGTTGAGCGCTGGGAATCGATCTTGAAAGCCCAGTAGTGAGAGCGTTCTTGTGACCGTGCGCCTCATTTGGATGTGATGGTCGTCGCTAGAAGTATGGCGTATGGTCGGCAGATCTGCTATAAGGCTCGAAGTAGCTCTTGTAGCACGNAAGTCGGCGTCGGTGGTGGAAGACATGGTTGCACGAGCATCACGCACGCGCACACAAAGGCTGATGTGTTGGTAGAGGTGTGGCGGTTTCGCTATGCTTGTGAGCGTCCTGATCTAGAAGTGTCTTTGCTTGTTGCAATCTGGTGTCGCATCGAATAGCAGATCGGGNAGCAGCGCTACGGACCTTCCGTCGCTTCCGTCGTCGGCGAGATGCAGGCACGGCAAAGTCAGCATGGANCGACTGCGACTGCCGTTTGATCGGAGGCCGACAGTCTATCTGTGGCTTCCCAGGTGATGAGAGCACAAGCANCGCGTGTTGTCGAGAAACAACGGGCGCGTGGCCGAAGCACCTGCCGTTTCAGCNAAATTGCCAACTGCGGGAGGCCAGCCAACAGCACCTCGTCATTGCTCGACGAGGAANAAGACGTTTACGCACTACCCACCATCCACCAAGAGACTGCTGTAGACTGCTGTTCCTACGACGACGCCCNNCCTTGCCGTTGCAGTAATCAGGAGACAAAGACCCTTGACCATACCTCGGTGCTTTGCCAATCGCTGGCGCGTTGTTGCGCGTTGAGCCCCGCCGCCNATCGTGCTACTACAGCTACAACATTCCGAGCGAGAGCATAGCGGGCTAGTACCACGAAACGTGGTGAATGCTGTGAATCAAGCCGCCCGTACGTAGCCAAAGAGAATTTAAAGTAATCAAGATCCGATATGGTTGTCGCGGCCCTTGCAACGGTGCAGAAAGAGCTATCTATAAAGTGGAAAGGGCGCGCATATTCCCTCCACTCAGCAAAGGAGCAGTGCTTCAATTGATCCCAAGCTGAAACACGCGAGGGAAAGGGTTCTTACACATTTCGAGACCCAATACTGCTGCAAGGTGAGTCCCTTTCATTCCCCCGTCCATCCACCATATTCAAAAGGGGCTGGGTACCTTCGCTCTGCCTCTTTGCCCGTCACGCGCCTTCCCTTTGCTTCATCAAGCTTCTGTCATTCTTTGTTTCTTGTTTCTTTCGGCCGAATCTCTGTTCACTTGATCAATTCAAGTATCTTGCTCGGCAACAATACATCTTTGTCATTGTCGCTGTCAGGTGCTATTGATTCAATACTTTGAAAGTCAGAAGACTCGCATCTTCGACATTGTTTGCGCTTCAAAAGCTTTCCATTCGCTCCATTGTTTTGGAAAATCGCCTATCGCTTTCACACTTTTCCCGCTTCGACAACAACATCTTCCAGACCTTTCTCGGTGCAGGCACTGATACACCAACAACTTAGTCTTTTACACCCTTCAAGCTCTCCTCCTTTCTCAAACTTCGAACAACCCATCATCTTTCATATCACCACAATGCGCACAATCAGCCCGCTCTCGCTGATCAGCGCCGTGGCCGCTCTGGTCACCTTACTCATGGTGCTATCGCCATCACAGGCGTTGGCCTCTCCCGTCTCACCGGTCAAGAGAGCCACGTCTTCAAACTACTGGCTGGCCAATATCAAACGCCAAGGATCCGTGGCATTCGGCACTGACTCATCTTACGCCGTCTACCGCAATGTCATGGATTATGGTGCCAAAGGTGATGGCTCTACAGACGACACAGCAGCAATCAACGCAGCAATTTCTGCCGGCAGTCGTTGCGGTTGGGGCTGTGACAGCAGCACAGTCACGCCTGCTCTCGTCTACTTTCCTCCTGGTACATACATGATCTCTCAACCCATCGTCATGTTGTACTACACTCAGCTCGTCGGTGACGCGCTCAACTTGCCTGTCCTGAAGGCCACTGCTGGCTTCCAAGGCATGGCTGTCCTCGACTCGGACCCTTACGACAGCAGTGGTGCAAACATGTTCACGAACCAGAACAACTTCTTCCGTCAAGTCCGCAACTTCAAAATTGACCTTACTGGTATGCCTCAGACAGCTGGTGCGGGTATCCACTGGCAGGTCGCCCAAGCAACTTCTCTCCAGAACATCATCTTCAACATGATTCCTGGCTCTGCCTCGAAGCAAGTCGGTATCTTCATGGACAACGGTTCTGGTGGTTTCATGAGCGATCTGGTCTTCAACGGTGGTAACTACGGAGCTTTCTTGGGCAACCAGCAGTTCACCTCGCGCAACTGGACCTTTAACAACTGCAACACTGCCATCTTCATGAACTGGAACTGGGCATGGACCATGAAGTCTGTCTCGATCAATAACTGCGGTGTCGGTCTCGACATGTCCAACGGTGGTTCTACCAACATCTTGATTGGCTCCGTCGTCCTCATGGACTCCAAGTTGACCAACACTCCCATTGGTGTCAAGACTTCATTCACTTCCAACAGCGCTCCTGCTACTGCAGGCACTCTCATCATCGACAATGTTGACTTCTCTGGCTCGACCACTGCTGTCGCCGCTGCTGATGGTAGCTCTATCCTGGCAGGTGGCAAGGTTGTCACATCATGGGGCGAGGGACGCCAATACTCCGGTACTTCTGGCTCTCGTGTTCAGGGATCTCTCGCTGCTCCTTCCAAGCCTGCTGCCCTTCTCGACAGCTCTGGCAAATTCTTTGAGCGCTCCAAGCCTCAGTATGAGAACATACCCGCCAGCGCATTCATCAGCGTCAAGAGCTTCGGCGCCAAGGGTGACGGTGTTACTGATGACACTGCTGCCATCCAGAAGGCCATGGCCGGTACCAACTCGAACCAGATTTTGTACTTTGACCACGGCGCCTATGTTGTCAGCAAAACCATCAGTGTTCCCAACAACATCAAGATGACTGGTGAAATTTGGCCTCTGATCATGGCTACTGGCAGCTTCTTCAGCGACCCCAGCAACCCTCAACCCGTATTTGACATCGGCAAGGCTGGCCAGTCCGGTGCCGTCGAGATCACCGATCTTATCTTCGAGACTAAGGGCCCTGCTCCTGGCGCAATCATGCTCAAATGGAACATGGCTTCGGCTCAGGGTGCCTCGGGTATCTGGGACGCCCATGTACGCATCGGTGGAAGTGCAGGCACAGGATTGCAGAGCGACAAGTGCTCCAAGGACCCCTCTTCCACCGCTGTCAGAACCGGTTGTGAGGGTGCATACATGCTCTTCTGGGCCGGTACCCAATCTTCCGGTGTTTACCTCGAGAACACCTGGTTCTGGGTTGCTGACCATGAGCTGGATCTTGCCGACCACAACCAGATCGATATCTACAACGGTCGTGGTGTCTACATCGAATCCCAAGGCCCCGTCTGGCTTTACGGTACCTCTTCGGAGCACAACATCTTCTACAACTATGAGATTCGCAACGCAAAGAACGTCTTCATGGGCATGATTCAATCCGAGACGCCTTACTTCCAATCCAACCCCAAGGCACCTGCTCCCTTCGTGCCTCAGCGCCCCTCGGACCCCACCTTCTCGATCTGCTCGACACAGAACCCTTCAGCACCCTGCTACAAGTCTTGGGGTCTCCGCGTCGTCGACAGCACCAACGTCTTCATTCACGGTCTCGGTCTGTACTCGTTCTTCGAGAACTACAACCAAGACTGCGTCGCCACGAACAACTGCCAGCAGAACATGATCGGCCTCGAAGGCAGCAACAGCAACCTCAACATGTATGCCGTCACCACAAAGGCCTCTGTTAACATGATCACCTTGGACAATGGCATTGCCGCTGCCCTCGATGCAGACAACAGAAACGTCTTTGGCGCCACTGTTGCCTACTACCGCAAGGGCGGTTCCTCAACACGCGATTGCGACGATGAAGACGATGAAGAGTACGAGGACGACGAGGAATAAGCGTTTTCACCCGCACATCGACTTGCTTCCTTTTTGCACAAACAACACCCCGCTCCATGTCCCACATCTCCGGTAGATGTCAGGGACATGCAAGCCACGAATTTTCGAAAAACCATCCGGAATGATTTTTTCTACTAACGACACAGCATCTACAATACCCCGCGGGCCTCGGCAATGGAACAGAGGCATATTGGCGTTTTTGCTTTCTCACCAAACATAAGGGACTTGATGAACTTGCATCTTTGGGAGGAGTTTTCTTCTGATTAGACCTTGAGGGTCGAACCGAGCATATAGCATTTTTGGACAGAACGGGTCCAGGTGGAGGAAGAAATAAACAACACAGAAAAATCAAAGGGCAGGCCACCCCCTTTTTGGTAGTTAGATGTAGTAGCATAGCAAAGGACAATCACAGTACACATACCGACCAACCTACCTAGCACACTCGCTTCTTCTGTGAGCTCATGTCCTCGTCACTCTAGTTCCCGCTTTTCTCCCGCTGATCGTTTCGTCTTCCACTCGGTTGTTCCTTCCTTCGCATCGATCGAGTTTCTCTTCACGTGTTTAGCAGAACCACGAGGTCTACTTCTCCCCTCTGATTCTGGGAGGGACATTCCCTCCATCTCTCCTTCCTGCAGTTTCTTGGTGGCACTAGGATATCTCTTTAGACACTTCATTGAGCTATTCCTCCCGAGCGAAACCTTCAGCTCTCCTTTCACCAAGTTCACAGTCGCAGCTTATACTCTCAAGAACATTGAATCACTGAAAATTACAGTCTGCATGCACATTCAACAACGACCATGCCATGACATTTTCAAGCAAAATCTGATCACACAACTTTGTTTAAGAATCTTCGAACGACACTGAAGAGGTGGCTTCTTAATGAGCTATTCTGGCATATGGATATAGATCCCTATGGAGCGAGTTGGCTAATACACAGTTTGTGATTACAAAGAGCTAGAAAGAGCCCGGTTCTTGTGTGAGTCGCAGATGGGGGATTGGTGCTCGTCTATTGATCGCCAATCAAGGCCAGGCTCTTTGCTGCTGTCGGTACTCTCGAGCTATGTTTACCAGGCTAGCGTGGTATCGCGACCGTAATCATTGGTCGACTTCTCCATGGCAGAGAAAGCACATTCGACGAGTGCCGGCAATAATTGCGGTATGTGATGAGGGTTTCATTGCATGCTCTCAGGGTAGCCGACTTCAAGTCTGCTGGTAAACACCAAACTTGACGACTTCTACCTCAAGTGTCTCCATGTCCAGTAACAGCAACTCACTGGTGTCCTTGAAGCGTGGCACCGATATGATTCGGCAGCTCTGGTTATCAGGTCCTTCGACAACCGTGGACTGGAAGCGAGGCTGGTTGCCAACAATGTAGACGTGCGGAGTGGCCTCGATGACGAAGCGATCTTTGTCTTGGAATGGATAGCACCCTAGNAATCGTCAGTACCTTGTCGTATGCAGTAATGTTTTGGACTTACACAACGTATCTGGAGCAGTGGGTGCGCACAGTCTCCAGCGTAATGTTGCTTCCATCATCTCCAGTCGGTCGTCGCCTTCGATGTATTTGAAGACATCATCGATCGGCTGACCACCAGTAGCAAGAACTCTCCAACCATCCACATCACCCTCCCAAGGATTTGTGACAGTATCGAACCAGGCCGAGTCTTCCGAGTTAGGCGCAGCCATGTAAGCTCTGCTTTTTGGAAAGAGGGCGGAGTGCATGGGTTGTTGAGGCAGCGATGTATGGGTAGGGTCTTGTTCACCAGGGATCAAAGTAATGGGTATCGAGGGTAAGAGTGATTCCAGCAGAGAATCCAGGCGATCGGTTGGGGCAGGGTTGTAGGAGGAAGCGTCGTAGCCATATTTCTTGACGGCAGAAGGCTTCTTGATTGCCACTTCCTCTGCATTTGGGACGGGGTTCGCCGAGGACAGAGAGTTACCAGCAATCAAAAGTCGTGAGATGCTCGAGATCTTCTCTTGCTCGGCGGGTGAAGCCGACTCGCCGAGGAGATATTCCACAAGCATATCTAGAGCCATCGTGTCGCCAGAGTCACCACTGACACCTAGTGTCGAGATAATAGCAATCTTGCCAGCCTTCTCCTTTTTTCGNGCCTTCTTCTTGCTTGCGCCACCGCTTTGGCCTAATGACCAACGTTCGAGTTGTGGTGCCAGCTCAGGTATTTTCAGATCGATGACTTCGAAGTCGCCATTGGCGTTTTCTGTGCCCATGACGGCTACGATACACCCTGTTACTAGTAGACATGAGCTCAGGAAACTGCCCGTCAGGCGTAGTCGACCGGATTCGTCTTCGAGCATGATTTGGTCGCTTGCTCCAGAGGTAAACTTCAGGCGAGGGGGCGGTGCGGCAATCCAGTGCTACGTGGTATGTCAGTACGTGCAGTGGGCACCTCTTCAAGAGCTTACATGTTTCGAAATGTCGTCGAGAATGTTGGGCTTAAGTGGCATCTCCATGTAGACGGTGCCGGCCACCCAGACCAGCTCACCTTGTCGGACGTCTAACACTCGATCGACTTTATGCACCTCATCTCCACCAATCTGTTAGGTGTCGTTTTAGTATTCATCCGGCAGCGCTTTGGAAAGGTTGCTCACCTCGAAGCCATCCCATGCTTCACTGGCAATGCGTTCTACGGCAGGTTTGAGAACGGCCAGCCGGGCAAAGTACATGTCGGCATATTGTTGTTGGTAATGCTTTTGTTCGCCTTTGGCTAGATGGAATGATCGGAGGGGNTTATACGATGACGGTGTGCGCTCGAGAGTCTGGTATTCCTCGTTCCTTTGGATCTAGTCAACTTCTGTNCTTTGATTGGACATTGAATCGTTCCACTTACGAGGGAGACTGTAATAGCGCATCGACCGAATTTGAAGGCGCCATGTCGCAATGCAATATGTTGCAACAATGTGCATGACCAGAAGAATGTGGTGTGGGAGCTGCCGCCCNGCGTCAGAAGGAGACGCGTCGCAACTTCCCTTTCTGACGCGACTCAATTTCGCTTCCCGATTTGGACAACTTNNCTTGATCCAACCTTGCGTCTTGTCTTGTTCATCATGATCATACATATAATACAGAGAGGAGTTATCTATTTACAATGGGGTATATGGCGACAAATTCCACTTTTCAACTTTCTACGCTGCCGCTGCAGCAACTTCTGTCTCGGCCTCAACTTCAGCTGCAGCACCACCGCCCAGGCCAATTTCCTGCACCTTCCAACCTTGTGCCTCATCGACAAAGCTCTTGCGCGCACCGAGAACAGCCATGCTGCTGTTGGACATGCCATTCACCAAGAATCGTTCTGCAGCATCACGGACCTGCTCCTGCGTTACATCCAAGAGCTGCTGCCGTCGTGTCTGCTCCATATCAGGAGTCACTCCGCTAACGAATCTGGTCATGCCCTCCTCACTGACACTTCTAGGAGCATCGAGTGCTTGGAAGACAGACAACTTGGCGTCCTCGAGATCGCGATCACTCCACTTTCTGTCCACTGCCCACTTGCCAACATTGTCCAATACCTTGATGGTGTTCTCAGGATTGGGGTCGCGGTAAGAGTAGAACCCGAACACACCATCTAGTGCGCGAGAGTAGGCACCACCTCCATACGCGCCACCACGCTCACGAATCTCACGATGCAGGTGCTTGTGTGTGAGCAGCTGTGCGAGAACCGCCAATGGCGCGCCGGAAGCATCAGTATAAGGAACTGTAGGAAGGGCGAGACCGGAGTAGTAAACCTGGTAAGGAAGGGGNAAGAATGACTTGGCGTTGCGTGTCAACGTCTGACTTGACTGAGACTGAGACGAAAGCTCAGACGATGATGAGAAAGTGTTTCTGAGGAAGCCTTCAAGGGCCGCCTCGTTGATGCTGGTAGACTCGGCACCGCAAGTAATGGCGACTCTCATGTTGGAGACGTTGGCTGCAATGAGCTGCTGAATGGCCTTCAGTGGCTGGATGATATCGTCACCAATCTCGGGTAGTGACGCGAGAGACACCATGTGCTTGATTTGGCTGATACCTCCAGTCTGCTCGAGCAAACTTCCGTGAGGGCTGATACCAGCCTCAGCAACACGTCTGGCATAGGCGTGGCCTGACTCTGCGATGGTATCAACACCACCGCTAGCAGCGCTCTGGACCAGCTCGCGGAGAGAGGCTTTAGCCTTGGGTCCATCGAAGTCGGTTTCCAGAACGATTGTTCGGATCAGGTCATACATGGCGGGAACGTTCTGATCAAGCGCGAAACCTGACAGGCTCAAGCCCTCTTCACAGGCCTTAGTGTCGGTAGGAGAGGTACATGCGTGGTATCCGAATGATACGCCGCCGGTCTTGAGTTTGATAAGATCCTCAATCTCTTCCATCGACTTGGTCTTGGTTCCGATGCGCATGAGTGCGTCACAGAACAGAGGCACAAACGTGCGCAGCTCGGTGGGCAAATCCTTGAAGATGCTAAGAGCTCTGAAGTAGGTCAAACCGTTCGTCGGGGCCTCTCTCCATTGCACCTTGACATTGTTGAGAGAGTCCTGACGAGTCTCAGTAATGGGCTTGGTGCGAGGAATGTCCTTGACATGAACAGACGGCAAGCAGCTCAGGTCCTGTTCCTGCATCTGTTGTTCGACGAGCTCAAGCTCTCTCTTTCTCAGCTGGTCGTAAGCCTCCTGCTTCGAACCGTAGATCTTTTCGGCCTCTGCTTTCTTCGATGCAAGTCTCTGCGCTTCCTCTGCGAGAAGATCCTCACCATAGGTTACGGAGGGTTCCATGGTAAACGTCAAAGTATTATCGTTCAGCAGGTACTTCTCCAACAAGCCCTCGAGGTAGCCACCCTTGGCACACTCTGCCTTGAAGGTGTCGACGGTCTGTTGCCATGCCAGAGCATCGAAGACATCGACACCATTGAACCAACCAGGCTTCAGACGCTGGATGATGGACATGCCAAAGTTTGCAGTCTTGTGCTTCAGGCTGAGCTCAAGCTGATGCAGGATACCATCAATCTTAGATTGGTCGAAGCCCTTCTCTCTGACTTGGCGCAAGGTTTCCATGACGGCTTCCTTGACCTTGGGCACGTTGTCCTGCTTGACGCCGTTGAGACCGACAGAGAAGACACCGCGCTTGCCAGAACCATCGAAGCCGGTGTTTGGTGAGAAGTCGGGGCCAAGGCCAGCCTCGATAAGGTTACGGTAGAGTGGCGAGCCATAACCATCCATCAATAGCGAGGAGATAATTGAGAGCGAGAAGTTCTCGAGAACGTTGGAGGTGTCTCCCATGAGCCAGGTAACAGAAGTTTTGAACTGAGAATCGGCAGGGTTCAAAGGGTCCAGGGGNCCTTTGACGGTAACAGAGCGGGGTCCATTGTCGAGGCTTTCAGGGACCTTAATGTCCGAGTCTATAGAAATGCGCGAGAAGCTATCCAATTCCTTGCCAATGGACTTGAGGTGGTCGGCGAGNGGCAGGTTTCCGTAAGTCAGGACCTTTGCGTTGCTGGGATGGTAGTGGTCGGCATGGAACTTNTTGAGTTGTTCGTAGGTTAGATCAGTCATCTTCTGAGGATCGCCACCAGAGTTGTTGATGGCGGGGAACAGATTCTCGTGAAAACGAATGTAGTAGAGGTATTGCGAGTCAGACATCTGGCCCTTCATTTCGTTGTACACGACACCCTTGAAGATGATGTCGTCGGAAGAAGGGTTCTCGGCTTGAGGGTTCTCTGGACCGAGACGCCATCCTTCTTGAGTAAAGTCGTGCTCTTGAAGAAGAGGATGCAGGGTTGCATCGAGGTAGACGCCCATGAGGTTCTTGAAATCTTGTGCATTGGTCGTGGCGAAGGGGTAGGTGGTGTGGTCGGACGAGGTAAAGGCGTTCATGAAGTTCGAGAGGGATCGCGGTAGCATCTTGAAGAAGGGGTCGCGAACGGGNAACTTCTGACTGCCGCAAAGAGTCGTGTGCTCCAGGATATGGGGGACTCCAGTGGCATCCGGAGGATTCGTCTTGAAGCCAATGGAGAAGACATTGTTCTGGTCGTCTCGGGCGATGTGTAGGTAGTCGGCGCCGGTGCGCTCGTGGGTGAATTGGAGAGCAGTGAGCTCGAGCTCCGGGACGTGTTTGGCACGCTTCAAGGTGAATCCGTGCAATTGATCTCCGGGCTTGGGATAGTTGGACAAGTCGGTCACCGAAGCATAAGTTCGTCGCAAAGCTGGTAGATTGGTGTGTGCAAGGCGACTCGGCCTGGCCGCTAACCTGTTGACTCCGCGCAACATGTTCGAGTAGATCGCACCTTCTGATCTTACAAGCACCAGTTTCAAGTCCAGGAAGGAAGACTGCAGGCAAATGTTCGATGATGACCTTGGAGCAGTCACGGCGGCACGGACCAGGTGGGTGAACGGCTGGTTCTTCCGTCCGCACCTGCCTCTCTTTGCACATCGAACGAGGCCGAGTCTGATAGTCTGCCGGCACACGACATACGACCGTCAACGACTGCTTACCGCACAAGCACTATTGCTAGCACCCCCGCCTCGTCCGGACCTTTCACCAACCCATTTCTATACCCACTTTGCTCGCCCGCCTGCCATCTGTAACAAGCCCTGTCCGAAACCCCTCCTACCCACTTGGATAGACCCACGCTATCGCTATCCTCTACATTATCGCTACCTCAACTTGGTAGTCGCCACTAGAAACCACTCGTCCGATCTCCTTCTTTGCGCCACCGAGACAGGCACACCCGGAATTTCGCTGTGCCCGCCTGTCTCAGTGCGCCAATCTCAACTTGCTCCCTGCGCATAACTGCCCCCGATGCAAGGGCAATCCACCGACCCATTATACGAATAGACTATTTTTCCGACTCTTGAGCCATGGCCCAAGTCGCCTCACAGCACCAATCCCACAGCTCACGCGCTTCGCCCGCCTCTGTCCACGAACACCGCGACGATGCTCCATTGCCCGCCGCTCCCCGCCGCCGCCGAACAACGCCTCTGCGAATAAGAAGACCAAGCCCAAGAAAGGCGNCTGCCGACACAAATGACGCACACAAACAGCTCCAGGCCAAGATTGCTCAGCTAGAACAAGATGCTACCGGCAGGGCCGAAGAAGATGCAGAAATCGGTGTGTGATTGATCATTATCATCTATCGCACCCACACATACTGACCGTGACAGNACCGGGAAGTCAAAAAGGCGAATCGCGATCTCCAAAATCTCCTTCAATCCATGGATGGTCCGATATCCAAAATGGAAACGGTTCAACGGAAATACTCGGAACTTCTGGCAGAAATGAAGAGGACCGAACGGGAACATATCAAGGCCAAGAAGCGAGGCGACCAGTTGCAAAAGGACAAGGACACGCAGAGATCAGAACTCACAAAGGCAAACTCTATGAAGGAGAAGCTGGAGAAGCTCAGTCGTGAGCTGACAAAGGAAAACAAGAAACTTAAGGAGGATCTCCGCGAGCTCAAGGAAAGCGCTGCAGACAAGAACGAAGAGCTGCATCGTCGGCTCGAACGAATGGTAGGCGACGTTGAGCAGGTGATAAGCGATCGCAAACTCCCAGATCGGCCCACTGGCGAGATGGAGGAAGACAAGCTGTACGATCCCCGAACGCTAGGCTTCAGCCAGCCTTGACTGACGACGTGTGCAGATNTCCGAGAAAAGTTCAAATCCTTCGTCGAACAATACGAAATGCGCGAAATCCAGTTCCACTCACTCCTCCGAAGCAAGGAGCTCGAAATCCAGTTCCATCTCGCACAGCAAGAACGACTCCGCAAGCAACAGGATGCAGAATTGAACAAGTCGCATCAGTTGACCCGTCAGGTATCTACCTTTTCCCAAACAGAGAATGAACTGCGCAGTCAGCTGAATATTTATGTGGAGAAGTTTAAGCAGGTGAGACTTTTTCCAAACATGCTGCCCTCGTCCATGTCCTTCCTCCTCTGTAGAAGAGAGCCCCCGCCCGTCTCTGTTACCACCAGTACAGCCGCCACCGCCCCAACGACCAGCTTCTTCCCCATTTCCAACTTAGGCAGTGCCATCTCACTCACTGACCGCATTAGCNAGGTCGAAGACACCCTTAACAACAGCAACGACCTGTTCCTAACTTTCCGTAAAGAGATGGAAGAGATGAGCAAGAAGTCCAAGCGCTTGGAAAAGGAAAATATGCAGTTGACACGCAAGCAAGAGGCCACCAACAAGAACATCTTCCAGATGGCCGAGGAACGCACCCACTCGCAGCAAACCATCGATCGCCTACACAAGGAGAATGAGAAGCTAAAGAAGCTCTGTCGCGCCATGCAGACCAATGGTTACGGACGCGCAGACATGGTCAACGCCGCCCCTGGAGCGCCGAACCCAGCCCACCACCCGGACGAAGACGAGGAAGACGACCTTGCCGAGACAGACTCCGAATACGACGAGTATGATGAGGATGATGATGAGGGCAGCGTTGAGGCCGAGTACGACGACGACACCGAGGATGAAGCTGTGGATCAACGACCTCGCACATACGGTCCAGTACCGCCACCCCCTCCACCGCCGCCAACAGGCGAGCCGGCTCACGGTGCGAATGGCAAGGCGCGACAACCTCCACAGCCAGTGAATGGTGTGAAGCATTAAAGCAAAAGACAAAAAAGCAACACATTCAATTGTGGAACCTACCTACGTCGCGACGTTCGTTCTGTGAGAAATCACCTTGTTATCTCATGAAAGCTCCGACAGAGTTTCTCTGTCCATGTTTTTCTTGCACTCTTTTCTCTCTATGAGCATCCCATTCCTACACTCCACTCAAAGCGTGAGGCAGATACACTATCAGGCGTCAACCAACACATATTCCATTGTTGGTATCCGACGAGACAACCGCGCAAAATCAATGATCCCGTTCTTCTCTCCCCTCGTCCCTAGTCTTCTTCGTTCCTCGTCTCGTTTGGCGACCCCGCTTTGTTGTGGGTCCTGATGGGCGTGAAGTGAGGAGATGAGAGGTTCGAGAATGAGAGCTCGTGGAAGCTCTGGCTATTACAGACCCGCCTGTATTTGAGTTGCACGCTGGCGGACTAAGTTTCAGAGTACATTTTTGTCTATCGTGACGTTGTAGCACTATATGATGGGTATTGCCCTTCCTTGAGTTGATCAGGGCTACAATAACTCGACATACAAACGGCAGTCGCGTTGCCTAGTAGAGCCTCTTTCCTTACCAAATATTCCTCTGAAAATGCTGCAGTGAGATTTGGTGTCTCCAGGCTTCACTTGGTCTGCAGTCAAGCTAGGTAACTTCTTGCTCTTGTCAACACGTTGCCTTTTCTGTGAAGATTTCGATCTTGGTCTGTAACCACTCTCTACCAGCTTTTAAATTATTGTCAACAGCTTGGCCTCGAGATAAAGGCGCAAGCAATTGTACAAATCTGATTGTTGTTGAGCAAACTGCCGTAGATTATATACGGAAAAATCACACTTATGACATCACAAGTCGTGGTGGTGTATCGGTAACATTGTAGCCTTCCAAGCTTCAGCGCCGAGTTCGACTCTCGGTCACGACATAACTTTTGAAATTTTTAATGCGTGGTAGACAATCTTTTTTTTTTATGTGCGGGTTAAATCCTACGACACTCTTTTTTTTTTTTTGGATGATGACTTGTAGTTCTTGACCTTAAACTTCCGCGCCTTTACAATAGCATATTGCACAGAGTTCATCCTAAGCTACCACCCACTTGTTCCTAGAATCCCTATAGCTCAGCAAAACTCGAACAACTTCTGCATCCCGATCAGCCTCTGCTGACTCTCAGAACCCTCAAACGTCCCTGCAAAAGCTCTACAGTCGCGGCAAATCTTGCTTCCAGGCAGCCTTTGAAGCCCTTGCGGTCCTTGACATCCCCTCTCATACCGCAAGCATCTGACTCTTACTCTGATCGTCATCTGTCTTCTGCTTCCGAAACCCCAATACCTCTCTACCGTTTCGCTGAAATAGAGAAAGTCGCGTAGGTCCCGGTGATCGCAGTAGACGCAGTAGATGTGATCGTGCAGGATTCCCAGATAGGTGTCTAGGTGCGAGCGAACGGGAATGGCAATGTTGAAGATTGCAGTGATGCGACAGAACAGGTAGATCTCTCGAGTGAGCTGTGGATGCGTGCGCAGGAGTGCGGGTAGAGGCCTGGACCGACAACGATTGATGTTGAATTCTGGAACTGCGTGGTCGTATATCATGATGCGCAGTTCTAGGGAAGTTTGAGCAGAGGGAAGATCTTTTGCTTTTCTGGCTGTTCGTTTTGCTTCTGTAGTGGCTTGTTTTCCAACTCCTCGATGGAGACTCCAGGGAGTAGCAACAGAATGGCAACCAGAGTGAGTATGAGAAGAGTCAAGTATACGTTCATGATGGATGGTGTATATGTGTGATGAAAATGAGGAGCCAGGACGGAAAGAGCGAAGTATGTGAGATGTCGAACTGGATGTCGACAGAAATGACTGTCCGGCTGAAATTCCAGTCATAATCCCAGATGTCGAAGTGCTGTTGAAGACGAGTAAGATGACTCGATTTGAGCAAGATTTCGTACAAAGACTCATCTGTCACCCACAAGACAGACATCGCCATAAGTCATACTCCTACATGCATTCATCAGCACATCGTGTATACTCGTATGGCAGAAGGAAAGAGTGACATTTACTTACGTTTTTCAAATCCTGATCCTCACTCAAGTCCAATCAAGAAACCACTTCTCCTCTAATCTTCCTCTACGAACCTCACATCTCAAGATACTTTGACATTGCCGACAGCGTTGAATTCCTCTCAACCACCCGTCCATGTGCTTGCATGTCACGCATCTCGTCCTTATTCTTGTTATCAACCCTTTTCTTCTTCCATAAGCAGCAAATCTTTGACCAGAGTCCAAGATCTCCGTCACCCGGCGATGAGCCGGCGTTCGAAATCTACCAGGGTACTTGGAGAGCAAGTAAATTATTTGTTGATGTGGGCGTAGCTGCGACAAGTGCGCGTTCGAAAGATAGATATCTGGAAATTCGACATCGTAGATGGCAGTGATGGTGCAAAATTGGTAGATCTCGCGAGTGATCTGGAGGTTTATCTGCAGGAGCGAGGGGAGATAGTAACGACGGTCGACGTATACTTCGTCGGCGAAGGCGTATTCGTATATGCAGATGCGTATCTCCAAAGGTAATTCCAAAAAGGGGAATATGTGTGTTTTGGCAAGAAGCACTTCTTTGCTGCGACGACGACGATGGATGAGGTCTTTCAGCCAGTGGATCATCTTCGCAATGATTGTTTGTGAGGATGATATATGATGCGAGGAAGAAATTCTGAAGCACCAAAGTCGGCAAGAGCGACTGAGTGCTTGGTTTGCTTAGGTACTGCGAATTTTGAGCTTTTGACACAACTGGCGGGAGGAGGTAGATTGAGGCAGTTTCGAGGACTGGGCTCATATTGAGCAGGATTCGTTGCATGCTATCAATCTGAGATCTAGAATACAACATCAACACGAGTTACATCAAACCTCCCTGTAAGCATTAGAGCACAAGAAAAGTGCATGAAGAAAGCCATGATAAAGAAGAAAGATTACTCGACAATCTCAAGATCACCATCGCGGTGCTTGGCAAAGACGTCCTTCCACTCGTCCCAGATACGCTTGAGCTCATCAACGTATTGCGCGTGAATCTCATCGACGTACTTGGAGTCAGGACGCTCCTGCTTGCGCACCATGATAGGTCGACCAGCGACAATGTTGAGTGGGCGTCGGTAGGGCATCATGCCAACATCGTAGTTGAAGACACCACGTGCGTGGAAGAGTGGAATTGTGAAGCCCAAAGCCTTCTTGACCAGTAGTTGAAACTTGTGAATTGTGGGATGCGCTTGGGGATCAAACTGCTCGTAGAGTTCGTTCTCTCCAAACGCCAGCACGGGAACGAGATCAGCGCCGGTGCGAATAGCGAGCTTGACGAAACCCTTGCGACGAGCGAGTACAAGACGCAAGCTGTTAGGCTGAGCGTCTAGAGATTCGCGAGCACCACCAACGACGATGGTGATGGCACGGCCCATGCCCTCGCCGTTCGGACCGCCCTTGGAAAGGATGTTTTCGCAACTCTCACGAGAGACTGAGGCCAGACCAAGACGCAGAGCGTAATCACGGTAGAGCGGGATACGGAAGTTCGAGTCAAGAGTCAGGAGGGTGTTGGTGATTCCCGGGAACAGCTGTGCAAAGCCAAGGGCCTCGGTTGCAAAGGCGACAAAAGCACCGTGGCTGATGATACCGTGTGGATGGTAGCCAAAGACGTACTTGCGGGTGGCAGGTAGCTCTTGCGAACGATGGAGGCGGGCAGGGAAGTAGGAAGCAAAAAGAGACCAGACCGGAAGACGTCGCAGCCACTCGGAACGATATCTGAGAGAGCCCGAGGTGCCTGCCTTGGAAAACAGGACGTAGAGGAGGTAGGGCAGCAATAAGGGCCAGAGGACAGGAATGGCGCAGAGGACGAAGAAGGCGGCAAGGAAGAGTGCGATGCTCAAGGTATGAATGAGAACCATTCCTGTTTGTAGTCGGCGCTGGAGAGGAACATTGAGTGGTGCCCATCTTATNGCTGGTATACGTGTTAGCCAACTCGAATGGTTAAGCGTGTGTGGAAGAACATACGCCGACGACTCCCAACCTGCTCCGGCTCTTTTTCCACTAACAAGCTCATCCTTTGATCCCTTGGGTTGCTGTTCTTTCTTCTGTGGAGCTTCCTTCTCATCGATTCTTAGAGCCTCCTCGTACGAGTCGTCAGGCTTCACGCTGGTCAATTGCTTGCCGTCGGGACTCTCGAACTTTTCATAGACAAGCTTCTGTTGCTGGCCGTCCGGACCTTCTGAGACGGTCTTCTTCGGGCTCATGGACTTGTTTGATCTGATGGAAGAGGTGCGCTTGTGGGGTCGGTTGAGCTGTGCTGGGCTCTTGGGCGACTCATTGCGGCCCTCGCCTGTGAACTCCTCACCACCCGCATGGGCTTCATGGCCCTCACCAGCATGCAGATCAATGGTAGGGTGTGCTGCCGTGTTGACGCCCTCCTCGGCCATATCTGCCCATGACTTCTCCTGCTTCTGAGAACGAGTGCGGCGAGGTTGGACGGGCGTTGACGGTAATGAAGGCTGTCTCTCTTCCTCGTCTAGCATCTCCTGGAGCGGGCGAGGCTCAATACTGCCTTTTCTTGAAAGCTTCCTTGTTGGAGGCGTTTCCTTGATCGACTCCTCGTTGATCGTATCTTGGCCATTTTGTTCGATAGCTTCGTGAGCTGCATCGGCGAACGACTTGGGCGGAAGATGGTGTTCCTGTCGCTCCTGAGGATCGGCGGGCTCTGCGTTGAGCGACATTTTGCGTGTGTGCAGCTGTATGGCAGTGAGAAGCTCAATCAATCAATCCATTGAGCCCTCCAGGAGAAGATTGAGCTCACCCAGACACTTGGGGCGTCATCGCTGGTGACGTACCCCCAGTCCTACAATTCTCCCCAGTCTTATGTCGCACGGACTGCCCGCCATCTCGCGCCCGGTCGATCCCGAGTCCATCTCACTTTTCACAACCCTGCCCTTCGTCCTCTCTGCTGGTTGTAGCCTGGGCAATTCGTTCTCACTTGTGGACAAGAAGGCAATCAAGCAGAAGCTGACGAATGATGGACATTGCCGCAAGTGTGCAGGCAAGGTGCGATATTGAACAGCGACTCACAAATTAAGCTTAGATACATATATTGCTCTTTGACATGATCCAAGCATCTGTCGCAGTGGTGTAATGGTTAGCATTAGCGCCTTCCAAGCGCTAGACCCTGGTTCGATTCCTGGCTGCGACATCTCTTTTGCTATTTACTGCCTTGCCGACAGTGTGACGGCCATACTTTTACTTCCAGTAGTTCGGTGTGAGGACCACTTATAGACCTGTACTCGAAACTCGAGGCTTCGTTTTGCTGGTGAAGCCTCGAGTCTCGAAGTTTGCATGGTTTGTAAGTGCTGCATTTGATTTGCCAAGCTTCTGATGCTTCTGGGACTCAAGGTTAAGAGAACAGCATCACAACCACCTCTTTTAACATCTGGACCTGGTAGCAATGATTTTGTTCAGTCTGCCCTGAAGGTGCGACTTGTTTAATACATGTGTTGTCTCTCTTTGTGTAATCGCTATGTTCAGAGGCAAAGAAGATTGGCGTCAAAGTGGTTTTCTTGTCATCTTCAAAATCACGCGGACAATATTATTAAAAATTCAAATTTTTCCAGCAACAACAGTTAATAGCGACAATTACGACTCTGGACATCTAACTCATACCCATGGGTACTATAAGATGACCAGCATGGTCAAGATTGGTACGACATGCGTATGTTATCGAGGATATACGGCGTCAGCAGGATGCTTCCGATGTCACCCTGACCAAATTCCTGCCCGAGGCCTCGTGCCTGAGGCTACCAGGATCAACGGACCAAACATATTCGACTCATACGACAGCAAATCGTGTCGTGCGATACATAATCTCACACATGTGAGTCCTCGAGACCATAGGTAAATATTCATTGTATCATGTCGACATACTTTAGATGCTGTCGTTTGTTCCTCTCCATGAATAGCCGGTCGCCCGAGAATATTGAGACATATACTTTCACCATCATCATCTTTATTGCGGCCAACCAAGCCTCCACAGGCAAAAGACAAAACGAGTACAAGAGCACGTATGCCAACCAGTCCCGAGAATCATGGGGGCCATTGACAACTATGTCGTCCAACCGACGACGACACATTCACACACCATCATCATGCCTCATGGTCGCGACAGTGTCGCCTCGGAGTTCGCCCGAGAATTGTTCGAGAGTCAGGTATCAGATGGCCGTACATTTCTGCAAATATATCCAGGCTTCAAATGGGTGTTCCCAAACTCTGGTATGCTCAGATCACAACGATTTGACATGGAACTATCGCAGTGGTTCGACATGTGGAGTACAGAGAAGCCGCACGAGAAGGAAGATATGGTCAGAGCAGGCATCGAGAAGGCAGCAGCCAGTATCATAGATTTGATCAAAGCCGAGGCCAAACTTGTGCCTCTTGATCATATTATTCTTGGTGGCATCAGTCAGGGATCTGCAGTTGCCATCCATAGTCTGCTTCGCAGCGGTCTTCAGGTTGGCGCATTCATAGGCTTTTGTACTTGGCTGCCACTTCAGGACGAAGTCAAGAAATCGAGAACATCTGTCAGGACGCCGGTATTCCTGGCACATAACGAGGACGATGAAGTCATATCCATAGAGAATGGAAGGCTCATGCGGGAGACACTACATAATATCGGGCTGGAAGTCGCATGGCGGACGTATGAGACTGGTGGCCATTGGTTTAACGAGCCGCAGGGCATTGACGACATTGTTGCGTTTCTCGCAGAATGTGGTGTCTCGAGCACATGCTGAAGCAGGGAGAGCCTGGATAGTCAAGCCATAGGAGAGCGCTGGTTGACTTTGGAATCGAGTCAGCGGAGATGTTGCTGACAGAACCTAGAGACCAGGAGAGTGTGTTTATTCAGCATGACTTTGTGGTTTGGTCGCTCTTGCCATAATATCGAATTTGTAAGTATCGTAGAGCTCTGTTGTGCCGAAGGATCCCTCCTTCCACTCTCAATCAAAGCCGCGTTTGTACACACTGTGTTCGTTCAACTTCGTGACTCTTCACAAGTTGTTCAGAGCCACCCTGTCAGAAAGTCCGCCGCCGGCGTCATTTTTGTCAGCAATGGCTGGTCTATTGACAGCCATCAACCAAAGACCAGAAACAGGGTGACAGCTGTCCACTCAACCTACCAGAATCGGGTGTAACTGTAAAGGGTGCCTATCGTTACCCTCGTTCTCTCAGGCACTCCAACGTTGGTAGGTATGGCACGACGAGGCTCTGCCGTTCTGATCCGGGCCTATGATGGGTTGCTGGATACGGTTAATGAAGCGACGTTGTGCGGTTTGAATTGTCGTTTGCATCGTGAACAGGTGTTGCTGGAGATCGATCGTAGTTTGGAGGAGAGGAGTTCGCCATATTGAGCCATCCTTGCAGCCTTGCGCATTGGTCCATACTAACAAAGAGACTTGAGACGTGTCTCGACGGAGGAGAACAAGAAGCGAAAAGTCTACGATAGCCAACATTATACACTTTCTCGAAGGTCGCTGTCGCTGATCTCCCGCTTCCAGAAAGGGGATATCTCGTATTCGGTGAGATCCTTCTCGTCGCCAGATGTTGCAACATGACATACCAGTAGAAAGCATAGCCGGACTGATGTCCGTATTAGGAAGTTGGACCTCTATGGATGATATACGCCTATATGATACGCACGCAAGTGTCAAGTGGTATGTCAAATATCGGGTTAAACGTCTTTGCATTAAGAAAACATGCGGTGCCTGGTTTTTGTGAGGGATGTGTAGGCGATGCTTGCCATTCTTTCTCACACAACAATCTACTCTTGGAAGTATAGACGATCACCTGCAGCTTTTCACGAGATTGCCAATGCCACGTGTAACGTAGATGCATTAGTATCGATGCTGAGGCTCGGAATCGCGACATCCTCAGAACGTCTCCTATATGTATGCGACTGCGAGGTGTATACAAGGCAAGTCAGAAGCTTCCTCTTTCACGTTTTTCACGTACGGTCGAGTCAGCGATTTAACAACGTGTGCAACCCAAAGACCTTGCGATGAGCCTAAACAGCACAGCACAATCAATGCCTTGTCAATGGAGTTTCCACAAAGCCGCCATCGATTTGAAATCACACTTTGCATAGCTCAGAAGTCAGACTCCTGTACAGGCACTGCCGTTTGTCAACCGCATGTCGTTCTAAATACAATTTCCTAATCCAGAACTTCGGGTTAGATCAGAAGCCTCCCTCAAAAGCTACCAAAGCGATCGTGGATCGTGGGACGGAAACTGGGGCATCTCGTATCTCACAACGAAGAGGGAAAATTTGGGTTGAGTGAACGTTGTCTTGCGTGCTCGGGGATCGAAGGAAGAAAGGGTACGAAAAGTAAAAAAAGTCATGTGAGATAGGAGAGAATTAAAGTTATACTGTTTTATATTTGTAAAAGGGCATGGCAATTTGGGTTGAGTTCAAAATTCAAAAGGTACGCACGGCCAAAACTGCGCAGCAGACAAGATATAGTTTTAGGGTTATACAAAACCTTATTCAATTATGCGTCTACAATATTGTATTTCAACGTCGGCTTGAGTGGAGAGGTTTACTGTTCTTCGAGAATTGATTCAACTGAAATCACTCATGAATCGATTTCTTTTTCTCTTTCCAGAAGAATTTGAGAAAAACCTAGAGAGTGAAAGAAGGAGACAAGGATATGCTTTTGTGTAGAACTAAGATCTGATTGACTTTTGGGTATAGGTGAGATGTTCTAAATCTAGTATCTAACAAAGATGATGATGGCCGATGATGGTTGGCCAAGGGAAATAAAGATAAGTGTTAACAAGATCGCTAATATTGCCCAGCAAATAGTCGGAAAGACAGAAGAAAGAATTAGCGTATAAGGCCTGAACTCGTAAAAGACCGAGATAGACGGTACGCGACCCGTAGAAGAGGATATTATGCATGATGAAGCGAAGTGATGCAAGAGTGAAAATGATGCTGAAGGGATATCTCTATGCAGTGTCGAAGGTCTTGACTCTGCAGTGGCGCAGCTTGTCGAGAACGGTGAAGTCAACGCCGTGTTGTCTTGTGCAGACGGCTACGGCATCGAACTCGAGGTCCAAGCGACCGGGGTGGAAGCCGGCGTGGTCGAGCTTCTCAAGCCATGGTACCTGAGCCTGCTCGACGAGAGGGTCATGGAAGACAAGGCGCGAGCAACCAAGGCGTTGCAACTCGGTTGCGAAGGCAAGGCCGGGAGAGTAGCTGAGAACACTCTGGCCAGGCTTGAAGCCAATGCCGACCACAAGGATGCGAGGACCGGTAGGGCAAGCAGCACGAGCGGCACAGCGGCGGTGCAGCTTCTTTGCCAGAGCGGCAGGGCGGTTGCGCATGAGCTTTGTGGCGCGCTTGAGGACAGGCAGGTTGGGGTTGTTGGAGAAGAGGTAGAAAGGGTTGACGGGGATGCAGTGACCACCGACACCAAGACCGGGACGGAAAGCCTGGTAGCCATAGGGCTTTGTTGCAGCAGCATCAATCATCTCGTTGGGGTCGATGCCGTGAGCGCGTGCTGCGTCAGACATCTCGTTGACGTAGGCAATGTTGACCATGCGGTAGCAGTTTTCGAACAACTTGGTCATCTCAGCCACCTCAGGCTTGCTGACGGGCACCACCTGTTCAAAGACGCGAGCGTACAACTTGTGGATGACCGAGTTAGATGCAGGGGTGAGTGCCGAGATGATCTTGGGGATTTGCTGGGCAGTGGGGAAGGTGCGACCAGGGTCAACACGTTCAGGAGACATGCCACAGTGAAGAATGTTTTGGTAAGGGCCAAGGATCTGGCGAGTGGTTCCAACCTGAACACTGCTCTCAATGACAATGGTGTTTCCAGGCTGAACGTGCTTCAGGACCATAGCCAGAGCGCTGATCAAATGGCTCAAGTCGACGGTGTTGTCAGCCTTGAGGAGAGTAGGGACTGAGATGAGATAGGCAGTAGCTCTGTCCAAGAGGGACTCGTCGTTGGTGAGAGTGACATTGGGCATGTGACCAAAGATAGGCTGTAGTTGTGCGAGACGCTGGACAGAGATGTCGAAGCCAATGGACTGGTAGCAAGTACCAAAGGATCTGAGAAGGTGCTCGCCAACATAGCCAACTCCAACGACGCAGACCACATGGTCGTGGTGAGCCAGGGTACTAGAATATATTAGCATGAGAGAAGAGCCCGAGGAGATGGAGAGCACTCACAGATCGAAGCTGTCGTTGCGCTGCATGGTAGAGAAGCTGTTGTTGCGTGACATGGCTGTCGGGTGTTGTATCCGAAGATGATTAGAGTTGTATTAGATGATTATGATTAGGTATTATAAAGAATGAAGAGGAGGATTAGTCGAGAGCCAAGGATATGAGATACTCGAAAACCGCCAGGATCTTCGTTGCCCGGTGCACAAGAAATGAGATGGTGATGGAGAAGTGGGACAACGAAGATCTCTCGAGTACTTATACTGAGTGTCCCGTAGAGACAGAGAATGGTTTTTCGATATAGGACAACGGATAGGCCCCGCCAGAACTTCTCGGGAAGGGTTTGGCGATAGATGGGCTCTAGTGAAAAGAAAGATCGATAGTCAAGTTTCAGCGGTGTTGTAGAGGGTCCCCATAGAGTTCCTTGTAGGTTGCTGACCACGCTCCTGATACTGAAACCGTTGCAAAGGGAGAGGTATCCGCCCGTCGGTCCGCTTACCCTTGACAGCCTTGGTTGAGTTGTGTTGAACAGAGATGACTTTGAAGCATGTCGCCGTTGGCCATAACACGCGAGGTTGTCTATCAAGTATAACGGCGTAGCGACTCAGACATCCAGCCAGGCGCTTGAGAGCAGGGGCCTCTCCAGACCTTTTACCGAACCATGCTGGCGGCACTCGTCTCGCAGAGACAGAACAAATCAATATAATGCTCCAGATCGAGACGATCCCAGGTCCCAGAGCCCACCAGCCAGATGTAATCAGTGAGAGCAAAGCAGGCGAACAGGTAAAAGCCGGTGATTAGATGGTGTTGTATAGCCAATCTGAAATAAACACACATACACAACGGCAGCCTATCTCGGTAGCCACTCCCTGATAGTTGTGTGGTATAACTCCTGTTTGTGGCTCTTGCCGATGGTGAGTGCTGTGCCTGACGTCTTCTTATGCCGCGGTCATCTCACGTGTGTATGCAGTTAGTGCAACGGTATAGTACTAGTGGCTTGTATCCCACAGTGCCGGATGTCGCTCAACGGCTCGCGTACATCGTCAACGCCCTGAACGTGAGGGTAAAGAACGCGAGAGGTCCTGGACGGCTACGGGAGATCTGCAGAGAGAGCGAAACTCAGATTCTCGCCCTATCTTGCAGAAACCAGAGCCAACGCCCGGCAGGGCAGGAAAAGACAACTCAACGACTCGCGGACAAGCAGTGGAGGTACAGTCCTTCAGAAGAGCGATATAGATGGTTGTCCCCGGCCTTGAGATTTCTAGGATGAAAACAAGCATAATTGTTCGGTTGAAACAAGGTGAGGCGTCTTGGAGGACATGTTTGCGCGTGTGCTTTTGTCAAGGCTCTGCCAGCGCCTCACAGCGGCTTATGGCTTTCCAACGCTCCAGGTGGCGATGTTGCTTATTCTCTCCTCATCACGCAGCCTGTCAAAACGGCGAGCATGGTTAGCCGTTGCCTTCAGTATATACAGATCTATCTCGCCATGAACATTCAAGGCGATTGTATGTAGGAACAGTACTACACACGAGTTGAGTGTCGTTCGAAGCATAGCCTGAGGTTGATGGTGGAACTTCGTGTCCCTCACGTGGAAACTTAGGAGGAAAAGCTTGGCAATTTGGAGAAACGGCTCCGAGGCGGCGACCACGGCCTCCGGCGGTCTCTAAAGAAGGCTTGATTGTTTGTACGTCATTAATCATAGAACCGTTTAGACTCGCAACTGATCTCGAATGAGGCCAAGTCCCCTTCACGAACCCGCTTAAACCTGTAACATCGAGGACCATGTGTCCTGAATAGGATCCGGAGCTTCCTACCGGAATCGTGCCCTTATCGAGTGCCGTTGGAGGGCCATCTCGACTCCTTTGTTGTGACCTGTTGCTGCGATCCGAGCGCTACTTGTTTCTCAATGCCCAATATCAGGAACGTTGCGCATGCTTTGGTCGCTTCCACTTACCTTGTGTGCTCTCCAGAAGGTCCCTTCTAGAGACGTAGGCTATGCTATCTAGTTGATTGCACGAACTGTTTTGGGAATGAATACTGTGGTTGTTTTCATTACCACTGCTTGCTGTAGACTTGTCTGAATGCAACATGACAGATGTTTGACCTTCCACATGAGCACTGCTTCCTCGTATAATGTATCTCGCCATAAATTGGGGTTTCACTGACCAAATGATGGACCAATCGGCTGGTGCACTTGCTTCGGTGTGGTCAAATCGGTATCACCTGTTCATGTGAAGCATAAGCTCTTTTCGGCATGCGGGTCCGCCAGCTCCCTTGAATCGTTCATGAGGCTTTCAATATATACAGCTTGTTCAGCCTGATTTAGAGACATTGAATGGTGGCGTTGTTTGACCATCAGGTACACGATCGGTATCACTTGTAGGGAAGACATTGGAATGTGACAACACATACCTTTGCTATCGATGGGTGTTCCTGTACAGATTGTGTCCATGTGTTGTTCGTGATGACACAAGTGATCTGGAAATCTGTCAGGGACCTGATAATGCATAGGAGTCTCCAGATTTGATCCAGTCTTCTGAGTGTATTCAGATCCCGTGTACATCCGGCCCAACTCATGCGATGTGTACGACCGAATCCTTCTGTATGGTCGACTAAACCGGAATTCTCAGTGAAGATCCACATGAGATCCTTCGTCTTTGAGACCAGCAGCGTCTGTATGGACGAGCCGACTGAGGCGAGAGCCGGATAATGAGGCGCGGACCAGCAGACCTTGTTAGAGACATAGGTGTCTAGTATCAGATCCTATGCCCAAGGACGTATCCTATTTGACACTCGATATGTGTCTAGAAAAGAGAATGAACAACCGAGACGTTGTGTTGATACCAGCCCAACCGATGGGGATGTCCTCGAGATCGGTCTTGCTGCCAGAGGAATAGACAAAGGTCGTGTCTGGTCCCTACGAGAGGAGTTGTTGATTGAAGGCATCTAACTTCTTTGGAGTGACAATTTGTGACTTCTCCATATCTGGTCAGTTGCTGATACTGATCGAGTACGTATACCCCAAAGAGTAAATCTTCGTACATCGTAACAGTTCTAGGTATAACAGTTCAGGAACAGGGTGAAGGTGCTGCTGTTCTGGACTTCATTGACGAATCCTACAACGGCAACGTTGATCGGCATGAGGCTTTGTACTGTACAGCAAAAAACGGCGAGGAACACGCATGTCAAATGTTTCGGCTTGATTGAGTCCAGACAGGAAGAACTAGCAAGCGAGGTTTTGCAAATAATATCACCAGACAAAAAACGCGTCGGGTGGGTGCGGGCTCTGGAGGTGTTAGCATTTTGGCAGACGCAACTGCTTCTAGACCGCGTCGCATGTCGTAGCAAAGATTTTGCTGCTAGTTTGTTTCCCCTGAAGCGCATTTGGGAAACATTTTGCTGGAGACAATGTCTCTCGTTTCGCTGTGAGCACTTGATGGAGCCATATTTATCGTGTGCTTTCTGGAGTGGACACTGTTCATGATTATTCAAATGACATGGGGACAGAGAGCGACGACGCGGCAGCGACATTTCTTTCAGCAGCGGGGCCGTGATTTTGTGGGTTATATTCGTATAATCTGACGATTCTAGCACGTACGGCCACAGTCAGCTGAAAACTGGGCATCCCGTCCGCTCTGCCATACATAAGCAGTTGAACGGCAGATTAGTACTACGGTGGGTGACCACGTGGGAATCCCTGCTGCTGTACGTTTTGCTCTTACGATCACTTTGTGCCTGGAAGCAATGATGACTCTCTCCATGCTTGATTTTCCTTTTATTGGCTCTCGAGTGGTGGTCTTTGATACTCTGAGTATGACCATAGTTTGATAGGATTCCAACTTGGGGTTGAGAATGATGGCTTCGGAAGTAAACAGTGGTCTGGTCAAGATATATGGCTCGGATGTTCGCATCAATCGGGAATGGAACGTTAGCACGCTGGGGTAGCTTTGAGCCACTAGTTTTGATCCAGCCTTTTATGACAGATAACATAACGAAGAGACCAGTAAATTAGACTACATACTCCTTGAAGAATATGTAGAGTATGACACGGCCAATGCGAAGCAAGATGTCCTCGGCAACCATTGCATTTCTGTGTCTGTAGTTTTACATTCTATCACCTTTCAATCCTCCTGCCTCAAATTATCTGTCTATTGCTTCATAATCTCCATAGCTTGTTTCACAAGGTCCTGAATACTGTCATCCTGCACGAGGCTCTTTGCTTTGGCGAGCTCTTTTGTCCACAGTTGCCATCTATCCTTATTGTAGCCTCTCCACTCCTGATCCTTGCACTTGAAGCCAGGCTTTGCAACCTTGCCACTATAAGTCTTGTCACTGTCCGAGAGACCCTTGAGCGTGCGACCAGCATAAAGTATCCATACTGCCGCAGCACCAACAGAAGCATCAACGGTAGTCTTTCCAGGCAAGTTCTCTAGCTCTTCCTCGACTGCATTTCTCAAACTCCAAATGCCGTAGAGGGAGTGGTCGAGAGCATTGTATCCTGGTCTCTCACCACCATGCTCATTGACAGCCGCAGCAGTCAAACGTGCAACGAATGCGTTGACGTTGATCCACGCATCCCTGATCTTTGTGTCCACCTTTTTGTCGTCGGGGAAGTTCCAGCATTCGCGGGCTTGTTGACCGAAGAGAGGGAGGCCCCGCCAGACTTTGCTGCCGTCTACTTCGACTTCCTTCCCGTTTGTGTCTTTGAGCGAAGGAGCATCGGTGACCAGGGCTTGGAGTAGCTTGACCATCGAGTCCTGTTGGTTCGAGGAGTGGGGTTGCTGAGAGGAGAGGTGCAAGATACTGTTCCACAATTCAAGTAGGTGGGATTCGAGCTTGTCGTTGGAGAGCGAAAACTTTGCGCATGTTGTGAGTTGTTCCAATATAGCGTCCGTCTTCTCTGGGTTGGCTAGATGCGTAGAGAGGATCTTGTACTCCTCGCACTCGGTGATTTTAGGTGAGATGTCCATGCTTTTATTCGTAGGATGCAAGAAAGACTTTGGATGTTGTGATGAAATAGAACGTGAAGGGCAGTGAGAGGCCTCAAAAAGCGTAGCAGCATAAAAGTGAGACAAAGAAGAGGAGATGTGTCAGTAACTCGCAACCTTCTGTTACCTTGATCTTTCCTGTTTTCGTACCTACCTATGACGAATAATGACTGGCGGATGAGTGTTTCGAGAAGGCAACCCCTCCATGCTCGTGCCCCGTCTCTCGGCTTCAAGCCTTATTGATAGTCAATATGATCTTCAAATCTTACTACGAAGCACTCCAAAGCTTGAGCGTCATGCACTTCCACATGGTCCTTATCATTGGCTGATAGAGTAAGAAGCTGACAGACACAAGAGGCGACGTCCGCCTGCCAAGGATAACACAACACACGACGACCCGTGCCTCGTCGATCATGAAGGAGGAGGCGGAGAAATCACAACCTCTCCTCCTTTCTCCATTTGCCAATCATCCCACTTCATTCGGCCGAAGCATGACTTGTGCCTCACGAGACGTGCTTCCTTATCAGTGGATCATTTGCTGTTTGGCTTTTGCATCTCGCTCCTCGGGGGCCTCGGCTATAACAAGAACAGATATTCAGGGCGTTTTACTCAAGTAGGAAGGCATGTATGCACGACACTTTATGCCAAGGTCCAACTTTCTTACCGCTGCTAAAATCTCCCGGTTTGATGGGCACTGCTGCATGCATGGAATGCCCGACTAAATCCAGCGATTGGAGGGAATTGAGAAGCACCTTGTTGCTGCACAACGACCACTATGGACTATCACCAACCTCTTGCAGCACACGCTCTCGCTAAGATGGAAGTTACTTTTGTGCCCTGCTGTTCTCACCAATGGACGATAAGATAGCGAGAACGAGGCACATGGCCTTCGGATATCTGGATGTCCAGGAGAGTTGGTCCTCCATCAAGAGGTAGGAAGTCAAATACCAGCTTGCTCTCTGCATTTGCAACGAGACATCAGCTTCATCACAACTCTCCATTCGCTTCGAGTTTCAGATCTCACGTTCGCTGTCCTACATACCCTTCCCACTTGATCTTCTGTACACACATATCAAGTACAAAATGCTCTTCAAGTCCATCTTCGCTACCGCCGTGCTGTTCGCAGCCTCCTCTATTGCCCTCCCCACCGACCTCGAAGCCCGCCAGCAAGCAACCACCTGCGGCAGCACCTCCTACAGCGCCTCGCAGGTCAGCGCTGCCGTCAAAGCAGGCTACGGCGACTACCAAGCCGGCCGCACCTACGGCAGCAACTCGTACNCCCACAAAGTATGTTAGCAGGACACATCCACAGCTGATAAATTTCGTGCTGACCAAGACCAGTACAACAACTACGAGGGCTTTGACTTTCCCGTTGCTGGTCCTTACGAGGAGTTCCCCTTGAAGTAAGTTAGCTCTCGAATTCTGTTGCCGCGTGGGTATAGGACTGACTTGATATCCAGGACCAGCGGCACTTTCACCGGTGGCTCTCCTGGCGCCGACAGAGTCATTTTCAACACCAAAGGCCAATGGGCCGGCACCGTCACCCACACCGGAGCCTCTGGAAACGACTTTGTTGGCTGCTCTGGTACCAGCTAGATGCAAAAACGAGAGTCTAAAGTGAAAAATTTATGAACCAACTACCACGAAATCAAAGGCTGGCATTTTGATCTTTTACGCATTGTCCTCATCACATAGAGTTGTAAAAGTCGCACATCACAGCCATTTCAAAGATATGATGTTATCCGCAACCATCAAAAAGACATTAGAAGAGCTATCCAGAGCCCAGTACTTTTATACGCAAGACTCCTCTTTGGCAGTCTGGACATTATAAGTCGTATGCACCACAATGCCCCTTTCCTCCTGCTGAGCCTTCCTACCCCTTCTTTCTTCCCCGATACTCTTCAAACTCTGCTGTCGACTAGGACCTTTGGCAGAAGCACTGTCGTCTGAAGAAGATACACTACCCCTCCTACTCGCATTCCTGCTCTGTAAAGACACAGAAACAATCGTCATGTTCCCTGTGGAAGGTTTGTAGCCATGCTTAGCATATGAATGCTTTTTCTGGTGTCCTCCCTCCACGGACTTTGCGTTCATCTCGATATCGTAGTTTTCGAGTTCGACGTCTTGGGTGCCGTCGAAGATGCCGTCTGTATCGTCGTAAGGGTATGGAGAAATGGCTCGTGAGCGTTTGCCTCCGATGGTGGTGGGGAAGTCCCTGGGGGCATTGGTTTTGTCGTTGGAAGAGGCGGATTTGTGGGTGTGGATGCTGAGGAAGGACAGGTGGGCCTTGAAGAAGGGGCGGAGACATGGGGCATTGGCGCAGAGGATGCAAGCTGCAAGTTCGATCTCGCTGATACATGTTAGTCTTGTCTGCAAGGAGTGATGGTGGAAGGAGTGCTAGACTTACGACCAGACCACAATGGGTTGGAGTGTATAGGTGATGTCGCCATCGCCTACACGAATCCAGGTTACGATGCTGAGGAGACGCACCAGACTGATGACACAAGANACTGTAGAGATTGTGTTAGTAAAGATCAAAGTTGATGACCACAACACCAAGGTAATCACATACATCGAGCCTAGCGTGAAAACAAAACTAAGAACAAATTTTTGTTTTAGCTCAAGAGTCAACCTCCACACGATTGGTATAGGTAGACACAAGATTAGCAGGTCCNNGCTATGATAAGATTATAGTCAGTCTTTGCAATTTGAAAGGACGACGAGATAACGATCAGACTCACTGATGATGTTCATCACGCCGTTACCAATATAGAAGGCTTGCTTGTTGATGCATCTTGTAGGGACAACTGTCATATCCCTATGTGGACAGCAGTTAGCACATCTTTCATTGTCGTACTAGGATCCAACCACAACAACTCACCAGTTGGCTCTGACAGGCACACAGGCAAAAAGACTGGAGAAGATGGCTCCTAGACCATACCCCATAGTACAGAACGCACACATCCACCAAAGATATCTGAAGTTGTCGATGGGAAACAGCCTTCGGTACAACATCAGGATAGACATCTTGGTGAGTAACATGCAGACAGAGTAGGTCATGGCAGCAAAAGTCCAGACTTCCAGAAAGGTCGGCGCGAAGTCTGCAGCACTGACATCCCATAGATGTTTACCCTGTAGGCACGTTAGAGAGGTACTCAAGGATGGAAAATGACTATACATACCAAGNCCTACTTTGACGATGTACTGGAATAGTCCTACTTCGGCGTAGAACACCATGGTCGCCAGGATTATGAGATCTGCTTCATGTCAATAGATTGTTCGTCTGAAAAAGTTTATTATCGCGATCAAGAGTGGAGTACTTACANNATCATCCCAACTGACACATTTGACCAGTTTGCTACGCGTATATATCCTCATGCTCACGAATGCGGTGACGATTACGAGACACACGATGTTGCATATCGTCTGTTGGTTTCCTGTAGTGACGGGGTCGATCAAATTGCTGGTCATGCCTGGTGGCGGCGGTCTCGCCGGTATCGTTGTCCGATCGCTCATGGTCGTTGAAGTCTTGTTGTGGCTGGATCACGGAAGGCTCTGGGAGGAGTAGGACAAATGACAACGCAAATGGGTTATATGGGAAAGAAAAACATCTCCAGCTGGGAATATGTCATTTGTCTAGCCACCATAGCTGAGAAAAAAGAGCCTTTGGTGGATATTCAGGTGCGTGTCAACTCCGCCGCGCACGAGTATCATCTTGCAACAAAGCTTACCAGAGATACCAAAATAAGGCCTACCAACAGTGGCAAAAAGCTTATGTCAAGGAGTCTGACACTAGAGTGAGCTTCCTCGATCATCGAGGCAGCACAAGAGGAAGTACTAGGCGTGATTGCAGGTGCCAGTTTCAGGTACTTGCCAGAAATCTGGACGGCCTTGCAAACCCACTTCCTGGGAGTCTGAGACAGAACACTCTCGACTGATTTCTTGGAAGAGAAGACAAGTGTAGCGCATGTCACAAGTGCTGTTTCTTATGACATAGAATTGCCGACCAGTGCAGCTTCCGAATGAAGTGACGAGAAATAGTTTCACTTAGAAACTGCGCTCGCGCAATCATGGTGATTCAATGGCGGCAGCATCATGTCGAGCTTCGAGAAGGTGGTTTATTACAAAGGATGGAAGGTCTGTAACAGGTGTTCGCACATGAAACAGGAAATGACTCGTAGCTCGCGAAGAAGGGACAGTGTGGGTGGCTGGAGTTCGGCGTCGTGGACCAACATCTGTCACATGAGTAGCTATAGAAATGTATGACATGGACGTGTCTGCACTAGAGTTGTGCTCGTTCTTCACTGAATCGCCGGAACTTATTTGAGCTATTACTACTTGAATCAGGGCACGAGATTGAGATAGTCACAGTTATAACTCTGCGTGGCCACACTGCAAGATCATAGACCTCGACCCAAAGCATGCTAGAAACCTGTTGTTTCGCTTGACTTCACCAGCAAAACACATGAGAAAGATGGTGGAAAGGAAGCTCCAAACTGAGAATATCGCAAATTTGGACGTGCAAGAAACCCATTTTGGTGTTATACATTGATGGTGTGCAAAGCCTGAGCCCCTTCTGCTCAAAGAGAAATAACGCCGTTCATGTCATGATGCCGAATTACGCGCGCAGTTCCATCATCTATGCTGTCTGGGTTCCGTAACCTCTGATGCCTTCCGCAAATGCCCAGCTCTGGTTTTCGAGCTTCTCCGACTCCTTGAGGTCAACACCTGATTGACCATCGATAACGGCAATGCTGTATTGATCCAAACTCCTGGCATCACGGTAGAAGAGAACCTTCATACACTCCTTGATGGTCTCGACGGCCTCTTCCTTGGTCAACTTGGTTGCTGCCTCCTCGTCGGGCACTGCGCGACGGAGGATGGGTTGTGCGAGATGAGCACCGAAACCGGTGGCAAGTGTTGGGGCGCTGAAGGTGGTGCCGAGAAGGTCAACGCTGGCCAGGAAGGGCTTCTTCTTGTCATCGAGACCTGCAACGAGGATGGCGTTCCATAGGGGNTTGAAGTCGGAGCGGCGCTTGTACATGACTTTGCTGAGGTATGTGTGCAGGTTCTTTGCCGAAAGCTGGGTGACATCGTCGGATGATTGGTAGTTCTCGTTGATGCTCAGGGTGCCGAGGAGGCGGTCGAGGTATTGCATGTCGGACACATCGCCACCAAAGCCGACGATGGACTGCTTGTTGAAGACGCGCAGACGTTTGACGTCGGTGAAGCGGGCAAGAGAACCGTATGAAGCTAAGNNGGAGTGTCAGATGTGATGGTGTCGGAGGTAGTATGAGCAGGTGTAAGTACCTAGGTTGTCGGCGGCGATGACAACGCCGTCCTTGTACTTGAGACCGATGACCGAGGTACCGGTGACGATGGGCGACTGAGTATGTTGGATGGGGCCCGAGTGATCTTGAGTGCCGAAGTGCGAGTAGTCGTAAGCGCCGTAAACATCATCTCTGGGCNNTGGGCAGGCAGTCAGTATGAGAGTGGCAGGTGAATCGCAAGAGATGGAGCTTACTCTGCCCCAGCCGTGAGGGAAGTGGTTCATTGTGAGAAGGCTAGCTGTGGGGGTTTCGAGAGATGGTCAAGGTATCGGACGACAAGGTTTGTGAGGGATAGGGCGGATCTGGTGAGGACTGGATGATTGATGGTTGATTGTATGCTATTGGCAGCTGCTGGAAGTCGCAGCGCAGTGACGCGCCCGATGGAGCTCGATCGGAGCGGAGACTTGGCGCTCCGCCTCCGGTGGTCATGGACTTTTTGTTTCGACATGTGACAGTCGACTCTCAATCCGCAAACACACTCAACATGTCTGCAGCAGGAGGAGCCGCCGACGCTACTGCGTGTCCAGTCGATCACGAGACTCGCCAGGCATGGCTGGACCAGGCCAAGAAGGCTAAATCACAAGAATCCCCAGCACCTCCGCCGCCGCCGCAAGCAACTCCTTCGCCGCCGATACCCAACAACATCCCTCACGATCTCAGCCAGATCCCTATTCAGACTCGCTACTCCCTCGACCATGGTGCATGGCTGGCTATCCTGCCCAAGAACATGGCCATGATGTCGCCAGCACAGCGCGGTGCTCTCGACACTTTCCGCGAGATTTCGACCATTCCCCGCGCCGTGTCTGCCGAAGGCCACGATGCTGCCGTCAACACACACAGTCCCGCAAACAACGAGCAAGAGTCTGGAGTTGATGAGAAGAGTGGAAACTGGGTGTACCCGTCCGAGGAGATGTTCTTCAACGCCATGAAGCGCAAGAACTACGACCCCGAAGCCGCCGACATGCGCACCATTGTGCCCATCCACAACGCCGTCAATGAGCAGGCTTGGAAGGAGATCAAGGCCTGGGAGAAGGGCAGAGGTTCTGAAGCGTGAGTCTATCTACGCTAGCCATGGTCTTGTTGCGCGAGCTGATTTGTTCACCAGANNTGCGGTGGCCCTCGTCTCGTTTCCTTCATGGGCCAGTCCAAGGAACTGACTCCCCGAGCACGCTTCAACTCGATCCTGGGCTACTCCAAGCCCTTTGACAGACACGATTGGATTGTCGACCGCTGCGGCACCCACATCGACTATGTCATTGACTTTTACGCCGGCAAGAACGAGGGCAAGCCCGGCAAATCCCTCAACTTCTACCTCGATGTCCGTCCCAAGCTCAACAGCTGGGAGGGAGTCAAGATGAGAGTCGAGAAGTTCTGGGGTCTGTGATCTGTCTCTTCATCTGGGCGAACGAGATCGCCTTCTCTCATTGTCGAAGCCTAGTCCTCTTCTGCCTTGTGTTTTCCTCTCCACTCTTCCGGCCGTCGAAGTCGCCGCTTCTTGTTTTGCTGGCACAAAATCCACTGCCTCTCTTGGATTCTTGGTCTTTTCCTGTTCCTTCTTCTTTGCAATCCTCTCATGCGCGGCAACCAACTTGTCGCCGTAGGCCCAATCCGGGAATTTTGTCGCAACAGCTCCCTGTGACCACGGAGTAGCATACTGATCTTCCTGACTGATGCCAGCAAAGTCGAGTAGTTTAGGCAAGAGACCAGGGTTACGCAATGCCGACGAGTGGTACAGCCGTTGATTGAAATGGGTTCCCTTCTTCTTCAGGTCGAGAAATCTTGCAAATTTGGTTGTTGTCTCTGGGGGCGGTGAGCCTGGGGGTGAGGGTGGTATTTGAAAGTTCGGGACGGGTGGCATGGTGAGGTTCCGAAGCATGAGACGGTTGGCCGTGTAGGGTGATGGCGGAGCAGAGGCATCCTCTTCAGCTGAGTTCGTGGAAGCACTGGGATCCGGCATAGGCGAAGGCCCAGCGGCTGGGCCAGCGACAGGACTAAGAGCTGGGCCGACTGGAGCAGGNTTCTGGGGTTGTACTGGAGGATGAGTAGGAGGAGGTTGTTGCGGTTCGGTCGTCTTCTCGACGATCATGACAGGAGCGGCATGTTGGGGTTTGCTGTAAGATAGTTAGTGGCTTGTAGGATGTTAGATTGTACGATATAGACAGACATGGGACGACTTCAGGCAGAGCTTCTCCAATTATCTTGTTTGCGACGGCCTAGCATGCGGCTTGATCAGCAGCCATCCGTCCTTTTGCGCGCGATTGTCTAGGCGCAATGTACCTGATTCGACTTGTCGACGGGCGCGACAGTCTCGTCCTCATCATCGCTACTCGAGTAGCCTCCTAGACCTAATGCGCCACTCATAGTGTTTTGTGGTGTGAGGAAGGAGCGGAAGAGAGGGCAGTTCTGATGACGGAAGCTTTTGCGGGCAGGCTGCACTCTCGATCACATGCGAATCGCTCACACTTCTTCTTCTTTGCAGCCAACGCCTTGGTCTTCACACAACCCTCACAACTCATCATGGATCCTCCTCCAGCTCCTCCGTCAGACGTCCCACCGCCGCCGCCTCCTTCAGAATATGTCGCCGCTCCACCGCCGCCCGTGGCCGATGTGCCCCCACCACCAGCTCCAGACACCAACGACGAAGAACTCGGGCCCTCGATCGTGTCATCAAAGAAGCAAAAGAAAGGATGGGGTTCCGTCAAACCAAAGAGCCAACCGCTGGATATCGAGGAGATCCTGGCAAGGAAGAAGGCCGCAGACGCAGCCGCCTTGAAGCCAAAGTTCTTGTCGCGTGCCGAGCGCGAGAGGATAGCACAAGAGAAGCGTGAGAAAGAGGAGGCAGACGCANAAAAGAGGTCAGACGTCGAACGCGACACTTTCTCAAAGCCACAGTCGAACGGAAGTCATGCTCAAATCAACACTGGTAACCATCGCTCCATGGACGGTCGCCCGGCTATCCCTACTGGTCCCAGGAGTCTACGAGGAGGCCAACCCNCGTCAGGTCCCGCTGGCTGGAGAAACAAGGACCAACACAACAGAGGCTACGATATGGTTTCCACCACCGCCTCCCAAGCAGAGCGCCATCATCAGCGGCAACCAGACTGCAAAGAAACTCTCCGCAGAAGAAGCTGCCCAAGCCTCCATCCGTCAACGCTACATGGGAGCCGAACAAAACCAATCAAACTTCTCGGCAAAGAAGAAACGCAAGCGAACCNNACCGAGAAGAAGTTCAACTTTGAGTGGAACGCAGAGGAAGACACAAGTGCCAACACCGACCCACTATACAAGGACAGAGCTGCTCCTGCTGCAAGACTGGGTGGTTATGCAGATGGAGACGAGACGGCTGCCGAGAAGTACGCAAAACTGCTCCAAGAGCGCGATCCCGAGACTGGCAAGCAACGAGCACAGCAGATTCTGGAAATGAAGGAACGACAAAAGGCTTACGAGAGTCGCAACGCCATCGACAAGCACTGGAGCGAAAAAGAACTCACCCAGATGCGCGAACGAGACTGGCGTATTTTCAAGGAAGATTTCAACATTGGCACAAAAGGTGGCTCCATCCCGAATCCTATGCGTTACTGGCAAGAGTCTGGTTTGCCTAAGCGACTATTGCAGGTTATTGACCAAGTCGGCTACACGGATCCTNCGCCTATTCAACGAGCAGCTATTCCAGTTGCTCTGCAGGCTCGTGATCTGATTGGTGTTGCCGTCACTGGCTCCGGTAAAACTGCCGCCTTCCTCCTACCTCTCCTTGTCTACATCTCCGAGCTGCCTGCTCTGAACGAGCTTACCAAAAACGACGGTCCCTACGCCATCATCCTTGCACCAACCCGTGAACTGGCACAACAAATTGAAATCGAAGCGAAGAAGTTTGCAACACCGCTAGGCTTCACTTGTGTGTCCATTGTTGGTGGTCACTCGATCGAAGAACAAGCCTACAACCTGCGCAACGGAGCTGAGATCATCATCGCCACCCCTGGTCGTCTAGTCGACTGTATCGAGCGCCGCGTCCTTGTCCTCTCACAGTGCTGCTACATCATCATGGATGAAGCCGATCGCATGATCGATCTGGGTTTCGAAGAGCCCGTCAACAAAATCCTCGACGCCCTCCCCGTAGGCAACGAAAAACCAGACACGGAAGAAGCAGAAAACAGTCAAGCCATGCAAATGCACGTTGGCGAACGAGGTCGCTACCGTCAAACAATGATGTACACAGCCACTATGCCAGCCGCCGTCGAGCGCATCGCAAGAAAATACCTCCGCCGCCCTGCAATCGTGACAATTGGAAATGTCGGCGAGGCAGTCGACACAGTCGAGCAGCGCGTCGAGTTTGTATCCGGCGAAGACAAGCGCAAANACCGACTCCGGGAAATCCTTTCGAGCAGGGAGTTTGCACCTCCGATTATTGTCTTTGTCAACATCAAGCGCAACTGCGACGCCGTGGCAAAAGACATCCAACGCATGGGCTATTCAGCCGTCACTCTGCACGGTTCAAAAACGCAAGAGCAGAGAGAAGCAGCACTCCTCTCCGTCCGCGAAGGCAAAACAGAAGTCCTCGTCGCAACCGACTTGGCAGGTCGTGGTATCGATGTCCCCGACGTGTCTCTGGTTGTCAATTTCAACATGGCTACAAACATTGAATCCTACACCCATCGTGTGGGTCGTACTGGTCGTGCTGGAAAGTCTGGTGTTGCGATTACGTTCTTGGGCTCAGAGGATAATGATGTTCTTTATGATTTGAAGCAGATGCTGAGTAAGAGTGCCATCTCGAGGGTTCCAGAGGAATTGAGGAAGCACGAGGCAGCGCAGCAAAAGAGTCAGAGGGGAGGCAATAGGAAGCCTGTAGAGGAGAGCAGTGGGTTTGGCGGTAAAGGTGGTGGATGGGCATAAAAGCCATCTATCTATCATGTACTGCAGGACAAAATTATGAAGCTCGGAACCTGGTCAACAGTTTATCTTGCGAATCAACTTCTCCTTGGTCAATGAGAGAGCAACAACCATCGAACCAAAATGACCCGCTCTCCATGACCTTGCCCTTTCTTACATGATGTCAACTCGATTGCTGCATGGGTTACTCCGTATTGAGGGACCACTCCACCTCGTGGAACGTCTGTTCAAGTAGGTAGTAGATATGATCTTATGTTCGGCAAGAGCTTTGGTCTCATAGACATGCCTGAAATAAGGAAAGAACAAGCCATAAGCAATTAAGCTGCGACTGCCATATTCGATTGGTAAACGCAGACATTAGCAAAGGAATAGTATGGTAAAACATATTCGGTCTAATCTCTATATTTTGAAAGCAAAAAAAGCTCTCACAAAATGCTATAACTTCGAAAGAAACCGCATACCATGCCTTTTTGTCGTCCCCCTGCCGACGCTAGAAAATGCGAGATGGATGTATTATGTACAAGAGTAAGTTCGGGACAGAAAAACAAAGGTGGCAGCACCTAACAGAGCCACTTGTACACCTTCTTCCACCTCGGCCACTGAGCCTGCTCAGCTCTTTCCTCGGCAACCAGTTCAGCAATATTGAGCTCGCGGATACCGGTGTGCAAATCCATGTTGTGGCTGCGAATGACCGATGTGCGGTACCAAATCTTGTAAGGAACGTAAAACAGAATCACGACAGGAGCAGCAAGGTACACCTCGAAGAAATTCATGACCTGTTCGCTGGTCGTCATATCGGCGTATCCAATAGGCGCGAAACCAGTCCAGAACTGTGCGATCAGAACGACACAGTTGAGAATGAGGCCGACCCAAGAGCCAATGACGCCGGCTTGAGACTTGAAGGCCAATTCATCGAGAGAATGGCCTTGGACTTTCCAGGCCTTGCGGAAGCGGATGTGGGCAAGGCAGATGCTGATCCAGGTAAAGATAGAACTGAGACCAGAGAGTGCCAGCATCCAGTTGAAGGCATCGGTCTGTTTGTCCGAACCAGCGAGGAAGGCAAGGAAACCGAACGCCGAGGCAATAGCGATCGAGACAATCGGACGACCCTTGCGATCAATGTATCCAAGAATCTTAGGAGCCTGGCCTTGGTCGGCAAGCGCAGCGAGAGTACGCGACGAACCGTAAATGGAGGAGTTGCCGACCGAGAGAACGGAAATCAAGATGACAGCATTCATCACAGAAGGCAGACCGTCAATACCGGCGTTTCTGATGGCGATAACGAAAGGACTGGCCTTGGCGTCGACACTACTGGTGCCATTGAGTAGACGCTTGTCGTTATAGGGAACCAGAAGGCCAACAAAAGTCAGAGAGACCAAGTAGAACAGGAAAATTCTCCAAAAGACTTGCTTGACGGCAGTAGGCAGAGATTTGCGAGGGTTAGCAGTTTCAGCGGCAGCCAAACCGACCAGCTCGGTTCCAGCAAATGCAAAGGCGGCTGTCACAAACACACTGCAAAGACCCTTGAAACCGTGGTTGAAAGCTCCCGGGTCTAGTGATGCACGTTAGTTCAGCTCGCATGTAAGTGAGTGTGTAGTTCTGTACGTACTGCGCCAGTACTTTCCACCGATAAAACCACCCTCAGGACCGCCGCCAACGTCCAGGATGATGCCGAGAATGATGAAACCAACAACGGCAATAACCTTCAGGATACTGAAAACGAACTCCGCCTCGCCATAGCCCTTAACGCCAAAGAGGTTGATAGCGATAATGACGACCAAGAAAAGGGCAACCCAAGCGTTTGGATCGATCGAGTCGTTCCAGAATTGAATGGTGATGGTAGCAGCAACGACCTCGAGAGGGAGCACGACTAGCCATTGCAAAGCATAGTTCCAACCCATAGAGAAGCCCCAAGCCGGATCAAGGAAGCGTGTTGAGTATGCAGAAAAGGAACCGGCCACAGGAAACAAAACGGCCATCTCTCCAAGAGCATGGACGGTACAGTAGAGCATCAGACCGATGATACCATAGGCGATGACTAGCGAAGCAGGACCTCCATTGGCAAGAGCTGAACCAGACCCGACGAACAAACCAGTACCNTGGGGCTTTTGTGAGTAAAAATTCATGACTGAAGCACACAGTCTCGTTTTACCAATTGAACCACCAATGGCAATCATCTGCAAATGACGGCCCTTCAAATGTCTAGACAAGCCAGAGTCGGCCGTCGCAGCATTCGCTTGCTCGACATCAAACACTTTTCCATCCGAGCCGACAATTCCTGGCGGTGTCGCGTGTGCGTTTGGGTCGCGCTTGAAGCTGTCGACGAAGCGTGCGGGCCATGATCTAGGCTGGTCGTAGTTTTGACCGACCTCGGTTGCGACAGAATCTGAAGGTGACGGATATGCCCCAGCATTGGGAATAATCCCTTTGGCGTCTTCCATGACTATTTGATGTCGCCGGCTCTCCTGTTGTGGTATCCTAGTGAAATCTCTGGTATTACGAAAAAGAAGGAAAGGGACGGCAGAAGTGTTTCGAGATTTTGCGATTGCGACAGCCGGAAGTCGCAAAGGGTTGTACGAAAAACCAAAATGCACCTTCCAAGCGTGTCACCGACCCTTATTTACGTCAAAAGGCTTAAGGCCCTGCAAGCCGCTATCTTTAAAGCGCATCGTCGGCGGCGCTACCGGGTTTGTAAAAGGAACCACGACAAGAGCGACTTTGGCCGCTGGCACAGCGATCATGTATTGACCTATGATAGGAAGAGGAATTTGTGTGACACATTTCGCTGACGGACGGCTCGAAGCTGGAGAGATCGACCCGCGTCCAGACAATTAATAGGGCGTGAAGGTGAATTATTTCCATGTTGGAGTCGGGTAAAGTCGCGGTTGACGATTCATCGAATCCTACGAGATATCCTTCAACGTCTTGTCAACACCAATTGTTTGGATACCGAGCAGCGCTCTAGAATATCGATTGTGTACTACAGACGCAAACTCCCAGACAGATACCTCCGAGTACAGCCAGAATCCTTCACTTTCATGTTGATCGCATGCTGTTGTGTCCAGCGGCCGAGTTGAGGACTCGACAAACCCCGGCCGGGACCAAGCCTTTCTCCAATTCTGTGGCTCGTGCTCCGGTGGCTGCAGAGAAGGACGCACAACATGCAGAGAAGTCTCGAAGAGCATCGCTGTAGGTCAGTCACTGGCTGAGACTTTTCAAGCTGTGTACTCGGCTTCGAACATGGCCACACGACCTTCCCGAAATCACATGGTGGTTGGAGACAAGCGATTCTTTCTGGCTCGTTTCCAGTCGTCAATGCGACCACTACCTACCCGCTAGGTATAAGCTGATCGACGGTCTCGCAAAGTGGACAGGAATGGGTTGTCGCTTGCAGAAACGATGGCTGGTTCTCGAGCTACCTGACCGCAAGTTGGCAGGCACCAGCTCGCACCCTTCATTGCCTTTACTTGCCGAACTGACTGCATGATGCCTGCTTGATCGCACTTCAGTGCAATATCATATTACGGCTAGAGGTGCGTTGTTCTGTGTCCGACCTCTCTCGGCGATGCACAGCAAGCTGTACGCTTTAGAAATGCACAGTTGTCACCCCAAAAGATGAGTCCAGAGAGAAGACAAAATCACGACTTCCAGTGCATGCTACTTTGTTTGCAAAAGACATTATGCATTTCTAGGGTTGCCATGTGTGGCAGGCTCTAGTATACGGGAAGGAGTCATCTCAAGTCTGAGATTCTGATAAGGGAAGGAACTCCAACCGTCACAAGGTCTCAACCTCCTTCCCAATCCTTTCTCGAACATTCATCAGAGCAGTTCCAAGCAAACTCTGCCCCCATTTCTCTCTCGGAGTCGCTAGAGCTTGCTGTGCGTCAGATCCGATACCCCATACCCTGTCAAACCTGGATGCCTCCGCCAATTCTCGTTCTTCTGTGCTAAGCAGCAAACTTCTCAGAGATACAGATTCTCCCTGATCGTCCATCTTCATCGACGCGACGTTGTTGCTTTGGGTAAACTTCAGGTAGTTCCCTCGCTCCACCACATCCAATCTAATCTTCTCCCAAGCCTCGGCATCAAACCCTTCAACATCACGACCAAGTTGTTTTTGCTTGCGAGGAGATGTTGTTGCTAATATTGCTTTTGCGGAGGCTTCATCGCCGGCGAGTTGGGCTTTGTTCCACATCATCCATTGTTCGGCGCTGGTGAACTCAAGGCCTGAGTCGGGGTCTGTGAAACGGCAGCGGTACCATTGGCAGAGAAAACCATATGGCTCTTCATCGTCTTTGAAGAAGAAGATTGGTGCACCGGAGGTATTGCTCTGGTCTGAGCCTGTGGGTTGTGTTTTGACTTCTCTGTTGGGTTTGATTGTAGGGGGTTGCTGCTTGGAGTTTTGCTTGTTGTGTTTCTTGCCCATGATGGATGTCGTGATGGATTGTGTTGCAGTATTATGTAAAGGAATGGTGAGTATGGATGCTTCGATGGGCTCGAGCTGTTCTTCTGAATCTCAATGAGGTGAGTCAGGAAGTCGCGATTGGAGGTCATCAACATCCAAGCAACCTCAGCTGTCGCCTACCTAAGGGCACGACACCAATCCAAGGTAGGGTCCATTAAATGCACTTTCCAAAGCTCTATCTCGAATGTGAAGACGGCTATCGAAAGGGGCTATGTAAATGCAGAAAAGCAAGTGCGAACAAGGCCATCGTCTCTGGAGTTATGACATGTGCAGACATGGAGACGATGAACGATACCGTCTTCTGATGGATCAAAGAAGTTTTAAAAACATAAAGAACATCATTACAACAGATAGAACTAAATTTATTACGACCGCTCTTTCGATGAGAACGATTTCCATCCGTTCTTGCTTACTTTTGATGATTGTTGCCTATTACTACAGAGTTCCTTGCTATGCCTACCCAAACACTTTGTATAGCTTGTTGCTCAAACATCACTTATTTCCAGCGCCACTGATGCCCAGCCCCAGACTTGTGTCGCCTTCCTCTGCATCTCCNTCCTTGACAACATCCCTACTCAAAACATCCTCGGCAATGGTTTTCGCATCTCTACTCAACTCTGGCGAACAAGTGGCCTCGACTTCATCTTCGCCTAGATTGGGTATCACAGTAACATCGCCATCTGGATCTTCCTCTTCCTCTTCCTCGATAATAAAAGCAGTTGTATCCCCTTCTTCGATGGGAGAAAAACTTTCCACTTCTTCAACTTCGAGATCTTCCTCTTCGTCTTCCTCGACTAGTCTCATACCCTGGTCTTGCAAGGTAACTTTGCTGCCGAAAAAGTCTTTGGGTTCTTGTTGTTGCTCTTCTTCTTCCTCGTCTTCCTCGGCAATTGTGATTTCGTTGCTGCGGCGTCCTTGGGCGCTAGTACCGCGGCTATTGTCGCCAGAGTTGTTGCCGGAACCTCTGCCCCGTGCGCCAGGTGTATTGCCGAGACTGGGACCTTTGAAGACGCTGCGTTTCTTTTTCGCAAACACGGGGTGCATACCTGGAGATGCGGGACCGAAGGTGTAATTCATGGGTGAGTTGAGAGCTTGAGTGGACAAGGTAGGTAGAGTGCCGAGATTTCCAGGAGGAGGACGTCGAGCGACACGTATGCCAGAAGGAAAAGTGCCAGTAACGGAGGATGTGGGTGTAGAAGGGGTAGGACCACGACACTGCCGCTGGTATGCGGCGACCTTGAGATAGCACGGGAATGTGTGCTGAGAGATGGAGAAGCCACGGAGTTTGAAGAGGTGGTGGAAGCGCGAGAAAGAGAATGGTGGTGGGTGTGGATACTGCGAACAGATGAGACAGAAGAANGATGTCGATTTTCTGCCGCGCAGACCTGAGCCGCGGCGGTAGATGGAAGAGCGGGGCGTAAGCGGTGCTGGTGAAAGAGACGGCCTGTTGCCTCCATGGGTCCGGGATCCTGTGGAGCCATACGATGAGGCAGTGGATATACGTGGCCGTATGGGATATGTTGTGCGTGTCTGCATATCCGGCCGCGGGCTCTTTCGCTGATCCTTCAGGAGATCGTTAGCAGAGCCCCTCCGTTGACTCGACGGCATCGAAGCCGAAGCTTTACGAGCAGTCGCCAGTTGCACTTCGAGATTCTCTTGGCTATCCTTCTTNTGCGATTTTCCACTGCTGGTCTTGAACCAGGATTTGAGATGGGCGAGTTGATCTTTGAAGGGTCGTTTCCGTAATTTTTGATGAAATGGCGGCGGGGCTAGTAGGTCGTTTCTGGTGTGTATGACCTGAAGTAGCTGAGAGCTGCCTCTGCTAGCAGCACGCGGTCTCCTGGGCACATCCTTCGGTGGTAGAGCAGGACCACAACTCGACGACGTAATCGAAAGCGAACGGCGACGCTGGTCCTTTTCTACAGGAGGCGGTGGTCGATCATCNGGGTTCGGGGTCTTGCCTTCGGTGACTCTGGGCAAGTCAGGAGGTGCAGCGCTAGACCTGCTCACGCCCCGACCTCTAGTCTTGAGTGAAACTATGCTCAGTCGCGCCTGCTCTTCCTCTGTTATTTCCCGTAGGCTTGGCGCATTCAACAGACGACTGCTGGATGCGCTCAGCCTTCTGATACTCCTCGCTTCTGCTTCTTTTTCTCTTCGTTTCCGTACCCGCCTTCTTTCTTTTCGTTCCTCTTTCTCGAGCAATAGACCCCACCAGCCAGCCAGTGGGTCGCATCTTTGTCCCAGCACATTCTCAATGACATGATCGATATTGACACCGGCGCTGCGCATGCGTTGCAGTGTTGCTTTTTCCACTTCGGTACTGAATGGCGGAGGTTGCAAGACTTTGAGAATCTCCTGTTGCTGAGGAGCGTATTCTTGCAGCCAGGGATGACGGAGGACATCGGCCAACGGTGGTCGTAACAGGGGACGGCGTGACAGCAATTTTGAGAGAAGGTCCTTTGCGCCCTCTGGAACGTATTCCGGATAATTGGGGTCTTCCTTGAGAATGCGCTGCTTTGTCTCGTTCTCGTCATCTTCGTCGAATGGCAACTCTCCGCACAGCAGAGCGTATAGAATGATTCCCAGACTCCAGACGTCCACCTTTTCACCAGCGTATTTTTCTCCCTTCAGCATCTCTGGCGCACTGTAGCAGATGGTGCCACACCATGTCTGCAGATAACTTGTAGTGCCCTGGTATTCGCGCGTGAAGCCAAAGTCGACCAACTTGACATTGCCGTGCTTGTCGAGTAAGATGTTTTCGAGTTTCAGGTCGCGATGGACGCAAGACTTGGAGTGGACGTATGACACTGCGCCAACGAGTTGTGTAAAGATCTTTTGAACCTTGTTTTCTTCCATGCGGCCGTGCTCGAGTAGGTGGTTGTACAGCTCATCGCCGGGGCACCATTCCAGGACCAGCCATACCAGCGACTCGGTGACTATGACTTCGTAGAGGCGAGCGATGTGTGGGTGGAGGAATTGGCGGTGGTGGTGGATCTCGCGGGCGAGATTGGCGTCGTCCTTTTTGGCCGACTTGAGTACGACNCTGTGAGGGTCAGCGGTGTTGGGTCTGTGTAAGGATTGTTGGCGGCAGACCTTGGAGCCATTGATGAGTTTGTTCGAGGCCAAGTAGACCTTTCCGAATGAGCCCTTGCCTATGAGGCGGCCGACGGCGTAGTTGCCGACAGTACGGAGGTCCTTGCTGCTGAACTCGNNCTGGTGGTCGCGTGAGTGTTTGAGGATCTAGTCAAGAGTGTGGGCGCAGTCTTACTCGAGGAGCTCGCTGTACGAGTTGGCGAGTTTGGTCTTTTGGTGGTGCAGCTCCGCTTGGGCTCTCGCGGCGGCGGGTGGCATACGTTAATCGAGGTATGCGCTTGTCTGTCGCGCACCCCTGTCTCCTGCTTGTCCGCTATGCTGTACGTCCAGTCCAGTCTTGCCAACATCCGACTCTTGCTCTCTCCGTTGCTTGCGTGTTGACTGTTATCGATACTGCTGGTCAAGGGCTGAAACGGGGCGGCTGGAGAGGTTGCGCCGCGGCGGTTGTCGTGCGTCGTCGTTGGTCTTGTCCTTGTTGCTATGCCAGATAGTGAGCAGAGACTCGTGGCCTCGTTGTCGTCGTTTCAATGCATGGCAGGCATTCTCATTCTTGTGCCGACCTCATCTCCGCCCGGTCCCCTGCCGCTCTGTTGCGTGATTCGGTGATTGCTGTGGGGAATCGACATCATCACCACATTCCCATGACCCTCCAAAGACAAACATCAGGAAACTCGATGCCACTTTTCTCTTTTACATGGCACAGTCCAGCTCGCAATATCTGAAAGAATTTGTTGTGTCAAGGTTGAATACGAATGTCTCATCCTCCACCTCTCTTGGCTTCTCCCGCCTTTGCATGACACTTTGCATCACAAATTACTACTCTAGCTCCTCCTAATATCTGCGATCGCCTTGCGTCTGTAATCGCTGTCCGAAAACAGCGCCTCGACCAAGTCCGTTACTTCGTCTACATCAAATTCGAGCCTCAACTCGCCCTCCGTCCACAAATACTTGATGTCCGCAAGTGAGCTCTCCAGCAATTCCCCCAGATACTGGAACTTGAACCAGTTCGGGCAGTAGATTCCCGTCATGTCGCTCGCCTCTCCACCTTCTGGATGTTCTTGAATGAACAAATCCTTGACTTCCGAGATCTTGTCGCACAGCTGCCGCAGCTTCTTCGATTCTTCCTCACCAATGTCTTGTATCTCTTCAATCTCCATGATCATCTTGCTTATCACTGTACTGAGCAACGATGCCGAAGACTGCAACAAGGCAGACCGTGACAGGATTGGTGTCCATTGCTTGTGCACGTCGCGGAGACGTCCCTCGGTAATGCTGACTGCACTCTCGCATGCACTTGCGAATGGCTCCGTGTTGCAGTTGGAGAATCCTTGAGCTCCGTCTAGCATATCACGGATGATGGTCCGCTGGGATTCCATCTCAGCGCTGTATGCTCTCTTTGCGAATGTCTCCAACGCCTTGATGTCATTGTCCAGCCTGAGTCGTGATGATGGTCGTAAATGCATTGGTAAGGTTGAGGTTGCGTCCTTTTCTGCTTGCTTGTTGACAAAGGAGCGAATCTGATCAGCCAGACGAGAGGCATCGTTGTAGATCAGCATGTTACCAGAGTCTAGTTTACCGTAAGCCGTGGATGCTGTAGCTCGATACATGGCGAGTACGAATGTCGGTAGTGTGTATAGTGCGGAGGCCGCCGGTCCTATGGGTGACCCTGAATAGCTTGGATCTGTCAAGATTTCGGCATCCGACACGACTTGCATGATAATCTCGAGCATACCGTCCGGCACCGCTGTTACCGTGTATGTCTCTCTGAGTGTGAGTTCTCTGTCACCAGATGATGTGGGCTGATTCATCGTGGGAGCCTTTGCCGCTTTCTTCGGTGACTCTGGCTTCGTGGTCTCGTCTGTGGCTTGCTCATCGTCGCCCCAACCCCAAGCATCCGCCGCATCGTCTTCCTCAACGTCTGCTCCGCTGGCTTTAGGAGCAGCCGAGTCTGCCGGCACGTCCGTGTCGTCTTCATCCATGTCCCATGCGCTGGCGTCATCATCGTCGTCATTGATTGTAGATTCATGCTTCTTGGTTTCGACTTCCTTCGTCTCTGGTGTATCTTCTTCCCAATCAGCGGCCCAAGCATCATCTGCTTCATCGACGTCAGTACCACCCATGATGGCATCTCCCTTGGACACGGTCTGCGTCTCGACTCTTTCGACAGTTTTTCTGTCTCTGAGACGAGAGAAGAGTAGGCTTCTTGCTGCGCCCAGAGCTGTCTCTCTACGTTTTGAAAGCCATATTCTGGGGGCATTCTGTACCCAATCCTTCAAGAGAGCGGTGCTTGACCAATTTAGAGCGTCAATTTGTTCGGCTAGCCTGGACACACGATCCAGAATCTGTTGGAAGACAGGCATCTGCTCAATCTGCACAGGGACAGTTTGGTCGAGCCAGCTGTAAGTGAGGGTCTCGAACAAAGACGGTAGTAGTTTCTGGGACAGCGGTTCACAAACTAATTTGGGTAGATGAGCGGAGAAGAAATGCAGAGCTGTCCAGATGTCGTCCAATGTAGCAATCGTGTCAGGTTTGGAGGTCGCGTCTGAAACACAAATACAGGCACCGTCAAGTTGGAAAACAGTTTGTTGGCCGGGTTTTGTAGATAGGCGTGGGTTGATGAGAGCGAATTCAATGTCACGTTTCAAGCGCCTGATGTAGATGTCCAGGCCGCCGAGATATCCGAGTACGTCCACAATTACTTCCAAGTCGACGGCTGGCACATCGGGAATATTTTCCTTGATGGTCACGGAGCGAGCTTCGATGTCACATTGCAGAAGGGACTGGGCGAGGGCGGTTGTCTTGTCCAGGAAGTTGGCCTTGAAGCGTGAACTGCGTGTCTGCAAGAGACCAACGGCTCTGGTATCTTGTACAGTAGATAGAGCAGCAACAGAGGAATCGCATTGCCTGGTAAGGTCGAGAGCGGTGCGCAGGTCGTTACTGACGTATGCTTGGTCGGCCTGGTCAAGGATGCGACAAGATGACCTGATCAGTTCCAAGGTCGTAGCCAGAGACTCGTTGAAAGCGACCTCCTTCTCAAGTAAGCGGACCTTGTTTCCAGCATCATGTGTCTTCTCTTTCAGCTGCTTTCCAGCTTCGGCTTGAGCGACAATGTCCCTTGCTGTGGCTTTGGATCGTTCAATGTCGGCTTGAAGCTTCTTGGCTTGGGCGATCCATCCGTCAACGTCGGGCGCGATATCTTTGCTTAGACTCCGAATGTCTGTNCTGCTCGCATTTGTCAGACGCTATTCACAGACAGAGTAGATGGCACTCGATACCTTGACTTCATCGCGGGCTTTCTGGAAGTCGGCTAGGAGGGCGGGGAGGAGGGTCGATGGCACTTCGGCCGACGAGACTTCGGGCTCGGGATAGGCGCCATACTCGACGCTGTCGACGATGGCCTGCTTGAGATGGTCGTTGGTCGACATTGTCGCGACTCTGTCATAAAGACGCTGACGTTGATGCTTCAAGAAAGCTCCAGCCTGTCATTAGGCGCGCGGCCCGGTCCGCTGGTTAGCGTCATGAAAGCGGATGCCGCAAGGCCACACGTTCTGAAGAGATGATGAGGTCTTGGAGGCGAGCCTGTTGGTAGCAATACCTCGTTACATCTCGTTTGCATCTTTTTCGAGATCGGATATAATTCTGCAAACTCACTCCCTCATTTGCACATCTGGCCTTCACCTTGATCCGTCGGCTTAGCACCAAGGCTGCCGTTGCCCAAAAGTCTTACCAATTCATTCCTGCGGCCTCGAGCTGCTTCGACCGCTGCACCATGCCTGCCGCCAAAACTCAAACCCACTTCAAGCCCATCCAAAAGTTCAAGCTCGACTATGCCCCTATCGGTATTGCTCAATATGAATCTGAACGCACCGGAATGCGCGTTGTCGTCGTTGACCAGAAAGGCCCAAAGGTCTATGGTTACTTTACCCTGGCCACAGAGATCCATGATGATTCCGGTTCGCCGCATACTCTTGAGCATCTCTGCTTCATGGGTTCAAAGAACTATCGTTACAAGGGTGTTCTCGATAAACTCGCCACTCGTGCTTACTCCAACACTAACGCCTGGACTGCCACTGATCACACCGCCTATACCTTGGAGACTGCTGGCTGGGAAGGCTTTGCCCAGATTCTTCCCGTCTACCTCGAGCACGTGCTTGTACCCACTTTGACCGATGCTGGATGTTACACTGAGGTCTTCCATGTTGATGGTACTGGCCATGATGCTGGTGTCGTCTACTCTGAGATGCAAGGCGTCCAGAACCAGCAGGGAGAGCTTATGGAATTGCAAGCAAGACGTCTGATGTGAGTAAGCTTATCCTATTGCATTGTGCCGATAGCTGATAAAATCTAGGNNTACCCTGAAGGTGATGGCTTCAGATACGAGACTGGTGGTATGATGGAACAGCTCCGTGTTCTCACGGCTGACCGCATTAGAGAGTTCCACCGTGAGATGTACCAACCCAAGAATTTGAGTCTTGTGCTCATCGGTGAGATCGATCAACCCGAGCTCTTGCAGATTCTCGACGAATTTGAAGGTACCATCATGGACGATATCCCGTCACCCGAGACTCCCTTCCAACGTCCCTGGGTTGAGTCCAAGCGCACACCACCGCTCAAGAAGACGATCGTAGACACCGTCAAATTTCCCGAGGATGACGAGTCCATGGGTGAAGTGCTTGTCGGCTTCCTCGGTCCCGACTGCAACGATCATCTGCAGGCATCTGCCCTCGGTATCATGCTCATCTACCTTTGCGGCTCTTCAGTCTCTGTGCTGGAAAATACTCTGGTCGAGAAGGAACAGCTGTGTAGCATGATCTACTACTCTACTGATGTGCGACCCGATATCGCTTTCTGGTTCAACCTGAGTGCCGTAGAGACCGAGAAACTTGCCGATGCCGAGAAGCGCTTGTTCGAGGTTCTCAAGGAGACCGCTTCCAAGAACCTCGACATGGGCTACATGAAAGACTGTCTCAGTCGCTACCGCAGACAACTCAAGTTCAAGTGTGAGAGCACAGGAGACTTCTTTGCCACACCCATTATTGAGGATCACTTGTTCGGCAGCAGAGATGGCAAGGATCTCCGCGAACTGGAAACTTTGAAAGACCTGGACGTCCTCGAAGAATGGTCAGACCAACAGTGGAGAGATTACCTCTCGACATGGTTCGCAGAAGCCCATCACGTGTCTATCCTCGGTGTGCCTTCGAAGGAATTGTCTAAGAAGCTCAAGACCGACGAGAAGGCTAGAGTCAAGGCCCAAAAGG